CTCTCATAGCTCGCGATTTCTCCTTGACCACACCCCCTAAGCGCTCGGCACCGCCGTTCTGGGCTTGTGTATGTGGAGCGGAGGGCTTGACTTTGAGATATCGTGCCTGGAGCCACCCCTTCAGTTTGAAGGATTGTGTGATCTCGTTGTCGCACTCGACTGACTTTGGTTTGATGTCGAATTGTCGCTCGAGGATACCGAAAACATCATCCAGTGCTTCAATAATTGACTCTGCTGTCTTGTCTCTCATGTAGTAGTCCCATGAGTATCCGGAGTATCTGTCGGTGAACATACACAGTCTTGAGAAGCCCTCTTCGTCTTCTTCGAGATCGTGGAAATCCACCGCAATGCAGCTTCCTGGTTCTGTTTCCGGTTCCTTTGGAATCCGGGATACTTGTCGCTTAGTCTTGGCGGTGCCACAGCCATCACACTCAGTAGTCTTTGGGCCAAAGGGACCCTTGACCTTGACTCCTTCTGAATGGCTAACCAAGTGCTTCAGTGCCTCTGGGCCTGGGTGTCCCATACGAAGATGCCAGCGTTCTGCTGTGGCCAGTTTTGGCTTACCTTTTGTAGCAGAAATGTGTTGATTGCGACGTGTAAAGAAGGTTTGTGGGGTTATTTCCAGGGGCAAGTATTCTATTACGAATTGGTCGAACATCTCTGTGATCTGACACACCAGAGAATTGTCCTTCCGTCGTAATGAGTTGTTCGGATACTTGTTATCCCACCAGTACCCCTTGCGTCGAAGCAGTCGGAGAGATACGAGGTTACAGGCGAACCCTCTACACCAGGCCACATCATGAAGCCTCAGTATAGTTGGTCCTTGGTCGCCCTGTACCTCAATATCAACGTCTCCGTATCCTTCAATTTTTACTATTTCCTTGCCTGCGTAGATCACGTCTCTTGTGGCTGGCGTTCGGAAATTCTGGAACCTGCTGATCTCGTTGAAGACATGGAGAGTTGTTCCGGAATCAAGAATTGTCGAGTTCTTCAGGGGATAGGTGCTCCCTTTCCTCATCAGGAAGCTCGCTGGCACCTTGCCCACCTTGAGCTCGAACTGAGCTAGTCAACTGTTGACTGCTGCCTTCTTGATCTTCTCTATTTCCTCCTTCAGACCCTTTTCTGTCCTGATCCTGTGGGCAACAAGTCTTGCAACAGTCTTGTTTTCTTTGCCTTCTTCGTAGTAGGGGTTCTTTTCTTTGAACACGTGCCAACATGATTGTAGTGGGTGCTCGCCTAGACACGCTTGGCACCAACTTGCCGATTTTTCCTCGACTGTTGTCGATTCTCCCCTTTTTCGTTTTGCACTTCCTCCACTCCCTCTGCCATTGGTAGTCTTGCGAGGCACTGTAGGAGTGAGAGGAGTCTCTCCTGCTTCGTCACATGCGTCCTGATTGAACGTCACAAACGAGCCTCTCACAGCACGTTTTGCTGGTAGCACGCCGTTCTTCATGAGTGCAACTCGTCGCATCTCTGCAGCAATGTCCCCGACGTCGAGTCTGTCTGCTACCATATCTGATTGGCGTGTCATGCTGAAGGTTGTCGTCCATGTAGGCCATATCCCGGACAGGGCCTTCAGAAGGTCTCTTCCCCAGGAGTCAGAGTTGATCGTCTCTCCAATCTTCTTCTTCTTTCCAGTGAGGACTACCTTTTCCCAGGTATCAATCCAGTCGTTCATGTCCTTTGGTGGACTAGTTAACGGTTTGAGGTGACTCAAGTAGGCGTCCCGGGCTGCCGGTCTTGCGTCCTCTTCGTATGCTTGTCCTACAAGTGCAAGATTGGTGTACCACTGATCCAGAGATTCGTCCTCACCACAGTGGTGTTTCTTGAGATCTGGATGGATGTGCTCGGTTACCCAGTTTCTGAGCTCGATCCTATGGTCCCGGTGTTCCTTGTACTCTCGGTAGTCTTGTTGATACGCAGAAGTGTCGATGGCATACTCAGCCTTGCCGTCCTTTGATAGCTCAGATGGTTTTGTAGGAACCATCTCAGGTGCGGCTTCGATATCTGGCGAGTTTTCAGAGCGCTCTGCGATTTCAATCTGGCTCTCTCTCCAGGCCACCTGAAAAGCCCTTTCCAGGTTCTTGTCGACTGTGTAGTCTTTCACGACTGGCTTCTTAGGAGGTGTAGGCCAGTAATGTCGATTAGTAGGTCTGATGTACTTCCAGAGATCCATGGCTTTGGCTTTGCCTCTGAACTCTGCTGACCATTCTTCCCAGTACTTGCCAGAGGCTAGGAAGTTTGTGTTGGCGTATTTGTTTGACATTGTGATTTTCTCGAAGGGAGGCCGTGACATGCCTAAATGAAGTTCTGTGAAAAAACAATGATGCCAGAGGCAGTGAGACTCTTAATTGTCGAATATCACGTGTGTCCAATCGAGTAGTCAGCAGTGCGTAAGATTGTATATAAATGAGGTGTGTTCTTGTCTGTCTGTCTTCTTGTCAGGGTACGGCCTGGACCGAAGGCGATAGTACAGAGTGAAGGGGAGAAAGAGGCGTGTCCCCCTGGTGGTCACCTGGTGTTCACTGGTGGTCACTTGGTGATGGCAGGTAGGGGTGTCCTTTCGCCTTCTGAACTTTAAGTGACAATAGTCTTCTCTAGTGCCATATTATTTCTGAACCTAGGAACCAGGTGCCCTATCTGACACCTGGCGGCCCACCGTTGGCACGTAGCCTGTGACAGGCTGTGCCTGATATGGGATCCGGAGCTGCAAGGACCGTGCGTCCGGATCCACCAAAGGAACCATCGAGGGCATACAAAACATAGTCCGTGTTCCCGGGACAACTCGCATATTTTACTTTTCTCCTCAGTTAGATAATTAACAGTATTTGGCCATGTTGAGCTGTATAGTTTCGCAGTGAGCCCGTCACATAGCCCAAGCGTCCTCTAGTCAGCGGCAGGTCGTGCCCGTGTCTGTGCTCACGCTAAGTAGGTTCGTATCGTCCGCGAACCCTACGACTAAGAGTAGGGGGTGTTTCTCCGCTAGTTCCTCATATAGCGTCGAGATATATAGGATAAATAGTATCGGGGAGAGTGGCGACCCCTGGGGGACGCCAGCTCGTAGAGGGATCAGCTCTGACTCCTTACCGTCGAACCGGAGGCGTACTGTCCTATCCTCTACGAAGCTGTGTACCCATTCCTGAACCCACTCCGGGTAGCCCTTCCGGGCTAGTATAGAAATCAAACGCCTGTGGTTAACTGTGTCGAACGCCTCCTTAATATCAAGTTGTAGTAGTGTGGCGATCCCTCCGCGCCTCCAAGCTGTATAGGTTACGTCCTCGACTATGTCACGACCTGGGTTGCATCGCATTGGTATAGACCTCGATTAGGTGCTATCGACGAAGATTCTACTCTAAGGAGCGAAGGAAAGAAGATGACAACTTAGGTTTGAGGGAGCGCGACTAAGTCATCCACGCTTGGCGGGGCTCCTACAAGGGTTATGATTGGCTTCCCATCTGACACTGCCACGGCAGGTGTTCCAGCTGTAAGTCACCTGGTTGTAGTGAGTCTGCGAGGGTTGACCTTCACAGACTATACGTATCGCTAATTCGGCGGACCGGCCCTTTCGGTTACCCATTTGGCCGTTTGGTAGCAGACCGGCCGTCTCCGCGACGGTAGTGATACGCTGGCATATCACCGCCTCTATCACCTTCCCTATCGTACTAAGCAGCGCTATCGGTCGCCAGCCGCTAGGGGTCTGCTTTTGGGCTGTCGTTTTGTTCGGCATAGGGATAACGACTACCTTTGCCGAGCGGAGGCGCGCTTAATATATATATTTTCGCGTTATCCTATATAAAGGGATCCCCTAGCTCGTAGAATAGAAGTAGCCCTTACTCTAGGACATCGTAGTAAGACTATAAGGACACTCTATAGCGCGGAGAGTCCGGATGGCCGTCGTAGAAGACTAACTTCGATACCCCCCCTTCATCGTCCCTTAACTAGATTATTCCCTATACTATAATCGAAATATATAGCCGCCTATAGCTTTATAGGTTCACGAGATCCTCTCTATATCTCTCGTTCGTATAGCGGAAGACCTATTAGCTTAGAGAGTCCGGCGAATTCTAGACCGTATACTCGTCCGAGAAGAGTATCCGTATAAGCTACTAGATCTGTCAGATAGGGCACCTGGTTCCTAGGTTCAGAAATGATATGGCACTGGAGAAGACTATTGTCACTTGAAGTTCAGAAGGCGAAGGGACCCCCTTTTCTCAAAAGTAACACCAAAGTTACTGTCCACTTAGGGGTCAGATACCTGAACAATGTACCTCCGATATGTTCTAAAGAATCTATAAAAGACAGAGCAACGGGAGTTCGAGAGAACAGAGAACAATACACCTCATTCATATACAATCTTACGCACTTCTGACTACTCGATTGGACACACGTGATATTTGTCAGATAGGACACCTGGTTCCTAGGTTCAGAAATAATATGGCACTGGAGAAGACTAGTGTCACTTGAAGTTCAGACGGCGAAATGAACCCCTCTTCCCGAAAGTAACTCCAAAGTTACGGTCCACTTAGGGGTCAGACACCTGAACAATGCACCTCCGATATTTTCCGAAAGAATCCATAAAAGGCAGAGCAACGGGAGTTCGCGAGAATAGAACACAGAGAAGAATACACCTCATTCATATACAATCTTACGCACTGCTGACTACTCGATTGGACACACGTGATATTCGACAATATTCGACAAGATCTAGGCCGATGTACGGTGCTAGCGGCAGAATTGAAGGCGCTTCTTCGTATCTTCGGCTATTAAAATAATTCGCTTTACCGTACGCTTGTCACGCCGTGCTAGGGGTTGCAATCCTTGCCACTACGCCACCGTACCAGATGTCTTCACCAAAAGAGACCAATACCAAAGTCCCTGACTTTGATATCTGCAACCACTTATCAATCTGTTCAGACCAGTGTAGGTCAATCACGTGATAACCGTCACAACGCTATTTCTTTAGGTAGTACCGATATAGAACTAACTTAATAATATCTAGGTATACCGATATACCTATCTTACGTTTAAGCTCCGTATACGTTATTCTAAGATCCCGGCGGTATAAAACGACTATATGTCTCTTATCTCTAGCGCTTAACTTTCTAGGGGTACCGGTCCGCTTTATCGTAGCTATAGTTTTCGTTATTTTAGCGCGTCCGGCGATATTAGTAATAGTTTAGGGCCTTAACGTGCCGAACGCGTCTACTACCTCCTTCCGACTTATACTACTTGCCCTAGCGGCTACAATAGCGGCTCTAGCTTCTAGGCTGAGTTCGCAATTCGCGCCGCGATTACAGCTTATTTCTATAGCAAAAGCTCGAAAATCTATTATAAATTAGGATTATAATAGCTAGTTGAAATCAATAGCTGATATTGTTGTTATTTTGATTGCTAAATTGGGGTGTAGGGTGTCCGGAAACTTTTTCGTGATTAGTGTAGCTGCTTACGTTAACTGTATGATTTAATTGTATCAAAAACGACGGGTTCGACTTGTACCTACACAATTAAAGTCAATATTCTGGAATTTCGGACACCATTACCATTAAATTTATATCCTCGCACGAATAGCTCGCTTTGGTCCATTCTCGTGATAGTAACTGGCCTTCGCTGATGTCGGTAGGTTAATCCGTGGTTTGAGTTAGGAGGGGAATCGGCACTTCATATCAACCAATGGACTTGGGAGTGTGCATACGAATTAGCGGTTATTCTCTCTAAGCTGTGAGTTGTATTTAGCTTCTAGACAAAGGACACACAGAGTACCTAGGCCGAATTCTACCTTCCGCATTGTTCACGTAGCTAGGAGCTCAAGGTTTAGATGGGTAGAAGTTCGCAGGATTCGGCCTGGAGTTAACTTCTGGTATCAAAACCCGCGACGGCCTAAGCGCTTAGATCTGGCAATCTGGCTAGTGCTGCTGGGTAAGGGTTCTTGCCGATACCAGGATTGGATTAAATTGATCAAGATTTGGGACACTTTGCCACGAATTCTTGACAGGCATGTCTCGCGGAGGGTTTGTCAGTTCTCTACCCGGCGTGAAGTCCGAGGTTGTTCGGAAATGTGTCGGCGGGAAATTTCGAGTTTGACGTTCTGCCACTTCGATAGCACGCTTCTATTATCCCGAGGAAACTTGCATGGTTCTTTTCGGAGGTAGTCTTTATCAGTGTTGCCAAGCGGCGCGGAAAGTGTCTTGATGGTGGTGATGTCATGCTCTTAGGAATGGAGCAGGATCAGTTCAAGAACAGCAGAATCCTCGGTTCGCGATAGACATTCAGCATCACCTGTTATGGTCCGGCGCATACCATAACATGGGCTCATGCATGGCTTGTTCCTTCCGTATGTTTCCGTACCTGCAGGCTATCTAGACAGAGGTTGGCGGCCGCCACGGCAGGGCGACAATGGAGGGGTAAATTTTTGGGGCAGAAGCCATGTCGATTTTCAGTAATTTAAATACTTACTTCATGCCCGCAACCCCGCCATGGATAGAGACTCGACGTCTTTGTCCCATTTCACTCACCACTCAACACTCAGGAAAAACCGTTGGAAGAAGCGGCGCACCCAATTCCTTATCTTGTCTGGATAGCTGAACAGCTACACATATCTACTCTTATACACCTCACCGATTCGAGTGCGACCTTAAAACTCTGACGCCGTAATCGGGCCAATTCTGTAAGTGGGCAATTGTTCCTTCTGCTGTTTTTACCCCGCCATAGGCCAAGTCCGAAGCTGGACTCGAAATGCCCAACAGTGCAGCTGCAGACCACGGTGGCACTTTCCAATGAGAATAGGTCAGCGATGATTCGCTCTCGCCGAGGGGCGAGAACTCTAGAAGCCTCGTGCTTTCTGCGTTCTGCTCCTACTGCTACTGCGGTGAACCCTGTTTGGTGGACACATCTATGTGATGTGGAAGCTGGTCGTTTCTATATGCAGTTCCTTCCGCTGAATGATCTACTGGAGTAAGCAGACAGCTTGCAGTCCGAAACAGTTGGTTTTCGACTGCGAAAAGCTGCTTGTTGGATCCAAGTAAGGTAGCATTCGATGGGTGGAACTGTAAGTGGCAGCTGCTGTCCCAGAACCAAGGCAATCGCACGACGTCTTCAAGGTTTTCCAAGTCGATGGGGTGAGCTTTCACAAATTGTGGAAAGGCAACTGCTGTTGAGCGACCTTGAGTCGGCCTTACTCAGAGGACCCCACTAGTGATAGCATGTGCGCCCGCTCTTGTGTGCTGCTAGCTATCGATATGATGCTTCGGGATCCAGCGAAAACCCCTCGTCTCAAAGCTGATTTTAAAACCCCACCACTTACTAAGTAGATATAGGTCGAACTCTAGACATCTTTTGAACCTGAGCATCTTTACAAACACCCATTCTCAACTTCATACACGGTTTTATTTCTCCGCCATCACCTGCTAGTACACAACCAACTCGCTTTCGTCACCTCTCCTCCCCACTACCACAATCACAAACATGGGTGCCCAAGACGTTCTCAGCCGCAAGACGGGTGTCATCGTCGGTGATGATGTCCTCGCCTTGTTCACTTATGCTCGCGAGCATAAGTTTGCGATCCCCGCTATCAACTGCACTTCCTCGTCGACCGTCGTAGCATCCCTCGAGGCTGCGCGGGATTCCAAGTCTCCTATTGTCTTGCAGTTTTCCCAAGGTGGTGCCGCCTTCTTCGCCGGAAAAGGTGTTGACAACAAGGATCAATTTGCCTCAATCCAGGGTGCCGTCGCCGGTGCCCACTATGTCCGCGCCATTGCCCCCGCATACGGCGTTCCCGTTGTTCTTCACACTGACCACTGCGCCAAAAAGCTGCTTCCGTGGCTCGATGGCATGCTCGACGCCGATGAGAAGTACTTCAAGGAGCACAACGAGCCTCTCTTCAGCTCCCACATGATCGATCTGTCCGAAGAGCCCGTTGACTGGAACGTCGAGACCACCGCCAGGTACCTGAAGCGTGCCGCCCCCATGAAGCAATGGCTCGAGATGGAGATTGGCATCACCGGTGGCGAGGAGGACGGTGTCAACAATGAGGACGTTGACAATAACTCCCTGTAAGCCAACTGTTACTTCCTCGCCCCAAGCAAAATACCGTTTGTCGTATACTAACAACCTTAACCCCCTCCTTTCTAGCTACACTCAACCGGAAGACATTATGAACATCTACAAAACCCTCTCGCCCATCTCCCCCTACTTTTCCATCGCCGCCGGCTTTGGCAACGTCCACGGCGTGTACAAGCCTGGCAACGTGAAGCTCCACCCCGAACTTCTCGGCAAGCACCAGGCATACGTCAAGGAGCAGCTCACCGCTGCCGGTCAAAAGAACGTTGGAGACAAGCCCGTCTATTTCGTCTTCCATGGAGGCTCTGGTTCCGCCAAGCAAGAGTACCTGGACGCCATCAACCATGGTGTCGTTAAGGTCAATATGGACACCGACATGCAGTTTGCCTATTGCAGCGGTATCCGAGACTACATGGTCACCAAGAAGGAGTACGTCAGCACGGCCGTTGGCAACCCCGATGGGGAGGATAAGCCCAACAAGAAGTACTTCGATCCCCGTGTCTGGGTTCGTGAGGGAGAGAAGACCATGACTACTCGTGTTAAGGAGGCCCTGGCCGACTTCAACACTGCTGGTACCTTGTAAAGTCGAAGTATAACACTTTCCCCACTCATCGTCCGCCAAACCAGATGACTACGCCCCAGCCTCAGATAGGCAATTGGTTGTTTATAGTTTAACAACAAGGCAGTCATGAATGAAGATAAATATACCAATTCAAAAAACCTGCCTCTCCAGTTGTAAATACGTACTGCTGCTTTATGCAAGCATTGCAGATCGCAACATGCTTCATTTCTCAACTATCCCACATCCTACATTGTCTACCACTTTCTCAAATGCCTATGAGTACAATACCTACTACATAATTTAGGTGTGCAAGCACTGAAGCTTCTCTAACTCTTGTCTCCTAACAAAGACCGTGTCCTAGCTGATGGTGCTTTTCAATAATGCCTGTCTAGACCAACATGAAATGTGAAAAACAATGTCCGTAACGCCGGCTCTGTGCTATAAAGTTGACCATGAATTTCTCAGAATTGGAAGTTTGGTTCGAATAGGCCGCCACTCGAGCTAGATGACGGTTGGAGTCTTGCCTCCCTACCTTCTGGCGGCTTTGGAGATAGGAAGCTCGTCTGATATGATGACTGACTCCCAGTCTCGAGATCCCTTGCTAAATAGCCAGGGTGGACGTCTCCCATGTACTCAACCCACACGTCATTCAGCACGCGCTTAATCCACCGCCAACCCCTCATCCACAATTCTGTAATGGACCACCACCAGTTGCGTCCCGTTTCTTTGATGTGCTGTGCAAATGCAGACTCCTCGTACCAAGTCTCATTCCAATCACCTTGCTTCAAACAGTTGTCATCGCTCTGATCTTTCCGTTGCAGGCTGCTGACGACGGCACCCAGGACCTGGTATAGATTGGAACCTTCCTAGGATTCCGTCGTCGTAGATGCCGGGCTCTGGTCACGCTCCAGCTCATAGAACAACAGGTACACCTCACGCTGCATGTTGAGCACCTCGTTCGTCTTGGCCTCCTTGATTTTCTCGTCGCTGATTCGCCACCAGCGTTCGCCGCTGGACTTTTTTCTTTTCGACTTGGAGCTGATTGGTTTGAGTACCGGGGCTACAGGAATACCATTCGTAATCCCGTTTGTTTGCTTAGAGGCAGGACTGCCCGGCCGACTGTGTCTGGCCGAATGAGAAATTTTCGAGATAGTCGACTTCGCCGAGGCGGCGACAGACCGCAGGCTAATAGCATCCGGGTCACGTTCGCGTTCTCGCGGGGCCGACGTGGGGATGGCGCGTGAAGAGGAAAGGCCATTGAGAGTCGAAGAGCGATGGAACCCGTCTGTGAGATGTGTAGGCAGATTTTCGGCGGACTGGTTCAAAGAGCTGGCCACAGAAGTAATGGAGAACAGGTCGGGCGTCGACACGGCAGGGCTCGCATCGTCCGCTTTGCGCATGGGATGAACCGGGGGGGTAGCTATCTGTGGCGTTCCGTTTGGACTTGGCTGAGCCGACTTAACAAAGGCGCCTGATTGTTGGAAGGCGTTGTGCGTCGAGAAAGGACACGTGATGTTTTGTCGACGAAACGATTCGTAATGACCGCTGTGGTGGCTGCCTTTATGCGTCACGGTGCCAAGCAACTTATACTTCTTTTGCTGGAGCAACCCGCCTAGGGCTAAACGTTCCGGGAAAGCCACCTTGGCTGAGTTCTTGGTGGACATGTGGCTGGAGTCGTAGATGGACCGAGACAGGTGGATGGCCATGATCTTGGGGAAGCTGGTCAGGCGAGTATGTCTCGCGATCCTGCGCTTCGGGGCGTACCGCATGTCTGGTAGCACGACGTCGTCAGGAATGCGCTCGGGGTCTGTGTCAATTACGTGCTGCAGCTTCGCAATGGCTTCTTGAGTTGTGGCTTTGAAGCTTTCTGAGTTAGAGCGGGCCAGCTCGGCCTCGAGTACTTGTCTTGCGTGGAGGAGACGGCACTTCTCACACTTGAAGTCGTCGACGTACTCGGTCTTGAACATGCCGTCGATGCAGGCGTTGAGTGTCGTCGAGCTCGCCTGTGGAACGTTTAATGTCAAGGTACAGAACTTGTTCTCCGTTGGTCTCGGCTTGAAGCCACATGTCTGACACTCGATCTGGCTCTCGAACTTGCCCTCCAGCGGGAAGCCATACTCCTCTTCGTCCAGTCCAAATTTGGACGCATCGACCGTTTCGGCTGGGATCTGGGCTGTGGTCTGGGGGATGCTGGCAACTGTATCCTGTGATTCCTCGCTCTGATCTTGACCGACAGCTAGTCCGGCCAGTCTTTGCTCCACAGCAGTACTATCTATTTCGGCCAAGCTGCTGGGGGTTGCCTTAAAGATGCCCTTCCTCCTTGCGTTTTGTCTTGCTCTCTGGCCGGCATGGTATTCGTCGCACAGCCTCTCTGCGACGACCTGGAGGAACTCCTGAGCGTCTTGCTGTTGGCGGCTGATGCGCTGCCTAAACGCAACCTCGAGCACCTTGACGAATGTTGTTGCCGATATGGTCTTCTTGTAGATGGGCCGTTCGTTGAGAGCATCCAGCATATCCTTCAACCCCTGGGTGACAATACCGTCCTGCAAGCCCTTTATCTTCCAATCGGGCGTGTTTTTTCGGATGGGATGAGGCACGATCTCTTCGTAGACGGATTGATCGTCCATTCTTCGTCGATGGGTCTCGCGGATGAGGTAGACGCGGAGATCGGTCAGGCCGGCGAGGGCTTGCAGCACCGAGTTTATGAAGCAATCATTGGCCGGATTTGTCAAGCCGACGACGCCGCGCTTGCGAATTGGGTTGGGGTCGCTGTCGATGAAGTACGTCGGCGCAAACACATAGACCAGTGTTATGGCCGCGAGAGAGGCGCCCGCCGCATAGGTCGCTATTGTAAGCGGCTTTTCCGGCATGATGCCAGATTTGCTACAGCTGTTTTTGGATGAGGATAAATGTAAATTGTGGGAGCTGTAGAGGCGAAGGGGTTGGTTTCACAGCGGCGGCCACGAGACTGGCGCTGATTAACATATCTGCATCTCGGCAACAAAGACTTTTGCTACCAGGAGTTGAGGCGATGGCGCAAGGATCGTGGGTGGGTTGTTAATTGCGAAAGCGGAAAAGCGAGTATGGGAGAAAACGCGGCAAGGATGTTGGTTTTGGGGGCCGGTCAAATGGCGCGAACGGTGGATAGGGAGTTGCTGTTCATAGTGTAAAAGTTCTTGACGCGGATTTTGGCGGTCAGAGGCAAAGCAATTAGAACGCTTCAAGGTCAATTCGAAGAACGATGCAATATGCACGAAGCGCAGTGCAGCCTTGGAACATGCAACAGAAAATATGGAATACTTCGTCAGTAGTTGAAACTGAACGACGGCAACATTATCTGTCCTATGCGACAAGTCCTGGCAAGGTACTAGCTTAAATGGCTGGTGTCAATCCTATCTTCGGCATAAGGTTGCGTCAGGGACAGAACTGCTTAACAGCGTTTGCCATAAACAAAAAAACCTCCGAGCTTGCCGTCCAACGGCGCTCAACTTAGTTCTGGGCGTTCATGCAACTGGACCACCAAAAGGTCGGCTACAATTGATCCGAATGCACGTCGTTGGAAACACAGTCACGTCATTAGATAGCGGGGCAATTGAGGGACAACAGCAACTTCGAATCAAAGGAAAATAATTACTTCGTAGGTTGGCAGCAATGGACTGCAACTGTTTGCCTCTTAACTACAATCAACCCACCTGCCAATAAAGTTATTAATGCCAGTATATGTATATAGTGGATATCAATCCTATCGTCAAAGATGGAATGGTATCTCACCACTCGGTGCTCTGATCCTCATTGTCGGTCCAACTACAGCAGCCGACTGCTAGGGTGATCTAACATACTCACGACGTACAGAGTAACACGAGACCAGATCGCTTTGGCGTCAAATTCCACAGCCAGCAGAAGGCTTTCCCAATCGTTTCGACACCACAGCCAAATATTATATATATATTAAATACGCCGTAGGTGTTAACCCTCGGTACCTCTACAAGTACTCCCTTAAGGGGCTATAGATGATATAGCGGGCCCTTAAGCCGCGTCGGGCGGTTATACAGGTAAACTTGTAGCCAAACGACTACTAAACCTCCTGTCCCTCCCTAAGTCTGTGCTACAACCCCTGCCTGAACTACCGATAAGTGTGGTAATGTGGCACTTAAATTCGTCCTCAGGGGTGGGATGCTGCTGATGTGCAGAAGATGCTCGACTATTTTTTTTGTCGCGACAAGTCGTAGTATCTGCTAATTGGGGTTCTCGTCGAGCGTATACATCTCAACCATACGCTCAAGTGGATAGACCGTAACGTGGTCTAGACGCTCGCAAGAATCGCGGCGAGAGGGCGTGCTGCGCGCCTTCTATCGTGAGGGGACGGGTTCGCCGACGAGCGTTATCGGATAGGCGAGGTCCGATAAGGGGTCGGATTAACGATTCGAATTCTGGACCGGCGCCAAATATTAAGTCGGCACTGGAACTTGACATTTGCTGCGAGTGTGGATCGCAATGAGGATTTTGCGAGTCGTGCCCGTGATATCATCCTCTTAGTAGCATCGCCGGCCTCCGGGCGGCAAAAATATGCTATGTGTGAACGGACGACTTGTGTACGATTAAAAACTTTCGCCAGGGAGAAACTTTTAATCATATAATTATTATTATTATTATTATTAAATACGCCGTAGGCTCGAAGCCCCCGGTACCTCTACTAGTACTCCCGTATGTCAAACCGTGCCCTAATGGCTGGACTAAATACATACGCTGCGTCGTCGGTTCGTCATATAATTAATTCTATGCGCGAAACTTCAGCTTTTTCGCCGGGGTTGGGTACGATGTCTAATCATATGGTCGTGTTTCGGCTCGTTTTAATGTGGCATAGGCTAGTTGTGATGAGAGACATTGCCGAATTCTTGTGCTGAAAAGCCAAGCCCGTTTCAACGGACTTGTCTTGCCCAACGTGTACATGCAATATCATGCAGCCTGCACATTTTTTTATTTTCTAATATCTTGTCGTTCATGAACAGTGGTAGGAGCCACCTCTAATTCCGTACGTAGTTTACGCTGAAGTGCAGATACATTAGTAAGTATGCCTTGAATCCTCTACGAATTCTGCGTCTACTTGCTATCTTCAATAAGCTGCACTCTTATCAGGGGTAGTTGCTAGGTTAAAGTCCAACTATTTCTAAACACTGCCGCCCCCCTATTTGATACCGGGTATCTTGGTTACATCTCCAGTATTGAAGAATAGAAGCAGCTCAGTCTTTTGTCACTCAGATACTTCGTCGGGAGATGCACAACAATTTTCAAATCTATTCTCCCCACTGTGGACTCCTCTTACTGTTAAAAAGTTAGACCTGCGGTTCATTCGAGGTTTATGGTGGTCTATTGATTATGAAATCGCACCAAGGATGATGATACAGGCCTCAGAGACGTGTAGTTACTTACATACGTGCCAAAAACAAGAAATTCACAACAGCAATAGACATACGGAATATACCTGATTCTGTTCAAACATGTAGTGGGATTTTCATAGTGAACACGTGAATCCTGACAACAACCAGATTGTGCGGAAATTTACTTCATGGGCTCGGCATGGCTCAGAATAACCTAGATCCCTAGTCCGCCGAAGTTTGACCAACTCGATTTTGGTTCTGGAATCATCCTAAATACATTTCAATGCATTAGAGAAATCTCACCCTAGTATATCACAGAACGCGACCGCATTCTTGCGGACATCGACGCAGAGAAATGGATGGTGGCTCAGCGCAACAATATCACTTTAATGTACAAGTCTAGAATCGTGCATCATGGGACAATTACCGGTGTAAATATGACTTGAGGCTCATGCTTCTCTGCCTACAGATATTTGCGACATCATATAGATGTGTGTCGAGTTTGCTGCCTTGGTTAGTTCCAACCAAGAGGCGCAGCTTCAACCCAGATTCCGAGTCGACTTGCAGTGGTTAAATCCACAGGAGCCTGAAAGTGCGCTCATCGTACGCAGACACACTTATGGGAGTTATCGTTCCTATCACATAACTGTGTGGACCTTAACGAGACGAGGTTGGTTTTCAAATACACTGTTATTACGTTTAAACTCAATGCTCAGACCCTTTTGGGTTGGGCGTGGAGTGTAGCTGAATAATACTAGGCAACGAACAGAAAGATTAGGCTCAGAGTGTTCGTTACTAGTAACGCAGTTGCGATTTCTTCTCATTATCATCCGCAGCAAAACGAACAAGGAAGCTAACAGGGCTTTCAATGACTTATCTGCTTGTCTTGACATCAGCTAGTCGTTCCGGGTGCAGTTAGTCAGTGAGTTTACTAAAGACGCTATCACACCCCGCCCAACAACGCACTATTCCCCGCACGGCACTCTTCCCCTCTCCAAGATAGGGAACATATACAATTAGTTGCTCTCCTGGGAATTAATAAACTCTGTTCTCAGCTGCTTTATTATACAGCGCATACCAATATGGAGGACGCCGCCGAGTCGAAGCTGTACGCAACCCAATCCCAACATGACAGGAAAACACCAACTGTCGGAGGTCCTGAGAATAGAAATGATCTTATCAACGCCTCGGGTCATGTGCAAGAGCTATCCCGACAATTCAGTCTCTCCTCGCTCGCCGGTGTAGGGCTCGTAGTCGGAAACACATGGCCAGCAATTGGAGGCTCAATCCTCGTTGCCATATTCAATGGTGGCCCGCCTGGTGTGCTCTATGAGTTTCTCACCGTTTCCGTCTTCTACTTCACCGTCGCTGCTAGTATCGCCGAGCTCGCCAGCGCTATCCCCTCATCGGCCGGGGTTTATCACTGGGCTTCGGTGACGCCTGGGCAGAAATGGGGACGAATCGTTGGCTTCTTTGCCGGCTGGTGGAATTACTTGGCTTGGGTCCTTGGTGCGGCAAGCATGGCCTCCATCTTCGGCAATACTGTCGTCCAGATGTACGCATTGAATCACGCTGGATTCGAGGCAAATCCGTGGCACGTATTCATCGCTTACATCCTCGTAACGTGGTTATCATGTGCAACTGTGTGTTTGGCCAATCAGGCTATGCCCCGTCTCAACAACTTGGGTCTCTTTGCCATCCTGGGCGGTTTTCTCATCACCATTATTGTCGTGACCGTCATGCCTGGCCGTGGTGGTCGACCTGCACATGCAAGCAGTTCTTTCGTCTGGACTGAGTGGACGGCCGACATTGGATACCCGGACGGCTTCGTCTTCGTCACCGGTATGTTGAACGGCGCATTCAGCATCGGTCCGGTGGATGCCACGACCCGTACGTATCTTTGAGAGTCATTCCTTCCCCTTTCTGGTCTATCCCTGAAACAAAAGCTGCCTCATAGAACTGTCTAAGGTGTTCTTACTTGAGACATGACTGAGCACTCCCGAGTCAGCCCTTGGATATTCACAAGTGGTAAATACTAACTCTCGTGTTGCAGATCTGGCCGAGGAGATTGCCCTTCCGCACCGTAACGTCCCCATTGCCATTGCTATGCAAGTCAGCATCGGCTTTCTAATGGGGTTCTGCTACTTGATCGCCATAATGTACGCCATCAACGATTATGACGCTCTTTTCGAATCACCTTATCCCATCGCCGAGATATACCGTCAAGCAACTGGCTCTGTGGCCGGTGGCACTGGTCTGCTCGCTCTCGTCATGATCTGTATCGGCTTGACGGTGGTTGGGCTGTATATCACTTGCGGCCGCACCCTGTGGGCTCTCGCCCGCGATGGCGCTACCCCCTTCCCTGGCATACTCGGAAAAGTCCATGCAAAGTTAGATGTGCCGGTGTGGTCTACCATCAGTACAGCAGCACTCGTTACTGTCTTGGGTTGCATCTACGTGGGAAGCACCACGGCTTTCAATGCTTTCGTGGGAAGCTTCATCCTGCTATCCAGCAGTTCATTTCTGGCCGCCATTCTCCCGAATTTGCTCACAGGGCGGAGAAATGTCAAGTACGGACCGTTTCACCTTCGCGGCTGGATTGGATTTACTTTGAACGGTATCGCATGTGCCTATATGCTCGTGTGGTTCATCATCTACAGCTTCCCATACGCATTACCCACGGATGCTTCGAGCATGAACTACGCATGCTTGATCTGGGGTGGGCTTACGGCCTTGGCTGTACTATGGTGGGTGGTTGGGGCAGAAAAGGGGTACGAGGGGCCACAAACGACTGGTGGAATGTCTCTAGACGTGGAAGGTGTACGGCCATCATCGATTCAGGGGTTGTCAGAGGTGGTACCTGCGCAGCCACCACCACTACTTAGTTCCAGACCGACAACACTAGCCTAGCTTTCTTTCCTCACCATAATACACTTCATTTCTATTGTGTGTCCCTCAACAGGTGTTTGATGATTACTTAGTGTGAGGAACAGGAGTAAGCGCATGATTGCGTCCATGTTGAAACCTACGCTCTGAAGAGAGCAGGCTGGTGTAATAAATGCTAGTAGCATCAAATGTGCACATGCAGTGAAATTTAGCGAGTTTGGGTGCTTTGGTTTTACCATCTGTATCTTAGCAGGCAGTTGTAGGCAATATTGTATAAAACCATTGCGAGACTTGCGGATTGAAGTAGCATGGGGCTACCGTTAAGACAATCGACAGCGAAGTCACATGTTAACTACACGGGCACCTACCTAGGTATACAAGTCTCAAATGCAAACATTATTAGCGGTTTATTCCGTAAATTTGTTCATCTCAATGCTGAATAGTATAAGATGAAACTAGAGAATTAAAGTTATCCTCTCACGCTGTAGTCACCTAGTATAGTATATCTATCTATCTTGTTCTAAGGTACATGATACAACCTCAGAAATCTATAACAGTATCGCGATTATGACTCTTCTTAGCCCGTGCCCACTGATCTGAGTAATGCTATTATTATCGTGAGGTGATATAAATTAACTCATAAGAACTAAGATGATAATACCTCCTAGGTGTTGTCGGACCGCACCAGCTTTTGGCTCCTAACGGTTGTTTTTCCACTTCTGGCTACAACAGCCACTGTTATGCTTTAGACGTGATCATCAGTCTCAAACTTTGCAGCTAAGAGGCACATGTCTGTTCCTTATGGATACTTTCGCTCCTTTTAAGGAGAGTAGACAGAGACACGTCAAATTCCATGCTTGGTTATAGCTTACAATAAGTCCGATAGGTGCCTCTACCATAATGCTAGTAGACTTACAAAGCTAGTAATAGGGCCGCACAATAAATATGGTCGAGAACTTCGCCGTCGGCTTTTCTGGTGTGCTTAAGAATCCAGACTAGATAGTTATTGAGCTTCTTGTTGAGACGCTCGCCATAAAAAGTTCGGGTGTAGCCTACCAAGTCTGCAACGTTCTGGTGCTGCCACCTGTATCAGTACCAGCATCGTAGTCGCTATGACTTCTAATAATACTGCTTTTCAATCAATTTTTGCTTGTTTGAATGTCTAGGTTAGTCAGACCAAAAACTGTCGTTTAGCACTACGCAGTGACGATTCTAAGTTTTTCATTTCACCTTCACGCCCTCTGGCGACTCGGAATCATGTAATCTATCCACTCAAGAGGACTTTCTGAAGTTCGAGTACTACTTCGACCTTGTAAGTTACTAAGGCCAACATAGCATATGTTGGCGGCAGTGATGGAGGGAAGAAAGTAGTAAGCAGCAGTGGAAGGCATGACTCCGTCCGGAACATACGAGTATTAATTCCCAGTTCCGGTGGCCGCACATCCAGCTTCAGCGATTTCAGCATCAGGGAAAAGCCCATCACAGACCGGGGCGCGAAGAGCGACGAGTCATCGGATTCTGTGTAGCGAATCAACTGCTTAGCAACATAGTATGTTCAGCGATTGCGAATCGAACGCCATACTACAGAATTTTCATATCAGGATACGAAAGATATCACTATTAGTACCGAAACCTTGGTGAGCTACCTCTCCGGTCAAAGCCACGGACAGAGGCCTCCGCAATCGAACTCTGCTTACCGAACCCTCCCCCGATGAATTTTCGTCACCATGGCTTTCTCACAGACGGTAAGGCGTGTTAAAGTTACCGGTCCAAGTGTTTGTGAAAATTTGTAAATAAGTCCAAATTACATGTCGGTTGAAGGCGTAGAAAAATATTATAGTGAGAATGAAGGTGCGTCGAACCTTTCATCTCAGCATTGGAGATTATATCCATATAAACACTCAGTAGATATATTGGTCATATAGCGAGAAACAAGTCAGTGCCTTCCTAATTCTTATTAACATAAGCCCCTCCCAGGCCCACGGAGTCTACCCCTGAAGTTCAGATATAGGTTTCATGTGTTGTGTGTCCGACGTACTATTGTCTAATCCACCAGTACTTTGAGGCGACATCCCTGATAGTGACGAAATTGCTTTGGTGTTACCATCCGCCTCTTTGTTTGACAACTCCGAAATCTCTTTGCCAGAATGTAATTCATCGCCTGGCAGCTCAGACTTATGTGCAGTGTCAGCATGGAGTTCAGGCTTATCCCTGTAGAAGACTGTATCGTAGTCGGTGGTTTTGCGATCCTCACGCGGATTAGGTGGCTCGTTACTTGCTGAAAGTTGGGCTGGAGTACTGGGCTGTGCTTGCTGGTGCGGATCCAGTTCAGGAGCGGTGGTTTTCTTGCGTCGCAGCTTTATAGCCAAGTAAGCAAGTACACCAGTGAGGAGAGCGCCTGAGGTTGCACCTAGGCCCGCACCGGCTTTCGCTCCTGTGGATAGTTGATGCGAAGAAGATGCACTTGATGGTGGCGTCATAGGTGATATCACAGTACCTGTGGGAGCTGGAGTTGATCCGGAAGACCACGCGGATATCGAGGTCGGAATGGCTGTGGGGTCAAACGAGATTGTACCACCGGCTGTAGGAGGTAGGCTGCCAACCAAGTCGAAGCTGGATTTGCCGTTGGGGTTGTTGATCAACGCCTTCGAAGCTGTACACTGACAGTTCTCCTTCTTTATCTCGATCAAGTCTGGATGCTTGGCACATCCTGACCAAATGGATACGTCGGCACCATCGCAACGTGCCATGGCAACCCATTGCTGGTCGGGATACTCGAACCTCGTGACGCATTTCGACGAGGTGAAGGTTGCATCAGTGCATCCTGCGACGTATGTCACCACCGCTATTGTAGTTGAGATTTGGGTGGACTGGAAGGATAGCACACAGGGGTGTAGACTGACTTTCATTGTCCCAGCAGACGGCGCTTGAGAGACAGAAGTCTCCTTCATAACAACAAGGTTGTGGACCAGAAATATCGGCATTACCGCAGGGAATGAAGCGGGGGTCCGCCACTTGACCCTTGGCAAAGAAGCAAGTGCCTTTGGAAAGAAACAAATCGTTTTTGCTTCCGTTGCTCATGGTTGTTGTTCATCCGCTGGATATAATTAATTCACGAAGTGGATGAAAGGAGGCAATTCGCCAAACTGGAATATTGACGGAAGATCGATTGGAATACGGGCAGCAACTTTTCATAAGACGCACAAGGGCATATGTTCAAGATGTCAGAAATTTAAGCGTAGGCGACTTCACTTGGTATGTTACAGCAAGCCGTCTGACGTCCCAGTGGCGTCGCCTGTTTGCATTACATGCGTGGGTTCACATAGGCTTACTCTCGAGGATCTCAACCAATGATGTTATCCAAGAGTTTGAGATGGCGGGTTGTATGTGTAGTATCTGCTTTCTGCATTCATCGTACGCATTTGCGTGTTCAAGACCTATTCCGAAGTCACCGCCACCCTCGCGGGTCCGAATCACAACCAGTGGTTGTACATGAGTCATTATGAACGTGCGAGATCCATTTCTATTGGCAGTATCAAGGGTAATGATGCTGTGTTTCCCAACCTAGCATAATACAATCTGTCTATGACTGCGAAGTCGATGGATCCTTTGTGTGAGCGTAGTCGAACAACAAGGCGGTCGAAGGTGCTGGGAGTTTCAGCTGACGGCATCACCCAACAATTTCAGTTGCGTCGCTGTGGATCTGCCAGAGTAGGTGTTGGAAATACAGGCAAGAGGGTTGTATTGATGACGATGATGGGACTAACGTAACCCACCCATAAGCGGGCCACACCCCTTAGCGGGCCACCCATTTCGGCTCTGTCGAATTGGCTCAACTTAACAACAAGGTTTATCTTATTTAATTGTTTATATTGGGGCTGTATTAGTTGAAGATCGGCTTCTTTGGATTTACGAGGCATGTTGTGGGAGGGAAGAAAAGTGCAAGCTAAGTTAAAAGGTTGAAATATTTGAAAAAGTGCGAAAGTGACTTGTGTGCGAAAATGACTTGTGGATCACGTTAACTTACGTTAAAAAGTTCAAATATTTAAAAAAAAGTATAAAAGTAATTTATATACGAAAATAACTCATAGATTATATTAAGCTAAGTTAAAAAGTTAAAATTTTAGAAAAAGTACGAAAGTAAATAAATAAATAATAAAAAAATATTAAATACGCCGTAGGTGTTAACCCTCGGTACCTCTACAAGTACTCCCTTAAGGGGCTATAGATGATATAGCGGGCCCTTAAGCCGCGTCGGGCGGTTATACAGGTAAACTTGTAGCCAAATGACTACTAAACCTCCTGTCCCTCCCTAAGTCTGTGCTACAACCCCTGCCTGAACTACCGATAAGTGTGGTAATGTGGCACTTAAATTCGTCCTCAGGGGTGGGATGCTGCTGATGTGCAGAAGATGCTCGACTATTTTTTTGTCGCGACAAGTCGTAGTATCTGCTAATTGGGGTTCTCGTCGAGCGTATACATCTCAACCATACGCTCAAGTGGATAGACCGTAACGTGGTCAGACGCTCGCAAGAATCGCGGCGAGAGGGCGTGCTGCGCGCCTTCTATCGTGAGGGGACGGGTTCGCCGACGAGCGTTATCGGAAAGGCGAGGTCCGATAAGGGGTCGGATTAACGATTCGAATTCTGGACCGGCTGTCGAGTTATATTCCGCCGACGTAGTGCTTGACGGTCGACTGGCTAGGATGCTCGTAATCCTAAACTGCACCAATCTCCCTATTATCGCTAGGTAGGCGAAGTCAACAAGGTGGGCAGCGCGCCGTAAGGGTTGACTAAACCCCCTTGTGTGTCAGCTGCGGGATTCGAACCCGCGACTCGTCACCGACCCAAGTGGGCGAGGCTCAAATCGGGACTTATCTACCAGCGAAGTGACCAACTATACCAGCCGACAATAAATAATATTAAATACGCCGTAGGTGTTAACCCTCGGTACCTCTACAAGTACTCCCTTAAGGGGCTATAGATGATATAGCGGGCCCTTAAGCCGCGGCGGGCGGTTATACAGGTAAACTTGTAGCCAAACGACTACTAAACCTCCTGTCCCTCCCTAAGTCTGTGCTACAACCCCTGCCTGAACTACCGATAAGTGTGGTAATGTGGCACTTAAATTCGTCCTCAGGGGTGGGATGCTGCCGATGTGCAGAAGATGCTCGACTATTTTTTGTCGCGACAAGTCGTAGTATCTGCTAATTGGGGTTCTCGTCGAGCGTATACATCTCAACCATATGCTCAAGTGGATAGACCGTAACGTGGTCTAGACGCTCGCAAGAATCGCGGCGAGAGGGCGTGCTGCGCGCCTTCTATCGTGAGGGGACGGGTTCGCCGACGAGCGTTATCGGATAGGCGAGGTCCGATAAGGGGTCGGATTAACGATTCGAATTCTGGACCGGCTATCGAGTTATATTCCGCCGACGTAGTGCTTGACGGTCGACTGGCTAGGATGCTCGTAATCCTAAACTGCACCAATCTCCCTATTATCGCTAGGTAGGCGAAGTCAACAAGGTGGGCGCGCGCCGTAAGGGTTGACTAAACCCCCTTGTGTGTCAGCTGCGGGATTCGAACCCGCGACTCGTCACCGACCCAAGTGGGCGAGGCTCAAATCGGGACTTATCTACCAGCGAAGTGACCAACTACACCAGCTGACAGTACGAAAGTAACTTATATACGAAAATAACTTATAGATTACGTTAAGTTTAACTTAACGTCTTTTAAATTAGATAAAGGAGCCTACTTTAGGGAAAAGTGCGCGGCTCGCTTAGGTGCGCGACTCGCTAGTGAATCACGTGACCGGTTTGGAGGATTAATTTAATTGACATATGAAGTCAGGTGTCTAACGTACCCCACAAGCAAGTTGGCCACACAAGCAAGTTGGCCACTTTTTCTTGGCACCGTCCGAACAACCTTTTAATTAACATCTTTACACATACCAAGACGGGATCGAATTGGAAAGAAAGCAACATGATTCTAGCGTGTCAGGCGCTTCAATCGAAACCCGAATTAAGCATCCGACGCGCTGCCCAACTCTACAATGTCCCTCGTACAACTCTAGCTAACCGAAAACGCGGACTACTATCTCGACGCGATACTCGACAATCTAGTCATAAGCTTACGGAATCAGAAGAGTTAGCGGTCATACAATATATACTTGACCTAGATTCGCGATCATTTCCTCCCCGGCTCCATGGTGTTGAAGCTATGGCTAACCGACTGCTCCGTGACCGTGGCGCTGGACGCGTCGGCGTCAACTGGGCCTCGAACTTCGTACGACGACAACCAGACCTTCGGACGCGTTTTAATCGAAGAATCGACTACCAACGAGCCTATTGCGAAGATCCTGACACGTATCGCGCGTGGTTTACGCTCGTACGAAATACAATTGCGAAATATGGTATCCAAGAGGCGGATATCTATAACTTTGACGAGACAGGGTTCGCGATGGGCTTAATTATCCGAGGCGTCTACCCTATGCCAGATCAGGACCGGAAAAATAGGACTATCAGCTTTCTTATTTAAGATAGGAGCCTTCGGTGTGTACTCGCCGTTATGCCGCTGTGGAGAGGCCCCCGAGACGGCAGAGCACGTAATCCTCTTTTGCGGCCTGCTGGAAGAATCGAGAGAGCGCCTACGGGCCACTATCGCACCATGGCCGCTGCATACACGTAGAGACCTGGCAACGGCGACGGGGAAACCAGTAGTCAGCGGGACTATCACAAGGTGGCTACTCAGGACTGGCCGGATAGCGTTTAGGCCCGGATAATATCGATCTTCTCAGGGGGACTTTGTTAGTAGGGTGAGAACTAACATAGTATTGTGGTGGACGTAACGCAGTCGCTAATAGAGCGAACCTACGTAGCAGCGTATGTATTTAGTCCAGCCATTAGGGCACGGTTTGACATACGGGAGCACTTGTAGAGGTACCGGGGGCTTCGAGCCTACGGCGTATTTAATAATAATAATAATATTATTTTTTAGTTTAGTTAAGTTATTGAAGTTATTCATACGGTGCCAAGAAAAAGTGGCCAACTTGCTTGTGGGGTACGTTAGTGGTATTCTTCGGTGTAGCTTGTTATCATGGAGATTAACCCTCATGACCACAAATACCACCATGGTGGGTCACACTACATGAATAGTTCGTACGCCACTGTTGATGTCATATCGGCGAGCAAAGTGGGTGTAGGCGGTGCCTTCCAATTAACCCTCAAAAAAGGGTCGAACCAACCCAACCACACCCATCACCATCACTAGCCTCTGGTGGGTGTCCACGTGTGGATATTTGGTGTGTGTTAACAGAGAATATTTTCTAGGATGAATCTGACACAAGCTTCGTCTAGCTTATATCTCCGCGAAAACAATCGGCTGCGTTGGTCGATTCAGCGGATTGAATTTAATTGAGGCCCACACACATGGCTGGCAGCTGGGTAGAGATCTGTCACGGCCCGATGGCGCAAGTTCGTCCGTTTTGGGGGGTAACTGCGCAATGTGGCATTGACTCTAGTCGTTCAAGCTTACAGTTTAGGAAAGCTTAATGACATCGGGATATAATTTTGATGGGTCTATACCTTGAGGCGATCCCGGCGTGTTTGAACATGTTGGAGAGTGGGCGCGATTGCGTCCTCTCGAAACTTGAAACCGAGGCCCTTCGCAATGGCAACCACCGGAACAGCATCACTATAGTTGCGCGGCTAGGCATTATTGGTCTGCTGCGGCAAATAAAAGGTAGAGGCCGCAGAGATCCCAGTCCAACTCGTCCATGGAAAAGAAGGGGACGTTCAACGGTGCCGGTTGAAGGATTTTTATACGCATCATCAGTATCTAGTACCATCTAACATTTTTTTGATTCTTTAGACTGCAATTCATCTTTGATGCTTGCCTTCAAGGTATTTGGTGCTTCCTATTGCCTATCATCTTTAGTATAACTAACAGCACCGCCTCTGCCACCTCTTCACGAAATTTCACTACCAACAAGATGAAGTTACTCGCTATCGTCACCGTCTTTACAGCTGCTGCAGTTACCGCCCCTTAAGATGTCCTCGACATCAGTTGAAAATACGTATTTAAGGCTCGTCCATGGCTAACTTGGGTAGGACTAAAAAAGAAGTGATGACCTCACCGATTTGGTTGCCCGGCTCCCCCTCCTCGGAATGGTGCCAGCTCAGAATGGCAACAACGCAAATATGGGAAACACCAAGCCATAAAGGCAATACTGCCAAGTTACCAACGACGCGAACGGCGCCAACATTCGTGAAAACCATAAATAATTCGTCGCCACAATCGTCATGCCGACTCTATTATTTGTGGGGCTTCTGAAGATGATATCCTTGGGCTCAAACCTCGACAGCGGCTAAGGAGTCAAAGCGGACCAGAGAGTGAAAGGGCACTGAAAAGGGATTGGTACTAGAGCCAGCCGTGGCCCAACACCATGTAATCAAAAGTAGAAGTTCGTCCTTACAGCTCATTCCTACAACTGTGAAATAAGAGCCTGAAGATTTGAATTTAGTTCACACTGACCGAGTGCTATGGTTTTGGACTCCTTTGGATTGGTGCAAGCGGCGAGTAGTAAAGCACGGTAATCATACTAATTATGGTGTGGACCTATGGAAAAAATCGCTGCAGTGACCTTTGTTGGCACCTTATGCCCATGCTAATGCATGTTGTCTTGAGAGTGCAATTGGATAGGTGTTGAGTGATCGAGGCTTGGATCAAGATAGCCACCGACACCGCCACATGAATTCTTGAAACATCAAGATACTCGTTGTGCTCATCCTGAGACACGGTGTAAACCAAACCACCGTCGACTCCATCCATATTCGTATATGTTCCCTGCATCGAGCAGGCAATCAACTAAAGGTTCATCTGGACTCGGCGAGCCACTACTAGAAGACAAGTGAAATTATTTCTGGATGCTCGGTAAGGCAACGAAGTTCTGTGGTTAGGCCTTGTTTCAGGTCGGTAGTTTGGCAGGGCACGCCGATCCCCTGGAACGTGGAAGTCAAATCGGTTTCCGGCCTAGATCTCACAGCTCGGTTTCTTGGCACTTCATACACTTTACTCATCTTTCTCAAACAATGGCAGACATTCCCAAGATTATGCGCGCCTGGATGGTGGTGCAGAATGGCGAGCCCAAAGACGCGCTCGAGCTGAAAGCCGATTGGCCGACTCCAGCATTGCCTGTTATGGGCTCCAACCTCTTGGTCAAGGTGTCGCACGCCGGCCTGAACCCAGCAGACATTCATTTCATGGCCCATCTCCCGTCGTGGCTCCCTTTCCGTCGAAATGCGATTCCTGGACTCGACTTCGTCGGTGAGATCGTGCAGACCGGTCCGTTGGCGCCGCCCGAGATGACGGTGGGTACTGAGGTCTGCGGCTCTCTCGGTGTCAGACAGGTTGCCTTCGGCGCCGGCTCGCTAGCCGAGTACGTCCTCGTGCCGTCCGACCTGGTGGCGGTCAAGCCGGCCACTCTGCCACTAGCGGCCGCCGTTGGCTTGGGTACTGCTGGTCAAACAGCCGCACTCATCATGCGCCAGGCCAAAGTACAGAAAGGCGCGCGCGTTCTCATTAACGGGGCTAGCGGTGGGGTCGGCTCTATCTTGATTCAGATTGCTAAGGCTAAGGGAGCTACCGTCGTTGCCATTTGCTCAAATGCTAGCGACGCCCATGTTCGTAGATTAGGCGCCGACGAGGTAGGTTCTATTCTTGTTGCAAGCTTCAGGCTTTGCTTTTACATCTTGGTTCTGACAGTTTGTCACAGGTAATTGACTACAAAGTCCACCAAGATCTTTATGATTTCATAGCCAAAACATTCAAAGAATCCCAGTTGGACTTGATCATCGACTGCATGGGCGACGATGCCCTGTTTACCAAGTCACCGCCCTACCTGAAGCCTGATGGGAAGTTCATCAGCATCGTTGGAGGTCGAACCCAAGGCATCTACCCCTTTTTGAAGAACAAGTTTCTGCCTGTATTTCTCGGGAGGACACCTCGCAGCTACAGCATTCTTGGCTTGGCCCCGGCTGGGACGTATGCCCGCGAGGTGGCCCAGTGGATTAACGACGGTCTTGTCAAAGAGGTGCCTGTGGACTCAGAGTTTAGGTTAGAAGAAGCTGTCGAGGCGTATGAAAAGCAGGCTACCAAGAGGGCCAAAGGAAAGATTGTGGTGGCCATCAAGTCGTAGCGGAACAAGGGACTGCCCCCTTTCCTTTCACTGCCAGAAAGTGCGAGGAATCGAGATGTTTGTTGTGACTGCAGTCAACGCACAGTCAACCGTGTTGGTTCTGTGTCGGAGTTTTCTGCTCTTTGAGCCGAGCCCGCAACTGGGTTTGGGCATATCCCGCTCCTCTGCATGTCCTTCTGCTGACCTGCAGCACTGGGGGCAGCAAGGTCCCACTCCCCAATTAGAAGCTATGAACTATGAAAAGTGTGGCGCTTATAATTTATCTCACACAGGACCGTTTCGCAGACAACTGCCTGTCAACCCGCCCTGCTACGTGCTGTCTTGTGTCGTTCATTGTATCTGTTTTCAGCCGCATATGTCGATCTTTGTGGCTCGACAGAAAGGTGGCACCAATTCTGCGGTCCTAAGTCTCATGCTTGTATTGTGCGCTGTCACGTTATTGTGTTGAATGTTTCGGATGGTTCTCAAGCCTTCCGGCATGAAGCTGCGGTGATTGCTTCCATGAGCGCTTACAGTCACTCACTCTTCACGCCATGCTTCGCTGGCCGCGTCAAAGGGGCATTCATTAACGACGCCATCCACGCCATATATAATGTCTGGACACGAGGTTTAATTGGTTTCGCAACGGCTATGTGTTGATCTGGTCGAGTTCGATGTCCAAGGCGAGTTTAGACCTGACCATGGAGACGATCCTCGCTTCTATAGTATCGCGAACTTGGATGCCGTATCTTCAACTGAGACAGTTGATTTGATGCCGTCAGAACACTCCAATGAGGATGATGAATATACTACACAGAGACACCTGCTCACGCCTCCAACACCGTCAGACTTTTCACATTCTCCTTCCATTCGGCCAACGTCCCGGTCCAACTCAATGGCCTACTCGTGCTATAGGGCTAGATTAGTCTCTCCATCTTCCAGAACCTTCAGTTTAATGGATAATTGACACCACAGACCTGGACGAAGCTCTTGATCATCCAGCGCCTCCAGCACAAAAATGTCACTACACTGACATAAAGTCCAGAAACGACAGACCTTGCGGACGGCTACGAGACTCAAATGTGGTGGTTGTGAACGACCAGCCTCCCACCAAGACATCGCACAGAGGTTAATGTAGTGGCACTGTAGACACGTGCAGAAACCTATGTTCACCAGGCAGCTGATGGAGTTGGGCTATTTTCTCCCTCATTCGTTCCACCTCATGTTTTAACAGTGTACTGGCGGCCAATTTTAATTGGGAACTCATTATGAGGTGTCCGTTTGCCAGCGATGATTCTATCCAGGTGGCACTCCAGTTTCTCAAAGATGAACTCGACCTGTGGAAGGAACATACAAGTGCTGGGAGGTACTTAAAACCCGATTTTGTGACCTATTCTGATAGTCAATACGGTGTCGATAATTGCAATGACAGAGCTTCCGTCGCTTTCATTACAGGTAGCTTCCTGTTCCAGAAGGCACTTGCTGCGTCCTGATCAGCCTCTACTAGCAATCACGCCCCTCGTTCTCTTATTCAGTTCCTGTTCGACAATGAAATCCAGAACGTAGTGTTCTCGCACAGACGCCGGTGGTCATCTTACTTCTCATCTCAATTCCCCGGCGAGATGACACTATATGTGTAACGACTTTGGTGTGTAATGGTAGACAAGTGTAGATGTCTCTACATTTCCAAAGTATTATCAGATCATCTTATATATGGAAATAGGGGTTCTTATCACCATCAGTGACCTCTCACTGGAGCATATCAATGGAAACACCGTCGTCCTCAAAAAGTATTTCTAAGAATTAAACCTACAATAGAAAATATTATTATTATTAAATACGCCGTAGGCTCGAAGCCCCCGGTACCTCTACTAGTACTCCCGTATGTCAAACCGTGCCTAATGGCTGGACTAAATACATACGGCTGCGTCGTCGGTTCGCCCTATTGGCGACTGCGTTGCGTTCACTACCATACTACGTTGGTTCTCAACCTACCAACAAAGTCCCCCCTGAGAAGATCGATGCTATCTGGGCCTTGAAGCTGTCCGACCCGTCCCTAGCAGCCACCTTACAATAGTCCCACTAACTACTGGTTCTCCTGTTGCCGTTGCGAGGTCTCTGCGAGAGTATAGTGGCCGTGGTGCGATAGCGGCCCGTAATCGTTCCCTCGGTCCTTCCAACAGCCCGCAAAAGAGGATTACGTGCTCTGCCGTCTCAGGGGCGTCGTGTTACGAACCGTTGGCCCTGAACCAACATTACAGGCCCGTCGGCAGGCCAGGTGGATACAGACGCTAGGATCACGGGACCCCGCATCGGAGGAAGGAAAGGACCGATAGGTTATGTGACCTACAGGGGTGGATATGTTGGACAACCAACATATCCAAGTGGGGATCAGTGAAGGAGAGATGGGTATTGTAACGGGGTAAGGCCGGACATCAGGGAAATAGGTTACGGGGCTAGGGGAAAGTTTATTTTCTCTTCTTTAAGAGGCACAGAGGCAGAGTAGGACACGAGTCCCTCATCTTCACGCATCATCATCCTCATCTTCATATCATCATCTCCTTCTTATCTATATCTTCACCTTCGCTTTTCAGTCAGTTATTTAGTTATTTTAGTTATTCAGCTTATCTTTACGTTCGAGATCCTATTATCACGATACGAGTCTCAGAGGCACATCCGACCAACTCGCGCACCAGACGTGTAAGAGCTTCACTCTTATAACCAGTACCACGATCTTCGTCTGATAAGACCAACAGATGGGATCTGTTGGTACTGGAGCCGTCTGTTCAGTGTGTTAGGTGGTAGGTATATCCTACTGACCGCCTGACCCCGTTTCAGTATATAAGGGACAGGACTCCCAGGCATTTCATAGATAGACAGTCTCTACTTCAGTGATCAATCTAAGCATCAATCTAACCCATTGGTGAGGCAAACTGCCTTGACGACTCTATTCCCAGTTACCCTAATTGAATACTTCAGTTACCCCAAAGCACTATTGATACGAAAAGGTAGGGGGACCCACTGGTTAGGTGAATCCCATTCAATTAGATACTATAACGTTGCGCACTGCTGCATTATAGCATCCTCCCCCCTAGGTGCACGCATCAACTATACTCCATACGTCAGATCCCGATATTATTGCTAAAGGACTCCGCAGCAGGACTTCCTTACTAGCACAAACCCTTACAGACTCTTTAGTGGTTTACGCAGCTAGACTATTAGAGGTTTCGTTACAGGGACCTAGGGTGTCCCTACTTATCGTCCAGGTGCTAAGCATCGCGACCGGCTTCATAGGCGTCCTAGTAAAAGAATCTATAGTCCTACACCGATATTAACGACGGGAAATAAATGCTCGGAGGTTCAAGGTGTAGATAATAATAACGGATAACGAGATCCTCAAAAAGACCTTACTATCCGGGAGGTGGAAAAGATAACAAAATCGAGAGCCTTCTTGCCCCGATCGGATTAACAAAAGTAACTCAACAGGTACTAACGATCGGCTGTGCCTCAACATGTCCTCGAGTTGAATTGTCGAATATCACGTGTGTCCAATTGAGTAGTCAGCAGTGCGTAAGATTGTATATGAATGAGGTGTATTCTCTGTGTTCTGTTCTCGCGAACTCCCGTTGCTCTCCTTTTATAGATTCTTTAGCAAATGTCGGAGGTGCATTGTTCAGGTGTCTGACCCCTAAGTGGACCGTAACTTTGGAGTTACTTTCGGGAAGAGGGGTTCATTTCGCCGTATGAACTTCAAGTGACACTAGTCTTCTCTAGTGCCATATTATTTCTGAACCTAGGAACCAGGTGTCCTATCTGACATGAATCACCTCAGCAGGTGAACAATAGAATGAAGCCTCAACAGGCTGGAACAGATCGTCTAGAATAACAAAAATACCTCAACAGGCACGAGGAACAGAATAAGACCTCAGCAGGTCATTAGAACAACTGGTGCCTCAACAGGCGAAGGGAATGAAATCAATTACTACTTACTTGGCTGCTTACTTGGTTGTCAAGAAAATGACTACCTAGACAGGTCCTTAGATACCTTCAAGATCACGCTTACATAATTCATCTGAAAACCGAAAAGCAAGACCTAGAAACCCTGTCCCTAAGTTAACATTAAGCATTACCTCCATGGTAAATTCAGAAAGCTGATACTACGAGGGATAAAATAAATAATATTAAATACGCCGTAGGTGTTAACCCTCGGTACCTCTACAAGTACTCCCTTAAGGGGCTATAGATGATATAGCGGGCCCTTAAGCCGCGGCGGGCGGTTATACAGGTAAACTTGTAGCCAAACGACTACTAAACCTCCTGTCCCTCCCTAAGTCTGTGCTACAACCCCTGCCTGAACTACCGATAAGTGTGGTAATGTGGCACTTAAATTCGTCCTCAGGGGTGGGATGCTGCCGATGTGCAGAAGATGCTCGACTATTTTTTGTCGCGACAAGTCGTAGTATCTGCTAATTGGGGTTCTCGTCGAGCGTATACATCTCAACCATACGCTCAAGTGGATAGACCGTAACGTGGTCTAGACGCTCGCAAGAATCGCGGCGAGAGGGCGTGCTGCGCGCCTTCTATCGTGAGGGGACGGGTTCGCCGACGAGCGTTATCGGATAGGCGAGGTCCGATAAGGGGTCGGGTTAACGATTCGAATTCTGGACCGGCTGTCGAGTTATATTCCGCCGACGTAGTGCTTGACGGTCGACTGGCTAGGATGCTCGTAATCCTAAACTGCACCAATCTCCCTATTATCGCTAGGTAGGCGAAGTCAACAAGGTGGGCGCGCGCCGTAAGGGTTGACTAAACCCCCTTGTGTGTCAGCTGCGGGATTCGAACCCGCGACTCGTCACCGACCCAAGTGGGCGAGGCTCAAATCGGGACTTATCTACCAGCGAAGTGACCAACTACACCAGCCGACGGGATAAAATAATAGTTGCGGAGGATATAAATTCGTAGTACAGGTTTATATTGACATATAGGACTAAGTACTTTAGCCCGCTATACCGCGGGTCTTCGGACCTACTATCTTCATAAACCGCGGGCTTCCATAGGTCAGTATAATAAACAAGATTCAAAAAAAAACAAAAAAAACACAAAAAAAAACGAAGCATATTCTATATCTGGAGAGGAGCGAAGCAAAACCAGCTTTGTGGAAGGGTGCTGTGGAGTTTCTAATGTGCAACTGAGGGGCGCTCAAGGGCCGGCCCTGTCAGATAAAGCGGGCCCATGAAGCCCCACCTGGGGAAGGAACCGTCATCCAGAAATCAAATTACGCGTTCTGGCGCGTCCCAAAACTTTTTGAAATCTGACATCATCCCTCCATCACTGAAAGTATTTCCGTCACAATCCACCTCTAGACACACAGAACTTGTAGTAGTGTTTCAGTAGGCTCGGCGGGCCTAGAGATGGCTAGTATTGTCCCCTGCTGACTTTAGTATTACCACCGCGGGTGACCATTTCACAATGGAGGAAGCTACAAGACGGCATTTCTTCTTCCACAGCAAGGATGTAAGCCTCTCGCGTTACTTGTACCTTATCAACGCCGTTTTGCCAAGCTGACTCCGATCCGCAGGGATATGATGAGGAGAAAGTCAGCTGCCACTTTTGCCAGATCCGCTCGTTCAGCACGCACCCCGATTACCCGGTCACCATCGTCAACGGCGAAGATGACGCAGTTCTCTCACCCAACTTTCGCTTCATGGACAAGTCAGTTTACAGCAAAGGTGTGGAACCTGCTAGAGCTGAGTTTCGCAGTGGCTGCGAATGCGACGACGACGAAGACTGCCAGTACAATAACTGTCACTGTCTGCAAGAGATGGACGATGACGACTCGGAACCCGCTGACGACCCAATCTATGGTGCTGCCCCTGCGCCCCGCAAGAAGATATATGCATACCACTCGCACGGCGCAAAGGCAGGTTTTTTGAAGTCCAAGGTGCTTGAGTCGAGAGAGCCTATCTATGAATGTCACGAGGGTTGCTCCTGCGGACCTCATTGCGCAAACCGAGTAGTCGAACGTGGCCGTAAGGTACCGCTGGTCATTTTCCGCACCAAGAACAGAGGATGGGGTGTACGCAGCACAGTCGACATCAAGAGGGGGCAGTTCGTTGACAAGTACATGGGTGAGATCATCACGCCGAAGGAGGCAGACCGACGGAGAGCCCAGTCCGACATTGCCCAGCGAAAGGACGTGTACTTATTCGCGCTCGACAAGTTCTCCAACCCTGACTCGATAGATGAAAGACTGAGAGGTCCGCCACTCGAAGTGGATGGCGAGTTCATGTCGGGTCCGTCTCGCTTCATTAACCACTCGTGTGACCCGAACTTGCGCATATTCGCTCGGGTGGGTGACCACGCCGATAAGCACCTTCACGATCTGGCATTCTTTGCCATCGAGGATGTACCCAAGGGACAAGAGCTCACTTTCGATTATGTCGACGGCGTTTCTGACTCGGAGAACGACGCGTTGAATCCGGGTAAGAACCGGGACATGACGAAGTGTTTGTGTGGCAAGGCCAACTGCCGCGGATATCTCTGGTAAAGAGGACCACATACTTTGGGGGACTAAGCGAGCTTCAATCTTGAAGAAACCCAGCCTATGATACTTAACCAGGCTAAGTTTGGATTTGACGATTGAATGATGTGCATTACCAGGGGGAGTGGCGTTGCAAATAGAACAGATCTTTACAACACCACATCACAGGACGGATTGAGCTATAATGAAAAGGCTGATCTAACACTTCACGTCATCAATTCGGTTTCTTTTTCTAGTTTTGTCTTCGTTGTCGTTGAAAGTATGTAGATGCATGGTGTTCCTTCAGGGGGTTGTTGTAGTTCAACCATTTGGTGCAAGCTAATGATGACGAGCAATAAAGGATCTAGTGGTTGTTCCACTGTGATAAATGCCCTAAATGCTGGCATGATTAGAATGTTCCATGTAAGAAGACCTAGTGAACCGACCAACACGATCTTGCCCAACAGGAACAATCTCAAAGAGAACCTCAGGGAGTTTCAGTAATCTCAGATCGCACGTCTCGCAGTACAACACGGCATTCTCAAGACACTCTATTGTACTCAGCTTTACCTACTGTACCTTGAAATACAAAGTTTGGCGTCATTAAATACAATCTATATTGCAGGTGTTCTTGAGCCGCTGTTTGTCATAGTCGGGAACCCCAAGTGATTTGGAGCCGGCAGTCAACTATAGACTCGACAAATATTGGACGTTTGGAACCCAACTGGCCCGTCAAACAAAGCCTTTCATATAAACTCCCTGAGCACAGAAACAATGTACATCACAATCTGCGGCGGCGGCATCGGCGGCTGGCCTTAGTAGGCTTCCTCCGAGCACACCATTCCATTATTGTTGAGTGCGGTAATCTCGACTTTTGCTGATCATATATCAACAAATAGAACACATAATTAACCTCCTTAGCAGATGATGTAAAATGTATCCTCAGATTTACCAATATCCAGAGCTGTGCTCAACAGTCAACACTGGCCATTCAATAATTGCCAGATGTGCGATATACCCCACGTGATTATACTTCCTGCTGCAGTACACTTTAGGGATTTCAATTTCTCGACATAGTATTTGATTGTGGCGGTGCCGGTTCCTCTTGTGTCATAATCAAAATCTCGAATGCGAGTAACCCTCAGCAAAGAATAGATCCCATGGCGTACTGACGACAGCGGGAAAGCTTTCGACGTAGATACGAACAAGACAGAAGAGAACAGAAAGACACCAATAATCGTATAGGAAAGGCAACGAGGCCATTTGACGTTCAGCAGAACAGTGGACCGCTGATCGGATATTGGAGGGCTTGCGAGAGAATAGCTTCGTTGGGGGCTAGAGGGGCTGAACGCGTAGTGCTAGAATATATTCGGGTAGCTGTTGTATGTGATGTGCATAGAGCCTTCTGCTGCGATATTGTATTTCCGGAGCCGTCCTGTCATGGGCGAAAAGTATGCCGGCAGACAGGCGCATACGAAAATAATAGCTGGGCGCCAGATCCCGAACAGCTGGAAGAATCTTTCGTTCCATTTCCAGGCTATAATATTTTATTGCCTAGTTCGTATGAGTTATGCATGGCGTTCGCAACGCACAACATGGCTACGAGATACTCGACCAGGTTGATGAGCCTGGGTATTCCGCGGACAATTTGGAGTTGAACAGTTTGCCGTGAGGGCGGCTCAAGTCGCAACCAGAATTTCTGCTGCCACTGGTAACCATAGCATTAGAAGGAAAGTAATGATGTCCTGACCGTTCCAAAAGTCAAGTGGGATAGATTCGGGCCTGTGTATAACAGCAAGGTGGGTGTGAGACCTAACAAGATGTTCGAAGGAGAGAAATGCGGTTTTGTGCGCCCTCGAGTGTGCTCTAGCAAGTAATCGAGGTGGAAGTAACAAATTTTGGTTTCTTATTGTCGGCTTGTTCGAGGTAGTTGTGCAAAGTTGTGTTGCATGCCTCGGCGTAAGTGTAAGAGAGGGCTTCTCGGAAGAATTATTATTGTTGTCATCGTAGCCCCAAGATCCCAAGTCTGATATTCCTCCTCGCCAGCTCAAACTGCTCAGAGAGCCTCAATCAAGTTACGCAATCATTTATGACTGAATGGGTGTTTACTAGCCATCGAGGCCAAGTCAAAATCCCATGTTGGGATTCCTTTGTTAACTCATCAAGCAGATAAAACAATAAGATAACCCGACAACCCACACCAAGGGTGGAATGGTTTGGTATAAGTCGATATTACAGTATAGTAGATGAGATGGGCATAAACTGGGTATCCTAACTTGCTGCGCTATTTATATTATCAAGATTCGTTCTGAACCCTAGAGTATGAACGAGGAGCATCTTACAAGTCGAATATCATTGTCTATCGAAGTCGAAGTTGTCTTGGTGGCCTTGAGATTCTATAGCTACTGCGCCACAGAACTGTGGGGAATACGGGGTGGCACCGCCACCTTCAAGCAATGCAATCTGACGAACTGGATTCATTTTGACCACATAACCACATCTGGTCAAAATAGGTTAGGGCGAATGCTTGAAATGCCTCATCTAAAACGTCGCTATGTAATGCCATGCTATCGTATCGCCGAATTGGCATGACTCGTGACAGCATAAATGGGGAAAGGGGAGCCACCTTTGATAGGATACCCCTACCGCAAACCACAGCGGAACCCGCCCGCAAAGTGCTGATTGATATGCAGAGAGATCTGACACATTGGACTTGTTCAGGCCTTATCTTTTCGGTCATTTGATGCTTGTCTATCGCCGCGTCGCCGGATTGTTTGCTTTCCAAACACAGCTATCAAAAGCGTGCACCACATCGGCCTCTCCCCTTTCCGTCTTGTCACTTTCACAATCTCTGACTTCTTCAGCTTTGCTGAACTGTTTTCACATCTCCTACGACGAAAATGGGCAAAAGAAGTTCCTCAATCGCCAGCGCGGGCGCGCGTAGGTCCGTCGATGATGCGGCCGCTGATACTGCCCTGGCCAAGATGGGTTATAGTGCAGAACTCCCCAGAACACTTAGTATGCTGTCGGTCCTGGGCTTAAGCTTCGCGATAATGGCGGTTCCATATGGACTCTCGACGACGTTCTACATATCTCTGGCCAACGGGCAGTCAGTCACGGTCATCTGGGGTTGGGTTCTGCTCTCGCTCTTATCGGTAGCCATAGCAGGCTCCCTGGCTGAGATATGCAGCGTGTACCCAACGTCTGGCGGTGTTTATTACTGGTCTGCTCTTCTGGCAACGCCACGGTGGGCACCGATTGCAAGCTGGGTCACGGGCTGGCTGAACTTGGTTGGGAACTGGTGTGTTACGCTGTCTATCAATGTACGTACTTATCGAGTTATTTCTTCCCCAGTCTGTTCTCATGCAAAAGCAAAAGTTGGCCCAATCGGGGAGTTTGAGGAGTTTTAATTTTTGAGATATGGGTTGAGACTCCTAAGTGCTAAATACTAACCACTCATATTGTGCAGTTCGGCGGCGCCCAGCTTATACTAAGTGCGATCTCGCTCTGGGATGAGGACTACGTTGCCACGGCTTGGCAAACTGTTTTGATGTTTTGGGCTGTCACCCTCTTATGTTTCCTCATCAACGTCTTTGGACACAAGTACCTGGATTGGATCAACACGGTATGCATATACTGGACCGGCGCCTCGATGATCATATTCCTCGTTGTCCTACTGGCAATGTCGCCAACAAAAAGAAGTGGCGAATTTGTCTTTGCCCACTATGACGCTTCTGGCTCGGGCTGGCCGACCGGCTGGGCATTCTTTGTTGGCCTGTTGCAACCTGCATATGTTCTCACGGGCTACGGAATGGTTGCTGCCATGTGCGAGGAGGTGCAGTCACCCGAGCGCGAGGTTCCCAAGGCCATTGTGCTGTCCGTAGTGGCAGCCGGTCTTACGGGCTTGGTCTACCTCATCCCCATCTTGTTTGTGCTCCCCGACGTCCAAACACTGCTTGAGGTCGCAAACGGTCAACCAATCGGCCTCATTTTCAAAACGGCGACTGGAAGTGCTGGCGGAGGTTTCGGATTGTTGTTCTTGATTCTGGGCATTTGGTTGTTCGCGGGTGTAGGTGCTCTAACAGCATCAAGCCGGACAACCTATGCCTTCTCGCGCGATGGTGCAATTCCCTTCTCCAAACTCTGGAGCAAGGTCGACAAACGCTTCGACATACCGTTTTGGGCTCTCACTCTGTCCGCTGTCGTCAACTGCCTGCTCGGGCTCATCTACTTTGGATCGACGGCAGCTTTTAGTTCTTTCACCGGTGTGGCCACTATCTGCCTCTCAACCTCGTACGGCCTGCCCATTCTGGTCTCTGTCGTTACCGGCCGCAAGAAGGTCGAGCATGCCTCTTTCTCGCTGGGCCGCTTTGGCTTCGTCATCAACATTATTACACTAATGTGGATCATTTTGGCAATTTTCTTATTCTGTCTACCAACGACCCTGACTGGTCTTGATGCATCCAGCATGAACTATGCCAGCGTTGTCTTTGCCGGTTTTGCGATGATCAGTATCGTGTGGTACTTCGTTTGGGGTCGGAAGGCCTTCACTGGTCCTCCCATCTTGAATACCATGTCGGCAGAGCCAATTGGAGTGGTCAAAGGCAGGTCCGTGGACCTTGAAGGAAAGCCAGAGACTCTTGAGCCGAAGGAGAGCAAATAAAGAGAGAAATGGAGGATGTTGTGATGTAGGTATTATTGTACAGTTCCGCAATTATATATGAGGCAACTCATCTTGCGTCCTCGGTCTAGACGACGAGAGATCCGATACTTTGTAAAACAAAAAAGACTCGCTCAGTTTGAGTATCAGACATTATAATCACATTTTTCCTTCTCTACCTCTACAAACTGCAATGTATTATAGAGCGACTTCTATAGTTCTACTGGGAGTTTAACGTCTTATATCGGGGCCTATTAGCTAGTGTAACGGGGATACCACACGTCTTACGATAGTAGTTAGGTAGTGTAAAGAGCGGCTATAATACGTTAGGGTTATAGGTACATATATTGTAAGACCGATTCGTAAGGAACCTAAGTTAGGTAGGAGAGCCTCGAGATATCCTTTTTAACTAGGTGGGTCCTGTAACGAGGCAGAGGCACATAGGTACGAATCAAGGTTGCATATCAGTGCATCTCTATTGTTGAATACTAAACTAGGGAAGAAAGAGAAGGAAAGGGTTACAAGTATGTCTGGCCGTTCTCCTATTGTAAGGGGAACGCGCTCGTCCAGATCAGGGCAGGCCATGTCAGGATGTCCCTGCTTATCGTCCATGTGTCAGTCGTCACAGGTCCAGGGTTCTAACGGATCGGGGGCGAAACCCCCCCGACTTAGCTTATCAGCTATAACCGGCCCGCTATGATAGCTCTTTCCTTACAGCTACGCTATTAGTATAATATGTATACAACAGCTGAAAAACTAGCGATGAAAGCTTATAAAAGTTATTAAGTAGGTACTCTACCTTGCGTTAGAAGAATGATCACAATGTAGTGCTAGATTATCTATAGTCAGTGATACGAAAAGGTAGGAGGACCCACTGGTTAGGCGAATCCCATTCAATTAGATACTATAACGTTGCGCACTGCTGCATTATAGCATCCTCCCCCCTAGGTGCACGCATCAGTCAGGCTCTATAAGTATGGGGACTACTTTACGCTAACACGAAAATTCGTGCAACACTGTATAATCACTAACGTAGTTCACAAGCGAGTCCCGCACTTTTGCCTAAAATACGCTCCCTTAACTTTTATAACCTATCTCTCTATGTCACAAGCTAGAATTCGAATGGGCTAGAAGGTCGCGATCGGGCCCGCCTGGAGAAGCGGGCAAGATCATGACGATCCGATGGCGTTTCAACAAAACCTTCTAGGACACTCAAATAGTGCTCGAAGCACCAAGGACTCTTGGAGGGGCAAGTTTCCTTCTTTGTACCTAATTGATACTGGCGTTAGGAATTGACGATTGTGCCTGGCCTCTACTTACACCTCACTTATTACAATTAGGAAACTTCCACATAGGCTACCCACAATTATGTCGAATCCTAGGGCCGGGAAGACAGCTCATAGAGAGGACGCAGGAACATCCTCCTCGGAACCTACTACCCCACCCCCAGAAATGTCGCCAAACCTTGAAGTTACCGACGCCGACTTAGCGGCGAAACGTACGCGTGTCTAACGATTTGAAGAATGGAAGGAATTAGCGGACCGAGAAGATAAGATAGCGGCGGAACTAATCGGAGGACAACGTATCGGACGGCGCCGTCGGTCGTCGAGATCTAGGTCTCATGAGGGTAAAAGGAAGACAAAGGATATCGACCCATCAAACGATATACCAATCTTCGAACAAAGATTCACGATTCGTGAGCGAAACGCCTAGCTCCTTAAGCTAGATCGATGCTTCTTATCTGCCCCGGGACTATACGATGACAACCCGGCACAGATGATTCGCACTGCCTTATCCAAGATAGAGCTAGTTTGTCAAGAGAATTGGGAAGGGGAATGCCAAGCTGCAGCTCTCGAAGGAGCAGCTGCACTCCATGCTAAACGGTCGGATTGGGATCGATTCAAGGAATGGACAGCACAGTGGTTAGACCGATCCGGAAACGCAGAAGCCAATATTGCGGAGACGCTTGAAGAAGCAAAACAACGACCGGATCAACATCCCCAAGACTTCGACATCTATCTCTGGTCCCAGTAGAGGGTCGCAAGGTGCACCATTTCCTGCCGGTTTTGAGGTAATGTCCCCTTGGCCGCTTCCCTGATTTTCAACCTAAGATCTTCCTGTAATTTCCCGTAGAAATAAAGGGCACGATCGGGTTAGGGTCGCGGAGGTCTTTTACTCTCCCACGAGGAGAGATAGATGTCGAAGTCTTGGGGATGTTGATCCGGTCGTTGTTTTGCTTCTTCAAGCGTCTCCGCAATATTGGCTTCTGCGTTTCTGGATCGGTCTAACCACCGTGCTGTCCATTCCTTGAATCGATCCCAATCCGACCGTTTAGCATGGAGTGCAGCTGCTCCTTCGAGAGTCTTAATTGTCGAATATCACGTGTGTCCAATCGAGTAGTCAGAAGTGCGTAAGATTGTATATGAATGAGGTATATTGTTCTCTGTCCTCTCGAACTCCCGTTGCTCTGTCTTTTATTGATTCTTTAGAACATATCGGAGGTATATTGTTCAGGTGTCTGACCCCTAAGTGGACAGTAACTTTGGTGTTACTTTTGGGAAAGGGGTTCCTTTCGCCTTCTGAACTTTAAGTGACACTAGTCTTCTCTAGTGCCATATTATTTCTGAACCTAGGAACCAGGTGCCCTATCTGACACACCACTTCAGCATTGTCCGCAGGACCATGCTGACATACTGCCTTCCAGATCTCTAGGTCATTCTTCCTGTTCCAAACAATCCTATTATCAGTCAAGATGGAAGTCAATCTCTCCTCCCACAAGGTTATATTCCATTCTGCTGAAGTCCTCAACTGTTAGTTCCCGCATCCGCCGCTGCTGAATTTTCATAGCCACATCGGTGAGGCCTATCTGTCGGACGAAGGTCTTGTGTTGATCAGAAGCCAATGCTTTCGTCAGGCCGTCGGCGATCATAAGGTCGATAGCATCGTAAATTGACGTCGGGGAGCTATTTTGATGCCTGGAAATTCGAGATTTAATAAATTCGGATTGCGAAGTAGCCTCGGTTGGGTTGTTTGGCGTCCGAGAAGCCCAAGGAAGGGTTTCCCGCGTAGGGGGCCGGAAGGACGTTGGAGTCTGTAATTTCACATCCAGCTTCTCAATAACAATATCTGGGCTTAAAGGCACAAGCCCAGCCCCTTGAAAGCCTGCACGAATATTGCTTTCGGTCAGGCTCTTCTTGAACGCGTCGCAAAATGCCGGAAGAAAGTCCTCCTTTGTGATATGCGAAATCCGGGCTCGGACGAGCTTCTCAATTTGCGAGCCGTAGGCCTTTTTTAACGGCGCAAAACATGCCACATCTAGTGGCTGGAGGATATGAGAAGAGTGGGCAGGCATACAAAGTGTAATAATCTTGTTCTCTTTGCAATATTGCTCAAAGGCGTCGGAATGGTGGCTTTCGTGGCCGTCCAGGATAAGAAGGCGATATACACCCGATTTCCGGCCTTTGGTGTATTTGTCAAAGTGTTTTAGCCAATCTGCGGTCAATTCGTTCGTAGTCCAACCATTTGGGCTCACGGCGATCCTCCAGTCCTTCGGCAATGCGTCATTTTTGTACCAGGAAGAGAGGTGGTATTGGCCCTTGACAATGATGTATGGCGGGACCGTCCAGCCTTGGGAATTGACGCCCTGGATCACCGTAGCCCATTCCAGATTGCCAGGCTGGGCTAGCTTAGGCTTGCCTTTCCTTTCAGAGCTCGTAACAACCATCGATGCGGTAATCTGACCTATCATAAAGCCGGTCTCGTCGAAATTGTAGATGTCGGCATCGGCGATCCCATATTTCGCAATCGTATTGCGCACAAGGTCAAACCAGCCTTAAATAAGCTCTGGATCTTCGCATAAGGCCCGAGAATAGTCGTATTTACGGCTGAATACCGTCTTGAGCTGTGGTTGTCGCTTAACGAAGTTGGAGGCCCAGTTCTTGCCGACGCGTAACGCGTCGCGGTCGCGTAGCAGTCGGTTTACCATATCTTCAACAGCACTTAGCCGGGGAGGAAATGCTTACTAATCTAGCTCAATTATCCTTTGGATAATCGGATTTTCTTCTAGTTTTGTTAAATTCCGACCGTTGGCTTCGATATTGCGACGTGATTGACGTTTTTGAAGACGCGCCTGGAGAGTAGTATTCGAGACTTTGTAGATTGTTGCAGCACGTCGGATACTACCCGTGCCACGCCCCACCTTTTTTGATTTCGCCGAAGCTCACCAACTAAAGTTGATGCTGGACACCAAGTTCGCCAGGACACCAAGTACGCCAGATTTCGCAAAAATAGCTGCTATTAACTAAAACCGACGTAGCTGCTTAACCACACCACCTGTAGTTACAATCTCTGCTGGCTTCAAATTGCCATCTTTTCGCCATTGCCTGGACTTTTTGGCTGCTTCTGAAAAGGCCTTCTTGGCGGTCTTTTTTATACGTTCGTTATGGCTATCCAAAATCCGTTGTGCCTTGACGACTTCACTTTCAACCTTTTTTTTGACCATTTCCCGGCCTTCTGAAACAGATAAAACTCCTCCGGATTGAATTTGATAGTTCTTCATTGATCGGCGCTGTTTTGCAACTCGTTCGGCGTATTTGGTGCGGCCAAGATCCCGTTTAACTTGGACCAGCTCCGTAGCGTTGATCAGGGACCCTTTGATAAACCGATTTAGCTTGGTGGCGAATTCGGGGCTAAGACCAAGCTCAGGTCCGAAAGGGAGTTCTCAATATGTACAGCTACTTTGTGAATTTGTCGTAGAGTAGTCGGAGTATTATCGATAGAGGAAGAATGAGGTGGTGGTGATGGTGTAGGTGTTTTGGCTTGCCGTTCATAGACCTCCTGCAAAACTAGGGTAGGATTGAATGGATAGATGCCAGTTTTTCGGAAGGCCGATTCGATAGTACTTCTCTTGAAAGTAGACTTGCGTACGTTTTCGATAATTGACAAAAACTCCAGTTTGGAGATGTTCTGAACGCCATCACGAACCAGCAGATCTAGCGCTTTTGCGTGGTAGTGTTTGTACGGTTGAAAAACCACTACGTCTAGCGGTTGCAAAAGATGGGTAAGGTGAGGTGGCAATCCAAAGGGGATAATATCGTGATCTTCGCAGAACTGGATGAATTGCTTCGTATGATGTGAACCGTGGCCATCTATAATTAATAAACGGCGACGGCCCTTTTGCGACTTTCTGGATTGGTATTCGAAATGCTTTAACCACTCTAAGCAGACCTCATCATTTGGATACCCAGTATCGACTGGGCATATCTTCGTTTCGGGGTGGAGGCTTTGTTGGTACCATTGAGCCATATGAACAGTTGCTTGAAGGATGATAAATGCCGGGATAGAAGCGCCGCCAGCAGAGATAGTTTCGATAATAGTAGCAGATTCCCTATTTTCTGGCAAGCCGAAGTAGTGAGCGCGTTTCCGCTTGGTTACGATTAGCTGATTCTTGCCTACTCCGATCCGGAACCCAGTTTCATCCATATTCCAGATATCATTAGGGCCAATCCCGTTTTCTAGAATAACCGTCCGAAGCCGTTCGTAATAGAGCGTTATAGACTCGACGTCCTCAGCAGATTGACGTTCAGCTTGAAGCTGTTTTTGCGTTCGATGGAAGTATCCATGACGCTTTAGAAAGCGCGTGGTCCATTTCGTACCGACTGTAGGGATTTCAATCGGCCGGCCTTCGCTATCCGTTGCCCGAAGCCGCTTCAAAAGGATCAGATTGGCAGCTTCTGTAACAAACTCCGGGCGAACAGCCAGATTGATTCGATCAAGCCGATCAATGTAGTTGCAAAGAGCCTTTTCTTCGGCTTTGGTAAAGGTCTTGTTGTTGCCGCCGTGCTGTTTGGTGTCTGTAGGGCGATTGACGCGATCGCGGAGGGTTTCGCGTTTGACTTTGAAAGCAGCTGCCACCCTCGTTTTTGGGGCTTCCGGATGTTCTAGGGCGTATTGAACGGCATCGTACAGACGTGAAGCCATCGCGAGCTCGAAAATTTCGTCGTTTTGGTGGTTAAATGGTAGTGTAATGATGGATGTTTGCGAAATCTGGCGTACTTGGTGTCCTGGCGAACTTGGTGTCCAGCACCAACTTTAGTTGGTGAGCTTCGGCGAAATCAAAAAAGGTGGGGCGTGGCACGGGTAAGTGTTGAGTCATTTCTGATGGCCTGAGTTGCAAGGAGTAATTGAGATTCTTTTTGAGCAGAATCCATCGAGAATTAGTTGCGTGGTAAAGTTAGGAAGTTTAGTTCTATTTTTTGCTATGGGCGTGACCCGTTCGGTTGGGTGACCCGTTCGCTTATGGACTACGTTAGTAGAACTTGGTATTATACACTCCTATATAATACTTTAGTATTTTATATAGCAAGACTATTAGAGGTTTCGCTATAAGTATCTAAGATAAGGATTTCTATAATTTCGACGAGACGGGCTTTATAATAGGTATAATTATGTCATTAATAGTCGTTATATACGCTAATCGACGTAGTAAAGTTAAGAAGGTCTAGCCTAGTAACTAGGAATAGGTTGGTAATTTATTGTAACGAAACCTCTAATAGTCTAGCTGCGTAAACCACTAAAGAGTCTGTAAGGGTTTGTGCTAGTAAGTAAGTCCTGCTGCGGAGTCCTCAAGCAATAATATCGGGGTCTGACGTATGGAGTATAGGGCTCTGGGTAACTGAAGTATTCAAGTAGGGTAACTGGGAATAGAGTCGTCAAGGCAGTTTGCCTCACCAATGGGTTATATTGTGTCAGGGTACGGCTAGGCCGAAGGCAATAGTACAGAGTGATGGGGAGTAACGGGCGTCCCTCCTACGTAGCACCGGGTGGTCACTGGCGGTCTCAGGTAGGGGTGCCCACGGTGATGCATTGATCTCTGCCCTCTCTATCTTCCTCCGTCTCGACTCCTTACTTATAGCCAGCCGAGGTTCTCTCTTGGATTCTGGATGTTTGCTTCCGTATGTCTGTGTTCCTCCGACTTCGGCCAATATCTTGGACAGCGGCTCCTTATCTGCAACCAAGCGATTCCCTATCCGCTGCAAACGGCTTCAACGGCTCTCATTCGCCCCAAGCGGCTCTCTAGCCGCCACAAACGGCTTCCTACCTGGTGGAAGCCGGCCCGCCTCGGATGACACTTGTGGCTCTGACAACTCCTTCCCTATCCTACTTCGAGATGATCCTTATATAGATAGCTAGGCCGCCGCTTGGACCCGGCATAACAGCAGGGTCGGCGATGCCAAGGATCTTGACTCTCGTCATCCTAAAGCTTCACATAGATTGTAATCATGATTCGGGAGTCTTTTGTCCGAAACACCCCTCCGGCGGCCCGCCGGTGTCCTGCGTTCAGTGTTCTGACACCCACTGGTGCCTATGGCATTCTGTTCTCTGACAGAAGGAGAGATGGGCATATAAGGGACAGGACTCCCAGGCATTTCATAGATAGACAGTCTCTACTTCAGTGATCAATCTAAGCATCAATCTAACCCATTGATGAGGCAAACTGCCTTGACGACTCTATTCCCAGTTACCCTATTTGAATACTTCAGTTACCCAGAGCCCTATACTCCATACGTCAAACCCCGATATTATTGCTTGAGGACTCCGCAGCAGGACTTACTTACTAGCACAAACCCTTACAGACTCTTTAGTGGTTTACGCAGCTAGACTATTAGAGGTTTCGTTATAAATGACTCTATTCCTAATTACCCTACTTGAATACTTCAGTTACCCAAAGCACTCTACTCCATACGTCAGACCCCGATATTATTGCTTGAGGACTCCGCAGCAGGACTTACTTACTAGCACAAACCCTTACAGACTCTTTAGTGGTTTACGCAGCTAAACTATTAAAGGTTTCGTTACAGTAAACACTCCCTAGGAATCGATTGCCCTACTCGATTCGATAATTCAACGATGTTCGAAGAAGTTATTAACGAAAGTTCAAAAACCTTTCAGAATATTTGTAAATATATAAAATACTGACCTCTATACGCTAAGTTTTATTTTAATTCTACTTTATTTCTAAAATCGCCTATAAGCATAGAGAAATAGCTAAATCCTAGTATAGAAGTACCCTGTAGCAGTTTGATGTTTTAGCGGGGTAATCCCCAGACTTTTAGAACATCTGTATATAAATTTAGGTAGCCTAAGACGATAAAGGAGCTCCAGACAATTGCAGTGAGAAATAAATAGCCCAGGTGCTTATTGAGAATCAAAACAGCAACTGGGACGTAGAAACTACCTGAGAGAAAATATGATTTCGCGACATGTAATGCCACGTTAGGATGACAATCTTGTTCTGCTTGTCGCTACTCACTTAAGCAGGAAGGTGATGTTAGAAAGGGGACAAGGTGGTCTATAGCTACGACTATTATAAATGGATGTCATAGAGATATCACGCATGTTAATATTTAAAATGATATCCCTGCTATAGCTAATTTGTGATTGGGGCAGTGAGTAGCCGGTATACAAGCCTTGACTTCCTATGCTATTCCATCTGTCGAGAACTTGATCTACAGCTGGGTATACTTAAGCAGCATGTAATGATCATAAAATGTCTAACTATGACCTTGATATTGACTTTCAACTCGTCCCTTCCACCCTCATAGAGTCCGCCATATGTACGGTAGGTTTGTACTTGAATCCAACCTATTTGTTCGACATATACTCGGTATGCCATATGACGCAATGCGCAACAAGTTCATAGAAATTGCGCTCGTTGATAATAACACAACAGAAACACGACATACTCGGCTGCCAGTTGTCCAATCAAGCCCCGCATGATTGCGGGGTTTGGCACCACGACATTGACCGCGGTATCTGTCCGATATTATCTATGCTGCGTACATATGTCTCCCTGGATCCACTGTCATTGTACAACAACCGTTGCTTGTCGGAAAACAACAGCACTTGAGCGACGATGACGAAAGCACGACATAGCCCAAACGGGAATACCGACACAGCGGCAAAGAGCAATCTACGAGCATCGTAGATGCTCCAGTGCTGGTTCTACTAGGCTCCTGGACGTCGTCGCGTTCTGCAAGGCAGCCAGGCGTTTAACTCGATTAGGCCCGGAGTGTCGGTCCGGGCGTGACAGAAACGGGGCTTGAGCGCTGCGTTATCTGCGACCGCTTCTTCGGCAGCCAATCCAAGGCCTGTGTGGGCCCAAATTCGTATATTTACGGTCCCTCCAGCATCTGATAAGTACCGCGCTACTGTTGACCAAGATGCAACTGCATGGATCCAAAGACCCTCTGCACCCGCCCGATGCGATCATCTTTACATGTACGCCGGTCATTCCCCATGCTTTCTCAATATCGTTGAACGCAGCAGCTCAACGTTTAATAACTGGGCTGCAGGCTCGTCTTCTTCAATTCGAAATTCTCTTCCTGTTTCCCTTGGAAGAGAAGAGGAGACGACGCCAGAGCCATGGAACACGCGCAGCAGCCGCAGGCGGATGGACAATTGAACAAGGTGGCAAGGGATGAGGACGATGTCTTCCCCACCAAGCAGCTTACAATTCTCGGTGAATTTCACGCCATTACCCACCTTACTACGCTCTTGGAGACTGATATGAGATACGCCAACAGCAATATGTCGCTTCTCGGAACCGATTGCGTTCAATTCCATTTTGGCGTACACGTACGTAATGGTCCAGGACCTGCACGGCGGTGATGCAACCAATGCCGAGTTTTACGCGGGACTGCTCGTCTCGGCCTACGCCGTTGCCGAGGCTCTCACTGCCATGCTCTGGGGTGTCGTCTCTGATAGATATGGCCGGAAGCCCGTTGTCTTATTTGGGCTCGTGGGCGTGGCCATCTCGAGTTTGATTTTCGGGCTCGCCAAACAGTACTGGGTTGCTTTGTTGGCACGCTTCGTCGGCGGCGCGTTGAACGGAAATGTGGCCGTAATGCAGACCATGGTAGCTGAGATGGTAAAGAATCCGGACCACGAGCCGAAGGCGTACGCAGTGCAGCCTTTCGTATGGGCACTGGGATCCATCATCGGATCGGCTATGGGCGGTTTTCTGGCTCAGCCCGCTCGGTTTTATCCTTCTGTCTTTCCCGTGGACGGGGTTTTCGGGAGATTTCCCTACCTCCTGCCCAATCTGGTGGCAGTGGCTACTATTATCATAGCTGTCATCCAGGGCATTTTTCTTCTCGAAGAGACAAACCCTATGTTCATAAGTCAGGAAGACGGTAGCCATGGACACGGAAAAGTTGCCAACCAAGATGTCAATGAGACGTCTCCACTTCTCCGCGTCACCAGCATTTCCCGGTCCATTGTCGGCAGCATCCGTGAAGGCGGGCCCAAACCCTTGTTCCTTGAGGAAGGCCTCCCGACCGCCACTGGCCAGACTTTCGATCTCCGGCGGTCCTCCTTCGGCACCATCCATTCAGTTCGCCTCCCCCACGACCACGCTGTCCTGGGAGCCTCCCACCACCAACACCATGTCCATGAGTACGAGCAGTACGAAGAGCCAGAGCCTCCAAAGCAGAAATGGTACAACTTCACCATCATCATGCTTACTTTTTCCCTGGTCCTGATATCCTACCACCAAATGGCCTTCGGGTCTGTCTTGCCCATCTATCTCCTCGATAAACGGGACCCTGCGGTTGAGTTGGGACCACACCTTGACATATATGGTGGTTTAGGTTTCACCATTCATGACGTGGGCACATACATGGCCGTCAACGGCATCATCGCCCTCTTTATCCAAGGGCTCATCTTTCCCGTCTTCGTCGAAAATGTCGGTGTATGGCGCTCGTTCCTCGTCACCGTTCTCCTGTACCCACTGTCCTACATACCTATGCCTTTCCTTTCCCTGCTTCTCGGCACCGAGCCGGCATGGCTTCTGCCTTTTGGCATCTACGTGACCATGTTCCTCCAGAATTTCTTTGGCATCATCTGTGTGCCATGTGCCCTGATCTTGCTGAAGAACGCTTGCCCGTCGAGTCTGGTGTTGGGCAAAGTGAATGGATTGGCCATGAGTGCTTGTTGTGCTGCAAGAACCGTCAGCCCGCCTCTCGTGGGTATTATATACAGTGTTGGGGGTAGTTTGGCCGCGTGGTATAGTTGCGCGGCGATTGCTATTCTCGGCTGCATCCAGATTTGGTGTATACCTGAGAATGAGGCCGATGTGGGAAAGGTCGAGGTTGAGAGTGCCTTCAAGCTGATTGAGGAGCACCCGGATAGGCTGCACATTCAAGGAGTGGTGGTTGAAGATGATGTCATTGCAGAAGATTCGGGTTACGAAGATAATGATCGATAAAGGAGTTTATTGAACATGCGAATAGGTCTGGATCTGCCAATCGCATAATGTTGGCGTTTCGCATCTCCGTGAAGCTCCGTATGCATTTTGTCAACAGTGCTTGCAAAGCGCTTGTATTCTTAGTGAGAGGTCGAATCCACAATCACAACTTGCCTCTCTACTTCCACGCATTCTTTTGTAGTAGCTGTTCGTGAGAGCTGTCTAATAATCTTGGCGAGGTACGTACTGGAGCATGGCACTTTTCACTGGTGCCAAAACATCATGGGGCCCTACCTGCCCTGGGTCCTCCATTGGACTTGAAAGCCTCATTGCGGGGCAACTGGGGGTCAATAACCCTTGTCAGTGATAGCTTTAAGAAGGCTTGGCATTATCGACCTCGTCGCGCTAGCTCCGAAGTCATTCCACTTTGATTCCGCAGATTTGCTCTTCACGCTTTTGCTCACACAGCCGCGCTCAGACTTAAGTAGTGATAGTCTTGCGACTTTTGTGCACACAATGTCCTCCAAGCCTTGTTTGTAACAGGAGACCATCTCAAGTCGGTGCCATGGTAAGTCAGCAGCCTCCCGTAGGGCAGCTCTGTCCATCCGAAAAGCTGCAACCCAGTCCAACCCTTTCCACAACTGCCATTCAGAGTCCTTATGGTCAACATGCTAACCATCAATATGGCAGGGCTGCTGTTTCTCCCGTCCTGTGGGCCCCAATGCTCCCTATCCCAGCGGCGCGCCAAGCGGCTCTGCTCGAGCAATCAACTCACCCCAACTTCAAGCTTCGGCACCTGAGGAGAGCGGCCAAATCTCGCAGTCGCACTCCCCCTCGCACCCCAACTCCAACACCCACCGATCCCGAAGACATAGCCATCAACAGCAGCCTTTGTCCCAGCATATCGACAAGCCCCTGCGCCGCCACCGATGGGCCGCCGAAAACCGAACATGGACACCCACCCAGCTAGCCCAAGAGCGTGCCGACTTCTTTGACACCCGGGTGACAGGCCGACCCGAGGTCTGGCAGACGCTGAAGGTTGCTCTCGAGGTCCTCTGGGAGCCCAACGCGTATGATGAGGGTGCAACTGCCATGGCTACTGCCCAGGGCATTCTGAAAGCTGCCGACATCACGCTCCCCACCGGCGATCTTGCGAATGGAGCCTACGACTCGCTGGGAAACCATTATGCTCTACCAGAGTGGATTGTCAGCGATCCCATCAATATAGCCAATGACAGAGACGCGGAGACTGCTGGCGTTGATGCAGACCGCAAAGGAGAGGATGGTCTTGGCCCGGACGTCGAGGTTGGGGATACCACCGACGCACTCGAAGTTGACGAGACCCTGCGACGCCGCGAAGAAAAGGGCAAAGCAGTTGAGAATGTCCAAGACCTCGTTAACGTCCGTGCCCGTTTGAGCGAGAACGCTAGAGATGTTATCATCAATATTGGTTCGGAGGAAAGCGTCAGGGTACTGTCCCGTAAGATTGAGGAAGAGGCTAAGGTACGTCATCCGCCATCCTGCCCACACTTTTCGTCACCACTAACATATGCGTAGCTTCCTGCCACCAAGCGTATACGAGTCGCCTACATGGGCAAGATCCTTAAGGAGAGCTCGTCCCTCCAAGCCCAGGGCTGGCAGCAAGGGCATATCATTAACGCACTTGTCTTCAACGCTTAGCATTCTTTGGTTGAGGCGCTGAGCCAACATAGTCTGACAGTTCTGCTGAGCACGAAATCGAGGAGAAGACCAGAACGACGTCAATTCCCGATAGGTGTTTTGACTCCGATGGCATCGCTCAACCGCGCATCTCAGCCGAACATCAACAGTGAAAACAGCGTTGATCCCTTATGAATGCTGGTATCGAGTACCTTATATGGGACCCTTGTATTTCACAACTTCCTTGGTCCGAACATGTGTACGATCATTTCTATATGGTCTGATGACCGACGTTGTGTCAGTCCGGTCACCACCAATTGCCCAATCCTTCCAGCGCACACCGGGTTTTCTCAGCCTCGCGCTTACTTTTCTGTTTGCATTGGTCAGGATAATACCCCATTTCCGTTGTATCCCAGGAGTTTCAGGCTTGGCACAAGGATGGCATAAGCACAGCAAGTCATATTTCTATGACATAGCGAATAGGAATCCTCGTAACTCAGAACATTGATTCTCCAGGTACTCTATCAGAATATCGTATATAAGTCTTAATGAAGATGTTGTACAGTATACACTGAGTACAGCTGCTCTTCACGTGTTCATTGGACGGTCCATGTAGACAATTCATGAAAGCCGAAGACGTCCAAAGCAGCCTTACAACCTGACGTGCCAGCTCTATTCCTCTGAATTTGAAGCCTGTCATATGGCTTGCGTATCTGTGGCGCGCCAGAATCTTGGGGCAACTTCTCATGAAGTATCTTAGGCCACATCACGGCATGCTAGTGACGCCCCCAGCTAAATATAAATCAGATATCTGGGTAGTGGTCACCTCAACTCTCCAAAAAGGCTCAAACGGCCCTGGAATGGTCGCTCCATACTTCCTAGCCTTCGATCACAACTTTAATCACTAATTCATCTTGAATTGGGCCTGAGCGATGGTTGCATGTCACTCCAGCCCTGGTATGAGTTCCGGGGCTGAGGCGGGCCTGCATTGTACGGTTTTCTAATTACGTATCATACAACGTTTTACTCATGAATTTTAGCTTTAGAACGACTTTACTTTCACTTTACATTCTGAGTTTGACATATCTCTCTAAAGTCAATATCAATGTGGGAAATGTTGTATGGCTACACTTAAACTTGAGACAAAGTATACGAAAGAGATAGCTTCAAGCTTGATATAATACACACTGCTCCATCAAAAGAAGTCAACAAGAGATCGGGGATCAGTGTTTGGTGATAGCCTCAGGGCAAAGCATGGCAGTGGAAGCTGCAAGAGCATAAATCCTCCAGGAGATATGGTGCTCATGGAAGTTGAATTGCATATTAAGCATGGAGGTAGGGGCCCAATGAACTGTTAAGCATGAATGGCCATTATAGCCGCACATGTTACAGAAGCAAAAAGGAAACGATCCTTCCCAAAGATCGCATATACTATAAATAATTGAGGTAGCGATATATATATATATAAACACATACACGTTTATACTTCATTGAGAGTAGCAGCTAGTAAATTTCACCAATTAGGAGAAAGACCGTAAATACGTCCTGAATTGCTGTTAGCAATACCTGATATTATGACCTGAAAGACACACAAGTGGCTGAGACCTTTGTGAAGATATCAGCCCGCTCAACGGTATCACACAGATCGTTGGCCATGGTGGTTTTGATTTTAGTGAACAGTCACGTAAACAGCCGCCTCATTATTCGGTAAGATTCTGTCACCGCGTGCTGAAAGCTCTCGGCAAACATCGCCCCAATGGAGTATACATAGGCACTTTGGTAGACTTGGGAAGGTAAATTTCTGTGATAGTACGTCGTCAATGTACCACGACGTGCGGATCGGCCAACACGAGTTCGTGCATGATCAAGCCCGAGGCATCACTGCGTCAATTTGTGCGGATGGACCCGCGCAGTGTGGATTTCAACGCACATGTCGCCGTGCGATGATCCCTTGGCTCCGTCGTCTCTTGGATATATGCCTCGCATATAAAATAGGAACTCAGACATGGTCACGACCTTTCGATAGAAGGAAATTGACCTATACTGCCCTTGAAGGAGGTAATCCAAATAATGAATCATGTCCTTTCAGATAAAGTGGGCAATGCTCATTTCTCACATGAAGTCGGTAACTCTTTGGCATTGTTGTACTAAGCCATTGTGTCTGCTGCGACTCTAAAGACCAGAGATGTCTCCAAGACAACACAGGCAGAACTTATTTATAATCTTGAAAACGGGCTTATGGAATGAGAACATGTCACGAACGAGCTCGCCATAGCGGACCAAAGTTTGCTTCTCTACTGTTCGTGGCTAGTACCAAGTGCGCTTACGACTGAAGAGATCACATAGACCAATCAGGTGGCAACTAGCCAATGACAATATCCCCCCCCTGAAGCACCTCATCGCAAAATATATCACGACAGCCAACCCCGCCATTGCGACAGCCAAAGGTCCAATTAGCATGGTTGGATTTGAGTCCTGAGACGTATCTAAAGGCCTTGCCTCCCCTGTATTTATTGTCTAGTACTGATTCAGATGCAATCCGCTGCAGGTAGTGTGGGTTCGCAACGGCGAGGTTACTGGTTTTGAGCTCAGAATCTCCGCTACATCTCCCTATCCCGGTGTCCGAATATACATGGGTCACTACAGAGATGTATTCAAGATGTAGGCGTGAGCCGACGTCGATTTCCTACTGAGCTTGCATCTGTTCGGAATTTTGGACTAACACTACCAGGTCCAAACTTCGCCGATCACTTTCAATCTGTGATCCATCCGAAGTCGTTCCACTATTGCCCTTCATGGTCGTCAAATGCAAAGATGAGCCGCCAAAGGAGGTGGTGGTCAACAGCCCGTCCCAGAATAGCCGCGGGCCTTCGGACGAGTTCGAAGCAGTCGAGCCAAAGGCACCGTGGTGGTCGTATATATGGGATTATGAGCCGGAAAGATCTCACGAGGAACGCGTCTTCATCCAGAAGCTTGACATGTTCTTGATCACCATGTTGTCGTTTGGTTACTTCATCAAGAATTTGGATCAAAGTGGGTAACCCTCATTCTTCCCTTCTCTGAGACTGCCTTATATACAAGTGGCATTTAATAACATCGAGAGTCTGTAGCAAACATAAGCAATGCTTTCGTTAGTGGAATGAAAGAAGACCTGTCTATGAATGGCAACGAGATTAATCTTATTGACACGGCTTGGACGGTTGGTTACGTCATTGGCCAGATCCCGTCACAAGTCATTTTGACCAAGGTTCGGCCCTCCATCTGGGTTCCGTCGTGCGAGCTTTTGTGGACTCTCTTAACCTTCTGTCTTGCCGCTGCAAAAACGTCGAATCATGTCATCATAATCCGATTCTTTGTCGGAGTCGCCGAGTCAATATTCTACCCGGCAGCGCATACCATTCTTGGATCTTGGTATAAACCATCGGAACTAGGGAAACGGGCCTGTATATTCCACGCTTCGTCAGCCGTGGCTAGCATGTTCTCAGGATATCTTCAGGCTGGGGTGTACACGGGGCTCAACGGGGTTGGCGGACTCCCTGGGTGGAAATGGCTGTTTGTGAGTCTCAGCGACAGTCGATTTGCAAGAATCTTAATCTAACCACGGGCACAGATTATGGACGGAATTATCAGCACCCCAATCTGTATTGCTGGCTTTTTTTTGCTGCCGGATCTCCCCGAAGACACGAAGGCCTTTTATCTCAATGAAAATGTACGTGTGCTGCTCTCTCGATAAGCCGTCCTCCTTCCTTCTAACCGATGTATAGGATCGTGTCCTGGCCAAGAGACGCATGGAAAGTATCGGCAGGGCACCACGTACAAGATTGGGACGCTCAGCATTCAAGCGTATCTTTGGTAAGACTGTACGGGTACATACTCTGTGTCAGATACTGATGTGGGTTTTAGGCCGTTGGCACGTTTACCTCCTCTCGATCCTGTACATCATTTTCATCAATACAGGACCGTCGAGCAGTATCAACCCCATGTCTATCTGGCTCAAAGCCAAGGGTTTATCTGTCCAGCAAATTGTGGGTTATCAGAGGTTGTTAATCTCAAGGCCAAGCCTTTACTGACAGGAACGCTCGATAAGAATATCATACCTACGGCCGCTTCAGCTATTCAGCTAGTCCTCACCGTGTCTTTCGCCATGGTGTCCGACGCCATCCGTCACCGTGCGCGCATCATGTCTCTCTCGACCTTCCTTGGTGGATTCGCAGCCCTTGTCCTAGCAATCTGGAATATTCCAGATGGGCTCAAGTGGTTTGCATTTCTTCTTCAGCGTGCGGCCGTTCCATATGGCCCACTTTCTATCAGTTGGGCTAACGAGATCTGTGGCGCTGATGCGGAAGAACGCGCCATTGTTATCGGAATCATGAACTCACTGGGATATGCATTCAACGCCTGGTTGCCATTGCTTACCTATCCGCAAGTGGACTCGCCCACCTTTAAAAAGGGCTTCATCTTCTCGGTCGCTGCTTTTGTAGCCCAAGCGGTTATTACAGCAGCTGTGGCCTTCATGTACAAACGGGATCAGAAAAGGGCAAAGCAAGAGACGGCAAGAGACGAGGAGGGCGTGGAAGTACGTTCATCTGATGGTGTCACAGGTGTCACAGCCTAGATGGCATCAGCCATAACATCCATGTGCACAGGTATGAATTCACGAAATATGTGTGTATGTGTTCGAACTTGGTAGCAAAAGCAACGGGAATAGCACTGTGAGCACGATTTGGGACGGCGATACGATGCAAAGCCGGGACTATTTTATAGGCACGTGATTCGTAGATATAACTGATCCCTGGTATCCAATCCTATACCAACTAAGCAAGTATTCAACATTAATCATACTATATTGGGGTTCAATTGCGTTGTATATGCTGTTATACTCTCGTGCTTCAGGTTTGAAGGGACGTAAAAAAAACAGGAAATAAACTAACCAAAGTTCAACTCTATAGGGAAATTGACTGCTTGAGATGATGTTTATGCTTGTTTACTATACTCACATATTGGGTTACACTGTACTTGCCACTATTGGCATGCCGTTAATACCCTCAGAGGTATTCCCACATAGCGGAAGGCAAAATCAATGGCGCACCCAGGTACAACAACTACATTACGTCAGTTTGATATGCTGAAATACCGAGCTAATTCATGCGATTACACCCTTGGTTGTGTGTTTTATTTTGTTATACATATTCTATCCTCACCACGAAGTATCCGCCAAATGCACCGCTGGGTTTTGCCAGGGTCTTATGGGAGTTCGCTATATTTTTGTGTTTTAGAGCAGGGATCGGGTAACGAAGTTGGACAAGCTATATCTGACCACAGCGATGTACACTGTTTGGACATCTTCAGGAGGACGCGAGAAGGCTCACCCAACCTGGCTCAAGTGAAAACAGCTTCAGTGCACATGCTTCATTATTCCAGCTCGGAGATCATCCTTTCAAAACATCATCAATTAACGAAGCCTGCGACTGCTACCAGCCCCTAGTCCTGAAGAAGCAGAACGCTTTGAGCCCTAGCATTGGCAGCGTTAAATCAAGCATATCAATTCGTCATCTGCGGTGGTATGAAACTCAACAGTTGACCTTCCCCTCTATGAGAAGCAAGTTGAGAAGCAGAATAGCTGCAAAGAGATAAACAACTTCGAAGCCGTCAAAAACAAGTGTTACATTGACGACGCCCATGACTCATCAGATACGCATGACCAGGGACGTACAAATAAAACCGTCTGTAGGCGTTTGCCAATGGTGAAGTTCATGAAGTTGTCCATTCCGTCATCAATAGTGTATCCAATCGGCTGGAGATCGCAGTTGGGAATCGAATGCAAGATAAGACCAATGAGCGTCTTGGAGAGTTTTTTATTTCGCTGAATCAGAGCATTGCAGCCTTTTACATCTGCTCCGTTTCCTTCTATCTGCGCGGCGAGAAGCTCGAGCGCAATCCTATCGGGCATTTTCTCTACCCTGGGTACTCGGATAGACTTGAGTTTGAAAATGCTGCAATGAGTTTAGACGAGGAAGCAAGCGTATGCTGCTATGAGAATAAAGGATGCTCACGGAGACTGCTTCAAAATCTTTTTAGGGGTTGCCTGTGAGAGGAGCTGCGAAACTGTTGCGATCAAGAGGCTGGTAGTGGCAAGGGAGAGCAAGTTGCTGAGGTATGCGCAAACTCGAGATTGAAGTGCGGGCATAAGCGGCCATAGCAACCCCAGAAGGTGCTGAAATCGAGGATGAGGAGTAAGTTTGCGAGGAGACCACCGGCAGGTGAAGTTTGTAACACAGCGATCTCTTGATGCTGGAGTAGGATGACGAATGAGTTGAGTTGTATTAAGCTGCTGCATAGCTGAAGAGTGAGACTCGACCTGTACTGAGTAGGGGCAGAACAGATTCTCACCTGGTACTAGTATCAATTCGTAGGCTTACCTACCCAAGAGCTATTTATCCCATGAAGCCAAGAGGAATCTTAGCGATGGGGCTGACAGCAAAAGTCAAAACAGGTCTCTCAAGGCAACTTGAAGGACTCTGCCGGCAGGGACAAAAGACAAGAAGATATTGACTCACGTGCTACAGAACGTGTTCTTGAACTGTTACTTGACCGTAAAAGTTCAAAGTTCATCCATACTGAACAACTCGGAGAACACAGGTGTGTTTGACAAGCTTGCTACGAAATCTGAGGTAGAATCTTTTCCGGGTCGAGATACATCGGGGCTGCAGCGGACTTTACTTCCTCGTGATGGATCGCTACTTGATCCGCCCTCAGTTGATGGTGCCCTTTTGGCTGATGAACGCTGAAGTGGAAGAAGGCACCGCTAAGTACTGCAAGCTGAGTTGATGAGTTGGAGGATATGCGCCACTGTTGTGGAATGTCCAATGGGCATTAGAAATGATATCAGCAGCAGGAAAACGAAGCAGTTCATCGAATACAACATCCGCGCCCGTCAGAAATACTGCGCAACATTGACATGGGTAGTCACCCGTTACGACCCAACAATAAGGTATGTGGAGAGTAGGTTCCTTGATTATGTATGACTACGGGAAGTTTGGAATTACATGCTCGAAGCTATCAATGCAACCGATTCGGCGGGTAATAAAGATATTATTATGAAGAGCAATTATGCTTAGAATGGTCGACTTTAGAATAGCACTGGGCCAACCTCAATGACACAAGGCAAAGACGCAGAAGGCCTCGTACTCCTACACCGACCAATATGTTGACATACAAGGAGAACAAATAATTAAACATCTGGTCGAGTGTGCTGTAATTCTTTGATTGTACAGAACCATATGAGCTATTGCTTGGCCGTGTATAGGCTTGCTCGAATATGTTTTCATATCATCTGAGCCTAGAGAAAAGAATAACACCGTCTAGAACTTATAGCCGTTGGAAGACATTAATAAAGTAGACAGTAGTAGATACTAGTTAGTCATAAAGAGAGCTAGCTATAATAGTACAAAAATATAACGATAAGTTTTCTTCATTGTCATGATGCACATGATAGTAGCTCTGGACTGTCCCTTGTAGTAAAGGAGTGTAGAGTGTAGTAATATTGAGCTTGACTTGAAACCTTAATTCTCGAAGTACTACACCATATGTGGCTTCGAACTCAATCCCGGAACTCGCCAGATATCTTAAGCGAATGGCTATATAATGCTTCTGGCCACGGAATAAATCATGTCTTTTGCTATGCACCTAGGCGCTGCGTACAGTCGTCGAGTTTCCAAGTTAAGAATCATGATTACAAGAGGTATTAGTTGGGCCAACAGTTATCATAAGTCGCAGCATAGAGAACTTCGCACGTCCCTGTCTATTCCTTAAAGCCCGCGCATACTGCCCTGGTGCACCCGAGTCAGAGGCAGTATCTCATAAAGCCCCCCGGTGCGAAATGCATGAGGTCGTATTTTATACCCCTCATGTATTGGGCATCTAAGTGCAATCCAAGAGCCCACTCGAATGAACTGCCGGAGCGTCCAATCATGGTCCAAGCCAGCGTTTCGTGGCCCCTCGAGGAAGACATTGGCTTTCAGTCTGTCGAGCAGGAAGGCGTTTGCTTGGATAAAGTTCCGCATGCTCCCAAACAGTCCCATGAACTCCAATCTCTTGCCATCACACATCTAATCCGTGCTCAACTTCCAAAGCCCATCACCAAGGTAATGCGCCTCTTCAATGACGGGTCCCTTCCCCTTCTCCTTGACCTCCTTCGTGCCCTCAACCAAAAGCCCAACAGCACAAGCCTCCATCTTTCCCTCCGCCCTTACAACAACGGGTTCACCCTTCTCCAGCTCGCGCGTCCACCTTTCCTCTTCATCCATCCCCTCGTCTCCTCCCGCCCCACTCGGTAGCCGCCCGCCCGCGCTCGTCAATCCCGGCGCCATGAGCGTCGCGCCCGATAGGACAAAGCGAATCGCGCCGCGGTCGATGCGTATACTGGGGAACCCGGCGGGAAAGCGGTGGACGAGCTTGAGGTGGGGGAGCAGAGTGTCAGTGTCGATTTGGAAGAACAAAGGTTGGCTGTCGAGGACGTAGAGCGTGTAGCGGTCGGGTAATTTCATGGCCTCTAGAGAGCCTTTTTTCGGTAGGATTTCATCAATGTAGCGGTTAAGAAGCGGGTAGGTTGTAAGAAGGGATTGCCGCAGTGATCGCTGGACTGAGGATTTCAGCTTGGATTTGGGGACTGTGGGCAATCTGGTGATCGATAGACGGTTAGCGTGGTTTATTAGGTGGTAAGCAGTTCAAAGGTGCTAATAGAGTGTGCTTACTCTTTCTTGAACATCTTGACGGATTTGTGCCTGGGGCGCGAGGGAAGAGATTGATTCCCGTGTAGATGGTGATGCTCAGAGTGGTGTTGAGAGCTTGGGAAAGTTTGGAGGGGCAGTCGTCAATTAGAAGAGTGCCCCGCAGTTCCGCAGTTGGGCGAGCGAGGGGCAAGTGGGATGGCGGGGCAGATTCCGTGTCTCGTAGGAGAGCCAAGTATCATGTCACTTGTTAACATGCAAGTCATGATGCAGTCCGCGACCATTTTAGAACCAACAAGACCATATGCGAGGATAGTTCAAGGAGGTTAGATAGTTTAGGATGCCATTTTTCATTGCTCATGTTGTGGTGTGGGAACTAGTAAAGAAAGTCTGAGATGCCCGCGAAAGCTGCAAACCGGGCAATATCCAAGTGTCGCCTCCCCAACCATCCTACTATCGCGGCAAGCAAATTTTTGCGTACAGTTTAACCGTGCTGAACGTGGCTGACGGTGCCATCATCCTTGAGATGGACATTCAATCTTTCGGGCTGGAAGTCCTTGGTGACCATCATTCCCGGTTCAATGACACGGCACTGTTGCGGGAGATCCTTCTTGCAGAAATTCTGAAAACGGCGGCCGTCAGTAGGCTTGGAGATTAGTTGGGACAAATGATTGGACTAACCGTCTCGTCATTGAACTCGTCTGAGAGCTTCTTGCCGACGAGCTTGTTGGACCACTCCTCGGTCTTGTCTCCAGAGCCAGTGCTGGTGATTCCTGGAACGACAAGAGGCATCTTGATAGATCTGAGTTGTGTTTTAGTGGGAAGGTAGATGTAGGGTTTATTTATTTTTGTAAGGCTGCGTTACGACAAGTCGGCGAAGATAAGGAAGTTCAATGTTGAGATACAAAAAGGATATCAACAAGGTCTTACATATTTAAATGTTGGCTGAATTTTCTGGAATCTGGAGAGGACTCACCCATATGGGCCTTGGTGGCCTACAGTCACTGATGACGTACTCCTTCCCGAGATGGGCAGGTTTCGAGCAGAAGGCAGTCAATCACGTGGACAATTGAGCGCTTATCAACGGCGGCTATCTCGCGATAAACTTTGTATCCAGCACTTGGCTCGGCATTTTCGCTCTCAGAAATGACGAGGTTTGTGTAAAACGAAATCACCCGTTGATCATTGTCCATAAACCATCCCTGGCTTTCTAAACTACAGAGTGTAGTGGGGCTGGCGCCCTGTTGTTGGTTCGTGCACTGCAGTAATGATGCGTCCCGCCAACTGCCCAACCGTGAAACCGTTGTACTATTTGCGTGACAGCAGGCATCGATCTTCCTGAAGAGACAGCCGCATCCATTCAACCATCCACGACAAGACGTGGTTGCAGCAGAATATGCGGGTAGGTGGCTCTGTTTCAACTTCGCAAAAGGGGTCAAGCTAGCATGCTTGGTCCGCATTTTCATGGTCTGCGAAACCGCCATGTGGTCTCCAACGACCCCAACAACGGCTTGATAGCTGGTGTAATGAGAGTAGCACCGACCATACTGAACAGAGATTTATCTAATGTATATTGCTGGCAACCCATATTCAATGCTAGTTGGTTGTGAAAGCTCAAATTGGCTCAATTCAGACATGAGTTGGACAAGGCATGATAAGCACTGACGTTGCTGTAGCTGGCTCGCAGAATCTAGCCCATATATAATGCAACTATCGAGATGACGAAGTTGGACACCCTGTATCCATCGTACCTATTCACCGAGCCATTTGCTGGCAGCCTCAGCCACGACTACCTATCAGACCAAGCGCATGCAGGGATTACCACAGCCCCAATATTACTTTGGAGCACTCAAGGAGTTTAGCGCAAGCATCCCAGGCCAAGCTGCCTCAGGGTCCCCGCGAGTCCTGAGTCGCGAACGCAGGAGAATTTGAGAAATTTGATGGATCGCATCTGTCAGACCCCTATTTCCGTTCATTCGCATGTCGGAAGACTCCTTTTTGTGAGATCGCAAGGGTGACGCGGCCGCAAACAGCGTTTTCACGGCGACGCCCAGTATACCCTTTGTCTGCGAAGTCTCACGAAGTATACTGTTCAACAGGAAGCCGCCAAACGAGGATACTCTGTCTGCCCCAACAGTCAGCCTGAAGATATCAATTTGGCCAATCAAGGATGCTGCCTGGGAAGGCACAGATGAGCAACCAACTAGGATGGTGCTTGATCGCACTACTTCGCAGCTCCATGCCCACACTAAAATTAGCTACCGGTAGTATGCACAAGCCGGGAACTCAGCTTTGCTCCTATCCGAGTTGGCTTTCCCTCTTTCTCCCACCTGATGCACGGCCGTCGTGCCCAACGATGCAGTGACACCGCCTGCAAAAGTCCAGCCGACCCCATATTTCTCCCGTGCCCGGAACCCTCATTCACCAATACAGTCGTATATTGTTCGTATGTGTGGATTAAGAATATAGACCCTAGCAAGACCAACGAAGCCGTGGCTGCAAAAGTTTGACGTTGTTTGTGGTGGGCGGATCTCCTAATATCCATCAGCCGTTCCCATCTGAGCTGTGGCTGGGTGTGTCCTCTTCTTGACCCTTTTCGCCTTCATTCAGATCTGTCGGTAACATCTCCTTCGGCGTCTTGGTTCATTGTTATCCTTTTCACAATTTTCAATCTTGTTCAATTGCCCGTGCCACAACATCGTGCCGCTGTCGGACCGAGTTCGCATTTCTCAACTCGGCTAAGCGAGGATTCAGCAAGCAGCTTTGGACCTGTTCGCCTCAGATTTACTTCTTAGGATCTTGCGTTAAACCCGAATCAATATCAACAAGAGAACTACTTGGAAGTGTACGACACCGCCGCAATGCGTGTCTCGCTATCAACAACACTTGTCTCGCTCCTCTTGCCCTCTATCGCAACGGCTACAGTGTCACGAGCAACATGTCTGCATCTCAAGGCTGACGACTTAGCTGATGGCGCAGCCTGTGGCAATAAGGCGGCCCTGCGAAACTGCTTCGCCAATGCTGGTGAACCAATTTCGACCAGCACTCTTGAGAAGTGCTTTGTCAGTGCTGGCTGCACAAACGACGAGTCTGTCTCTGAAGCCCGTTGGATGCTCAAGTACTGTGACAGTAACCCCGATGAGCTGAAAAGACGGGCAGGACCTGGTAGGCAGAACTCATGAAGCGAAACGGTCTACTTGGAGAGACCACTGTATACTGACGGCACGATTAGAACCGGTCCTCGCTCGAGCAACAACCGATACCACGGCGACTACCGATGTGACGACTACTGCAGCATCCACAGCAACATCCTCAGCAACATCCACCGCGACATCCACAGCAACATCCACGGGAACGACGACGGGGACAAGCACAACCGGCACGACGACAGGCACTGCCACCTCGAGCCTGCAATGCTCCACGGCATCTGAGTACGAGACGACAGCATGCGACTCCACCAGCACGAATAGCTGCTCAAGCGTCACCATGACGACGTCGGTGTGTGCCGCCGCTAACATCTGCTCTACCGACGGCACGGGCTGCATGCTCCGCGAGGACAACCTGACCACTTCGGGTGCCATCGTCACCGTCTTCCTCGCCGTTGTCCTCACCGTTGCCATCACCGCCATCCTTTTCCTCTGCTGCCGCGACCGCCGCGAGCAGAAGCGCCTCCACGCCAAGTCCGAGGCTGCCGCCATCGCTAAGGCTGGTGGCGTCCCTAGAGAAGAGCCAGTCCGCCAGTCCGCGAGCGGTGCCACCGGAGCGAACCCCTTTGCAGGCTGATCGTGGGTCGCCGGCTGCGCCGTAAAGTGTGAAGAAGTGGAAGAAAAATATATGTGAGAGAACTAGGTACTTTTGATGAAAATGGAGGCGCAAACTATAATTGCATTTTGCTTTTAGCATGAAATGGAATGGATGCGCATGAGTGCATGTCTGACTAGCCCTGTAAACGATTTCGTTGTGCAAAAGAAGAGAATCAAAAGATATCTCTGGGGAATGGTGTTCACAGGCTGAATATTGGATAATGACATGTATTTCATACTTTGGCCCTGCAATTCACCGGGAACGTATTGGCAGCTATGCTACAACATGACTTGACCTGTTCAGCCGGGGGAAAACAAGTTGGATCTTGTTCTGCCCTTGCAAAGGGAGGTGACGTCAGCAGTGTGAGGACTTCATCTATAAGCTCATAATCCCAAATTTATGAGAGTTAAGAATGCTGCGAAGGAGTTTGGCAAAGATGGAATAACCAAATGTTTTCGTAAAAAGACTAACAGCAGCAGCCTTATATACCGTAGATCACCTACAAATCCTTATTAGTCGAAAGACCTTGGCTCTCCTGGGCGGTTGGCATCACTATCCGTACCGCCTCACCAGCAGTGTACGCCGTCCGGCGTACGTCATTCGAAGCCGAGTATCGTGGTGATGTGCAGGTAACGTACAAGAGCTAGTATGTGGTTCAGCACAAACCAGTTCTTCTATACGCGAACATGTTGGAGGTCATTATGGAAGTAGTTATAGTATCGTGGCGTTAAACCACTACGATATCACTAGGAGTCAAATCGGGAAACCCGTAAAGGACTTTGCCAGACGCATGCATACGCAACAACCCTCTTCTCATATTCGTACTAGAACGTTAACACTGTACTCGAACCTTGCTCCCAGGTTTCGAGGTAGCGTCCAATAACGCGGAAGCACCGTTGTTTCCATCCAGTGACGCACCGTTGCGTCTCATTTGAGTCCACGCCAATGCCAAAAGCAGGGACGATGGTGTAAATGCAATGTAAAGGGAATAAGTACTCGAATACAACGGGCCACAGAGACCGCAGCTGCTTCACCCAGTGTAGTTCTGTGTCCCGTGCATTGAGTGGTGAAGAGGTAGGAAGTTGGTAGAATGACTCTCTTATCATGTTTGTCGGCGGTCAGGGCTTGTGAACCTTCTGGCAGCTCCTGCGATGGACCATCCCTTGGTAGGCCCAAAAAGATTGACGGAAATATCAGCGTCGAGCAAGAATTCGGCTTGCTGTCCTGCTGCAGATACATTCGGCCCGCGGACTTGCCACTAGGATCGGGTGCCGATGGATCCTGGAATAGGCATGCCTACAACGGGACTGCCAATCTCGCCTGGCGCCCCGACCCGTGATATCAGCGGCTGAGATTCACCTACGGCATCGTAGCGGATTGCCACTTTGCCTCTGGTCTCGTCACGCTTAACTTCGAAGCTTCCGCCGCCATTGTGCGGATTGCCTTCAGTCTCGCACATGTCTAGCAGCTCCTGATCGGAAACAGGTTCAGATGAGTTGATTGAGTCCACGTGACCCTGGACGGCTGAAAGGTCGATGTATCCGTTCTCGTCTGCCGCATGATTTTCCAACTCTTTGCATGCACGGCAAAGCATCAAGCGCACAGCTACAGAGCGCGGCTGCTGATGTCGAATGCCAGGTGGGGGACCTCCAAAGGTAGGATTGATCGGCCATCCGTTCCCAAAGCCAGGCGGCGCGAAGACGTTCGGTTGTGGTCCCCAACCATTACCAAGAGGTGAGCCGAAGACAGGATCCATGAAGGGTGGAGCCGCAAATGCAGGCCGAGAACCAGGCACGGCAGTACCTCGTCGTGGAATGTTGATAGCACCAAGAGGTTCATCAGAATCGTCAAGCAGGGCGCTGCTACCTAGGTGGTTGCTGATATCATCCACGTCAGGCTTGGATCGGTTGTCGCTCTGGCGGCGACCATGTACGACGCTCGCTGGTCTGCCTATGGGAGTAGGGCGAGCAATTGGTTGAGCCGAAGCTACAGAACTCTTCGGGTCCAAAGGGCTGTCAAAGCTTGCCGAGGCCTGTCGTGAGTGGGGTGAGAGCTGACCGGGAGCAATGTCACTTGGCAATGAGAACCCTTGATTCATGCCAGGCATTGATTCGCTCAGACCTTGGAAACCGGGCGGCGGGTGCTGCATCGGAAAGCCTCGTCCTACAGGTCCGAGTCCTGGAGGCGGCAGGGGCATACCGCCAGAAGGTCGAAAATTACCACCCATAGGAAACATCGGATTGTGCATCTGATTGAATGCAGGTACCATTGGTATTCCAGGGGGATACGGCATCCCCATAGGAGGCATATCCATCGGGAAAGGTCCTTGGCCCAGGCCAGGAGAACTTCTCATTCCGGAGTTCAGTGGTGACGAAGGTATTGTCGGAGTTCGTATATGGGTTGGCCCGGCAGAGGAGACCTTGCCCGGGGGTCCAATGGGGCCAGGACTTGTGCGGAGTGGCGTCAGGGGATGCGGCGAAGCGTTCTGGCTGGCAGATCCCGGGTGAGATGCCTGGGACACAGATCGAGTGACTTCCTGAGATACTGAGCGTGGCTTCATCGGGGTCGGTGCCTTCGGCAGAGCAGGAGTCGCAACGGCGATTTGAGGCGATGCATGGTTCGTCGGAGGTTGATGGGGCAAGGCAGGTATCGCGGTTACAAGGTGCGGCTGCTTCTTGGGCGCCGTGGGAATCGGTGCAGCTAGGGCGGCTGCCTTTTGAGCTGCCTTTTCCTCTTGTTTCTGTTTCTCCTTGGCATCGCGTTCAGCTTTGGCTTGAGCGGCTCGCTGTTCCTTATCCCGCTTGTCTTTCTCATGCTTCTCCCGCCTCTCGCGCGTCTCCTTCTCCTTGAGCTCACGTGCCTCCTTTTCCTTGGCTGCACGTTCCTCCTTGAGCTTCTTCTCACGTTCTTTGGATTCGCGAGCTTTACGCTCCTGCTCCGCCTGCTTCTCCTTTTGCTCGTGAAGTCTTCGCTGCCGCCCGGCCTCTTTCCTCAGACGTTCGTCCTCCTCAGCCTTCTTTTGCATCTCCTTCTTTCGGCGCTTCTCCTCAGCCCTGGCCTTGGCCTCATCCGCACGTCTTTGCTCATCAGCTAGGCGTTGGGCCTCCTCTGCAGCCTTCTCAGCATCCTTGCGAGCCTTCTCCTCGGCTTGGGCCTGTTTTTTCTGGGCCGCCTTGTCTTTGCGCTTTTGTGCCTCCTTTGCTTTCTTAGCTCTGCGTTGAGCCTCCAGTCGATCCTCGTCTGCGAGTTCCTCCAGAAGCTTCTCTTGTCGTTCCTTAGCGACTTTCTCTTTATACGCAGTCAGCACCCTTTGCTCAAACATACGGGCGGCAAAAATTTGGAACATTCGACGACCCTCTTCCATCCGCTGCTCTTCAGTCATGGTGTCCTGCGGCACATCTTAGCAAGTTTCAAGAGCACGGCTGCGGTAGTTAGCATTTACCTCTTCCTCGTCGTACTCCTCTTCCTGAGAGTCGTACTCCTCATCATCCTCTTCCTCTTCGTCGTACTCTTCGTCGTCAGGTTGAGAATGATTGTGGGAAGTAGACAAGGAACCACCATTAGTAGAGTGGCCGTAAGACCCTGCATAGTGATCCTTGGCATCCTCTTCTCTAGCCATCCTTCGTTCAGCAAGCTGTTCCATCATCTCGATAAACTTCTTGCCGTCGTTTTTTAGGAGGTCGTCGGCTACGGTGAGAATGCCACCTAGATATGTTACTCTTAATGTCTTGATGTAGGCGTAAGAACAAAGTTGAGACTTCATACCCTGAACCGTGAGACTATTGCCGAAGTTGAAAAAGTCGTTGGCATAGTCACGGGGGATTTCCTCGGGTTCGTCCTCATCTTCGTCTTCATCCAGGTCGTCCTCGTCACTGTATTCGTCCACCTCCTCGTCGTCGTCATCGTTGTCTACATGTTCGACTATGCGGCCGCGCGATGGTTGGTGGTTCGAGTACTTGGAGGGGAGCGCGCGAGGAGGATGTAGTCCAGGCATTTGGCCAAGGCGCCTGGGGTTTCCGAGCATTGGAGGGCCGTCCGGATGGTTGTGAGGCTGGTTGGCGAAAGACTCGAGCTCCTCGTAGTAAGCATCGTACAGGCCTTCCAGCTCTTCCTCGATAGCTGTTCGCTTGCGCCCGCATACGGTACAGCTGCAGGTGTGTTTTTGTTGTTCCTTCATTTTCTTGAGCACAGCATCCTTTTCCACCTTGACTAACGACTTGCGCTCATCCTCGCCCAGACCTAACCAAAACTGCTTGATTCGCTCGCGTTCTTCCTGGGAGGAGGTATTCCATATCTTCTCTCTAGAAATTCCGGAGGCGTGCTGCTCAAGCTCACTGGCGAGGGTGCTGACGGCCGTAGGTTTCTGCTTCTTCTTTTTCTTAGCCTTTCTGGACTTGAGATCAGATCCATTGGTGCGCACAGGTCCAAGATGTTGGTGGTAAGCATGGTCGTCCTCGTCACTCTCAGTTTCTTCGTCATAGTCCTCCGGGTTTAGGCCGTCATTGGAGGGTCGCCGATCGTTTGGTGAATCATGCAGGGGTGCATGAGAGCTCTTCCGCGGAGCAGATGTGGGTTGGGCGTGAGGGAGAGGCGCACTGCTCGTTGAGGCAGGACTAGGCAGGCCGTTGGCAGCGTTTGCGCCTTCTGCTTCTGCTTCTGCTTCCGCAGCTGCTTTCGCTGCGGCCTTTGCGCGACGCTTCTGCTTCTTCCGGTTGACCATTGGCACTAGGGGGCCATTGGCAGACGGAGCTGGAGTATTTGTGGATGAAGTCGTCGTGGGCGAGGGCTGAGCTGGCGGGGTAGAAGCCGAGGACTTGGGTACGGTGATCGTTTTAGTCCCATCTTTGTTTGTGTACTTGGCGGTAGGTGCCTTCAGTGCAGGCGATGCCGGCGTCTGCAATGCCGGCTGGCGGTTGTTGGCGGGCATTCCGGGCGAAGATTACGATGCAAAGCCGGTCGGAGTCATGTGCGAAAGTTGCTTGCCCTCTGAAAGGATGCAGTTTAGCACTGAAAGAGAGTCGATGAGCTAGATCACAGATCACAGATCATAGGTTGAATATGCAGCTGCTTCGCGACGGGGAGGCCTTGTTTGGTGGAAGAAAGCAGTTGCCGTCGGCAAGGTTCGATGTTGTCGCGCTTGCCCCTCAGCTCAAGCGCTGCAGCTGTACAGTGTAGTGGGTGCAGTGTAGTGGGAATTGGCTTCGGTTGTTGGCTGGTTCACCGGTCCCGAACCAGAACCTTAGAAACGGTCGCGTTGCAGGAATGAATCTCGACTGGGGCCTGGAAGGGGGCGACGAAGGGGTCTGCTGTGGAAAGCCCAGCAAAATGATGCTCTGACTGTATCGTGGTGTCGTACGCTGGTTGGCTTCCGTTTGTCGCGGGAGCCCTTTGGGAGATTGGCGTTTGGCGGATGTGGTTCCTTGGTAAAGTGGTAGAATAGCCCAGGCACCCTGTAATATGGCGTAATGCAATACTGTATGCCCCAAAGCCTCACTGTTACAGCGCTGAATTGTGTCAGGCTGGTTGCTTGGTTCCTTCGCTGTGGCAGGCGCCAGGCCTGCACTTGCAGGACCGGTGGCCCAGCCAATATGGCCCGTGCATATTCACGTGACTTTCTTAAGGTCGGAGGCGGCAAGAGCCGAGTTGCACCTGGTGCGTGCGGTAACCTAACTTCGAATGAAATCCCTGCAGTCTTTGTTATATCAGACAGTGTGACTAGAGGGAAGCTTGCGGAGTCTGTCAATATTGACGCCTGCGGATCTTGCAGCTCGCGGGGTGACATCTACGTGATGATCAACAGACTGTTATTGATCAGTTGACTGATTTTAATGACTTGCAATATCTAAAACATGTCTATGCTCAAGCTTCGACTACAGATTATGGGTGACTCGTAAGCCAGCCGTCGCCGCCTCCTAATCATTCAAAAGACCACAGCATGGTTAGATGACTATTATACTGAGTACTACATTACAGTACGACAGCCCCAAAAAGCCTTGTTGAAAAGGTACTTAAGGAGGGACTATTTCCAGCTTACTAACGACCCACAACCATGGAGGTACCCACTCCAATCTCCATTCTCTCGGCCTCACCAAAGATGGGGTGCGACGGCATCGCGGAGTTATGAAACAAACTAACAAATCCTTCTAATTTCTAACGACGCAACGGTTAATAGTACGAGCTCGGGAGTAAGCCGCTTCTATTAATATAGAAAAATACTTACCTTAGTACTACATAGCTAAAACGTAAGGCACTAGCGTATAATACATACTATATATAATGTGATTTGTAAGCGAGTCGCGTACTTTTCGATATACTATATTTTTAAAGTCTAATTACGCGACTTAATATATTTATCGAAATACTTAACCTAGTATAAAATTTTTCGTTATCCGTCTATTCCTTAATGGAACGAAACCTCTAATAGTCTAGCTGCGTAAACCACTAAAGAGTCTGTAAGGGTTTGTGCAGTAAGTAAGTCCTGCTGCGGAGTCCTCAAGCAATAATATCGGGGTATAGTGCTTTGGGGTAACTGAAGTATTCAAGTAGGGTAACTGGGAATAGAGTCGTCAAGGCAGTTTGCCTCACCAATGGGTTAGATTGATGCTTAGATTGATCACTGAAGTAGGGACTGTCTATCTATGAAATGCCTGGGAGTCCTGTCCCTTATATATGCATTCCCTCCTTCACTGATAACTGGGGCCATTAGATCCTTCATGGATACTATTGGTCCTAACTGGATATGTTGGATCATTTCATATCCAAATGATCCACCCTTGTAAGTCACGTGACTTGTGATCCTTGCACCAGCTGACTCCTCCTGCAGCTAGCCACTCCTGTGTGACTTTCCCCTCCTTCTTTGTCCTGTATCCACTGGGCCTGCCATCGGGCCTGTTGCGTTGGTTAGAATCGTAGATTCGTAACAATTCAGTTATATTACGTACTAACGCGAACTGCGCCGAAATAACTCTTAAATCTTTATTCTTAGCCCTTTAATATTTATATGTACGAGTAAGATAAGTTTTTAGCTGCGGGTTTAGTCTATAAATCACCTCGGTTAGTACTTACTAATGTCACGACCTGGGTTGCATCGCATTGGTAGAGACCTCGATTAGGTGCTATCGACGAAGATTCTACTCTAAGGAGCGAAGGAAAGAAGATCACAACTTAGGTTTGAGGGAGCGCGACTAAGTCGTCCACGCTTGGCGGGACTCCTACAAGGGTTATGATTGGCTTCCCATCTGACACTGCCATGGCAGGTGTTCCAGCTGTAAGTCACCTGGCTGTAGTGAGTCTGCGAGGGTTGACCTTCACAACTAATAGGCTTACTACCGTGAGACTTAAGTAGAAGATTAGCTATATCTTTAATACTATCGAGTCTAACAGGTATCTCTCGCGAATCTAGATCGAGTTCTTACTTAGTAATAACTATCTCTTTAATATTGACTATTTTCTGTCTTCCGTGCATATAGCTAGGTTAAGAAACGTAGTATTAGGGTAGTCGCGCTAATAGGACCGAATTGCGTATACGCCGCTATAGTAACTACGGAAATACCGGTTATAATACGCGAACCTATAATAAAGATATATAATCAACTAATTTATTAGATGTAGATTAATTTAAATTGATTTATAGCGTTATAGTTGCGTAATTAGACTTTAAAGATATCGTATATTGAGAAGTACGTACTCGCTTAGGTACGCGACTCGCTTGTAAACCCCGTTGTTATGAAACCTGTTTATCAGAATTATAGAAACCCTTAACGTGAATGTACACCTAGCTGGCCACCCTTACATAACCTCGCATAGAAATTTTACGATAGTAAAACCACAACGCCGTAAATCAATTGAAACTACTCTGAATCTTCCTCTCCAGAAGATGGCAATGCGATCTTACAAGTTCGCGCATTATGCCCAGTCCCGTTGCAAATACCACAGCGCCTCGGGCGCGTTTCAACACGCTTTGCGCGACCACCATTTCGGCGCTCTTCTTGCTGTATCTGCGTCGCCAACTCCCTAGAGTCCCGTATGTCCTGTCCTTCTTGGAAAATAAGTGATTCTCCTTCCCGTAATTGCATTTTTTTAGTCCTCCGGCGCCGGCTTAGCATCTTATTTGCCTCTCCAAGCTCAGCGCACTCGGCCCGTACGAGGTCGAGCTCGTGCATTATCATTTTTGCTCCCTTCGCAAACTGGTCGACAGCTGAGAAAATATTCGTCGGAGAGCTATTCTGATGCTCGGAGATGCGCTTTTTCAAATAAGTAGACTGTGCATGAGCCTCTATCGGGTTCTGTGGCATCTTTGATACCCACGGTCGGGTTTGCCATTGCTTCCATATCAGCAATCCGGGGCGGAAACGCTCGTGCATCTAAGTCCAGTATATGCTTGATAATGACCTCCTCTTCTAATTCTGTCATAGTTCGTGAATTGGGCAAAATATCGCGTCGGAAAGGTACGCCGTTTTTACGCGTTTGGAGGGTGCTTCGGGGGACTTGGTACGTTTTTGCCGCTTGTCGGAGACTAAGTTTTTGGTCATTTTTGAGAGCTTGAAGGGCTAGCATTAAGTCTGCTTCGTTGTATGACTTTGCCATAATTGGTTGTTGAGAAAATCAAAGATGAAGTTGGCCGGTCGCGTTGGCGCATGAAAGTGGCCAGCTCGGTGTCATGGCCAGCTCGGTGTACATTCACGTTATCTTAGATACCGTACTTAGCTCTTATATTTCGTATAAGGTCAAACTATTCCCAAATATTCTTAGTATCTTCGTATAAGGCTCTCTAGTAGTCGGATAGGTGATTTAAGCGTATCTAAAGCTCTAATTGCCGTTATATGAATTTAAAAGCCTAGTACTTACTAACGTGTCTCGTGCTACACTCCGCAAGTAGGAAGTTAGCTATATTTTCTATATCCTTTACCGTAGGCGGCAACCCTTTCGAATCTACATCTAAAATATACTACAGAATAGCCTCTTCTTCTAGTTTGATTAACATTTATTAAATTAGCTCAGCTATCGCATCTTATAGGTTAGCCGCTTATTCTATTATGTAATACTAAGTCTAGTATATGATAGATAGCTATAGCCTTACGACGACTTAGTTTTAGGTCGTTTTCGATAGCCTAGATAGCTAAGTTTAACTTAGCGTCTTTTATGTTAAATTATATAATTGGTCGTAGAGAGATAGGGTATAAAAGTTGAGGCAGCGTGTTTTAAGGAACAGTGCACGACTTGGTTATAAGCTATCTTATACTTAAGAGAATTAATCACAAGTACGTAGTATACGCTAAAGCCCAGGCAAGGACACTAAATATAGTGATATTACGGTATTACTTCTAAAATATGAAAGCGGCGAAGCTGCCGTACTAGCATAGAAAGCTATCATATTATTAGAGGTCGCGCTAACGGAAAACTGTTAAAACTGTCAAGCTGACAGGCCGATCTTCCAGACATGGTGTAGGCGTGCGGTAGTCTCTAGCGAAGTTCACAGTGTAGTTTCGTAATATCATAAGTACCTCTTGCGAAGGAAACGTCACCTCCTTCCATTGCGCCTCTTGGTCCATAAGTCCGGTGCTCTCGTATGAGAATCCCATTGGTACCATTCGACGGTATAGCCAAGTCTGCCAGGTAATACTCCAAGCCGACCCTCAAGATGATTCAGCAACATGCTTCCAGTGAACCAAATTCTCATAGTCTAGACGAGAAGAGAGTACCATCAGCCTGTATCATTATTGCTAGAGCGGTGCGATCTAGAAAGCAGTCTCCGTGCCCCCAACAGTCTGAACTATCTCGGAGGTCCAGTGCAGCAGTGCCAGCCCAATCATTTTGACCTACATTAGGCTACTGGCAGCATTTCGACATCTCATACACAAATCCAGCATGGGGCAGTATGACAAGATCACAGCTGCTGCGTTGTTGGGCGAATGAGTGGCGTGGAAGCTAGACTTGCATCACACCCTTCTTGTGTTGAGACATGCAGCCGTTTGGTGATCTCCATCGATACCAACACTAGACGCGTCAAGATCGGGGGCGGTCCGATAAATCGTGGTCATATCAAGTGATAGATCGGATGGTGGCTGTTTACCGCTTCTGGGATGGATGTTGATGTTCAGAGTTCGCTCCCAAAGTCAATTGGCAATAATGAGATCGAGGCTTGCCAGTACACTGGTTAATAGCAGTTGGTAACTGTTTTCTCTCTGCTTCTGAGTCTGGACCTCCGGAGAAATCAAATTATGAACAGCCAGTTGACATTGCGAGGCTCTCGATCTTAAGCGGCAATAAGTCGTCCAGTCCCTTTCTTCGGCTTGCATTACTTGGGATTCACATTCACAGCCCCAACAAGCTGCAATTGCAGCGCCTCAGCTCTTCCTCTTGGAACAAGCTAATGCCTGTAACGTTCCAGGGCCGTCTAGAGCTTCAGCGGTTTCTCGCATCAATTACACATCAGCACATAATGATTAGAGCGAACTCTCTGGCCACCAAACCACAAGAATCGCGCCTGGCCTGACTCAGCTGAACGTGGCAAAACATTAGAAGCATAGCAATATTTCAAATACCTTGCCCACCATCTGTTTATTCTCAATCCAAAAGTTCCCAAAGTAAGAGACTCACTATTGGAATTACCTACCCTTACTCCATTGTTTACGTAGCAGGCATCTCTCCCACCGCCATCAAGGTGCAACTGTGCAACACTGGAATTCCCCTCATAGCGCGGCACGTCTTGCTGCAAATGACTAGGATTCGCGACTTTTCCCGCTTGACTTGGAGCAACCCAACTGGGCGTGTCTTTAAATTCTACAGACAGTCCTGCCCAGTTTTTGATCGACAGCCGAGCGCCCGCGCCTTGTGCTAGACCCTGCTCGTATTCAGCTACGACAACCAGGACCTCGAGCAGCAATTTTTCGAAGCCCAAACGCCATTTCCGAACTCCTGAGCGCATCTTTCGAACCAACACGCCCCAATTTCTTCGTCTAATTCCTAACAAGAAAACCAGAAGTTAGAAACACGATACACGCCAATCCTTGGGTTCCAGAACCACCAGCGCGCTTTCCCCAAAACCCAGACGCCCGAACAGAGGCGCGCCGAGGCCTGTCCACCAGACGAACTGTCGTTCCAAGCTAGCGAGCTCTGTAAACCCCGGAACTGAGGACGGCGACGCATTGAAGTGTATAACGAAAACTGCGGAACCCTGACCATCTTCTCAACTATCTCGACTTGTGTTGTCGACTGCACGGTACACGCGACGTCGACAATGGCGAGCGCAAATGCAGGCAATGTCATCCGCAGGTACGTAACATTTGGGCAATCTGACGATCTCATCCCTATTGCTTCCTCCTTTCTACACGAGATCCCTGCTGCGAACTCCAAATGTCTCAAGACAACCCAAGCCGCCCGACGTCATTAATCTGGATCTCTTGATTAATCCCCGACTACCGTACGGTTGCGGCTCCTCTGCTGAATGCGGTTCATATGTGCTGGACCCTGTAGATCATTGAAACTGGCGATGCCACGTCTTTTCGTTGATGATGTGAAGAGACGGATGGGAGGAAGCTGACGGGAGTTGCATCACAGGAAATTGGTCATCATCGGCGATGGAGCCTGCGGCAAGACCTCCTTGCTGAGCGTCTTCACCCTTGGATACTTCCCAACAGTAAGCCATGCATCATTTCCGGCCTGTTCTCTCACGACATTGCTAACATCTTGCAGCACTACGTAAGCCGACCAACCCGCACTCAATAGCCCCTTTTAGTCAGTAGTTGAGAACCCTCCGATTAACGAGCCAATTCAATTTCGCAGATACCCACAGTCTTCGAGAACTACGTAACCGATTGCAGAGTCGACGGCAAGTCGGTGCAACTAGCATTATGGGATACAGCAGGGCAGGAAGACTACGAGCGATTGCGGCCCCTCGCATACTCTAAGGCACATGTGATTCTGATAGGATTCTCGATTGATACGCCGGATTCCCTGGATAACGTGAAGCACAAGGTGCGCCTCCAGTCGCTGCAACCGTCTTTCTAATTTCGAATTCAATCCGAGGGAGTTTAGGCTGACAAACCTGTGCAGTGGATAGAAGAGGCACAAGAGCGCTGCCCTGGAGTGCCCATCATCTTAGTAGGACTCAAAAAGGATCTGCGGGATGATCCGGTGGCAATAGAAGAGATGCGCAAGAAATCGCAGAAGTTTGTGACGGAGCGCGAGGGCGAAGCCGTCGCACACGAGGTCGGCGCCCGCAAGTACCTCGAGTGCTCAAGTCTGAGCGGCGAGGGCGTCGACGACGTATTCGAGGCAGCCACACGAGCTGCCCTGCTAACATTCGAAAAAGGCGAGGGAGGCGGATGTTGTGTTATTTTATGAGCGGGTGCTCCTATGGGAGGAGTCAGATTGTGATGGGACGCGGGAGGACAAACGGAGAACGCGAGGAATTTGTATGAGATGCAACCAATGGGGCAAAGATGTTGGGATTCCGGGACTGAATCCAGTTGAGTGCCCCTGAAACGACCAACAGGCGAGATGGAGACGTACTTAGCACGGCGCGAAACCACAGCCAGCACGATTCGGCAGTGAATACAGCCAGGGACAATATTCACGACCAGACTGACTGATTTGATCACGATGGGCTCAACGAGTGTTCTTCTACACATGCCTGGGAGGCAAGGGTGTATTAATAGCTATATAGAAGCGACGCTAGTGGTTCGGGGCTTGGGCTCTCAATGCGTCTAATCAGTTGTATTCTGGGAAATCAGCCGACGGAGGCGGAGAGCCAGCTGTTTAGTTAGGGACAAAATGCAACCAATTATGCCGAGAAAATGTCTGTTTGGGTCTGTCTAATGCCGTATTACTCATACACTACTCTGTACTGTCTCCCTGGCGATCAGCCGCATGGAATATGAACATATTACAGTGAGCTAACGTCTGTTTGCACGCGTTCAGGTCCACGATCCTGCCGTCTCGTGAGGTGCGTGCAATGTCCCCATAACCACGAGTCATCCTGCTTTGGTGCTGGTATAGCTCAAGGGGCTATGATGGTGGGAGGGAGAGTATTATATCGATACACGCAATGGAATGCTGAATAACAACGAACCAACATCATCGAGGCCCTCACTCGCGCGTCCATCCATGGTTCCACGCCTCGCGTGCCGGAGTTTCGGTTTGGGGTCGCGCGTACTCAATAGGGATACTGTTGTGGCCATAAACGCCCTTCTTCTCCATCGCTACTCGATAGAGATATCCCTCGTCACGTGTGCCAGGTCCGGACGTGGTGCGCAATTCCTCGCAAGCATTGCTCATAGACTGGTACGTCCTATTCCAACATTAGTTTTCATTTTAAACCATCATGATTCTAGTGACACAAGATATTCAGCGTCCGGTTACGAAAGCAACTTACCGCATCAGTTCCCGCTGTTCCCGCTCTCGCTCCTTACGCTGGAACAGCAACCACGCGCGATGTATGGTCCAATGTCGTAGTGCACGGTTGCGGGCGAAGCGCAGTGGTGCTGGGACTCGGCGAGAAATGGAGAGCTTGATGTTTCTGATTCTGGGGTCAGGCTCATCGCCTTTGTTCTTCTTCTTCTTCTTGCCTTTGGACTTTTCTTTCGCTTGAGAGGTTGACGAGACAGAAAAGAGTCGAGATTGTGCCACACCAAGGCCCAGTCGTGCCGTGGTAGCTGTAGCGGCTCTGCCGCATGATACGGCGTTGGTGGCAGGACAGGGCGAAATCGAAAGCCTCTTAAAGAGGCAGTAAATGGAGCTCGCCATAGTCTTTAAAGTAAACGGCGTGTTTGATTAATTATCCGTTTTTGTAGGAAGTGGTGAAGACAGGGCGGCAGACACAGAATCAGAAGCAACCTCGATGCTGTCCTCGATTGTCTTTGTCGCGTCGGCAGCCTTTGCTGGCTTAGCCCTCTTCCGTGTTGGCTGCGAAGGGTCCTTTGGCGGCCGTCCTCTTTTTCGCTTTGAGGGCTGCTCCTCTGGTATAATCAGACTGGTTTGCTTCTGAGCTCCAGCAGAAGTGACCTTTTGCTCTGTCGGAGTCGCAACGACTTGCTGATTTGACGAGGTGGAGATGGCTGGCTTCCGGACATTGGACGATGCCCCTTGTGATCTCTGAGCTGGACCAACCTGCTGGTGGTGGTCACTGGACGTGTTCCTTTGCCGTGATCGCTCAGCCAATTGCTGCCGAGCCAATTTGTCCCGGGCCAGATGTTGCCGAGCCAGCTGACCCAATTCCTTCTGAAATAATTGTTGCTCAACGGATTGCTGCTGGGCCGGTTGCTGTGGTTGCTGTTGAGTCAATTGCTGCCGAGCCGATGCCAACTGTTGATTCGTATATGGGACCTGATCCCCCGACGCTCGGTCTGCAGGAACAGGCAAGTTGCTCCACGGGTAGTTGTTCCACAGCGCGGCCTCCCTGGCAGCTTCTTCGCGCTCTGCACGTTCGGCACGGTTTTGTAAGATTAAGTCGTCGAGGATGGGCTGATGTGTGACTACACGAATGGCTGCTTCGCGCAGCTCTTTAAGTCGTGTGGTGTCGAAGGGTGCTGGTTGGGGGAAAACCAATACCCCTCTATAAAACTCGTGTGAATTCTATTCAAAACGTATGGGTTAGCTGGAGCTTCAATGAAAGATCGAGTAAAGTCGGCGAAGCCAAGAAAAAGCGGATTAACTAAGCACCGACGAAACCGGACAGCTGGTTACTTCCGCAGCCCTCGGGTAACTTCCGTTAGGCGTTCCTCACATGTCAATTTTAGTTCCTCGCGAACTCAGATTTCGTTGATATAGATGTGACCGACAACCGCCAGAACGACTTTTGGCAAGATGCGAGTTGAAGAGAAAGTGAGACACATACCTTAATTTTTCCAGCTTGCTTACGAGGATCGTAGATAAGCACCTCGTCGGGATAGCCTTCCTGGATACAACGAATAGCTTCGTCTCGAAGCCATACACCCGTGTAATAAGTGGCCAGTTTTGCCATGTCAACCCCACCTGACATGAATTTGAGAAACCCCTCCAAATCGCTCCAGCCCGGTTTCAGCTCTACCTTCTGTCGTTGCAGTTCACACAAAAGCCAAGCTGCTTCCCAAAGTTTGGATCTGGACTCGAGATATTGTGTCGCCATGAAGTTCGGTCGACCTGTATTCTTAAACCTGTCCCGCCACATTTCCTCGAGATAGGAAATATCGACCTTTGCCAACTCGGTCTTAGGTTTTGCCCAGAAGCTCTTCAGTGTGGGCTCCATCTGTTCGGGGTCCTCAGGGTTGAAGCCGAGAAAGGCTACAATTAGATTGACGATAGCTGGAAACACTTCCTCAAACCGACCGTAGCACTGTTCCTTGGTGAATGGGACGGTACCTTCGCCAAGTACGTAGGCTACCAGCTGGCCTGACCGTGTGATCGCCACGCCACGGCGATGCAGCTGCTGCACATTATTCTCATCATCGCCTATATCATCGCGACCAATATATCGCAGGATGTATTCTCCAGGAAGGTAACCCATGTACATTGGATCGTCGAGCAACGTGGAGAAGACCTTGGTTTCCGTTCCGAATACCCTGGCCTTGTAAACGAAGGCTGTTTGGACGTCCTCCTTCTTCTTATATTCAGGTCGGTAGTATTCACGATACCGCTTGAATTCGTTGACACCCATTGTGACAGTCTTCTCGTCGCCCATCAACTTAGGTGGATGTTTTCTTGGTCGTCCTCTAGCGCGTGGTGTCATGGATTGAGAAGGTGACGTATCAAGATCGGCGAAGCCAGGAGCCTTGCGGGTGGGACTGCAAGGTGTATGTTTGCTGTTCGAGAAGGGGTTGCCATTGTGATTGTCCAAGGTTTTCGCAGCTGTGGACAGCAGTGCCTCAACAGTATCTTCCTCAAGCGCCACCAGTCTCTTCTTTTCGTCTGCCTGGAGTAGCAATTTCGCGTAGCGTTGTTTCTCGTGGCCTTGAAGTTGCTCAAATACCAGGCCGAAGTCGAACTTGGCTTTGAACTCTTCCCAGTTGCTTTGTGTATCACCTATGTCCCTTTCATATTCATCCCTGTGCCGCCAATACTCACCCCCTTGTCTTGCCTGCGCCGTGCTTAGCGCAGGCAATTGCGGACCGGTTGGCGCATGGTGCAATCCATCAATGGTGGTTATGGTTCGTTGCGCATCGATTGGGGCGCACTGCTGCGAACTGGCTGAACGGGTCAACGTTCTCTGCTGCCTATCACTAGGTGCCTCGCGTCGCCTAGTGTTCTCGTCACTTCCATTTGCCGGATTCGACGGACTGCCTGTCTTGTTAGGAATAGGCGAGGCATGAGCAGTCTTGGGCACCTCAGGGGTGTCCGGTACAGTGGCCTTAACATATTTCCCAGGCAATCGGTTGACTGCAGCCATGGGGCGGATGCTCGATTGGCCTTGTGGTGTATCACCCTCAGCCATGGCTTCTGGCGGTGCATGCGATGGTCTTGGTTGAAGAAGTACATGCAATGGGTACTGAGAGTCGTTGCACGCAAGTGTCGGTGGTGGGAATTTGGTCGCGACTGTTAGCGAGAGCGATGGTCCTGTGGCAGGTACTAATGGTGGTTGCAGTGGAAGCGATGGTGATTGCGATGAAATCAATACAAAGGCAAGGATGCCGTATCAATGCAACGCAAGAAGATGAAAAATTTGAGGATTGCCAAGATGGCGCAGAGTGGTAATCGTGCTTTGCCGGCGAGTGGTTGAATGTGGCGGTGGACCTGGTTGAAGAGAGGGCGATACACGGTGAACGAGGAACGGAAGGCGCAACCTGACTTAGCAAGAGGACCGGAAACATGACTTTCCGAAATAGCAAGCCAACGCGAAAAGTATGGGACGGTGGCAAAGGGGCTATCTGATGGATGCGTAATAATATGAATTTAGAAGCTTTGGATGGGACCTGGTAAGTAGTCGTCGCTACCAGCTGGAGGCTCTATGTGGATGTTGACGGGTCAACACACTACGCTGTACTCCAGGACCATTCACGAATTCGCTTCACGAAATACTAACGTCTACCTTTACTAGAAATTGCCATCCTGACGTAATCCGATTTCCAAATTCCGGCTGTTTGCTGTAGAAAGCCCCTGAGATCACACTTTCAAACTGGTACTGGTCACCATGCACGTCAAACTTGAGTGCCACCTACAACGAGACACCGCGAGGAAGGCGCCAGATGAAATGTGTAGTGCCCCATCATAATTCAGACAGTCAGAGTTTCTCAGGTAATTCTCGTTCGTTACTCCAGTGGTGCTTCTGGAGGAGTAATCCGCTTTGGAATTTAGACGCCCAGTGGTGGTCCCATGTTGGCCCAGCAGACAACACTCATCTTGCCTGGCTCTATAAAAGTTCGACGTGCGACCTTATTGAATTCATCGTTCTGCACATGGCTACTATGCATTTTTCAGCTTTGTTATCATTCACTCGCTGCTTCATACCCAAACCAGGGGATCAAGACTACAACACCTCGAAAGACCGAGCACCGAAAGCCCTTGGAGCCTTGCCACGATGTCGGCCTTGGAAATACCGACACTTGACCAAGTCCACCATGGCTACCACTACGACTGCCACTACACTCAACCATACCCCGATACTAGGTGTCCCGATGTGAACTATTTCGGTACCTGGGTTCCAACAGACCCACAAGTAAAGACCGGGGAGATCTGTGGCAGAGGCAATCAGGATGAAATGGCACACACTAGGATGGTACTTGCCGCTTCTCTGCGGCTTCTCTTCAAAAACGAAAACCTGGATGATGAGGCTCGTCGACGCAAGGAGGAAAAATCAAAGATTTGGGATAAAAAAGCACTCGAATTTCGTCTCAGCCCAGAGTTTCAGAGGAATCTTCAATATATGCGGGATCGGAGGGCGATGACAGCCCGTATGGACACAGCACCATGCGATGGTGCTTTACATACTATTGGAGCCTGGCCATTGTGGAATATGCCGATGGACAATGCTGGAATCTTTAATGGGGGGATCAGAAGCAGGCCACATCCCAATGCCTTCATGTTCAACAACTTAAGCGCCGGCGAGAAAGATCGCAAATTATCTGTTCTCACTGAAACTGGGACGCTGGATGCGCTCGTCGACACTGGTTCGAGTACTTCCTGTGCCACTCTCGAGGTACTACGTGATCACTTTCCATCGGCGTACCTAGTTCAATGTAACGAAGAAATCATCGAATCGCTCCCGTTCCACGCACCGTCACTTTCGGCGAAGTGGCGTGCGAGAATTCGAGTCAAGATTGTTGATTACCATGGCAAAGGCTGGGATTTCACTCTCGACGTTTTGGTTTACGAAGATCTCCCCGCCGCGCTCCTTTTTGGCAGTCATTTTCTCAGATCCAGCCAGCTGCATGTCAGATAGGGAGGTAACGGGGGTAAGGACAGTATTGAGATTGCCGACTCGGGGCTTTACGTCAAGGCTCTCAGCCCAATACTCACGGTCCGAAGAAGGCATCCTGCATCAGACACAAATCTCATATTCCATTGATCAGCTTGGAGTTATTGTCTGCTATCTTTATGGTGGGAAGGCGAGGGCTTGACGAGGAAAAAGCGGCGTTGTTTTTATCTCCAAAAAATAATATGTAATACATAGGGGTAGGACAGCGATAGGTGGCTTGTATCAGAAGGGATTGCTTGAGTTATAGATGTGTAGTCATAGCGAACAGCATGCCTACCACAAAGGGCAATTTTGACAGTGCTATCAGATGTGTTTGGACACGTAGCTAAAGAAACTAAAGCATGGATACATCATACGGACTTTGACCTTGCTGATTATATCGTCTGAAGCAGTGTCGCGAAACCAGTAGTTCGGTCCGTTCATTTCGACAACACCGAAAGACTTGCCAACAGGAATGATTTGAGGCTCAGGAAGAAAAGCACCGAATTTCTAATTATAACGGCGGCCATCGGAATTTTGCCAGTCCTTCACTTTGTCAGCGCAAGACTGATGTAGACTTGTAAATAGTGCATTTCTTGGTACCTAGGTCCTTCCTATAAGTCAACGTACCCATCTGTAGCCACCTGACCTAATAGCCCATTCCGCGACGCCACGCGAACCTATGCATCCCTACTACTATGTCCTATATAACGGCATGACCACGCGTCTAATTAATGAGAAAACTTAGCCACATATTCTTCTGGTTCAGCCCTACCTACCACTATAGAAATCTTAGCTAAAACACGCATACGTGAGCTATAATCGATATACTTAATAGCAGGTCATAATTACGGTTATACAGAATGAACTAAGTGCCGCGCAGCACCCTACACCACCGCATCGCCGTTGATCCTACCAGATAGGAGGCTAATAAGTAAATAGATTCTGGTTAGAATCGCACTTGGATCACTATCATCGAGTATATAAGTGATATAGGCTAATAGATATCGCCCTTTATAGTGTATGCCGGCAAGTACGTATAATAATACTGATTTACTAACTCTAACGAGGGCTAATTCGACGGGTAGTAATTAGAAGTGTCCCCTGATAGCTAGACTAGCAATACTGTGGCCTCAAAGTAGCTTCGGAGCATCTTAGCTAGAGACTAAGCCGGTTGACCCCTAGTAGCGGCTGCTTATTCTAGGTAGCTATAGCAGTTATACAACGGAGGAATTTATGTAGAGTGCTCTTTTAATAACGCCTAGTGATGCGCGTGCATATCGGGTGTGAATTGTTGTATTGGGAAAGGATCGCCAGGTCAGCTATTCTGGCCTGGCAGAGCTCTTTTATAGCTCTTATCTATCTTATCTATAGCTATAGGGTAACCCCCCATGGGGTCACGTATCACCTAGCTTCTCTTTATCCTAGTGTACTCGTCCTATGTGCTGGAATTACTGTATTTAGCTATTTTCTCGGCCTTGAATCGGTTCTACTGTATTAAGCTTAGCTAGGCCTGCTTTAACTATTCTAACAGGAATCCTGGTAAGCGTAAATTCCTTGAGGCCTACACTATAGCTAGGAAAGAGAGGCTGAATGGTGCTAATATTAATAATAATATTAAATACGCCGTAGGTGTTAACCCTCGGTACCTCTACAAGTACTCCCTTAAGGGGCTATAGATGATATAGCGGGCCCTTAAGCCGCGTCGGGCGGTTATACAGGTAAACTTGTAGCCAAACGACTACTAAACCTCCTGTCCCTCCCTAAGTCTGTGCTACAACCCCTGCCTGAACTACCGATAAGTGTGGTAATGTGGCACTTAAATTCGTCCTCAGGGGTGGGATGCTGCTGATGTGCAGAAGATGCTCGACTATTTTTTGTCGCGACAAGTCGTAGTATCTGCTAATTGGGGTTCTCGTCGAGCGTATACATCTCAACCATACGCTCAAGTGGATAGACCGTAACGTGGTCTAGACGCTCGCAAGAATCGCGGCGAGAGGGCGTGCTGCGCGCCTTCTATCGTGAGGGGACGGGTTCGCCGACGAGCGTTATCGGATAGGCGAGGTCCGATAAGGGGTCGGATTAACGATTCGAATTCTGGACCGGCTGTCGAGTTATATTCCGCCGACGTAGTGCTTGACGGTCGACTGGCTAGGATGCTCGTAATCCTAAACTGCACCAATCTCCCTATTATCGCTAGGTAGGCGAAGTCAACAAGGTGGGCAGCGCGCCGTAAGGGTTGACTAAACCCCCTTGTGTGTCAGCTGCGGGATTCGAACCCGCGACTCGTCACCGACCCAAGTGGGCGAGGCTCAAATCGGGACTTATCTACCAGCGAAGTGACCAACTACACCAGCCGACTGCTAATATTACTACGGGCTGGAAAGCTAGCGGAGTTTGACCTAGAGACCGCTTAAAGCCGTTAAATTCACGATTTGTACGGCGAAGTGGCTAGGGGACACCTACGGAAGGTCCTACTACACCAGCTAGGCCAGATTTCATAGCCGAAATGAGCGCTGTAGCCGTCAGAACTACTAAGAGCTCCAGGGACTTGGCTATAGCTTCTGTTGACGTAGCCTTCGGTAAGGCTACGGGGGCGGCTGTTGTTCCAGAAGATCGGCAGAGCACTTGATAATATTATCGCTGATCTCTCCGTCGTAGAGCACTCGAATAAGTCCTAGCTGCTAAGTTGGAGGAAGCGAGGCCTAAAAGCCGCCGTAGAGTACTGCCGGGCCTGAAAAGGACTTTGTGGACACACTAGGGATTCGAGCAGAGAAGGCACGTATATAAGCCGCCGGCGATGCATCCCCATAGGAACACTCGGATTCTGAGGACTCGGAATTGATGGAATTGGACTCTAACGAGTTCAGTGAAGCAGAGGAATGTATAGTGGTGCGCTGTACTTAATTTAGTAGAAATCAGTCAATTGTGTGGTTAGTAACTAGAGTAATATTATGTTGAAGTATCGTGAAGTAAGCGAATTTGGGGTGGGCCGTGGAGTGGGGTGACGCAGATGGGTGGGTTAACTTATAAGAAGATGGTGAATTTGTGGTTTGATGCAATTACTGAAGCTAGTTTAAAGAAGATCCTTCGTATGCGGGCAGGCGGCGTAGGAGCCTAGCTTTAGCAAGACTCCTATATATAAATTATAGCATGTATGAGGGATATGTGGGACTGGTGGTTTTTGGAGTTTAGATAGATTGGATTATGCATCACAAATAAGTAATGCGTAATAATGTTCACCCTTAGCCGATGATCTTGTTTCAAGGCGTTGTAGTCTGTCATAACGATGAAGCAGGCTACAGAGTGGCCAAACTTGAAACTACCAGATGTGTATAAGAACAAAATCATTTCTACCTGCAACAAAATTTGCAGTTAGATGTTTCTGTTAGTTGCAAGATAAGCAGGAGCTTTTTATAACTATTGGTTGAAGTAAATAGCAGCGATCTGTAATGTTTGCCACTTTAACTAGTTCATACAACACGCAACGGGCTGCAAACTCATTTTTGGCTTGCAATGGGGAAATACTGGGCTCTAATGACTCATATGTTGCACCTTAGCAATTTCGTGCTCTGCTTGTTGTCTAACCACTTTCGCCTTCCTGAGAACCCCCTAACTAGAGGTTTTGACCCGCGGTCTGTGGCCAGATGATATTGATTCATTAACCAATAACACGCATCTTCATCGATTTCGTTGCTTGCCAAACACCCAAATCAAGATCCTGTTCGTCTAGAGGTGTATATGAGTCTTCGTGACAGCTTTGCCATCCCGATAAGCATCGAGGATTTCATTTACATTCTCAGCAGTAAGACCTTGCTTCGCCACATATCCAATTGGTTTGATCTTGCCAGCCTCCAGGTACCCAGGAACCAACTCCCAGAATCGTTTGGAAACGTCGGGCTTGGCATGAGAGCTGCCGAACACATCCCGAACCTCAAAGCCGGCTTTCTTCCCTTGGACTCTAGACTCGTCAACGGGCCCTAAGGGGAGCAACCGAGCTAGCACGCCTTTCTTGTGATTGGAGAGAGCATTGAGCGTAAGGATCTGGCCTTCGGGCGGCTGGATTGCATCGAAGGCGTAGACCAGGTTGTCTCCTACTACGGCTATAATACGGTCAAGGACGACGTCGTAGCCTCCGTGGCGGTCAAGAACGTGGGTAGCGCCGAATCCCTTCAACTCTGCTTCATTCCCGCCCACGACAACAATCTTGCCTATATCTGCGAGCTTAGCCAGCTGCACGCCGAATTTGCCACAATTGGATCCTCCCCCGACCACCAAAAGTGTTGTGTTTGCATAATCAAAATTCTTGGATTTCCCTGACCACGGTGCAGGAATCTGCAGTGTATCGAAGAGCGCTACCAAAGGCGCAATGATGTTGGTGGGTAGAGTGGCCGCCTCGTCGTCAGTGATGGAGTCCGGGATCCTTGACGATGCTCCAACATCTGCCACGGCGAACTCCTGGAGACCATTCTGAGGCGGGCCGGGAAATTGGGAGCCCTGGCTGACGATCCGTTCACCCACAGCGATGCTACTCACGCCCTCTCCAAGTTTGGTTACTATTCCCACGATATCGCTGGCGAGGATTTTGGGAAGATCATCGTTGACAAAAAGGCCCATGTCTCGAGTCTTTTGGTCGTGTGGGTTGAGACCAGCAACGGATACTTTGAGTTGAACCTGTTGCGGGCCAGGTCGCGGGATGGGTAGGTCGTTGACGAGAACAAGAGGCTTTCCGACCTCTGTGAGAAGTACAGCTTTCTGAGTGGAAGCCATTGTGGAGCGATTCTATGTGAAGGTATAGGGGTTATAGGAAGTTGAGTTTGAAAGGCAATTTAATCAATTATCGTGAAAGTTAACGGAAGCAGTACGAGCTATAGTCGGAATGCCCACTTGAAACTCCAAGATCGCAATGGGAGAACTCGGAATCATTAGTAATTAATGGGGTAATTTTAAGCGTCGATATGCGAATGATTGGTAATCCTGTCTGACAAATGCGGTGCTATAGGATCTATTCATAATCTAGTTAGTCACCTGGGATGTGTATTTGGTGCGGAGATATCGGACTTCCGAAAGTGTTTTTGCTAATCAAGGTAACACCAAAAGAGACTAATACCGAAGTCCCTGACTTTGATATCTGTAACTACTTATCAATCTGTTCGGACCAGTCTCGGTCAATCACAAGTGCAAAGAGCGAATAATGGTGTGCTAATAATACGGGTGTGTATATTGCAAGACTGATTCGTAAGGAATCTAAGTCAGGTGGGAGCGTCTCGAGATCTCCTTTTTAGCAATTAAGACCTAGAAAGAAGGGTAAATTACGTATCGTTTCTTCCTCCTTAAATAGTAAAAACCATTCTCTCGTAGCCTAGTTATTGTTAGTGTAAATACTAATTCTCGCAGCTATTTTCGTATTATCTAGGTAGTTAAGTAGCCCTTCTCTACCTAGTTTAATATTCAATAGAGTGTATAAAGAGAGTAGTAGAGCTTGTAGGTCTACCCTCAGGGTATCTCTTTCCTTACTATATAGTTTACATTAAAGGATTAAATAAGCCATGTTTTAGTTATAGTAACCACCCGCTTAGCTAGTGTACAAGCCGCTATAACTGTAAGGAAAGAGCCATCATGGTTGTAAGGGTCAAGGGTAATGTCGATGCAATTAGCCTAGCCTTACTCAGACCTAAACCGACCGGAGGCGTCTACCCTATGCCAGATCAGGACCGGAAAAATAGGACTATCAGCTTTCTTATTTAAGATAGGAGCCTTCGGTGTGTACTCGCCGTTATGCCGCTGTGGAGAGGCCCCCGAGACGGCAGAGCACGTAATCCTCTTTTGCGGCCTGCTGGAAGAATCGAGAGAGCGCCTACGGGCCACTATCGCACCATGGCCGCTGCATACACGTAGAGACCTGGTAACGGCGACGGGGAAACCAGTAGTCAGCGGGACTATCACAAGGTGGCTACTCAGGACTGGCCGGATAGCGCTTAGGCCCGGATAATATCGATCTTCTCAGGGGGACTTTGTTAGTAGGGTGAGAACTAACATAGTATTGTGGTGGACGTAACGCAGTCGCTAATAGAGCAAACCTACATAGCAGCGTATGTATTTAGTCCAGCCATTAGGGCACGGTTTGACATACGGGAGCACTTGTAGAGGTACCGGGGGCTTCGAGCCTACGGCGTATTTAATAATAATAATAGCCTAGCCTACTCTACGAGTACTATCCATCTATGAAGAGAAAAACATTAGATACATTCAGTGTGGTGAACCCTTCTCCCTTTTATCCTTCTGTCCTCCCGTCTCGTCGTTTCGGAATCTTCGAGGAGTGAAGCTTATTCAGAGATTTCCGTGGGTCTTTCTGGCCGAAGGCGTCGCAGAGGCTACATACCGGTCATAGACCGTGACAATGGTGGGCCGGTCTCAGCTGGCAAGTGAGTCGGGAGGGTTCCGCCCCCGATCCGGTAGAAACCCGAAACCGCCCAGTCAAAGAGAACATCTCGAGGCGCTGCCACATAACTTAGATTCCTTAAGAATCATTCTTGCAATATACGTACCCACAACCCTGACGTATCATAGCCGCTCTTTGCACTACCTAACTACTATCGTGAGACGTGTGGTATCCTCGTTACTGTGACGGTTGTCACGTGATTGACCCACACTGGTCTGAACAGATTGATAAGTCGTTGCAGATACCAAATTCCCTGACTTTGGTATTGGTCTCTTTTGGTGAAGACACCTGGTACGATGGCGTAGTGGCAAGGATTGCAACCCCTGGCGCGGCGTGACAGTTACAGTAACACAGACTGATGTCTAGGTCGGCGACAAGCACAGTCGGTTCGAATCCGTCGGCGATTATAGGGACTACTTATGCTTACGGAGAAAGTATAGGGAAGTATTTTAGTAGAGTTAGGCGTGTTAATAAAAAAAATCCACAGCCTTACACCGATATTATATTTAACTTCCGTGTTAATTTCAGAAACCTATGTTACGAACCGTTGGCCCTGAACCAACATTACAGGCCCGTCGGCAGGCTAGGTGGATACAGACGCTAGGATCACGAGACCCCACATCGGAGGAAGGAAAGGACCGATAGGTCACGTGATCTACAGGGGTGGATATGTTGGATATGTGGGACAGCCAACATATCCAAATGATCTAGAAGAAATAACAGGGGTGGATATGTTGGACAACCAACATATCCAAGTGGGGATCAGTGAAGGAGAGATGGGCATATAAGGGACAGGACTCCCAGGCATTTCATAGATAGACAGTCTCTACTTCAGTGATCAATCTAAGCATCAATCTAACCCATTGGTGAGGCAAACTGCCTTGACGACTCTATTCCCAGTTACCCTACTCGAATACTTCAGTTACCCAGAGCCCGATACTCCATACATCAGACCCCGATATTATTGCTAAAGGACTCCGCAGCAGGACTTACTTACTAGCACAAACCCTTACAGACTCTTTAGTGGTTTACGCAGCTAGACTATTAGAGGTTTCGTTACAACCTAATAGTGCGAAGGAAAAATAATAGTTACGGAGGATACGAATTCGCGGTAAGGACTAGGTAGTTTAGCCCGCTATAATTGCTACGTTACTACGCGATTAGAAGGTCAGTCTATCCGGTAAAGTTTAGATAACTAATAACCTAGTGTCGCGAACCGTTGGTTCTAACGACCTAACAAACTTAACAGGCCTGATAGCTGTCAGATAGGGCACCTGGTTTCTAGGTTCAGAAATAATATGGCACTAGAGAAGACTATTGTCACTTAAAGTTCAGAAGGCGAAAGAAACTCCTCTTCTCAAAAGTAACACCAAAGTTACCGACATGTTCTAAAGCATCTATAAAAGGCAGAGCAACGGGAGTTCGCGAGAACAGAAGACAGAGAGAAGAACACACCTCATTCATATACAATCTTATGCACTTCTGACTACTCGATTGGACACACGTGATATTCGACAATTAAGAGTCTCACTGCCTCTGGCATCATTGTTTTTTCACAGAACTTCATTTAGGCATGTCACGGCCTCCCTTCGAGAAAATCACAATGTCAAACAAATACGCCAACACAATCTTCCTAGCCTCTGGCAAGTACTGGGAAGAATGGTCAGCAGAGTTCAGAGGCAAAGCCAAAGCCATGGATCTCTGGAAGTACATCAGACCTACTAATCGACATTACTGGCCTACACCTCCTAAGAAGCCAGTCGTGAAAGACTACACAGTCGACAAGAACCTGGAAAGGGCTTTTCAGGTGGCCTGGAGAGAGAGCCAGATTGAAATCGCAGAGCGCTCTGAAAACTCGCCAGATATCGAAGCCGCACCTGAGATGGTTCCTACAAAACCATCTGAGCTATCAAAGGACGGCAAGGCTGAGTATGCCATCGACACTTCTGCGTATCAACAAGACTACCGAGAGTACAAGGAACACCGGGACCATAGGATCGAGCTCAGAAACTGGGTAACCGAGCACATCCATCCAGATCTCAAGAAACACCACTGTGGTGAGGACGAATCTCTGGATCAGTGGTACACCAACCTTGCACGTGTAGGACAAGCATACGAAGAGGACGCAAGACCGGCAGCCCGGGATGCCTACTTGAGTCACCTCAAACCGTTAACTAGCCCACCAAAGGACATGAACGACTGGATTGATACCTGGGAAAAGGTAGTCCTCACTGGAAAGAAGAAGAATATTGGAGAGACGATCAACTCTGACTCCTGGGGAAGAGACCTTCTGAAGGCCCTGTCCGGGATATGGCCTACATGGACGACAACCTTCAGCATGACACGCCAATCAGATATGGTAGCAGACAGACTCGACGTCGGGGACATTGCTGCAGAGATGCGACGAGTTGCACTCATGAAGAACGGCGTGCTACCAGCAAAACGTGCTGTGAGAGGCTCGTTTGTGACGTTCAACCAGGACGCATGTGACGAAGCAGAAGAGACTCCTCTCACTCCTACAGTGCATCGCAAGACTACCAATGGCAGAAGGAGTGGAGGAAGAGCAAAACGAAAAAGGGCAGAATCGACAACAGTCGAGGACAAATCGGCAAGTTGGTGCCAAGCGTGTCTAGGCGAGCACCCACTACAATCATGTTGGCACGTGTTCAAAGAAAAGAACCCCTACTACGAAGAAGGCAAAGAAAACAAGACTGTTGCAAGACTTGTTGCCCACAGGATCAGGACAGAAAAGGGTCTGAAGGAGGAAATAGAGAAGATCAAGAAGGCAGCAGTCAACAGTTGACTAGCTCAGTTCGAGCTCAAGATGGGCAAGGTGCCAGCGAGCTTCCTGATAAGGAAAGGGAGCACCTATCCCCTGAAGAACTCGACAATTCTTGATTCCGGAACAACTCTCCATGTCTTCAACGAGATCAGCAGGTTCCAGAATTTCCGAACGCCAGCCACAAGAGACGTGATCTACGCAGGCAAGGACATAATGAAAATTGAAGGATACGGAGAAGTTGATATTGAGGTACAGGGCGACCAAGGACCAAATATACTGAGGCTTCATGATGTGGCCTGGTGTAGAGGGTTCGCCTGTAACCTCGTATCTCTTCGACTGCTTCGACGCAAGGGGTACTGGTGGGATAACAATTATCCGAACAACTCATTACGACGGAAGGACAATTCTCTGGTGTGTCAGATCACAGAGATGTTCGATCAATTCGTAATAGAATACTTGCCACTGGAAATAACCCCACAAACCTTCTTTACACGTCGCAATCAACACATTTCTGCTACAAAAGGTAAGCCAAAACTGGCCACAGCAGAACGTTGGCATCTTCGTATGGGCCACCCAGGCCCAGAGGCACTGAAGCACTTGGTTAGCCATTCAGAAGGAGTCAAGGTCGAGGGTCCCTTTGGCCCAAAGACTACTGAGTGTGATGGCTGTGGCACCGCCAAGACTAAGCGACAAGTATCCCGGATTCCAAAGGAACCGGAAACAGAACCAGGAAGCTGCATTGCGGTGGATTTCCACGATCTCGAAGAAGACGACGAGGGCTTCTCAAGACTGTGTCTGTTCACCGACAGATACTCCGGATACTCATGGGACTACTACATGAGAGACAAGACAGCAGAGTCAATTATTGAAGCACTGGATGATGTTTTCGGTATCGTCGAGCGACAATTCGACATCAAACCAAAGTCAATCGAGTGCGACAACGAGATCACACAATCCTTCAAACTGAAGGGGTGGCTCCAGGCACGATATCTCAAAGTCAAGCCCTCTGCTCCACATACACAAGCCCAGAACGGTGGTGCCGAGCGCTTAGGGGGTGTGGTTAAGGAGAAATCGCGAGCTATGAGAGCAAGCTCAAAACTTCCAAGCTTCCTCTGGAAAGAAATTTACCAGGCAAGTGTATACCTGTACAACAGGACTCCTAAGTACTTGTACAATTGGAAGTCACCATATGAGCGTTTCTACACTTACGTGGCCAACAGGGACAGGACCACAGTCACAGCAAAGAAGCCTGACCAACGGCATCTGAAAGTATATGGTTGTAAGTGCTACGCACTTACGACAGATACACTTCGGAAGTCAAACCGCATGAAAAGGCTGAGCCCGAGGGCATGGATTGGATACCTTGTCGGCTACAGCTCTACAAACATCTACCGAATTTGGAATCCTCATACGAATAAGGTGATCAGCACACGAGATGTTATCTTCAATGAAGAAGAGACATTTAGTGGTTCGCTAGAGACACTCAAGGATGAGCTCCTCGGTATATCAATAGAGGAAATGGAGGCACTGCTTAACCAAGTTAAGCTCAGGGATGCCAAACAACATGAATCAACAGCTGCTAGACATGCTGAAGACGAGTGTATTTACGAAGTACAAAACATTTACGAAGTTCAAGACCAAGATTCAATGCTTGCGTTCGAGCAGGGTGATGAGGACGAGGACACAAGGATAGCAACTGATGAAGCCGCTGAGCAGACTCACGAGCCAGCTCAGGAGGTGACGACCTGGGCAGGGATGCCTGCTCAGGGAGGGTCCGAAATAACTGAGCACGCTGGAGGGACTGATCACCCCTATACCACCGCAGTTTTCGCCCCCAATCTGTCCCCGTCTCTCTCACCGCCTCCGCCTGCATGTTTATTGGCCGCTGCAATTCGAAGCTCAGGAACCAACGAGATAAGGGATGTTACAGCATCCCCTATACCGGTACCTCGACTGATGTCAGATGTTACGGAAGTCCGGCCAGCAACATGGGCTGCCGCGTTCAACGCAGGCATACTCTCAAGCCCAGCTGGCCAGATGAATGGACAACTAGTCAGTAAGGCAAGGGTCACCAGAATGCTGGACCGAGCCTTTGCTTCGAAAAACAGTGATCTCTCAGGTCCTCCAGTTATTCCTCTGAAGAGGCCTGCAATCAGAGCGAAGCTGGAGGCTGGAGTTAAGGTACACAGGCGTGAGATGCCTCCTTTGCCTAAAACGCACAAGGACCTAACTGGCCAGCCTGGGAAGCGCGAGGAACATCCAATGAAGAGGGAGTTCCAAGAAGCTGAAAGACAGCACCTCGCGAGCCATCGAGAGATGAGCACATGGCGCGAAGTCGCTAGTGATACCCCTAGGGGACAGCCAGTACTTGACTGTATGTGGGTGTACGTATACAAGTTTGACAAGCATGGCTGGTTTATCAAGTGTAAAGCGCGCCTCGTGGTGCGTGGTGACCAGCAGGCTAAGTCTGTATACGAACATACATATGCGTCAACTCTAGCTGGAAGGTCATTTCGATCTCTTATCGCAATTGCAGCCAGGTTTGATTTGGAATTACTTCAGTACGACGCAGTCAATGAATTCGTTAATGCTAAACTGCCTCATCCAGTATATATGAGAATGCCACCTGGCTATAGGAAAAGAAGCACGATACTCTTGCTACTCAAAGCACTCTACGGACTGCGAGAGTCACCTCTACTTTGGCAGGAAGAGTTCACATCTACTCTAGCTAAGTATGGCTTCAAGCCAGTCCCTCATGAGCCCTGCTGCTATACTGGCAAGAATATACTAATCTTCTTCTACGTGGACGATATCGTCGTCGCATTCCATGAGAAGGATCGATCTGTAGCACTCTCTACAGTGGAACAGTTACGACAGTTTTACGAGCTGACTGGCGGAGATGACCTACAGTGGTTCTTGGGCATCGAAGTTCTACGGGACCGAGAACAAAAGCTGATCTGGCTATGTCAATCTGACTATGCGGACAAAATCTCGAATCTTGCTACCGAGCCTGAGAAACGATCCGTCGAAACGCCAATGTCAACCGAAGAGCTCTTACCCTACGAAAAGCGGTCTGACTACGCCACAATAAACATCTATCAGCGTAAAGTCGGATCAATTATGTATATCGCAGTTGCCACACGACCAGATATCGCATTTGCGGCATCTCGGCTAGCGCGGTTCAATCTTAATCCAGGACCAAAACACCACGCCGCAGCTGACTGAGTCCTTCAGTACCTGAAGAACACCAGGACTCTGGCCCTTCAATTTGGAGGATCTGACGAATTTTACACCGCAAGCGATGCTTCATTCGCAGATAATACACTGGACAGGAAGAGTTCTCAAGCATACATTATGAAGCTCTTTGGTGGCACTATTGGCTGGCGAGCTAATAAGCAAGACACAGTGACTACTTCAACAACTGAAGCGGAGTTGCTGTCGCTTGCGCAGGCCACTAAAGAGACGATATTCATGTCCCGACTTCTGAAGGAATTAGGGGTGTCCTTGGACACTACTGCAGTCAGGATGGAGTGTGATAACAAGCAGACTATACGCCTGATCAATAGTGATCTCATGGCACTAAAGACCAAGCTCCGTCATATTGATATCCACAACCACTGGCTGCGGCAGGCAGCAGTTACAGGAGATATTGAGGTTGTCTACGTCCCAACCGACCTTATGATCGCCGACGGCCTGACGAAAGCATTGGCTTCTGATCAATACAAGACCTTCGTCCGACAGATAGGCCTCACCGATGTGGCTATGAAAATTCAGCAGCGGCGGATGCGGGAACTAAAAGTTGAGGACTTCAGCAGAATGGAAGATAATCTTGTGGGAGGAGAGGTTGACTTCCATCTCGACTGATAATAGGAGTGTTTGGAACAGGAAGAATGACCTAGAGATCTGGAAAGCAGTATGTCAGCATGGTCCTGCGGACAATGCTGAAGGGGTGTGTCAGATAGGACACCTGGTTCCTAGGTTCAGAAATAATATGGCACTAGAGAAGACTAGTGTCACTTGAAGTTCAGACGGCGAAATGAACCCCTCTTCCCGAAAGTAACTCCGAAGTTCGGGGTCAGACACCTGAACAATGCACCTCCGACATTTCCGAAAGAATCTATAAAGGGCAGAGCAACGGGAGTTCGCGAGAATAGAACACAGACAATAACACACCTCATTCATAATACAATCTTATGCACTTCTGACTACTCGATTGGACACACGTGATATTCGACAGTAACGGATGCAGTACAATGTAACGAGCCTGTTGTACTACCCTGATGTATCTATCATACTATGCAGAGGGAAGGAGGAAGGGAAGGAATGGCGGTGGGGTAGGGTAGCGCTGATTTGTATGCTCTCTTAGGTAGTGGGGCGTTTGATCTGTGCTCCCCAGAGCCAGATTCCTGCGCACAGGCCAAGCCTGTCACATAGGGTTGCGTCGCGTCGCGGAGTAGGCCGTTAAGTAGGTAGACGCAGATGGGCTAGTTAACTTATATGCACCGCTCACAACAAGAAGTTAAAGGAACTCTGAAACCCTAAGTCTCGTTTCGTATTAGTTAGAAATAAGCGTGCACAATTTAGAGACGAGTCCTATGATATTTTTACGTGTCTACTTTAAATATTGCTTTAATTGAACCGGGTAACACATGGCTTATATTAGTATGCAAGTGCAATCAGAGGAATACCACTCGCCTTCCTCTGAGCTAATTCTCATGACTGCATCTCAAGAATCCTCACAATGCATATCGAAACATGATCTGTCCCCTGTTAGCAACATAGAAATTCCATAGTTTCAAGTCACTTACGTTGTACTTGTCAGTAACGTCCTCGAATCCCTGCACGTCACTTTCTCTTTTCATATCCGCAATCTCATTCTCGGACTTTCCCTCAAGCCCTTGATCTCGCCTTTTGTTTTCGAGGATGTAGAGGAGCCGAAGAACTTGGTTAAGAACCAAATTAAGCACGAACCCGCAGAGCATAGCAACAATGCCGCCGTGATACTCTGGCGCCTCCGTGCTCTTGAAGAACTGTGGACCGCAGATCTGGCCGATGCAGTAGCATACGAACACCCACCCCGAAGCAACAGACCGCTTGGTGCTGCCGGCGACGTTGGTCGATAACAGACCCAGGATTACCATAAATCCAACGGGGTAAGATCCTAAGAGCCAGAGACCGACGAGCCTTCCCCATTTGTTGTGGGTTGCCAGCTGGTTGATGAGGCAAGTGCCGATGATCTAGGCTTCGGTCAGCTTGCACAAATTGAGGGAAACCAGTTGTGACTTTCTTACAGGAGGGATCATGGCCACCGTTGCGATGTGTAACCGCGAGCTACGGATCTTGGTGGACAAGAACCCTGAGCTAAGCTGAGCTACAGTCTGAACCATAGACAACGGGAGGTTCATGAGCGTCGTCTGGAGCGGTGTGAACCCAAATCCAGCAATAATCAATGACCCGAACGAAAGGCCACCAGATGCCAACGCATTGACAAACGATATCAACCCGAGGATGACGACTTTGGGGTCCGTAACCGCCTCGATAACCTGACTCTTGACGAATCGACGACTCTTCGTTCCGGTCTTATTTTCAATAACCCGTTGAACTGCAATGACTTTCTCATCTTCGCTCAGCCACTTCACTCGAGCTGGACTGTCGGGAACAAGGAGCATAAACACCACACCCCAGACCATAGTCACACCCCCCAAGATCAGGAATATGTACTTCCACGGGGAAAGGCTGCTGTTGATATGTCCGATCCCATAAGCCAGCAGCACACCGACAAAGCTCCCCACTCCCAAGAACGATATCCACAGCGCGGAGCGACCAGCCTGTTCCTGTCTCATCCACCAGATGCCCGTCACGGCCACAAAACCGGGCGAGATCGTCGCCTCCGTCATCCCGAGGATGAAGCGCACTGTAGCGAGACCTGCAAATGACGAACAAGCAGCCGTGGTCATCAGCACCGCACCCCAGAGTATAATATTCGCGCCTAGGAATTTGGCAACGGGAAATCTTTGCAGGATGGCGACGCCGGGGTATTCCGCAATGAGATAGCCGAAGTAAAAGATGGACGAGCACCAGGCGTATTCCTGGCCCTGAAGGTTGTTATCTGCAATGATGCCGTAGACGGAGCTGTACCCCAGAGAAGTCTTGTCGATGAATTGTAGGGCGTAGGTGATGCAGAGGAAGGGCAGGATGTGGAGGTCGATTTTTTTCCGGACTCTGCGTGATGATTCAGGGTCGACGGCGCCGCTCATGAGAGCTCTGGCTGCGAGGTCACCAGCTTCGTCTTTGATGTCCATTTTGGAGATTTCGGGAACATCATTTTCGGCAGCGACGTGGACGCCATCCCCGGAGCTGGGTTTCTCTGTGCTCATGGCGATAAAAGGCTCCTGTTGCTCGCAAAATCCTACAATGAAGAAATGGGAATTACTTTTTGGGCTTACACGCCCAATATATGTTAGCGAACCATTTTGATGATAATAGACCGGCGCATTCCGATAATCAACGGAGCTGTAAGGCACTAGGTACCTGATTGGCTCTGATTGATACATGAACTCCAGGGTCGCGCGCTAGACGGGACTAGATGCAACGGATCCTGGGGTTGCGCAGACGGCTGGTAGATAACGAACTGTCGGAGTGGGATCCAGGCGGGGCATGCTGCTTCTACTACTCTAACCGGTCCGTTGACCTCCAGTGTCTGCAGCAACGCTCCATTTCATGCGACTCGTCTCGCAAAGGAACCGTCACCTCATTCACAAAACCCTGAAAATATTGCCCGGAGGACGTGCCGTCATTATGTACATGTTGGTCGAGGACTTCATTCTGGTGACGCACGAGTCCAGCTCGGCATCGGAGAGCGATGCGGAGCCGAAATATCTTGGCGACATCAATGACTACGTGGACAGCATCGCAGGAGAGCTCTGGCCAGTGAACAAGAAAATCCACGACAATCCTGAACTGGGCTTTGAAGAATTCATAGCTCATAAGACTCTGACGGAGTTCTACAAGCGCCGGCCAGAATGGAAAGTGACGCCCTCGGCGTACGGGATGGAGACGGCGTGGGTTGCGGAGTACGACAGCGGAAAAAAGGGTCCTGTCATATCTTTCAATGTCGAAATGGGTTCGTCTTTGGTGCGGAAGATGACGTGAAGAGCGCTGATGGACGTTAACAGATGCCCTTGACGGCATTGGTCATGCATGTGGGCACAATTTGATCATGACGGCCTCCGTGACAGGGAGCTTGGCAACAGCTGAGATAATCACCCAATATGACCTGGGAGGGAAGGTTGTTGTGTTTGGAACTCCGGCAGAAGAAGGCAAGGAATGGCTCTCTTGCCATATGGAGCAAATCCAATTCTGCGATGAAACAAACTAACTTGATGACTCTGTTAGGTGGCGGCGGCAAAATCAAGCTTCTTGAAGCCGGTGCATACAAAGACTACAACGTGGACATCAACTTGATATCGCATCCCGGTATCGTGGGCGAGAATGCCTTGGTCCGCACATCATCATACACATCCTTCACGGTAGAATACTTCGGCCGCGAGGCCCATGCGGCAGCAAATCCATGGCTGGGCATCAATGCCCTCGACGCCATGGTAACCGCATACAACGCCCTCTCGGTTCTACGCCAGCAGACCATGCCTGGCGATGTTATACAAGGATGCATCACCAACGGGGGAGTGCGGCCCAACATCATCCACGCTTACACCTCTAGCAATTGGGTGGTAAGAGCGAACACTCGAGCAAGGCTGGATGAGTTGCTGGTCAAGGTTATGGCTTGTTTCGAGGCTGCCGCATCTGCAACTGGCGCAACTTTCAAGACGACATCCACTGGTTCATATAAAGGTAAAATCAACACGATATTAAAAATCATTGTCGCTAATTTTCTTTTTCAGACCACGTCCCTAACCGCGTTCTCGGCGTGTCATACACTAAGTACTTCAACGCGCTTTCTCCGCCAAGCTTGATTCCCCTGGATCAAGACGTCGACGAAATCAAGGGCAGGACTATGGCCAGTACAGATCAGGGCGACATAAGCTACGCCATGCCTAGCCTCAGTCCGTCGTTCTCGGTGCCGCCGGGGCCCGGTGGAAGTGGTCCTCACAATCCCGGGTTTGCTGAAACTGCGGGCACAAAGGTTGCTTTTGAGCGTGCACTTAGAGTTGGCAAGGCTTTGGCAGGAGTTGCGCTGGATGTGCTGACAACGGATGGGCTGTTGTCGGAGATCAAGAAGGAGTGGACCAGGGAGATCGGCAGCTCGTGATACTCCCCAGCGTTGCTATTGGTGCAAGAGACTGTATAAATTCGGGCCTGGATTTGATCATTGAAAAGCCCTGCATTCAGTCAATACTTACAAATCTGATTGTGTGATTGTGTGGACCGATACTATAACCCCAGAATGCGTCACGACGAAGGCGGCAGTGACGCTTTCGGAAGGGAACACGCCGGATGCCGAATTGTACATCTCAGCGGCTGGCACCATGTCCAACTCGGAGTTTGTCCAGAAGTTGCTCTTGGCGGCAGATGGACGCGTTGATACTAATCCGTCAACCCTGCGAGTCATAAAGCTAGACCACGCATCTAGGCTGTTGGCGATGCGGCGTCCATCGTCAACGTGATACGCATCCTTTGCGCTAACACCAAGCGCGACTGCTTCTGACCGCCGACAAGGAAGAGGGTTCAGTGGATGAGGATCGCATTCTCAAATGGTCCCGATCGGTAGGAGCAAAGGGGTCGGCGCTGCGATGGGCTGGCAGGTCATAGTTGGATGGCGTGGATAATCCAGGGGCATGACCATTGGTTGTGGACCATTTACGATCTCTGGAGTGGGAAACAATGGGATAAGGAGTCGTGAAGAATTGCCAAGATTTTCACTTACTACGGTAGGGGAAGAAAGTTGTCTGTCGAAGGCTTGGCGTCTACTTTATGTAAATTTGACGCCAAGCCGGCGGTGGTGCGCATTTGTACGGAATACTTTGGTTGAAACAACATGACAATGCGATCGTCAGATGGAAACGAGACTCCCGTAATTTAAAAGGATCCACACCGTTCACATGGCAGCGTTGCCCGGGTTTTCGGTACCTGCCGAGCGAATGGTTAATATAAGCTTTCATGCAGTGTATGAATTCCTTCACTCCTTGTTTACCGCTGGTGGAAAGCATACAGCGACTTGGGCCGACCTCGTTCAGCGTGCATACATTGAAATTTTGCAGAGAGGGAAACACTGACTTAGAGAGTATACGAGGCCCTTGGCAGATACTATACAGCTGCTTGGTAGTCTCGATCATCTAGCCGGGTTCTCCACTATGGTGAGAACCATCATCGTTTATTTAAAATGGGAATGTTTCGAACTGCCCAGATCGTTGGGTATGCGGGGACATTTTCGTCCCATGTTGAAATCTCGTACGGGATGACATGGATCAGGATACAGAGTATACGAGAGGATCATGCTTAAACTCCTATAATCATTCTGTTACAGGGAACTGGTGGATCTTGCACCCAATGGGGACGAGTTCCACCACATGCCAAAGCAACATTCAAACTAATCAGCTAAGCCGCTTGTCTCTGGGTCTCAAAGTTGCCATGTTATAAAAAGTAGAAATTCCCAGCTCGCCTCGAACGTTTCTATCTTTTTAACCCACAACCTTCCTTTGTGTTGAGACTTTCGTTCATTCCGGTGCTAGCAACCGTCATCCTTCTTTGGCCAAGATATCCTCTTTAACGAGTTTACATTCTTTCAACCCTGGCTGGTTTCCTGTCCAAAAACATCAGCATTTCTCAAGTACCACTTTCGCTTCGCGGGCACCTTTACCCAAGTCTTCCACGAATCACCAAGATGAAGTTCACATTCACCACCGCCTTCGCCCTGGCAGCAAGCGTTGCCCCGGCCTTCGCCCACTACAATTTCAACGCCCTCATCGTCAATGACGAGGTGACCGAAGAGTACGTCTACGTGCGCAAGAACACCAACTCTAACTCGCCCGTGACGGACGTCACCTCCAACGATTTCATCTGCAATGTCGGCGGTCTCGACTCGGGCTCTACGACCAAGACTTACGACGTCGCGGCCGGCGACCAGCTTGGCTTCACTGTCATGAGCGACATCAGCCACGCAGGCCCCGTAGCCGTCTACCTCTCCAAGGCGACTGGCACCGCTGCCGCCTACGACGGCTCTGGCGACTGGTTCAAAATCTACGAGCTGACGACGAGCTCCATTACCGCCGATGGTCTGCAGTGGGCCAGCAACGCAATCACAAACTTCACCTTCACCCTGCCCACCGAGGTGCCATCTGGAGAATACCTTGTCCGTGTTGAGCAGATCGCTCTGCACAGCCCTGGGGCGCCCCAGTTCTATATCTCCTGCGCCCAGATCTCTGTCACTTCCGACTCAACCGCCACACCTTCCCCCGCCATCGCTATGCCCCTTTACTCTGGTGATGAGGAGGGTCTGACTATTAATATCTACTCCCCCATCCCGACCTCGTACACGCCCGCTGGCCCCGCCCTGTGGCCTTCTACTTCCACTGAGCAGCACGCTGTCGTCTTCATTGGTGATGACACCGTCACGACCGGTGGAAGCTCCGACTCTGGATCCGGCAGCAGCTCCGCTGCCCCCGCTGTGTCGAGTGCGTCTGCTGTCACGTCGTCTGATGTTCCTGTTGCGACCACCACGTCGTCTGTAGCCCCGGTTGCGACCACCACGTCATCTGCTGCCCCTGTCGCGACCACCACGTCTTCTGCTGCCCCTGTCGCTACCACCACGTCGGCTAATGTCGCGGTCGTTCAGCCTAGCTCGGCTGTTCCTGTCGCCACCCCTACTGGAGTCAGTGGGTGCAAGAAGCGCCGCCACGCTCGCCAGGTCGTCTTAAACTAAGTCATTTGGCTGCTTTCGAGATGAGAGGGGTAGAGAGCGTCGTTGCTGCTGGGAATTGTGTTCGACCTGAGATAAGATCCCTTATTTTAGAATATTCGACGGCGGCATGCAGTGTTCGCAGCAGCTCCTGTATGTTGGCATTCATCTGTACATATATAACACAAATACATAAATCACGCAAGTTTCGAAACAAGACTGGTGGTTCAACTTATGCATGACACGAGATCAACAGGCCACAGTTATATGCAAAAAGAAGTGTCATTTTCAGACCCATGAACTTATCATAGCAATAATGGGTTACAAACTATTATATCCAGCTACAAAATACTCTTGTAAGTCCCCAGCCAATCACGTGGCGATAGTGCGGGCTCTGATAGTGCTAGCGCGAACTGCCGAGAATCTGGACGTGCAAAATCGAATGGACCTGGCAAAGCGCACGGCACGACTTGAAACGGCTGCCGCAGTGACTTCATGAATTGACGTCAACCGAGTGAATCACTAAGCCCGTACGACTACATTCCCACCCGTCGCGCACTCGGCGCATCTTCTTTTGTTGTCGCATAATTGCCAGCATTTATTTTGCGCATCTATTGCATCTCCTCTCCATGTGTTCAACATACAATGGTTAAAAAGAACAAAAAGCCTGCGTCAGGCGAGGGTACGGATCCTATTGGGATGGACCACCCGGCCGACTCGACTTCTGGCTCCGCCGCTGCGAAGAAGGCCACCAAGTTTTCGCCTGCCCCTGCGCTGCAGTCGCCATCATCGGCGCTCGTCATCTGCAGAAACAAGTGAGCCGTCCTTCGCCGGATGCTGGATCTGGGAGCAACGATCACTGCTTCTGGGAGCTGGCGCATAATGGCTCCTCTGTCCCAAGTCCGAGATCCCAGTCATTTTGGTAGTCTGACAACTCGCTCTCTATAGGCACTGGCGCTACATCTCTTCCTTTCATGGACCATGGCTACAGCTTCCCCTAGAAGTCCTCGAGACGCTCGCAAATGCGAACTACTACATGCCTCTGCCCCGCCCTGTTGACCCCGCCGTCTTTTACGACTTGGTCAAGATTCGCCAACTCGTCGATGGCGCTACCGATCTTGCAGTTCGAGCTGCGAATGGAATTACGTCCTCGACCATGCCGAATTCGCTTGCGGGAGGGGCTGGGTCGCACATGCAAGCGCTGGGCCTCGGTTTTGGGAATGGTGGGGGTATGAAGCTCAGTCCGGAGAGGAGATTTAGGCTACGGGAACAAGCTACACAAAAGCTGTCGCGTGCTTATCATATTGATGAGATCGCGTCGAGCGTCGCAACCATGCAGTCGACTTCAACTTTGGAGAACGTAGCTGGCTTGGTGTTGCAGCGGGCGCCCAACGATCCAGATGCCAACTACGTCCATTTCTTCCACGAGAAGATCCCCAGCAGGCAACTTTCTGAGTGCACCGAGCTGGATGCGCTGAACTTCATCATTAGTCAGAGGCCGTCTGACTGTGAACCACTGAGGACCAGAGCCATTGTCCGCATATTCAAAGAGGACTTCGAAGGTGCCGCTCAGGATTTGACTCACGCGCTGGCTGTGCTTCGTCTCCACCGACCACCGCATAATTCTTCGCCTGAAAACATGCAGCTGGAAAAGAGAAATGGCCGCCGTCGCGAAACGCCATCCCTTGACGAGCGAGACCAGCCGAGTAGCACCGAGGTCCAACTTCTGTTTCAACGTGCCGGTTGTTACTTGACATTAGCCTGTGACCATGTGGACGGAGCACTCCCTGGTGTCTCGAACCACCGAAACGGAGGCCCCTGTGATGTGAGCGACGGTGTGAAGAAAATGGACCTCAACGCTTCTAATGGCTACGAGAGTTCGCCAACGCCCCAAACTCCAGCTGTGGAGAAAGGGCCGAACAAGAAACAGCTCGAGTATCGCAAGACGGTCCGGCTATATGCAAAACGTGCTCTTCGGGACTACATGGAGTACCTCAGGGCTCTGCACTACTCGCCAAACCAGCCCATTTGGATCTCTGACGATTTCACCAGGCAAGTAAACCAAGCTGCGAATCGCAGCAGGAAGTACTATAACCCAGGTCGTCAGGATCCGGGAAGCCCCGATAGTGATTCACAAAGCCATAAAATCTACTCGCTTACGGAACTTTTTTCAGCCATGCCTCCTTCCAACCTGCCTGCTTACCCTTCCAACGAGCTCGTCTCGGCTTCAGCTCAGCAGCCAATGGAGACAACAGCCGAGGTAGTGACATATCATCCGCTTCTCACCGATGCTCTTCATTCGCTGTTGCTCTGCCACGCACTGATTCAGACGTCTGCTAAGGAGCTTCAAAGGCACGCTCACATGGTCGCTCGGCTTGCTCGACTGGCGGACGGTTATCCAGTGTTCCAGGCAAGCAGGTCGCCGGCTCGCGCCGACTGGATTGAAGTCCTCCGTCGTGCTGAGAATTGGATTGAGCTGTCCTCAACATGGGAATCTCTATGCGCCCCTGCGCCCCTTCCAACTCCAGTCTCAGCCAACGGAAGTGGCAGTCTATCTGCTGCTGCCGCCAGCGCCAATGCGCTCGCCATCACTGGTGGCACAATCCCCGTCGAATCCGATGAGCAGCGCAAGGAACGGCTACGGCATCAGGCCATCATCGAGGCCCTCGAGGACGAGCGTGTCAATGATGAAGCAAGTTTCAAGGCTGCGATTTTGGCGAGACAGCGTCGGGCTGAGGCCGAGCATGCGGATTTTACCAACACGAACGGGAAAGCGAACGGAAACGGGAATTGGGTTGGCCCAAATGGGAATATTGCAGACTCGTCAGTCGCCCCGAAGCGTTGGGCTGTTGATGATGGCCGCGAATATCCCATCCTCACGGAGCGCGCTGAGGCTGTTGCCCGCTGGGTGCGTGAGGCACCCGCCGTTTCTGGCGTGGGAACTGGCAAACGCAAGAAGAAGCCGGGTTCCAGCAAGAGAGCTGCAGCTTCCACTGCCGACCCTGCTGCAAGCATTGACAGCTTGAGCAATGCCAAGACCACGGACGCCCAGTGAGTCAGGTGATTTTGAGGTCGAGGCTTGGGCCATTCGAGCAAGTGTATAGTGTAGAGTTCAGCATGACTAACACTGGGTATCCATATGCAATGTAAGATCTCGTTGCACGGTAATTGCTGCTATTCCGCGGTTGCACAACTCGAATAGCCTTTACCTCTACTGCCCCCAGACCCTGGTTCGTCGTCCAGGCAAATGACAATGCTACTAAGTGTGAAGAAGACCATAGTCTGGGACTCAGACTAGCAAACACTCAGGACAAGATTACCCCTAAGTGTAAGGCTGAATGGGTTGGTAGGCCAAACGGATCAATGAAATGAGAAGCCCACGCAATTGTAGGCCACAGGGCCTGCGTGCATAATATAAGCGACTCCTACATTTAGCCAATCGCCAAAACTAGAATACAAAGCGGGGCATTGTAAAGTCCTCGGGATTGAACGTCGTATGTCATATCTCAACATACCACACTCATGTGGCCGTCATCCCTTTTATGTTGATCAATATGTCAGATGCACCAGTTTAGCGAACATCTTTTTCATACGTTGTGGTCCTATCGAGAACCCATGTCACCGGCAAAGAAACCATTGCCTTCTCCCTATCGACATCACTGAACTGCCCATGGCTTAAGGGGGAAGGAGTCCACAAGGCCGCCACGTCGGCGGCTTGCTCTCAAGAAAAGCGCGGTGGGGACCATGAAACTGTGTTTGGCAGGATTTGGCTCACGAGAATGCAAAGAATGGGTCTAAACCTGACGTCCGAGCGGCCCGAGTCTTTGCCAGTGGTCGTTGGAATCCGGAACGAGGGCTCGATATGCAATGCGCTGGTCACATGTTATGCGCTACGGAAAAGCGGTCGAGACGGCATTCGAGCGGCTTTGCGAGCGAACTCGGTCAGGGTCCTGTTTGTCGTTCTGCAGATTAGTAAGGAGACGTTATATGGGAGGACACTCGCGGCAGAGGAGCCAGAATTGGCTGAGAGGATCATGAGGGAGAAAGTAGAGGATATACTGGAGCCAATGGAAGAGGAAAAGGATTTGATGGTGGTGGACTCTTTGCGAGATGTGGATTCTTTGACTCGGGATATCGAAGGAAGGATTCGTAGGCATGTTTCGTAGGCATCTTGCAAGGATTTCATGAATAATGGTTGTACCGCTTGATTGTCCAGAAAGAGTTTCTATGATAAATAAAAAAGAAAAAAATACGCACCTGTTTTCTTGCTTTTCATGCGCTTCTATCCTCAATCTTTCTCTAGCTTCTTTCACCCTTTCTTATACCAAAAGTTGTATAGTGTGTTGATCAAACTCTACTTAAAAATCACATTTCTTCAGGCTACAACATGTCTACTTCTTGGCATAGGCAAGGAACAACAGGCCTGCAGCAATCTCTTTGATGAAATACCGGTCAGAACTGACACGTCGCTCTCTGTTCCAGGCATGATCTGATAGCTTCTGCACAGTGTTCCAATGCCATTTGGGTACAACGCATAATGCAAAGCCGGTGAACTTGGTCTTCTTTTCCTTCCCGTCTTTCATCTTCCGCCAGAACCTTTGCCAAGGTCCTTTGCGGTTTTCCTCGTTGACTTCCTCAAAAGGTCACTTCATGGCATATATTACTGGAACCATTGTATTGGCCCAATCCCGGTTGAGTAATTGGGCGCAGAAATGCAAAGGTCTAACAAGGACACCCTCGTTTCTCTTAATCTCAGTCATGTCTTTGCTCTCTTGAACATTTGGAAGGTTGTCAACCAACCCTGTCGAGTGTTAGCCGAAGTATGTTGGTCTTATCCAGTTCAAACACTTATACCTTTCCAAGTTTCATCGATCTTTTTTATCTATGTTGTCGGAGTTCGCGTGTTGGGGGTGGGGGAGGGAGCGGAAAGTGGAAATTACTAACTTTGTTCTGGGAACACGTTGCTCAGGCAAGTAGATAGGGGATGGTGTGAGTCGGCAGTTGATTTTGGTGACTCCTGTTCTCATATATGCACACCTGCATCGAACTGAAGGCATGACATACTACATTATATAATATTGAGTCAATGTTGCCCTCTGCTTAGGAAGGATCCTTGGCAGTTCTCGTTCCTACGTGACATTGGTTTGTCTAGCGGCACAGCACAAAAATGCAGCATTTCCATTGTTGCATGACCTAACAAGAAGCGTATATCTTCGTTACCCAATATATAGGAAATCAAATTTTCTACACGTATCAGATCACAACGGGTTCCACTGTGCCACCCAGCCCAGTGGTTTGGCCTAGGTGTCAACAGGGAAGTCACGTGCCAAGAGAGTCAACATATGCTAGATGGTCCTCGTTGGTTCCTCCGATAAGAGAGCCATGAGCCATGCGACACAGCGCACAGCCCCGTTGAATACATAGGTATAGCTCTCGCTCCCTTGCTGGTATGTTTGCGTCATTTTACAATGTAGAAGGCTTATTGTTTCATCTTGGGACTTCGGAGACATCTCCTGACCTTCACGACGTCCGCCAAGTCCCTCGAGTGGTCCAGCGTTTAACTTTGAGACATCGAACAGCAAGACCTCGAATCCTTCGCTATAGTGACCTGTACTGGAGATTACCTTAACTTAACTTTGAGGATGATATTGTGACATCACCACCAATAGCAAGAAATCGCATCGCCAACAGCGTCAAGTTCCTCATGCAATGCGCTTCGATGCCACCTCAAATTTGAATATATCTACCAATGGCCAAACGTGGATGTGGCAAGAAATTTCTGGGTAGATCCGCGTAACTTCGAATGCAATTAAACGCTTCAAATATGGAATTAGCAAGAATCATCGGCAGTGGCCGGCTATATTTGCTTCATTCGGGTCATAATCATCGTTAGAAGTATCAATTATCAGGGGAGGAACGAGAAAGCTGTTGGTACGAGCTTCCCGGCTTCTGTCGATGGCGGCGGTAATACTGCACCTCCTTGCGATGATGGTCTTGAGACGACGGCGAATGTCTGCAGTATCGGACCAGAGATCGTAGACGGTACACCCTCTATCGAATGAGTTTTCAGTGAGCTCCCTTTCAATTGAATTCTTGATCCGTGGTTAATTATCCTTGCAGTGGCGGCCCGCAGGCTGCGCAGTGGCGATACCGTAGTGACGTTTAAGCAGTCGGCCTCAGCGGCGACCACGGACAGCAGGTGGGTGCGTAGTGCCTTCGGCGATAAGGCACTTCTCAACCGCAGAGAAGTTGCAGTGATCGCGAAGGGGCTGCCTGCGAAACGGCTGCGAGAGGTCCACGACGAGAGCCAGCTACTTAAAGACCTGAAGCGGGACAATACAAAGCACCTCTCTAAGGCTAAAAGAAACCTCCCCCGGGCGCCGCAAGCACCGTATGCGGCCCTGATACTACACGTGGATAGCGTGGAGGCGGCGATGGAACTATGCTCCGAAGGGCTTATTTGGGAGGCCCAGATATTCGATTGCGAGCCGTACGACGGCAATCTTCGGGTTCGGCAGTGCTACCAGTGCTACGAATACGGCCATATCGCGAAACACTGCAAGAAGACGGCGCGTTGCGGCGTCTGCGCTGCAACGGCACACCCAGGGGGTGAAAAAGACTGCCCCGAGAAGGCACCTAGCGGCAAAAAACGTTGTGTGAACTGCAAAGGGAAGCACACGGCGTGGGACAGGGACTGCCCTACGGCAGAACAGCAGCGGCTACGCGTACGCGAGGCGTACGCTCACCGCCCCCGACAATTTGAGGTCCGCAGCTACTCGGACGGGTTATCTAGTGAGGGCAGGCTCACACCACCTAGCTCATTGACCAGCGACGGGTTTACAGTTGTACGACCCCGGGGCGGATCGCGAGTGGAGCAGGAGCGAACCGAACGGTCTGCGTCAGCAATGCGTAGCTTCCTCACTAAGGGACGTACGAACGAAGATATACCATCGACAGCTTAATGGTAGTCTCTATTCTCTACTGGAATATCGCAGATTCAAAGGCGAACGCAACGCTAGCGCTGGATAAGGGGGGTGACTATGATATAATAGCGGTTCAAGAGCCATGGATCAACCGGCGGACGAAGGCGATTTATTGCCCGAAGTCGTCCAGGTACGAAGTAGTGTACAGCAGCGGCAGAGCTGCGCTATACGTCCATAAACGATACGACGTGGCTACGTTGCGACCCCGTACCGGGATGGACTGGAGCAGTATTACGTTCGGGGCAGGCCCGGACGCCCTTACAATCTGGTCTATCTATTCACCAAACCAGACCGGGAGCCGCTGGGTCAGCCCGCTCCAAGACCTCCCTAATGGGGCGCCGGAGGGGACACAGGTCCTTGTAGGGGACTTCAATACACATCACCCGCTGTGGGACGTCCACGGACGGTCGTCACGGGGCAGCGACAACGTAGTGGAGTTTGCGTGACGCTGGCGATTAGAGCTCGTTACGCCGTTCGGGGAAATCACACGGCAAAGGCACAAACAACGAGACTCAACTATCGACCTAGCCTGGGTGACGAAAGGGGCTAGGATTGATTACGATGGGGACCCAGGCCTAGAGGACTCAGACCACAGAGTGCAAGTGATTAGGGTAATATCCAACGGGGAAGCAGTCAAGGAGGGCCGCCGCAGTGTCGAAGGGTGGAACTGGGCGATGGCGGATAAGTGGCTCATCGTAGCCGAATCAAGCCAGAGATTTATGAATTATTTGCCGGTTGAGACGATAACGGAGTTGGACCAGGCTGTTGACTGGGTTATCCGGAACCTCCAAGAGATCGCCGACGTGGCGGTCCCGAGACGCACCGTTGGCCGAGGCGCTGGGGTCCCGTGGTGGTGCCCGCAGGTTAGCAAGGCTTGCGCTGAGACGAAGAGACGACGGCGGGACTACCTCCAGGCAAGGTCGCAGACCAACTGGGACGAATATACAAGAGCCGGCCAAAAACAACGGCTCGAAATCAGCGAAGCGCAGACGCGTAGCTGGCACGAGAAGCTCGAGGGGACGGCGAAGGATCACAAAAGCCTGTGGGCACTGCAGAGGTGGGCTAGGCTACGGAGCTGGGCCCCCCCTGAGGCCCACGGCTTGCCAGATCTCCGGAGGGACGCCGGCGACACGCTTACAGCACGTACACATGATGAGAAGGCAAAATTACTAGCTGAGAGGTTCTTCCCAGACCCGTATATAGATCTATCGGACCTCGATCGCGGCCTATTACAGACGAGACCAGAGCTGAACGTCCCTAGGGAGGTGACCACAATGGATATCGAGTCTATCATCAAAGGAACGGCTGCTCGGAAGGCTCCCGGCGACGACCTGATCCCCACTGGCCTGCTAAAGGCCTGCGGTGAACCCCTATGGGAGATCCTAGCGGATCTGGCAACAGCTAGCTTTAGGCTGGGGTACTACCCGGAGCGCTTCCGCTCAGCGAGGGTGGTTATTATCCCTAAGCCTAATAAAACGACAGCTCAGAAGCAGACCCCTGGCGGCTGGCGCCCCATTGCCCTGCTTAGCACGGTAGGGAAGGTAATAGAGACGGCGATGAGCCAGCGTATCACCAAAGTAGCTGAGGCGGCCGGCCTACTACCAAACGGCCAAATGGGTAACCGCGCTGGGAGGTCCACCGAACTGGCAATACGTATAGTTGAGGACGTGGTCTATACGGCGTGGAGACGCGGGGGCATCGCCTCGCTGCTACAGCTAGACATCAAGGGGGCATTCGATACGGTCAATTACAGACGGCTGATTTCCATATTAGCCCGGAAAGGCTACCCGGAGTGGGTTCAGGAGTGGGTACGCAGCTTCGTGGAGGATAGGACGGTACGCCTCCGGTTCGATGGCAAGGAGTCAGAGCCAATCCCCCTACGAGCTGGCGTCCCCCAGGGGTCACCGCTATCCCCGATACTGTTTATATTATACATTTCAACGCTGTACGAGGAGCTAGCGGAGCAGCATCCACTACTTTTAGTAGTCGGGTTCGCGGACGACACGAACCTGCTAAGCGTCGGCACCGATCCAGACACGACCTGCCGCCGGTTGGAGAGCGCATGGGCTACGTGTCAGCGGTGGGCAGTGAGGCACGGGATGGAGTTCGCTCCTGACAAGAGTGAGCTAATGCACTTTACTAGGACCCGAGAGCCCTTGCCGCAAAGTATTCGCCTTGGGGACGCCACAGTGTCGCCGGTAGTCTCAGCCAGGTTCCTAGGAGTCTGGTTCGACCGCAAACTGACGTGGCACGCCCATGTTGAGCGTGTTAAAACAAAAATGGCAACTCAAAAGCTAGCCCTGACAAAGCTAGTCAATATGTCGTGGGGCTGCGATCTTATACGGGCGAGGCTGTTATATACGGTGGTTATCCGTAGCGCGATCGCCTTCGGGGCGACTGCGTGGCATACTATAAGTGAGGAACCGGCAGGGCCAGCTAAGAGCCTGATGGGGATACAGAACGAGTGCCTCCGGGTAGTCTGTGGCGCCCACAAAGCGACGCCGGTTCGCCACCTGGAAGCAGAAGCAGCAATCCCGCCACTAGACCTCTATCTTAGTGCCCGGGCTGCTAAGTTTGAAGAACGGCTACGACTTAGCGGGAAGAGAAATCTGCTTCGCAGCACGAGCGCTAAAGCGTCACATATACTCCGGCAGGATAGGCCGGCGAAGAGGAAGCAGGCGTCGCAGCTACTCCGACCGGCAGGGTACACTATGGAGAAGGAAGCCCGGGGCTCCGAGTGGATGAGTGAGGAAAAGGAGGTCCCCGATGCCCTCCTCGGCCACTGGAGGAAGAGATGGCTCACCGGAGCAGAGCATCACGATCGCCAGCGACGCGCTATCGCTGAGGAACCGTAGGGCCCTTCGATGCAGATACCGAAAGGGGGCAAGTATTTCGGCCTGAACCGACTGGAGGCGTCTACGCTGTGCCAGATCAGGACGGAAAAAATAGGACTAGCAGCCTTCTTATTCAAGACAGGGGCTTTTGGCGTGTAATCGCCGCTATGCCGCTGTGGCGACGCCCCTGAGACGGCAGAGCACGTAATCCTCTTTTGCGGGCTGTTGGAAGGACCGAGGGAACGATTACGGGCCGCTATCGCACCACGGCCACTATACTCTCGCAGAGACCTCGCAACGGCAACAGGAGAACCAGTAGTTAGTGGGACTATTGTAAGGTGGCTGCTAGGGACGGGTCGGACAGCTTCAAGGCCCAGATAGCATCGATCTTCTCAGGGGGGACTTTGTTGGTAGGTTGAGAACCAACGTAGTATGGTAGTGAACGCAACGCAGTCGCCAATAGGGCGAACCGACGACGCAGCGTATGTATTTAGTCCAGCCATTAGGGCACGGTTTGACATACGGAAGTACTAGTAGAGGTACCGGGGGCTTCGAGCCTACGGCGTATTTAATAATAATAATAATAATTATCCTTTTCTAGTGGTTTCTCTCACGTAACCTCTGGGTCTATATTTTCTGATCCGATGACGGTGTTTCTTCCTCCCTGTGGATCTTCCTACGAACAAACCTTTAGGTCGGTTAGGGCGCATGTATTTCTGCTTCTTTGCCCTCACCTAACGAGAGAGTTAGAGCCAAGGTACTAGAGAAATGGAAGAACGTACATGAAAGAGAAGCCTTGGGAAATAAAGAGACGAAGAAGTCTCGAGATCTAGGATCCTTTTATTATCAAATAGCCTGACACGCCCTTAATGTCTCTACCAAAAACTCTATAGGTCTAACTATCTCTAATGCTATTTACGCTATAACGTCCCACACCTACATCCGGGACACCCCCACATGTGGGACGCCCTAAAAATGACACTGTATATTATAACCATTAACTTCAACCTTTTTTTACACTTATTCTAATGCGACTACAATACAGATTTCACCGTCACTAGGGTTTTCAGACTCGCTAGACTCATCTGTATTATCTTCAATTTCACCAGCCTCGATTTGAGCCTTCCGAATAGCCTTGATATTAGTAAACTTCGAATTTGGGCTCATCTTGACCTTCCTCCGCTTCCTAGCTCTACTAGCCTCAAGCTCTGCCTCTATTGCCTCAATCTTTCGCTGTGCGACAGCTAATTGGTAGTCCTTCTCATCAAAGCCCTTTTGAACTTTCCGAAAGAGTAGCCGCTGGGTATTTGGATCACTATCAAGCTTGCTGAATAATGTCAGGTTACGGCCTGGACCGAAGGCGATAGTACAGAGTGAAGGGGAGAAATAGGCGTGTCCCCCTGGTGGTCACCTGGTGGTCACTGGTGGTCACTTGGTGATGGCAGGTAGGGGTGTCCACAGTAGTTCATTGATCTCTGCCCTCTCTATCTTCCTCCGTCTCGACTCCTTACTTATAGCCAGCCGAGGTTCTCTCTTGGATTCTGGATGTTTGCTTCCGTATGTCTGTGTTCCTCCGACTTCGGCCAATATCTTGGATAGCGGCTCCTTATCTGCAACCAAGCGATTCCCTATCCGCTGCAAACGGCTTCGACGGCTCTCATTCGCCACAAGCGGCTCTCTAGCCGCCACAAACGGCTTCCTACCTGGTGGAAGCCGGCCCGCCTCGGATGACACTTGTGGCTCTGACAAATAAGCTGAGTTGATCTTGGAGCTCATCTCTCCTCTTAGGCGTTGACCTGGCTACTGCTGATATCTCTAACGCCCAGTCCTGACTACCCTTACTATCAGAGTACCCTTTGCAAGTCTGACTAGGCTGTCTGATTGGTGCTGACGTATTCTCAAGGAGCAGGGGGCTCATAAGGGGTCTAGCTATGCTCGAAGGCCAGAGACCAGTATATTTACATCCACTGATAATGTTCTTAGCGGTCAATGCTGTAAACGTGCCTTTCTATAGCAGAGGAGAAAGTTTCTCTTCCCTACGACAGTAGTGTAACGGGGTAAGGCCGGACATCAGGGAAATAGGTTACGGGGCTAGGAGAAAGTTTATTTTCTCTTCTTTAAGAGGCACAGAGGCAGAGTAGGACAGGAGTCCTCCATATTCACGCATCATCATCCTCATCTTCATATCATCATCTCCTTCTTATCTATATCTTCACTTTCGCTTTTCAGTCAGTTATTTAGTTATTTCAGTTATTCAGCTTATCTTTACGTTCGAGATCCTATTATCACGATACGAGTATTAGAGGCACATCCGACCAACTCGCGCACCAGACGTATAAGAGCTTCGCTCTTATAACCAGTACCACGATCTTCGTCTGATAAGACCAACAGATGGGATCTGTTGGTACTGGAGCCGTCTGTTCAGTGTGTTAGGTGGTAGGTATATCCTACTGACCGCCTGACCCCGTTTCAGTAGTAGTATCCCATCGGTCAAGATAACCAAGCTCCTTCTTATAGGCTGCCTTGAGGGGTCCAAAGACTGACTGATCGAGAGGCTGGAGAACGTGGGATGTGTGTGGCGGCAAGAAAAGCAAGTGTATCTTGTTTATGAAGCAGAGGTACATAAACTCTGTCGTTTCGTGGCTACTATGCCCATCTAGGATAAGTAACCTAGTCTCTTCAGGGTCCTCTGGTTGAGTCAAAGGAATAAAGTTCTTTTGTAGCCACTCAATAGCCGCAGAGTCTGACGTCCACCCATTCTCTGTTGCTGTAAACCTCCAGGCTTCGTATGGAGTCAAGTCCAGAGGAAACCACTGCTGCTGGACAGACTTCCCCTTGTATATCACAAGTAGGGGTAGTGCAAGTACCAGTCGCAGAGATACACTCTATAAGAGATGTCCAAGCTCGAGATCCAGGCTGTTTCTTCCGTATAGAACGAGTCTCAGATGATCCTAGAACAAGACCATTTGATCCTCTACCTTCTAGAATACCTGTCTCATCCATATTGTATCGATTCGAGGCCTTAATAGCTTTGATCTCAGGGATAGCGAGGTATTTGAACCATTGCCTGATCACATTAGCTAAGGCTCCATTAATACGCTGGGAATCGATAGCTCTGCTTCTCTGGACCTTGAATGAAGGGTTCCTCTTGATAAAAGCCTGGACCCAGTTCTTTCCAAGTGGTTCGGTGTCTCCATGGATCTGTAGGATACGCTCGGCGAAGTCTTTGAGCTGTTTGTCACGACCTGGGTTGCATCGCATTGGTAGAGACCTCGATTAGGTGCTATCGACCAAGATTCTACTCTAAGGAGCGAAGGAAAGAAGATGACAACTTAGGTTTGAGGGAGCGCGACTAAGTCATCCACGCTTGGCGGGGCTCCTACAAGGGTTATGATTGGCTTCCCATCTGACACTGCCACGGCAGGTGTTCCAGCTGTAAGTCACCTGGCTGTAGTGAGTCTGCGAGGGTTGACCTTCACACTGTTGATGGGTTGGTGGGAGGCCTAGGGCAGCCTGGATTCGAACCCATTCAGCCAGATGAGATTCCTGGGCTGGAGAGAGCCTCTGGTAGTCAGCGAAGGCTATATCTCTTGACTGGGCTCCCTGAATCCGTCGTGAAAGAGTAGACCTTGGGACACCATGCTCATATGCTGCTTTTCGGAGGCTTTGACCGGTAGCTATTGCTTGAAGAGCTCGATAAATATCGTCTTCGGTATATTGACTCATATTAGTGTAAAGAAGACGTACGTAAAATTTCGTAACGATTGAATCGATATTGGTAAAGAAAAAAGAGGTTGAAGTTAGAGGCTAGCGGTGTTGATGAGGCATTTTTGGGTGTCCCACATGTGGGGATGTCCCGGATGTGGGTGTGGGAAGTTATTTATTTAGACTTAGATGAGTATAAGCTAATCAAATACGAGTTTAGGCTAGGAAATAGCTCCGACCTCTAAGTATAGTTACGGTTCCTTCAAATAAATTGCCACCTACTCAATCCTCTGCGATACACTCTATAGTAAGGAACGGGATGTCTTTAGAGCGAACCTTGAAGCGCTATTACTCTCTTTATGTATAGTCTTCAGTACTACGCTTAGTAGGAAAGCGCTACTTCGATACGTAGCTAGTATGAAATAGCTATAACGCACTAATATCTATCCCATCAGTAGTTACCTTCCGAGGGAAAAAACTTTGGTTAATTATGAAAGTAGAAGCGAGTCGGAATTCTCCAAGTTCCTAGGCCTTAGTAGCCTAGTGTCACGGGTATTCAAGTACAGAGTGAAGCAGGAGAGTGCTAGAGAGAAGTTGGTTGCTCGTCACCAGTTTGGTACTAGCAGTGTAGTGTAGGGGACTCAAATACGACAAGTTAATCGCTGCCCCTCCTCAAGATAGGGGGGTCACAGCAGCCTATTCATGCATGGCCGACCCGTGTGACACCCAGTAGGGAATCTAGGGGCTGAGATCCCTACTCTTTTTCAAATATAGTAGCTCGTCTAATTCACTGCCTTTAGAAGCCGTAGGATTATACAAGGCAGGACGATAAACGAGAGAAAACAAAACTCAAGGAAAAGAGGAACTAGACTGCCCAAAAGAGATAGAAAGCGCACAAGTTGGGGTGTTTTCTATGTGTGCATGTGGATTTGGCTGTCCATGAGGGCGGGGCGTCCATGAGCGTGGTGGGGGGGGTGGTAGTGTTTCAACTAGTTTCAACCAGGACGCCAAGTGGGCAAAACCCGGGACAAGTCACTGATCACGGCCCAGCGAGCCGGCGGCGCCTCTGTAACCCGGTAGACACGTCAGCACCAACCTCTGCTCTTTAGCGACAGCGGCTCCCGAGCTCGAAAAGACGGATGCGCAGCCCTCCTTCAGGACGGAAACGTTGGCGACGCCGGGGGTAGTCGGCGTCTCCCCAGATAGAGTGTTGCCATTTCCAGCCTTGCAAAGCGGATGCAGTGCGACCTTTCCACCTTCCAGATCAGGCGCAGATTAACAATATACTGAAAACGCACGTTCCTGGTTCGTGGCGTTGTTCTGACTCGCCGGCCAATTAAAGGAAGCTACTTACGCCGAACGAGCGGAAACGCATAAATCGCCTGCTTCCTATATTAAGGGACCCGGGCGAAATGTGGACGAAGTACCTCGCGAAATTCCTCACCAGAGTCCATTACAGTTAATTATAGTTCCTCCTGTTTGGCGTGATTGCGATATAGTGGCTCGCGGGGCTCGAACAGCGACAAGAGGAGACCATCTAGACGCAGAGATTCTTAATCAAGGACCCATTCATTCGTCTGCTCTCAAAGATGAGACGAACCTGCTTGATCTGGAAACTCTTCAGAGTTGCGGATCGTCAACACATGCGCTGCGGGGGAGAAGGCCAAGGTGTGGAGTAACCCTGTCGTAAATCTGGGGAGTGCCGTTCAGCTCCAGTCTCCAACGAAAATGTGTCTTGGTTCCTGGTTACTCGGTACAAAGCCTGATTAGGAACGCTTGCATCCAACGAGATCGTCATTCCCGGCTTGTATACGTGCTAGCAGGGTGGAAAGGCTAGTAGAGCTTACAGGGGCGGCGAATTTCAACGCACAAACGGACTCTGCCGACGATATTGGCAAGTGTCAAATCTCCACAGCGGGAAGGAATAGGAGGCGACGGGCGCACTCTATTTGATTTGTTTCAAAGTGGTTAAGCTGCAAAACGCCAAGCAGGACCTCGCATAGCCCACACATTGTACGGGGAGCGCCCTAGTGGTGGTGGTGCTATACTAGTCTCCAAACTCTCATTCGGTAATACCCTCCGTGCCTAACTCCGGCATGCCGCCAAAAAGCCTCCAATGAGCACGCCACAAATCCTGTCCCATGCCGGTATCGTTAATATACATCGACCATTTGGCCTCTCAATTTTCCATCCACAGTCGAGTCATGGGGTTGCATTGCCGTGTCTTCAACCTAAACGACTTACTGCGCGCGACGTCACTGGCAATTTGAGGTACTGTAGTCTGTCTGAATTCGGTCACGAACCCCAACCCCCAACAGCACATGAGAAGTAACGACGAAGTAAACCCGGTTCATCACCCAGAATCTGGAAGTCATACATGCATTACTGCCACGAGAGTGCATGGCGAGACAGAATGATGGATATTGGACATGAAGACAATGACGAGATAAACGGCCCGTCACCCGGACTCTGGCTCTTCTCGATCGAAAGCGGAACCGTCGGCCGGTGATAGATTCTCCCTCCTTCCGCGGTCAAGGCTGCTGTTTGAGGCAATGATGTGTACTTCTCGTCGAACCATAGCGGACGATGGTGGAGTCTCACATATTAGGATCGAACTATCGCAAACGACAGTGGAGACCCGCATCTGGGGGACGAGCTTCGGGCAGCAACTCAGAGGCTATATAACGACTATGTCCAACACCTCACAATGGTCTTTTTCTTCACCACCTCTCCACGCTCTTCACGGTCCAGTCCTTACCCCTCCTGTTGAACAGTAGAACAATCCCCTTCGTCACCTCTTTTCACCATGTACTCCAAAATCGCCGCCATCACGGCCCTGGTGGCCGCTGTGCGTGCTCAGCAAGCCTGCACGCTTACCCCAGAGACTCATCCTTCCCTTACATGGCAGCAGTGCACTGCCGCTGGTGCTTGCACCAATGTTGACGGCTCCGTCACAATCGACGCGAATTGGCGGTATACCCACGCACTCGAATCGGGGACGAACTGTTATTCTGGCAACGAGGTTTGTCCCCATTTTCCCGAAATGGTAGAATAAAGTACTAATCCAGAACGTGCAGTGGGATACCACTCTGTGCCCTGATGGCGAGACTTGCGCTGCCGCATGCTGCGTCGACGGCGCCGAATACGAGTCAACCTACGGTGCCACTGCTAGTGAGAGCTCCCTGAGCCTCAACTTCATTACCGAAGGCCAATACAGCACCAACATTGGAAGCCGTTTCTTCCTCATGGCCTCTGAGGACGAATACCAGGGGTTCGAGCTCCTGGGTAAGGAGTTCACTTTTGACGTGGATGTGTCCAACCTCGGGTATGCCTCCCACAACACAGCCCCCGACCATCCTCACACATGCTGACGCGAATGATCCAGCTGCGGTCTGAACGGCGCGCTCTATTTCGTTTCTATGGACTTGGACGGTGGTCTCTCCAAGTACGATGGCAACGCGGCCGGCGCCAAGTACGGAACGGGCTACTGTGACTCGCAATGCCCTCGTGATATCAAGTTCATTGACGGAGTTGTAAGCTCTCACTCATACCTTCCCTTTGCGCATCGCATACTTACAGTCTCCCCAGGCCAACGTCGAAGGTTGGGTGCCGTCATCAAACGATGTCAACGCCGGGGTTGGTAACCTGGGCTCATGCTGCGCGGAAATGGACATCTGGGAAGCCAACTCGATTTCCACGGCCTACACTCCGCATCCCTGCACCAACTCGGCGCAGCACTCGTGCGATGGCGACGCCTGCGGTGGCACCTACTCCTCGGACCGCTACGCCGGCGACTGCGACCCTGATGGCTGCGATTTCAACAGCTATCGCCAGGGCGACACGACCTTCTATGGCGAGGGCCTCACTGTCGATACCTCCTCTCCTATGACGGTCGTCACCCAATTCCTGACCGGCTCCGATGGCGCACTCAGCGAGATCAAGCGCTTCTACGTCCAGAACGGCGCCGTCATCCCCAACTCAGAGAGCCAGATCGCCGGCGTGACTGGAAACTCGATCACCGAAGAGTACTGCACCGCGCAGAAGTCCGTCTTCGGCGACACCGACGTCTTCGCTGAAAAGGGAGGTCTGGCTCAGATGGGCGAGGCTCTCGCGTCGCCTATGGTTTTGGTTATGAGCTTGTGGGACGACGTAAGTCATGTTTTTTTACCCCTAAGCCCTATTGATAGGAGAGGTAGACTAATTTGGTATGATAGCACTACGCCGACATGCTCTGGCTTGACTCGACCTACCCTGTCAACAGCACCGCTCTCGGCGCCGCTCGTGGCACTTGCACCGCCGACTCTGGTGACCCGGCTTATGTCGAGGCCAACGCCGCTAGCAACTCCGTCAAGTTCTCCAACATCAAGTTCGGACCTATCAATTCCACCTTCACCGCCTCATAAGGGCGTGTGTTTTTGGAACTTGGCTCTGACTCTCCCAAGATGGCGGTGGGCTGTCAGAAGCGTTGAGAGGTATCCATGAATGAAACAAACCACCTGACAAATGCAATGCATTGGAAGGGCGACATGGGGGAGGGGGAAAGGGCTGGTGGAATCTTTGACTTCTTTGTATATACTCTCTCACTTTTACATACTCTCGCATGGGGATGTTGAAACATCTCCGTTTTTACATCTTCTAGGTACATAGTTTCCTGCATCTCAACGAATCTGTAGACTGTCTGCGCTGTGGAGCATTATGAATATCCCTCTTTATCTTAAGTAGAAGCCACCTGTAAAAGAAATTGTCTTTATTTCGGTGCAAGTCATGAGCTTTCCGCTGGTTACTAACAATGAGGGCATTCTTCTATAAATCGGTACACTATCTCTGACATCCCTAGAGGACGACTTCCTAGGGGATTGCACAAGTTCTGAAATAGCTTGTGCTAATGGTCTCCTACAAGGTCATGTCCTCGTGTCCTCCCACTCATGTATATCGGAGGAAATGTGTTGTGCGGCGGTCGCTATAGCAGAATGTTTTTATCGAATAAAGGAGCCTTTCTCGACACCGTTGATGAGGTTGTCTGTTAGAGCCGGGGTGTTGCAGTGGCAAAGTGGCATATGAAGGTACTTCAAAGCTAATTCGGATGAAGCACAGGAAACACTCATGGCGATGAGAATCCACTATTACTCCATGATAGTGCACTAGTTTTGAAAATTTACCGAACTAGAACTTCAGATAGTTATCAACTGCGGGTTATCCAAAAGAGAACCCCGAGGAAGTTCATATTTCTTTAAACTTGGTGGTAAGTTTTCTTCAACTTGTATTGGGGTAGCTCAGCATACACCTTGCAGTGATGGCATACTTTCACACAATTGGAAACACTTGAGGTCTGCGGCGACTCATAGGTTTGTTCCATAACGAGCCCGAACCTAGGGTCTCAAATGGGTTGGTTGCTGAGTGCGCCAGTGGTCAACTCAATTATTAAACTAGAAAAGGGGTAAAATACGAGGCGAGTTTCTTTCCAGATAACAGGAAACCATGACATGTCGAATCTGTCTCTATATTACATTGCAAAGTGCTGGTGTCTGGTATTTACAGCAACTTCTACTATGCTAAAGCTTTCCCTCCGAGCAAACTGTTCCCAGTGTCTCCTCCGTACAGGCCTTCAGTTTATACGACCTCCTCAGAATACCGGCGCTCAGATTGACGAATCTCGGGTTCGTGTTTCTCGCCGGAGTCTACACCGAAGGTAGCGTGGTGCGCGTCAGGCACGCCCAACATCTGCCCACCCTTCTCAACGTGATTGGCGCCTCCGAACAGGACATCAATCTCTTCCAGGCTCACCTGTTTGGTCTCTGGAATTAAAAAGTAGACGAAGAAGACAAGAATGATATTGACTGCCATGAAGAAAAAGAGACACTTGAGCCCCTCATTTTCTAGAAAGATCGGGAAGAATTGCTGGAAGATGGTGTTCCCGACGTTCTGCATTTGGGAAGACATGCCGACGGCTTGGGCGCGGACGTTGACGGAGAAGATCTCGGACGTCCAGATCCAAACGGTGGCGCCCCAGGACGGCTTGTAGAAGAAGATGAAGAGGAAGAGCATGAAGACGATAGAGATGCCGACAGGCTCCGACTTGGCACCGTCGATATCCGGCGTGGCGAGGCCAATGACGGGTACGACCAGCATACAGACTGCCATTCCGGCGGCACCGACCATAAGTAGCCATCGTCGACCCCACTTGTCTGCGATCCAGACAGCGTTGAGCGTGAAGAGGATACCGCAAGTAGCGTTCAGAGCGTTGATGAGGTTGATGGTTTGAGTCGAGGACCAGACCTTCTTGTAGATGGATGTTGAGTAAGAGTTCAGAGTGCCTTGGCCCGAGAGCTGTTGGCCAACATTGATGAAAAAGGCGAGATAGAGACGCTTGCGAATCGAGGGATCCTTGAAGAGGGCCGTGTACGATGAACTGATGGCTTCCTTCTCGAACTCGATAGCCTCGCGGATGACGAGAACCTCGTCCTCGACCTCCTGCTCAGTGGCACGGATCTTTCGCAGAGCTTTCTTGGCCTCCTCGACGTTATTGTGGCGCTGGATCCACCAACGGGGCGACTCGGGCTGGAATGGCAACAGTATGATGATGATGACGGGGACAAGCACCTGGAAAATGACAACCATTCGCCAGTCCCAATCGCCTAGCTGGGACCTGTGCAAACTGGTGGCGTATGCAATCCAGTAGGCGATGAAAGATCCGACGGAATAGAATAGTTGCCAAAAGGCCATGATCTGACCTCGGATCTCTGGCGGCGCCACTTCGCCAATGTAGACAGGCCCGGCAGTCAAGGCCATACCCTGACCGAGACCGATCAAGACACGGCCACCGATGAAGCAGCCGAGGTTGTGCCTGGGAGCGAAGGCTTGCAGGAAGGTGGCAATTATGGTGATGAAACATCCGATTCCCATGCCCACCCGACGTCCGAAGTAATCCGCCTGCAAATCCAGGTCAGTATAACCATTCAAGTACGCGGTACAGCACGTGAATTACCGTTGGCCCTCCGAAGAAGAACCCAGAGACTATGGCACCGATTGTATAGGCTGTATTTATAAGGCCCAGTAGGTAGGTATCTTTCTTGGCATCGAGGTTGAACCAGGCCAGCCAGTTGGGTGAACCCTGTGCGGCGTTGAAGACAGATGCGTCATATCCGTACAACACCATGCACATGGCGGCAACCAAGCAGATGTACCTAAATCAAGCATGAACAGATATGGCCTTTGCTGTCTCAATACTGCAGACTCGTACTCACCAGTTGTACACTCTTGTTTTGTCCACCATCTTGAAGGTGACGGCCGACAGCGAGCCGGTCTGCGAGGCGGTAAACTTCCGAGGTAAGGGCTCGAACGAGCACGCGAATGAGACGACCTGAAGATTAAGGCCAGAGGTCGAGAGGCGGGAGTGAGAAGAGAAAGGAAAACAAGTAGATGCCAGAAAAGAAGTGCCAGCAGCTCATATGTACGCTGGCAGAATGCAGTGTCTGTGGCACAAATGAATCCCACTTTCAACGATGCCTGTCCGGCGATCGCAGGTTAACTAGGCAAGGGCCCTTGACTGCAATCCCCAATGATATACTGTATAAGCTTCGTGGCCCCGATTTTCGTCACCACTCACAGGTGCTTGCATTGTGAGCAAGGGCAAATGCTCCAGGCCTTATTAGCACACACATGCGCATGTTCATCCCGGTTGTCCTAGCATGGGGTTCCTTCGCGAGGCAGGTATGGGCAAATGGGGCCCGAATCCGCCCACAAAGTCCACTCCACCATTGCGGGAAAGCCTGCAGGGCGAATTCTGTTTTCGATGAGTTTGTCCGAGACGATGACGACGGCACAGCCAATAGAGCTCAAACATCTCTCCAGAGCAGTCCCCTGTGGACCCCCTTCTGCTGCAACAATCCCCCGGGTTGGCTGGGGTTGCGTTGGGAGGAATATGGAGAAATACTCATTTGAGATTCCACCAATCGCACTCTCACCGGTCGAACGCACTAACAACGGCTCGACGGATGCCACAGCTGCCGCGTTCGGTGGCACAGCTAAGAAACGCCTAGCCGGTTGGCACCGCTTGTTCCCAAGTCACTTCACAGGCCTTGGGGCTCTGCTCACAAGTCCCAGGCCGTGACAATCTACTATCGTGACAGTCCTTCACGATAGTTTGGTTGACATCGGTCCAAGTGATGCAACTCTTAGCGCGATTTCCTGGTTGCCACCGACAAAGTTGCTGCGATAACGACAAAACTGAAGAAGAAGGTCCGATGTCACCTCAGGTGCAAGCCTGTCATAATGACAAGAGTGGGCCCGTATCTAAAGCCGACAACAAGCTGACAAGCTCTTGCCCGGTGCCCACAAAATCTCAAGTTGTCCGGGGGATCTCCAGTCTCCGCAGAAATTTAATGGGGTCAAATGGAATGCCCCAGGTTCTAGCTTGCGATCCATTTGGGTTTCGCGGGATCTCCCTAGATAAAATGGAGTCATCATCCACGAAGACGGGGAGTAGTCGATTGATGTGACTAGTATCAAATCTTTAGACATCCAATTGGAATCGGAACCGACTAGAGAGGAAGAAAGCACAGGCACTCAACAGGAGGAAGTCAACGCCTAATTACTCGACTCGTAGTGACCCTTCCTTAGCCCTCACTGTGTCCATCCGGATCAAATGTTTGAAGAGAACAATCAGGCTCACTCTTGGCTGCGTCGACGAAGTGTTCTTTTCTGTTGTCGGTGTTTCAACAATGCACCGCCATTGACTCAATCTAGAGTGTGCGATAGTTTCAACATGGCCTCCGAGGCAGGCCGCAAACACTACGAGATGCTGAACTCACAACCCTGCGCCACATAGAAGAGTATACATGTATATCACGTCAGCTGATAAACAGTGCGCACGCGAGTAACCACAACTCTCGGCGATCACTTCCGTCTTGGTATGTGAAGCTCGAGATCGAGAATAAACGGGCCCAGGAACGTGGCTCTGGGCCTTGGCTCGACCCTCTAGGCTGAACACATCATGCGGTCTAGTCTTGGCGCTAAATGAGGCTATGGAATTTCTTTACTCATGCAACGCTGCGGCTCCGCGGTGCCCTACTTGTGTATGCTAATGTGATGTGGGCAATTTTCCAGCAATGATAGCCACTTCTGCGTGTAAGTAACCATGCTGACCCTCCGTAGTCATGCCCCCACCTTAGCAATTCCAAAAGCGGCATAATTTCAGACGCGATGCAGGTCACACCCTACCTTCAACACGCGTTTTCTCAGCCAATCGCCTGGCAAAATGTCTAGAAGATAGAAATCACAATCAGAAATGAATCGCAAGCTCAGAGATGCCCAATTTGCCGTGAGAATTTGTCAGATGCGATCCGTGCGTAGTCGCCACTACTACTTGGTTCCAGCCCACCAGCACTGGCCTAGCTTACCGGAATACATCACAGTTCTATCTCTCTGTGTGCCCCAAAAAATGGCATGAAGCAATATGACGCGGCCTGGCTCTACAAGGTGTGACCCTCTACGCTATCTAGGCGAGCGAACAGACAGATCCAACTCTACTACCGAATCAAGCATACATAATAAACTAGCGACTACCAGCGTTTTAAGAGGAACTTTTAAGGAGTGGATTCTGCTCAAAGAGCTCTACAGAAGAGCTCTGTCTAAGCGTTTCGTAACTAATTTACAGAGTAGATATTACTAGCCTTAGAGGATATGATAAACCTAGGCAAATGATAGTACGATCAGTTCCTTAAGCGATACTAGATCCGTACTAAATTAGCTATATAGCACCTTCTAAGAGAGTCTAGGCGGTTTATTCGCTTGTTGTTAGATAGCAACTAATAAGGCAATACACCTAATAAATGTGCTATCTACTATTACAAACAAACAAATAATTAGAGGATTCAGATTATATTTTGCAGATGCAGTAGCGTAATAGTCATTGTGTCACACTTATTGTAAGAAATTCTATATAACTATACATATTGAAACGGGGTCAGGCGGTCAGTAGGATATACCTACCACCTAACACACTGAACAGACGGCTCCAGTACCAACAGATCCCATCTGTTGGTCTTATCAGACGAAGATCGTGGTACTGGTTATAAGAGTGAAGCTCTTATACGTCTGGTGCGCGAGTTGGTCGGATGTGCCTCTGATACTCGTATCGTGATAATAGGATCTCGAACGTAAAGATAAGCTGAATAACTAAAATATCTAGAAAGCTAGTCAATATGTCGTGGGGCTGCGATCTTATACGGGCGAGGCTGTTATATACGGTGGTTATCCGTAGCGCGATCGCCTTCGGGGCGACTGCGTGGCATACTATAAGTGAGGAACCGGCAGGGCCAGCTAAGAGCCTGATGGGGATACAGAACGAGTGCCTCCGGGTAGTCTGTGGCGCCCACAAAGCGACGCCGGTTCGCCACCTGGAAGCAGAAGCAGCAATCCCGCCACTAGACCTCTATCTTAGTGCCCGGGCTGCTAAGTTTGAAGAACGGCTACGACTTAGCGGGAAGAGAAATCTGCTTCGCAGCGCGAGCGCTAAAGCGTCACATATACTCCGGCAGGATAGGCCGGCGAAGAGGAAGCAGGCGTCGCAGCTACTCCGACCGGCAGGGTACACTATGGAGAAGGAGGCCCGGGGCTCCGAGTGGATGAGTGAGGAAAAGGAGGTCCCGGCTGCCCTCCTCGACCACTGGAGGAAGAGATGGCTCACCGGAGCAGAGCATCACGATCGCCAGCGACGCGCTATCGCTGAGGAACCGGAGGGCCCTTCGATGCAGATACCGAAAGGGGGCAAGTATTTCGGCCTGAACCGACTGGAGGCGTCTACGCTGTGCCAGATCAGGACGGAAAAAATAGGACTAGCAGCCTTCTTATTCAAGACAGGGGCTTTTGGCGTGTACTCGCCGCTATGCCGCTGTGGTGATGCCCCTGAGACGGCAGAGCACGTAATCCTCTTTTGCGGGCTGTTGGAAGGACCGAGGGAACGATTACGGGCCGCCATCGCACCACGGCCACTATACTCTCGCAGAGACCTCGCAACGGCAACAGGAGAACCAGTAGTTAGTGGGACTATTGTAAGATGGCTGCTAGGGACGGGTCGGACAGCTTCAAGGCCCAGATAGCATCGATCTTCTCAGGGGGGACTTTGTTGGTAGGTTGAGAACCAACGTAGTATGGTAGTGAACGCAACGCAGTCGCCAATAGGGCGAACCGACGACGCAGCGTATGTATTTAGTCCAGCCATTAGGGCACGGTTTGACATACGGGAGTACTAGTAGAGGTACCGGGGGCTTCGAGCCTACGGCGTATTTAATAATAATAATATAATAAAATAACTAAATAACTGACTGAAAAGCGAAGGTGAAGATATAGATAAGAAGGAGATGATGATATGAAGATGAGGATGATGATGCGTGAAGATTGTCACGACCTGGGTTGCATCGCATTGGTATAGACCTCGATTAGGTGCTATCGACCAAGATTCTACTCTAAGGAGCGAAGGAAAGAAGATGACAACTTAGGTTTGAGGGAGCGCGACTAAGTCATCCACGCTTGGCGGGGCTCCTACAAGGGTTATGATTGGCTTCCCATCTGACACTGCCACGGCAGGTGTTCCAGCTGTAAGTCACCTGGTTGTAGTGAGTCTGCGAGGGTTGACCTTCACATAGCAGAGCTCTTTTATAGCTCTTATCTATCTTATCTATAGCTATAGGTAACCCCCCATGGGGTCACGTATCACCAACGCAGAAGGCCCGTTGGCAGACCTGTTGGCTGGCCTAGAGTGGATACGAAAGAAACCCAGCAAGCCTCGAAGTGTTACGAACCGTTGGTTCTAACCTGGCCAAAACCAACCCGACAGGCCCTACAATAGGCCATGACGGAACCCCGCAGGAACAAAGCCCCATAAGGACGGAAAGGAACAACTAGGCCCCCGACTAAAGAAAGAGGTCACGTGATAGGGATCACCAGGAGCGACGTGATCCAAGTGATCCAACGAGATCAGTGAAGGAGAGATGGATATATAAGGGACAGGACTCCCAGGCATTTCATAGATAGACAGTCTCTACTTCAGTGATCAATCTAAGCATCAATCTAACCCATTGGTGAGGCAAACTGCCTTAACGACTCTATTCCCGATTACCCTACTTGAATACTTCAGTTACCCAAAGCACTATACTCCATACGTCAGACCCCGATATTATTGCTTGAGGACTCCGCAGCAGGACTTACTTAATAGCACAAACCCTTACAGACTCTTTAGTGGTTTACGCAGCTAGACTATTAGAGGTTTCGTTACACGAAGGTCCAACAGCCACCTTAAAATTATCCTACTAACTACTGGTTCTCCTGTTGCCGTTGCGAGGTCTCTGCGAGAGTATAAGGGCTGCGATGCGATAGCGGCCCGAAATCCTTCTCTATATATTACTAGATTAGAGGGAAAAAACCCTAGAATTAGCCAGGTAGCCCTATTAAAACCGGTATGAGACGAGGTAGGCGCTTTCCTGCACTATAATACTATTAAGACCGCCTTCAAGTCATAGAATCTATATGTTAGGCAACCTTGGTGGGCTTTGCTAAGACCACCAAGGTTACCACGTGACTTAGCCCTTTGGGACTAAGTCCAACCTTCGTGCTCCATAGGACTAGATAGAATGTCATGCTTTTACAACCTCACACATCTTTGACCACCTTTGCGTGTAACACTATACTATCAGAAGCCCCTATGCTATGGTAACTTTTTCGAATAATTCTCAAGGTGCTTATTAAGGAGGACTAAGGAACGGACGGCCTGTTTGATGTATTTGAATCTGTACCACTATTTGAATATCGTCTGTAATCAGGTTGTGTTATGCGCGGCGCATAGGACCCGGGAAGGGTTGGAACAAGGTGCTAGTCATTGGTAGTGATACAAACTGAAGTAATTGATTAGCTATTGAAGCAAGTTTGTTAAACGTCTGCAATCGAATCGACTTACAGCCGATTATTTATAATGGGTCATTGTTAACTACGCCTAATTGCTCTATTCGAGCCAAAATATATAATTTGGATGTGATGATACATTATACTCGGATTGGTTGTGCCGCCTTTGTGTTAGCCGACCTGATTACTTCATTTCGAGACTACAGGCGCTGCTACAGTATAGGTGGAGGTCCTGGCCAACCATTACAGTTATTATCGTAACATAAGCTTCCACACGCTACCCTCTTCTATGATAGGTCTACAATATATAATTCCTGCTCGTTTCTCCTTCTCTTATAACCAGATGAAGCCTTAATATTCCTTTTCTTGCTCATAACCTCGACATATGATATTTTCGGACAAAGGCTGCGGCTGCGTCGCCTCGGTGCATTTGACTAGCCTACAGAGCCTTCTGGTAGTATTTCTCGCAATTTCAGCAAATAAATTATCTCCCAAAGTCGATAAATTCAAGCTTCAGATTCCGTATCAGTGAATGTATCTGTGCTGTACCATGTAGATGCAGGCAAGGATATGAAGTAATTCTTAACTAACTTGTCCCAGCAGACTACGCGTCCAAACATAATAACTTCCCTGAACGGACCAAACCGAGCTTCTGATAAAAATTCAACTGAATACAATGACTTGCAAAAGCAGCTTCTACTCGCGGTAAAAAAGAGTTTGAATGTAGACTATGTAGGTATATCAGATGATACTTTATTAGTGGTACATGTTATCATCTGCATACATGAATAATACTGGGCTTAGGTCCTAAATACTGAACATCGGTTTTTGATCCCTTATATAGAAGAATACTCGCACCTATTAGGTCGGAGTATATCTAACTGAGGTTACTGAGATCATCGACGAGCGGCTCTATACCTCGATCAACACAGGCGTGAGCTGTGATAGTGGGGGCGGGGAGTAAAGAACCCGAAAAGAATCATGTTTGAACCTGTGGGATTGAGAGCTACATTTACGCCCTAGGTCTCCAGCGGAAGATTTGCTAGTATAACTCGTGGGTGAGACCCTTCCTTCTTCGGAGAGCAAGAGCACCTTACACGAGCTTTTTAACACGAACTCACTCAGCACAACGCTCAGAGCAGACATAGCGATCATAGCGGTAAACACGACATCCGTCCAGAGACATCAACAGAGGGCGGATTCCCTCAGACCCAACGTAAATCGACGTCATGATTGGTCTTCACTATAAAAATATAATACCCCAGTGTGGTACAACAATTTATACAAGTGCTCTAGCTTCGGCAATATCATGCTGTGCAAGACCATACGGAAGCCTAAGAACAGACTTTGCCTCCTGCTGCACCTTGCGGCCCGGGATAACCTCGCGAAGAGGTAATTGAGGAGAATCCAACAAGATCGCGCGCTCAAAATCGATAATCATCGTCTTGTTGGTCTCATTATTCCAAAACATGTTGGACTTTCGTATATCCCTATGCACAACTTGCATTGAATGCACCGCACGTAACGACTGCTCCACCTCCTGGCGCACCTTTCCTTTGATATCTTCCGGCAAGTCTGCCTCATCCAGACAAGTTCCTGCCCACGAAACAAATATCATGTACACAATACGGACCCGGAAGTCATAGTAGCAAATGCGTTCGAGTTCGCGAAGATCAATCGCGCCGAGCAAAACGGGAATACAGCTGCCTTGCAGGGGTTTAAGCTGCTCGTAGACCGCAGATTCGTGCTGGAGATCCTCTACGAACTCAGGAACCGTACCCTTGCTAACAAACGTATACCCGTATTCTAGCAGGGCGACCTGGAACAGGACTCCTCAGGATCCCTGTTTCCCAAGGGGGGTAATACCATCGTCTAATGTATGCTGTAGCTGTTGGCGAAGAAGCCCAAGCCAGGTGGCATAGTCGACGGGGTGATAAGAGCCGCTCTTTACCGTACGGTGACACGCAACGTTAGGGCATTCTTCATCGAGTGGCCCGTTTCCTTTCAACCCTTATAGGCACTTCTGAGTGCAGTACTGTGGACGCCGACTCCGACCTTCTCTTCTTCTACGTGAGGTTGATCCGCGGATACTGCCTACTGTCGGTCGTTGAGCCACGCTTTGTCGACCACGCTTGTTTGGCTCAGTTGGTGTCGGACTTGGCGTCCCATGTCCATGATCTCCAGGCTCGTCTCTGTCAGCCGATGTATGCCGAGACCATTTTCTGCTAGTACGTCCTCTAGAATGAGCTTTGTTAGCGCCAGTGTTTTTCTTCAGCTCGATAGGTGATCTGTCTGATTCCGAGTATGTAGTAGGCTCGTAAGATGGGGACGATACGGACTGGCAGAGGCACTCGTGCGCCCACCAACATCTGAAGGCTGAGTAGATCATGTTATAAAGCCTAAAACTGAATGGTACTATGCATAGCTCCTGTCCCTAGAAAACTCTATTCCTAGTTCAGCTTTCAGATGCTGGTAGGGGAAACGCAAACTCTAGAGCCCACATTCTGAGGATTTCTGCCTAGGCAGGTGTACATACGACGCTCTGTGCCTAGTATGCTTCTCTATTCACAAATCGTCTCAGCACGTACTGATCTATCGAATGTAGTATTCCTAGCCAAGAGACGGGCTTTCTATCATTCTATTTGATACGCTTACTAGAGTCTGTCTCAATTTCCCAATTTGCGTTAATTAGATTGTTCAACTCATCTGATGTCACCCTCTCGAAACTCACTGATGGGCTCTGAGGTTAAATCCATTCCTAGAACGGATGATATCCGCACGATACAAACAACGTCGAAACCTATATATATAAGCTATACATTGAACGTTCGACAATCAAAGTTCAGCATCAGGAAGGATGCTTTTCTCATGTTCTCCACATACATCAACGCAGCAGCAGCCACTGTGAGGGACTCTCGGTAATGGAATAGCTCTGGATAGAAGAGAGAAAATAATTGTGGAAATAAAAACTAGCCAAGACATTGTATAACAGTGTTCGATACCTACGTCGAATGATCTATATGGCTGCGAGCTGTATGGTGTGCAACATGTTCCGACCCTCCATGGATGGCCGAGCAATCGTCAAAAGCACAATCGAAAGGCGCTGTTTCTTCATGAGATGCTAAGTAGATACATTCCTCACCAAGCTATCTCGAGGCGAACCCCTTTTCCGTTGGTTCTCTCTGAACTCATGGTCTCTATCCATCCTGTCGGACCGTACTAGCCCTTTTCTAGCTCTTCCGTGCTCTTCCATGCTCAACGGCTGATGTATAGTTTCTTAACTTGCTCTGCTGTAAGCAGCCAAGAGACACATCTAATCCTATGCTTTGTTATGGCTTGCAATAAGTCCGATATATCCTACAGGAGGGACAAATATATAAGGTAATATTCGAGCCTGCCTGCGTGGTTTGTGTTGCGGTCTCCGCGGCAGTAGTTTCGCTTTCGGCCTCTAAAGGACTGGACAGAGAATCGACGGCATTTCGGGAAGGCTTGGGGACTGTCTCCTGACGGCCGCTTTTCGCCTGACCAAAACATGGTTTCTCGCGACGCTTGCACAGCACAGCAAGCGCCCCCACAAGCCACAAGCGTAAATGTTGGAGTTCGTCCCTATTCCATGGTCGCCGTCTCAAGACGGCTAGTCGTTAGCCTCTTTCGCAAGTTTTCGATCATTCTCTGCTATTTTTCGTACCGCTCGCCCAGCAGGGTTCTCTTGGCAGCCGTACAAGTAAGGTATTTGTGACGCTTGATCTCTGCTGTGCTGCTGGTTGTCTCTTGTCTATGACGGACCAGTTTCGGGTCATTGTAGACCTCAAACTTCTGCTGGTCAGTGAGCTCCGTGGGGGCTTCACTCTGACGCAAAAGCCGGCCCATAAGATGCACGAGGTCGGCTTGCAGGGCGACCCAAAGATAAAATACTGTGTCTGCATAAACAAAATTATCGATCTCCATGTTTCCAGTTTCGGCTGCTGGCCGACCTGCATTTTTGAACTACTACTTAAGTAATCGCATGGGTTGGTTATTCAGCACTAACAACAGCTCGAGTGGTTTCAACATTTCCATCATAGCTAGGGCTGACAGAATACTATGAGCTACTATGGTAATCAACAACACATCTGACTAATATTCATTCGTACTCCTTCGACACTGGACATACTGCCTGAGAAGTGTGTCGTATGTTCGATTACCAGATTTCCACCACTTTGTTGTTGCTACCATGTAACATAAATGCCAGATGACGTAAGATGATACCAGATATGAAAGCCTAGGTCATCACGGAAATATAGTCAAGTAAATTAGCATGCCGTCCCGAACAAGAGGCCGTGAGAAACGCTTAGGCGCCTGATGGCACTAGAATCCTGTTGGTCATCCTATATTCCTCGATTTCCCCGCATCATTGACTGCACGTCAACATCAACCCACCTCATCTCCCTTGGCAAAGGCGGCGAAACGGACTGGGGGGGTGAAGCCCGTTGACGGATCTGCTGTCTCACCCTCAGTCTATCGATCACCTCCCCGGCGATTCTCTCGAAAGTCTGTTTCAGCGCTTCCGAGTCACGCCACCGTTCACCATATTTCGTCAACGTCTGCGTGGTCCTCTCAAGGCATCCCAAACTCCTGTCCAAGTTATCTACCGATGGACCACCTGGACGCGCCGGCAAGGGTGGGGCGTGCGGCTTTCCCGGATCAGTCGGTGGTGGTGCGACGGCGACATCCGCTAAAAGCAGATCCTCCGTGTCGTGCAGCACCGCGACGAACTGGTTCGCCATGAAGAAGACGCGAAGGGCATCATGGTACGTGTAGAAGGCGGAGTTCACACCGCTGTGGGCAATATCGTATGCGCGGTCGAGGTAAGCAATAGCATGCTCAAAAATGAGCACCCGGCTGAAAGCAGACGTTTGCGGCGCCCGTTCCGGCGGTGCAAGAACGTAAACGGAGCTGTAATGAACTTCGAGGTCGAACAGCTCCCTCATACCCACGGGCAAGCTGGTAGGCAAAGTCTCCACCCATTCTCGTAGGTCCTGGCACATCTGCCAGATGAAGGAAGCCGCATCGGGTAGCGGCGTTGGTTCGGACTGGTACAGTATCTGATACCAGTGAGACTGGGCACGTCGCAGCTGGAAGAGCAAAAAAGCAGGCTCAGACCCGGAGAGAAGCTGTCCCGTAATGGAAGCTCGACAGCTGAAAGATGACGGTCTCGGCCAAGCCACATTCGCTGCTGCGTCTGTGAAGGAGAATGCACGCGTTTGAATCATGCTGATAGACCTGCGCCTTGTTAGATGATGAGTCCCAGACAGGATATGACACAACCGACCTGTCAAGGGAATACGCGCAATAGAATGTTTTCCGCCGCATGTCCAGTACGGCCTTGTCGGTTATTTGCTCTCGTGGCGGATCTTGATGGAATCCAAGATCGATGACTGCCCTGCAAGTGAACCCTATCAAGTGCCAGCTGTCAAAATGGGCTGGGTCAAGCATCGAGTATTGCGTCAGGAGAATTAGTGACTGTATCTGAGTCACGTATCCCGGCATCAGTGCCCTGTCCGCGTGTTCAAAAGCCTTGGCTACAAAGTCAAGACCGTTGGTGTAGTTCACGTCCTGGCTACTCTGGCTCTGGGCGGTCGAGCCAATTGCGAGAACCATGTACGCCAGCCAGTAATCTGCGTCCTTCATTCCACGATCTTGCTGCATGTATAATTGGTCCAAGGCGGCATAAAGGGTAGTTTCAGAAAAGGACGGATAAAGCGAGTAGATGTTGGTCATATAGAATTGCACAATAGACAGCGCACTATGCCTTGGGGGCAATGCCCAGTTTCGGACGTCTGGGAGAGGGTCATTTGAGGCAGCTGCTAGAACGAGACGTGCAAAAGTCATGCAGTTCATAGATGGCTCAAAATCTCTTGTTGTCGCATTTATGGATCTGCAAGGGAAGTTAGTCAAACCTGAACAAACCAGAAGAACGCAGTCGGCATACAGAAAGCCAAAGTCCGACATGAGGGAGTTGACATCGGAGTTCTCGCGTTTTTGAGCGGCTTTGCGATGAATAGCCGCTCTGATGGTTGCTAACGAGTCTTTGCGATCCGGCTCCTGGGTCGGAGCAACGTCGGATTCATGTTGGGCAACGGAGGCCTTCCTGGACCTCGCGTATGCAAGACGTCGTTCGAGTTTCTCGATGCGAAGCTCCAAGGCGGCGACATAGCTGGTGATAGATGTAAACGAGACCTTCTACATCAAGAGAAGATTCCGACTTCATACCTGCGTTCTTTGCCCCGCGCAAACTGATCATTTGCGCTTGAGCACTCGTTCTCGCGGCCGGCCTTCTCACAGGCAGTACATGCCGGCAATTTGCCATCGCACTTGGTGACGGTTAGTGATGATGTCCCAAGTGTCCATAATATGATGTAAATACCTTTACTTTGGCCGCCCGACCTGATTTATAAGGGTAATTAGCGAATACCAGCACGGGTCTAAGGCACAACTTCCGTCGACGTACATCTCGAGCAGGCAGATACTGGGCGTGACACGCGAAGCAGCGGATTGTCCGAAAAGCTTGAGCGAGGCATGACGCCCGTCTCTCGGCGTTGTCTCGCCGTCGTCTAATCTGGGCCTGACCACCGTAGATGATCCCAAAGCGGTCCGGACGAAGACGCGACGGAAGCTAATGGCCTCACTAGTTGTTGACGCTGGTCTCTGTGAGGATGGTTTGAGGCTAGAGACTCGAAGTCAGATCTTGCAGGGAATACGGAGTTTCCCTTTGCAGAAAAGCGCCAGCAAAATATGCCTAACCTCTGCGAAATACCCGATCACTGCCTCCGCAGCGTACGCCCAATTCGAGTAATCTTGATCGCAGAGAAACGCATACGACGTTGGTATCGAGACTTCAGGGATACCAGACAGTGACGGATTGCACGGTTCACGAGAATCAGAGTCTAATGCGATGCGACTCGACTGGGTGTGCTGTTAGCTGGGGGACGCTGAAAGCGGCGCGGTTGACCTGCAAAGTACGGCAAAAGGTGGGGTAGAAGTCAACCTTACTTTCTGTATGGGTCCAATACCGGAATCCGCTTTTGAGGCATTGACTTTCGGTTCCCGGTCCGCGTGATTCGACGATGTACCTCCGTAGTGACTGGACATTCAGTAAGTAGAGTCTTCGCTTCTTCCAATACTCGTTTCAGGTGATGCAAAAGTAACTGGCATTAGATGGAAAGAATAACATAATTATCTCATATTAAAGGATGCAAGTAGTTGATTCTCCTTCTAAGGTCGCTCTTCCAACTCCTCAGTAACCGCTTTGGTTCTTCCCCAGATAATAAAACAATTGCATGTCCAGCCTCAGGGAAAAGCCCCTGCCAATCGTTGTGACAGGCTGACCCTAGCTCTCACGATGCCTCCCAATATTCTAGTTGCCTAGCTTTGGTGCATGGGGCCGACATCACCTTTCAGAAGACGATGAGATCAACCATGCGTGGAATCCTCCAGTTGCGCAACCCGAATGCTTGGGTAAGCAGGCGAGATTATCACCCTGGACATTGTTGGACGTGGACACTACGATACGTTGACTATACACCGCAAAGGGAAATGTTTGCGTGTTGAAGAGATGATGCTTGACTGCAATAACTTGCATCACCTGGAAACATGCGAGCAAAGAGCTGTTTGTCAAGGACGCCACCGCGGTGCATCGTCTTTATCGTCCCTATCGTCCCATATTGGATTACCCACTTCGGCTTTCAGGTCACGCGCCGCGTGGAGCTTCGAACCTGGGCATCAAGCTAGAAACTGCACCTAACCCAAAAGAGCCACGATACAGGAAGCGTCAACGTAACAAAACACAGCAATCGAAGGATGAGAAAAACACTAGGATGTACCTTAGTCAGCTCTCTGCAACTGAGGATAAGAACACACGTGTCCACATATGTGGACTTACATATGTCGTTGTGTGGTGAGGAATATCGACTGTTTTCGCCAGTCTTGGCTTGGGTGCAATTTCTACTGGTACCGGCTTGGCATTGTCAGCTGAAAAATGCAATTCATGAGGGCTCATGGGGATTTCAGATAAACAATTGGGTTTCAGCAGTCACAGCCCACATGCAAATGCTTGATGCCAAGACATCTGGATGGGCTGCACCACAATGCCATAGGAGGCTCACTGAGCAAGTTGTTCATGCAGTGGGTGCCTGGAGTTGGCCGTACATCTACATCCAGTAAGGAGGGGTTTGTTAAGCAGGGGGATAATGAGTAAGAAACAGGGTGTCTGTCAGACCATCAAAAGTTCAGAGGCGTCAGAATGAACCAATCGGTTCTGAGGTCCCGTGCTGGAATTGCTGCTTCATCCCGCCGAGCTTTGCCGCACTGTCCCCAGCATTGACTCAGGAGCCTCATGCCACCTTCACCACCCTACTTTAGATTCATGCGAGCTTCCCGACGTTGTTCGTCCTTTGGAAATCATGATAATCACGACGCAGATAAGCTCTTAACCCGACGACTTCACTCCCTGTTCCCCTGTGACCGGATCCTGTGATTGGCGATCGCGATTTAGTAAAGACCCCACCAGCGGTGCGCTCGACGAAACGAGAGCTCCCCACGCATCGGTGGGTGAGACGAGACCTCCCAAGGCTGGTAGCCGCAACGTCAACACTCGAAACCAACTGGTTCTGCAGATGGATGCTTCAGATGTATTCCGCCACGTTGAGGGCTTCGGGAAAATCCACCATGCTCGTCTCCCGCAAGGCTTTCAGGTTCCGAGACACACCCTCAAGGTGCCCCGAGGAAACGAGCATAGCGAGAGCGACGTATCACAACGCATTGCGCATACCCTTACGGCTTGCTGCCGTTGTCGCCAGGTGAGTCGGTCTGACCTTTCTTGCTTTGGGGATGATTGTACCTGGGTTGCCGCTGCGCTAGAACTTCGGAGGGCAATTATCTGACTAGGAACTCAGAGGAAAACTCGATGCGACCCGACCCTGCCGCGTTGCCTGCCCTGTGAACGATCCGGCTCAACCTGTGAATACTTCGATACCACCAAGGGCACAAAGATTAGCCGGAACTATGTCGTCAAGCTCCAGGAACGTGTGCGAGCACTTGAAGCCGAGTTGGGCCATTACACTGAAGAAGAGGACTTCCCCAAGAACAATGAAGACATTATCAGACCGGGAGGACTGGTGCGCCTTAATGAGTCCGATGAGACCCCGCGCTATCTCGGACCATCCAGTGGCATTTCCATGACGCGAATCCTCATGGAGGAAGCGAAGCGATATACTGACTCGAAGCACATATCCGAGTTGATACCAGAGGTTCGCGTGAGACGGCAGGCTATGACCGACGGCGGCGGCCTTAGTAATCATGGTCGGAGGTCGGTATCCTTCATACTACCACTGTCTTCAAGAAAGAAGAGTTATCCCATGATCAGTGCCGTGCCGGCGGAAAACCTGCCGAGCCGTGATATGGCCGATAAACTGATGGAGGTCTTCCATCAACGTGGTACGTAGCGCACACGCAAACAGCATCCCTTTTGATTGGAGAAAATCCCTGACACTCCACTAGCTCAAGTGTTCACACCAACGCTACATACAAGGAAGCTCGCTGCAGCATTGGAGGAGGTATACGGCGGAGGCCAGGACCCGTATTGCAATTTCGTGATACGTATTGTCATGGCAATCAGTATGCAGAAATTAGATGCCATGTATGCAGGCCTGGCAGACAGTTTCTATCTGGCGGCGATGCAGTACTTTGAAGATGTTGTTCGGTCGAAGGATCTGAAGACACTCCAGTGTCTTGTATTGATTGGCCAGTACTCCTTGCTGACGCCAACGCGGACTGCTGTGTACTACATCATCGGTTTAGCAACGAGAATATGCCAGCAGCTAGGGCTGTCAGACGAAAAGACCATCTCCATGGGCGCAGGTGATGCCTTGACATTAGATATGCGAAGGCGGCTGAGCTGGATCGTGGCCTCGATGGAGTTCGGGTTAGCTTATAGTATGGGACGACCAAATGGGTTCGCGAAAACCGACGATACGGTGGACGTCAAGTTCTTTGATACCGCAAGTGACGATAATATTTCCGAAAACGGTATAGCACCGGGCCCGCCAGACGAGAAGAAGCTGGTCGCCATTCACTTCTGCAAGATGAGGCTATGCCAAGCTGAGATCCGCCGGGTTTTATACGAAAAGAAACAGCCAGAACCCATGGACGATCGGAATCCGTGGTTTGCCATGATGGAAGCCAGAATGGAAGAGTGGCGGAACACGTCGCCGGAGAACCCGGCATGGTGCAAGCCTTGGTATGTTTATTGCACCTCTCATCCCGCATTCTCTAACCATGTTGCAGGTTCACGGGCAGATATCATACAATGGTCGTAAGCCTTCATCGACCGTCGCCTCAAGTGCCTCGACCATCGGTGAAATCGGCCATAAAATGTTTCGACTCCGCTGCCTTCGTCATCGGCATATCCAGCAAGCAGATGATGGCGGCCGCCGTCGATATCACCTGGGTGTTTCTTTTGACTCTGTACATGGCGGTGAACACTATTCTGTGGAGCGTCTCATCGTATCCAGATATTCGTGCGGCGCATGCGCGTGAGGAAGTTCAGGAGCTCATCAACGTTTCGCTCGATATACTCGATCAGTGCACCGAGCGATGGCCAGGAACTGCTGCGGCTTCCCAGCTTTACTCCACGTTTGCCAAGGCTTGTCTCCAGAGTTACGAAGCGAGAGACACACCCATGCTCTCGAGCACAAGTACCTTCGATACACCTCCTTCACAAGCTGACCCGAACTCCCCCTCCGCATCTGATGTCTCGAGCACAACGACCATGTCCAAACCAAATGCCTCGGCCTTCAATCCGCCTCAATTTGGATACGTGTTCGACACTGCCCCGGAACCGGTCAACTTCGACAACTCCTTTCCATCCCAGCCCACTTTCCGCTCCAACTCCATATTCTTGAATCCGGCATCCACGGAACCCACTAGCCGGCGCTTTAGCTATTTCCCCCCTGACTTTACTCAGTCTACTGAAAATCTTCTGCTCGAGGAAACCACTCCACCGGCAACCGAGTCAACCATATCTCCTCCCATTCCGACTCCTCTAAATCACCTCCCTACTCCGCCAGAGTCCATTCCTCCCGGCGCTGGCGCGACCCCTTTGTCCATGTCGACTCCTCTCCTATCTGGCTCGAACCTGTCGACTCCTAACCTGACACAGGCTTCTCCCGTCGCAATGCCAAACTCCATGCCTCAACAACCACAACGACCTCCGCCTCCCACCTTCACCATTCCGCCTCTTCCTCAACACCATCAGACCCAGAGTCAGCGGCCACTACCTCCATCTACCACGGTGACCGACTGGTTCAGCCCGCCACAGCCTTTCATTTCGCCTTATGCCTTTGGCGGCTCGGGTGGCAACGTCTGGGGAGACTCAGCGAACGGAAACGGTCTCGGCGTGATGGGCGTAGGTGACTCCCCATTTGCTGGACTACCTCCAGAGAGAAAAGGCAGCCTTAGCCAAGCACAGCAGACCGAGCTCATGGGTGTGCTGGAGAGCGAGGGCATGTCCGATATCAAGACATATCTCAACACCGGAGTCGACTTTGGGGACCTGATGGATACTTCAACGTTGGGCTTGAACTGGGGGAATAGAACCTCGTGACGAGCGAGTCGGTTCCTGGAAATCTAGGTGGGATGATGGCGCAATGAGCTTTTACGGCCTTTTTAAGATGTACTCAACATTTCCGGTTTGGTGGGCATGGCTCTATAGATACCAGGTTTTCATATTTACGGCATTCAACGGCCGGTGGATCTCTGTTTTTATGAATCTTACACGTTTTTAGCTTGCATACAATGTTCAACCTTTGAACTGGGGCAACCCATTATTACGAATTGTCCACTGACACCAATGGGATAGACCCTGATTGCCACTGCTGAAGTTCAATGTGTCTTCCCTACTAGCGAAAATTGTGATAACGGTGGCTACTCGAGGCCTAAAGGATCCTCTATCTTAGCTGAACTCACGGTGGTAACCTCATTCACAAGGAATGCACTTTCCCAGCCCTTCATACTTCGCGCCACACGAGGATAAAGTCATTGGTTGTGTTTGTGGAAGAATTGGATTGTAAAAAACTTGCAGGATTTTTCCGACATTGAGCTCCGCTTTTACTGCAAATCCGATGACTCGGAGGCTGACCAGCTTATCGCGTTACCGCCTATTTTCCGCCGGCAGAAAAGAATCAGCCACACCGCCCATAACACATAAATACAGGTCGCAGGTTCCCATCTCAGAAACTTTCTTCTTCATGCGATTTTACTTCAGAGAAGTGAGCCCCCCATATCTTCGTACCTTTCGAGCAGCCATGCTAACATACCTTCAAGTCTTTTCTTTAGGAGAAAATCCCGCTCTAAATTTTCCAATTTAGCTGCAGAACCTACCCTCGTTGATGAACGAAAATCCTCGCCGCCCTAGAGTGAAAATTATTTGCACGGCTTCATCTTTGGTGGGCCGAGTCTCGCTCTCTCCGCAAGGAGGGCGGCCGTTGCCTTCGCGTGTCGGCTGTATAGAGACTGGTGATGATCTCAACCCCGATCGCTCCGTTAGCCCTTGTGGCGCGAGGCCGGGGTGGGTGGTGGTGGACGTCTGAGAGGCTGTCTTATCTTTTCGTTGCTCTCTGGAGCTTTGCTCTGGTAGTGAAGAAGAGTTGCGTGTTTGGAGTGTAACTCACCTTGTAGCCATACGCGCGTATTTACCAACCACACTTTTGTCATGCACAAGCGCCACAGGCTGTATTATCTGAGTAGACTGATATGATGAGCTGGCACCAAATTGCTCAGGAGGAGCTCTCATTCAAAACACCTGCACCACCGATCATGACCATCACCCATTTGCTGAGCGCGGTCATTTTGCATAGCAAACCCGACATGTATGAAAGACGGTTGTTTCATCCGGTTCGGCCGCGACGGTCTCAAACCGTTCCTGTAATACTTAATCCTAGCTCCAGGTACCACACGTGTGGCCTGTGAAGACTACGGTTCGAATTTATGTTTTGTATGCGTACTGAAGACTAGGAATGTTTTACTCCGCCGAAGAATCTGTTTGCTGCACAGGTCCCTTTTGACATCGACAAGGTCGTCATTATTTCGACACGAACGATTAAATGGCGTGCCTCTGTCGCATGAAATACCCACAGCCCATTCAGAACAGAGCAATTACCAATGTTGTTGATCTGCCTTGACGTTCGTTCGTATGATAAACATAACAACATATTCGACCATATAAACTCTCGCCACGATGGCTCCTTCTGCTAATAAACCAGACTCGTACCGCCAGAATGAGACAGGCTCTCGACATGCGCAGGTCGACAGCATCATTCTGGTGGTCACCTCCATTGACGAAGTTCCAGTGACTGTTGAACGGAAGCCATTCATTCAGCCTGGGGACGACGAGAGACTTCCTGACGCCGGTGTGTTCATTTTGTAGTCAGTAACACCAGGCCGACAAGCTAACCAAAGATCAGGCACTGCGCGTGCCAATGTCGCAGTAACTTATGCAAAGCCTTAGGGAACTACCGAGAGAAATGGGCTACGGACCACCGTCATAAGACTGTGCCTATGCCAATCCCCTTCCTGCTCAGTCGCGAAGATACGCAACGAGGTCGCATTGAACCTGCTGCCAAGTTGTCCAACGACCCAGCGCTGGCCTTCCAATAGGTTCTCCAGAAACACTGCAAACTCTTCGACCTCGACAAAGACATAGCCATCTGGCCGCAGAACACCTTCATAGGCTTCCATCGCCTTGGTTTGTGATTATTTTGTCCTTCGCAGCCCTTCTGGTCACCCACTGCAACTTCTGCCGACCCCTGGAACCTACGATACCGAGGGCAGATTCATAACGCAGAAGTTCGAGTATATTTTCTCCAACTACGCTGAAGGCCGTGATTACGTTACTTTGCAGGATATCTGGCAGCTACGTAAGGGGCAGCGGCTCATTATGGATCCTATTGGTTGGTTCGGTAACATTTTTGAGTGTAAGTTCACAGATTTGACGAGACGTGGACATGTTTGGGGGTGACTGACTCATTAGGGAATCCGACTTATTTGATGCTTTAGCCGGAGGATGGTAGAATGATGAAGGAAGATGTTTGTCGTATTTATGATGGGAGCTTGTTCTACACGATTGCGACTCGATGGGCTGCGAAAAACTCGAATGCGGATTGAAGAAACATGCTCATATTTAAATAGTCTATAGGCAAGGCGAAAGAAGTCCCGGCCGCCCTCCTAGACCACTGGGAGAAGAGATGGCTCTCCGGGGCAGCACAACACGACCGCCAGCGACGCGCTATCGCCGAGGAGCAGGAGGGCCCCTCGATGCGAATGCCGAAACAGGGCAAGTACTCAGGCCTAAACCGACCGGAGGCGTCTACCCTATGCCAGATCAGGACCGGAAAAATAGGACTATCAGCTTTCTTATTTAAGATAGGAGCCTTCGGTGTGTACTCGCCGTTATGCCGCTGTGGAGAGGCCCCCGAGACGGCAGAGCACGTAATCCTCTTTTGCGGCCTGCTGGAAGAATCGAGAGAGCACCTACGGGCCACTATCGCACCATGGCCGCTGAATACACGTAGAGACCTGGCAACGGCGACGGGGAAACCAGTAGTCAGCGGGACTATCACAAGGTGGCTACTCAGGACTGGCCGGATAGCGTTTAGGCCCGGATAATATTGATCTTCTCAGGGGGACTTTGTTAGTAGGGTGAGAACTAACATAGTATTGTGGTGGACGTAACGCAGTCGCTAATAGAGCGAACCTACGTAGCAGCGTATGTATTTAGTCCAGCCATTAGGGCACGGTTTGACATACGGGAGCACTTGTAGAGGTACCGGGGGCTTCGAGCCTACGGCGTATTTAATAATAATATATTAAACCATCCTTTACCAATACTCTGAACAAACGTATAACTCTGCTCGGTATCGGACAGCGTCTCCCGAAAATCATCACCTTGTACATCCTTCGCAACGATGTTGAACCAGCTATCATCAATCTGGGCCTCTCTCATGATGGCGTCTTCTGTAAATGAGTTTCCTCATTATGCTTAACCGCGGCCATCGGTTGGGCATAGGTCAGCTCATTTTCATCCCTCACTTCCGACCGGATGCTAGCCCATGTCTGCGTATTTATAGAGAATTTCATGACTTTGTGGATCGTGTTGGTAGCTGGTGACATGATAAACTGACGAAAAAGGAGTACTGATGAGGCCTTTTCTGTAGGTGAAATTAATATTGAGCAATTAAAAAAGAGTCAAGACCAGAAAAGGTCTTTTGAAGAGTGTGTGGCTCTTGAAAAATACCATGTTTCTACTTTGACTGTTCTACTCGGAACAGATATAGTCCCTGGATGTGCTGTGGATTTGGATGTGGGAAGTCCCACAGCTATCCATAAAGCTCTATCCACACTTATACCATTCGAGATATTACAATACTAAATGAGATAGCAATTGTGTTATTCAGGGGTTTGCAGTTTGTCTAGATTCTGTTGGGTGTTCACTTTCTCTCCCCCTCGTTGATCATTATTGGTTCGTAGGTGTTGGATCTAATATCGCAATGCAATGTGTTGACATGCTGAATCAAGTCACCAAATTCTGCAGCTAGTGTATTTTCATCCGACGATATTCAATATTAGGTTTTATTGAACCGTTTGCAAGGTGGTTTGGCATTGTGGCAATCCCAAATCGCAGTACATCATCATGCTACCCAGTTCATAGATCCGAGCAACCTCTCAGGTACTCTGTTAACGACCAAGAACTCCCGGAATCAAAAGCGAGGGGGTTATTAAGCAGTCAAAATCAAACAGACCAAAAATGACCATCCCTAACTCCCACGCTAGTACAAGACCCAACACCATCATAGCCCTAGTTCTTTCTCCTGCTGCTCCTCTTCCCTTTCTTCCATCCGTTAATGCTGTCTTGAACGAAGTTGCCTGTATCATTCGCTGCCTTGTGACCTCGATGCTTCATTTGGTGCTTATCTGCCTCCTCGTGGAAATCCTCCATCACATCCTTCCCCACACTTGTACCATTGACCCAGTCCAACAATCCCCACGTACCAAAGTTTCCGCGACCGCCGCTGGCATAATGCGTGGCCGTTCGTCGTGTGATGCCTCCCATGATTATCCCTGGCACAACACTGTATCCCGACATGGACAACATTTCTTCAATGGTCGTCAAGACGGTGAACATAATGTATGTGAGTAAGTGCGGGCGGATCAGGAGCGACGGAATGTAGACGGGCAATAGTCGGTGAAGCATCAACGGTAGTGGGTGGTCGGCGTAGAGCATTAGTGAGTACGGCGCCCCGCGATGCGCATGAGCGAACTTCCCATGAAGATTAGCCAGTGCACCGCGCGAGTGCAGAATGTTGCGGTGGATATAGTATGTGAAAATTTCGCGCGATGTGTAGAGCAATCCGATTTGCTTGATAATTTGCCAGGGCAGGGGCAACGCCGTGGATGTTTTGAATACTGGATCCTTTAGCAATACCGTTGCGCTGATCGACAAGCCGGCCTGAACGACGGTGAAGAGCAGTAGGTTGATGACCGCGAGGGCAAGCTTCTTAAGCAGCGACGCGGCATCACGCCGCGGTAGAGACGACGATCCATGAAACTTGATTGACTCGGATAGACTCGGTACGCCAATATCAAATAACAAGAAGAGGAAGGAGGGTGTAAGCCACAGTGTGAGGCGGACTGCGAGTGTCCCGACGAGCTCGATCTTGAGCGGTGAATACGTAAGGACCAGTGTAGTCCATGTCATGTAAAAGAAGAGCAGGTTGAGAGACGTTGACCAGGACGTCAGTGCTGGTGCTGCGAAGTATGAGAGGATCGGCAGAGATAGAAGCACGTCCATGTTGTCTTGTCAGGATTAAGAGTTGCGGGTGGCTTGCGGGGATGATTCAGGTACGTGATGGGGTTTCGCAACGGTCCTGAAGCTTGAAAACCCCATTAGTCGCGAATCAGGCGCGAATGGAATAGTCAAGACTCCAATACGACGCGAGAAGTTTATCTCGGGGGACATGGAATAAGGGTTGCATATCACTTGAAGCTCATATCGTCCAATTTCTGCCTTGAATTTCAAGTACCTTGGTTTCCTGAGTTTGGTGTTTGGTGGTATGACGTAGGGCTGTGAACTTGGCCGGGGTCCAACGATCGTCCCGTCCTTCCAATCCGCCTTGGCGAATAACAAAATGATGCGGTGGGCGGGGGATTTTCCGGGCGCGCGCTTGGCACTTGAAATCCCGGGGGGAACCCTTTTCATTGTCATGTTCTGACTCAAGCTTGCGGCTGACCATTGCGGCCGCTGACTAGCTCAGAGCGATCCTTGAACTTTCCTCTCTTGATGCTGCTAGGTTTGAGCCAGGCAGTTTGGCGGCAATTACCAGTCAACACAGAGTTAACGATTCAAGGCGTATTGAAGAAACGGTTGTTGACGCTGGTCTCGTTGGCCATCAATAATTGTAGCAAAATTGCCGACTGATTACTAATCATGGCGTTAGCCTAACGTCCCTCCGGGTGATAGCCGGAGCTCGGTCCAAGTTCGGCATGCTTGCTCGTCTTGTCGCCCTGGTGGTCATTGAACAACGACGACCTGAACGTATCCATTGTAAATTCTTCTCCCCCGAGGCTCTGATACCAGTGACTTGACCTCAGATTGCCAGACCAAACCAAAAGCCCTTTGTTTGGGTTAGGCTCCAGCTCGAGCTTTATGAACGAGGGGACGCCTCAAAAGCTCCAAGCGCCTTGACTGCTCACAATTGCCGTTGTCAATGCTGAGTTTGACATCTAGATCCGAGGATTATGGGGCCGTCCAGATTGCCATGTGATGGTAGGATCTTGTTCGATCATTTCCGACCAGCCGACAAAACCCGCCGTCACAGCTTTGTTTTATGGTTCGATAATCATCGTTCCAAGGACCTCGTGTGATGCCCGAATGAGAGCATATCTTGGAACTCTAAGCGAAGCTGTTCTTCTGCGAACAACCTTCATCGAATCGTAGCTGCCGTGCATTGTGGTTGCGTTCATCTGACGGGAGATGGCTGCGTCGCAGGTCCATGTGACTTTCCTTGTGACATCACCGGTCTTGTGTCGGTCGCACAACCAATACTGATCATGCAAGAATCGCAGGAACTTACATGTTGTCAGTATGCATATGCCTCAATCATAACAACTTCTTCATTAGAAACCTTAGGACTGTTAAGGCTCCCGATTGATAGGTGCATACATGGGTAGACGATTGGTCATTTGGCAGCAATCCCCTTCATGCGTATTCGACCCCGCGGAGGGAATCATGGAACGTTGTGCAGCGCAATGTAAAGTACACGAATCAGGCTTATGAGCGACCCGGGAAGTCGCGACTGTCTTAAGGCCGTTGCCTTTCGCATCAAGTTGACATTGCTCTAACTAAGCTGACGGTCGGCAAACCCCAATCAATCAATCATGCTGCAGGTGTTCATTTCATTGCGGAATAGAATGAGTCTAATTGATACCGAAACCAAGGACCCGACTGTTATGATGCACGAAAGAGCCTTCAAGCCCCACGAGCCCCCACTGCGTGCATCTGTCCTATAGTACTTCTGGGGTGTCGAGTGTCCACTCTTCAGGTACCACTTGCAGCAAGACTTGCCTGGGTGTTGTTCAGGGGCAAGCAAGCCCGTCAGCCAATGATTGGGAATTAGGCAAGGCTCACAGACCTCGGATTCCCCAATCGGGAGGACTCCTCTTAACGAAGCAAAAGGGAATACAAGGGATTGTGATAGATGATTCAATGCGTGACGAGTCAAGCTGGCGCTCAAGGCGCTCTCTGCTGAAAGAGAAAATACGCGCAGGCACCCACAATTCTTCCGATCTCTTTCTATCTCTGAGGTTCGGCTGCATTGCTGTCCTGATATGGTGATGGCTCGCTATCTCAAAACCTCAGGGGCGCATCGAAAGACTAAGCGTCGCACCGAACTTCATCAACCTAATAAGAAGATCCAACGCCCCGCTGCGCGCCGTGAATCGCTTGGACTTAGAGTTGAAGTGTCACACGTATGAATAAGGACCGGCAACGTACTAATTCATGGTTTGAATTCTCTTTTTCCCCTCGACGCGAACTGAAACCATCTGACCTGCACGCCACGGTTTTAGACAGCCGCCCAGTGCCAGACTTTGCATCTTGTCATGTTTCTCATTGTCTGCCGCTTCTGCCCAAACTGCAACGCGCAATTTATCCACCTGCGCCGCCCTGTCAGATCGACATCAAATCCTTCCGACTTGTGCCCAATTGAGCGATAGAGCTCGGTCCCATGATACAGCCAAATCCCAAACCGTGGCCAGGAACCGGCAGGGCGCCAATAATCCAATCCACTACCTTGTAAACCACACCGCATTTGCTTGTTCTTTGCCGGCTGCAGGTGGCAGTGGGTAGGCGGCAGAGACCCTCAGACACGCAGGACTAGTTCTTGTCGGCGCAATTAGGCAAAAATCTACGACAGACGAGCACACACACACAGTGTTTGGCCTCCCTCCTTGCATCGCTTGCTGCTGCTGCTGCTGCTGCCGCCGCCATGGATTACGCCGCATCGAGCTCCACGTCGAGCGCCATACCAGTCGTCCCCCCTATCCCCCGGCAATCCCGACATCAATCGCGGCGAAAGACCGCCCAGGATCCGTCCCTGCAGGTCGATATACGCGGACACGATAGCCACCGTCGCGTGCAACTACAGCCGGCCTCTCCCGAAATCATCTCATCTCTGATCACCAGCCTGTCTGACATCTCCAAGCCAGCGTCGCTTCTCTTCGAACAGCCCAGCCTCTCGGTGCCCGCGTCGCCTGGTCGCGGAAGCTTCGGTGTCGACTACGGCGCCTTCTCATCCTCGCTCAGAGACCTGCACCAAGGGCTATCCCTTGACGAATTGGCTGCGAGCCCCCCTACCATCCGAACTGCGAAACCTCCATCGGGCTTTTCGCCATTGACCGCCCCCAAGTCCCCCAAGTCGCCCCAGCGTGACGCTTCGAGCTCGGGGGGTCTCAGATCACTCCTGCGTTCTTCGCGACCGTCGTCCAGAGGTTCGGCAACCTCGTCGCATGATGATACGCGGAGTATTGGGAATCTTTCAGTTGAACGTGGCATGCCGCCCACACACGAGCTACGAGGGCAACAATCACACGACAGCTGGGGTAGGAAGTCGGGCCGCAATCACAAGGGACTTATGTACATGAGCTCCAAGGAGCGGCTGCGCTGTACTGAAGCAGAGCGCAAGAGGACGAGTGTTGGCTCCATCGGAGGCAGTGCGCATGCTGGCAATACATCATCTTCAGCCTCCAGACCCGATCCGTTCCTTGCCGAGACTCCCATCAGCGAGGAGCCAATGAATTTCGAGTTCCCGTTGAAGGAAAAATTGCCAGACCGCAGCCCGTCGTTCGATCTGAACAATATCCAGAGATCCATTCCCATGCGCGACTCGTCCCTGCGCAAAACTGGTCCAAACGCGAAGAGGTCATCTCACCGGTCCACCCGATCGAAGCGGGATAGCGAAGCCGGCTTCAACGACAGCATTCCGGAAAACGAGGAGCACCACAGATCACGAGACGACTCTACCCCGCAGCAACGACAACAAGTTCGCACAGGTTCGGAAGCAGACACTAGGACTCGAAGGGAAGAGATACTGCAGATTGATATGCCCAATCATCCAAATACCAGCGCGTCCACCTACCGGCACACGCCTGACGGCAGTGCGGTGGACGAAACAACGGCAGCCAGCGATGTGGAAGATGGTGCCCCGTTCCCATCCATATACTTAGGGAGGAGAAGAAGCAGCGCACAAAATAACGACAAAAAGAAACCAGGGCGGTTGACGCCCGACACGGCTGAGATGCTCAAGACAAAACGCAGCAATTCTAGGTTAAAACGATTATCTCAGGGGGCCAAAAGCCCAGGACCTGACGATTCCCGGGCGACATCGCCCGAACCACATGTCAGCTACGAACGACCGCCAAGCGCTGACTCGATCGACGATGCGGTTGCGTCCTACTTGTGCTCACCTAGGTTGTCGCAAAAGATTCGACATCCTCAGACCGGTCGAGTTATCTCTTTCTCTGAAGTGGGTGATCCCGAAGGCTCGGCTGTCTTCTGCTGCGTAGGAATGGGTTTGACAAGGTATATCATGGGATTCTATGATGAACTCGCATTGACACTGAAGCTTCGTCTGATTACCCCTGATCGACCTGGTGTTGGTGACAGCGAATCTTACACGGATGGGACTGCCACCCCTCTTAGTTGGCCAGGTACGGTTCTCTCCTTTGCGCATTCCGTAGGCCGATTGCTGAATACTCTGCAGATGATGTCTACGCCATCTGCCAGTCCCTGAAGATCACCAAGTTCTCCATTCTAGCTCACTCGGCGGGCGCTATTTATGCTCTCGCTACAGCACTACGTATGCCGCAGCACATTCGCGGTCGCATACACCTGCTGGCTCCTTGGATCCCCCCATCCCAAATGAACGTCTTTGGCACGTCGCAGGCGATGCCGCCCACGAATGCTATTCCCACGTCACAGCGGATTCTGCGGGCTCTTCCGACCACATTTCTCAAGGCTGCTAACAGTTCCTTCATGTCTGCGACAAGCAGCTCCATAACCAGCTCGCTGCCAAAGTCGAAGGATGCTCGCCGAGGAAAGAGAAAGTCCACCGCCACGACTGCTGGACAGAATCGTCGTGATACGGCGCCTGGCGTGGACAAAGAAAACATGGCTCAACCGCACGATCCACTTGACCACGGCGACGGCAAGCATTCTTCGCCCATTGCGACGGAGAACATGGACCAGATCCGGCCCGTCAGCCCGGGCAAGTTCAACTCGCCCCAGAACGCAGTACTTGATGCTGCTGCGGACGCCATCACCGACAAAGAGCGCCAGACGACGTATGATCTACGACTTACGCATGCCATATGGGATTTGGCCACAACAGGCGCCAATCCTGCGGTTGATCTCCTCGTGTGCCTGGAACGCCGGCATACTATCGGTTTCCGCTATGTCGACATCACGCGCCCCGTCGTGATACACCATGGAAGTAGAGATACGCGCGTCCCAGTGGAGAACGTTAAGTGGCTGGGTAAGACGATGCGTCGGTGTGAGGTTCGAGTACTTGAGGGCGAAGGCCATGGCTTGATGGCGAGTGCCAACGTCATGGGCTCGGTGCTCATGGAGATCTCGAAGGAGTGGGAGGACTGGATGCGTGTCACTGGCACTTCAGGCCGTGAAGGAGAGAGGGAAAGGGGTCGTAGCTTGCGAGCCGGAGTCAGATGAAGCTTTGGTGATTCTCAGGTTGAATAACACGAGAACGAAACGGCGAGGTCGCGTCGCTTGGGTCCTGGTATCACATAACCAAATGACGTCACTTGGGGCCTATAAGCCATGGTTGGTACGGGTTGAGCACCACTATACCATCGTCAAAAGAGCCCAGCTATCGGTCCCAAGAGACCTTGCGCAAGTGTTTGTCATGTTGTTATGTTTTGCTTCTAGACAGGCGTCCGCATGAGCGACGGAGTTGAATGTCTGGTGATCATAGGTGAATTGAGGAGGTTTGGGTTCGGATCTGTGCATATCTTCAAAGGTAACAACCATCCGGACCTATGGAGGATTTTTTTTACAGACTATATACACCATACATGCGTGATCATTTCACGAGTGGGCAGACATTGTTGTTCACAGCCGCTGTAAATGACGGCAGTGAACAACGATAAGGGGCTCGGACACGAACGGGCTGGCCAAGAACGGATTAAGATAGGAGGGGTCGGTGGTGTCGGGGCTATTGTAAAGCACAAAAGCCACTGGCAAGATCATGACGCTACTTAGTGTAATGTCTTAATACATATTCTCTTATTCAAGATCTTTGTCCGCGGTTTCGTTCATGTCTACTGACTATTACTTCAAGATGTTGCCAGAGTGTCTTCGAATTTGCTTTGAATCCTGCACTGGCAGACTCGACTTGCGAGAGAGTTGATGAGACCACGAACGCACACTGTTCAGCTATTAAACCCTTCTTCATCTAAGCCCCGCCACTGTTGGGTGTCGATGTGGGAGGGGATAATTCATCGGTAAGGCTCTGGGCTTTGTCGAGTTAACTCTTCATACCTTTTCCCCCTCTTTTTCCCCCTTCGATTCGAGCACTTCATGTCGTACCCGGAATTCTGCAGCAGAAAATTTGCTCTGCTGCCGGCGTTGCAGTCCTAGAACTGTCTAAGACGTGCAGTTTATGGTACACTTGTAGATGTGGCTGAGAGGGAACCTTCCTCCACCTCCTGTCGCATTTCGGAGCCCAAGATATGTCTCCCTCAGCGACTATTCCAATATGGAGGTTTTCCGTGCTGTCGCGAGTTTTATCGATATTGGTCAGGCTTTGGCCGCCATTCCCAAGCTGATCGATGCTGTCAAGGTTGTTACCAACATCAGGGAAGAACTGAATGGCTTGGCGTTCGAGGTATACTGTTGATCCGTCATTGCTCTGGGACTTATGGCTTCAAAGTTCTGATCACGCCATCCGAAAGCCCACGTTTCTCACCCCGCTACACGACGAAATGCCAATGGGTTTTACAAAATACTCGTCGTGCGATTCACCCGAGCCTCGGGCCCAAGACAAACCAACATACCTCCGCATGCTGCGAAAGACAACAACATAAATACATAAAACATACCGAATAAAATGGATCTGGAATCGGGAGAGGGTTTTAAGTCTTTGCGAGCGGGCGAACAAGACTCAGAATAAGCTGCAGTCAGCTATGAACTTCTACGCTCAAACGCTTCGGTAAGTTGGAGACAAGAGATAAAGCCGGGTTTCATGCTTCTAACTTACCTAGAAGCCATGGCCACCTTCTTGAAATGCATACTATCACTATTGCCCGCAGGTACACTCCTGAGATCACCCCTGAGACCGATCCTGAGACCACCCAGGCAAGGTATCCCCTTTTGACGAAGAGGAGAATCTGTGGGCGGCAATGGATGAAGACCACAACGATGATGAAGACGATGGCATTGGGTGGGAAACGGTTCCATCTGACGACAATGGGTACGATTCAAGTGATGAAGGTAATTGAAGGAGATCGAGTTGCTCACCCCTCCCTGTTGGTACTTGATACACCCAAGTCACAATTAAGAAAGCACTTCTGACGATAGCGACGACCAATTAAAGTGAACTCATGCTATGATTTCGCCACTTTTGCATCACGGAGTTTGACGGTTCTTGGAAATTCCGTACGCCAAGGTACAAAGCAGGTCTCTCTAGGCTTCGTAGTAAGGTATGTACAGTCTACAAACAAGTACGGAAGTCTTCTAACTCTTATGAAGATATGTTATAAGTACATAAAAGAGCATGACTCGTCATCACAAGGCCTTAAGCTCTTCGACCAAATGAGCCTTTCAAAGAAAGAATGGCTGAAATGCAGTCTAGTAGTCTACGCCAAGCGCATTCACGGATAGAACCGGCTGGCCTCTGTCGAACTCTGAATGACATAATCCATAGATAAAGCAGTACACATTGTTCTACTACGAGGGTATATCGATTGATTCGTGGCCAACGCTGCTGTTGAACTTGGCGTTGGGCATTGCGTTATCCCGCGCTCTAAGCCTGTAGAGCGTTGACTCGTATACTGCGCGAAGAGGTGGAATAATCCTGTCGTAAAGAGATGCGTATACAGTTTCACGTGAGAATCCACAATGCAAATCAAGACAATTATCTCATTAGACCACAGCTATATGCCGGTGGCACATCCATATGTAGATTATATCATCCGGTAGTCCATAATAGCCGGAATAGCACGACGTTCCAGCAGTAAGAGCCGACGACACATTTCTTGATTAGATGAGGATCCCTTCCGCCTAATTGGGACCAATTTATTGATATAGGCTCCGCATACCCAAAAAAGTAGCTGCCATGGCCCAATACCCTGCATTCTACACCTTAGTATGCCTGGGCATCCTATCATCTGTGGGGAGGCAGATGGACATCACGACGTCAATGTCTCGTGAACAGTCTGGTCTGTGACGGTCTGATGGACCAAAGTGACTTAAACCCCCTAGTTTGGACGATCCAAGAGATTTCTCCTCTTTCTTGAACAGCTCTAAATGGCGGACGACGTTGCACCGTCCAGTTTGCCTCCTGGACAAACTGGGATGAAGCTGTATATATGAGAGCATCTCCTCGTGTGTCACCCATACTAAGTCCTGTTCTGGGTTGAATGACGAATCTTGTATTTTTCTGCAACTGAATCTTTCTGAAATCTACACTCCATTAACAACATGCGTTGGGGTATAGTGGCTGCTGGTGTAGTTGCCCTTGCGGGTAATGGTAAGTGCCACCGATTTTAGTTTCCACAGCGTTCGACTTACAAGATACGCACGACCAGCATGGGCTCAAGAACCATCGGCATTGCCGTTTCCTACTACCTGCTCAGGGGTTGCCGCAGCGCGATATCAATACTCGGTATCCAGCACATGGAAGGCAACCAAAATCGCTGGCGGCCTCCGACAACCGCGATCCATGATATTCGATCCCCAGGGCAACATGCTTGTGCTGCAAGCGACGTCGGGGATCTCGGTGCACACCTTTGGCGCCGACGGGTGCATCAACAGCACCAAGACACTTGTCACCAATGGCCAGTTGAACCATGGCCTGTCACTGACGCCGGATGGGACAAAGCTCTATGCCAGCTCGGTCTCGACGGTCTGGCAGTGGGATTACGACGCAGCCACCATGGCGGTCAGCAACCAGAAGGTCGTCGTCCAAGGCATCGGACAGGGGATACACTCCACAAGGACGACGCTGGTGGTGCCCAACAAGCCCAACCTCCTCGTCGTCCAGGTCGGGAGCAACAACAACTGGGACATGGACGCCAGCAGCATCAACACAGGGCGAGCCTGCGTCCGAGTATTTGATATGAGCGCCGTGCCCGCCTCGGGATATCAATACAACTCGGGCGGATGGGCGCTCGGGTACGGGCTGCGAAACGAGGTCGGTCTCGCCTTCGACCCGAACGGCATGGTATGGGGTGTCGAGAACTCGGGCGACGACTTCGCGCGAACTGTCAATGGGCAGAGGACCGATATCCACATTGACAACCCGGCAGAAGAGCTCAACTACCGTAAGTACCTATTCAACTTGCCCCGCCATGATGATCAAGGTCATCGTGAAACCCCTTTTTATTCTTTTCCTTTCTTTTTTTTTTTTTTTGCTTTTCACCTTATCTTTTATATCTACTTTCATCTCGTCTAACACAGATATGACGCAGTCGGCGACCCCTCCACACCCAGCACAAACTGGTTCGGCTACCCAACCTGCTTCACCGTCTGGGATGGCAGCGTGATCCAGGACGCCACCTTAAAAACGGGCGACCAGATGGTCGTGACCTCGAGCGGCGGGGCCAACGCGAGCTTCCCGGATGCCATGTGCGCCGAAAAATCCATCCCGCCGCGTCTTTCGTTCCCGGCCCACACGGCGCCCATTACCAACGTCTTCGACGCCGACGGCACCAACATGTACGTGACACTGCACGGGTCCTGGGACCGGAAGCCCCAGGCCTCCGGGTACAAGGTCGTTCAGGTGCCCTTTACCAAGAAAGAGGATGGTTCTTATGACCCTGTTGCGGCCGCGGACAGTAAGACCGGGTTTACGGATATCATGTGGGCGACCAATTTGGAGCAGTGCAACTCGCCTGGGTTGACGGTTAGTAGCTGTTTTAGGCTGGCGGGTTTGGTGTTTGACCCCGCGGGATCGAGGTTGTTTGTTTCTAGTGACAACAATGCGGAAGGCGAGCTGTTCATTCTGGGGAAGAAGTAGTTACGAGGAGAACTGGGGGGCATGGCAAAGTGAGTTTGGTTGTTGGACATTCAAACTATAGTGATGATATAATATTTGCTGTGCAATATGACATGAACTATTGAGTTAATGGCTCCAGATCAATGAGATCAGTGTGAATCCCCAATAAGCTCATGGCCAAGGAATGTGGCAGCGAGGTGCGGGCTTGGTGTGGAGGTGATCATTCTGCATCGCTCCAGAGACCAGGGGAGCTGGGAAGGTATCGCCGGACGGCAGACTAGATCCCACATCTGACCCGATTGAGCAGACAGAACCAACCAAAATATATCTAAAATACAGGATCCCTATTGCTTGAGCCTATCAGCCTCGGGGGAACAGTTGGCCTTGGGGAAGCTCGGACGAGATCGGTACTCGGAGACTCAAAACGGTATATGCATCTGGTTGTTCATACGTTTCTGCGACTCCATTGATGTCTGGTTGGCATATCAGAGTGCCCATGTCGGCAGGCATGTACGAAGTAATGAAATGATGGTACGGAAGACCTCAGAGATGCCCGATAAGTTGCACTGCTCCTGGTCAAACACCCAACGCAAAATTGACGTGAATTAGTCCTGCAGCTAGTCGAAGTCCATTATTCATCCGTTGTTGTGACATGCGCATCCAATGCCATATCGGCAGCACCGATCTTGAAGCATTTTGCGTCCTTTGAAGACAATATGCCGAGGACTCGTGTCACTATGCACATGCGTTGTTTTGCGCGAGATAAGTAGCTGCAGTGCATTGCGTGGCATTGTAAGTTAGTCAAGTGCGTATTATTAGGATGCAGCCAGGACGAGGAGCATAGGCTATTGGCCCAGACTTCTGAAATCAGCTTGAACCCATTTGGGCGAGTAGCTATCGATCATACGAAGGGGCGAGATAACGCAGACGCAGGGTGCTTACAAAGTGTTTCCAATTGTTTTAATTGCGCTAATGAGAAAATACGTCATGATTACAGAAGGCTGTCGTGGGTATTTTCCTGGCATTCAATGATGCAACGTGCAGGGATGCACTGGAGTTCTTCGAGGCGCCGTATATGCCTCCACTCTCACGAACCGCAGACAAGCCCAATATTCTCATCTGAGATAAGTTTGCTGACACCTTTGAAGAATCGCGTTTGGAAGTTCCAAGAATATTCCCATCGATGTCTCACAATGGCGCCTGCTGAACCTAACGCCATACCTTTCAGGACACAGGGGGATGTCCCTTTTTTCGCCGAGGAACGAGAGGGATGGAAAGGATATGTTGAGTGGGAAAAATACCCAGAAAAGCGGAAGAGGGCCGAAGAGATACTCGCCAACTACGACTTCCCAGTGGTTGGTCCACCTCGAGCCATTGTGTTATCCGACACATGTCATCGTATGGGAAGATACCGTGGGCTGACCTATCCTAGCCACCCGAATTCCAACTGGAACCACTGCCAAGGACAAATCCCATTCTCACAGGGGAGCGTTGGAAGCAGTACCACTACGCCCTGGGGCCTACGCTTGAAAAACTACCAGATATCAGTTGGAAGTATGTCTTACAGGAGAAGTCGGCGGACATGATCCACGTCTTACAGTTTCCATATAACGGTGAACCACCACGGGTGAGAGCTTCCATGAGCATCCGTACAACCCATGGCGGTATAGTGACCTTAGTAATACACAAACCAGACACGCCTCGTGGAGAATGAGATAACACCCAACAAAGACTTCTTCGTCCGCAACCATGGTGGCATCCCGGAAATCAACCCCTCTGCCTATACCTTCGACATCTCTGGGCTCGTCAAGAACCCACAACGCCTCACCCTCGCAGACCTGAAAAACGAGGACCTTTTCCCGCGCATTACCAAAACCGTGACCCTCCAATGCTCGGGAACTCGGCGCATCGAGCAAATCCAGCAGTACCCAGGCGACGGCGACGAGCTCATTAACGCGCCCTGGGGTGAAGGCGCCATCGGGGCGGCCAAATGGACAGGAGTCAGCCTCAAGAAAGTGATCAAACGCTGCGGGGGCCTCGTCGACGACGCGGCACACCTCGAGTTCTTCGGTGCCGATAGCTACTTCAAGAAGAAAAAGATCTACAACTACGTCGTGAGCGTGCCGTGGCGAAAGGTCAAAGCCAATGAGGTAATGCTCGCGTGGGAGATGAACGGGGAACCGCTTCCCAAAATCCACGGGTTCCCGTTGCGGGCTGTCGTGTTTGGGTACATCGGCGCTCGGAGCTGCAAGTGGCTGTATGAGATCAGGGCGATTAAGCATGAGAGCATGGCCCCCGTGCAGAAGAAGGAGTATTTGTATTACACGCCGCAGGTGGGGAAACAGAACACGCTCTATAGCAACGGCTTTAGTATTCAGGACATGCCGGTCTCGTCGGCGATTATGACGCCACTCGATAAGGAGCAGATAGTGCACGAGGGCAAGATCAAGCTGAGAGGGTGGGCATACTCGGGTGGAGGGCATTGGCCGATCCGGGTCGAGGTTTCGGGCGATGGGGGGAGTGTGTGGTACGAGGTGCCGTATGAGAAATTGTCGACCAAGTATTTTCATGCTTGGAGATTGTGGGAAATTGAACTCCCTGTGGATGCGGAGGGGTGGTTGGAGTTTTGTGTCCGGACGTGGGACAACGCGTTGAACACGCAGCCGACGTATGTCAGGTCTGCGTGGTAAGTCATGCTCCTCAAAGCGATCGGCCCTCTTGACACATGGTATGCTCACACAGTCACTTGCTACAGGAACTGGGATCTTCACGTCACATCTTCATGTCATCGCATCAAGGTCTACAGCATGAACAAGACACGTCCGCTCACAGCAAAGCGGCTCAAACAGCTCGAGGATAAGGGAATATCCATTCTTCCCATCACGCATCCGATGGAGTTTGACCTTGAGACGGATGAGGAGTATGAAGTTGCTATGGAGGCTAGGGGTGGACGTGATCCCAAGGAGTGATGACCATGTTTGGGATTTGCGCCGAATGATATACCAGCGGAGTCAACTCATGGTGCAACGGGGAAACGAATGGCTTAGTCTTTCTTTAAGTGGAATTGTAAATGAAGCCAGCCTATTTAGTAATGACCTATATTTCCGAGGAATAGGACTAATTGTAGAGCTACACCGGATGTGCCCGGTGGTTCCATATGTCAATGCGACACTGCAAACGCAACATATCTATGGGACGGCCCTGAAATCGTTTGTATCCCGCTTGTGGGTTACATATAGTGGTTTATCATGTCTACTGCAGTTTATTATTCAAGGCGATGATACAGTCGTGGGAGCTGTTCAACTCGTAGCGTTAGGCACCCGTTTCGTGCGAAGAGCAGGACTGCATTTGCGTCTGGGCTCGGGTATACTCGTGCTAGGATTAGGTGTTTTTGATGGAGACGTACACACGCATGAAACGTATACAGATACTTGAAGTCTTCAAAGTGTAGAGGTATTAGCAAGTTAAACCTGCGTTCGTTGGCCAATAGACCAGATACTGTCAAGGTTATGGTTATAGGACGAACCTTTGCAATAGGCCTGAGAGCCTCAACAGTCATCGCGATTTGTTAAGGTGCCGTGCTGGAGGGTATAAAAGTTCGGCTCTGAAGGCCATAATTGCGATCTATTTAACCATAGGCCGTCGGTCCCCTTGGTAAAGCTTGCAGAGGGAGCTGCTTCGAAACCGTAGATTGCGGTTCGCAAATATTCTCAATTTGACCTGAAAACTCGGTTAGAGCAATCCGTACACAGTGCAGCAGGTCTATGGGAATTCCGATTATTAGGGGGGGGGAGGGGGGTGCTCAACGACTTGATACCAGCTGCACCAACTTCATTTGCATCCAAGCAACAAGCTAGTACTATAACCAGCAATAAATCATCAAGATTGATGGGACTTGAATCATTTATGTCACCCAAATGCAGGACCTTGTCACTTTCGACGCGGCCAACGATCGCAACGACGTCCGCAAACGGGTAGGCATGGGTGTTTGGATGAGCCGCTGGCTCAAAGACCACCCTGACACCACCCTCGAAGAGACTCTGGTAAACTGTCACACCTAATTCTGTACCAACCTATAAACCACCACCGGCTACGTCAAAAACCAGCCGATAAAAAGTGGCTGTATAATTCGCCCCGGGTGATGCAGCTGCACCTCACCGTATCAACACTCAAGCTGACGCTACCACAAATCGCCGCCGTCCCATCACTCGATAGATTCATGCTTGTCTTGGAGAAATTCTGCACAGAAGTAGGATCCTCCCTCCACTACACGATGTATGACCGTACCCTATCGCTCTTCAAGCAACGGCGTCAACTACCCAGCCTTTGAAGTAAACCTCGAGTAATCCATCCTGGCGCCTGCCTCCGTAACTCTGCCGGAACTCTGCCGCACAACAGGCAATCAACCCTGGCTCGAAGCCGTAAAGCGCCTCCTCGACCTCCTGCTGCGCTTCAGCGGACGGCAACCCCATTTCTACCTTCACATCGTGGCCATCCGGCTCTAGGATGTGTGCTGATCCGGGAATACGGTGGTTGCGATGGATCACTATGGCAAACCTGGGGGAGGGGGGGAGTTTGGGAAGAGGGCCGAGGAGTTGACAAGGCCCAACTTGACGTTGTTACCGAGAATGGGTTCGTGTTGTGCGCGTGGATTTATCCTGTTACTATGGATGGTAGCGCGGGGTATTATAACGGTCCCTGTGCGAATGATCAGGGTTGGGCGTTGACGCATTTGTTGCAGTGGAGGGCCGATGAGGAGTCGAGGGTGGATAAGATACGTGCATACAGGGTGATTTTATTGATCTAAGTTGCGTTGTACGTATCTGAAGTTGGATCCTGGTAGTGCTTTTCCGTGGCGGTCTTGCTTGCGTGTAAGTGGAGTCGAGTCGTGAGGTTGTTTCATGATATGAGGCAACACTTGAAATCTGTCGGCAACTTGACATTCGTATCACTCTCATACCAACCAGCTGGTCTATGTGACTGACCAAGTGCGCCGTTATCTTCAAGTCTTGATTGGACGTTCGTATCATAAGAATATGTATAGAAAGTCCGTCTCGGAGATTTTCAATGTTTCGTCAAATCATAACTTTTCTATAACCTCAGCGCTCCGCGATCAATCATCCATAAAGTGCCAGCCTATAGATCAGATCCCTTCGCATAGTATGCCATTAAATAAACCTTTCCGAAGTCCAGGTCCAATTACTATCCTGAAACCTCCTCAGCAGATTTAGAAGCCCTGCTTCTCGACCTGGGCCTGAGCCGCGGCAATGGTGGCATCGGCGTTGGGATCCACGAATCCGCAGCCCGTCTTGCCGTTCTGAAACTCGGCGCCGATACCGGAGCAGATGCCGACCTCGTTACCCTCTTCGTCCGAGGCACCCCCGGCACAGCAGCCCTCGGAGCAGTCGCTGTCGTCGATGCAGCCGGCGGTTGTAAACTGGGCGCCTTGGCCGTTACCGACGTCGCGGGCTCCGGCCACGTTGGGAGTGAGTGCAAGCGCTGAAGCGACGACTAAGAATAAACGTTAGTATGAGAAGATCAATGAGGATATAGATCAGACGTTTGGAAACTTACAGACGCTCAGGAGAGTTGCGGCAAAGCTGATGCGGACCATTTTTGCGGTAGTGATTAGGTATTCGAAAGCCGGGATTGAAGGTATTTAAAACAATTGTTTTGTTGAAGTGAAAAAACTGGTGGCAGAGAATGTAAATGGCTGTACTGGTTGAAATGAAATGAATAGAATGGCCTCCAAAAGCATTCCAGATATCGAGCACTATGCGGCTCTTTAATAGTAGTTGAGGCTCGCGAGTGTGTTACTCTATGACCCGCTGGCGAACGGCGATCCCTACCCAATGGAACTCGGCAATCTGCTAGGACGTGCTGAAACAAGGGGTTCAGACGAGAGACATACCCGCTGGACCCCATAAACTCGTCAACCCCTTTTGGCGTGTCAACCCGTCTGCAACCAATGGAAAGTAGGTTAGATCGCCCGGGATCACGGCAGATTTCTCTGGGCCGCATAACCTGGTCTGCTTCACTGCCGCCAGAACATGTTACGCAACCCTCACCGGCTCAATGGGTGATCTTACAACTCGCTATGAACCGGGCGGTGGAGGCTGGCGTTTCGATTACCTACTCGTTAACATGGGTGCCTTGCAACATCGTTACGGGATATATTGTGCGCGATGGACAATGGGACGGCCCAGGGTTTGGGCGAACTTGGTTCCGACTTGCCTCCGATACAAAAGCTAGGCTGTCCAAAACATTCGATTCGCAGATCTCGCTTAGACTGTCGCGCTTAACTTGCATTGTCTCAATGCGGGAATGGGTTTCTAAGCTTAGGGGTGTACCCGGGACGGCAATAAGAACTTTCAAAGCAAGTCAAGGCAAAACCGGCTCTTCAGAGAAGGGGCTGCCGGTGTAGCTATTCTTCATTGTGTCTGAGTACCAACTAACCTGAGTGCCAATCCAGGGCCCAGCCCTTCATCACCCAGTCCATATTGAATTCAATCTCGCTAACGTTCAGGCTCTGCTTTCCACTCCTGACAAGTGCCACTCCTCTAGCTTTCTGAAGCCTGTCCGCAAAATCTGCTTCTCCCGGCACGTCACAGTCCATCGCGCCACCGCATTTGATTATACTCATGAACCCCCCTAGTTTCCTTGGCCACTTCTGGAACCGTGCTGTGACTGAGCTCCTGGAGCCACCGTCTCTAGAACAACCGCAGCTTTATATTGAAGCCTTGCCATTTGATATTTGCCCCTTATGCCAGCGGCCTGGGCTCTAGGGAGTGAGCTTTGGCCCTCGCCTCATCGTACGAGTGTTCCGTAATCGAGAAGGTGAGGAGCAGGTGGCGATAGTGCTCGAACCAGACGTTGATCACAGGGAGTAAACTGTCCGTTTTCGTTTCATTATCTGTCTCGAGAGCTTTGCGCAGAACCCAGAGCGCTGTCAGGCTGTCGAATCTCAACAAAGGTCAACCGCCAGGGCTTTGGCTAAAATTGCGGCGAGATTACACTGCTGCCCCACGGTGCTGTTTGTCAGTAGCTGCTCCCATGGTTTTTGCAAGTTGTTGGAGAAGCCGTGCGACTCTCAGGTCGTTGCCGCAATATCAGCCGGGCTCGTCTGGAAGCTGAATCTATGAATTGAAACCAGGAGGTCCAGCTTGTCTTGTTCGCCGGAAAACGGCCAACTTGATCAGGAAACGCCTGTCGGAATTCCTGAAAGAATTCTGTGATTTGCAATGTCTACATTATTGATTGGGCAAGATGGTAGATGTGGGTAGGGAACGACGCTGAGGTACTAAATGAGCAACAGTTTGACAAAAACCACGTTGTTTCATACCCACAGAACCATGTCCAAATTCTAGGCACCATGAAAAATATTGCCTCTTTGACACAAACATGTTGCATCTAGTCAGTCAATGGGAAACATTTTAATAATTCAATTATCCTAGTTGGTGGGATATCCATGAAAAGGGGCTCACTGTTCGGAAGACGTACCCCTCAACGACCTAAGCAACGCAGATCAGCCTAGAAGGACACATTATAAATTCGGATATACAAATATGAATGTAAGAGAAACACCTTTTATTTGGACCGAGTTCACCTCATTAGGAATTTTTTTTGTAACGGTAGCTGAGGAACTCTGAGTTAACGAGATTGAAACTCTCATATTTACACAAATATCGAGTATATGTAGCTTAATATCTATGGTCAGCAGAGTCGGTACTTAATTCGCAACCTCAGCGCGGATAAAGTAGTAAGATGGCATCAAGCGAGTGCTTAAAACATCGAGGGATACTGAGATATTAGTATGGAATGCTGTAATAGTCATCGACATCGGACGATAACAAGTAAGGCCTCCATAGAGCCGCATACTCGAGTTATTTCAGCAGAGACAGCGCAAATTCAGGAAGTGGTTATGCGTGTTTTATAGCAGGCTGTCGCGTGCTGCGGTACTTGAAGTTGCATACTGTCCTTGTGAAGGGCCAACCAGAAGCTTGCCATGAGATGATAATCGTAGATTATAGGAATACGGCGCAGATCAGATCTTTTAATGAATAACTGCGGAAATATCACCGAGAAACCTATTGTCAATTGCCCCCTCCCCCCGAAGTGGTCGAACGATATGGTCATGGCAACTGGGAAATGATACAGACGTGTTGCGTACGTACAATTACATCATCGACATGGGTTGTGAAGGCAACGTCAACGACTATACATCGTTGTTCCGGCTATTTCATATAGAGCTACAACGACGAAAATAAAAAAGCCATACTTTGTTCTGCCTTTGGGTTCACTTCTATATTTATTCCATGGATGCCGATCTGAAATCTCTAAAATGCTCCACAGGTTTCGGTTTCGTTTTAGCTCCGATTACCTGTTTAATTGGATCTTTCTGCTCAACTTTGAGTTTGGACTAGCAATAGTTGAAGGAATTCTACGTAGCCCCGGGATCAACAACTGTGAAGAGCAGGTAACGGAAAATGCACCAAGACAGATCTGATAATCGTAAATAACATCATGAGATGAGGAAGAATTGAGCGGTGAAAACATCATTGGCTGGTGGATGAAGTGATCAAAAGGGGTTTGTAGTTTACCATCTAGTAACGCTACGGCCCTATTACACGTCCCCGTACTGACATACAAAGATCGTTCCATCAGTGTATTCCTGAAGTCAGATTCTTTGAACAATGAACTGATGACATCTTCCCCGATGCGTACAACTTGGAGTTTCTCTTTCAATCGATGACGGCCTTACCATCATCTACCAAGCCTTTGGCCTACGGCAACGGCGATTCCCAAGCTTTATCCAGCCAGTGCTCCGAGGCCCGAGCACGCAACACCGTAATACCATGGCAACCGCATGCATATGCGGGTGCCAAATATCCGTGGCGACCACCGCTAAACTTTTAATATTGTTTTCTGTGCGTGTGTTCGTGTCAGTTTTCTCCGTCTTTTCGCCATTCATGGAAATTTCGCTTCTTTTCGCCTTTGACAGTCAGTGACTGCTTAATACTTGCACAATTCCAACAACGATGACATCAAAAGGCTCTCGTTACTCTGGCGCAGGATGGATTCACCGCTCTAGCCGCCGGTTCGGTCTAGAAGACATCGTAGAGAACGATTCCATGGCCAGCGGTAAGATGCCCCGGTTCGGGCGGCAACAACAACAACAACAGCAGCAGCAACATGGGACCGAAACAGGCAGACGGGAGAGAACAATCCTGAGCGCGAGTTCGCTGCGTTTTTCTGGCCTGGGTATCGGAAAATTCATCATCAGGGCACCCGAGACAGCGTATCTGGGAAAGGCAGCAGTGGTCGAGATCAAGAAGTCCCCGTCAGGTCGCGTGCCCCCAAGACGTGACCCTGTGCTGTTGTCGGACGACAACATACCTTTGTCCCATGGTACTGACCAGCAGAGACAGTATGGAAATGAGGGGATGACGTTAGATTCGGAGAAGCGGACGGCTGAAATAATGCGGCACATGGGACTGGAGGACCAGCTGGCTGGTTATCCTAAGGGCTTGAGGTTGTTTGCGTTGACTTTTGCGTTAGTGTTGGCTATGTTTATGTTATCTCTGGAGATGGTGAGTACTTTTGACGCCTGTCACTATTTCGGTTGAGAATTCTCCTGTGTCCGGCAGGGTGGCAAGCTGACAACCCTCAGACGATTGTTTCAGCTGCAATTCCAAAGATCACCGATGACTTTGGGACACTGAGCATGGCCTCCTGGTACGCGTCGATATATTTCACCTTTGCTGCCGCTTTCAAGGGTGTATGGGGAAAAGCGCTCAGATACTTTCCCCTGAAGCCGACGTTTCTTTTCGGTCTGTTTTTGTTTGAGATTGGTTGCTTGATTTGTGGTAAACAACGATCCTCAATCCAACTTACGACTGTTTTTCTTATAATGACATCCAAACAGGACTAGCACCGAGTCCGGTAGCCATGGTCGTCGGGCGCGCCATCTCGGGCCTTGGGGGAGCTTGCCTCGGTACTGGCGTTTTCACTTTCATCGGCTTCGCCGCTCCACCACGGCAACGGGCAACATACACAGCTATCGTAGGGACCACTTATGGAATTGCCAGCATTATTGGACCTTTGATCGGGGGCGTTTTTACCGACCAGGCCTCTTGGCGCTGGATCTTCTTCATAAACCTCCCCATTGGTGCAGTGAGTGCGATCATCATAGCATTTTACTACGTGGCGCCCAAATCGGCGACTCCGATTGAAGCACGCCCCAGCGAGAAGCTACGGCATCTCGATCTGGGCGGAGCTTTCCTTCTTCTCGGGGCCATCGTCTGCTTCCTTCTCGCCATGGAGTCGGGTGGCCAATCTGCCCCCTGGAACTCGTCCCAAGTCATCTGCCTTCTGTGTGGTTTTGGCATCCTCCTGATTGTCTTCGGATATGTGGAATACCTCCAAGGAGAGAAGCCCATGATCATACTCCGGCTGCTCAAGGACCGCTGCATCTACATCTCATGCATTGTCTCCTTCTTTTTCGCGGGCGCTTTCTACACGCTCATTTACTACCTGCCGCTGTACTTCCAGACTGTGTCTGGAGTCAGTGCCACTGATTCGGGCCTTCGCACTTTACCCCTGATTATTTCTCTGACCATATCTACTGTTGTTGGTGGTATCTTTGTCAGCAAAACAAGACTTTCGACGCAGGTGCTCATCGTTGGAATGATTTTGATGACCACCGGTTGCGGGCTTTTATACACCCTCGACGCAGAAACTGTATTTGGCAATTGGATCGGCTATCAAGTCCTCACGGGTATCGGAGCCGGGCTTGCAGTCCAGATGCCCGTCATTGCATCCGCGGCTGCCGTCGGGAACGTAGACATGTCGGTGAGCGGCATGGTTCTCAGTGAGTTGAACCAAACATCTTTGGATAACACACTGATATCTAATGCTTTGAAATAGTGTTCCAAACCCTGGGAGGCGCCATTTTCATCAGCGCTGCGCAGTCGGCATTCGTGAACACTCTCATTCACAGAGTGACGGACTCGGTCCCTGGCGTTGATCCTCAGCAGGTGGTCAATATGGGCGTCACGCAGATTCGAGAGGCATTCCCAGCCGAACAGGCTAATGGTATCATTGCCGCCTATACGGCTGGGTGGCGGGTTGGTGTCGTGATTGCTATTGTTGGGTCCGCTTGTGCAACCGTTGCGAGTTTTGGCAACAGGTGGCATCGAATCGGGAGATGGGCGAGTGGAAGCTAGGCGCTTGTATACCTTTCGAGTATTCACAATCTATCCTGCATGGAGTATACGATGCAAAGTCCCCATTCACAAAGCTGTAATTATGCCCTAAGTAGCTTATGCACATACAAGCAATGGAAAGCTCCCCGACGGATGGCTATTTCAAGTACTCGAACGAGTTGATTTGTTTGATTATATATAAGCTTACATATCTCCACGAAACGCAAAGCGCGTTTCACTAAATGCTACAAGGAGGCACGGCGATATAGCTTATTATCTTGGCGTTTGCTTAAGGACGAATTCACCCTAGCGCTGACGTTCCCCGAATTCAGAGCGGCACAGCTGCAATGCTGATTAGCTCTACAGCAACGCCCCAAGTATTAAACCGGGGGTCCTTGAAATTTCCAAAGTCTGCCTCATCGTGGGCGGTGTCGTCCTGCTTATTATCGTGGTACTGTTCATGTCTACCTGAGGAAGAGGCGCAGCCGCTATGAGCGCGATGATCCTTACCCCTATCAGCCCAAGATCGATAGGCCTGGACGCAACGACGAGGAGATGGCATTTAGGGTGTTTAAATTCGAGGATCATCATATTGGTGGCGTGGACACGACCAAGAAGCACCAGAAGAGCGTGAGGGAGGCGAGCGCGAGGCGGTTGTTGGGTGGAAATGACGATGAATGGGGTGGGCGAGTGGGGAGAGGGAGAGATAATGATAGTGAGAGAGATGAACGGGGGGAGGTGCGGGTTCCGGGACGGACGGCGATGATGGCGGAATCCAGGCCGGGGGATGAGTATCATGGGCTTCGGTGAGGACAGGGTAATAGGATGGCTTGCCCAATCCAGCTGTTTACTTATGAGAACATGGCCTTCAACGCATGCGCCTGGCCGTCACAGCACTCGATTGATCTGAGATTCGCCGTAGCATACTCTGTTTCTAGGTGGATCAAGTCAATATTCCACTTGGGAATGCTGGCGGCTGAACGGCGTCCAGACAGAGCCGTCCGGGGATTCATCACAACGCCATTCATGACGCTTTTGAGTCTGGACAACATGTGCCGGCTACAAAGTGTGACATGTCATCATTCCATAGGTTGAAGTGGCCAAATTTTTGCATGCGGCATCCGAAAAGTACAGGATCTATGATAATGCTTCTCCTATGCAATAACACCTGATGATGACGGAGGGATGGTTCCTGTACCACGTCCGAGGTTTCATAACTGATGCCTATGCCATATCGGCTTAGGCCAGTTCGACAGGCGGAGTCATCGGGTTTCCCTTGGAAGCGACTTATAGACGCATTATTAGACGGGGTATCAGGAGCTGAGATCTACATAGTCCAATTGTCAAGTCGTCATCGTACAGTACTCTCTACAGGTCCACCCATCAACCCCTTTCTTCACGACCAATCCCCACTCAACTCCAACTTCTTACCTTCCCTCTCCGACCTCGAAATACTATCTAGCGACCACGGTGTCGGCTCATAACCAGGCGGCGTGTTCGTATTAACAAAAGCTGGCCTGCCCTCTTCCAGACTTGCAGCAGCGGCAGCGTAGTTCTCCCTAGCATACTCCTCCGGGTCCAGCTGCCAAACCCATTTCGGCACCTTGGGCGCTATGGCCGAAGGATCGATTGTCGCTTCGCTAAAATCTCGCTTATAGTAGTTCTCGGCGTTGAAAACCCCTAGATACTGCGCACACGACACCCGGTCGGCGCGCAGGAGATTGTGCGTCTTGACCGCTGTGGGAATACTGTCTTTGCCTGCTTGGGCTAGACACTCGGCGATGGTGATGGCGTCCTCGATAGCTTGTGTTGCCCCGTTTCCCGAAGTAGGCAAGAATGAATGAGCAGCATCTCCGATTTGCAGGATCCGACAGCCTGGGGCGTGGACACGAGGGGCTGGATCGCGGTGCATCAGGGGCCAGCCAATGATGTGGTTCGGTGGTGTTATCTTAACCAGAGCTTTGAATGGCTCGCCCCAGCCGGGCGTCTCGTCGATGACTTTTAATACAGCTTCGCTGGTCACGGTGTGGTGCCACGACTCCTTCGTTAATTGCTCCCCTCGCTCGCGGAAGGCCAGTGCCCAGATCACCTGTCCGTTCTCACTGTTCTTATCGACGTAACTTAGTATCACGGCGTGCGTATTCGGTCCAATCCAAGCTTGCTGCACTGGATGTTTGTCCTCGTATAGTCCAAAGTACTCTCGGACAAGCTCGTTAGCTAATGCCAACTCAAGAGGCAGCACCGCTCTAAACAAGCTCAAGCCAGATGGTTTGCATTTGGTCTGGCCACCAAGTTTCTGTGAATGCGAGTGTAGCCCGTCGGCGGCGATGACCAGATCTACTTCTGCGTGTTCGCTATCATCCGTGACTACACCTCCAACACCACGACCGACATCTTCATAGTACTCGACCACACGCTTGCCGAAGGTGACATCGATGCCAAACCGTTGCACCTGGTGGTACAACATGGCGTGATATAAGGGTCGTAGCTGCGTCACCATCGGGATCTCGTCATCCCTAACTGCCTTGACCATTGACTTGAAGGGGAAGGCTTTACCTATGTCCTCTCCGGTCCACTTGCGGAATCGCATCCACTTGGTGTTCAGCGAGATTTCGTCCAGCTCGCGTTGCATGGCGGGATAATGGCGCATGATCTTGCGTGCGCTGAGGCCGATGGTGAACATATCACCTAGATATTAACGTTGGAAATGGTTCGAATTCCTCGCGAAGATACGGGATCAACATACCACCAGCGCTTGCAGTCTTTGATTTCTCAAAAATGCGCACCGAATGGCCTTTTCGATGACACTCGAGTGCGGCCATCAGACCACCAACACCGGCGCCAACGATGAGGACGGCAATGCCAGATGGTGAACTGCAAGGGACTTTATCGTTGTCTAGCTCCGTGCTCGGCTTGCCGACTCCAATTGTACGAGTAAACGTCGCCATTGTTACTGTGGATTACTCGTTGAATGATTTGGGCAATATTTCCGCGACAGGTTGCGAGTCGTGACATCCCATCCAATATCTATCAATACTGCCAGAAACAACCAATACTTAATTGGCTTACAAAATATTCGCGTCATCGGTGCTCATCCGAACTCGATTTTACACAAGAACCCGGCATATGGTTTTTACGCGGATTGGGAACCAACCAGGCAGAGACATTCTTGCCGAAATCAGATTAACTCCCAACACGACTCAGGTAAATGAAGGGAGGGCTACAGATCACTATCCCGGCACCTGTCGGAGCAACGGAGCCAACGGCCGTTTCAGAGGATGGGCGGCGCTTGACGGCTTTTCGGTCCCGAGTTCACGCTCCATCAACCCGCGGCACCATTGTGATCTATATATTTAGTCCGACCCTTTTCACCGCTTCATATCACCACGAAAGACCAGGCAGTTTAAGTTTCCTTCCTCGTTACCATGACCGGTGTCATGAACTAACATGGTGAGATCAGGCTGGGCCTCAAAAGATGCTACGTTGCTGCCGTTCACTTCTGATGGCGATGAAAAGAACGCCGATTGCGCGTGCTCATCTACGACAGAAACCTACGATTGGCCGCAGCGAGGGCTTTGCAACACCGGAAAATCCGGTTTATCATGATGCTTGCTTCCATAGTATGTATCTGGGAGAGCAGCAGCACAGTTCATTTAGGGGTCGCGCCGGTATCTCGCGCCGAAAGTGTGTGTAACTAGTGGATTCGGCACGACATGGTGCATTTGCATTGCTGATGTACACGAATCATAAGGGCCGGTACGACAGGGTACTAGCGTAGTCTACTTATTTAATGCAATGTATGCGATTCTTTCTGGGAGTCAAAGACTGCATGCAAGTCGCGTTAGGTGATTATGGAAGAGCCGGCTGTTTACCTCACCATGTCAGACAGGGTTGGCTCTTTCATACCCTATGGATTCGCGGATGGAAAACACACTTGCATGGATGAGTTGCTGGCATAGGATTGTACTGGGATCATACCCCAGAGCTGTCGTATTGCAGCGAGGCTAGACAGTACCGCATGCCTCCTGACGGTGGCACATGCTAGCTGAAGGATATCTATCTACTATACAACACTCGGTGGCTTGCCTCCAATGTGACATCGAGGTCCGATATCAGAAACATTGCACGTATCAAGCAACGTTTACCCCTCAGACTCTCCTGCAATCAATGAAGGTGTCCGTCACCAGAAGCCCTTGATTGGCCATGGCACTAAGTAACAGAAATCAACAGAAATCGAGTACGCCCATACACCGTATTTCCGTCCGAAACGCCGTAGCCTTCATATTGGTCTACGATCCGAGACCGTTTTCCTGGGTCTGAAGCCAACTTGTAGTAGCCGGAAGAGATGCTGACGTGTCAACACGAAGACCTCCCGCCTCATCAATAGTCAAACTGGTCGCATCCGTAGGTTTCCGCTCGTCTTGACGGAAGCCGCCACTTCTTGGCGTCGTGTTTCGCAATCCGCGCCTTCTAGCAACATTCGCATCTAGTTGTTCCTTCCCTGGCACCTAGACTGGACGGGGATCGTTCAGATGCAGATTGTGGCTCCATCTGGGCAGTTTCTTGTTTTGCTCGTACGAGCGGCCGCAGTTGGCGCAAAGAGACTAGGTTCATGTTAATATCAAACTTGCCCGCCGCGAGACAGAGGAAGAAAAAACGACAGAAAAAAAGGGGGGATGGGGGAGGGGGGCAGATCAATCTTACCCTCGGCCCATACGGGCCATTGCGGACTGCCCACACACTGGTGCCCCAAATCCAGCAATGTCGGCAGCGCCAACTGAGTCTCTCCTGGTCAGTAAGAGAGCCAATGCCACCTCCACCATATCCGGCGTCGGGTGTTCCTCTTCCTCCTGGCGTGCCAGATCGGCCAAGCGGACTCAGACTCCTAAATCTGCGCTTCTTCTTCGACCTTTCGCCACGGCCCATTCGCTCTTCCTCCACCTCGACGCCAACACCGACACCACCGAGCGGTATGCCACCGAACATGCCGGCATTGCTGCTGAATCGTGCCGTTTCGCGACGAAGCCGACGGATTTGTCGCTCACGGTCGCCCTCTCGCTTCTCCATTTCCTCCTTGGACAGCAGCTCCGTCTTGGGCTCCCACTCATCCGCCAGGTGTTCGGGGTCATATCGCCATCCGGCATCTGCGCCATGAGCAGCGTCGTTGGGAAGCTCGGCGCCCATGGCGCCCCAGCCAGCCACCAGGCCACCAGACTCGCATGCTTCCTTCTTCAGGCGCAGTACGGCCTCGTATATAGCATGCGTAAGGGCGGGGACCCATTCTCCAGCAAGTCCCAGATCAGAGCAAGTGATCTTTGCGAATGATTCTGCCGTTCCTGGTGGGTGTAACAATGACCACTCGAACTTGTCGGTGTAGAGATACGACGCGAGATTGATGTTGATGGTGACTATGCATCGGTATGTGTCGTCAGGGCTGGAATCATGCGACTCAATGGGGAGAGGCGTCGCACTGGCGGTAACTTCGGCGGCTTGTGACGTAGGAACCTTGTCTGGTGTATCTAAGCCAGTGCGCAACGGCGTGCCAGAACCACCGGGCATTGACGAGGGCATCGGTGTGGCGGGAGTCGCAGGACTATTGCGGTACGACGAGGGCAAAGCTGCGGGTGCAGCTGCTGAAGCGTTCCCGTTAGGGGCGGCGTTGGTATCCTCAGAGTGGAAAAGAGGATGTAGAGCGACACCAGCGTACTCCTCCAGCTGGGTGCGAATTTGCCTGCTGATCTCACTGGCAATTGATGCTTGGTTGGGAAGATCCAAGTCTTGCACCAGTATTAAGGCAAACTGATCAGTGGTCATGATCGTCTCATGAAGATTCCACAGAAAAATGTCTCTCAATTTGTACGGTGTTGTCGTCTCCCCGCTGTGGTAGAGTCTTGGGTCCATGTTCGTGCCGGGCTGTTGGAAGCCTCTCGGGAGGGGAAAAGCGGGAGAAGGGTTGAACGAAGGAATGTCGACGTCGATTCGTATGGGAATCAGCGTCACAGGTATCACAGCCTGGGCTTGGGCGTTAAGATCCGACCGTGGTTTATTCTGCTTCAGCATCCAATCTGCTCGCCAGATGCCTGGAAGGTCTACTGGTTCGTCCGTCTCCTTGCCAACCTTATCACTCGCGTCTGCTCTCGAGCCGCTGTCGTCGCGTCTCAGACTGCGCAAGCCGGTGGGACGTCTTCTGCCATCATCGTCGTCATCATCTTCATAGTCATAGCCGTCCTCGGCGTAATTAATGACCGTGGTACCACGTTTCGTTGTTCGCGATTGCGGTCCGGTGGGGATGGTCGAGATGACGGGTGTGAGGAGGGCATTATTGTAGACGCGCAATCGAGGCGCATATTGCGACGTATAGCTTTGCGCCCCGACAGGTTGATGAGAGACTCGGGTCTCCATGGTCGTTGCAAGTTGTCGAGCCTCACTTCATGCTGCTTTGGCAAGGGAGGAGGGAGTTGCGACAGGGCGCCGATGGGACTTCCCAGCTGGCGGGTCGTCCAGTTTCCAACAGGATCCAATGGCGCGGGTGCAACCTGTATAGAGAAGCTAGGCGCTACGCCGGGGCTTTTTCTGTGCGAAATATGTTGACAGAGTGGATGAAGAAGGCGGGTTTGAGAGTTTGGGCGTCTCGTTGCATGGGCCAGCTAAGGTCTCGAAGCTGTTCAGTCAATTCCACCTTGCACCGCGTTCCACGCAAAATTTCCAGCTTCAGTTAGGAGGACGGACCAGGACGCGGTCTTCACGTGATTGAATGGCTCGTGCACCATCAGGTATTGGTTAGTTTTGATGCGTCCCTGAATTCATTTGCATTAACCCAACTCGCTCATGCCACCGTGCCTTCCCTCACATGTACTAGATCGTGTCAATTGAGGCTTGCGATGAGACTTGGTGGTTTGAGGGCCCCATGTGCTCCGTGGACAAATTGACCTTGTGCACCACAATCTGCAGTATCTTGGTACCTGACGCCTTATTGCCGGTGGTTTGGAACCTCTCACACATTCCCCCAATCAAGTGCCTGATATTCCTGGTGTTGGCCTCCTGGCTTTCTCGTGCTGCTCGGGGCTTTTCGTCACCATGTCTCCTCCGTTCGCCCCAAAATAGTCAAAGTTCTTCGAGTCAATGCTGAAAGCACTGATACCATTGAAAAACAGATGTCTTGGAATACAAGCATGAAGACTAAAAATTGAGCTGCTGCTACGTAAGCGAGACTGAGATCTCACACTACCAGCCAGGATGCATGAGCCCTGAGTGGTGCCAGCCGCCTTGGGCCTGGTTGGGCCTGGTTGGGCCTCGGTCGGTAGGCTGCTTGGGAAGAAGAAGCTTCAGATTTCTCGCGAGTGAGAGAATTTATACTTGGGAACTCAGTGCTGACAAAGCTCTTCTCTTGCGTCATGGACTCCTGGGTCGAAGGCTGAAACTAGAAGAGCATGCAGGCACAGGAGTAGAGGTGGAATGGAAGGCATGAGTGGTGCTGATGACTTCATGCAAGAAGCCGCGTTCAAATGGTCCCACACACACTGAGAACCTTCTAGGCAAGAAACTAGAACTAAGTTTCTTATATAGCATACGAAAGGAAGCATAACTGTCAATAAGGAAGGTCCAATACCGAGAACTTAGTGTCAGTTGTAGGATACACCAAGATGCCATGTGATGTGTTGCAAAGGGCGACCCTTGCCTCCGAATCTGCATGCAGGAACACAGGCACAATTCCCATTTACTCATTATCGGTCCATCAGGTCCGTGTAGATCAATGGATTGCTTCGGTGGATACTTGCCATTCTGCTATTTACACGAGGTCTGTATCGACTTACTCAACATATGCCAGATTCACGTCCATCTAGATTCGCCTATACTCTTGTCACATGACGTACACCGCCATTTATGACTTTTGATTAGTTGCTTGGGTATTAGAATCTGGAGCCCAGTCAGTGGAAAGACCTCAGTGTACCGCCTTTCAGTACTGATTAAACTACAACAGAGCTTGCAGTCTCTGCGCGTCCTTTTTAGAAAGACTCCGCGTAGATGGTCATTGTGAGTTCCTTGGTGAAGCATATGTACCTATTTGTTGGGAGGTCCAGAATCTCGCTGCGAACATGAGAAATCTACAGTTGGGAAAAATCTTGGTTGGGATGCATAATACTATCCAAGTCAATGACATACATTCTGAACCGCCTTGTGAGATGCCAGGATATAACCCAGTATCCAACATCCAGGAGTAGAAATTGTACGCAGACACCGAAAGAAACCAGGGATTCGACAATATCTTGAAATGCTAGATATGGTTGTTCACGGTTCGGCGCCCACTTCATTTATCCTTTGCCAAATTTTAGACATGCGCCGCATTAGCCTTTGCAAATTTCGTACGCTAATCACTAGTCGCAAGTGGCTTCTATATAAACATACTACTGGATAATGGAAATGTACCGGTATTAACCTATTGGACAGCGAAAGGTCATGATCAAAACGGCCAGGGAAGGAGACTGCGAAGGAGTGGTAATATGATAATAAATCAATGGCAATCAACTGGAGAATTCTTCCTACCCCAGACGTAATCTTGGTTCAATAGATAGATCCTCGCCGCAGATGCTACGGCACCGACGCGAGTATGTCGTTGCAGTATCTAGGTTTGAGCCAGAGTGACTTGAGAGACAGGTGAGTTTGTAGCATCCATTGTCCTCGAATTTCTTTATATCGACAAATTTTGAGGACGAGGACTGCTTGCTTCCTAGTGATCATTCCTTTCATGGCTAGATCTGTGTCTTGCCTGCCTCGAAGGAGATTATTGAGAACCCAAGACCAGAGTTTGTCCGCTGATGGACTGATGCTCACATCATAATCAGCTTCTGGTCTAGTGTTCCAAGTATCTATGTAACTGTCAGGGCAAGTTCCGAGTTAGACGGAACATACCGTTTGCACATTATTCAACATGCAACAAACCGCTACGGATGACTTGGCTATCAGCAGCCCCCGCATAGGCACGGCCTTTCGCCCATTTAAGGATAACATCCCTCCACTCCCCGGACTTCCACAACTCTGGCGAGAACCTCAAAGAATTATGTTTAACTACGTTGTATGGCTGTGCTCAACGTACTCGAGTAACTCTGTGGTTGACCTATAAATTGCACATCCTCTTCACAATTGTAGCTCACCGCACTAATCTCCCACTTCCTCGGCAAGCAGAAACTCACTTTCAGCATGGCCGAAATCCCTGTCATCCAAGTGCTCAACAAGGAGCATTACTTTGCGCAGAAGCTCGTCTCACTACCAAATGAAGTGCCCTACTCAGACCTCGCCCCATCCTCCCTCCGCCTAAAGACCAAGGTCCTCAGTCTCACAAGCAACAATCTGACCTACACCAAACTGGGCTTTCTCCTCAACTTATGGGACGTCCATCCCCTACCACCTACCACACCGGCCCCTTACAACGATGCCTCCAAATATGGGCTCATCAACGCCTGGGGCTACATGGAAGTCCTGGAATCTACGCATCCGTCTGTGGAAAAGGGGTCTTACCTCTGGGGCTACGTTCCCATCGGCACGCTAGCCCAGGATCTCGAGGTCAAGAATGCAAACGTAGCCGGGCAGGTTCTGGTCACGAGTGAGTATAGAAAGCATATCATGCCTATTTACAACCGCTACCTTGTCATTTCTCCGTCGGCGGGCCTCGCGGAGGAGATTGAGAAGAAAACCAACAGTCCCGCGTATGAAGCCCTCGTGAGAATCATGTTTGAGACGGCGTACCTTATGAATCGCTTTGCTATGCCGGGAGACTCCAAGGAACTCGTGCATCCGGGTATGGACCCCCGGATACCGTGGGAACCGGAGACGGCGGATCTGTCAGGTGCTACGGTGATCTGCTTCGCGCCGGGCAGTAAGGTGGGGATGTGTTTTGCACATCAACTTAAGCAGAACAGGCCAAGGGCCAAACCCGTGCGGGTTGTGGCGGCCACGAGCGAGGTTTCGCAACCATTTGTGGAGGAAACCAGCCTGTACGACGAAATTGTTCTAAGCACCTCCTCACCGACCGAGTTTCTCTCCAAGCTCGGCGTCCAGTCGGGAGACAAGGTCGTACTTATCGACTTTGGTGGGCGGGGCAAAGTCGGGGCTCGCTGGACAACGGAGATCAAGGAGGCAGGCTACAGCAACTTGCTCCAGGTCGGCATCGGTCAAGAGATTTCCGAGACGTCCCAAGCGGATGTGTTGGAGCTTTTCAGTACCGGAAACCCCAGCATGTTGATGAACGCCAATGATATGCGCAACCGTGCCATGGAATTGGTTGGGGAGAAAGAATACTTCGATGAATTGAACGAGGCATGGTTGGAGCTCAAGAAGCAGGGCTTCAAGGGGTTCCAAGTCAACTGGGGCGAGGGGATGGAAGCTGTCGAGAAGGGATGGGATAGCATCTGTAAGAGTGAGATAAAAACTAGCGTAGGTTTGGCGTATAAGCTGTAGGAATTCAATTGTCTTTACAGGGGTAACAACAGTGTAATCTACGGACATCACAATCAAGGAAAGGGGTAACGTGAATGTACACCGAGCTGGCCACCCTTACATAACCTCGCATAGAAATTTTACGATAGTAAAACCACAACGCCGTAAATCAATTGAAACTACTCTGAATCTTCCTCTCCAGAAGATGGCAATGCGATCTTACAAGTTCGCGCATTATGCCCAGTCCCGTTGCAAATACCACAGCGCCTCGGACGCGTTTTTACGCGTTTGGAGGGTGCTTCGGGGGACTTGGTACGTTTTTGCCGCTTGTCGGAGACTAAGTTTTTGGTCATTTTTGAGAGCTTGAAGGGCTAGCATTAAGTCTGCTTCGTTATATGACTTTGCCATAATTGGTTGTTGAGAAAATCAAACATTAAGTTGGCCGGTCGCGTTGGCGCATGAAAGTGGCCAGCTCGGTGTACATTCACGTTATCTTGACATCATTAGTAATAAAAGTTCAAGACATCAACCACGATATGGATAACATTACATAACTACATAATCCTGGCTTCTTTCTGTGTCGATGGTCACCAGCTGAATTCAACCGCGATGGTCGGAGGAGGGATTCCCGACACTAAAGTGCCGAGTTTGAGATATGAACCCCTCATCATATGACATAGACTAGGGTATCGAGTTCGAAGATGAACTGCATTGGCGAGTGATGGGGTTTTATGTATCGTGAAGAAGGTGGCCAGTCTCATGAATAAGGACATCAACGGCTTGGGCTGATTACTTCTTGACCGCTATCTTGGATGGAATCGCAGCATAAATAAATCTCATACTTGTGCAAGCTCCGCAATAAGTTTTGTGACTTTTGTGACCAGGAAAACAGTACGGGCGACGTTGTGTGGCTCTGGAATATCCCTTACTGTCAGAAACTGTATTCTCTGACAATATTATACCCACTAGAGTCTCACAGGACTCTGAGTGACTGGTAGCCACCGGCGTACTGAGTTTGTATATTACATGTGATGGTGTCAATACCGGGCGAGTTCAACTTCATCGCCAAATCCCGACGCTGAAATCCGATGGAATTTTGTTGTAAGTGAAGGCTTACCTTTAGAATTAGGTTCGCGGAATCCATTCACGCGATATCCAAACTAATGGCGGCAATTTAGTATACTCACAACTTATAAAGTGTCACCTACCACTCAAACGGTTAATATTCGTTATTTTGATTCGGATTTTGATTTTGGATCTTGCTAACCCCCTTTTTTGTATTACCATCGACTCTTGTGAACTTGGCACATTAGGGTGTCTCATGAGTCAATTGCTGGTTGCTGATACAGGTACTGTGAAAGGGATATGGTGTTGTCAGTGTTGCCTAAAGTGACAACATGACAGAACACTACCAAACACAACTTTGCGAATACGGGTTTTTCATAGATCATCACACAACTGTGTCAAAAGATTGGCCCAAATCGTGTGAAACATTGACCGCTATAGTGGCGTCCTCGTTAAACTATTCTGTCAGATCTGTAGGCGCACTTCTAGCGCCACATTACCCAACCAACCTGAGAGGCGATTATGCAGGTGTTCCTCCGCCATGTTGCATCGGGAGATTCTGCCATTGAAATCATACCAGTAGGGTGTTATGAAAGGATTCACAGGCTCGGATAATCTCGCTAGCGAACGGAACCCGGGAGGAATACGAGCCACATATCTACTTCATATATTCGCATCAAGCACTGCTTGCTTACTGTCAGCCAACCTCATCCATTTGCTCAACTTTACTCGAGCCCTTCCAGCACAGAACCATACACCACTCACATAAAACAATAACAAATTGACTTTTCCATGATGCGCATCTCAGACTTCCTCCAAATCACCTTCTGCCTCCTCCCCACGGCCCTCGCCCAATGGCCTTCCTGTGACCCATCCTGCGTCACATGCGGTCTTACCTGCGATAAAGGATGCGCAGCTCCTTTGGACATGAGCATTTGTAACAATTGTCTCTACTGCCGACGCGAGAGTTCATCCTGCAGCTTCTTTGAACTCGGCTACGAAGACCCCAACGACCCGAACCTGTGCGAGCTGTGCGCCAACTCCTGTTACTGCAAACTTGGCGCTATTTGCTACGATGGGCTGCCGGCGGGGACTGCGACCGCGTCGGCTGCACCCACGGCGGAGTTGGGAGCCCGGATGCCACAGAAGGGGCGTCGGGATTTGTTTGGGCATTAAGAGGAGGGGAAGTGAGGAGTGAGAGAGGGATAATTGACATCATGGATTAGTTTAGGAGAAAACAATTTCTTTGTGGTGTGCACCGTGGCAGTGGTTCATGTCATGTCGTTGAGATATAAATACACGATTCAAACGTCGAAACCTCTTGTGTTAGATGTCCGGGAAACATGGGGAGCTAGACACTCCATCTCACCTCGCGCTTTCTCGAGCTGAATTTGTAGAGTTTATCAGATACCTTTGAGTTAGCTGCCGCAATGTGACGGTGCGGTTGCACTTGCCACTTGCAGGGAGATCTTGGTCGTTCATACTCTTCCACACCCCTATCTCAAGGTTTCCAGTTTAGGAGGAATACAACATGCCTTTGGAAATAATCTCATTAAAGCTGAAATATACAGCAAACGTGGTGGCTAAGGACCACACAGAAGCATCTCAAGCCTATAATGGGACAAGGGCTCATCTGAGCAATTACACCAAACTGTCAAGTGTAAAGAAATTGCCTCGGGCTTGTTCGAAGGAACTTCGACCTGTAACTAGAACAAAACAAGCCGGGTTGAATTAGCGTGATGTATGAAACTTCTACTCTAGGTGCCTATCACAAATTGCAAATCTGAAGTTGGCAAACAGCAAAGGGGTTAATAATAAAATAGAAGTTGCATACCGGCACGCAATCATTTTAGAACCTCAGACCCATCCTCTCATTGAGTATCTGAGCACCTCAAAGACGAATTTATTGTATTTATGTACTTGAGCAGTCTTCGGGCGTTTCAAGATTGGTTGAGAATAACGCTAATGAGAGAAAAATTTACAACTGTGACTCTCACAACGAGCTCCAGAGAACAACTCTATAGTTGGCGTCCTAGGCCTCGGCGATCTACAAGGTTTAGGCCAAGCATAGATAACTAAGACGCACACGATGTCCCGCAGTCTCCATTCACCACCCCCAACCGATGATCGGACGAGGCGATATCCCCATGCGCTACCAGCTCCGTGGGATCTTCTTCTTCGTCCAATGGTCTTTCAAGGCGTTCATCTCGCCGAAAGACGATGGAGACCAATTCCGACACCAGTAGCGTCCTGTCAATCCACAAAGAGTCTCCCGGCCATCTCGATGGAGCAGAGCACTCTGGAGGAGGACGACCAACATTTGTCCAAGGTCTTTGGAGGAATGTTGGATGTCATCAGAAACAGCAATCAGGAGTTGGCAGGTAAACGATCCAAACTATGAGGCGGGGATAGACTATAAAGTGAAGAATAAGATGACACGCGGGTTCTGGCAAATAAAGATTGTGCAAAAGCTGTTATAGATAACCATGAATAGCGTTCCGAGAGCTATAATGGCTTTTGGGTGTTTTGTAAAGATTGAAATAGATGATTGATTGACCAGTTGTCTCTGTGAATGATTATCCTTTTTCCCAGAGCCACATATGCAATTAATCGGTTCTAATCGAATATTCATTCGCTGACTAACTCACTCCATGATCTTTTACAATGATTGACCGCTGATTGTTACCTGGATTATCAGTGAAGCGTGTAACCAAAAATGAGGGAATTGGCAATGCAGAGCATATTGTTACCCCCATATCGAGACACTCCCAGTCCAGTGATTCCCCTGAAACCCCGAAAGAGGCCAGCAATGTTGTTAATCTAATTCTTGGCTGAATCCTCAGGAAGAAGGGTCTTGACATCATGACGTAGGCCCCAAAAGCTCCCAAATTGGATCACTACTGCCATTATGTTGTAGGGTGAACTTCCCTATGGGTACTACCATTGAAATACTCGGCCTTTAAACATCGAAAGTTTCAATTTTTCTCGTCTCAGAAAATTGAATCGCGCTTCCAAGTTCATCACTACCGTCATCAACATGATCATCCTGCACGACCCAGACACCCTCCGCCACGAGGCGGCCGAGTTCGTCGGCGCGAAGCTCACTCCAGCTGTAGAAAGTCCCGACAGAATCAGGAACATCACCGAAGCACTCATAGCCTCCAACTATAAACTCCTATCGCTCTCCTCAACGGAAGAGGACAAAGCACAAACCCTCGAGATAGCTCATCTCACGCACGACAAGCAATACCTGCACCATGTCTCCTCCGCGCACTCACTGTGGCTATCGGCCGGCATTGTAGGTCCCCAAGAAAGCGTCCTACCCGAATGCTTCCCCTTCCCGCACTCAGTGACTTCGCAGCCTGGCCCAAGGCCACCAAAGGACGTCTTTGCTCGAGCAGGGTACTACGCCTTCGACCTATCATCGGGCATCATGCAGGAGAGCTGGACCTCGATCATCGCATCCGCTCACCTCGCCGCGCGTGCCGTCGAGATGATACATGTGCCTCATGACCAAGTCGCGGATGCAATTGGCACCTCTATCGCCCCACCCGGGTCTCAAGCCAAGGGCAAGACGGTGATAGCGTTGTGTCGTCCTCCAGGACACCACTGCGACGGCCGTCGGGCCGGTGGATACTGCTACATAAACAATGCCGCCGTGGCAGTAAGCGCCTTCCGAGCTGTCCAGTCCCAAGCCTCAGGCCAGCCCGTGTCTCCGAAAATCGCCGTCTTGGACCTTGACTTTCACCACGGTAACGGCACCCAGGAGATCTTCTACAACGACCCGGACGTCCTGTACGTCAGCATCCACGGTGAGGATGAGTTTCCGTACTATACGGGCTCGGTAGATGAGCGAGGGGGGCCGGATGCTGATGCTGTGGGGAAGAACGTCAACTTACCCCTCAGAACGGGGAGCTCGTTCTCCGAGTACATGAAATTGCTCACAGAGGGGCTGAAACACATCGTTAAGCATGATCCCATGTTTTTAGTTATCAGTATGGGGTTCGACACTTTTCGGCTTGACCCGTTGGGAAACTTCGCTATCGACACGGAAGACTATGCGGTTATGGCTCGAACAGTGAGGGACCAGCTGGCCGACGTACCAGCTGTGGTTCTGTTAGAGGGCGGGTATGTTGTTGAACACCTGGGTCCTAATTTCTTGGCTTTTCTTGGTGGTTGGGATTCTGGAGCGTCGTTGAAGATAACTCGGTAAAACAGGGGTACGGCATGAAGTAAACAAACCAGGCGGCTTACCGGTCTCTCACGAAAACGGTTCTTGAGACTGAGCCTCGATGGAAACGCAACCTGGCACTATATAGTCGCTATCGTTGCTATATAGCGCGCCATGACTCCAAATAACCTATGCTCCGTGTGCTCCCAACTCGGACTTTTACTCAATCATCCTTACAGACCATTCTCTATAGTATCCTGGGCCGACCCTCGGGAACGTCTATATGCCGATAATTTAAGCTATCCTCATTTGCAGAAAAGTTCAAGCCAGTCACTCCCTCCGACCTTTTTTCGCCTATCAAATGGCAGCCCAGCCTTGCTCCCGTCTGAACCATTTAAGCGTGTCCATGCCGGTCTGGACACGCATTCCGATCCGGATATCAAGTACAAAGCCCTCCCACTTGACCACTTTATCAAGCCAGTCATGACATTCGGCTGTCTTCTTCATCAGTTGGGCGTCTGCATCCTTGCCTTCGACGGAGTCGCGCGTGATGCCGGAGATCTTCAATTGCAACCTCTGATGTTGCACCTCGGCCCATGCTACAGCCGCCATTTCGTAATGAGCTGATGGCAGAGCATAGTCGTCCTTCGTCGGGCCTTTGAATACTAGTCTGTGTCGTGTCAGTAATATGCCGCAGAGAAGGAGAAGTGGCAAAAACTTACTTGTCGATGGTGACTACCCCTTCCAGCAAAGCCCGGGCTTCATCAGTCCGCCCCAAAGCTCGATAGATGGCAGACAGACATACATCCATCACCGCGCTCTCGTCTTTCTCCGCTTGTATTTTCTTACTCGCCTCCTCTGGTGCTGTGAGACGATGCCAGTTCAATGATCTCGATGCTAATTCCAGTTCAGGAGATCCCATCTTCTTGTACCCATTCAATAGGTACACCATTTCCTGCACGGTACTGGTCCCCACGGCATCAACAAAGTCAATTTTCAACTCTTTGCTCCGCTCCTCCCACTTTTGCACCTTGCGAGTAAAAAATTGGTCAAAGGGCAGCGGCCGAGCCATGAGTTTCTTCTTCCCCGCAACGGTGGAAGCCTTTCGAATCAACTCCTCGGCCCTTTTCTTGTGCCTTTGGATCTGAGCTTCGTCGTTAGTAGTGGAATGGTACGCGTTGCGATAGATCTCGACTTCGGCTACACCCGCCAAGAAATAGTAGAATGCGTGGCTCCAATCACTGAGCTCAATGCAGGCGAGGAAGTGGTCGCGCATTGCCGGGTAGTCTTGAACGAACATGGTGTCCAGAGACAGCTCGAAGTTGTTGAGAGCCTTGGTTTGACGCATCGGCGAATCGGTATTGCTGGTAAGGATCTTGATCGCCCCGTGGAGGTCGCGCGTATTCGATAGAGCGCGTGCTTCTTCAAGCCGCCACAATCTGGAATCGGGATATGTGGTTCGCATCTTCAGGAGAAGTTCGGCGCATCTTCGCCGAGGGTAACCGACAATCGCGCCGTTTTCAACATCCTCATCGGACGGGAGAATATCGGCGAAGCCGAGGAGGCCGTTGTAGAATCCCAGTAGCATGAGCCCAGCAACAGCAGCATTGATATTGTCGAAGCGTGTGCTTTGCCATAAAATCTTGATGCCGCGTTCACGATCACCCTTGAACCCAATCACGGATAGCAGACGCGAGAATGCTGGTGGAACCATGGAGATGAGGAGAAGCAGAATGCCGAAGCACATGCTTACCCCAGAGTGGATAAAAACATCGATGGGACTGCTGAAGATGTCCGAATCGGAACCATGATCAAATTGATGAGGTGGAGGTGAGGATTTGGGAGACGGGGTTTGTGTCTTCTCTGAGTTGATACTAAGTTCAGCCATCTTCTCCTCCGCTCCGGCCTGCTTCTGCAGATGACCCTGGTATTGCGGCGCTGGGGTATGAGTCCCAGATAGTGCCTCTGGAGCATCCACAAATTCCATATCGGAGTCTTCCGGTTTGTCGCCCTCATCCAGTATGCGCGTCGTCTTCTCCACTGGTTTCAACGCCGGCGGAAGCTGGTCCTGGGTCTGATTCGATTGCATCCCGCGCCTTTTCAGGAATTCAGCCTCTGCCGTCATAATTCCGTCGAGCGTGACGAACGCTTTTCGCAGCTTGTAAAACCCGCGGATTCCCTCCGTCAAGCTCTCATATAATACGGCCACGACAGCGCCCATCAACTGAGCTTCGGCATTTATCAGGGCAAATTCAGTGCCCGGCGGGTATATTTGACTCGCCCCGCTACCGTTCGCGGCAGCCTCCTTTTGAGCCTTCTTCATCTCATTCCAGGCGGCCGTCTCGCAGTCGTTCAGCCGATTGCTGGCCTCAGTCATGATATCCTTCTCAAAACCCAGGACGCTTTTCATGAAGGTCGTGAGGCCCATGCCCAGCGAATGAAATACCGAGTCCCCCTTCCTCAAACCCGCCTCAGCGCCCTCGATGTCGTCATTCATGATTTTTGAGGCGCTGGCCATGGCATCCTCAATCTGAGCCATTTCAGCCGCCATCAGGTCGACCTGCGAGCCAGCAGGGCTGGGATTGACACTCGCCCGGGGCGTTGAGCCTCGGAGCCAGGAGCCCAGTCTACTCATCGTGAATAATGAGAGACAGAACGGGAAAAAGTGGAAGGTGAAAAAGAAGTTGTCATTGGCGCTCTCTTGCCTCGTCAGCGTATGAAAAGGCCGCCACTAACTAATACATTCGCTAGTACTAGTGGCGGGGCAAAGATCAAGCCGAGACGGCCGATGCTGACTCGGCTGTTCCGAACAATGACTTGGAAGCTTTCCGACAGAAATGTATAGCGTTGCGGTATGGTGATGATGTCGATTTCCCAGGTCTTTATTGTAAAAGGAGCGGTTCTAAACCAGTAATTACACCATTTGAGTTTGAGCTGAGGTCCAGCAGTCAATTGACTCGAGCTGTCAGGGCCTTAGGAGATGGGATGACGTCTTTCAGCCAGTCTAGTCAGTCATCGAGCCAAGGCTATGTTCGAATTCAGCTCGGTCGACTAGGCAGTGTAGGGCCAAATAGAAACACACGAAAGTACCGTTCATTGGAGTGAAACGCAGTTTTTAGAGAAAGGAGAAAGGCCATGGAGAGAGGAAAAGAGATTGTGCTCGAGCTTGGTGAAAATAAAGAGAGGCTTAGAGTGAATAAATAGCGACTCGCTCAGCTGTTCAGATTGAACGCGCGGAGCTAACATCAGAATCGCCGGCGTATGAAGTAAGCGACGCGGAGTTACCACCACAGTTCCCTTGGCCAATAAACGAATCCATCACGGACAGTCGGGCAAATCTATTTGCGCAACTTCCTTTCCTGTCAATTGGTAAGTCGGAGCCTCGGGCCCGGTCTATCGCTTGGCCCGAGCGCCTTCGTTGTGCTTCCAGGCTTCAAACGTGCGTTGCCGTTCAAGTCCACACAATAGCTCCAGCCTCACCAACAGCCTTGCCTCATTACCACGTCCGTACAACTGCTGGTTCCGGAGACATTGGGCTGCCAGCTTCTCCATCGCAACCAACAATTCACTCGAAGCAACACGACAATCTACCAACCATCCTGTTCGATCCCCAGGCATAACTGACCTAACACACCCACACCCGACAACCAACATATCCCGTCATGGCGTCCGCATCTACACCAAAGCCGGCTGACAAGTCCACTAATGAGCCCAAGCACGACCAGCAAGCAGCGCAGAAGTCGGCAGCAGCTCTGGAGGAAGACGACGAGTTTGAGGATTTCCCCGTTGAAGGTACTTATTTCCCCCTCCCCGCCCTGTCCCTTCACTGGGTTCTTTCCGTTGCTTCCCTTTCGTCCGCGCCGCGACAGCTATATTATCCAAAGCCACGGGGCTATGATGCTAACACAGTCACGTAGATTGGCCCGCAGAAGAAACGGAAGCAGCAAAGGGCGATGGCACGACAGGACATCTGTGGGAAGAAAGCTGGGATGACGCCGATACTACGGATGATTTCTCGACCCAATTGCGGTGAGCGCCTCCCTACCTACGCTTCCCCATTTAGCATCTCTCCGCCTTGTCCTCGAACCATACCTGTTGGAGTCCTTTGATTCAATCCCGTCTTCGAACCACATACATTAGATGTCTTTCCGCTGCTACGCGCAAAACATTACTCCGTCATACGAATAAATACTGATAACTTTGATAGGGATGAGCTGAAGAAGGTGGATGCATCGAAGAAGCGGTAAAGGCTAACAAGAAAGGGAAAACTCTGGCAGATGGCACCCTTGTGAGATAAAAGACATTGGGATTGTACGTCAGGGACACGGACGTTATGCAGATGAACGGATTAATGCACCAGTATTTGAACAGTACTCCCGCCGGATTGTGATTTTGGAACAGCCTGCACAAATCTCTGCTGCTTGGTTCGACATCGTGACATGGAAACACCAGGCTTCTACGTAATTTAGCAATAATATACTTTGATTGGTAGATATTGACTTCACAATTATAGAGGACTTTGTGCACTATTTATGTTTGTTTTGTTCTAGGGTAGTGACGTAATACTGTTCACAGTGCATCGGCATCCAGCCCCTGTTCACTAGCCCGATTTACTTATTTTACTCTCAGTCCGGAGTCGTAACTTCCACGGAGGATTTTTGCATTGGGAACATACCGTACAGCCTCTTTGGTAATGTTGACTTACCGGCCCGGGCTTAAAGCTTCGCGATACCACCATGCATTTATTTGCTGCTCAGGGCGACAACACCGGGTAGAGCCTTGCCTTCCAGCAGCTCCAAGCTGGCACCTCCGCCCGTGCTGACGTGCGAGCACTTGTCCTCAGCACCATACTTGGCGGCGACTGTCGCGGTATCGCCACCGCCAATGATGCCGATGGCGCCCTTGGCGACGGCATCCGTGAAGGCATCGAGGGTGGCCTTGGTGCCGCCGGCGAACTTCTCAAACTCGAAGACACCTGCCGGGCCGTTCCACAGGATGGTCTGGGCCGAGCTGATAGCGTCCTGGTAGAGCTTAATGGACTCGGGGCCGCAGTCGAGACCCATCCAGCCGTCGGGGATGCCATCCTTGTCCGTGGCGGCGCCCGTGTTGGCATCCTTGTCGAACTTGTCTGCGGTCACATAGTCGACGGGGAGCACCACCTTGACGCCGTTCTTCTCGGCCTTCTTCATCAGGTCGCCGACCGTCTTGGAACCGGCCTCATCGAACAGCGAGTTGCCGATGTTCACGCCCTCGAGCGTCTTCTTGAACGTGAAGGCCATGCCGCCGCAGATGATGAGCGAGTTGACCTTGTCGAGCAAGTTGTCGATCAGCTGGATCTTGTCGGATACCTTGGCGCCGCCCAGGATAGCCAGGAACGGCCGCTTGGGCGACTCGAGTGCCTTGGCGAAGTAGTCTAACTCCTTCTTCATGAGGAAACCAGCGGCTTTTTGCGGCAGGTCAACACCGACCATGGAGGAATGTGCGCGGTGAGCTGTGCCGAAAGCATCGTCTGGGGTGGGGTCGGTCAGTCATGATCTCCTGAAACGAAACCGGACGACAAGAGTGAAAGGAGTACTCACTGACGTAAACATCTCCCAACGCAGTCAATCCCTTTCGGAACTCGTCAACCTTGGCCTTGTCCGCCTTGGTCTTGTTGCCATCCTTGTCCTTGGCACTGCCCTCCTCCTCAAGGTGGAAGCGCAGGTTCTCCAGCAGCACAACCTGACCGTTGTCTGCCTTGTTGACGATGGACTCGACCTCGGAGCCCACACAGTCGGGTGCGAACTCGACACTCTTGCCCAGCAGCTTCTCGAGCTCGGGGACCACGGGCTTCAGGCTGTACTTGGCGTTGGGTGCGCCATTGGGACGACCGAGGTGGGACATGAGGACGACAGCCTTTGCGCCATTCTCGATGGCATACTTGATGGTAGGCACGGCACCAGCGATACGCTGGTTGTTGGTGACCTTCTTATCGGCGTCGAGCGGGACATTGAAGTCGACCTGCGGAGTTGTTTGTTAACCATCTTCTATCGTAGGAACAGGATCGAGTGGACCGATTGACAGGACCCCGCAAAGGCATCTTGTCATATGGTCCATGAATGCATGTTGGGCTTGGAGGCTTACTCGGATCAGCACCCGCTTGCCCTTCAAGTCGACATCGGTGATAGATAGCTTGCTGGAGAGAGACATGTTGACAGCTTTTTTGATGCAATAACGTGGACAGTAAAACTAGGCTCGAGAATTGGAGACTTGAGGAGAATCAAGATATTTAAGAACTTTTCTGAGGTACTTCAGAAAAGGTGATGTGGTCTGTTGGGAAAAAAACACGCAAGACCGTGTTCGCTCTCGAGCTGTTTCTGCTAAGGAGGGGCAGAGTTTGGTGGGGTGAGAGCCTGTGACGTGACACGTAGGGACTAGCGTACAATGCGACTATTTTCGTCGTTCGACAACCCAACCCAGACCCGCGGCTTGCCCTGATAACAAGGTATACTCACGTTAGTTCCTGCGAGATAAGTCCGGAAAGTCGCATGATAAAGCCTTTTCTAGAGGGGCAGGTCGGACGTATATTCAGGATCTGTGTCCGACATCCTGCCCAGATAGGCGTGTCATGCCACATCACATGGTTCGAGGTCTTGGAGCAGTGCATCGTGTCAGCCAGTTACACAGCAACTTTTGCATGCAACGCAGTTTAATTGAATTGTTAGGTACAAAAGCATAACGCCGACCCCCCTATCGTCTGTTTAAAATAATGACATCCGAAACGCCGCGCATGTTCTGCTCACTTGTATGTACGTCGCGATGACAGGGTCGATAGCCAGTAACGTCCCCAACGTACAGTACGCCCTGAACCACATTGCTCTTCGGGCCCTGTTTTTGTGCCAATATCCTATCGTTTGGCAGTATTTCTTACACTCAATCCGAAAGACGGATATTGGGAGATCGTGGCGCAGCGTTGGCTTCCGGTCCTTCCTCGGACGCATTGGTGAGCGAGAGGTATGCCGTCCACGCAATACCAACTGTCGAGACGAAAGGCTGGAAAACTTGTTAATTACATTGAAGACTGTCCAGTTCAATCTAAATAGCAAAACTTACCAGCTGGAACTGCACAGGCATCAGCCTGAAGTTGACAATTTGCACTGCTGGCCAAACTACAAAGTTGGCCTTCAGTGTCGGCACGTACATATCTCTCAGCTTGTGTGCAACAGCTCGTCGTCCCCCTCCCTCAGCAATGGTCATGGCTGTGAAGAAACACGCGATACCGAACGGTGCAAAGATCAGCTGGTCGAAAGCAACTCGCTTCATCGCTGGTCCGAAGGCACTGTCCTTTGTGATTGGGAATGCGCGGGATAAGAAGCTAAACCACTTGAACTGTAGCGGAGCCATGGCGAAACCATAAGCCATGAATCGAGTCAAGCGCTCAAAATCGAAGGGCGGCGGCAGAGCTTTGGAGGCAGGAATCAGGTCACGGTCGTAGAGCGGGTTCTTGCTATCGAGCTCGTGGATTTCGAGGGCCAGAGAGTCGTCTTTGCCGACGCCACCCGGCTTGCGGAGTGCGCGCTGTCGAACGGATGTGATGGTTTGTGCGACAGTGTCGGCTATGCCACCCAGGACGGCGTTGGTCACCATCATGGTGAGGACTGAAAAGTGAGTTAGAGAGGGCCATCATAAACCGACCACAGCGAGACCACGGAGAGAAAACATACGGGGTCGCTCATCGTAGTAGGCGTTGAACCTCGACACCAGCCGAGCAACGATTGCCATCTCTATGAAGAAGATAATCGCATGGAGTAGAGGCTAGGTCGTGAGAATAGAGTCAGTCTCGATGAATAGAAGTAGATGGTGACGCTACGTTAACAGTGATGACAGGAATGGCCGGTTCTATGCTGTGCTGCTGAGAGCATGTGACAGAAACACAGAAACTCGAACGTACCACTCGATCAAAGATGAACTTGCTATTGATGGCCCTAACAAAGCGGCGGCGAGTGAGTTCCCAAGCCATTTTGGAAGGAGCTTTCGCGGGTCAAGCTGGGGAGAGGGTCCGTTTGATGGAGAGCAGGGTAATAGGTGATGAGTCGTGACGAAGTTTCTGGTAAAATCCCAAGGTTACGGTGGCTTTCCCACACTATGACGACAGATTGACCCGATCTTAGAATGGCGCCGTCGCGCAAGCTTCCTGTAGGATTCCAAAAACAGTCGCAATCTGCGCAGTTTTGGCAATACAAGTCTGCGAGTCTGCGGGCGAGCGTAGCAGGCAAGGACTTCCGGGCAAATGCAATCAACTGTCAATTGGAGAAGATGGCAGAACTGGCTGTTCGTGACATTTGCCGCGCGGAGAAGATGATAAAGCCGCCTATCCGCTGCTTGCGTGCTTACTGCTGCTGCGCCTCCAACTCATTTACGTGCAACTGATCGGCAATGGACTTCCGACCAATTGCAAACTGCTTAATGCATTTATCAGCGTAATATGTAGTTATCTGATATGTATAGCTGCACACAACTTCCTTCGCCAGAAACGACATCTATAATAGCGGTATAACACCTCGTTCGCTAGATTCCGTGTATTGATGTACTTGTATGGTGTTCATGTGGCCAAAACCACAGAACGATTCCTATCCAGCTGACGTCAGTGACAAAGTTGCTTGCACACCTCTTCGTAACGGTCAAAAGAACTATTCTCATACATTCCCAGACCATTTTGTTGCGATTCATGTTAATTGTGTTTCCCCAATTTTTGGCCCTCTTCTGAGAATCAGGTCTAAACTAAAACACTGTAAACCACCATCTTCCTCCCAGGTCGCCCTGTGCTGCATTCGCCTAGGCATATGGGTCTCCAGCCCACGCCACATACGCATCAGTAGCGTGTTCCTACCCTAGTGCCATGAAAGCTATTTCCGCTTGCGCAAGATAAACTCGACAATCCATCTGATGCACGTTATTTCCCCTGTTTCAGTCTGTTAAACGCATATGTGGTTGAAGAACAGCGCAATACCCCCTCGTAGACGAAACTTGCAAGTCCGATTGTGTCCATGACACACGGCTGAGATGGGAGACTGTATGGGGTCTTTTCGAAGAGCTGATTCCACGCCATTTGCGGCCGATTGTTGATACCATAGCCGCCCCGAGCAACCAATCTCAAGAGTCGTTCCGCACCATGACGGTTCCAGAATGCGATTTTGGCTGCTGATCTCGGTTTTCCCTCTTGATATCGAAAGGTGCTAAGAGTCCTAGACCACGCTTGGCCGCAGCCGTTGAATTCCAAGACGTCAGCTGCAGAGCAAGAAGGGGGCTCCAGCCAGATGCACCAGTTTTCGTTCAGATGAATGAATGTTCGCCCACTGGTTGTTGCGTCGCGAAATGTCCCCCATATTTGACGGATATCAACATTGGAGGATCTCGGCTTGTGTCGTCTGCATTCCATCATCGGCTCTGTAGTTGGGAGACTGCATCAGTGGACCTAATTTGGTTCATTGGGCGCACCAAGGTAATCGAATTGAGGTCGATATTAGTATATACGCTTGCAGAATGAGCAGGGATTGTAGTATTTAGGAACTCCCCGGCGCCAATTCGAGATTGTTCTCCTACGCACCTTCATAGTAATGGACTTATTGCAAGCTAAAACAAAGCATAGGTTTGAATGTGTCTCTGATCCCCCCAAACCCAAAGGAATGAAGGTGGTCATAAGAGCCTTAGTACAGAAAAGCAAGCCTCTTGGCTGCCTACACCAGAGCAAGTTAAGCGACTTCAAATCAGCCGTTGAGCACGAATGAGCTTGAAAGAAGAAAGCTGGTGCGGTCCGAAAAATAGTACCAATATAGCCCCAGCACTCGTGATCCGATACTATTTCTCAAACAGCTACTGCCGTAAAACCGATACCTCTTTAATTGGCTCTAGACAGTATGAATATGGATACGTATATTTGAGGTCTGGATATTTACCAGGCGAGTGACTGTACAGAACAAGCTCTATTGGAAATTTGAGATACTTGTGGGATCGCACTGATACTGGTATTCCCGCTGATACGCCTTTCAAACGGTAGTGAGTGCGTATTCCCAGAACGGCTCACTATGCTGGCCACCTTGGGGCTTATTTTCACGCTGTCAAGACGATTGTTCGTGAAGGATATTTGAAGAGTCGAAAGCGAAGATTGAAATCCCCCCGAAGCTTACAACGTCCAAAATAACCCCTCGAGACCTTGTTCCTTGCGAGATGATGAGAAACATCGTCTCCAACATTGAAATGAAAGCAGAAGGCTTGGATGTGTCTCTGCCTTTATTCGCGTGGACATGGATCAGGCACTCAGCTCTAGACTATTGCATGCTCGGTCATCACAAAGGGTTTACTGTCCAACATATGCACAACGAGATCATTCTCGGTATCTAGGTACCAGAAGCAGACCCCAAACGCTACATAGATGAACAAGAAGTGCAATTGCTCAAGAAGGTGAAGAATATCTTGCAATCATTTGTCGAGCAGCATGTTTTAAAGTTGGACAATATGGGCCCTGTGGGCCATGTGGGTCCTATACTTGCCACTATCGCCACCTAGAACGGCGACCATCCCCACATACCTCTATTACGAGAAATGTGGCGAGGATAGAACATTCCCTTACAACTTGTCTGAATTAATCAGCAAGTCTACCATTCATTGACTATATAAGAACCCTTTTGTTTCCATACATAGACCCTCGAAGAGAGGACCAGAGTTAGCTACAATACATACAGGTTAGGCATATGTGCCCTCCTTTTGCTCCTTCAACGGGAACATCAAATCCAAGTTTTAAACTCGCGGTCGTTTCCGCGCCGCCCACGACAATTCAGCATTGCTCCAAGCATTACCGCTTGAGCAGCACTATGATTATAAAGGGGGCCAAGATATCCACAGGAGGCCATTAAATGAAACTTTCTTGTCACCATAGTGGTGAATCAAGTGGCAAGAAACATATGGCGGCAATTACTTTACTTTTCCATCCTGTTTGACATTGGAGATTCGGGGGAAAGGATGTGGCGGACCCTTTCCGCATTTCATGATCATAATATGCGCAGGCAATTGCAATGGAACTATTCAGACACCCTCTAATGCCAAGTAGGTTGAACTCGATGTATCAGAGGAAATTCACGGCTTGCTTAATTACACATCTACTGTACGATAACTCGCATATAATAAGTCGAAGACTTCCCCATTCCAACCTCTCCTGAAAACTCCAGATCTACGTTCATTCCAATTTCTGTATTCAAGAAAAGCAGTATGGAAGCCTTGAAACCCACCATACTCTTTTCTCACGGCGTCTAAAATCCCGCAGCAATATGAACTCAGGTGGTATCAAATCTCAAAGTAACCGGCTACCGGTACATCACCCCAAGTTGCTAATGCGGCACAGCAACCCCAATCTCATCCTGGCACACATATTTGTAAGACATTCACGTCTCATAAACTCCTTGATGTCTTGAATCCACGAACAACTTGGCTAGCACAGCTTCTAGATTTTACGTAGCTTAGGTATCATCGAAATGGCTTGACTTACAGCTTCCGTTATACCAATATCGTGTCAGAGTTAAGCCCATTTCAATGCTCCCAGTTTCTGCCTCTCCTTCGATTAATAACATCTCAGAAATGCTAACAGATTCCATCGTCCCCATACCACAAAATGTGGATACCGCCTAGCTGATCATCCTGATAGTAATCCCTGATGTTGGACGTGGGACACGGATGAGTGATACCAGAGTTAGCGCTGCGCACCACAAGAGTTTATACTCCAAACTTTCATAACATCCAGCAAATCATAACCGTAGGTATTCTATCGTGTTAGCAGTGGCGAAGTAATATTCATACCGAATATAGCATGGCAAATCTGGCGTCTTGGGTAGCTCAAGGGGTAGCTCAAGGGGTAGCTCAAGCCTCTCAACATCCTATGCTGTGCTTCCAGGATTTTTCATTCCAAAGGTGTCAGAAGAAGCCCTGACTGTTCTCGTTCTCGTCTACCTCTTTTCCAACTTCTTTCCATGTAGATTGCCCGATCAAAATCATGATCAACAGGAGTAGGAGGATGATGAGAAACCCAGTTAAATCACCCCATCGATTTGAGTGACCAGTTGGATCTGGAGGAGGCCCTCCGTACGCCTGCTCGAATGGAATTTCTATGATGCATTCGTCTGGGCCGGCCAATCGGAACTCGTTAATGATGACCTTCATTTGTTCGTGAGGCTCAAAGCGGCGAAGCCGTCTGCCTGGGGAACCTTGGGACTTCCAAAGGATACCCGGGCCAAACGTTTGCAGCCAAATCTCGATGATATTCATTGGTAAATGAAGAGCGTAATGAGAGTTTTTTTTTTAAAAAAAACACAGTACAAATAACTCGAAATAAAGATGACGGAAAAGTTTCCATCGATCAAGTTTCTGAAATCATGGCCAGGACGAACTTTACTGCCTTGGCAGCACCCATATTTAACAGCCTCATGAGCACTCAGAGATAGAATGAGCCTCTCGTGGAGTAGTTAGAGCCGCATGAAAATGGCGGTGTGTAGGGGAAAGCGGGCCGTCACGAGGAATTGGTCTGGGAACAACGTACTAGACTATATGAGAACACAATTTGGGTGACACTGGCTATCTGCCAAAAGCTCAAGGAGACAGAAAACCCTAGGTGCATACGCTGGCAAAAAGAGTGAGATTTATCCTACTCTAATAATTGCAAACCTTCAAGATTTTTGGTTTCTGAAACAAAACCACACAGTTTTGGTTAAAAATCAGGCTCCCTACACAAGTTAAGCACTTTTGTCCCTGCTAGTCTCCACTTCAAACAATGGTCGAGCGAGTTGACGCAGTGTACACGCTCCCAGCCCGTTCTTTCGACCTGAAGCACCGCAGCTTCTTGAGCCACCCAAACCCAGGGACTCTCCAGCGGCGCTTATCCAGCCGATCGAGACTCCGCTTAGTGAGACCCGACTTCGACGTGTTTTTGGCATTGTGACAGAAGCAGGCGCAGCAGCCGCAGCAGCCCTTGGAAGAGAAAGGAAGCTGTGGTGGTGGTGGTGGTGGTGGTGGTGGAGGATGACCACCCACGAGCATTCTCTGCGGGTGACGGCCAGGACCTACGGGACCAAAGTTAGGGGTTTGGAGGCCCGTAGAGTCGGCATAGAGCGACAGCGTGATGACGAACTCGTACAGCTGGCTGGTGTTCTCCTCGAAGTCCCGGACTTTGCGGTGGAAATGACCAGCGATATAACACAATCGCTGGGCTATCTCATCGAGTTCACCGCTGTCGCGATCCTTGTCGTCTGTTACCTTGGAGGACTCGATGGCAGGAGCTGCAGCCACAATACGGGCGAAAATGCTGCTCGCCATCGACTTGACGACCTCGAGATCTCTTGGGATGTTGGTTTTGGCTGTGGGGACTTCCAAGGTGGCCGATCGAATCTTGTCGTCTAGGTAGCGGAGCCGGTACTCGAGCGAATCCCAAGTTGGCTTCAGCATAGGGGGTAGTGTCGTGGAGCAGGAAATCCGCTCGAGGGTTCGGACACGGACATCGAGGGCTTCAAGCGCGCTCTCGAGGCCAGTATTTGGATTATACTTGACACCCTTTATCCCTTCAAAATTGGCGGTCTTGTGTGTACACCATTGTTTTACCAGCTTGGACATTTTCGTTGGTGCCAGGTATAGACTAGAATGCACAACAATGGCGTGACAAGTTGGAGGGAGCAAGGCAAGCCAGGAGAGGTTGAGAGAAAGATGGATAGCCCAGCTGTCCAATGCATGTTGTGCCTTGGGGGACATTAAATAATGTATAGACATAGGGTGAGCAGGCAGAAACATGTATATTGCCTATTATGGGGCTGTTTGCATACCTATCTACTGGCTATCGATGCATATACGTGCAATGCATGGTGTGCTGGCTTCTCAGGCTGGCTGCAAAATAGCAAACAGATAACAGTATGCAGCTTGAGCAGCCAACGCTGCAACGCAGCCTGGTGTAGTTCGGAGCATCATGCTAGAATGTTTCACTCACACCAATCAACTTGTTACAGCGGGTAACCCGTACTACAGCATACATAAAGGTTGAGCGTCTAAAATTGAAGTAAATGATGCTTTCAGCGACTTCATCAAACCTGCAGGTCTGTGCCGATGGGGTATTTCCAAGCGGCTTGCCGCGTGAATGCAGCTGGATATTATAGGTGCCCGCACCATAAGTCGACTGGAGCCTACTCATGTGGGACTTATCCGACACTAAAACCCGCTCTGCTGCATGCGCACGCTCACGGCATCCTTATTCGACGTTGGTTGCAGAAGAATGGGTGTAAGTACCTTCATCGTGACGACATCTTCATCTTTTCCTTACATCTGCGATGCCAACCAATATGGTGGCCCCAATGAATTTTATCGTATGAATATTTCACTTGCAAAGCCCATAAGAGACTCTTGCTAAGTTGTGGTGAAAAGCATCATTGTGCTACTTGATCACCGCAGTAGTGTCGGACGGCTCCAGCCTTTGCGCCCCCAACGGATATCGGACCCTGTGCCCTGGATCCTCTGATGTATCAGCCACTCTCATGCTCAGACGTGATCAGCACTTCCTTAGCTGCAGATTTTTCTGGTCTTGAGGCCCTTATGGTAACTTTCCCTCTTTTTGCTTGGAAGGACAGAGACACTTTCAATCCATGTTTTGTTACAGTTTGCAATGAGTCCGATAAGTAGCTGTACCCTCAGCCTCACTCTGTCACTCTGCTTCACAACCAATCACTCTCTCCTTCCTTACTCTGTTCCTTCTCCGTCTCATCATCTGTATCATGTTGCGGCCGCCCTTCGTGCCAGTAAAATTCCCTGAGCTGGCCGCAGTTAAATTCATGAGTCTCCAACGGTACGGTAGCCCAATTGTCGTTGTTGTAGGTCTGATACTGGAGGTGAAACGTTGCCATGTTTGGCACAGCTGTGGCATACTTGCGGCCTCCATATTTATTGACATTGATGGTGAAATCAGCCAGTGTGACAATTGGGTTGAGTCTCAGCCTGTACCCGACGCATTCATAATGTCCAGGTGGGAAAAGGTGGAACTGGTTTTCGTGATTGCCCCCAACTTCCTGAATGCAATAGAATCGGGTGCCATCGGCCCCCAAATGGACATGGAAATCGAGTGCTTTTAGGGCCTTCTTAAAGGAAGGAACGGTTATAAGAGATGGATCAACATGCAGTTTTATAGCAGTGACACAGGAAGGCGCATCAACGAATGGACCGTGAAAGGGGTATCCCCAGCGTCAACATAGTCACCCGATGGGAAGCGTTACACCTCCCTTTTTCGACTTATGCAGTACGGTGGTGTAGTTGAAAGTGATGCGGGCATGTGCAATGACAAGCTGTGCTGAAGGAGACTAACAAAGGGTGGCGTTTACCTTATGTGACGACAATAACTGTTACGTACCCCTCACTGGCTATGTTCTAGGTGCAGCACTTTGGCTAATTGCCCGTAGATAGCCCTTTAGCCCCAGGAATCTGCAGCTATGGAAGATATGGCTAACTATCACAGCAGTGGTCCGGCACCGCCCGTTTCACGCAAATAAGGCAAAGCAGGAGGGGCGTTGATTGTATCCACAAGAGAAAATGCAAGGCGGTTGCATAAATACTTCGGTATGTCTTAAGTAGGAACTTTTCAATCGTAATGTTTCCATAGATGGACTGGAGCAGTATTACGTTCGGGGCAGGCCCGGACGCCCTTACAATCTGGTCTATCTATTCACCAAACCAGACCGGGAGCCGCTGGGTCAGCCCGCTCCAAGACCTCCCTAATGGGGCGCCGGAGGGGACACAGGTCCTCGTAGGGGACTTCAATACACATCACCCGCTGTGGGACGTCCACGGACGGTCGTCACGGGGCAGCGACAACGTAGTGGAGTTTGCGCGATGCTGGCGATTAGAGCTCGTTACGCCGTTCGGGGAAATCACACGGCAAAGGCACAAACAACGAGACTCAACTATCGACCTAGCCTGGGTGACGAAAGGGGCTAGGATTGATTACGATGGGGACCCGGGCCTAGAGGGCTCAGACCACAGAGCGCAAGTGATTAGGGTAATATCCAACGGGGAAGCAGTCAAGGAGGGCCGCCGCAGTGTCGAAGGGTGGAACTGGGCGATGGCGGATAAGTGGCTCATCGTAGCCGAATCAAGCCAGAGATTTATGAATTATTTGCCGGTTGAGACGATAACGGAGTTGGACCAGGCTGTTGACTGGGTTATCCGGAACCTCCAAGAGATCGCCGACGTGGCGGTCCCGAGACGCACCGTTGGCCGAGGCGCTGGGGTCCCGTGGTGGTGCCCGCAGGTTAGCAAGGCTTGCGCTGAGACGAAGAGACGACGGCGGGACTACCTCCAGGCAAGGTCGCAGACCAACTGGGACGAATATACAAGAGCCGGCCAAAAACAACGGCTCGAAATCAGCGAAGCGCAGACGCGTAGCTGGCACGAGAAGCTCGAGGGGACGGCGAAGGATCACAAAAGCCTGTGGGCACTGCAGAGGTGGGCTAGGCTACGGAGCTGGGCCCCCCCTGAGGCCCACGGCTTGCCAGATCTCCGGAGGGACGCCGGCGACACGCTTACAGCACGTACACATGATGAGAAGGCAAAATTACTAGCTGAGAGGTTCTTCCCAGACCCGTATATAGATCTATCGGACCTCGATCGCGGCCTATTACAGACGAGACCAGAGCTGAACGTCCCTAGGGAGGTGACCACAATGGATATCGAGTCTATCATCAAAGGAACGGCTGCTCGGAAGGCTCCCGGCGACGACCTGATCCCCACTGGCCTGCTAAAGGCCTGCGGTGAACCCCTATGGGAGATCCTAGCGGATCTGGCAACAGCTAGCTTTAGGCTGGGGTACTACCCGGAGCGCTTCCGCTCAGCGAGGGTGGTTATTATCCCTAAGCCTAATAAAACGACAGCTCAGAAGCAGACCCCTGGCGGCTGGCGCCCCATTGCCCTGCTTAGCACGGTAGGGAAGGTAATAGAGACGGCGATGAGCCAGCGTATCACCAAAGTAGCTGAGGCGGCCGGCCTACTACCAAACGGCCAAATGGGTAACCGCGCTGGGAGGTCCACCGAACTGGCAATACGTATAGTTGAGGACGTGGTCTATACGGCGTGGAGACGCGGGGGCATCGCCTCGCTGCTACAGCTAGACATCAAGGGGGCATTCGATACGGTCAATTACAGACGGCTGATTTCCATATTAGCCCGGAAAGGCTACCCGGAGTGGGTTCAGGAGTGGGTACGCAGCTTCGTGGAGGATAGGACGGTACGCCTCCGGTTCGATGGCAAGGAGTCAGAGCCAATCCCCCTACGAGCTGGCGTCCCCCAGGGGTCACCGCTATCCCCGATACTGTTTATATTATACATTTCAACGCTGTACGAGGAGCTAGCGGAGCAGCATCCACTACTTTTAGTAGTCGGGTTCGCGGACGACACGAACCTGCTAAGCGTCGGCACCGATCCAGACACGACCTGCCGCCGGTTGGAGAGCGCATGGGCTACGTGTCAGCGGTGGGCAGTGAGGCACGGGATGGAGTTCGCTCCTGACAAGAGTGAGCTAATGCACTTTACTAGGGCCCGAGAGCCCTTGCCGCAAAGTATTCGCCTTGGGGACGCCACAGTGTCGCCGGTAGTCTCAGCCAGGTTCCTAGGAGTCTGGTTCGACCGCAAACTGACGTGGCACGCCCATGTTGAGCGTGTTAAAACAAAAATGGCAACTCAAAAGCTAGCCCTGACAAAGCTAGTCAATATGTCGTGGGGCTGCGATCTTATACGGGCGAGGCTGTTATATACGGTGGTTATCCGTAGCGCGATTGCCTTCGGGGCGACTGCGTGGCATACTATAAGTGAGGAACCGGCAGGGCCAGCTAAGAGCCTGATGGGGATACAGAACGAGTGCCTCCGGGTAGTCTGTGGTGCCCACAAAGCGACGCCGGTTCGCCACCTGGAAGCAGAAGCAGCAATCCCGCCACTAGACCTCTATCTTAGTGCCCGGGCTGCTAAGTTTGAAGAACGGCTACGGCTTAGCGGGAAGAGAAATCTGCTTCGCAGCGCGAGCGCTAAAGCGTCACATATACTCCGGCAGGATAGGCCGGCGAAGAGGAAGCAGGCGTCGCAGCTACTCCGACCGGCAGGGTACACTATGGAGAAGGAGGCCCGGGGCTCCGAGTGGATGAGTGAGGAAAAGGAGGTCCCGGCTGCCCTCCTCGACCACTGGAGGAAGAGATGGCTCACCGGAGCAGAGCATCACGATCGCCAGCGACGCGCTATCGCTGAGGAACCGGAGGGCCCTTCGATGCAGATACCGAAAGGGGGCAAGTATTTCGGCCTGAACCGACTGGAGGCGTCTACGCTGTGCCAGATCAGGACGGAAAAAATAGGACTAGCAGCCTTCTTATTCAAGACAGGGGCTTTTGGCGTGTACTCGCCGCTATGCCGCTGTGGCGACGCCCCTGAGACGGCAGAGCACGTAATCCTCTTTTGCGGGCTGTTGGAAGGACCGAGGGAACGATTACGGGCCGCCATCGCACCACGGCCACTATACTCTCGCAGAGACCTCGCAACGGCAACAGGAGAACCAGTAGTTAGTGGGACTATTGTAAGATGGCTGCTAGGGACGGGTCGGACAGCTTCAAGGCCCAGATAGCATCGATCTTCTCAGGGGGGACTTTGTTGGTAGGTTGAGAACCAACGTAGTATGGTAGTGAACGCAACGCAGTCGCCAATAGGGCGAACCGACGACGCAGCGTATGTATTTAGTCCAGCCATTAGGGCACGGTTTGACATACGGGAGTACTAGTAGAGGTACCGGGGGCTTCGAGCCTACGGCGTATTTAATAATAATAATAAATATGTTTCCATAGGGGAGTCCCTGACCTACTCTGAGTAGGCCGTGCCTGCTCCTGAATCCAACACTAATGCTATTTCCTTAAAGACTAGCTCAAGCAGGTACTTATATGACTAAACTAATATTAAAATGCATGTATAAAAGCAGACACGACCTGTTAGAATAACTTCCGAGCTCGCATTTGGCTTTTCCAGTTATGTAACTAGTCCATGTTAGCCAAAGAACTCCAAAAACCCTTCAACTACCATGGGACGAATATTTCTCAAGACTCCCGTTGCCCACCTGTGAGCTACAAGCTATCAGTGCTCAAGAATCAATGTATTCTAGTCTCCCCTGTGGCTTGTCGTTATAGGCCAGATAACTAAGGCCTTGTCACATCATGAGCATCTTCATCACCCATTACACTTCTTATATATGTGTTCCATGCCTGGCTCTGGTTTAAATTTATGTCATGGATGTTCATGCTGATTCTAGTACTTCCCACCATTCCCTTCAGTTACCTACCACTATCTCGCTACTTCATCTATCACTTCATACGTCCATCGAAAGATTATCACTACGTTCCTTCCTTTACTAATTTAACGTCGATGTCAAAGAGCGAATTTCTTCCTCATTCACCCGAAGGACAGTATTAATTTCTCGAGGCCCACCTTATTACTGTAGAAGATACGCTTGACAGTAGTGGTTAATCGGGGTTGCTTGCCAATACATAAGTAGAATTCTATAAAACATTACCACATTTGCGCGGTAGAGCATGCCCACCCAGATATTCCATTTTTGTGGTTTTCTTCGGAATTAATCATCTTGTTTTGCAAGCAAACAGTATCTCTACCCTGTGGCCTGTATTGATACTATGCGAGATACTTGGGGATGCACTACTGGGAACCTCACCGCTGTATACGCCTTTTACAAGACGAAAATCACAAGTAGATCTACTACTCATTTATTCTCTACTTTGACACCGCCTCACCGGATTGAATCAAATTATACTCCCAAGTCTCCACATCCCGCGTGCCTGAATCATGAAGCTCCTCAAACAAGGATCAACCGCTCCAATCGGGACAGCGACGATATTATGAGGCCAGTCTAAGACAGCAAGATGATGAAATATGAACTCTAAACCATCCCAGACATGAAGCTAGACTACACAAACTTTCGGCCATTTACCGCAATCTGTCTTGACAGAGTGACACATCTCAATACCACTTCCAAGCCGCGATTGTGCCGTTTCGTACTTAGTTATTTCGAGTACCCGAACGTAAATACACGCACTATTCAATGACTTATCGGTTTTCGCATTGTAGTCCATCGCAACGACATCCGATCTGACCAGCGACAGAAATCGCACGTAACAGCTTGGCGCGGAGTCCTGAAATGGACGCCACGAGGGCGGATGGTTTATTAGAACGTGATCCGACATACACAAGGGAGATATGGGCATGGTTTGGCACAGGGTTATTAGTCATCCTCCTACGGACCGGAGTCAGAATCCGACTAGTCGGGTTCAAGGGGTTCGAAGGCGATGACTACGTGACGATACTGGTGAGAAGTCTCTGCGACGCCAGTTATGATACATCTCCTACTGACACATGCAGACGTTGGCCATGTTTACAATGGATGCGGTGCTAGTGGATATCCTTTGTAAGGTCCCCTGCACTGGGTGCCATAACGCCTTGACGTTAAGACAGGAAGTGAAGAGAAAGCTGACGTAAAGTCCAGATTGGACGGGAACAAATGTTGATGTAGCAACAGGTGCGATAAGCAGTCTGTCAGATTCGGTGGTTCGTGAACTAGAGTATGGATCGAAAGTACAGCTCGCCGCATGGTATAGCTACACCGCGCTCCTCTGGTCTATAAAGGTGAGCCACCTCTTCTTCAAGACAACTAGTTGCGAGGTACTAATTACTCCTGCAGACTACTATGCTCTTCTTCTAGTGGGTGCAGTAAAAGAAAGCTTGAAGTACAACGAGTCTAACTTGGGAATATTAACCGCCTAACCATTGGGCTATGGCAGCATCGAGTACTTAGATACTTGGCCTTGTTTACTGCGTCATCCTACGTGGCTGTTATCCTCACGATCTCGCTTGGCTGCCATCCGTATGAATTGTTGCTTCCGTTCTATTTCCCGCTGCTTCAAGCTAAACACGTTAATGCAGATACTCTCATAACTGGCAAGTAAGGCCTACCCCAGGCCCAGAGTGCACCTTTAAGAAACAAAACTTCATTGTGACGACTGCTCTTAGTGTGTATACCTTGATGATTACACACCTCTGCTGTGTACTAACTCGCCAGACGTCGTTACCAATGCAGCCATTCTATGCATTCCGCTGCCGATGCTTCAGAAGCTACATGCGCCTCGGTACAAAAAGATTCTCATCGCCATGCTTCTCAGCTCCGGCCTATTCGTAATAACAGCCGCCTTACTCCGCGCCGCATTCACTCTCGGTACTGCGCCATCGAGCATCACCATCAACCGATGGGGTGTGCGAGAGACGATAATCGGCATTCTTGCGATCAATGCCCCAATTTTACGAGCAATATTCCGGAAAAACTTCTGGATCCATGAGACCATGAGGCCAGCTCTTAGTGCAAACTCGGGTCCCAACAACCATGATCGACGTGGTGGGTCGGGCAAGGGTCTTTCCTTTAGCAAGGGCAGCAAGTTAAACAACAGCAAAGGTAATAACAACCAGCGGTCGGTGTCCGACAGTGCGGCATTCGGGGTGAACACTCATATATCTGGATTCTCAATCATGGACTTCACGTCGTCACGGGGTCTGACAACACCGTGGGATGAGGCGCTGCGGATTGAATTGGGTCCGGTGCATGTACGTGATGAGAACATTGAGGAACGAAACGAGGCTGGAGATGCCGTCCCACAAGATGACCACATCGAGGAGAGAAACGACACTGGGAACGAAGCCACGGCTATGCAGGATGACGTGGTGATGCGATTGGCCGGGGAATCGAGCCAAGAGCGAAACGCCTTCACTGAGTACTAGTATAAACTAATGCGATGAGCCCCCATACGTCGGCGGTAGTCCCATTTAAGCTACCCGGCACTTACGACTAACTGTGCGAGACGTTTCGTTTTATTGCTCTAGCGTGGCTAGAGATTGAATATTTTAGCGAATAAGTCGTACATCAACGACGGCAAGGATCCCGTAGTGTAAAAGGTGAAGATAATGGACATCACCAACAAATCTGTAACAAGATACACTGCCTAGGCAGATAAGAACAGAAATAAGACCCTTCTCGCTCTGGCTAGGAAATATAAATACTTTAACAGGCAGAATAACTGCTGCGTGCCCCAGGCATACCGCCTGTGTGCCGGGTGCAGCGCTTGGGCCAATTGCCCATAGACAGCCCTTCCTTAGCTGCAGCCTTTGGGAATGAGTTCCATCATCACCAATACAGCCCTCTTACTTGTAATGCCAACAATATGAATAGGACCTCAAGAAGGTGGCTTGAAATGATCACCTTCATAGGTGTAACAGACAGAGCCTTGACAGGCACGAAAAACAAACACAGCTCTTCTTCTCTCTGCTTCTGCGCCTAAGATGGAGTAACTATACAGTTCTGGTTTTGATAGATCCTTGATACGAAAAGGTAGGGGGACCCACTGGTTAGGTGAATCCCATTCAATTAGATACTACAACGTTGCGCACTGCTGCATTATAGGATCCTCCCCTCTAGGTGCACGCATCAATCCTTCCAGAAGCAAACTTATTGCATAAATTAGCCAAAGAATGTCCTTTCAAACCTCTGTTCCTGAGTCATACTTCTCTTGGTGAATCAGAACTCTACCTTACCCCTCCTCGCTCTACGTCCTGATAGAAGCATATCTCCCTTCTCTTGTATGGCGAATGACGATTTTCAAAAGTGATCTCGCTAGTCACACACACTGTAATTCGATTAGGGACTTACATCGTAGGTCTGGTCTTGCTTTTGGTCCACGACAGCCTCCTCCTTCTCCTTTCTGGTCTCGCGTATCTGACCCTCCTCTGGCCAACGAATGAAACCGACGTCTGGAATATGTCGGTAGTTGCCGGCACAATCTTAACATCCTTCTCGAACTGTGGTAGCACGCTGAAGTGATGTATATTCTCGTTTGGTAGCTGGTATATCTTTAATCATCACCAAAATGTGACGTCAGTTGTCGGATTATCCTGGTGAAGAGTAGATTAGTCCACACGACACATAAGCAGGTGGAAAGTACATATAATCTCGACAAAGTGGTAAAAAAATGTAGCTAACGTGAATGTACACCGAGCTGGCTGGCCACCCTTACATAACCTCGCATAGAAATTTTACGATAGTAAAACCACAACGCCGTAAATCAATTGAAACTACTCTGAATCTTCCCCTCCAGAAGATGGCAATGCGATCTTACAAGCTCGCGCATTATGCCCAGTCCCGTTGCAAATATCACAGCGCCTCGGGTGCGTTTCAACACGCTTTGCGCGACCACCATTTCGGCGCTCTTCTTGCTGTATCTGCGTCGCCAACTCCCTAGAGTCCCGTAGGTCCTGTCCTTCTTGGAAAATAAGTGATTCTCCTTCCCGTAATTGCATTTTTTAGTCCTCCGGCGCCGGCTTAGCATCTTATTTGCCTCTCCAAGCTCAGCGCACTCGGCCCGTACGAGGTCGAGCTCGTGCATTATCATTTTTGCTCCCTTCGCAAACTGGTCGACAGCTGAGAAAATATTCGTCGGAGAGCTATTCTGATGCTCGGAGATGCGCTTTTTCAAAAAAGTAGACTGTGCATGAGCCTCTATCGGGTTCTGTGGCGTCTTTGATACCCACGGTCGGTTTGCCATTGCTTCCATATCAGCAATCCGGGGCGGAAACGCTCGTGCATCTAAGTCCAGTATATGCTTGATAATGACCTCCTCTTCTAATTCTGTCATAGTTCGTGAATTGGGCAAAATATCGCGTCGGAAAGGTACGCCGTTTTTACGCGTTTGGAGGGTGCTTCGGGGGACTTGGTGCGTTTTTGCCGCTTGTCGGAGACTAAGTTTTTGGTCATTTTTGAGAGCTTGAAGGGCTAGCATTAAGTCTGCTTCGTTGTATGACTTTGCCATACTTGGTTGTTGAGAAAATCAAACATTAAGTTGGCCGGTCGCGTTGGCGCATGAAAGTGGCCAGCTCGGTGTCATGGCCAGCTCGGTGTACATTCACGTTAAGTGGTCAATATAGTCTTTCTAATACCATCGTCTCCAAGAATCACTACCTTGTATAGATCCAGTTCTTTCGCCATGATCAATCTGTTTGATGTGCACTTGGACCAGGAGATTCAGTTGTATTGGGGGACCTAAAAGAGGATGTTTGAAAGAAGGCTGGTCGGTCATCTAGTCCCTGCCGTGCATCGGATCTTTCCTAGGTGAAGACCAACTTGGCTATGCATATTTTCCGGCTTTTAACTAAAACGTGCAGCCCATCCGGCTCGAAGGCTCCAATTATTTGCAAAGACTAGACTACTTTAAAAGGTGTCACGACGCCTTAAGATAGTTTGTAGGAAGTATTGGTGCCCAACGTCCGTAGACCAAGTCAGATCGAGTATGGCTGGAAAATGGGGCTAGAGGACCAGGCTAGACGGCTCCTTGCTTTTGGCAGACATCCGCGACGAGCTTTGTAAGCGGTCCAGACCCTGCGTATGATCTGGCATACGAAGTTGTTCCCTCCTACCCTCTCTCAGACAATTGTCTTTGCCACATTATGGATTGTTGCTGTGCTTTGCAAGCTGGTGGTTTCTGATCCTCCCATAGTCGCCGTATAATAGGCTGAAGTCCTCCGAGACCAGCCAGGGTTGCTTTGAGGGTGATTATTGATGACCATATTCAATATATTGGCTTAGACTACATACGCACCACCCTCATCTTCAAAGCCAGGAGGATTGATGAATACATACCCAGTCCCACCGATCGTAGGTCTGATTCCACTGTAAGGGACTGTAGTCTGTGAGGTCTCCAATGGACCAAACAACACTATTCATCAAGAAAGTCCATCAGATCTTGAAGATGTATCCCATGGCGTTTTCAGCAAGATCATATAGATCCATGATCTGCCCGCCCCATCGCACCGACATGACTCTGGCCATCGGATGTGACAAACCCTCCCAAACCGTAACAAGAATCAATGCGATTGATAGATGAGTAAGTAAGTGAGCGGGCAATATGCAAGTTGCCTATTACTAAGATAAGCAGACGCGAAAATGTAACGTGCAATTCTGGGCTGACCACTAAGGTCTCTGCTGGCGTCACTGTGGCGGCCCACCTGTAATAGTCTCCCTCTTCAGTTGCCAATGGCATCCCCGGGTTTCGTGATGCAACAGCCTCTTTATTACCTGCAGATGCTAACCTCGTGGGTTCTTGGCGTCACATTCTTGAACTGCTACGAAGTTGGACTACTGAGGTAATACCGGATAAACCGATAACTTTGAAAACATTCTGATGTATTGGCTCAGCGCCACACATGGAGGTGCGTTACTATTGATATAGAATATTTGTACGATATGAAGTGAGCTGAGCGGCCATTGGATTCTTACGTAGGAAATGCAATTATGTGTGGGCTGGGACACGATCGACCTGCCTGAAGGGGAAGATGACTTGCATCTTGTAGCTTCTTGGCACGGACATGGGACACGATCGACCTGCCTGAAGGGGAAGACGACTTGCATCTTGTAGCTTCTTGGACGGACATGGGACCTCGTAAACTTTCAGTCATCTGCTAGGTGAAGCATTGTGTAGATATTCATAACTAATAGAGGTAATGATATGAAGTCAAAGCACGAAGTTCCGGTATAAATAGGTGCCCGACATCTCATGTTGGTTCTGCTTCTTCTCAGCAACTCAACTCATTATTCCAAGTCACAAACTTGATAGTTATCCCCCTTCGTTCAGCCATCTCCAAAATGCTTCTCAACACCATCATTTTTGGCCTTATGGCCACGGCGACGGCCGCAACTACGATTCCCGAGTCCTTAAAGGCTCGCATTCCGGCCGGCATGACTTACACCACCATCGCGCCCGAGGACATACCTGAGTCGATCAAGGGCGCTGGTAAATCCGTCAACTCCACCGTTACAGAAGCGCGTGATATCAAGAAGCGTGCCGACTTTGGGGTCTACTTGTGCACCGACGCCAATTGGGGTGGGCACTGCGTCCACATCGTGGCACCGGAGAATGTCTGCGGTGCGTTGTTATCATAATCTGACTACTCCACAGTGCCATAACGAGATGACTAACGATCTGTCATAGTTCCACTGGCTGGGGACCTGAACGACCAGGTCTCTTCTGTTGGGCCCGACAGTGGGGCGTATTGTCGATTCTATTTGTTCGTCTTCCTCGGTTGCCGCACGGGTGGCTCACTGAATCTTTTGCTGACTTTGGCTTGTAGCAACGCCGGCTGCACCGATGATAATGGGTGCCTTCACTTTGACTTGACTAGCCCCGGCTATAGCAATCTGAACCAAGGTAGTCTATTTGTCTGTGGTGCCAACAACCCTAATGACAAGGTCACGAGTTACATGTGCTGGTCTGGGTAAGCTGGCCTGTGAAGAGGCCATTTTGGCGGGTAATCTTCTATTGGACTGGGTAAATGAGAGCTATGGAAACATGGATTGCTTTACTTTCGATGATGTTCTTAATTTATACTTTGTTGGACTGGGAAATCGTGGGAGCTGCGTTTAACAGGCCACTCTTTAAGTTGAAATCTCCGACCATGTTAGGTTAGATTTAGCCTAATCTATTATTTATGACTACCTGAATGCCCTGAAAATACTCAGTGGGCTAGTGTACTGTTCTTGAGAATATTCTCGCATCCCGCCCTGGCCTGCGGAAGCTGCGCGATTTTCGTTATTTGTTCTTCTCACGCTCCAAGCGTTGAAGCTCTCCCTCTCCGTCGTCGCCTTCACCGAAGCCGTTACATCTATCAAAGCCTGCTCCGTATGTATTCCCCAGAAAATTACAAACACAGCCCATATAGTAGCCCAAGATCTCTTCAATGGATTTTACCACATGTTTCTTCATAAAAATATCTGTAACTACGCAATGGCTTCTTCCAAACCAAGAGCTTGGCCTGCAGTACATTTTCAGTTTCTCTCTTCAAGGATTTATCTTATCATTTTGACTAGACCATGGAGCACCGCAAAGGCAAATGCGTGAGGGTAAAGCACGATTGGCTCCTTATTGCTCCTTGATGTATCCGGAGCGTTTCTGACAAGGCAACTGGCTTCTGTTTGATCGTCCAGTGTCGGCATAGCTGTCAAAAACTGCCAACGTATAGTGCCTCGTTTTTTATTATCTGGAACACATGTTCTAATGTGAGTTTTGTATTTGAGAAGCGACGTCTATGTATCGAAGACGGTAGCCTAATATAGACCATAAGATCCGGATATTACGGGCATTTTATAGGGAAGGTTGTAATATAACATTGCTTCCTAAGCTGGAATCAGAGCAAGTATTCTGAATTAATCGCCCAGGGATGTATGGTCCGCCAGCACTGCTATAGGTAGGAATATAGAGCCCTAATATAAGGATGGCAGCACCTGGTCGGAACCTACGTGTGTAGGAATTCCAAAGCCAGCTTATCGTAGAAACCCTCCGGAGACTAGTATGTGACAATCCCGAGATATCTCGCTGATAAGAGAGTAGATAGCGAGTCATGCGGCTGTGCCACGAAAACTAGCCGTTTGACATAGTCAAGGCGTGTTTGGCTTGCATGAAAGCAGTTATGGGCTTTGCATAATTTATCTGTGGCGTCCAGCTGGGAATATATGGACGAAGGTGATATGCTCAGATAGCCAAGGACTGAGAGAATTCTATAAGCGCTGCTCTCAATCTCAATTCATAGATATTCGATAATCTCGCCCACAATGCGATAGCTGGATGTCGTACTTCGTTCAACTTTAGAGAACCACTGAATCTCCGACACCACTCCTGAAGGGGCATTAATACCGAGCGAGAAAGCCTTGTCCCACGAGCTTGATCTTAAAACAGGCTACGCGATATCGACAGTAGCAGGATCAAGATTCATACGCCGTTCCTTTCAGCGCCGCCGATCTATTGGGACATAATGGTAAGGCAGATTGCCACATTCGGGGCTGGGAGACATAATGCCGGCAAGTGATTAATGAGATGAGCAGGAATGTAGGAGGGAAGAGAAGAGACGACAACAGTGGTCCGATTACCGCCGAGGCCCTCTAGCCTCGGTAGATTACAAGCCTAGCTACTAAATCCACGATGATCCATACCGCTCTGCCTCGCAAACGTCCCAGCACAATCTTAATCCCAGAATGAGCAAGCCAGGAAGCATAAAAACCCCGTCTGTCTGCCTATTCCTGCGAGCGTGGCTCAGCTGTCCATAGCTTGTCCCGAGCCTTGCCTTAGAGGACTGCCTGGGCAATTGTTCTGAACTTCCCTAGGAGCGATGTGACTTATTCCATGGAAGAGATAAATATGACGCGGTAGCTCTATTTAGAAGCGAGTTGTCATGTTAGGATAATAGCTAGTCTAATCATAGATGCTAGTAGCAGTATGCTGTGTGTGGACTTGAGTGATTTGGAGTCAGGATCCTCTGCATTGTTTTAAAATGCGGTCAAGACAATATCCCTGCAGATACGGTTGCTGATTTTGGGTTAGCAACTTTGGCCGGGGAGAGAAGGAGCCTCCTTGGCTGCGCTAAACTTACACCAGCTCTCCCCCTACTCCGGCTAAAGCAGCAACAGCCGGCCACCCGCGCAGATGAAATCTGTCAGAGGACAGATTCGCTTTTTGTCTTGGGCTGTTTCACATGTTTCTCTCAGAAAGATACAAAAATACAAGAAATAAAGAAAATAGCAATACATATGGAGGCTTCGACAGTTGCGCAGTTGCAGCTACTGTGTCTTTATCCTAAGTCAGAGGTGGCAGTATAGTAGACGTGACTGATAGTCTACTATGAGTGGTTTAGGAAAAGATGCGCGCCTGCATGAATTTCGATGAATAATGTGTGAAAATTGGATTGACAGACATATCGTGGGATCCGGATCTGCTGGCATTCTGGCTAGCATCGTTGGTTAGATTGAGCAAACACCTAAACGGCCTGCTGGGACCCCACTAAATACAAACGTATGCCTGCCCCAAATGCACTAACCTAGGCATTTAAGGCCACCAAATTTCCCACACATACTATGGCATTGCATCACTTGGTGCCAACTCATAGGGGGCTACCTACTGGTGGCTATGTCAGGCTTCAGCGTACCAAGAACAGCAACATAACACAACTTGTCTAACGAATGGTCTGCTCCTCTGCATTAGACTTGTGAACTCAATATTGAAAGCCAATCAATGAGGAGGTTAGGTGGTTCCCCGAGGGCCTAGTATGCCGCTACGCACCCGTTGTTGGTGGCAGGTCACCACAAGCTTGGCAACTTGCACGATTTAATCGAACCTAAGTAGTTTCGTTCTGCATCACCGCCTTCGCGCCGAAAACAACAGGCTGGGTCATGGCCCATCATCAGTGCCCAACAGCGAAACGAGAAATGTACATCTCGATTCATCGTTGCTCATTCGCAACTCTTCGGACACGATCGGCCGTACGATGCAAGAGAACACGCCAATGGCAAAGCACGGCTGGCAAAACGATCGTGGTGAATATCACAGCAACGTGGCTAGGGGATATTATCGCTGCTTCGATTGACCTGATTTTGCAACTGATCTGTCGCAACTGCGTATGCTGGTGCAAGTTGAAACGCCTTCTGACGCCTGAACTGTAAATCCCATGGACGCCATCTCAAAGACGGGTTCCGTCCGTTTTCCCACATCGCATAAAAACGCCGTTAACACCAATTCGCCATCTTCCCAATGTCATTCATCTGATGGCTCGTGAGGGGAAATCACCGCCTGCCTTGTTGGGCCTCATATTCCTTGATGGCCTGTTCCAATTCGGCGAGACTGGACCGGTCTCCGTATGCATTCATGAGTGCGTTCGAATGCTGCTCGGCTGCTGAGCGGCGTGTCGAGTACTGCGAACGTTGCTGCTGTTCACTTCGGTACTGTTTGTATTTGGCGATGCCGTAAACTGAATGACGTCGTTTTAGTGTGGGAGCTCCGCACATGCGTGGGTAGCGTGGAGGCTGGACTCACCAATGCCGACGGTAGCGACAGCCGCGGGAACCCTTTTACGCATGGTCAACATTGTTTTCGTCGATGGAAACAGGGCGAGTGTATCTCGGGGGTTGAACGGACAGCTTCTTTTCTACCCGACTGACTTTGTGCAGATGAGGCAGATATGCCGGATACACACCCGACGTTGTGGAGAAATGCGGCGACATGGTTTAGTTGCGCGTACTCGAGTAAGTATGGTTGTATCCGCGTGACCACCTGGATTCAACCGTCGACTATTCGGCCTATCAGGGAGCGAGGAGGATTTGATGAGCACAGCAGTTCGAACGGGCTCGGGCGGCAGCTGGAAAGGCTTGGTATCTTGGCAACGATGGGAAACTTGGAACTAGGAGATGTCGGCGGGATCGATCACACTGAGGGACAGCTCCGGATGCAGACGAGTAGCAGCGCGCATGGGGTCACAGTAGTTAAAGGGCTGTACATCATTGATGGAAACATGCGATAATGGGACGACGGTGACAGGGCGTAGATACGCCCGCTGAAAAACGCAGCTCGGCCGTACCTCGATGGTTTACATGACAAGATTTTCTCAGAAGCCTGACTGTTAACATGCCATGTAGGGCAGGCCACGACATTTAAGTAGCATGATATTCGGAGAGTTCCTAATTGTTCCGCATGCGTGCAACAATTGAGGCGAGTGCAAGATGGGCTCGGCCGGTCAAGTGGAGAGGATCGCTGCACCTGCATGTAGGAGTCGTCTGATGGTGGGGATTGGCCAGGATAGCCGGGACCCTCCCGATACTCTAGCTCGCAAGTACATGAAACGGGCAGAACGGGTAGACGGGAGTCAAGGATTCGCGGCGCTTTTGCCGGCAGGTCTGTGAGGAAGTCCACTTTGAACTTGTTGCTATTGGCTTGCAACGAGAGGGAATGAGATCGCTTGGCTGTTTCTTGCATGTTGACAGGTCATGGTGGTCAACATGCGCCAAGTGCCGTTTGTTCTAGATCATAGCCGTCCACCGGTTTCTGTTGCAAGTCATCTATCGGCATTAAAGTCCTCGGCAGCTGCCTAGAACCATGCTCGTACTGACAAGCCGTGGAGACGATGTGTTCTCTTCAGGGTCCTACCAACGGGGGACGGTGCGCTGACGTTCAAGCCGATGTGGGGTGCGCTTCGGTCTATGGCCTGACTTACAATACGTGTCAAGTGTCAAGAGACCGCCACAATTGAAATTTTATGTAAAGCCATGCCATACTGGAGATCACAAAACTGCTTTCGCAAACACCCACGTACCCTTCGATGGTTTAAACAGTGGTTGTAGAACAAGCAATTGTGGTCTAGGTCCTCTATTGCTCACCCTGGACACTTATTACTAACATGGAATAAGACGGACCTGATTTGCTGATCGCTGGGTAAAGTTTGTTATACCGGGTGGGTACTATGGACATGCCGACCAGAGTAAGTCCACAGCTTCGCAGGAGAAGACGAAATGATGCAAGAGATAGTAGAGTGAGAACTGTTGTTTCGGATCCTCCTCGATTTCTGTACACCTCATGATAATCTAACAGACAGTGGAATATTGGAATAGAACTGGTCCGAATATCGGCTTCTTACTCCGGGAAGCGTTCGTATATGTACAAAGCGTCATTTATCGCCGAAATCGCCAATTAGTGTGCATTGTCTAATAGCCAATCGATGCAATCAGCGAAACATGCCATAGTCTACTACTTACACGAGTTGAGGAGGCTGAATATCGTGCAGAATGGTGTGACTAGCCCCACCAGATCAGGAGTAGTACAAATAGTGCGTCATTGCTAATTTGTCATCGGGATTGTCAAGATCATTGTAATTGTGGGCAAAAACGGCCCAACGTCATTCTTGATTGGGAAGCTATCGTAGGTTGTCTATCAGCTCTACATACCTAGGTAGTTACGCTAGTTGTCACGTGCATGGGCTGAGTACTGTGCCATTTCTGCCCACAGTCATCATAAAAGTGCCAGGAAAGATACACCCAACAGAACGGAGAAAGTGAATACCAACACGAGAAGCAAATAACCGCACAGCGTGTAAAACACCTGATTTGCTAGATGAATGTAGATTATTGATGACCAAAGCCTGGAGGATCGCTCGTCTCCAGACTCGGCTCCTTTGCGACAACTTGTCCGTAACATTTCATTTCTACTTCTATGTCTTGAAGCTCACGGCACCACCTCGGAGTATTCCTCTGAACCAGTGTTCGGTTTCATGTAGTTGTTTATGAGACCCATGCATGTATTTTCTACGCTATAGCCCGCGCCCTATTCACCCTTTCGCACAATTTTGAAGCGAATGTCGAGAATTTTATTGGCCACCTTCATCATAGGTTGGTATTACTTGGCCAAACACTACTGTGAAGGGCTTCTGTGAAGATCCGCGAGCCTGCGGGGCTATCTTTTTTGGAAAAGAACCGAGCGGCATTCGACTTGAGGGGTACCTGGGCACAAAGCATCTCTGTCTGTGTCCGCACTATAACTAACTATATTCGTGCTCATCAGGGGAAATATCACATTGAACGCACTATCAAGTCAGTACGACAAAGAGGCTAAAACATTGATCCCAACAGAGATCACAAAGAACCAAACCACAAAAAGGTTAAAGAAGTTCCAGAGAAGGGTTTGGCCATTGAACACTGTATCTTCTGTTGCATAGGTAACATCGATACTGTACTATCGTACCATGCTGCATCGCACTGCCATTTTTTCCTGGCTTATTGCGCGGTGTAACTACACGGTGTTTACGTTGATGCTAATAGACCACTCACAGCTTGGCCAAAATAATAAGGCATGGCCGGCAAGACCACTTCCGCTGCATCGGTTGTTGCCGAGTCCTCCAAAGATCCGGTTCGCCATAGTTTGTCCGCCAATGATTTTCAATACGAGAATAACAACGCCTAGTCATATTTTGCAGCATGGCGACATTGATACCACGCCACCGGTGTCGCGAAATTAGTGTCGACACTTGCCACTAACGGATGATATTGCCAGGTCGGACAACTAGGCAGAGCTATTTACCTGTGTCTCAAAGAAACTCTGCCATAGGAATACTAGGACTGGTTGCATCCCCGAGGAACATCGAGAAGTTCAGCTCGCCACGGTACTGTAAGTAAGTAGGATACAGACATGCGGGAGTATTCGATTCGTTCGATGTTCGGTCGAAATGATAGATCCAGTCCAATTAATATCAGTCCTTGGCCGATGTGAGACGTGCATACATTTATCACGATCCCATGTGGAGAATCCATCGTCGTTCAGACTAGAAAGAGCTACGAATCTAGATTTCCCGCGGGAGACAGAAGCGAAGTTTTCGCAAATGAAGGTAGTGGCGCTTGATTGGGCAATGCAGAACATGCCAGCTGGTCTCCTTGTGACGGACGGCACCAACCCTTTTCTGGGTCCTAGTACCCGACGGCCACATTAGAGTTTGCTTATCTATAATAACGAAATGACCGGACCTCCCGGTATCTTCAGCCAAGACAAACACCTCATACCATCTGCTCCGATACACTACATACTCTGGGTTCGTTGTATGTCTTCATGTACTTGTAGGCCCTTATGGCCCATTGCGCTCTCCGGGAGATTCTGGGGAGGGGAGACACGTTCAGTTCAGTGCTTTGCTGTAATTGCTTGCACTAAGTCCGATACCTTGCATCTAGCCGGACGTGATGCCAAGGTTCTTCTCATTTAAAACCGCATCCAGCAAGTCAGCGCTGCGGGAGAAAAGCGTGGCCTGGTAGAGCTGGTTAGGCGTGTGATGTTGGCATTTGTCGAAACTTTCAGCTTAACTCTTGGCCGTGGGTAGGTGCTTAATCACATAAGGCCTACCAGGTGTGCAAGGTGCAGCATCCGAACCCTCGGGTCCAGCGTATAGTGGATTGCAATAACGAACCCGCCCAAAGTAAGTCCGATGTAGGTTTGACAATTCCAGATCTGGTGTATCGTTGTTTGCCAATTTCCAATAGTCCCAACTGTCACATTGCGGGTAGGGAAAGGCAAATGAACTATGGTGTGGGAAAGGCCCGATGCTCCAAGATGTACACAACTGCGATTCAGAGCTAAAAGGTGGATGTGTTTGAGACTGCGCAGTTCGTCTATAAGTTACCCAAGTAGGTAGGCATGCATTCGCAGTTGTGTTCGACATCAAGTCGATCACCTTGATAAACTCGGGCAACCACCACATTCGTTTCCAACACCACAGTCGCTTCCAGCACCATGTCCTTCATTAGCCTCTCTTTACTTGCAGGGCTTTTTGCCTATCTCTCGCCGACCAATGCGTTGACAGCACCATCCCCTGCAACCTCTGCTTGCTCAGTTTTGACATCCTCCTTGGGCGCCAAGAAGGTGGCGAGCAGTCGTCTTAGTTTGGAATACATATCCAGCAAGCAGGACTACTGGAACGCACGGCAAAGCTCTTATAAACCTACCTGTGTCATCTATCCAGAGGCAGCGGAGGACGTGTCGGTGGCTCTCAAAGCCATCAACGCGGCTGGTACCAGATTTGCGATCAAGGCCGGTGGCCACAACACCAATGATTTCTTTTCTTCAGTTGACGATGGCGTCCTAATCGACCTCGGATACATGACGGCAAAGTCATATGATGAGTCAACTACTCTTGCTACGTACGAGCCCGGAAACCGCTGGGGAGACTTGTACAATTTCTACCAGCCGTATGGCCGCACTGTGATGGGTGGGAGACTAAACGGAGTGGGCTCTGGGCTGGCGTTAGGAGGCGGACTGAGCTACCTTTCACCCCAATACGGCATGGCATGCGATTCCTTCCGGGAGCTCGAAGTTGTGTTGCCAAGCGGGGAGATCGTCACAGCATCCAACACGTCCAATCCCGATTTGTTCCTCGGCCTGCGCGGCGGAGGAGGCAATGCTTACGGCGTAGTTACAAAGTACACGGTCCAAAGTCGCCCGGCCGGCAAGTTTTTCGCAGGCAACATCGTATACCTCTTCCAGCATACCGATGCCGTTGTCGATGCTGTCCGCGACTTCACCCTCTACAACTTGGACCCGAAGGCCAGCGTCATGGCGACGTACGAGACCCTGACAACGCCCGATCTGAACTTGAACTTGGACGAGGTCATTATTCTGTTTGTCGTGTACGACGGCGAAGACCCTGGGACAGCATTCGCCAACTTCACCAGCATTCCCAATCTGGTCGACACGTCATCCCTCCGAACCTACCCGCAGGTCACAGATATGCCGGTGCCCCTTTTGGCTCAACTAACCCGCGCGGATAACATCTTCCGCATGGGCGTCCATCACATCGAAACCGATACGTATAAGACCGCTCTCAAGAACTGGCGCGCCTGGGCCAGCGCGAATAAGGGGCAATACACCTACACCTCGTTCAATCTGTACCCCGTCGCCAAAAGTCTCACGGACGCAAGCAAAGCCCAGGGGGGCAACGCTCTGCAGATGCCGGACGGACCGTGGCTTTGGAGTAACTACGTGCTTTCGACCCCGCCGGATCTTCTCAATGTTACATATGAGAAAGTCCAGGCAAGCTTCCGCGATATGGTGGCTGCGACGCCCATGGCGACGGATCTGCCCCTCTTCTTGAACGAGGCGGCGAAGGACCAGAACGCCCTGGCTACGTTCTCGACATACAGCGAGCTGCAGAAGATCAAGAGGAAGTATGACCCTGATGGTTTTTTTGAGACCAAGACGGGAGGGTGGTCGTTTGCGTGAGACATGCGCAGGAATGTAATTCGTTGTATATTCTTCAGTAATCAGTTGTATCGAGGTCGAATAAGATTCTTCGTATTGATTTCCAATCTCTTGACTATGTGTGCATTTCTTGTTTCTTCGAACGACATGAGTATCTCTTCAGAGATTCGTCTTCACCATTTGAGCGTCCTTCAGCACTTTCACAACCCTCTTCCACTTGATCCTCAGAAGGCCTCTCTTCCCTGGCCACTCCCCCTTGCACTCTTTCCCTTTCGCATGAGCCGCATGAAAGGGACACCAGAATCTGTGATGATCCTCGCCGTTGACATATAGCGTTATTTGGGGAATATTCGACTCATTCAGAAATTTCAGGAAGCTCTGAAACGGGGGCTGCGTGACGAACAGAGGTGTGAGCACCACCGTGTTGCCGGCTGTTATCTGGTAGTCGTCCTCTGAGGCGCAACGCGTGCCACCCCAGAAGTCCGCTGAGGGAAACCTGGGGGAGATCTCGAGCCGCAGGTGCTGTAAGTTTCCTTCTCGAACCATGTCGCGCAGGGCAGGGCCATACGTTTCTTGAAACAGATGGATGTATTCCCGGATGTGGAATTTCATGACCAAATTTCGCACATATCGGCGGGACGTGACAGACGTCAGGGGCCTGCTTAGGAAGGGATCCGCGATCGCTCTGCTCTGGGTGTTGTCTAGGAGGACCTCGTAATAGAAGATGGCAGCCGCCTCATCGTAGACCTTGTGGCATGTCAAGAACAGGTTTATGACATCCTTGGGGTCAAAGTCCAAGAGAACCACTTTCAGGATAGCTATTCTCAACTCGGGTGCGAGGTCCAGGAAGCGGAACGGCTCCACTGGATGCCATCGATGTTTGTTTTTGGGTTGAATGTGTGTTGTGCCAGGTTTTCTGCGAAATGCAACCTTTCTCCTGGACAACACCATTTCCAAGTCACCGTATCGTACGCGGTAGGCTTTCAAAGTGGTTTGGCGCTCAACCGATGGCTTCAAGGGCAGTCAGCATCGTCGAATGTTTCAGCCACCACCGTTGATTGCTTACGTTTCTCACACAACTAACAGCAAGTAGGTCCCAAGACGGGTCATTTCTGTCCGAGTAGGAATTTACACTCTGAGTTAGGTACTGTTTGATGGGATTTTTGGTCAATCTAGGTCCTGATGTTCACGTTCGGCCGAGGTCTATTTCATGGTCGCATCTCGGAACAGTGGCGGTGTGGGGCATTTGCTTTCACCCTCATCTTGCGCCCCACTTTATGCAATACTAAGCGACAGAGTTCGATGAGAAATTATAGCCACAGTTTTCGAGAGAATACAATGAATTCTTGAGCCATTAAAAGAAGAAGTAGGATGTTTGGTTTTGATCACCCAGGGTCAATACCATGTATACATCACTCAGTATGTCGCAGCAATTGGCCGTCTTGTTATTCCTGAGAAGCATTTATGTGTTTATCAGGTGTGGGAATAGGGGGGTATCAGGGTATTCCATTGTCTATCCGCATGACGCTACTATTCTATAATGATACTACGCATAGTCTCCCTTAAAACGTTTTGAAATGAAAATATGAATCTAATCTGTTAGAGGTTTCTGGCTACCGAATGTACAACTAAAAAATCCTACTTACCCACAAGTCTGATGAAAGTCATTCTATACTTCGAATTCCATGTGTCTCTAGTATCATATATAGCACATTAAACAGGCTTGTTCCTTCTTGAAACCTCTAGTGGTGACGAATGTTCCAGATGAAATTACGTGGATGGAAAAAATCGGGCCAACTTCATAGGCAGGTTGAATGGCAGTAGATTGGCCCTCGATTTTCCTGTTAGTAGTGGTGACTATCACATTGGCTAAGGTTCTTGCATCTTTCTTAGTTGTAGCCGGTTGGCTTTATACTTGTAGACTGTCTTAGAGTGTCTGGTTCAGATTGGGCATGTCTTTGGCGTAGCAGAGGCTCATCGAAACGCGCAGCACTAACAAACTATACACAATTAACCGGATAACCCTCGTCGTCCCAATTCCAGATAGCGTGAGTACTTAGTCGTTGTTAGGGATATCTAAATGACAAGTGCAAACTTAGCAGCCTGCTAAGACACTCATGTCCCAATTATGTCATGCATGATTGGACGCCCATCATTCTAAAGATTTGATGAGCCACTTGCACTGCCGTGCCCCAGGGTGCATGGCCTGGTCTCAACCTGCGCCATATTGACCAGCAGTAACCGCCACTCAAGCTGATCCGCTGTGTCTAGCATAATAGCATTCCCAAACGGTGGTTTAAATTTCAGCCATGATCTGTATGTTGTTTTACTAAAGCCCCTCAAGTTCTCCTTTATTTGTCCTCGTCGGTCAACACGTCAGGAAATTCTTCTGCTAGCATCGCGTCGATATAATTGAAGCTCTTTCTCAGCAACTCCAGCCACCAGCCACCTGTTCCCCATCGAAAACTTTCTGCGCGATGCCTGCCTTAAGTCACCGCGATCCCCTTTTACACTTTGGTGGGGGACACAGTAGGAGCAAATCGTCTTCTTTTTCGTTGCCCAGAAAGGGTAGGGGCAGCACTGTTATCACGGGTATTCAAAACGGGGGCAAACTACTGCCTTGGTGGGCGTGGATAATGATAATCTCTCTTCTTATTTTCTTGTGTGTGCTACTCTATGGACTCAAAAAATATGGCAAGCAAGGTTAGTTTCAAGTTCCACATGGTCTACTCACCACCAAGAAGCCGCCACTTTTACGGGTTGGCTAATATGCATTTGGACAAAGAGAAAGCACGGGTGGCAAAAGGACACTCGTTTCGCCGTTGGAGCGTCATTGGGAAATCCTTCATGTACGCTACCGGAATGCGGCTATTCGTGTGGATCTTCAGGAACTTGGGTCGTGGGCGACAACAGCGTAAAGGCTACACAAAGACGGAGGATGGTCGATTGTTGGTCATAGACAACGCAGTGCCACAAACCACACCGCCTAGCTATACCAGTAACTCTTCTGGTGCCACATCTCTTATGAACGAGTATACGAGATATCCTACCTCATCGCCCTTAGTCATATCTCCAGTTGTAGGTGGCGCTGCGGACGAGTATTACCGGCCGCATCCGCCAGCTCAATCACATCAATGAGCCACATGGACGGTACTGCAGTTTAAAATGACAAATGGACATCGTTTAGGGAGGATGCCAATAGAGCCAATAGAGCCAATTGAGTACCTGAATGAAATTTGTTAAAAAGACCTTCAATTTCAGGGGTGACATTAATAATACCATTTTTCAGTGGCAGCTCTGCACCGGTTTATTAAGATGATTACTATACCGTGCAGCCCGTGGTTACACATATTTGGCTATGACCTTAGATCAACGTCACAGATAGGGGCCACCCTACAAACTACCGAGATAGCCCCCCATCTATCCCATAATCTATAAAATATGGAGACACAAGATGGCCCAGGAGTCGTTCTGATACTTAGGACGAGTTACTCGTCACAAGGAGCGATATATAGTAAGACACAATCGACTGTGACCATATGCGAGAATGACATCTAATGCGTCGGAATACAGGGGATTCATCAAAAACCCGCCACTTGTATATGGGTTCGAGATCGAGTTGGTTGCAGTCCCATTTTTCCAGCCATTCCAGGGAAATTTGACTTTTTCATAGTAACTTGTCCTGGAGTAGTCATTTTGTCCTATCTTTTGGAAATGATAGGGAACCTAAACCACGACTTGAGGTTTATGCCCACCGATAGCTTTCACACCATCTCCACGAGACTGAAACAAACAACCGCAATTTAACCGTCGTGTTCTAATTCATCTAAGCTATTGCACAGAAATTCACCGTCTCTCCTTCTTCTACTGGATACTTCTCGTTATAGAGGTGACAACATAGAAGTTTTCTTCACAGATTTCAAGAATCCGTATATCATAGTCTAGGACTAATTCCTATCGAGGACAGATAGAGAGGTTACTAGCCTTTCTAATATAGGTTAATGCTCGAGGCTTTCTAGCTATACTACATAAATCCATCGTAGGTTTAAGAGGAAATATATAGAAACAGGTACCCCGCTGATGCGTGCACCTAGGGGGGAGGATGCTATAATGCAGCAGTGCGCAACATTATAGTATCTAATTGAATGGGATTCACCTAACCAGTGGGTCCCCCTACCTTTTCGTATCACCCGCGGACTAGACGTCTGTCTATATGTTCTTCAACTCTAGGAGTTTTCTAGAGCCGTATCCCGTAGTAGTAGTCAACTACTATATTCTTCTTCGAGGGAATTTCAACACTAGAGACTACCAGGCAATTTGGGAAATAAATTCTAATATTAACCTGGTCCCGAATCCGTTTGTGGAACCTTTGAGGTTTCTTAACAAAGCGATGGATGTTTCGGCTGTGTACGCGAATAAGCAAGTTTTGACCGCACAAGATACCGCCAAGGCTATGAGAGCCTCGAGCTTGGTAGGCTACACGATGGACGGGTCATGTATGTGTACAGACCACCAGTATCCTGCAGCACAACATCGTTACGGGCATGCGCACTTCGAGCATGTATCACCGAAATAACCCATACTCGACAATGCAGGATGCCTTACCAAATCCCACATGCGACCTGTGCAAGGTTGGGAGAATTGTTAGTGACACACAAAAAGCCTTTGAGATCGCGTGGCACGACGCCTGCAGCTCAAGGAGTTCAAGCTGGTCGCCCTGTATGGCCTAACCTGGGCCCAACGTGCAAGTACTGAGCTTTTGGAAGTTAACAAAACAAGGAAGGCTACAGCCCAATCCTTCTCTGCTCCAGACAGACAGCATATTATTTTCTCAGTCGGCTGGTGTAGTTGGTCACTTCGCTGGTAGATAAGTACCGATTTGAGCCTCGCCCACTTGGGTCGGTGACGAGTCGCGGGTTCGAATCCCGCAGCTGACACACAAGGGGGTTTAGTCAACCCTTACGGCGCGCTGCCCACCTTGTTGACTTCGCCTACCTAGCGATAATAGGGAGATTGGTGCAGTTTAGGATTACGAGCATCCTAGCCAGTCAACCGTCAAGCACTACGTCGGCGGAATATAACTCGACAGCCGGTCCAGAATTCGAATCGTTAATCCGACCCCTTATCGGACCCCCTCTCGCCGCGATTCTTGCGAGCGTCTAGACCACGTTACGGTCTATCCACTTGAGCGTATGGTTGAGATGTATACGCTCGACGAGAACCCCAATTAGCAGATACTACGACTTGTCGCGACAAAAAAAATAGTCGAGCATCTTCTGCACATCAGCAGCATCCCACCCCTGAGGACGAATTTAAGTGCCACATTACCACACTTATCGGTAGTTCAGGCAGGGGTTGTAGCACAGACTTAGGGAGGGACAGGAGGTTTAGTAGTCGTTTGGCTACAAGTTTACCTGTATAACCGCCCGACGCGGCTTAAGGGCCCGCTATATCATCTATAGCCCCTTAAGGGAGTACTTGTAGAGGTACCGAGGGTTAACACCTACGGCGTATTTAATATTATTATTTTTTATTTTCTCATCCTGCATTCCTTGGTCAGTATTGTTATTATTCTTCCTGTTTCGTCCGAAATGTTACAGTTGCTTCCAGACATACAAAGCCTTTCCTCCATCCGCTCCTCACGGAAAGTCATGTCTACATCGTGCACAGAACGAGAGGGCCCAAACCGAGGCAGAAAAAACTATCCAAAACATCCTGGGACCCTTTCATGTGATTATAATTACTTTAAGAAACCCATCAGATATCTACGAAAGCCCATTCTAGCGTGGGCACCGTGGCAGCCTACCTGGGTTAATTGGCCGTGTCGCTGAGCCGTTATATGTGGCGATAGGGCCGGACGCTACGAATGATACGAACTTTAAATAGATTACTCTTTGAAATTTTGGGATGAATAGTGAATAACGATTCTGAAGCCTAGTGCGAAAATTACCATGAGATCACGATTTGGGGTGAAGTGCCAATTTCAAGCTTGGAAGCTCGGTGAAGAATGCAACTGGGTCTTAGTAACTTGTATTTATTTACGTCTATTTATTTACACTCATTCCTTTATCTTTCTTTTTCATATGCCTACAAGTAGATATATATAAAGTTGATATTCGATCGGTCCTCAGTAAATAGGTAGCTTGATCAAATAATTTCGATGTTGCGACGTCGTGGGACTAGTTCTATATTATTATTTTTTTATTATTAAATACGCCGTAGGCTCGAAGCCCCCGGTACCTCTACAAGTGCTCCCGTATGTCAAACCGTGCCCTAATGGCTGGACTAAATACATACGCTGCTACGTAGGTTCGCTCTATTAGCGACTGCGTTACGTCCACCACAATACTATGTTAGTTCTCACCCTACTAACAAAGTCCCCCTGAGAAGATCGATATTATCCGGGCCTAAGCGCTATCCGGCCAGTCCTGAGTAGCCACCTTGTGATAGTCCCGCTGACTACTGGTTTCCCCGTCGCCGTTGCCAGGTCTCTACGTGTATGCAGCGGCCATGGTGCGATAGTGGCCCGTAGGCGCTCTCTCGATTCTTCCAGCAGGCCGCAAAAGAGGATTACGTGCTCTGCCGTCTCGGGGGTCTCTCCACAGCGGCATAACGGCGAGTACACACCGAAGGCTCCTATCTTAAATAAGAAAGCTGATAGTCCTATTTTTCCGGTCCTGATCTGGCATAGGGTAGACGCCTCCGGTCGGTTTAGGTCTGAGTACTTGCCCTGTTTCGGCATTCGCATCGAGGGGCCCTCCTGCTCCTCGGTGATATTTCTATATTAGTCTCGCAACTTCTCAATAAGTGTATTTCCTTTGAATTCGTGGTTATAGGGCTTTTTTGGTGGAAGAGATTGCTGAATCGCTAGTTTAATTCTATGTAAGGGTGTTAAGAGATGCCACACAATAAGCTAGAAATTGCATATCGCGGCTGGTCGTGATCTTGTGAAAAGGGTAAATTTCTAGCTGCAGCTGCACTGTCGCCAGTTAGTATATGTGAATTGTGATGCACTGCTTTGACCTGCCCTCCAATCTTGAGTTTGAAATCGAAGTAGTATCGCTTCTCCCAAATTATAATCTAATTGTGCTTGTAATGTTAGCAGTCAACAAAATACCATTATCAGATTCCTACCATGTGGCTGGTCGCATCGTAGAGTATATGAATATTTGGTTCGGAGCACAGTTGGGCCTAGAACCTGAAGATTGGAAACCCTTTTGCGTGACCTTACAACTGTGATAAAGCTAAGTTCCGCGTGCTCAACTCTAGTTCTTGTGACGCCGAGAATAAGAGCCACCATGATGGGAACCCCACTATTTACTATGCTATTGCAAAACTATTCCTAAGCTGGTATGAATACTCATGATAAATATACAGAGTGGTGAAATGGTGTCAGCGTCATTCGCTGAAAAGCTACAAAACATTTTATATAGCCAGTTTGCGTAGAGACCGTCCTGCAATTAACGCCGTCCAGGTGATGATACTGGTAGACTTCAGATCCACAGGCCCTCACAGAGATAATAAGCTGGTCGCTCATCTTCTTTGAAGTGAGACCAGCCCGAGCGACCAGGACCCAATAATTTCCACCTAGGGAATCAAGCCGTCATGAGACGATGGCTAGGTTAAACCTCTACTCTTCCATCTCTTCGACAAGTGGGGGGATGCGGACGATGGTATTGACCCCCACAATAACTTCATCACGAGTATCGTCAGCGCCTTCATCGTCTTCCTCTTCTTCCAGCTCCTCGTCCTCTTCTTGTTGCTCGCTGTCATGCTCTTCATCATGCTCATGGACTTCCTCATCGCCGTCATCTTCCATGTCGTCCTCACCTCCTATTTCCTCGGCTTCCTCGCCATCATGGTCTTCGTCTTCATCGTCTGCTTCTTCCTCTTCTTGGTGCTCCTCTTCTCCACTGTCGGATACAGCGTGTCTCGGCAGCAAGTTGGGAAACATCAGCTGCGCCTGTTCATCCTCATCTAGTAGATCTTCGTCAGGCACATCTGATAGATCACTTTCGTCATCTGCATCAAAACGATCGTCTCTATCCTCTGCCTCGTCTCGGACACTGCTAGCCGCGGAACTCCCGCCATCGTGCGCATCGCCATTCTTCATCTCAACATCATCCTCGTCCACACCGCCAGCTTTGCCATCAACCGTTGGCGTTTGGCTACCGCTGTTCCTGGTTTTACCACTCGAAACACTAGCACGAACGGATTTCTCTCTGGCAGATTTCGCTGGTCCCTCCAGTGCGCGCGTTACAGCTTGCTCCGCTTTGCGAAGAATGTCGGGTCTTCGAACAATGGCACGGCGACTCCGGCTTGTCACACCCTCGGTTTCCTTGGCTGGAGCAACGCCAGGGCCCTCTGTTCCCGAGTTCTGCTCGCTCTGCGGGTTGAGGATATTGCCGAAAGGATTCGGCTTGCTGTCACCCGTACCATCAATTTGAATAGCCGCCTGTCGCTCGCGTTTGCGGTCCTGGATTATGGACTGTGGCGAGGGACCGGGCAGGGAATTGCCGACCTCGAGATATAAAGCTGTGTACGCGTCATTGATTAGATCGTCGATAGGGCTCGCCTTCATAAGGCCAGAGTTCAGTTTCTTGAGTTCGATAGCTTCCTTCAGCGCACTGAAGGCGGGGTGCTTCTCGGACCCGTCTTCTCCGGAAATAGACCATTCATTGATGCGGCTAGCAATAATCTCGAACTCATCAGGCGACATATTCTTATACACGTCGTCAAGAACTGGTTCAATGTCGAAGCCTTGGCGAATGAGGCGCAGATATGCCAGGACGCAGGTTTGCCAGAGGTCGTTAAAGTGGTAGAAATCGGCGCCTTTCTTGCGTAATCGTCGCAACAACGGTTCGAAGTTGGTACGATCCTTCAGCCTCACCAGCAATTTGACCATGAAGCGCACATACTGCTCTGTGTAAACGTGGTGCCGACCGGGGCGTTCCGCGTCGCACTTCCAGATATTCATTACCATTGTCTTGGTGAACATGGTCTTCTGGAGGACGCCACTGGCAGCCATGGCTTGGAGCTGACTTGGGTCTTCCGATTCGTCGAACAAGATACGAGCGTGGCGGATGGCTATACGGTGCTGCCAGTTGGACTTGTCTTTTTCGCGCAAGTGCGTTAAAGCCTGGATGACATATGGCTCCCAATCCTCGGGTTCCGTCATTTCCACGTGCTGGCCGTCCTTGATTGCATATGGTTGGCGCTGCAGGGTGTCGGCTGCTTCTTGCAGTCCAAGGTCTGAGCGGAGGACCAACTTATGAATAATGGACACAATCTTATAGTGCGGCTCTAGAATTGGATCCTGTCCGTGACGGGGTTTCGGAAGCGCAACAACTGCCCCAATCGATATCTCCAACGCATCAATGACGTCTTTTAATGTCGGTTGGCTTTTTCTGTCACTCTCATCAAGGGCGTCTGGTGACTTTTGGTACATCTTCCAGACGCATTTGGCAAGCATGTAAGAATTTCTTAAACACGTTAGCGGAGGAATTCAAACGAGGGGCAATACTGAGGCTTACTTCCACTCTTTAGGCTTGATCTTCATGGCCCTCCGGAACAAATTTGCAGCATATTTCCAAACTTTATAGTCTTGCATCTGCTTGTGGACGATCTTTTTGAAAGTGCCGGCGCCCATATTATTCTGGATGAAGAATCTCTCTTGGTCGCTGTGTTGAAATGGCTCCATCGCGAACGGCTCCCGGCTCGAAGCATACATGCGCATGCCGAACTTGTGGTACAGCTCGTGGATCGCCTCCATTGTCTCATCGTCAGCTTGCGGCAAGGCCTTCCATGAGTGCGATAGAGCCAGAGCATAACAGTGAATCGCGCTGCGTTGGAACTTCACCAGCTCTGCCCTCTCCTTGTTCATCTTATCCGCCGTCCACAAGACGGATTCATCAAGCTCGTAGTCGAAGCACTCTGCCAATCTGAACCACGCATCCCATCGATCAGGTGTAAACTGGAGTTGCTGGCGAAGGAAAGTGGCACCCATGCGGAGATCATCTAGGGCACCAGGGGTCTGTCTCCGGTTGAGGTCTACTCCCTTGAACTTGCAAAAGGCAATCATGCCAAGACGGAAGAACCATCCATGCTTGGCTAATGAGCTGTCTGGTGTGTTGACAGCGACAGCATCGATCGTGACCTTGCCCCTCAGAGCTTGGTAAAGGCGTAGAGGATGGATCGGCTTCTTCAGATACTCAGTAAAATGCCTGAGATTGTGAATGGTCTGTTGGTTGCTTTTTGTCTGACCAATGGCCTGTTGCATGTGTTCGATGGTCGTCTTCAAGTCCGATTTCAACAAATCTTTCATTGGCATCCGGTTGGCGAGAACGGAGATCTTGTCCACCAGAGCCACCGTGTTCCGTCGCTCGAGCTTTTCTGATGGGCAGCCATGATCCTGCACTTCCCAAATGCCGACGCCCAGTTTCAGTCCGTAAAGATCGTAAAGAACCTGACCAAGATAATCTTCCCAGTTATCAACAAGGTTCTGCTTCAAAAGTTCCTCGCGCATCATCTCAAGGAATATCTTGTCGGAGGCTTTGCAGCACTTCCTCAAACCCAGAACCTGATGTGCAGCTGCGAGGTAGTCTGCTAGGTCCGTTTCCGGGTTGCTGAACATGGACTTGTTCTGAGAGATGCCTGTTTTGAGAAATTTGTAGAGCAACGACCAGTTTCTTACTTGCATCTCGCGAAGCTTGTTGAGGAACGACGAGAATGTTGAATTGCCAGTGGGCGCAGACGTCATCCCAACACGAACTTCATCCTCGAACATGAACGCTGTGTGCAGTATGGAACTGAGCTTCATCAACGCCGCGATGCTAGATTTAAGATGGTCCTCATCAAAAATATCAAACGCACTTGAGTCGTCCCGGGCAAGAGATAACGATTGGATGAGAATGTCGTCGAGAAACTTCAGCATCTTCATAGAAAGGGCACGCCTTTCTTCAATCGGAAGGCTGATGTACGGATCTCGCTCAAAATCGTCAACGATCATCTCAATGCTTCTCAGGTTGCAGGAGAATTTTTTGGTTGTGTATTTGATAGCATAGTAAGCATCACCGAGGCGCGTCCAGAGGAAAAGGCGAAGTTCCGTACTCGCACCCAACAGAAACTTCCACAAATCGCGGAGACCCTGGCTTGCATTCACCATGATGGGTTGCGCGTCTTGGACCGGTGCTTTTGGGCATTCCGAAGAAGTCGGTTCCAACTGCCCATCCGTTATTGGCGAGTCCATGGGTGGTGACTGAGAACCTGCTGCTGTACTGTAAACTGAATTGGGGTTCAAAACTGGTTCCAAACTGTCAATGACCGAGACCGGATCGTTCAAGTTATCCTGAAATAGACCAAGGAAAAAGTCCATCGTTGTGAGCTTAGAGATCTCACGATCGGCAGCTTGGGTTGATATTTCGGGCAGGATAGCATTGTTGGGGAGCCGAAGAATAATGCCTTCGTAATCAGTCGAGAGCGAGTCCCGCAAACTTTGCCAGCACTGAAGAACATGATCCCTCGAAGCACCTTCTGTGATAGTAACATGGAAGACTGCTGCCCAGAGAAAGCGCACTGTTAGTGCCTTATCGGAAGCCACGGGTATTTCTCGACTCATTCTTGCTGCAAATGAGAACCACCTGCCCAGGCGTCCTTTGGTTTCAACCCGGATGCTGAAGTCCACGGCACTATTGGGGTTTGTAATCCGTTCGTACACATCTAAGTGTAGTTCAAAGAGCACCTGCACCATTCGAGCAACATCTTGGAGTGTCCGATCTGGATCTGGAGCACATTGCCAGCGCTGCAGCTCGTGCTGCATGCGGGTGAATATGTCTTCGTCCAAATGGCTGATGACTTGCACCACCGAAATTTTCATGGTATCAGACCACCTATAGTCCAGATACGACAAGGAAACCTCCCTGACCCACTCGAAAGCGACATCTGTGATCCCTATCCAGCCGGCATTGACCTTATGAGCAAAGCCCCTCAGGCCCTTGGACTCGTCAAATATAGGGGTATCAGATTTGTGTTGTGATGCCGGCTGAGAATGCTCGAGGAACGACGCAAAGCTGAATGACGACGCTTCCTTCTTGCTCAGCAGGATCCTCGCGGTGTCTTCTTCAAATGATACAAGGGAGTCACGCAAGTCTGTCATGGCCGCTCCAGTAATCCTAGCAGTTCGATTGTCGAAGGCAGAGAGCTCGACCAGTTCGCCAAGGCGATCCATGGCGGCACGATCAGTGACACCGAGGTTTTCGGCCATGTTACGCGCCGTCTGAAACAGATTCTTGTCAGCTGCTTGGTATGGTTCTAGTTGGGCAGCAAACAGGGTCTGCGTATCCACGGATTCCTCAGCAGCTGTCTCTCTACGTCGGGTTCTCTTGCTACGTTTTTCTACCACTTCCTCGATGTCTCCATCGTTGAGACCAGCAGTCGACTGGGACCTTTTGCGTGAAAGAGACCCACTGCGTTCGGTTTTGGAATTTTCGGGAATCGTTGCGGCCTCGGTTTTGGTTTCCTCGGGAAACTCCATGCGAACCCCCGGTGAGATAGTCCGGCTGGGATCTTCCTCGCCCCCAGGTGCTTCAGCGTCTTCCAGCGCATTTGGTTTCAATCGCTCGACTAGAGTCTGCTGTATAGGCTCCGGGGTTTCAGAAATATCGGGGAGTTCGATCGAGACAGCGCAGGCAGCAAGGCCATTGGCTACGACCGAATGCACAATGGCCATACCCAGGTCAGCCCAAGAGGTCTCTGTTGGTTTCAATACGGGTCGCACATCTTGCTGATCGCCAGATACGGGCGTAGGTTGCGGCACGGCAAGTTCCTTTGTCGGGTTCGGCAGGAATGGGATCGGGTCGATATATTTCTTTAGTTGGGTGGGCATCGAGCGCTGGGTATATGGGGCCATGATTGGATGTGTCAAAGCGACATCGTCCATCAATGTCTCGAGATGATCCTTCAATTGTTCTCCCGCGAACCCTTCCGCCAAAGACGGGGGCTCGACCTCTTCCACGGCTGGATCGTCATCCAATTCGATGGCGGCCTCTAGACAGTATCTGCTCGTTCGGGCGCTCTGGAGGAAAGCAGCAACACGAGCGGCCCTTCTCCACAGCTCCGCATCCGAGGGGTCATGATCAAGGGCGGCGCTGAAATCGTACAGTGCCTTGTATGCCTTCTCCCGAGTCTCTTTCTGCTCAAAAACGGAGCCTGCATCGGGACCTGCAATCTTCGCCTGGTGTCTGATGCCGTCGAGCTCAAACTGGCCGTGGTTCTTGTATGAAAGGTAAAGTGCCTGGGGAAGACTGCTTCCGCTGCCATCAATATCAGCCTGAGAAGCATCAAGGGACTGCGCGAACGATAGATCTAGCGGAAGGTGTCGTGGGTCCGTCTGTAGCTCGGCTCGTTCGAATTCGGTAGCGCTGTCAGGGTATCCAAAGATGTCGGACTCGAACAGGGAGCTGTATGCCTCGGAAGCCTCTGCATAGTGACGTGGTCCTAAGGAGTGAAGTTTAAGCGCCGTCTGAAATCGCTTCAGAGCCTCATCGATGTGGATCTCTCGGGTGTTGTCGACCTCGTCGTCGATGTTTTCCTCGAGCTCAACGTTGATCGCAGCGAACACCGGCTGTCGAATAATCAGTATGAATGTATGTGAGCCGCGCGCATGGTTTGCCTCACCATTTTAAATTTTTGCTAGAGTCCGGCGACACGAAGTGTGTTGCTCGAATTGCGCCTCGTTCGTCTGGTCGCAAGAACGGGGTTATCGCATGGCGAAATGCTTTAACATGAAGGTGACGAGTGAAGTCACCCAAGCAGCTGATCTTGAGCTTCACCAAATCTCAGAACCATGAGTCTAATTTTTGTCGTAATGATTGCGCTGCGAGATACGACGTCACGGTTGAATCATTTGCATTCGAATTATTCGTCGCGTTGGGGATGGGAAGACGCGAGGGCGATCTCAAATTCCCCATTGAGCAATACAAATGTGATAGCTACGCGAGGCTGGCCTTCTTCAGGTACGACTTTATCTTAGCTGCTCCAGGTACCCGCTGAAGCAATCAGATCGCCGCTATAGTGGAGTATTCGCCTGCAAGGCTACAATATGCAATTTCCATGGTACAAGTCGGGGCTGCCCAGGTGGAGCTACCGTCTCGTCAATTGCAAGCGTGGCCTGTGCTCTCCGTCCAAATCATGGCGGGCTGGCTGTCCATTCGGAAAGACCAATCTCAGAAGCCAACTTTGGGACACCACCCCTAGCTATATCCCAGTTGTCCTGTCCCGAAAGCCATTGAATGCTTTTTTGCACAGCCAGGTCTCCCGGCTGATGCACGTCGTCCGAATCCAATTCTGGGATTCGGTTGCTGGTTCTCCCTGTCCGTTCTTGTTTGCGAAATAACTACACCAACACATTGCGGCGCATACCCTCTAGGCATTGATCATACCGTATCCACAGCTTCATCATGCCTGCGCCAGCAGTGCCAGAGTCAGTTACTGCTGCTGCCACGCCATCCTGCGATTGAAAGGGACTGACCAGAAAACTAGGATATCTGAGGATGTCCTCCATGAGTCCATTGACGCCCGTACTGAGTCTTTAATCGCCTTGCGCGAGCTTGGCCCACCCGACCTCGTCCACCTTCTCAAGCAGAACCTCAGAAATGCCGTCAGACAGAACGGCGTCTACCACCATGTCACAGGTGTTGACGCATCATCGTCGGCCAGCTTGGCCGCATATATAAACACCCTCACCTACAACAAAGAACATGGACAGGCAGCCACGCACAAGATCGTCGAAGGCCTTTACTGTTGCTACAATGCCTTCTCCCGACTGGATATGCGCGTTCATGTCACCATCCCCGGTACCGTGGAGAGTTACTGCGTTGACGAGCGAGGCGAGAAGCGCAAGGCTACCGACGAGTTGTGGTTGGAGACATACCTCTGCAGTGTGCTGCGGGCGTACTCTTACGCGGATGATGGGAGCGGAGACACCATCAGGAAGATAATGGGCGTTAGGCGCTTCAACCCTGTTACCAATACTGAAACTGAACATCGATTTCTCAGTTCTGCCGAACACCTGTTCTTCAGAGGCTGGCAATTGGGATCTGACTCGGTTGTCCAGGTACCGAATAATGTTTCCAATCACTTGACTACGGGCCTTCTTAAGTACTTCCACACTACGGGACGGTTCGCATCCGCCATCAACCTATTTGAGAAGTTACGATCGCAAAATGTCGAGGTTTCTTCGCTTCTTGCCAAGGTTTTGTTCCTGGGAAATGAGGAGGTTCAGGGCGTTAGGGTGCTCTACCAAGCCTTGAAGGAAACGCCCATGGATTATGTCATGCTCGATACCCAGGCCGAGTTCCTCTTGAAAAAGGCCCAGGCAAGTTCGACCGCGCAACAAAAGGAGGAAAGACTGAAGATGGCTTTGGGTTGCGCAGACCGCAGCACCATTGCTGCTCCTAGCGAGTTCGGTACATGGGCAAGACTTGCTCAGATCTATGTCACCATGGAGGACTGGGAAAATGCGCTGACTATTTTGAACTCGTGCCCGATGTTCACCTACCAAGACAAGGACGCACCGATCATGCCTGAGCCCAAGGACGTGTACCTCCCTACGCTACCGGAGACCCGCTTGGATGAGATCGACAGCGAACCTGAGTCGAGGTTTTCTGAGCAGGTAGACCCCAGTCTACTCAACCTTAGGGCGGCTGGGTATCGGGGTACTTTCAAACAGGCATACGCCATTCTTACGGAGATGACGGCCAAGATTGGTTGGGACCAGCTGCTCAAGATTCGAAGCAATGTATTCGTGATGGAGGACGAATACCGAACCGAAAAACAGGACAGTGCGACTCTGGCACCTCCGGCGAAGCGCAACCCTAGTATAGATGGGCTTCGTGGCACACCTGAACCCCCAACAAATGGAGATCAATCAGACATCGAAGAGGATGGCGACGAAAACGCGTCAGAGAAAGACCACGCCGACTCGACAGCACCAACATTGACAAATGGCAACAACGGGGTAAGCGGGGTAGAGAAGCCGGAGCACGCCATCGATCCAGGCGAGGTTAAGGCCGATGCCATCAAGTCGGATCCGGAAAACGTAAGAAGACAAAGTGGTCCTCTCTCGTCGCACCCCGTAGCTAATGAGCCTACCCAGAGTTCAACAACAGACGAACACCTCTCGCGTCTGAACAACAAGCGCCTGTGCGAACGTTGGCTCGATAGTCTCTTCATGGTTCTCTACGAGGACCTGCGCGTCTACACGATCTGGCGGACGCAGATGGCCCAGTACCGAGCCCAATCGATGCAGTATAAGAAATCCGCGGAAGAGTGGGAGATCCTCGGCTCGCTCGCTGAACGCCTCCAACACCTTGACGAGGCCGTCGAGGCCTATCGTGCTTGTCTCGCCTTGCGCTTTTCACCAAAGGCCTTATCTGGCGTCCTGCGTGTATTCGAGAAGCAGAAGAACACCAGGGAGACGGTCGCCAGCGTTATTCGTTTGGTCACATGGCAATACAGATGGTACTCGGAGTTCTCTCCCGAGCTTCTGTACACCATCCGTACCCTGATTGAGGATGAGGGTGCTGTCAAGGTCAGGAGCATTATCCAGGCGACGAGCTTGCCCCAGAACGTGCTGGACCTGACGCACCACTATGCTGCACTGTGTCACACATTCAGAAGCAGTGGCACAGATGGCTAAGTAGTGCAAGCCTGGCAGGCTGGCAGGCAGACGTGGCGTCGGGAGTTGAGCAAGCGACATACGAAAAAAGGGGTCGAGGCGGTGATCCGTCATGATATCCTGTACTTATTACTTGCGGCATGAAGCATTTGGGGATCATAGAGACAAATTCTTTTCTTAGCTGTACTCCCCTGCTTTGACTAATGATACCGCACCAGTGGTCACTTTGCTTGAAGCATTCATGAAGGGGAGTGACGGTCACCATGCGCGACCATCTAGCTAGGAATAACTTCATCCGCTACTCAGGCAAGGGATGGTGCAATAGAAATTATTATGGTTTCCCAGTTTGAGATCGCTGGCTGGACGCGCTGGATTGACAGTGGTATCTGACACGCAGGTCAGATCTACAACCACGTCTGACTTGCATAAGGTGGGGTTGAATTCTGCGCCAACTTGGACTACCACAGCCGCCTTGTGGCACACTGCATGTACGATCAATTCGTGTTCAATACACTGTGTGTGTCAAGCCGATTGCATACGATATGGTGTTTTTGTATTGAGGTGATGGCGTCAGCCGTAAGATTGCCTCCCACATTGGTCATCAGTTCCCCGGGAAAGTATAGACGAACGACCGGCCCCTCGCAATCAGATTTCACGCCGTGCATTTCCAGTGTGGGAGTTCCCCATCTCAGTTTGAGAAACCAGAAGGCCATTCTGCGTCGTATAACGGCTCGTTTCAATCATGGAGAAGCTGGACCATATCCTTCAATCGCACGTCGTCGCGCCGGACGAAACGGAAGTGAAGAACAAGCTTCTAGCAGCCGGTCTGATATTGGTAGACAGGAATGGTCAGTTGCGTCACACGGCTTTTGTGATCAAAGTCCACTAATGCAAATCAGGCATTCTCTACTCCAATGCTGAGGGGAGGCTGGGCTTCGACGCAAACTCGCCAGCCTACACAACTGATTCCATGAGCTGGATCGCCTCGATGACGAAGCTCATCACTGCTACGTGTGTGCTACAGCTTGTCGAACGGGGACTGGTAGGTATAGACGAGGATGTGCGTCCCAAGGTGCCACAGCTAGCAGCGATGCAAATCTTGAGGGGGTTCGACGACCATGACCAGCCGATACTGGAAGACAACACGAAGCCTATCACTGTGCGGTATGTACATTTCCTTCTCGTCTACAAGCTTGACACTCATACAAGCCGCAGCCATCTTCTTTCCCACACGCTCGGCCTTGGCTACGACTTGGCCGACCCCGACTTAAACAAATGGTCCGCCTCCGTCGGCCGAACAGACAACAACCTCCACTGGACTCTAGCTGGCTTCATGACGCCTCTCAAGTTCGCGCCGGGCGAGGGTTGGTACTACGGTGCCGCCTACGACTGGGCCGGTCACCTCCTCACTATCATCACGGGGCAGCCGCTCTCGGTCTACATGCAGAAGCACATATTTGACGCTCTGGGCATGGATTCCACGACCTTTTGGCCGAAGCAGATCCTTGGCTCGGGAGACAGGATGCTCCAGTTTGCGTTTAGGGATGATAGTCAGGATGGCGACCCGAAGGTGCTTGAGCCCGGCCCCACACCGTTGCCAGAGGAGCACGAGATGGAGTCTGGCGGTGCGGGATTATTCTCTACACCGGGCGATTATGCTAAGTTTCTTCATGCCACACTGACGCATAAACTCCTTAGCAAAGAGACGACGAATTTGTTGTTCGAGCCGCAGCTTAATGAGACGCAGCGGGGTATGCTGGCCGCCATTGCTGATTGGGCACATGAAGCGTTCACACCTGAGTTTCCCCTTGGGGTGAAGCTCGATCACGGATTGGGCGGGGTGATTAATGTTGAGGATGTGGAAGGGAAGAGGCGAAGGGGCAGTATGATGTGGAGTGGCATGTCGAATGGGCGGTGGTGGATTGATCGGGAGACAGGGGTGGCTGCTGCCATTTTTACTTGTGTTTTACCACATGGAAATAAGGTCTTGACGGAGATATGGGATGAAGTTGAGAGGTTTGTCTATGGGGAGTTGATGAGAAAGTGAGAAAGGGCTAGGGGGTGAACACACCTGTGTGGGCTGGGTTGAAGTTGCAGGGGTAAATAAGATACGGGGATGAGTGGTTGCCCCAATTTTTGGTGCGCAGTCACCAAAGCGTTCTAGCATTCTCATCATTGCCATCATTGTTCCAGAGAAGAAGTGGTTCGTACTCCTTGAACTCCCAATTGAGCACAAAACCGTTATCAGATTTCGAGACCAGCCCTGCACTGGTTGGCCAAAGCTTGAAAGAACCCTTGTAAGGGTGGTTCGATGTCGTCATGTTCAAGAACTAGTACCCGACCTGCATTATCTGATGGTCGCATCATACAAGGAGATGCATCTCATATCGGATGTTGTTCTAAACCTCCGACCCGATTCTCGCAGCTTCATAGACACCTGCGATGAGCGGGAGCTCCAATGCCGATGTTCTGCTAGTAAGCAATTCACCACCCGTTTCCCTCCCGTAACTCGATCTCAATCAACCAGCTACGGTGAACATGTCGGCTTAGAATCTCGGCACAGTTTCTCTTCATGTCAACCTACCTAGCAAATGCCCAACTAACACCCATCCCAGGCCGGCGCAGCAGCAGCATTCACAGTAGACCTCCTCGTCTACCCCCTCGACACACTCAAAACTCGGCAGCAAAGCCGAGACTTCCTCAAGACCTTCGCCAACCCAGCCTCCAAAACCAAGGTCCCCTCACGTGAGCTCTTCCGCGGCCTGTACCAGGGCATCGGCATCGTCGTTGTCGCCACCCTCCCGGCGGCAGGTACCTTCTTCACCACCTACGAAGCGGCCAAGGGCTTCTTTGGCCGCCATGGCGCCGCCGTAGGCCTGCCGCAGCCCATCGTGCACTCGGCCGCCTCCGCCGTCGCCGAGTGCGCTAGCTGCTTCGTGCTCACCCCTGCAGAGGTCATCAAGCAGAATGCGCAGATGTTTACGCGGAAGGTGGGGGGTGATCAGAGCTCGACGTCGATGAGGGCGCTGCGCCAACTGGGCGGACCTGGGGCAGGGAGGAAACTGCTTTCGGGGTACACAGCTATGGTTGCGCGCAATCTGCCGTTTACGGCGATTCAGTTCCCTATCTTTGAGTATACGCGGAAGCGGGTATGGGGCCGGAGGGGTAAGGCCGGTATTGGTTACGGCACGGGCGAGAACCAAAACTTGCTCGAGACGGGAATCATCACGGGGACGAGCGCTGGGATGGCGGGGAGTTTTGCGGCCGTCGTTACTACGCCTATGGACGTCGTTAAGACAAGGATGATGCTTATGGCTGGCGATGAGCAGGGTTTCCGGCAGGGCGCACATGATCGGACGGCAGCGGGCAATAAGCATTGGAGTCGTGGACGCAGTGGGTTGGACGTGACGAAGCAAGTCATCAAGGAGAGGGGCGTGCCGGGCTTGTTTCGGGGATCCTTGTTAAGAGCTGTGTGGACTGCAATCGGAAGTGGACTGTACTTGGGCATGTATGAAGTGAGCAAGGTATGGCTCGCTAGGGGTAAAAGCGTTGAGAGGGGGGGTTTCCCGTGATGGTGACATTCCATTTGGTTTACAAAGCTCTTGATATAGAACTAGACATAAGGGAGTACAACTCTGATCTTACGAGGCAAATAGCGTATGCTGTGGCGAATGCAGGGGCGTGTCGTGTATTTAATTTCCGAGAGGGAAAAGTCTGTGAAGCCATTCGTCAGAGTAACGGGTCATGAATTGCAGAATCATGGCTATCAGCCTATCAAAAGACTTCATCGTTGCCGAGCTCGAAAGCTTGTAATGCTTAGCTATTCCTCATCACTACATGGTCGGTTAGACTTAATATATACCAAACGGTTTAAACCAGATACCACAACCCAAAGTGGTGCCCTTAGGTCGCTTCCAGTACCGATTGAAGACACTAGCGCGCTGTTACTTAGTCAGACTCTACCTGAACTAAAAATGATCTTCTCCACTAATTTCTAGTACAGCATCTTAATGGAATACCCCAACTCGGAGTTCCAAATATAGGACATCTCAAAGCGTTCCCGGCTTATTAAACTTGAATTGTAAACCCGCAGGAAGCATTATGCATTCGACACTTCGAATCTTTCCAAGCCCTATGCTAACATTATTTCCTATCTCATCCGAAGTTCATACGCCCGGGCTTACTCGTATCTTTTCCTGTCATTCACTAATAAAGCACTTTAACGTCACCAAACCCTCGTAGATTCCCTTGACATAGGAATATTCACGTCCAGGAGTATGACAGCATCCAAACCCCAATGGCTATCTACATCTCCAGGCATCTTCACACATCTTGACTTATAATTCCTTATCCGACCGGCAAGCATAGCAAGCCCACGATGAAGTTACAACTCAAGAGAACAAAGAGAGAGAGAGAGAGAGAGAGACAGAAAGTAGACTACTTGATGGAGAACTCCATGTCGTTTTCCGCAGTCACACTAAAATACGGCCAAGTAGTTTGGTCAGTACGCTTAGCCACCAGTAAGACCTCGTACGGCATTGGGCATCAGAAGTGTAAATCTTGGAAATACAGGCCTGGTTCCGGTACCTTGGTTTGCTACACCTAGCTTCTAACCCTTTCCTTTACACAGTAGTGTAGTGTAAGCCTCTATTGTAGTTTCTCTTCCAGTCTCAAGTGATTATCTCAATATTATTTCCTGTAGGGGCGTTATATCTTCAGCATGGAGATTTGATCTCAAACTGCTTGGTTTCAATACCCCTACCGGCGAAGGCATCCGAATTTAGTCAATCGGGTATCAACTGCTGGTGCCAATCTAGTTGTTGCGGCTAGCGAAGACGAAAGAGTTTTTGGTTAGGATATCCGAGAGCTTAGTCTCATGCACCATAGCTTCATCGAATTACAGCTTTCGGCCTGCCCAGCTAACGTAAGTGATATTTGCCACCCTCTTACAGTAGTGCGGTAGACTATAACTAGGCCAAACACATGAATGCATGGGGTCCACCAGTCCCGTCTAATGAAATCGCATGATCGAGATCAGTGGGCGCTATGGCGCTATTTCCGGGTTATGCTGCCTCAGCTACCAACTCTAGAGTTCCCCGAATATCTTACAATGTTACTGGGATGATGCCTAGTTCTCCCCGTCTAACCCTTGGATGGTACGAGGGCGGGGGCCCAAGCCAGCGGCGATAGGCGCGGATATGCGCCTAGCTCGAAAACATGTTGCGTCATGGGACGATTATGCCTCGTTTCCGTTTTGTCAAGCTCGGGACTAGTGTCCCGGGGAAAGGGACATGCACTCACTTGGCTCGGCTGGGCCGCCTCCCCCGTTTTTGGCACAAGCTCCTTTGATATGAAGCCGGTGATTCGGTCCCGTCGGTGGGTGGAGCGGTCGATACCATGTCTTAAACTGGGGACTGTTGGCTTGCTGCGGTATCGTGGGGCCGCCGTTGTCTAAATTCCGACCTGATTTCATATACTTGTGGCGTTCATATCTGCTCTCAAATGATTTCTGCCAATCAGCGATGGTTACGAGAAGGGTGTTACTGGATTCGGGTGATAGGCCGTAACCCTAGAACGAAATGGCTACAGTTCGAGGTCGAAAGTGGAGATCGCACCTTGGGTGGCACTTGGGTGGAACGAGGTTTCGCAGGGGCACATCTGTGGAACTGGGGTTCGAACTGGGGGTGGTGTTCCCACATTCCTTGTTGAGCGATGTGTCAGGTGTTACATGGACTGATAGGTCTAGGAATACATGGGGAAGTTGGGGAAAGTTGGAGAAGCTGTCGCCAACATAAAATCATGTAAAATCATGTTGTCCACGCTGGTGCAAAAGAGGAGGGCGGTTCATAAGGTTTTGGGCCTTGGCGGAAGCTTGATGTTTTGATCGATACGTTGCAGAAATCCCCTTGTAACCCCAGACATTGGATCACATCACGCACAATGGTCGTCCAGAATGCCGACGAGAAGATGCCGCAGGGGCTGCTCACCGAACACCATTACCCCGTCGTCGCTGAAGGATCGGGTGTAACTGCCAGCAAGGAAGGTGCACGTGCGAAGAAAGTTCATAATGTGAGTTGTCTTCCGGGCCTCATGGTTTGTTCAACAGGACTAACCGATTTTGACTCTAGGCGGAACTGTTCGCTGCTGTTCAGGAGACGCGCATCAAGAAATGGAGTAAAACGTCGATCCAGCTCTACTGTGAATGACCATCTTAAAATCTTGATCTCAAGATAAAAAAGCATACCAATGACGGGATATAGTCTCCATCTTCATCGCCTTTTGCTGCGCCTGTGCCAACGGGTACGATGGTGTGTAATGGAACACTTCCTGGGTTGATTATCTACGCACTACTAACAAGGCATTCACAGGGTCGCTAATGACGGCGATAATCGCTATGCCTCACTTCCAGAATACTTTCCACACTGGTACAACCGGCACCCAAGTCTCTCTCATCTTCTCGCTCTACACCGTGTGAGTCAACTGCCTTCATGGCGATTTCATTGCTCAGAGCTGATCTTCTCATCACACAGGGGCTCCATGGTTGGCGCACCGTTCGCCGCCATTCTCTCCGACAGACTGGGTAGGAAAAAGGGTATGTTCATCGGCGGATTAGTTATCATCGTCGGCATGATCCTGGTGTCGACTGCGTCAACGGTCCCCCAATTCGTCGTCGGCCGTTTTGTCCTCGGTTGCGGAATATCCGTCATGACCGTCGCCGCCCCGGCCTACTCCGTTGAGATTGCTCCTCCCCATTGGCGTGGACGATGCACTGGTTTCTATAATTGCGGCTGGTTCGGTGGCTCCATTCCGGCAGCGGCTATTACTTACGGAACTAACTTTATTGACAACAACTACTCGTGGAGAATCCCCCTTATCGGACAAGCATTCACTTGTATCATAGTCATGATCTCCGTGTTCTTTATCCCGGAGTCTCCCCGTTTTCTCATCGCCAACGGTCGGGAACAGGAGGCCGTAGACTTCCTCGTCAAGTACCACGGCAATGGAGATCCGGCGTCCCGACTGGTGCTGCTCGAAATTGAGGAAATGAGGGATAATATTCAACAAGACGGTATTGACAAGACCAACTTTGACTGTAAGTGCAGTATCATATTCACACCACGAGCTAGTCGCTAACTAATTCCAGACCGACCCCTTTTCCTCACCCACAACGGCCGGTGGAGAATGGGCCAAGTTCTCATGATTTCCATCTTTGGCCAGTTCTCCGGCAACGGGCTCGGCTACTTCAACACTGTCATCTTCAATAACCTGGGCGTAACTAGTGTCAGCCAGCAGCTGGCCTACAATCTACTCAACTCGGTTATTTCTGCCATTGGCGCTCTAATCGCCGTTGCTCTCACCGACAGAATGCTGCGACGAATGGTGCTTGTTTGGGGAACGTTGGGTGAGCATCTCTCCCCATGGTTATCGAACTTGTCATGGCATTTGCTGACGTGTTGTTCTTACTCCTGAATAGCCTGCATCGCCGCACTCGCGACCAACTCGGGTCTCTCTGCCGTCATTAGAAATCAGGGCGACAATATCGATCTTTCGTACGGAAAAGGGGCTTTGGCTTCGTATTTCCTCTTCAACGTCATCTTCTCCTTTACCTACACGCCGCTGCAGGGTGTCATTCCGACCGAAGCGCTCGAGACGACTATGCGTGCCAAAGGTCTGGCCGCGTCGGGCATCATTGTCAGCGCTATGGGATTCATCAATCAATTCGCGGGTCCCATTGCACTCCAGAACATCCAGAACCAGTACATCTACGTGTTCGTCGGATGGGACTGTGTCGAGGCTCTCATGTGGTATCTATTTGGGTATGTTCGCTTCGTGCCTAGTGACTTAGACCGCGTATTAGTGGGTAGTATCACCAATGCTGACATGTGGACTTTTCAGCGTCGAGTCTCAGGGACGTACTCTTGAACAGCTTGAATGGGTTTACAGCCAACCTAACCCCGTCAAAGCTTCCCTCAAGGTCGACAAGGTCGTCATACAGGCTGATGGTAAGGTCACGGAGAAGATTATCGGTGTTGCCAACGTCTAGAGTTTGGATCATGGGTGTCGACGTATTGAGCATTCAGAACATCGATAGAATTGAGGGATTTCATATGTAGAAAGCGTCGTTGAGTGATCTAGCGCTTGTAATGAAAGGGGGCTAGTTGAGGCATGATGATTTATAAGATACCTATTTGAAGATGTAAATTAAACGTAATTTAGTACCACTTCAAAGATGAACAGAGCAGGTATTATAGTCTTGGTCGATACTCTTTGCTCATCATCCACCCATACATAGTCTGATCATAACGCACCACTAATCTTGAAGCCACCAGGTATTATAGTCTTGGTCGATACTCTTTGCTCATCATCCACCCATACATAGTCTGATCATAACGCACCACTAATCTTGAAGCCACCAGGTGCCCGAGTCTGTAAGGTGGCCTCCTGATCATGCTTGGCAACGGCAACCCTGATCCTCTCAAATTTATCCTCACTATTTTCACGAAAGAGGCTCTGGGATTTGTCGACGTAATTCGAGCACGTCTACTTCTTCAAACTCCCGACACTATCTGCATGCACCTTGAAGTCAATGGTGACGTTCTCATCCATGTGGTCGAGGACAGTGACATTGCCGCCATCTTTGCCACGTATATAGTAGACATGGCCTTGAAGAGTTGAAGTTTCGTGAAATTGCCCATTTTGCTTGAGTTCTTTAGCTTGGTGACGCTCTCATCATGGAGATAAACTGCCTTTTGCAGAATCGTGGGATTGTTCTGGACTATGCAAGTAAACCAGAACTTGCTGCTGTTGTCAATGCATGTATCAGGGGCCAAGACGCTGAGACTTCCTAATATCCATCCATAAGATTGGATGCAGTTTCTCTGAAAGTCTATCAGCATCGTCTTGCTGAGGCTGCCAGAGATTGTGGGTATTGTCATTGTCTCCTCCAGCTCGGGCGGTTTCCCGATGCTCCTCGTGTTGGCCATGATGCGGGTGATAACGGTACCATCTATTGAGGATTCGTAGTGCCATAGCAACACGTTCAAACTGTCCGGACGGTTCTCCGTCTTTTCTTTGAAGTTTTTGGTTGCCTTGAACTTTGCTGGGCCAGTGGATGGGTCACTGATCAGCATATACATCCACCGACGGGCACCTGATCCAACCGATGCATTATTGTTCTTCGCATCGTATTTCGTCGAACCCATGACCCCAAGATCGACTAGGGCGACATAATTTTCAAGGGCAATTAAAACCTCTCAAACTTTCTTCCATCTGAAGGTTGTAGATCTATCGATGGGAGAAGAAGACATGATCATTCCCGTTCACATACTGCGGCTGTGATGGATTTCTCTGACGTCTTAGTGAAAGCAAGTCTTGATGGGAGCTTCTGGCGGGCGATTTGAGTGTAGTCGCTCCTAGATTGCGGTGGGGAGGTGTGTCCCCAAGTTCCAGGCATATTGGGGGACTTTTGAGGTCACGCCGAATATGGGCTATCCCAAAGACACTTCGCACTGAAAATTCGATTGGAGGGGGCCGATAGGAGAGTTCACACAAACTGCAACCACCATGATGTATTCCTAAACAAAGCACATACATATGCGGCTACTGGGATGCTTCCCCGATGTATATAACATCTATATTAGGGTAGAACGTGAGTAATACGCAGAACAGCTTTGGAATCTCATATGATGTGATATGTACTTTGTAGGCTGTGCCCGTAGTGCGGACAATAGTATCATCGGACTAGGAGGATTGCCATGTGGTTGTGTTATCCAAATTTGGCCTTATAGAACTGGAATAATTTACCAGCATTATATCATCGTCGATCTTGAGCCATGTTGATTCGTTGTCCGATTGATCGATCGAAAACATGTGGTTGGTTGTGTCCCTCTTCCCGTCTGGGGTTGATTTCCATAAACGGTGACAAAGGAGTCCAAGAATGCTAGCTTAATTCACCTAGAGCGTGGTGGATCCACTCCTATATATATCTGAAAGAAGGTGATACAAACAGCCTGTGTCTATTCATGAGTATTGAGCTAGTTGACTTTCACAACCCGTCTTGCAAGCCCCCATTTGGCCCTCACATTCATGAAATGGCTCAAGTGTACCATTTCTATAACAAATAGCAAGATCATGGCTCACAAGCCATTTGCAATTGTGGTAACAATGATTTTTAGACTCGCGTTCTTGAGATATCGACAAACAACAGATTTGGCCTCATGAAACAACATGGTTAGATAGACAATGAACAGACATATCCGCTCGGGCAGCATTCTGCATAATTTTGGTTGAGCTTATCCGTGGTTAATACTGGTAATGTGTTTCCAGAGAGGACGCCTGCAATTATTGCTTCGAGACGTGTTTCTAGATTCCTTGGACAAAGCCGCGAAACAATTTTGGTCCGCATATAGCCTTGAATTGCAAGCCCCTCTTGGTCCAACCTTGCAACTCGAACAGCAATGAGGGCAAATATACCCGTAAGTAAATGCTGCTCAATGCTTCTGATTCCTTTGTTCTCGATTCTCGGCTTGGTCCCAACAACCGTGTATCGGCTCCAAGTCTGCCTCCCAACAACTAAGTGGATAGTTTACGTATCCGGCTTAAAAAAGAAACATGGTTGGGACACAAGCACTTTACTCTACTGTCGACGTTTCCGGAAGAGTAAAACATCAACACTGGGTGAACAATGACGTGTTTTCCAACATATACCCCCGATGTGCTTCCCTCGGTATTCTGTGTTCACATGCCCTCACTCCCTTTTCCATACATTCATGGCGTCGTTTACTAGAAACATGACTGATAATCCCCGCAAGTATGAGTTCTCATACATACCTGGATTCTTCACAGACTACATGGAATTAGGCAAGAGAGACCCGAACAAAAGGGTCTTGACCCAACCCAGGCTCGGCATCCTGCCGCAATCTTATGATACGGGTTCATCCGGCGATGAGATCCTCTCTCAATGGAAGCAGTTGGAGCGCCACCTAGAGTATCTCAACCAGAAGAACTCCGGTGGTGAGTCTTACAAGGTGCTGTATGTGATCCGCCATGGATACAGCGTACACAACCTCGTCAGGAGCAAAGTTGGCAAATACGAATGGAACGTAAGCAGAAAAGCAGCGCTATTTTCTCGACGTGAATCTCTTCTAAGTGATTACTAACCGTTTTTATAGTCTAATTTGGCACTAAAAGAAGGTGGGTCGGTAGAAGGCTTGGGCAGCCTGAGCTGGGTCGACGCAGAGCTAATGAAGGACGGCGAAGCCGTTGCCCAAACGCTCGGCGAAACTTGGGCCAACTGGGTAAAGAATGACGGAATTCCACTGCCGAGCAAGCTGTATACCAGCCCGCTCCGTCGCTGTCTGGATACGACCAAGCTCGTGTACTCTGCAGTGCTAGAAGGAAACGGGAAAACATTCCAACCCATCATCAAGGAAAGCCTCCGAGAAAGGCTAACGCAGCACACCTGCGATAAAAGACACACTCGGACATGGATCGAAAATAATTATGCCAAGCACGGGTATCAGATTGAGGTAGGTTTTGAGGAAGAGAATACCCTCTGGGACGCAGCGGTGTCCAAGGAGATGGACAACCCGGACCTCCATGTTGCGCGGACAAGAAAATTGCTCGAAGAACTATGGGACAGCAGCGAGGGGGACCTCTTCATCTCGCTCACGACCCATTCCTACACCCTCGATACGCTCTTCGAAGTCGTTGGGATGGGTCGTGACGCCTTCCGTCTGGGGGAAGGGGCCATGATCGCGGTCTTGGTGAAACGGGCTCCGGCAGTGGAGAAGAAAGGGAAGGAATCGGGACCGAAATAAATCACGTTCCTGCACTGATTGTGGTTCATCTTGGAGTAGTGGAAACAGTTAAAAGTTCATCGCGGATGTGCTGAGGTTGGTCCTTCTCCTCGGCCGGGCTGATATTCGGGTCCTCGTGAGGGAAATATTTGCGGTGGGTGGCTGAATGGTGGGTTGGATAGGATAAGCAGAAGATGTAGTAGGTAAATTGACATGTTTTCAGGCACTGTCATGGGCTGGGGTTGGCATCCTTGCGGTGGACTCGAGTTGCAGATCCAGGTAGGCGATACACGGAGTCAAAAGCTTAGTAGATCATGAATCACATGATTTCCGGATAGTTGGATTCAAGTAGCTTGCAGAAAAATAAATCTAGATTATGCTCCACAGTGAGGGTTGTTATTGATATTCGGAGATGTGTTGAGTGCATCAGTCTTTAGCAAAACTCATTATAATTCTGACCTAGCAGGCTAAATTCTCGCTAGATAGGGGTATCGTACTCATCACCTTCCTTCATGCATGATTCGTTAACTCAGATATCCAATTCACAGCTCCCCGCCTAACCAAGTCGTCTACTACTGGTGCGAGACTGGCTGAAGCCCGTTCTCCTGCAATGGGGTCGGTGCGGAAGGCTAAGACACACTACTGGATTCAGTGACCTGTTCTACCTTTGGCTGGCCGTAGTACCCAGAAATCTGCGCCTGCTGCGGTCGCATGGGCGGGATTCCTTGGGATACGGGATACTGTTGCAAGGGCTGACCATAGTACACATGCTGTGGCACGAAGTATACTTGCATCGTCATCCTGTTGCGTTGGGCTGTTTCGACGCATGCGCGGATGAAAAGAGAGAAGTGGATGATACTAGAAAGAGTCAACGCGTGCCGCGGTCACACGACATGGAACGAGGCTTACATTAGAAGAGAAAGGAAGGCCACTAGAGCTCCCATAGCGTTGATGTATCCTTGCGAGTAACGAGGAACATCGTAGTAGGAGCTGTAGTGACTACAGTAGTAGTCGCACCCGACGGCCTCGGCCAGGAAGTATGATGTCAGCCCAACGGAGGTCGAGAAGCCCATCCATAGTAGTAGATGTAATGCGACGTGGGCTCCGGGATGGATGCCACGATGGCCGGTTCGTGCGCATATCGTCATGAGTTCGGCGACGGACCAGCAGAAAGCGATGCCGGCTTGTGGTGCGATCCAGACCACCATGGGGCTGTATAAATTGGGGTCAACGATCAAGGCGATTGAGATGCCTAGCACGATGAGGCAGAACATCATAGAAAAGGATATCAACAAGATCTTGGTGATATGACATGCTCTACTATAGGGTACGGTTTGAGGTTGTGGCACGGGATACTGCTGATAGGGCTGGGGTTGATTCGGGTCCATCATGGTGTTTGTCGCTGGACCGAGACAAAATTAGTCTCTCGTCTCCTATCACAGGTTGGAAGTTCAGTGTTGTGCTTGGTTAGTTGTCGAACTTGTCGTTACACACACGAGCAATCGGTCGCATGAGAAAACACCAATGCAGGAGATAGAAAGCTAATGTCGTGTCAATACTCGGTGAGGAGGACATATTAATTCAATCTTTCATCAAAAGCTGGGCGACGCCTCAAACAATGCTAGACCACTAGCATTAAGCATACAATAATCCCTGCAGGACTTACAAGAGGGCGCACAAGCACCTTGCCTCTACCGTGTTGATGAGGTGTTGCTTGATTGGTAGATTGGGTGCGGCATCCTGTCAACTGACTTCTTTCCGGATGACGAGACGAATGAGAGAGGCTCCAGGAGGACCCAGGAAAGAAAACCAGGGAATGAGGAGCTGGGACGAGTTAAGACTGAGTCGATTTGCCCAGCATTCCCTGTGTTTTGTGCGTGGATAAGACACCAAAAGATACAGTTTGCGTCGTCTCTTGGCAATCTTCAAGCCATCAATCTCGTTTTGGGATTGTTGTGCTTTGAGTCAATACAGTCACTGGCGCAAGGGCACTTGTGCATCCCAAAATCCACATCGCCGGCAGTTCTGCATTCTGAGCCTTTTCGGCAAGTCGTCCCAGCACTCGAATTCTTGTCATCAAACCACTCCAGCTTCTTCGATATTAGTACAATTTCACTGTCCAACTCAACCACCATTCATAAATCCTTCAACTGGCTGCGACCTGCGACGCGAGAGGGTGGAAGATTGGGGCCAAAAGTGTGCAGCTCGTGACGAACATTCAGGTGTGCACATTATGGTCAGTTTCAGAAAGAGATGGAGGGGCACATGCTCAATACGCAAAAGGCCACGGGAGACTTTGCCCCGGCTTCTGAGCCGAATGGCCCGGGACAAAGCCGTGTGTAGCGGCCTGCTTTCGGCGTCCGCAAAGGGTTCCGGTCCCCACTCTCAGCGCTGGTTGTGGACTGTCTTCAGCTAGATACCGCCCGGACCGAGGGTGAAGGTCTGCTTCGTTTTCATATGGTGGAACTGACCATCAACACCATGACAGTTCACTATCCTCCAGGCAACACTGCAGCTGGCCTCATCAGTGCACGGGAGCACATCGGATCACACGAGTTTCACTGCTGGATGGGCTTGGGTGCGGAGAGAGTAAGGAAAAGTACATTAGGTGCAGAGACCCCAATGTACATCCCTACTTCAGTTACCAACATGACGTTTCCCAACCGGGAGATTGTATCGCTATTAGAGACATAAAGGCAAACCACGGAGGCAACCGTCTCGACCACCCCCAACTATCGAACTTTAACGGTCCAATTTCATGAGATTCAAAGATTCATATCCAACGAGAGATCAAGCATTATTTCTACCGTGGACTTCTCGCATTTTGGTGGCCCAGCAAGGAGTGGCACGCCTTTGCCAACGCCATTCAGGCCTAATTCCAAAGCTCGTTGAAAAAACACTGTTGGAGATTCTAGCCGAGGCCAATGCACGAAGAGTGGCCCAGTCTGAAAGTCTCCTCGCGTAGGCGAGCCTCCGTACAGCCGTGGCTACACACAATCACATCGTCCCGACTCGCGATGGCCAGTCCATCGGCCTCCGGTCCTACTTCATCCACGGCGCCTACTTATGTCTACTTCCAAGAGGTGGATTCATGTTCGGCTCTCTGGAGACGGTCGTCTTCGAATGCGCCTCGCTAACTCGCGACCTTTCGATTTTCCGTCGTCCACGTCTGTGTCCATCACACGCCACTGGTCAAAGGTCTCACTCCATGGTACGACGCCATCGATGGCTTCGAATGGATCGTGGCCACGCTGAAAAACTGAGCACCGACATATCGCACGTTATTGTTGGCGGCGACTATCGTGCAGCACGGCACGAAGCAGGCAAAGGAGAAGAGCACCGCACCGCGAATTAAGGGCCGAATCCTCGGCATCCCTAACCTGGTTCATCGGGACGCGTTTCCATTCCATTACAAGGAGAAGACCTCCCAGGTCCACTGTCTACAGCCCCCTTCCTGTCCAAAGAGACATACAACCTGTTTACCGATGTCTTGCAAGGCAATCCCCAGGACTCCCTATGGAACCCCCTTCGTATTGAAGAAGCGGAGCTAAATGGGTTCCCCAAGATGGCGCTCCTCGTCAGTGGGACTCGTCAGCGGGCATGATATAGTCAGAAATGAGGGGCTGCTCTAATGCTATCGAGTATGTTACGGTGTTGAGGAACTAAGAGATCTCTAAAGCTACTTACGTACACCAGCGTCCCGACGAAAGTTCATGTGTTCCCTGGCTTGCATCAAGGCTTCTTTGGGTACCAGCAGTTCCCGGCATCGAAACATTGGGTCGATTTACTGAGCGAAGTCGCTGCGCTGGGCAAGGAGTGATGATGGCGGATGGAGCACTGAGTATCTGCCCGAGCTGGCTGCTCCAGATGCATGATTTCCGGTCCTATATATATCGTGGATGTGAAGCTATCGAGGGATCGGGGCACATGCATAAAGTGTGAAATAACATGAGTGGACATAAATTTCGCCCATGTACCCCTATTGACGGCTCTGGCGATGCGTTTCTGGTTCACCACTGAACTCATGACGTTGTATTTGTGACCAATACGAGTATTACAAGCCGGTTTGCGTATTATAAGCTCGACAGGCAGAGGTGTGTGGAATACGGCGATCCAGGGCGTGTACATCGTAGCGTTTGGGTTGGTTGATATGACGAAGCTTTGCCGGAAATACCGCAACTCCCTTCCCGCGTCTCGCCCGGCGAGTTCGAGACCGAGGTCTTCCCGTACATGGCTGCATGATGTAGCTAGAAGTAATAGATTCTGTGAATAGGGTGACATTGATGGCATCCATGCGTCGTCGTCCTAAATTTGACTAAATGGTCGGGCCTACCTCAAAGTAGACTGGCAATCCTGATATGGTGCAGGTGAAATTGATAAGGAATGGTCATATGAATCAATGATCTTCCAAGTCAGATACAAACTGACTTGGGGAAGTTGCGGGGCTGATTCATTGCGAAATGACCATGCCATTTATGCTTACCATAAGAAGCAAGACATTATGAAGTCTGGCTACGGACTAGAAAGCAGAAACAACGATGTTGCGTCGCGAGGACTTCGCTCCTTGCGCAATAGCCAGATATGAACGAATACTATCAGCTTGAAATGCAACCGTGTACGAACCCATTAATTGACTGGGCCTGCCCTTCACGGCATCTTCCATCGCCACCGATGATATCTCACTGCGAGAATCCATGCCGGCCGTCTTCGCGGCAGCAGATCAGTACAGGAAGCTACAGGGCAAGCTGATACTATATACGATGGAGCCAACGAGTTTGATGCCAGACTAGGAAAGAGGGAGCGAGATTCATGGACAAGGACAAGTTGGTTGGTGAGAAACAGAAGTTTGATTTAACCACTTCGTAACCCCGACTTTATCCATGTATCACTGATCAAGCGACACCCCTGGGCTGGTCCAGAGAATAAAGTCGAAGAGGAATAAGCCAATCAAGGGTAACCTGGAGCGCGATCCTCCATTACAGATGCCCAGCCAGGGGAGGGCTTTGAGGTATTATATCAAGATAACTAAATATGCTGCTTAATAACATACAGTTAATGACGACATGTGCCGAAGGTGCAGTTTGATAGGGCGTCTGATAGAAGATGTTGTATGTACCAAAAAGCGTTGCGTGGAGGCTACTGGACTCGAGATCAAGTTCGAAAAGAGTCCCGTTGGAGAGAACCAGATACACGGATGGGAATCACGGTGAGAGCAGGTGAGTGAAATATTAGTCTGTGGATGCAGCTGTTGAAGGAGCTGGATGCTGTTTTTGCAAGAAGCCGAGCACTTCGTGGAGCATGACCCGACTTTGGAGAGAATGCTCTTGGACGAGATGAAGGAAGTTTCAAACCAACTTGAGCAACACCAGTGGAAAATGGTCCATTTTGGCAGGATGTTCATAGATAGTCTCCGTCAGATTTAGACCAACTTGTTCTTGATCGGTGTAACAAAGACGCATTCCAGCTAAATGGATGCAAGGAGCAGACCCCCAATACCAAGAAAGAACTCGAAGATGGTATAAAAGCAGAACATAATCAAAAAAAGGTCAAATTTTGAGCCAAGGCGTCACCAACAGATATTGCACACCGGAGAATGGCCTCTAAATGATTACAAGAGGACCAACCGGAAGATACGGAAGGTCCTCTGAGGCATGTCCCGTCCGCTCTTGGATTTGAACAATCAGGCAGAAGCTCGAGATCAAGACCAGGCATTTCTGACTGGCCGTGGATGCCAGCAGAGACAGCAGTATTGGATGATCAACCCGCATGATCCGGTGCTGTCTTTCTGCCAGCTCACGTGGAAAGTAGAACATGCCATACTGCTCAACAGACGTAGCCTGTCGCCTGAATCCAAGATAAATACATAGTTCGGTGCCTTAGTCCTGCTGGCTGCCTCTTAGGTACTACCATCAATATCTAGCTAGTCACCATCTGGGAGCATTGGCTAATGCCTAGGCGGCAGAATGACGTTGAAGCACCAAACTGTGCATGTTAGGGGGAACTGTCTGCAAAGGTCAAATAAACTAGACGGCATATCTTCTGATACCATGTTAGACAAAAAAAACCTTTTTCGTTTCTTTTCTCCCATCTGATAATCGATCTTGTCATGTCGGACCGTTTGTGTGGCTTCTTGGGACTCCAGGAACATCGGGCCGCCTTTCCAGTATGCCCTGTCCAATTTTCTTAGATGACTGCTTTAATGCGGGTCCTATTTCACCTCGACGCGATCATTATCAATATTGTTGAGGAAGGCATCGTGATAATTGTAAGCGATAAAAAGCCTTCTACCGTGTCTGGCCTTTGTGTCTTGCAATGGAACTGCACCTCACGATGGGGAACGGTACCATGTTGTTCTTCGGCTAGGAATCTTGGCGACTCGCACGAGAAAAGAGCCTAATGGTCACATTGACATCAGCCGAAGCCCAATACTCTGGCTTCCAATCGAGTCGCGGGTTCAGCGAGGAGTTTTATCGTGGCATATCTGCCGCTGCGTCAACGGGTATGTGATGTGTGCGGCACGTTGGGGACCACCGATCAATGTGAGATATATGGTGCCATATGCCGGCTAGGTATAGCAGCATACGCGAATTATGAAAGGATATCTGAGATCTATCTTCCAAGACGCCACGACATGTTGCAGGCTTTCGGGATGACTGGATAAGTAAACGAGACTTCATCCCTCTGGCCTGGAGGGAGATGGCCAGTAGCCGATGCATTCGACGTGCGAAAACGCGCTTGGATAAAAGGTGCGGTAAGAGGATGAGGCGCTAGCGTAAAGAGACCAGAATCAGGGCCCGAAGCGCAGCTCTGATATCGAAACGGATGAACGGAAGTTGAGAAAGTAGAGAAGCGAGTCGCTGAGAAGCGCAGCAACATCCTCTGGCCGGTCATTAAAAATGCAAGAAGTGGCACTTGGTCGTGCCTAGATACACGAGAGATTCGTGAGGTTTGAATAAGCTACCATGTTGGGGCGGCCCCCAGGGGTCCATTACAACGAGTTAGCATGACGAAGATCATAGATCTTCACAACCTTGAATTATTTCGCTTGAAGATGGACGATGACAGCCACAACCGGGGAGATGAAGCGAGCTGCAGGTCCGACCATAGTAGCTAACGTATGTCATATTGTCATTGACGGATAAACTGCTGGATTGTCTGCATCAAAATCGATAGCCGGCGTCAACACTAGTCGGTTTGTTAGGTGAAGCGATGGCCTACCCTTTCGTGCGACGACGCAGGCAATCCGGGTATTTCAAGCGAGACCCTTGTTTGCTACACGGCGATACTAGGTGTTGGTGCCTTTGGTATTGGCAGCGCATTTCCCGCTTGCTCAAGTACTGGTGCTGCATGTGTTGGTCTGGACCCCAACATGCTGATGTTGAGGTCTCGGTTCGACAAACGTGTATGGCGTGTTTCCTACTGTGCAGCCGAATGAACAGGCCGTATCTCATGCACGTGAGAAATGCCATCTCCGCGACCAAGTATTGCGATACTAGTGCGCTCATACCATACCATGTTGTACAAACTGACCAACTTACTTGGGGCACGCAGCACGCTGGTCTACCCTGCGGCCACGGAAATGGGCCCAGGCAGGCAAGAGTGTTGATATAAAAAAACGGCCCGTTTGGATCAAGGCCAATATTGATCTTGGGAGAGATTGCAGATACGCGACGTACATCACCAGCCGGATATGGATGAAATTCTTCCAGCCTTGGCGTAGCGGCTCTGGATGAGCGCAAGTGGATCCGTCTGGTGATGGTTATGGTTTAGCTTCCTGGTGGCACGGTTGAGCAGACACCCCGTGGGCCATGGTCCACGAAGATGTACTTCACCCTTGAAGTTAATATACTAGGATTGCGACTTATTGATGGATTCGGTGGAAGAAGCTGATTCTGCAGGGGAGCTTACAACTAGTCCTCAGACGCACCTTCCCAAACAGCCTTAATACACCTGGGTATCATGTCAAGTGCACCTGCCCTGGCCGTTTTCAGACGTGCATATTGCCTACGTGTGACCCTGGTTACCCATAAAGTAAAGGTAAAAAACAAACAGAAACCCAAGATAACCAGCCAGTTGGTTCGGAAAAGATATCCTTTTTCATGATTCGGCATTGACCAGCAATAGGTTCGAGCAAGGTTTCTAACTCAAGACAGCACCCGCCTGATGATCCAGAGTCGAGGAGACTCTGACTTCCTCTTGACGGGTCGTCTTTCAATTTGCCAAGAAGCTCCCATCTTCAATCTGGGAAGGCTGCTGCTGCTGGTTGTGAAGGAGCTGCCAATGGTGTCTCGCAGATTCACCTGAACCACCGCGTACGGCCGAGGTCCTTTCCCACTTTGAGCAGGCCAAACAATAAAAAACATTGACATACACACCACCCCTTCACCCGTCGATTTCAGAGAACTCAAGACCCCTGGCCAGCCTTGGTCCTTGTCAAGTGCTGCAGCATCCTCTCACTTCCGGACGGACAGCAAGTATTATTGTGCACACTAGTCGCGACAATTTGCAGCAAACCGCACGACCTACGTTTGGCTCATCCAGGTTGCAGAGGGCCCCAATTCCCCCGAACGGGCCTGGTGCAGTGCATGAAACTAGGACGAAAGGAGCAATAGCCGCCTTTCTTGACGGAGGAAAACGGTCTCGCTAGACCGATGCGCAATAATTGCTGTGCATTCTACGTACAGGAATATCGGCCCCGGGTCGCGTCCAAACACATCCAAACCTCGCAACGCAATGCTGGCACTCGCCTGCCTTGCGCGTGTCCCTTGTTTCCTGTCGCTCTAGCTGCCTTGCCCGCGTTTCCTGCCCCGGTCGGCTCGTTCCCCTTAGACACGAATTGCCCCTGTACAGATTGATCGTGGCCCATAAAACGATCAAATTAAATCAAATCAAATGGCAGAGGCACAGGAACAGCCACAGGCGAGACCTCAGCCTGAAGAACCAAGTCCAAATCATGGCCTGCCTACAGTGAGTAGTAGTCTGGGCAATGAGCCATTACTGGAACTGTCCCCGTCCCAGCCAGAAGCGACATCCACCCAGGTACATACACAGCCAGAGCCACTGGCACCGGCGCAAGCACAGGCTCAGGCTCAGGCACACGTCGCAGATCACCACCAAGCACAAGTCAAGCAGGAAGGAGAACATAATCAGCAGCAGCTGCTGCGGACGGAGGACGACGCGGAGGCACCCACACGGCCACTGCAAGGAGTGGTCGGGTCAGATCCTGCAGAAAACGAGGCAGCAGAGAAACTTCAGGCTCAGGCCATCAGTCCTGCGGACGCGATTAACTCGATCTTGACGACATCCGCTCCTTCCACAGCCTCAACAACTGCATCTACCACAGTCGCTACCGATACGCCGCCATCGTCTGCCGTTACCAACGGCGCTCCAGCAGAACACGGCCAGCAGAACGGCTCTGCGCCGCCGTTGTCGCCGCCATCCGCCATGTCGAACCATCCACAGCACCCTGGGCATCCGCGGCAGCCCATGACCTACCCAAATCAGACTTATGCTGCCCCTGGCATGAATGCGCAATACGGATACCCAAATCCGGCGGGACAGTCTGCCGACGCCTATCGAGGGAGTCCGACGGCGGGCAGTAATCCCATGTCGCTACCTAGCATGCGAACGTTCGATCCTCTTCAACAGCAACAACAACAACAACAACAACAACAACAACAGCAGCAGCAGCAGCAGCAACAGATTCCTATGGGCGCACAGGTAACACAATCGATGAGCATGACTTACTACGGGCAACCAGTTCCTGGTGTTCCTCTTCCCGGGAATCCGTACGGGCTTCCTCCCGATGCAATGGGCCCACGATATGCGCTACCGCCAAGCGACCCCAGAGCCGTGCTCGCCGGTGGACGTCACAAGAAGGTACAACGCTCAATAATCAAGGGATTGCGACATTGGAATCAATCAGTTCAGTTTGGCTGACCGGGTGACTGTGCAAATTTGTAGGAAATCAAACGTCGAACGAAGACGGGCTGTTTGACGTGTCGCAAACGACGAATAAAGGTACGTGATTGTTTTTTTTGTCAATTGATGCATTCCCGCAGCTGTTTTGCTTCATTTCGCAAGGTCGAGAAAAAAAAAGAGGGAGGAGAAAGGGAAAAGAGATGGTCTTCTCGCTTGAGTTTGAAGTGGACTCTTTCTCACCTCGCTTGAGGTTCGCTTGACACTGGAGCTACTGCGAAGCGAGGAGCCATGAACCACGCCTTCTGGCCTAGCTGGAGCGCAAATCAAAACATCACGACAAAAGAGAACCACGCCCAATTTGCCCAGTTTACGCCAACTATCCAACTTATTGGAAACAGTTTTCAATTTCAATAAAACAGCTGCATAGTCATACCATAATGCGCCGAGCCCCATTCAGCATGCTAACCGGCCCCGATTGCGCAGTGTGACGAAACGCATCCAGTCTGTAAGAATTGCCAGAAGTCGAAGCGCGATTGTCTGGGATACGACCCAATTTTCAAACAACAGCAACAACACCCCACGAACATACAACCTGCGCCGAACCACCCGAATCCTTCCGCGTCTGTCCCCTCTAACGGACCTGCCTCCGCGACCCCCTCCGTCCCGAGCCATTCGGCAGCCTACTCCAATCTACCGTCAGTGCTCTCTAGCAATATCAAGGGTGAGGGTGTTGATTACTCCTCCGCTATTGATCCTGCTCTTGAAGGCGTTAGCGCAACTGCGAGTACGTCGACATCTCATTTCCCAGCAATCAACCCTCTTGACCCGAACACCCCACGCGCACCTCATATCAGAGGCGGTGGCCCCTCCTTTGTCCCCTTCCATGATTCTGCTTCGCAAACCACCACACCGAACCAGAGAGGAACCCCGGCTTACTCTGGATATTCAGCCAAGATGAAAGTCAGCGAACTCGTTGCGCTCGGCGGCATTACGCCCCCACAACTTCCGAGCTCCCCTTCACAAGAGATCCTAGACGATATACGGAACCTCTACAGGGAAATATACGGACCTGGCCTCGAGAACTTTCTAGAGACGAAATGGTTCACGAATGAAAACGCCGTCAACGCTGTCATATCCCACAAGGGAGTTACCGACCTGATAGCAGGTTTCCTGGGTACTCTGGGTGATCTCAACGATGCGGCCGCCATGAATTACTCAGCAAATCTTGAATTCTTCATCGTCTGGGACCTCACTTGCCTTGCATACTCCCCCGAAACGGGGTTCAATACTGGGCCGGCTTTACCGGCTGAAGATGATCCGCTCGAGACAAGGAACAGAATTGCAGTTCTCGACACTCTGCTATCAGGTGATTACCTTGAGGCAAACCCGCTATTACCACCTCCAGCTCAGGGTGACTACCAACGACTCAGACAATACGAATTCTGGCATCATCTTGGGGAGTTCTTGCGTATTAGAGATGAGCCTAATGTGGACATGACGCCCTTGCGAGACCAGATTCTGGGTCAGATGCGCAACCTACTAGATGGACGCGAGAACCGGGACGTTCTGTACTCTATTGCGATTATGCGCGCCCTCGCGCCTAATTTCCCACCCGATTTCGAGAGCACACTTCCCCCACACCTTGACGAAAGCGACCCAAAGAACAAGCTCGCCGTCGCACGTAAGTTCATTCAGGACGAATCCAAGGTGACAGGGGGGACAACCAACGTTGTTCGTCGCTATGCCGAACTCGCTTCGCGGGCTTTCATTGCACCTGGAGGCAATGTTCCTAGACGCCCGAACGGAGTGTTATGACAGTGTCGGCGGCCGGCGGAAGCCGTGGGATTGTACAAATAGATACCCCTTTCTTTGCCAGTTGGACACTTAACTGCATTCCAACCGGGTCATGTTATACCTCGCATCAGCCGCCTTCAGACGCCGAACCCCCCAAACTCATTATTTATGATTCACCGGATGGGTAATAGACTATTGGACGCTGTCTACGAAGCCCACGAGTTCCCGGGAGTAGAATCGGCTTCGGTTTCGTGGATCGATCGTATTAGGTCCTTCGGATCCCATCCTATTGCTAATTGAGGTCCTGGGGGTCATCTGGCGGCGTATTCGAAACTGCGCCAATGTTAAGAGGCTTGGGGTCGGAAGTTGCATTGTACACCAGTTCAATTACGATGTATGATAAATGGAGATCTAAGACACCAAAAATTGGCGAGGATAGACAATGGATTTCAGAAACTGAAGCATCCAAGATGGATTTTATCAAGATATCAACTAGCGTTGAGCTCGCTCGATGAAGATCATCATGCATGCGGGACGGTGTAAGGAGAAGAGAAGACGAGAATGGGAATGTACTGGTAATTATTGTCGGCGGCAGACCCATCTGCCTATCGTGGATTCGCTCGATGCCGATAGATAGGAACACCGCTGCATTCCCAGCAGTCCGGTAGGACAAGATTAGCCGTCATGGAGGTGAATGATATTGGCCACATTAAGACGCAGCGTTCTTGTGGAAGAGCCCGGGCCGGAAAACTACGGACGAGGCGGCACCACCGGAGTACGTACCGTGCCGTTTGGGACTAGTCAACATCACACTACAGACGCCATCTCATGTAAGGCCAGCACATGCACTCTGCCACAAGGCTGCGGTACATATTTCGAACTGGTCTTTACCATCGCAATTGCCATGTCACGTCAACGCCGGCCATCGGGCCCAGATTCGAGACTCGGGCCAGCTTGACCCGCTCCTTCGTGTTAATAAGTGCCGTGCCGCGCCGGGCCGGAGAGAAGTCCGCAAAGTTCGTTCACTTTCTCCCACGACTACCTGTAGGGAATCTCTCAAATGTCCGCCCGTGGTGTGCCTATTTAGAGACCATGGATGCTAGAACATGGCTTTTTGTCCGCCCGAAGCTAGCATTCTACGTTGCGCTCATTCTCACTGGCTGCCTCCTCAAATACAACCACGCGAGACCGGCTTGGACCCTACGACCAACCACAACCGATGGCAGACTTCCGTTTATTCGAAGGAAATTTGACATATCACTTCCCCACTGCTGATGCTAACCACCCGATGTTTCGAAAACACCCCAGCCCGTCGTGGCTTCCTCCTTTCCGTTGCAAAGCCCAAGACCAAGGTTTGTTGGTCCACTGGCTTGTCATGTTCCTGCTTCTAGATTGGAATAGTCATGGTCATCGGCAGCGAGCTGGTCTTGTCATCGATATAGAACCGATGTCAGGAATTGACCACCTATTCGCAAAAGAAAAAAGTCACTGGGACTACTCAATGGTTCTATCATGGCCCCGGGGAAGTGTGCCCGGAGTGCCACCACGCAAATGCAGCGATCCTAGCTATTTGTGTCGAGACCGCGGACCCTGCTGCTCAGTCGGGAATTGCTACACCACTCACCGGGTTGCTACTTGGATTTCGCATACAACGGCAAGACGGCTACCTCATTGCTTGCTACCAACGTGCAGCTATATCCGGGCAAAACACCCACGGCCGCTGGCTGTTACATGACCATCCGCCCTAACAAGCTTTAGGTCGTAAATTGAACGATGCCACAAACCCTGCAAGGTACAGATTTAGCCCTTTCATTACCGTCAAGTCTGGAGGCCGTGGGAATAGGCCAGTGCATTCCCGGTCTTGTATCTCTGGGACGGCTGAGTCCTCATGCATGACGACGATTCCCTTGCCGACCTAGGTATCTTGCAACACAACCACACAATCTACGCATGCATAACACGACTTCCGTGGATAGGAATTCTCATACCCGCCGCTCTTAAGCCTCCTCTTCTGCGCATTCACCCTCATCAGAACCACCCTTCATGACTACTCCAAGCAACGTGGCAGTTTTCCCCACGCTGAGTATTTATATCGTCTGCCGAACCCACTAGATTTCTAGACCCGACCGTTTGATATACCATCTTCTCAACCCCACGCCTTAGCTTACTCTTCGGCGCCCCAATAATTCATCCACCCTCCTACGCTGAAGACCTCGCTTGCCCTTGGTGAATATACTCCCCGCAATCCAGACCTTCTCCACAATCTCGGCCCCACACCTATTCGTACTCTAGGCGACCACCCCGCGCCGGCAGTATTGTACCCACTGGACATGACAGAAACTCCACGATTGATTCACCTCCGACTATTCAAGAAGCCAATCATTCATGAGTGCTCATCGCTGTAATTTTTCCGTTTATAAAACTGAGAACTGAGAGGGATTACAAAGCCGGTGATATCCCCCCTATACTCAGTGGGTTCTACAAATATAAACTACGTCGCCAATATATTTCGCACACTCAACGAGACCCCCACGCGCATAACCGAGTACCGATAAGAGTACCGCATATACCTTAGCGAGACCAACTGGACGGTTCTACCCCACACCTAGACATGGAGAACCCACGCGACTCAGTACTCAAGAAGGAGAACCTCATAGCCGTCGAGATGAGCAAGCCCAAGGTCATCTTGCTGGGCAAAATTGAGCAGTAAGTCTTCCACCTGGGCACCGAACTCCCAAGACCCCGACTTCTATCTCTGCCCTCTTGCATACCGTACGCCCACCCCCACACCCCCTGTTACCGCAGGAAGTACAGACCAACATAAACGCAGCGCCCACAACACCTGGAACTCTATAGAATCCATTGCAGACGTCGTGATCCCTAAATCAACTGACCGGGCCGCCTTCCTCGCCGAATGTGACACCGGCGCCTTCGAGGGTGTCTCAGTCGCCTACCGCACCTTCGACTCCTTCTCCATTAGCGGCAAGGTGGACGCAGAGCTACTCTCGCACCTGCCCCCCTCGCTCAAGTTCATCTGTCACAATGGCGCGGGCTATGACCAGGTCGACGTGCTTGCGTGCGCGGAGCGCGGCATCCGCGTTTCCAACACGCCCTCGGCCGTCGACGACTCCACCGCCGACATCGCCATGTTCCTGCTACTCGGTGCGCTGCGAAACTTGAATGTGCCGCTGCTGAGCATGCGGAAGGGCGAGTGGAGGGGTAAAGCGGACTTACCCTCGCTGGGGCACGATCCACAGGGAAAAGTGCTGGGGATTCTGGGGATGGGCGGGATTGGTAGGAATATGGCGAAGAAGGCGAGAGCGTTTGGGATGAAAATTCGGTATCATAACCGCACGCGGCTGAGTGAGCATTTGGAGCGGGAGTGCGAGGCGGAGTATCGCGGGTTTGAGGATCTGTTGAGGGAGATTGATGTGTTGAGTTTAAATTTACCGCTGAATGTGAGTATCCATCCCCTAGTTTCTGAACCCGGAAAAGGGGTTATGTGGAACTGACTGACAGACTGACCAACTCCAATAGCCCGCAACCAGACACACTATCTCCACGGAACAATTCGCCATGATGAAGCCCGGCGTCGTCATCGTCAACACGGCCCGCGGCGCCGTGATGGACGAGGCGGCGCTGGTAGCTGCGCTCGACTCGGGTCACGTCGCTTCTGCGGGACTCGATGTGTACGAAGACGAACCCGTCGTGCACCCGGGCTTGCTGGCCAACCCGCGCGCTTTGTTGGTCCCCCACATGGGCACCTGGACCGTCGAGACGCAAACCAAGATGGAGGAGTGGACTATTAGCAATGTCAAGATGGCCGTGCAGACGGGGGTGTTGCGAAGTATTGTGCCGGAGCAGAAGGGAATGCAGGATTGATGTGGAGGGGTCGGCGGGAACAGACGAAGAGACCATGGCAGTGTACTGAAGTGCTAGGGTGAGACGCAACGAAATGGACAAAGTACGAATTCCATGCTTGATGGTGATATAGGGTTAGTGAGGTTGTCTGTCGAAATAGAGATTTGTAGGCTTCATTGGACCGGGACACGGACCAGTGCTGAAGATAACCTTTGGAAGAATAGACAAAAACAGGTAGATCAAAACCAAGGGGATTCTTGTGGAAACAACACGAATCACGCATCTATTTTAGTATGAACTGAAATCAATACTAGCAGACTCTGGAGTGTCCATTCTGCTACCTCTTATCTACTAGACCCGGTTGAAGGGCCTCTCCGTGCGTCCAATCATCTCACAGCTTTCCAATGTAGCTGTAGTCGAACTATGGAGTGGACCAAACATACTTCATGCATGAAGAAATTATGAAGAAACGCCGATGAGGGGAATCATGCATCATCAGTTGCCAACGCCTTTTTGTTGAAAAATGTGTCCCTTTTTGATTCCCCGAGATCGCCCTCTCGATTGCCAGTTTATGCCGTAAATTCATGCTTTGTTGAAAACACAACCATACCCCTAAGTTGCTTTCAAAGTAGTATGGTATATGGGTAGGTGGGGTGTGAAAAAGAAATGCGTCCGAGATGGTTGAGGATCTCTAAGACGATGCGGGCCGAGATTATTTATACACCGCGGTGCTTAGTAGCGGTAGTGATCGCTCTTGTAGGGACCCTCGACATCAAGACCCAGGTACTCGCCCTGTACCTTGCTGAGCGTGGTCAGTTCGACGTTGCAGTGTGCCAAGTGGAGTCTGGCGACCTCCTCGTCAAGAATCTTGGGGAGAACGTAGACACCGACGTCCAACTTGCCAGTCTTGGCGAAAGCAACGTACTTCTCGCCGAAAGCCTTATCCTCAGCCTTGAACAGCATGATCTGGGCAAGAACCTGGTTGCTGAAGGAGCAAGACATGACGAAGGAGGAGTGGCCGGTGGCACAGCCCAAGTTCACAAGACGGCCCTCGGCAAGCAGAATGATGTGGCGGCCGCTGGGCATCAGGAAGCGGTCAACCTGGGGCTTAATGTTCTGGCAGCTGGAGGCGTTCTCCTTGAGCCAGGCAACGTCGATCTCGCAATCGAAGTGGCCAATGTTGCAGACAATGGCGTCGTTGGGCATGGCAGAGAAGTGCTCGCCAACAATGATGTCACGGCAACCGGTGGTGGTGACGAAGATCTGGCCAAGCTTGGCGGCCTGCTCCATGGGGATGACTTGGTAGCCAGCCATGGCAGCCTGGAGGGCATTGATGGGATCGATTTCAGTGATGATAACGCGGGCACCCATGCCGTGGAGAGCCATGGCACAGCCCTTGCCGACATCACCGAAACCAGCCACGACCGCGATCTTGCCAGCAATCATCACGTCGGTAGCACGCTTGATACCGTCAATCAACGACTCACGGCAGCCGTACAAGTTGTCGAACTTGCTCTTGGTAACACTGTCGTTGACGTTGATGGCGGGGACAAGGAGGGTCTTGTTCTTAAGCATGCGGTACAGGTGGTGAACACCGGTGGTGGTCTCCTCAGAGACACCGTAGCAGTCCTTAAGCATGTCGGGGTACTTGTCGTGGACGAGGTGGGTCAGGTCACCGCCATCGTCAAGGATCAAGTTGAGCTTCTTGCCATCCTTGAAGGCGGACAGCTGCTGCTCCAGACACCAATTGTACTCGTCCTCGGTCTCGCCCTTCCAAGCAAAGACGGGAACACCGGCAGCAGCAATGGCAGCAGCGGCGTGGTCTTGGGTGGAGAAGATGTTGCAAGACGACCATGTCACCTCAGCACCAAGAGCAGTAAGAGTCTCGATGAGAACGGCAGTCTGGATGGTCATGTGCAGGCAGCCAGCAATGCGGGCACCAGCCAGAGGTTGGTCCGCAGCGTACTTCTTGCGGATAGACATCAAGCCGGGCATCTCGTTCTCGGCCAGCTCAATCTCCTTGCGGCCGAAGGCAGCGAGGGAGAGGTCGGCGACCTTGAACTTGGAAGCGGGAGCAGACATTGCTGGTGTATTTGTCAGTATTTGCTAGGTTGGCTTTAGAATTTTCCAGTTGAATGGATGGAATGAAGGAATGGCAAGGAACACTCACTGATTGCTGAGAGGGCTGGATTACTGGAAGTGCGGGGTGGAAGGAGTAGATAGGAACTGCTATGCTACACCAGTTTGCAGGATTAGCAACTGAACAACCTGGATAGTCAAACAGAGCAGAGCAACTTACAGATAGCGGTTCGGATTAAAGAGTAAAGGCGGAAGAACGAACTGGTGGGAGAAGGAGGATGATTGGGAGGTGAAGGAAACTGGTCGAAGGAATCGTTGGGGAGGGTTTTTCACTATCGAATTATCAATGCCCCTCGTCAGCAGCCAAGCTAAGCCCGTTCGGTACGCATTAAACTCTTGTTCCCAAACCCACCCCACTTGACAACTTCGGCATTGCGGATTTGGGGCAGAGCTATTGTCGGAGGTTCCTCTCGGAGGCTTCTTGCTCCGGAACTTTGATTGATAACCTAGAATCAGGACCATTGCTCAATACACGCACGTGTTACATGTGGGATCATGGACAATATGCACGAGAAGTTGGGCAGACAAATTTAAGTCACAAGAGCTCTATACCGAGAGAGGGGAACATAGAAAGTTGTTGTCGGGCAGCGTTTGACGAGTCTCACACCGCCTGTCCCGAGTACTCAAGTCTGCACATTTTGGTAGACTCGCAATATAGAGCCAATACTCTAGAGAGTCTAGAGCTACACAACATTGATTATCCCTCCGGGACCCTCCGGGAAGGACGACGGCCTAATTCATGTACCGTCCAGCCTTCCAAATAACCCCTGAACGCCGGGCCAGATGCAGATCCCATCTACTCTTGAGAAACCCAATTTCACTCGCCGGGACCATTTACGTGCCCTCTATTCGGGCAACAAGTTCCCTTTGACGGCGAACATCTTGGCGCTTACGTTCGCGGTGAAGCCATCTACCTGCTTGCTGTACTGCTCCACCTGCCTAGCATTCAGCATGCCCTCTAGCCGGCTAGGCTCCTGGGGCAACTTGAAGATTCGCTGCCACTCGTCCTCCGGCAGCGGCGTTTGCTTCGCAGCTGCCCTTGCGGCGTTCTCTGCCTTTCGCTTCGTCTGCCATGCTGTGATCTTGGTTTGCTCACGGGCCAGTTGCCTCTGGTAGTACTGGTGGTTGTTAAGCTCGGTGTAGTGCGACTCGATACTGTCGAGGAGCAAATCGCAAGTCTTCTCGAGGAAGGGGTCTATCGAGAGGTCCAGCGTATCAACCGAGGGATACATGGGAAGTTTGACATCGGCGCGGAGGATATCGGAGAGCGATGTGGGCATGTCGGCCTCTGCTTTCGTGGGAGCTGCGGGCAGCTGGTGCAAGAAAGATGTGAGGAGATGCGAATTGTGGACGGCAATGGGCAGCTCGGTAATGACGTCCTTGAAGGTGAGCTTCGACTTTTGCAGGCTGTTGCTTGTTAGAACGCTTGGCTATGTGACGTGTGTTGATGGACTCTGACCTCTCAGTGGTAAATTTACCCTCCTTGAATGCCGCCATGAAGGTCTGTGTCAACTTGAACGCCCGGAGGTTCAGCGCGCCTTGCGAGCTTCTGCTGACATCGTGCACCAGCGCAACGGTCTTGTCGTTGTCCTTTTGGTATAGGTACTGGTTCTCAATGAAGCTAAGGTTGACAAAATTACCCATCGTGGCGCTCGTGTACCAGCCGACATTGTTGGCATCGACATTGACCTCCTTAAGGTGCCGGATCATCTCAGCCTGGTAAGCGATGTTGTTCTTGGCACGCGGCGCCGCGGAAGCCAGGGCGGATGCATCATTAGAGTGGCCGCCGTCGACGTTCGCGATATCGGTCGTGGGGAACGGGAATGTGTTGGTGATCTCGAGGACGCTGTTGAGGTCCATGCCGACAATGGACCCGGTAGCTGCCGTCGGGAAGGTGTTGGCGCAGTGCTTCACGATCTTCATCACCACCAGTGCTTCGACTTGCACCGTCTTGATGGGCGCATCCTTAAGAGCGTCCGCCATGATTGCGAATGTTCCTCGAGGGTTCGTTTACTCGGAGAATGATCGTCTCGAGTTGGATACGGGCGTTTTACGGGTGTTGACGTGCGCGGGGCTCCCTGGTTCGTTCGTCGTTGGCGATGATTTAAAAATTGTTGTCAAATTTGTGTGGGCGGGGAGGACTGTCGTAGCATTTTGCAGGAGTTAGGTGATTGGTGATAGTGACAGCAACAGGTGGGGCCTGATAAACACACACCCAGTGGCACACCATTACTAGAATATTGTTCATGTCATAGCCCGATATTCTAATGAAGTAGTCACGCATAAGTTGATTGTTCCACCTAAATGCATAGCTTATCCCTCATGCTCCCGGCTTGACAAGATGGGAAGTTGCAAGTGATGCAAATACCAAAGAACATCCCACTCTCTGGAGCCCCCACGTTATCCCGTCAAGTTCCATGTTAAAATCCAACGACAATCCACCATTTTAGAGCCTCAAGTTTGACGACATTTGTCCATTTCTGTCGCATCGCAGTGATTCAACCGGTTAGTCCACCTCGTAGCTGTCGTGCAGCCTCCCAGGCTTCATCCGGCTCATACAGGGCACCCTCCTCACATACTTTGCCAACCTGATTGAGGTATCAGTGGGGCCTCTCTCCTATTTGACGCGACACCGGCGCCGTTATCATTGCTGCCGCTGTCGTCTTTCTTTGACTGGTGGTCTATTCGCATGAGCATGCAGCGAACATCAGGACTCGGAGCCGTCACATGTCAGCCGGTGTTATCATGCAATGCTCTATTGTGATACGTATCATGCGCGATAACGTCTACGAACATGATGCGGGAAGGGGTTTCTTGCAGAATGTTGAGGACAGTTCAAAACACAACTGTATGGTTCCAACCAGACAGCAATGCGCAAGTCAACACCTTACCTAGTCTAGCTTCCACCCATGACAAACAAGCGTGAGTTCTATTGCTGCCGTCTATCCTATTCGACCTGATTAGGTCCTCTCCCGATGTGAAGATCTTCATCGACCCTGGTCAACTCTCTCTATACGCAGACAGTGACGGGTGGCGGCTCAATCCGCCCAGTCGACAAGATCCCAGCTCTGCAGGTCGTCGCAGATGGTGAGTCGATACCTCTCAATCTTCCAGTGGGTGTACAGGTGACGGGTCGCACCCGCAGCTTTGCGATGTGCTGGACCCTTCCCCCCTTCCTTTGCTTCAGGCTCTGATCTCCAAATACAGGTCGCAAGATTTCTTCCGTCCTGGTCTGGTGTTCCGAACCAATACCTAGGCTCGTCAGTGAACTGCTCATGAAGTCATGTACTGCGATGGGGTGACATACTTCAGAAACCCTCCACTCGCTGTCGCTTCAGCGTGGGCGGCCTTGTCCATGGCGCCCAGATCTGCATACTTTGTCGTCGGTGGAATCTGTGAGCGGAACGCGACGATGAAGAAGCAAGTGTTCTTCCATTGGTGGCCGCCTTCTCGCACCAGGCTTTCTAGGTGTTGCTCGATGATTTCAGTCCAGTTGAAGGTTTCGCTGTAGTTGGCCGTTGCATAATCTGGTCGTAGCGCCCGCATGTGCACCAGGGCTCTTGCCAGGAGGGCATTTTCGGCATCCAGTGTTCTCAAGTCGAGGAGATGTTCTCTCTCGGTATATGGCGAGACTACCAATAGGTTGGAGTCCAGATTTTTGGTATCATTGCCCGGCGAAGTCGAAATTTCCGCAGAAGAAATAGCTGCCTCCATCTTCTCATTGAGGAAGATGTCGGAGGCAACTGTTTGGCCTGGAACTACTTGCGTGGCTGCCATTTTTGCTGTTTGTTTCTCTGGAGAGGAGCCCGGAGGGCTGGGTCAGAAGCCGGCCGTCCACGGTCCAGCACTTGTCAAATATGCGGCTCAAAACTCTCGTTGCTTGGGCAGAACTCTTAACAATGTTCGATGAGGGAAGAAAAACTACGAGAAATGCAGTTTCCGCAAAGGACTTCTTATTCAAGGCGGTTGTTTCGAGTGGAGTAGACTGACTCGCAAGGTGTTGGACTCGACGTATTTATATATGTGGCAAGGCGCCTCGAGGGCTGGAATTCACCGCTAGGCAAGTGTCATAGGGCCAATGTTGCTATCAGCAGTCGGTATTGCGAGCGAATCCCAATTTGCGACATGCACTCTGGGCTATCAGGGCTGGCCGATCATTGATCTGGGGTTCGTTACGAATTGAAGGCACAGCTCCTGTGTGACCTTTTCGCATGGCGACGTATTGCGACATCCCCGTCAAAACTGATGAAATCTTCCTCAAAGCATGTTCATCGTTGCATTGACTCAGCCCTGTGAGACAGCCGCTTTCAGTACCTAATAACATCTGCCATCGTGAACTTTGTCCTCGCCAAAATTGTTGAAGCTATGCTTATACGTACAACTTGAATCAGTATAGAAGCATTGAGCATTGACAGTTAACCTGGGGGAGATCGATGCCGGAAAGGTTGCCGGAGTGGATTCCTCCGGGATGACCCCCCTCTTTCCCGCGTTCCAATCGGTCGCGCATCCGCGGGGCTGCAAGCTTACAAGCGAGGGAGCCATCAGCGTAGTCCCACATCACCCTGTGGTGTCGGTCGGCCTATATTATGTGGTCGCATACATTGCCCGCTACCCATTCCCCGAACCCTTGCAGGACTATACCACGCTATTTTGCTACACCGACAACCAAGCCCGCCAAGTTGGGAAGCGGCGAATCGGACGGCATCGGGTGCAGATGGTTTTGCCTCCTCGGTAGATGTACATGCGGCTGCAGCGTCACCCGCCGATGACGAATGAATTACCTATGCCGGACCATGATGGTGGAGACGTCTTCGTGAGAGGTAAATGTGCGGGAAATGGGTATGTCAGGCTGGCCATCATCATGTTCTTCGGTTCTGACTGTCTTATGTTTATGTTTTAGGCATGTGAAGCATGCAGTGTCATGCAAGTTAAGCTCCACGACTATGTATATTGTCTCAAATCCTAGCAGCTGAACACCTACTTGGTAAACTCGAGGCTGACTCCTTTACGATAACTCCCATTTCCCCTTTGCGTTACAAACCTAAAGTAAATATCGCGAGGGAAGGTTCATAATGTAGAATGTTGTCCCAAATCCTCAAGGTCCTCGGGCGGCACATGCTCTACATCAGCCACATAACAGCGCTAAAGATAACGGGTCGATCGTCATCTTTCGCACGCTTCATATGCGTATATTCGTATCATTGGTTGGAGATACTGCACCAAGCCCGTCACAGGTCAGTAGTGCTGGCCATCCTGTTTTTGTTGATGTTACCGGCAGATCAGTATGCGTATCCGGCTCAAATTCGATCCTTATCAAAAATATAATATGATTCCAAACCATGATGTTAGCCGGCACAGATTCCCCTTTGCCTATAATGTGGAGGAATTGTGATGCTTGCAGAGACAATTTGGGATCTGGTTACTCTGGGCACTCTGGGCAACATGTTTTCGCACTCGCATTATATCTGGCTGTGGGACACTAATTGATGTTACCCTCGCTGGCGCCCTCAGTAGCTTCCTGCGAACAATACCTATATGTTATCATGAGCACTATCGAGTACTAACATGGCCAGGGCAGAAGCAAGGTGGTACGCACCGTGGTGATGCATAGCGAAGCTAAAATTGTTTAGTCCAAAACTCACTACAGGCTTCGGAGTGGGAAAAGCAATTGGAAGTATTCGGGGTGGAGTAATGCACGAGAAGACAGTAAAGTTTGAGCCATGCCTCACCTAGGAAAAGGGGGTATATACATATCAGCAACGTTAAACACATATGTGGAAATGGAATACGTCTCCCAACTCGTTGTCATCCCTCAGTTGAGCCCGTGTTCCGTCTAAACCCCTTACATCTACCATCCGTTGCCAGAGACATCAGTTTACTCGTCATCCACGAACCGACTGGCCAGCTGTCCGAATACGGCGATCTCGTATCTGCCGTCGTCAGCAGTAATCTAACATAAGTTCAAAGTTTGAAAGATAGATCTTACCTGTCTAAGGTGTCCGCATCTCGATATGCCTTCAGAGCCATACACGCCATCAGAGCGAGGTCGCCAAGAAAGAAGACCCAGCTTAGGAACGTTGACCAAGAGAAAATGAGGTGGATGATGAAGATTGTCGTGAAGAGCAGACTCGACTGCCATGCGTGGAATCTGTGGACACACTTGTCAGTTGTGTACCAGAAAAGTGACGGCTACTTGAACACTCGACTTCCTGGCCAGGTCCAATGCCCCAAGCCCCGGAGAAAATCATTGCTGGACACGGCATAGTCGTCGAAGTCCAGACAGCCTGACTCTCCTACTGCCGAGAACTAGCAAGAATGCGACCGGAAATTCGGACCAGATTCCCAAACCACCATCTGGCCCCCAAGCTCAATCAAGGACTCCCACGAAACCCCAACGTCTGCAATTGCCCCTCCACCAAGAAATAACGTACCTAACATAATCACTCTTCCTCTCCAGGATCAACAACACAATCGCGCCCACCGGCGGGCCCAACAGGTACGCTGCAGCTGCCTCATAGTCAAGCCTCAACCCCAAACTCGTATCGAACTCACTAACCCCGAGCCCTCTTTCCACTACACCTCCACTCGCCTCGACCCCAACGGGCTTATAATACGCGCCCGTGCCAGTCGCCAAGCTCGATGTCGGGTTCCACTGGCGCTGTGGTTGGGGGTGCTGCAGCGGAGGCGGGGAGTTCATGTTATTAGGTCGTTGCAGGCGGTTGGTGTAGGGGTTATAATCATAGGATGTGCGGGGGGAGGCTGTTGTCGAGCGGGGTGGGGAGAAGGGGCGGGAGTTCTCTGGCGGGGAGGACTGGTAGGGTGCGAAGTCCATTTTTGCTGTTTTTGATGATGAAGGTTGCCTAAGGTATGAGGAGGATGGCGAGCTTCGTTAGTACCGGCAGTAATTGTTTGCGCCGGGCAGGTCGGACGGTTTGGTGATGATCAGTGTTGAGCATAGATGCAGCTCCTACAGCTGTCTCAAAAGTGCCGTGTGCATTGCTTGGGATGGCTCGCAACGGATCTGTGGAGGATGCGTCCGCTTGTGGTTGTCAAGATGGAGATAAGAGGAATGACGTTGGGTCCGAGACACTGCTGCTGGGAGGTGAACGGCGAATGCGACACGCAACGCGCAACGTCGTTTCCCCGGCTTGTTCCGCGTCAGTCAATGCAGGGTCCAACTTAGCGTCAGAGCCCCCTGAAAGGAACACAGGTGCGGTGCAGATCTTAGCAAAGTTCTAGTGTTATATTAGCTTCGAGTTTCCTGTGGCAATAATCGATGGTATTTTATGCTGTCGCCTTTGATCCCACGTTCTTGCAGAGAAGTCTTTATGGGTGTCATATCAGACGGGCGTCAAGTTTGAACGGTGCCCAACTCGAGCAGTCTGTCTATTTCATAACTATCAGAGTTACAGAGCAACAACCTGAGGTGTACTATTTGCGTGTAAGGTATTCAAGTAATTGGATACAGCTCACATCCTCTGGCACGGGGAGCATTCTTAGTACATTTATACAGTCATATGTATACACATTCCCGCCGACTTTCTCGTGTAAATTAGTTGCTAGTACCATCCTAGCCAGCTCATTCTTTCTTTTCCGCTTCCGCCTCTGCGGTTTCCTGCTTTGGGTTCTTCTCCTCGTCCAACTGCGTCCGACGTCCCTCCAATGCCAGCCACAACCCTTTGGCACCACCTTCCAACGTCGTCGCAAGCCCCAAGCCTGCGCTTTGCAGCATATGCACCAGCTGGGCCCGCAGTCCTTCCATGCCGCCCTCAATGCCACCAACCCACTTGACACCTTCGCCATCAAATGCCTTGCCTTCGATCCGCCCACCGATTAGGAGCAGCTTCTGCAACCCACTTTGTGCCGTCAACTCGTAGTATCCCGGGTTCTTCCTTCTGGTCGGCGCGGGGAACGCAGGTGGCGAAGGGGCCATGATCTTCAGCACGGCAGCTAGATGGGCCGGCGAGACAGCAGGGAATGTGACAGCGCACACGGGTCCAGAAAGTAGCGGGCTCATTGTTGCATAAGTGCTATTTGGGTCTGCGAGGTTGGCTGCTTTGATAGATTCATAAGCCGCGGGAGACAGGTCATGCGTGTAGGCCTTCGACTGCTTTGATGCAATCTTGGGGTCGAAGAACTCGACAACTCTGAAGGCAATATCGAAGATGCGCGTTCTCAGAACTTGGAGCTCGACGGACCCGGCCACGTCGGCTGGCACTTTACCATCTGAAGCCACAAATGGAGCCTCAACTTCCTGAAGCGCTTTGCGCAGCTCACGGCGGACGGCAGCCCATTCTACGGCGGTTACGTTATTGTGCTGGAAGAAGAGGATCAAAGGCGTCGATCGGAGTAGTGCAGTGTATGCGCGTAGGAGCTGGGACTTTCGTGTCTCCGGACGGCGGGCTGATGGCGGCTTGGTAGGGGGGATGTAGTCATCGGGCAGCCTCAAGGCACCTAGAGGTATAGGAGAGACGGCCGATGCATAATGTCGTTGCGAAGAGGCTTGTGAAGTTCGTGTAAGCCAAGGTATCGCTGGAGGCCGTGAGAAACATTGTGGATTCTGGGTTGGCAAGGCACGACCAATGCATCGGGCTGACGAGTTACTGATTCGGGGAGGCATGGTTCAAGCAGTGTATGGTTGTCTCGAAGGCCGAGTCACCCAATTGTTCGAACTCCTCCACAAGGCTCGTCGTCGTCAAAGAGGATATTGCAGTCGCTCCCCTGTAACTTCTCAAAATTTACTGGTCTGTGCTTACCGCGGCGGGTCGGAGGAAGTGCTGTACCGCCCTCAATTCCGTACTTATGCAAGTCCCCACGAGGGCCAAAAATGCAGTGATTATGCATTCGGGCATACGCTTTCCTGCCCACACTTAGCTCCTTTTGGTGACAGGCCGTGACCCCTCAAATGTCAATCATGGGTTGGCGGGGTTCCGTTGTTAACCCCTCCAAGCTTAAGGTCTAAATGAAGCTCCAAAATATAGATTGTACGAAAGTCCTTCCCATCTCAACACACTCAATTGACTAACTTTAACTCCAAATTCGAGACCAACTAGAAGTCCCATCATCACATAATGCGCTAGCGGGCCAACAAACATCAGCAAGTCTGCATTGCGAGCTCCAATTCCATGTTCTATTGAGTCATCATTGCTTTGAGTCAGCCCGTCGAACTGCTATATCTTTTAGGCCCCAAGGCTGAGGTATAGCTCTACTAAAGTAGCTCTTCTGCATCAAGTCTTCGGCCAGTAAAGACGGCCCAGTGACCATGGCACAACCGAACTCCATATTGGCGCAAGATCAAGCTGCACTGGTCGATATCAGGCCTTTGCTGCAGCGCCTCTGGCCTGATCCGGAGAAGGAGCTGGTAACGTCGCACGAAATCGCCGAGGCCATTGGCCACATCTTCACCAACAGCTTGAGCCCCGTCCAGACGGGCTCTCTGCTCACAGCGCTACACTTTACCGGATGGGATCGCCGCGCAGACGTCTTGGCCAAGTCATCCGCAGCGATGCGCCAGGCCTCGGCCAAGATAGACATCGAAGGACTCAAAGCCGTTGTCGCAAAACGAGGGCGAAAGGAGGGTGGATATGAGGGCGGCTTGGTAATGCTATCCATAATACTTAGGTGGTCAACCTATGCGTCTTCGAAAGACTAATACAAAACCCAGTGCGACATAGTAGGCACCGGCGGCGATAGCCACAACACCTTCAACATCTCAACGACTTCATCCATCCTCGCCTCGACGCTGCTTCTACTCTCAAAACATGGCAATCGCGCCAGCACCTCCAAGTCCGGCTCCGCCGACCTTCTTCTCTCTATGACGCCCCGCGCTCCGCCCCTCTCCCGCATCACGCCCCAAACCATTACCGCCGTCTATGACCACACTAACTACGCCTTCCTATTCGCGCCCGTCTTCCACCCAGGCATGAGGTACGTGGCACCCATCCGCAAGGAGCTCGGCTGGCGGACAATATTCAACCTGCTGGGGCCTTTGGCGAACCCCGTCGACGTCGCTATCGAGGCGCGCATGCTCGGCGTAGCACGGGATGATCTGGGCCCTGTGTTCGCCGAGGCGCTGCGGATAGCGGGCGCCAAGAAAGGCCTCGTGGTGTGCGGTACGGAGCAGCTTGACGAAATTTCGTGCGCGGGGCCAACGCTGTGCTGGCAATTGGTCAAGGGGGTCAATGGGACGGAAGTAGAGCATTTCACCCTGACACCTGAGGACTTTGGGTTGCGTCGACACCCGTTGTCGACTGTGAGTCCCGGGAAGGAACCCGTGCAGAATGCGGCTATTCTGCGTAGAATTCTTCAGAACGAGATGCCTGACGACGATCCGATACTCGAGTTCGTGCTATTGAACACGGCGGCCTTGTTTGTGGTGAGCGGGATTTGTGATGCGGATACGAGTAGCATGGGCGAAGGCGATGATGGACAAGTTATCCAGGAGAGAGGACCTGGTGGGGGCAGATGGAAAGAAGGTGTAAGGAGGGCGCGCTGGGCGATCAAGAGTGGAGAGGCCTGGAAGATGTGGGAGAGTTTTGTCGAGGTTACGAACTCCTTTCCGGGTTGAGGGGGCCATTGGATGACTGATTTATGGAGTAAATCCAATGCGATCATAGACTCTAATCCGGGTCTACTGCGCTCGTGTGCCTTTTTCATGCCACTTCTTCAGTGGCATGAATGAACTGCTGGTTGATGGGTTAAAAAGGGTTATGAACGAACAATTGATCTGGTTGGACTTACACGGGCCGGTATTAAAACAGGTTAACATACCAGATGAACAAAACTTGATTAGACGCCTAATAACATCTTCCACTTCTCGAGTTTTTGGACTCGACACTGTTAGCTCCTAGGTTCCTTGCCTATATCAAGTTTGGCAGTGTACTAGTGGCCTTTGCCTGGAAGTACTCGTAATTTTACTGCGGTGAACTGACCGTGTCATGCGTCTAGGCTGAGTAAACCCCGAGATAGAATGAATGTCCAGACAACTTGCGGAAAACAGTATTGCCACTGGGCCAGGCTCACTGCCTCTCTATCAACAATATTGAACCCAAGAACCACGCCAATTGCTCCACGGCAATGTCAAATATCTATGAGGGTGCTCCCAACTCTAACCCCAGCCATCATTTAGCTGGCTGCAGTCGATTTTCCGCCTGTGTCCCTGTGCCCAGCACTTTTCACGTCAACCTTATTCTTAGCATTCCATACCCTTCTTCTGGCGTGTTTTACCTGCGGCCTTTTCTCCTCATAACCAAACCCCTTTCTCCTCGGACCAGGTCCAAAGTGTGCATTGCCGTCCTAGCGACTCAACACACCACGTACCACGCCCTTCAAGGTGAGCTTGGGCTCGAAGACACGCTCCATGATCTCGCCGCCAGTACCAAACTCCAGCCATTTGGCAAGGAGGTCATTGCTTTCCTTGGGCTTGACGTTGTCGTCACGTGTGCCAACCGTGATATGAGATATACGGTTGACGCAGGTCCATTTGCCATCCGGATCGACGATGCGGACTACAATGGCCATAATGCGGTTGTCGAATACGACACGCTCAAGCTCGATCTCGCACTCGCCCAGCTTTCCATCGGTGCTTGCAGTCTCGGCCTCCATTTTCACGTATTGAGACCACAGCTCAGGGTGGTCTTTCGAAGATGCTCGGTGCATCAATGTTACGTGGAACATGGGTTGCACACGCCTAGTGCTTTGCAGCTGCTTGTAAAATCTGGATGTACTTGGGTCAACGCCCTTAAAGGCGGCTTCGAGCGCGCCACTAAATTCCAAAAGTCAGCAAGGCCGGCTTTCCGTGAGATAGGATTGCAATGATTCATGCCCAGTTTGACTCACTTAACATCCTTGGCCGGCACCGAGATGGACATGTATTCCAGGGGCTTTTTCTTCTGTGCCTTGCCTTGCTCCTGGTTATGAGCCTGTTTGTCCTTCTTGTTGTCCTTTCGATCTGGAATCGTATGACGCAGATCGGGGGTATACTCCTCTATTGCCGCCTTGATCGCCTCATCCATATCCTCGGAGCTCGGGATGTCAGGCACAAGACGAGGATACTTTTCGTGTAGAGCGTTGATCATGATTTCCAGATTGGTGCGGCTGTCCTTGGACGGGTCGAGATCGATGACCAGGTCAAAACCATCGTCTGGTCTCTGGCTTGCATCACAGGGCTGGAAGCGGTGAATAAAATTTTCCATGATGGCAATGACCTTGCTCTCGTCCGATGCTGCCTGGATGGTTTGGTGGTTGTCGCCGCGCCTGAGGACACGCTCACGTGTCACTCGTCGGACTTCCTCAATGTCTCCATGTGAGAAGTTCATAGCAACGAGTCGGGCTTCTGTATTTTGTAATTTGATGTCTTTGATAATCTGCTCCCGCTCTCGGCGTTCCGAGTTATTCCTGTCGGCAATGACAGCTGGATTCTGAGCAAGGAGCTGCATAACCCCTTGAACCATTCTTGCAGGCCGTCCTTTGCCTTGAATGTTGTCGTTCTGGATGTGGCCCCATCGAAAGAGATGACATAACGCTACCCCAATGGTGGTCTTGCCGCATCCGATAGTTGCAATTGGAACGATGACGATACCGGAATCTACCAGTGCTGCGTCGTCGTCGCCACCAAACTCGGCTTCGCAATTAGCTGCTTCAGACCCCTTCAAATTCTTGAACTTGAGGAAGTCATCTCGCAGCGCAATGATGCCATGATTCTGGTTATACAGATTGCCTAGCTTGGGGTCCTGTGCGAGGCGCTTCCGGGCATAGAGGAGGTACTCTTCGGTAATTTTTACGTGCTTCTTGAACTTTTGGGGCTTTCCAGCAATGAGCGCCTTGGTACACTCACGCCATTGACGGTACATCAAGTACGGCTCCTCAAACTTGTATTTGAAGAACCAATCATGGTAAGATAATCCTCCATCGGGGTTCTCTGACATCTTGCACCGAATGACGAAGCCCTCCACATCGCGGCCCTCATGAGCGCCAGACTCGGCAACTCCATCCAGGAAGGTCTTAACTGTGTCGATATCATCGAATGACTGAAGGCCGACCTTGCGGAAGCCCCATTCGTCGGCAAATTTCTGAACCTGATCGCTGGGATAGGTCATGAATCTCGGGATGTTGATGTTGATTCCATGGAGATAGAGTCCGGCCTTGTCTGGGGTATATGCAAGCACATGCTCCTCAAAGTCGTCATCACAAAGCTCTGCTACGGCCGTCGCATTCCGTTTTCTCAACTCGCGGGCTAGCTCTGCTCTTGTCTTGCCGATGGTGTGGAGTTGTCTATCCACCCACTTCTCACCCGCCATAGAATGACTCAGCGCGACGTCACTTCGGGGCCCCGTCGAGTGCTTGCTGCATACCAGCAGCGTCTCGTCTTCCAGGCCACCGATGAAGATGATGCATCCATTTTCCTTCAGAGTGAGTTCATAGGGCCCATGCGTCTTCTTCTTAATGTTCTCCCACTTTGTGTCAGAGACCTCACCAGTGTTGAAAAATTTGTCATATCCTCTGATGGCGATCTCGGGCTGGTTTCTCCGATTCTTGGTCGTGAACAGTCCACGGGCGTAGGTTGGTAGATCAGGGCGTTTGTAGTCATAGTCTTGGAATCTCCACGAATCGACAACAATACCGTCTCGCGAGCCGTGGACTTTGAAGCTGGTCTTCTTTGCTCGGAAGCCCTTCTTCGTCTTATTGGACTTATTGTCCAGTCCTTGAATCAATGTGGATATTTCGTGAACATCTTGATCAGCATGAGGCGCCTTCGGTAAATCCATGTTTATTGGATGCTGGTACGAACTCAGTGAAGCAACTGAGGTAGAAATGTTTCTGCAATGGAGGACCTTGCGACGCACTATAAGTAGGTGCTGGTGAGGTCTACTTCTGAGTAAATTGTCGTTCAATCCGAAGTGAAGATGAAGATGGTCTGATGTCGTGTATCTTTGAATATGGCGAAAGGTAAGTTTGAGATTCTTTGTCATTCCAAGGCTCTGTGTGATACCTTTGTATGACCGGGGGCTGGTGTCTTGGGATAAGCTGGGATGAGGTAACCACGATACAGTCGCCGGTTGAGTCACTGAATGGGGAGGCGGAGCCCAAACCCTTCTGCTTAGCTCTGCCTGTTTGCCAATTACGCTTTGGCGAATTCAAGTTGGTCAGATGCGTTCAACATGGGCTAAAAACAAGGAACCACTATGGGGTGGCTAAAATTGGTTGACACGCTCTCCCAGATCTCATTCAGCAATCTTTACTCAGAGTTAGGGCATAGACAGAGGCAGTCTGAGATGGTAGTTGTTGAGGTGTTGATGCATATTACTATATACCATCTACCTGATATTGTGCTTGAGTGCCTATCGATAAAGCCCTGGAGTTCTGAAAGTTGGCGGGGTGGACGGAAAACATTGTTAAGACCGATATAACAAATCTGCAGCATCTTTGAAGCTTGATAATTTTGCTATTACCGATTATCTGTACAAATCATCTACGATCTCTCAAATCTACCTGGAAATTTTGGCTCAAATCGGAACAATGGCGGCAAATGCCAATCCTTTTCTGCTTGCCGCAGACAACAGCCCCGCGCTGTTGCCTCTTCTTCGCGACAATCCGTCCCTAGCATCAGGACAGGACGAACATGGCTATTCCCTTGTCCACGCCGCCGCCAGCTACAACCACCTTGATCTCCTGCGAGCATTGATTAGAGAATTCCACGTCGATGTCAATCTGCGCGATGAAGACAACGAGACGGCGCTTTTCGTGGTGGAAACTGTTGATGCTGCCAAGGTCCTAGTAGAGGAATTGCGAATTGACATATCGGCGAAAAACACCGAAAACGTTACGGCACGACAAAAGATCACAGAGGAGGACGAGTTTCCCCAAGTTGCCGAGTATCTGACGATAGTCGAAGCTATTCGAGCGAATGAACTGCGAAATGGGGAGGTTATCAACGGGACAGTCAACGAAGAAAGCACACCGCTGCCGCCTGCTCCTCATGGCATGACCGTTACCATGGGCACTATGGCACCTGGTGAAGCGGACGGCGCCGAGGTCGACCCAGAATTCCGGCAGCGCATCGAGCAACTAGCCCAACGGGACGACTTTCATACTGAGGCCGGCCAAGCCGAGTTGCGAGCACTAGTCCAAGATGCGATAGGAGATGCCAACCTTGCGGACCGTAATGTTCGCCCACGGCAGGACTAGTGCATTTGTGCTGGTTATTTCGCAACCATTATTCGTGGCCGTGGATATCCCAGAGAAAGTACTCTCCAGGTGAATTGGGTGGTCTGAGTATACTACACTCGGTGCCTTCACCGGAAACTCCTTTTCCAAACGACGCCACACTCAACGAAAACCATGACTGGGAGGACGTAGCCAGGATGATGTCGACCAAGGTTTGTCGTGTCCAGGTGGGAGACATGAAACCTTGCCAGCTAACTTTGCATAAAATAGCTTCTTGCAGTTCTTCCGGGGCTCCCGGTACGGCGTAGCGAGACAGATACGGATCGATCTTATCATCAGCATTAGCCCGTGGACTTTCGAGTCTCAACAAAGATAGCCATTCGTAGATGCATGTGGCGAACTCGACAAGGTTATCGCGCCCGCCACTTTCGAGGATAGCCTGCGGTGGCTTCAAAGATGGCACAATTGCTCGCACCGTTTCAACGTACAAAGGCGAGGAGCTATACTTTGTTGGGAAGTGACTCTGTAGTGGATCCGGATCGGGAGCTGTGGCCAAGTTTAGATGTAGTGAAGTACAGGTAACACAGGAACCTTACTTTTTGACAAGTTGCAGAACAACCAGGTGACAGGCTGGTTGAGTACGTTATCGCAAGCATACACCAACCTGTCGAACCCTTTCTTCCCTGCGAAACTTGACGGATTCCGCAGATCATACTGAACGACTGACGATGTGTCAGTGTGCGTCTCAATATTCGAGGTATACTCGTCCTTACTCCATCTTGGCTTGGTTCCCCGTCTGCCTTTGACTCCGTGTGGTTGTCCGACGATTCCGACTCGCTCATATGTTTCCTTTTCCAGGTACAGCGTGAGTGTACCTTTAAACCATGTGAGCGGATGCACTGTAAAGGAAATACGACAGGACCAACCATCCTTTAGGGTAAAGACATTGTCCGTCCCAATTCTGCCCTCTGACAGCATCATAATGTTTCCGATCTTGATGTATTCCTTGAAGAATTCACCAGAAATGATGTCCCCTAGCTTCATGATGACCCTATAATGCACTGGGCACTGGGCGTCCAGCTTGGCTCTGACCTTCTTGAGTGCTTCTCGAGGAATAACAAGATCAACCTGAGTACTCTTAGCGACTGACTTGAAGATGAGACCTGGCATGGAGGATTCATACCCTGTGGATGAAACCTTGACTGAGAAGCGTGCTCCATGGCTTCCCCTTCGTTGGCAACTGCGTCGGGTCCGGATGGGACATGGTACCGTACGTGAGGAAGCATTTTGCGGATTGATAGACATTTGGCGTTGGAAAAGACAACATCTTGGTTCTCAAAGTAATTTATCAAAGGTACTCTAACCGTATTTGAGGACCTGTGATAAATCGGTATGGAAACCACGGCGCGCGTTTCTAAGCAAGAGAGCCTAGTAACGGTGAGCTGGGCCAAATTCTTTTCAATGTCATGGGGCATGCAGTTATCGGTGTATATGCAATAACTGTATCTAGCGGCTACTTTTCACCCCGCGACTTCCCAGAACTGACACTATCCAACTTTTCACAACGGGACGTATTTACAGAGGAGAGCTGTTCGGTATTTCCCATCGTGCAGGATTACAGTCCTGGCAGAAACTTGACCGACGTCTCTTCCAACTTGCGGATGGGATGGACTGATCGGAAGAAAAATTCAACATTGAGGCCGGCATAGTCACTCCTCAGAAATAATTTTTATAAATATCAACAGAACTGCACCAGAGTTTATTCAACATGGAGTACCTCATTCGTTTCAGTCAATCTCATGAGACTTTTCGCGTAGCAGAGATCCAGGCGCTCGCTATCGTTGCTGGTTTCAATATGGAAATTATCCATTATGATGCGGAGGTGAAAGCCCATCTCATCCATATTAGATCAACTCACTCACATTTGCATAGTCGCCTTTCTGTGTCGTCCGCCTTCCCTCGGAAGAAGCAGCCCGTACACTTATAAAACGCTCCATAATCGCACAATCCATTCATGAACACTGGGGCACAGGCGGCACGTTCGATGAGCTGCACGCAGAAGTCAAGAAGAAGACCTCTGAACTATGGCCAAAATACAAGACGGCAAGCTTCAAAATCTCCCTAGACAACTACCAGGGCACCAGACCGAACAAGCAGAGAGTTGCCCTATTCAACTCCTTCTCCTACCTCCCATTCTCAGGAGAGATCAAGATGAAAGATCCAGATGAAGAGTTCACTATTTTCGAGCAATGGGATTTCAAGGCAGTCGAACGCAACCTGCCTGCTCCGCTAAAAGTGCATTTTGGACGATACATTGCTCCGTCCGGGAGAGATTTGTGCCTAAAGTTTGATCTCAAGAAACGTGGGTATATTTCGACAACGTCTATGGACAGTGAGTTAGCCCTCATAACGGCAAATATCGCTCTTGCCGCCCCAGGAAAACTCTTCTACGACCCATTCGTGGGCACTGGTAGCTTCCCTATTGCTTGTGCCCAATGGGGCGCCCTGGCATTCGGCAGTGATATTGATGGAAGGAGCATAAGAGGCGAGGGAAAGAAGAAGAGCTTGAAAGGGAACTTTGAGCAGTACGGCCTGCAGCAAATGCTAGGTGATATGTTCGTGTGCGACTTAACAAACAGTCCCGTGCGGCGGAGACGTATACTCGATGGCATTTTGTGTGATCCTCCGTACGGCGTCAGAGAGGGGTTAAAGGTGCTGGGTTGCAGAGACCCGGAGAAAGAGCCCTGGGTTGTGGAAAAGGGGAAACTCATCTACAAAGAGCCTGACTTCATTCCACCGAAGAAACCATACAGCTTCCTCGCCATGTTGGATGACATATTGCAATTTGCAACGGACACTCTGGTCGACAATGGCCGACTTTCTTTTTGGATGCCCACAGCCAATGATGAACAGCAAGAGATGGGCGTGCCGACGCATCCCTGCATGGAGAATGTAGTCGTCTGCACTCAAGTTTTCAACAAGTGTAAGTGCAAACACACAAAAGTCACTTGGCACAAATGGATAGAGCTGATATATAAAAGGGACGCGGAGACTTATTACCTACCGCCGGCTGCCAGACTCAGAAGTGGATTCTGAAGCCCTGGCACAGAAACGATCCCATGTTCCGACCAACGGCGTTACCGCCGATGAGCTGAACCCATTTCGCCGCCATTACTTTAATGGTTTCCGAGCCCAGGCTGCTGTTGACTCTGCGATTGAGGCCGCTCCCAAATAAGACGACTGAGTTCTCGACAGTGGTTTTGTAGCTGAACTAGCGCGAGGCCCCTATGGCAAAGCAAACTTGTCATTGGGCAAATGTTGGATATCCAATGCCTTGTTACTCGTCACCCATCAAGGTCCCAGCAAGATGAGCAGCTCTATTGTTAATTATGGCGACACATACCCTGCAGATGAGATAAGGAGCTACATCAAGTTGCTGGTCTGCTGCTTCACAGTACCCCAGGGTAGCCTCGCGCTTTTCTTGAACGTCAAGCTGAGTCCTTCGCGGAAGGTCGAAACAGGTACAACCTAGTAGGACCTGCATCACGCCTGTTTGTTGTCTCACAAGCTTAGCTGAGAGGCGTACGGAGGAGACATGTTCTATGAAATACACGATGCCGGCATAAATTTAGTTCAGTACACCGATCCGTGATAAACTGATCAATTTAGCATTTGCTGATTACTTATGTATGCGCCCCAGTCTTTGCAAGCTTGATGCCTTCTAGTTTGGCGTGAATGGAGAGAAACTTGGGCACGGAAGCCGCTTACTAGACCGGCGTCGAGCTGCTGGGACAATTGCCCCAGGCCGTGCGCATGCAACTGACATCTAAGCCACCGGTTCTCCCGGATCACATGGATGAACGACGCAGTAAACGGCCCCTGCTCAGAGGACTAGACAAATCAGCTTTGGGCTGCAAAGCATCGAGTACTTGATGAGGGAGACGGTCGAGGTGTAAACAACGGGACCGCCATGACGGAAGATCGCTACCACGATCGGCCAGTAAAGACAGAGACAAAAGAATACATTGTGGCTTCCGAGGCAGACATGGTCAGCATCTATAAAGCAATGAGCCTCTCAGGTTCTGAGTTTTCCGCACTCAAGATGTCTTGACCGTATACCTTTCAGCCCTGCCTCTGTCTTGAGAGCTGCAGGGGAACATCTGTTGACATTGGTTGGAAGGGACCAGGAAACGCGAAACCTATCTGATATAGGAAAGCTTGCTGGTATGCAAGGTAACAGGCGGCGCATGGGTAGCGGCGAGCTTGTTATTTCCGTTCTCACATCTTCTTGTCGTTGTTCCTTGCATTGAGGCAATTCATCGCGATAGCCGTCCATGATATTCTCGTGGACTTATTAAGTTGACGACCATCGAGAGAAGCACAAGCCAAGAATGCATTGCGCCGTCTCTTCAGTTGCCAGTTGGCAGAGTCTGTGGGTCTAGGCCAATTCCTAGCGCTACAGACTGGTCGTTAAATTCCCCAGTATTCGCTGTCTCCATGCTTGGCTAGCGAATCAATTGACGTCGCTGAACGGGTCGCATCAGGAGACTTCCTCAACTGTATAAGTAGCGTCATAGGGTACCCTGCACGTCGGCGTCAAGGTGACTAGCTCAAGCCGTCTCCTTTCTCGCAACCAACGGCACCGCCTACTTGAATCAACCCATCCATCTTGCCATACTTCGTGATCCGCCATCTCAACTCTCTACGTTTGATCTACTGCCTCGCTCCTTTTAATAAACCAGCCAGATTTCCTGTATCTCTCGTCTCATCAATTAATGGCGTGGGCTGTGTGAGGATGCATAATACTCCCATTTGGTTTTGATTCCTGCCGATCAACGCCATTCTTTCGCTTCTGTTGATAGCCGGCGCTTTGTTCAGCTATCGCAGTATTCCACGGCGAGGATAAGACCTCACTCCGTCATCCCGCTCAAATCCGTTCGGCCGCGCATCGCACTGCGTCGCATTGCATTTCTGGTCGATGGATGGCTAGCAACTTCAATCGCAGCCTATTTGCCTTCGATTCCTTTGCTTCTTGTCCTGTATTTGCCTATTGTCTCTTGTCTTATTCATTGCTAAATTGAATTATCGGGTAACGCGCCTGGGGCAACCTTTCTTTACGAGGGATTGACACTTTAGCCATCACGAACTATGCCCACACCATCGAGCAACCCCCCACCCGAGCTGCCACCGCGGTCATATAGTTCCTCATGTCCAGACGAGCTTCGTGTGGCATCCACTTCATGGCGGCCTGAGGACAACGATGGCATCGACGAGATGAACGTGGACAGTGATGAAACAACGCCGCCCTCGCCTGTCAGCGCGCCGCCCGAATCATCACCTATGGGAGACGCCACGATCGAGTCGCGCTTTACAACCGAATCACCGGGGCCAGATTCGGAAAGCGGCCACTTGGGTACAGCATCTGGAGACACGGACGGCCCATCGCAGTCGGGCAAGCCGATGGGCACAGACGATGATGCGACAACGAGACACGAACTCATGGGCGATGCGACCACTGCGTCTGCAGCAAGCCGGAGGAGTGCAGCGTTCGACGTGGTTTCCCCCGTCAGCGCCGACGGAGGCCAAACAGACGATGCTGTAACCTCCAGCAGAATGCAGGAGGATTACTATGCGCTGCCCCTGGGCTACAACATCTCCAATGTCAGGGTACGTGATCTTCTGACGACAGACGCCGCACACCAAGTAACCCTTGTATATGTATAAGATGAGATTACTGACGACTACCATCAGATAACACCGACTTCACCTTCGTCATTCCTGAGGCCGGGCAGCAAATTCCATGGCACACAGCAGTCTGAACGGCAAATCTACGACGTACAAGTCGAGATCAAATACGTCGACTTGCGCGAGTCATATCTTTGCGGCTACTTGAAGATCCAAGGTCAGTCTACAGTGCTCTAGTATTCAGTCGCAAATAGCATGGTACATGGTGGAGACCATCACGCCGTTGCTGTCAAAGACAATAGGACAGACAGGACGTGTGGGCATCGCTATTTCAATGTAGTCAACCTGCTAATACATTCTTTTCGACAGGCCTGACAGAAGATAACCCAACTCTGACTACCTATTTCGAGGGCGAGATCATCGGTTCCAAGTATGGCTTCACCACCAAACACGACACATGGGGCGCCACGGAGAAAATCGATATCAACCATTGGAACAAGTTCAGCGCATTCAGACAGTACTCGAAGCAGGCCCGGAAAGGCCCTGTTCAAATTCACGATTTGGCTAACCAGCAAAATATCTTCATGCGGTGGAAAGAACACTTTCTCGTGCCGGACCATAGGGTTAGGACGATCAATGGGGCCAGTTTTGAGGGCTTTTATTATATTTGTTTCAATCAAGCCAAGGGATTGGTGAGCGGGATTTACTTTCATAGTAAAAGTGAGAAGTGAGTACTGCATTCAATAATGATGTGTTACGTAAATGTATTGTTAACAAAACAGCAGGTTCCAGCAGTTGGAGCTAAAGCATGTCGAGGACCGCGGATGTTTTGGAGCCATGGAGTTCAGATGAAGTATCTGTCGATTGAATCAGGCCAGACCACTGACCACGTTGGAGGATCTCGTGAAAGCACAAAGTTCAAATAGGGCTGACGCATGCCGCCCCAAAGATAAGGATTAATAAGATCCAAGACAGAGGAGGAAGGCGGCGAATTGGCTGGAGAAACCGACAGGTCCGGCGCATGGCCATTCATTACTCAGAACGAACGGCGAAAATACCTAATTGCTGCCATTTAATGGGGTGTTGGGGGGAATTGATACAGCATACGGACAAGGGCATCCCAGCCGAGGCGAAACGGATGATGGACAGGAGTGTAGGGCTGTCAGTCACTAAATGCTTCAAACGTTGACAGTGGAAAAGGGATGAATCCAACGCATCAAGGCTTGTGGTGGTCTCGGCAGTGAATTAGCAAAGAAGCGGCGCATCAAATATGATGCTTCCGCCGGGTATTGATATTATGTCCTGATGTAGGCCGCCTAGCTGTGAGAACTGATAGCAGGCTGAGAAGATATGTACATGATTCATAATGCCTTCCCAAGACTGCGCTATCACCCACAAGTCTGCCACAGGTCTGCTGTGTCTTGGCTCACCGGGCTCGATCCATCATTGACGATGCAGCTACTGCAGCCTTTGCCATCATTCCATGTTGCTCCTTTCAGCAGTGAGGAACAGCGCCCTTCCCTTTTTTGCGACGGATCATCCTTGTTAAACTGGTCGTTAACCTGCTTGAGCTGCTTCGCATTCCAGGTTCCAGAAGTCCAGGCGTGGTAACTTTTTCACAAGTCCATTCCCTCCCCTCAACACCTCAAGAAATAGGCTTGATCTTGAAATGCAAACTCGTCAGACTGAAAACCAACGCCTTCAAGTCCTGTACCAGATAGTAGAAGACGCGCAAGCCCTCGGGGTCGGCCGACTCGGTCACGTCAATCAGACTCCCAATCTTGGCTGTCTCGAAGGAGATGTGATCGTTGCCCATGCGAATCTCGAGCTCCTGCCTCCCGTCCTTGTTCTTCTGGGGCCACTTCGCGTCGTCCTCCTTCATGATCTCAGAGCTCTTGACGATGCGCCGGATCTCGTCCACCACCAGCGACGACACGCACATTTCCTTGCGGATCAGACTGTCATTTCGATAGTTGGAATTATTGGCGTACCGTGCCACCGCCGAGCGCCCGTCACCAACGACACGGATGTCGAATTCGAGGAATTCATGGCCGAAGCGGCCACTGTGGCCAGAGCTGGGGGGCGCGTGTTAGTAGGCGATCTGGAACTGACTGGGGTTGGGGGAGATGTACTAGTAACGCAGGTAAAAAGGCTCGGCTGTTGATGTTGACGCCATCTTGGGATTCTTCTGGCGCGAAGAAGATGTTTAAGACTCTCCAATATCGTGAAAAGGTAATTGACGTAAGACACGAATTATTCACTCAGCCTCGAGGTTGCGCTCAACCAAAGTTGGGACTCGGCAACATTGAACTTGGCGGGGCAGAATCGCCATAATATCAAGGCGGTCAGAGCTCCATGCTATGAGGCTAGCTGTGATCACATGACGGTGGGGCTTGACTGGGGTAGTTTCGGACCCGGAATATCAGTGCCGGAATGACCTCGAGCCAGGCTGGAAAGGCCAGCCAAGCAACGGCGGTCCCAGCTCAGGAGGGACAGATATTCTGTGTGGGATGGCCAGCGTAGCGCAGTGGACATTTTGATATTGGCCAGTTCGAGGCTACGCCGAACATTAGGACAACTCGACTTCGCAGCAATTCAAGCTATCCCAACAACGCCAATCCGCAACGTCGACCTTTCCCCTGGGATGCAGACCTTAACTGCATTGCCTGTTATCGAGTTTTCACCCGTCTTTTCAGACAACCGAACGTCACGTAATCTGTAACCCGTACGTGTTTCCGGCACAGTGCTCTCCTAGCTTGGATACAAGAACCCCATAATATATACCCAGCAATTGGGCGTCTAACACCTACGTACCGCCAGACAACTGCGACGAATTGTCCCTCTGCACAACATCTCCTGATACCCCCTTTGACGACGCGGTCGAGAACCGCACCATTCGCCCATCATGTCGACCTTTCTTGACAACGCCTACAGCTTGGTCCACCAGGACAATGCTGCCGATGTGCCTACCCTGACGGACCTGCGCAACCAGCTGGAGAAGGGAACAGACGAGAGCAAGGTTGACACCATGAAGCGCATTTTGACGGTCATGCTGAACGGCGACCCAATGCCCCAGCTGCTCATGCACATTATCCGCTTTGTCATGCCCTCCAAGTACAAGCCGTTGAAGAAGCTTCTGTACTTCTACTACGAAATCTGTCCCAAGTTGGATGCTCAGGGCAAGCTCAAGCAGGAGATGATTCTGGTGTGCAATGGCATTAGAAACGACCTGCAACATCCAAACGAGTACATCCGGGGCAACACACTACGTTTCCTCTGCAAGCTGCGCGAACCTGAGCTGATCGAGCCGCTGCTGTCCTCAGCACGCCAGTGTCTCGAGCACCGACACGCCTACGTCCGAAAGAACGCCGTCTTCGCCGTTGCTTCCATCTACCAACACTCGCAATCACTCATTCCGGACGCCTCTGACCTGATCGCCACCTTCCTCGAGACCGAGAGCGATGCCACTTGCAAGCGCAATGCTTTTGCTGCCCTTTCTTCCATAGACCACGACAAGGCGCTGGCATACCTCAGCCAAGTCTTCGAGGGAATCCCCAACGCAGAGGAGCTGCTCCAGTTGGTGGAACTCGAGTTCATCCGCAAAGATTCTGTTCAGAACTCGCAGAACAAGGTGGGTCATGACTGCCATTCGTTGCTGAACAGAAAGCATTGCCCATATTAACACATTGCCAGGCACGATATTTGAGACTCATCTTCGATCTTCTCGAAGCCGGCGCATCGACTGTCGTATACGAGGCCGCCTCATCACTCACAGCCCTGACCAGCAACCCCGTTGCAGTGAAAGCCGCTGCTGCCAAATTTATCGAACTCAGTATTAAGGAGGCAGATAACAATGTCAAGCTTATTGTGCTTGAACGCGTGGATCAGCTCAGGCAGAAAAATGAAGGCGTGCTGGACGAACTCATTATGGAGATACTCCGCGTTTTGTCCAGTCCCGACATTGATGTGCGAAGAAAGGCTCTTAGCATTGCCTTGGAGATGGTCTCCAGCAAGAACGTTGAGGAGGTGGTCTTGCTGCTCAAGAAAGAGCTGTCCAAGACCGTCGATCAGGAGTACGAAAAGAACGCCGAATACCGTCAACTGCTTATTCACTCGATCCATCAATGCGCCATCAAATTCTCCCAAGTTGCTGCCAGCGTGGTGGACCTCCTGATGGACTTCATCGCCGACTTCAGCAACACCTCCGCAGTCGATGTTATCAACTTCGTCAAGGAGGTTGTGGAGAAATTCCCCAAGCTGAGGCCGTCCATCGTCGAGCGCCTCGTTGCAACGCTCAGTGAGGTCCGCGCTGGTAAGGTCTACCGCGGAATCATCTGGATCGTGGGAGAGTACTCTCTGGAGGAAAACGACATTCGGGATGCCTGGAAGAGGATCCGTGCTAGTCTGGGAGAGATTCCCATTCTAGCTTCGGAACAGCGACTGCTGGACCACGCAGATGGGGACGGGGAGAAGGACAAGGAGCAGGTTAACGGTCACTCCAAGCCAGCAGCCCCGTCTGGTTCGAGGAAAGTGCTTGCCGACGGTACCTATGCCACCGAGACTGCTCTAACCAGCTCCGCCGCAGCTGCCGCGAAGCTGGAGGCCGTCAAGGCAGCACAAAAGCCACCTCTGCGACAGCTCATCCTCGATGGTGACTACTACCTGGCAACCGTCCTCTCTGCGACTCTTACCAAGCTTGTCATGCGGCACTCGGAGATCTCGCCTGATAGCGCGCGCACAAACGCTTTGAGGGCCGAGGCTATGCTTATTATGATTTCCATCATCCGCGTTGGCCAGTCTCAGTTCGTCAAGGCACCCATTGACGAGGACTCGGTCGACAGAATCATGTCTTGCGTCCGATCATTAGCAGAGCTCGCCAAGAAGCGCGAACTAGAGTCCGTTTTCCTCGACGATACCCGAAAAGCCTTCCGTGCTATGGTTCAGGTTGAGGAGAAGAAGCGTGCCGCCAAGGAGGCCCACGAGAAGGCCAAGACAGCCATTCAAGTTGACGATGTCGTACAGATCCGTCAGCTCTCCAAGAAGAACGTGGGCGACGGCACCGATGAGATCGAGCTTGACCTTGAGAAGGCCACAGGTGGTGATGCACCATCAGAAGATCTGTCGTCGAAACTGACCCGGGTTGTGCAACTCACTGGTTTCTCGGATCCTGTCTATGCCGAGGCATATGTCAAGGTGCACCAATTCGATATCGTCCTCGACGTCTTGCTGGTCAACCAGACTACCGAGACATTGCAAAACCTTTCAGTAGAATTTGCAACTCTGGGAGACCTGAAGGTGGTTGAGCGTCCGACCACACAAAACCTGGGTGCCCACGACTTCCATAATGTGCAGTGCACGATCAAGGTCTCCTCGACTGATACCGGTGTCATCTTTGGCAATGTCGTATATGACGGTGCCCACAGCACCGACACAAACGTGGTTATCCTTAATGACCTCCACGTCGATATCATGGACTACATCCAGCCAGCCACGTGTACGGAGACCCAATTCAGAACGATGTGGACCGAGTTCGAGTGGGAGAACAAGGTCAACATCAATTCGAAGGCGAAGACTCTTAGGGAGTTTTTGACACAGTTGATGGCATGCACGAACATGAATTGTCTCACACCCGAGGCAAGTTTGAAGGGCGATTGCCAGTTTTTGAGCGCGAACTTGTACGCGAGAAGTGTGTTTGGTAAGTTCTCGTCCCTACCACTATTTCCTACCCTTGCTTTTTCAACGAAGAGAATCCTGACAGCATGACAGGGGAGGATGCTTTAGCCAATTTGAGCATCGAGAAAGAAGGCGACGACGGCCCCATCACCGGTTTCGTCAGGATAAGAAGCAGGTCTCAAGGTCTAGCCCTCAGTCTGGGTAGTCTGAAGGGCTTGAACAAGATCGGAACGGCGGCTGCTTAGGAGGCACCGTGGGCGGGGACAAGTGGATGTGAGGTAGCTACTGTATAGACAGGTCAAGGAGTCTTTTCTAAGCATATCGGACTGCAAAAGTTAAGGTAGTGTTGATCTCTATAAGGTGAAGATCGCTTGACAGTAGAACTAAGCCAAATCATAACATCTTAATTTCTATGCTGTGAACATCTCGTACACTCGAGTTTTAGCAGGTATTGTAATGCGTTTCTTCCCGAGTTAGTAAAGCGAAGTTCGAGCGGGAGCATACATCCGTCCTAACTTAAGCAGAGCAAGCAGGTAGAAGGCTGAAGAATGGAACTCGAGATGTCAGATACTGATGGAGATACCACATTGTTCTGGCATTGGGAATATAAATAGATTGCTTTACTGTATCTAACACGGGCTACTAGTGGTACATCTACTATACTACGATGGACCAAAAAGGATGATACGACTCTAGATATTTATAATGGATAATGACGCTATCGACTATGGTTATACCACTGATTCCTGTGGGTAGTTCATTAGAAAATGCTTTCTCGACACCGACGTGGTGGAGGCAAAAGACACAGGAAAATAGAATAAGACCCAGTCACCTCAAACCAACAACATGTCTGCAGTTCGCCATAAAGTCTTGTTAGGAATTATCCACTCCAGAATATCAAAATTACTGCTGGACTCATGGTGCGTATCGAGGTCCCTTGAGATTGCCTCAGATCAGGCATGTTCCGTCCATACCAGCCAAAAGATATGGAGTTGGTTTCCTGCTCGATGCCCCAGTCCCTCTCTTCCCAACGGTGTGGAACGACTGTATTATTGGGGCACGAAAGATGTTGGTGCTTCACTGCTAGTGTTCACCTACCTATGGACGGATAAATTCGGTGGCATGTAATGGGTAAAGACGCTCTGTTCGAGCCAACATCAATTGGTATTTACTTTAAAAACGGTGGTACTTTTTAGGATGTAACTGGCCATACCTAACTTGTGTGTGCAGGTTGAATGCAAGTTCGGAGGCTACCGACGTAGTCCGCTTACAATCACTCGCAGCAGAGTATATGTAGGCGTGAGAAGTTATAAAAGGAGTAAAGACCGTAAGGTTCAGATGCAGTGTGTCTCTTCAGGAATGCTCGTTGAAAAATATGGTCTTATCATCTTGGCCCAACATCTCCGGAAGATCGACCAGTGAACTAAGCCGAGGTCCGAGTGACTCTCTGGACACTGCATCGCGTTCGGCATGCCTACGCGGTACCCATCATGATGTTGGGTCGCACAGTCACACCTATCAGATCATCTTACTGCATTTTTGAGCATGGAAACAGTCGGACACTGCGTTTCCAAGTTGAGAATTTATCCCTCGCTTCAAATTGCCCGCACCCGGTAGTTTGGAGTCACAGGGTAAGGGCGTGTAATCACGGATGTCGTCACAATTGGTTGGGTGAAAATGCGTCGTTCAGCTGAGTGCTGGAAATTCGGGTATTCTTTTTCTCAGCTACATGCAGTGATGGCTGTCCTGGCTGGTCCAATAGTTCAAATCAGGAGATACATTCGAGGCGAGGCCGTCCATTTCCACCAGTTGGCTCGATTCTCGAAGGACAGTTGCATGGAACGATACCCGCATCTGATACACAAAATATTTTTGACTTATTTGGAGCATCTCCATGGCGTTGTACATAGACTTTTTTGATCTCGCAAAATGAGGGTCCTGTGTGCTGTGTGCCGGACTTCTGAGGCTCAGCATGCCACAAGTGAGTCCTAGTTTATAATGGAGCAGTGGTAGATACTTACAAGAATACAGTATGTGTGCCCATAGTCAATGATTGCTATAGTCTCATTGTTGGCACTGTGACAAGCTCAACGACAAACTCATTCTGCTCGACTTTTTCTACGACAACGACAACTACACTCACCGCAATCACCTCAGTGGCGGAAACCGTTACAATAGCACCTTTCACCACGACCGTCACCAAGTTGGAGAGCAAAACATGGAGCTTAATCGAGCAATCGCTAGGTGGTATTTAAAAAAAACCCAACAGTCACCATGTAAGTGACGGAACGAGTGTGCTATAGTCATCACTGCCGGTCCGCATTTGCACACAACTACACAACCCAAACTAACACTACATACCCAGCACATCTATCTCCCGTGTGTTTGCAACCAGCATTGCTAGACGGGACGAAGTCACCATTTCGGCGTGCAACACCTCCCAGAGCAGACTCGCATGCTCATGTCTCCTATCTCCCGCTCCAACCACGGCGACTTCGACAGCCTACAAAACGGTGACGGAAACCACTCGAACGCAGACCGAATTGGTCGATCTTGCCACAAAATTCGCCACTAAGACCAAGAAAATTTTTCTCCGTGTCAAAGGTTACGGCATGTTGGTCGCCTTCTAATGAGATGAAGTTGTGTAATGACTGACCGTGCGTGTGAAACAGGATCTGGGCCCGGCAACTAGCACGGTTACAACCACAGTCGTTGTGACTGAGACTTTGCGGGCATAATAGACAAATGCATGGCGAAAAGGAGAGGTGGATATTCATGGGCCGGGCTTGGGATAAAAGGGTCTGAGGCCTCGGGGCCAGATTTTGATCTAGTATAAGTAGTCTTATTGAATCCCAATTCCAGCTCTGAGCTGCGTTGATTTCAAGCCACTAACGTTTACTTCCTGTTTGTCCTAAATATTATCTATAGCCTAGAAGTCTACCATTGTTTTGGCTGAGTGCTGCGATAGTAGAGTGCAGTAGTGTATGAGACATTTAACACCCGTTCGCAATCGACTCGCCCATTTTCTGCATGATCTGGGTCATAACTTGTATTTGCACAATTAAACTGTTTTTCAAATCGCGCTTAGCACGTAGCGGATAATCTTCGACTCATTCAAGAGGGTCATCAGAATGAACCGTCGTGGGCTGCGTATTTTAAGCCATATTTATACTAGCGATTTATGATAGTTTTGAGGCGGCCTCCAAATTTCTGATGTATGTAGAATACAAGAGCTCCTGTATTTATTGACGTCCACCCCTCGAAATTCATAGTTCCAACGGGCTCTGATGTGACGGTTATATTGTTCAAGTCCCCTTGTTAATAATGGACTTTACCCCAAATACAATCCTTAGGCCCGGGAGAAGTGGCTCATACGGTTGTGGGCACCAAATTTCGGAAGCAGCGAGTGAGTTTGTCATTCAATTTCTTGAGGATGAATGCGTCAAGTAGGGCTACGACAAGCGCGTAACCTATCGGAGATCGACTCGATCAGCGTCTGCACTAGTTTTAGGTCCAACTCTGCCCATGGCAACTCAACTAATGCTCTGGCATAAGCGTGGTCGGGTACATTTCTCTTAAGAATGACAAAGTCGGGCTTAAGCTCGTGAATCGTCTCTTTCAAAGATTCTCATATATGCCCAATTCAATTAGGTTAAGATCAGGATGTGAGTAAGTCAGTCGATTACCCAGATACCGTGATCCCAAGCCACTCTGGAGAACCGCCTGTGATGAATCCGTCTGTTATATTGCATAAATAGATCGTCTATTTCATAAAACATAGGCAGACCTTCATCGTGGACTTGCTGGTATTACTTTTCGAATACTCCTCCTCTTGGAGCCTCTAGGTCGCCTTCGCGAGAGACGATTTTAGAGATACCCTTGCCATTCTTTGAGGCCGTGTCGCTATAAATACGCTTGGCGCAGGCGGACTTGATAGATAGCTCGATCCTTCTCAATTATAAGTATCGGGGATGTCTTCTCGCGCGCAATTTGAGTTTCGTTTCTGATGAGCCGTTTTAGCTGAGGTTCAAAATCTCAGCCAGTCTAGCGGTATTTTAAGGAAAATAAATGCTCTAGGGAATGTCGCAGTAGGAGAAGCCAGTGTTGCCAGGATATATATGGCGTTCAGAGGCTGCAGCTCCCTTCATGTGATCAATAGTCGACTTTTGGGGAATGTAGCGACGCATATACTAGTCCGAATACCTAGCTGACTATTTCAGTATGGGACTCACGTCACTGGGCGTATATCTCCACATATGAAAAAGTTAGAAGCGTGAAAACATCCGCATTTTGGTACGCAAATGGATTTGCAAGGGTGTCGCAAGTTGAGCGATATTGAAATCTAGGGTGCCTGAAGAGGTAACGTCCCACACCCACATCCGGGACACCCCCACATGTGGGACACCCAAAAATGCCTCATCAACTCCGCTAGCCTCTAACTTCAACCTGTTTTTTCTTTACCAATATCGATTCAATCGTTACGAAATTTTACGTACGTCTTCTTTACACTAATATGAGTCAATATACCGAAGATGATATTTATCGAGCTCTTAAAGCAATAGCTACCGGTCAAAGCCTCCGAAAAGCAGCATATGAGCATGGTGTCCCAAGGTCTACTCTTTCACGACGGATTCAGGGAGCCCAGTCAAGAGATATAGCCTTCGCTGACTACCAGAGGATCTCTCCAGCCCAGGAATCTCATCTGGCTGAATGGGTTCGAATCCAGGCTGCCCTTGGCCTCCCAACAACCCATCAACAGCTCAAAGACTTCGCCGAGCGTATCCTACAGATTCACGGAGACACCGAACCACTTGGAAAGAACTGGGTCCAGGCTTTTATCAAGAGGAACCCGTCAGTCAAGGTCCAGAGAAGCAGAGCTATCGATTCCCAACGTATTAATGGAGCCTCAGCTAATGTGATCAGGCAATGGTTCAAATACCTCGCTATCCCTGAGATCAAAGCTATTAAGGCCTCGAATCGATACAATATGGATGAGACAGGTATTCTAGAAGGTAGAGGATCAAATGGTCTTGTTCTAGGATCATCTGAGACTCGTTCTATACGGAAGAAACAGCCTGGATCTCGAGCTTGGACATCTCTTATAGAGTGTATCTCTGCGACTGGTACTGCACTACCCCCACTTGTGATATACAAGGGGAAGTCTGTCCAGCAGCAGTGGTTTCCTCTGGACTTGACTCCATACGAAGCCTGGAGGTTTACAGCAACAGAGAATGGGTGGACGTCAGACTCTACGGCTATTGAGTGGCTACAAAAGATCTTTATTCCTTTGACTCAACCAGAGGACCCTGAAGAGACTAGGTTACTTATCCTAGATGGGCATAGTAGCTACGAAACGACAGATTTTATGTACCTCTGCTTCATAAACAAGATACACTTGCTTTTCTTGCTGCCACACACATCCCACGTTCTCCAGCCTCTCGATCAGTCAGTCTTTGGACCCCTCAAGGCAGCCTATAAGAAGGAGCTTGGTTACCTTGACTGATGGGATACTACTACTGTCGTAGGGAAGAGAAACTTTCTCCTCTGCTATAGAAAGGCACGTCTAGCAGCATTGACCGCTAAGAACATTATCAGTGGATGGAAATATACTGGTCTCTGGCCTTCGAGCATAGCTAGACCCCTTATGAGCCCCCTGCTCCTTGAGAATACGTCAGCACCAATCAGACAGCCTAGTCAGACTTGCAAAGGGTACTCTGATAGTGAGGGTAGTCAGGACTGGGAGTTAGAGACATCAGCAGTAGCCTAGTCAACGCCTAAGAGGAGAGATGAGCTCCAAGATCAAATCAGCTTATTCAGCAAGCTTGATAGTGATCCAAATAACCAGCGGCTACTCTTTCGGAAAGTTCAAAAGGGCTTTGATGAGAAGGACTACCAATTAGCTGTCGCACAGCGAAAGATTGAGGTAATAGAGGCAGAGCTTGAGGCTAGTAGGGCTAGGAAGCGGAGGAAGGTCGAGATGAGCCCAAATTCGAAGTTTACTAATATTAAGGCTATTCGGAAGGCTCAAATCGAGGCTGGTGAAATTGAGGATAGTACAGATGAGTCTAGCGAGTCTGAAAACCCTAGTGACGGTGAAAGCTGTATTGTAGTCGCATTAGAATAAGTGTAAAAAAGGTTGAAGTTAGTGGTTATAATATACAGCATCATTTTTAGGGCGTCCCACATGTGGGGGTGTCCCGGATGTAGGTGTGGGACGTTATTAGGTGCGGATTGGAGCTCGGAACTCTCAGATAAGCCCTGAAAGAGTTTCCTGCGACTTATAGTCTGGAGCATAATCGGCAACCCATTTCTAAGTCGCACTGTAATACCATCCTAAAGACCTCTTAATTTACGAGAGGCTTAGGACCTCTAGTCTTGACTAGAGATTGAATAGCAGCTATAGGATAATTTACGTGTAAGTCGTCGTTATACGAGAACGGCCGAACCACGCCAATAGCGCTGTAGGATCTGCGGAGAGCTCAGAAAAAATGCTCGCACTTGTCAGAATAAAAAAGATGCGTACGAAGAAGAGGATTACGATTAGTTTGAATTGATGTTTTTGGTTATGGTCAAGTTATTGAAGTTATTCGTACGGCGCCAAGACAAAGTGGTCAACTTGCTTGTAGGATACGTTAGCCATTTTGTTAATTAGACTATTTCTTGCAGAGGATTAATATTAAAAACACTATGCGAATGATAAGTCCAGCCCTTTCAAAGAGCACTTATCAACTGGGAATGACGTGGATCGTTCAAGAATTAGAAGGCACACCTCACCAAATCGCGTGGTTTAGATTTACCCACTACTCATTGGCTTTGTTTCGATACTATACATGTGTAATAAAACCACTTGCGGTACTTGTAATTTCAGGCATCGAGGCTTACTGTGCTTTTTTTATAATGTCAGCTCCACTACTATGTCTCTCCTCATATTGTTACAATATTATTACATTCATCAGGGTGACAGTGTCCCATTTTGCTTCATCTTGCCCCTTTTCATCCTAAAGGGTTCGTCGTCACCACTTCCTTGTCGACTTCGGTCTGGTCATTTCTCCGCAGCTGAGCTATCAAACTTCTTCTCTTGCGCCTCGGCAGCAGCCTCAGCAGTGGCCATGTTGTTTTTTCCTTTCTTGACGTTCTTCCATTCTAGCGTAGCGCAGCCAAGAACGGAAATGCAACAAAGGATCAACGCAATACAGAACACCTCCTGCAGCGACTTGTTGTAAGCTACAAGGATAGTCTGTCGGAACTGTAATGGTAGGATATCTACTAGTGACGTGGCAACACCCGATGTAACGAGACTCGGGTCGAATCCAGGCATCCCGGTAAGCCTTGACAGAAGTTGATTGCTCAGGACGTTCTCTCCAACAGAGACGAAGATGGTAGAGGCCAAGAGGTTGCAGAACAGCATCAGGGACAGGCCAATCGGAACATCCATTTTCGGCAGAACAGCCTGCACAGTGAGATTCGGTACTTGGAAACAGACGTCCATACCGATGCCATAGAGAATCTGGTAACCGATCCACTTCCCTGAGCTGGTATCAAGCGGAAAGGTTGTAATTAGCCCAGCCCCGACCGACATGAGGCAGGACCCTACTATCACGAGTAGCGTGTAATATCCAACCTTGGAATTCGTGAAACCACCGACAAGGGATCCGACAATCATCTTTATCATTGTGGGTAAGAGTCGAATACCAGATTGTGCAGAGTCGACACCTTGAACAGACTGGAACCAAGTCGGAAGGTAGTAAACTGTCATCGGTGTTAGTTAGAGACTCACGTCGCACAGACGATGTCATTTTCTTACCAAAGATGAAGTTCCCTGCACTTATACCGAAGGTTACCAGAATCGCAGAAAGGACACTTCGCTGCTTGAAGATACGTGGGGAAAGTGTGGCTGTTGCAGGCATCCAGATTTGAATAGCAGCGAAGGCAGCCAGCAGTACGCCTGCAAAGGCCAACAGTATAATAATACGCCATTCGTTCCACTGTAGACTGTCAGTGGATCCGAAAATCGAGTCGAGAACCATGTGACGATGAGGCTGTGCGGGCAGAACTTACAGTATACGTTTGGCCACCCCATTGGAGTGCCAGCAGAAGACAGACAAAACCAGGTATGAACAGTGCGGTACCAACAAAATCAAGTTTCTTGAGCTTCTTGGACAGTGGCAGCTTGGTCGTATCTCGGTCTGGAATCTTGAGAAGGAGGGCAATGACAGCTATGGCGACGCTACTAATGGGGAGATTAAGGTAAAAGCACCATCTCCAGGTTACTCTCGAGGTTAAACCACCGCCAATCAAAGGTCCCGAGATGGATGCAACGCCGAAGAAGGCACCGAAAAAGCCTTGGACTCTTGGACGGATATGCAAAGGCACGGCGTAAATGATGCATACAATCTTGACAGCATGTACGTCAGTATGTAAGAGACTTGGAAGACTGGATGGGGGATGGTAAACAAAAGCCTACCGATCCAGCGAAGATACCGGCGGCGCCAACTCCGCAAATTGCTCTGCCAACGATGAATGCCGTCGAGTTCGGAGCCACCCCACAGAGGGCGGAGGCGGCCTCGAATATGAGACTGCTTGTCAGAAGCACGGTTTTCACGGGAAGAAGGTATAAATCTTCCCAAATAGCAGCTGGAACGCGCATGTTGTCAAGAGGTACGATTTTCCGTACCAACCGTAACTGGAAAGGGCGTTGAACTCGTCAGTGATTACAGGTATGGCCTGGCCAGTCCAAGTCAGCCCGCAGTCTCGACGTTTTCATGCCTGCATATGTAAGTTACGTACCGTTGAGACGATGCTTCTGTCCAGAGCAACCAAAAATGAGCCGAGAAGAACCAAGATTAAGAAGAGCCAAGTTTTCACGCTCGTCTCGGGTTCAGTTTGGGCAGGTTTGGTGGCATCGTCCTTAATGGTGGTAGTTTCGTGGGAGGGCTGCCGTTTGGCGTTGTAACCAAATCAGATGTGTTGTCATTTTGAGGAATAGTTGGAGTAGCTGGACTTTCAGACGACGCCATGTTAACGTTTTGTTGCTTTTGTGATCCTGTTTCAATCATACACTGTTGTAAAGTTCGCTCGTCCGAAGAGGACTGCAGAGAAAGGAAACGAACAGTTGAGGCTGGCGTACTTGAAAGCGTATGCTCGCTTGCTAGTGGTAATATTGTAGGAGCAGAGCAGAGGCTTCCAAGCTTATTCGACAGTTATTGTAATTTGTCGATGCCGTCGTTGATCTGTTCGGGACTTGCCAAAGCCTGCTTCCAATGTTATAATTGCGCACGAAATTTTCCATCAGGGTCTATCAAACAAATAGATTGGAGATGTGAGACAGGCACATAGAGACCTACCAGGCAGATTGATCGGGTTTTGCTATCTCCCGTGTTGGTAGCCATTCCGGCGATAGAAGTTCGGATACGCTACCCCGGTGGGTTCTGTATGGGTTTGCAGTCCAGCACCAGTTGGTACTAGCATTTTGTAGTAGAGAAAACTCGTGTAAACTTCGATTTAATAATGTAGCGAAAAAGTGATCCAGGTATCGATAGATCGCGTTATATTTTTCTTATAATCAATGGCATAATTACTAGAGTAAGTACCGGAATGTTATGATTATTATTATTATTAAATACGGCGTAGGCTCAAAGCCCACGGTACCTCTACTAGTACTCCCGTATATCAAACCGTTCCCTAATAGCTGGACTAAATATATACGCTACGTGGTCAATTCGCCCTATTAGCGACGTTACGTTTGCTACTATACTTATTATTAAATACGCCGTAGGCTCGAAGCCCCCGGTACCTCTACTAGTACTCCCGTATGTCAAACCGTGCCCTAATGGCTGGACTAAATACATGCGCTGCGTCTTCGGTTCGCCCTATTGGCGACTGCGTTGCGTTCCCTACCATACTACGTTGGTTCTCAACCTACCAACAAAGTCCCCCCTGAGAAGATCGATGCTATCTGGGCCTTGAAGCTGTCCGACCCGTCCCTAGCAGCCACCTTACAATAGTCCCACTAACTACTGGTTCTCCTGTTGCCGTTGCGAGGTCTCTGCGAGAGTATAGTGGCCGTGGTGCGATGGCGGCCCGTAATCGTTCCCTCGGTCCTTCCAACAGCCCGCAAAAGAGGATTACGTGCTCTGCCGTCTCAGGGGCGTCGCCACAGCGGCATAGCGGCGATTACACGCCAAAAGCCCCTGTCTTGAATAAGAAGGCTGCTAGTCCTATTTTTTCCGTCCTGATCTGGCACAGCGTAGACGCCTCCAGTCGGTTCAGGCCGAAATACTTGCCCCCTTTCGGTATCTGCATCGAAGGGCCCTACGGTTCCTCAGCGATAGCGCGTCGCTGGCGATCGTGATGCTCTGCTCCGGTGAGCCATCTCTTCCTCCAGTGGCCGAGGAGGAGGGCATCGGGGACCTCCTTTTCCTCACTCATCCACTCGGAGCCCCGGGCTTCCTTCTCCATAGTGTACCCTGCCGGTCGGAGTAGCTGCGACGCCTGCTTCCTCTTCGCCGGCCTATCCTGCCGGAGTATATGTGACGCTTAGCGCTCGCGCTGCGAAGCAGATTTCTCTTCCCGCTAAGCCGTAGCCGTTCTTCAAACTTAGCAGGCCGGGCACTAAGATAGAGGTCTAGTGGCGGGATTGCTGCTTCTGCTTCCAGGTGGCGAAGCGGCGTCGCTTTGTGGGCGCCACAGACTACCCGGAGGCACTCGTTCTGTATTCCCATCAGGCTCTTAGCTGGCCCTGCCGGTTCCTTATAGTATGCCACGCAGTCGCCCCGAAGGTGATCGCGCTACGGAGAACCACCGTATATAACAGCCTCGCCCGTATAAGATCGCAGCCCCACGACATATTGACTAGCTTTTTCAGGACTAGCTTTTGAGTTGCCATTTTTATTTTAACACGCTCAACATGGGCGTGCCACATCAGTTTGCGGTCGAACCAGACTCCTAGGAACCTCGCTGAGACTACCGGCGACACTGTGGCGTCCCCAAGGCGAATACTTTGCGGCAAGGGCTCTCGGGCCCTAGTAAAGTGCATTAGCTCACTCTTGTCAGGGGCGAACTCCATCCCGTGCCTCACTGCCCACCGCTGACACGTAGCCCATGCGCCCTCCAACCGGCGACAGGTCGTGTCTGGATCGGTGCCGACGCTTAGCAGGTTCGTGTCGTCCGCGAACCCGACTACTAAAAGTAGTGGGTGCTGCTCCGCTAGCTCCTCGTACAGCGTTGAAATGTATAATATAAACAGTATCGGGGATAGCGGTGACCCCTGGGGGACGCCAGCTCGTAGGGGGATTGGCTCTGACTCCTTGCCATCGAACCGGAGGCGTACCATCCTATCCTCCACGAAGCTGCGTACCCACTCCTGAACCCACTCCGGGTAGCCTTTCCGGGCTAATATGGAAATCAGCCGTCTGTAATTGACCGTATCGAATGCCCCCTTGATGTCTAGCTGTAGCAGCGAGGCGATGCCCCCGCGTCTCCACGCCGTATAGACCACGTCCTCAACTATACGTATTGCCAGTTCGGTGGACCTCTAGAATTGGTTGACATTTGAATGTCGACAATGGCAGGACTCGAACCTACGCGGCCGAAGCCATTCGATATCTGAAATATTATTCGAGTCAAACCCAGTAACCACTTTGGTACATTGCCTGATTCGTTCGATAGCTACTATACTACGTTAGTTCTTAACGCACTAACAAAAGCCCCCTGAAAAGATCGAGAATATCTGGACCCTAAAGCCGTCCGACCCGTCCTTAGCAGCTACCTTATAATAATCCCACTAACTGTTTCACGTGACCCCCGTGACTGCGCTTGCACCTCTGGACATACCAAACAACCTAACTAGAAGCATCCAGACGTCCACGGCGAAAACGCGACCGCCAATGGTCTCTAGAGGACAAGTATCTTACATACTGTGATCCAGCGAATCCTCTTCACTTCATGACCATCTGGATGGTGCGTGTATTCTCTGCTAGGCACCGTTTGTTGGAACACTACTCGAGACATGCTTCGTTAGAGGTGCAGCAGACAGAAGAGCAGCGCCAAGCCTCTGTCTCGTGTGCACTAAGCATGCTTGAGTGTGATGCGAAGCTCTTGACCTCACCCGTTGTCAAGGGGTACTACTGGTTCGTTTACTTTCATTTCCCAATGCTTGCACACGTCCATATTCTTCGATATCTGAGAGAGCAGCCCGAAAGCGACCAATCTCGAATGGCTTGGAAAATCCTGAGTGAAAATTATGAGGCCCACGTCATGAAACCAAAATCAGCGGACGCGATCTTCGCTGTCTGTTCCCGCCTCGTCTTGCAGGCCTGGAAAGCACGTGAAGACTTATCGAAACGACAAGGCGAGCCGACGGAGATGCCGTGGATTGTGTCGGATATCCAGGATAAGGCGAGGCAGATATGGACAGGCTTTTCACCCCAGGGTACTGCAGAGCAGCTCAACGGTGTGGTTGGCTCCAGCCTGGATCAATCTTTGACATCAATGTCATCGGATTACACTTGCGAGGGCATTAATTTGCAAGGCTTTGCAAGCTCAGAACCCGGCGGCTACCATGATATACTGACGCCAACTTTATCGGGCTCAGATGCGGGCCAGTTATGGAATCCGCTTGACTGGATATCAATGGGATTACAGGACCAGTGAGTATCATTTCCAAGAACGAAGAGAATAAAATGACCTTCACTCAGAGTAATAGTTGACCTGAACTTGTAAACATGACAGAATGCGTAACAGTTCAAAACCAACCCCTAACCGCATAACCCTTGATTGATTGATTGATTGAAATTTAACGTCTCATCACGTGAGACGTGCCGGGCGCAGTGCCGGCATGGTCTATGCTAGTCGAATCTATGTTACAGGGGACTGTCTTCATCTAACATTCCTGTTCAGTGCGATGGGCAGATCTCAGTAAAGAAATTGGTCTCCTCCGCCCATTGACAAAACAAACGAGCTCCCTTGGCCGTGCCTAGGAGGGAATCTATACTATTCTTGGCCATATGCGCTTTTAGATGACCGGGCGTGGCCTTGCGGCCGCGCTTGCAAAAGTAGAAGTGGACTGGTGTCTTTGTCTTTCCACACCCGCAGTTGAGCAGTGCGTCGCGATGCTGGAGTCTCTCGTGGTAGGTCACGAAATCCCCGTGGTGCGACCTCGCTGCGAGTAATCTGCCTAGGTGTTGCCGGGGCAGGCCAAGTTCGGGGGGTCGCGGGTGGATAGCGATCCCTAGATCTCGATACTGTTGAGGGCAGGTAGTGGCCCATCGATCGTTGAAACTCTTCCAAGTGTAGGATCTCGCGATTCTCTTTATATGTGCGAATGAGGCCGGGTGTTGTGTCTTGGGTGGTTGCTCACAGGCCGCTTTGGCCTGGACATCTGCTTCTTCGTTTCCGGGGATGCCTACGTGTCCTGGGCACCACCAGATATACACTTGTCCCTTGACCGCATAATTAACCACATAAATGTGGAATTGGTGGCCTAAGGTCACGTGGGATACGGGCAAGATACTTAAATGCCTTTGTGCGGCTTGGACCCCCCCACCTGTACTTCCCTTTTTCACCTTCGTATGTAGCCGGAATGCCAGTACCAGTGCGATCCCACAATAAATATATAACTCAACTGCTTTATTCGCCGGCTTCCTTAGCTACACGAGCACTGCCAATTAGTGTAGTTCTCGACGGCCATGTCTAGTGGTTCAGCATCTCGTTTTCTTGCTAATCGAACATATTGAAACGCCGGATAGCAGCTTAAAGAGGTCTTGGATTGTCGAAATAAAAGCCAATGCTCTTAATCTAACGCTATACCACAGCATTATTACATGAACTAGTGGCCATCAGATCGCCATTTACTGGAGTATCCGCTATAAACAGGCACAAATGCCGTCTATCAAAACGTTAAACGAAAACGAGAACTCCCTCTGCGCTCGTCCAAACTTGAAACGCATACCCCCTTATAGTATCAAATCCCACTAATTATACAGATTCAAGCGACTCGGTCCTTTACTTGGTATACATTATGTAAATCAAAACCACCAGTAAAACGCCAAGAAGTACACGAATGGGAAAAGCAAGGACAGAGAAAAAAGTCTTTTTAAGGGCGAGTTCGCAAGCAGCAGTCGTAGTGTCAATTATACAATAATCCCAAGATCGCGAATCAACTTTTCCCGGGAACGAATACTCATTCACATGTCACATGGCACGGTGCGACCCGGCCCATTTCCGTTGGAAATAACTGCGCATCTTCTGACATATAAACCGAGTTATCAGTTGGCTCTGTTTAAAATTCGAGAAAATATATTGACTCGGTTGACACGCGGTTGGATCCTTCATTAATCACCCAGAATATTTGGTGAAAGCTGAGAAGCGTTTTCCCATTGGTACACTCATATCGGTGCATTTACCAACTTATTGAGGAATTATTCCTCTGTTTATGACTATGAATGGATGTCGTATTGACCGCTGTGCCTAATCTACGCGTTGTGCTACATAGGTTGGTGTTGTGGAGGCTCTGCAAGGTACTTTAGTTTGAGGAAGGGTCGTTCCCACTAGCAACACTAGCAACTGTACCACTTTTAGCCTTGGACATAACCGTGGCGCTAAATCCCACATATATGAACCGAAGGTATCGGCCTACTTTGTCCGTCACTTGCGAAAGATGCCAGAGGTGGTTTGTGCATGACCACCACTACTACTTGGTTCCAACCCACCAGCACTAGCCTAGCTTACCTGAATACGTCACACTTCTATCTCTATCTGTATGCCCTGACAAAAGATGTATCGACTAGGTTGGGCACGCGGCTGAATCCCTTGATGGTCAGCCAAAATGCTTTGCAGCCTTGGCGTAAGCTGAAGAAGCGTTGAATAACTACTACCTTCACTATTCGTACTCATTACTTTCAATATCGACCGGTTTATATTTTACTTCCTTGAAAAACAGCCTTGTCACTTAAATAGCCGCCGCAGGACGTGTGCATATTAACCATACCCCTGGATCTCGGCCAGGCTGTGGGGAACAGCCTGGCCCCTACTTTTGACTTAGAGTTGTATCAAGGTCTTGCTACGATAAGGGGATTTCAGGCCTGTTTCTACGATTTATTCCCAAGGCTGAAAAGAAAAATAAGCTTACGCCGAGACAAAATATTCCCTGTATACCCATCTACTGAACATCCCACTGACCCACAGTATCCTCTATGTAGTATTATAATGCAAGGACATTTTTAGTTGAATAATGAAATGGTCAAGCAACAGGAGGAATGGCAACCTTGTTTGCATCTTAACCCCGTGCGGAAACCGTTGGACAGCGTCGGATCGATGATTTACAGAAGACTCGTACGATAGCGAACAAGCAAGGAACTCGTCTCTCTAACTAGAGGCTTATTTGCAGCAACCTTACAGTAACTAGATATGTTAGACTTCAGGTGGGAGAATAATTATATATAAAGAGTCAATCTTGATAGAAAAGAGACATTATCCATCACATCCTACGACTTTACTTCATTTCCTTGACCCCTCGAGTCCTTTTGAACCTTCATATTATCACTGAGTCAAATTTAGGTGATAGTTTCGGCATACTGCAGTGCTACAGCCCTGTCATTCTGCGGCTTCCTGGCCCTCAGCCTTACTGCCACAGTTCCCCTGTCCCACGACGTCACGCCCGACTTCAGCATCAACACCAGCACGCTGCCTCGTGCCCTCGTCTGCTACGGCATTGATGGCGGTGTGGGGCACGAATGAGGGCGAGGTGGTCGTTACGGTGAATGCGAAGGGCCCGGCCTACCAGAGTAACCAATCGATCGGATACCGGTCCGGACCGGTCCGATATTCCGATATCGATACCGATCGGTAGCACATTTTGTTCATTAGATTGATACCGGTGGCAGTTTGCGCCGCCGGTATCGATCGTTCGATCTGACCGGACCGGTTATATGGAGGATTCTGAGGGCATCGTGACCCTTGTTGTTGACCCTGGTTTTATCTAACCTAATACGGTTAGGCGTTGTTTTAGGTAGGAAAAGTGAAGAGCTGAGTTGGCGTGAGCATCATATGGCTAGGTTGAGGAAGCGTTGGGAGGGTGACTATAAAAATAGGTAAGTATAATATCTAGATAACTGTTCATCTCTAACTGACCCTCGTCTAGGCTCCTTCCTGAGACCAACCCTTTAGCTGAAGCTGAGAACCAGCCAGTCCTTACGATGCTTCAACGCCGCAAGCGTTTTTATATGAGCGACGCCGACAAGCCGGTGCCGATTAGGCAGGAAGAATCACAACAAGACGAGCTTGACCTCTACCTGGCAGAACCTGTGGTTAACGTGGACCAATATTTAAAGGACCCAGTAGCTTGGTGGCGTGATATTGGCGCAAAACGTTTCACCAAACTGTCTTATATGGCTGTTGACTTCCTTACGATACCTTCAGCGCAAGCAGAAACAGAACGCCAGTTTAACAGCGTAGGAGAGATGGTGTCAGCACGAAGATCTCGCCTAAAACGCCACGTTATTGGGGCATCACAATGTATCAGGTCATGGAGTTTAGCAGGCGTTTATCAGGCTGAGTTGCCACTCCATCTGCTTGACAAGGTATCAAACGTTGAATTGGATGGTGAGGTTTCACGCGAATTAGCTAATTGGGCGCAAAGCCGTTAAAAATAAACAACTCCGTACAACCGCTATTGATCGATCCGACCTCTATCTGACCGGACCGGTTATATGTGATCGATACCGATCGATACCGGTTGCTTAGTAATCTGTACCGGTACCGATCGGATGAATATGATGTTGATCGATACCGGACCGGTATCGGTATCGGTGAAGAATCATGATCGATATCGATCGATTGGTCACTCTGCGGCCTACCTGACGGCTGACTACATTGCGAGTGGAACGAAGCCTCAGGATATCATTGTGAAACTGGTTCGGGACCCGGCATCTTTGTAGGGTGTGCTTTTGGGTGTAATCATATCACTTGAAGGAAGAAAATGTGTTATTCAACTTTGAAACATATTATAAATGGAGCTAAGGAGGTAGATGGTAATGACTTGATCCTAAACTATCCACCAAGAGGCAGTCCCCATTTTCCAACAACCGGTGACTTGGCTGCTTTCTTTTCAGACTAATCCATTTCGCCTGATCTTACATCTTCAAACGATCTGACGCATTGTAGTTGACCATGAGTTTCGTCTCCGAGAGCAGAGGCTTATCGTCCCATAAGCCCACGGTCCCCAAGAGATCTTCGCGCAAGCTCACGAGCCAGGGATGCACCGTCGACCCGTAGTCATGAACCGAGACAAAAGATGCAGCAGTGGGCTTCACCACCACACTGGGCACCTTGCCACGCGGTCGTTTCGTCCCCCATCACATCAGCAGATGCTCCGGCCTTTCCTCATCCTCATCCGGGTCGTAATCACGAAGGGCTCCTCATTGGACCATGCTCCCGTCCCCGTTCTCCTCGCTGCCATCGGGTTCGGAGTGATCCCGGTGAAATCCGAGCCACTGATCTCCCCAGACGTCGAGGTCTTCGGTATGTAACGTTATGGATGAGACCTTGGGCTCGGTAAGGGGAGATTGCGAGGCCGGGTGTCAGCTTTGCTCTTGGAGGGAGGCTTCAAGAGAATGGCATTCTCCATGATCCAAACCGAGTTAGCCAGGGGGCCGTCGAGAGTCCAGAAGAGATACTTGGCGTCAGTGGAGAGAAGTGCAGGCCGATGGGCGCGGCGGAGCGCGTTGAATGTCGACAGCTGTACCTCCACTGAGGTTGACATGGTGATCAAAAATGTCTAGGCAGACTTTTGGTTTCGTGGCGAGTTCGGAGTCTTCTTTGCGAGGGTAATGTACCTAATTATATTGTTTGTCAGTGGGGTAGCTCTGTGCTCGCGTTATTTGATTGATCAGAGTATTCTTTTTAGGTGACACTCGCAATTGCAGCCATGGAGGGGGAGGGGGAGGGGGCGCAACCACCTTGGGACTGACAGGTTGCTTCTTTCGCCATCCCTTTTTCATTACTTGAAAGCCTGATTGTCGGACGCTAGTTTCGGTCCCTCAAGCTCGCACAATAACCTGGGTAAGCCGCCCTGTTCTTGTAAACTCGAAACTTCTTCGCTCTCGAGGTCCCCTGCTGGTAAGAAAGCTAAAAAGAACTCTCGGTTCTAATCAACGCTTTCAAACTCATTATATGTATTACCAAAAGTCACTCATTACGTTTTAATTTCACCCACCCGCCGTCCTGATTGAACGAAGGAGGAAGTGGAAACTCTTTACTGTATTCGATTTATTTCTATGATAGCTTCTATATAGCCTTCTGGTGCTTAATTAGTACTCAGCCTTTGGCGAAAAGCATCAAGCCACTTACCAACTTCCTCCCTCCATCCCTAAACAAAATTGACGACGAAGAAGACAAGCCGTAGAGAGCTTGTATAGCAATGACCGCAATTACGATGAAAGAGGCAGAGTGGCCACTGTTCAGTAGAAGCCTGGAAGAAACTTAGAGAAGACGGCCTACCCGAAACAGTACGGAAAGAAACCTGGCCAGTTGTTAGACACCAAGTGATAGTACTGTTTCATGCGTTCCTGCAAGAGAGGGCATGCTAAGATCGTACGACTCAAAAAGCTTGGTAAGGAGGATTACACCATTGCCAAAGCCTAGAGGCCAATTTTGGTTCTGGCAACGCTAGGGGAGGTAATGGAATCAGTCATCGTAGATGAAATTTTACATGCGGCCGAAACCGAGGGTCGCGTCCTCGCTCCTAATTAACGTATTTCACCCCCATTCCGACACCCCTGTAAACCCCAACAATAACCACACCGCTATTTACATTATCCTTTTATTTCTCAACCACTTTTGCTTCAATTGACTTTATTTCAAGTATTCGATCTGATCTGCTATCAATGCCTTCATATACGGAAGAAGACCTCGCTGCCGCCGTTCTAGACGTCGCAAATGGTAAATCTGTGCGACGCGCTGGCCTGGATTGGGGTATACCAAGGACTACACTTATCGACAGACTTCAAGGCGCTGGATCAAGTCGCGAGGCCTCTGCTAGCCAGCAGAGGCTATCTCCAGTGCAATAAAAACACTTAGCAGACTGGGTTTTGGTCCAGGAAGCCCTTGGACTAGCCCCAACACACGCGCAAATCAAGGAGCTCGCGCAGCGCGTCCTAGCCCTCAAAGGTGACCACCAACCACTCGGCAAGAATTGGCTGGAAGCCTTTCTAAAGCGTCACCCAGCACTAAAGACTAAAAAGCAACGCCGTATCGACTCTCAGCGTATCAATGGCGCGTCTACCGAGGTAATCCAAGCCTGGTTTGCTTCAAAATTACGTATTCCTGCAATTCAAGCGATTAAGCCGCAATGCAGGTATAATATGGATGAGCATGGCCTTATGGAGGGTGAAGGGGGCTCTGGGCTAGTTGTCGGGAGCGCTACCTTACGCGCAGTACACCAGAAACAGCCTGGTTCGAGGGCGTGGACGTCAATTTTGGAATGTGTGGATGCCCTCGGCAATACCTTACCCCCACTGGTTATTTTCAAGGGCAAGGACGTCCAAGAGCAGTGGTTCCCTGATAAAAATCTTCAGGACTTCAAGGACTGGCGCTTCAAGGCATCTCCCAAGGGCTGGATAGACGATACGATAGCTATCAAATGACTTGAAGACGTTTTTATACCCCTTACGCTTCCTCAGGACCCTTCAGACACTCGTTTACTTATTTTGGATGGTCACGGTAGTCACACAACTGATACTTTTATGTATCTTTGCTATAAAAACAACATATACTTATTATTTTTACCCCCACACTCATCTCATGTCCTTCAGCCCCTCGATGTTGGGGTGTTCTCAGCTATGAAAACGGCATATCGCAAGGACGTCGGGTTTTTAACCCTATTAACTGATTCAGCACCTATTGGCAAGCGGAATTTTATGCGCTGTTACGCCAGAGCACGCCAGAGGGCCCTAACGGCTCAAAATATCAAGTCTGGTTGGCGTACAAGTGGTCTATGGCCCCTAAATATCGCTAGGCCCCTTACTAGCCCTCTTCTGCTTGAAAATAGCAACCGCACACGTCACCAAGGTCCAGATATTCTTATTACAACCCAGCAAGTCCATAAAACGCTCCAGAAGCCTTCAGAGGGCAATGTTGTATGGTCAACGCCAAAGAAGGGCGTAGATATAGAGCGCCAGTTTAGGGAGTTCAATCGACTCCAACAAACTAACATGACTACACAACAGCAGCTATTTAGAAAGATGAAAAAAGGGTTTTATGAGAAGGATTATCTATTAGTAAGCGCATAATTACAAATTGAGGGCTTGAAACAGCGATTGGAGCTTATGAAGCCACGGGAAAAAAAGAAGGTGCAAATAAGTCCAAACGCGAAATTCGCAAGGATTGAGGACGTACGGCGGATGAGGGAAGTATCTAATGAAGCTCTTGTTGATGATTCGGGTTCAGAAATATCTAATGTATCTACTGTCGAAAGCGATTGTATAGTTGTTCAGAATTGAATTTGTGGTGGTTGTTTGAAATTGCAGTGTTATTCGTGGTGTTTTGTTTTATAGTGTGTCGGAATGGGGGTGAATACGTTACTTTTGAGCTCGTAAACGATGTGCAGAGCAAGAACTACTCTTATGAAAATAAGTTTGCGCTTCTTAGCGGGGCCGACTGATTCTTTATCTCGTCAACTCCAAGTTTGAGGGAGTGTATAACGGAGTCTGAAATCACGAGGCATACCGGAGTACTGTAATACTAATATATTAGTAACTACTTAACAGTTTGAGCAATGATTATTATGAACCAACTCAGCCTGGCGATCTGCGGGTAACACTGCCTGGAAGTGTCTGCCAAAGCACTCTAGGCACAAATACGCTACATGGAAAACCCGACCAATTATATAGGTCTAAGAGCGCATGAGGCCCAGCATATCGTGAGTATCATCCTTCCTCAATCTCTTGTAGGGGACATCTGGTCTTGATCATACGTTTGTCAGGAACGGCTAGGCCGCGAGGCAATAGTACAGAGTAAAGGAGAGAAACAGGCGTTCCAGCTGTTGGTCACCGGATGGTTACTGGTGGTCACAGATAGGTATGCCCAGCATAGTTCATTGATCTCTGGCCTTCCCTTCTACCTACTCCAAGACACCTCCCTTAAATAGACAGACAAGCCCCTGTTCCGCATTACAATGCTAGGTTCCTCGGTTCAGCGGTGTTTCAAGACTTCCACATGACCCATAAACTCAAAAGCAACATCTCCGGTATTGTGCTAGCATATAGGAAAGAGAACTAAGGCATCGTGGACAGCGTACTATAGCAGCTAAAGTCTACGTATACGCTAATTGGAGGTAATGAACTCCAGTGGTTCCTAGGCATCGAAGTTTTTCGAGACCGCAAACAGAAATTAATTTGGCTATTCCAATCCGACTATATCAATAAGCTAGCTAATATTATTTAGAACAAGGGCGATTTATAGACAGATACGCCGATGAAGTAGATGGAGCTTCTCCTCTGCGACGGCCGAGCTACTATGAGGAGCATCAACCCGTATCAGAAATGTATAGGCTCTATCCTATACGTAGCGGTGCTCTCTCGAGTTGACGCAGCCTTCGCGGCCTCACGACTAGCTCGATTTAATACAAACCCAAGCGATAAGCATCAAGCCACTGCCGAACACCTTATCCGATATATCCTCGGTACGAAAGAGTACACGCTTCAACTTGGAGGAGGCAGTTCTTTCGAGACCTGCAGCGATGCCTCCTTTGCCGATAATACGATCGACCGGAAGAGCTCGCAAGCCTACATCATAAATCTGTTCGGAGGAGTAATTGGCTGGCGCGCAATAAGCAAGACACAGTGACTACTTCTACGACAGAAACGGAGATGTTGTCCCTTGCACAGGCCGTGAAAGAGACCGTATTCATGTTCCGATTACTCAAAGAGCGTGGTATCACGCTGGACTTTACGTACTTGAATATCTGGTGTGATGACCAACAAACTATCCGGCTCGTGAATACGGATGTAGCCGCTCTACAGACCAAATCACGACATGTGGATACCTATAACCATTGGCTGAGACAAGCAGTACAAGCGGAGCAGATCCAGGTCTCCTACACACCTACCGGGGGCATGCTTGCCGATGGCTTGACGAAGCTGCTACCAGCTGAGAGCTCATCAAGGGAAGGATCGAAGACAGGAAGCTTAAGGAATTATGCGAGGAGGACTTCGACACAGTACAAGAGCTTCTGGATGGAGAAGAGACCGAATGGAAATCCAAAGCACAGACCACGCACGCGTTGTAATTCCCCGTACTTCACCAATCGCAACCTTCAAGGCACATGGGGTAACGTACAACCCCACCTTTCTGGCCACCTAATCTGCCAACTACAACAACCTTCGGCACAACAGATTATCGTCGGTATTGGCTATTATTATACAATGCCTCGATATTCAGAAAATTCGATTCAAGGCGCTCTCAACGATATCAATCAAGGGATATCCCAGCGCCAGGCTTCCCTCCGATGGGGCGTTCCACGCTCTACCCTCCAATTACGACTCGGCGATGGCCTCAGCCATTCTGACGCGTCAATCGCGTCGATGAAGCTATCTAGGGAAATGGTTTCACGATTGCGACGATATACCTGATTGGCAATATACTTATTCGTCTAACGGTTGGATCAGTACAGATATCGCCGTTCGATGGCTTCGTGATATCTTTATACCTCGTACACAACCAGTTGATCCCGACGAGCAGCGGCTCTTGATATTAGATGGTCATATCGCTCACGACAACGTCGAGTTTATGTGGTTAGCCTATTGTAACAAGATCTCGTTACTATTTTTGCCAGCACACTGTTCTCACGGGCTCCAACCTCTCGACGTCGCCGTATTTGCTCCATTAAAGCGGTACTATCGCTCGTTAGCGACCTCTCTCTCGATCGAGTACTGTTCTATTCCATTTAAAAAGTCGACGTTCCTCTCGCTATACATCGAGGCATATACGAAGTCTTTCACGATCAGTAATATACAATCAGGCTTCTCTGCAACTGGAATTGTCAGGGTACGGCTAGGCCGAAGGCAATAGTACAGAGTGATGGGGAGTAACGGGCGTCCCTCCTACGTAATACCGGGTGGTCACTGGCGGTCTCAGGTAGGGGTGCCCACGGTGATGCATTGATCTCTACTCTCCCTCTATCTTCTTCCCGGGCCTCCGCCCCTTACATAGATAGCTAGAACCCGACGTCGGAGCCGCGGAGCACTAGTTTCCCCGATTGTTCCGCAAACCAAGACTTCCATATCGTGTCATGACTCGCACATTCCTACACCAGAGCCCCACCGGTGTCCCACCGGTGCCTATGGCATTCTGTTCTCTGACAGGAATATACCCATTAGATCCATCGCGACCTCAGCCGACGATAGCCCCCCTATCAGAACGACCAACTACACCACCAACAGGTGGGTGGCCAGAAAGGTGGGGTTGTACGTTAAGCGGTGCGAGTTGGTCGTATTGGGTGTACTGAGCTGACTGAGGACTTACCATCGTTGCAGTTGCACGTGACAGATAACCAAGCCCTGTCTAAACAGTTGCGTAAGCCCCTAATGAAGTGGCTATGCGGGACCAGTGTTCGCAAGGAATGCCTTGTCAACTCGAGCCCGCAACCTTAGTTCCCCTTCCCCGCAACTTGTTAACCTTGAACCCGTAGCACGATCAGAGGCAAGAAAGTTCCCAAACGCTTCGCGATGCGATCGGATCCACAAGCATTTGCGAAGCTCGCGCGCTAGGGACGGACCGTACCGAAGCGGCCGCACAGATCGATGGAGCCGACAAATACGCCAGGGCCTGCTGCCCCACCACTAAGGATTCTCTCTCTTGGTACAGTAAACTTGGCTGTCCTTGCTGTGTCGTCCTAACAACTCTAGATGGAGGAGGCATACGAGGTTTATCCAGCCTCCTAATCCTGGAGAACATCATGGAACAAATTCGCAAAACCGAAGGCCTCAACGGCGAACCTAGACCATGCGAATACTTCGATTTGATTGGCGGCACGAGCACTGGAGGGTACAGTGGTCTCTCGTTCTACTTGATAAGTCTACTGACAGATTATCTAGTATTATCGCTATCATGCTTGGAAGATTGGGTATGGCCGTCGATGAGTGTATACGAGCCTATCGCAAGGTTGCTCAGATTGCTTTTACCCCGAAGATATTGCGTCTTCCTATCCCTCCGACCGGTGCCTACTCTGCCACAGCCCTCGAAGGTGCTATCAAACAAATCGTTAGAGATAATTGCGTGAATCCAACATGTATTGCTCGAATGAACGAGAACCTACCTACGGCCAACACGTGCCCTCACGGCGATATACAATTCCGCGACGTATCATGCACCAAGACGTATGTTCTCAGATAAGGAAGACCGCTACTGTTGGGCCGGGAAATATTAATGTCTCATAGGGTCGTCCTGGCCATTACAAAGGATAATGTTGATGCGCCGCCCACTCTCTTCAAAACGTATGACACGTCTGCTGGGTTTCAGGGCTGTACTATTTGGCAAATCGCCCGCGCGACCTCGGCAGCGACGACCTTTTTCAAGCCCATCAGACTCGGTCGGGACTCGGTCGAGTTCATCGACGCCGGGTTCGGATATAACAACCCATGCGAAGTCCTTATCGAAGAGGCTCGACGGCAATTTCCTGGACGTGATCAGCTACGAGTCCTCAGCATTGGCACAGGACTTGGGGACGTCGTTAGTATTAAGGATTCGCGGCGATATATCCTTAAAGCACTAAAGAATATGGCCACTACCTCGAAAAAGGTAGCAGCAAGTCTCGACGGCCAATACAGTGATAGTGGGCAGTACTACAGGTTCAATGTTGACCGTGGCCTGGAAGACGTCACGCTGTCTGACTGGGAGAAGTCGAGCAAGATCTCTGCACATACGGGAAACTATTTGAGGGAGAATCAGAATCAGAGGGCGATTAGACGGTTCGTGAACGGTCTCCTTCAACGTTCTCAAACCCAGGCAGAAGAAACAGCTGAAATCAGCAGGGTGCCTAACGGTTAGTGTAGGAAGGCTTTACTATGCTCTGTAATACCTGCTAATACTATCACAGGCCGTGTCTACTACTATGTGCCTTTTCATAAGAACAAGCGCTTTGTCGGACGGATAGAAGTACTGGACAAGCTCCAGCAGAAGCTGTTCGAGCAGAGGTGTGAGAAAGTCGCTCTCGTCGGACTCGGTGGCATTGGTAAAACTCAAGTTGCTCTGCAATTTGCATACTGGATGAAGAAGAACAAGCCGGAGTACTCCATCTTCTGGGTGTCAGCACTAAGTAATGATACCTTCGAACAGTCATACGCAGAGATAGCAAGGGAGCTTGATATCCGGACTAATGCCGATGAAAAAGACCTTAAGGAGTTGGTGTGCAGACACCTCAGTTCGGAAGCGGCTGGAAGATGGCTCTTCGTCTTGGACAACGCGGATGATATCGATGTCCTATTCGGGTCCTCCCACAAGCTAGGCGGCATACACGCGCACATACCCGAAAACGAGAATGGCCTCATCCTCTTAACCACAAGATCGAAAGAAGCGGCCTTGTCGGTAGCGGGGAGTGATATAATTGAACTGCGAGAGATGAATCCACAGGAGGCAATAAGCTTTTTAGAGAAATCTTTGGTTCAGAAACAACTGCTCCAGGACGAGGCCGCAACCGAGGAACTCCTCCGGGCACTCAACTATATTCCTTTAGCCATTACACAAGGCGCTGCATATCTGAACCAGAATCAATTGTCTATCCAAAGGTATCTTGAACTCCTGCAAGGCACCGAGCAGAACATGGTCAGTCTTATGACTAGAGAATTTCATGACAATACTCGGTACCGCGGCTCGCAAAATGCCGTAGCATCGACCTGGCTTGTGTCTTTCGACCAGATTCGCAAATCTGACCGCGTGGCCGCCGACTTACTTTCGTTCATATCTTGTATCGACCCAAAAGCTATACCTCGCTAGCTCCTGCCTACGTTGCAGCTAGAGGTGGAAATAGAAAACGCGATTGGCACGCTTTGTGGGTACGCCTTTCTGGTTAAACGTGGGGAGGGCGACATGTTTGATATGCACAGTCTCGTACATGTGGCGACACGAATATGGATTCAAAGCCGTGGCTTAAGCTGTCAAACGACAGTCAACGCTATTTACCACTTGGCTACGATCTTTCCGTCTTCGAATTTTGCTAACCGCGAGTTATGGAGAAAGTATTTACCGCATACACTCCGGCTACTCCAAAAAAGTGAAGATTATCGAGTACAAGAGAAATACGATTTATACTGGAAGGTTGGTCGATGTTTGTATATGGATAGACGGTTTAAGGAAGTTGTGAGATGTTTTGAGGAGGTTTCAAAGTGGGAAAGTAATCATCTCGCCGAAGAGGACGACTCTCGTCTCACGTCCGAGCACGAGCTCGCAAGGGCCTACCTCGCCGACAGGCGGATCAAAGAGGCCATCGAGATCCTCGAGCACGTCGTCGCGGTCCGGAGGAAGACGCTCGCCGAAGAGGACGACTCTCGTCTCACGTCCGAGCACGAGCTCGCAAGGGCCTACCTCGCCGACAGGCGGATCAAAGAGGCCATCGAGATCCTCGAGCACGTCGTCGCGGTCCGGAGGAAGACGCTCGCCGAAGAGGACGACTCTCGTCTCGCGTTCGAGCACGCGCTCGCAGAAGCCTACAGGTCCCAATGCGAGTAATTGGCATAGTGTCTACCGAGTTAGAATTCGTGTTGCTTGTTCTTCTGTGCTATTTCTACTATCTTTGCAAAAGAGAGGTCTGGGGAAGTACATTTATTTATAGGTAAATAATTTGCCACTGTTATTCTAGAATCTTCCCGAACTATGTAACTAAGCACGTTATCTCTTGCTTAAGACGACAAGCTCACATTATCGAGATCTTCCTAGAAGGAGATCACGTTGTATTCGAGCTGTTGCCGCCACCCCTGCTCCTACATAATGACAGAAACCAGGCTGCCGCTCTTTAGCACCTCTATCACGCCGTCGCCTCTCTGAAACCCCGTCGTTATCGCAATCTTCGATGCTATCTTTCCCAGGCTTACGAGCTTCCAGTCTCCGTTATTATGCGGCGTCGCAAAGGAAGCTAACCTCGAGGTCGCAGCTTTGATCAATGTGTATTTCGGGCTGTTATGTGCTTTAATCAACGCCTGCTTTACCAGCAAGCCACCTATACTGTGGCATAGGAAGGTAATCGGCTACGTCTCATCTTGTCCCTCTTAACTCGGATCAACTCGAGCAGCTCGTTCGCTTTACCGATCAACGTGTCTCGGTTAATTCGATAGACCACTGTCGCGTTGTATTCGTGTAGGAAGATTCGTGAGTTGGAAATGTGTTAGGGAAGGTCGTCGCGGAGCTGGTTGGTGTCGCTCTTGCTTCGTAGGTTCAGGCCATGCACAGCAATAATACTAGGCGTCTGAATTATCCAGATTTGATGAGGACGGTCAAACTAGGTGAGGATCTTACTTGCTTGACTTTCGCGGCGTCGCCGGGCACGCCTGTTCTGTAAATAGCTGGCACAGCGGCTACTCTTCCGTTAGTCATTCCTCACTGTCTCATATTAACCTCATGGTGTAGCCGCTAGCCTGGTGCGGCTGACAATACTGCTGCAGGCAACCTCGCAGATATGCAAGCCCGGTCTTTCAATCAATTTTATGGGACGATAGATGCTATGCCGGGCGGAGCTGCGGTATCTGGTGTTCGAATTGAACTGTGGTCTTGGCTAATGGCTCATATTAAACTGGGGCAGGGTGTTTCTTAGTATCGGATTGTCAAACGCACGTCGTCAAAACAGTTTGGTCAAGTCGAAAGATCAAACCCGTGCGATGCATCGTCCAAGGTACAACGACGGATTTTCCTACCCGCGTTACTGCACCTTGCTTTTCGTTAAACCCAAAAAGATTCGAAATCATCAGTATGGCTCTCCGACTATCGAAATGCATGCATGACTAGATTCTTTCTATGATCGTTAAGGCTGGACAAATGTCGAGATATCTAATACTGTCCCGGTAGTCTCCGCGCCTTCCGTAGAGCACGAGCGACGCGGGCGCGATACGGAACGACTAACATGCCTGTGAACCGTCGTGGCCCCGACCCGAACATAAACCCTATAATGTAGGGGTGCCACTTTGCTACAACTTGCGAAAGAACCTGATATAGACCGGTGAAAGGTGGTCGATTCTATCAGTGAGAAGTTCAAAGAGGATATATCTATTACTAGTATTACTCGAGCTTTGGATAAGCGTCGAATAACTCTCAAGGTAATGCGTCATGTGGCCTAGCAATAGAAGCCGGGGCTGCGGCGTTTCTGCCAGTATAGACTCAAGATGCTAGGGTGCCGATTATATTATTTAGTGTTTTTACGAAAAGGCCAGCCTCCTAAGCGGATTACGCCCGCATATTGACGACGGGCAGTGAAACCACCCGCGGGTTTCAGGTGTAAGATGATGGCAACGAATAACAAGATCCTCAACAAGACCTTACTATCCGGGAGGTGGAAAGAAATAACAAGATCAAGAGCTCCTTGCCCTGATCGGAACGACAAGTACCTCAACAGGTACTAACAACTGTAGCCTCAGCAGGCTGGGGAAGAAAAGGAACCTCAACAGGTGAAAGGTGGGAACAATGGCCTCAGCAGGCACAATCAGATCTATAGGGGCAACAAAAGTACCTCAACAGGTACGTCAGACATTGAATGCCTGTCCAAGTAAAGAGAAATTGGTTCAGATTACCGTGGAAAAGGCCGCTTGAATTCCTCTCTTTTTCTCAAGAGAGTGACTATGTACATAAGGTCTTAAATACCCTTCAAGAACGCGCTTACATAACTCGTCTGAAACCGGAAAAAACGAAAACGAGCACCCAAAAACCCTAACCCCACGTCAATATAAGTCTATATTCCAAGTTAATGCTTGCAGTATACATAAAACATAGCGTGAAGTCGAACTTTATAGCACCATGTACTCTACGCACTCATCTAACCTAAGAGTTCTTTGTATAACGTAGTCCACGGTCCAATTGCACACTGTTACGAACCGTTGGCCCTGAACCAACATTACAGGCACGTTGGCAGGCCAGGTGGATACAGACGCTAGGATCACGGGACCCCGCATCGGAGGAAGGAAAGGACCGACAGGTCACGTGGCCTACAGGGGTGGATATGTTGGATATGCTGGACAACCAACATATCTAAGTGGGGATCGCAAGGCCACGCCCGGTCATCTAAAAGCGCATATGGCCAAGAATAGTATAGATTCCCTCCTAGGCACGGCCAAGGGAGCTCGTTTGTTTTGTCAATGGGCGGAGGAGACCAATTTCTTTACTGAGATCTGCCCATCGCACTGAACAGGAATGTTAGATGAAGACAGTCCCCTGTAACATAGATTCGACTAGCATAGACCATGCCGGCACTGCGCCCGGCACGTCTCACGTGATGAGACGTTAAATTTCAATCAATCAATCCAAGTGGGGATCAGTGAAAGAGAGATGGGCATATAAGGGACAGGACTCCCAGACATTTCATAGATAGACAGTCTCTACTTCAGTGATCAATCTAAGCATCAATCTAACCCATTGGTGAGGCAAACTGCCTTGACGACTCTATTCCCAGTTACCCTACTTGAATACTTCAGTTACCCAAAGCACTCTACTCCATACGTCAAACCCCGATATTATTGCTTGAGGACTCCGCAGCAGGACTTACTTACTAGCACAAACCCTTGCAGACTCTTTAGTGGTTTACGCAGCTAGACTATTAGAGGTTTCGTTACACAAGTCTCGTACGAAAGGTACTCATCGCCTATTAATCCTCGACGGTCACGAAAGCCATCACTCGACCGATTTCGAGGTATATTGCAAAGCTAACAATATCTTCACGCTTTGTATGCCTCCTCATTCATCGCATAAGCTCCAGCCTCTTGATGTTAGTTGTTTTCGCGGGTTAAAAAGAGCGTACGGAAAAGAAATCGAAGATCTCATGCGAGCACATATAAGTCATATCTCGAAAGAAGACTTTTTACCGGCGTTTTTAAACGCGTACAACGCAACTTTCACGGTTTCAAATATCCAAGGAGGTTTCCGAGGGGTAGGAATAGTTCCGTACGATGCAGATTATGTCATATCACAGCTCGATGTGAAATTACATACGCCAACACCTCCGGGTAGCTCGGCTGGTCTCTCCGTCCCTTGGGAATCAAAGACTCCGAGCAACCTAACCAAAGCCCAATCACAAAGCGATTATGTGAAAAGTAGGATTGTACGACATCAAAATAGGTCACCAACGTCAATTTTTGCTGGAATAGATCAGATTGCGCGAGGTACAACGAAGGTTATGCATCGGCTTGCCCTTTTAGAAGGCGAGGTCGAATCACTTCGAAAGGCAAATGAGACCTTAAGTCGACGTCGCCGTGCGAAGAAAAACAGCTATAGAGTGGAGGGTCACTTCGTATACAAGCTGGACAGGACCTACAGTCTCAACGAGAGGTTGATGGGCAGTTACATGACGAATTTCGTCAAATTGGTGGTCGTACGAGGCGGCGAATTGCGCGTGTACGGCGCTGTAGAACCTGCGGCGAGCCCGGACATAATGCGCGTACTTGTGGAAATGATGTAGAGACGTCTGAAGATAACGATTCTGAGTAGTTTCAATTGATGATAGGCGTTGTGGTTGAATTAACTTATACATTGTCATATAAGGTCTGCCAAAGTGTGCAATTGGACCGTGGACTACGTTAGGTTAAGATATATATGAAGTTATAGCGTAAAAGTAACAGTAGTCTCGTCAAGGGTGAATTTGAAAGCTACATTAAGTCTAGTGCAAAAGCCATGGATAGTCGACAGAGCAGTGCAGAGGTTTATTTTCGAAATGCTGGGCTTTCATTTAATCAGCCTCCTGAAGAAACATTGTATACTAGTATATCAAGGCATACTAGCTTCAATCTATACGAGTATCATCTAACTATTTTGAGACGCAACTTACGAACCTCGTAGTAACGCCCTCCAAGGCTCCATTATCGATTAACAAACCCTTACCCGCTTTCTGCTAGGTGAAAAGTTATTAAAGATCGTAACCCTTGTCCATTGTAACCTAACCTATTAGCTGAGAAGCCTCCCGCTATTTCTGATTGGTAACCTTCGCGCCGAGCTAACGGCTGTACTGTATTGGGGCCTTATCTTCTAGCACTGGCAAGTCAAGCTGCACTGGTTAGCCCTCGTCAGAACAATCTGCTAAGGCGTCATTGCGATAACGGATTAAAGGCCGTCCGCTTTCGTAGCCTACAAGCCTTTTCTTCCTTCGTAAGAGTGTAAATTACCTTACGAATCCCTTGACGCCATCGGCATACGTTTCCAGCTAGCGAATTTCCTCGGTATAGTCGACAAGCCGATCCATGATATCACCATCAAGTTTTTGGTGCTTCTCGTTATTACGCCAGCATGATAATCCTCAGTTCGTACATGAAGCGTCAGAACACTCCATGAGCTGATAGACGTCTTTTCATATAGCACGCGTACCAGATGCTTACTACTAAGCAACGAGCTTGCCTAATGCGGTAGAGTTTTTCTTCATAGCTCCACGCCCTGTCTTGCCGTTTCTACTTGTCGGCTAGCTCTCTTTATGTATAAAAGAAAAAGCAACTTTCAGATTATTAACTAGGTTACTCCAGGAGCTTAGCTTGCTCTCCACGATCGGCTAATCAATTGTTAGTTTGTTAAGCATTTAACGAAAGGAGGCTTGCCGCGTTTGAAGTTAGATATAGTGATCAACGTCCCATCGGGTTAGTATTAACGCTCGGGTACTTTGCTTTGCACGAGGGTCGCAAATCGGACGTCTTCAATAGTATGTTCTGTGAGCTTTATAATTCGACCCTTGCGCAACTGCAGCTTCGTACTAGTATATAGCAATAAGGAAGAATCAGGTACACTTTCACCTGACATGGGGAATGCTCGTAACTCTCCGCTGCCCGCTAGAGCCAGTGGGGTTCTCGCTCTGGCAACAAATCGATATCAATATCATCGAAGTTAATGGGGGATCTCGAAACAAGCATTTTCCATGACCGTTCGAGGACGCTCCCTTCTGCGGTTGGTTCGTCTCGACCCGGGAGTTGACGAGACTTGAGGAGCGCGGGACAAGCGGGCCGGCGTGACGATGGGACTACAAACCATGAAATCTTCTGAAAGCATTCGAAGCGTATGTCAAGTGACTTGCCAGTCAACCCCCAGCAGTCAGACTGTTTGGTCGCCAACGAATTACGGCGTTGCCTATTTGCAAAGACTATTCAATGTTTTATAGTAGTAGTAAGCAAGGCAAGATACAGCTGCAAGTGGTCCTAAAACATATGCAGATATAACATGTTCATCTTTATGTTCAAAAGTGTCCAAAGACGGTTCCAGTTATACGCTCGAAGCTGCCCTTCAATTTTTCAGCTCTGTTCAGGCATACTGTAATACGGTGTCGCAAATCTCTACACTGTTTGTTAGTCATGCAGCCTAACATGTGATCCATCATTAGCAAATTCAAGTCAGCTCGGTACAGACTTAGCTGCACATTATCAGCTCTAAAAATGGCTGCGCTTAAGATTTCGCCCAGCATTGGCTAGTACTTCTAACTTACTAGTCACGCACTGTGTAGAGGCTCCATTGTACTGTAACTTATTCAGAGCGATAAAGTACTGTGCCCTATGGCGGTATGTCGGACTTCCGTAACGCATTTTAAATAACAGGTGTCACAAAAGTCAGTGGTATGACTGTAGATAGTAGTTAGGTTAGGTCTGCTACCGGAGGCTGCCAAAACCGTGACGGGTCGTCGGTGTTTCAGGGAAACCTTCAAGCCCTGAAAAGGGTGTCGGAAGTACCGGGACTTGGAGGGGCAAGTTTCCTTCTCCGTACACTTTTACTACGGATATTAGAGATTGATGATTGGGCCTGGCCTCTACTGCTGTCTTTGATCTGTTATAACAATAGGGCCAGACCGCTGATCGCTCTGTGCTCAAGGCCCTGATAGCTACAACATTTATTCGTTGGATCTTGCAGAGGGAGGTCCTTAGTATCAGATACAAGGGGTCACGTGAATGACCGCGACTTGGACTTAGCGCAAGAGCCCATAGCACAGAACAACAGTCAATCAATTGGACCGATCAACTCAACGTTACAGTCATCTCACAGCGTGGTCACATAGCAAGAGGTGAATATCTGACAGTTAGAGACGACTTCGAATAGATACCTCTTTATTTTAGTGTAGTTCAAGTCTAATGCCACTCTACTAAGCCTAGTGTAAACTACCAAACGCAGCTTACCTCGTATATGTAATAAAATCAACATTCTCCTACGATAAGGTGTACGCCGAGCCTCGCTAGCTAGCTGCGTTTACAACATAATCTAGTAAAGCCTTTGTTAGGCAAATATACCAGTGGTTAGGTTAGGTGATAATTTGAGGTGTACTCGAGTGGCAGACAAAGCAATGAGCACACGAGTACCCCGGAATCCAGTGTCTCAATATCAAAGTGGAGAAGTCCCCCTTTTGCGGAGCAGTGCACGAAGTAGCGGCACGGAATTAACAAAGATACAAGGGTTGTCCTGGTCAATGCTCCATGTAACAGGAGGCTAATACGAGCAATTGGGGAGCGCGTGGCAGTTCATCCAATCAGGTTCTTGGCTTCCGCTTCTGCAACTCGGATAATGCGACGTGCTCAGGGGCCGTCGCTGGTGCGGTACAATGAATTATGGGGCGGCCTAGGCGAAATTAGAACTGTCTCACACTTGGCTCCAGGTACTCCTGCTGTTATGCCATCATCGTTTACCCAAGTCCCCCCAAACTGCGTTTCTTTCACCTTGACATCCACATTCCAATATCCCGGAAGGTACTAGATTTCTCTGCCTGTTGCTCCGGTTTTCGATTCTCTGCACTGGAGGCATCCGAACACTTCATTACACATCGAGATGCGAATTTACTAGCAGCATCAATTCTAGGGAGGGAAGAACAACACAAGGTCGCCAATTCTGGAAAGCGCCACTGCCGAACCACCAATTGAAGCAGCCAAGCACTTGCATCTTACCCCATCCCCATTTCGCCGAGGAACCCTTACCACGAGCGATCTCCAGCGACGCGATCGCACGCCAATTCAACATGACAAATCCCCTTGTCCTACGCGAGAAGCCATATGTGTCGTCCAACTTGACTGCAATTGTGCTGGGCACGGTCAGGTGAGCATTGCCATCGTCGCTTCCTGCGGGCAATCCCGTTGACGGTTAATCTAGTGGTCTCGTTATCGTCATCCTGTTCTCGACTCTGATATTTCTCCATCTGCGACGTCGCAGCCGAGACAAGCGCGAGTGGCCTAAGGATCCACAAGAGCTGGAAGACTACGGCATCGACCCGTCACAGGTGAAGCCACCTCAGAAGGCATATCAGCAGTCAGGAACGAACCAAAAACCCTTTGTTCCCCCGGGCGGCGGATCGTCCCGTGAATCATTGAACTCGCTGGCACGAGATATACAAGACAATCCGTTCGGACCGAAGGCCGAGATAATATCCGGCGATTCGAAGGCCGCGGAGGCGTCGCAACGATATTAGCAATATTCCCTCGACGAGCAAGGGTGTTGGGTTGAGAGATGTAAGATCAAGAAACATTGCATGATGGTGCCACGAGGCCTTGGCAGAATGGAGTGGCCCCGAAACCGTGTGTCGAGTCCCTCGATCCTCTTTCGCCGGCGGTCAACATCATTGCCATGACACTGCCATGACGCGCAACAATCGGCCTGGAATTGCCAGATGGAACCCACGCGACGGCATCGAGATAGACATGCCAGGACACAATGACGAAAAATCAGATGATGCTGGAGAGTTTCTGACAGTCAGACATGGCTAGGGCACAATGTCCTGGAAGTCACACTAGCCTCTACCGCAAACAGAGTGCAGCCCGGTTGGGATATGATACTGCAATGTGCAGCTGCTATGTGTTACGATACGTGTTTGGTCTATGCTCTTTTGTTCCCAAGGTGCCAATGGCAGGCTGGCACCACAAGCGCAATTTGATGTGTGCAGGGTACACAGCATTCATGGTTTTGCGCTAGTCGGTAGATAAATAGAACCGTCAAATTAAAACCAATGATGCTTAAGCCACTGGCTCCTCTTGATGTAACAACGGCTTGGCTGCATATCGTGCTGACATCAACAGTGGGCCAGCCTGAGTGATGAGGTTTGCTTTGCATCGTCAGATGCTTCGGTGGGAAGCCAACCTCGAAGCATCCAGGTAGGACATCAATTCAACAGATTGTAAATTCGATTATTCCCGTATTGCCTGAACCCTTCCGGCCCAACAAGTTACTACGAGAGTATCGCTGTTGCGTCACTTGTCCATCTTCTGGTCAGGGTGTCCTGGACATATAAAACTGGCTCGTGTGACGGTGATTTGTTTCAAATACATTATGGTCGACGTCTTACCTCCACAAATGATCACTTATGATAGAAACATACTCTACTCTAGGAGCATCAGATAAACAAGTCGAGTTTATCCGCATTTGTGTTGACAGTAGTAACTGGGTTTCTCGGCCTGCATAGCGGACAGGACAAGCTTTGCAAAGTACGTGGCAACGCCACATCTAGATACAAATGAAATGGCCACATGACAAAATAATAGGCTGCATTGCCACTTGAACACGGTGTTGTTGGATTGTTTAAGAGATGAGGGCGTTGGTAAGAGCATCTCTTAGCATCAAGCGTTGCCTCAGTTCTATCCAGGCTTCATGTCTTTGTTGCGCTAGAGACGATCTCGGCTGCTTTCTCCAACTCGCCAAACCCTCTAGGTAGGAAATATCCCGTGTTGCGGTGTTGCGGGTCGCAATGCTCTGCGCGTGCTTTGTACGTGCCTTGGGTGTTGGCCTTTATGGTTGCTTCTTCAAGTTTGTCTAATATTTCTACCCAATGGGAATGTGCTTTGAGACAGTCGAACGACAGGGCTGAAAGTTATAACGGTGCGAAATCCACTGTACCAAACGCAAGGAACCACATACAACTGGCCCTGAATTAAAAGACAAATGAAGACTCCGAGAATTTTTTTTCTTTTTGGATGTGTCCGACCCGAGGTGTAAACTGGGATCTTGAAAGGCAAAGTAGCTATGATGTCTGTGTCTGAAGTATACTAACAGGGGATCCGTTTGGAATGGACAATGCCATTGCCATTCAAACTATGCAAGATACTTGCTATGGTTGTTTATTTCGTCAATTTAAGGTGCCAAAGCTGTCTCGGGGGACCTTTTAGGCGGCTCGAGCTCAAATCTAGTGCTTTAGCCCAAGGTGTATAAGCACCTAGTTGAGACTTGAAGTTTTTCCCCTATTTTCTCTCGAGGCATGTTGAACCGGAGAAGGACTGCTATGTTTAATTTTGACTCGAGACTTCATACCTCAATCAGCAGTTCATGATAAATGCATTCTATTCTTCAAACCGCTCTTGTATAAGATAGCTGCAAGTAAGATTCACGCCACTGATCCAATGGCCACCAATATGGATCTATTCTGGCGGATTATTTTGGCTAGCACACTCTATACTGAGTTATTATTTATTCTTATAAGTCACCTTTCTAGGCCTTGCCTCGCTGATGTCCTCGGAATGCTAACAGCTGTAGCAAGGTGATCAATAATTCCCGAACAGCACAAAAACATGAGATAGAACCCGCTTTTGGAGCCAAATCAAGACGATATGCGTATGATCGTTGAAATTTTGTCGTTACCCTTGAATATACTGGAAGAGAGCATTGAAGAAAGGCCATGTTACCTTTCCAGATCCTCCTGGAATGGCGCAAGATGCGGAGCGGCTCGACCGTGGTGTATTCTGTGAGTAGAACAAGATTATATTATGTATATTGATGTCTCTAATGATAAAAATTCTTCCTATTTTGTGGTAAAACAAGCAAACACCAATGAGAATGAGATCCTTGCGGCGGTTAAGTTCTCGACTAGATGGGATCTCTCTCTGACAGTTTACTACGGAGCACCCCAAACTCACGACAGGCCATTATCCAATGGCGTTTTTATCAAGATATCTCTCATGTCCATTATTAATGTCGATTATGTTGAAGAAACTGTCGTATATCCAGTCGGTGTTAGCAGGTGACATCGATGAGGCAGCATGGAAACACGGTCTTGCTACCGTTACTAGCAAGACAAAGGATATTGGATGCGCCGGACTGGCCCGAGTGCGAAAATCTGCAAGATAAGCTGATTGCCAAGATGACTGAAGATATGTCAACCCGACCGGAAACGAGTGACATTGCAGCCCAGATCCTGAGATCCTTACTGAGGAGTTCAGGGGTAAGCCCAGCAACCCTGCAGGCCCCGGAACCCCGGAGCTCCAGAAGACTGATCTAGATGAGTTTTTGCGGAGTCATACCGAGAAGCAAAAACCCTTTTTGGTGTTTTCTGTCCCCAGCCATGTCATATGGGGGCCGTTGTAGGTCGAAGCCTTTAAGCTGCAGTTTTCAGGGAATAAAAATGAAGCTTGTGCATCCGCCACACAGTTGACGACATTATTCTTGTGGAAAGCGCTCTATATTCCTGCAATCATTCGGATACACGGGAAGATGTTCTTTTTCTTTCCTGTGTGTACCGGGTCAGGTGTTTCCATAAAGTTGCAAGATTTTGCAAATTCCATGTTAGAGGTCTTGCCTTTGTACATCCCTCGTCTAATTAGCAATAGTGCATATATCCTAATCCTGGTGATGTGAAATTGCTAAGTTACGTGTGCTTTCAGCACTATCGGCCTATCAATGTCGAATCATAGTTCTAATCGACCAACGTCTTGTAGGTTTACGCCTTGGATCCTATAGAGGCACAACTTGGGCTATTGAGTTGTAAGTGTTACTTAATCTCTCTGATGGAACCCTCCAGGTATCTCGCTCAAGAACTGTCAAAACTTAGTGATAAGCATGTTCACCCAGAGACCTGCCGGCGTCCAGCTCCGAGTACAATGCCATAACCGGAACCATATGTTCACAATGCTCTATAGGCATACAAGTGAGACTCGAAGGAACATCTGCACCAATCTCAACTTCGATTTTGTCAGCAAGGCCGCGGAGCCGCACCGTCTGGCTGCCGGAGGCGGGCATTGAAGAACATAGGCACAAGGGCCCACGCAGACTATGCTGGACTTCTCACAGGCGTTCCTAACCATGCAAAGCGAGCACTCTACCACTGGGCTATATCCCCAGTTGGCTGTGACTGGCTAGGGGGCCTTGCAAGTAAACATTGTGGGAGGCACATAGTCCTCAAAGACCAAGCAAGGCCTTGGAAAAGGGTTTAGTGGACCCCCTATATGACGAAGAGGGAGGCCATCGGTTAATATTCGGCTCAGAGTTCATTTCTTTTTGGTCACACACAAAAGTTATAGAGCCTGTTAAATGCATTTGCTTTCATAACCAATTGGGGATATAGCTCAGTGGTAGAGCGCTCGCTTTGCATAACCACAGTCGCTTGCGAGAAGTCCAGGTTTCGATCACCTGTATCTCCAACTCAAACTTATTTTTGACAATGTAATAATGTTATGACTAATATTTCCACCCGCCTCGGTATGTTTTTTGCTTGTTAAACAAGCCTTATTTAGATACTTCCTATCGCTCAGTCTTTGAACCCTCTTCTGTACGATATCCCCCTTGATTGGTGCTGTATTTTGCGTCACCCATTGGTGACTACTCCCTTCAAGAACCATGTGTCATGTATCATTCCATCCCACCCATCTAACGCGATCGTTTCTGTCTCGAAGGGGCTACTCCACTGCATCCATCTACAAAAACAATCCCCCCAACATATACAGCATGCTGCGGATGTCATCACGAAAGCGATTCGTGAATAGCACAGTTGACATCTTCGCGGCCAAATCCGATCACAATTAGCTTCCTAGTGAGCCTCTCTGTGCATGAACCACGGTCCCCTCCCAGCGATATGACTTGGCTGTGAAGCTCCACGATCCCACCTACATGCTGGATGTTGACTTCTGCTTGTTATTCTGTCAGAAATAGGGCCGATTTAGTGAAGCTTTCGATGCGATCGTAACGTTGCAATCCGACGCCACCAGAAACCCTGCTTCGGCGTGGTACGGCGGGCTAAGTCATGCGCTGCGGGAACTGATCGGCCCCGCTACAAACCGGCGATTCGACCACTACAGATAAGGAGGATCAAATGTCCACCGCCTGATACGCTGCACCTTTAACCTTCATTATCAGTCCACATTTACCGAAACTAGTATCTTCAGGACTCGAAGGCGTGATCACGGCTTCTATAGCGATAGTTCTTGGCTTTGGCAGTGGTGGCGAAACCACGCCATCCCAATATCAGAAATCCCACTGTCCTACGCATCCGTCTTTCAAGAGGCGAAGGTAGCCGCCATGACGCCCCACAACGTTCAAGACGAAGGACCAACGGACCAGTTGCAAGATAGAAGCGACCTTCTGCCACCTCCTCCACCTCCCAAATCCGCCAGCCCACCCCGTATCCTCGTAATCGGGGCTGGCTCACGCGGGCGGACATACGCTCGCGCCACTCTCTCATCTAGCAACGGTGTTGTCGTTGCTGTTGCGGAGCCAGATGGGTACAAGCGCAAGCAGTTCGGGAAGAACTTCATCTGCGGCACTGAAGAGCCCCCTGAAGGGTCGCTATTCGCGGACTGGCGCGAATTTGTGGCCTGGGAATATGCTCGTCGAGAGCGTGAGAAGGCAGGCGAGACTGTACCTGAGTGTGTCGATGCTGCCTTCGTGTGTGTGCTCGACGAGATGCATCACGATGTCGTGGTTGGTCTCGCGCCCCTAGGCCTGCACATCATGTGCGAGAAGCCGCTCGCAACTACCCTTGGCGATTGTGTCAACATGTACCGGGCCCTGGCGCCACATCAGAAGGACAAGGTTTTCTCCATTGGCCATGTGCTGAGGTATAGCCCTCACAACATGATGCTTCGCAAGCTCCTACTCGAAGACAATGTTATCGGAGACATCTTGTCCGTGGTGCACACTGAGCCAGTAGGGTGGTGGCACTTTTCTCACAGCTATGTTCGAGGGAACTGGCGAAAGGAGTCGACGACGGCTCCTTCGTTGCTGACCAAGAGTTGCCATGATATCGACATCATTCTTTGGCTGCTATGTTCTCCGCCACCTGGGTCTAATGAAGCACCACATCTACCCTCGACCGTTTCCTCTTCTGGAGCTTTGCAGTTCTTCAAGAAAAGTCGGAAGCCAAAGGCTGCAGGCTCCGCTACGAATTGTCTCAGCTGTCCCATCGAGCAGGACTGCATGTACTCTAGCAAAAGGGTATACGTCGGCCCTAAACACCAAGGCATAGAGACCGGCAACACGCACTGGCCTGTCAGCATCGTCATGCCAGATATCGAAAGCTTTTCCAAGGACAAGCGTAAGGAGGCGCTTCTGGCGACTCTAGCTGAGGATTACGAAGCATCCACTTCGAAGGAAGAAGTTGAGAAGCGCAACTGGTTCGGGCGATGTGTCTTCGAGTCTGACAATGATGTCTGCGATGAGCAAGTGGTGATGATGTCTTGGGACGAGGACTCTGAGGGCAGGGGGTCAAAGCAGGCCACCTTTCACATGATCGCCCAGACGAAGAAGCAGTGCGATCGCTATTCCTACATATACGGCACAGAGGGCGAAATATATGCCGATTCGAGAACCATCACGATCGAGGACTTCCGGACGGGAGAGACTAAGACGCACAAACCCCGTCTCGAGAGCCTGGGCCACGGAGGTGGTGACGCTGGTTTGACGAGGCAGTTCATCCTTGCTGTTGACCAGGTCAAGAATCACGGTTGGGCCGCAGAGACTGCTCAGTCGGAGTATATAGGGTGCAGTCTGGAGGAGATTATTCGCAGCCACGCTATGGTATTCGCGGCTGAAGAGGCGAGGACGGGGAATAAGGTCATTGAGTGGAAGGAATGGTGGGATAAGGAGGTTGGTCAGATCTAGGATGGGATTTATTATGACTTTACGACTATGGAAGGGAACTTTTGGTACTAAGCAGAGTTCGATAGGGAACATTGGATGAGACATGTAGGTACTGATATGAACAGGTGGCGTCAATATCCTCAAATATCGAGGTATACGTCGGTGCTAGAGACGCGTGTAGCATCAGATGATGATTAAGTCTGTTGCTTTGATCACACGTACGCAACACGACCACAAATATGGTCAGTACGTAGGGCACCTTGAAGTGGATTGAAGTCGGGTTAACACGACGAAGCGAGTCAGTAGTAAGAGGGAATCAGTCCGACCTACCTCACGTCTGTCCACGCTTGACAATACGTAACAATCCGGGTTTCATGGCTTGTACCCTCGTGATGTTGTTTCTATCTTGATACATGGGAAGCCTTCTGCCAAACATTCGCCGACTGAGTCCTTGAGGAACACCAGCACTAAATTGACATTCTTTGCAAGTGCTTTAGCTAGCGGTGCAAGCTGTATCTTTACTGTTTCGACCGCCACCACATATGTAGCGCTGTGGAATAAGGGTCGCAGCCAGTCACTTATATGGAGATTATTATGTAGCCTACGGCGCAACTGATTTGAGCAAGTAGGCCAAGTGTGGTATTAATTTCTTCCTGGCTTGAATTCTCTTGAGCTCTTTCGTTTCTAACAGGTACGGTCAGAACGGAGATATACAGCGAAAATTAGCAAATGTTAGCTAGGAAATAGAGGCTATTTACAACCTATGTTCAAATGTTTTATATGCTCTGGTAATTGTTCTTCTCGTGCTAAATTTAAATCTGTAAAGAGTACGGAGTTTCTATTAGGAAAAACGGCCCTTCCATGCCTTCATTCACTTTACTGAGAGTACCTTGAATGCATTAGTTATCATCTAACGTGGGTGACCGCCTGAGGAAGTGTTGTGTACCTCTTTTATTTTCTTGGCCTTCCGTCACTCGGCTGAGCCTTATCTTCGCTCCTTGAGCCTTCCTTCACCACACCACATCTTCATTTGATGCCTCCTGTTGCTCTCTACAACTAAAACTACGATACGGATTCAGATAAGTATTCTTCGGAGCTTCTCAGTGCATCCGGGTTAGCTATGAATTCGAAAAGCTATCAAGCGAATAAAGTCTGTTCAAACCCCTCTTCTGTAGTTCCAGCGCCACATCTAAGGACGAGATTCGCTTGATTCTGTGGAATTGGTGGCCTAAGGTCACGTGGGATACGGGTAAGATACTTAAGTGCCTTTGTGCGGCTTGGACCCCCCCTCCCCCCCACCTGTACTTCCCTTCTTCACCTTCGTATGTAGCTGGAATACTAGTAACAGTGCGATCCCACAGATTCGAGGTAAATTGGAGAGAATTCGTGAGCACAAGAGCAAAGAAGTTCTTGATACCGTCGTCGAAGAAGCAGACTGTTCGGCATCTATTACACGAACTGGGGATTAGCAAGACAAACAGTGGTGTCTTCTTTGTCTTCCGCCGAATCAACTATTCTTGCACGCCAAATGCCGATGGCAGCTACAAAAAGAAAAAGGAGTGGATGACTATTCGTGCACTTCGCGACATTGCTCAAGGTGAAGAGATCACCGTCGCTTACCTTGCCTAACACAATCTCCTCCTCCGTGATGAGCGAGCGAAGCACTTGCTACCTACGGCTTCGAATGCGCATGTGATGCCTGCGCTGGTCCGGAGAAGGAAAGACATAAGAGACGTCTCAAGCAGCTCTTGGAACTGAACCGAGAAAGCTTTGGGCACCAGCCATATCTTCACCGTGCTCACAATATTGTCGGAGATGGAGACCAGTGTGGCGTTCTATGTTGCGGAGAGGAACACTGCAGTGAGGTTTCATAACTCCATACAATTTGTGTCACTGGGAGTTTGGTTATGGCAAGGCACTGTTTTGTGCAAAGGGAGGTTCAAAACATTCAATTCCGTTTTGGTTGGACGCATCTGGAAGGCGCAGTCACTCCTGAGCTGGTTTGTTTGGTTTAATCTACGCCTTACTGAGGTTTGCATGCAATCAAACGGGAATCCCTGGCTACATTAGTATCCGGCGCAGCCCCTTTGCCAGAAAACCCCAAAAGCCGAACCCCAAAACTGTCTCTGGGCACCGTATATACAGGGTAGCCCAGTTCTTTCAAAAGTTTGCAGAAGACATGATGGGCACAGATCTATACAAGGATAATAATGAATGATAGGACTGCCATCTTCACCTGTATTAAAAGATTTCTTATTGCCTCTTTCTCAGTCTCTCTTTCACAGGGTGTCTAGATTGGCCGAATCCAAAACTCCTTTCCTCTTGAAGTCTTACGACATCTGCGAACCACTCGCCGTAGCAACACTTCAGATATTTTCTGGAATCTTTTGGCCATCGCCTACCCGTTTATACTCACAAAGCGTGCACATAGAGTATGTCCATGAATACCACTGTCGAAGCCCACTACAGTGAGGCACAGCCTCTTCAGAACCGGCCCTCCACCATCATTGCCGTGATCGTCAGTTTCTTAGTAACGCACCTCTCCCATGCCCCATGTATTGAAAATGTTGACCTAACAGACTTTGTAGACCGTTGCATATTTATGCGTGGGATTTCGACTCTATATCCGCCTGAAAGTTGTATATGCGCCGGGGTGGGACGACCTTTTTGTGTTCTTGGCTGTGGTTCGTTCTAACTACTCTCGCACACCAAATTACTATAGGCTAACCTGCAAACTCGAAAGCTCTCGGGCTCTATATCTTCTGTTGTGTCGTGTGGATGTAAGATCTCCATTGGAAAACGCAGCTACTCGCTGTGCATAACTGACTCTGGAAAGTGACGAGATACGGCTTGGGGGATCATTTTTATAATCAGGGATTCAGCAAGAAATTGATGTTCATGAAGGTGGGTTTCATTGTATAATGGAAGAATATCACTAATGAACATCTGTCCTGCAGCTTTTCTGGATTTCCGACGCATGTTTCAACACGTCGAATACGTTTATCAAGTTGTCTGTTCTGTTCCAATATTTGCGCATTTTCAATAGGGGCCGTATGAGAAAGCTTTCTGTCTGTCTCATCGTTTTCGTGTCTCTGTGGGGATTAACGTTTGCTTTCATGAGCTGGGTTCCTTGTTTTCCGATCGAGAACTACTGGAAGGGCCAAAAACATTGCTATGCACTTGGATCCAGGAACCACACTGAATTTTACGGTACCATTCTTGCAGCCAACGGCTCAAATATGGCGTTGGACCTCATTATTCTTGCGGTATCGGTACCGCTTTACTTTCGGAGGGAAACAGCACAGAAGACGAAACGTGGCCTGCTGTCTTTGTTATTCATGGGACTGGTGTATGAAATCCGACTTATATATACCTGCAAGATTCTACGCGATATTGATACTGACTGTAACCCTCAGGATCAACTTATTAGCCGCGTGGCGACTGGTCAGCATCGTCAAGACCCAAGGAGGGGTAGGGCCACACCAAGACCCAACCTGGTATGGCACACTACCGGTACTTATTGCCGACATGGAAAACCTTACATCCATCATGTGCGCATCCATCCCAGTGTTCTGGCCTGTCCTGACGGAAAGCATCGACAAGATCTTCGTCACGCATGAAGTCACGATAGAGAGATCGACTCGGTTCTCGCTCGTGGGGGATGGTTACGCCGACGATGGCGTCAATTTGCATGGGCTCATCTGTGGGGATGGGCAACACAGCCAACCAACAAGTCAGGCGAGCTTGAATCCAAAGGACAGCACCAAGTCACCTCGACTGGAGGTCCCACCGGGGACATACTATGTAGACAAGTACTTTACTGGCCACTTGGAGCCCTGGAGCTCTTCTAGGCAGGTGGAATCGGTAATTAGTGCCCAGAACATCGAGGGAAGAGGTCGAACGGCGGAATGCTCTGATGCTGCGAATTACAGTATGTAGGGGTGCCTTCTGGTTATATCTCCAGAAAATCACTCCGTGGGAAGAACGCGTAGTGTCCAGCATCTAGATATTCGCTTAGTAACTTTATGCTTCTACGATATAGTACTATTGACGTTGCTGTCACAGGATCATTGCATAGATTTACCCTCATGATTGCCATACAGAGATTCGAATAGAAGTAGCCCTCGCTCCAGGACATCGTAATAAGACCGTGAGGACACTCCGTAGCGCGGAGAGTCCAGATCGCCGTCGTAGAAGACTAACCCCCTTCATCGTCCCGTAACTAGATTATACCTCATACTATAATCGAAATTCGTGGCTGCGTATAGCTCTATATGTTTACAAGATCCTCTCTATATCTCTCGTTCGTATAGCGGAAGACCTATTAGCTTAGAGAGTCCGGCGAATTCTAGACCGTATACTCATCCGAGAAGATTATCCGTATAAGCTACCGGATCTAGGCCGATATACGGTGCTAGCGGTAGAATTCAAGGCGCTCCTTCGTATCTTCAGCTATTAAGATAATTCGCTTTACTACACGCCATTTTTTCCGGTAGTACCGTTGTAGAACTACCTTAATATTGTGTAAGTGTACCGATATACCTGCCTTACGTTTAAGCTCCGTATACGTTATTTGTGACGGCCGGTGTCACGATGCCACGAAACACACTAGCTGTGGACCCGTAGGAGCACTGGCCATCTGAAGGCGGGATTGAAGATCCTCAGATGTGAGCCAGCCTGTTTTAGTTTCTCTTTCTTTCCTTGTCGAGAATCGTTAAGTCAATACAGTGCATTAGAGTGTTTTTGTCAGGGTACGGCTAGGCCGAAGGCGATAGTACAGAGTGAAGGGGAGAAATAGGCGTGTTCCCCTGGTGGTCACTTGATGATGGCAGGTAGGGGTGTCCACAGTAGTTCATTGATCTCTGCCCTCTCTATCTTCCTCCGTCTCGACTCCTTACTTATAGCCAGCCGAGGTTCTCTGTTGGATTCTGGATGTTTGCTTCCGCATGTCTGTGTTCCTCCGACTTCGGCCAACATCTTGGATAGCGGCTCTTTATCTGCAACCAAGCGATTCCCTATCCGCTGCAAACGGCTTCAACAGCTCTCATTCGCCACAAGCGGCTCTCTAGCCGCCACAAACGGCCTCCCGGCTCCTCATTCGCCACAAACGACTTCCTTCCTGGTGGAAGCCGGCCCGCCTCGGATGACACTTGTGTCTCTGACAGTTTTGACTCTTCAATTGTGCTCACCGTGACATTATTTTAGGATCCCGGCGGTATATAACGACTAGATACCTCTTATCTCTAGCGCTTAGCTTTCTAGGGGTACTTGTCCGCTTTTTCGTGTAACGAAACCTCTAATAGTCTAGCTGCGTAAACCACTAAAGAGTCTGTAAGGGTTTGTGCTAGTAAGTAAGTCCTGCTGCGGAGTCCTTTAGCAATAATATCGGGGTCTGACGTATGGAGTATAGTGCTTTGGGGTAACTGAAGTATTCGAGTAGGGTAACTGGGAATAGAGCCGTCAAGGCAGTTTGCCTCACCAATGGGTTAGATTGATGCTTAGATTGATCACTGAAGTAGAGACTGTCTATCTATGAAATGCCTGGGAGTCCTGTCCCTTATATATCCATTCCCTCCTTCACTGATAACTGGGGCCATTAGATCCTTCGTACTAGCTGCCTCCTCCTGCAGCTAGCCACTCCTGTGTGACTTTCCCCTCCTTCTTTGTCCTGTATCCACTGGGCCTGCCATCGGGCCTGTTGCGTTGGTTAGAATCGTAGATTTGTAACACTTCGTAGCTGTTGTTTTCGTTGTTTTAGCGCGTCCGGCGATATTAGTGATAGTTTAGGGCCTTGACGTGCCGAACGCGTCTGCTACCTCCTTCCGAATTATACTACTTGCCCTGGCTGCTACAATAGCGGCGGCTCTAGCTTCTAGGCTGAATTCGTAATTTGCGCCGCGATTACCGCTTATTTCCTCAGCAAAAGCTCGAAAATCCATTATAAATTAGTATTGTTATAGCTAGTTGAAATCAATAGGCTAATATTGTTGTTATTTTGATTACCAAATTGGGGTGTAGGTGTCCGGAGGCTTTTTCGTGATTAGTGAGGTGCCAATAGACAGAAAATGTGCAAGGTGCATATATAGGGTTGTGGACACCTTCAGTGTGAGGATGGTGCTGCGGAGGTGTGTTGCCGTCTTAGTCCAATCACATGCCCAGAGGGGTGAACGTCCCCGCTTGTAAATGGAGAGCCTGCAATTCCATGCTCTGCTGGCGAACCCACTAACTAATGAGAGCTGTCGCTGTGGCCGCTCCCTTATGCAGAGCTGCCTGGCTCACCCAGGGCCCGCGCGCTCAAAGGCGGCGCTGCTCACCCACGACTGGTTGGCCAGAGCGCCGGCCCCGGTTGCACGTTTTCTGTCTATTGGCACCTAACTAGATAGAATATGTGAGATCCCCTCTTGTCTGTGCTCGCCTTGCGTGACTGCTTTTGCAATGCTCAAGTTAAACCCAATCTCACTTCCAAGGCCGTCATGCCTGAGCCTGCAACAGCACAGTCGCTCATTGACCTCAATGCATTGCTCGACAACCCCGTCTTCGCGGGCGGCTTCGGCCTCGCCTCCCTGGGCGCCGCGGTGGCGTTCGGGCGGAAAGGCGTCCTTATAGCGGCAGGCATGATCCGGCGACGCATGCTCGTCGGCGTCGAAATCAGCAGAGAAGACCCGGCCTACCCGTGGATCCTGGCCTGGCTATCGCAGCCGCGGCCCCAGGAAACCTTTCTCGCGAAGCGCCTGACGCGCATCAACAAGCTCTCCGTCTCGACGAGCACCATCACCACGCCGAACGGTCCGACGCGCGCCGATTTCCTGCTGCAGCCGGGGTATGGGAGCCATATCATCAAGCACAAGAACGCGTATATATCCGTGAGCAGGCAGAAGCAGACGACGGCCAAGATGGCGACGGGGGAGCCGCACGAGACCATTGAGCTGACGACGCTGTATGCGCATCGGCATATATTTGAGGATGTCTTCACCGAGGCGCGCGCCATTGCCATGCAGGCCAATCAGGGCAAGACGGCTGTCTACTCAGTCAGGAGTTTCGAGTGGGTGCCCCTGGGCGAGCCGAAGCGGAAGCGGCCATTGGGCAGCGTCGTGCTGGACGAGGGAGTTAAGGAAGGCATCGTGGCTGATGTTCGGGATTTCCTGACGCGGCAAAACTGGTACGATGAGCGCGGCATACCGTACCGGAGGGGTTACTTGCTATACGGACCGCCAGGAAGTGGAAAGAGCTCGTTCATCCAGGCCCTTGCTGGAGAGCTGGATTATAGTGTGTCCATGGTCAACCTGAGCGAGATGGGTGTCACGGATGACAAGCTTGCCTTTCTCCTAACTAAGCTTCCAAAGCGGACGATCTTGCTCTTGGAGGATGTGGATGCTGCATTTGTCAACCGAAGAGCAAGGAGCGCCGATGGCTACAATGGCGCCACGGTCACTTTTTCTGGCCTGCTGAATGCACTTGACGGGCTATCTGCAGGCGAGGAACGCATCGCTTTCCTCACCACAAACCACATTGAACTTCTAGACCCCGCCCTCATTCGGCCTGGACGAGTTGACATGATGGTGCGCGTTGGCGAGGCGACAAGATACCAGGCGGCGCAGATGTGGGATAGGTTCTACGGCGATGTCGATCAAGACTCCTCTGGCAGAGAACGCTTCCTTGCTAGGCTGCAGCAGCTTGGACTATTTGACGAAGAAGCCAAAGATGGAAGTGCTCCGCCACGGACGAGCACTGCGGCTATTCAAGGACTCTTCTTGTTTAACAAGAACGACATGGAAGGGGCCATTAACATGGCTGAAGGCCTGATTCCGCCAAAGGTTGAACAGGATCAATAGACCAGCTCTTGTATATAACTGTATCACGCTTGTATGATACGTGAGATACCCTAGTTTTTGCTCGATTCTGGACTCGTGTTTGCAATCTTGCTTTGTTTTTGAGTGCACGGGTACAGTACTGAACTTCAGAAGACTCTCAAACTTGGGACTAGATTGGTAACTGAATCTAATAACGTTGTTAAACATCCATAGTACATGGCCAGTTTGTTGTGCATCGTCTTCAAGTAACCGAATCAAGTTTTCGCCTTAGACCCCCCTACTCGATACCCAGGATCAGATCCTAAGACGCCACGCCTTCGATCCGCCCTCCCGTCATGCGGGACAAGCTGTCCATGTCACAACACGCTTCCATTTGCCGATCCATTTGTAGAGGCCAAGCTGAATGCACGTAACTAATGCGGCATGTCTTGAAGGGGTGGTGCCCCAATGTCTTGGCCGCTGGTTAACAGGAAACCTTGTGGTGGATCGTTGACCAATCCCCCCAATTCGCCTCTGATCTCGGGCACCTCTTAGTTGCTGGTGATTAAATGAAATACCTCTCGTGGGCTCGAACTCCGCCAGGGTGTAATACGGACGGGTTGTATCGGTGTTTTGGTCGACGATAGCCAGCTGCCACTCTGGCAGACGAGGTTCAGTTTATCGTTAGTTGCTTTGAGATTGATTCATCAGACAAGAACCGGGGGCGGCTCAGATATGATAGAGTGACACTTGGGGAAGTGAATTAGTATACAACTCAAATAGAGTTGAAGTCTAACTTGAACTATCTGTCGACCTCGTCTCCGAGTGTCGATGATTGCGGGTCACCTTTACATATTCGGTCAACCGACTAACCTAGTGTTGTCTGTTCAGAAACCTCACGAATAGCTTTGGCTTCCACCACAGCACGTGTAATTGGCTGTCTTTAATCCAGTTTACCTCGATAATAATTTCCAAGTCGTATAACCACAGAATCTTCTCTGGAATCAGGTTCAGCTCCATCCATCACCAATTTAGGAAAATTTGCTCGTCTGTCCTTCACATGATGATGTATGCAAGAGACGTGGGCCTAGACAAGTGATTTGAGTTGTAATCGACCAGCGAACCAGCTCGAATCCTTCATTATGCCCACCCTGTGCTGATTTTAACTTCAGGAGTATAGATTGTGGGTGACAATTTTAGACTGGTCATATATATAGTCAAAGTTTTGGCGCACCGAATAGCGAGAAGGGGAACAAACCCTCTACAACGATGCAAAGGAGAAAACAGCATCTAGGTTCTACAGCTCGGTCTTCATGTCCACGCGTACGTCTTTACTTATTGGAACTTCTCCCCTAAGAAAGCCCCAGCCTTGTTCATATCATCCGCCTCGACCGACAGACTCATTTCCTTGATATCTTCCAATTCCTTGTCTGCAGCAGACAACTCGGCTTTGATGACTTCCCATGCCCCTTTAGTTAAGGGCAACCTCATGGGAAGAGGTTTGCCCTTCGCTCTAGCAACGACGCTATACATGCCAGCGGCAATCCTCTCGGCCGGCGTCCACGTTTTCTGCATCTCGGGATCCTTAACGTAGCCTTCGAGCACCCTCGAAGGAGTGTCGGCGGCTGCGTATGCCGGGTGTGGTGACAGCCAGTCCATGCTGGCACTCGCAAAGCTGGTTCTGGTGCCGCCCGGTTCGATGAGACAGAAATGAATATTCCACTCCGGTCTGACCTCCTTGCTGATGCTCTCAGTAAACCCTTCGACGCCGAATTTGGCCGCGTGATAAAAGGCACTGCCAGGAAAAACCGGCAACCCCCACCCCCCCCCCCCCAGTGACGTCACGTTGAGCACTACGCCACCCTGCTGACCGCTCTTAGGATTGTGGTCGTGAAAGACGCGGATAGCGTGGAGCGAAAGCGTCGCGGTGCCCCAGAAGTCCGTCTCCACCAGTTTGCGAGCCTTCGCATAGTCCTCAGGATTAAGCGCCGACTCCGCGTCTCCCATCAAGCCGTACCCAGCGTTGTTGACTACGACGTCAATCCTGCCAAACTTTAAGAGCGCCGAGTCAACAGCCGCTGCAATAGAATCCTCGGACGTCACATTGAGGTCGGAAGTGCACACCCGATCCGTCAAATCCAGGAGTCCAGAGAGCGTGGAGGAGTTCCGCGCTGTAGCCACCAGCCTGTGGGTAGGATGGGACGCGATCAGCTTAGCTAGAGCTAAACCGATATCCGAGGATGAGCCCGTGACTTTTTATGGTTAGTAACATAGCAACATCCTTGACATTCCTACCGGGAGGTCACTCACTGAACCAGACGGCATCATCTGGCAGGTCGTATAGATTTCGAGATGCCATCATGGAAACCACTGTCTTCCTCCTTCCAAGCGAAATATCCTACCCAGTGCTCAACTTAGATCTGAAGGCAAATTTGCGAATCTCAGAGTTATTCTGTCTCAAGTCGCTATGCGCTACTCTGTCGTTCGTTAGATCGAAATACTGTCACGAAACGGAGAGAAGTCACTTCTAAATAACTGTGGTTTTCCTGACCCTAAGTCCGGAGCGGGTGGAGCAGCGCAGTAGGACAATTCCAGAAGGAGACAACCAGATTGGGAATATCCGATATGATATCACATCGAGGCTACCAATTTGTTGAGGTACCGCATTGGAACTGCCTCCTTGGCGGAAAACTTCGAGTCAGCCTCAAGCCGAGTCTCGCTGCAGCTGCATGTCGCCAGATAGAGATGACGACAACTTGTCCGCTGCCCACTTTCACATGTAGGAAAGGGGTGTCTGTAGCACCAACGAGAAGGCCCAACGGATAGCCAGATAGGGTAAGAAGGGAAGGTAAACTCCGCCTCAAACCAGAAGTAACCATCAGAGAAAAGGAGAAAAACATCCTTTTTGGTCGTTCGTATAAATCTGGGTATTGTAGCTGCGACAGGTTGGTAGCATGGCCTCGGCCGGAATCAGAATGTTTTGACCTTCCCTTGGGACGGAAGAGGGAGGGCTATTCCTACAGCCAATCTCGCGTCAGACTGACGTACTTGGGTCAGCATGACTACACAGTACACAGCCTCCCCTCCCGGAGGTCGTTTTGCCTCCACTCTGCTCCATCGCGAACGTCTCGACCACCTTCACCACCAGACCACGGCTTTACAACATATTCCATAGCTAACTCTAATCCTAACCATTACCCCTAATCCTAACTTGTAGCCAGGAAAGGACGAATTGAGTTGTTCACTACAGAGAAATTAAACCATCTTTGAAGTTGAAGAATTAAAGACGAATCCATGGGGAGTTAGGAAGGTTCTGACTAATCAGAATGTAGACGCTAGATTGGGGCTTGGGGTGTATAGAAGGAATGGGGGTGGCTGCTTAAAGTACTGCATTCATGCTGACACCGGCCATAGCAGTAGGGGATGCGGCGGGGGATGCACCCGGTGATGCGTTAGTGCCGCCGGCGGTCTTGCTAGAGACAGGGACTTCTCTCCGCCGTTGGCGAAGCAGATCGTAATTTACCCTGTGATCGACGATAGGACAGAAAAGGACCGCACGGGAGGACTAGCCGTCTTTAGCGAAGTCGATATCAGCACTAGCTGGGCGACTTACCTAGTAGTCTGTAAAAGCCCGACAAGGTGACACCCCATGCGGCAGCTGCTCGAATTGAGGATGTGAAGGAACCAGCGCCGTTGTATCTGGACTGCAGCTAGTTGGATATGTTCCTGGATAAGAATCTAGCACATTTCTCGAAATTTATTGTCGCCAACATCCCTGTTGAATTTCCTCTCTACGAGGTCTCTAAGGTCTCTACGAGGGCGTTCCGCATGGGTTCCAGGTATTTGTGCCGACCGCAAAGTTTCCTGCCATGCCCTAGCGAACAGGCTGACCGCAATCGCAAGTGTCTGATTTCTTTTGAATATCTTTCATCATACTGCCCTATAGAAGCCTAGGGCTTATGAAGGCAGGGAAGTAGACTAGTTACTAACTATGAAAGGTAATAGGGGCCTATGCTGCTATAGTCTCTCCTATGTCTTTAAGACCTAGAAAGAGGGACAAATTCCGTCTCGTTTCTTCCTCCATAAATGCCAAAACTTTTCCTCAGTCTTGCTCAAAGAAAGGAGGTGTGTGGATCAGCATTGGTATCACATCTGCGTGCTGTAGTTCGTAGATGCTGTGCTCAGTAGGACTATGCATGACTTGCACCTTGGTCTCTGTGTATTTCATCATATAAGCTAGCCAAGGGCCTGAGAATTCGTGGAGGTCGTTACATATGAAATTTATTCTCTGTTGACGAATACTAAACTGAAGAAGAAAGAGAAAGGGTTACAAGCATAGGTGCCCGTTCCTCTGTTGTAAGATGCATACGGGTGGGACACCCACATTTATCTGTCCCTGTTCATAGTCCAGGTGCCAGGCATCGTGACCTGCGTCACACTTCGTATAAAACCTAGGCCTCTACGTATTCCTAACTTGAAGTTTCTTCTTTGCGTTCCTCGGATTTCTCATATAGGCAAGCTTGGAGCCTCGGTTCATCATCTTCTGTGCGACAATTGCATTGCTCGAAGGTGCTGGTGTGCATACCTGTGCCTGACGAGTGCTGCCCGAATTGTGTCGGCAACGGCCTCAGGCTACGTGTACCGCGTAACGACGCTGTCAGTTCACGATACAAATTCCAAGCTGTTCTCGGGCCATTCAAACTGCTCTAGGGGATATTATGCTTTGAGTGGGCACCGTCCGCTATGGCGCGTCCCAGTAAATCGCATTATAGCACCCCTGAGCTGAAATTTGTAACTAAAGAGACAACACCAGAGGACAAACTGTTCTTCAGACGAGCCGTATCCATGCGAAAACCCCACAAGAAATATATAAGGGACCGTGTTCGTTCTTTTCCAAGGCTGCGGCCTGGCCGGGTCCCTGAGATATGGTCTACACATGACCGCCCAGTTTTGATTTTCTGGTAGTGTTGTGGTTTGGTATTAACCAACCTTTCTCCGTACTAATTTCATTCATACGAAGGTGGCCAACAGATAATTCAGCTCTACAGTTATTCGGCGATCAATAATGGAGTTGTGTGGGTGTATTGTCTCGAATAAGGCATTTTATGCCGCCCTTGTTAGGTTTCAGGCTACAACATAGAAGACGTTGTCTATAATTGCTTATATTTGCGAGGATCTCCGCTTCAAGATGATTTCAAGGGAGTCCTTCCGACTTGGTATAATAAAACCTGATCATATATCGGAGTTGGTTCTCCTGAGAGATGGGAAGGTACGGCCAAGTGTAGGGCTACAAAACCCCGCCTCAAACCAGAAGTAACCATCATAGAAGAAGAAAACAATACATCCTTTTTTGGCCTTAATATAAATCTCTGAGCAGCCGTGGTTTAGTCTACATCCGTCCCAATGAAAATATACCTTTGAGTGACAGCAATAATCGATTGCCAGTTTTGCCGAAAACATAATCCTTCTATGTAAGCACCTCTCAAGATGAAAGAGACTCTGGTTGAGATAGAAAGCCTATCATAAAACAGCGCCATCGAAGAAACCTACCCTCAACAGAAGCCGGCCGATGGTACCGGTTGGGAATGGGAAGATGATACGCACAACCCGTACACCTGGCACAGTTGGAAACCCCAAGAAATAGAAAAGGTTCAGCCGGCCACGATATCATCAGTTTCTGTCATGGTGAATTTGTACAAACTTATATTATCCGCACTAACTTACAAATTTATAGCTCTTTGGGAACATCCATCAGCCTCGCGCACTCATCAGTGATAAATGAATTCAGTGTCTCTAGTACAGTCGCCTTCATCCCATTAACACCATATATCCTGGCCCTTGGACTGGGTCCTGTCCTTGGAGTTCCTATGTCGGAGACTGCAGGAAGACACGCTCCCTACTTTATAGCAGTAGTTCTCGGAGTTTTCGTGTTAGGGGCGAGCCCCCCACACAGCGCTGCGTGAATCTACGCTATGAGATCGCCTTGTGTTTTCTTCAATAGTCCAGTTCTGGCGATTAGGTGCGGGAATTATCTATATCTGGCTGCATATTAAGCGAGGAAATCCTTTTACTCTATTTACACACACTCTCTGTAATGGTAGGCGATTTCATCATGGATATAATGGTATGATAATAGACCCGATTTACCTCCAAAAATAGCTGCTAAAGATGATCACCATATTTGTTTCTGTGAACAAACAATCTCTTACTCCTACATGATCGTCCAAGAGTCTGAAGACTTCATCGAAGGCTTGACCAAATTCGGTCTTGGTGATTGTGCTTTTATAAAAGGCAGACAACACTAAAACTTGGGTATTTCACTGCAGATAAAAATATTTATCTACATGAGCATATCAACAATCGCTGTCATATGGGCCATATCTTAAATAGAGAGGAGAGGAATGCATATAGCAAGAGTCCAGAAGAATCATACACACAAGCTCTAGCCCCCTCAAATAAAATGAGGTCCGTGTGGTAAATTTTGTGTTCAGAGTTGAGTGACAAATTTCAAATTGGGCTGTTGTTACCAAGAGTGCACATCGCAACATACATTCATCACGTCTACTCCCAATCCCATCCAATTCCACATTGATACCCCACGTTCACGTCCTTTTCGCATACAAAATACACAAAATAATCGCCCAAGCTTTTTGCAGCTCTACCAACGAGCACACAAGCAGTGCAGTCGGTCAACATGGGTGATCAAGATCCCGAGCTCGCAAACACCGCTAATGCCAACGCTGAGGAGCCCATCCAAAGCCCGCTGCCCAAGATCTCGCACTCCCGGAGCTCTTCATGCAGTTCATTCTATAGCCAGGATGACGAACAAGCTTTCACCAACCGAGCTGACCCGGCTGTCCTCCGCAATCGAATCAGCAGCAAGAAGGTGCTCTCCAAACTTGATGTTACCTGGACCAATGCCCGACCTCGCAACATCCAGAACGCTACAGCTGTTTGGGGCACATTGAATAATTCCTCAACTGAAGAAGCGTCTGTTGATGCTCATACATGCACTCATGACCAGCCTGCAACCTCTACAGACGGCAATCACGGCGGCACTACCACGGCAAACAACCGCGACGCTCTTTCCCCCAAAACAAGCGAGGGTATCAAGACTCACAGAACTTGGAACACAGTGGGATATATCGCGATGGCTCTTGCCTTGACCCCGCAAGACTCTGATCGGAGAGGAAGCTCTTCCTTCACAGGAAATGACGAGGTTTTTGATCAGAAAGATGTGAACAACTTTGCTGGCAAGAACGACAGTGATAACGGTGGCAAGTCAGGAGATCATAGAGTTGCACAGGAGACCGAGAAGCTACTTGAACATGGGATTGTTGGCTGGAAGAAGCGTGATGGAATATTCCAACAAGGGGGACCGCCCTTGGAGGACGATGTCTTCTCACTCCCTCGTCCCGTTCCTGGCCAATTACAACAGCCAGCCCCGCTAGCTCTGCAGGCTACGCATCACGATTGTATAAGAAAATGAAGCAAACTACCAAGCAGCCAATGTAAAAAGCGACTGAACAGAAGACTGGGCGTGACAATTGGATTGAACAAGGAAGCCTTATAGGAGGAAACCCCCCGACAATTCTGCAAAACATCTTGGTATAAAACTGGATAGGAAACTGTGCGGCTCAGGCTTGGAATTTGGCTTTGTTTTTAGCCCAGAAGATTTTCATGATAAAGGGCAGGATCTCAAGGACTACTATGAGCTTTTCACACTGCCACTGGCAAACATACATTCCCAGGCATATTGTATTGTGAACGTTCCCCTTGTGCCGTCGATAATCACCAAACCCATTCTTCCAACCATGAGATCAGAAAAGGGGGGTATAGAAGATTAGAAACCAACTGTAAAGTTTCACTGACTACTTCGTTGGTTCCTGAATAGACATCTAGATCAAGTGTGTTCAGCTGGACAACTACATCCCACAGCTACAAATCCAATTGAAGTGAAACTTTTTGCACAAGTAAAAACCTTGAGATAGCAGAATTTCTTTACAATAACCTGCTAGCTGGCACTGTTCACTTAATTAAGGTGCTGCCCAGCTTGTCAAAGAATTTCCCAGGCGACCAGACTTGCCTTTCACCAGGCAGCTCTTTGCCAGATTCAAGTCACTTGGCGTGCTTCATGAAAAGCTCAAATTATGTGAGCTATAGAGTCACTCAGAACGCGTTCAACGGATTCATCCAACGACGCGTTATTTCGATTCTACCTTCCGTCGCGTATCGCTCTCATCGTCCCTCATCCATCTTCTCCAAGATCAAATCCCCACCAATCGAACCTTCCACAATCGAGTAACTCACAATCCCATCTGATTATTTAATCTCTCACCATCACTCTACAATACTGTATCATCCTTTTGTCTGATGATCAGAACCATGGTGTCCAATAAGGAGAGCCAGTTCACCGCTTCCCCGAAGATAAGCCCCTTAAACCCCGAGGCGCCTCTCTATTCGGGCGCGACTCCCCAGGGTACTCCCCAGACAACTCCCCCGGCACACTTCCGTGCATCTCACTTCACGTTCTCACGAGTCCCTCCTACGGCTCCGAAGAACTTCCAACAGGAGCAGATGTTGACTCCGTTCACATCTCTCCGATCGCACTCTGACGAGCCACCTCGTCGCGGTTTCCAGGGCACTCTGTCTGAAGACTCCCACAGCAGCGCTGGACGACGTTGTGAGTTCCCATGTATCCAGATTGGCTGTTTTCACCTCGACATTACTGCTAACTAGTCATAGCCAACACGCAATCCCACGGCCACCCTCGCAACATCAATAGCAACCGTCCCCGCAATCGACCCAACGCTCGTACTCGCGAGCGACCCACCATGGCCATGCAGCTGTCTTCCACACCTACTAGGCCTCTGACTCCCTTTCCTAGCCCCATGCAGACCCCTGCTCACTTGGCTTATACCACCGAGCTGGCCATGGCGGACCAGAACGCCAGGTTTAGAGCTGCGATGGCGACTTCTTACATCATGGAAGCCGCGGAAAAGGCACTCGAGCAACGAGAGAAGGAGAAGGAAGATCCCGACAATATGGAGGAGGAGTCAATGACTGAACGCATTGCTCTTCACAGACAGAAGCAGGAGCGAGCTAGAGGTTTTGAGGATGATGATGAATTCTACTTCGACACCTAAAGGGGACGAACGAAGGAGGCATGGAAGCACATGATTGTTCCTCGGCTCTACACTGGCATACCAAGGGACCAACAATCAATGTCTAGGGCATAGGGCTATTCCATAGGATCACAATGCCCCCAGCATGGAGGATCACATTATTCCATATAATTGTGGCTGGAATAAGGATGTGAATACTAGTTATTCTATGATGTTAGATAGCACTGCTGTCTGTATGAAGCTGGCGCCAGCACCGCTGCAGTAATCAAAGGCAAATAGTCAACCTTGCCCGCAGCCAAAGAGATACACCAGATACACCGAGCTTTTTATACCACTCGTGGGACTTCCATACTTTGATTCGGACTTGTGAGAAGAACCTTGAGCGTTATGTTTGACCCATCATTAATCATGTGCTGAAACATCTCTTTCATGAACAGCAGGTCTCTTAGTCAATGCTCCTGATAACACTAAGAAATTCCATCGATGAGGCAGAATAAAGTAGATCCCCAAGGAAGCTGTTCAACAAAAAGTCCACAAAAGGCCAGAAAAGTGCCTTTGTTATACATCCTGCAGAAACTCATGTGAGTCTATCCCAATCAAGCTTGGATATGGCGCCTGGAAGCAGAGCATGAGTTGGCTTATGAGACTCCAGAACATCCCGTTTGGCCCACTGAGGCCATCCTCAGATTTGTATCGATGTTTCGACCACAGAGTAAGTATATTATGACCACCGACTCCAGTTCAAGAAGACTGGCAGCAACCATACTGAGAAGGCTTGTCATGGGTGCGATGCGCTCCATTCCCATGGCCCATCAGCGAGCAACAGTGCATGCCGCTCTGCCGTAAGCCAATGGTGAAATGTGCCCGTCTTTATGAACCAGGAGCTGGACCTGGCAGATGGCAGCGGCGAAGGCTGCGTGGAAAGCTGATACACAAGCTACCCACTCTGGAACTGTACATGCGAGCACTACTCCCTCAGCGTCTTATTCTCGCACATCAAATCCTGCATTAACGCCTACGTTTCGGCCGCGAAGTCGGCCGCCGTTTCGTGCTTGACTACTCTTCAATCATCCGCTTTTCTCTCAGCCTTTAGCTTCTGGATGATAGAGTTTCGATGAATTCGGCGAACTTGAGTATCTTGTGTGGCTGGGCTGTCAGAGAACAGAATGCCATAGGCACCAGTGGGTGTCAGGACACTGAACGCAAGACACCGGTGGGGCGCCGGAGGGGTGTTTCGGACAAAAGACTCCCGAGTCATGATTACAATCTATGTGAAGCTTTGGGATGACGAGAGTCAAGATCCTTGGCATCGCCGACCCTGCTGTTATGCCGGGTCCAAGCGGCGGCCTAGCTATCTATATAAGGACCATCTCGAAGTAGGATAGGGAAGGAGCAGAGATCAATGCATCACCGTGGGCACCCCTACCTGAGACCGCCAGTGACCACCCGGTGCTACGTAGGAGGGACGCCCGTTACTCCCCATCACTCTGTACTATTGCCTTCGGCCTAGCCGTACCCTGACATGGGCATTTGGCGTAAAGACTGCCGCAGGGTTCCCAACCGGAAATTTTGCACAACTTGCCGGCTTTTGGAGGCGAGTTTTAGCTTGATTATTTCTTCTTTTTACTACTATAGTCGCTTTTTGCGTTGCTGGGTTGTTCCCCGTCTGAGGATTCAGGGGTCAGTTTATTCTCCACCTGTTATGTCGGTCTGGTAATTGTGACCAGGGAACTGACCTAGATTCAAGGAGGAAACTTTTGTTATGCAAAATTAACTGCAGTCACGAATTTAACATAATCATATTCGCGGAACACACAGCGACTTAGTCGAGTGGTTCAGCAGCTTGAATCGCTGGGTTGCCAAGTATGGAAACAAGACCAGAGGCGACACCGATCTGAGGCCTGATGTATCGGAAACTAATGAGAAAATGACAAAGAAAACTAGGTTTTGAAGTAAAAAATAGGTACGACGAAGATGGCTACTTTTGCATCAAGGCCCTAGTGGCCGGGTCTAAACTCATGAAGCAGATTGGCCAAGAGTGTACGAGAAGAGAGGAGTTTTGTCTGGCATCAACGATGACGCAGCTTCATGTAGACGAAGGGACGATACACAAGTGTGGGATACAGTCACTGGCTCCTACTACTCCTCACCAAAGCTCTGGGCAATTATGAAATCACGTGGAATGGCTACAGGCGTCTCGCCTTCTTCCGTTCGTTTCTGTGGTTTATCTACGGGCATGAAGAAATTAAATAAAAGCTATAGGAACTGGAGAACAAGTTTTCAACCAGCCCGCACGCCACATTCAAGGGAATTTCCCAAATCCTATAGGAGCTGATGAACAACTGATCCAAGGAAAATGGGGCAAGAAAAGACTCGACAGGTAATGTCAACAAGATGACCAGTACGAAACCACCATTATCGACATCCACCAGCCTCCCGCGCACATCACGTCAATAACAAAATCCTCGAGATGACTCTCATGGAAAGTTGTCAGACCCTGTTGGAAACACGATGCTATGTCGACTTGTGGAGAAGCGCATTATGCTACAAGTCAAGAGATATGACGATCCTACCAAAGCTGGCGCACGCGAGGTGTGATGCCAAGACCTTGGGTAGTTATTTCGACAGGTAGAGCTCATTAAGTGTTCTAGGTTGATCCAGGGCCAGGCTGTGGATGTCGCTGGTCCGCAACCAAATGTTTTTGCTCTGTAGTGTGTGGAAGCCTCACGCCAACTCGGGGAACGAGTCGCCATGATGCATTCATATGGAGTTACTAAGTAGTTATATTACGATTTTCCAGTTGTACTGCTACTTTATGAACTTCAACGGGGGGTCTTACCGGGCCATTTTTCACCATGTGACTTCTGCGTACTTTGAGAGGAGATGGGATGTTATTCCACTACCTGCATATCCTCTCCATTTTCATCCAATTGGACACTCTTCCCACAAGGAAGCTAGAGGAAACCGAAGATGTAAGCCATATGTAAATAGAAAGTCCATCGTCGCAAACAACTTCATGAAAAACGATAAAGAGAATATGCCCAAGTTTACTTCCATTATAGACCAAGATCTGATTCGGGGAAAGGACAGGGGCGTTGTAATCTTCCTACATGGCGCGCGCCAGGAGTGGGCAATACACCGACTAACGAGGCGAAAGCTTCAATTCGTCCCTTAATGAAATGTTCTGCCTGGCAAATATCTGGGATTGCATTCCACTGCTTGATGAAGCCGATATATTCCTTTCTCGACGAGAAAAGACTGACCTTAAGAGACATGCTCTCGTCACTCTGTTTCTTCGGTAAGTTTAAGCTTCCCTAAAACTATGTTAGCTTCTGCTGACGCGTCTCATAAGAGTTCTCGAATATTACAATGGTATCCTGTTTCTGACGACAGATAGAGTCGGTACATTAGATGAGGCTTTCAAGTTACGCGTTCACTTGTCTCTATGGTGACCGGCTCTATACCGTTCCTGGGCCTGGAATAAAATGCAACTGGACCTCGGCTGAGAAAATCAAGGAGCAGCGTGCCAGTTCCAACCCCACCGGACACGACAGGTTGGTCATCTACAAGAGCGAGATTGCAACTTCACCGAGAACTGGGACAGATACGCCGCCAAAAATGGCCAGGGGCAGTATAATGGCTGGCAGATCCCGAGTTCTGACCAAATTGCGGCGTCTCTTGCATGGTATGAAAACAAGTCGGACGATACACCCGGAGCGGAGTCTCTGCCGCCCATACTACGGGAACCCTATTTCAAAACGGCGGAGAGGCCCATGTCCTTATATATATATCCGTGGCGGCGTACCGCAGCGATTAGTACGACAAGATTTTTCAAGCCAATTTGAGTTCGACCGGTATGTAAATGCATATTTATAGGGGTTAGCCACAACAAGCAGCTAGACACCGCCACAAATGCTTGGCTATACTACTGACAATCATGTCCACATTTGGCGCGGGATTCGGTCTGGGTCTTGCCGATTGGCGGTGGATTTGGTACCGAGCCGCTAGCTCGGCGTTGTACTCATCTTGTCCTCTAAGCCCGGGGTGGTAGCGGGCGTCCTCTCTCCGCATTTCTCGGACGAATAGCCCCAAACATATGTAGTCTCCGCCGCGACCTGAGGAAATGGACCGCCTAGACCACTAGCTGGCGAGGCAAAGTGGTAAAAGTCCAGTCTATTCCTGCTCGTGAATGAATATATATCTATATCCATCCTGAACATCTCCAGTACCGAAATGATTGGCAGCTCTTGTGGTATAATTGCGCGTTAACTTGACTTAACTTGACTTGACATTGCATCTACTGTCCCACTGTAACCATGGTCCAGTTCAGCTTCAATGCCACCCTATCCGGGCTCGCCGCGCTGCTTCCACTGACAGCAAGTGCCGCTTCCTTCCAGCGTGTCGACGAATCCTTCGGACCCAACCCAACCAACGCAGGTTTCTACATCTACGTTCCCGATGTCCTCGCTCCCAGTCCGCCGATTCTTGTAAATCCCCATTGGTGCCACGGCGATGCCAATGCGACTTACACGGGGTCCCAATACGCCACGTTGGCCAGCCAATACGGCTTCATTGTCATTTATCCGGATAGCCCCAACACGGTGGACAAGTGCTGGGACGTCTCGTCCAATGACACCTTGACCCATGACGCGGGGGGCGACAGTCTTGGCATCACCAGCATGGTGCGCTGGACCCTTGCCAAGTACAACGGCGATGCGGGTCGTGTCTTCGTCACGGGAATCTCCTCGGGAGCCATGATGACTAACGTCCTCATCGGTGCGTACCCAGACATGTTCGCTGCGGGGTCGGCCTTCGCGGGCGTGGCGTTTGGGTGTTTTGCAGGCGACGGCTTCGATGTCTGGAGTGACGCCTGCGCTACAGGTCAAGTGACGCACTCGGGGGCCGAATGGGCTGCTATCGTGAAAGCCGCATACCCGGGGTATACGGGGTGGCGGCCTAAGATGCAGGTTTCTCATGGCACGGTGGATGAGGTGCTTAATTATACGAATTTTGGGGAGGAGGTCAAGGAGTGGACAGCGGTATTGGGGCTGAGTGACAAACCAACCAGCGTTTTTCTCGATACGCCCGTGGCAAATTGGACGAAGTCGGTGTATGGAGATAATGACTGGTTCGAAGCGTACAGTGCGGCGGGGACGACGCATAATATTCAGAACCAGGAAGCCATGGTTATGCAGTGGTTTGATCTTGCGTGCACGGGGAATAGGTGCTTCAGGTGGGGAAAAGGGTCGCCAAATGGATCTAACGGGACTACGAATGGGCTGGCTTCGAGGGCAGGAATGTCTTCCGGTGCCACTCGGAGGTCACTACGAGGGTCGAGCCCGCGGTCGTTGCGGGTATCATCGTTGTTGCAACGACAATAAAAGTCTTGACTTCAAAGGCGATACCACGGGAGACTCTGCCTAGTATAATAGTGTCTAATCTTACTCCTTGGGAATAGGGGCCTGTTATGCGGGTGGCTGTGGCAACGCACAATGCAAATACAGAATGTGATAATTGAAGCTACTCGGGGAATATCGATATGGGACACAGAGTTAAGCGGTTATAAGAGAAAATAGGCATTGAACCCTAAAGTATGTTAGTTTGAGGGAAGATTCTGTTACGCCCTGTTAGATAAAAGACAGTACTGTTTCAGAAGGATAGAATGTGACTGTTTAAGTCGAGCTTTAGAAGCACAAATAAGTTTGCAAAGCACACTATGTTATAGCTTCGCAGGCATTTTTCCAGTAACACCAATCGTATACTGCAGGCTAGGGTATATTCCACGTTTGCTTAACCCTAAATTACGACAATTAAATCGGATAACATTGATATTACTATGTTGCCCGATCCTTATACTTGTATCCCGACCAGTGTCGAGGTTCTGATACACTGTTACTGCATCGGCATGTTAGCGGCGTTTACATTAAATACGGACAGAGACAAGCACATACTCTCTATGCTAAAGAAATAGAAAGCTGCAGCAAACGTATACCGCTCTAGGCCATTCGCACTATTTGTGCTCCCGACATTATGTAATTTTACGTGACCCCTTAGTGCTGCTGGGGCGCTTACATCGAAGGAAGCTACACCCTGATTTTCATATGTTCTGCCTCCCCATCGAATGGGCCTCGACAATTAAAGAGATAATGGCATCGAGGTTCTTCATTCTCTAGGAAAACATACTTGAGACCTACCAGTGGGTCCTGATGTTCTGTATTCCTTTGATAGGGGGATGGTCTATCTAGGCCAGTTCGTGGTCATTGTGCCCCTTGCCACACAAATCGCAGGTCATGTTGGATTGTCTTTGCTATCTATCATGCTCCGATGAGGCCTGGGGTTCTTATCTCAATGTATATCCGGGGAAGCCGAAGAATACAAGTAGAGCTCACGGAAGCTTCTCCACATCTCAAGGACCCTCAAAACTCGAGATAATCGGTGCGTGCTGTTTGCTACCTTCTTGTCATAAATACACCCACTACGCCCCGGCATATTGTCTTCAGACAACTACCCAAGCTAATCACCATGATTCGTGTAAAAACAGACCACTCCTCGCAATATAATTCCCTCAGACTGTGCTCAATAACCGAGAACGGCGAACTCATAAACCCCCGACAACACTTCTCCACCGTTGCATCCATCGCCCAGGGACAGGAAAAGTGATCTCAGATCCGTCCAAATAAGGAAGAACTAATCCCAACTGCAAAAATGAAGACCATCACGGAAAGGCCGAGCTTCCAGGTCTCAGGCGACCAAACCAACTCCCGCAGGTCGGCACGGAAATGATCAATCCTCCTGTTCCAGTTTTCGAGGCGATCCCGCTCAGCAATGTGCTCGTCTCTCATGGCGTTGATCTTTCCGTACATAGTGTAGATGTTTTCTTTGAATTTGCGGTAACCCCCCTTCAACTTAGCGTCCTCCTTCGACATGGCTTTCATGGCCGACGTCATCCGATAATTCGCATTGTCGACAGCGTTCAGGTAAATATCGAGCGCTTCATCGTCCATTGAGTTCCCGCCAAATTTCCCTAAAGCTGAGACAGCCATGGCACCTATTTCTTTGCTGCTCTCCACTGATTCGTTGGCCTCGCTGTAGAATGCTAGGATCTTGTGGAACGAAGAACTCAAAGTCTCGAAATAGCCGGCAAGCTCGTCAATGGATGTTTGACTGATATACGGGAGCTCCATGGCGCTGTTAACAATTCTTTGGATATTTGACAGGTTGATGTCTGAAATCAACGAGTTGATGACGTCGAGATTGCCTTCTACAGCAGTCTGAAACTGTTTTAACACTTCAAATCTCTCTTGCGTTTTCTACGGGTTCCACTTGTCAGTATAGTGTTCTTAGAGGATTTTTGGCACGGCTTGCCTGGTGTAAAAGGGCTAAAGCCTGCTCGTCATCCAAGTCGTCATGCTGCGTTGAGGGTGCGCCCGTGGGGGCAGAGGGAGTTGCCAGGCACATCTACCTCATTGACTTAAGTTAGTTGCATCCAGACTTCCTTGTTTAAGTGGGTTCTGATTTGAGGTAGAAGGAATCTGGCGTAAATACCTTGAATGGCCCGATTGGGTGGAGATTTGATTTCCGCGTATTGTTTGGTGAGAGTCTGATTACAGCTCGAGGCCAAGGGAACTAGCATGGAGGAATGTCCGCACAGGGGAAGAAAAGTTTAACCATCTATCCCGTGAAATTCATAATCAAAAAAGAGAAAACTCGGTTGACTCTTGGACTTTTTTGGAAGTCCTTTGCATTAAGATACTAGCGCGTCACGCGTACCTGCCTTTCAATGAAGTGTTGATCCGCGGTTTCCCTCCTAAAGAATTCTAGCATAGCATCACAAAACATTTCTTTGCAGGTGATACTTTTCATCAACCAAAGTATTCATGTAATAGAAGTGATTATATCAAGTGTGTGAAGGTACTGACAAGCTCTACTACTACTATCATGGGAGACACAATCTCTAAGCAGTATTGTCACCTCAGGATTAATCAATGCTCTCTGCATTGATACGTCACCATATAAAGGATAATCCATACCCACTTAAGAAATAATCGCGAGTTTTCGCAGCAAAGAGAAATATCGCCCTGAAACAACCCATGACAACTTCCTTCCATGGCCCCATTGTTACAGTGCACACGGCAAGAGGATATTTGGCCAATGCTCTCGTGGAATCATTCTGTAAGGATATCAAATGTAACGATAAGAGCCCCTTAAATATTGGAAGAAAAGCCACTTGTGTCATGACATTCGGGTCCTATTTTTCAGAAAAGGGCCAAGCGTTTGGGTCTGTAATGGAAGACAAAAGCAGGAAGTTGGTCAACAGAACAGGCCATTATGCATTCCTATTTTTCCCCATTTCAATCGGACTCCGTAGGAGTCTTGTTGTACTCTATATTCTTGCCTTCATCTTGTGTCGAGACTACCTTCTCAGTACCAACAACTCGGATCGCGACTCTTGTCCAGATTGCCTAGAGGCTTGCCTGAACCATCTTAGATAATAGGCGCGCCGAACTGTTTGGGAAGCTGCAAGTCCAGATTTTGAAAGCTATCGTCGCCTCGAAGACGCACGTGGCACATATGGAGAGACAATTTAAACTGCAGCTGTTGGAGATATATCAAGAGCGGTGGGAACTGCTAATTTGTGGAGAAGGGGACAAGGGCATCGAACTTGGGGATCTCTTTCGTGAAGAGAACATACGGATCGTGGAAATATGAGGGAGGAAGAAGACAAGATAGCCCCAGAGGTTTGAAACCCCTCCTTAGGATACTAAATCAGGTGCTCATACGAGATCTGGAGATTCTGATAGAGTGGAGAAGATTTTGGCCTTGGACCGAATAACTAATTACCAATAAGTACTTGCCTATTACTACACAAGAAAAATGGTTCTTTTCGTACAGCATCGGACTTCTAACTTTTATCACTACGCAAATTATCATAATTTGACGTTCCATTATTTGATCCAACATCTCTTTCATGGAATTTCAATCTAGCCTTCATGCTGAAAGAACCGCAGTCAGACTGGCTGGACTTCTTTTTTGTTTAAAGCTCTTTGCAATATATAATACCATATGCGATACGTTTGGCTTCGAAGTGTGTATTGTTATTGATTTAGTGGAGTTGATATTGAACATGCCAAGTGCATATCATGTATTTTACAAGAGGAAGATGCTACCCCTGAGATATATGTGGCATGGTTAATGTGTTGAGATCATGGTAGATTATTTCGACTGCGTAGGAGAATATATTAGCTTCAGGACTAGTAGGTCAGGATTTCCACATACCATTATAAAGCTTCACTACTACCATGGACTATGTCCTTCTGGCTGGCAGATATGTAACGTTATATGGCCGTTTAAACCTTTTCCCTCTCCTTTTTGTACGGCTTCATTACCTAAGTAACTGAAATTCAACCGGAAAGGATTAAACTCGGATATCGCAGGTCTTTCGAATGACTTGCATACTCCAGTATGGCTTGAACCAATCTGGGTCATTCAGAGAGCTGTATAATTATGATGGTCATAGACAAGTAGTTCCTATGAATGTTTTCTTTGCAGGGACCATACTAGATGCGCATTAGGCGTTGGACAACTGAAAGGTGAACGTGTCGACTTCACTTGAAAGACTCGATAGAAACTGTGTCGTGCCAAGTACCAGAATCTAGCTTTCTATATACCTCAAGTAGTGGGCCTGCAACTCAACACTGCTGCACTCCCGGGTTTTCTCCACCATACCCAAGGTAGACGTAACGACAGCCCTCAACAAAGTCAAGCGAAAAAGAGCATCAAAAGAGAAAAAAATAAACTGATGGAACAAATCAAAAAGATTTGTACATCCCTCCAAATTTATTCTAGCTCTTCTGGTGTCACTCCCTAGATTATCCATTCTTGAATAATGTCAATCAAGAAATAAGTGTGTTGATCTCATCAGCTCATAGAAGGCGAAATGCTCGGGATAAATACCCGCGCAGCCATACTGGCTTTCCTAAAGGCCCTTATTTTCTCGTCTCCCTATCAAGTCGCTGCTCAGTCGTGCTCGAGGCGACTGCCCAGATTCACTTCATCCCCTTCTCATCCACATCCACATCCACAAGGATACGGCCCAGCCGCAACCGCCATTGCTAAACCTTGCAATCCAACAACGTCCCCAGTACAACTTTATCCAACTAACATCACAGGAAATTCAGTCGCCACGGACTGTCTCATTTTCACAATCATCAACCAGCACACAGGCGCCATCACTACACAACACCAGAGGAACGATGGAGCCCCGACGGAGGTCGAGTCAGATTATAATTCGGGAATATTGACGACTTCGGCTACTGCGGTCTTCGCCGGGCCGTCTGGGTGGGCAGGAATGGTGGCCATTAATGAGGCCGGTAACGAGATTACCGGATCCGACTCTCTCATTGAGGGTAGCTATAATAAGCTCCATGATGGCAACAAAGCACGTTCTGCCTTTGACGTGAGTTATGTGTGAGTGACGGAGTATTTCTTAGCTGGCTGAGCCCAGGTAACTGGACTGACATTCTTCCAGGGCTGGCTTTACATTGCCGATAACCTGCCATTGTGGCGGAGAGGTCCTGGCAGGATGCAGCCTCGATCTGTTTGAGTTGAATGAATGTCCTGTATGTCTGCCCGGGGTTTTTTCTTTTGGTTTTGTGATTTCGGCTGAAATGGAGCTATTCGATTGTCCAGGACGGCATGAATAACCTACCGGGGACGTGCCGAAACCCGAATAGGGGTAATGAGGATGCTCGCCAGGCTACCGAGTTCTTTAGACCTTGTGAGAACATCGCATATACATTTCCTCACGACGACCTGGCAACTATAGATGGCCATGAGGAGTGTTCAGATAGCATCACATGTTGCATTGGAACGGCGTGCCCGGCTCATCCGAAGCAGCCCAACGAAGGCGACGAGGACGATGACGAGGATGAGGACTGAGACAACACAGTTACAGTACGTGAGTTATATAGATCTGGGGTGTCGGCCAATCCGGGATTTACTGGGAAGGTTTGGCCTGGGGAGACGATGCCAAGTCGTTGGGGTTGTGGTTAGTTCAAAGCCCAAACCTAGAGCGGCAAGTACATATCTTCGAACTTGTGCAGACAATCTTGTGGTGGATGTAGAGAATTCAACCTTCGTCACACGATTCGGGGCCTAACAGTCAAAAGTTTGAGGGCGATGATAATAAAATGCCAGTGTATTTGCCAAATCATTCGCCAATTGAAGGTTGGTTGCTTGTGTTGAAGTCACGACACCTTGGCATTTTAATGGACATTGATGGATTAGCAAAGCGACAAGGGATTTCGACTTGGATGGAATTGATCATGGATCGTTATTCCACGCGTACGAGACAATTGGTTTGATTGATTTGATTGATTCGTCAAATCAGTGTGGCTTACCCGGCGCTACACTAGCCACAAATGATATCATTGTGGTTTCCAACTAATCCCTCCAATTAAAGGTCTCTTTTAAAGCGTCCAAGGTCATAGCTATTTGAACTGCTGCAGCCTGGCCGCCTCGGTGATTTGGCGCAAACCGGTTCGTTCATCAACCCCAGATATGGCATAGCATCAGCCCACACCAAACTCACGACACCAATGTCATCCTCTCCGCCTCCAGTCGAAGCCCATGGGCCAGGTGTCAGCACTGACGATGTCGCCGCACCTGCAGCTCACGTACCCGACAACCGCAGCACCTCGAGAGCAGCATCACCTACCCCCGCCAAACAAAGCACCGAAAGCGCCGACTCCGCCAGGGATACGCATCGCTGCTTCATATGCCTGGGGGACGAACTGGAAGCTAGCATGCCCGACGACTGGTCGACTCCCTGCAGCTGCTCCTTGGAAGGCCACCAGAGCTGCTTGCTCACTTGGGTTACCGATCTCGAGTCGCAAGGGAAAGAGTACAAATGCCCCGTCTGCAAGTCCAAAATCCACGTCGTGGACCGGTGGGACCCTGCCGTGCGACTGAGCGACCAGCTCCTCCGATACTGCTCGGGTCTATCGCCGATTATACTCTGTGGGTTCTTGGGCGGTGGTGTCTTCATTGCCAATGCCACCTATGGCATCCACGCCGTCGAAGTTTTCGCAGGACCGGGAGCTGCCAATGGATATATCCTCAATCAACCCGACAAGAATTCCGTTTGGGACGACCTGGGTCGGGGCCTTAGAACGGCTCTGCTGCCTCTCTTGGGAGGCATAGAAGGCGCACAGCACCGCCCACGGAACATGCCTACTTTGGACGCATTTCACTTTTTCACCGTATCACTCATCGCCCCGGCATTGATACTCAATCGCTTACACTTTGGTGAAATTGTATTTATACCTACGTCTTTACTGGTAGGCCCTCTTGCACTTGCCGCTCCGCTAAACCAGTACGGAAGTGCTAACCCACCTGACAGTACGCCATTTTCTTTGGAGATTACGATACGGATGCACTGACTTGGCCACCTCTACCCCATAAAGCTTTGGTTGCATTTCCCACAATCAGAGCACTCTACTTCCGTCTTTACCGACTGATCTCCGGACATCTGGACAAGAGGGTCGCAACTCTTTCAGCTGCACATAGGAACCTGCCAGGAGAGACGACCGAGGCCGAGCAGCTTGCCCCGAGACAGGACGTTGAACCGGAACCGGATGATGAAAACATAGTCGATATCCAAATAGACCTGCAGCTTGGCGCCCAAGTCGAACGCGAAAATGCGCCTCAGAACCCCCCGGCGAACGACCCGGCACCGGCACGACGAGATCCCACGAATGCGGTGAGTTCACTTACGAACTATCTGGCAGGTGCGCTGTTGTGGCCAACTGTGTCTTTTGGCATGGGAAGCCTGTTGCAAATGATGCTACCGAAGTCATGGGTCACGCGTTCTTCGGGCCCTGCCACTGGGCTTCTACAGGAAAGATGGGGAAGGAGTCTTGTTGGCGGTTGCTTGTTTGTGGTTATTAAGGACGCCTTTTACCTGTATGTACGATACAGACGAGGAATCAACAGACCTCACAGAAGGATCAAGAATGCGGACAGGAGGAATCGACCGGCTTGAGATTAGGATACATTGCGAAGGCGTTTGGATGATATGAACACGTGTGCAGCATTTGCGACCCAGGTGGCTAGCGAGCAGTGTCGTTGGGCTTGATACCATAGCATGAAAGCAGCGAGTAGAGGGTAATTTACTATTGCGTGCCAACAGAAAACCCAGCTTGCATCCAGCTTGCATCCAGCTTGTACTCAGTGATGCTGTCCGAAGGTCATATGAGATGGAAAACGCGGAAACTGGACGAGTCACAGGTTCTACCCAAATGCCTCAGAATGTCGAAGCGAGCAACGGGGCGAGAATGTGGTGCACGCGCATGTTATGACTTTTACCGAACGCTGCATACGTTGAAGCGGTCAACCGGCAGGTCAAAGCACTGCATGATGTGACTTCATCTGAAATGAGTTACCTTTGCATACCCCAATCGCGTTGAGCCGGGGTGGGTGTTGTTCGGTTGTGATTAATCAAAATTCTGGATCTGCGGGCCCAGGTGGGATCATACGTAGGTAAAGTCTCGTTACCGTTGGGGGGTATCTATCCATCCTCCACCACAGACCGGAGCACTTGTTAGTCTCCCCGGCGGAATATTGCATCAACCTTAAGAGTAGTAAGATCTGGCAGGGTCTCGCAGCTTTTCTGTTCGTTTGTGTTCCGCATTTGCAGTGCGCGGTCGGTGTTCGTTCAATCAAAATATCCCCGCCGCAGGAGCACCTCAGGACATTGGCATATTTTGCGTTACCGAAGGTCTGGGATCTCTCCAACCTCGAACGTAAAAGATCTTGTCCAACCATCCGCTGCCTTGGCCCGGGTGCATACCAAGTCGGGATTAAGCCGATCATTTGGGCCATGTCGGGTGGATGAATTGGATGCTCACCGGTCTCGTGAGATATCTACTGCCGTGGAACGAAAATGCGAAGATTCCACTGTTCGATCTCTCGGGTTGGCGACACGACTTGCACGTTCGCCTCACCGCCACATGTTCGTGGCATTTTTCATAGGGATTCCAGCCGCGTCTTGACTGAGCTTGAAGACCTCACCCGTCGTTGCCAGCCAGGCTGCCGCATGCCACCCGCTGCCAGGCCACCAGCGCATCGCCATCTGCAATCAAAGGTCGCGAGGACGTTACTGCTTTTACCGTGGGGCAATGTGCCAGCACTAGCTGATGCAACTGCAGCCCTGTGGTACTCAAGTGGCCCCTCGGGCAGAAAAAGGTTTGCAATTGCATTGAACCCAGTCGCCATCCTTGCCTGCCGTGCAGCCTCTGCTGCATCCTCCTCCGCCAATATTCAACAATATTGATTGGTACGGTGTCATGAACCACTCTTGACGACTATCTACTTCGTATACTCGCACGACTCACGAGGCGACCCCATGGCGATAAATATGGGCGAACCAGAACGGACTCTCAAGGTTTCCACAATCCACTCAATAACGCCGTCATCCCTACCGCGGAGGAGGCAATTGATAACAACTGCATTTGTAATACAGTTTTCTTGCATTTCCGTCATGGAACTGACTTGCAACACGACTGGTTCTGGCTCAGTAATTGATAGCCTTAAGGTTCATTTCAATATATGGGCCGCGTGGCGTGCTCCCGACGAATAGCATCGGACGGTTCCTGCGCCGGCTTAGGCTGTCAAAATGCAAGATCCAGGACAGGGCCCAGTATATGGACCCATGTCTTGGCGTACATTGGATAGAATGTACACTCGTTGACGCAAGGAGTTCAAGTGGAGTCTCCATGCATCTTCTCTGTCTGTTGGGTGGTAACCCCTTCACCGAGGCCAGGGTCGCATCGTATGTCCGAAACGGTGAGCAGAGCTTGATTAAGGAAGGATGGACGAGCATTTCATTGGCAATATCTTGACGTTGTTGGCTCGTTGCCGTGCGGCGCAGAACACCCCCGCTCCGGTTCCCGAAATCTGGAGATGGCTGGAGAAAACATGAACCAACAGCGCAGGAGCGCCTGCGTGCTGCACAACCGACCACGACAGGCCTAGTCAGAGCACTAGACTGGCCGATGTAAACGGTTGCGGTTGAAGTCACGTTGTTACCCGTGAAGAGGCGCATGCCGATCTTTCTGCGCAGTGTTGCCGTCAAAAGTGGCCCCCGCCCCTTCCCCCAGGTCCCCCGGTTCAGTGGTTCTAAAAGTAGGTTCTATCGCGGGTCATGTGGTGCTTTGCGCATTTTCACCTCAGACCACGCGCTCCGTGTTAAAGTGGTAAAAGTACTGAGCTGACTACCGCCAACGGCTCAAAATGAGGCTCTCTTCCCCGGTTTACCAAGCCTTGGTGACTCGTTTGCTGTTGCTCTAGAAACTGTTTCGTTCGCCTTGCCCAATGCTTACGCCAGGGCTGAGTCAACACGTGGTCGCCATACACAAACCCGAGCGCCTCTCATCGCCCAATATCAACGACATAGCCACGTGCAGCCCAGGTCAGACACCCATAACACCAATCTTCAACCCGTTGACGGCGGGCATTGGCGGCGGCGGCGGCGGGGGATAATCGCCATTTCGAATAATCGCATCGGGTTTTCTATTTGCTCGCAGCGGACTTGCTAAATAAAGATATGAGCTCGTGTTGATACACAAAAGCACCAAGTAAGTGAGGCCGCATCAAACTCTGTTTGTCATTCGCACCTGCGTTTGGTCGACAAACCGGGCCAACTCTGTCCACGTCATCCCAAGACGTCTTACTCTCTCAGGTCCCCTTCCTGATTCCTGTGAACCATCATGCCTGAGCCTATTTTCGATCTCAGAAGGTGCGGTGCAGCAGTGGTGTCTTGCGGTATTCGCCACAAATGTCAACCTCCACACCACCCACCTCGTTGTTGTCCACCGCCCCTGCCTACTATCGCTGTCTTCTGACGAAGTTAGGCAACCGCTCTGCCCAAACGCCCTGTAGTTGCGTCTTCTGTTTATTGCCTGAACTCCTTCGCAACCACGTTTAGAAACCACCCACGCTCCACCCACGCTCTACGCATCCACATCTCAAATCCATTCTTCCCCTGGCCATTTCCCTTCCACTCCCTTGATCATCTTGGATCATCTAAATCTGACACCCAACAACCAGGACAAGTAACCCACCACGCTCGTTGTATCAAACCCGCTGGGAACTTACCGCGCCTAGGCCATAACGCGCTCCTGCAGCATTCACCGTTGCCGTCGTGGTTCGACTGATTTGTGGGGTGAAATCCCGTCATGAAGGAGTCCCGAGAGTGGCTGCTTGCCAATCTTCACTATGTCTACCCAGTAGTCATCTTCTTGTACTTCGCTGTAGCGTCAGCCGTAGCGGCCTGCACCCTGCAGACGTCATCCCCAGTCATCAAAACCAAGCATGGCCGGCCGAAGACCATCATTGGTCTGCTTTTGCTGCTCACGCTCTCCTACTTTGGCCAGCTCACGGCAAAGATTGTTGAGTACATGATCTTGCAATTGTGGCCCAAGCCGGACGTCATCGTGGGCTTGCTATCATGCATCCTGGTTTTTGGTATCGAGCAGACGTCATTGGGAGACGCCTCGACCACCGTCTGGTACCCATTCTACGGCTCTTGGCTTATTGCCCTAGCCTTTGACCCCGTCATCTTGGTCCTTGCCATCCTCGCTTCACCCGGAACTCAGCCTGAAGCTGCCAATGCCTTCTTGTGGGTAGACTGCGGCATCATCGTCGCTCGCTGCGTGATTCTGCTCACAACCATTCTGGCCTACTTCATTTGGCGAGACAGGACTCAGCTTCCGGGTAACGACAGCGAGCGAAGTCCCTTGATACCCAAGCCCGACCAGAGACCCAACAACGGTGATGCATCTACGGACAGTGGCTATGGGACCAACTCGGAAAGCAACACGGAAGCGACAAATTCGCCGAGCGACGCCGAGTCGCCTTGGGAACGTCAAGAACGCGAAGGTCGTGAGCAGATGGAAAAGCGTCTGAAAAGTGAGGGAAGCTGGATCGCGTATGCTAAGGGGTTCATGGTCTTCTTTCCCTACGTCTGGCCAGTCAAGAACCGCCGTCTGCAGATCCAAGCTGCTCTTGTGGCCGTTTGCCTGATCATCGGGAACGCCCTGAATGTTCTCATTCCGCGCCAGATGGGAATCGTCCTGGACACGCTCAATAAGCCTGCGGGCCGCAATCCTTGGGTGGAGGTCATGATCCTGGCAGGCCTGAAGCTAGCGTCCTCCGAGGCTGGTATCAACTTTGTTCGGCAACTGCTCTGGATCCCGGTGGAGTACCACTCGAGCGAATCCCTGGCCATTGCGGCTTACTCGCATGTCATGAATCTGTCCTCCGAATTTCATGACAACATGAGTTCTTCGGATCTGATCGTTGCCATCTCCAACGTCCAATCAGTTTCTAGCATGCTTGAATCGGTCTGCTTTCAAGCCTTGCCGATGCTGATTGATCTCGTCGTGGCCTTCATCTACCTATCCGCCACATTTGGCCCATATGAGGGTTTCATCACCGTTGCCACTGGCATGGCCTTCATCCACGTAGCGACGTGGATGATTGCACGTGTCAAGGATAAGAGGAAGACCATGGTCAAAACGCGAGTTGCCCCCCCCCCTGTCCCACTTGTCTTTTCTTGGCACTTTGTGAAAAGCTCGTTGTCGATCTCGTGCTGATGAATTGCAATAGTTTCTTTGAAGAGCACTATCGTCGACAAGCAGGTATTCAAGGATGGCTCACTGTTAGTGCATTCAACCAAATCCCTTACGAGGAGGAGCGATATGAAGTTGCTGCCAAGGCCAAGAATTCGTCGATGAAGAACTTGTACTATGGTTATCTGGCTGGCCATGCTTTCCAGTATCTCATCCTCCTGTGCGGCTTGATCGCTGGTGCGTTCTTGGCTGTTTACCAGGTTATTCAACAGGAGCGAACCGCAGGTGATTTTGCCATGCTCCTGGCTTACTGGGGACAACTCACATCACCACTCCGCTTCTTTGCGAGCCTAGGAAAGAGCATCAGCCAGGAGTTGGTGTACGCTGAGCGTCTCCTCGATGTCATGTTGACAAAGCCGACGGTCGTCGACAAGCCAAACGCGAAACCACTGGAACTCAAAGGGGGTAGAGTCGAGTTCCGCAACGTCAACTTCAGTTACGACAAGAAGCAGGACATCTTGAAGGGCGTGAAGTTGTCGGTGCCTGTGGGTAAGACGGTTGCATTTGTCGGTGCCACGGGAGCGGGTAAATCGACCATTCTTAAGCTCCTGGACCGTTTCTACGATGTAAAGGGTGGATCAATCCAGATCGATGGGCAAGATATCCGTGACGTGCAACTGTCGAGTCTCCGTCAAAGTATCGGCATCGTTCCTCAGTCGCCAATTCTCTTCGATGATACCATCATGAACAACATCCGCTACGCTCGACTCACTGCATCGGATGAGGAGATATATGCCGCCTGCAAAGCTGCCGCTATCCATGAGCATATCATGGGTTTCAGCGAGGGTTACAAGACCCGGGTTGGTGAACGCGGGGTGTAGGTCATCTTGGAACCCCTGAATTGCTTTTTTCTTGTACTGATAACCACACAGCAAAGTCTCCGGTGGCGAATTGCAGCGCATTGCGATTGCACGCGCTATCTTGAAGCGCCCTGATATTGTTCTCCTTGACGAGGCAACGAGCTCCGTCGACACGGAGACGGAGCAGAAGATTCAGGATGGACTCCGTATTTTGTGTGAGGGGAGAACAACGTTCATCGTTGCGTGAGTTTCTTCCATCTTCTCTACTCTCGCAACACGACCGATGCTAATGATGAGATAGACACCGTCTGTCGACCGTCATGAATGCCGACATTATTTTCGTTGTTTCCGGTGGTGAAGTTGTGGAGCAAGGCAGCCATGAGGATCTTCTGAAGAAGAAGGGTAAATACTCAGAGCTTTGGTCAAAGCAGATCTTTGTGAAGCCTAAGGAGTCTCAGCAAGATCAGGAGGTCGAACAAGCGCCGCAAACCGAATCTCAGCAGCAACAGTCGGAAGGTACTAACGAAGGGCAACCCGCCAACCTGCCATCAACGGCATCGACAACGAATGGCAATCGTCGCCAAAACTCGACCCCGAAATTGGATACTAACATGGCAAGCAAGGCCAATGATGAGGCTGTGAAGACTCCCAGTGGGCACACGAAAGAGGTAGATCAGTCGAAAGATCGTTCTTGATTTTTTGACTGATACTAACCTCTTTCGCAGGGTTCGAAGCTGAATCCTGGTGCACCTGAGTTCACGCCTCGATCAACAGCTGCGCCAAAAATCGCCAATGACTCCCCAACCCGAAGCGACTGGGCGGATGATGTGGAGGCCCATGTTGCTTCTCAGCAAGCAGCACCCAAGGTCGAGGTCGCCCCCGCTACTCCGTCTCCCAAACAACTGCTCTACAATGTCGAGGAAAACATCAAGCCGGCTGCGAAGAGCCCCGACGTACAGACAGCCTCCATCTACCGACATCATGAACCCACGGATGCCACGCGCTCAGTCTCGGATCCCATGTCTCATCAGCTCTCAACACCCTCTACGCCGACTCCCACCAAGAGCGAGCCTGCTCGGCCCAGAGAACCACTTGGCCCGACATCGAATCCCGTCAGTGGGCGCCCACCAAAGTCTAACAACCCTACTACATCCGAACACCCTGTTCAATCCCGAGGCGGGCGCCGAAGCTCTCGCGGTCGTCGTGGCGGCTTCCGTGGTGCAGGTCAGCCTCATGGAAGACGTGGGGGCCGCAACGCTCCTAATCCACAAACTACGGCGGCCACGCAATCACACTCCACAGCGAAGTGAAGGCATATCCATTTTCTCGGTCGGAAGCAAACATCGAGTTTCTCCTTCTTTTGCGACTCATTTTCGACTCCTATTCTTTGTGCATAGCTAGGGACAGGTCCACGATATTTGTAAAATGCGAGAGCGACCCGGATCATCAGACACGGCGTTTCAATACACGAAGGGTGTTCAGAGAAAAGCATATGATTTCTTTGATTTTTGGTAACACCATTTTACACGATGACTTTCACATGATACTATGGACAGGGGCGAGGAGTAAATAGGTTAGATTGATGGTTAGAGAAGCTTTGGAGTTGGACTTCCAGGGAATAGAGTATCGATTTTTACTGTTTGGCCCATGCGATCGGCTTTATATCGTTCTTGACTCGGGGCAAATCCCAGAATACATATGGTTCAGTGTTCTGCAGCTCGTGATTTATGGACGCCGGACCCTGCCACGTTGACTCAAGTCACCAAATCGACATAAGCAAATTGTCATAATCCTTTTAGTCGGGTAAGCCGTACTATAGGATGACCTCCGTAGACGTCGCCCAACTCATGCAGATTGTGAGCATTACTCTTCCTTCCACGTCTGCAGCAAAAACAAGCTCTTGTTCGCTAGCTGGCCTCTACATAGTCGCACTCAACATTTCCCTTTAAACCCACAAGGGGTCTCTCATTGGATTTTATCAAGATCTGTAACCCAATCTTGAATGCCCAATATTTCCTCTTCGATCAGTTTCACTCCAAAGAAATTGTCGAACGCAGCTACTTGCTCCGATTCAGTCTTGAAAACAGCCAGAACCTCCGTCTTGGCACCCAGATTCTCTTTGACATCCCGCCTGCCAACATGCGCTTCCATAGATTTCCTGTTTGCCCAACGCCTCTTTACTTTCATCATGCCCTTTTCCTCCCTTGCCCACCTCCTTCGCCCTGCGCAAGAACTTCATCAACAGCACCGTATACGTCTGCCAGTTCCGGGGACGCGACCCAGTCCACCAATCCACCACATCCCAGTCTATAGGCATGAACTCGAGTTCCAGAAAACAACAGAAGGAGTTCCATTTCTCGACACCACCGTTGCGGTACTGGTAAATCTACAACTTGCTCTCCTCGCCGCAGTGCGTCTGCGTCGGAATCCAGTCCCTTACCAGCCGGGTTTCCTGGCTGCCAAGATTCCGGCGCACGAGTCCCGACCGAGAGGCATGGGTATGGTGGCGCCATCACCACCGAAGACGACATCGACGTAGTATTGATCTCCCGAAGGGGTTAGGGTTATGATATTGACGATGTGGATCCATCCCAGAAAATCGCCGCCGGTGACATCGTGGAAGTCTCGCGCAGGATGTGGATGTAGAAGAGGGCGACTTCCATGCAGTAGCCGCGGCGGCGGCACTTGTCGAGGACGATTTTCTGGAAGATTTGTTTGGGTTGACTCGATCTAACTGTCCAAAGACGGCTGAGAAATTGAGCAATGGGAAGCTAGCTACCTGCTATTAGAAGGGCAAGTACACATATGACGCATGCCTGTATACCTGCTCATGATGCGCTGCAAGATGGTAACTCGTTGCATAAATCTGAATGAGACTGACTTCCCCTGAATATGGGAAATGAACAACGCTACCCTGGAGCCAAATTCTGCCCTAAATCGCTACTTCACCGCCTATGTGGGAGGCGGGGGAAATGATGCCCTGTCGCAAGTGTTACAATGCCTGGCGGTTTAGAGACAAGACCACTAAGCCGAAGATTCCAGAACCTCCTGGAGAATCTACCACATCAAAGTCGTGTCACTCCTAGAACTCTTGACCAACTTTACACCTACGATCTCTCTCGTGCTCTTCGCCGACAACAGCTGAATTCTCAGTCAGCAAAAGCACAAGATGGTGAGCTCTCTTTGATTAATGTGGTGGCATTCGCGAGGTACTGACAACACAGGCGACCACATCAAAGCAGCGTCTTGCGCTCGCAATCTGCGACTTCCTCTCCACATCGGTGGAAGATGGCACATTGAGTGGTGACGACAAAGACTCTATCGATGTTGCCATCAACTGTATTGCCGAGTCCTTCAAGGTCGACCCCACCTCGCCGGCTGCCATAAAGGAAGCCATTGGCTCCCAGAGCCTCCTCAAAATCTACAGCGTCTACGAGAAGATGCAGGGCTCCCCTAAGTCAGCCGCCTCTCCCAGCATCCCCACCGCCGCGCCCGGTGCCAGCAGTGCAAGTGCCCCCAGCGATGCCGACAAGAAGAAAGCCGAGGAGCTGAAGGGCCAGGGCAACCGCGCCATGGCCGCCAAGGACTACCACAAAGCCATCGAACAGTACACAGAAGCTCTCGCGCTCAACCCTGGCAACGCCATCTTCCTGTCGAACCGCGCAGCCGCCTACTCTGCAGCACGAGACCACGAGTCCGCCCGCGCCGATGCCGAGGCTGCCGTCAAGATCGACCCCAAGTACACGAAGGCCTGGTCACGTCTAGGACTCGCTCGCTTCGCTCTCGGTGACGCTAAGGGCAGCATGGATGCGTACAAGCAAGGAATCGACTACGAGGGCAACGGCGGTTCCGACGCCATGAAGAAAGGCTACGAGACGGCCAAGAAGCGCGTTGAGGAACTCGAGCTCGAAGAGGCGGACGCAAGCGAGCCGACTAGCCCTACTGCGCGCGGAGCCGGCGGAGCACCTGATCTGAGCAACTTGGCCAGCATGTTCGGTGGAGGAGGCGGCGGTGGCGGAGGCATGCCCGATCTCAGCAGCATCATGAGCAACCCCATGTTTGCCAGCATGGCGCAAAACCTTATGTCCAACCCGGACATGATGCAGAACTTGATGTCGAATCCGCGGCTGCGCGAGATGGCGAACAGCATAGGCGGTGGTGGCGGCATGCCCGATTTCGGCAGCCTGATGAACGACCCCAACATTGCCGACATGGCACGAAATATGATGGGTGGAGGAGCGCCAGGAGCCGGACGAGGAGCTGGAGGCCAAGGTGGTACGCAATAATACCGGGTCGACCTGACGAGGCGTTCATTCGAGGACGCGGGGAAGCGAACATGCGTTCCTGGGTTCAGATGGCTTAGATGTCACTATACATGTTTACGATGACTTGGGTAATAATACCAGTTTGTTCTGCTACAAAACGTCCGTGTTTTTGTGTTTTACGCTGCGATATCTTTGGGCACTGGCTACTTACTATTGGCTTTAGAAGCGGATGATGCTCAAGCCGCTACCTGATGTGGGAGTGTCAGCCGTACCCCGTTGAGGTCATGACGAAGAAGTTATGGCACTACAGAATGAGAACCATGGTACTGCTAAGGACAGAGCAAAATACACGTAAAGGAGCCATGGCTCCACAGAGCATGGTCCCCGCGCTACGATCGCACCACTTATATTTACGCGGACCGGCTAACTCTACAGTTTGTGATGTGGAGCTGTACGATAGTCTGTATAAGAAGTGGGATGGACGTTATTCGTAACGTGGGGTTTTCCATTTCGGGACGTGCAGAGAGTCATCCTGTCGACCAGGACTTTGATTCAGCATTAGATATCCAGCATCTACTTGAAATGACCTCACGGCATCGTCTTTTCAACCCATCTGAGATGTATTCGATTGCCCTCAGATGAACTATGCGTGTGTTCATATATTGATTCCAGATTAATCTATTTGAGCTCATCGCCAGATTCATCTATTAGGGCACAGCTATGGCTTCCACTCGAGCTCCCTTGACATCGACTCACAACCATTTATGATTCACGGTTGGTCCCATTGGTATGGCTTAGCATTAGTTGTTCTTTTTTCTAGTATATATTTAGCTTGATACAGTGTATGGACGCGTTCCGGCGCTCAGGTCGTGTTGTCTTCGACCATGATTGCGTACATCTATCTGTTCAGTCTTCACTCATTACATTAGTGGTGGGAAACTATTCCCAAGCTTGATCATCGCGCCAAACCAGCAGCGCAATGCTATCCGTCCATTATTTGAACATGCCGGCGAAGCCATCCTCAGGCCGGCTGCTGGTGGCTATTGCTGCGGCGCCGTTCCATTCCAGGCGGAATATGTGGTGTGCCATTTCCCATCATCATACGAAGAAGTGGAGCTTGTGCTGGACAGTACAGGGGCTGAAGTCGTCACGCTCAATGTGGGTATGGATGTGGTGGTGAGGATGGAGGAGGTTGAAGGCGTAGGTGTAATAAATTCAGTGGTTGAGGGAGTGGATTTTGTTGTATTAGCTGTGGTCGCGGGTTGCTCCGTGGTCGATAGCGAAGATGTCGTTGGACTGGACGTAGTGGTCGGCTCCTGTGTTGTGGGGGGCGTAGTTACCGGGCTTGCTGTGGTGATCACGTGCTCTGTAGTTGTCTCACGCTCTGTGGTTGTCGTGGTCGACATCTTGCTGGTTGTCACAGAGGTTGTTTGGGACGTAGAATGGGTGACCGTCATGGTGATCAAGGTAAGACTGATATCCACAATGGACACGGTCGAAACTGCATGCGCAGTCTTCGTGGCTGTTACTGTGTCCGTAACAGGCGGCGAAGTTTCGACAACCGTCTTCGTCGTCGGTGTTGGAGATATCACCACGGTTTCCACGACAGTCGTCCTCGAATTGCTGGAATCAGCGCCACTGCTACCGCCATCAATGGGCACAACCGAGTAGGTCGCCCTCGCTGCCACGGGCTCAGCAGCAGATGGTTTCCTCCATGTACGAAAGGGCAGAGCCGACGTAGGGGAGTACAGAGAAGATATCGCAAAAAATAGAGGGATGGGCAAGTTGGACCGCATCTTGATCATACAGGCAGGCAAACAGATGGATGACCTTGGAGATGAACCTGTCGAGTTTGATTTGGCGGTATTGATCGTCCAAATGAGTGGATGAGAAAGAGGAATGAGCACCTACTGTGGGGACGAGCTTTTATTGAAGGCATGGTGAATTAACGATATCGAGAGGTTGGGTTGTGGATTGTATGTCCAGCGTCAAGTATTCAAGTCGGATGGCTGGTTTGAGACACACGAGGCTAGCTAATTGGCCAGAAGCTTGCAAGCCCGCTCACCTGTCACCAGCCACCGGCTTCAAGATTTGGGGGTACCTTACGCTAGTCTCCCCCGCATTCCAGCTATCCATTGGATTTCAGAGTACCGGTAGTGCAGGTGGTGTGGTCCTCGAGGTTGGATGACAACGATCTGCAATAAAAAACTTTCTAGAAGCTCGTTCTTCTGAATATCTATTTCTGAATATTGCAGTTACTTGCAGCTGGCTGGGAGACCGAAGACTCTCTTGTCCGATTCGGGTAGCAGGCAAATCGGATCTTGGCAAAACCCACAGGAGAACCCCTGGAGGACCAGCACAGGGTCTGTAGCTGTGCTGCATGTGGCTGTAGTTGAGATCAGACAACCCACACAGTCAGTTGGGCAAAAATACCTACGGCGCACTCAGGTGGTTAGATGTCCATAGGAACTTTTTCGGCCACATCGGGCCTAGCGTCGATGCCGCTTTTCCTCAGGCTCGGCTCAGTCAATTATCAGGCACGTGCCCTGATCAGCTGGAGTCGAAGGAGATTATGTTATGAACAGTTATGCAGAGAAAACGGAGAACGAAACGGTTTGAGTGCAGCCCCGACCAATATAGCTTGCTTAACCGACATAATTGGACAGTACAGCTTCTGGCTTTGTCTAAATCCGTCCTTCTCTTATACAGTTCATATATAAAATGAATGATCTCAGGAATATTCACGAGATACTATAATGGAGATCATCGAAGGGGACTGGTAAATCAATTTAAGCTCAAAAACCTATGCGCTGGTGCTTTTACTGTTGAGCAACGTGTTTGAGAAACATGACCTAGAGGTGTTCACTCTGACTACAGCCATGTGTGGAATGGCACAATTCATAATAGTGGAAATGAAGATCAGATAAACTCCGGATTCCTCTCAGCGTCTCAAGCGGCCAAGTGAACTCTTTCCTTAAGAATCAAGAAATCATGCCTTAATGACTAGTCAGATAGCAATAAGCATATTTAAACATCTCCAGACCAGCGGCAGCGCCCAGTTCCAAAGCGCTTCCGACGGCTCACCGGATGGCCACACATTGATACCCCGGCCCTCTATATTAAATAAGTATAAAGTTCGGCTTTTCTGCTGCCGCACTCGAGTTATGGTGTCCTCTAAATACTGCCGTCGGCATTGCTCTTCTGACTAGTCTCCATTCTCTCGGAAATGGATCGTTACCCGAGGGCTTTGCGAGACGAGGCGAGAGGGTCCTGGCACGAATGTAGTTAACACCGCACTCGTGCTCGCCGGCCGTTCTTCCCCTTGTCTTGTGCTCGTAATTGTTAGCGTTTGCTGAGCTTACGGTCTTAGCTCCAATTGTTGCTCTTGAGTAGCTGCAGCTGCTAATGCTGACTCAGCTTGCTGTGGTGTAGGCTCCAGTTGTTGCTCTTGACTAGCTACAGCTGTTAATGCTAGCTGAGCTTGTTGTAGTCCTTGCTCTGTTTGTTAGTCTTGAGGAGCTGCAGCTTTTAATGCTAACTGAGCTTGTTGTGGTCGTTTCTCAGATGATGCAGCCCGTAGGCTTGGGCCTGTGAGTGCTTGCTGAACTTGCGCCACTCTTTGCTGAAATGGCCTTTTCCGAGGCCTTGCCTGCGGAGCAGCATCTTGTCGTTGCTGTTGGTCCCGCTCGCGTCCTTCGGGGTGTTTGCCCTCGCAATTGTCTTGTCTTGTTGTCGAGACCGCCGTGGTCGTTTCTGTTTACGCATGTTCTCCTGATAGTTTCGTCGTTGCTTTGCAGAAACCCAATTCGTCTTCTCAAACTGATGACACTTCTCGACGAGCCAGAATATGTCAATGGTATCGATGAGCTAAGGGAGATTGTGCAATTATGCGGCTCTTTCCTGACTATCCGAGAAGAGATTATCTACTTTGTACAGTAGTCGGCAAAAGACTTCCTTGACCCCAAGAAGAACGCTAACAGAATTTTCCCTGGTGGTATCGAGCTAAAATACTCTTCCATCTCTTCAAGATCGATCGAGGCTCTATCTAAGTGTATACGATTTGCGCGAGGAGGGCATATCTGTCGACCAAATCCAACGTCCGAATCCCGATCCGCTGGCCCCGTTCGATACTCCTGTGTATATTGGGTCGATCATCTCGATGATGGGGATTCTTCTGTGAACCCAAAATCCGGAGAAGTCTTCCAAGACAGTAGCGCAATCCAAAAGTTTCTAGAGCAAAGCTATACACATTGGCTAGAGTCTCTCGGTCTCCTTGGAGACATACCGAAAGGGGTCTCTTCTAAGTCCAAACTACCGCGTTTACTTGAGGTACGTATTTACTCGATATACCATTTTGAACTCTAATAGAGTCTAGGGTAAGGAGAGCGTAGTAGGGTTGGCTGAAGTAGTATATGATGCGTTACGATTTATTCAATCTCACAGTGTTGTGATCACGGGCAATCCACTCCAAGTATACGTGTCGGCCTGATCTTCAGCCCCAACCGGAGTGTAATTCGGAATTTATTTCGAGGGCAAGAACCGAAATGGATAATCAGAAAACTAAGAATGGAAGCCTGTTTACAGACGCTCGAGGGCCGTACTTCTTCGGTCTGGTCGGTGGCCTTCTCGCCGGACGGCCGGCTCGTGGCCTCGGCCTCGGACGACAACACCGTCAATATTTGGGCCGCAAACACGGGCGTGCCACAGAAAACTGTCAAGGTTGGTCTTACGTCAAAAAGTGTCTTGTTTGATAGTTGTAGCCAGTATGTCCTAACTGACGATAGTGCCATTGCTATTCACGGCGCACAAGAATCTGGTCTGATTAGTAATTTAACCAACTCACCCCCGCCGAAGCTGGATCACACTCCATGGACAGAGAATTCTCTGGCTGGCACCAGACTTCCGACCATCAACCTCATGTATATATCAGTCGACAGTGGCAGTCGGATGCGGTTCAGGTAAGATTAGCATGGTGCGTTTTCCCCGAGAGTAGATTCACGATTATGGCATTTCCTTGGAATCTTGATATACGTTGTGTATTCTATTCTTTCTTTCTAATACCTTGGTAAAGGAGAGTCCTAGGAGAGGAGTTGTATATATACTTATGATGTGATCTTTCTAATACCTGCGAACATATTCGACAATTGCGCTTAATCATATGATGATGCAATAGTCTCGTTTATTTTTGAATCATATGAGCTATAGCGAGGAACCGGGTGCTTTTTTTGAGACTAAAGTCACTAGCCGTTTCCACCCATAGAACGCAGCTCCAATGAATCATATTACCCATGCCAAATCGATATTATCTCACATATACCGCTGTTCAGGCCTGTTTTGTTTGTTGGCGCTGCACGATATGACCGTTTACCTCTTTACCCACGGCAATACCGAACTTGCTGACGAAAACTCCTATGCGATCGAACACCCAAGTAGAGACGATACGGTGGCGCTGTTTGCACACAAGTACTTTCTGCTTACAAATTATGGATGCGGAAGGACGAATGCGAAAGGAATGAATTCAATAAAAGCGTCGGTGGAATCCAAAAACACGTCAAGCCAGAAGTCATTAACGGAAATCGTCCGTAACAGCTTTTGCCATAACTAGAACTGGTTATCACGTTCAAATTAGTTGTGCATAAGTAATGTCTATGGCAGTTTTCCCTTTTTATGATGTGTTCATTGGCGGCCAAGCTCAGGCCAAACTCCGGCCCGGCTCAGGCTCAAAGTGGCGTGGCTCAGGTCCTGGTGTGGCACCCAGGTGGCCATGGACACTCTACTTCTCGGGTAGGATCATCAAGTTATGCCTAGTCTACAACACTAGAATATTCATTCGTGAATGATCAAAATTTATATTACGTCGAGCTATCTCATATTAGCATAACGCTAAACCATAAAAGGTTCACAGTAGATCCGCATACACAGTGACAGCCCTCAGCCTGTCATGGGTGCAGAGATTACTGGGTTCGGTTATTTTTCCATTTTTCATAGAGGCTGAGGCTGCCAGAGTCGTCAGATAGTTATAGCTCAATCCGACCCATGCCGACCTGGAAGGCTGCCCCGCACCTCTAACCGGATGCAGCAGCCGGCGCCCAGCCGTGGGTTCCCAGGCAATTTTTGGCCCTGGTTAGGTTGTTGATCATAGTCGCAAGGACCAACGTTTATTTGGTGAACCACGAAACGAATCATCGAGAATGACTAGTCACTCTCTGGAAGAGGTGAAACCCCAATCGAAGGATGCCGTGAATCGAATAGCTACGGGGTACAGAAGGATCACAGCTACCACCAGGACCTGCAAGTGGCCGTCTACCAGTTATTCGCAATCATGCTGCGCTCAGGTAGTGGTCTAGCGCTGATTCGTGGAGCAAGCTCTGGGCAAGCTCAAGGATGACGTTGTTTGCTGCTCCGCCACCAGCCTACGGCAGCTACGGGTGCCATGTTCTCACTTCAACCTTCTGGGCCCGCGACACAGCCTTTTTTGTGGCGGTTAGGTCCCCAACCAAAAACTCATAAATACAAGTAATGGTGGTGGCCAGATACGCCCAGTGTTCCTCGTCGCCCTTCTTTGAAAACGGCGCTTCCTCCTAGAACCAACGAATTTCAGCTTCCTGCGTCCAGCATACACCTCGACTTTTACAAACTACTACTAGCAATCGCCATCGTCGCATACACAGTCTCATGTCATATCAACAATATCCTGCCCATCAAGGGTACGGCGCACCGCCGGGTCCCCCACCTCCACAGAATGGTGGTCATTACTACCAGCCTCCCGGGCAATACAATGGAGGATATCAACAGTATGGATATCAACCTCCACCTCCTCAACATAGCCCGTATCCGCCCCAAGGCAGCCCGTACCCTCCCCAGGGGAGCCCGTATCCTCCTCAACAAGGCAACTACCCACCTCCCAACCAACATTACCCTCCCCAGCAATACAATGCACCACCACCACCACCACAAAATGGCTACGGAGCTCCTCCGGGTCCTCCTCCAGGTCCATATGGTGCACCCCCGCCCCCATCAGGTCAATACGGTGTCCCCCCTGCGGGACCGCCCCAGAGTTACGCAAACCCTCCTCCGCAACACTACGGTCCACCGACCCCGCCGTCGTTAGGATACGGACCACCTCAGATGATACAATGGGACGCGAAGCCAGATGCGCAAGCCCTACGAAGCGCGATGAAGGGGCTTGGAACAGATGAAAAGGCACTGATCCGAGCTCTATCAACTAAGGATCCTCTGCAGATCGAGGAGCTCAAATCCGCATACTTCCGTACTTTCAGCCGTAGTCTAGAAAAGGACGTTATTTCGGAGACGGGAGGGTGGTTTGAAAAGGGTCTCGTCGCTATAATTCAAGGACCTCTGCTCCACGACTGTCACTTGCTCTACTCGGCCATGGATGGGCCGGGAACAAAGGAGAAGGTCCTCAACGACGTTCTACTTGGCCGCAGCAATGCAGACCTGCATGCCATCAAGAGTAAATACCGTTCCACGTTCGGCAAAAAGCTCGAGGACGCCGTCAGGGGCGACCTGAGCATGAAGACGGAGCGCCACTTCATGATCGTGCTCGGCGCAAACCGCGCAGAGAACAACGCCCCGGTCGTGCCGCAGGACATTGACCGAGACGTCATGGATTTGTATCGCGCGACCGAGGGCAAAGTCGGCACCGACGAGATGATGGTCTGCTCCATACTAAGCACCCGCAACGATAATCAGATACGCGCTATTAACAATGCATACTTTTCCAAGTTCCAGAAAAAGCTGGAAAGAGTGATCCGCAACGTAAGCCATTCCCCGAAGTCATTCCTCCCAAACCCAAATTTCTTTCCACAGCGCACCTACGGATACTGATTCTTAAAAACAGGAGTTCAGCGGTCACATGGAAGCAGCGCTGCTATACCAACTCCACCATGCGGTAGATAAGTATATGCACGCAGCCGATTTACTCGAGGACGCGATGGCGGGTCTCGGTACTAAGGACCACCTTCTTATTAGCCGCGTGGTGCGATATCACTGGAACCGCGTCGAGATGGCCAATATCAAGGGTGCGTATCAGCAAAAGTACAAGAGGAGCTTGTCTAGCCGTATCAAGGGCGAGACGAGAGGTGATTATGAAAGGCTCATGGTTGCTTGTATCGGAGACTAAGAGAGAGCAACGGAAGATATTCGGCGGATGAGGGGTGTACTCGGCGGTCGGGTAGGGGCGTTAACGGGCTGCATATCTGGGGTGGGCGGGGGTGTACTGTACTTTGTGTAAAGCAGGATTAGGGCTTTATTGATATCACGAAGGAACGGCCCCTAACTGAGCCTATGTTTGTATACTGAAGCGGCTACATCATGGCCCGGTGCATGCCACTAAGACACAATAAAGCAGCGAGGAAGTTTTTATGAGTGACAAATTAATTGCACCACAACCAACCTCACAACAAATCTTCAATCCATTCTCCATGATCATATAGAACAAGAATCGTAGAAACACAGGGCCATGTACGTTCCGTAGAGGCTGCGAGCTAATTTCCATAACCTGTGCATCAGAGCCTGGAGCCTTATTGTCGCCGATAGTGCACATTGTGAAACCAAATAGTCTCAAAGAGTAGCCGCAAGACTACTATGTATCAAGTCTGACTCACAACCCCCGCCTACGTCAGTCATTCCATGCTCGCCATCATCCATGACCAATGAATGTCAGGTACAACAAAAACCGTCTGATGTGACCCAGGTGGCACTCCCAAGCCAATAATGTAGCCACACCGGTTCTCACACCAGCCGTCTACCGTACATTACCCGCATGGATAGTCACACCATGCCTGTATCGTGCGTCGAGGTCGAGTATCGATGTTAACTGGGTCGCGGCGCGCCGGGGAGAAAAAGATCGGCTCCCTATCTACAATTCCCGACAGACCCAGCCAGCTTCCCATTATCTCCCCGTTAAAGTCTCCACTTCTTGATCCAGCCACCTGTGGGACCTGTAAGAGACATCTCCTCCTTCAGCGGTCAGCAGCGGCATATATATACGTATATGCTTTTGGATTGAACGGTTCTGATCCAGAGATCATCAAGTTTTTTGACTTTTTTCGTTGAACATCCGTAGCGCGAGCCATGGACACCATTTCTCCGTTGCCCACAAGGTGAAGATGGAACCTCAATTCTATATGAATAAATATGAAGGGCAGCAGCCTGTCCTGTGGGGGCTCGGCTCTTCACAACTCATCAACGATCAGCTCCATAATCCTTTCGGGGCGCTGTTGCAGTCCCCTAGATTCGTCAGGATGGAGCCATACCACAGCTCGATAGCCCAGGCCGCCCTGGCTGGTGGCTTATTTTTGATATACGCTGCTCGCCGTATAGTCCCCAGGGGGCACAGTGGTGCAGGCGCTTCGCCCACGAGGGAGCATGGCAGAACCGCCGACACACGAAGACATGGACCACCTCGACTTTTGCTCTCCTATTTCTCTCGATAGCTGGATTGGTGTTGACTGTCCCCTCCATCGTCGCTTTCCCTGAGACCTTGTGGCGATGGCTCGAGTTGGTACCATGGATTGTTTCAACGCTTCTAACGCTGATCGAGCGACCTCGCACGACCTCGCAGACCTTGCTGGCTATTTTCTGCGCTACTTTCATCGGCGGTATTTTCTCGATGGCCACCGTCTATACCACTCTCGATCATATAAGCATACTCCGCATCGGTGGAGCTTGTGTCGCTCTTAGCGCTATACTTGTTATCCTCTCAATGCCCATGAGAGATCCCACTTGGGATGCTACTGGCATCGCAGGGCGCCATGATGGGGCGACAGTTCAGCTGCGTAGTCCCGAGGACAACCTGACGCTCTGGCAATTCCTGACGGTGTCGTGGCTCGCGCCACTGATCAGGCTGGGATCCCGGAAGCAGCTGAATGATGAGGATGTTTGGTTGCTCCCGTACGAATTCCAGCACACTAGGCTGCACATGATGTTCCGGGAACTCAAGGGTTCCATAATCAAGAGACTGTTGCTAGCCAATGGCTTGGATCTGATCATCATCACCGTTCTGGGGGTTATGGAGTCTGCAGCAACTCTAGCAAGCCCAGTCCTTCTACAGCGTTTGTTAGTAGCCATCGAGGATATGGGAGAGAACCCCGAGCGCCGGGCAGATGCTGTCGGATTCGCCGTAGCTATCCTAGTTTTGCGGCTTTTCGCCTGCCAATCCTCTGTGTTATCGTTGTGGTTCAGTCGCCGGTCCTACGAACGATCCCGCGGCGAGATGATAACAACAATCTACGCTAAAACGTTGACTAGGAAGTACCAGAGCTTCCAGCCCACAGAGAAGGACACTTCGCATGTGAATGGGAATGTGTTGGATGGCGATGAACCGGAGAAGGGCCGCTTCGCTTGGCTCATGACGCGGCTAAGGCTACGACGAGGGGGGTCAAAGAAGAAAATTGCCCCAGCAAAACCCCCCGCGACAATGGGCAAGATCCTCAACCTGATGAGAAACGACTGTTATGAGGTTGCCCAGCGGTTTTGGGATTTCCCCAGTCTTATTACCAAACCACTGCAATTCGTACTGTCGCTGGTGCTCGTATGGTTGCTCCTTGGCTGGCCTTGTTTGCTGGGAGTGGCCTGGGTCGTCATTGTTCAATTGCTCAATGCAACATTCGTTCGTCAACTTATCACACGCGAACGTCTACGAAGAGCTGCGACGGATGCACGGCTACAAGCCACTTCGCAATTCGTGGAGGCGATCCGTCATCTTCGGTGGTATGACTGGCAGTCCAAGTGGCAGGAGAAGATAATGAAGGAGCGAGATCATGAGCTTCACTTGAAGATCATTACTGGGCTCTGGACTATCGGTATCGCGACGATCAACGTTTCCGCTGGAGCCCTTTTCCCAATCGCCAGTTTCTTCGCCTACACATATATCGCTGGCAATCGCTTGCCAGTCAACATCATCTTCCCGGCCCTTCAACTTTTCACCATGCTGGAGATGAGCTTGCAGGAACTCCCCGACCTTATTACCATGCTCCTCAATGCCTCGGTGGCGGTGGGGCGTCTCGAGACTTTCATGAATGAGCCGGACAAAGATGAAGGGTTCCAGGACAACGCAGCCTCTGATATCGTGTTCCGCGGTGCGTCTTTGGCTTGGCCTGGGACCAATAATCTCGTTCTGCACAACCTGAACCTAGACTTCTCAACTGGATTAACCGTTATCTGTGGTAAGGTAGGCTCAGGCAAGACCGCTCTCCTGCAAGCCATTCTCGGCGAACTTGACATGCAGACTGGCGAATGCAGTATCCCCGATGAAATGGTTGGATTTTGCGCCCAGGCTCCGTGGTTGCAGCATATGAATATTCGAGAGAACATTCTCTTCTGTGCGCCTTACGACCCCGTTAGATACAAGCAGGTTCTGGATGCTTGTGCTTTAACTCCAGACCTGGCCAACTTCAAACACGGCGATCTTTCCAACATTGGAGAAAATGGTATCGGCCTCTCTGGGGGACAGAAGGCACGAGTTGCCCTGGCCCGTGCTATTTATAGCCGATCTCGAGTCCTGCTTCTTGACGACCCTCTCGCGCCCCTGGACCATAATACAGCGGAAAGTATCGTCAAGAAATTACTCGCCGGGCCGCTAGTTGACGGGCGGATTGTGGTGCTTGTCACGCATCGCGTCGATCTCGTCACCCACATGGCAGACAAGGTGATTGAAATCGACGGAGGACGAGCACGAGAGTTGGATGCGGATGACATTCCCCAGAAGATCACCAATATCCCTTCCAAGGCAAATGGCCATGCTGAAAAAGAGAACACCACCGATGCTACCGAGGAGCAGGAGGGGGATGCCATTCCCGACAAATTTATTGAAGACGAAAAGCGGGTGTCAGGGGGTGTCGTGGCCTCAGTTTATTGGGTCTACATCAAAGCGGGTAAGCTAAGATGGTGGTCCTTCTTGGTCGCCGTGTTTGCCTTGACGCGTTTTGGTCGTATTTTCAACTCGTGGTTTCTCAAGGCCTGGGGTGAGGCCTACGGATCGCCTGCACCTGCTGGCACCCAAGCCAATACGTCTCCTTCTTCATCATTATATGTAATGATGTCCGAATTGAGTGGTACTGTTGTGGCATTAAACCTGCCCGCCGGATCCAGTGGCTCCTTCGCATCTGGTTTATTCAACAGACTGCCTAACCCGGATGACGATGTTGGGCCCTGGCTGATATGGTATTTGGGCATTGCCCTTGTCATGACGCTGCTCGTTGCCGTGGCACAGGGCTCGATGCTTCTGATTCTCTACACCGCGTCGAAGAATATGTTCGTCAGGGTTATCCGCAAGGTCAGCAATGCAAACTTCCGATTCTACGATGTCACCCCTGTTGGTCGTTTGATGAATCGCCTGACAAGCGACATTGGTATGCTCGACGGTGGCATCATTGGACCTCTGAAGAACATGGCCTTGTATGCCCTCATCTGGCTCAGCAGCATGGTGATCATCGCCCTGACTACTCCCGTCTTCTTCATATTCGCCCTTGCTATGACATGCGGATTCGTCTACATCTTCAGACAATTCTTGCCCACCTCGCAAAGTCTTCGGCGGCTGGAGATGGTGTCTTTGAGTCCGCTCATGTCCAATTTTGGCATTCTTCTAGAAGGCCTTGCAACCATCCGTGCTTTCAAGGCACAACCACACTTTCAGGACAGGAACATCGTCGTAACAGACGCCTTTCAAAAGATGGATCACTTCTACTGGAGCCTCCAATCGTGGTTGATGTACCGCTTTGACGCACTCTCTGCATTCTCGACTTTCATTTTGACCATCATCGCCTTGTACAGGGAATTCTCCCCTGGACTGACTGCTTTCGTCTTGGTCACGGCATCGCAGTTTGTCGAAGCCACTCATAGTCTATGCAGGGTATACGGTGAATTGCAGATGGACTTCGTTTCCGTTGAGCGAGTGGTGGAATTGTTGGATATCGAGGAGGAACCCAGCGGTGACGTTGAGCCGCCAGCCTCGTGGCCTGCATATGGAGACGACATCAGGTTCGACTCGGTCACAATGAGATACGCACCACACCTCGATCCCTCGCTGTCCGACATAACTTTCACCATCCCTGGTGGCGCCACATGTGCTGTTCTAGGAAGAACCGGTTCGGGCAAGTCAACGCTTGCTCTTGCCTTGCTCGCCACACTGCAACCTGAAAAGGGCACCATCAGCGTTGGAGCTATGGACATATCCAAGGTGAATGTGCACACATGGCGGCAGCGCATCAGCTTTGTAGCCCAAGACCCCGTGTTGTTTCCCGGCACCCTCCGCCAAAACCTCGACCCGCTGGAAGAGCACACCGACGATGAGTGCACTGCTGTGTTGCACCGTACCCTCGGCCCCGGATGGAGCTTGACGTCCCATGTTGATGGTGGAGGGAAGAACCTCAGTCAAGGACAGCGCCAGCTGGTCGGCATCGGGCGAGCCGTTCTGAGGAGGAGCCCAGTCGTCGTATTGGACGAAGCGACGGCTTCAATTGATAAGAAGACTGCTCTGGCGATTCAGGATGTGCTGCGCGATGAACTGAAAGAAAGCACTGTCATCACCATTGCCCATCGGCTGGAGGCCGTCAAGGATGCGGATTACTTTGTGAGGCTGGATGCTGGTAGAGTGGTCGAGTGTGGACCTGCTGCGACGGGGTGAGCACTGAAGTACACAACGGAATGTGAGATGGATAGAACAAGTTATTGAAAATGTTTTCTTGCGGGCGGCATAGCTTAGGCACCGTTATTGGGAATCGACGAACGATGTTTAACGTCTAATGTTTTAATAATCTTGGGTTTGACGTAATTGCTGAAGCAAAAGCAGACAGGCTCTTGAAGGGTTGATCGCGCTTTCCAAAACTTGAAATAGGGCCCACTCTGACGTCCGTCATACGAAACCACCGTGTACGCAGTCTTCGTGAGATAATAGAGGTAGGTATCTATAATTCCGGCTTTACCTATTAGGGGCCTCCATATCAATGCTAGTCGCAAGGATATAACAGAGAACTGGGTAGTGGAAATAGTCACGTTAGTTACTCAAGTCCATGGATAAGAAACTGACCTGGATCAGCGAGTAAAAGGTACAAGGCAGCAAAAGTTTGAAACAGCTGCAGATGAAAGCGAACAAATGCAATAGGCAAAGAGTCCGCTGTCAGATTCGTTGTACGTGAGGAGGAAACCTGCTTTCTTGAGTATGATTATATTTTCAGATCAACCCAAGACCTCGATCGATTTGTGAACCTCCAAGAAACGGGAATATCCAGTGTATATACGACTCAAGCTGTTCTTAATTCAAGCAGTGCCGTTGGACCCCTCACCAGTAATTAGCGGATGTTGGACATTGCATGACCACTACGGAAGACAACCTCGAAAAAGCCTTGGGCAATCAAAACCACGTAGAAGCGCGGCACAGAAACGTTGACGGACCGATTCTACTGAACTGCGCCGTTGTACCCTGACATGCTCTAGAAAAACACGAGACAACTCACAGTAGCCATCATCGCAACCCAGACCCCTAAGCCCATCATCCTCTGGTATGCTGACTCGCCAAAACTCTGAACCGGAGGCCTTTTCGTCCCACCGCTCTCTTCCACCTTATCGCTGAGTAATATCTTTCCAATCCCACCCGAAAGTGTTTCAAGCGGTGCCACAAACGCCATCTGGCTCCAGCTGAACTGGGTATTTCTGCCCCCTATCAACTCTCGGAGTCAGTAATTACTACTTATATCTGGTCTTATGAACGTAAAGTTGTGTCTTAAGGGGAGACTGCTCTTTACAGATTGTGTTACCCCTAAGATACAAGAAGCGAAGAAGCTGGGGCTCCGATAGTTACTTACCAAATACGAAGACTTCGAACCTACCCGCAAAGCTTCCGTTGAGAAACACCCGACTCCCTCCGATAACGTCACCTGTGATCTTGATATCAACCGGCGTGGGGACTTTTACGACTTCGTGAGACGACGATGTGGCATTGACCCAAATTCGGCCCGGATGTCTAGGATCGAAACCGTCCGTCTCGGAAACTGAGCGTAGGGGGTATTCCCATCCGTCCGAATTGAAACCCAAGGTGCCGTTGTCCGAAAGTGATAGAGTGACGTCCACGGAAGAGAGGGTGAAGGGACCGGTTGCCGAGATGATGAGCGTGTAGTTCATGCCTTTGCTGCCGTGGCCCAAAGCTACGGGGTCGGCTTCAGTGCCACGATTCCACGAGATGAAGTCCGTTTTTCGGTCCAGGTTTTGTCCGGGGACTTTGGCGGATAGAAAGTCGAGCGTCTGATCAATTGTGTCTGCATCCAGTGCTGCGCCCCTGGCTCCGCTCCAAGCTCGAGCCGCCACTAGAGGTATCCCACGTCTCATTGCGTAGTATGCCTCCAACTGAGTTGTAGCATCGGGTCCGTTATCATTCCAGGCCGCCATTACGGCGCCTTTATTCTCACTGGCCTCATTCGGTAACTGTTCAGTGGTGTTGAGCTGGTTGAAGAATGCCGGCTGCCATTGCCATCCTACTCGATCCGCGAAATTCATCACTCGGGACTCGTTAAAGAATTGCGCGTACGGGGACGGGCTAATAGGAACGTGGTCATTCTTCAACGACATGTATGCCCACCAGTCCTGCGAGTTGACCATCTCATATTCGTCGCTTTGCAGCTCGATTGGGTCGGACTGACCATACTGCCAATGTTGAATGATGACCTCTTTTGATATAGTAAGATTTTCGGAAGGTTCGTGCGTACCCCAGATGCGTATTCTCTTCCCTGAGGTCTCATTGACGAAGACAGCCATGTCATTTACGAAGGAAATGTAGTCATCTGCCAGAGTCGCATCGTACTCATCAGCACCTATGTGAATTTCCTTCGTTTGGAACCAGGGCAGAAACTCCTGCCAGATACGTTTGACCGTTGGTATACTGTCGGGGTGCGTGAGATTCAGGAGATCTTTTTTGTCGAGGGCAAGCTCAGGCTTCCACTTGGTAATGGTGAGACAATGCCCTGGTGCTTCGATCTCAGGGACTACCGTGACGCCTCTTTGGGCACAGTGTTGTTGAAGATCCTCAAAGTCCTTCCGGCTGAGAGTCTCGTTGGATCTTTGTATAATGCCCTCCAAATCAGCACTCTCTGGTCGGAGAGAGAACTGGGCGTATACCTCGTTCCAGGTGTCATTGTGGCCTCGATTGAGCGGGAAATTGTCGCTCGTATGGTAGTGAAACTCGGACATCTTGAAGAAGGACGCGTAGGTGCACATTTCTTTCAGGAAGGCTAGCGAATACCATTTTCGACCAGCGTCAAGCATATAGCCTCGGGTTGCGTAAGCAGGGGCGTCCATTATGGTAATTGCAGGCACCGAGGTGCCATTCGACAACATAAGCTGCTGCAAGAGTGTTCGTGTTCCCCACCACATTCCTCGAGAGCCGGATCCGCCAATATAAGCAGTCTCCTCATCAACATATAGAGTATATCCCTCCTCCGTCGGTATTCCATTCTCATACGTGAAATTTGCGCTCGCGTTCGCTGCGATAAGATCGAGAAAAATGCCAGAATTGCCTTCCGAAACGGCATCAACTACCTCCAGCGACCAATCCCATTGCGTAATACTAGACAGCTCATCCTGGAGTATGCTGGCGAAATCATATCCTGAAGGAGGTATGAGAGTCAAACCCTCGGAATCACGATGTGAAGCCAGGTTGCTGGTGATGTAGATGGTCTTGGACATGTTATCGAGAGTAAGCCCACCAGACGAGCCATTGGCAAAAGGCGGAGGAGGTACGGGCTGAAGAGCCGAGACGCCCCAGAGAACGAAAATGGTCATGAGACGCATTGCAAGATTTTTCCGGGATCCAAAAGCCACACATGAGTGTGGAGCGGTTAGGTGGTGTCAACTTCAATGGCCAGGAAACAATAGGACAATGCCAATATTAGTTGGAATGCTGTGTTCGAATTAGTTGATATTCCCTCATCTTAATATAAGTCAAATGGCTGGGTAAACCAAACCTTGGAACATGTTTGGGTGGCGTTGTGCCAGACTTGTCCTGTTTGTCGTCCCTCCCTTCCCTGAGCGAGTGCGGAGAGCCGGCGGACGGCTCCGGCTGTCTGCCCAGGCCCGTATGCAGCACGGCAACCTTCCAGATAAATAATTGATAACGTCCAGGATTTGGGATCTGGAGGCGCTCATTTGGCGAAACAAGAATACAGACCTCACAGTCTTCATCGACATGGTGGGTTGCTTGTAAGAGAAAGTACTTGGCAGATGCGAGTTGTCAGAAAGAGGCCAAACAGTAGGTTGCCGATACTTGTCTTGGCGCAATCAAACTGTTTGCATCCGAATGGCCTGTTTACTCCCAGCACTGGCTCTCCCTTTGAGAAGAATTCCATTGAATTCATATTTACTGTCAATACGACCATTCTTCACGGAAGAAAATCTGGGACGAGTAGCAAATGCTCGCGAAACGCAAGGATATACTCGCCAAATACGCAACCGTCTCTACGTTTCCAGCCCAAAATCCATCATTATGATGAATCCTTTCGCTACCAGCAAAACCTGCATCATCCCCCTTTGCCGATAAGCTGCTCATGGAACCCTCATATGTAGGGCGCCTTTTGTCACATCCCCTAGAGAACCCCCGATATCCTCTCTTTCCACAAGGTCTCTACGATCATCGCTTCGCCCGTAGCGTAGACCACGCCACCCGGTCCCTCAACACTAGCCAGCACGACAGCTTTTCTTCCTTCGGAGAGACGCGAACTGATCTGACACTTTATCATAATGTCTAGATGGTCCGTATCATCAGTAACCATGGGCTTGAGAAACCGGACATTTGTGTAGGCGCTATAGCCCTGCTTCTTTAGATCGCGGTGCAGGTGGCCAACGCGGCCAGTATTACCATCTATCAATGCCGTGACCAGTCCGCCGTGTATCGTATGAGGGACGCCAATGAGATCTGGGCCTAGGGTGTATAAGTCCACATGGATGGGGAACGGGTTTTCCTGGACAGCTGTGGGGGAAGCCATGTCTGCTGTTGGGGAGGCAGTGAGGACTGGTCGACTGGGCAAAGGAATATTCGGCACTTGCAGCTGTGCTTTGGGTCTGGGCTCAGATGTCTTATCCAGGGCTGGTAACGCGCCTGGCTCGAGTAGAAGGCTCAAGTGTCTTGATATGCAATCCTCGCGGAAAAAGTTGGAGCAGACGAAATGGTCGCCGCCGCGAGTCGGCCGGTTCGTGTATTTAGTATAGTCGACTGAGTAGGGTCTCGCGCCAGGATTTGACAGAATGTCGTTGCACCACGATAAAGACTTGAAATAGTCTAGATCTGGTTGGGATGTTGGCAACCAGTTGTCGATGTGCGCGGCTAATACCATCATCGCACTTAAGTTGTGAAGTCAGGCCACCGGGTAGAAGCGTGTCCGACGAACGGCTCAACAAGAAAAGGACATGTGCAAAGCCCGACTCGGAATCTTAGGTGGGATGGCTATCAACCGATCGTAGGTTGAAAAATTTCACTGTTCCCCGGCCTGGTGACATTGCATCGGCATGAAAATAGCCCAAGTTGCGTCGTACTCGCCAATACCACATACAGTTCACCTGTGCTTCCGCAGTGGGGGTCTATCGCGGGTGATCGGCTAGGACCGACCCAGTCCCGTGCTGACATAGAACCATCTCCGTGTAACGTTAGAGTGAGGGGCATAATAGTGTGTGGGGAAAGAAACTGGAAGATGTACGGAAGTATGTCTCAGATAATCGGTTGACGAGTAGTTGAATCAGTTCAAGCTGATCAGCTCACGAATACCTCGGACGTCTCTGGACTGTCTCGTGTCAAAATATCTGCCTCAATTATCAGTGAGCTAGTGCCTTAAGATGCGGTTAATCACAACATCGGATGCTTCTTTTCGTTCAGATTGCAAGCGCGCTCGGGCAGACGCATGATCGGTTTGAACTGATCTGCATCAAGTGGCTGCATGGGATATTGATTTGGTCTTTAAACTCGAAACGCACGCCAGCCCAATGGTGGTACCGCTGGAGCCACATGAATTTGTGCTTTCTGGTCTTGCAGGTCGAACCATTTCCAGCAAAAAAATTAGCATGCGGGCGTCCAAGTAGTTACACAAGAGCATATCCGCTTATGAACGGTTGGATCCAGCAACATCGAACATTGCAGATGTCGTTGCAATGAGGGTCCGGTCCATTCGTGTAGGTCAACGGTTCGCTGACAATCGGCTTTACCCCTGAGAACGCCATAGCGCCCGCAGCAATGAAACGGGTTCACCCCTACATAATTTTGGGAATCACCATTCGCCCTAGCTGCGTCCCGTCTCGTCGGTGACAGACAAGAGCCGGTGGTTGCATAAACTTTTGTGAAGAGCCACGAGTCAAGAGAGAGGCTGTTTGCCAGGTGTTGTTGAAATTCATGGTATTATTCAGCAGCGACACTCTGCGGAGATTTTGTTGTTGATTGAAAATAATAATTTCGTCGCGGCCTGTCTGATGGTCTGAATAGACGAACCATAGCTGGACCATTCTTTCAGCTGCACCCCTGATGATGCACCTGCGCCACGAATGGTCGAACGGCGTCTGCAGGAACGGTGGGGACAGCGGTAGAGCTGGAAGTCGTGGAGGAGAAGTGTGATCCTCAATTACAATCCCTGACTGGCCGTGACGAGAGGAGGATGAGATGAAATGTCTCCGTAGCACTGATATATTTCTTGTCTTGCACCTGCGCTTGTCTGTTCACACCGTTCCGGAACGCTTTAACTTCTCTCTTTCTAGCCTGGGACGCGCCGCAGAGAGTGGGCGGACGGGACGCCACCAAAATCCGTAGTTCACCTACGTTGACAGCTCGTAACACTAGAAGAACTAGTCAGCTTGAGCAAGCGACCCTGCAACGCGACCGAGAAAATCGACCTAGACGCGACTGGACGATTTCTGTGAGCCAGTCAATTGGCAAATTGCGACCTCAGCTGCAACCTCAACAGCGGTCTTCTGCCGGCCACTTGACGGTAGAATACGCAGGTGCAAGTCATGTGGACTGAGAAGGACTGCCGCTCGAGATAGTTGACATGACAGAGAGTTGTCGTCCAGTTGCAACCGAACAAGTTGGCGACGATCAAAATAGCATCATAAGCCGGAGCAATATCGACAAACCCGGTCTAACTTTCACGACGACAGGCTAACCGGCCTCGTGTAAATACAAAATTACGACATCCCTTCGAGTCAACTTTGGCCCGGCACATCTCTCTTTGCCGTACAAAGAGATGCACGATTTCTCCCACGGTCTTTTTAATCAAGCAACCAAAACGGCTTCGGAGCACCGAGCGTCATGCGAACCGGGCTATATATCTCAAACACCAAGTTCAATTAGACTCGACTGGGGGAATCCCCGCGACGATCTGACACGCCCATACCCAGGCGACTGCGAGACCATTAATTCGGGATTATAATAACACGGAAGAAGACACCCTTCAATATCGCAACCATGCCGACGATGTGGGACCGGCTCCGGCCAGCACAACAAAAAGACCATAGCGCTCCAGCGCTGAATCGCAAGAAGCTGGAAGAATGGCAGAACTCGCGAGGTCCATCTCAAGGATATTCGTACACCATCAAGGGCGGCGCGAGACCTGAAAGACCACCACGAAATTTCCAGAAACCTAAGGACAACCACAAGTAAGTGTGTGCCGTGAGCCATGTTTTCCTTGTATCGTTCAATTGCGGGGGTTGAAGGGCGTGGTGTTGTGCAACCACTGTTGGCGCAACCACTCTTTCAAGCACACAATGCTGTATGCCCCGTGTTGAAATAGTAACACAAAACCCTATTTGCTCTGCGGAGGTAAATGAGGAAATACGGAGTCCCTAGTTCGTTTCTAGTATTGTATCTGTTTGTCGTTAGTTCGTTGTAATGGTTGGCTATCGCAACCCCAGAAGCTTCAGCCACCGCAAACAATGACCAACGGCCCCCAAGCGGCGGCCTACAATTAATCTGCAGATAAGGCACCGGTGGTCTGGCGAGCTGCAAGTGACGGTAGCGTGGTTTTTGGGTGTTCCGTGGGAATATGCTAAGACCTGACTTTCCGTGTTGTCGATCTTCAAGATTGAGTTGCGGACACGCAACGCTGGAAACTCTGCATTACCTCACTTATTTACTGCTTAGTTGCCAACAACGCGCTGGAAGTAAGAACCCAAGATGCTGACACCACGCTTTCCCAACAGTCAAATCGCAGCGCCTGCGGTCCAGGCCCCACCGCAAGCAGGTGGCAACTCCCAGTTTCGCAACTCCGTCTACTCGCAATACGACCGTCCAGTTTCTTCAGTGTATTCGCAGCCGTCACCCGTTGCTGCTACGTTCGCTGCGCAGCAGCTCCAAGACAAAACCTACAGCAACCAAAACGCCATTTCCCCCCGAGTTCGCCTGACGTATCGACTCTAAGGAATGGGTAAGTGCGATTCTCCTTGTGTTCAATGGGAAGGCGGGTAACAAGACACATTGTATGCGAGGCGGGCCATGGCGATCAATGACTTGTACTTCACAATGGAGCAAGTGCGAGTGAAGGCGGCAACGGGCCAAAGAAAGAAATCCAAGTGAATCCATATTGCCCCAGCCCAGTACATCGACTCTCGGCACAGCCTTGGTTGGTCTAGTTATCCGCCTTTTTGGTACTGGTTGTCAGGCAAGTTGGTTACAAGTCTGCATTTTTTGGAATTCAAGTCGAATACAGACGGCTCGAGGCTACAGCAGCCCGACTAAGACAAACTAAAGGAGCGAGGACAGCAATATCGCGGCGCCAACAGGGCTTTGAGCTAATATGTGTATCTACTTCAGGCCACATGCTCACCAGGACGGTGACGTTTCTCCCATTCAGGAAGTGTCACAGAGCTCTCATTTCAACATGGACCACGGCACAACAGGACGGTCGGGCCAAGCCCGAAGCAACATCCCAATGATGCGACGAGAACAGCGCCAAAAGAAGGACGCCGCCTTGAGTGCGCTGCGGGAGTCCAAGTCACGAGAACAGTTGAGACAGCCTCGTCCACATGGGCATGATGTACGTTGGGACGCATTAACAGGAGAGCCCACGACGAGTGAAAAAGGGCGTCCCTCATTCGTTGACCCTCACCAGGAAGTGCAAAAGTACTCGGGTCCTTCGAGCCTGCCAATCAACCATCCGACTGCCAACCCTAGCCCCTTCGGCGAGCGTATTAGACGCACGCAGCCACCCCGACAAGCTAGCAGTAGCCCCCAGACTGAGCCGCCCCCCAGACCTGAATGGCGCGGAGCCAGCGGCCGTACCACGCTCGTTGCGCCCGTCAACAACACGCTTGACGTGGCCCCGTTGAAGATCCCCCCAAGAGCAGTAAAAGGCCCCCTCGTGGGGCTGGTGTTCTGTCCCCTGTCGATTCGTTGGGCTCTGAAACGTCATCGTCTTCCCCACCCATACAAAGCAAAGAGAGACTCGGCAGCAGAGCCTTGTCAGGTGCAACCCGCAGCGCCGTCCCGTCGTCTACTCCGTGGGCGCCGGCTCCCGCAGATCCAAAGCCAAGTACCAGCAACGTACAGGCATACCCAAGTCCACCCCTATCGGACGACACATCTGTTCCGGCCAAGGTGCTACCAAAGCCCGTCACCCAAGTACATCCCGCTCCAGAGGCGCAGTCCCCTCCGTCATCTCTTTTTCCTCCCAACGAGAAAGCAATTCGCAGAAAGCCTGCAGCACAAGGTCATCAACCACCTTCGGCAACTTCTTCTGTCTACTCCCAGCTCGACATCCACCCGGCTCAAGCACCCCCTGGTGGATTCCCCGTCGACGAGTGGACACAGCCACCTTCGCGCTTCAGCGTAACCACTTACGCGACCTCTGCACACAGCGCTAACCCGCGTCATTCTGCTGATCTTAATGAGGACACGCCGCCACTGCCAACCCCTCCAACGCAGTTCTCTCAGTCGTTGCCCAAATCCGCAACACCGCCGGGCAACTCGATCTTGGACCGCAAGCGCCCTGTTGTCAGCGGATACGAGCATCTCCCCCGCCACCGCGTCCCATCGGAACCCATCAAGTTGAACATGGACTCGCCCTACTACATGTCCTCGGGACTTACGTCCTCCTCCCGTTCAACGAACCCTCGCCCCGTTCCCAACGGGAATCACAGCAGTCTATCCGTTGTCTCGGTCGGCTCGTTGGACAAGAACCTCCCATTAGCACCACCTGAGGAATCCGCTCGCGATCGTGTGGCCCAGCTCAACGCCAAACTGCAGTCTCTAGCAAACCGCCGGATCAACATCAATCAGGCAATTAAGCAAATGACCGAGCTGATGCCGACGGATAGGATCCTGGCCTCGGATGAGGTGATCCGCAAGCGCGAGAAAGAGAAGCGCAAGGTGGAGGTGTTAAGGGACGAGCTCGCTAATGTGCAGCGCGAGGAGTATGATCTAGGACTGAAGCTGCATCGCGCCTATAAACGCCTGGACCGCGATGCCGATTTCGAGCCCACAACACTGTGGGTGAGACGAGTCACTGGGTGAGCATCCTAAGTGCGAGATGTTCCTGCCCCAGATGATAATACTAATAGGCGCAAAGCAAAGAATGATTGCGCCAGAACTTCCCACCCCCGACCCTCCAGGTTGATCCTCATTCATGGTGAAGTCGGATGGTAACAACAACAACAACCAAAAAAAAAAGCACTTCACTATGGTTTGGCTTGTTACGCAAGTCTCTTTTGGTGGTCACGGGAGATATCTATTCTGGAGCTCCTCGATTAGACCATATACACACGGTGGCCCAATTTGGAAGCTGTTTGCGAATAACTAACGTACCTCCTTTTTGGAAGCATGGAGTTGATGGTTTTTGGTGCCTGGCCTCGTTTGTTTTACATTTGCCCGCATTTTCTAGCTCTCGGCCTGTATCCCTCCCTACCCGCTGTTGACAAGTTTTTATGCAGACGTTGGACGGGTTTTTACGAGCGCACAGAGACGAGGAAGCCTGGATTTTGTTATCCACAGACCAGAGTCGCGAGATTCTGGCAGGGAATTATGTATAAGAAATTTTTGTCGTGAGAGTTTCTTGGGGCACACTCTTCTTCGATACCTGTTTGTAGTTTAGGGAGATTCATGCCGGCCGACTCTGGACGCTGGGCTAGGTTGTTTGATAGGTGTTTGAGAAGATGAGCTCGCTAGAGAAAATAGAACCTCGTTGATCTTATTGACGTCTGGTTTCGTGGTTTCCTTTCCATGCACACGTGCTGTTCATGCTTGAGCAATGGGGATCGCGACGCAAGAAGTGATAGCCATGAACAGTAACAGGTTTTGTTACCACTGGTTTGGAATGGATCTCCGGTGTCTTGTCCTGATCCCCACCTCTAGAAAGCCTTCTGGGGCTAGCCTGGTATGGTCTCGGTGGGTTCCGGGAATAAACCGCAACTGACTTCATGATTGCATTACAAACATGAGTAAGTTCTTATCTTTGAGCAAGTGTACCGCTCAGGGGCTGAAGACAATATGGATGTAGCAATCTCACGTGTTCCTTGTTGGCTTAAGTTATTAATAATGAATAAGGGCAGTGATGACTTAAACAGGACAGATTATGACGTGACCAGTGAACCGTCTGAAGGACTCGAGGAGAAAAAGCGGGTGTAAGTGGTTTGATCCATCCACCATTGTTACGTTACTGAAATAGAACAAGATGATTTATTAATACCCTTAATTTGCGTCGGAGGTAAACACGCCGTCGCATTGTAGATAGAGTCTGGAATAATTAGCATGTGCGTTCGGGGAAATATGGACGTTTCGTGATTAATGACTGTACAAAGTAGTCGGTAGAGTTTGTCTAATGGTCTTGTATCCCCCAATCCCCCAAGTCTTGGTCTACATACTTTCTCGAGCATCATCTTGCCTACCTACTTCGTACCCAGACTGCCATGCTCAGTTCGTCTAGCAAATTGCAGATCCCACCTATACATCCAGTCCGTTTCTCCAAACCACGTATGCATCTGTCTAGAGGTTCTGCATATGCTCTCAGTTTCAGAAGTGCTAAGGAATAAAACCAGATCCATGGATAGAATCTACGATTCGGGAAGCTCGAAACAGTGTGCATTTAACCGCACAGGTCACCCTTTTAAGCAGTCAGTGTCACGCTAGTGCCAACTTGAGAACCGCTCTTACGTACTTGCCTGGTAGAAATCAAAAAATGCAATGCATCGCACATCCCCGGGCTCGGTTTAATGCGGCAAGAGCCAATCATAAGCGAACTACTTATAAGCTGCGGGTCTTTTATAAATGCTCTGGAGCACGCTTTCCCCTTCTAATGTATACGCTAAAAACCCGAAGTACTAATAAATCCTTCTGGTCTCCCCCCGATTTTGCCCAGCACCTGTAACCCTTTCTCCCCTTGTTCGGCGCCAAATCTTCGTTGTTACTGCCGCTAGATCGCGTACCTACAGGTGAGTACCATCGTCGGTTTATTCTCCATTGGGCCCATTTCCAGCTGCAAACGAAACCTCCAGTCTCGACCTGGACGTATCTGATTTATCACAGGCTGGTAGGTTTGTGTGGCGAAGCAGCTCAGCGCGTCGCTCCGCTATCCACCGCGCCCACCAAAGCCCACAGTTAGTGTCCCTGCCGCTGTGAACACTCCGACCTTGAGACTATTCAGGCGGCCTGCTGTGGAAATATGGCAGACGCTAAACCCGAGGGCTCGCCGCCCACGGCCTCTCCTGCGACGACATTTAATCCTGCTAATCCCCATCCCAATGGTGTGCCAAACGGGTTTACCAACGATGCAAAGGGGCCCGGCGGCGTCAACGGCCTAAATGGATCGGCTGCATCCTCTCAAACCAATGCGCATGCTGCTCCAATTGCGCCGAGCCCGGTCCAGGGACCCGCACCTCCGGCGGCTGCAGCAACACCATCTCCGGCGGCGAGTCAGGTTTATCGCCAGCGATCTATGCCTCATGGAAAAGTGGCTATAGTAGAGCCTCCTGGATCAGCCCGCCGGCGGACTAGTCCTCAGGGTTTCGGTTCACCAACAAGAGACTATGCTCGCGACAACCCCAAGTTCAATGACGACTCATCGAGACTCACCCATGCCATCCAACAGTCTGTGCCTGAGGCTGTCAGACGTACTGTGCGTGATAATTGGGAGAAGGCTCTTCTGGGTTCCGAGTTTCACCATGCATTTATCGTAAGTAATTGATTTCCTGTTGTTATCGTCGCCACAGCATCATCGCAAAATGGGGCGTCCAACTGTATCCTCCCGTGGACTTCATTATCTTGTGAATAATAATCGTTACCCACCCATCCAAGTCCAGGAATATTGGCCATGGTCTCAAATCGTCGTTATTCACCTGCAACATGTTGGCAAGCTCATAACAGGCAGGCACAACGCGTTATAATGTGGCTATCTTTCCCAGCTATAGTTACTGAGCGACAGCACCATTTCCTTTGCACAAAGTCAACCATGATTCATTTCTCCAAGAATCATTGGATATCTATCTATATGCACACCATGGTACTTACCTCATTACTTGGGGTGCCCTCTCTGTCCACACCACTGACCCACTCTTAGATGAATGCTGTAATACATCACGCAGACGGAATCATCATTCGCAGGGCCATTCGAGATTTCGGCTACAAGATGGTGTTGGAATCCAAGGTCGAGTTGATTAGTCACTTCCGGCCTCAGGACTTGGACGCAGTAGCCGACAAAATCCTCGAGAAGGCCAGCGACGAATTCCTTGATAAGGCCATGGATAAACGGCTCAGCACCATTGATGCTCGCTCTCTTATCAATGCCTTAGCTCGTGCAGAGCGTCTCGGTTACGAGGACAACGACACTCTGGATAACCCAAATCATCACCCGCAGCCTCAAGTTGCCACTCCCACACAACCTGTGCCTTCCCCATTCGTCCACCAGCCTGCTGCTGAAGTACAGCATCCGGTAGGGCAAAGCCCCCAAATTCAGAATCTGCAATGTCAGCTGTGTTGGCGAAAGTTCGCCACCGCCGCACCCTACGAATATGTGAGTCGCCCTGACGATATCAAAAGCTTATGCTAACTGAGCAACAGCATGTTAAGAAGCAACTCTGCACAAAGCCCCCACCGAATACATCTGGGTTCCCTTTTTCATGTGCCTACTGCGGCGCTGGGTTCATCACCAATGTTGGCCAACAATACGTGAGTGCCCTTGCGTAGCTGAGTGTATAGTAATTAATATATCTAACTTGTGATAGCATCTTGCCAACAAGGTATGTGGAGATCACGGCACGGCTCCTGCGACACCAAAGGCCCCTGCCTCGGGCTCGCCCATCCCTCCGTCCTCCAGAGCAAACAGTCCTGCTTTACCTTCCTCCTCGATGCCAGCACCGGTCTCCATGAGATCTTCAGCGTATCAGACGGCGGCTACTCCCAGTCACTACACAGCAAGCCCATACACAGCGCCCCCAACTGCGACTCCCGGCATGCCCATTCCGTTAGGAGAGGCTGACCCCTATGGTCACCTGACCTCTGTCACCCGCGCGAGAATGGAAGATGATCTGAAGCAAGCTGAGTTGACCTATGCTCCTCGATTTGCTGAGGCAGAGACCATTCCCGACCTAGCACAGCGGAAGGCCAGACTGGATGCTCTCCAAAACAGCTTCAGCACCAAGCAAAGTATTATCCGGAAGAAGTACGGCGTTCGTCTACGGCAGCGTCGCACTCGAGCTGAGATCGAGGCGGAGCGTGAGCGTATGGCGAGAGGGGGAGGCAGCAGTAATAAACGCCGTCGAACCGATGATTACAAATCCTTCGCCTCCAACCCCGCGTACCTAAACACCTCACAGCAGCAACAGCCAGCCAGCAGTACGCCGGAAAAGCCCAACCCTGCAGTTGATTACTCTCCCAGCAAGCATCTTTCGGTCTCCGACATGAACTCTGCTGGGCTAGGTGGCTCGAGTGCTACGGCAGCAACGACCGATCCGACGGCTCCCGTCCAGTCAGACATACGTCCGGCGGCAGATCTGCCTCGTAACAGCCTGTCTTCCTATCAACGAAGCGGATATCGGATCTCGACTCACGGTCGCCGATCGACGCAGCAGTCTCCTGCGTCAGTAAGCTCAGACAGCACCGCAGGGGATCAAGCCGATCAAGAAGGTCAAGCCAGACACGATCAGGCCAACAAGGAGCAACGCCGTGGCTCGGTTGCCGCTCCTATGTTACTGGACGATAGCAATTCGGATTCGGACTCGGACTCGGACGCGGAGATCCCAGCTACTCTTCCATCCGGCAGAAAAGCCAGCGGTACACCATTGAAAGCGTTGGCTGGCTAAAGATAAAGATGGCCAAAAGGTAAACGCCGGGTGACGGAACAGTACATTCAGTGGGCAGGAACTTGGGATGAACCGGAGGTTTGAGGACCCGTTTGAAGACATGGCGGTTGAATTCTCAAACCTACTACCATATCATCATTATCACCCCGGAATTCCTCTTTACGTCATCCGGCGAGCCGAATGGTGCGTGGTTCCCTAGCCACAATGAGCTGCAAACATGTAATATATTTTGCGGTCGCGGTTGTGTTCATTGTACGAGTAATAGGGCATAGAACCGCATGTCATAACCCAGCGGTGGGTTGTAACCTAATGATATAGCAAAGCAATCTACTGCTTCCCTCTCCTGGTGAGCTGGAGTTCCCCTGTCTGGATCATGTTTTTCTCTTGTGAACAATACGGACTGCAAATTTATGTTAAGCAAAAGCCAAGATCTCTCTGGGGTTGGAGAATTGGAAAGGGTGAGACAAGTGGAACGAAAAACGGCGTCAGGTCGTTGTCTTTCTGATTGCGCAGACAAAACCCCAACTGGCCAGTAATCAAGAACATAGTTGCTCCACTGACTGTCCTCATCATTAGTTCAACAGAGAGCAAAGTTGCTTGGCGATGAATATACTAAAGCTACGGAGAGAGAATGCAGATGCTGGTTACTCCGGAATACTGTGGCTTCATTAAAAAAGCCATTCTATCATTTGGGCCAGAGATGTATGCTCGTTGTGCTACAATTGAGTTAGCAAATACCTTCCAATAGTATTATGTGGCTTTGGAGGTCAATATCATGTGAGCTCCTGGGAATGATCCCACGTTATTTATTTAAGTACGTAATACGCAGTCTTCCACCATCTGATACTCCATTTGCGCTACCCTGGTGAGTTCGTGATCCTAAACAACACCACTCAACACTAGTACAATATATCTATTCCCAGATATGTTTCTCCTTTTACTATTGTATAACCATAAGCAAGACGCATCAAGTGACTTATGTCTCATATAATCGAATTAGGTGTTAGACTAGTGGGTGTCACTATCTCGTACTCATGATGGAACAGTTGACTCATAAAACATCAACACAGGTAGACCCAACGAGTTTTATGTCCAAGAAGATACATGGCAAGAGAGACTGTATTATGTCAGGCCCGTAAGTATCAGAACCCATCCTATTGGAATTTCCTCAGCAAAGATAGACTGATACGTGCTACCGTATACTGAAACCGTGTAAGAGAACCACCCACCATCTACCAATCCTCCTCTAATTCCCATCCCTCAAGCCTCATCCTCACAATAAAAGTCTTGTCAATACGAAGTCGACCCTGGCGGAATATAATGGCTAAGCTCTTTCTTCCACTCCACCAACCAGACATGCTGCGGCCCGTACGCCAGATCAGGCTCCCAGAACATCTCGCGAGACTATATAACGAACCGCTATGGGCAGCTCACTGAACAGGCCGTCGTACCTGTTCCGTCCCGGATTCTTCCAACAGATTACCCGGCACCCGTCGTTAAAGACCCAAGCTCTGTGCAGGGCGACGGAGTTATTTCTCGCTATACCGTCGGGTTGGAGGTTTAAACCGGTGCACAGGCCTGACTTGAGGAGCTGGCGTTATTTGGCTGGCATGCGCTTGGCGCCGGGAACGGAGGGGTCGGGCCACTCGCGTTTGAAGAGTTGGGTCGAGGTTGCCGGGTGAGAGAAGTGGGGGATGAGGCACCGGCATTGGGTGGGCGATTATCAGACAGAGAAGAATGGCCAGCGTGGCCAAAATGACGATGGAGATTTGGGGAAGTGCCATCTTGACGTTCAGGGTAGAGGGTCAGGGCCGTCTCTGCTTTGGTGTGTTGGAGTAAACCGCTTAACCGGACTCTGTGTGGTTGTTCTGGTTGTTTGTTGTTTGAAAAGGAAACGGAAAGCTCATCCAAGTTTGGTATATGTTGGACTCAGAGTGGATTATGCGCACTTTCCTCGATGGTACCCAAGCAGCTACAGCCCCCAATGGATTCAGGCCAGGGGAGATACATGTCGCAGTTATTAAGGACAATGATTCCTGCTTTTCTATGCTAGAGGTATCCTGTAACGAGACCTTTGGATAATATGCTAATAACACGTGCAAGAGAACGCACCAGCCGTATACTTCAGCATAGGCAATATCCAAGACTGCTTTACAACTATAGTGCCATAAAGATTGGACACATCGGATACCATTCCCCCAACAGATATGTTGGGGCAGGGAGCAGTACAACATCAGCTCCCGACCCATCTTCTCACGTGTGCCTACAGAACCGGTCACCAACTTTTGGGAATATACCATGGAGGCTTCTGGACCCCTATGCACTCATGCTCAACCTGGAATGAAAGCTTGCCCATGCTATGCCTGCCTTGACAGACTTGATAATCATGGGGGGGGGAAAGCCAAGCCATTACATTGGTCTCAGTAAGTCTGAAAATATTTCTGTGAAGGACTTTTGTGTTCGGAGTGAACAGCTTCAAGGTAGACAGAAGTGCTGTGACAAAGCCCATCATTTTCGATTCCCAACACCATGTTCTTGTTTGCAGCGCAAAATCATATCACCAACAGAGCGGAACCGTGGATAAGTGCTTGGATTGTAGGCGCAATTGAGCAGTCCAGATATTTGATTCATGCTGCGTAGCAATTTGAGGTGACGTCGAAGCTTTGTTTTGAAGTTTATCCCACTTAGCGAATGAACATGTTTGGCGGGGTGCCGAAGTTAGCCCGTGCTACCCCCACCATTTGCTGCTGTGTGTGTGCATTTTTGAACGAAATTCTCGCGATAACGGGATGATTGTAGACTTGATTTGAAGGCCCATCTCGAGTGCCCAACAAGATTACCACTACCACTCGTTGTGAACGGGTCATCTTTGTTGCGAGCCAACCGACCTGTTGAAGCCCGAAACGTCGAGTTTTCAAACGACGACTTCCACATCTTACGACGGCCATCAAGCGAAGCCGCGACAGCAACCTTCAGGGAATCCGAAATAAATTAGAAAAGACAAGGAAAAAGGACCACCTCGACCCCCGACCCCCGACCCCCGACGACAACATGGCGACGGTGCAGCCACAGCTCGTCTTTGTCGACGGCTCGTTCAATGAGCTGGCGCAGGAAATGGCTGACTACATCCACGTGGGCGATGAGGTCAAGACGCTGATCGAGAAGGACCAGCAGGATGAGGTTCTTAAGAAGATCGTCCTGGCGTCCACTGCACTCAACTCGGTCCCCGAGAAGGAGTTCACCCCTGCTTACAACCTGCTCGTCTACCTCATCATGCAGTCCAAGAACGCCAACATGCTGCTGTCCAAAGTCTGCGATAACCTGATGAAGCCGATCACCTCCTCCCCCACCAACGGGCCCGGACTGGCCCTAGGCGCCCTCACCAACATCTTCAACATGCTGCCCCCCGATAACGAGATCCGATACCATGTCTTCTCCGCCATTGTCCGCTTCGTCAAGCACCACGGTTTGTTCGACTACATGAAGCGGTACCTGCCCAAGCTGGACCAGTGGGTAGAGGAGTGGGACATCGATGAGGAGGACCAGCGAAAGATGTTCGAGGAGATCGCTGAGGTGGCCAAGGATGCGGGCGACGAAGAGTGAGTGGTTCTGGCCGGTTACGTACAGGATGTGGCCGTACGACTGACACATTTGCGCAACAGGGCATCATACGATTACGTGCTCAAGGCAGTGCGCACCTTTGCCGAGGAAGACATCAAGTCGGAAGAGGCACAACGCCTTTCCCTCCGCGCCATCAAGACCGCCATCACCTCCCCCACACATTTTGACTTCCAAGACCTCATGTCCATCCCTGCCATATCCGCTCTCTCCGACTCGAACCACGTCTACTTCGAGCTCCTCGAGATCTTCGCCGAGAAAGACCTGGAGGACTACAACGACTTCAACGAGGAGCACGAGGGCTTCCTCGAGAAGGAGCACCTCGATGCCGACAAGTTGTACCGCAAGATGCGTCTCCTGACGTTCGCCTCTCTGGCCGCCTCAACGTCATCCCGCGAGATCCCCTACAAGAACATCGCCAAGGCGCTGCAGATCCCCGAGGAGGACATCGAGATGTGGACCATCGACGTGATCCGCGCGCAGCTCGTTGAGGGCAAGTTGTCGCAAAAGAAGCAAGTCTTCCTCGTCCACCGCACAACGTACCGTGTCTTTGGCGAGAAGCAATGGCGCGAGCTCGGCGATCGCATTGACGGCTGGCGGTCGACGCTAAAGACGGTCGCTTCCGCGTTGCGAAAGGAGCAGGTCAGTGCTGAGGCCGCCAAGAAGCGAGATGCGGAGGAGCTCGAGCGAAAGCTGGCGGGCGCCTCGGTCATGGACGGTGGACGTACAATGGGTGGTGATCGGGGTGGACGACGCGGCCTGGGCGACCGGCCTCCGCCGAAGCCAAGGAATGACGACGACGACTAGACAGAACCCTCCGCGCATATCTCCCTGACATTCTACTTCTGAAAATTTGAGGGTTCTGGGGGTTCGGTCTGGGCGTACGGTTTTGGCATTGGCTTGACGACATGGCATGGCATGAGAGCAAGGCGAGGCGATGCTGCGTTGATTTCTCCCCATCTGTGACCATAGAGTAGAACCCCCCATAGCGGACGGTGGCGGTTTCAAGGCAGGTAGGCGGGTATAATGGCTATACTTACTCCTTCCTCTTCACATAATATTCCCCAAACGAGTGGTTGGGGAGCCGCACCATTGAAGAGGCCGCGTGGTAGAAGAGCAGCTGGCTGGCTTAACTGGCCCGGTCCCCTCCGCCGCATAGGTGATAACAATGCTACTGAAAAATTTCGGGGGATTGCATACATACATGCCTGCCAGTGGATCATTTTCTATACAAGAACTCAAAACACAACTACTCATGTACAGACAAGGAAAATGAAGTATCTTCTGTGTGATGATGTAGGTGAAAACAAATGTCTACTTGCCCGGAGACTGCGTGTCCTGAGACGGCGAGCCAAAGAATTAGGGCCGCTGATCCTCCCGTCCTGATGCGGTATGTTGTTTTTCTCTATAGCCAAGCTCCTTCATCCGCCTTCCCAAAGTACCTTACACTTCCAATCTATACTATATCAACAATACAATGGCATTAAATCCCCGCCATCCAAGTCAAGCCGGAGGCTAGATACCCTTGCCCGCAATCTGCTTCTGCGTATCCTTGTACACATCTTCAGGCTTAGGCGTGGCATCCACCTTGATAACGCGACCCAGCTTCTCGTAGTAGTCCACAACCGGCATGCTCGTCTCGATAAACGTGCGGAACCGCTTGCGAATACTCTCGGCATTGTCATCAGTGCGCCCCGAAGTCTTGCCCCGGTTCAGCAGGCGCCGCTCCATCTCCGCCTCGGGACAGTCGTAAAACAGCACAAACTTGGCCGGACACACCGACTCCTCGAACTTGTGCGCCTGGTCCATCTTGCGCGGGAACCCATCAATGAGGAACTTGCCCTTTTTGCCCGCGATCTCGCCCTTGCCCGACGAGTCAATGGCGGCTACCATGGCGTTCTCGAGCAGTTGCACGGTGACTTCCATCGGTACGATCAAACCGTTCTTGATGTAGTCCTTGATCAGATCGCCGAATTGCGAGCCCGGGCGGTCTTGCTCTGCACGCAACAGGTCACCCGCGGAGAGGTGGTGGAACCCGTAGTCGGCTACGAGGTTTGCGCATTGCGTGCCTTTGCCGGCACCCGGCCCGCCCAACACGAAGACTACCGTCACGTCGTCGGCGGAGAAGGTAGGGGTCGACTTGGGCGGTGCGCCGAGCGCGTCGGCCTTCTTGGGGGCGTCGATGGCGGGCATTTCTGTTGGGGGCGGGTTTGTCAGTTGTTGGTTGCGTCGTTTAGCCGCTGGGGTTCGTTGGTGCTGGGGTTGGAGAGGAATGTGCGTGGGGGAAGCATTGGACATTAGATGGGCATAATGAAAGTTGTCACAGCCCCTTCTTCTTCAACAGCTGGGGGCATGTTTCCGTCTGGCTGGTTATTGACGCAAAGCTCCCCCATGTCGATCTTCTCAATGGGTTTGTGCCGCCAGCAAAACATGACACACCAGTCCAAAAGGGCGTACAAAGGAGTGGACGCGCGATAACTCACCAGCTCTTCGTGTAACCAAAAATGTATAGCCCAGCGATCCCAGTACAATGATGACCACAAAAGGCCAAAACTTGACGTTGCTTCCCTCCGGGGGCGGGGAACTGTAGGCTCTGCGCTGCGTAGCTCGAGTAAAAGGGGTAGAAGGAGTCGTTCGGGGTCGTGTCAACGAAGCAAACGAGGCCTTAGAAGTTCGAGCAAATGCCGATGCTGGTGATGTGGAGGTCAACCTGAGGCACGGCGAGGAAGCAGACCGAGAAGCAGACCGAGAAGTAGCCCTCGTCAGTTGCCGCCAGAGCAGCCGCTGCGTTGGTGCGGCCATTGGTGACAGATGACGACGATGCGGGTAGACGGTGGTTGGTTGGTCGATCGGTCAGTAGGTCTGGTCTGATTTACTTGGCTGGTGCTGGTCACGACCGGACAAGCTGAAACCCTGTTTTTGGGGGGTCGGGTCTAGTCTGGTTGCAAGTTGACGCCAAGTTTCAATTCAATGAGGTCAATTCAATCCCATCATCAGATGCAGCTGATCTTGATCGTATGCGCTGGAAGCTCTGGTGGCGCGAGATTGTTAGTGCAGCCAGTTCAGGAGAACATTACAAGTGGGACTTTAATAAGTTGCACTGACATTGGCGTTTCGCCAGTCCCACAGCCAACTGCTTCAACGTGACCGGCAGACCTGACTTCGACCAAGCTCGGACAAGGAGCTTTTTGAGGTGGCATTTCGGGTAATTCTAATATCGAGCTACTAAATCAGATATTTGCGTGTCAGGTAGTATTTACCCCAAGTCAAGTATGACATTATCGGAACTTTCCTCGGAACCTCACAAGTCTGAATCACCTTCGTGTTAAACTAACCTCTACACCTCATCCACCTACAAGCAACGTCTTTGGAGATAATTCAAAAACTACGTGAACTAATCACACTATAGTCTCCGCTCGTCGAAGGATCAGGAACCTGATGCCACAACCCCGCCAGGTCGCATGGCCACATGACAGAAGGTGCGGAAGAACCTCATGCCTCCGATGCTGGTCTCCTATAGCGGGCCCTCGTTCGACCTCATTCGAGCCTTGCCTCAAAAGTAAAATCGACAGATCCATGATTACTGCCAGCAGTAGTTCATCCGGCCAGGCAAGAGACCACGGCATCAATCCCTTCCGTTCGGGGCCATGAGAGCCTTCTGTCCTTCCTTCCTCCCGCAGATGGGGCCGGTCAAAGGGCATTACCCTGGGATGTTCTTGTTTGGCTGTCAGTCTCTCCGATGAGCCAACCCCCAGTTGTGTCTTGAAAGTTGTACGAGCAAGAATGGCATAGCCCCAAGCCAAATGCCGTCCGCGGAACAGGAGCATTGTGCATTCCTCAGTTGTACGACTGGATTGTTACCCATGTGTCTCTGTGACAACTTTAATTCATTCTTCCGTCAAAAGATGTAAATAGACCTTCGCCACACCTACCGCACGGCAAGTGTGCCAGTTCAGAGTAGATCCGCATCAAGAAAAATGGGCTGGAGTAAACTTGTAGATGGATTTGGAGTTGTCATTGCCGTCATGAACACAAAGCCAACCTTGAAACAACAAACCAATCGCATGTTACGGAAACCCCGATATATTTTTGAGAAATTGTACAAATTACATTGATATAGAAGGTTACCAATTGCTCCCATAAAATTTGTGAAAATCAAGTTTCCTCCTTGTCCTGAGAGAGTTCTGGTATTTGGATTTGACCCCCCAACGCCCGTATGTAAGCCATGGAAAGCTCGTAGTTAGTATAGACACTTTCACCGCTGCCACCATCCCATTCCATCAGCTCAGCTGAACAAAGGAAAATATATCGTCTAAATCATCATGAATCTCTGGTCATGTGCCCCTAAACCCAATCACCTCGCCGCCCCGAAACTCGTCTGATCTGCCCCGGGACCTTTCACAGCCGCATCGGCGTACGCCCCCGGGATGGGCACAGCGGCATATTGCTGCTCACCCGGTGCGACGGGGCCGTGCTGGTTGATGCTGAAGTCGGGTGTTGGCGCAGTAGGCGTATCTGGTGTCGTGAAAGCAGCAGGTCCCAGCTTGGGCGTGGCGCTGGGTGCCTTCTTTGGCGGTGCCTGCAAGCTGAATGGCTTGTCTGGCGACTTGGGCGACGAGCTCGTGAATGCTGACGGTGGCTCCGCGATCGGGGCACCGGGAGTGAAGCTTGGCGCCTCGGCCTCCTTGATGTCCGATAGTGACTTGTAGGCGGATGGTGGGAATCGGGGAGACAGGGCGTACTGCGAGAAGGCGGGCGACTTGGGGCCGAATCCAGGGGTGTTGGGTGCCGACTGAGTGCGGAGCTGAGCGAGGTAAAGATCGGAACGGGCGCGGTCGCGCATGTCCATGGACTTGGTCAGGCGCCGCTTGGTGTAGTAGCGGTAGAAGACGATGCTGTAAAGAGTGATGCTGATGACCTCGACCACGATTTCAATGATGATGCAGATCAAGGACCAATTCTGAACCACGTTAGTTCGATTCGCAAATTATGTTCTGGCGTTTCTGACTCACCTGAAGTCTGCAAACGAGGGCGTAGTCGACCTTGTCCTGGAAGAGCTCAGCTCGGTGGTTTTGCACACAAGCCCATCCCCACATGTCCTTATTGCCGCTGTTGTTTCTAGTGTTTTGCATGATACCCGCAGCGACTGCCCACATGGCCATGCTGAAGATGAACCAGCCGACGGCGAACAGGGTGTAGTAGACACCAACTTTCTCAGCTCGGTGATGTCCACCCCGGCAGTAACCTATGAATACGAGAACGCAGATGGACAGAGAGACGCAAGCAGCGGCCAAAACCACCTTCTGGGGCCAGGCATTGGTGTTCTCGGCCCATGGTGGAAGACCGTTCATCGCGGGTAGAGACCTGGTAGCGTTGAAGATGGCGAAAGAGGATGACAGCATAGCCAAAATGATCAAACTGCAGCTGAAGTTGATACCTCGGAGCGCAAACTTGGCCATTCGCACTCTCATCTTGGTTGTCTATGGAGTTGAGTTGGGTCAGTAGAGTCCGTTGGCCGATTTGGTATTTCTAGAAACTTACCAAATCTTTCTCCTGCTCCTTCTCCGTCGCCTTTTCTCTCTTGTCCAGGATGTCCTCCTCTCTGAATGTGGGACTCATCGGGTTTTCGAACTTTCTCGCTGGCGTGCCGGGTACTCTCATTGCGCTCTTCAGCGGCGACTTCGGCGTCATGGGCATGTTGACTGATTCCCGGTTGGATCCTTCATTATTGCCGATGTAACCAAAACCAACGTCTGCTGGCTGGGAGTGAGCCATCTCTGATCTCTCGTCTGCGAATGGCCCTCTTCCCTCAACGGGCGAGTACACTGTCGTTGCCTCGGCGAACCTCGGTGTCCGTGGCGGCTTGAGGGATGAACTGGTTGATGTAGACCCGGCAGATGAGGACCGAGACGGCGTGAGGTTCAGCGCAGAGGGTCGCCTCCTCTCGTCCAAAGGACTCATTGTGATGTGATGTCTGGTAACGGAACGTGAGAAGGAAACAAGTCTGCTGTGTTCTGTTCGGTATGGACAGCCAGGCTATGTATATAAGGCTTCAATGAGAGAGCCAATATGTAAGCAGTTCAAAGGAGCAATGCAGCGATATGAGAATAATATTGGAGAGACCAGCTACCAAAGGGAAGGCAAGATTTCCAAAGGTCGAGTAGCTGGGGGTGGTGGAGGTTTTGAGTAGGCGCCGATCCAAGAGCACTACAACCTCATTCGATCTTGTTTAAGAGGCCGCTGCATGGAGCCGTCAGTGGAGGACCACCTGCAAGAGGCAATAGGATTGCTCACCAGTGACCGGGGTTGTGCGTGTCCTGATGTCCAACTCTGTGATAGGACGGCACCGAAAAGCTCCAATCTCAAGTGGGCGTTACGTGAAAATAAACGCCCGCCAGGTGACGGGATGGCGCCGGGCTTCTTGGGTCCAGAGTTTTGTTCGAGTCGCAATATCTCGGCTCAGACGATGTTGCGATCCTGTACGTCAACGGTGTCACAGAACTGACGCAAAAGCTTCACAGAAAATCGACAGGAACGAGAGGATTGTGGATGACGAAGACCCAGCCTGTGAGATGCGAGAGAGATACGAGAGAGGCTGGGTATTATTAGGCAAGAGGAGAGTTACCATTGAAAGCGACATGCAACGGTACAGAGGGGAATAGTAGAGAATACCACCCACCCAGCTTGGCCTTACCAGCCAAGAGTGCACTCGCACATAACATATTGATTGCCTTTCTTTCTTTGGCATTGACACCCTGGTCTTTGCAGCCAACGGCCCAGGGACTGCAGCCATGGCGGCGGTTGGATGTACTCGGGATGCCAAAATTACCCCGTTCGCCTGCGAGAAGCAGACGTCTTGCCTGCGTACTCTTGCTTGAGCCCTTGCCCCTGCACATGTGGCCTGTACCATAGTAGATGATCTCCAAGCGGTGATAGGCAGAGTGTTTTCGAGCCACCCATGCATCTTGAAATCATCTGCCAATCATAAGCGAGGGCAGACGTGACGACAAGGATCAGGTTGCATGGGCTCTGAGGTGGGCGGTAAGCTTACCTACCACTTGCCAGCTTACACAGTATGGCAGCTCCTCAATTTCTTGTCCTATTGCCCGTCGTCGAGCGGTTGAGAGGAAAATCTGCTCGCCAAGTGCATAGCTGTATCCCCTCACGGGAAGAACATGGTTCGATTTTCATCCCCAAAATCTCACCTACGCGCCCAGCTGAAGTCAGTACCACGGCTGTCACAGTGACGACGTGAAAGCGCCCGGTCTCCTCTTTCCACCTCTTCCAGAAGGGAAACCCTCGTCCGTGAGAGAAACCTCAGGCGGTGGTCGACTTGCAAGCCATTATTGCTAATTTTGGTCATCAATTTGAGAAACGTGACTCGGTAAAGTCTTGGTGGAGCAAGCGAAGAGCACAAGCAATCGAAAGAGGGGTGGGACGGGATAACATTGAAAAAGGTCGCAAGCGGATCCAATCGGGCTCCCGTCCGCACTGACCTGACATGGACGGAGGATCCTTGGGCCACATCTTGGAAATCTGCCGCCGAGAATCTGGAAATCTGCTTGCTGCATACCATCGTGGACATCTCGGCAGACGCCAGAGTTGGTCACTTGGTCCGTGTCACCGAATTTAGCCCATCGTCTCATCCAGCCTTGTTTTTGGAGATTATTTTTAGCCCACGGAGTTCTGCTACTTGCACCAAGGAACAATTCGCAGCTTGCCTGGTGTGGTGCATTTAACCCGCCTTGGCCAACCCTGCGGGAGGTCTAGTGCGTCCAGAAGCCCTTTAAGTGCAAACAGCACACGATGCTGCTACTGCAACTCCCGAATCCTATGTACTGGGCCATCGTGCCGAGAGATTCCACGACACAGGACATCACGCCTAGATATATATAACCCATGGCGCCACCTTTGAGTGCTACTCTACATTCCCTATCGAGTGGCAAAACCGACCAAAACCCCCGCCGTTATATGCAAACCGCGTAAGTGTAGAAACTAGCGATACAGACTTGATGCGGACGTTAGCCTGTCCCTTGCTTCATCGGCTACTCGGGGAACGCGAGTCCAGAATTTGGCCGGCCACCGGATCTCCAGCTGGAAGCAATAGAAGAAGAGCAGCCGAGATGAGTCGTCAGGAAGTCCATGTCCCTTATTCGTAACCGAGGTCAGGTTGTTAGCCATAAAGCGCCCAAGTGTATCACAATGTGGCTTCTTCCCTTAAGTCCTAGGACATATCAAGGCTGCTACCGACGCTGTACCCTGTGCTCGGCAATATTGCAACTATCAGCCTCATGCCCGAAGGCCAAAACTGCCATAGGTGACGCCCTGTCCAGAATTAAGATCGGGCTAGATTCAGGAATATCTATTTCTTGCAGAGCTACACGCTTCGAATGCGGCCGAGTGGCCAGACTGACTAGTTATGCAGTCCAACTCTGGACACAGTCAGAACGTGACGCAACCCGGCAAGTAGACCAGTCAATTACAAATGCATCGCCGGAAAATACCCCAGAATGGTTCTAATTAGGTACCTGGTGCACTACTTGAATGCATCACTAGTTCTCATGCAGCCAGCAGGCTCTGAAGATGCGATGCTGGCGTGTTCTACCGTGTCTAATCTGGCGTCTTCCATATTTAGGCATATGTGAACATAGTTGGCCATGATGAAGCTGATGGCAATAACGAACGATATATTGGTCTAGGTAAATAGGGCAAATGCAGAGGATATATCACCGTCTGGTCAATATGACTCATTCATTATCCATAATCTTGACATTGAATGATCAGTTCGTCAACTTATTTCAGTGATCTTGGCTGGGTCTCGGTGAAAATATACAGATTCCCGTAGAACCCAATGCTTATATCACGTACTATGTAAAGAAATTCAAAGAATTGAGAAATCACCTCCACAGCGTACGACTCTAGCTTGTTTGCAATAAGCGAAAATCTAGCCTTCCCGGCACAAGGTACTATTCCAACCCCTATTCAACGACGAGGATCAGTAATGTTTATGATTTTAGAATTATCGAGTGGCTCAGATCCGGTCACGTCTCAAGCTGAGGTTGAGAACTACCACCATGAGTTTCTATTCAAAATACCTGCAAAGGAGAGTGGCCTCGCGTATGGACTGCAGCAAGTTGGGTAATATGAAGTCTTCTACATATTAATGATTTGAATGAAGGACTAGGCAGCCTTGGCCTTTCCACAACAGTCAGTAACCATTTTTATGAGGATGAATACAAGAAGCCAGGCAACCCAGTTGTTTAAAGATAGTTAAGTATCCCTAGAATCGCAATGGGGGATTCTGCTGTCCGCACAGACTGGGTGCGAGACCCTAGGAATTCCACAACTGCCAACTTGAGCTGCAACTGGTCATTGTGGTGTCATAAGTCTCCTGGTTACTTCTCAGGTCGACAATGAATAAACTAGCATTTTGATACCAGAGTACCCAGTATCGTCTCCCAAAGTGACCTTGGAAGTGCGCCGATTCGTCATAGCTTTTCTAGATCGGTCTCGACAGAACGCAGGTTTTCTCTGCTGTTGAGTGAACTGGTGCCTGGTCAACATATAAGAGAAGCAGACGATGACTTGGCTACCGTTACTTTTGTGGTCCAGAGCTTTCTGGTGCAGGCCCAGAGTAAGCAAGAGAGGATGCGACCTTGCTGGCCGTTGTGTCAAAGTTTGCGGCTTTGACACGTTTCAATAGGACAGAAAGAACTAGGCGACAAAGGGCTGAGGAGTATCTATAGGAGATGCCTCCAGCCAAAATCTTTAGAGCAGCATATACTTAAGTGTTGGGGGAAAGGAGCGACTGTGTCGCCTGCTAGACATACCTTCGATATTACGACAGAGAACCTCAGCTATAGCTCCTGTATCATAGGACTATCCCTCATCTACTTGGTTTCTCAGCAGCAAGCTTTCTCGGCCAAGCGAACAGTGACTCTTCGCAGATAACGGAATGCAGTAATAGTTAAGAGATTGAGTGCCATATGGGGTCCAGCTTCAAGTCAGGGACATGGTGAATCACATGAAGCGGTATGAATACCCACATGTATGCGTCAAGTTCATTAAACAAATATCATAATTGATAGAGAATAAATCAACACAGCATATTGTAACTCCCACAGAAAATCCTGGGGTTCAGCTGCAGCTGGCGTTGATATCATCAAATTTGACCCTTATTAGTTCCACAAGGACATGGCACTGAAATGATGGTGGGGTAATGCCCCTCGTTCCCCAAGGCTTAGCTGTACATAGCACTGAGCTTATCTTATCAATAATCATCCCTGCCAGCTGATGCCTTGGGTTGGCGGGCCGGCCGGACGGCGCAAGGAGGGGTGCAGCAGCTCCGTCGAGTCATCGCCTCAGACTGCCATTCACAGGGCAAAATTGAAAATATTCGCGATCGCAGCGGCTTGTAGAGGATTTGAATAACCACGACGAACCCGACCTCCAAAAAAGTGATCAGGGATAATTGCAAATATCTGCTGAACACTTCGGTTCCTGCACGAATCAACTGCCCACAACAATCAACCATCCTAAAAAAATCTCGAAAGCAAGAAGCAAACAACCCCACATCCACTTCAACAACCACCCATCATGGCTGCCAACGGCGATAAGTTTGGCAATGACCTGCCCGAGTCCGGCTCGGAGTCCGAAAACGAGTCTCTCGATGAAGAGGTTGAAGAGCAGGAGCAGAAGCCGCTTAAGTCGGCCATGAAGAAGCCCCTCGTCGCTCCTCCCGTCCAGCGACCTGAACTCCCCCCACAGACCGATCCGAAGGACCTCGACGTAAAGACACTGTCGCCGACCACCCCTGAAATCATTGCGAGACAGGCGACAATCAACATCGGCACCATCGGCCACGTCGCTCACGGAAAATCGACGGTGGTGAAGGCCATCTCGGGTGTGCAAACCGTCCGTTTCAAGAACGAACTCATCCGCAACATCACCATCAAGCTTGGATACGCCAACGCAAAAATATACAAGTGTGATAATGAAGAGTGCCCGCGGCCCGGCTGCTACAGAAGCTACAAGAGTGAGAAGGAGGTGGACCCGCCATGCGAGCGCGAAGGGTGCAGTGGCAAGTACCGTCTGCTGCGACACGTCTCCTTCGTCGATTGCCCCGGTCACGACATTCTCATGAGCACTATGTTGTCTGGTGCGGCAGTGATGGACGCTGCCCTTCTCCTGATTGCTGGCAACGAAACCGTACCCCAGCCTCAAACATCGGAGCATTTGGCCGCTATCGAGATCATGAAGCTCGACAAGATCATTATTCTGCAGAACAAGGTCGATTTAATGCGGGAAGAGGCTGCCCAACAACACTACCAGTCCATTCTCAAGTTCGTAAGAGGAACCCCCGCCTCCAAATCGCCCATCATCCCCATCTCGGCCCAACTGAAGTTCAACATCGACGCCGTCAACGACGCTATTGTGAACACCATTCCGATACCCCCCCGAGACTTCACAATTGAGCCGCACATGATGGTGATTCGGTCCTTTGATGTTAACAAGCCTGGTGCTGAGATCGATGAGCTGAAGGGCGGTGTTGCTGGTGGCAGTATTCTGCACGGAGTCTTGAGGTTGGGCGACGAGATCGAGATCCGGCCTGGGATCGTCACGCGTGATGACAAGGGCAACCTCCAATGCAAGCCTATTGTCAGTCGTATCGTATCGCTCAACTCGGAATTCAACGACCTCAAGTACGCCGTACCCGGTGGCCTGATTGGTGTCGGTACTCGCATCGACCCTACTCTCTGCAGAGCCGATCGTTTGGTCGGTTTCGTGTTGGGTCTCAAGGGTCGCCTCCCCTCTATCTACAGCGAGATTGAGGTCAACTTCTACCTCCTCAAGAGACTGCTCGGTGTCCGAACCGCAGATGGCAAGCAAGCCAAGGTTGCTAAGCTGACCAAGAACGAGATTCTGATGGTCAACATTGGTTCCACTTCTACCGGTGCCAAGGTCGCTGCTATCAAGCAGGATGCCGCAAAATTGATTCTTACGAGCCCTGCCTGCACAAATCTTGGGGAGAAGATTGCGCTAAGTCGACGTATCGAGAAGCATTGGCGTCTCATCGGATGGGCCACGATCACTGCGTAAGTTCATCATAACTCCTTTTTGTTTCCAGCATTTCTAACTAATGAATAGTGGTGTGACCTTGGAGCCAACTGTGTCCTGAACGAATCATTGAACACCAATTCAAACGACATAAGCGCATGCTACATTTCCACGGGCTATAGTTTGAGGATAAAAGAACCGCAGAGGGCACGGGGAATCGGTCATGGCTCAAGATCAAGGAATCCTGAAGGCCGTGCCATTGAGTGATCTCTACTCGGGGGTGTTTCAGCGGCTGGTAAACATGCCTAGGAGAACATGTATCGTAGTTAGCGGTTCTATAGAGGAAAATCAAAATATGTCACCAAAACACGGAGAAGGAGTAGCCGAATACGGGCTGGTATAATCCAGGATGCTACAACGGATCGTTCTATGGATATTCAAGCGGGATAGCCACAGTGTACTTTTGCTTTCCCGGTACCATAACCCAACATTTGCATAGCTTTACTGCAAGTAACACACTTTACTTGGCTCACTTTGGTATATGCTATGGTAGCGCGGTGTACTTATATAGGATCTGCGGTTTGACTGGCTGGCTGACCGACTAACCTTTGAAATCCAAGTTCAACTCCCTCATTCTACCACAGACGAAGTAGTTGTATACCACCAGCAGGGAAGCCAGCCGTACTTTCCGTGTGCTTGTTTGTGCTGAGCATTTCTTTAATGAGACGCGACAAATTCCCATTGTGAGAAGATGACATAACTCAGCTCCCATCCACCGAATGTCAAGTATGATTAGGCGTTGAACCCGCCCTTGTTATCAAACTGTGGAAGCTTGGAAGGTGTCCTGGCAGTCACAAATGGGACTTGACATTGTGTCTAGAAGCGGGTTTCGTATTTCACAATACATGTCACGATATGTCTGGGTTTGGGCAAATAAAGTAGTAACCTTGTCAAGGTTAGCATAGTACGCAGACCCTCTTCATGTAGCTGGGCCAAGTTCTAAACAAGGATACTCTTGACTCAAGACGAGCGTCACAATTTGTATATTTGATGGCAGTTAGGGTCTCAGGAGGATATCATCCGGGATCATGACAGCTCAATGATGTGGAATAGTTGGCACGCGAATCCAAAAAATGAGAAAAATTCATGCTAGAAGTGACGATAGCTTTCCCAGCCGCAGGCGGATTGTACCAGAGACCATGATATAGCTATAAGAAAACTACTGACTGCGTCTATATAGGACTATCACATAGTTCCTCAGATGTACAGACATAGCTTCCTTGCAAAGGAGCTTTGCCCACTTAAACCAGGAAGAAACGAAAAAAGCGTCTCTGGCGGTGGGCCGTAGTGACGAATTGTATGCCACGATGGATGATAGTATTTCACAGAAAAGCCGAGAGGATCATGGGATTTGGCATTCATCCAATTGTCGAGACGATTGTGAACACTAGGAAAGGGCTGCATTAGCGTTTTCAGCGAGGGAAACCCATTGCGTACCTAATCATAAAGTAGTACGGTGAGGGCATCATCATCATCATTCGCATCTGGCATTCAATCCAGTTCACTCTAATGGTATAATCCTAGTTCCAACTGCTGCTTTTACCGCCCTCTTCAATCTTACCCCTACCACCACCTCTCGTAGGTTTCGACTGAGCCGCTTCGTGCCGCCTAAGTTCCTCAGGTACTTTACTGATACTGCTCTTACTGAGCATCTGCTTCAAGTCATACATAACATCCGTGTCCTCGTTGCCTAAGAACGTAATCGCGACACCGCTCTTGCCAGCACGACCCGTTCGTCCGATTCTGTGGGTGTAAGACTCGATGGAAGACGCCATGTTGAAGTTGACGACCAGACTGACGTCCGGCACGTCGATACCTCGTCCTGCCAGATCGGTGGCCACGAGGACTTCTGTGGCTCCCGAACGAACCGACGCAAGTGCCTGCTCACGCTGCTCTTGGGTTTTGGAACCGTGCAAAGTGACAGCGCTGAAGCCCATATGTTTAATCTCGCGCGCAACAGCGTCACAATTGCGCTTGATGTTGACGAAGACGATGATGGGAGGTGCGAAGCCGCCATTTTGAAGAATTTCGCAGAGACGCTTCTTCTTTTTGTCCTCTCCGGAGACCATCTCAACGCGTTGCTCGACCGTGTCAACTGCCTCTCCCGCATTACCGATCGTGACAGTGGCCGGGCGTCGCAGGTATTTCCTGGCTATCTTCTCGACAGCTGGCGGCATGGTGGCCGTGTACATCATGGTCTGACGATATCGATCCTTTCCACCAAGATGGCGTGACATAAGTTGTCCGTTCTCAGCCTCTTCTGTATCTGGTTTTTCATTTGTGACGGGCAGTGCATCCAGAATCTTGTTTACAGACTCTTCGAAACCCATGTCGATCATACGATCTGCCTCGTCCATGATCATGTAACAACACTGAGAAAGAACCACAAGACGGCGCTCAATACAGTCGACCAGACGACCGGGAGTTGCAACAATAATCTCCGCGCCATTTCGAAGCGCATATGCCTGTTCCTCAAGAGCGTGACCACCAACAATACTGACGACGGTAAAGCCAAGTGGCGTGGCGAACTTTCGAGCTTCGGTTTCGATCTGTTGTACCAGTTCTCGAGTAGGAGCCATAATAAGAGCATACGGACCATCATTCTTCGTGAACTCGTTCAGAGGCGGCAGTTCTGAGATGTACACTAAAAGGGGTAACAAGAACGCGGCCGTTTTTCCAGATCCGGTGACGGCAACACCAATGAGATCACGGGCCTGGAGGGCTATTGGGATGGCTGCTCGCTGAATAGCACTGGGCTCGTCGTACCCAACATTTGCGACAATATCGAGCAACCGATGAGGTAATCCTGACTCTTGCCAGTTTCGCATGGGATTCGGAATATAACCTCCTTTCGTGGCGATACCGAAGTCCTCTTTGAAGATACGCCAGTCTCTTTCTTTCATCTCGTCGAGGGTCTTTTCTGACCAGTGCTTTCCAAGGCCTTTGCGATTTGCCCTTTCCTTTGCCTTCTCGGCCATTTCCATGAGCTCTCGGGCTCGTTCCGCGCCATGCTCAGGATCTGACTCGGCGATCAAACGGGCCTGCTTTTTGAGGTTTTCATATGTGACGCTGTCATCGAAACCACCTTGGCGGAAGGTGGGTTCCAACTGCTGGGCGTAGATAGGATCGTGATCCTGACTGGTATCCTCGTTAAGGTCCCATTCGAAGTTGAACTTCTTTTCCGTCGTCCGTTTTCTCTTCTTTTGAGCCGAGAATGTGGATTGATTCATCTCAGGACCCATGTAACGGGCCCGTATCAGTGCTGCTTCGGCGTCTTCTGGTGCTGCCCGCTTTTTGTCGTCCTTACTCTTGTCTTTGTCCTTTTCCTTGAACCTCCCCTCTCTAGCCTGCCTATCGTTGTTTCCAGGGCCTTGGCGGTCATACCTGCCTTGTGATCGCATGGCTTTCGGACCTGTAGGGACAGCGGATTGCCTGTCGTCTCGAGTGTACCGGCCGTTGCCGCCTTCAATGTTATACCCCCTGCTCGGTCCATTGTTCGCCGTATTGCTGTTGCCTCCAGCACTCCGCGCTGCCACCGCTTGCGGTTTCTCCTTCTCCTTCAGTTTCTGTTGTTCCTTCAGTTCGGCCTCCTTTGCAAGGCGCTCTCGTTCGGCTTTGGGAATGAATCGCGGTTTAGCGGCTGCGGCATCTGCGGCCTTTTTTTGTCGAAGTACTTCCTCGATATCGAGTGGCACCTTCCTGCCGCCGTTGGTACTGCTCATTGTGTCGGTTAATAAAGTCGATGGGTCGAGGTCAGGAGTTAGGTTTGCGACTGAGGTCCGCGCAGATATTTAGTAACCCGGGCAGATAGAGTACTAAAGTAGAGGCTGCTTTGTATAACATATATTCACTTGAGTAGATATTCCACGGGGGTGAGACGATGCGTGCTGTCGAGGTTGAGCTAGCCTCGTATAGCGAAAGTAGTAGAGACGTCGTGAGGCATCTGGAAGGCTGAGAGTTTAGGGAGCCGTGATCCTGACATTCACAGTAGATGGGTATTGTTTGCAGTGGAACGTCTAGATTGGAACCAATCGGAAGGTTTAGCGGACCCCAGTCTCAGCACAACTACCACTCAAGCTGCCAAGCGGGGGCACCCTCAAGCGAGTTGCCGCAACTGCCAAATTTCTGACATTGGAGCTTCGAGGAGAGTGAAAGCTTTGGGCAGACAACAGTTGACTCTCAACCCAACCATTTATAACATGGCGACTACAAACCGATATGTCGAGCTAGCGAAGCAAATGCACCCCCGTTTGCAGCGCTTCTTCGCCAAGTATCCGCCCAATCAGATCCTCCCGGCGTCAACGAGGACGAACACGATCAAGGACGGCGCGACACCGAATCCTTTCCTCCCACACAAGCACCCCATCACAGGCAAATGGCACGACCCTGAGTTCTCATTGCGCCGGCAGGCAGAGCTGGTCAAGCTGGCACGAGAGGAGGGTGTGGAGGAGCTGCTGCCCTTTACAAACAAGGGTACCGAGGAGCGCATACGAAAGAGAGTCGAAGAGGGCTTGAGGGTGAAGGGTACTGGTGTGGGAGAACGTGTCAAGGGTCACTTGCACGAGAGAATGCTTTCTGTCAAGTATGTTGCCCTTTTGCAGGCCATGCTGGCTGTAGTTCGACGACACTGGGCTGGGAAGTTGTACATTATAAAGGGTTGTGCTAACTTAGTGCCAGGATGGAGAAGAGAAGAACAGCCATGCTGGGTATGCCCAGATTGGTCAGAGAATGGCGAAAAGTAAGTTATAACCTGATCTTTGCCATGTCGATCTTCTAACCAGGGAACAGACGGGCAAAAGCAAATGGACCAAGTACCCCAGGTAGGGGGTTTGAGATCCTCGGGTTGACATGGTACGATACCAAGCCAAGAACAACTGTACAAAATTGGGTGTATAAATACTGTACCAATTTCACAAGACGGGAGAATCATGAACTCTTCCCAGCAATCCTGGGCCATTGGACGTTGGTGACTAAAAATGCAATGGTGGTTCCGATGAAACTACTTGGGCAAATGGTGAGTGGACACAATGATGGCATTTTTTTCCACGTCACTCACCTACCCTACCTTTTCCAGAGATTTCCATCTTTGCGATTTACTTGCAATCAATTAGTAGACACGGGTCAGAAACCAGCAACTTTTTAGACCCTGAACAGCTTCATACAGCTCACGTGACCCTGGCTTAAACTCCAAGCAATATCCAAGATTTCCAAGATTCTTCCCTCATGCATGCGTCACTCTCACTTACACACCCCTCCCCCACCACAACATTGGGCAAACCATCACCATCACCGGCAAAGCCAAATATGCCAGCCTCAAATTCTAGCGTAGAGCCCACGCTCTACGAAATCCTCTCGCTCACCCCGAAGAGCCTTGAAGGCCAGGACCCACCCACTCAGACCAAAGCAGTAAAGCAAGCATACCGCGCCGCCCTGCTCAAGCACCACCCGGACAAAAACCAGCAAGCCAAATCGCAATCCGAGGGCACCGCCAACTCAAAAACGGCAACCCACTACACTGTGGACCAAATCACCCACGCATATACCGTTCTCAGCGACTCCAAGCAGCGCCGCGAATACACGCGGTCCCTGCAGACTCGGACTCGCACCACTACCACCTCTAGTAGTACGCGTAATGGTAAGACTACTACCCGTACCCAGTGCCACTCCTTCCAAACCGGCGTGGAGACCGTCGACCTGGACGATCTGTCCTGGGATGGTAAACGCGGCGTCTACTACTGGTCCTGCCGGTGCGGCAACCCACGGGGGTTCTGCTTCCGGGAGATGGACCTGGATGAGGTGGGTGAAGAAGGCGAGTTGATGGTCGAGTGCGCGGGGTGCAGTCTCTGGCTCAAGGTGTTGTTTGAGGAGGTAGAAGACGACGAGGATGCAGAGGGGACTGGGCAACAAGTCCAGAGTAGCAATAGCAACTCGGGTGAGAAGGTGGTGCAACGCGGCAGCGCCGAGGGCAAGACAGGCGGATGGAGCTGGAAGTTCAACTTCGGGATTTCGATTGGTGGGTCGGCGGGCATCAATGCGACGGCGGGGAGGTCGTAGGAGCTGCATGACAAGGAGAGAGGACATGCCGAATGGGGGCTTAAAAAGATGATGAGTTCGCAATGCAGGCCCGAGTACCCACTGCCTCGCAAGCAGCAGGGCCAGAGCATTAGGGGTATCCGGAAGAGGGCAGAGGCCGCGGGTTGCGCTGGATATATGTACATTATTATGAGTCGAGGCGCAAACGGAAAGGGGAGCCCGGAGGATGATATGTTCAGTGATTGTTTCGTTGGCTTGACATGAAGACAGTATCCTCGGAGTATCAGGAGTCTGAGAGCCTGTAATCATTTGACTTGTGTAGTGACATCGTGATATTAGACGTCTTGCATTACCCAAGTGGACATACTTTGACACGAAGACTTCGGCTTATATAGTGTCCTCAGTCCAGAGTAATCTGACAAAAGTTATAGGTATCCTACTGCTGGACTCGACCTAGAAATTTACTTCCTGTTGGGGACATTTCAACGAAGCAAGTCAACCCTTTCACTACAGGAGGCCGAGGTCATGGTTGCGCGGCCGCATCACATCATGTCGTTCACGCTTCACTTTCTGTATTTCTTATAGAAAAGCAAGGGTTTGTTTATTTTGTCCAGACGGGATTGCATTAGAGTCTAAAAGGCAAAGCATTCTGCACGGAATTGCCTCCAAAAGCTGTGCTTTAGCTCTTCTGCCCGTAGGAAGAGAGAAAAATCCTCCCAAAAGTCTTGTCGGTGTATTTGCCACGGAAAAATCATGCAGAATCTCAAATGAGACGGGTTCTCAATCCACACTCCATAGACACCAATGTCCGCCCAAAGTCCGCGCTCTCCGTCTTGTCTCCTTTAGATATCATCGGGTTGAGGGGTAAGTCAGATTTACTCGGCGGCCTTGGTCTCCTCTGCAGGCGCCTCGGCAGCCTTCTCGGCCTCCTGGGCAGGAGCAGCAGCGGACTCGGCGGCAGGCTCGGCCTCGGATGAGGTCCAGAGGGTCTGTATCTCGATGTTAGAGTGGCCCATGTTATGTATCAAGAGCACGGGTACGTACCAAGTTGTCTCGGAGAAGCTGCATGATCAGAGTCGAGTCCTTGTAGCTCTCCTCGCTTAGGGTATCAAGTTCTGTAACAATTTGTAAGACACTCGCAATTCCACGACCACTTTCATCATTCCCAGCACTTACCAGCAATCGCATCATCGAAAGCCTGCTTCGCAAGATGGCAAGCCTGGTCGGGGGCGTTCAGGATCTCGTAGTAGAAGACAGAGAAGTTCAGCGCGAGACCCAGGCGGATGGGGTGGGTAGGAGGCAGCTCGGTCTGAGCAACCTCGGTAGCCGCCTTGTAGGCCTCGAGCGACTTGTCGGCGGACTCCTTTCGGCGGTCACCAATGGCGAATTCGGCGAGGTATCGGTGGTAGTCGCCCTTCATCTTGTGGTAGAAGACCTTGGACTCGCCAGACTTAGCGGAGGGGATCAGGTGCTGGTCCAGAACCTCGAGAATATCGTCGCAGATCTTGGCAAGCTCGGCCTCGATCTTTTGTCTGTACTCCTTGATTAGGCCGACCTGCGAGGAGTTGCCCTTGGACTCCTCCTTCTGTTCGATAGAGGTGACGATTCTCCAAGATGCACGGCGGGCACCAATGACGTTCTTGTAGGCAACCGAGAGAAGATTGCGCTCCTCGACCGTCAGGTCACGGTCCTCAGAGGCGACGATCTTCATGTTCTCGACCATCTCTGTTCCAGATCAGCGAGGTTGCGCTTCAAAGCAGTGCAAGCATGAGTCTGTAGGTTTCGTCACAACATACCCTCGTAGCGCTCAGCCTGCTCGGCGAGCTTGGCAAGATACACAGCATCTTCGTGACCCATTTTGGCGATGTGGGATTCGATAGAATCAGGACTACAGTGTCAAAGATTGATGTTAGCCTCGTTGCAATCAAGTGTCGTCGTCAAAGAAGACGAGATTGTGTGCGGTGTCATGTAGGTAGCTGAAGTGGTGCTAGGGATAAATGAGAAAGTGTGAGGTGGAAGTTGCGAGTTTGCAGCCCAGATGCGACAAATGCTGATGTCAACAAATAAAGTGGGATCTCCAGGGAGGCCTTAGATGTTTGTCGGATTCTGCCTTCACAGGTGTCGAAGGCGCGTCAAGGTCAATGGGAGGTGATGAATGGCAACGGGAAAGCCTCCCCGCATCGTGGTGGGGTTTGCGCCTACCGCTGAAGCTGCTGAACGCGTGGGAGGATAGGGATGCGAACCAGGGCAGCCTGTCGCAACAGGCAAGTGAAGGTGCGGGTGCTTTGTATATAGCCTGGTGATGGTTTTTGGTGTCGTCGGTGAAGCGGTCGTGATGCGGGCTCGCGATGACGAAAGAGGTTGCGGAGGGGGATTCAGGGTTGGGATGTCACCAGGTGCAGCAGGGACAGACGCACAGGGAGACGATGGGCAACGGGGAGACAGGAGATGACACGTTAAAGGGCCGGGTCGGGGGCATGTAAAACTTACTTTTCGGTTCTTTGGTTGTTGTGAAAGAGTGAATTTCTTGGATGAACGGTTCTTCAGAAGAAGCGCAAAAAGAAAGGGATCTCGAAATGGAGTTTGGGGATTATGGGAAGGCAAAGATTTTGAGAGGGCTGTGTCGAAATTGGGATTGGGTTGGTTTTGTTGGCCAAAGGAGGCCAAGGTGAGAGAGACAGTGGTGGCCTGGCAGACTGCAGAACCTCCTCGTACGCTGCCTCGGGCAATCTGGTTACAGTGTAGGCCGGGGGCTCCAGGGTAGACAAGACTAGTCGGGGGCCCGGTAGTGGGTGCCAGCAATCAATCAATGGGTCATTGGAACATCGAAGGGGGAAGGCAAGTACGATGAACCTTGGACGTCAGTTACCAGCCTCATAAGCTCTCAACATAAATGAGTCAACGTGCCGAACGAACTGTTTCCAATTACCTAGATTTTCACGTTCCCTGTCTCAATCAATTGATTTCTTGCCGTTTGCTTTCCGTATGTTCGTCCTTCTTGTCTGCACAACGTGATGACACTGATTGTGGTTCCTTCTGCACCTGTAAAGCAACGACCTTCAATTCCAGAAAAAGAAGGTCCACTGTTCATTGTTCTGCTGTTGGTACGATGTGCGAAGTACCTGTTTGTCCTTTGATTGAGGTGTTTTAGCATCCCATCATCTCACTTATGCGGCAGCTTGCCGCTCATGCTGCATCTTCTCCAAGACTTGTCGCTCTGGAAAATCCTGCCTGTTTTTCTTGTCGCCGTAGCCTTGATGCCTTCAACCGTTCGATCTCGGGTATAGGCAACAGGATGGACAGGACAGTTAGCTTTCTGGCGTCAAGCTCTGATAAGTCTGCCTTCCAATCTGCCATCCCATCCTCGTGGCCAACAATCTCGCCGTCCAATTGATCGTCTTAAAACACACGGACCAAAATTGCTCATAGCTCTTGAAATTGAGCTAATCAATCAAGCCTCAAACGCATGGACCAATCCACTCAATATCTCAGATGTCTGATCACGTCAGGGCATTTGGCATGATATAGGAAGAGTCTGCACCGCCTACGTCAACAACTGCAGCGAGCACCATCAAATTTCTTCCCCACTGCAGAGCCGGCTGACCACTCCAATGAAGTGGTCCATTGCTGGACACCGAGATATCGCGAGAGGCCCATAACGTCACCAGGCTACAAGAATGAATGAATCTGGGGCTGCCCTACTAGACATCCATGCCATGGACTGCAGTTGCATCGCCAAGAAAATCCCGGCTGCAGCCCCAAAGCCGAGACTGCCAACACTAGTATTTCGGAAGCCATGCTGTTGTTCGGTAACCATCCGAGTATTATAACATGGGATTCTGACAACGCCATTGTGTTGTACAGGAAGAAATGATACTTGAATAATTGCTAATAGTATCATTTGGCAAGATAATTCTTTGCCACAAACAACTAATGGCCCGGCAATTCTATTACCTACATAATCACAGCCAACGATTACGCCTAATTTAAATAAAATTTCAGAGACTTGACAAATACAACGTACTGATGGCATCAGAACGGAGGAGGTACAAGTACGATATGAATGGTGGATAAGATACCTCACTTCTTTTGAGGGGTCAGAGATGAGCGTGGCCAGTGGCTATACCAGTTGATACGGAGGCTATCAATTCAAGCAGATGCCCAGTGAGCTGTAGGAAATCAACTCATTTCAATCTCATCAGAGTCACCCCATTCTTCTGGTCAGATGGTCACAATGCTCATCTTTCAAGCTCCTGTCGGGTGATGATACTGCTACATCATTTCGGAACTATTCGAAAAGCCCAAGTGAGGATGCAACCGCCCCATCCCGAAGTCCATCCGAAGTCCACAAAAGTGTCAGCTGGTAAGGAGGCCGCGCCGCCCCGTCCGTAGCCGTCAAATGGTCTGATCTCGTTCCACAACCCGGCCTTACTTGGAACTCCGTCATTCGCCGACTCCACTCGAGCTCTGATCCAATGACAAAGTCGCTTTGCCTCTCCCTGCAATTGTGCCTCATTAATATGACCAACGGTCAATTGAACTTCCCCATCTTAACCAAGGTAAATACCTAGCTACTGTCCCACCTCCAATTCACTCCACACAACCGAACTTGATAACTCCGTCATCAAGCTAATACCAACACCCATTTGCAGCTCTGTCAAGCAACCAACCGACAATCCACCAAACCACCCAAGATGTACCGACAGGCTCTCACGAAGGTCGCTCTCCGCGGCACCGCTGTTCCAGTGACCAGCCGAGCATTCTCAGTCACAGCCCGTGTCAGCTCTGCCGGCGACACCGGTGCGCCTCCCAAGACTGGTGGTCAAGGGTAGGAACTATCCAATCCAGCTTTTGTACTCCCGGGCAAGCAAAGAAACAAACAAATTCGTTCAAAGTAAGAGAAGGGGGGTAACATGGCTAACCTCTACGTGCAAACAACAGTGACGCCTTCCAGCGCCGCGAAAAGGCCAATGAGGACTACGCCATCAAGTTGCGCGAGAAGGAGAAGCTCTTGGAGCTGAAGAAGAAGCTCGGCGAGCAGCAAGCCCACCTGAAACAGCTGAGCGACCACATGTGAGTGTTTTGTCCCGCAGAAGCTACGGATGTTTCCTTCATTTGGAGAGGAAGAATTCAGAGAAATGATGCACATACACAATTGAAAGAAACAGGCTGACAAGTTTTCTCCCGCAGTGACGAGTTGACGAAGGAGCAAGGAGGTGAGCACAACTAGAACATTGATGATACGGGTACAGGCATATTGTAGGACTGGTGCGTGGCGGACGCAGAAATAACTGCGGGACATTTTCGCCTATACCAAGTGTAGTTGGCCTGTTACCCTCTTTAGTGTACATAATAAATCAGTCCATGCTTTGAACAAGGAAAAATTAGACAGCGCTCTTGTCCGTGGTCTTTGTCATGACGCCTCTATTTACTTGATTCGTGAGGTCAGCTGTGGCTGTGGCTTCTGTACGACTTGATCAGAAGTCCACGCACCTCCATCGCAAACAAGCAAGCAACGATAGTATAACGTCCTATGCGATGTCTATCCAGAAAGAGAAAGGATGCTGATCGGTTCTGGTCGGTTGAGATCGCCCGCCAGCATATAAAAGGCGGACATTCCCCATATGACAGGAGCATACCTAACATAGATCGTAGCCCACATTCTAAATTCTAAACACAGGTCCACTGAAAATCCAAGCGTTTCATGAGTACATACATGAGTAACCATCGTACGTATCTGACTCCACTGACGGGGTTCGTGCCGTCCAAGCCGCAGGACTTATTTCGTGTATCATAATGCCATCTTATTATCCGGTTTGCCTCGCGGGTTTCCTTTTATATGTACAGTACCGCACTAACTGACTGGTCCATCCAACATGCAACCTGCGGTTTCTTCCGCATGAAGACTCCGGTCAAATTCATCATCTAGATTAATCTCCACAGCTTCACGTACCGCCATTTATCTACGTCCCCCCATGTAGGAGCGATAGAAGCTCTCGGCCGCTCCATTCTCCGGACCTCCATACTGGTTTCCCACCGCGCTACTCGCCTTCTGCGCTGCATTGACCTTGGCCTGCAGTTGCGCGGCGTTGCTATCGATCCATTGAAGTTGGGTGAGATGTCCGTTGAGAACGCGGACGATCTGGCTCAACTGTGATGTTATGTCAGCAAAATAGGTTGGTGCAGGCGCGATTGGTGTAGAACGTACCGGATCATCAGGTTTGTTGCCCTTGCTCAATGTGCCAGAAATGTCATTTATCTCCTTGATCATCTTGGTTAAATCCCGGCCCATCTCGTCCAAACGATCGGTCAGCTTTTCGGCCAGCTTGTACGTCTTCTCACGCTCCTGGTCGGGGCCGGCCAGTTGTTCGTTTCGTCCTATGTCCCGAGCAAACATTTGGTCCACGTCTTGCTCGTACTTGTCCAGCCAAGCTTCTAGTTCTTCCTGCTGGCTCTCGACAGTGACTAGATGGCGCTCAACCTCATGGCTGGCCTTTTCAGCCTCAAAAGTCTTCAGGTAGAGATTTTGAATCTTCTCGCCGTTCTCAACAAGCAGGCGATCCCAGGCCGCAACTTGAGCTGCTTGATCTTTGAAGTCCTTTTGGTATTTTGACAAATCAGTGGCCCATCGTGTGATGATTTCGTCCATAGTCTTGTTCTTCAGACGCGCGAGCTGTGATGTCGGTCCGGTAGTGGATGCGCCCAAATTTGCGCCTGCGCCTGCGCCGGGGGTATTCTGTGTCGCGGACGATTCAGCTGGCTTCGCGCCACCGAGTATAGAGCTAGTTGCTGGGGTGGTAGTAGCAGCCGCGCCCGACGCTGCAGTAGATGGAGCACCGAACAGTGAGCTTGTAGGCTTTGATGCCTCTGAAGTGGTCGTTGTAGTGGCTGGAGTGGCGGCGGAGGTGGTTGCGGAACCGAACAGACTGCTTCCTGGCTTGGCCGGCGCCGAGGTAGCGGTGGTTGTAGCCGGCTTGTTCATGCCGCCAAACAGTGAGCTAGCAGGCGCAGGCGCAGGCGCAGATGCTGCGGTCGTGGCCGGGATAGACGATGAGCCGCCCAGACTGGGAAACGCCGATGAAGTGGCAGGTGCCGTGGTTGCGGGAGTACTGCTACTGGCTCCTCCGAAGAGACTGCTTACTGGCTTTGCCGCACCGGATTCAACTGGTTTGGCGCCGAACAACGACGAGGCAGGTGCTGCGGGCTTGGCACTGCCTAACAGCCCTCCCGAAGGGGTACTACTCTCAACGGCTTTGTTTTTCCCAAAGGCTTGGCCCGGGGTTTCAGTACTCGATTTGCCTGTGGGCGCAGTAGGCTGCGTCGCAGCACCGCCAAAAAGACTGCTAGCAGTTGGCTTGCTCTGTGTCTTGTCTGCTGAGGTTGCTGCGGCAGTACCACCGCCGAAGAGACCACCGGCAACTGGCTTCGCTGCCTCTGTCGGTGGGGCACCCGCCGGAGTAGTCGAGTTCATAGCGAAAAACGGTTTTGCGGGTGTAGCAGCCGTAGCAGCTCCTGTGGTAGGTGTGGTTGTCTTGGTAGCCCCAAAAAGTGAGCTAGTCGTACTTGACTTCGCTCCACCACCGAATAGACTACTGGGTTGGGAGGTTGGGGTGCCAGCGGCGAGTGTCTTATCATCCTTGTTGCCGAACAGTCCTCCAGATGGAAATGCACCTGTCGTGGTCGTGGGTGGAGTATTTGTAGCGCTAGAAGCCGGCATCGAGCTGGTGTTTCCGAAGAGAGAACCCGTTTGCGCTGGCTTGCTGGCACCACCGCCAAACAGTCCACTGCTTGAAGCAGGTTGTGAACTGCCACCACCACCACCAAACAAACCGCCGCCTGAAGTAGGCTGTGAGCTTCCACCTCCTGGAAAACTGCCGGCTCCTCCAGTGGGTGTAGATGTGCCAGAAGAGGTTGCGCCAAACAGAGAGGGTTTCTGCTCAGCAGGTTTCAGACTTGTATTTCCGAACAAGCTCCCACTGGTGCTCGACGCAGGTGCTGCGCTGGTAGATCCGAAGGAGAAGCCCGCTGAGCTCGTTGCGGCCGGCGTGCCCTTTGCTTGGCCAAAGAGACTGTTGGAGGAAGTAGCTGGTGTCGTGGATGAAGTGCCAAACAAAGAGGCCGATGCGGGCGCGGTCGAGGTCGTGGCATTGTTGGATTGGCCAGCGGAACTGGTGCCAAATGTGAACGCCATGATGTTGGTCTTGTGGTGGTGAGCAATGCTGTCTACTGAGGAATGTGTTTCTTCAAACAGTCGGGCCTTGCATCCTGAAAGGTACTTTTTTTTAGCAGGACGTTCGAGGTACAGAGGTAACAAAGGAAGTTAATCCAGAAAACACCGGGTATCTGTCTCACCGTATTTGAACCAACAATAATTGTTAAAGCAGGTCCAGCGTCTCGAGATTGAAGACTTGTTTGCGCTGAGCTTTTCCGCCTCGATTGCTGATACGGAAGCTTTTGGGGCCACTTTTTTTGCGCGACAGCTCTCACAGTGAATTCGCAGCTGGGACGCGCCTGGCAACGGCAAGGGACGTGAAGCTCATTGGCTGACTGCAAGTGCTGACGCTTAGACCAGGCATCAGCTTCAAACACCTTCTAGAGCTGCGGCACTTCCCCTGGGCTTCAACTATAGTAGCGGTATGGGGAACCTTCAATGCAATTGACTGAGTAGAACGCCCTACCAACCATGGAGCTGCCAGACTGATGCAAACCTGGAATGATGACTGTAGATTTCCACCGCGTGCTAGGCGTGGAACCACTGCTGCTGGCATTCAATCAACTCTGGCACGAAGTAGATGGCCTACAAGTACAAAAGCACTTAGACCTTCAAATTGGTATCGTTATCAGAGCTGATCGGCGCTTAAATGAACCCTTCGGGCCTGTAGCTCAGGCCTGTAGCAACTTTTACGATCCACAAGCCTGGACCGCCATTCATAGGCCCGGACTTGCTGCTCTAGACGACACCTCAAGTGAGTGGGGCTCTATCCTGTCCAGTCTACAACATCCCATACATGTCACTTTCCAGTGACATCTACCTTGATTTACCTTGCTTGTAGTGCCGTTATCGACATACTCCCTTTCTAAACAAAACTCTGCCCTCCAAACGCATTCTCTTCACGAAGCCTTCTAGGGAGACTCGACATTGAGATCATCAGCCTTTAAAGCTGCGATTCGCAGTCAAGTCATCCCACATCACAGTCTATCACCCCATTTCGGTCATTCGATATGTCAGGACATCGGAGGTCAGTGAGCCTCGAGGCGCCCGAGCGTAAAGGAATCGAGGACCCTGGTGCGCATGACCTAGGTAAATACTCCCCTATCCCATTCAACTTCAACGTCAATGTATACAGCTTTTTAATGCTATTGTCTTCAGCATCCTCCGATGACGAGCATTTCTCGGACGCACAGTCGGCTCCCAGGGACAGCCCCAGAGGAGCGGCCTCCCCAATTCCCAAGACAAGAGTAGAGAAGGTCGATGACGAGCCGTCGTATGGCGAGGTGCCCGGGACAGACGCATATGAAAAGAGGGTTGGGGATGCGGCGCCGGACGAGATTGCCATCATACCCGATGCCGAGGCCAAGGAGCAGAAGTCTAATTCTACCGAGGACTTGACTATGCCTGGGGGACACCCCATTCCGAAGACCGTGGTGGAGGAAACAGCCGATGCTCCCGGCTCCACCACTCAAAACTTCCACGAGCAGCTCCGCAAGGCAGATGCCGCACCCGACCTTGTTCGCAAAGCCGACGGTACGAGCGAGGCCAACATGGTGCCGGCGTCGCTAGAAACTATGGGAGAAGCAACCGGTACGGCCGCCAAGTCCTCCTGAGCTACCCAACTTCGATTGACCCTGCCCCCGTAGATGATGTCCCTGTGTCCCCTGTGTCTCCTGCTCTGAAGTCTCCAATGAAGTACCGACGGAGGAAATCGTCGGCCGCAGAGTCTATAAACGGCTCTGGCGAGCTAGCAGCCAACGGCTTTGATGACGATGGTGCTGATGACGGGGACTTCGGAGACGACTTTGACGAGTTTGAGGAGGGTGACGAAGATGGCGACTTTGGCGATTTTGACGATGGCTTCCAACAGGCTGACGCGGAGACATCGGCCTCCCCGCCCGTTGCTCCGCCGTCCGTCGCAGTACCCTCTTTTGTATGTTTAGCAGCCTCCTTAGGTAGCATGATCATGGAGCTGACGTTTCATTTCCTTCAGCCAATCTTGGACCTAGACGGCCTTGACTCGGAAGATATTCTATCAGCCACGGAACCCTACTTAGATGCGTTGTATCCACCTGACTTAGCGGACCTCGCGGCGCTCCCATCGCCGCCCAAAGACAATCCCATATTCTTCAACCCCCGAAGTGCCTCACTTTGGTCACAGCTTGCGGCACCGCCACCACTGCAGCCCCCAGACTGGATTCGGTCACGCATACGGAGACTGTTCCTGGTTTCACTTGGTGTTCCTGTAGATCTGGACGAGATCTTACCTGCTTCTAAGCAGAAGAAGCTCGTCCTACCATCTTTGCATCGTGTAACATCCAACGGGTCACTACGAACTTCAAGCGATTCGCATTCCATATCTCGCTTGAGAGAGCCTGGCACCAACGACTCAACAGTATCTGTAGACTCGCAAGGCAAGGAGAAGCCACATTCAGCATCAAGGCGGCAAAAGGGGCCGCCCCCGGCTCCCAAACTGGATCTAGTATCAGCTAAGCAGTTGTGCACAACAACGGAGGAAGCCCTGGGTGGTATGACGGACGACGAACTCAAAGCACACGTGAAACGACTCGAGGATATGCAAGGCCTGGCCAACGAGCTTTTGGAATATTGGAAAAAGCGGACGGATGAGAAGATTGGGGATCGCGAGGCGTTTGAGGATGTGATAGAGAACCTGGTCAAACATGCTCGGAAGACGAGGAAGTGACCGGCATATTAATTGAAAAAGAGCCTGCCCGTTTCAGTCTCATTTGGCTTTTCTCATACCATTGCAGTAGCCTGCCTAGGTAACATGGCAATGGCAGGATATATGCTCAGTTGATTCGGGCTATTAAAGAACAATAATGGACTTGATGCTTCACAGTCCAAGGGTGTTAGTAGCGTCGCTGATTGTTTGCTTCAAGGCAGATGTAACGTACCACCCACCTTTCCGGCCACCTAATCTGCCAACTACAACAACCTTCGGCACAACAGATTATCGTCGGTATTGGCTATTATTATACAATGCCTCGATATTCAGAAAATTCGATTCAAGGCGCTCTCAACGATATCAATCAAGGGATATCCCAGCGCCAGGCTTCCCTCCGATGGGGCGTTCCACGCTCTACCCTCCAATTACGACTCGGCGATGGCCTCAGCCATTCTGACGCGTCAATCGCGTCGATGAAGCTATCTAGGGAAATGGTTTCACGATTGCGACGATATACCTGATTGGCAATATACTTATTCGTCTAACGGTTGGATCAGTACAGATATCGCCGTTCGATGGCTTCGTGATATCTTTATACCTCGTACACAACCAGTTGATCCCGACGAGCAGCGGCTCTTGATATTAGATGGTCATATCGCTCACGACAACGTCGAGTTTATGTGGTTAGCCTATTGTAACAATATCTCGTTACTATTTTTGCTAGCACACTGTTCTCACGGGCTCCAACCTCTCGAAGTCGCCGTATTTGCTCCATTACAGCGGTACTATCGCTCGTTAGCGACCTCTCTCTCGATCGAGTACTGTTCTATTCTATTTAAAAAGTCTACGTTCCTCTCGCTATACATCGAGGTATATACCAAGTCGTTCACGATCAGTAATATACAATCAGGCTTCTCTGCAACTGGAATATACCCATTAGATCCATCGCGACCTCAGCCGACGATAGCCCCCCTATCAGAACGACCAACTACACCATCAACAGCTGGTAATTGGCTTGATCCGACAATAATAGCGACGCCAGTGACTAGCTTAATAGCTAGGGAGAGTCTGGCAGCGATTACGCCATTGCGATCGTCGCAACGGCTATTGTTTCGGAAGCTGACTCGTCGGCTAGATGTACAGAGCGTCGAGGTCGCTACTTTGACCCAACGTGTACACGCATTAGAAGCCGAGATAACTTCGTTACGCCCCAAACCACGTAAGAAGGTACGATTAGGGCCTAATGAACGATTTGGTAACATTGTACAGATTAAGGAAGCGATGGATCGAGCCCTTGAAGTAGAACGGCAACGAGACCAGGTACAACGTCGGAATCAGGTAATACTGGACCCAGCTAAGGCGTCAGAATCTATCAGATCTATACCTCAGGAAGCCCTAGAGCACAGCTTTCTATTAGAGCTGGTTGTACCTGAATAGCTATAATAGTACGTTGAATACACTGTTTCGAATACCTTCAATTGGATTGCAATATGTGGCCAGAAAGGTGGTGGCCAGAAAGGTGGTGGCCAGAAAGGTGGTGGCCAGAAAGGTGGTGGCCAGAAAGGTGGGGTTGTACGTTATGGCCACCCGGTAGTACGTCTGCAGACATCCTGGACCCTATGTGAAGTCGATAGGTACACTATTGCTTGGACACTCCTCGAGCAGGTATCTCAACTTGACTCTGGTCAGTTTAGAAATAGTCAGATAGTAAACCAGACTAAGAAAACTTGATTCAACAGATAATTACAAACATGTAAGCAAAGTTACTTGTACACAAGTACAGAGAAACGCTGCTTGTTGAACTCGTTGCTTTTCACAGTTACTTATTTGGTATCGCTTGTCGATAGCTCCACTGACCCCGCGGCAGCTGTCGGGATTGAGTGGAACTCGGACTCTGATAGGCGATTAGTAGCTACACCGCCTGGAAAAGGAAACACCAGGGTGTGTTGGTGTCAAACGTTCAAGGTTCCGCCTGAAAAGTCTCCCGCCCGCTCGAAACACCTCGCGGGAGACTGGAGTTGCAAGCCTTCGAGTTGTAAGATTGTTGTTATTGTATTATACCCACCCCTGGCAGGATCTGCGTACACCAGGACCCCTCGTACCCCTCCATCGCTACCCCTCTCTCTGGAAGCAGCTCTGCTTTTGAACACGTACCTGCCTACTTCATACTGCCTGGGCGGCTGTCTTTAGCTTCCCTGCCAGTCCCATGACGCTTCGTGCCCTATGCCGGGCGGAGTCTATTACTCGGATCTCAGCGTTGAGACTCTGTCTGCCTCCTACGCACAGGTCGGCACCTATGTTGACGAACGCCTGCCTCTTCAGAAGTACCCGGACCTGGTCTAGATCATCCCACACGTAATGTCTAGCCCAGTTAACCTTCCTTCTTGGGGTCGTCGCCGAACTAATTGGGCAGCTTAGTCTCAGTCTACGACCCACTGCCTCGCATACTTCTTTCACTTCATTGCGGCCGTCCCCCATCGACCGTTCACAACTCAATCCCGCGAGGAGGCCGCCAGCTCGTCACTGTTCCTACCAAAGACTCAACAACATGTGCAGACTTGCAGGTGACATCGAGCATACGGGGGGTGTCTCCCCGGACCCTACCCAAGTGCGAGAGCTTCTCCCGACTAATGTCATTCCCAGGCACTACGACGTCACGCTGGAGCCGAATCTGGAGAAGTTCACCTTCGACGGAAGGGTCGTGATCGACTTTGATGTGCAGGAGGAGACAAAGTCCATCTCGTTACACACTCTCGAAATCGACATCCTCAGCGCACAAGTCAAAGATGGGGACAAAGTTGTTACGTGAGCGTTGTACCACCCAACTATAAAACGAACCGTCTAATGTAAAAATAGTTCTTCTTCTACCATCACATACGATGAGTCCATGCAAGCGTCCAAGATCGAGCTCAAGGATGTCATACCAAAGGGTGGCAAGACGACGCTCGAGGTCAAATTCAAGGGACAGCTAAATGACCAGATGGCCGGTTTCTACCGCTCAACCTACAAGAAGGCAGATGGCACCGAGGGCATTCTCGCAACCACTCAGATGGAGGCCAATGATTGTCGTAGAGCCTTTCCCTGTTTCGACGAGCCCATGCACAAGGCCAAGTTCACTGTCACGCTCATCGCGGACAAGCACCTTACATGTTTGAGTAACATGGACGTAGCATCCGAGGTGGAAATTATGTCAGAAATGAGTGGGAGTTTCAAGAAAGCCGTCAAATTCAACCCTACTCCGCCCATGTCTACGTACCTGGTTGCCTGTATCATCGGTGAACTCAACTACATTGAGACGGCCAACTTCCGGGTGCCCGTTCGAGTATACGCTCCTCCTAGCGCTGACATTGAGCATGGCCGCTTTTCCCTTGAGCTTGCTGCCCGCACGTTAGAATACTACGAAAAGATATTCGGCGCGGACTTCCCATTACCCAAGATGGACATGGTCGCCATTCCCGACTTTGCCGCTGGCGCCATGGAAAACTGGGGCCTCATTACCTACCGAGTCGTTGACCTTCTCTACGACGAGAAGACCAGCGGTGCAGCTATGAAGGAACGGGTGGCTGAGGTTGTTCAGCACGAGCTGGCCCATCAGTGGTTCGGGAACCTCGTAACCATGGACTGGTGGGAGGGCTTGTGGCTCAACGAGGGTTTCGCTACCTTAATGAGTTGGTTGAGTATGTTGTCTTTTCCAAAACTTTTGCAAATGCCTGCTAACCAAGGCAGGCTGCGACTACTTCTACCCCGAGTGGAAGGTCTGGGAAAACTACGTCACGGATAACCTGCAGAGTGCTCTAGGATTGGACTCTTTGAGAAGCAGTCACCCCATTGAAGTTCCAGTGAAGCGCGCCAGCGAAGTAGATCAGATCTTCGATGCTATCTCGTATTCAAAGGGGTCTTGCGTCCTTCGTATGATCTCTACCTACTTGGGTGAAGAGACCTTCTTGGATGGTGTCCGACGTTACATCAAGAAGCATGCGTACGGAAACACACAAACCCCGGATCTCTGGGCAGCTCTTGAGGAGGCCAGTGGGAAACCAGTGCGAGAAATCATGTCAATATGGACCAAGAACGTCGGATACCCCGTCGTTCAAGTAACTGAAAACGAAAAGGACAATTCTATTCACGTCAAGCAGAACCGTTTCCTTCGAACGGGAGACGTCAAGCCTGAAGAGGACAGGGTTATTTACCCGGTCTTCCTGGGTCTGCGAACCAAGGATGGGATTGATGAGACGATCACCCTGTCGGAGAGAGAGGGTAACTTCAAGGTTAATGATCTGAATTTCTTCAAGTTGAACGCGAATCATACAAGCATCTACAGAACATCTTACTCCGCATCGCGACTTGAGAAGCTTGGCCAGTCCGCCAAGCAGGGCCTGTTGTCCGTTGAAGACCGGGCGGGTATGATTGCCGACGCAGGCGCGCTAGCCGCGTCCGGCTACCAAAAGACGTCGGGTGTGCTAAACCTTCTCAAAGGTTTCAACACGGAACAATCGTTCGTTGTTTGGAGCGAAATCATTGCCCGAGTTGCCACAGTGCAGAACGCTTGGATCTTTGAGGACAAATCGGTTAGGGACGGCTTGGAGGCATTTGTAAAGGAGCTTGTCAGTGATAGGGCGCACCAGCTGGGCTGGGATTTCACCGACAAAGATGGCCACATCGAGCAGCAATTCAAAGCCATGATTTTCGGTGCCGCTGGCATGGCTGGCGACAAGAAAATCATCAACGCTGCAAAGAGTATGTTTGCCAAGTACATGGATGGTGACAAATCCGCTATTCACCCCAACATCAGGGGCAGTGTTTTCAGCATGGCCTTGAAGTATGGTGGCAAGGAAGAGGTAAATAATGACCATTCAAAGATGGCAACGACTTAACTGCTAACTCGATACAGTACGAGAAAACTCTTAACTTCTACCGCACGTCCACCAACGGTGATGAGCGCAACACTGCTCTCCGCTGCCTAGGCCGCGCCCGTGACCCAGCCCTCATGCAGCAGACGCTTGACCTGATTCTTTCGGGTGAAGTCAAGAGCCAAGACTTGTACCTCCCGGCCAGTGGCCTGAGGAGTCATGCTGAGGGCATCGAGGCGCTGTTCACCTGGCTGAAGGAAAAGTGGCCCGAACTGTCCAAACGTCTTAGTGGTAACATGGTCATACTAGGGTCTATGGTCACCATATGTACGAGCAGCTTTGCCAAGCAGGAACAGTTGAATGAAGTGGAGGCTTTCTTCAAGGATATCGATACCAAGGCTTACTCCCAGCCGCTTGCACAGAGCAAGGATTCGATCCGAAGCAAGATCGCGTGGCTCGAACGCGACAGGGACGACGTTGCTGGCTGGGTTAACGTCAATGGCTATTCTAAGCCTCAGTTGTAAGAGGCTTCTTGACTGTCCGTTTGGGAATGCTTCAAGGGGCTGTTGGCTCAATAGAGGCCATTATGCGATGACACTTCCGAGGGGCGATAGTACTACCTCAAGAAGCTGGCAGGTTAGGAGCAGGCATCATTGAATGCCGCATGATGAATAACCGAAAGAGGACAGCTGCCTCACGTCCTACATCTGTATTACTCCATGTGTGGCAACCCAACCCCATCACTTTCGGAGCGTGTGTTTGTATCTGTATGCATGATGTACCCTGACGCCATATGTCTATGTTAGACTCTAAAACCACAATATTTACATATCCTGAATCAGGATGAGAATGGTTTCGCCCAATGGTTGGTTGCAGAACCACCTTCAACGTGATATGTTTCGGACAATTTAGACAATCAATCTTGTCAGCACCTGTGGCCTCTGGTGCCTGTGGTCTCTTATGCCTGAGGTCCTTGTGCCTACGGCCTTCGTCACATGAGTTGGCAAGAATCGGAGGACCGCAAGGATTGTTTATGTGTGGCGCGGTGTCAGCATGATGGCTGAACACTATTGACAGGCCGATTACAAAAGATACTAACCGCATTGGCCACCTTTTTGCATGCACCCCCATTTTGCAGGGAAATTCTACGCCTCGACACGACGTCTCATTTACCTCGCAATTACTCCCTAGCTACGTACAAAATGGCTGATCCAGTGGAGAATAGTCCGGACGATTTTGAGCAGCGAATCGAACGCGCCAAAGAGCTTGTCCGCCAGGGCTCTTCCCAGGCCGCAGCAGCTGATCGGTACGGTATCAAGGGGACTACATTGTCCTACCGCATTCGTCACGGTAATTCGCATCGCGACGCGGCCTCCGGGCAACAAAAGTTGACTGTAGAGCAAGAGGAGGTCATCGTGAACTAGATCCTATACGAAGAACTGTGCGGACGGGCTCCTAGCAAGCGTTATGTAGCCGACTTTGCTACCGAAATCTTCCTTGCTTAAGGGGATAACAATACACTCGGCTAACACTAGATGGATCACTTCGTTCGCCGCTATCCACAGATACGTACTAAAATTAGGCGCGTCGTAGATACTAGCCGAGTTAGAGCGTCCGATTCGAATAAGATCCGAGGGGGAATCCGGGGAGAGTACGGTTATTAGGACGGCTAATTCGCGCCGGGTACGTATATTAAAGTCGACGCTTCGTCGTAGGACTCCTAGTTAGAGTATATTTCGTATACCTAACGGGGTACACCTATTGAAACGGGGTCAGGCGATCGGTAGGATGTACCCACTACCTAACGCACTGGCAAAGCGGCTCTAGTACTAACAGATCCCGTCTATTGGTCTAATCAGACGAAGATCATAGCGATGGACGCTAGAGCGAAGCTCCTACCAGCCTTAAGCGTAAGTTGTCACGGTCTATGACCGGTATGTGGCCTCTGCGACGCCTTCGGCCAGAAAGACCCACAGAAGATTCTCGACAGCACTTGGACTCACAGAAATCTCCGAATAGCTATCTCCGAATAGCTTCACTTCTCGAAGATCCCTGAAATGACGAGACGGGAGGACAGAAGGATAAAAGGGAGAAGGGTTCACCACACTGAATGTATCTAATGTTTTTCTCTTCATAGATGGATGGTACTCGTAGAGTAGGCTAGGCTAATTGCATCGACATTACCCTTGACCCTTACATAAGTTAGTCGGATATACTCCGCTGAGTGTGACGGCCGGTGTCACGATGCCACGAAACCCACTAGCTGTGGACCCGTAGGAGCACTGGCCATCTGAAGGCGGGATTGAAGATCCTCAGATGTGAGCCAGCCTGTTTTAGTTTCTCTTTCTTTCCTTGTCGAGAATCGTTAAGTCAATACAGTGCTCACCGTGACACTGAGAACACTAAATTACGTATCGAAAACGAGCAACTATTGTAACGGGGTAAGGCCGGACATCAGGGAAATAGGTTACGGGGCTAGGAGAAAGTTTATTTTCTCTTCTTTAAGAGGCACAGAGGCAGAGTAGAACATGAGTCCTCCATCTTCACGCATCATCATCCTCATCTTCATATCATCATCTCCTTCTTATCTATATCTTCACCTTCGCTTTTCAGTCAGTTATTTAGTTATTTTAGTTATTCAGCTTATATTTACGTTCGAGATCCTATTATTACGATACGTGACGGATTCAATCCTCTATTGATGACTCTGCGTAGATCCTGTCTCGATTGATCTATCTATCTGCTCTGTTGTGTCTTCCGTGTAGCTATTTTATCTATGAGGAAGGGTTTTGACCCCACTAGTGCAATTGCCGCTACACCACCTTCGGCCTAGGGCATAACCGTGGCGCTCAACCCCACAATACGAGTATCAGAGGCACATCCGACCAACTCACGCTTCAGACGTGTAAGAGCTTCGCTCTTATAACCAGTACCACGATCTTCGTCTGATAAGACCAGCAGATGGGATCTGTTGGTACTGGAGCCGTCTGTTCAGTGTCTTAGGTGGTAGGTATATCCAACTGACCGCCTGACCCCGTTTCACTATATAAAGAACTCGATAAATATACTCTAGATATATACTAGCCCGTCGAGCCTGACCCGAATAAAGTGTTCGTTAACTTGTTAGCGATCCGAACAGCTTAGGATAAGCGAAATAAGCGAATACGGCCTATTTTACCGGATAAGTAGTTAGAAATTAATACTTTTCTTGAAGGAAGGGTCCCTCTTAAAAGAGGGCTCGAAAGAATATATCTAAGTCTTCGGACGCTTAAGTTAAGTATGTTCTATACATAATAAATACGGACGAAGTATTTAGGTTAATTCAATTAGACCCTGCATGTAAGGGAATAGAGAGCTATAAGCAGGGTTAAGCCTCAGTTCTGTCAGTAAGTGACAGAATTGCTAGATCTTTTGGTCTATGTGGCGTAATGGTCTAGACTTGCTGTTACCTTACACTGCAAAATAGGGGTGTATGCAAAAAGGTGGTCAGTGCGGTTAGCAAACACCAAAACCCTCAAGCAGTCTCTCCACGAAATCAAATCATCTACTTTACATCAATGTTGAATAACACACTCGAACATATTCAAATTTTTGGATATGTCTGATCCTGATTACACATATTGTTTTACCACACGAACTCTAAGCACAAATCATAAGAAAATGGCACCAACAACGGCCTCCCTCCTACCAACCTTACCCCGCGTCTTCTTCCTATACCTCGAACCAATCTTCATGTACGTCTCGCCCCTTGCCTTCGTCCAAGTACCATCTGCTTTTCGCCTTTTTTATTCCCCTGCCATTCTGACAACCCAACAGCTCCTATGGAATGTTCATGAATTTCTCCCAATCCACCCACCTCTTCAAATTCCTTGATACCACCAACATCTCCCCCAACTTGCCCATTCTGCCCCTCCCTACGTTAATCCTCCCCGCTCAATCGGCATCTTACCTTCTAAACATGATGTTGTATGGTTTGATCATCCTCCTCGCGACTCCACCGAGTAAGAAATTGCTACAGGCGCATATCGCTATCCTGATCATAGCCGACTTGACGCACTGGGTGGGACTGTTTCACGCGATAGCGCAGACGGATCCTAATAGGAGGGGATGGGCCGCTGTCTTGGATACAGAGGGGTGGACGCCGGAAGTCTGGAATCTAGCTCTTTATCCTGTGGGGACTTTGGCGGTTAAGGGGGCGACGCTGATGGGGTGGTTTGGTGAGATTGCGGAATAGAGGTGAGGAGAAGAGATAATAGGTTATAGGGGTGGGTGATGAAACTTAGAGATAGGCAGTGAGAGTATGTATGTGGATATGGGACAGCGAGATAGAGGCTAGGGGTCATTTAATTTGGCGGTGTAGTATTTCGTACACTTGGACAAGACGAGTCGAGTCTTCTTGCCACTCCTGTTCCATGGTGTCTAATCATAAAAGATGGGACCAGTTGCTAGTTGAGAAGCTGGACTTCCTACGCACGAGAGGTGCCCCCCAGGCATATAGTTCAGGAGATTGGTTGACTTCAACCTGTTGAGGATAATAGTTCTTGCTCATTGTCACACCGCTCCGGTTCGTGGTATATCGAAGTATATAACAAACCAAGCTTTGCACCAGAAACCCGCCATCAACCAACTATATTGCCATGGCCCCTTCTCCCGTTCAGGCTGGGTTCCCTATTCACAAGTATACGGATGTGCTTACAAGCTTCCGCCCCCTTGCCCCATGGTCAACCCTAACTCTGATTGCCGTGCGTTCCTCTGGCTCTCTCCTCCTGTCTCCCCTGATGCTGACGCCTTGTGAGCCGAAGAATCAAGAAGGCGAGTATGAGCTAGATGATGAGCATAAGAAACACGATGAACAGGATAACAGCCATTACCTAGTACCACACACGGTGGCCATCATTTCCTTATGGCAAAATCGAGGCTTAGTCGCGGGATTGGAAGGCGAGTGCTGCCCTGATGGCGAGGGTAGGAGTCGTGGTATTTGGCCTCATGATGAACGTTTTCCGCAAACTCCGCAAAATGAATTTGAAGTAAGACTTTCATTCAGTTACAGGGGCTTCTAACGTATAGAAGGCAATGAGGTTGGCGTAGACACAGTTTGGAGGCTGCATACATACATGAAACGTAATTGTTGCAGTTTTAGGTACGTAAGGCAAGGCAAGGCGTGGATCATGAAATGATAGATTGAAAAGACCTGTGATGGCGCATCAGAGTAGTCAAACAACATATATTGTCTACCTAGAAACATTAAACCTTAGTTAGTACTTGCGTAGAGAAGCAAACCCACAGCTTAAGCAGAGACCCGATGAGGTTTAATGGGTTCCCCTTCTTCACCACCAGGCGACGACCAGACAAACATGTTTAGTCTACATCAATGTAACTACTTGCTTTCTTCGCAGATTGGTCTCAACGAGTACCCAGCTTGTATTGACCTCGAGAAACTGTTATAATACTTGTTCAAGAACGGCAAGCTCTGTTTTCCCAAGCCCCGAAGCACCTGTGTTAACACCAGGAGCCCCTTGGAGACTATGCATCTCTTCGTTGCCCAAATGTCCAAGAGCTCGAATCTCGTGAGAACAGGCAAGTACCTTTAGACGGGCAGTATCACGCATCACCACCATGGCACTCACCCTTGAGAATCGTGTTGGGATTTCTATTGAAGAGAAGACAGTTATAACCACTAGCTATCGTATACGCAAGCATCCGAGCTTCGGCTCCAGAAGTCAACGGGACAGGACCTGCCATGCAGACGCCATACTCGATCAGTTTTAATCCTGGCTGTGCAACGGTTATGTTGAAACATGGCGCGGCAGGTATCAGGGCCACATGAGTGTTCGAAAGATCATAACACAAGAAGGATCTATGAAATGAGTGCATTATTTAGAGTAATACTGCAGAACTATATGAGTACGGCCTCATGTGGTTACTAAGTGGGTACTTTTGTTAAATTAGCCGCAGTCTGGTAGCCAGCATAAGTTGGAAATGATATATCCAGAATGGTTGCCACGCATTCGTCCACTGGACAACCAACTGATCACGCTGGAAGTTACATGTACGTGTATAATCTGTTAAACCCAACGAAGGGAACAGCCATTCGATCACTATGGTGTAAGACCAATGCCCAACGTCATCCGAGGAAGTCTAGATGTATCCTGACAGCATGCATTGTGGGTGGCACAAGCTACGCAAACTCATAACACCAAATGGACAAAACACAGCAACCAGTGTGTTCACTCAGGTACTGAAAAGCCTATGGGCGAGTTAGTTGGATGCATCACAATCGACCATGCATGGCAATGATTGGAGGGGGGTGGTGCTTGATCAGAAGTCCGTTACATTCATTGAAAATCCGAAGAAATTCTAACATAAGAGGTACCAGAAAATAGTAAAATGTAGGTCTCATCAGGAAGCTCAGGGGAGAGATGTGAAGATAGTATTGACTTACATCAGTTGATGATACCCGGCATCAGTTGCAATTGCCTTGACAGAAAACGTTGTGTTTTATCTATGCGAGGTTGAAAAATTGGAGAGGAACCTTGAAAGATTAATACTGGTGCCGGCAAAATGTCGGGCCTTGCTACTAGCGTTCCCCAGATCAACCAATCAAGTCGTAGTCCACGAAATGATCGCACACAAGTTTTTACAGGCGGGCAGTCACGCCAAAATCCTCATTTACAACTTCCCAGATCACGAATTTGCGACTCCGACCTCACGACCTTCCGTCAGACACCAGAACCCAGTCCAGGAGATCTTCTGCCGACACTACCACCATCATGGGTCGTCTTCACAGCAACGGAAAGGGTATCAGTGCTTCGGCCGTCCCATACTCGCGAACCGCCCCGGCGTGGTTAAAGACCACCCCCGACCAGGTCGTTGACCAGATCTGCCGTCTGGCCAAGCGTGGTGCCACTCCCTCCCAGATTGGTGTCGTCCTCCGTGATTCCCACGGTATTGCCCAGGTCCGCATTGTCACTGGTATGTTCACTTCCAAGATGCATGGCGCAGAGAAAACATATTGCTAACAGGTGGGGAAACAGGTAACAAGATTCTGCGAATCCTCAAGTCTAACGGTACGGGATGAACCCCTTTCGATGCCACCTCCAGGCTACGATTCTTCCATAAAAAATCAAGTTCCCACGAAAACTCTCCCCGTGAGAGATGGGTAAAACTTTTGCCTCTGTTTGGTCAAGGCTGACAGAGTGATATACACAGGTCTCGCCCCTGAGCTCCCTGAAGATTTGTACATGTTGATCAAGAAGGTACGTTTAATGCCCCAAGTCTGGATGTGTGGGGTGATATTGTGATGTCTAATATCATCAAAAGGCTGTTGCCGTCCGCAAGCACCTCGAGCGCAACCGCAAGGACAAGGACTCCAAGTTCCGCCTCATTCTGATCGAGTCGCGTATCCACCGTCTCGCCCGCTACTACAAGACCGTCGGTGTCCTCCCTCCCACATGGAAGTACGAGTCGGCCACTGCCAGCACCATTGTCGCATAAGCGCTCGGGGAGGATATGGATATCTGCATCGGATGCTTCGTCATGGAGTTGGTGGAATGGACCTCTTGCTTTTAAGGCAAAAGTGAATGAATGGCTTCACCGCGAGATAGTAAACATACTCATACAGAGATGCAATGAAAGCTCGCGAAAGATAAAAACTTTGAACCCCATTGCACAATCTAGACAAATGCATAGAATGCTGCAATTAGAGCCTGTGCAGGACAAATATCTCAAAAATTGATTGCATGCTCGTACCTAAGATGCATATGCAGAGAAAATCTCTCCTAAAATCAGAACCCTTTTCCAGTCCAGAAACGCCCTAGTCATGCATCCGTAACACCACGCCTGTCACGTAAACCTCCCGTGAATCTAAATCTCGAGGCCTAATTTTCGATCTCCTTCGATCGTTGCAGCAGGAACTCGCCCAGTACTCTCAGGGGATCCTTAGGTCTACCGATCTATCAGTAACTGCCAATGGATTCGAGCAGGCTCCACAATCAACTCACCGTTCCTCCGCAAGCATCTTCATGCCCTGCAATAGAGTACCCGTAACCTTGGAGTTCAAGTACTGCCGCACCGGCGCGCCGTGGGGCGGAGCTTCGACAGGCATCCTGAATCCCTGATCAGGGTGCTGCGACGCTGCGCGCGAAGAGTTGGGCTCCTGGCCATTGGGAAGCTGCGAGGCAGCGCGCGATGAATTCGGTTCTTGGCCATGCGTATGCGCGCCCGGTTCTTGGCCGTTCGTGCGCAGCGGGGTACTTGTTCGCCGTCCTAGAGGACTCGCTCCGTTCGTCGCTCCGGCTCGAGCTGCCGACAACTTCACGGTTGTCCTATTAGCTATAGTTCTGCGGTATTGCGAGTGGGATGGAAATAAACATACCGTAGCTTGCTCAAGGCCGTTAGCGTCGGCCATAGTCACGTCCTTTTGTGTCTCTTCAGCATTCGCGGTTGTCGCTCGCGTCTCAAGACTAGCTGGAGCTTCGGTGGGAGCTAGGACTATGTGCGCCGCGGTGTGCTCTGTGGGAGTCTGTTGGATGGGCATCTGCGTGAGTGGACTAGATGCGGGCGGTGCTGTGACTTGTTGAGGTGCCCCGAATGGCATGGGGACCGGGATCGGGGTCGTCGAGACTCGTCTTTCGTCGGCCATTTTGCGGTGGTTGGTGACTCCGTACGTTGAGAACCCAGAGTCCTGATCTGGAAATTCAGGTGCAAGCGCAAGGAATTGCTAGAGCCTAAGCTCAGTGCTCGAGCTTTGCGAATGGAATGCGACAAGTTTGGCAGGGCAGCTGGGCACGAATGACAAAGCTGTATTTGACGCATCCACTAAAAGTACTACTTAAAAGTACTGTGGTTACTTTCATGAATTGCAGGGAGCAATGGCCGGCTCTCAGGTGATCGCGTGAGGCAAGCGCGTCATGCCAACGACGCGTCAACTATGTCAAGCAGGCTACAGCCGTACCTTTCCATGCACCTGAAAAACATGGTCACGCGTTCCCAAAATCCATTTGAGCGCTGATTTTGAACCATCAAACAGCCTACTCAAGTATGGATGCATTCGTTCAAAGAAAGGCCCCTCCTGAACGCCATCAGTCACCATCGGCAAACGGCAGCAGGGCCCAGATTAGACATGCCCCACCCTCTATCCAACCCCCGGCTAAGAGGGTGAAGCTTGAAATTTCGGACACAGATGACGATGACGAGTCTGATCAGGCGCCAATCGATAGAAAGCCACCACGAGTCGCTGGTATTCAGAGGGAGGATACTGTTACTTCTGTCTTCGAGGATGCTCAGTCTGAGGACGATGCCCAGAGTGCCCGGCCAACTGCGATTGAGAGCTGCCTACCCGAGATCAAGCCGGACAAAAAGGCTCTCGAAGAATATGAGACCTTCAGATCGTCCCAAGGCGATCAATCTGGTGGTGCGGCGTCGAGGTTTGTTAAGGGAAACTGGGTGAAAGGCAAAAGCTCACTTTACGTTGATGCTTTCAACCTCGCCCTGACTACTGTCCTGGACGATGAATCCCATCTATTCGATGAGAAAGAGTTAAATCTTTTCGAACAGTGGGGCAATTTGAGCTATGAGGCTCAATACTTGTAAGTCTGAGCCTGAGACATTCTTCGATTGTTCTCAATCTCACGGTAGCCGCAGATATGTGCGCTTGTTCCTCAGGAAATCTGCTTCATGGCATCGTATTTGGCGCTTAGGTTACTACAATGACATATCAGATACGGAGAGTGCTGTTCGCGAGCTGCAAGAGACTCGAGCTCTTCCGTCACTCTCGTCAAATTCCCAGTCAGGCCCTGAGAACGCGTGTGCCAAGTTTGCGCAAGAAGAGTTCAATCTGGAAGAAACTTTTCATTTTGCTGACAATTCAGATGATTATATCAATACGGTTGAGGAGGCCATCTCGCTTCTAAACCTCGATGAACTTAAAGGCCTTGCCAAAGAGGCCAAAGTTCAGGGGAAGAATAAAGCGGACTTCATGAAGTCAATTACTAAAATGAGCTACCAGCAAGCTGGTTTGCTGTCTTTCGGCGTACGACGCTCCAATACGCATGACTCGACTGGACCAAGCGAGGATGGGACACCAGAGGGGGAATCCCCTGGGCCAGCCACTGCGGCTGATTCCAATAGACAGAAGCATTTTCTGGACAAGACGATGGCCATCGCTGGTCCTTGTATCAGACTCTCTCTTCCCGTTTTTAAACTGTTCGAACGAGTTCATTTGGTATTCTATCGGTCTGCTGAGTGGACAGAGAAGTCTCTAACGACGATTATTCTCGCAAAGATTTCACGGCGGAACTTTCCAGAGTATATCGTCAGCAGGTCTGCCAATATCTTTGCATCACGGACTCACTTACTGGAGTTCGAGATGGCGACGAGGACCGAGTTTGCAATCGACAACATCCTTGAGTTCAACGGACCAGTTGGCGAAGCAGACTTTCGCAAGGTCCTTGACATCTTTGACGGGATATACCCTCGGTGGCAGCACCTCTTGAAAGAGGAGAAAGACAAGGAAGCAAGGATATATGAGTCGGGTGAAGGTGCGTATTTGAGACGATTTTCGCCCGTCCACCCGTACACTCGGATTGTCCACAAAGCTGCGCAGGTTTTTGGTCGCTTGAAGGAACACAAAAGGGAACACTCCTTGCTGCTTGAGTTGCTGGATCAGCGATTGTTTCACCTTTCGCGACGCGGCTCTTGGTATCAGCGGAAAGCACTGTTGGAAGAACACTACATGTTCGCCCTAGAGCCAGATCCGGCTTATACGGATCCAGAGACGCAGAAGAAACATTGGAAGAGGATCGCCGTGGCGACCTGCGAAACCGCGCTGGAGGATCGCGATTGCCATCTGAAGTACCATCACGATCTTCAGAAACGACTTCTCAAACTCGAGAAGCAGCTGAATATCCCGCGGCGTGAACAACACGACTTTGGCCACGTTCGCTTGAGAAAGCCAGAGGAACACATGGTGGAGGGTATCCAGATCAAGAACGATGGCCTTGTTGGAAAGAAGGGCCGAGCGGCAAGCACCAAAACGGTTTGGGTTGATGAGGCAGAAGGAGGAGGGGAGTGCACTGTTGAGGCTATGTGCCTCAGTTGGTACCGTGGCCAAGGATGGAAAGGTTATCACGCTGAAGGTGGAATCATACGGACACTTTTCGCCTACCTATTCTTCGATATTCTCTTTGCCTACGTCCCCAATGTCTTCCAGACGGCATACCAGACCTGCCCACTGGATTTGTTCACGGACTCTTTTTACCCAACCAGGGCTTCCGAGATCAATCACCGATTGGTCGACATTGCCAATGGAGGAGCAGCGCGCTTAGTCGAGGAGGTTGACTCGCGAGAAAGAGAGAACCGGACCTGTGTGGTTGGCTTGAACTGGGATTATGAGCTGCCCGACCTTGTCGAGTTGGTCCGTTGCTTTGATAATGCAGCACTTGCTATCGTGTGCAAAATCATGGCTCAGGAGTATGGGCAAAGAGGAGGGGGTCTCCCAGATCTGATCCTGTGGAGGACCGAGCCTGACAATGAAGTCATGTTTGCCGAGGTCAAGAGCGCCAATGACCGTCTCAGTGACACCCAGAGACTCTGGATAGACGTGTTGACCGGAGCCGGCGTGAGAGTGGCACTTACCAATGCAGTAGCGAAGAATAGCAAGGAAGCGTAATGATTGTGCCATCACCCTCACAAACAAGGGACTGGAGTGACTTCGCCTTGCTCACTACAAACCCAAGTTGAGTATATCATGGCTATAATTAGACTGGGCACGGTCGACACAACCTGGGATCCCACGTGCGACAAGCGGCGGGAGGGCAACCTGGATAGCATACTTATCCAACTTGGCCATCTGAAACGGCCGAGAAGTTTCGGAGCCTCTGAAGCGTTCAAGAGTTTGCAGCTTGCAGCCAGGTTGCTCGAAACTCACCTCCTGCATGGCTTTACAGTTTCACTTCCCTGACGATGTTTCAACCATCCACAGAGGCCTTCCCCAGCTCGGCCCCGCAACTTGCCTCATCAGGAAGGGTTCGTTCGGAGAATAATGCAACTTGGTAACACTCGTTTGGGTCACTGCGGAAGCATACCCTGCCCTCCCGAATAGAGATGTAATCTTTTACTGCGGTCTCGTCACATTATCAACATGTCGTCTAGTCTCTGTGCAGCGTCCGAGAAGGATCGTGGGTGGCCTCCCGCCTCCCGCCTCCCGCCTGTGGTGCGCGGCGAAAGCCTCAATCAGAACGAATGTTGTGTCGCCCGACGGCGTTTGCGTTTGGTGGGATAGGCCTATGGGTTTGGTGATAACATCGATATTAAAATCCTCAAGTCCATACAAACCGCGAGACCAGCCGCCGCCGTTGTTATTGTTCTGTCCTGGCCGCCTGTGGACGGCCACTCCAACGGCGGCCGTCCGCGCCCGCGATAATGCCGGCGGTGAGCTTTGTCCTCTATCCAGTCGCCATCGCGAGCGCCAGCACGAGAGCGTCAGTGCTCCTCCTATACCGCCTCCCGCCTCTCGCCCGCCTCTCGCCCGCCTCTTGTCCTCGGGCGTGCGTGCTGCAAGCAGCGCTACTACAAACTAGCCTACGCAGTAGCAGGTACAGTATTGCCAGCACAGGGGATCTATCATTCATCAGCTGATGGGGCTCCTCTTCATCTCTGTCTTGTCACTGGATGGGTGAGGGAGACGGGCCCAAATGTTGCCTGCCCCCATGGGGCCACAAAGTCGCGGGCGCTTAGGTGCCTACCAACTGGTCCAATAAAGCGCCGCCGCTGGAGCCGGCATCTGCACGACACACAACCACCTACCCAGCGTTCTGCGACGCTGGTTGGCTGCTCGCTTCGCAATAAGGCGCTTAAGACCCATGCAGCAGACGAAACGATTTGACTGGGGGGAGGAGAGCCCCACACTTCGGAATGGGCAAGATATTCGATGCTGCTTTTACAAGAGGATAGGCAGGAACTTGTGATTTGGAGTTTTGGAGATCTGACAAATTTTTGGAAATTTTCAGTATTTCGCCTCTGTGTCATCATGATGACGATGATGAGGGAGATGAGCCGGTCGAGGACAATTTCGGATGTCCCATGTGTAATGTCGATTAGGATAGTGGATTGTTCGGGCTGGTTACGGATATGTTGAACCTCTATGTGTAAGTAAGTAAGGAGGCGCGTAGTGAGTGACGAGATTGCGCGCAATACATACTCGTTTCGTGTACGGAGTGTGGTGATTTGATTTACTTGGTCACGTACATACATATACATATCCATGTATTATCATTCTGTAACCGCGATGGAGATTGATATTGATTTCGTAGCTACACTATATTGTAGCCCAACTACGCATGCAGAGAATCCACACCCGCTGTCTGCCACGTAACACACGCATACTGGCTTTTTCTGTCCTGTCCGGCAATATCCCGAGGGAAATAAGGGATATGTAGAGGTATGTAAGGATAGATCTCCGGCGGGGGTTCTCTCTGTAATCGCGTGCTTAAAAACTGGAGTCCCGAGACGGCCCAACGCCAGACCGTCCATCGTGACGACCGTGGCTTGTGGGCAAAGCCAGGGATTGGTTTTCTTGACTAGTCTGGTAACACTTAAACTAGGCCTCTCAAAGCGGTCGCGTCAAGGGAGCACGACAATGGGGGGTCTTCACAATCGCGGCCGAGACAGCAAATAAATAAACAACACGTCAAAAAGAAGATGGCTGGTGTTTCCGCCTTTGCACACTGAACGGGTTTGTTGGGGCTTCAAAGGATGGTACCGTGGGTTAGATACAGGTGTCCCTTTCCTTCCTGGCTAGCTTAGCTTCCCTCGCGTAGATTCAAACATCAGTCCAGTGGTCCCGATTGCCCCAAGGTCCATTAAACCCCCCCATTCAATTGCCTTGCCTTGCTCCCACGAGTACAAAAGCTATCAACTCCTTGGTATCAATCGCGCCGCATGGGGGGGGAGGGGGGGGTGGGGGACTCGAGACGCCGCCAGCAACGCCATTAAAACTCCATAGCAAATAATGTAAATACGCCTGATGATTGCCGTGACAGCCGTAATTTCGTATCCTTCGTTCTTTGCCTCGGTGCACGCACCGCTGTCCACCTGACTCTCACTCTCTTTCGTGGGTCTTTATCGTTGTGCTTCGATACGTTGGTGCTGGCAGTGTGAAGATGGAGGGGTTAAATCGTCATGGAACATGAGCAAATGAAAACACGGCCTCTGCAGAGACACTGGCAGCATGGCCTTTCGTTGAGCGCTGAAGGTGGCGGGAAAGAGACTTTAGTTCATTCGGATTTTGGTAGGTAGGTAGGTTAGATAGGTTATTGTAGATTATTTGAACTTCAAGCGGCTTTCGATCTCGTTGTTGGTGCAGGAGGAGCGGGTGCTGGTGCCTGTGCTGTTTTTAGTGCTGGCGGTGATGGTGACGAAGATGCTGACGCCGCTGCTATCGCTGCAGCTGCCTGAGCTTTGGCGGCCGCCGATCTGGTGCATTCCAATTTCCTCCGCTTGCCCTTCGGCGCCGGGTCCATTCGCGGCGTGTAAGTGACGGTCCGCGTCACAACCTCCCTGATGTGCCGCACACTCCTCCCTGACGACTTGGTTGCCTTGGAGTCTTGCGCATACCGAGCCTTGAGTGCTGCTTCCCAGTCGAATGGAGAGCGCACCGATCTTGCGCTGAAAGGTGACCGTGCCGTTGCGCTCATGGGTGATTCCAGAGTAGACACAGCCGGGGACGGCGGGATACGTAAGCTGGGGAATGAGGTTGCGCCAGTTGGTGGTGCCGACATGGGAAGGCTGGGAAATGGGCTAGGAGGAATGCCCGTAAGAGGCGAGTTGTGGTTCCCGCATTTGCATGAGCAGTCTGTTCGTTCGCTGCTGGCTGTGGAAGGCATGGAATCCTGAGCGGCGTCCTCGTCCTCGCTGGAGCTGCCAGATCTCTTCTCCGGCACAACGGGAGATGCCACCGACATGGCCTTCAGGAAGTCCATGTAGGCCACTGGCGGGCTAATGGGAGTCTTGGTATGCTCCTCTTTGATAAAGTCGGGAACTGCTGAGAGTGGACTCTTGGCCGAGAGCGCTTGGAGCTCTGACGGGAAGTTGGCCGTGACGGGCGTTGTCAACTGCGCGAGCTTGGGTTTGCAAGTAGGCATGTTGGCGGCGGCGTTGGGATCGAAAGGGGAGAGAGGGTGGAAGGATATGAAGTGATGGTTGTCAAGTCAAGTGAATGACTCGATGTGGAGGGTGGGGGGGAGAGGTGAGGATGCCTACAAGCTGCTCTGACAAGTTGCCGACAGTTGTGGGGGACTATCAAGGAGGCGAGGGAGGTAGATGAGGGAAGAGAGGTTATATGAAGTGTTTTTGCGTCACGGCCGGGGCCTTGTTTCGACCGAGGGGTCCTGAGAAACAAAAGCTGGGTTTGCGCACGCCGAAACGAGGGCGGCAAACGGCAAGCTGGAGCTAATGCCCGGTGGAAACGCTAGAATCGATGTGACGGGATCCCAAAGGCGTGGGTGTGCGTCCAGGGGTTGGAAGGCTTAGACTTTACTAGGCGTCCAATGCTGTGGTGCAGGAATGGGCCTCGGGTGCTGGCCGAGGGAGCGAATGAATCCAATGGGGCACTGGCCAGAAGCCGACCAGAATGGGTTTTGCTTATAGTCGCGGGCACGCAGCCAACAGGAGAGAAGGAACGACGGGAGCAGAATTTTGGCGCCAAGATCCAATTGAAAGATCTCACTCGTGACGCAAAATAGAGGTAAGGGTCACGCTTGTGGTGTAAGTGTGCTGGCAGAATTGGGTAACGGAGTGGGCGAATAGAGCGGGGATTGGCTGTTAAAGCGGCAGGTTGGCGGGTGGTAGCCCAAAGAGCACCAAAGAGCACCGAGTGATTGTTGACAAGCTCGTGCGTGCTGAGAGCCTGAGACTTGCTTTAGTGTGAATGCAGACCTGGAAAGGACTGGCAGGCGAGATAGATACTCACAAGCCAGCGGCGACGCCGGGTATTCTCTACCTTGAACGGCGCGGTCGTTGTGGAGGAAGACTTGGATGAAGTCTGCCCTGGATCAGAAGGCGTGATTCGTCTGAAGATCCCTGCTAGAGTCCTGGAGCGGCACAATCGGACCAGGATCAGGTGCTGGGTTCGAGGATGTTGGCAGTGCTCGTCGAGTATCCGGGACTTATAGCACCATGTACCAGGCCAACTTGGGAAAGGTGATTCGTCTGAATTCTGGAAGGAAGGATGGAAGCGCTACCTCTATTCTTAGCATCCGTAACATTGGCTTCACTTTATTGGACGACGGGCGTGTCGCCAGAACCACCACACTGCAACTACTCACCTCGCCAATTGAGACCAACGATTGTGTCGGCTAGGCAGACAGCCAAAAGTCAACTCGATGCGCCCTTCCGAGCTGGGTGAGGAGGGTAAGTCGCGCCGTGCGACGAGAAGCTCAAGGCCGGCTGAGCAGCAGCTGACAACGAAGGAGCGGTGCTGGCAGGCTGACGAGCTGAAGAAGAGTATCACACAACCGGCGGGCTCTGCCGTGGAGACGAACCAGGATATCAGATCTGTCAATGTCGTCGAACCGGACAAGCAAATTGGCCGTGGGGTGCTTTCGTGGTGTTACACTCAGATGAGCCTCTTCATCATTCCGTATATTGGATCTGGGCATCAGAGCCATTTTATGCTGTATGGCTTTCTGCATGTGCTCCCATATTTCCTGTCTCGTTGTCCCTACCCTGCTTCACTGCGCGCATGGCTCAAAATAACGCTTCATTTCTCATTGGCTCGCCGCATCTAGAGCATCTATACAACTCTTGCGAGTATTGCCTCCGGCCATGGTTTCGGGCTTGACGCTCCGCGAGAGCGCGCGCGCGACTTGACGCACGGCATCGCGTCGGCCATTGTCGCAGCTATCGTTGGTCCACGCGGATTGAACCAATTCTGCCTCGGTGGCTGGTGAGTGTCTCCCGCCATACAACGGATGCCCTTGGCCACGTCCGACACACGACATCAGCGCGCGGCTGCTTCAGTCTCGACGAGCGCCGGCCCGAATCCAGGCCCAGCAATACATCGAGTCAGGGCGCGAGATCAGCTGCACTTTGGATACGTGGCTGGTGCAGTGCTGAGGGCTTCCAGAATGTCTCTGCGCTCGTCCCGGACCCTGCCAACGACCCAGGTCCGTGGAGCCGCCACGTTGTGGTTAAGCGCCACCCAACATGACCAGGATTCCTTCCGTTCACGTCAACCGAATCCTTTCGATTTCATGATATTGATCCTAAACTGCGCTTAATGAACATCGCGTCTCGCTATGATTGCTCAATATACCGCCATTTGTCGCCAGCTATGCCGTTGGTGGACACTACTCCGGGTAATGGTGTCCGGAGACGCCACCTGCCGGCGACATTGATTGCCTCCGCGGGCAACGATTTTGATGATCACACGTACGTCGCTTGCGAATACGGCACCGGTTGTACCCTTTTCTAGGTTTATGCCCGCCGAACCCTTCAGGATTCATGCTGCAAACTGCGTTATTGCCCATGGAAATCCTAATATTGCGGCAGCATTACCATGCTTGTCTGCGGCACAGGCACCAGAGCGTCGGTTCGGAGCTAGAGTCAAAAGTGTACGGCATTATGGTGTTCAGACACCCCAGCTAACAAGATGAGGCTCTCCAGAAGGGTATAGTCTGGCCAAAAGCAAACATGGCACATCTCATGGTCAAAACGCCCAGGGGAAGTGCTTGACGCTGGCCAAACGTACCGAAAATGGAAGCTGGCAAGCTTGGAAGGTTGTTTATCACGGTGGAAAGGTACGCGGCTGGCTGTCACAGAGGGATACCGACGGGAGATAAGCGCCCCCCGCACCTAATACGAGGATGAAGGATGCAGAGCAATTTTATTATACTTGGCTTAGGATCAGCATTCTGGTCTCTGCGTCTGTTTCCATGCGCGATGGGACGTGTTCGAGCCGAAGTGAGTGCGGGCTTCTAGTGACACAAGATTCGTGATCGGCTATTTGAGCCATGGTAAACGACGCCGGGGCACCCCATCGGTCTCTGCTGGAGCGTTTGCCCCGTGTGTGTTGGTTCGTAGAAGGTGCCATCCCTCCACCGCCGTCTTTGTGGCAGGGGCTGCTCACCAGCTCACTTGTGATCTGTCAACCCCTTATACCCGAGGCATTGGTAGTTGCTGCCAAGCCGTGTTGGTGTAACCTCCATGTTCAATGCTGAGCGCTGGCTGGGCTCTTTTGGCATCGAGAATCCAGACATACAGAAGCGCGCGGGCCCTTGTCCCACATCCAAGGTTGTGAACTTGCGCGTCTTGAGCTCAGACCGCAAAGAATACCAGGCTTGTTCTGATCCCTTGCCTCCAAGATACGGTATAGTTCCGTTCAGTGGCCAACGCACTCGTCTAGCTCGTCAAAACATGCAAATCGAGAACTCCCGGCATTGGTAAGTAGTAGTAGAGGCTGTAGTTGACAGACGGAGAAGACGTGAGGGCGATAATGCTGGAAAAGAAGTGGATATGCCTTCACCACCAACTCTTTCCTCCAAGATTCTTCTGCGTCTCTACTCTGGGTACCTTCTGCATGCGGCGAAGGAGGAGTTATGTTGGTGATGGCCATGCATGGCTGTAGGGAAAAGCGGCGAGGATCGAGGCGTGGACTCCTGTGCCATCCACCCGATATGTGACGGTGTGACGGACATGGTTGTGGAAGTCGCCTCTTGATGTGACTTGTTCCAGTCTGCCCACTCGCTTGTTCTCACGTGATCCTCTCCAGTTGTCTTCCTGGGTCTTCTCCTCGCTAGGAGAATTTTCTCACTCGGAGACAGGTCATGGAGAACAGTACCTCTCCTGTTCTCTACTTCATCTTCTTCTCGTCACAGTTTTAGAGAGGCTACGTAAGAAGGTTTTTTTGGCAAGTCTCCAAACACTACCTACCGGCGAACTCGACCCCTTTTCAAAGACTAGTGCCATCCGGCAGCGTGTCTACAAACATAATACAAGTCTCGTCCTTCTAACCCATGGGTATCTCTATGTTTATATGTGTTTGAAAATTGCGTTTTCGCTTTCGTAAGCCTTTCTGATTCACTTCGCTTTCATATAGTCCTGGTCTTTATGTAAGTAGCACCGATCAGACCCAAGCAAGCTTCTCACCTTGCCCGTGGACTTGAGTTGAAAAGTCAACCTCATGATCAAAGACCAGTTTCGAAACACCATGTACTGTTGCTCCCGATACCAAATGGTTACAGTGTGCACCAAAAAGCTGGAGTTCCCTTCACTATGGTGTTCTCTGTCTGCATAGCCTCCCTGTTTCAACCTGGATGCGAATGAAGCCCCTCGCCACTTCCGACGTAAAATGTGGCCGGTCTTCACTAACTGGCACCCGGTTGAGACTCGATCGTTTGGGCGACTATATGCCATGTATGGCTGGAAGTCGGTGAAAATGAAGCGCTTCGCTCGTACTTTGCGGTTGTTAAACCAATTCGATGGCACCGTTGCTTCGTTGGGGTTGTGCGTGAACGGTAGACCTTCTTCGGTGTTGTGCCGATGAGTAAAGATAATTGTCCCAATCTATAAGTTTCAAGAGGCTGTCGAACTTGAGCTCAACCATCCGCAGGACAGCCAAGTCTTTATATTCAACGTTTTCACTGGCATGTGACCCATAGGGATAGAGTAGATCTATGGGGGATCTTGTCCAGTTCTGCTGCCTGCCAAAGAACAAGTCTAACCTCCTGCAGCAATTTTGGACGCTTAGGTCTTCAGTACTGGAATGGAAGAACACGCATCATAGAAATCAAGTACCATTGCAATTCGCTAACGTCCTTGGGCAAATAGGCAGTTGATGCTTAGGGACCATATGCAGTATCCCAATCCGAGCAGAAAAAAAGCGACGGCGATGGTGAGATGGACTCAGAGCATCAGAGACAATATAATGATGGCTATCTAAGGACTGCTATTTCCCAGGTAGCCTGATTGATGCGAATCCCTTCAGTCAGACCGAGTTATCCAGTTTGTCGTTACAGAAGGCAAACAGCAAAAGAACGACTAACTCGATGCCAACAGCAAGTAGCTTCAAGTATTGTTATGTAGCTTTCATTGGCTTGAGGCCCTCGCCGCAGGAGTATTGATTCCTGAATCACACAGTAGAAATATGCATGCATGAATTTTTCATGTCTCTGTTTCCCAATTTTGTTTCCGTCAGCATTTTGCGACATACCAAGATTGACGGGAACGCATCACTGAGCCTCAAACTTCCAGGTCAATCCAGTTTAGTGCTGCGGCATGATAGATGATATGAGCGCCAACAACAAACGTAACACACACCCTGCTTGATAGTATCGACCCGCTACTGCAATGACCTCCTAGCCAATTATCAAGAAGAAGAGAGCCTTCCAAAGGTATGGCTGGATCGAGATGCGAAAAATGGCAGCAACCACGTGGCAGGCCTTGTGCTCTTGAACCTGCTAGCAATAACAACAAGTACGTGGCGAATCCCGAGCAATCTAGACATGGGACCAACAAACCATTTGGTGCGAGGCGTACAAGATATTGTTGTGCTGGCACTGTAAATGTGACGTACTCCACATACTGATTCAACAATCGGATGTCTGGCCTAATTCCCCCCAAGTTCGAAGTAGATCGTTTGGGGCTGGACCCCCCCAACGTGAGGTATTTAAGCTAACAACAAGAAGGCTAGTTAGAGCAGCATGCTTCAGCTCGTTCAATGGAACGAGGTCACATAGGAGGAAAGCAATGGCGAGCCTTCTTGATCATCAACTTACAAGTAGACGTCCAGGCGACCTCGTATTTCTCAACAAGAGGCTGATATACTTTGACAGTAGTTACATTGCGGAATGACCGAACGTCTACGAGCCACACAAGGACAACAGTACGAAGATCATGCACGTCATAAATTCCATCTGGAATCGGCCAGCCTTCTGGAAGATCACGAAGCCGCATGAAGCCGCACGAGTTAGAACAATGACAACTCAGCGATATTTCTAGTTTAGTGAGCAATACGATAGAAAACAGGCTATGTGGAATTGATTGTTGGGGGTGATCCCTCAAACGGACCGAAATGATGACGAGATGTTGCGGAGTAACAGGATATCCGTCAACTGAGTACATGTCATCGTGCCTCCTGGAGGCTGTCCGAGCCGGCAAACGAGGTTTGGATTTGTGGCCGACTATTGTTGCACCCAGCAAAGAGAGTAACTAGCCCATCTTTGCCACATAGCATACAATGAGGCTGACCACGTGAAGACCTGTATGTCTTATCACACTCCGAGGCCCCTCCTGCCCGCTGAAGATCTAGGCCCAGAGAGGACGTTGGGCACCAACGGCTTGTCACTGGGAGCTAAGACCGCGGTGTAGTAATGCAGGAGCGGCGCTCCCCGCACCATACGAGCAACTAGTGTTGAGAAATCCAAGGTTCGTCTGATATCACTGTGAGAAGTACCGTGCCAAGCAACCATTCCTCGGAGAAAATCTCCAAAGTCATGGTGTCGATTTGCCTGGGGTTGTGACCTTGCCCCATCTCAACATTAAGCCAAACCTGCCGGAGTGGTATTCAAACAACGATACAGAGACCCTCGTGACCCTCCAACTTTATTAGCCGCCAGGAACAAGAGACCTGCGTAAGCGCGAAAGGGCCAATGGTGTGGAAACTATGGGGAGATTATGTGACAGTGTGAGGCCGAATTGGAAGGAGAAGGTGTCGTTCTGGTCTCTTATTCGCGGGCTCACTCCTCGGGTCGCCGGGGATGAGCTCATTACAGAATTAGGAAACTTCTGGAGCCCATGTGATGGTAACCCAATGAGCTATGCGCTGAATATGATACGCGAGTGCGCGTTCGAACAACATGAAACATCGGCATAGTTGACAAGTTACTTCTGGGCCTATTCGAGATTGGACGGGGGGTATACGCTGAATGTATACATTTCCTTGGCGCTTCAGCACCAAATTCCACCAAGCCACTGAAAACATTGGCATGGGAATCGTCTAGCACAATTAGTCTAGTATGTATCTCAGAAGCCGCCAAGCTGTAAGTGACTATGCGGCCAACTCAGAGGCGTCAATGCAGTTGCAAACGAGACATTCGTCTGTCTCAACAGGTCCTCCAAAGCGACTTGCTTCGAAGCTAGGAGGAAGACCGTACAACAGGGCCAGTCATTTGGTAGATCTGTGTATCTTGAATTCCGACGAGATTTGATGCGAGCTCTGGTTGAACGCCTGCAACGAGATAGTGGAATGCGACCAGCTCGCCTCAGGTTCCACCACTCGGGAACACAAGAGGTAGCTGCAACGCATATGCAGAAGCTGAGATATCGAATAAGCACAAAGTATTTACCCAAAGTGTTTACCTTCCTTGTTGACATACATCGTGTGGACTGATTCAACGCCTCCTGTCAAGTCCCCGGTCTGGGTCTCCGCCCGACCCAACATTGAGGTCGCCCCAGTTCAGAGGCCATAAAAGGACCATTGGGCAGCGCCGAATCGAGGAAATTCGACGAATTCTGGACCACTCACAAAATTCGCTCAGTTCGACTTTTCCGTCCATTCAGAATTGCCCATCCAAATGTTAGTTGCAAGGTGAGTTCGTCGCTCTCGTCTCTTATCAAGCTTCACGTCTTCACGTCACCAAATCAAGACGACGAACGGATCCGTGCGGGCAGGCTGGGAGCTGCGACTTTTCTGTTGCAGCTGCAGCCTACTTCGTACAGTTCCTCTGTCATCAGCCCACTGCACGTCTGGTTACACCGACTTTTCGACAATCGTCGGGGGCGTCTTCAGACTCGGCTTACCCAAGCCGGACTTTGATGCGCACCATCCCCGCATGTCGTTGTCGTTGGACGCTCACCGTCATTCAAAATGATGGCAAAAGGTGCCGAAGCCAAGGCAGAGAGAGGCAACCGATGTCGCTTGACCCGAAAACTCGAAGGAGCTTGACCCATACGATGAAACCTTTTTTACACCGTCTCCCATAGTGTTTGAAGAAGATGGCGTCACATGACTTGGAGTATGGCATTGCGCTCACTGACTTTGCGCCGGAGTAGGTACTAAATAGGAAATCCCATCGATCGCCCATCGCACACTCCCTCGGCCACCCCCAGCCTCTCCGCAACTTAACGTGTGTGTTGCGAAAAGCACGCGCTTGCACGCACGGTGCACACTTTGGTGGTGCTAAATTTAGAGGCAGCTTTTCTGCTGTGCTGTCCAGACTAGCAGCTCAAGCTGAAGCATTGGTGACAAGCTTGCGTTGTCACATCTCTTTGCAAGTCTTTCCCCAGTAGGGTATGTACATCGATCGGGGAGGCAAGGTCGCATCATGAAGAGCATTGCGAATTTCCCGGCTTCTACCATGATATTCTCGTGCTTACAGTCGCTAGCCGCCGGCAAGATTATTGCGCATAATTAAAGGGCGGCGAAATCTGGGAGCTGTCAGAATCGGGTAAGCTCTGTATCGTGTCAACGTGGGTAGTAGGCATCACCCACACCCACACCGACCCCTGTCGCCTCAAGGAAAGCTCAAGCAACCTGCAGCAGGCAGGCAGGGCAGTTGTGAAATCCCGACCACCTTGCAGTTGCTACCACTCACTTGGGGGGAGGGGGGAAGCGCCCTGCCGGAACTGAAAATCGTCAACGCTTGATCGAATTAATTGACCACTCGTCACCACCTGCGCACTTGCGTTAGCAGGAACGAGCCTTGCCCCTCCTCCATTGAAGCCGGTTGGTACCTTCCTTTCTTACTTCGTACCGTGTGAACCCGAGCCTGCGCACCCGGCGCTATCCTTGTCGGCACCTCTCTTTTCTGCAGCTTATTGAACTTGTTGCAGGTACGTAATGACTGATTGAATTTCTGGAAGGAGGCTTGACCTTTGGACCCAGCCACCGACTCGCAACTTGTCACCCATCTTCGCGTCAAAATTCGAAGTCTGTCTCCCGCGTAGTCTGTCTGGCAGTTGCAGTTCAGTTGCCGTGAATGATTGTGGTGTGCTTGCAAAGATACCACCAGAACCAGAACACATGCATTCCACCCCCACACCCACAGACACGCACACAGAGGCCAAAAAGGAAACCGATTGAAGCCAGATCCCGACTTAACACTGCTGCCAGCCAGAAGCAGGCTGGGAAAGAAACTGGAGAAGTCAAGTACCCTTGACCCTTGTCACCAAACTGCCAGGCCGACTGGTTCCCATCTGCTGAGAGAAAAAAAAAAGACCAGACCCCACAAGCCATCAAGCCTGCTGATTAGTCACTGAGGAACGGCCCCATTTAACCCTTTGCCCTTCCCTCGATTCTTACTCGTCTCTGCCATTTTTCACCAATCAATCCAACTCGGTCCACACGTCGACCAAAAATCATCGAATCAGTTGTCGCTCTGCGCACGCGGTTTTTCCATCTAAAAACCTACCTTCGGCCGCGGCTGTCGAATTGCAGAAGAACGGCCTCGAGCATCGAATCAAAACACGAGTGAGTGAGTTCCTGCTCGTCACTAAATTTATCCGCTCCGCAAACACGTCCTGATTCGATCGATTTGATTCAATTCAGCATCGAGAGGCACCAGGCATCAAAACGCACGCACGCACGTACAGCCAAGCGAGAAAGCCTATTCACTTATCATATCGGCCCTCAGCACCAGCCATTGCGACGGCAGCTACATAGCCAACTAACGGCAAGCGAGCGAGTGACTGCCTTGCGACACCATCAGTACCACGCGCAGAGTCTTCGCCCTCACTGCATCGAGCAACGGAAGCGCATAGCATACTCGTCTCCGTCGTACTACTCGGCGCGCCGCATTGTCTATTTCGCGTCGCCCGTTTGTCTACTGTTCCAGTGTGCTGCCTGCTGGTTTATTAGCTTTGCCGACACCTTGGACAGGCCCCCAAGCAACATCAATTCCAGCCAGTCAGCGAGCCAGCGCAAACAAGCAGCAAATCAGCAACTTCCCTCACGCCCGCCAATATTGTCAAATATCGCGAAACCCAGAAGACCTATCATCATCGCCAGGACCAGCTTCACTGTCGCGATTGGTTATATTGTCCGTCAGGTGACAGAACCTCTCTGCGGATAACAATCAAGAATATTTACCACTCGTTCAATCAAAGCGCTCTCATCATCGTCGTTTAAGTCGTCGAGTTTCACCGTTCCCGAGGCACTCTGACGCGCGACATTTCTCGACTTGGTAAGTGGTGCACCCGCCATCTGTCAAACTACCCTACACACCCCCTTTCGCCGACCCGGAGGAGCCACCATCCTTCCCGGCGCATAGGTGCTACCAAGTATTGTCTGCGCCGAGCATTACGTCGCCTCAGGCTCGCATAGCTAGCTGTTAATCTATGTTGCCTGCAAGTTGCGACTGGTCATCCATCTATACTGCTACTATCTGGGCACAGTCGCTCAGGGCAATCAGATGCTCTTCTGTTCTTTGCGCTCTCCTCTTGCGACTGACTGCTAACTTTGCAAGTTACAGAGCATTGTCGTCTATCTATCTGCCAACAGTCCCAGCAACAACCTAGGCGTTTTGACAGGAAGGTATGTTGCTTCGTTTCTTATTCTAGCTCTTACAAGCCCATCTGCAACGATGCATCTACACACCACCAAACAACCCCAAACCCACTAGGCGGACGCGACGATCGGGTGTACCGTCGTCTGGTCGCCAACCCCTCTACACACTAACGTGCACCATCCACTCTGCATATCTGCTCGTCGGGTCTTTCCTAATCCTCCTCTTTGTCCCTTTTCCCGCACACCTCTTCCTGTGTTTCGGTGTCTCCTAGTTCTCCACTTCTCGTCCCAAACAAGTGCATTAGGTGTCGCAGATGTCTGAGAGCTTCATACAAACCACCCATCTCCAACCCGCCCTTTGCAATCCTAGAATTTCCCTGCGATGCATCGAGTTCGAAAATCCTCTGGTACCTAGGTCGGCAGGCGCCCGTACCTTCAGGGGGTCCAGCAATGCGCTGGGCATAACCTGCTTTACCTCATGCCGCCACTGGTGACATCTTGTCCCTTTTTTTGGTTCTTTTTTTGTTATTATTATTTGTATTTTTTTTTATTTTTTTTGGGGGGGGGGGTTTTCCTCTTGTCGCTGAGCTGTGCTGGTTGATGAAGTGGGGCCCAGCTCGTGCATATTCCGTCATGCATGCCAGCGCATCAAGTGGTAGTCCAAGGCGCGAAAAAAAATGACGACCGGTGCCCGCTTACCCCCCCCCCCCCTTCCATTCACCCCCCTTCCATTCACCCCCCTTCCCCCCACCCTCACCTCATCCGAGCTTCTCATTTATACTTGATACAGCAAATCTAATGTTTTTGGTTGGGCAGATTCTCCACAGTCAGTCGAATAGCACTTTGCATTGCTCTGGGGAAATCTCGCTCAAGCTGTTTCGCCAGAACTACCCGCTGCCGCAGAACCTATCTAGCCGGCGCGCCATTCAAGAGAATAGCCTCGTGGTCGTTCCTGTCCCTCACGCGGCTGTTTTCAGAACAGCGCGGATCGCAACGACTGAGCCGAACCACCTTGGTCCTTGGTGATTCCGCCTCGCAACGAAGCTACATCGGCTTGCATATGCCGTGGTGCGGCCACTTACGCTGTGCACCTACCACATCAAAGAGTGCCAGCTCATCCACGCATAACCAATAGATTGGGTGCACATCCAGCCTGCTCGCGGCTACCTTAGTGACGACAACCCATCCCAACGCGTGTGCCCAACTGCGGCCAAACTTCAGCCCTTTATCTGTAGACATCAAGGCATCTTCAGATCCTAGTCCTACAGAGGCTCTCTTTTCGCGACTTTCGCAAAACGCTACAGCGTTTTATTACCATTATTATTGTTCAGCCCAGTAAGACTTTGTAAGTCTTTCGCACCGATTGTCTCTGATTCGTATTACACGGTAGAGAGGACACGACTGTGGTACCACGAACTACCCCGCCGCAACTGCGCGCAATTATTCCACAATTATGATGGACTACGCGCAATACCAGCAACCACCACAGTCGGCGCATTCGCAAGGACACATCCAATCCAGTTACACGAATCCGAGTGCTGGAAATTCGATCACGTCTCCATCCAGTCACAGCATAAATCAACACGGCGTTCAGACATCGCCCATTCTACCTTCGCAGCATCAACCAGCGGCTTCGGCCCAAGGTCACAACATGTACCAAACGCAGTACAGCGTGCCCCAGCAGGGCATGCATTATGGTGTACCTCAGATACAGGCGGCTGCCATGGCCGCGACCGCCGCCGCAGCGGGTGGAACTGGCTACAGCAACTACATGTCCTCGGACCCCAGCATGTCGCAGACGTCACCGAGGGTGGGTTCGGGAATGAACACAAAGAAGGACTCGCACGGACCGCGGTCACCGCAGCAGTTGAGCCAGATGCCCGGTCGTCGGTTAAGCCAAGTTACCAGTCCCGGAGTTCCCAATGCGCCGATGTTGAACCACGGCCCGCGTCCGGCACCACCGTCGATGCCCCCATCGCAATCCATGCCCCACCCCCAGTCACCCGAGATGGCTGCTGGCGCCGAGGAGTCACCCTTGTATGTAAACGCAAAACAGTTTCATCGCATCCTAAAGCGAAGAGTAGCGCGGCAACGCCTGGAAGAGGCCTTACGCTTGACGAGCAAAGGCCGTAAGCCGTACCTTCACGAGTCGCGACACAACCACGCGATGCGACGGCCTCGGGGACCCGGCGGGCGGTTTTTGACAGCAGAAGAGGTGGCGGAAATAGAAAAGAACAAGGGGGAAGGCAAGGATGACGATGTGATGGAACCCCCACCGACTAAAGCGGGTTCTAAGCGTAAATCGGAGGGAGGATCTCGTGCGTCGGCCAAGAAGGCCAAGATTGAGCCTGCAACACCCGACGATGACGATGATGATGATGCCGAGGACGACAGTTGAGAGGGTATGCCATAGGGACATTTTCTTTTTCCGACGTCACGAGTTACGAAGATTTTGATTTCCTCCACTTATACCTTCTCGTCGGGTGATGGCGGCATGGTGGGGAGTCGTGTTTTGCAAAGCGAAGCGTCTTTTTGACAACTGCTTTTTGATGGATTTGGCAAGCACACCGTTTCATTCAAAGTGACTTTTTGCGACGTACAGATATCCTGGGGGTATATGCATCACAGGGGGGCGCCAGGACATTCGCTCTTGGAAGGGTTTCCTAAACGTTTCTCCATCGCCCACGCGATAGTTTCTCGTTCTTTTCATATTTCATGCTACATTGCAAATGCATTGCAAGGCATCCTTGGCTGGATGGACTGGGAGGAAAGACTGCATGGGATGAATTGAGACGAATGGAAGGATACCCCCCAACTTTGCCATTTGTATTTTCTGCGTCACTTTTTTACTTGACTTTATTTCGTGTCTACTATGTTGAAACAGGGCGATTTTGCTGAGCAAAGGTCCGGCTACCAACTACTGCCTCGGGTAAGTGAAGAAGGGTTTCACCAACGACGGAGGCATTGGCTCAGAAAACAAACAGTACAGAGACTCAGCGTGTTGCCCAAATTGGAAAAGAAGCTGGACGAACAACTCGCTTGATTCGTTGGATTCGCGCGGGATGGATATAGACATTTCCACGGTAATCCGTCGCCGGATATTAGGGATAAATACATACGAGAACCCAAGAAATTCCTCCTCTCCATGCTTTAACTAATTCACTTGCCGCTTGCATGTTGCTTTGTTTCCAAAATGAGAACGCACTACGTAGCGAAGTCCAGACTGCTTTACTGAGGTGGGTCACGTGATGACGACTTTTAGGCCGTACTGAGCTGCCCCACCAAAGGTCACCTTGGAGCCGCGTTCCAACCGGGCAAGCTCTCTGTGAAAGACTGATATATCCATCTCATCGTTTCGGCTGCGCTGCTCTGCCAACACCAAATCACGGTCAATAATAGAACAACGGCATTTCGATTTTTGGTCAGCCACCGGTGCGTAGAGCTGGCCTCAAGATGCTTTTCTTCAGGTACGTCGGAGTTTTCGTTGCTTCAAAAAATTCCCAGCGCAGACTTCATACGGTGCGTGTGGCCACTGGTCTCTGGTATCCGCAAGGCAAGCGCCCCCGGCTGAGAGCGAGCAGACGGCGGAGGAAGATGTCTTGAGGACCACTTGCAAAGACGTATATCTACCAACCTGTCTTCTGCTTCACTCGGACGGAAGACATTACATCATCGATATGTGAACCAGGTCAAGGGGGGGGGAGCACAATGCCACACCATGCCATCTGGCCATCTACAAATCGCCTGGCATGGCATGGTATGGTGAGGCCAGGCCCTATACTCGAATATTCATCAGCGTCCACGTGCGCAAGCGCGAGGCTTGAAGAACGTAATACTGACGATACGATACCGGCGGCACAGCTTCTTCAAGACGCTCATCGACAACCAGGTGACAGTGGAGCTCAAAAACGATATCCAGATCCGCGGCACGCTCAAGAGCGTCGATCAATACCTCAATATTAAGCTGGATAATATTGAGGTCGTTGATGATATCAAGTACCCTCATCTGGTTCGTATTTTTCTTTTTCATTCATGCTTCTACCTTCCCTTCATCTTCCCCTCTTCTCCGTAGTCCCTCTTTTTTGTTCTTCTTCTTCTCCGGTCTGGAGGAGGGATTGAAAGACTACGACAACTGCACTTATGATGTACAAGGGTGTTGCTCTTGACGGATCGGGTTGGGTCTTACATTACTAACTCGGGAATCACACGAAAAGAGCTCGGTCAAGAATGTCTTCATCCGTGGCTCCGTCGTCAGATACGTCCACCTGCCGCACAACGCCGTCGATGTAACCTTGTTGGAGGATGCTACGCGGAGAGGTGAGTAACCCCCTCGCCTGGCCTCTTTGCGTGGGGTTTTGGGTGCTGGTGCTAATGTTGGAGTAGAAGCTGCAAACCAAGCTGCCAAGGCGAAGTGAGGGATGGAGGGAATGGATGGATGGATCTGGCTGAATGGGCCAGAGCGAGGAAGGAGGGGCATCTGACTCCATGATGACGGAAGCCAGCATCTTGGCTACGACAGAGCCGCGGGGGGAGTTGCCTCGCACCATTGCATGTCAGAGTGGCTTCTCAGCGAGCTAGCTCCAGGTACACGCTGTCTTAGACGGATAATCATCTACCTGCACATCGTAGCATGCGTAGTACCCACCACCATAGATGCAATCTCGTAGATGAGGAATATACCCATATTGAGACACGATGTTTAGTGTTACATTTACTTTACAGCATATATTCTCGTTGCCCTAGATTCTATCTACCACCAAACCCCTCCTCCTTTATTATCCTTGCCTTCCCAAAGCCCCTCGTCCCGTTCCTTCTCTCCAGCTTTCCTATCCCCCTCCGACAACCTCACCAACCCGCCCCTCCTCCTCTCCGCAATCCACCGATCCGTCCACCCCTTCATCCGCTGCCGACTCGGCGCACTCCCCACATTCACCGTCGGGACCACCTTCTCGATCCTCAACGCCATGACAAACAGTGCCAACTCCCTAAAACTGCTATGCTCCGAGTAAGGCACCCCGAAACACATTGCCTCCCGCGTACTCCCCCTCTGCGCCACAAAATCCAACGGCCCGAACCTTGTCCTCCACAAGGAGCCATGCAGCAATTGCGCCGTATCCATGGTGGACGGACTCATGGTGGCCGAAACCCCCTTGGCGGTGCTGCTGGGCCCGCGAAAATTCCATCCGCTGGGCCGGAACCCGACGATGCGGGAAAAGTGCGGCTTGTACCCATTGAGGTACTCCTGCAGCGTCTCGGCGCGGATTTCCATCAGCATCTGCATGTGGACCTGAGCCTCGCGGGGGTTGGACGTCAGCAGGGCGGAGAGCTCTGGGTCGCTGAGCTGCTTGATGATTTTGATTTTGGAGGGGGAGGCAAAGATCTTGGTGTTCAGGGCTTGGGCGATGGCTTTGCAGATGCGCTCTTTGCCGATGGAGTAGGTGCCGCAGATGACGAGGAGGCGGTGTTTCGGGTTCTTCTTGCCGGTGGTGGTGGTAGTGGTTCCGTCAGCTTCGGTCTTGACGTCGGAGGAGGAGTCATGAGGCTCCTTGACGAAGAACTTGCTGACGGTCGTGACACCCGTCTCGCGTTTCAGCGCTTCGTAGGCATCATCTGGGGCGCTAGGGTCGCCGGATATGTTTTTGCAAAACTGGGCACATGCGTTGATGACATCTTCTTGTGGGGGGAATGAGTAGCGAGGGTTTAGGTAGGTTGTGTCTAAATAGCAGACGTCTATCTTCTGTTGTTGGGTCTTGCCAGAGACTGCGTCTACAATCTCAGGCTTGAGAGTGGGATGATTGACATGTGCTGGGCAGGCACGGAAATCACCACAATGTAGTATTCGCTGCGTCCTGGAATTGGGACCCTTGCCCATCACCTTCTCAAAGAGAAACAAGGAACTCCCCGGGCAGTGGTTAGCTGGAATCATGGTCACGAAGACGCCCTCTGTCCCCGGCACTTTGAACTTTTCGTCAAACTCCAGTTCTACAACCCATTTCGGATTTGTACGCAGCTGCTGCTTGACCAAGCTCCCCGTCACCTTGCTGCAGTATATAGGGCCGTGAGACCATTTGGCCGTCAGTCCAATGTAGTGGTCACTGTGGAAATGGCTTAGGAAGTAGGCTTTGCAGCCCTGGACAGCACCATACCGGAATGCGTCGACGCAGATGAAGAATCCAGGCATGATCTTGTAAAAGGGACAGGTCCGCTCGTATGCTGGTCTGCCCCGGGCTGCCGTCTCCGCAGCTGCCGCCGAAGCCCATGCAGCATCCTCAGCATGGCCGGACATCAGCTTGCTGAATGCCGATGTTGCTTTGGGCACATTACCGTCAAGGTTGATGGGATTAGCTTGACCAGGCCTAGGAACGGCGGCTTTCGAAAATCGCTTGCTCATATCGGGCGTGTCGACTGCGTCGGAAGGCAGTAACTTTGACGGGGTTACGAGAGACTTTGGAAGCGGGAGAGGGTTCCCATCCAGACAGGCGTTGACATGAATTGTCGCTTCATCCGGTGTGACGCCGGCTAGAGTGGCGTCGCAAAGAGGGCAGTTCTGCGTGATGCCATGATCCATGGAACCTTCGTCTGCCATTGCATCTGAATTGTAGTTTCCAGCTTCCTCGTCTTCAAGTCGGGCCTGTTCTTGCATGTATTTCATCTCGCGGAACTCTTCGCCACCATCGGCAAAGTCATCCTCATCGAATACCTCGTCCATGTCGTCAGGGTCTTTGACATCCTCGTCAACCGAGTCCTCCGGATTATAGGCCGGAGGATTGGGTGCAGCTGGTGCGTTTTCTCTAGCTGAGTAACTGTTCTGTTCCGGAGTCTCCAGCTTCACTGTTTGGCCAGGTTGAAGAATATCAGGCGTTTTGTCAGCCGACTCGTGGCTCGTTGGAGAATGACTTACTGCTTCTCCTTCGCTCTCGGAGTCGTCCAGGAACGGTCCTTTGCCTTTGATGCGCTTCAGCTTTGACTTGGGTTCTTTTGGTATCGCAGGCTTTGTGGTGATATTGTCAATGGCCAGCCCTGGGGATATGCCTTCCAGAGGCTCCTCCATCTTGCCTACGGCATCATCTCCAGCATGGCTTAATTTCCGCCTCTTGGAAGAAACACCATCTGCGTAGTATTTGGGAGCCTTGTAAACATCGTCTATCCCATAAATGTCCTTTTCCTCTTCCGGTTCTGCTGGTTTCGTTGCCGGCGTTGGACTCGACCTCGCCGCTAAGCACGGTGCATCCTCAATAAACAGCGCATCATCGTCGATCTTCTTGAAGAAATTCAGTATGTTTCCATTCACCGGCTTCTTCTGCTTCGAACCAGGCGTATCCTTCGTTTTCGCACCGCTGAAGTTGAGCTTCGTCTGTCGCGGCGTCTTGGGCTTGGTCGTTGCCGCCGCCGCCTTTGGCTTTGCGGCCGGCATCGTGCGCCCCGGGCAATGGGTCGTGGGTGTTTCTTGAACCGGGTCTTGCGAAATCGAATAGCAGAAAAGGACAATATGTTTCAATATACCGCGTCAGATAGTCGATACACCGCACCGCAATGGCACTTGAACAAACGACAAACCGAATTGTGCTCTGAAGGAATTTGCCCCTCTGGAGCTAAAGCACTTTAGTGACGTGGGAGACGCGATGGCGCCAGGGCGCGCGACAAAGCAGATCCAACGCGACGCCAAATCATGTTTTCCCCTCCATATGTGTATGACAACCCCTATAATCAACGAGTATCGCATGTTAAGCAGGACTTATACTTATACTACTTCTTAGCATTGTTAACTTATTCCTCGACTTTACGTTAATCTATAATCCGTGGTAAGATCGGAATGGAACAAACGGCATATTAAGGGCAAAATACTCGTGGTTGGAGACCCGGCATAATTCAATAATCCCACGCGAGTACGCCTTTTTTGTCGTCTAGTTGAGCACGCTGGAAACTTGCGTGGAGCAAATGCTCGATCTACCAGTTGAATTGAGAGGCATAATTATTCCCACTGTATACTCCTATTATCCAAACACCATTTGCAAGCCTGCCTGCATATCTCTATTCATAGGTAGAGTTGCCAGATCACTTATCCGACTCGCTTTCAGACCCCTTCTGCTCTTCCTTGTTCTTTATCATCAGCCCGCCCTGAGCGGGAGGTGCGCCACGGAAATAGTTGTGGATGTCGTCCGTGAATTCCTCCCCGTCATCCAAATCGTCAACGCCGGTTTCTGACTCGTTTTTGCTCGCCTCCTTTTCTTGCCATTCGCCCTTGATGTCCTCAATCTTGGCCTTCATGTCCATGTCCGGGTAGTAGTTCTTGCCGACGCCCATCCAGCGCTCCCATACCGACAAGTGCTTGGGGTGGATAGCCACGCCGTGGTAATCCTGCTCGCGTCCTTGCAGGATGTATTGCCAGCGGCGCTCCTGCTCCTTGAGGTCGAGACCAGTGGTGTCGGGGAGCCAAAGGTACGTCATGAGCATACCGGCCAAGCCGAACCACGGCACCACGTAGAACTTGGTCTGCGTATCGATGTAGTTGTATAATACCGAGGCGAGAAGGGCACCAGCCTTACCCATACATGCGGAAAAGCCGTGAGCACTTGCTCGGATTTGCGTAGGGAAGACTTCTCCGGCGACGAGGAACGTGACTGAATTGGGCCCGAACTGGTTGAAAAACGACGACAGGAAGTACATGGCTTGGAAAGCGTGCACACCGGCCGGGCTTACGTAGAATTCGTAGTTGAAGGCTGGAATGACAAACATGAGGAAGCACATGAAAAAGCCGACCTGGTTATCTCGTTAGCCGACGTTCTAGTATGTATATGGGTGAATGGGTGGGCAAGTTACCTGTTGCATCATTTTCCGCCCGTACATCTTGTTGTCGATCAACATGGATGCTGCGTAATAGCCAACGAGAGAGACGGCCACGTTGACAAGATTCCAGGTCCAGGTGGTCATGATCGACGAAGGGTTGTCAGACAGAACGTTGATAAACTGACTTTGGAACAGTTTGTTGCCGTAAAAGAAGACATCGTTGCAGAACCAGCCACCAGCGGTCGCCACCAGGCGTCCGCCGAAGTTGGTCACGGTCATTTTCAACGACTTGACATCGTAGCCGGTGACGTTTGCCTTCTTCTTGGCCTTCAGCAGCTGTTTGCCGGCAGCTTTCATCCTGTATGTACGATAGTAACACAGCCACAGGGTCCCAATGGCGGGGATGGCGAAGGATATTCTGAAGATGTACTGCGCCATTCTCGCGCTGTACGGTGGGTCTCCCTGGCCGCGGTTGAAAATGAGCATCAGGATGATGAGCAGTACTTGGTTGAAAAACTGGCCCCATCCCTGCATCAGGAAAGCCATGGTAACTTTTCGGCCACGGTGAAGTCGGTCATCGCGCGTCGAGAGCTTGCCGGCCATCACGGCATTCTCCATTGACGAAGTTGCTGTGATGGGATATTCGCCGCCAACACCAATGCCTAAGCCACAGAATGAGCCAATGATAACCACTTAGAGCAACGAGGAATTTACCATAGAAGAACAGAGACCAGGCATAACATATGACCCAGCCCTCGAGCGTAACACCCCAGGAACCTGTAAGCATGAGAAGACCGATGAACATGATGAGGGCATCCTGAATTAGACCCCATCGTCGTCCAATCCAATCGCCAATGATCTGTTGCGGATGTATCAGTCGTCTGGATGCATATCGACAGGGTGGACAGGTTCACTTACACCGACGAAGACTTGTCCAACCATGATGCCAATGACTTCAAGGTAGGTGACAGACGCGACCCAGTTATCGCTGCACACGGCCTTTTTGTCCCAGCACTCCGGCCATGCCTTCTTGAACAAGGGCTCAAGATTGCCAATGGAGAAGAGAACGTAACCTTCGAGACCAAGTCCAGCACCGGGTAATACAGCGTGTCTGAAGTACCACTTCAACGGACCCAGGAAGTCCTCTTTCATCATGGACTTTATGCTACTCCATTCCGCAGAAACCTCGGCTTTGTCCACGGTGCTAACGAAGTTGAAGCGCTTCGATAGAGGAAGGTCGGCCCAGTATACACCTTCTGGCGTATATGAATCGTCCGGGTGTGTTAAATGCTTGAAGATCTCCTTCTCGTAGTCGGTGGCCGGAGGGATTGGGTAATGTTCATGTTCGTTCCCAGTATCAGGACCATGAGGGACTGGTATCTCGCCAATCGGAGGCTCATGTTCCTTGTGGTGGCGCATGAATCTCGCCATGGTGACGGCGGTTGCTAATGATGGGCCTGTATGTCGACAAGCGGTGGTGGTGTATTGATATAGCAAGAAGTGCACGCAGACAATGTTATCAAAAAATAAGCATGGAGGGCGTGTGAGAGTCGCTCAGAGACTCGTGAGGCTTTTCGGATGACTGAAAAGCTCGAGAAGGAAGGTTGGCATAAGTGGGTATCGACTGAAGGGAAAGAGGAAACCACGAACCTGAGATGCAGGTAGTCGTGGCCGAGTATTAAACATTCACTGTGCACATTTGGGTCTAGGGCTGCTACGACTGTGTTCTTCCCCCCCTCCTCAACAACAGTACCTCGGGGTGGAGACTGAGAATATCAAGATGTCTTGGCGTATGGTTTGACATCGTGCGGATAGCCTAGACGTCCACTGAAGGCGACGAAATTGACGCTTACCAGGAATACCCGTTTACTAGAGCATAAATGTCAGCCTATAACGGCCTTGACCACCCTTGACGGGCAAGCTTATGCTTGCCACCAGGACTAGTTCAGGAAAATGCTCGATCTGTGCGTATGATGCAGTTTTTCCTGTGGTGCACTTGGCAGGGTTGCCGGTTGAATTTCATATTGACGAGTCGCAATGGAGACTCGAGGGTGTTGCGAGGAAGAACGACGTTGGAAAGCGGAAACCAATGAAAGACGAGGAAACCACCACGTGCGGCTCTCTTTGGACATTGAAGAATGTATCAGCTCCACGGGAACACTACATAGTAAGGTGCACTAGGAGAAGAGCATGGGTATTTTGCATTGCAGATCGATAGCAAGTGGGTGAAAGGTTTTGATTTATGGCAATTGGCCGACATGGGTGACACCACATCAAGAAAAGCAACCAACAAAGCATAGGTGGAGCAGGAGCGACCTTGGCAACGCCGCTGAGCCGTTCAAGCCCGCACTTGGCACATGCACCACTATTGCTTGGCCTGCTTGAGCTTGCAGATCCAGAAAGTGGTCGCGTGAGCATTTGAAGGAGCAAAACCGTTGAATTGCTCAACTCCAGCAGTCGGGAGTTGGCATCAGATGACAAATCGTGCACTCTCATCAATTAACGGAGTTGGACGTCAGCCAGACCTGCATACAACCTGCTCAAGTGTCCGATATATGCAGGGTCGTCCCAGGCCCAGATTTAGTGTCGTCCGTGCCAGAACTGTAGGACCGACTGCGCCATTTGCATGCGGTGTATTGTCCGGGGCCAGCTACATGGTCATTCAGACAGCTCCACTTGAGCTACTTCTCACAACATGTCACCATGCAGTGGCCAAAAGCTGAACTCTCTTCAATAGCAACGTAGCTCCGCGACTATCCGAGATCCACGACTGCTCGAACTCCCTGAAAGAGGAGGAAGAGCGTTTTCGGAGGTGCTCCCAGGTTGGCTGATCAAGTTCGGGCACGTGTTTAGAGTTGAGAGGAATATGAGATAATAGATCGAGTATCATGAGCATGAAATAGTATTGGCTCACATAATCCGACGGTCTGTCGAGCTAATGGCCCGAGTTGTGTATGCATGAGGGTAGCAGCGTAACCGCCTGTTTCAATCTTGGCTTTTGGAGGTGCCCGTCCTTCGACGGAAGAACCGCGAGTAATGGATGCCAAAGTCCAATTGCTAGCTATAGTTGGTATGGACACACCGGCATCTAACTTGTAATCGGGGAGAAGAGTTCTCATCTTGAGTTGATGTGAAAATAATAGGAATCTTGGGGTTTGCAGCCAAGTAGTCACAGGCAGACTCAAATTGGCCCTAATGCAGACTATTACCGAACAATTCTCCTGCCTGCATACTCTAGATATTGCGTTTGGGACGACTTGTAGATGTTATCCAAAACAACTTGTTCAGACTGGGAAAAGACGAACCTTGACATTGTTCCAGTCTGTGCCTGTGTCCAATCGTAAGGGCATGATGAAGGCTTGGAAGTATGGGGTAGCCAGGGTAGCAATGTCGAGACGAAGATTCGTCAGAGACTTGCCACTTCGCAAGCAAGAGAGAGCAGCGGTAACACTTACGAAGTTGGAACTTTGATGACAACATGCGTGCGCTTGGCATTTTACGTCGAAAGATCGAATCCAAGCACAACTCAAATTGAGCTTCCCAAATTATCTAGGCACGTGACCTGGCGTCGCGTTCCGGCACGTCTCGTAACCTGCACTTTGGCGTCATCGTCATGACCACGACATCGAGTCTTACACCCATCCAGTTCCATCACTGCATCACCTCAAGACCCCAATCTCTCAAGATCTGGCACAATGGTCCGACAATCGTTGCGTAGTAGCACGATTGCCGTTGCGGGCACTGCTCAGGACGCGAGCAAGACGAACGGCACCACCAAAATCACTACCCAGGCAAAGAGGCTCACGAAACGCAAGGTAGTTGAGGAGCCCGCATCAGAAGCTGATGAAGACGACGACGAAGAAGCCGTTCCAGAGTCCAAATCCGCCAAAAAGCGCAAAACCACCGCGGCCAAGGTCAAGCTGCAGTACGAAGACGACTCCGAAGTGGAAGCAGAGGAAGCTCCCAAACCCGCAGCCAAGAAGCGCAAGACACCAGCCAAATCCAAAGCCAAATCCTCCCAGGACACGATGCCCCTTGCCGAACGGACAGTCATCTCCTCCTTGAAAAAAGCCATGTACATTGGGGCGCACGTCAGCGCCGCCGGTGGAGTACAAAACGCCATCACGAACGCGGTGCAAATCGGAGCCAACTCCTTCGCCCTCTTCCTCAAATCACAGCGCAAATGGGATAGCCCTCCGCTCGCTGCCGACGCGCGGACTGGCTTCGAGACTCTGTCCAAACAGCACAGCTTCGAGGTGCACAAGCACTGCCTGCCGCATGGTTCATACCTCGTCAACCTCGCAGCGGCGGAAGCCGCGAAAGCCGACCAAGCATACCGTTCTTTCGTGGACGATCTACAGCGCTGCGAGGCTTTGGGGGTGCGGTTGTACAACTTCCATCCAGGAAATACGAACGGTGAAGCGCGAGAAGCGGCCGTGGGCCGCATCGCAAGCCAGTTAAACAAAGCGCACAAGGCAACAGAGAAGGTCGTCACGGTGCTGGAAAATATGGCGGGACAGGGGAATGTGGTGGGATCTACGTTTGAGGACCTACGGGACATCATCGCGTTGGTGGAGGACAAGAGCCGCGTGGGTGTGTGCATTGATACGTGCCATGCCTTCGCCGCTGGCTACGACCTGCGCACTCCAGCGGCGTACGCGGATACCATGGGGAAGTTTGACGATGTAGTCGGGTACGGGTATCTCAAGGCGTTCCATCTAAATGATAGCAAGGCGCCGATGGGGTCGCACCGCGACTTGCACGCCAATATCGGGACGGGGTTTCTAGGGCTGAGGGCCTTTCATAACGTAATGAATCATGGGGTGGTCGAGGGTTTGCCGATGGTGTTGGAGACGCCGATTGACAGGAAGGGGCCGGATGGGAAGACGGTTGAGGATAAGAAGGTCTGGGCGGACGAGATCAAATTGCTCGAGAGCCTCATTGGGATGGATCCTGAGAGCGACGAGTTCAAGGCCCTGGATGAGCGCTTGCAGACTCAAGGGGAGAGTGAACGCGTCAAAGTGCAAGATCAGGTGGATCGAAAAGCGGTCAAGGACTCGAAGAAGGGGACGAAAGGAAAGAGGGGCAAGAAGAAGGCAGCTGACGACAATGATTCAGATTCTGACTAGGACGTGTATAATGGATGAAACGGAAACAAATTAGCCTATGGGTATGATAGCTAACTGTTTTTGCTGTATGGGTATGTAAAACTGTATGTACAACCAACCAATAGATACCAAGAACAGGGCTTTGGTGTCTGTCCAAACGGCGTCTTCAAATCTATGGACCAACCATACGCCCTCTGAAGTAGGTGTCAATATTCACCTCTCTCTCTCGTCCACCAACATTGAATATGCATGCAAGCCCCCGTCCACAGGAGGCATTAGTCAGCGCTTCGAGAACTTCCCAGGAGAACGAAACTGCTACTTTCGTCCCTTGACGAAACCCTCCACGCGAGTCATCAAGCCTCGCAGCCCCACACCGCGCTCGCAGTTGTTCTCTAGCCAGGTCTCCATGCCCTCCCTCACTTGTCGTAGACCCTTCATAACGGGCATGCGTCCACCGTCCTCGCCCTCAACGTAACTGCCGGGGTTGAGCAGAAGATCAAAGCAGCCCCCCCATATATCCGTCTGCCAGTATCGCTTCAGCGACTCCTTGATCTTGTATCTGCGGCTAGTCCCCAGCCCGCCCTGGTCGCAGCGCGTCGTGTCGATGTAGCGGCCGAAGAGTAAGCAGTGGATGATGCCGGCGAGACCATGGTAGTCGATCTGCCAAGTCCAGGGTCGACCCTCGCGCATCTCGGCGCAGTCGACGGCCGTCGTCTTCCAGTCCGCAATGAACTGCACATTGGGATCGAAGGCGCGCATGTCGATGCCGCGGCCGAAGTCGATGAGGACAATGCCCCGTTTGTCCCAACCGCCGCTGCCGTCGGCAAGCCATTGGCTGCTGAGCGGGGCGTCGCCGGTGAGTCCGTCCAGACGCAGGAGGCAGTTGTCGACCTTCAGGTCGCCATGTAGCATCTGCTTGCTGTGCAGCGCCTCGACGGTGCGCAGTAGCTCAATGGTGAAGAACATGGCTAGGGTTTCATCCATGACGCCCGACGACTCACTGCGGAAGAAGTTCACCACGTCCAGGAGGGTGCCGTGCGAGTGGAAGGGGAGGATGAGGAAGCCATCATCCTGATACAGGTGCAGCTCGTGGGCGGCCGAAATGCTGGCTATGGCACGGTCTTGTGGGCCAAGTCGTGTTGCTGCAAGACGCATCATGTGGAACTCCCATGCCGAGGAGGGTTCCTCCATCTTCAAGGCCTCTAGAGCAAAGCGCTGGGTGGTGGCAAAGGCGCCTTTGCCCATTTCTATGAGCGGTTCGTCCTCGTAGATTTCTTGGACGCCATCGGGAGCAGAATTCTCAATTAGATAGACTGGAGCAAATGCGCCAGCACCAAGCTCACGCTTCAGTGTGTAAGTCCAGCCGATTTCTGGAAACTCGAGTGCGGCGGGATTGCTGATGCTAGTTCTATCGTTGCCACCGTTTTTGCTGTTTTTGGAAACCGCTTTGGCAAACCTGCGGATCTCAGGGCCGCGATCGTAGCGGGTGTTGCGGTGATCGTAGAAGCCCGGGTAAGAGCATAGGGGAGGGTGCATGTTGGCCAGGATCTCATCGCGAATGGCAGTATCCACAGGGTTGCACTGCGCATCTTTGATGATAGGTCCCTTGCGAATTTGTTTGGTAGGTGCAGCAGGTTTGGCGAGCAGTGGTTGGGCGATTCGGATAGGTGAGCGCACTTCGTTGAGTACATCCCGAAGTGGACTGCTTAGAGGCTCAAAGTCTTCATCGTCCTCTTCATCATCCTCCACGGGAATACCGAGTGACTCCTTTCTGCTCGGGGTCTTGGTGTCAAAGTAGTGAGGCTTGGCTCCTGTGATCACACCGAGTGAAGATTCGGTCCGCTCCGTGATAGGTGTCATGAACGGCAGGCGGTTGTTAGCCACCTCGACCGGGTCCCTATACGGCCGCGTAGATGGCACATAATCCTCGGGCGGAATGGGAATGAAAGTCGTTCGCGTTTCCGCCATGAAATCTTCAGCCGTGGGCGTGAGCTGACCGTTATCCCTGTGGACGTCCCTTACATCGGCCAGTATTTCTGATGGCTCGGCGTCGTTGGTGTCGATAAGATCTGAAACCTGCGTGTCGTCTTGCTCCTCTGCCTCGTCTTCCGAGCCGTGCAAGCTAGGAATGTGCTTTCGAGCCGTGAATTCCGACCACTCGCTTACGCTCTTGACATCGGAAGTCTCGTCGTCGCCAGCCTCACTGATCGAGATTTGTCGAGTTGTGCAAGTGCTTTCCCCACCGCTAGTGTAGTCACCGTCCGTCATATACTCGTCTTCTTCGCTCACCTCGTCTTCTTCCTCGGCAGACTTCAGGGGAGCGTTGAAGATGTCGTAGATTTCGTCTGTAGCTGCTTTGGTGTGCATTGTCATCGTCGGCTCGGATGAATGCTTTTTGCGCATCTTGGGGCCGGATGGAGAATCTAGTTTTGCCTTGACTGCGGGAAGTTAGCTCAGTGAGTGAGTGTTGAGTGACCTCCTGGTGAACTTGAGGACTAACTGATTTGCGTTTCGTTGACCTCTACCATCTTTGTCTTTTTGGGCTTGCCCGATTTCGGCTGGTCCTTGACAGCACCGTTCTCATCCAGCATTACCACGTCCTGGTGGACCACGAGCTTCGTGGCAATTTTTTGGCTGAGCACATTTATTTTAGTGGCTTCTTCTTCTTCTTCTTCTTCTTCACCATCATCATCATCAGCTACACTATTATTGTCCCAACAAGTATCAAGCCATCCTCGACTAGCTGCCCACAACTCTTCGAAACTGAGTTCCGTACCCGGCTCTTCAGGAGTTGGATATACCGCTTCAAGGTTGACAAATACGCGCTCCCTCTTCCCACTGGCGGGGTTCACAATCACCTGGTGTGTTGACGGTGCAATGACGATATGAGACTCTGCTATTCTGGCTAAGGACTGAAATACACAAATGCGAGAGCCGCCAACAATTAGTCCTATGATCATCAACAAATGGGCATTGAGGAAAGGGGAACTGAAAGTCATGGACATACCGGATCCCTGAAGATAGCCAGCTTTGGGCCGCTGTTCTTCTTGCCTCCCGCCTTCAATGTCTCCCCAGCCCATGGTTTGGGTTCCATCGCGTTCTCCTTCTTGCGGTCTGCCAGCGAACCGATCGTGTCCCAACCCTTGGAACCTTGTCCCATGACAGACATCACTGGTGGAGCCGCGTCAGCGTCCGAGAATATTGCCAGCTTCGACTTGCTAGGCTTGGCGGCTGGTGCACCCACGCCCATGTTGGGTCGTGGTGCTTGAGGGTCGGCGGCTGCCCGGGCAGCTGCGCCAAAGGGGTCAACCTTGGCAGCAAGCGCGGGTCGGACCGTCGGCAGGGCAGGTGATGAAGGTGCATCTGCAGCAGTCGGTTCCTGAGCCAATCTCTGCTCGAACTCGCCGAACTTGCGGGCTAGTCTCTGTGCTGGTCTAGCTTCACGCTCGATCCCCAACTTGTATACCTCCTCGGCTTGCGTCCACCGCCCAGCGCCCTCCAGCCAAGCAGCGTACTCTTCGTAGAATAACGCCAGACTCTCGCCAATGTTGTGGCGCGACAGGAAGACGAAGGTCTCTCGCGGCGCGTCGGAGAAGAATCGGATGTAGTGCAGCCACAACTTCAGGTATCGTGGGTCATTCTTGTATTGCGCCGAGCCGATGAACGCCTTGGTTGCACGCTCAAGTAGGGTGTGCAGTTGCGACTGAGGGGTAGCCTGGGCTGATGGGTATGCGTCGAATGTCCATCGCACGTATCTGTCAAATACGTCCAGAGGGTCATCTGACTCGGAGAGGTTGGCGACTTCTGCCTCAAACTCTGCTCGGACGCATTCGTTAACATTCTTGGTGTCTGTTGGTGTCGGTGTCGAGAGCTTGTGCAGGGGCGACGGTGAGTACAACTCAGCGAGCTTCTTCGCTGATCGGCCGCCAGGAAGAGACTGTATGTTTTCCTTCTGGCCCTCGATCACGTCAAAGTTGATGAGATCCTCTGAGCCCGCCATTGTGGTATTGGCATTCAACGACGCGAAGAAAGTAAATCTCGCGGCTGTTGGCTATACTTTCGGTAGTTCAATCGTCGAAAATGTGATGTCGAAGCTTACGATGGTGGTGTAATGACGCAGCCGTGCCGAAAATGTGTTTCGATAGCGATCCTTGTTGATTGTTTGCGATCTTGACTTCCCGTTTCGGAGTGTTTCCTTGACAACGGGTTTCTCGAATTGTGATTTGACAACATCCAATCAAAGAGGGGGCGCTCTGATCAGCCACATAAGCCACAATTCGAATTATATAGTCCCGTCTGGCCCTATTTTGAATCAACAGAGCGAGGGGAGTAAACGGCACGCCTGTTGAATAAAACAAGCTGTACTCGATATTTGGAGTTTGCATCTGGCCGAGTCTGACCATTATACTCGGGTGCACCAATTGTTGTGTCTTTCTGTGGGGCATTTCATGAACGACGTGGTCAAAATTCCAATACGGCATCAACGACATGCGATCAGGTCGCCGAATGATGTTCCAAACTAACTTCCAACATATTCGCGCCAGATCCTACAATATATGATCGGTAATGGAGTCAATGCTGTTGTTATTCAGTCACCTGCTTTTTGTCTATGTCACTGCTATGGTATTCTCATCCGATTGAACCCGAACCCCGTGTCCTTTCCCGTCATGATCATATCTCAAGGGTTTTTTTGTTTTTTTTTCCTCTAGACTGCTTTACAAGTTAACCGCCTTGCGGAAGTTCTCGCCAGCGTAGATAGCGTTGCTGCCCAGCTCCTCTTCAATGCGCAGGATCTGGTTGAGCTTGGCCAGACGCTCAGATCGGCAAGGTGCACCGGTCTTGATCTGGCCGGCTCGGATACCGACCACGATGTCGGAGATGGTGACATCCTCCGTCTCGCCGGATCGGTGGGAAACCATGACGCCCCAGCCGTCAGCGTACGAGTCCTTGGCAGCCTGGATGGACTCGGTAAGAGTACCAATCTGGTTGACCTTGAGCAGCAAGGCGTTGGCGGCCTTGAGCTCGATGGCCTTCTTGATGCGGACAGGGTTGGTGACAGTCAAATCATCACCAACAATCTGGAAGTCCGAGGTCTTGTAGAAGTAGCTCCAGGCCTCCCAGTCATCCTCGGCGAAGGGGTCCTCAATGCTGACAATGGGGTACTTCTTGCTCAGATCAGTGTACAGCTTGGCAAGCTCCTCATAGGTGAGCCACTTGGTAGGGTCGCTGTCGGGGTTCTTGAAGTCCAGGTCGTACTTCTTGGCATCCTCCTTGTAGAACTCGCTGGATGCAACATCCATGGCAATGTGCATCTTGCCAGTGTAACCGGCTTGCTCAATGGCGTCTGTGATGAGCTCCAGAGCCTCCTCGGCAGTTTGGATATCAGGGGCGACACCACCCTCGTCACCGACGTTGCCAGCAGACTGGCCGTACTTCTTCTTTGCCAAAGTCTTCAGCTTCTGGTAGACCTCAGCACCGTGACGCATGGCTTCGGTGAAAGACGGGGCGGCAGATGGGACAATCATGAACTCTTGGAAGGCCAAGCGACCACCAGCATGAGATCCACCGTTCAGGACGTTCATGAAGGGGACAGGGAGGACGTAGGGCTTCTTGGTACCAGCAAGATCCGACACGTGGGCGTACAGAGGTACACCCTGATCATGTTAGTTACGGTGCTCGTCTTTAGCCTTGGCATCCTTTGCTTACCTTCTCAGCAGCACCAGCCTTGGCAATAGCCAAAGAGACGCCGAGAATGGCGTTGGCACCGAGCTTGGTTTTGTTGGGAGTGCCATCAAGTTCGTTGAGGAACTTGTCGACGGCGGATTGGTCCTTGACGTCCAGGTTCGCCTCGAGGATCTTGGGCGCCAGGACCTTGTTCACGTTGTCAACGGCCTTGGAAACGCCCTTGCCTCCCCACTTGGTCTTATCGCCGTCGCGGAGCTCGCAAGCCTCGTGCTGACCTGCAAAGCCATATTAGTCGACCGAGCGGACAGGAGGGTTTGTCCTTGTCATATTGCTCACCAGTGGAGGCTCCCGAAGGAACAATGGCACGGTGAAGACCAGTCTCGGTGACAACGTCGACCTCGACGGTAGGGTTGCCACGGGAGTCGTAGACCGAACGCGCGTGGATCTTCTTGATCGCCATGGTTGTAATGTGTTTAGTTCGATTCTAAGGAGGGGTAGGATCAGCCAAGCAGATTCAGCAGATTGTTGAGGGAAGATTTGTAAATGAAGAGATGCAGTGGAAGGAGAGGGATCAGAGCAGAGGAATTGGCTCAAGATATATATGATCAGGGCTTAATGAGGTGATCGATGTCGGGTAGCCAAGTCAGATATATGCCTCAGGAAAAGCTCAACCGATCAATGGGAAGAAGGAACGATGGTGGGGTAGCTGTGACAGAAACCACGGCGTCTCCGAGTCAGGAGAATACGAGGACCGCAGGCTCTGCGTGGCATGTTGGCTATCGTAACAGGGGAAGGAGAGCACTTACGGGTCTGACGTATGTTTTTGGTGGTGAGATGGAAGATGGGAAGGAGAAAAAGAGATGGCGGTAACGGTTGGGCGAAAAAGCTCTATTTTGAACTTGAGGTGGTGGGCTGAGCTCATGTTCGAATCGTATCGACTGTTGCTTGTACAGCAGGCCCGATAGCCCTATCGGTCCTCCAAAACGTTGGCGGGGTCCCTCACTGGAGCGGTTTCGAGAAAAAGCCAAGGAGGGGTCAGTGGATACCTCACGTCACGCCAAACTTGGCCTGTTGAGTTGTACTATTTGCTAGCCTGGGAAGTCTTGATAGGCCCTGACTGGGTGGGGCCCTGAAAAAGCATCGCTCCCCACTACAAGCTCCGCGCTTGGGCCATTTGCCTTGCAATTAGCAACAAACACGCGACTTTCTCGACTGACCATGCCGTGTCGAATTGTTCTCATGCACTTCTTCAAACTCGGAAGCCTCCAGTGGTGGGTCGAGTGTGGAACGTGTGCAGTTGATGGAGATCTGTCGGCTGCTAGCATGGGTGTTGAACCGGTCGAGACCACTTGTTCATATCTGAATGAAAGCGGACACTACCGCATGCAAGCATGAGTCCTCGCGTCCTCTTGGATGGTCCTCTAATGGTCCCTCTGATGACGTGACGAATTAAGTTCCGCTATAACCTTGAGGTACGGTATCCGCAAAGTTGCTTAGGTTTAGCAATGGTGTGAACTCTGCTTGTACGGTTCCTATTCGGTCTGACAGAAGACCAACTATAACTTGAGTGAAGCATTATTTCCGACCGTTGGTCATATATCCGCGTCGTTGCCAACTGCTTGCCTCCGTCTCTCTGCAGTCGGTCCTTCCTATATACCCAGTTCATAACTCAGTACCACATGGCGGGTTGTTCGTTAGGAAAACGACATTGACGGCTGCGAACCTGTAGAGTTATCAGTCAAGGTACACGTATTTACATGAGAAACTCACGCTGCCGTGGCGGCGAAGACCTCAACAGTCCTCGCATTGGTCATGGTAGCCAAGGCAAGGCTGAAGCACGCTGAGAAGACCACAATCATTCCGAGCCGCATGTTGTTGGATTCTGTGATGTATAGCGTAACGACCGAACAAAGCGGCAACAGCGATGCGACGACGGTTGTCAGGATTTGAACAGTCGATATGAGACTCGATTCAGCATAATTGTATATGCCGGTGCCAATTGCCTCGCGCACTGGTTCCTATAGAGGTGTTAAGAACATAGCCTTGATGGTGTTTGCGGAAAGCTCAACCACATCGTTGAACACAAGAATTTGAGTACTTTGAACTTCTCGCCCAGTACGTGGTGAAAGCTTGGCACAATCCTCTCGCAGAACCATCTAGAGAATGGATCAGATGTAGCTCGAGGTTTCAATGCCACCAGATCATCCTCATATTGAGCCTCCCAAGATGCCTTATCAATACCCAGAAGAGGGAAATTGCCCATTCCCGGCCTTTCAAACCAGCTTCGAAGAAAGTCGAGATCGTATCTCCTCGGCTTAGAGAGCTTCACGAGATAGCTTTGCTTCAGCAGAGATTCGTCTATATTAACATCAACGAGTACGTCATGTAACCTGGCTAGTGGAGCGACTGACTCACTGTATGCTTCCAACTTGACCCTAAGCTCTTGGAACTTTTCCCATTGTTCCAAGTCCTCTTCTTCATCACTTTGACTCAGCGACCACCAGTCTTTGGTATAATACTCTCTTTCCACATTGCGCAAGTCTCTGTCGACCAAATCACTCAATTCACATTCCAGATGCGTTATTTCTGCTTGCAGATACAGCAGGTTCTGCATGTTCAGCCTCTTGAACCGCCGCAGGATGGCGAACTCATCCTGGCTCATCAAATGCGCGACTCTGGCGTATCCTTCCATTATTCACCATGGGGACGTACGTCTTTGCAACAATTATCTGAATGTGGGGGTGGGATTTCGGTGTTCTTGATATGTTTGATTCGAGTGCCATCACGAGGCAACCTTGCATATGCAGGTCATCGGACCAGACACGTTCGAGGACATATTCAATACCATAATTCGACCTCAAGGCTTCTTTCGAAAAGCCTTGCGCCCAAGTAATAGGGATTGACGTGGCACCAATAACAGAAAGATGGCACCCCTCATACACTGGCGTCCTAACGCCAAACCACAACCCACCCAAAACTGCTTCCATTGCCTAGTGGTCCTTTTATGGTTCGCCATTTTTGGATTTGTCAGATATTAAGTTCGTCAATTCGCCGTCGCTGGTTCGAGTGGTATCGATGGATTTATTCGTAAGGCTAGCACGTTCAACGCAGAAATTATACATTTCCTGTCACCTCCGACCATTGCTCACAATATATCGGTTCCGCGGTGTTCCATTGCATTTTTCACGATGCTCTCAAGCCAGAGCCCCATTAAACGCGGATTCACCTCGGAGCAGAATAGGATATACAAGAAGAGGATGCTGAACAGACGAAGGGCAAAAGCGCTTGCGGACTTACTGAGCGACATTCCACAGGACGTTGACCAGGAGGATTGGGAGGAGATGCAAGCTGCAGTATACCAGAATATCCCATTAAAAATCGGAAACGAGGTGTCACAGTATACAGATGCTGACAATGTAAGGCCCCTGGTTTACTAGATCTATTCACGCAGCTCATCGACTTCAGTACCTTTACCACGGGCTCCTCACATCATCGAGTCAGGAGGTATTTGCCCACAATCCGACAGACAATCAGAAATGGACAAGAATACACAATCCTACCAACTCTCTCGTTCACTACGCACAGGTGATTGAAGACTCTGGGTCAGGGGTCAACTTCATCCACCCGTCACTTGCAAAGCGATGCGACTTGCACGTCTACCCGACGGCGATAACAACTTACCAGGTCATTACTGGCCATCAGTTCATGTCTGATAAATGGGTTCAGGTAGAACTGCTAGGGAAACCGGGTATGATCTGTACAGACTGGTTCTATTTGTCCCCAGAAGACGCCCCAATCGAGTTGCTCGTCGGCAGACGTTTTATGAGGGAGAACGAAAAGTTCTTCTTGAATCAAAAGCCACAGTCCGATCCGGTTCTGTTGAACGTCCAAAGCAAGAAATCAGTAAGTAGAGCGACCCAGGTGGCTTTGAGAAGTGGCCTGGCTGACAACGGAAATAACAGGAAGCGGAGCAGGCCCAGATACAAGAAAATCAGAAGGCTGCTGATGCACGGACAGCAACCCTGGAGAAAAGAAGAAGAGAGAAGAAGGAGCAACAGCAGAAGTCTCAGAGCAGCAAGAATCCATGGCCGCCATCTAATGAGAAGCACGGCTCACGTTCAAAAGGGTGAGATTAGCTCAAAACCAGACTACCCTGGGAATCCTCCGTGGAAGTCTTTGCTGGAGCGGATTGTAGAGAAAGGGTAAGGGCAGCCGACTTGAGTACGTCATGATTCTTGTAGGGGAAGTACCAGGGATTCTACATGTTTGGCAACAACGACGTACTGTATTGATCGATCTAACGTGTAATAGAGTGAGACATGGGACTTTCGTCTTACCTAGTGTCACAGCGGTTCTAGCATAGTTATGTTCAATATCATAAGTGACTACAAGTAGACACAGCTAAGGTTGTGATCTTTACGTGTCTAGGATTCCCGCATCTGCATTGGAGCCCGAGTACGCTCTGAAGTACAGATACTAGGTTTGACATAGCGTCCTTACGTTTCTAAGAGGGATCTGTGTCCTACGATATAAGAGCTACACACATCACAAGACCACCAAGGTATAACTGGAGCTTCTTGGCTTTTTCTCTGCGAAATACTTTCATTGGAATATAACTTAGTCCATCCTCAAATACGGTCGTGTGAATTTATTATCTGAGAAATGCATGCATGTTATACATCTCTTATTTCAGGCAACGAGCTTTTTTGGTGAGATATGTGTAGACATGCCGTCTAAAACTTTGCATCAAGACCGCTCGCTGTATAATGCCCCTTGTTTATTCCCATGATAGAACCCAACGTGGTTACATACTGTCCAACTTCCCAGATTATATTATGGCGTGCAGCATAAACGTATTACTGTGATTAGGGTAAGACTCAAGCTCTACACGAGCGTTTAGCCGTTCAGGTCCAGTGTGTCTCTTGGGTCACAACCATGTAGGCCCGACGCCAATCAACGGCGATCGCACCTCTCGGATAGTGATCACTCTCAGAAGCAAGACCCCGCAACCCGACTTTCAATTTCCAGAACATCGTCGATGCGCTCACAGTACGGATCGCAAACCCAGCATCGACCTTGTTGCCTGCCAATTGGGCCTCGCAGTCGAGTCGATTCTGTCATAGCATCGGTTTGTCAGAGACAGCTTCTTACAGAGTAGGAGCGAAAGCGCCGCTGGTCTGTCGCCTTTCAATCGAACCTATCGACGAGAATTGTATTTGCTGTTTTGAACGATGCGATAGTTGCCTCGTCGCCCTGTTCATGGGGTTGGAACTTCGTCGCAGCACATGAATCAGTATCAGAGAACGCTTGTCGAGGCTGTTTTGGATCAGGCATTTATGAATGGGAAAGACTTCGACGACATCGACCACATTGATGCTTTCTTCAAAGAAAACAGCATACCGGTTGACTGCAACTTACTTGCGAAAGACGTCTTCAACATCTTTCTGAAGGTCAAGTCCAGAAAGAGGCAGCCCCTGACCCCGGCGGATGAATCACGTTCCAGTGTCGCCGGTAGCAGTTTCGGCGCGAACGATGACCAAGAACAAGACGCAAGCCTAGACGTTCCAGCGCCCGAGTTTACTAGCGAGGTCAGTCAGTCGCATTAACCATTTCGTACGCCCTCATCGCTAACCGTGATCCAAGGACCCCTTCTGCATAAGTCTCTACCTCTCCCACGCCGACATACTTAAAGTCACGAGCGCCCGACGGTGCGTCGGGAAACACTGTTTTATATCCAGAAATACGGTCAATCTCCACAGACTCGTGGTACGAAACCAAAAGACGCTGATACGATGGCGCAAAACGGGAAAGAAGGACGAGCCTTTCTCGCAGACTTGGTATTGGATCGTGGACCCCGACACTGTCCCCAATTGCGAAGTCGCTATCGGCGAAGACTGCGAGACTCAAGACCGCGACACGGTGGATGACGCCGAGGACGACGATGATGACGAGAATGATGCCGTAGTCAGTGAGCTCGTCCATTCGCGATCTCCGACACAACTAGGTTCGTTATCCTTGCTTCTTATCCAGGTGTGGGGATAAACTTAACCCGACATTCGTATGCCGACTGACCATGCGATATGAACGAGCAGCCCACGGATTTAGTCAGAGTCATAATCTCCCCGTGGCAGAGCAGGCCGACATCGAGGAAACGCTCGCGCGTCTCAACGTGTATTCAGCCATCAGCTTAGCGAGCGCGAAGAGGAAGGCCGCCCTGCCGGGGTTCGCGCAAACGCCCTCCCCAGCCTCCAAGCGCGCCAGAACGAGCTCGGACGGGTTGAGAGCGCCGAGTATGCAGAGCGATAGTCACCGCTCGATGTGATCTGAGAATAAATGTAATCCGGCACGAGGGGAACATATAGACCGGCTATCTCGCCTGAGAAGGCGTCCAGGGAAATTTGGTCGGGCATTTGATGGGATTTACGGGGGTTGTCAGCCCTAGTAGCTTTGAGATTTGAATTACTGGATGATACCAGGAGTTAGGGGTAGGCGAATTCCCTGAAGGTGTATGAAAGTTGTTGGTCATATCTGTATGTGAAAATGAGCATGAACATATCCAAAGGACTAGCTAAACAGTAATGACTTGGCCAACTAGAATATACGAGTATTTGCCTCAGGCAGGCAGCCAGCCGTCCAGCAGTTAGTGCGTCCTTGCTGGAACATTTTAGTTCCAGAACCATGACGTTATTTTGAAAGTTGTTCCATTACATGAGAGAAATTCGAACCCGTACAGCCAGGTTTTTTACGTATATGATCAACAAGCCAGGCATCTTGGAACCAGTCACCAACGTTCTATAGACCCCAAAGGCGCCCATCAGGGCCCGATGGGGTTCCACCATAATGTGCTCAGGCACCTCTGCAGCAAAGGGTTCCAAGATTCGTCCTACTAGTTCGATAAAGGTTGGCCACCGCATCCGCGACAAGCGGGCAATAGCAGCCGGGCCAACATCGATGGGAGTCACTTCGGAATTTCCCACTGCCTACATGAACATCACTTCCACAATCGAACCCAGATTGATAAATAATGAATGCATATCATAACATTCATAAGCAAACTCGCTCTTAATCCAACAACGATTTCATTCTGGTGGATTTCTAAACGACTCTGTAGCCGAACATTTCATAATATCCTTCGAACTTCAATCATCACCCTTCAATTCCTTCTCCTTCGTGCCCTTTTCCGGACTTGCAATCTTCCCCACCCTCTTTCAACCCAAACTTGGTCTCGAGCGTTTTCCTCAGGGGCACCTCGGGAATGCACAACGACAACAAGAAAGCAACCGCAGCAAACCCTATAAGAACCTGCCACGTCTCCCTCAACGACAACGTATACAAGTTCAGGATATCCCTCTTTAGTTCCGGACTGTCGTTGAACGATGTGATGAACTTCCTCGTGGCATGCTCGTACGCTCCACCCCTAGCCAACAGCTGCCTAACCCCCGGATCGCTGATCTGCCCGAGCAGACTGTCTACTCGCGAGTTGAACACAGCCGCCGGGATGGCAGCCCCCCAGATAAACCCAAAACTGCGCACGAATCCCCAAGCGGCCGTGGCGAGGGCAACGTCCTCTTCGGGGAGCGTTGCCTGGATAGCAGGGAGAGCGGCCTGCATCGTTAGGCCCAAACCAACAGCCAGTAGTATTTGAAACCCGACGCCCATACCCGTTGTCGATTCCGGGTTCAGGGTCGTGAAACAACCCGCTCCCAGGGGTATCAGAGCCAGACCCGCTATCAGAAGGGGTTTGTACCGACCCGTCTTAGCGATGACGAGCCCGCCGATTATGCCCGAGGGCGGGAACAAAATGGCCAAGGCGAGCACGTTGACACCCGTCTGGAGAGGGGTACACTCCTTCAGCGCCTGGAAGTAGGCTGCCAGCATCCAGCCTACCCAGGTGAGGATCACGCCGTGGAGGAAGGAGATGGCGAAGCCGATGAGCGATGCCCGGTGGCTGAACAGCCGCGAAGGTGTTATTGGCGATGGACTGAAGGAGACTTGGTGCAGTGCGAAAATCACCAGGCCGGCAAGACCTACGAGAAAGGGAGCCAGGACATTCGATGATTTCCACGAATACAGCGTGCCGCCCCAGGTCAAGGCAATCAGGATAGACGCTACGGTCGCCGTGAGGATGCCGTTGCCCAGCCAGTCGATCCGCTTGAGGTTCGCCAGGGTCGCTCCGCGGCGGTCATGCTTAAGCTTGAGAAAGAAGGACACCAGAATGAGCGCCACACCGCCGATGGGCACATTGAGGTAAAAAATCCACCGCCAAGAAGCTTTGGTTACGATGACGCCCCCTATAATCGGCCCGACGAACATGCCCAGCGCGAAGAAGGACATCGTGATGGCAGTGTACTTCTGTCGGAAGCGTAAGGGGACCAGGTCAGCAATAATGATATAAACCATGACCATGATGCCCCCCCCTCCAACCCCTTGGATCACCCGTCCTGCTACCAACATTTCAATGGAAACGGCGCCACCGGAAATCCCACTCCCCAGTGTGAAAGAGACCAAGGCGGCCGTCATGGGGATCCGGCGACCCAGGATATCGGCGCATTGGCCGTATACGGGCTGCACGACGGCAACGGCGAGGTAGTAGCCGTTGAGCGCCCCTTCAAGCGACTAGGATTAGCATTTTCCTTTTCAAGGGGATAGTAGAAGGAGAGTCAGGTGTTCTAAGCTCTATCTTAAGATTGAAACTCCCAACATAGCTCCCTTGGGTAGTTTTTGCTCCTAAGCCAGCCTGTAAGGAGGAAGAAGCGACACTCGAGCTTCGTACAGATGTAAAGAGCCCCTGAATCGAGAGAGGCGGTTATTGAGGGGAGGGCAATGCCGAGGATGGAGGACTCGAGAGCGGTGAGGAGGATTGCAAGACATAACCCCGGGAATACGGCGTAGAATTGCATGTTGCGGGTCTTTCCGAAGGATTGTGTGTCTTCCTCTGCCGATGGGAGACCGACCTCAGCGGGGGCTGTAGCCGTATCGGAGGTGCTGGGTGATGAAGGCATGGTGCCGGCGAGAACTGGGATCGAGTATCGTCGATATTAGAGAGGGGGAAGATATGTGGAATAAGTTGGCTATTTATTTGTTTGCTTCTTTTTTTCTCTCCTCTTGTTGATTGTGCCGTCGCTCCGCCGCTCAGGGTTTGGGGAACTAATTACCGCGTCTTATGGCCGAAATACAGGTACTTATATAGGTTTCGTGGTTACCTCAAGGATCCAGAGGCTCGAGGCTGCCGTCACCGCCGTGATATCTTCCCTCCTTGGTATCCTACAAGCTTGTGTTGACTTGTGGTAACGGAGTGACTGGTGGCCTCCCTGTGTATACACAACCAAGACGAATAGAGGAAAGGACTGTGGCGGATTAGACGTGAGCCTGGGGAATTGCCAAACATATGTTGGAAGTAATCCCCGGGTTATGGCCACTCTGCCGTCCTGTGTATCCAGTGCAAACACAACCTCAACAGAACCGAGATGCCTTCGCGTCTGCAGCTTGACGTGACCACACCTATGGGATTCTGCCCCAGGTCTACCTCAACAGCTCGATACCAGCGAGATGTAACGTCGGCATGTGAATTATTTGCAAACTCCCCAACCATGTCTGCTTCTCTCAACCGGATTGTTCGGTCAATTACAAACTTGATATGTTGGAACCAAAGCTTCGGGACGGGGATGGTAGCTACTTTGGTTCGATATTTCCTTGATGTGTCACTCTCGCAGCGTACTTGGGACCAACGGTCCTATCATTTCCCTTGGTTTCACTAGCTCCTTAATTGGCAACCTCGATTGTAGAACCGAAAGAGGCAGTTCCGGAAATCAAGTATAAGAAGAGGGGGGACCTTTTGGGTTAGAGGAGATTGTCCATCAATTGTATCCCGGTATGCCAATTCTTTATCAAGTGCGATGTTCAACTTACACCAGCATGTACTTGTACGACCTTGCTCTTCAACGCCGTGAACGTGCAGCTTTTACCCCCAATTCGGCTCGTTTTTACAAAATCAACAAATACCGCGGCGAGAGATCATCGCCAGATTGCATAGGTATTTATCTCAATTATTCCAGGTGAAGAGCTGTTTGTTACATACTTGATGATCACGGACTCGCTGTGTGAATGCAAGGGTATATCGCAAACTATCATTTTGGGAACAACGCTTGTGTAACATCAAGATAACCGGGTAAAATGGGAGTGACGCGGCTATTTTCTTCACTGGTAGCTCTATGGGAAATTCGGTTTTCGCCCAAAATGACCTATGTACGATTTTACTTCGCCTCGAGCAGACATTTTTCCTCTTACGGAAATTCCTCATGCGTCGTACATAGCTCGGGGCAAGGCAACGGCATATTCCTGTTTGTTTGTATGTCCTTCGTAATGATATCGAAACAAGCAATCAACGAAAGCTCCTCGGAAAACATACTAGTAGGCTTATTCTATTTTGAGGACAGCATCCTGGTATTGGATCAGCAGATATAGTATCCGTTATCGTTTGTCTCAGCTTTTAGCCGATCGAGTGAAACCTCAAGTCGGCCCCCATGGACCCCGGCTCGAGCTTTCATGATTCACTTGATTGCATATACTGCCAGTTAACCTTCGGTCAAGTTGGTTCTGTTTTCATAGAAACCCAGTCATTCTGCTATCCAGATCCAGGGTCATGCTACTTCAAGATTTCAGACAAGCCATGTGAGTGGCCATGCTCCCCGAAGACATCAGTTGCCGATTACCTCTTCACCGAACGGAAAGCTTGGACTGCTTTTTACACAGGCCTGGGAAGTCAAACCTGAGGCCGATCTCCGTCCAATTACTCCGAGAGTCACCTCATAGATTTGATGAGAAAAGAGGCTATCATTGCATGAGAGGAGGCCTACGTATTCGGCCACGTTGTCTTCATTCGCCACACTGTGAAGGAACTACAAGCTCCTTGCTGCGTAGAGGAAGATGCAAACAGTTCCTTGACAAGGGTATTGGTATCGTGAGGAAACAAGAAGATCAAAGGCTTGGTACAAATATCGAACGATGGATTGGTCTTCCTGAAGCTGCTGGATTCAGGCACGAGAGCTCAAATACCCGCCACTCGCCAGGATGCGCTTGTGAGTTGCATAAAATTGGGGTTGCTAGATGGTCTCAAGCAGTATCAACCAGAAGCAAGGCCAGAGGGCGGTTTGGATGAGATAGCCAGCCAGCTTGTGAAAAAGGGTATGGGAAACATTCTAAGTAAAATCGCTCTATTGGAAACAGGGAAACCATGGTTGATCGCCGTATAGGGTACATGGTATTGCATTCACATGTGTCGTGTGAATTGTGTTACATCAAACCATGGGGTCAAGGGACTACAATCCCATACGAGATGAATGAGCATCGAGTCCTTGGTTTGACTAAGTGTAGCTGGGGGGCTAAGTGCGCTCGAATCCGCAACAATTTCCTTGATATTCAGACTCGCATTCGGGAACTCCTGCTTGACGCTCAGAAGTCGTGGGAAGACATTGGCAATCCTCGTCCGACGCAACATAATCGCCTGAAGTGCTTGGGGGATATTGTTTACAGCCACGAAGCTATCGCGAAGAGAGCCCTGGAGAAACCTGGGCTCTCAGGAGACGGGTTGAGCGTGCGGGCCAAGATCATGGATGCGAACAAGCGATTTGAAAAGTTGATGCATGACTGCGGCCACAAGCATCAGTTCGAAGATACAGAGATGGATCCCTTGGAGGAACTAGCTAAGATGGCAGAACTCAGTGGACATCCCGGTGAGACGAGCTCTACACTCTCGGTTTTGGGGGGTGTAGGATCTCCCTTCTCGTTCAATGGACAGCCAACCACTACTCCGAGCCCTCGCACCCCGCAGCCAACTCCAGAAATGCACCACACTTCTCCATATCGATTCTCCGCCCGCAGTGATGTTGTTAAGACTCTACTCAACGAAAGAAGAGCTGCGTGTCTTCTAGGGTATGCAGCTCCCCGGAGTTGTCAATCCGGAAGTCATGCCCTCGCTCTTCGAAAAGCAGACGGAAACATGGCAGGAAATAGCCGAAGAGCATGTCCACGCAGTTGCAAAACAGGTGGCAGAGACATCACAAGAAATGCTGAGAAATATCTGCTCACGTACTGTGGGGTCTGCTATACTTCATGATGGGCTGTTACACGTGCTGGGGAAGCTTTGGACTGACTTCGCTGGCTGAAGTGAAGACATGTTGCGACCGGGAGCTTTCACATAATGCAGATCATAGTCGAGAAGTTTTTCAAAAGGCTGAAGGCCTGGCAGACAATCCATCTATTGCGTTCTATGGTTTCTCTCTCGCCAGACTCCGATGCTATAACGATCCATGATCGCATCCACTTTTCGATTGAAGACAATATGGCCAATGAAGTACACGATATACCCAAGGTTTATTACCAAGTATGATTTCCCCTGGATACATCTAGGCACCCGAGTTCGCTCTAATAACAGCCCTAGATTTCGATCAAGTCTTTCGTTAGTCATATCAATTGTAATATCGTTGAAGATTTCTTTTCCGGCAGCAAAGGACTGGGTGTACTCTTTGAATAAAGATTTTGTGGATGTGCTTGCCCGCGAAGATGAAAAATCATCTCCAGAAGAGCACATCTTTATGGCAAGATCAGGGAGCTTCAGCGGAGGATCAGATTGCAGAATGGGCTAGAGAGTGGACAAGCAACCTGTATCATCTGGGAAACACCGTGGGTTCTTAGTGAACACAACGTAATCCAGCCATAAGCCACCCACACCTCCTAGCGGCATGCCTCTTAATACAATATGATGACATCGTACAATAATGTCTAAAAGTCTTTATTGTTCAGGAATTCCTTTTAGCTATAGTAGAGATAATAAACTATATTCTTCCGGTTGAAATGCGGCTCTTGGATATTGCGGCTTGTAAGCTGGCAGGTACTTGCATGGGCGAAAGACACCCTAGCAAGGACGGCAGAGTTGCGAGCTTGTTCCTAGGTGAAATTTGTTATTTTAAGCACCCACTCATACTACTATTTCAGACCAACATGGGTCATAATTGGACACCGCAACCAGGATAGTGTACCCGATCTTAGCGCTCGTTCGGTGGCAGGTTTTAGCTCCAGTTCAGGGGTCGGTGTTCAATTTTGTCAACCTCGCCTTATTCTACCAACATACATGGTGTGGTATCCTACTGGGTCAATAAGGGAGGCTAGAAATCTGCCTGGACTCGGGTTCATGTACATAGCAGCCTGGCAGCAGGGAACAAAGTACGACCAGGGTCGAAAAGGGGCGGGGTTTGCGCTACACAACGCGACTTGGTATGTGCCGGGTCTTGTTCATAAGGTATAGGAACTGGCATATATAGCGGGATAACCTACATGAAAGCCTGGCGGTAAGGACAGTTGTCAACAGTACGAACCACTTGGTATTATTCTGATAACTCTATCGACCTTGCATATCTTCATAATCGGAAAAAGCATAGGATCTGGGCATGGCCACACGGCATGAGAGTTATAATCCCGACTACATGAGAATGGAATGGAGGCATGCTGCTTCGATATCCTCAATAGCCTACCCTATCTCGCCGACTTCTTCATCCGCGACTTCTAGGCACTCTTGTTGATTATCGTTCATCAGGCCGTTACCAAGAACCTCGTGCCGATGTATGCAGCAAAATCGGCTTGCCCGTGAGAGGAAACGAAACCGAGGAACCTTAGAGAGGGGGATGCATCTTCTGTAAGAACTGGATTTACCTAGGAAAAGCGAGAAAATCATTATTTCCCCCGGCTCTCTGGGCATTGGCCAGATGACGTGCAACGTTAAGGATATACTCTTCGAGGTACCATTACGACGGGTTGTCGGACTGTCTAGCAGAAGCACTCGTTCGCGGAGGAGATTGTTCAGATACGAGCGAGTGGTCTAGTTAGGGTGGCAAGATGATATCAGAGACCTCGTGGCAATATCCGTCGTCAACATCCACAATTCCGGCGGCATGGCAGTATGGGAAGCCATGGTAGCAGGCCTCGTTGTGATTTCGTCCCGGCACTTATCCGGCCATAGACAGATCAATGCACGACTTTGGGCTAAGCACGATACTCTCGCTAAGGCTAAAATCTGGCGAAGGCCTGGTGACGAAGATCAGGACGACCTTCTGAGAATGGCCTTTCATGCCCGTTTATTTGTCTAGAGTCATCAACACGGGAATCATGGGGGGTTTCGACATTGACGCGATAGCTTAGGTAAGGCGCTCTACGCAACCCGAACGACATCGACCTCCCTGAACATGGCTAAGCGAGTGCTGTGTGAGCTGTGTGAGCTGTGTGTACTGCAACCCTCTCGGACTCGGTCCGGATTCCATTACATCACGCCGTGATACTTTCTCGAGATGTAAGAGCTGGGACGAATCCACGTTGTCCTAATTGTCCTGAGAAACGTAAGAGAGTGAAATGGATTCTACCGACCTTGCTTTGATCGAATACGTTCACGGTTTGTGCCCCCGGGGTCAATGGTAGACCACCATTGAGCAAAGAGTATGTCTACCACATCTTCTAGATGTTATAATCAGCTGGTTACACGAAAAGTACCAGAATGACCTTCAATATGTCATATCAAGGTGCTCGCATGCACGCTGATCATCTGCGTGGAATGGAGGATATTGAGAGGGCACGTGAGAAGAAAGCGGATGGACTGCTCGTTTTGGAGCAAACGAACGCTCACGATCTTGAAGTATTGTCGCTATGGATACATGATGGAGTAGTGTGGATATGCTACTAGAAGGTGAGCATGGGTCAAGACTCTGACAACCATCCACCTTGTGTCACTTCAACTAGATGGTGCCACATTAACTCAGTCAGCGTTACATTATATTATCCTCGTCATTGATAAAATGTCATAGCTTTACAGTGAAGGCGGCTGGAGTCTCCAAATTCACCTTGATAAGTAGGCTCGTGTTACCACTCAACGTCTCTTAGACACCTGGTTCTTACTTAAGAATGCGCTCAATGCCTATTCCCCTACATACAGCGAGCTAGATCTCGCCTACGATAAACCAGGCAGCCATGACTCCACACATACCACGGGTAGATTGAACAACCCATCCTCCAGTGGACTATTTTTCCCAGTCCAGACGAACGCAAACAACCAGCAAAACCTTTCCCTTCCCATGTAAAAGGTTCTAGCCCCACGTATGTATAATACCCCTTGCCCGGATCTATATCCCATCCCAAAATATGTCCACTTAGTCATCCCTTCCTCCCTCTGCCCCGAAAACAATCTCACAACAGTCAAGGTGCATGTCATCGTACAGAAGACGGACTCCCCCAAAGTACCTAACTCAAAACAGTTTCGCTGCGAGGCTATTCAACTTTTTAGAAATAAATCAAACGTTTCCAGATAGAGGTCCTTTGTGCTTGTGGTGGCCTGTACGTGCGGATTCTGCTCGAGCGCCTCGACCCATTGATGCCACCGCGTTCCCGGCATCGGGTCGCTCCAACTGCGGAGTTCGCTCAGCATCCGCGAAAGACGGAGGACGAAGGGGGCGAAGTGGATGTCTACCAGACACAGGTCGCCTCCGAGGAAGTATGGACCCTGTATGTGCGGTGTTAGTTGCATCATAGAAACTTCAGGAAGACGTCCGTCGCATAGGATGGGTTCTACTAACCCGCTCGTCAGCGGCTTGGACCAGGGCCGTGATGTCAGCTTGAAGTTTTTCTATACATTCGGTTTGTTTTGTTACGTCGGCTGCCCTCAGGAGAGCAAAATACGACGGCACGATTTTTGCGTTGATCTTCGGTTGTCAGCTACTTGTTGCCAATCTCACAATGGAACACATCAATGTCGCATCAACTTACATGGTCTATCCATAACCTGCAATTCGCCTTTAACCGCGGATCTGTTGGAAACAGCGGCACTCGATGGTCATGGTCTTCAAGCTAATATATGTCAGTACTTGCCCACGAATGCGGGATATAATTACGGGTCACCAACATATTCAAGAATAATGGAACTCTCGCCACTCGCCCACTCCCCTTCACGGATTGCTGGAACAAGTCCTCGAGGATTTGCTTCAAGCAACTGCGTTGGCCGCTTAAACGGGTCGGTCTCGCAATACTGGTACTGTGTGCCTTTCACTTCTAAAGCTATCCAAACCCGTTGAGAAAAGGGACTGGCGTATCAAGTCAGTCATCGACTCCGAGCAGTGATACAACTCAAATAATGTTACAAAACACAGAGCATACCAGAAACAGGCGGCATAAAGCTTGAGCTCGTGATCCTTGGCGTGTTTTTTCGCCGTGGATTGAGCAGGTCCTGAGGGTTTCCTTTGGAAAGGCTTCAGGGTTTTCTTCGCCTCCTTCTCTTGCGCATTGATAAAACGTTGGACGGTGGACTTCTTGATCTCGTCGCTCTTTTCCAGTGAATGTTTATGCGGGCCAGCCACGCCATCCCCCTTTCCGTTGCCGCCGTTGCCATTTACTCGTTGGATAGTCCAGAACTTTTCGCCGTTGGCTCCAGGTTGACCCCCAAAACGATCAGAGCTATAAGCTTGCTGCTGCGGCGAGGGATATGCGCCGGGCTGGACCGGATTTCCATTGGCGTCATCCAGCTGAAGCGTAGCCCCCGCAAAATACTCGGTGATCTTGATCTTGACATCACACAAGTCCCTCTCGCGCGCGTTGCGTTTTCGCTTCTTCTTGGACGGGTCGTCGGATTTGGGCGTACCTGGCGGCCGACCCTTCATGCGGCAATCCCAGTAGTGGGACACGAAGGGCTTGCGCTTGTACTTCTGAGTTGAGCGGTGCGAGTAAACATTGTCGATATGTGGGAAATATGTCTCGAACTCGTCATTGGTCAAGATAATGGTATCGTCGACGTTGAATAGCTTCTGGCGCCATGCGTCAAGATCGGGGGGATCAACAACGATTTTGTTGATCAGCTGGCCGTGCGGTCTTTCCGGATGTTGCTCGGCGGTCTCGGACGTCGATGAGGCCGCAGCGGGCTGGGCCAGAAAATCCTCCTCTTGTTGCAGTTGTGCGATGGTGTTGCTCTGTACAGCGTTCGGCGTCAGGATGCTGAACTGGCCATGACTCGGTGGAGCCGAGTGCGGCGGGGCTGGCGGCGGAGGAGCAGGAGGCGCATCGAGCTGATGGTGATGCTGGTGAGGGGTTTGGTGAGGGGTTTGCTGTCGTTGGTGGAGGTTCGGGACGGAGTGGTGATGCAGGTGTGATGGCGTCTGCTGGTCGCTATCGAAGCTGTCTTGTTGTTGCAGTTGTGGATGCGAATGGGCGCTGAAACCGTTGGCATCCTGGACGATGGGCACGGTTGAGACTTCTTGTAGGCGCTGGATGTGCGCCGCGTGGGGGTGCTGATGTTGATGAGGATGGAAGACGGAGGGGTCGGGAGCGTCGAGCACGGCAAGGCCGTTGATGGCGGCGTGTGAGGGCAGGGTGGATATGGGGAAGTGTTGCGACTGTTGCGTGGGAGGCGGCGGCGGCTGATGATGGGCGAGGTGTGGGTGTTGGTGTGGATGAGGCCCATGTTGATGCATGGGGTGCGGCGATGGAAACGACGTCGAAGCCGGGTCCATGATAGTCATGATTGCTGCTGGTTCACGCCGTCACGCAGTGCTGCGAGCATGGCAGTGCCAGTACGCCCATGCTCCAACGCACATTACATATCGCGGCCGGAAGTGTCAACGGCCCGGACCATCAGACGATCCCATGATGTGCCAACGGTCAAAATCGGGGTGGAAAGTGCAGTGGGTGAGAATAGAAAAAATCCGACGACGAGCAACAAGCCGCAAGCCAAAGAACCTGGGGAGCTTGTTGCGAACCAGGCCAGTTGCCAGCCCACCAAGGCGCCAAGCCCTGAACAGCCCCGCGAAAGTGATTGGAAAGACGCTGCCGATCCTACCCAGGCAAAGCAATTGCCAGAATCTTGACCCAAGGGCAGCCCGCCGGCAGGTTCGAGCGGTACCCACCCGCGGCAGGCACGCGCTCGGACTGCCGGGATTGCGGACAGCGGGCGCTTATCGATAGGATGGAAATTTGCGCACTGGCAAGCTTTGATGAAAAGCTGAGAGAAGCCTGGTCTTAAACCCTGAAACTCTCCCCCCCGGCGGTCCAAGCTCGAGCTCAGCGGCCAAAACGGCCCAAGGATGGGGGTTGTGTTGAAGCCCCTATTCACTTTGCAGAGCTCGCCTGAGTGTTCATTGACTGAAGTGTCTCTACCTGAAGAGCAATGGCAGCAGCTAAGATACTTAGACTTTAGGACTTGAAGTCATCCAACATATCGTATTGTAGTAGAGAGTGCTCTCGCGCTCGCCCTCATTCAACCCCGTCATAACACTTACTTATTGTACACCGAACGCAAACCCAGCATTCCTATTAGCCCATCGTTTCGTTTCGTTTCGTTTCGTTTCGATCGTTACCTGTACACCAAGAACTCCGCGTGATATCTCAGCCCAATCCCACGATGCCCAGGCACTTCTTGTGGTGCATCAGTACGCTGTAACCCATTCCTAAAACATCATAATAGAGCTCTCCCAGCTATTTCAAGCTCCTGAATCCCAGCCAATATCCATCGCGTCCATAGGTGGCAAATTCATCAAATGCCTCAAAACACCATCCGCTACGGGCGTCATTCCCGTCCCGGACCCAGTACCAGGCATCTCCCACCCGTTCGACATGGAGAAATCATGGCCCGGAGTCATCCCCGTGCCATTCCCTGCACCCGGAAAGCTAAATGTACTCGTATCTGGGAAGAATGCCGCCGTGGCAGCGTCCATCTCGGCCTGGTGCGAACCAATGGGGCTAGTATCGAACGATGTGCGTTCCGATGCTCGCTGCTGTTCCGACGCACTACTCGAGTTGGGTGTCGGCCGGTTCGATTGGCTGTCCGGGTTCGGCGAGAGCGACATGTCGTTTGTGCCGCTGCTCGCGCTGTCGCCGTAGCCGTTACCCGGGGTGAGGCGTTGGTCGAAGGAGATGGGTTGGACTATAATGCCACCGCATGCTTCGGACGCGGAACTGCGCTCACGCGTCGGCAGTCGTTGGTCGCCCGGGAGCCAATTTGCCGAATCATTCTGTCTGGGCCGGTTTTGGTTTTCTGGTTCCACGATCGCGGGTGTGTCCATGGGGTTGCCCGAATCGCCCGTGATCTTTATGAAGTTGCATTCGTTTCGGTATGCCATAATGCCACTCGGCTCTGTGCCTTCACAATTTTCTTTGTTTTTGCTCATTCTGGCTGCGACATTGGTGCTTGAGGGCTACGTCTTCCAGTCAGCATATCACGTCATATTTTTTCAGTTTTTTTTCAGTGGGTGCTTACGCTGTCAGCACTACGCGGGAATGCCGACTTGAGCTTTGGGATTCTCTGTCCCAGCGCCTCGAGGTCAACGTCCAGCTGAACCAAGAACGACTCGGTCAGCGGGTTCTTCCTCTTCAACGCATTCATAGCTGCAAGAAGGAATCGCAGTGAGTCTGCGGTTTGGCTATCATCTGGCCGACTCTTCAAGTACTGAACGAATACTCGTGATGCCACATATAAGCAGAACGAGATAAAGGGGTTCATCTGGGAAACAGGTCAGCAGTTGCTCCAATTGGCTCAATCACACGGGGGCAAACTCACAGCTGAGAGGTCCATATGAGACACCATTTTCATGATGCTTGCAATCTCATTTGCTGCCGTAATGCATCGGACCTTGCTCTCAGCGCTCACGGAGCCGGGTAACCTGTTCTTGTCTGCTTTGAAGATCGCCGCCTGGTGCAAGCATATGGTCGAGGTGTGAATATTCATGTTGGTGAAGACGATGTTAGGGTTTCCAAGGCCACATGGCAATTTCAGATGGCTGGGAAGGCAGAGAGACGTATTCAACAGGATATTATCCATGTTCCGATGTCGTTTCCAGAACTCTCCATTAAGGTCGTGATCCCGATCTTCCGCATCTGGACGGTGCAAGTGAATGAGATTGCGGCCAAAAAGACAGGCCATTAAGGCGATCCCACCAAAGGACGAGAGCTTGGCAGCTCCGGTGGGCGTCATGGCGTCTTGCAAAGGCTGTGACATCTCAGGTCGGCTCATCTCGAATGCTTCCTCAGAGGAAGGTAAGTTCGTCATGATGTCTCGCTCGTCCACCGTCATGGGCCATCCCGTCCCAATGCTAGCATAGCGATCTTCACAAAAGGCCATCCAAAAGGTGCGACGCCTCTCTTCTCTCTCGGTCCAGTCTCGTGGTGGTGGTAAACACTGCTTTACGTCAAGTCCGTTCCCATCTAGTCTGTGCAAGCCAATCCTATGTTGTGTCAGCGGAACCAGCTCAGTCTGGGTGAAGCTGACGGATACATACATTTGACACAGACGCACAGCTGCCCCGGTGCTCATCCAAGCTCGAGGGAAGTACATCATTTTGAATTCGTATAACGCCAGTAACACATGAGTCTGCGCATGTGCGACTGATATCATATGCTCACCGTACCCCTTGATGTAGTCGGCTTCCATATACTTGCGAGCTCGTTGGTAGAAGAGATCTTTTAGATCTGCGTACTTTTCCGTGATGGAGCAAGCCATGGTCCACATCGCGTACCGCAGTGCAACAGGTGGCCGTTGATTTGGAGCTCTTCGTCAGTTATTAGCGCATCATTCATGCTCCCAAAAAATGAGCGACTGTTTAGACGTACAGATTCATGGCTGCCAAGTAGCGAAACTTGTGGATCATGGGTAGCGAAGTGTGAATCTTGTCGAAGTAAATTTGATGCCTGAGAAGGGCTGTGAGTAAAATCAACCAGAATCATGTAACCAACACTCAACTCACAGCTCATCGATGGTTTCTTGAGGGGGTAATGGTTCCTCAAGCCCCAGCCCAATCATCTCCCAGGTGAAGCTGTTGTCCATATTGTTCATCCCTATGGATATGTTATTGGCAAAGTTGAACTCATCCATATTGCCGGCTTGCGGCGATTCCCCCGTGAACTGCCAGCGGTCCATATCACGGTCATTCCCAATGGCAACGGAAGGGGTGGCAACATGGAAGTTGGCCGTCGCCGCTGATCCAGCCGCTGCTGATTGGTTCCGGGACTCGAAGGGATTCGGGGGCGTCACTCTCGAAGCGTCTGGACTAGCAGTGGCTGGTTCGTTGGTCTTCAACAGGGACTCGACTTGCTCTACATATCACATAGGCATCAATAACCGCATCACGTGCTTGCCGAATAAGAAGTTTTGGACGAGGTGGTGCTCACTCAGTCGCTCCTCCAGCGCCTTCACATAACCCCTCTTGGGGCCGCTCTTCCTCCTCACTTCATCGTAGGCGCATGTGTGTCCCAGTCGCGTACAGGTAGAGCAACTTGGTCTTGTACCGTTGCATTTGAGTTTCCTCTTCCTGCATATCATACACGCCAGTCTTTTGGGCTTTGGGACGTTGGCATTCGCAGCAGGCGCATAATCGCCGTGCCCGTCGGCGGTAGGACTGCTTTCGCTGCCATTCGCATCGTTTGGCACCGGGGGCGCCTGGCCCGGGGCATCATCCGGCGATGGAGCCATCGCCACAGGAGTGGACGAGCCTACGGGAGCCGATTCGGATCGGTAGAGTCGGTGGGCGAGTCAGACGTCGAAGTTGACCGCCACGAGGTGACCGGATCAGGTTCCTATTGTACCGTGCTCTTCGTGACAAAAAGCAGGATGTCGTCTTATACTATGTGTACCGCAGTGCTTCAGCTGGACCATGGAATGAATAATCGCACTTGATCGTACAAGCGTGGAGCGCTGTTGCACCGTTCTATCAAGAAATCTCCAGTTGAGTGCAGCTCTCTCAGCGGTCCAGGGGGTTGGCAGTACGGGTGAGGACCGCGCGAGGTGGGGTGTGTGTACAGGATGCGACCGCAAATTGCTAGTTGACTAGTAGGGCTGAAGGGCTGCACAGCTTCGACGCAATATAGGACAAGATAATCTCTTCACTTGGCTTGGCGTAAGACCCAGCAGAGAATGGTGATGAATCCCAGAGATCGATGATGCAGTGGGCAAAATGATGTAGGTAGGAGGCTGCAAGGCAGCAGTTTGGGATTCATCACTAGTATAGATGTGCCAGAAATCGTTATCATTTGCATCAAAACAGAAGTGGGCGCTCCTCCTACATTGAGCGTGCCGCTGATCCGACCCCATCTAACGCTAATCTGCACACCGTCTCCAATAAGCCTTGCATCTTCACTGTGGCTCCTTTAACTGGAAAATGCCGTGCAACCTCTGGGCTGCTGGGCCTCCTAAGGCACGCAATTATTCCACCATCAGATTGAACATGTGTTTTGTACCCTGCAGGTGAGGTAATGCAAATAAATAACTAGGGACCGTTGTCGTGAGCAAGATACGAACTCCATGTTGCCAAGTGCATTAATAATCCAATATGCTGGGCAAGGAATGGGGCCGCATTTGCTAAAGGGTCCCGTCCCACCTCACATTACTGATCTGACATGAGCCGACCTGCTTTGCACGTGGAACAACGTGCTACAAACGATCGCCAGCTTGCAGCCAAGGGATCCCGACAACTCTTGATTCATTCCTCAGGGTACGAATGGAAGTAGGGAGTGTAGTGTTCCCAGAACTACAAGCTGCACAACGGGACACCCGATCAGCTGGATAGCGTCTAAAAATAAGCCGCGACTCTGTCGGCGGGTAACCTTATTTTGATTCTCCACCTCTGTCGGAAATTGGCTACAGCTCCGACTCCGTCAACCAATTCACCGACAATTTGCAGTCCTTCGCGTACTATAGTAACTCAACAATAACAAATGTAGGGATGTGATGTATGATTTAGATCCTTCGTATTCAATCCCCCAGATGATTTTCCTAGAGTTGTGCTCGCTTGTCTTGATAGACAGGCGTTGAGATACAACCCTTCTTGCTCTTAAGTCCGTCTAGCCTCGGGCTTTAGCCCAACAACGGATGTATTCGTCGTGCTGCGTGTCGTGGATTGTACCTTTAATATGATTGCGCGGATACGTCCAGATGGCCAGTGTAACAGACGTAAAGGCCAACTAAATACCATTTCACGGCCTGGTTTACGATTTGGCGCCGACAAATTCGTCAACCATAGCTCGAGTCACCCTCCACCGCGGCACTAACTCGGCTCCGCATTGCTCCGTGCTGACTGGACGGTACAGGCAATCCTGAATTGTTCGGCACGCACAACTCCTCGTAGCCGATCCAATTGAATGAGTCAGTAAGGGGCATTCTGAACACAGTTATTTGTCGACTTGCTCTTTTGCTGCTCTTATTTGCACGTAATAGCTCTTTAATATCAGGGCAATGGGGTTGCTGCGGTTCGGTTCCTATTTCGCGCCAGCACTAATGATTCGAAGCGTCCCCAAATCACTGTAGGCCAAAGCATATCGATTGGGGGCCCACGCTACCACAGGGCTCGGTGACGCTGTCTTGAAGGTGCATATGGGTTCACCTGTCTCAATGTACGCGATTTCCAAGCCGTTACCTGTTTGAAATTAGCAAAACCCTGGACCACATCGCTCGAGCTCGGGGTTACCTTCGTCACTGCCGCCAGCCACGTAGTTGCCGCAAAAGGACAGACTAATGCTTCGAACAGGGCCTACCATCTTCGTGATTGTTCTGACACAGTTCCACTCGGTGGTATCCCAGATGGAAATGAGCGCGTCGGTTCCTCCAGTAACAAGATACTTGTTGTATGGGTGTAATGCGGCGGATATGCAGGATGAAGTGTGTCCAGTAAGCTTCATCTCGGCCTCTGCTGGGTCTTTCCAGTCGTAGGTGTAGACAGGGTTGAATTCTGGGAAGGATAGGATTCTGGTTCGACCTTCGCCAGTCGTGACGTAGATTCTCTCTTTGCTCCAACAGAAAACCACCTGGTTTGTCGGCACATCTTGTTGGTGAGAAGAGACGGGAGTGTTTTGCGTTGGCGAAAGGACATACAGTATGTCGGCCTGCATGGTTTAGTCAGAGACACAAGATGGAGGACTCTTGGGTCGTACCTTGTTTCCAACAATGAGACTCTCACCATCTGCAGACCATGCCAAGGTAAAAGTTTCCCCAAGCCCCTTGACCTCGTTGATCAGCGTTCTGGTCCTGACGTCCCAGAATTTGACAGTCCCATCACTGCTGACGCTGCAAAGCTCAAGCTCCTTGACTGGATTGAAGGCGATCTTCTCAATCGGGCCCGAGTGTCCTTTCAGCTCCGTCGATTGACGAACATTCGGCTTGTCTACGTTCCCTGGAGCTTCATTAGCATCGGCCAATGCAGCAGAAGGTGACTCATCGGTATCCATATGACGAGGTCGTTTCTGATGTCCACAGTTCTTCAGAAGTCCAGATAGAGTTGGCGGACTTACAAACTCGGAGAGTCTTGTCTGCGGAGCCTGTTGCAACCCAGGTTCCCAAAGGGTTCCAGGCTATTGAGCGGATGCTGTGATTAAGGTCAGAACGGAGGAATGAGGCATGTGTATGGGAGGTTTGTAAGAAGACCCCAAGACGACCACAGCCATCGGTCGGGTATTATGCAACGCATTTATGGCACTGAGAGGAGAGTGACTTACTTGTTTGAACCTCTAACCGCAGCAGGGTCGTTGTAGGCAGTTGGCTTCAATGTCGGGAAGACGGCCTTGAATTTCTCAGGGGGGACTGCCGTCTTGGGTGGTACTCTAAGCATTTTCGACAACGTCTATTAGAAGCACGAGTCGAGTATATGTGGTTTTTGGCTCTGGGGGGAAGGGGGCGCCAGAAACTTGGATATCGTCAAGAAGATAGCCGGCAGTAGCTTGAATCGACAATATTCCTTGTAGATCTTGGGATGTTTGCGCAGCTGCCTTTGCTCACTCGGTCCAGGCTTGGAACGTACTCAACTCCAGATCGAGATGTAAAAGAAACCTCTCAACGGCCAAGGCTGGTGCTTGCAACATTGAAGGTTGTGGCCGCCACATTCTCAGTTGGATGAAAACGCGGCCCACATTCTGGCAAGCTCGGAGCCCCACCCAGAACTTCGAAGTGACAGGGGTCGGGTCGCTGCCGTAGTACCTGACGTTAGTATTGGAGATCAATTGGAGCTGAGCTGGTCGCCGGTCCCAAAATCACTGCCAATTGGCAGCGACCAGGATATTTTCACATACAACTATCTACTTACGTATCTTTTACCATGAAATAAACATCTCCCCCAATGGCGGAATGAATTAGCTTTGAATTTACAGACTCATTGGTTATCCACGCAACGTATATCATCACCTGTTTTTTCGGCTGGTATGAGGTGACGCGAATGAGGCCCCAGTTGGCTTGGAGCAGCCATGTACTGGCCCATTGGAACCCCTCGTATTTATGCGACCACCACTAGCCAAGCTGCAGCGAGACCAAGGGCCGTCGTCTCTCACGATGGCCTTGAGCCAAGTACAGGTGCCGACAACAGTTCTTTATTGAGCACAACCCCGTCAACGTCTCGAAACGACGAAGACAACACTCCCAAGGAAGCCAACCTTGATGTACCGCTGCAGGTCCCGCCGACGCCCTTCACACCCGCAACTCCGGCCGTCAACTCCGTCGAGCACGATTACTATCACGATGTATTTGCGCGAAGCTTCCAGGACCTGGCAGTGTCCGATGGAGCTGCCGTGCCGTCCGGCGAGCCTATTGTTGCCCTAAAAGTCTCTCGGACTGGTCATTTATTCGCTGTCATAACGCCCACCACTATGACGATCTGGCAGACCAAGGTGCGTCTCTGAAGCATATCGCTACGGCGCCTTGCCGTCAAGCTAACCTGGATTATCTGCAGCCCACAGTTATTCTCGCCGTGGTCGTACGCTCCGAGACTTCCATCAAATCTTACGGCGCCAACGTTGCTCTCTTGCTGCGGCCCGATTCCGCCATCTTCGTCGTCCAAACGAGCTCTGGTTACCTCATTACTTACTCCCTCGCCACAGACGCCGAATCCCGTGTGTACAAACCTCACTTCGCAGACCATAAAAACATTCAGAGACGGAGACAGAGTCATTTTGGCGGCCCTGGGAATACCGCCCCAGACCAGATTTTGCTAGGGCCCGGCGAAGGGTCTGGCGTCCGCGACGTCAGCGTTCGTTTTCGTAGGGTCATTAAAGTGGATGCCGGAATCGAATGTGCGCTTGCTCTTGACGATGAACTGGTCGTCGCTACCCGGAAACCCGCCGCCGTGCAGTGCATACGATGGACCCCCGACAGTACTGGTAGCCAGACAAGCACCGAACTTGTGAGTCGCATGGGCTGGCTAGAGAAGAAGACTTGTATTAAGGAGATGACGCATGACCGACCAATGAACCTGTCCACTTGGATTACCAGTGGTGGTAAAGCATTTGCTGTTCAGCGTAGCTCAAGCGCGCATGCTACCCAGTCACAAAATAACGGTAATGGCGAGGTGGACCCGAAGAAGCTGTTCAGAGGCTACTGCTTTCATTCCCCGCAAAGCGAGAGTAGTCATGCAGTGAGAGCAGTCATCAATGCAAGGTTCTCGCTCATCGCAGTAGGCTGCGCCGATGGATCTATCCACGTCTACTCTGCCAGGGACTACGTGGGCAATATTCCAGCTTCTCATGTGCACAACAACCCCGTATCACCAAAGGCGTCCGGATCCCTGACTGCCTTGACCTACTCACCTGACGGGTATTGCTTGTTTGCCGGCTATGAGAATGGCTGGGCAGCATGGAGCGTGTACGGGAAATCAGCAAGCCATAGCTTTGGCGTCAGTACCTCGGTAGCGTCCAACAACAAAGAAGAGTGGCTGTTGGGCATACGTGAAGCATGCTGGATAGGCGGTGCGTGTGAGCTCCTCCTCGTGGGTCGCCAAAACGAAGCCATTTGGGCACTGGAGATGGCACGCAGTGCCGTGACGGGCTGTTACAGCCCCCCCAATCTGTTTCGGACCGTCCTGCAGAGCTCTTCTAGCGTCATGGTTTACAGGGGCTATGACCTCCCGGACCTGACCAGTATTTCTGCGGAACCGTTCTTGTGGCACACCGCGAGGATCCCGTCCAACTATCTACTGAACCAATGGCCGATTAAATGCACTGTCGTCTCCTCTGATGGCAGGTATGTGGCGGTCGCTGGTCGACGGGGTCTCGCCCATTACAGTATCAACAGCGGCAGATGGAAGACATTCGCCAATGGAGTCATGGAAAACGAGTTTCAAGTCAGGGGTGGGATGTGCTGGTATCAACACATACTCGTGGCAGCTGTTGAAGCCAACAGGTCGTACGAGTTGCGTCTCTACTCTAGGGAAACGGCACTGGACAGCACAACGGTCATGTTCACGCAGCAGATGCCAGCCCCTATTGTTTTGATCACTCCGTCGGGTGAAGACTCACTTCTAGTGTACACATACGACAACCTACTTTATCATTTTGTCTTCGCGCCCGTAGCTGGTGCGCTGCGGCCAATCCAGGTCGGGCAAATTGCTTTTCACGGCATTGTCAGATCACCAGCCAGAGTCCGAGGTCTCAGCTGGATATTACCAGAGAGCCAATTAGTGGACGGTGACCCCTCTCAGGACGTTGCCGTGGCGTCGGTGCTTTTCTTAGTCGATGGAAAACTCGTCCTGCTGCAGCCATCCTTCAATAACGAAGGTCACCTCAAATATGACATGCGCGTCATATCACAGAACGTGGAATATTATATAAGCATGAGGGACCAGTCGTCAGTGCATATGCTAGGCCAGCCAAACGATCGCTTCTCTTTGGAAACCGAGGAAGTCAGTCTCCGAAATGCTCTTTGGGTTTTCGAGGGTCATGAGCTGAGAGCCTGGCCGGATATCCAGGACGTCCTAAGAGCTACGACAGACTCTACCAAGGAACTGCCTCCGACTGTGTTGATAGCAGTTGATTTCTATCCCCTATCTATCCTCATGAGCAAGGGCATCATTCTCGGGGTCGAGCCGGACTTGGTGCAACGGAGGGACATCAACTTCTCCTTCTTCCGCTTTTCCATTAGGGTAGGCACTTCCATGATTCAACTGCGGGCTATTACTGACAAACGCAGACTCATCTCTTTCTCCCCGCGATCCTGCGGTTCCACCTGACAAACAACAATTCCTTCGCTGCTCTGAAGCTAGCTCAAAATTATGAAAACTTAGAATACTTTGCTCATGCACTAGAAATCTTGCTTCATCACGTTCTCGATGAGGAGGTGGACTCGGCACCGGCCCCCGAAGCGGCCATTCTTCCCCGGGTACTGTCGCTACTATCATCGTTCAGACAGTATCTGGACATTGTAGTCCAGTGCACGAGAAAGACGGAGGTGAGATCGTGGCGAACCCTTTTTGCATATCTCCCGCCACCGGGAGAACTGTTTGAAGAGTCGCTACAGCGCGGGTCCTTGAAAACGGCCGGCGGGTATTTACTCATCTTACACACGTTTGAAGAGCTCGACACGGCATCAGAGCAGTCGGTCCGGCTATTCTCCCGCGCAATCCGAGAGGAGGATTGGGAACTTTGCAAGGAATTGGCTAGGTTCCTGGCGGCGATGGATGAGAGCGGCGAAACGCTGCGGGAGGCAATGCAGCTGGTCAATCTAAGGGTGGGACAGGACAGGGATGAGGCGGATTTGATGACTAGACTTGGTGTGCCGTCGTCGCGAAGGTTGAATGGGGGCACGAAACAGGACTCGGATATTGGTTCAGATGTGCAATCGGCGGCAGTAAGCGAAACGAGCAGTTTTGGGACTGCGAGTCCATCGTAGTTATGGCTGCGTATATGTAGAAAGTTGCATAGAGTTGCTTGTATTGGCGAAGGGGGATCAAATAACCAAGGTATGGAATGAAAGCGGGTATCTAAAACGAGAGGTTTCTGTTCTTTTTGGATTTGATTGTTTCAAGATCACCACGGCCCCTTTTTCTGCGTCGCTCGGAATGATGATGCCCATAACTACTACTGAGTATCCAAGTTCGTGATAAACACCGGCCAAAGTTTTGGGCCGAGGTACCCGGTAGCTCCCCCTGAAAAATGACCGAAAGCACAGTTGCACGGACCATGTTGCCTCGATGAGTGGTCGAGGCTAACTCGAGAGCAATTTCAACCCCACCAGCTGCGGTGAAATCGCGTCAATACCAATCCCCCACCTGGACGGCTGCAGCCTTATGATATCGTCGCCGCCGCCAGAATAGTATAGTTCTCGTCGGTGATGACACCGCCTCGGCATTTCTAGGACATCGATTGTTTAATTGCGCCGTCGTCACAGTCATCGGTGGCCACGAACCACCACCCGACCGCGCCCATGATGGACGAATTTGCTTCCGAGTCTGATAGCGACTACACGAGCTACTGGAGGGACTGGGTTAGTGGTTGATCCCTTGCTTTTGCTCCTGCTTTTGCTTCGCTGACTACCATCGCGGCCACACAGTTTATCTCATCCCGCGGCAATGAGTACTTCTGCGAAATTGACGAGGACTACCTCACAGACCGCTTCAACCTGACTGGCCTTAACACGGAAGTTCAGTACTACCAGTATGCGCTCGATCTCATCACCGACGTCTTCGACCTCGATTGCGACGATGACATGAGAGAGACGATCGAGAAGTCGGCCCGCCATCTGTACGGCTTGATTCATGCGCGCTACATAGTCACGACTAGGGGTCTGTCTAAGATGGTATGTGCTGATGCTGGCGCTGTTGCCGTAGTATAGTCCTTCCAGCACGGGAAACCACAGACGAATAACTTGGATGACTGACCGTGTTGGTCCCAATAGCTTGACAAGTACAAGAAAGCCGACTTTGGCAAATGTCCCCGCGTCTTCTGCCACTCGCACCCGCTCCTCCCCATGGGCCAAACCGACGTGCCGAACCAGAAGCCCGTCAAGCTCTACTGTGTCCGCTGCGAGGACGTCTACAACCCCAAGTCGTCCCGCCACGCCGCCATCGACGGTGCCTACTTCGGCACCTCGTTCCACAATATCATGTTCCAGGTCTACCCGGCCCTCGTCCCGCCCAAGAGCTCCGAGCGCTATATCCCCCGCGTCTATGGCTTCCGTGTCCACGCCCCGGCCGCCTTAATTCGCTGGCAGAACATGCAACGCACCGAAATGCTGCGGCGGTTGCGCAAGCTCGAGGTCGAGAGCGGCTTCAAGAATGATAATGGTGAGGTGGATTTGGATGAGGAAGATGACGAGGACGAGGATGATCTGGATGCTGAGAACGATGTCCTTATCGAGGGGACCGGTATGAATGTCGTTGGTTGATGGATATCGTAACAGAAAGGAATAAAGACAGAAGAAATCCACCGACGCCCGGCTGTATGGGTTTGCATGGGGACTTGTCGGAATCGAAGCCCTGTGTTAGGAGGTATTGCGGCAGCATTCATAGGAGGCGGCATCGGGCTTTGCGCATGCTGGCGTTTCAGATGGCTGGATTTTGCGATGGCGTTTGAAAGAGATTCCCCAGTATCGTCATTCTTAATAGGATTGCAAATAGGAACATGTGTGTATTCACCAATGCTGCCGCTCTTCTATCGCCTGTATGGTATTTAGGAATTCGTAGGCTTCTCAAGTATCATTTCGTCGCCATTGTCTTCGTTATATAGGGCATGGCGGCTTGTGCACCACAGCATCGATGGTAGTAGACTTATAAATGAGCTGGGCGGAGTTTGACGAGGAACAGCTGCCGAGGTAGCGTCTTGCTCGTAAAACATGCCGCATCACCGGCAGACTTCCGGGCCGTCCCGCATGCTTTGGCACGACACTTATCCCGGCCCGCAACTTCGATGATGCAGTGCATATCGGCAGCAGAACAGAATCGACCAACTTGGACTAGTTCCCTTGGGTGAATCGGGTCGGGTATACAATGTCGGTATCATTATCAGATTAAGTTCCAAGACCTCCATCCATAACGGGACAGACGTCGTCTTGGGCTCAACTGTACTTTCCGGGCAGGAAACTGGGGGGTAATGCACTTAATAAGAGGATTAGGAGATAGACTTGGCGAATTCAACAAGTGCCCTCTTTCTGTGCTTGTGAAGAATCGTTGCTGCGACTGGGAGGGATAAGGATGACGAGTATGAGGACGGCGAAGGCGTAGCTTCAGTTGAGTCTTTAGATTTGAGCGATGGACAGCCTTGCCTGCAGGTATCTTAGTTCCGGAAACCATGAAAGGAGGTCAAACAAAGGTAAGAGGCCAGCCCCTCTAATAATTATGAGGTAGGTTATGTTACCAAGTTTCGCGTCGTACTTATGATCGAAACATACAGAGAGTTCTTCGCTTGAGGGCCTCCTGAAGGATGCTAACATTTCCGTTCCTCGAAGGGTCGTTTTATTGTTGCCGATTATTCTGCACTCACTGGGCTGACTGAGCCTGGCCATAGAGCGGGACGGTTTGTTAGACCTGATGGAAGCACCGTCTATGCCTGATGGGACCTACTTAGAACTCACGAGTCTTGCCAGTTCTCTGTCCTGTCTTCATTATTCCTCGAGGGCACAACGTTACTGCCAATTATGGAGTTCTGCAAGCACAGGTTATTCTTCGCCCGAAATCTTCGTCGGGCAGAAACGAAGCGGCCTTCATGTAGTAGAGGTGTACGGTATGTAGGCAACAAAGCAGGCAAAGTATCTCAGGATGGCGATGGGTTGACCAGCAGGAAGTACACTTCATCCACACCCCTATCCAGGCTCTGATTGCATCGATGTCCAATCCCGATTGCGATCTACCCGCCGCCGTGGAGGCCCATCGACAATACAGACCATCAACGCCAGGAGCCGGCAGGGTTCCTCATCAAGAATGCCTACTTCACGCTATAACTGGTCAAACTCCCAAGTGGACACGGCGAGCAACGAGAACAGGCAGCTCGTTACAAGATCACGGTTCGATATGATTCATGCACAAACGAATACGAGATGATGGCAAGGAACCAGTCGAATTCGGATATCCAGAATCGTCAGCCTGTTGCTCAACGACAGGTACCTGAAGATCCTGGAGTGGGTTTGCCAGCTCTCGGTTCATATTTCAACCTATGCTACGTATTCATGTTTGGCTGCTCCAAAGTAGATGGTGGAAGTGTCCGTGGCATCTGTGAACTCCTCGTTCTCCACCATCTCATGTATCGCATACAAATGATACGTGGGCTGAAGACCATCCCCAAGCCTTACGAATGTTTCCGTCTCATCAGTCTCATCGGAGGATTTAGCACGGGAGGGCAAATCATCTCGGTGCTTACCAAGTTCCGTACGACCGTCCAAGAATATATCGGCAGCTACTATTCGCTCGCCGAATGTGTCTTTAGGGAGAGCAATAAGGCTAATTCAGGCACATTTACTCGCCTTACAAAGTTTGCGAGAAGTGGCTCAGACCCGCAACCTATTTTCAAAGCAGAGGAGCTTGAAAAGCTGTGGAAGATGTTACATACTTGCGCGTGGAAGATAGGGAAGTAGGGGCTTCAACAACCCTGACATGGGGAATGAATATGTCACATATCATCGCTACAAGGCTCTGCTGATAGGTTCTAGATTCATCTTCATGCTAGGGACGGTAACAGCTCGGTACCCTGTACGCCTCAGAACATATGCGAGCGCAATCGAATGTGATGGGGAATACCCTGACGGCTTTGAATCTCCTGAAGCTCTGCTCAAATCTCTGAAAAAGCTCGTTATCTGCACCGCAGCCTTCCATGTTGGAGCTGCTTTATCTCGCCACGTTTCCTACAGGTGGGCGGCTTGGAACGCGAGCGAAAGCGGGCGAATATTTGAGAGGGTTCCCTGGCTTTTCATTCAACATTCATTCAATGCATCTGCGAGGCCGTATTCAACTTTGAACAAATGTAGGGAAGACAGTAGACAAGTTTCAATATGTTAGGGGGTTGGTGTTTTCAGAGTTAACACACTTCTCCCGATGAATTCAACTCATTCGGTGCGTATGGTTCGCGCTCAATGCATGCCAATGCCTTGCGGTTAGCAGGGCGTTATCATAGTTGGGAGGGGAACAAGTGATCCTGCAAGTGGCGACGCCCGGAAAAGTAGCCAGTCTATGAGAAATATAGAGTCCGGGAATACACAAACCCACACTGCAAAGTTCCATTGCGTAAAAGATTGAAGACAGACCAACCGGTCTTGTACCGGCGTGCTATGGCCTCAAGGCTCTCTCAGCCTGACAGCAGATCGGTGAATGTACAGGCAGTAAAGTGACACAAAGCTGTCGCACTCAGGCTTAGTATGCAACATAAAATGCAACATAAAATGCAACATAAAAGGACAGGAAGAGTCGATATAACTTGTCAAGATATATCCGACTGGTACACCCGAAATAAGCATAGCACAACAAGGTTCCTACAGGGACAAAATTCGGACAGCGGCCTGCAGATGCATCAGTCTAAGCTGGTAGCTTACTGGCTTAACTCCCGGGAGGCGCTCGGCAGAGCATAGCGGAGTGCAGATATAACGGTAATGCCAACGAGAAAGGCCTCGGTAGAATAGGCTGGAAGCATCAGAGGTGCTTGCCGAGTTTCATATTGAAACTTCTTTTCTCCAACTTCCTCGTGATAACCGCCAGTTTCGTTCTTTGTACAAAGAGGCGGAACCCCGAATGGATATCTCCAGGCTGGCGGGAAATCTTGCCGGTGGACAGACTCAGGGATCCCGAAGACCATAATAGGACAGCAAAGACAGATAGCACCAAACTAAAGTCGGCTCACCCAATGCTCCATACGTAAAGGGGTTCAGGAGAACCAGCGTGGGCGTGGTCATCAAGGCATAGCCCAAAGCGCTTCTGGTTCTGTGAGACATCTACTGTGGAAATGTATCAGCAGCGTTCGTTGGGATATCCTTGGCTCGCTTGAACATATATTCAACACCCGGACTGTGGCCAGGTGCGCAACCGCTAGAACTATATTTCCATGGCTAGGACGGAATGGGCCCCACGCCTTGGGGCGTGGAACACAACCGGCTTTGACACAAGCTTATTTATTCCGCTTTCGGTGGCACGCCTACTGCAGCCGGCCACAGACGGTTGGTTTTTCCTTGATGGAGAACCCGTGGCATCGCTACAGCATGGCATCCAAAATATTGACAACCCGCATGTGCAACGTTATATTACACATAATAAACGCCTTGACTAGTGGATCACTGCGCTTCGATTTTTTCAACGATGATTCGACCCTGGATATTTCTGTGTAGCCCCGGTGTAGGACCCGACCATTGATACCATGACACTTTTGACTCACGACAGCAGGATCGACTCGACAACAGCAACGCCCGGAACCTCTTGTTCCTCGACCGTCCGATACAGCGACTCTTCGAGCTTGCGACTGGTATGATGACTAGCTTCAATCGCTCTTCCGCAACAAGGGTGCTTTGATGCTCTTTCGGGGTTGTTTATATCATACCCAGAGTATATCAGCCTATCAGCTGTCATGTTCCAATATTGGTAGCTGGCAACTCCGTATGGAACTTCTCTTTCCAATATCTTGTAATATCACTGGCATGATGACCCACCACCTTGGCGCGTTGTACTTGTTGGCGTATTTCTCCATCCGAGTCCATGGTAAGCGAAGTATACGCACAGCCGTTCAACCGAGCGGCGTGGTTGCCTAACAGGATTTACCTGGAATTGTGAGGTTGGCGGCAAGAGTTGATTAGCAACAAGTTCGCACTTATGTTTTGGATGGCATGTCACCAAGGGAACATGTTGGTTAGGTGAAGTCAAATACATCAAATTCATGTGCAATCTCAGTGGTATCCCTTTACGCCAGGCAAGTAGAGGATTTGCCCCGAATACGCCACGTTGTTGTACAACAGCCAGAAGTTGGCCGTTTAATTCAGATAACACCTCTGTTTGTCATATCCCCCGTATTCCGAGCCCAGTGCCAGTGTCCGGGAGACCTTTATATCCGATTTTGGTCCATGTCATGCTCATTTCTTACACCCATGTCATCGTGCATTTGCACTGGGACCCTCGAGTGTTCTGCGTGGTCTAAGGTCGAAATATCAGTGTTGTCGAACTGTTTTGCCGCTCGATGACGGACTCCCATCTCGATATCACCCGGTGCTTGTCCCGCTTGTGCTCCTTCCTCAGCGCTTCGGCGAATCCAGTGCTTCTTATCCGTGGCGTAACTGTATGATCCGACCCCTGCCCAGAACGCCTTATCACTGCTCCGAGGCGCCCAAGCCCAGCCGGCGCCCTGGCTAATCGGCAAATGGTAGTATCGGAATGCAAACCAGGCGCAAATCAGACCAATCATGAAACCGAAGAGGATGTCAAACCCGTGATGGCGGAAATCAAACCATCGGGAGCTCGCAATGAAGATGGAGCCAAAGAACGGTAGTGCGGTCAAAAGCAGAAGATATAATGGAGGCGCGGCGGCTTGTTTCCGCACTGCAAACACCGCTGTACTGTGTTCTGCGATTTGTTTCGAAACCGCTGGATCGTCAGGAGCCGAAATATCGTCCACAGCCTGCGATGATACGGAGTGCACAGGCTCGTACACCTTTCGATTACCAGCGTTGGGCATGCGCGATGGGAATGACGACATAGCGCTTGAGTCAGTGGTATACGAGCCGGGGGCCATGAACGGGATCACAACGGCAAACTTGCTGGCTAAGAAGAAGGAGAGGTAGATCAAGCCAGCAGCAGCAGAGCTAGAGTGCCCAGAAGGATAGCTGCGGAAACCATCGTCCAGTATCGACTTGTCGGTACTTTGGCAGATAGCTGCTGATACTAAGCGGCCATCGCTTGCGAAAGAGAATCCTCCAACGATATAATCTCGCATGTTGTCGATGTCGGGCTTGCATCGAGACAACATATCCGGTCGCGGTTTGCCGAATAGGTTCTTCATTCCGCTGGTAATGAACCAGGCTGAGCAGAGGGAGAAGGCCAGTCCTAGCCATCCTATGTGAAGCTCCCACAACTTTCGTTTCCAAATCAAGGCCTTAGGTGTGCCCGCTGGAACGGTGGGGCCCGGCACGAAGACCAGAGTGACGAAGAGTATAACCACGATTGGTAGGGCTGCGACGCAAAGTAATAGGGTCATCGTGTCGACCGTCTCGTGCTCGGTAAAGGGGAAGCTATAATGAGGTTAGCTGCTTGGGCACACCGGGTTCCCAGCCAATGGATTAAAGCACCACGGGTAGCTTGCTGGTGGTTTGCGACTGCTTAAACATACGATATGTTGGGGTCCTCCAGAAGAAAGGGCCTCTTATTTGGAGTGACGTTGCCTAATATTGTGCCTATGGCACCAGCAGCTGCTATACATAACCAGTCGGTAATGTATGAAGCTATTAGGACGAAAGGCATTTTGGGTTTGGGTTTCTGCCTCGCCGGCAAAGGAAAATCTAGATCGGGCATCTTCTGGTAGGTGCGGTAGCTTGTTGGTGGAGAGAGGAGAGGAGTTACGTGAAGGTGAGGACGGTGGCTGTCCTCTGGCATTTCAATCAACGGGGAATGCGACCGCAGCTGCTCTCTCCCGAACAGCAGTCGTCGAAAGAGAGTCAGACGCTTGCGGGCTGTGGGGACGGGCCTAGTCTTTGGGTCGGTACAGTACAGCATGCAAAAGGCGGCGAAACGTTGAAGTTTGCGCAGATGTGTGGGCGTTCGAGTTTTGGCACTGTTGACTGTCTCGATGTGGTGTCGATGCTTCCAGAGATTTACGGTTGCGCTGGCACACCTGCTTTGCTGTACCAACGGGGATGGGGCTTGCGCTGCGCCCAGAAGAATGGAACTCTAGAACTGAGACAGATCCGGTGAAGGGTCTTGAGTGTTTGGCTCCAGCTGAGTTGGACTGTGGATGGGCCCCTAATCGTGTTCTAAATGCCTAGAGTTTCTTAGCCTGACGTCTGCCAGGAGCCACAGCCACTCGGAGCCGCGCGGTGAAATGGCCCAATTGCGTTTAGATTTTCTTTTTGGGGATAAGATCGAGCTCTGCCGGGCCGCTAGACAAATCTTAAATGGTAATTGTAGGGGTAACGCGAACTCTGAAGTTGACGGACGAGTGAGGAGACGGTAATGCAAACAAAGAGTTTCTCAACAACCTAGCCTACAAAAGCTAAATGAATAGAACGTCAGTCCTCTAGCAGTTCTCTAGCAGGCTGACTGCTTACTTTGTAATCATTTTCTTCATTCTGTGAGACGTCAGCTGTCGTAGTGAGCCAAGCAACCAAAAGCGGCGTGTGAAATTAGTTAAAGTCTCACTCAACGGGGCTGTGCAAATTCACGGCATCGAGGCTGGTAAGTCAATGACAACAAAGATCAACGGTCTCAGGTGACGATAGTTTGCCGCTGGGTTTAAAACCGGTGGGGTGGCCATCGATTGCGTTTTTTTCGAGATGCAATAAGCGCCATCACGAGCTGTCTCATCTAGCCAATTTGTCGAGTGGTGTCGAGGCCGACGAAGGCAGATACAAAGACGCCAGTTGAAGATCTCGTTTCGACGGCGCTCTGAGGCATCGACTCGGCGGGATCAATCGCGAAGTATGAAGAGCTTCTGCTTTGCAGCGTAATTCGTTGCTTTTATTAACAAGCATAAAACCTGTGTCGTATCCTCGACGTTTCGTTGTCTCTTGGTTGCTTGAAGATCAGCATGGCTCACGAGGAAAAAACCTCAAGAAAAGATGTTGGTTTCGAGCACGCAACATGAGCTGTAGAAGCAAAGACAAGTAACCCAAGGTGTAGATATTTAGCTGTTCAGTCTTGCATCGCGGCTTGACAGCCATTATCCACGCCTCAATCTGGGAAAGTCAATGGTGCGGCGTCCGTCATTGCGGCAAACACCGGGCCTTCCCTCGACGTATCGGCTTCCGACGCTGCCGGGCCTGGGGCGATTGATCGTCACTGTTGGCAGACCACCAAGTCACCAACCACCTCCAGATGTTGGTTGTCATCAAGCTGAAAAAGCTCGAACCACGGATTTGCGACCCGATCGCTCGCGTCTCTACTATTTCGTACCGCTGCCCAAATTGACTATTGAATGGCCTTCACCAGGTCGTGGCGGCACAATATATTAGGATCACGTTGTCACCGGAATTCAACACCAGTCAGCTTACCTCGGAGACTGCGCGTAGCCGGCCGAGAGAGCCCCGGACTGGGGAGGCTGTCGATCGCAAATGCTTCCCCGTCAGTGCCCCGTCTTCTGTTGGAATGACCCTGAGCCGCAACGCATGGTCCTTCGTAAACTCCAAACCACTAATTTCCAAAAACGCCCATTACTGTAAGTTGCATTACTGCAGGCTTACCAATGATGACCGTTGTTCCAACGCATGCCGCCAAGAAAGCTAGGAACGCCACCGAAGTGTGTGGGTGAGTTATTTCCGAGCATGGTCATCTCCAGACGTTTCTCTTACCGCCGGAACAAGATCCTAAACTGGACTGCCTTAGTCGTTATGTAAGCAGTAATAACTAAGTCATCTTGAGCTGGACTCGTTCTCCTTCGCGCATACAGGAAACCCTTGTTAGTTGTTGACTAGCCGCTTTGGCTCAGACGACTCTCCTGGTTGGAAATTTGCCAAGACAACTCGATCTCGAGATCTCGTGGGTCTTCGTATTCCTTTTCTTGGACAAACCAGGTCAGACCTGGTCAGGCCAGGTTCGGGCGCGGCTAACAACTCAATGTGTAGATGACGAGAACACGCAACCCTGCTCTTTCCCCAAGGCTGACCAATGGGCGCAGAGCTGAGCACGGAAAAGACTACCCGACTACTTGAGGCTGCTCTTTGCTGGCATTTCTTCCTTCCACCAACGCTCGTTCCCCCGTCACCCCCGTTGCAGACTCCACATACCGGAATCCTGCATTCTGCACTTGATTAGTACTACTCCTGGGCTACTCGCAACATGATTGCATGACCCCTTCATTCAAGACGGGATCAGAGTCCAGGGACGGAGGGACGGTTAGCAAGGCTAGCCAAGGGCCTTTTGTCGTCCGAGCATCATCCGTTCAACGTGCTGGTCCACTTGTCAGAATAAATAAATGAAAAGGATATCAAGCAATCATGATATACTTAATGACAAAGATTCCTCTTCCGGATCTGAGCCCATTTTTTCACGACTCCTCACCCACTTGGTCCAGTTGACTATCACATTCGTTACATACAAACACCGTCACTCGTTGAATCGGTTTTGACAATGCGTTCTGTCATGTTCTTGTCTTTGGCAAGCAGCCTTGCGATTGCCTCTGCTTCCTCGGTCCTGCAATTGAAGCGTGCCGTCTCACCTGACGATACTTGTGGCAACACTGGAGCTGGCACCAAGGGCTACACATGTGCTACTGGTCAATGCTGCTCTCAATAGTTGGTCTCCTTTTTTTTTTCTTCGAAAGGTCTTCTGTCTTTGGTCTGTTTTGTTGCAAACCCCTTACACGATTTTGTCTTTTAGCGGTTATTGTGGAACGACGACAGACTACTGCGATACTGGCTGTCAGACTGCTTTCGGCACTTGCACCACAGCAGTAGACACGGGCACTGTATCTCCAGATTTAACCTGCGGAACTACCGGCGCCGGGACGGCAGGTTACACTTGTCCTGAAAGCGACAGTTGTTGCTCTGCGTAGTGCGTTTACAGTTTGTTTTGTTGTTGCTAAAGGGGGCACATATTGACATAGTGACATATAGCGGCTACTGTGGTAGCACCACTGACTATTGCGGCGATGGTTGCCAGAGCGCATTCGGCACCTGTACCGCGGGAACTGGCACTGGCGATGGTGGCGACGGCGGTAGCTCCAGCGGCCGTTGCGGTCCTACCCAAGGAAATGCTGTCTGCAGCTCGACCGAATGCTGCTCTGCCGAAGGGTGAGATGGACTGAAGATAAAGTATCAGCTCGAGGTTTCACTGACACGAAGCCAGGTATTGCGGCACCACGGTTGATCATTGCAAGGCTCCTGACTGCTTGTTCCAATATGGGCCGGCTTGTGATGCTAACAAGATCCCTGCTGGCACGAACACGTCGACCTTGACCCGATCGAAGGTGGGCACTGTCCTTTACGGCGGTGCCGGCATCTACGACTGCGTGGAGACTGGTAGGCACTTACTATTCTATTTGGACCTGAACGTTAGAATCAGCCGGCACTAACAAGTCTTCAGGGGTTGTTGCCTTGACCTACGACGATGGACCGAGCGAATACACCAGCGACCTGCTCGACCTTCTCGCCAAGTACAGTGCTAAAGCGACGTTCTTCATCACGGGTAACAACAATGGCAAGGGTGAGATCGACAACGCCAGTTTGCCGTGGCCTGCAGTCATCAAGCGCATGCACGCCGATGCGCACCAGATTGCCTCTCACACGTGGTCCCATGCCGACCTGTCTGCCATCACTTCGGTCCAGCGCAAAAACGAGATGATCAAGAACGAGATGGCCTTACGAAACATCTTGGGCTTCATCCCCACTTACATGCGCCCGCCTTACTCATCGTGCACCGCCGCTAGTGGCTGCGAGTCTGACCTGGCTGCTCTGGGCTACCACGTCACTTACTTCGACCTTGACACACAGGACTACCTCCACACCACAGCCGACTTGATCCAGACGTCCAAGGATGTCTTCGATCAATTCTTCGTCAGCCGTAGCAACACCACCGACGACGCACTAGCCATCGCCCACGATATTCACTTTCAAACCGTCTATAATCTAACCGAGTACATGCTCCTCGGCCTCCAGACCCGCGGCTACCGCACCGTCACCGTTGGGGAGTGTCTTGGCGATCCGGTTGCGAATTGGTATAGAATTGACAGTGCGGCTTCTGTAAGTTCCCAGGTCAGCTCTACTACTTCCAAGGCTACTTCCACGCCCAAGGTTTCTTCTACTGCCAAGGCCACTTCTACTCCCAAGACATCTACTACCAAGGCCACTTCTACTAAGGCCACTTCCACTAAGGCCACTTCCACTAAGGCCACTTCTACTTCCAAAACTTCTGCTACTACCCAAATGACTCCTACCACCAAGTCCTCTTCCACTTCCACCAGGCGTGCCACTACCACTACTTCCCCTTCCCCATCCACAAACAATTCAGGTCAGTAGAGGAACAACAACACTTTGCCTTGATTGGAGTTTGTCACTTATCTTGATGCTTTTCTTTCGATTTTACTGAAGTTTAAGTACCTGCTCAGTTTATATGCGTGACAGACAGAAAACTTTGCTAACTTTTGCGAAAGTAGGCAACTGGCTTTGTTCGATGAATAAGAAGTGGTGCACTTAATTACCCGATGATGTGGGCACGGTTTTCTCGATTTAAATGGGAGTTATGCATCACAGGCATATTCAATATATGCCGAGTATGTATACGGGCAAGCACTCACTCCATCACCATGGATTGGGGTGGTATGCAAAAGTAATGTCGCTTATGTTTTAGCATGAGATTACATGTATAAAGATGTAAGCATTTGGGCATTGAGTAATGAAGTTGATGGATAGAATGTACAAGTAAATCCCTTTAATTTAATGATATTTTGCGTGGCGACATTAGCTTGAACGGATTTTCATATATGTCTGGGATATCCATCAGTTCTGAAGTTTATCACGTCGTGACCGTCTCCCTCAAAGCATCTCTAATATGGTAGCCTGGAAACTTGCCTACTGCAAGTTGGCAAGCAATCGCAGACCATAGTTTTCATATTAAGATATCAAAATTTTCGATTACAGGTTTGAAAGAAGGTTCTTGATCTAGAACGAGAGTTATGTCCTATTTATAAGGTCGTGGTTCGATGATGCATGGGTGGTTGTTTATACCACACAAGCTGTAAGAATAGCAACTCATATTTATGTGAATATTAGGTGGTTCTCAACACTATGTTGTGGCTTTCTCGATGCCCACCGATTAGCAATCGTTTCCGTATCGCTCTATTTTGTCGGACTTTGCAAGTATGTCAGCTAGAGGAGGACATATCCGACGTTGTTAATATTTGTTGTAAGTCAATGAACGAACACATTTATTTGATATACGGGCTTGCAACGCGGATGTGGAGACTTCTTTTCACTGAAGTCCCAAGTTTTGGAAATCTCACTTGCCATCATTGCGGTGCGTCGGTTCGCTCTGGGCTCCGACAACATACTCACCCTTCACTTGACGGCTTGCATCACGAAAGTTGTGATTCGATGCAGATCTTTGAGAAAAGAGAGATGTCCGTGCATACGAGGTCCCTGAGCTGCCGGGACGTTGCTAGCCCACTGCATCACAGTAGAAGGATCATTTGGGAGAGAGTTTCTCGATTGAGGGTTTGGCCATCGTCTGGTGCTTCTACGATGGTTCGTAAAGTGCCAGTGTCAGGTTTAATGAGCAGATACCAGGCAGCTAGACTCTCTTGAATGCTCCTTGTAATTGAGATCCAGTGCTCATGCAGAACCTATACAATCTCTGACGAGGACAAGGGCTTGTCCAAGCCAGAGGGATAATGGTCAAGACCAGAATCTTCTCTGATGATCTGGTCATCAATACCTTGTCCTACAGGACAGAGCCATACTCTGGGTATTCTAGGCAACTCTGGCCTTGAGTTCCTGAGGTTGCAAGGCAAGTGCATAGGTAGGGCAGCTATTTAAGGACACCTCCTAGGTCAACTGGCGCCAGTACTCCCTGCACATTTGTTGTCCACGATACCGGCGTCCTACAGGGACCGCACCTTCTTGTTCCCTGCTTAGACATGCCCTACGGCATTCAGCTAGTTAGCCGATTCCAAAATCTTCATGGTACTAACACAGTACCAAGAATCACTCATTGTAGATGGCGCGGGCACTATGGTAGTGCAAGTCTGTAGACCCAGGTCTACATACGCCTGGTTGGCTTTCGTAGATGCCCCATGGGGTTTGCAGCCGACTTGTTCAATCGCATCAAAATATGCAAACGCAGCCTATAGTGAGGACCCTACCTTACTACCTTGCTGCACATGAGCACATTGAACCTTCGAAGGCCAGCAAGGGGGTTACGTGTGTGGCAATATACTACACAATGCGCAAATCCAATGAGAAGAATTCGCCTATGCGTATCCTTTTGTTATAATACAACTCTATACACATGTCTTGATCAAGAGGCCAGGGCCGCATATTGTACAGATGGAGAGAATACATAGCCCAATGTTTCTGGATGTCACATCTACGCCTGCTTTCCCTTCTTGTCCCTCCTCTTTCCGTGGTTGCGCACCTTGGGAACGACCACCCACTTGTTGGGGTTGTTGTTTCTGCGAGTCTTGAAGCCACCTTTTGCCTGAGGTGAAGTAAGCATGAGTCCAATTGCACATGGAAGAACAGCGAAGAACCTACCGGTGTTCGTCCCCAGGGACTGACGGGGTGTCGGTTACTCTTGGATTTACCTCTGCCACCACCGTGAGGATGGTCAACTGTAAATAGGTTAATAGTCTCCTCAAAACATCACGGTCAAACAGATCAAACGCACCTTTGTTCATGGCCACACCACGCACAGTCGGTCTGATGTTCAACCAGCGACTTCTACCAGCTTTACCCAGCTGCCGGTATTGATGGTGGGGATTGCTGGCCACTCCGATAGTAGCACATGCATCCTTGCTACATCTTCTGACTTCACCACTTTGCAACCGCACATTGACGTATTTCCCAGTAAAGACCCGGATGCCGTCTTCTCTCGTCTCTTCCTCTTTGGAATCAACGAGGGCATGCGTACCGGCACTCCGACAGAAAACCGCACCACCCTTTGGATGTGAACCAACATTGTACACCGGGGTACCCACAGGAATCAAATGCAGGGGCAGACAATTTCCTCGATGCGCCGTCTTCGCAGCCAAAATACCAGGATCGATCACACCACCCATACTATCGAGCAGGTCCTGGGGAATACCAGATCGATAGCTCTGCACCACATCGCCAGCTCTCGTGCCATCCGGGGCAATGATATAGGATTTCGTGCCAGTGGCATCTTCATTGAGGAGTGCAATGTGGGCACTGCGATTTGGATCGTACTCAATTCGCTCGACGGTATGGGGACCGGGATTCCAACGGTGAAAGTCGACTGTTCGTATCCTCCGCTTCGCACCACCACCACGATGTCTGACGGTAATGCGCCCATGATGGTTACGACCACCCTTGCCCATACCCTTCTTGGGGAAAGTCAATGGCAGGAAAGGTCTGCCTTTCCAGAGGTGATCGTTGATGGGCCGCTTGAGATGTCTCAGACCAGGAGTCCGCGGCTTATAGGTGCGCATAATGACGGTGGACTGCTTGTCCTTTGCACCTTGGGGCCGCTCGGCTGTCCTGCTGCTTGGACTCGGGACAGTCGTGGTAACAGCTTCAGAGCCTGTCTGGACAGCGGCATAGCGACGGATGAATGCTGCTGGGGAGCTTTGGCAGGCCGCCAATGCTCTCACAGCGGGCCTTGCGAATAGTCGTGGTCGCAGCATCATCATGGCATGGCAGCCGTGGCTGTACAGGAGCCAGCTGGCGTGAATCTTTGCTGGGTTGTCGAGCTGTTTGACCGGGCCAGGGGGGGGGAGGGGGGTATAGATGGTCTTCGGCTTCCCAAATTTGATCAATGATTTGAAGCTTCATCTGGAGTTCGGGTTGTTCCAGGCCCGCTATACAAGGGTATGGCGATATCCCAGATAGCCGAGGTTTTGCCTTAGAAAGGACCCGGGAAGCCGTCACGTCAAGTTGGCGATTGACGGGATCGGCAAGTCAAAATCGAACCAATCTTATGCGGCTGAATTTGACATTCCAAGTCGCGCTTTTTGCACACCAGCCACAGTCACGTCGAAAAAAGCGAGATTTTTCTCCGAGTGGCTGAATGACCCCACCTGTTGCCTGTCCGTTGCTCTGTTGCTTCTGTTTTGCAGCTTAAAGTGGGGCTATTCACGTTTCCAGGGAGGGAAAGCGCGGGACGTGCTGCTGGAATCGCGTCTCCGCAGACAGCAAGCTCCATCCAATAACCAAAGGTACATCGGCTATTTCTTGATACTTCGTCAGTCGCGCACAGTTTACATATTTTACATCATCTCGTCCAGATACCCTTTCATCCATTTTGTCTCTGCAATTTCTCTGATCTTGGTTTACGCGTCTGGACAAGCTCTAGAGCTATTGAGAAAGTGCCTCCCCGAAACAATCAACCCGGTCCATCCGTAATTGTGTGCAGAACTGCTACCAATTCCCGCGACTTCACCACAGCTTCCTTCCTGCGGATACCAGCTCAGTCTCGAAGGCTTCTGGTATCTATCGTGACAGTTACAGGTCAATTGGTACTTTGCATCAACCAAGGATCCACCAGCGTTGATTTGAGGCGCCTGCGACTTCGCGCTAGTCCGTGTACACACGCACACGTCAGGTATGTACCCTCGTTATTCGTTACCTACCACTCTCTCCGCACGTTGGTCCACTGCCAAACATTGAGTGCACCTCTCTCAAAAACACTCTTCTACCCATCCCAATCCCATAAACAAGTTACACCTCCACTGCCTTAAACCTTCCATCTCTCCTCAAGTCAACGACCGACATCGACCCGTGATATCTTCACTTCCGTCTTCCGTTCCATACCTCCGCATCTCATCTCGACAAAGCTTCGGCAGTGCCTTGGGACCAGTTAGAGCTGACATTGCATGATCCGCCAGCTTGTTGATATTGCACAACAAGCTCGACCTCAAGCTGTTCGGAACATCTTTGAGGTGTGTATATGTCTTGTTGTTTTATGTCCTGCGTCCTTTCACAGCTGTCGAGGCTCTTGCGATTCGGATACACTGTTTTGCTGGTCTAGCTCGCGTCTGCATTTGTTTCAGACGTGTAGACCCGTTTTGCCGTGCGCCCCACGCCTCTACGCTTCTGCCAAATATAACCTCCAACAACCTTCCATTTTCGCAAAGCATCAAACTGATTTCGGTGTCTAGTATTCCTGTTGGAACGAACTGAACTCTTCCATCACAGTCTTCATCTACCAATAATATGCCTCCGGTAAGTTGTGGCCCCAATTCGTCGACGCGTCCGATTCCAGCTCCGCGCCCTAGTCCCACAATACTTAGCACTCCCATATACCGCGTCTTGCTTCGCGTTCTTACTCATATTCCCTAGGGACGTACCACCAGAAGACTTGTCTCGAACGAGAATGACGAGAACAGCAATTATACGCGTATGACGCGCGCTAAGGCCGCCGCACTCGATGCCAATGTTCTATCGCAGCCCACCAAACAACAACCTCTTCAGTCCAAGAAGTCAGCGGTCAACGTCAACCCTGCTGGTCAACACAAACGCGCTGCACTGGGCGATGTCACCAATGCAGGCAAGACGGAGGTCGCAGAGGGCAAGAAGCCGCTTGCCACCAAGACTGGTCTCGTTTCCAAGGCTGCTCAACCCAGTGGTGTCCAGAAGAGCCTTGCTCGCACTACCTCGACTCGCGCAGCTCTGGCAAGCAAGGAAGTGAAGAAGACGGAACCGAAGCGCGCGGGTTCTGGCTCCGGTGCGATTGGTGCTGCTTCTCAGAAGCGCAAGGTGGCTTCAGCCACGACGATCATCAAGGCAGATGCCATTGCAGAAGACGAGGAGCCGGTCCGCAAGAAGGTCCACACTCTGGAAAGCGAGAATATCGCGCCCTCTGGATCCAAATCAAAGTTGGCCAAGGTAGAAGAGGTTGTGGACAAGGTGCCGGACAAGGTGTCAGAGAAGGTGTCAGAGAAGGCGTCGCGTGTTGAGTCTGAGGTGGAGCAACCCAAGCCGCATGTTTATCCCGAGGGCGTCAAGAACTTGGACGACGAGGATCTGGATGACCCTTTGATGGCCGCCGAGTACGCCACTGAGATTTTTGAGTATCTGCGTGACCTCGAGTGCAAATCCATCCCCAACCCTGACTACATGAGCCATCAAGACGACCTGGAGTGGAAGACCCGCGGCATCCTCATCGATTGGCTGATCGAGGTCCACACCCGATTTCACCTGCTGCCCGAGACTCTGTTCTTGGCCATCAACATCATTGACCGCTTTTTGTCGGAGAAGGTGGTTCAGCTTGACCGCCTGCAGCTTGTTGGCATCACGGCTATGTTCATCGCGTCCAAGTACGAGGAGGTTCTCTCGCCTCATGTCACCAACTTTGTCCACGTTGCGGATGATGGCTTTACGGAAGCTGAGATTTTGAGTGCTGAGCGCTTCATTCTCGGCACTCTGAACTACGACCTCAGTTACCCCAACCCTATGAACTTCCTTCGCCGCATTTCTAAGGCAGACAACTATGACATCCAGTCCCGAACGATCGGCAAATACTTAATGGAGATCAGCCTTCTTGACTACCGCTTCATGGCCTACCGTCCTAGTCACGTCGCTGCTGCGGCTATGTACCTCTCGCGACTGATACTGGACCGCGGCGAATGGGACGAGACTTTGAGCTACTATGCCGGGTACGACGAGCAGGAGATTGAGCCAGTTTTCGAGCTCATGGTCGACTACCTCGCGCGTCCTGTCATCCACGAAGCGTTCTACAAGAAGTATGCCAGCAAGAAGTTCATGAAGGGTAAGTGCAATAATATTCCGTCACCAACCATGTAAATGCTAATGCGTTGCCACAGCATCTCTTTTGACACGACAATGGGCCAAAAAGAATGCTCCCCTCTTCGGCATCACCGACACCAGCCTCTCCCTGGATGAGATCCCATAAGGGCTCAAGTCCAGTTTCTTCAAGCAAGCATGCCAACGCCGAAGATGCTTTTATGCGACGTGTTCTGTTCAGCCTCAGGATACCCAGGGGGACTTGGATGGCCCTCATGATAATTCATTGCATGACTTATAGACCGATGACTCCCTCATACCCTCAAAATTTCGACCACCTACCTAACCTGCCTCATCGTCTCCGCCGGATCTGGCTGGATCCAAACCCAAACCCGCCACTCTCAACTATCTCGACCTCCCCCGAACACGTCCTTTTCATAGTAGCCTGCGGCTGCGTTGTTGGTGCATCTCTATTATTCCTGCCGTCCCAAGTTATGCCATCTGTTTGATGGGGCATGGCGTCCTGGCAATCGGGCGTCGAGGAGTTTATACGGCCGGTGGCGTCCCCTGTTTGTTTTTGATTTTCACAAGCCTCGCCTGACCTTTGCTGAAGGTGGTGGTTCAGTCTTATCAGTTTCATCAGCCTTGCTTCATTCTGGTCGCCAGAATGGTTCTGATGGCTTTTGCTGGACTTATTGGAGGTATGGTGCAGCTTGCTGCGGATTGATAGACGAGAACTTGGAGAGGAGGAGGCTTGTGAATGTGTATATATTCGTTCAAGTGTTGGACTAGAACCCGGAATGATGAATGGGAATAAAAGGCACTGCATACTTTTGGTCTTGTCCACGATTGTGAAAGAAAACTACCCGTCGACTTCACTTCACTGCTCGGGTACATATATATCTCTGGACTTCAAACATGTTATTTGAGTACGATTTGCACTGATCTGATCTACATAGCACGTATCGATTTTGCTTGGGCATGTGCTACCTTTGACAGTGCCAGCATACTTGGCAGACCTTGATGCATTCTTAAGGGCGTGGCTGAGGCGGGCTGGCTCCTCTCGAAGGTAGTCAGTCACGTACACACCCTCTGGTCATCTCTGGACTGGTAGTGCATGAACGTTGTGTACCAGCGCGTCCTGCTTGCAAGACCTTGGTTGGCATGGCAACGAGCCCCCCTATTCGCTATTCGCGTCCGGAGCTGCGTCGGAATCAGGTGATGGATGGAGGCCCTGACGGTCTCTTTTTCGAAGCTGCTCCTGAGTTGCCTATCCCCGTTTTGTATGTAGTCACCATCATGAACCTCGCTGCCTGGATCTATGACACAGGCAAATAGGTAGCCCCAGTACGGATGTACACGGCATAGACGCTTTCAAGTGGCCTTGAGGATGACTGGCAGCCGGCTGAGCCCTATGCAATATTGAATCTCGGACTGGAAACCAGAGTTTGGTTCTAAGTATCTATTGGAGCTCAAGTCTTTTTTGTTCACCATTGGACTTATTGTCTTCGTTGGTAGGGTTGTTATGTAGTGGACTGGCTCCCTCGAAGGCCATTTCAACAATACCACTAGGTTGCGTGCTCTCGGATTTGAACGCCGTTAGTAAACCCAAGGAATAATATCTCTGACCCTATTCATACACTGCTCCCTGTGTTAATCAGCTATTATTATGATCTCAAGCATCTCCGCCATCACTATTTATTAGCATAGGTTTCCGTGCTGATATTCCCATTTTGGACTGAGTTTCGGGCCCATCACATGTACTTTCATGTTCAACACCAGGTGTACTCGAAGCCCTTGGTCAATATATCTATCGTCATTTGTATCAGTGTGCTGATTACTTGACTGCCGAACGCCTGAATGACCCGGACCAGCCTCTGCTGAAGTCCCGATCTCCCGAACACGGCCACCAGTCTTATTTCCGCTGCTGCCAATCTCTGGAGTATCAATTTGTGCCTGCATACTAAAGTCAGCTTGGGAATCATGATATTTAGGAAGGTACATGTCTCCTCCATCCTCACCTCCAGCGTCACCTGCAGCATTATCTCCTCCAGTGTCATCGGCTTGTGCAACGTTTCCTCTGTCCTCACCTCCAGCGCCAGCTGCAGCATTATCTCCTCCGTCCTCATCTCCAGCGCCAACTGCAGCATTATCTCCTCCGTCCTCATCCCCAGCGCCAACTGCAGCATTATCTCCCCCGTCCTCATCTCCAGCGCCAACTGCAGCATTATCTCCACTATCATCCCCTCCAGCATCATCGGCTCGTGCATTGTTTCCTCGGTCCTCACCTCCAGCGCCAGCTGCAGCATTATCTTCTCCGTCCTCGCCTCCAGCGCCAACTGCAGCATTATCTCCACTATCATCCCCTCCAGCATCATCGGCTCGTGCATTGTTTCCTCGGTCCTCACCTCCAGCGCCAACTGCAGCATTATCTCCACTATCATCCCCTCCAGCATCATCGGCTCGTGCATTGTTTCCTCGGTCCTCACCTCCAGCGCCAACTGCAGCATTATCTCCTCCTCCATCCCCTCCAGCATCATCGGCTCGTGCATTGTTTCCTCCATCCTCACCCCCAGCGCCAACTGCAGCATTATCTCCTCCGTCCTCATCTCCAGCGCCAACTGCAGCATTATCTCCACCATCCCCTCCATTGTTTGGTGCATTGCCTCCTTTGTCCTCACCTTCAGCACTATCTTCTCCACCATCCCCCCCAGCATCATAGGCTCCTGCATCATCTTCTCCGCCTTCACCTCCAGCGTCACCTACAGCATCATCTGTCCCATTTTTATCAACAAGTCGAGGGTCATCCTCAGCCGCTCCGGCGGCTGCATCGTCATCATCTGCTCTTCCTCTCGAAACTCCCTTCTTCCCGTACTTGCTCATCAAATCCTTGCGAGAAATTTTCGGTTTGCCTTTACCAAAAAGGACCTTAGCAAGTGCTTCCTTGCGTTCCGTAAAAAGTTCCTTGTCTCTGCGATGTGCGGCCTTGCGTTCCGAAGCCATGCGGTGAAATCCCTTCTCCGTAGGTGGGCGGCCGGTACCTCCTGTGAGGAACCATGCGCTTAGAGAAATGTGAGGGGGATCATCTTCTGGGGGTGGGTTGTCGGGCATTGTCAATCAGGATTTTGTGGGTAAATGGGGTGTGTTGCTGCCGCAGTGGGTGATTTTTATTCAGAGCATTTGAGAGCTTTGTGTATACAGATTTGTCTACACAGAGGCAAGAAAGGTTTCCAAGAAGAGCATTGATTGCGTTATTTATCGAGCTCAGTGTCTCTGAAGTCGGGCTTTCTGGTATCGAATCGTATTAAGCTCGGAAGTCTCTGATTATCAAAATGTGTCGACCTGTGCCAGTCACAGGGCGATAAAAAGACCATGTGTGAGCTCCCTGATATATGAAAAACCGGAAAGTGAGAGAAAAAGTCGTCATGCTCAGTCATAGACTTGGTGAATAGACCAAAATTTTGTCATTTGTTCACTTCATCCAAAGTCTCAACCATAAGGCGATGAATCATACACGATTAGTCCCCATACAGGAGAATTGCTTCTGCTCCCCATTCACTCCGTTCCCTGGGGTGAAGAGGGCATCACGACAGCGGGGCCATGGGGGAGGTAGAAGGAGATGCGTCGGTTGGGCGTGGGGTCGAGGCTATAGATGCCCGAGTAGCGAGGGTGGTCTCGAGGACTGGGGGTTTCGGCCTGTTCATCCATCTCGGTAGCCTCTCCAGCAATTTTGCGTCGCTTGTTGGCGGGCATCTCAACATCAGGATTGTGTTTCAGGTCGTACTCTGTGCTGTTGCACACCGAAACGAATGACCACCTATCGTCATGCTCAGCTTCGGGATTCGGCTCAGTGACGAGATTTACATCTCTCCTGCAAGGTCTGGAGTCAGTGGTGAATCCTACTTGTAATGCAAGAATAAATAGCTTACATCTTGACGTCGCTCAGCATCTGGCAGAGCTCATCTTCAGTGGCCGTCGTTCGCTGCGGAGGTTCACTAGCACTCCGCACACGGATAGCAGACATGCCCTCGGGCATCTTATCGGCTCGCTCACTGTTAATAGGGGACGGTTGCTTAGGAGAACCGTAGTAGTCAGAGATGATCTCGAGCTCGCTGTCGTTGCCGATGATGAGGTCACTGGCGCTGCCCAGGATGTCCCTTCGGTCAAGCAGCTCGAAGGGTATCTCATCCATGGTACCCATGCTGGCAGCTACTGCCCTAATCTTTCCTGACGCTGATGAAACACTGTGGTGGCCAAGGAAGGTAGATGGGCTGCTGGCAAGACCAGTGTACTCAAAGCGGCGCCAGTCGGAGTCTTGAATGGTGGGCGAGGAATTTGTAAAAGAGGAATTTCCATGAGAGGGGATGATGGAAAGATCAATTTCATCGGTCACATCATTGAGCTTCGTTCGATCCAGGCAAGGTATGGCCGGTCTGCGCAGAACTGGAGGAGGTGAGGACATGGTGAGACGGGTGACTGCCTGTTTTGGAGTCTTGACGATCTTGCGCCAGGTGTCCTTGAACATGCCCACGGCCCGCTTCGTGGGAGTTTCTACCTTCTTGCGAGGTGTCGCGGGCATCACCATTTTCTCTGAACTCGGTGAGCTGAACATGATGGCGATTTTAGAAGATGATTGAAGAGGGTCGGCGAGTGAACAGGACCTAGTGACAGTCTTGGGTGGGACTCGTAGAATTGATCATTGGGTTTTGAAGACTGCAACAGCCTTGAAAACCAGAAAGAATCATTTAAATATGGAAGCAGCGATCCTATGGCCTGTCACTTGGATGTATGGAATCAATACGGATTTGATGATGGTGATGAGGTTCAACTGCAGAAATCCTTCGGCAAATATGCAACGCGGCGCGTAGATCTCGGCCACCGTCGCCAATCAAGCAGTGAGGATTGCGCGCACTTTCTTGATATCGTCCTGATTTCCAAGGGATTGAAAGAAAATTGGTTGCAGGATCCCGTCGTGATGCTGAGAGAAAAATGGCAAGAAAGGCGATGGATGGTGCGGTTCCTTTGCAGAAGTCAGCGCAGGGGTGGTCACTAGATCTTGGTGACAACAACCACCCAGGTATTTGTGAATGTAAGTGATGATGATAATGAGATCGTTCTGCTTGCCAATGGGTTGCAAGAAAGGGAAGTCACGAATGCCAGGTGGTGTGGAAAAAGATGGTGGGTGACGAAATTGGGCGCCTTGAATGGACTGTGATTGTTTACGAGGGATGCCCAATGACCGTGAAGGAAGGGCTTTTATCAGCGAGGTCAATTATTGTAGTAGTTTCAACTCGGGAATCCTTGCTGTGCTGGATGAAAGGTCCTGATTCTGACAAGATTGTGTTTTTCCAACATTGGCTTGTGGTGGGCATGAAGGATATGGACTATCATGAAAAACATCAACAATCAGTGCAGATATAGCGAGCGGATCAAAATTTGACCCAAGGCATTGGAAATTCCAGGGTCCCAATGTGGCCGACTACTATCGTTCTTTGACAGCATTGCCCTACCTCCCACCTACAAACAAACCCTGCCCCAACTTCTCCCAATGGACCAAATGACCCCTTTGTCGGTAGACCCAAGACGCATACATGAGCCAACTTAGGACAACAACCACAAAGCTAGCAGAAGCAAGATATACGAACTGGTCTGTCTTTGGGTATGCAATTGCGGCACCGCCGGCAAACAGCTGGACGATATTCATCATCGATGTCTCGACACCCGCAAAGCTGGATCGCTGATGCGAGGGAACGAGGGTCTGGGTCAATTGCTGCGTCGTAAGGTCGTAGATCCAGACCCCAAATCGGGAGATGGCCAGAAAGGAGAATAGAACTATACTCCAGCCAACAGGTGGAGCGGGGAGTGTGTAATCGGCTGCTCTATCGACCATGCGGCTGGCGAAAACATTGATGCCCCCGTCTTGCACGCGCGGGGCCGTGATGGCGAAGAGCGCAACTACCACGGGAGCCTGCACGTAGATTAGTCAGAGTGTGCTTCTTTCTTGGATAGCAGTCAGTGCTTACCGTGTTAAAGACCTGCCAGGTGAAGCCCCAGAGCCCAAACCGCTGAAGGCCTACCAGAGTCCGCGTATCCCGAACGCTCTGACTATCTTCACCGCTTACCAGGCCGACCTCGGATTCGTGCTCATCCTGCGGAACTGAGCGGTACGATTTACCCAGATATTCCACCCCTCTCGGCGTTGCCACCGTGCTGGAGATTTCGAAGAGGGAACCTATTGTGCGGGCAATCGTGATGGTATTAAGCGAGTAACCCACATTGATCAGATACGTGATGAAGGTTGCCCTCCAGGTAATGACGTTGAAGTAGAGCATGGCAAGAGCCATGGATGGGATCCAGACGGTCGTCGAAAAGTACATCTTGGAATCGTGCAAGTACTGTCTAAGTTGAGTTCTCCAAGACATAGTTCCGCTCTGTAAGGGTGGAGTTTCCCCTTCAGGGGGCACTTCCTTGGGAACTCGCAGGGATGGATTGTCGTCCCATACCCTCCGCGCGGATATGGCCTCGATCGGAATGCTGACCATGCTTGTCAAGGCTGTGTAGACGACGCCAATCCTCACAGAATCAAGCGCCGAGATGACGACCGATATGAGAATAGGGGATATGAGCTTGCAGACCAGGTCGATCCTCCTCATGACAGCGTTCAGATGGGTAAGATCGTATGGACGTCCCGAGGGCGCCGCGACGGTGACGACCCAGTCCCTCTCCATCGAGATGAGGTTGCCCGATGCGCTTAGTCGCTCGATAATACCGAATGACATGGCCACAACGAAGAGAATGTGCTTCAGAGTATCATTCTTGGCAAGGGAAAATCTCCCTTCTGAGCCGATCAAATCCTCCTGACTCAGGATCAGAAGCCAGAAGAAGGCCCCAGCGAGGACGGATGCTCGATTGACGAATATCGTCGCGAGCAACGTCCGCAGTCGGTTGGGTGACTTTTGAACCCATCGTCCAACCACGCTCGAGAACAGGATCATCGCAAAGTACACTATGGTCATACTTTACTAGTATTAGCACCCCAAGTAAAATATTTAATACTATCCCCGAAAAACAGACCGGATAGCAGCCGCAACGAGTGTATCCGGATAAGCGGACGCAGTGAAGAGGATCTGGGCAACTGCCATCAGCTTCCTATGCCCCTGAAGTCATCTGCCACGCGCAAAACGTACGGTTGCAAACTCATAGCCGCGAGCGTTCCACGTCGAGAGGGCGTGGCTAATGTAAAGCTTCACAGCTTGCGACCTGGTTATGCTCGTCTGGGGCACTTCTTGTGCAGGTAAACTGCCCTCATTGGCCAATTCCACTGCTTCTCCACTGATTCTGACCATGGCGATCTAGATGGCCAAGTGTGTAACGAGCAGCTTGGGTATCTGTTGGGGTACAGAATTGACGGTCAAATCGTAAGACATGCTCACTAGATGTAGTTTGATCTCCAAGACAACCACGAAATTCTCAATTCGGCTTGCTTAGATGAGTCCGACCGGAGGCGACCGGGAAGATGCAGTCGCCGTGGGTTGGCTCTGAGCTTTGGTCGCACAAGGCGGTAACGTTATCTTCGAAGCAAAACCGGAGCAAATGCATCAGGATAACTACCAAGCCGAAGCCGAAGCCGAAGTACACGGACTCCGACGACACCGATACATGATTATATCACTGGATTCCACCTTTGGTAAGCTTTCGTATTTGATGAGGGCCCATTCGTTCCAGATGCAACTTTGTAGCGAAGTAATTATTAGCATCACGATGCTTTGGCAGTGCTCGGGGATTGTTGGGGTTATAGTTGGTAGCCACATATTGTCAGTGGTAAGTCTCACCACCGAGTCCGCTGGACTAGCCTATGTCATGGCGCCTTCTAGTAAAACAAGCCAATGAGTGTACTGTCACTCAGCGTCACTATCAACTATCACTTATTTTCCGTCGCCGCTAGTTTTATCTGTTTCACGATTGAATTGTACATTTCACCGAAGAGCAGTGTTAAAATTCTCCCAAAATTGATGACAGTAGTCCGAAGACAAGCGTCGAAATGTTGTTATTTCATTTGTGTCAAAAAAGGCCTATAGTCTAATATTCTTCCTCGAGTCCGCGACAATGCCGACAGCTCGATCCTTTTAACTCCCTTGAGCGCCATTGATCATCCGTACCTCATGTGTGTCTGAGTGTTCCCATGTGATGACGAAGCGCTGCATTTTGCTCTCGTAAAAATCCCAATAAATCCATCACATCGTTGCCCGTAGTTCACGTCCTCCCCCCAAAGTCGTGGGTGAACCAATCCAGGGCCACCGTGTCAAAAAGTGCGTGCGCGTAGCGAACCATACATAAGCCAGTACATAGATAGGCCGTGTTTTCAAAATGCCACGATATAGTCCGATCATTCCTGATTAGACTTCGTTGCGGCCGGTAACATCCCTCTAAATGAGAGATGACTTGTTGAAGTAGAAGAGAAGAGAAGAAAAGAGAAGAGATGGTAGATCAAGTTTCGTGGCGTGGGTTAACGTTATCAAAAAGACCCCATGCGCTCCTCGAGGCCGCCCCAGTAGACAATGGGACGCGGCTCGAGAAGGTTGAGCTCTTCGGCAAAGCTCTTCTTCTCTTCTACCATGCCGACGATGGATGGTTGGCGGAACATGACGCTGTTGATGGTTTCTACCGGCGAGCCGGTGGACATGAAGGAGTTGCTTGAGCTGTCGGATCTCCACGAAGCCGACGAGGCCCGGCGGAGTGATGTGCGGATCCCCGCGGGGGAGAACCGGGAGCGGATCGATTGGAATCTGGAGGTCTGCATTTCGGCTAATTTGATTGGGTGGATGTGGATATGAACGGATTCACACAAAAAGTCCCCGGAGGTGGTTGTTGGAGGCGATGGCTTTTGAAGCTGTCGTAGAAGAGTAGAGTTGATCGTCACGAAGCTTGGTTGACGGGGAGAAATGTAGTGGAGACGGAACGGAGAAGGTTGCCCTGATACCAATGTCCGGTGATGTATTAAAAGAGTTGGTATATAAAAGTAAGGCGCAGCCTTTGGTGGGTGAATGCTGGGATTGCAAGAAGCGAATGTTGAGTAACCGGGTTGGTGTACCGTTAAAGATAGGACGATATGTTCTAGTTGGGTTGCATGGGAGAACAGTATCTTGTGTTGGTCGTAAGACTGTTGCTGGACAGGTAGGTCGGCCTAAGAGGGTGTTGAAGGGAAGTGTTGGACGCTACGTAGAGAGTCTGGAGAACGAAAGGCACACCCGCAAGTAGGAGAGGCACGAGACGAGACACTTATTAAGTAAATGGTTGGCACCGACAGGGACGTGGGATAAGTTAGTTGACAAGGGACGGGGGTGGACTGGAAATAGAACGACTAAGACACAACACGACACGACACGACACAGCACTACACGACACGCAAATAGTGCAAAGAATGCGTTCTAGGCCAATGTGTCCATGTGTCTGAAGGGAGGCAGGGAGATGTATGATAGCAACGTCAATAAGGGCAGATGGATCTCCGGCTCCACAGGGGCCCGCATCACGTTGCATACCTCAGAGTACGCGGATTTTATACGACCCCTTCGTCAATGCCCACCATTGTGGTTGCGACGCACCCTCTGCATATTTGCAAAGTGGTCTCACATGCATAAATTCGCCAAGTGAGGGTTTGCTGAAGGTGGCCGTCCCCGAGCAAGCCGAGTTTTCCTCTTCAGGCGTCCGGTGCAAGAGGAATTGCCTCCAGTGCGTTGGTGCGTACTTCGTATGAGCTTGCTCACAGTCTCAGAAATGGGAACATTTTGCTTGTTAGAGTGAATTGGGTGGCATGAAACAAGCCCTTTGCACTGCCCTGGCCTTATCTCAAGACACCATTCTCGCTTCGTATCAGACTTGGAGCACGGGATCTTAGCTGGTGTTTTTCTAGTGAAAAGCAGCTTTGGCGGCCGACTCCAAGATCTGCCGTTGACGTTGCGGCTGGCCGCTCAAGACTTCAGAAGATTAGGACAGGGGGGGCCGAAGGCCGAAAAGGGTAAAGCCGGTTCTGGCAGCATGTATGATCTCCGGCCAGGGTCAAGGGGTCTTTGCGGCGGTGAACCCAAGTTCGTTTGGTCGCAGACTGTCTGAGACGGGGAATTATGAACAGGGGAGGGCCTGAGAGCCCCACCCCAGCTTTTGACTCGTTTCAGGTCACCAACAATCTATCAAAGACGATGCATGCTTGTTCACCTTTGGATAGTATTTTCCAGAAAAACGCCTCTGAGGAAAAATCAAATAAATGAAAGGGAAGCACACGAATTTGGCAACTAGACTGCAGCTCTGCAGCTTGAGGGGATCGGCAGGACTCAAGCATTGATTGATTGACATGCGTTCGAAGGACGATCGTTACTTCGTGTTCGCTTCTTTGTGTGGTGTAATGCTATCGTGTGCTTCAACGAGCACACGACTTGGACTGATGAAGACTCGCGTGACCAACTTTGCCGTTTGAGACTCGCAGGATGGTAACTGCAATGTGCGATGCGGTTTCCAAAGGTGCGATTAGCGGGGCACAAACAAAAACCTCGCACCCCGCAAAGGGACTACAGCTACGGGTAATGCTCCATCCTATTCAAACCCTGTTTGATAGCTACGTACTTACACATATTGAGAATTAATGAAACTATGCCGCTATAACCGACGTGATCGAGAAAGCCACGCTCTTGATCGATATGAATAGAAACGCGATGACGAAAAGAGCCCCGCTGCATTACCCAATGCGGCGCAGTCTCTCTTCTCTTATCATCCATGGATCCCAGCAGATCGAAGATGGACACCATCTCATCATCAAGCGGGCTGCCAATCATCACTCAGCTATGAACGGCACCTACGTTCAGGAGGCCGTCTCAGAGACCTGCACTCCCTCAGGGGCAGATCCCCATCATGCAAGAAAAGGCCCTGTCCGGAAGGCGATCAAACCCGATGTGCGGCCCCTGCTCGGTCTCGTCGTCCCAACTTCAGGTCTGAGGAACACGCTTCCTTCTTTTGTCCGTACTGTTGTTGCCTCCTGGTGCGGTGCGTGGCCCGTAGTTTCCATCCAGTCGGTCGGTGTTCCAGCGGCCGCCGCTGTTGACGTTTGAAGACGTGCCATTGATGAGGGGAAGAAACAGAAGCTGAACGTGGTTGGTAGCCAAGTTACAACTTGCGCAGTGTTGGGCAGTTACACCGGTGAGAGGTAGTTATTCGAAACTAGTCCCTAGAGCCATCGCAGACTAGGCACGGCAGTTGATTATCGTCGATGGGCAATGGGCATGGAACGGGAGACGCGTTGCGAGACTCACTCGTCAGTCTCCACGCAGAGTTGGCTCATCAGCTGGGCTGTGCCGGTTGTGCAAGTCCGGCCGAATCCAGGTGCCATACGTAGTAGTACTTAGAGCGGCTTCTTCCATGACGTTGGTCCAGCAGGCTACAAGTGTAGCAATATTCGGAATCCCCGGGCTCAGGTTAGCGACAAAAGCGATTCCACACAGCACGAGTCATGCCGATCATCAGTCAACCTCTGGCAATTCTTGGTCTATTTGCACATTTTGCATTAGGCTTCAGTTATTCTGTGGCCCGGCACTGTCTACAAAGTATGCACACGCAATGTCTGCCTCGTCTCCACACAAGCGTTTCCCTCAAGTGGGCTGGCTCCAAGTGTCTGTGACCCTTGGGATATAGCAAGTAAACAAGTTCGCTGGTATCGCTCTCTAAACATTCCGTCGGTGGAAATGGTAATGTCGCAATATCCTTCTCTATGCCATCAAAACCGGGCGTGTAAAGTGCGCCTAATGCCTGAAAACGCCGGTTCTTTCTCCTAGTGCCTCGTTCATCCAGTTCGTCTCGCATTCCCAATGCATCTATCCACCTCCAATGCCTTGCAGCTTGCACGGTCCAGCATGCGGATTGCCGTCATATGATGTTGCTTTTGAAAGCTCATCCTCGCGTCGGAGCCATTATGAGATAACTAAGAGAATGCAAGTCGTTGTCGTAGTAATAGTAGTAGTTGTAGGTGCATGTGTAGCGCCTTCATCGATATCCATTCCAGTCGGATTTTCGCACTGATTTTCGCACCGTAGCAGTCCGGCGGATACTTTCCACCCACACCGAGTCGTTCAGCAGCTCCCTAACTTGGGCGGGTCGGACAGCGCTGCCACGTCGGCTGCTCTGGCCAGATGAAGTGCCTGGCTCTTGGAGGTCGAAGCTGAAGGCAGAATGATGCGAGTTATGTCCCGACATAGGTGGCACGCCCCGTGACATGCTTAGAGGGTGCGCGTACGAAGTGTCGTAAGTTGAAATGTCGGCGCTGGAAGCCCAGCTCGTATGTGCCGGCCTGACGGCATCACTGGCACTTAAGTAATCCGACGTGCTGGTCTGAGTCCTGCGCGATGTCGGCGCTACCGTGGCCCGCTGCTTCTTTTGACGTTCAGCTTCCTCGTCCACAAATATGTCGGGGACATCAAGTTGTGGGATCGCCGTCATCCGGGCCGCCTTTTTCTTTTCAATGTGCTTCTTGAATCTGCGAGTCCAGTATCTAAAATAGTGTTAGTCAAGTCGGGAACTACGTCTATCGTTTCCGCTTTCGCGTTGAGGGAACACTCACAGGGTGTCAAAGAATCCAAGGACAACCCTCCGGCGGACTTCTTCCTCGACCCGTTGCAATCTTGCACGACGGCGCAGAAATTCTTCGAGTCTCAAGCTCTTGCTATCGCTGATGATGTTGTAGTGGGCCAAGACCATGAGCACAGTCGTGAAGGAGATGCCCTTGTCGGGGTCCGCAGAAACCATAACTTCCTCGAAGAAAATATTGAACCGGCGGCGACGTTCTCGTACTTTGTACACATCAACCTGAGCAAGCCGGCTATTTAGCTTGTGCACGTCAACACTCGAAAGGACACTAGAGGACGTAATGGATGAATGTCTGGCTTGAGGCTTCATATCCGACCGGACGTCCTCCAGGATCTGCCGAACCGAGTCCTCGGCGTCGTAAATGCGCATCTCGAAAATTCCAGACAGCTCCCCCAACAGCCTTGGAAATGCTTCTTTGCTGATGAAGCCCGTCCCTGCCGGGTCAACACTTCGCCATGCCTCTTTGAAACGTCGGATCTCATCGCGGTCAATGTTGGCTAGACCGCTCGAACGTTGATACACGTATGAGAAACTCTCGTAAATGAGCGAGATGAAGAGATTGACGAAGATGTACATGCTGACAAGATTCCAAGCGATGAACAAGGCTCGTGCCCACTCGTTGCTGCCGCAATCGCTCATGGCAAAGTCGATAGACTCCACACAGAACGGCGGTGCGATGGCCGCATAGTCTTCCATAATCTCGTTCCAGCCTTCGCCGGCACTCATTCGGAACAGCAGGATCAGCGCATTTGGCACAGTCCTGAAATTGATGTTGGCCTCTGCGCTCTGCCCAAACCGAGTCAAGCTGAAGGTCTGCGTAAAGGCAATGGCAAAGACCAGGAAGAAAACAAGCCACGTTGCAAGGAGATTGACAATCGTTGTCAAACTTGCTGCGGCCGTTTTGAAGAGTTGATCGAGAGCGTCATTTCTCGGGATAAGCAACAAAACAATGGCAACGAGGAAGAACTTGTGGAGCTGGATGTAGGTTTCAAAACTGGTGTTGCTGAGTAGCAGCACCGTCGTGCCGAACTCACCGCTCACGGCGACCAACGAGAAGACATCCCAGGAGCTCCTTCTGAACCTTGTCCAGCCCAATCCAACAATGCGAATAACAATATTGGCTATGTAGATAAGGGTGAAGATGAGGAATGTAACGTCTCGAGTTCGAGTCCACCATTCTGGCTCGGGGTAGTATTCGAGCATTAGCAGAATCAGATGACAAACAAGCACACAGGTGATGGCGGTATACCACTTGCCGCGCTTTTCTATAGCCCGCTTGTGGCACCACTTCTTCCACTTCTTCTCCGTGTCATCGTATGAGCTCTTCGAAGGTGAGATTTGCCGGAGAAGTTTGCGAAGTTCCAGCCATGATCTTTGCTCGGCTGTCAAGAAGGCTACACCAGTCTGCTCCGTGTAATTGCGCATGAAGACAGAGATAAACAAGGTGAGCACAAAGACTGTAGCCATTAGGTTGAACACTACAAAAAAGAGTCCGTTGCCTGGTGCTGCTCCTTCGCGAGGTTGTGTATTGGGACCCGTAATGGCTTGCACATCAAAAGACACACCGACCCATCCTTCCTGAGAGACGATCTGGTAAAGGATGAACAGAGACGAGCCGAAGTCATCAAAGCTGTAGTACGGATTGGCTGCCACGCGAGGTGCGAGCATTGGCCAATCACCGCTGAAGGGCGTGGCATTATACTCGCCAAAGCAGTCCGTAAGGTTGAAAACGTCGCCGTCGTTACATTTGACAAGTTGACCATTGAACAAGTTCACGGCGTATATGGCAAAGGGGATCAAAAGTGAGATTGACACGAACGCGGCCTGGAGGCGAATAATTGTTAGAAAGGCCTTTGGACTTCGGACCAAGGGGTGAAAAAACTTACACCGAGGATATTCCACCCAGCAACAATGATGAGAGAGTGAAAGGTATCTCGCGCGCTGTCACTGATGTTGAGCAGGCGCAAAGCCCTGAGAGCCTTGAAGGCGCCAACAGCCCTAGAGACGGCCCCATCGTTGGCCAGAAGGGTGATGACATTGATCCACAGCGTTATAAGCACCACACCATCGATAATGCCCCACGAACTCCTGAAATAGGCGTTGGGTGTGAAGAATAAGCCATCGGCAATAACCTTGATGATAGCCTCAACCATGAATATTATGGCGAACCCCATGTCAACCCACACGAACCAGTTGGAGAAAGAGGGATCATGGGTCTCAAAGTACACTTTTTGGTACAAAGGTGTCGTCACGCAAGCAAGAACAACCATGGCGACGATAGCAGCGTATATGAAAGCCGAGAAAGAGTACCAGGCGATCTTATTGGGTTCCACACCATCAAACCGCTCGCTTCCCCTGCCGGGTCCGACAATGAGCTGGCATAATCGGCGTAGAGGATTCTTAGGCGTGAAGATGTAGAGCGAGTTGTTGTAGGTAGGATGTCGCGCAAGGTATTCACGCTGAGCTTTGCGTCGTGCCGAGGTGGCTGACACAGCCTGCCGCGCCATTTCCCGGGGATCTAAGGCATCATTCGGACCGTTGAAACGGAGATTGGAGTAGAACGGGTTCGGCTCCTTGCTGGTGAAAATGGACCGGACCTTGCCCCATGCGGATGAAAGCAGCCCGGGTCGAACATCGCCAGCAACGTTACCCTGTTGGGGTGATTCCGTTCCCGTGTCAGTCTCCTGCAAAGGATCCATGCTATCATCAAGAAACTCTCGCACAACGGCGTCCTTCAACAGCATTTCCATGGTTGCTGGGCCATAGTCGAGGGGATCTTTCTTCTTCCGCTTTTTGCCAAACGTGAAGATGCTGGATAGAGCCAGGTTGCTGGTGTTGTTGCCCAGTTCTTTCCTCTGGAGAAACGCCTTGACTTGCTCCAAGCGCTTTTCGTCCTCCGACACATCAAAGTTCTCTTGGATGACCGCAATAAACATGTTGACGAGAATGAAGAATGCCAGGATGAACCATCCGATCAGGAATATCGCACCGTACCAGGACGTCTTCAAATATGTCGTGTACTTGGTAACATCGTATAGTATCGATGTCCAATTTTCACTCGACAGAATCTGGTACATGCCAAGGAATGCGTTGTAGATGTTGTAAAATGATATCTGGTTCAAATCACCGTTATCATCGTACATCGGTATCTCCCCGCGGAAGAGCTGGACGGCAAGTATGGCCATGAGGAATGTGATCAGAAACACGAAGAGCATGAGATTCGCAATACCCGTTGCATTTCCGAGCACGAGCAGAATCAACTTCCGGGTGATCGGTATGGCCAGAACCACACGATAGGCTCGCAGGATTTGAAACAGGGTGAGCCAGGCATACGTGACTCCAGAGTTCCGAATCGGCGGCAAGAGAATGACCGTCGTCGCGACAGCGAGGAACAGATCGAACAAATTGCGATAGCTCCGGTGGAACGATCGCCAGTTGGCCGCGAAACGTATAATGATTTCCACGTCGAGTATAACGGTGACGACGACCTCCGCGGCGCCGATGAAGTGTTCCCGCTGGGCGGACATTGTGTTACTTCGGAAGGATTGCGCCAGTAGATCGAATGTGATGAAGAGCACCCAAACTAACCGTGTTTTGTCGTAGATTTTCTGCAGAGTTGACGTGCGCTGCAGGGCAACTTGGTCAAGATGCACCGGCATCGTAGAATCCTGAGCATCGGTGAAGGCACTGGACTTGCTCTCCTCCCTGATGACCTGGAAAGACGAAGTGATGACTGCGATCAACAGATTCGTCATCCACAGCATCATGATCATGATGCCAGCACCAAAGAACAGGGCTGCAGGAAGGTAATCCGAGTTGGTCGTATAATACATAAGATCAGACCAAGTGTTTGCGCTCATGATGACGAAGACCAACTCCATTGAATGAATAATATTGTCGAAATTGACAGTGTTACTGTAGGGACTTTCGCCCTGCAAACAATAGGAACCCTGAGGACAGAGGAAGCCCTTGGCCGTTATGCTACCGTTTCGCAAATTGTCCAGTGTCCCATGGTTGGGACTATAGACCCAGGGCATCTCAGCTTTGGTAATATTGTCCAGGTGACCGCCGCAGAACGTAAACTCGTTGGTGAAGGCGGCTTTGAGATTAGTAGGATCCAACGGATCCAGCCAGACGCATTGCCGGCTAAAACTCGACTTGAAGCTCTGAATGCCAATGATAGCAAACAATATCCAGAAGAAGAGAATCAAAAATGACACTCTCAGGAGCAGCGGTGCGGCCTTCTTCAAACTCCGCAATATGATCGCAGTTCCATTCGTCAAGGCAAGAAGCCTCACAATTCTGAGGCAGCTCATCATCCGAAAGATGTAGAAGTGTAACTCGTGCTCGAGACCGCTCAAGCTCAGGAGGAAGGTGATCCAAAATGAGATAACAGCAGTAAAATCTAGCCGGTTGAATCCGTGTCGCAAAAACGCGCGACGGGCTAGTTGCATCCTCTGCGCTTCTTCAACCGTCTCGGGCAATCGTTGTCCGTGCATCATAGTGAACGATCTGGCGAACGTTGAAGTTCCAGCATCATCTTCCCTGGGACCTTTGACCGATTTCTGGCGTTGCGGTCGAAACACAGCCTGATACTTGTCCGCGACGGCCGCTCGAATACCTCGCTGCCGATCAATGGTGCTGTACTCCGTGGCATTCAGGAACAAGCCTGATACGATGACGCGGGCTATAATCTCCAATGTGAAGATGGTGAAAAGTACCAACATAGCCAACTCGAACGAAGTCCCAGCCCATTTGGGAGGGCGCTCATTTCCAGGTTCGAAGACATTAGAAGCCGCTTCAACAGCCAACAAAATGGCCTGTAGGACGATGAGGATAAGAATTACTGGCTCCATATAAGGATTCACCAGGACATCGCAGAGCTTTTTTCGGAGTGGATTTTCCGGACCAAATATTCCAAGTGAGCGGCCCTTCAGGGGGTTTGGCATTGGCTTGCTGGGGGCTAAAGAAATGGCCTCTGTCATAGGAATAGGGAAGCCATGCGACCCGTTCTTCTCCACTGGTGACGGCGGGTAGACCTGGGAAGGATAGGAGGTATCCATGCCCATAGAGACGTGAGAAGGATCATAGGATCTGCGGCCGTCGGCACTCGGTGATCTTGAGCGAGCTCGACGCTGCTGTTGCTCTATTGCCTCCTGCTCACCACTGATGTTGACGACACGCTGGGACATGGCTCTAACAATAGACCCAGCTCGGTAAAAAGCCGTGCCGGGGGAGCGCGAAGCTCGGTGGTCCGTCGGCGTGAGGGAGTTTCCATAGCTGCGGTGCTTGGTCGACCCAGGACCATTTTCCAGATCAAAACCTAACATCTTCGTATCGCGAGGTCGCGAGGATGGAGTATTGTCGAGATCCGATACGGTCTGGAAGCTATTCCTCGATATCGCGTCGACCTGCGGCGTGGTCAATGAAGCCCCCGAAATAGGTTGTGCAGAAGAAGTCAGCGGCGCACTGTCTGATTCGAAATAATCGTGGTGCGGCAGCTCGTCGTAGTAAGGAGTCGGGGAGGCGTATGGGTTCGTTGACGCCGAGTTGTGTCGGAACATGGCCGGCTCCGTTGGATGGATCTCAGGAGGGAGGGCATACTGCAAAGCGGCAGGATCTATTGGCGATGTCGGACTCGATCCCATGGTGTCACGCTGTGAAGGTTCCCAGTAGGTTGAGATGCCAGGCAGATTGGCTGTATTCCGCTGCGTGTTCCGAGTGCCAGCACCCGCGCCCACACCCGCTGCTCCGGGTGCCCCTTGTGTATGATCATATTCGCCGGGGGACCTTGCGAGGTTCTGCAGTGGTATTGATTGCGATGGAGCTGCCGAAGGGCTCTGCTGTGAGTGTTGTGGTGAAGTCGGATGAGTCATGGTGCCAGCTTGACGATGGACTTCAAATTCAAGTCCAGGGTCGAAGTTGGGGAAGATGCGATGGACGCAATGCGCAAGCGCACCGGCAATGGTGGAGCTAAGGCGCAATCGATGGCATCACTTTCAACGTGTATCTATCGGCGTTATCAAAATAAACATTTGGCGTGATTCTGAGTTGCGGTTGCAGGATTCGTATTGTTTGGATGGAGCTGCAACCCGAGGGGTTGACTGGCGTAATGAGGGACACGGAACAATCTCAAGATTCGCGGTAGTCTTCACGGTAATTAAAATGAATCAAATCCTCCTAGTCAAATCGTTGTACAAGGTTGGCCTTGGTGTTGAGGCTGTAAAAAACAAGTAGAGCGCAAGGTAAACGAGAGACGACGAACGTGTTGTCGTCGTTATTGGGTGGTAGATCAATAGTGGCTAACGATCAAATACGAGTACATAATTAAAGTCAAAAAAAGAGTTACTGGAGTCTGGCCAACAAGGTCGAGCGTCGTCGAAAGAGGGTGTCGGACTTCCCAGGTCTGCACCACGTCTCCAAAGTACCATCTGCACCGCGCTTGAACCAGTTAGGCTTATCTTATTCCTACTGCTGCAGTTAGCTGCTCAGTCTCTCAAGCATCCGGGATCCTGCGCCAAACAGGCCCACTCGCCGCAGCTGAACAAGCCGTACTAGCAGCCCGCCGAACCGATGTAATGGTTGATAGAAACTAATGCCAATGACACGGTAATCAGCCCCAAATGTATCCACAGCGCTAAAACTAGGTACAACTGAACGGTCCAAGTCGCGCTACTGCATGACGATGGCGCCAACCTGCCCCTGGCACTGACAGCATTCGGGGTCAGCTTGGTCTGGGGCTAAGCCTTCTTACATGGTCTTACTATATCATACCTATCATACATCTTGAAGACGGCAGTGCTCACTCTCTAATTGAAAATATGACTTACGGGCAGCTGTTACTCGTCGGTCAATACAGCGACTGCCTCGCCAGCTAGATATTTGTGTTTGCTGCCGAAACATCTCATGACCAATGCAGACAGAGTACCGGAGTAATTACAGGGCACTTGGGTCAGTTGGCACGCATGCTGTATTGGACCTGAAACGGTACCACACAGCAAACTCCATGCTGCTTGCGAATGCCTCGGGCTTTCCGGCATATCTGGACGGTGACCATCATTTATTATTGCACTTGGTTTGTTACTTGGTACATAAATGGGTGCTCAGTTGATGCATCACTGAAATTCTATTGAGACACTGGAGTGGGCTCTTGGGCATACTTTCGAGGTGTGACACGAACCAATTCCGCTACATAGTGTCGGATAACACACCAACACAATAGGGAGAATCCGACAAGATATAGAGGCCTGCGCGGATGCCAAGAGCATGAACATATGGTGAGATACTTTTGGCCCAGTTGGAGCCCCGCAAGTACGATCAACCTTGCAAGACCAAGTAGCAATTGATACTACAAGAAACCAGACTACTAGGACGGATCGAATCTTTCACATAGTAATATCACCCAGTCTTTGGAAGGCATGGAATTATCGAATGCCACTTACAATTGAATTTCTTGCTATCTGACCAGTTGCACCTGTTATACCTTCAACAATCTTCAGAGTCTACTCATGTGGGCCTGAGCTTACTATATAGTAAGAAGATGTTTGCGAGCGAGTCAGGGATGTCCTTTCATAACAGAAAAATGATCCCTAAAATGGTAAAAAGAGAGCTGGATCAGTGATCAGTGTGGGAAGTTGTGGCCTCAGGCAGGTGTGGAGGAGTAGGAGACAGGCAGGCACGCGTTGCAGTATTTAGGGATCCCTCGGGGCCAACTTGGGATTGGTCTCTCACGCACCTTCATAGTACCAATACAGCCCCTAGTACTTGGATTCTGACAAGCAGAGTATAGCAAATAATACACTTCTCGATGTTATTGTCCGGAAATCACGTAGAAGTTGTAGGTCTAGAAAGTGCATGCATGTCACTTAGATCGTTTGCCCAGGCTACAGAAGAGACAAAATCACTATTAAAGAAGTGAAGAAGCTTTCTAAGATCTGCTTGATGAACTACTAAAGTTTGGAATGATGAAATCTTTCATGGTCCAATGTTCACAGATTGAGGGTAGATGATTTTGGGGGGTGCATCTTAAGGGAGAACGGAAGAACAAAAGTCCCAAAGTTCTTCCAGTCGCCCCCACATGTGCTTGCACTAGGTTAAGTGCGTTGATGCGCAAAGTCGCGTTAAAGTTCCCAGAAGTTGCAACCGCGCCTGGTCCAGTTGAAATTCCACAACCCTGGGAAGCTACGAATGTCACGTAGTCACCCATTTCCCTCGAAAGAAAACGACTCATCGAACCGAACAGCCCAAATGGAATAGTTTATAGACACTGCGCAGATGGTCCAGGAACGTTTATTCCATTTTTCTCGTATTCTTCCGACTACCATTGGATCCCTCGTTGCCAGACATCAGCACACCCCTCAGCCGTCGCGCTTCTCAAACTAGACTTCGCACGCAGGTTAGCCATGCCGTCAGCAAGAAAGCGCGCCTTGCGCGACGTCGACCACGACGCCGGCGCTTCCAATCCTGCCACGGAAACCCCAAAGGAGACATCCTTGCTGCAAAACATCAGAAATATGTGGCAATTCGCCAACTTGTATCAATGGATTTACATATTCGGCAAGGTTGTCAAGATCGACGACAGTATCGATATGGACGTACGTATATGTATGTTACTCGTGACAAGCCACAAGCTAATGTGCGATTGATGGCAGGTTCTGGAAACCGAATGCCTAAAGCCGAATTCTCCCGTTCTCGTAGAAGTCGGCCTGGCCTTGCTGAAGTGGGTGTCATCGCATCGCGGACTGACTCCTGACCTGTTCGACGAGTATACGAGGCGACAATATGTTGCGAAAAAGCCCGATCACAACCCGTTTGGCACCGATGAGGAGCCTGCCAGGTTTCACGACTTCGATGTTTTCACAAAGGTTCGTGGGTCTGATAATGGTGTATTGCTGGGCGCATGCTAATACCATCTGCCAGATCAAGGTTCTGCAGCAACTTACGCAATGGGTCATGTTGCATTCCGAGCGCATCCGAGAGAAGATGGACGAGCAGAAACCTTCAGATCAGACTGACTGGGTTAGTAACTGATGGGATGTATTGGTCGATCTTGCTAACAAGAGCACAGAGAATAGAGCCGTACGGCTGGGACAGCGATGATCGCACATACTTTCTTCTGGATGACGATCGGCTGTATCGCATGACCGAGGCCCCTCCTCCTAGTGCTGAGTGGAAACCCAAGAAGAACTCGAAGAAGGCAAAGGCCGCAGCAAGAGCAGCCAAGCGCCGCCGTGTTTCCAGATCCTCTACTGCCAATATTGAAGATGCCGATGGTGGCTCTGAGTCTGAAGGCGAGAAACCTGCTGAGCCGGGAGATGACGGCCTCGGCGGTGCGAAGTGGGAGTGTATTGCTGTCACCTTGAAAGAAGTTCGAGCTTTTTTAAACAACATTCGCAAGACTCGCGATGACAATGAGAAGATCCTCAGAGACCGTATTGAAGAAGGTCTTGTGCCTATTCTCGAGAAGTACGAAGAATCCCGGAAGAGAAAGGCGCTGCAACGAGAAAAAGAACTGCTCAACCTGGAGAAATTGGCTCATGCAAAGAGATCTAGCCGTCTTGCCAACAAACAAGAACAACAGAAGTATGAAGAGCAAGCTCGGCAGGAAGAACAGCGTCGGTTTGCTGAAGAGGCAGCTGCGAGGAAGGCGGAACAAAAGCGCCTCAAAATGGAAAACGAGCGCGATAACAGGCTTATGTCGAGAGAGAATCGTCTACGGGAACGAGAGGCACGCCGGCTACAACACGAAGAGCTTGCGCAACTCTCGGAAGACAGCAAGAACCTGAGTGTTAGCGGTACCGGACGACTATCTGAGCGTCGGCTTCAAGTCGAAATCGACAAGAAAAAACAAGCCTTGGAGGAGCTCGAAGAGGAAGAGGAAGACTGGTTCTTCGACTGTGTCTGCGGCGTCCACGGTCAGGTGGATGACGGCACGCACAGCATCGCATGCGAGAAGTGCAACGTGTGGATGCATAGCAAATGTGTTGACATCAGCGAAAAGGAAGCAGATCGTGATGACTTTCACTTTGTTTGCAGCGGCTGCAAACGGAAGCAGGCAAACCCCAAGCCTACGATCATCAAGCTGAAGGTCAAGAATCCCGGTGATGCTCCTTCCTCGCCGCCTACAGTGCAGTCAGTTGACGGAACCCCTCGGCAACCTCGATCAGCTTCGCGCCAGTCTGGCTTCGTTGTCGAGATCCCCTCAAAAGCTCCAGACCGCTCCGGTTCACCAGAGAAAACTAACGGTGCGGTTCCTCAAGCCCAGCCCCAAGGGTTTGACGGGTCACAGTTGCGCCCTACTTCCCTCTCCCTAGCATCTAATAAATCGGCCATTCCGAAGAAGCAGTCCAAACAGACACCCGTGCTTCCGCCTCCATCGCCATATATGAACGGTGAAGGCTCAAATCCCTTCTCATCACCACATCCGACGCTGTCACCTCCTCAACAATCACCAAACAAGTCCAGAGCTTACTCTACGATAAACCATTCATCGCCAAGCTCCGGACCTAGTAGCAATGGTGAGCACAGGAGCTTGCCACCAAAAGGGATTTTTCACATCTCCCCCAAAGTCACTGGAGCGGTACAAGTGCAACACCAGACACCTGTAAGTGCATTGCCACCTCACGCGGACGTCACAGTGCCTCCCGTTGCTGCAAGATCAGATTCTCCGCTCAAGCAACCCCTTGAAGCTGCCAACAACACATTGCCCGTGCTTTCTCCACCATCCGTGTCGTTCTCGACATCGGGTCAACCAGCCAGCAGCTGCACAACACCAGGGTTTTCTACACCACAATTTGAACATAGCAAGCCGGGACCGAATGCCAACGTCGCAACACCGGCACTACCGCCAACTCAGAATGGTCTCTCACCTCTGAAACGCTCACCGCCAGCTCAGCGGCACAGCAATAATGTGCATACTCCTGCGCCTGCCATTCTTCCCCCTGTTGCCGCGTTGTCTCCAACCCCGTCGCAGCAGATCATGACTCCGCCGGTCAAGTTAGCTGAGCCTATACGGCCTTCATCACAGCAATCTAGCAGCGGCACCGGAAGTTCTTGACGTCGGTCGCAACCCAGCTCGGAGTCCTTGTATGGTTCATCACATACAGCTCTCCCATTTGGAGTATGGGTCAAGTTAAACTACTTTCAGTCTTGGGCGAGAGACTTGTCCTTTTTTCCGCGAACCTGAAGGATCCCATCGAGCTTTGTAAAATTTCGGCTGCCTTTGGATGTCTGTTCCGCGCAATAGAGGAGCGACGCAAGGTACAACCCCTGAGGTTTGGCATGGGTTTTAGACAAATGCATGATAAATGACGACAAAGTCATGGCGTTATTGAGATGGAGTAAAGCAAGTAGACAGAGGTGCTAATGATGATGTCTTCTGCAAAGCCGCCATGTACTATTGCCAATAATCTCTGTTTTTTCGATGTATGGATTTCGGTCTAGTTAGCTAAATCGATCAACAGGACGGTTTGAATGTGCTCATCAGAGACTTTGGAGGGCTCGGGTTTCCGTAGCAGCCAGACACACCGAAGGGTCACCAGTAGCTATGTGCACATTCCGTCATCCTTGAACGTCGTGTAGGTCGGAAGTTGAGCACACACGACTGGCTCTGTTCCAATTCACGCGACTATCACTTCATCGATCTCACACATGGTGCTTTATCTTTCAATCTCACCTGGCAGCACGAGCAACCAGCTCTGGTCACCTACCAATGGAGATGTGTCACCCCGACCCGGTGGAGAAGCCCAAAGGCATGCGCTCTCACTCGAAGCGACTTAAGAAGACGGCAGCCGAAACACCGGCCTTCCGAGCGTCAGGGATGGTCGTATCGCTCACGAGTATGAGTTCGCGTGATGTGGCTGCGTCCTGCCGTGGCGGTTGAATGGTCGAATCAGCAGAGATTCTTGCAAGCATATGATAGTTGATGACTTTGATGCCCAAGACTAGGGCAATCTGGGAAGGAGAAATGAGCAATCACAAAACCCGAAAGGCTATAGGAACGGGTGGTCTATGCGCAGCCGTGGGCTTCCATGAGTGGGCGGATCATTTCCTATGGAAGATAGGGGTGCGGGGTGATTAGGGTGGTTGGATAATGTAGGTACGCTTTGCTGTTGTGTCAGTGCCAGTGAACTTCAGGTGATCCATCTCGAGAAGGAAGCCAGCGAGCAAAAAGGAGATGCGAGACTGACAATCGGGAAGGGTGAATCCAGCTGTATGAGCAGGGCGCTGGTGCCATCGACGGGCTGGATGGCGCGAGACAAGAACAGTCACTTTTCGTTGTGCTCTCGACTTATTGGTCGGGGGCGTGTTGGGATACGCAGAGGATCAACACAGAAACGGATAGAGAAAGAGCTCATCAAAAAGTTGGAAACACGACAAGCCTGAAAGGATGAGCGAAACCAACGAAACGGACAGAAAACTTAGGACGTCAAACCAGTCTTTGAGGACCGTCAGTATATATGCAAATAGATGCATCCCTTTTGCAAGCCCATGATGGTGGCATTCCCGTACTGCACCCCCCTACATATCTACTCCTTGGGCCGACCAGACAAACCGACGCTTCAAGAAGGCGTGAAGTGTAACAGGTTGCATTTCCAATGTTGGGCTATGCGGTTCGGCCTCGCTTAGCCTGGTCAAGAACTCCAAGCTTCAGCTTCTCAATAAGGTACACCAGAATTGCTCGGTACGCAAAGCAAAGCAACCATGGCCTTTAATGTTAGCAATAAGAGCAGGGGCTGATCCGAATTGGGCACCTCTCTGCGCGACTGACGTTCAAACAGCAACCCCAGTCACGGCGCTAATGCGGCTACCCGTCGGTTCCTGCATGGATGCTGCTGCAAACAGGTATAAGCCGAGAAGCACGGTGCAGCCGAGCAGAACCTCAGGAAGCCCCATGGAAATTCATCCGTCTTTCGGCAAATGTCATTGCTAAATATCGGCTCCCCATGCATGCGAATTTCTCTGAGCTAGCATATGCCTGTCATCAGCACACATTACAGGTGGGCACTCCGGAGGACCCTGTCCGCGCCCCGTTAAAGTCACATCCGCGGCATTCATTCGGTCGTTTGCAGACGACCTTTCTTGCAAAGGGAACAGAATGACTGCATTTAGAGATCGAGTGCTGATGGCTTTCTTTGGAAGCTCAAAGGAATGAGGAAGGAGGCGTGATCTAAGCACGCCACACTTTACAACACGTTTTCGGCAGCGATCCAGGAACCGGCCAAGGGCTGCTGGCCCCAACACGCATTCCAGAGCCTGACACGACTAGCAACCCGGCCAACGCCGCACGCGTTGAAATCTAGAGATGGGCAACTAGCTGAGCCCCCCTCGCAAGGGAACTAGGCCAAAAATATGGACAAACACCAGATTTCAGATTTCCAAGATCAGAGTGGTGGGCCGAGAGGTGGAGCCGGCCGGGTTGGTGCACGAACAGGTCCGCATAGTACCAAACTCCTCCGCCGCTGTCTCATCGTCCAGTCGGAGGGTTCCATGCTTGGAGCCCATGTTTGCATGGCTTGCATGTCTTGGGCCCAGGGGTCCAATGATCGGGATAGGGCTGGCTTCTCTCCCATGGTGAGGAAAACGTGCCTATCCGATCCTCATCTAGTCTCTCATATTTCAAGTGGCCATGATGCAGCGAGCAATGAATACTCCAAATTTCTCAGACACGCCCGGAATGAACCGAGCTAGCAATAGCATAGAAAGTGGGAACCGGAAATAGCACCCGTCTTCCTCACTCTCTCTCCTTCCTCCCCATGCCCGAAAACGACGGGAAATCTGGCGTAAGTGAGCTGGAGTAATTTTGTGGGTGTGTGGCCTTGTTTCTGCATTCGGTTCTTTCGCTACTGCTTCAAACTATCCATCTAAAACATCTGCTTCCATATATTTTCCTATTTTCTTCCGAAAGCGGTAATGGACGCCCATTTGCGGTTGACCAAAGAACCCACTGCCGTTAAAGAAAAGGGAAACAATACAAATGATCTGACATCCCAAGAATCTGTACATTTCTTTCTCATATCGTTGTTAGTTGTTGGTTCTCTCTAAAAAGAGGAAGTACAAGAGAAGCTGTTGTGGCAAAGAGAAGAAAAGTAACTCTAGGGAAAACACACAAAGACCGCATCCAGTCTTCTCGGTTGGATCAAGGAGAGCCATACCAAAATCCCGGCGAGCTGGTCGGCAAGAGAGAAACGAACCAACACATGCATGCTCGACGTACACGACACACTTTCTTCAGTATACCCTGCTGCATACCACACGCTCCCTTATCAGACCATTTGTTCAGCTCCACGCCCAAGTATCTTGTCAGGCCGAACCAACAGGAAACTGTGTTGCTGCTGTTGCTGCCACCGCCCAGTGGTGAATCAGTCTCTGGGGAAGACGCGAATAGAACAAAGAAAGGGAAAGAAGAAGTGGTGAGAACTGGGCACAGGCAAGCTGCATCAACCATTTGTCCGGGGTGAAGTGACGGCCTGTGGGGTGTATGTTTACGCGAGACCCAGCAACCAACTTCTGCACATCTTCTCTGACCATCAGGCCGGTCGACTGACTAGTGGCACTCACATCAGAAAGTCACAGAGTCCAGCAGCTCACAATCCCAATCCCAATAGCCAGGATTTTGGTCCAGCTGGGTTCACGTCCACAACAGGAAAGAAGGAAGTCGCGGCTGTCGTCGTGCTTGTGTTCGCACAGCTCACATCAAAAGTGTTCGGCAGACACACACATCAAACCTGCCAGACGGGCATTTGCAACAGGTTCGTCATGTCCGGTTTCTTTCTGAATTTATGCACTGCATTGCACAGAACAGCACCATGCCACCCTAATATCCCAGCACATTCAGCAACCTGACCCTGCTGCTGCACTTCTGCAGTTGCTGCCACTGCCGCCAGTGCGCATATCCCCTTCGCGTCCGCAGAACAAGACAAACCCACATGTCTGTTTCTGACAGGTCTTCCACTTTTCACCGCCTGATCCAATTTTGTTTCTGATTGCCTGTCTATGTGTATATACATAGGTGCTTTTTCATGCGCGAAATATCTTCAGCTAAAAGACATGTGGGGGATATCACACAGACAATCGAGATCTTGCTAACTGACATCTGGTGGTTTAGCTTCAGGCCAAGAACATTGTGCTTGCCAATCCCAAATTCTACATCTGACTTGACTCTCTGCCCCTTGTCGTATCGTGTCGTGTCGTGTTGGAGATTTCTATCTGCTTTCCAGAAGCTCGGCTCCCTGAGGGTGGAAGCTTCTTGTCAAGCTGAGCGCTCCCTCCTGGTCATCGCGGTATCACCGACACTTTATCGTCCCGAAAGCTGGTGCCAAGCAACCCAGTCTAACCTCAAGACGTCTGATCTTTACCACGCTATCCGGACATCAGCTTTCATCGCCGGCTCGAATCGCAAGTGATCAAAGGAAGGCGTCAACTTGGGCAGTGAGTTTTGCAAACTCCTGCTTTGTGGTCACTGCCATCCAGCAAAACAGCTTCTTGGTTCTTACTCTGAAGCCTGCTGTTGACCTACCCTTAATACCCTTTCATACCCCACTGTTGTTCCCTAGTTGTTAATACTGAATCTCAACGAAGCATCACCCCCCTCACTCCCCCCAAAAAACAGCAGCTGCAAGTCAATAAAGATGGATCCCCCCTCGCCAGCACCGTCAAACCTGGGTGGAGTCCTCCAATACGACCTGGAGCAGATCGCACAGTACAACAACGCGACGTCGAATCCGCGAGAGACGATAGCCACGTACAGCCCGTACGACTCGCAGCCTCACTCGCGCTTCACCAGCCCGATGCCCCAACAGATGCAGTACGGCCACGGGACCCCCCTTACCCAAGATGCCTACGGAAGCCCTTACCACTACCAGGATTACAGCCCGACCCCGTACCCTGACCTGCCCTTACAACAGGTGAGTAGTGATGTCCTCCAACCATTTCTTGAGACAAGTCGTGGTGACCCATGTTTACTTCTTCGCCCCGGGTTACTAGATGTAATTAATACTAACACGCATGAGCAGACCCCCAACCACTCATACAGCACACCTGCAACATCACCACCCACACCACCCACATCAGCATTAGCGTCAGGGGTAACAACACGCAGAGGGCGCGCCATGTCGCGGCAGCAGATGGACCACGACCCCCTGGGCGCACGATCAACCCGTGTGGAGAAATCGACGACGCCGCGAGCAAAACCCAAGGGCAAGAAGAAGAAGAAGAAGGCGGTGGGTGATGATGAGGATGGTCTCGGTCTGGAGGCGCCATTGTCGGTGCTGTGCAAGGACATAACCCACATCAAGGACACCGATATTGAATCATACGTGCATCGGTCCATCGAGGTGCGGCACGAGGAGGTGGAAAATTCCAAAGATCGCAAAATAAAGCGGCCTATGAACGCATTCATGCTGTACCGAAAAGCCTACCAAAACCGCGTCAAGGCGCTGCGGTCGCACGACAACCACCAGATTGTGTCGAAGGTGTGCGGCGCCAGTTGGCCCATGGAATCAGACGAAACTCAGAGTCAGTTCAACGAGTGGGCCAAGACGGAACGCGGCATGCACGCTGCAGCATGGCCAAACTACCGCTTTACCCCTGCCAAGGCGAAATCCAAGAAGAAGCCCGGTGCTCCGGGTTCCGACGATGACGGAAGCGATCTCAACGACTGGGACTACCAACATGAGCCGTGGGAAGAGCGACTCACTTGGCCGAATGGTCTCCCCCGGGCGCTCAGCGCATCAGCGGTAGGGCCGCTAGCAACGATCCAGATGTGAACTACCGTCAGCCCAGGTCCAATATGTACACACAGTACCACCAGCCCCTGGGTCCGGCCAGAATGCCTCCACAGTACTCCGGCGGCATTTCCAACTACCATTACTCCAACCCAGGCAAGCCCCTCCCGGCGCCGTACTCAGATAGCATGGTAAACGGCCAATACTACCAACAAACCATCGAGCCGCACCGCATGCCGCCGCAACAGCAGCAGCAACAGCAGCACTACAATATCCAGCCGCCCCAAGTAGAGGACGTATATTACATGCGGACCACGCACACCCCACCTTTACAACCGGGTTCCTACTCTTCATCTCCAGTTGAAGAGGGATACAACATGTACCCGCCCCCCTCGATGCAACCGCCGACCCCACAACATCACCAACCCCAATTCCAGCCAAAACACCACCACCCCCAACAACAACTTGACTTCTTCGCCTCGCCCTACCATCACCAAGCCACGCCTCCCCAGCCCATAAGCAGCGCCGAACACTTTGATAGCGACTACAACGCGCTGGGCGTGTACAGCGCTGACGAGGAGCAGTACGCGTTCAACCACGGTCCCTCGCCTCCGCCTCCAACTTCTGGTCCCAATGGGTTGCCTGGAGGAGGGGATTCGGCGCATTTTTATGCGGCGCATTTTGCAAACGAGGCTTTGGGTCAGGATCCCGTATTGGATCCGCAGTTGGAGGGGATGATGTTGAAGGGTGACGGCGAGGGTGCGACTGCTGCTGTGGATGCGGGGCAGGGGACAATTACTGCGGGAGGTGGTGGTATTGAGACTGCGAATGCAGATTTGGGGGGAGGTGTAGGTGTAGAAGAGGATTGGACCACGGAGCCTATCAATGTGGACGAGACGAATATTAACGAGCTTTTGGGGACGGGTGAAGCTTCCGAGACCTAGAGTGGTGAGACGACAAGGGGAAGTTTAGGAGAAGGTGGGAGGAGCGAAGGTGAAAGATTATTGTATGTATTATTTGGCATTCATTCATTAAGACATGCCTGCCGTTTGGGAAAAGAAGAAAATATGACGGAGAGAGGGAAAGAGTGGAATAGGTATTGCATTGGCATTGGTTGGGTTGGAGAAGCGTGGGAGTAAATCAACACAACACAGGCCATCTCATCTATCTCCTCCCCCTTGAATAAGACAGGATATCGAGACATAATGGATGAGCTGTTTCGAGCATAGTTGATGGAATAGATAGAAAACTGCCGAGGCAGTGAAAGTGTAGAGAAACATGTTTTCTGTTTGCCCCATTTCTTGTGATCGTGGGCACTCTTAAACTAGATGGGTAGCTTCGCTATTGCTTCCCACTGTCCTTAAACATGTAGCTCTCGTCGTTGCTCGAGCCTTGCCCCTGAGTGACCATCAATCCATATGATTCCTAAGTAGGTGTACCCTTTTAATTATGGGATTCCTGCTTCGCAATCGAGCATAAAGTATCAGTGATTTATGCTAGCAAATATCAGTGCGGCTTTTGATGCGTATACGTGGCTTCAAGGATTGAAAGGAGATGAAAATGTCAAAATATGTGTCTTGTTTTCTCTCATCTACAGTTCGTCCCTAGCTATTTCATTTTCTGGTACTGTATCCACGTGAATCTCCTCCTCCAAGACCCGTTTCACAGGGTTCGGTTGTTCATCATCCTCGGATTCCCTCAGTACCGTCTCGTCCTTCATGTTTGCATCCAGCGTTTCTTCGAGTTCGGATTTAGGAGGTTCCTCCGAAGCAGCCTTGGCATCCGTCGCATCGTCAATCATCTGCCCGACCTGCTCAGTCATCGACTCTGGATCCGCAGTCTCCCGCGACCGCCTGAGCTCCTCCTCACCACCCCGTATCGTATGTACCCCCTCGTTATTCATCTCCACCGACTGCACCCCGGGCCTCACCCCAGGCGACTCCAACCCCAGATCCAGCGATCCGCCATCACCGTGTAGTCCAACCCCCTTCGACACCCCCACCGCCCCCCTGAAAACCAACTTCAGGGGCAGCCACACAAGCCACCACATGGGCCCATAGACAAACCTCCTAAACACCAACCACGAAATCGTTGCCCCAAGCAAATAAAACGACGACTGCAAGTACCACGTATCGCTCTTCTGGCTCTTCATCAAGGTCCCCAGCAGCTCCCGCGAACTAGATAGCATCGAGTCAAGCGACGAGTACGTCTCGGACAGCTGCGTGAGCGCCGCCGTCGATTCCTGCAGCGTCTGGCGGGCGAACTGGGACCGCGACAGCTCCGAGGCCATCATGTCGTGTGTTCGCCTTAGGGCCTGTGTCACGTCGCTGCTTGCGCTGAGGGTTTGGTCTTCTTTGGACATTTCGCTGCCGCCCAGGGGTTGCCTACGCCGGGATTTGATGGACGGGGCAGGGGAGGAGGCACCCGATCGGGGCGAGGCGAAGGAGGCGAAGAGGAGTTCGCGTTCGTGCTTTTGGGCGAGTTGGAGGTTGCGCTTGGCGGTGATTTGGGCTTTGCGAAAAGACACTCGACACCTGTATTTTGCGTATTAGACATGTGTGCCGTTTATCGTGACTTGGTATAACTGGGCCAGCTGGCCTACCTCTGCAGTTCCCCCTTGAGCCTCTGGGCCCCATCCGTCAATCTGGTCTTGTCATGCTGCAAGTCGTCCCTGCCCGGCGGGATATCCACCGCCTCATCCATCAACAGTTCGAGCTCCTCCTCCTGCTCGCGGAGGATCTGGTTGATTTCATCGCTCAGTTCCGATCCGACATTGTCATCTTCCCCTGCACCGAGGGGTACGGAACCGGGTTGGAAGTTGAAGTTGGCGAGGCGGTCTATCAACTCCTTGAGCTGGGATGTGGCATCTTGGAGGGTTGTAAGTCGGTCATGCAAATCCGCAAACCGCTGCTCGAGGACTTCGGACGTCATGTTTGCGAACAAGTTATTGATGTCAGTCGATAATGCACGTCAGTGCACAACGTACAGCGTCATTTGCAATTTTCTTGAGAGAAAGTTGGCCTTTTCGCTTCAATTTCAGGTTACTGGGTAGTTTGACTTCATAAATCGGTGACGTTGAATTCAAGGTCGATTCCTGGCTTGATGCATCTGCACCGCCACTGGACCTGGATTTGAGCCACATCCAGCCGAGACTTGCTGAAATCGCAAAGTTCGGATAATCCACCAGTGTTTTCATTTGTGGACGCTTTGAAGCACGGCACAAAACTCACTCCAAAGTCACCCGTTGACTTGAGGTGCTTATACGGCGGGATACTGAAGCTGCTATACCGTGAGCTTCAAGCATTATCCCAATTCTACCCGGACAGCCAGCCCAGCATGATCACGAGGTTCATCACCGAGGTGAACGCCAAGTTCAACCCCTTCTCTGTGGCCTCGAGATCCACCCGCTTATTCCTCTCCTCGTTGCCGTCGGATGCACGAAGCACCGGCATGAAGATCAACGCGAAGCTCCTGCCGCAGACATCGAAAGAGACGGCCTCGCTGATGGTTAAGTTCAGTACGTGCGCCGACTACGAACCGACAACTACACATTTACTAACGTGACACCACAGAGGATGGCAAGGAGATGGATTTGAACGGCGAGCAATTGGGCATCAAGGGCATCATCGAGGAGGTCGACCGCCATTCTCGTGCACTACAAAAACAAGCAGACCTGACGGACGGTTAACAGGTGAGAGGTGATGCTATGGCATGTATATCAAGCACGGGCAGGCGTTGGGGAATCATCACAGAGAAGTAACTTTGTACATTGTGTCAAGAATATGTGTATTGTTCTCGATGGCTGCAACAGGCCAACCACAAGTTCAAGCGGCTTTAGTCGTCATCATGTCCCTGGGTTAACCTACGGAGTTGCGTAGAAGGGGATATACTGCAGCCAAATTCGCTCAGAATTGTGGCGGCTAAATATCCGCAAGAACTTTTGTCTACCAAATCCAGGACATGCACGGGTTTATGCCGCAGCACCACTGATGAAGAACCACTTGTCGATCGACGCGTCGATCTTCTCGGGGATAAGTTCCTCGTTCGGGGGCAGGGGAGGCAGCTGGTTCGAGCTAACGCGGGAAGGCGAGTTGGCAACGGTCAAGTTTTGGCTACAGAGTGGCCTTGTTAGCGTCCTTTCATCCCTCCAGGGTTTGACGTTACTTACATCGAGATGTCACCGGGCTGGGTCTTGCCAGTGATCAGTCGGTCCCAAGCCTCACCACACTCGCGAATCACATCCATGGCATAGCTGCACATGCAATTAGTAGGGTCTTCGAATATTGGTCGTCGCAACGTTAAAGGGCGCCTTACGACTTGTTTTTGCACTCGCCGGTGAAGGCGAACTGGTTCTCGGGCTTTCCGTCGGGGATCTTGTAAATACGGAACCACTCGTTGGTGGCACGGAGAAGGCCGGGGAGGTGGCGCTCGACATCCTCGACGTCGTTGAGCTTGGGGGCCAGAGGGTCGTTGACATCAACGACAATGACCTTCCAGTCAGTCTCCTCCTCGTCAAGCAGGGCCATGACACCGAGAACCTTGACTTGCTTGACTTGACCAACATAGCCGACAAGCTCGCCGATCTCGCAGACATCGAGCGGGTCATTGTCACCACGGGCCTTGGTCTCGGGGTGAATGGCGTTGGGGTCCTCCCAGGTCTAGATAGTTCGTGTCAGATCTTGCGGAAACGCACAAGAAATATAAACGCAGTGGCGGTGTTGTGTTACCTGAGGGAAGGCACCGTAGTTCCAGAGGTAGCCCTTGTGGGGAAAGCAATTGCGGACGAATCGAAGCTTTCCCTTCTTGGTGTCCTGCTTGATGGGGTTGAGAAGCTCATCCTTGGAGATCTGTAGAGCGGGTGTCAGCTGAAATCGATAACCAAACGCAAAACCAGTCCTGCAGTTGTAGTCGGGGTGTGATGCTGACCTCGAGCTTGGCGTTGGTCCATCGGGGAATCTCGACAACCATGTTCAGGATAGTCTGCTCGGCATTGGCGTAGAGAGGAATGTCGTGGAAGGGCGAGACGGGCACGCCATCCTTCTCGATGTAGACGCGGTGCTCCAAGGTGTTGGGAGCTCCCTTCTTGCGGACCGTGAACTGAGAAGCCATTGTGGACGACGAGTCGGCGATGTGTAGCTTGTTGTTAATGGAAACGGAAGCTGAGCTCGATAAATGTCGAGCTATTTGGGCGGAACGTTGAGACGCAATTTTGACTCTGGGAACACTGCTACCAGATAAAAATGCAGATGAAGATTGTGATGTGGAGGGACGAAAATTGGCCGAAGAGGAAACCATGCGGGAAGGGGGAGGAGGGGCACACTTTCCCTGGCAGCCAGGATCAAAGGGTCCCGCCAGCGCGATGGTGCGATTGGCCCGACGCAGTCCTATAAGCGGGCGAGTCAATATGCCCGCCGTTAGAGAAAGATGTGGCTGCCGTGAAGACGAGAGCTGCTGCCGGGCTATATGCAAACTCTGCCTCACAGGTCGTTGGGATAACATAAACACAATAATAACTACAAGAAAGGAGGGACAAGTGATTGTAATACAGAAGACAGGTATACCGACAAGGGGCTCGTGACGGCAGCTAGAGTTAATGGCAGATGATCGGCTTCAGATGCGGGTGTTACCTACGTCCAATATCTTGCATCAGCAGAAACTGAACTACCCAGACGACCGAAGCTCGGCGGCAGATATATCAAATCGATCCTTGTCCATTTCGGACTTCAGCCACGGCCTCTAGCCACTGCAAACAACACTATTACAGAGCAAATATGGTGCCCTACAGCGTCAACTCGCGCTCAGGGTGTACTGTGGGACGAACGCAGAACCAGATATTATCCATTCATAACTACCTTGGTGAAGAACTTAGAGCATATTTCGGGAGAGTTGTATCTGTTGCCTAAAACACTTTGAACCACCGGTGGTGTGGCTTGGTATGGTTGCTCAATATGGCTTTCCCAAGAGCAGGCACGGATTGCTTCTGCAATCTGTATGCTTCATTATGTCGAACTAGCTGTATGATAAACCGACATTATATCTTTCGTCAAAGCACTTGCGTTTCACTGAACCGGACCGGCTTGCTGGAGATGATGATGTCGTTGATCTTTGGACGAACCAAGTCGCCGATAAGATAAGGTGCCGAATTTCTTGAGTTGACGGAGGGCGAGGACTTTGGATGTCGAGCGCGCTTTCGGAGATGGATCTTTTTGTCACTACGTAAAAAAATCACGATCCTCACAAGTCCTCCTTCCGTGTCATGTCTTCGCTCGCACGGGCAGTTCGAAGCATCATGACGACCGAAATCAAGAAGGTTCCCATCCCCCCCCACGGCGTCGACTACCGGGGCAAAGTCGTCCTGGCCCCCATGGTGCGCTCCGGCGAGCTGCCATCGCGACTCCTCGCCCTGCACTACGGCGCTGATCTGGTATGGGGTGAGTTATCTCGTCACGAGAATCTATAAGCTTGCTGTTACTAACCGTGCACATCGTGTAGGCCCCGAAACTGTCGACAAAGCCATGATTGGCACAACGCGCAAGGTACACGAAGCCACGAATACTGTCATGTGGACGCGAAAGGCGTCGCATGGCGCGAAAGAGCCGTCAGCAGATGTTAAAGAGAGCATTATCTTCAACATGCATCCTGAGAAGGAGGGGCGGAAACTCATCTTCCAGATGGGCACCGCAAATCCGGACCTCGCCGTCGAAGCAGCAAAATTGGTGGCGGCAGATGTGGCAGGCATCGATGTGAATGCCGGCTGTCCGAAACCTTTTAGCGTACACTGCGGGATGGGAGCTGGGTTACTCAAGACGCCCGATCTGCTATGCTCCATTTTGGAGGCGCTGGTCAAGAACATCGCCTCCGAGTTCGAGATTGGCATCAGCGTCAAGATCAGGATTCTCGAGACTCCATCCGAGACTGAGGCTCTCGTCAGAAAGCTGGTTGCCACAGGGATCACTGGTCTAACTGTCCACTGCCGAACGACACCCATGCGGCCCCGGGAACGTGCGATTCGAGGCCAGCTACGTATGGTCGCGGATATTTGCCACAAGGCCGGCGTCGCATGTGTGATGAACGGCGACGTGGAAGACAGAGACCATGGTTTACAACTGATGGAAGAATTTGGTACAGACGGTGCCATGATTGCGACCTGCGCCGAGAAAAACTCGAGCTGTTTCAGGACCAAAGCTGACGGGGGTGCGGTTCCTTGGAAAGATGTTGTCGAGCAGTATATACAGTACGCAATGGAGGTTGAGAACAAGTTCGGCAACACTAAATTCCTATTGACTCAAATCATTCCTGGAAAAGCACCGGTTTATCGGTCCATCAGCCCCTGCAAGAGCTATACAAAGATATGCGAGACGCTTGGCCTCGAGTCTCTCTTGGAACGGGCGCGAGATGTTGACGAGAAACTCGGTATCGACCCCGAGAGTGGTCCCAAGAAGAACCAGCAGGCACTGCAAAAGGCAGCTCAACAGGGACAAGAAAAGAAGAACAAGAATCCTAACCAGACTGCCCTTGCCGCAGGGGGCCAGAAGGCCCAATTTAGAAAACAAGACAAGAAGAGTTTATCGAACCGAGGCGTCCAGGTGCAGCCTGGAACACAACAAACAGAAGGGATGGCGGCTGTCATTCCGACTTAAAGGGTATCAGGGAAATTCTTGCATCAATAGGCGTATGAGTTTGCTAGCATTTGAGGAAGTTGGAGGAAGATACCGCTGGCTTGACCAGCCATAGAGGTATCACGGATTCTTGAAAAATTATACCGCGGTGCTATGGAAAACATGAGCAAAAGGCAATATGGTTGTAGAGCCAGCAAGTAGGACAGGTGCAGTTGATTTGTAACTATAGTCAGCTGCGTTGCCTTTTGGGGCAACCCAACCTGCACATGGCGGCGGGTTGAAATCAACAAAACACGCAATTTACAACACTCAACTCTTTCGCTATGCCCGAACGCAAGACTCGAATCAAGTGGAATACGAAACAACAAGCAGTGATACCAGGAGAAAATGAGATCATCCAGCCAGGATGCCAAGCTGCCAAATCCCAACACCTCATTCCCCATACTTCAATAGATCTGGATTCGAAATTTCCTTGAAGCTGGAATAACCCTGGATATGCGTCAACAAAACATGTTCCCGCTTCTTACCATCCACACACCCTTTCCCGCGGCCCTCTCAAGTAGCTGACTTCCATCAGCAACTATATCACCCAACCGGTGGTACCCACGGACCGGTACTTGATGAAGCGCCAACTGTTCTGCAAGGTATTCCACCTTCTTCAGCTTCGCATGGTTTTTCTTGGCGATATCCTGCGCAGAGAACATGAAGTATTCATGCACCCCGACCAGAATACCATCAAAGTCACTCTGGATCTTGCTCCCACGGAGTTCACCTTGTATCGCGATATCCCGGCCCAATTTTGATAGCTTGTCAGGGTGACTGTGCCTCTTCATCATATCCCAGAAGGTCCAGGCATTTTGCTTAAATAGTTGAACGTAACGGGAGCAAACGCCAATGTACTCATTGTGCCACATTGCCTTTGCAAAGATGATACAACATGATAGATTTCAGCAAACAGGGCGAGAGGCCTCAGCAGCATGGGATATCTGCTTCGTCATCTTCATGCTCTTCTCCCACAATCCAATCTGCTTATTCCACGTAAGGAAGATTTTCTAGAGAAAACACCATCATGTCCTCTCCGGGGCAGGAACAACTCGGTTCCGAAGAATACTGCCAGCCGCCGATCACGGCGATCTCAATCCGGTCGTCGTCTGCGATGGGAGTATATGGACTGGTTTTCCTTATTGTATTGGACGTTCGAAGCATGATGGCTTGAGTGCGCAAATCAGTATTCGACAGTGACTTTGCTGCTCGGTGGTCGAACAATGGAGGATGAAGTGATGATCTCGCACAATAGTATCTCAAGAGTTGAATTGAACAAAGGAGATATTGGTGAAACAGGCCGGATGTACAACCCAGGCAATTCACGGAATACTCTTTGCGTATCGAGCCATTCCATCAGGGGTCGGATAGCTATAAGAAGTCGGCGGGGTTATTTATGCTCCGCCTGAAGGCGCGGCAAGGCCTACATAGGCATCCAGAGCAAGTTGGTCGAATAGATCTAAGGTTAGACGAATGATCCTCAGCTTACTTGAGTAACCAAGATCGCACAGTGTTACCTACCAACTTGGGACGCTTGTCCGCTTCAGTACTGTAGAGGCATGCTGGGTTCCGTATGCTCACTGTCAAATGAGAAACCTTTCCTGATTCCACAAGGCCATACATACGTTGGGCAAATGTGTCCAAAGACACAGCAATAAAAGATGTTTTTCACATCAAACGCGAAAAAGAAAAAAAAATAACATCAAAGGAACGTAAACATGTAACTTAGACAGGGAGTTACGATCGAAGTGAGGTTGAACAGCCAAGAGCGTTGCAGCGGGTGAACATTTCAGGGTCCAAGGTATGATGTCAACCCCACACATCCCGCTATCCAATATCCCCACGAACCAAATGAAGAATCAGTCGCAAACAACCTGCTTTGTCCTCGCAATATGCGGCTCTAAGGGACGTCGAATCAATCATCGAGGCTCTATTTCCTCTTTCGCTCATTTTCTTCCTGTCCGCAGCTCAAGTAGAAGGAGGCTTGAAGCGCGACTTCCGCGGCTGCAGTGGGATTCCCCATGATGCGGCACATCACGTCAAGACCGAGACTTCCAGATTGTTCACAATAAGAAGTTCTACGTACACTCATACATGCACATCCGCAGAAAGGCTATCATAGTGACGGACCAATACCGAGTTCGTTCACAATCTGTCGTTTGGGCGCAATCAACTCAAGTCACTATGAGTGATCTCCAGAAAGCCTGGGCCAAATCCAGGCTCAGTAGTGGAATGAGTCCTGACGCCTTCGACGAGCGGGAGGAAGAGGAGGATGGCTATCTTACCGAGATGCCAGAACCAACCTTTGAGGATGATTCTTCGAGTGCATCTTCGGCCTCGTCGACGGGAACCATCATACCCTCTCCAAGCAGAAACTTATTCGCGAGACCGCAGGGGTGAGTACACAACCCGCTCATGAACATCAAGCACATGTTGCTAACTCAATTGCCAGTGTGCCGAGAGGAAGGACATTGCAGCAGATACCTTGGACAACATATTTTGAGAGGGAGCTGTTTCTGAAAACGGAGGATGCGCCATCGAGTCCCACTCTGCATGCTTACCTGATATCCCCCGTGGATAAAGGGCCCCTATTCGTGATGCACCACGGCGCCGGTTCATCGGGGCTGTCTTTCGCCGTTGTGGGCTCCGAGATCCGAAAGCGTCAGCCGTCAGCAGGTATACTGTCCGCGGATGCACGGGGTCATGGATCGACCACCAATCCCGACAGTGACAAGCTTGACCTGAGCCTGGCCACGTTATCAAAAGATCTACTTTCCGTCATCAAGTCGACGAAGGAAGAAATGAAGTGGAAGGAGCTGCCTTCTATTATATTGGTTGGCCATTCTCTGGGCGGCGCTGTCGTAACCGAGCTTGCCATGTCGGGGGCACTCGGTAATGCACTCCTGGGATATGTCGTTCTTGATGTGGTGGAGGGATCTGCTATGGATGCCTTGCAGAGCATGCAGACGTATCTATCGACGCGACCGAATGGATTCGCGACCCTGGAGGCGGGCATCGAGTGGCATGTGAGATCAAGAACGATTCGCAACTCGGTTTCAGCCCGCACCAGCGTACCAGCATTGCTGAGTCAGGACGAGGTACGGACCGACTCACGGCCTTGGAAGTGGCGGACGGATCTTGCCAGCACACAACCGTTTTGGGAAAACTGGTTCGTCGGTCTGAGCAAGAAGTTCCTAGGGGCAAGGGGTGGAAAACTGCTGCTCCTGGCAGGAACGGATAGACTAGACACGGAGTTGACGATTGGCCAGATGCAAGGTATGTGCATTCACTTTGCGCACATAGTTTCACTACTGACTCGAGAACGTAGGAAAGTATGCTTTGCAGGTCTTCCCAGAGGCTGGCCACTTCATACACGAGGATTTGCCTGAAAAGACGGCAGTATCGCTGGTGGACTTCCATCGCCGAAATGATAGAAGTGCCCTCGTGCTACCACCCAAAGTGTCGGACTTGCTGAGGCAGGGCAAGAAGGTCTAATAGATAAGAGATATCATGCTTAGACATAATATCGCATATCACTCCTGTGTTTGATAAACATAACTCTAAATCTCTTTGTATGGCTCCGGTCATGACAAATTCAGAGCGTTCGCTGAGCACCGAAAGGGGAAAGAGACGGAAAATAAATAAGACAAGGAGAACGATATCAAGAAGGCCCACGACGTACCCGGGTGTTTTCGCCCGCCATCCTCCCCGTCTGCGAACTGGCTAGATGCAACTGCCTACCACTGAGATTATTACCGCGCCACCCAATGAGGACGAATTGTTGGGAATCATACGACTATATATTTCTGGCCTGGGTGGAAAACATGTCACTCACCATGCACTCGCCGTCTTTAGTTCTTTCCCTAGACAATGGCAAACCAAACTGTCTGCGTGACATATACAATCTATTCTATGCGTTAGAAGCTCCTGTGCCTACTCCTAGTGCTATGTATAATTCATACATGTACTGTCATCCCACCCATGCGATGGGCAACCATCCTTCCCTCCCCGGCTCTGAGGGCGTCAGTTTTGTGGCATCAACACCAGCGAGGTGTGTCTATCATCAACATATTTGATTTTCATGATCCAACACACGCCATGGATTTTCAAAGGATATCTTCAACCATGATGACACCATAGATGGTGACAATATGTACACCAACTCCGCAGATCTGTATGTTGGTCCCCCCTTTCCACTTGTTTGGAAATACATGACCAACGCCATTAGAGCAAATGGAATCACAGGCCTTTCGTACTTCAAATCGCAGTATCGAGTTTCATTTGCTCGCTCGAGTAAGCTGGCCAATCGGATATTGGGTTGGGAAGAAGTGGCCACCACTATACTCAACTTCGTCTTCTGAGCTCGCCTACTTGTACCCAAACATGTCACTTTAGCTGAGCGTTCATGCAAAAAAAGGCACAAAATAGTATCGCCATGGTAAATAATATCTGTTGGCTACCATCACCTAGTGAAATTGTGTTATCTACACTAATAGGGGACTGTACTCCCGTATGCTAGGCATGGCCGTCAAGGGAACATATCAAAACCACATATCTTCCACTTCAATGCACTATTTCTTCACCGATCAACTGACCCTCGCGCAGAAACTGCCAGCGACGAGAAACGGTGTTCCAATACCGCATCTTCCTGTACAGCCTCAACAGAAGGGAACGTCAAAATCCCGTAGTTAGCCTTCATTCGGAACACTAGAGCAGCCTTATAATCGCTCGCGAGGTCTCTGGCAACTCACTCGTAGGCTGTCTTTGAGATGGGCGTCTTAGCGTTAGTAAGGTCTCCGACGTAGAGCATCTTGCGGACGGATTCGAGGACGAGAGCGACGCGGACGTGCTTGTCTTCCTGGTCCATGAGCCCCCACGGTACGTTTGCATGTAATCCAGCCCGTCGTCCACGAGCTTATGTACGGAACCGCAATCCGATACATCTGGCCTGTCTCAGCCTGTGCAGCTGTGCAGGGGGTTAAGGCGGTTCTTCCTGTACGCTGTGATGTCGACTTTGCCGCATGAAGGTCAAACCTGGAGATTGTTAACGTGCGTGGGGTAAAGACGGATCTATGTCACATACCTTTCTGCAGCATTGAGCTGTGAGGTGTTCTAGCGTGGCGGCAGCCAATGGTACCTGCCCCCAATGTGTGTCGTTGCTTCCTCTAAGCTAATTGTGGGAGAACGACCCAACACAGTGAGCTCATTCATAAAATCAGACCAGCTCAGCACTCCCAGACTCGACCAAACCCTTCGCATCAGACCACCGCAAAATAAAGATATCCCCATGCTGCCCGGCTGCCGCCCCATCCACATCCGTCCCTTTCCCCCTGACAACCACATCCCTCAACAACCGTATAAAAACGGCCGTATCCACATCGGGCGTGTCAATCATGCTAATATTCCCCGAAGTATCATTCAAGTTCTGCAAGCTGGCCGGAAACGACGACAGGAACGAAGACAAGTAATGGTGATGGAGCAGGGCCTGGTGTCTTGTGGCATACGCAAGCTCCGTGGAAGAGAGACGCAGCCGGAGATCGGCCGTGGACAGGTAGTGCAAGGTGTGCTTGTCGATCTTGGCGACGCGGGCGCGCAGGTAGCTGCGCACGAGGAACTTGAAGCGCTCCAGCTCCGTCTGGATCACGATGAGGGCAAAGTTGGTCTTGGGGTCCATGTCGCCCGTCATTTCTTCGACTTTTTCGATTTGCTTCTTGATGCGGTCGTTAATGCGCTCGAAGAGACCGTCTGCTGGCCAGCTTTGTCGTCAAGTCACGTCAGTATGAAATGCATCTTGACGGCCATGAGGGTCTTCATGGGCACATGAAGAGCGCTGCTTACTCGAGGAGCTCGGGGGCTGATCTTTCAGCTATCCAGGCGCGTGTCAAAGCCTGAAGGTCGCGGGTCTCGACTGGGATGGAATCAAAGGTCGGATCGACCTCACGCAGGATGTCATCGATGTCCATACTGGGCAAAGTTTAGAAAAACTAGAAGAGGTGTTGCTCAATTCACTATTGTACGTCTCGACTTAGGAGGGAGTTGCGACTGGGAACGTCGCGTCAAATCAAGCGCGACTTCCTGAAGTCCATTGAGCGGGGGCGGGGGCATCGAGAACGGAGGAGCTTTCTTTGGAGCAATTGGATGCGGGTGGCAGTGCCATCTTCTCAGCCAAATATACCAATCACCACCGCCATACCAAAAGTTCCAGACTTTCTCTATTAAAGGCTGATAAGGTGGTTTCGATCTGATTGAGTGCCTCTTCGAGGATTCCCGTCACATGATAAAATGGGCAAACTGGAGTTGTCCAGTTGCGAAGCAAGTGCTGTGTACAACTTGCTCATTCAGCTGCAAAGGGGCGGTACACCTCTACACTGGCCCAATCGCAGACTCCAGAGATGACAATCTATATTGTACTTGTTATGCTAATTCTGTCTTCTCCGTATCTCCTCCGCATGCATCTATAAAGGGACCTACACTCGATGACCCAGCCATGCCAGTCTTGTAAAGCAACAGCAATATTCGACATCTTGGCCTGCACATGCGAGCTAGTATCCCTCAATATCACAACATCTTCTTCCCACAGAGCTCGACAATAAGATAACGCTCTGGCTCCCAAGAGAAAGCCGACTCCCATAACCCATTTTCGGAGGTATAATGCGCCGTTGCAAGCCCCTCTGTCCTTCTGTGTATCGAGCTCCCCATCCCCCATCCCCCCCCCCCCAAAAAAAAAAAAATAAAGAAATGAAAATGTCATAGCAGTGGCGTGTTCGTAGCAAATGCCGATGTACAGCGCATTAATCAGTCATTAGTCTGTACGTACCTCGCTGGGCTGGGTTGCCTAAGCCTGGACACTGCCCTCGCCATAACGGGCGGGATAATCGCCGACGGTTTTTGCCTATTAGTGCGCAGAGCAAGGCGCCTGATTGCCTCGACACGCTTCTGCTCGAACACCTTGCTCCTCTCCTGTTCTCGGGCCATGTGCTTCATCCGGCATTGTTGATCTTGTGCCGCCTCTGCCTTAATTCTGTCATGGTGAAGGTTCTTTTCCGCTCTCGTCCATGTGGCGTCCAGTTTGCGTGCGATGAGCTCGGACACGCAGGTTGGCGGTTCATCTGGCTGTCTTTCGACGGTCGATCCTCCCCAGAAGCATTCAAATGTCAGCTTGGCTTGATTCTTGACGTCGTCGGTACCCCAAACAACGACGGTGTCACCATGGTGTAGTTTCATCCAGTATTTGGCTGGTGCTCTGTTGTTCTTCGGCTCATTTGGTTGCAGGGGGTTGTTGTTGATGCGTATGCCATTTGTAGCTTTCGTAGATATGTAGAACGAGAACGAGTCTGGTTCTGGGGATGCACGCAAGGTTGTGCTTCCCACTGCTGGGGGGTCCCAAGGACGGAAGTCATTCGTCGATGCGGCGTATCCATCCTTCCACAACAAGATTCTGAATGCATACTTGGGCACTCTGCTTTCTGAGCCATGCATATATCTAATGGTATTATCACGCTCCCGGCCCCATGCGAGAATAGGGTCTGTCACGGGAATAGAGATTCCAGAAACCACAGATCCGGGATCAGACGTGAAGCGTGCTACCACCGTCTTGGGAAGTGACGATGCCGGTGGTCCGGATATTTGGCTCTCTGGCGGTAAAGTGTCCGGGATCGACTCCGCGTCATCCATAACTGGAGGAGGCGCGGTTGGTGGCAGATCCCAACCATCATTCTCTCCAACAGAACGACTATCTCGACGAAGAAAAGGTTGGCGGGTTTCAGTGATCGTGTCGGATACCAGGTTGGTTTTCTGTGTTGGTGGGAAGTATTTCATGGCGAGGTCCCACAGTGGTGACTTGCCAGGACTGAATTCTTCGCCCCTCTTCTCCGCCGCCCTAACGAATGCAGTATACTGAAGATGGGTCATTTCAGGGTAGTCAAGATGCCATGTCTGCTTGTCGCGCCCATCCCAGAATGTTGTTTTGTGCACAGGATAGTCGATCTGCCGACCCGAGTCACTCTTGGCAATTTGAGGCACGCTTGCATGCAAGCTGTTTTGTTCTTCGTCATCTGACAGGGCATCCTCGCCTCCTTTGGATTTAAGCCGCTTGATGAACGGCATGGGATTTGACCCAGACGAGCCGTCAAACTCGTCACTTGTGTCGTACGCCGCACGAACACGCTTGCTGGTGTTCACATCGCTGATTCTAGATCGAAGGTATTCGGATTCCGTGCGAGCCAAGGACTTCATGTTAAGGTTCTCCATAATGGACTCGGCTCCTCCGAGGCTTTGCGATCCAAACTCACTCGCGACGCTCCGTGAGTTGTCGCGGGACCTTGAGTTGCTAGACCCAAGAAGGCCGCGGGGCTGTTGGCGTTTTTGTTTCGGAGTTTCCATTTCCTCGGACTCGAAACTGTCGAGAATTTCAGGCTCCAGTATCTTAGTTTCTTCGAAAATTGATGTTGACATGGGCAAGTTGAGGCGGTCTTCGGGGACTGCGCCAGAGCTGCCGATGGCTGAGACCTCTCCCCATAAGCGATTTTCTTGAGGCTGGTTGAAAGTGTAGTTCTCCTTATCATCCTCATATTCGATGGAGAAGTCTGGCTCCGGCTCCAACAACTCGCTTACTCCGCCATCAGCAAGCCCGTGCTGCCTGTCCGTCAAGCTCAGTTGAGAAGCACCCTGCTCCAGCCCATCGTCGTCGGATATCACGTCAGGGGATTTGGCGGCGTTGACAATTTCCGGTTCGCTTAGCCATGGGTGTACTTGCAGCTCTGCTATTGTTGCCCGCGTCTCAGGACGTCGGTCAATCATACACAATAGGAAGTCGATTCCCTCGTTGGATACCTCATTTTCCATCAGAGGCATCGTGTTGAGGGGCTTGGTCATGATGTGGTGCAATAGCTCCGTATAGCTGATCCCATTCTTAACAGGGAACGGCGGGCAGCCAGTGAGGGCATAAAAAAGCACCCCACCCAGAGACCACACATCCACTGCATGGTCATATCGTTCCCTCGTGGCCCTTGGAGCTCGTTGGCGGACCCTTCGGCCATGCTCATCGTAAGTGCTATACTCAGAATAAACCTCTGGAGCGCAGTAAAGTAAGGTGCCACAGAAGGTTTTCAGGAAGGTTTGCTCGGTGTCAATCATCTTGGACAGCCCAAAATCAGTCAGCTTGACAACAAAATCGGGCCTCGTCGACTCGATGAGGATGTTGTCTGGCTTGACATCGCGATGGGTAATCTTGTTGTCGTGAAGGTATCCCAAGGCATCAATCAGCTGTCTGGCCATCACTTTGACAAAAGGTTCCTTGATTGCCCCGTGATCCTGGACCAGCTTGCCCAGGTCACCTTCCGGGACGTACTCCATGATGATTATGAACTGATGGAGATCCCAGTCAAAATGCTCGATGTACTGCACGATATTTTTCTAAGCCGTGTTAGTAACGGTTGGTGGAGTCAGGAATGGGACAATATACTAACGTGCTGGACCGCCTGCATGATCTTCATCTCATTTTCGACCTTCTGGTCAAGGACGCCGTTCTTCATGAATTTTCGTTTGTCAAGCTCCTTTGCCGCGTAGGGCAGGCCGTCGTATTTCGATGCCACTTTGTACACAGTCGCAAACGCACCTTTACCAATCACTCCTACGCGGTTGTACTTCTCACCACCGCGCCATTCACGTGGGAGACGTTCAGCATTGTCCTGTATGATGTCGTCCATGGGACCGGTGGGACCGTTCTTCTGGAATGGAGGCGGGAATAAATTGACCTTGTTGGCTTCAGTAACAGCGGGTGCTTGTTGGTTGGGGGCACAACTTACATGGCCACTCGGCCCTGGGCCAATGGTGCGATCCAGCGAAACCTCTTCCTTCTGGAATAGTCGCAAATACCTTCTTAAGTTTCTCAGGTAAGCCTGCTGGAGGTCTCCATCGCGGCGGGGAATTCGGACAATAAAAGTAAGATCCTGCGCGTTCTCGTGCATGAATATTTTGATGGTTGAACCACTTTCGAGCATCCGTTTGTTGGCGCCAGTCTTACTATCTTTCTTTTTCAACAAGACATCGTCAACAATTGTGCCGTTGGTTGACTGATCCTCGAGCATGACAACACCGTACTTGTTCACATAGATGCGAAAGTGAATGTTGCTCAGTCGCCTAAGAGGGTCGTTCAAGAAGCAGATGTCGCATCGCGAGGCGTTCCGACCGAAGGTGAAGCCAAGCTGCGGGCTCTTCGCTGTCGAGGAAAGCTTGAGCACGATAGCGTGGTCTCCCATGCCGCGAGTACGGCCGAATTCGCGCGCGCCATCCTCCAGATACAAGTCGGCGTCGATGGCATCTGCCGTGTACCTGCCGGTTATGTGGGGGCTGTATTCGGTCTCATTCGCAATTCTCTGCACTTCTCGGCTGGCATTCTCGGTGTTGGGGTATAGGAGGCACACGATGTCGGCGATGTCTTCGTCGGAGAAGCCCGAGTTCTGCTTCCCTAGGCGACGCGGGTCGAGGGCGTTCTGAGTTGCTAAAAAGACGTACACATATCAGACATGTTGCTTAAGCGAAGACAGAGGAACTCGGAATCGCACCTTGCTGCGTAGTTTGGGAGTCATCATTTGAATCCATTGGAAGAAGCTACGAGCAAATAGCCCAACAGGCAGACCCAATCAGCAAGCTCCAGCCGTTGCGAATGGTCGCGAGGATGAGAGAGCTCAAATTGCGTGGAATTGGTTACCGACTGCAAGAAGATAGTTCCAGCAGTCGGTGGTCGTCGAAGCCAATGGTATCTAATAGTGCTAGCTTGCCTAGCGCCTGAAGAGCTCCGAAACTTTATGGCGCGCTCATGCGAAGGAGTTCCAAGTTGGAGATGGTTAAACTCTTTGGTCGCGATGCACGGTGGGGTTGGTTGGTTGGTTGCCGTTGCTGTGGTTGCACGGGAGTTCGTTTACAAATCTGAGCGGTGTTACTCTCCCTAGCAACAATCGCGGAAGCTCGACGAAACGTTCTCTTGGAGGATTAGAGGAAGACCATAGTGTCCATGGAGGACGTGGCAGTCAAGAAGTGTTATATCAGGTGAGCGAAGGTGAGCAGGCGGAGGCAGGACTGGAAGACATCACAAGGACTCGATAATGCTGTCCCAATCTTTAGTGGGAAGGTCTCAGTCGGATGCACGCTGTGACGAGCACGAGGCGGCGCTGAATCTTGGGGAGGGAGAACAAGATGGAGACAATCGATTGGCCGCGGTAGCCCAGGATAACCCCCACCCGTCAGCCTAAGCGATTCTGGGCATAGAGCCAGGGCGGGCAGTGACGATCGAGTCGACGAACAACTCCCAAGCATTTGCAGGTTGGGGAAGGTGGCACCTATGAAGTTGCTAGCTTATTCTTATTCTTGGTTAGAGTTTTAACCCCCCACAGTGACCCCGGCGAGAACAGATGACAGCCAGGGACCTGGGTGAGTTTGTCAGACGTTTCACTGCAACGGCAACTGTAACTCTAACCTCTGAAACGACGCTCTCTACCTCCTCAAGACCTGCAAGTTGTACAAGTAGTTCCGAGGTGAAGTTGGGTACTATTTTCTACAAATTCTAAGTGATGGTTGGAGCTAGCTACACATTCAGGCGCATAAGAGGGCCTCATTGCAAGTTGCCACTACCAAATATTTGCCACACGAGAGGCCTCAAATTGCTCATGTGCTTGTTGGCTGTGCCGCTGGCATTTTTACACCAAGTCGTCAAGATCAAAAATGCGAAGGAGAAGAGAGAGAGAGAGAGAGCATTTTGGGCACATTTTCCCCACGTGATGTAACTGGTTGAGATTGAAGTCAGACTACTAAGTCGGCTTCACTGAGGCTTTTCAAGATTCAAATTCCAACCCATGATTTATTTTAATTAGGTATCCTGTGATCGCCTCCCACCGATTGGCCATGCTTATGCAAATTATTAATTGTGATGTGGTTTCCCTGCTCCGTTTTGCACTATAAATACAAGAAAATCCATGAGTCTAATGGTAGTACTAAGTACTCTATACATATTTTTCAGTTTTCCGTGACAATCATAAATTTTTTTTCAACCAAAGAACAAGGATGACTTCTTCTTCTTTGGTTTCTTATCCATATCCTTCAAAATGTCGTCAAACGTGCTTCCACCTTGCGATCCCTGTCGGCCGCCGCTGCCAGTGGACTCCGGGGAGGCCACCGATCCTGCGTCGTGTAAGTTGCTCGAGGATACGCTTCGCCCCATGAATGCGCTCGTGGGACGAGAAGCATGTGGCCGGGTCTCTCCGGCACTGAAGATGCGCGAGCCCCGGCGGTCTATGGAGGCATAGCCGGGAACGGGCAGCTCTTCGAGGCCCATGATGATACTGGACCGATAGGCAGATCTACCACCTGGCGAGTTGGTTCTTGGCCGGAGAGCCGGACTTGGCGAAACTCCAGGCGATGATTCGCTGTGTTCTGCCGTTTGAGAGCTGCCCGGGTCCATATCGGTAAACACGCTTTGCGGCGCCTGCAGGGGCGAGAAGGGTAGTTCCTGAACTGGTGGTGCAGCATTTGCATCGGCTTCCCACCGTTTTGCCGCCTCCCAGCAGTGGCTTCTGTGGTAGATGGCCTCGATGGAGAACTCAACAGAATCAGCATTGAGCTCCACAATGCCGCCACCGCCCGACACTTCGTACCACTTCTTGCGAACTTCAGGGGCATCACCCAGCCAAGGGGGATGACCTTTGGGCGGTTGACAGAGGAAGTACTCGACGGCGTCGGTGAACTTCAGGCCTGGGGCATCAACCACTAGCATTGGCAATGACTGGATGACAACGTAGAGGAAGAGCCAGTGCCCGATTCGCTGCTCGACCATCTCGCTAACGGACTTACCCTTGGCTTCTTTCTGCTCGAATTCCATGTACTCGTCCAAGAAAGGATTTTTCTGCATCAGAGTGTCGAAGTTGTACGACTTGTTCAAGATGAGCAAGAATTCGTTCTCTTGCAGATTCTTCTCCAGTCTCGCCTGGTCCTTCTGTGGCAGATCGTAGTAGTTATCCTTGACCGACTTCATATCGGGGAGCTTGGGAACATCGAAAGGAAGTGGAGGGAGGACAGGTGGCGACGATTGATCAAACTCTCCCAGAACTCTGCGCAGAGCTGCAATGGCTGGCCTCTTGTCGTCGCTCTCCATATCATCGGCGCTCTGGTCAATGACACGAGGGGTAATCGATTCGCGATCAACGGTCAAATCGTAGAGCGCACAAAGATCCGTGTAAAGAATCTTCAGCACTAGTCGATTCAGACCACTCTCGGTGAAGGGGTTCTTCTTACTGCGAGCTTTCGGTGGCCAACTCCCAAAGCTGGCTTTGTAATAAGTGAGAACGAATTGCCTCATACGATTGAACGACTTCCTCCAGATATTGAACTTGACAGTCTTGTACTCGGTCAGCGACGTAGAGTTGGCGGTTCCGGAGAAGAGGGATGGGAAGTCGAAAGCCTCGAGGCGGTTGTTGACTGCATTCTGGTGGGTGAGAAGTTCCAGATGCGCACGCTCGAGTTTTTGCCGCGTGGAGGGAGACACCTGCTCCCACAAGGGAGAGTTGAGGTCCCGAATGACAGTATATTTGCCCACTGCATGCGTAAAGGCCTCGTTCCACAGGTCCCATGAGCGCATACGTTCGCCGAGTACAAGCGCCTCTAATGTCTTCTCTCGGCTATGTCGCACATCAGCCAGCGCCATCTGATCCATAAAAAAGCCAAAGCTCATGTCCACCGCATCTCCAAAATTGGAACCATCGGCGTTAGTAAACTCGAACTCTACCAACAGGCCTGCAACTCGCGTGAAGGCGCTGAAGAGAGAAGGTTGCGCTTTGGTTCCCACTAATGGTTGTCCCGTTAGGAAGGCAAACAGGTTTCGGATGGACATCATTCGGTCCAGGTCTGGAGTCGAACCAGCCATAGTAACCGGTATGTATAGTCTCGACTCGCCAGGCGTCTGGCTTTCAGACAAAGGCGGCGACGCCTGCCCCACATCATCGACCGAGAGGCTCTGACGGCCGTTGAAACTGCGGGTGCGGGACCGTCCCGAGCTTGTTGGCGATGTGAGGTCGGCGGAGAGGAGGTCGGCAAATCCGAGCGAGTTGTCAATGACAAAAGGCGGAACTCTGAACGAAGGACCCTGCCCAGATCCCTGGGGATGTAAGAAGACCAGAACACTGCCCCCTTCATTCCAGAGCTCAGGCACCCTATCGCCGCTAGTGAGAAAAACCGTGTTGTAGTCCGCCTTGGTCTCATCGAGGATCCATGCGGCAGAAGTGCTCGGCGTCCCCCTGATGTCCTGAGAATTCGACCTCGATCGGTGTTGTCCTGGCAGCCAGCTCCTTCTCAGCCGCCCACGTCTGTCACCTTCCCTGCCTGGGCTTTGACTACCGTTACTCGAAGACGGTCGAGGGCTTGGGGCAGCTATAGCCGCCGAAACGTTGCGAGCTCCGGGCAAGGGCACGAGCCTGTTGCTTTGCGGTTGTGCCGACGAGCTCCGTCCACGGGCTGCGGGGGAAGAAGGTCTAGCGTCGAGACCAGGCTTCTGGAGGGAAAAGCTCTGGCTTCCGCTCTGGCTTCCACTCTGTAAAGAACTACTTCTTCGCCTCTGAACTTTTGGGATCGGAGGTTGTTGCTTGGCGAGCTCGAGCGATGGCTTCGTTTCCTTGAAGTTGAAAGCGTTATCTGGTGAAGTCTTTGCCGTGGTCGGCGGCGGTGGAGGCGGTTGTGAAGGCTGTTCTGGCATCAGCTGTTTCAGAAACCTCATTCTTGCAGCTGGAGCATCGTGTTGCTCAGACTTGGCTCTCTGATGGCCGAGAGTATTGAGATTTGAGGAGAAGGAGAATGTCCCGCTGGCCGGGGGGTTGTTGCCGTGAGTGAGTGAGTTGATCTGGTCTTGGATCGGTGAGTCTTGAGAGACTGGTTTTCGGGGGACGGGTTCTGTGGGTGAGGGGCTTATTAGTGATGGGAATAGCGAAGATAATGACGAGGAGGAGAAGGACGAGAAGCGCTCCAGTCTCGACCTTTTCTTCCGCAAGCCAGGAGCAGCGCCGCCGGGTGACGGCATGAGACCACCCGACTGATAGCCGACGCTCATGCCAGCACAGTCGACCATTGCAACTTTATTAAGCACGCTAGACGCCGCTTCCGTCGTGTCGACCAAGTTTCTGGGCTCCGAGCTGGGTGCTAGCTCTTCGGCAGAAACTCTCTTGGTATTGATCTCTTTCTCCTGCCCGTGCTCCCCGTCTTGTTTGTCGTTGTTGATATCTTGAATCGAAGGAGAAGAAATGAGATGATTATGGCCGTTGCTGGCGCAATGCGACTTACTTGAAGACATGCTTGGTTCTTAAACCAGTGACTTCCTCAGGGGTAACAAGCCTCTGATCCCACTACAGCAACGCAAGACCACTTATTAATAAGGATTCGCAAGCGTTGGGGGCTGCGGCTCGAAGTGGCTCCTCGACGCGTGCCGAAAACCGTGCCCGCAACGGAACTATTGTGTGGGGAGGCCTGGGAGTCGGTTACGTTTCGGCGAATAGCGATCATTCGTTCCACTGGTAAGACTGGGGACTTTGGTGTTGAACGTGCTTCGAAAAGATGATGGAGTACGCGCAAGCAGACCTGCTCTAAAAGTAGCTTGTGGATCAGGAGAAGGGCTTTGCAAAACCCGCAGTCGGCAGGTCGGATTCAACGGTTAAGAAATGATGAAAACAACCAACAGAGGCACCTTGCTTCCCAGCGTCAAAAGAATATGTTAGCTCGAGACCGGGGTTGAAGACAGCAAAATGACAAAATCGTGGATCGCCCAACATCGAAGGAAGGAGACGGGTGATGCGCGGTGTTTTATTAGATTATGGGCCATGGCGAGTCCTACCTAGCCAAGGCCGTTTCCTCCGCTCTCTCTGCAACCCGGATGTCAAAAAGCGGGCGCAGAGAAAATGACAAGAGCAGGGCCAGCGAAAACAACAGCGCGAGGCTCAGCTAGGCTCAGCTAGATGCTGGGTGGAGAAGCCGACGCCATATCATACGTGCCAACTTGCGACTTTGGCAACCAACAGGAGCAACGGGTGGTTGAGAATGGAAAGGGTAAAGACCCATGACGCAGACGTGCAGTTGCTGGCAATTCACACCATACCAGGGATCCCTGGCCAGGATCGATCACAGGATGCAGGCGAAAAAGAGTGGCTGCCAAGCTTTTCTCCACGCCGTAGTTTTTGTTCAGCGTTGATCGCTGCTGCAGTCATCTGGTTGGCGGCTTTCAGGATCAACGTACAAAATCAAGTGCACCTCCCTTCATCCAGTCGAATGAGGCGATCTTTCCCAGTCCAACCAACGACAACAAATTTCTGCCTGAATTGAAGGGTTAGCAACACCCAGATTTGATTCTCGGCAGGTCAGCCGGATACTTTCTTCTGGCAGCTGAGAGCCACAACATACACTAGGGGCTCCAAAAAAAAAAAGGGTTGTAGTTAAAGAATCGAGAACAAAAGACCAGCTCACGTGCTTCGCTGGCTGCTGCTAAATATAACTAGCCAGCAGAGATTTCCCGAAGGTCCAAGGTCACGATGCACAAGACCCTTGAACCTTGATTCAACTGGCCTGGTGAACGAAGTACCGGCATACGATGCTACATACCTACTATGTACCTAGATAATGCGACACTTTGTGCTCCCGAGACCGAAGCTGGCCAAGAACTTCTCTTCACATTATTTCTAGAAGCCTATTATGCATCGTGGTGTCTCTATGTTGTCACACCATTGGCGACTCACTATTTTGAAAACTTATCGCCCCATCAATGCAACGCTTCGTCCGAAGCTTCCGCTCATGCTTATGCACCGAGGACAACAGCCGCAGCGGAGCTGCCCGTTGACTGGTAGGTTTCCAGCCTTACCTTCCAGACTTTAGATGACTGCGTGCAAGATATTCGTGGTTGCTGACGGGCTGTTACATCCCGCTTCGCCGCCTCACGCCATCAATCTGCTCTACTGATTTACTGCACATACCCATCCTCTCAAATGCTAGCCGCAAATATTTCATATTTTCCGAGTCATGAATTCCGCGGACTGTGACGGCTTTCCACCATATTGCGAGTTATTCGTCAGGTCGAGGCGCAGGGCCAGCGCCACCATCCATAGCGTAATCTATAATCGTAAACAAATAATACAGATGTGGATATTTCTTTCGAACTCTTGTCCATCTACTCGTAATACCTGCCCGGCTCTCCGGAACTGAAAACAACTCGGACAATTAAAGTTGGGTTGGCCAAGCAATTTGGAATGCCAACCCTGTAGCTGGTCCACCTAGACCTTATCAATAACCCAGTCCTGTACGGAGTCTATAAGTATCTTGGCATAGTACTGCTTTGGGGCTAGCAGAGTAATTAAACAATAGTATCTAGCTGTCAAATAATCGGGTTACTAGTTTGTGCTTACTCATTTCTCGTCAGTCGTAACTTTGCCAATGAACTACACCGCTCACTATACACTGCGCCCTGATCACATAAAAATCCAATTTTGTTACTGGTGCTAACAAGCAGCTCTCAATGGAGTAATCGCATCTACTACTGCCGCTTGTCCCTTTTCGGCTTGACCGAGCAATGTGCTGTTTGTGGCTGTTCATGGCCCAACCATCATCCAGTACTGACAAGGTGCAGAGCCGAGCCTTTTCCAAAGCCAATTCACCAAGTGAAGATATCAGGATATATGTCGGCTCAATCATTCATGGCTCTGTACAAACGCTTAACATCCTCTAGAGCTCTGTTTCTTCTCTTCCAAATGCTCATCGCGTGACCTCGGCCTCCACGGCTGACTGACCATGGATTCAATAGATCCTGCACTCCTCTCCTGTAGCTTAGCCATGGCCTCCAGCCAGAACAGCCTGCGGATCCATCTACCTCACAGGAATCTCTGGGCTTGGACTCTCAACTGTACAAGAAGGACTGGCCATCTGACAATACCACAGCTCAGCCTACAAGTGTGTACGTGCTAAGATGATATTGGTCAAGTCAATTCTCCGCTGAATCCTGGATCCCCGGAAGCGGAATTATCAGCCGACTTCGTGTGGTCTGACTTCATCGAAATGGCATATTTGACATCCCTAAGCCCTAGGCAGCCAGTCCCAAACCGACGAGTCCATCTGACGCTGATCGTGGGATCCATAAGCCGTGCGCGAAGCCTGCTTTTGCATGTTTCCTAGCTTATTCATCCGCGCCCAGCGGGACAAAAACGAGAAAGAAAAAAAGGCAACGGTGACTCACGGCGTCTGGCGGTAGCCTTGATGAGGAAAACAGGAGCCTGTTGCGGATGCAGAGTGCGCAAAGTCCCGGTCAACGTGTCACTGTCACTTTATCTTAACGTCTTTGCTGCGCTCACCTTCAACCTCGGTGTGATTTCGCAGCAGTGAGTAAGGGCTGCAAACCGTAGCTGATTTCATCGGCCGGTCCCTATGCATTCGAACAAAACTTTGTGAGCGGAGATTTGACTCTTCAACCAGTACAAAACAGACCCCCTTTCGCTCATCTGTTCCCGATGTCTCGGAACCACTTTGAAATAGGAGCAAAAGCGTGTACGACAGTGCCCATCCAGTGCTCTCCTTTGCCTTGCCATGGGTTACTTACTAAAATCCCCATCAGTGAACTTTCTAAGGAGGAGCATCGTCGAATCTGCTTCTTCCAAGTACCTACGGGCAGTCCCACAATGCTCAGAGCAGCCTCGAAAGCTGATCTTCTGCGTTCATGTGCTGTCAACACTCTTGACCTGAATATGAAAGTGGATCTGCAAGACTTCACAGCTGGCAGCATACGAAAGCTAGATATGTTTATCCTGTGGGGCCCACGTGGCACACCATCAGTCCTTTTCGTGACTGGGTCGCTACTCTAATATACATCGCCACGGACCTACCCGGAGCATGCTTTCCAGGAGTTCATGGAACGCCAAATATATTCAAAGTCTAGAATATTCCCAGCGTTCGATGAAGCATTGATGCAGTTCAGCAAGCTATACAGCCGAAGCTCCAAATATTCGCGCATCGTAGACGTCACCAAACCCTCTCCTGAACAGGCCATGCTAAAATTTACGTAGAAATACTTGATTCAGCAAACGCGCAGAGTCAAATTGTTTCAGCCGGTTGCAAACGAACGCGTCTGGAGACGACGTGGCTACCGCCGACGAGGTAGCGTCTGTGGTCCCGCACTGGCGGATGAATAAGGTCGCCAAAGGTTTTGGAGAGTATCGAGATGGAACTTTTGAGGGGCCTGAGTTGGCAGCTCCAATGGTCTGGTTCTGTGGGCATGTTTGAGGTCGTTGATTTTGAGATACCGGAATATACCTCGAAACTACCAATTTGGCGACGCTGTGGCTTCAGTGACAGGTAAGTATTGGAAAATGAGAAATACCTTACATCGGAAATAAGAGCTCAGACCATGGAAGACGTGCCAACATATCCATTGAATTAGCACTGTGTCTTTACTACTGCTTCGTATCGATGTACGCAGCTCTTTTCCGATCAACATCTCCTCTGTACGTCGATTGGCGTTTGGTACCAAAACGAGCTCTTTTCAGCAACAGTCCTGATCCGATCAAAGCGTTCAAGAGCCTGAGGACAGAAAGTTACTATCTCCGTAAGTCGGGGTCACGCACCGCCCTCCGTCACTGGTCGCAGCAAGCTTACTGGTAGCCTCTCACCCCTAGAGCAGGAAACTCGGTGTATGTGAGGGGCCGAAGACCAACTCCTGCGCTGTATGATCCTGGAGCCCGAAATGAAATTGATACCTCAGATGCCCAATGTCAGAACGAGAACCACCCACGGGTAGATTTATCAAACTAGTAGAACTCTACGCCCCCCCTGTAAGAATAAAAAGGAGAGAAAATACAAACCCATGGGTGGTGGTTGGGTGGCTTACACGACAAGTGCCTGAGTGCCTGAGGGTTGAGGGCCTACCGCTGTTACCCTGCAGGTAACCTGGTAACGATTATGCACGTTCCCACCGGTGGTAACCCAGGATAATTTCCTTTTTTGGCAGGAAGGTTGTGGAGTATTCGCAGTAGTTATTCCAGCACTATGAGCAATGTGGTTCATCAACGCTATAGTCCAGCGTTAATATTCCAATTACTGCTGTGATTCTAATAACTCGGAGCTTCTTGTACCTCAAGGTTTCTGTCCCCCAAACTGCACAATCGGGGTGTGCTCAAGACCACCGAGACGTCGTCACATGATGTCCGGCCAGTAATGGCTGCGATGTGGTGGAACGGGGTTTTCTACTTTTTTCGGTGGAAGTCCAGGATACTATTCGTCAATCGGGCGCGGGCTGCCGGGGTGCTTCGCCAATGAGCGTGCGGTGCGCAATGCGGAATCCTCGAGTGTGTCGCCGATGCGCACTTGGTCACGATCGTGTCGAAGATATTGACGTCTCACCGAGATTGACACTTCGTCTTGCCCTCATTTGTCTCATGTGCACACTTATCGTGAATCTATCCCCACAGGAGACCCGCCGCTGCAGACACACCATAGGTGTTAATTCCATCGTGCATCGTCTGACAAACAAGTACATTTGACTGGGTCACTTACACGCGCTCATGGCGGGAACGTATCATCTCGAACGGATTGCCAACGAAGCCCCCGGTCTTATTAGCCAGGTGGAACGAAGGAACCTGCCTGAAACGGTTCCCTATGATTCCAGCAACTGTTTCCACAGTTCCTTGTATCCAGAGGATCAGTCAGAAGAAGACAACGAGGTTAACTTCGAAGACTGGCTGGATTTATCGGCCGCGTACGGTGACTCTGACGATCTGGATGTACGCAGCAACCAGGATGATACTTCTCTTCCTGGTCTAACTTCTGGCACATCTGATGAAGCGGGTAATGCATCGCCCAGCTCTCCAAGACCCGTGGACACTATTTCAGATGCGGCCAGTCTCCGCGTCTTGAGGCAACAAGATGACGCCTTGACCATTCCACAACTAAGAGAGGTCAGGCCGAAGAACACCAACTATCCCCCCGGTATCCAGATCCTCAATAATTCTGCATCAAGCTCGGGCAACATCCCAGACAACCAGAGAGAGATGTATACCTCAAATAGCCCTTTCCTACCATCTGCGTCCCAACAGATGACTTTTACGAGCGGAAACACCTCGGCGCAAGATCGAAAGAATAGAGGACGGCGCAGAGGACCTCTGCAAAACAAGGATGAAGTAGCAGGAGTTCGTTACTGCGGTGCTTGTATCCGTTGCCATCTCAAAAGAATAAAGGTGGGTTTTCTCACGTGGCTCCCAATATATCTGACTGCTGACATGGCAACATAGTGCGCGACAACTGCGTGTGATAGATGTGACAGGTTTGCCGAAGAACTCAACCGAGAATATCAGTCTGGCGACTTCATTCCCTCTACGCAGGATGTTTGCATTCGTGCCCAAAGCCTCGCAGCGATTGGTCCTGCGTTCGAGAGTAGTTCGAGTATGTTCCTCGTTAGCACCTTTTCTGAGTTGTCAATATAGGATACTGACCATCTGCAGGCAACTACTCCAGCAAATCCGGAATGATCTCGAGCCCAGTATCTTGGTACATTTGCTTGGATGATACAGCACGAACTCCCGTGCTCCAAATTTTGATCCAGGAAGTTGTATCGCAACAGGTCGTGCCGTATGGTCGGCATCCGCCGCGATACCATATGCTTTATAGGAACCACGTTCCAGAGCGCAAAGAACTTGTATCATTGTCCGAAAAACAGATGACGATGGGCCAGACTATTGACTTCCAATACGTCTTGGATAGGTTCACCCATTCTCATGTTGGAAGCGGTGCCCAGAACGTATCTCCGGTAAGAGGATCGCAGGTGAGAACATCGGTTTGCTCACAGCAGCGCGTGACACTGACCGCCACGCAGACTCCTCTACTTTGGAATCTGCTCTCCGACATTCACATATTTAGGTGTATGTATAGGATCTACAGATCAAGGCCCTTTTTATACAAGGAGCACCCGACATCACAAGCTCGACCTCTGCCGCAGTCTGTGATGAGTGAACTCAGGGGTCTTGCTAGGTCGAACATGAACTCCCTGGAACGAAACATCCTTGCCAACTTCGACAAGCTTTCGAAACCAAACAATGGAGAAGAACTGCTGATCTGGGCATGCATTATGCAAATGATACTCACTTATCACGATATCTTCTGTCTGATGACGGCGCAACTACGACCTCGCCTTGGATATGAACCTGGTGAGTTCTTTACCTGCCGACAACCTGCCGGCTAATGCAGAAAGCAATTAACACCTTTTACAGCTCCGAGGGCTCTTCCCATTCACCTTGCAAGCCAGGAGGCCGCCAAAAAGCTCTTCATGGCTCTTTTTGTGGTGTGCAAGTGTCACTTCCAAAAGGGAATGCCAGGAGAGGACGTAGATGTAGTCGCAGTGCCAGGACCAGCCAACAGCAGGGTCATGCTTCAGCAGCAATTGAGAGATGAGTTGGAAACGATTTCCATGAAACGAGCTGAGCCCTGTGAGTCCTGTCCGCAAGCCTCAATATTCAGCTTGCAGAAACATTACTAACCTTAGTTGAAGTTTCTCTCCTAGGCCAACAATCATCGCCACTTGACGGGTATTTGAAAATACTTCTAGTGACTCCCAACAAGCCTGAGCGAAACAAGAAACGAAGAACGGCGTGATCGACCGAGCCGACAGAAAGAACCCTCAAAACAATATGGTATGCTGGGGTTTCGTTGTGATGTTCACATCCTGATTTCATAAGTCTACTTCGGGCGTTTGTGTGATATTAGCATGGGAAAGCTGGAAAGGCTGCGAAAGGTTGGGACGGGTTCGGAGGGCTTGTGATACCCACATCCGCTCGTGCTAACATCATTTGAGTATGGCAAAGTGTATTTTGGTATGGGTGGGTTTGTCTGGAATATACCATGATATAACAAACTTCGTTGGGTCGATGCAATATGAGTTCAACGGAGTACGACAGCAACTTCGACTTTCCGGTCGACTGTTGTTGCGTCTTTCTTGTACTTTCCCACACTCTGAAAAGTACTTGCGAGGTCTTCAACATCAAGTCCTTTGGCCGCATCGGCAGATAGCGATATTGTCAGTTCTATTCGAGGCCTCTTCTTGCCGTCGGTTAATTTGGCAGTGAACCTGTGTCCTCAGTGTTAACGTAGTGACCCAATTTCGGGAGAACCGCGCCGACTGACTTGATAACCTCCTCCAACGCATATGGTCTCTTAGGCTCCGCTGGACAAACGGTCGCAATAACCGAGGCGACGGCGCCGAAATAATCGGCCCAGAAATTAGCCTCGGGAGAATCCTCAAACGCCAGCCCTCGAAGACTGTTGTATAGGTGTTTGTCAATGGGTCCCAAAGTTGAACCCCATCTTGCGCAAAGGGTAAGGCCAAGGACCGCTCGTGCTAGATGGGTAAATCCGGGTACGCTCGGGTCCCTCGTGATGGCTTGATGTAGCTCGTAAGCCGAATTTGCATCACTTGCTTCGCCAGATCGTCCCCAGATTTTGCCAATGAAAAGGGGTCCAAGTCCCAGAGTGAAGATTGTTGAGATTTTGGAAGGATCAAATTCGGTCGGAACAGAAGATAGGATGGTATCGATAACGGACTGTATCACAATATCACTTGATTTGTCTCCAGGCTGATGCAGAAGCGTAAGTGGTTGCGTGTCCATCACTTCCTTTGGGAGTTTCAACAGCAGAGCACCCTCACGGTTACCACCGCTGCAGAACGTCACCGTTCTAACATTGGGAACAACATCGGTGAATGACTGAACAACCGTTGCGATGGCAGGAAATTGCTGTCGTCGCCTCTTGGACATGCCAAATATCTTTTCACCGTGCTCCTTGTTGACATTGAGCATCTTCTTCGTCTGACGAAAGAAGGATCCAGTCACCGTGTAAGCTCCTATACCCGGAATGGGATATGGTTGGATGGGGTCGTTGTGCATTAGCATGTTTCCGTAGCCGCGAAACCCACCACCACAAAGATACACGTCGATTCCGTCATTGCCCGAGGACTCGGATGTCTTCAACGAGGGAAATTTCTGTTGAAGTTTGGCGAAAGCACTTCGCATGCCTGCCAGCAGGTCACTTTTCGCCGTTGCAGCCGCTGCTTCACCACTATCCAGTAGTTTTATCAACCTTGCAGCTCCGAATGGCATGCTTTCACCAGACTGCGCAGCGGTAACTTCGTAGCCGTCCACGGCAGAATCCATGTATGTCATCTGAACGGATCCGCCACCGAGATCGAGAAAGAGCCCCTTCACGTCGGCGAAGCCACTCCTAGCCCCCATGGCACCAAAGAGGGTCTCAACCTCGGGGACCAACACATGCACCCCGAGGCCAGAAAAGCTGCGAATAGCGTCTAGCATAGAAGCTGCGTTCTCGGCCTTCCGCATAGCTTCCGTGGCGAACACGGAAATATGCTCTGGTAGTACGCCATAAGCGTCTGCGATAGACTTGAACCGCGCCAGCGTGTGCGAAACTTGGGTGATGATCTCAGGGGGAAACTTTAGCGGTCCACTGGATGGCGACGAATTGAGTGCATCGAATAGTGAGATGCCAGCGCGCTCGCGGTACACACAACGAAGAAGGCGGGCTTGTGGTGGTGACAAATCTGATATCGAGAACCGAATGCCATTACTGCGTTTTGTTAGACTAGAGTAGTCCAATATAGGTGATGCAGGAGTAAGTGTGAATGAGAGTTTCCATCGACGACCGCTGGGAATGCATGTCTTCTATCTCTTCCAGTGCAACTAAAACAATCAGAAAATTACACAAACCTTCCCATATCAACTACTGCGTAGAGGTGGTTGGGGAGGTCGGCCTTCCATCTCGGCATCTTAGCCTTGAAGTTTTCGAGGGTGATGAGGTCTGTAACTGATGCCATCTTCGTTGATTCCTTGCTTGATCGGTGCAAAGGTTTCGGTGATTATATGAACAAATGGAAATATCGCTGGATGTTGTGCTAATAACTCATTGTGGTTACTGCAGGTTGTCAAAGTTGAGGATAATACTTATAGAAAACCGCTCACGAAGCGATTGATCTGAAGCAGTTGCGCTTGGAATCGGAAAGGAAGCTGGGGATTTAAGTGGAGTGATGTCGTCATTTCCTGTGGTTGGCCGAACTCTGAGCTTAAGAAACCTATGAATACACATTTGCTAGGAAACGTTTGATTCTTGAAAATACCACAGCAGTCAATCCCCGTTGAGCATGGTAGATATGACCATGGGTTCATGGAATAGCTTAGTATCCAAATGACGTCCACTTAGGTCGGACGATGCATGGAAATCAAAGCACCAACGTTCTGAGGTATCCTTGTGAATATGCCGCCCCTGCGAGGCCTATGCCACTGAATTCCATTTGTCCAAGTCGCTACCTGTTTCGTATACTGCATGCCGCTCTAGAATATCAAGGCCAGATGGCAAGCTGCATATTCTTGTTCTTGCCTTGATCGGATCCCATGATCGCCGAAAGTGTATCCTGCCACCGAGTTGTACTAGAAGGTGGTACAACAGTATGACCACCGACTGACCCAATGGAAGCTGCCCGTCTCATGGCAAGACTCCACGCGAAGAAGCTCTCACACGTTCCTGCCATCAGATTAGACCGAAGTATAAGCTCGTAATCCACTAGCGCTTGTTGGTCCCATGTCAAGTGCTCCAAGTATAGAATATCCTCTGGGTCTAAAAGGCCCTTCTTGGTAACGACAGTGACGTTCAAGTCGCGAGCCCGTTCCGTGAAAGCCGTAATATTCTCAGAGGTTGCGCCAGAGGCTAGGTAGACCACCGAGTACTTGGACTGCACGACATAGTTCAAGTAGTAGTCCGCTTGCTCGTCGTACGGTGGAAATTCCGTACCCCATACATCCTCTTCGGTCCGCAGATGGATGCCGACGAAACCCGGCGACGTTAGCTTCTTCTTTTTCATGTTGAAGTAGGCAGCTGCTGCAAGTTGTCTAGTGTCATCGCGAAATCGCAATACGCGGCCAAAATTGCGGACAAACGCGGGAGCGTCGTAGGTTGTCGGCCATGCATCGAGAGTGACAGCCACCTCGACTTTGAAAGGCCAAGTCCGCGTCTTGGGATTTGACTGGGAGTCCAAGTACTTTTTGAACTGTATTGCGAACGTGCCTGGTTTCTCAATGATCGACCCTTCTACCTGGGGCATATCCAGATTTCCTATTGAAATCGACAGAGGGGTGCCCATCGGGGTATCGAACAGCTCGTCGACTGACCAGTACAACCTCATCTGTGGGCAGAAAGTTGACATTGACCAATTGAAATGCTGATGATCGTAGAAGTAATCTGATGCTATCCCGCGAGGTTTGCCCTTTGAGTCCGGTGTGACTTGGGTTATGTCTTTGGCGTTACGGCGAACAATTTCTGGGACGATTAGCTCGGCTTTTTGCCATAGTCAGCGTACATTAGCCTTTAACGGTAGGAGAGCTTGTGCTAATGACGAACCTCCAGCTTCAATGGCCATACGGATACAGTTCAAATGTGCATTTCTGACCACCGCTATGCCCCCAGCGGGCGGGTCGCAGTGGAAGATGAGCCCTTCCGTCCAAGTTCTGTTCGCGCATAGTAAGGCTATCTGTTTGCCGTCGAAGGGGCCGTCGAAATCATTCTCGAGGAAATCCGCCACAAAATGAGCCCTCTCGCCCTTGAATTGCCGGAGGACACGTTCGTAGTGTGCCCTTGTAATACCGAAGTATGACAGTGACCAGCTGAAAAGCACCAACACGGCTATAATTTTCAGTATGGAGAATACTCTGGATGAACCGAGCATCGTGAGGTAGGAAGTGCGTGGGGCATGAATAGACAGAGATGGGGGAGCTACCCTGAGCAGTTGGGAGGAAAATATGTTTTCTGGCTAAGGGAAGCGTCTGTGAGTCGTGCTCGAGACGAATGTCTCCGTAGCCCCTGGGAGGCACACGGACGAGCAAGCCATCATTTGCTCTGGCTCGAGAACTCGGATGCTTGATACTTGGATGCTTGACAGCAGATGTTGAAATGGCCGTTGATATTCGATCAAGTTCTACCATCTAATTGAATGATAACATCGTGAATGCAAGGATGTACAGGGCGGAGGACTCCGGCAGAGGCAGCGCCGTCGACTGTGCAGGTTCCACAGTGTTACCTCGTTATATGCGAGAGAGCGAAAGTGTGTGCGCCGGTGTGTGTTACTAGCGCGTAGTCGCACAGCATGCTAGCATCCAAGCATACATAGTAGGGTTTGATGACCCAAGGCAAAATCTTGCAAGGAAGACCTCGGAAGAGGAGTTTTCAGGATATCTGCTGGCTGGTCCTTGCCGGTCCATCGCGTGAAGGTTTAAGCTCGCGGCTTTCAAGCGATCTACACCAGGGACTAGGTTTTCTATCCGGAGTGGCTTGCATAGAAGTGTGACACCAAGACTATCACAACGACTCAGCTGCCAGCAGAGGCTTGACTTCTTACCCCGTCTGATGTGATGTACGATTGCAATGCGGCAGCTTGGCCACTGATTCTGCAGGTACAAGCCAATCGTTTCTTTGACTATGCTGTGGAAAATCTGGGGTAGGAACCTCGGCCAATCCCAACCGTGGAACGGCATAATTATAATGACTGGAGGTTATCCTTTCATGAGGCGAACTGATTACCTAACCAAGGGATCCTTGTATACCTATCGCTTTGAATGTCAATACTACCGAATTCGGGGCATCGCTGAGCAGCATATCGCCCATGATGTATCAGTATTCAAGTTGCTCAAGTACGAAAGCACAAGTGAGTCTCGTGAACAGGCGGCCATCTGCGGCCAGCAAAGGGAGCAGATGAGATTGTATAGACGCTTATCCGATCTCGGAGTTTATTTCGACGGACGATGATTTAGACCATTCTTTAGGACACAATCTCATCGTTTTCCGCTGCCAATCTCCGCATGAAACTTAAAGATGCAGGGGGTGAAAAGCCGTTTTGTGGCAAGCCTAATATGGTTGGGACGTAGTAGCCTCGTATTCTTTGAGTCTGCGTCCGTCACTTCTCATGTCCTCGTTCGGACAAGTCGACATTTTTGCCGGAATTGCGACTCGACGCGTAAAGTTCGCGTTTGGCAGACGCGTTCATAGGTTTAGTTCGCGCCAGTGTAATTTTACAAGTCATACGTCGTGGCACGCCTTGGTGTCGGGGGATGCATTTGCCAACGGAGTGAATCCTTACCGAAGAGGATGAAAACTTCACGGAAGTTTGTAGAAAGTTGTAATTAATCAAAGAGGAGGTTGTGCATTTCACCTTCACATCACACAGCCCTCATCAAGGTTCGAGTACACAGTAGAACATCGAGGCCCGGGCCAACCCGCAAACCTTGAGCCCCCAACCTCTCGCTTTTTTGACCCGAGCAAGCGGCGGCGGATCGTATCAGTGCGGCCCCCGTCTGGTCCAGTCTTATCAGAAAAAAAAATTGTCCAGGAAACCAAGTCCGTCAAATAAGGCCAGACAGTCACATCCCGTCACATCACCCCCAGAAGCCGTACCTGTCTGTTCATGCTTGCCTCCACTTCCTTTTGACAGACACGGCCCCTCCGTTGCAATTGCGCCGACCGTGATGAGCACTTTCGCATTCGACGCACCTTCCTGACGATATATCGTTGCACCTGCACAAATCGCTGGTTGTTGCGCTTTACGAATAGAACAACAACAACAACAACAACAACATCATTTGCAAGCGTGATTCTACGCCTACGACTAGCACACCTGCAACAGCGCCCAAGAGCTGTGCAGTGGCAGGAACCCAACATCGAAGAACCCAACCCGACTGCTTTAGTTCGCAGCGGTGCGTCTGAACTGTTGCGCCAGCATTGCGCCGCATCGACGACTCTGGTCCAGTGGTTTTTGCGCTTCTCGCAGACGCGTAAGTCCGTCTACGATCCTATCAGTCTCTTCTGTCATCCCAGTGGGCGTCGATCGCTGCATATGCGCTATGCGCTATTGCTGTGTCCCTCTTCGTTGGCCACGCCTGCATCCGCAATGCATGAGCAGGTTCCAGTGGTCGCATTTAGTTCATCGGGCGATTCCACTCAACGATAGCTAGCAGCAGAAATCCCAACGTATCTTCTCCACTATCGCGCTCCTGGGCAAGTCCTGGGATGCTGCGAATCCTGCCTCGTGGCCAACTGAACACGAACCTGTCCCTCAACTGCCCGCTCCCCCACCCCCCTCGCCGGAGCCCCCAAGCCCGTCTGCCCGGCCCCCCCTGGCGAACCCAGCACTGGCGCCGCTTGCCGTCAGGGTCCTCTTCCCCAGTCCAGTCTACGTCGTGCTCAACAGCAAATCGCTCCAAATCATCACCATTCACCCCGGCACCTGCACGCGCTTTATCCATGTATTTAACTGACCGCCTGAATCATGCAGTGACATAGTGGGGCCTTGCAAGCTTAGCGCCCACGGGTCAGGCCTTCTCTTCGCCTCAGCAGTGCATTCATACCACCGCGCAGAGCAACGGAGGGTTCGCGCCACCCGGCTCTTTGGCAATTCGTAGTATGTTCTCCCCTGCCTTTTCCTCTGCACCCAAGCTCCACTTCCACGACTACTCTAGCTTGGCTCTCTCGCTACTTTACTACCCCTTGTCCCGGCTCTCGTGCCCTGGCCTTACAACCATCTCATCTCCTCCATCCCCTCCATCCCCTCCATCCCGCTGTCGCTCATTTCTTGCTCTCCAGTCCGCCTGGTGGTGGTGGGCACCCCGATCGATATCTTTATCCGGCGAAGTCACTGCCTGCCATCGACACGAGACGACGGACTACTCCCACCTTACGACGATCTGACCTGTTTTCTTTTACGCCTCTCGATCGCAACCTTATTTGTCACGGCCTTTTCTTTCTTTGTTATACCAACCGAATTCTAATATCACGCATCGTTGCAGTAGGCCAGGAGGAAGTAAGGAGAACGACTTCTGCCGATACCATTTTTGGCACAACTCTTTGGTCTCGGCTTGCGACACGCCTGGACTAGCGACCAAAATTTCGAAGCCTAAATCAGGGGCAACGAATTGAGCTTGCGCGTTGTGGCCGATATTCCAACGGAACTTTGTGCAAGCTTTGCTCGAGGCGAAAGCACCGTGAGCTTTGCGGAGTGCTCATTGATCATCTCAAATCTGACAACATCCTGGTAACAGCAAGGGCTTTTGATCGCGGCTTTGGATCGCCCCAGCCTGTATACCCTTCGTCAGCGCGGGAATCTGATGTGTCGCACTGTTTCCTGCGTTTCAACATTGGAAAGCACCATGTTGCCTTTACAATGCGCCGCCGCGACCCTTCCAAAGGGTTTCCGGTACGACGGCAACGCACGCGACCCCAGGACTCCGGAACCTTCTGCGCCTGGTGACGAAGCACAGCAACCATCCGCACCGCGACCGCGCTTGAGGCTGAAAAGGCGTAATGTGTCGACGCACCTCAATGCGCCCACCCAGCAGTTTCTCGCGTCAGTTGCGGCCGCTGATGTTCCGATCCCGAGTGTGGAGGAACCCAGCATCGCGGACGAGGACATGATTGATACTTTCCCGGAGATTCACTTGCAGGACTATGATGGCATGGATATGTATCAGCACCTCCGCGCGCGCCATTTCTCACCTCCCAAGACTCCGGCTGTCGACCTTGGCTCATCACTATCCACGACCAAATACCCAAATTGGTCCATTGACTCATGGAGCGACTCTGACATGGAGTCCAGTCCCGAATACGAGTCCAGCAGACCTTCTACGGCATTTTCAACACAAACCAGTGCCTCTCTGTTCAGTCAATATTCACACGCCTCGGATGACGGCGATTGCGCGAGTCCGGAGTTGAATGGCGGGGATTTCTTCAAACCAGACTTTCGAAATGACGAGGAACATATTCCCAGAGAAAAGACTAGAAGGGCACCATGGACCAAGGCGATGAATACGCACCTATGGTCGACATACTTGCTGTATTTGCAAGACCCCCGCGTCACGCCTGTACGTCTGGGAAAGAGCTGTATACCGCCCGACGGTGTATGTGCTCGCGTCGCGCGCGAGGCGAAGCGCAGTTGGAAAGGTGCGAAAGCGCCCACTGCCGGCAACAAAAGCGGAAGCTGCACGCCCACTGCGGAAAGCTCCAAACCATTCGTGCAATGGCCCCATACGTGTGCTGCGACTCGAGCACATCTTCGCGAACTCTGCAAGTTGAAAGCCAGCTCGAAATCAGGACGGTCCGCATACATGTCTCAAAGCCCTACTCCCTTCAACAATGCTGCTCATCGCCGCTGGAACCGAAGGTCTACACCTGCGCGTTCCCCTTCGGTCTTTTCCGCCCAGGGCATGGCCATGTCTCTCACGCTCAGCACGTCGGAGGTTATGCAGCCCCAGGGACCCTTGGCTCAACTCTCGCGTTCTCAGCCCGACCCTCCTCCCTTCCCAGACTTGTCGCCATTGGCGCCAGATTCAGAGACGGATGCATCGACTTTGGAAGACCTAAGTAGCTCGGAGTGTCCCCGACTTGGTTCTCCATTCCTCGCACACAGCTATGGCCCAAGTTCGTCTTCGTCGCTAGCAGCAGGCATCAGTATGCGCCGACACTCTCACACGGTCGGTCCTCGCAAGCTTTTGAAGTCACCAGTTCGTCTTACTCGATCGCGATCCGGAACGCACTCAGGAACACAGAAACGCAGGTCGATCAAAGGACTTGAGGGTCAGCCTCGTAAACGCCCCAGCATCGTGGCTGCTTTGTGGGGCCCCTCGGCAGAGGCCACTGATGCCGGGGACAATTCCCGAGCGGGTATCGTCACCGAGGCTCAATTCAGCTCTACCAACTCAGCTGCGATAGATAGTCTGTTTATCCCGAGGACTGCCACTACTATGGCAGATCCATTCATCTCTCCTGGGCCCGAGGCCAATGATGCCGCCTTCCTAGCACCAGCCTCGCAGCCAGCCCGCCTAGGATCGCCTTTCTCGGGTTCGAGCTCAAGCCACTCCTTTCCGAACAGACTGTCGCAAAGTACCAGTTTCAACTTGGCAGCACTGCGTCGACCATTTGCAACAATACAGCAGAGTACGGAGGCGAGCTTTGAGACGTCGCCAACTCGGTCAACCCTGGCTTCACGATTGGTGTATATCGATCAACGACTCAAACAGTTCAGAAACCGTGAAAGTATTGGCCGCCGATCTCAGTCGCCATTGTGATATCCCCCTCACTACACATCCCAACGAACCTATTCTGCATCAACACGCTTTTTCTTTGTTTACAATATACCACATTATGCTTTCACGACTTTTACGATAGCCATAATACTCCTCATAGAGTATCGTTTCGACCTGTTCTCAGGCCTCTACTTTGCCTCCCAAGGGCTGAACATATCACCAGAATCACTCAAGAAAACATATGAACGAGTTGGCGCCCAATACATTTTGCATCTCGCAGCATGCTGAAGCGAATCACTGACGAATTGGAAACATCTATTTTCTTGTTATTGTACATTGCAATCAGGACTCAAGAGGGCACCTCACTCGACCTTTGCGAAAAGGACGAGAGGCTTTTTTTCTTTTTCTTTAATGAGCATTTTATGAATGGCACGAAACGAATTGACGATGGCAGGACGGATGGTGGATTCGGAATACAGTTACGAATTTTGACGTACCCTCGTCGTGCCAATCGTTGGGGCTTGGCGCCATATGATAGAAACTGGCGTTTCTTTTTATCTGACCCATGGGCACAAAAAGTTATGATTTGATGAATCTTTGGGATGCAACGAGGGCGTGAATGTCACATAATCTTCGATAGATCGATCATGTTAAGAGAGATTTTCACACAATCAACTTGCTTTACTCAATGAACTCTTGTCGCCCGGTGTCTAGTTGGTATGTTATGTTTGGCAGTGATCACCATGCTTCCATAGATAATGATGAGCCAAAGTCTCGGTTTTCATTTGTACATGATTTAGATCAAGCGCCCTGGGAACCCCTTCTTCCATCACCCCCACGTGTTGGATGACGGCGTGAAATGCTTCATTGTGCCGTTCCTGCGGCACAAGGATTCCAGTCAATATTTCGTTTACCCTCTATTATGTATCTGCAATTCCGACTGCGGAAAGATGAGGAGAATCCCGCACGGGCTTTGTTGGACCTACGAGGAGGACTATGCAGGTCAGGATTAAACGACCCGGCCTCCACAATGCCCAAAGAAGTTCTCGGGCTACTTGGGTGGGTTTTTGTGCATTTTGTGAAACAGCTGCCCAGAGGTTTGATTGGCGAGAGGGTTTGTGGCATGACTCGGGTATCTATAGCAATTCATGGCGGGTAACCTTTGGATGGATGCGGTGTAAGTGACCACGTGATGAGAGACATTCACCAGAGCAGGTTCAGCAACGGGATTTTTCAGGTCACATTCTTTGATTTAGAAGATAGAGTAGAGGAAATTCCTTGATTTTATTTGTTTTTAATTGGTTGAATCTGCTAGAAGAAACAACCACCTTTACTGGAGTCGACGTCAAGCACGCTCTCAGTATGACAAGTATAATATGTACATTGAAGGATGATGGGCTCAGCGAATAGTGGCTGGCACTTTTCAAGTCCTAATTCTAGTCCCAGCCGAACTCCTTTCTAATCCCGTGCAGTATGCGCTAGAAAAAGACAAGATGCGGTGGTCGGGGCCCGTGGCCCGGACTCGCAATGTTGGGCATTTGAGGCACCGTCTGTGGTGCCAGCCCGGTCGGGATGGGGGGGACTCGGATTGGTAGCCATTTTCTCAGCCGGGCTGATGGCAAGCCTGCACTAGGCAAGTCCATCATTGCCCGACGGCTACCCGCTTCGCGAAGAAGGAACCCGAGGTGGGTTGGGGTGATGGTCATGAAGACGTTTTAACATAAACGGGTGGGTGTGCCGCTGTTTCAGGGCGTGGCCAGGTATAAGTCAAAGATGGCGGTCCGCGGCGACACCATGTCTTCAGGGAAGATTAACCCGGGCGAAGAGGAGTCACTATACTCGCTGGACACGGGCGATTCAGCCCGATATTGTTGCTGGGCCAGAGTGTGTGGGCACTTTCCTTGGCCAACGGATGAACGGTGCGTATGGAAGGAACACTGGCGGAAGCCAAAGTGTCGTTCTTCGTTGCGGAGGTTGTTGGTTGGTAGCCTGAGCTGGGGGTTCTTGAAGTGTAGCTTGATGCGGTTTTTCGATGTTTTGGACAAATGAGACACGTAGTCTGCCCAGAAATCGGGAAACTTTTGAAAAAGCACCTCCATCTTGCCACCGGTTGCCGACTGCTCAAGGTCACCACCCAACGACCAGGCGGTCATGGCCACGATCCACTTTCGGATGCGGCAGCTGTGAATAGGCGAGCACTCGGTGTAAATGTAGCTGACCAACCGTGGCCGGATGTCCCAGTTGCAGCGCAGGTAGATATCTTGGATGGCATCCATGGCGATGTCTTGTAACGGGGCCAGCTCGATTTGAGCGGCAAAGAGGTGGAGGTTGATCAAGTCATCATGCAAGTCCTCGCAGCAGTTGTTTGCTTCGGCTTCATCGATGTGCTGTTGGAAGTCGTTTCGTTCGTAGAGCCAATGCAGAAAGAGCTCGAACATTTCTGGGCACTGATCCTCGAGCCATAACGACGACACTTGCAAGTTCTTGCGGAAGAAACTAGACGACGATGCCAGAAGCTTTTTCGATACTGTGAACTGTTCTTTTTGTGCTCCCACCAGTATTGTCACAGTGGTTGGGTTTTTGTAATATCTGTCACGTCACTGAGCGTTAGCACATTTTTCTTGCAGGGTGAGCCGGCTTGTATAATTGGTCACTCACAATGTTTTGGAGCGAGCAGAAGCTCTTGAGCCATTGTCTTTCAACATGGTGAGTAAAGTATAATAAAGTAGTCAGTCGATGATTGGGTGATGATGATGTTGGGGGATGGCAGCAAGAATCGGACTGTTGTCAGACGATGGATGGATGAATGTCAGACGATGCTGTCTGATCGGGCTGTCTGCTGTCGGACCATATATGCAGCAGACGACACTTTGGTTTAAGCTTAAGAAGCACCTTTTTTTCTTCTTTTTTTCTCGAGTGCTTGGCTTCCTTGATAGATTGGCCATCTTGAGCGTCTCATCAATAGTGGGTTGGATGCCACAGCATCCCTGCGCGCCGTCACTGGCCCGTTTGGAACTACCCTGTCACCGTCGCAGCTCCACGATGTTTCGGCCGGTCGTGAAGAGAATGCAAACAGGTCCCAAGCTCAGTACCTGAATGGCTGCTTCACTTGGACCCCCTGATCTGCAAATACGGATCGAACCCTGGCTGCACAGCTCTGGAAGTCATTGGTCATTGCGGTTGAGGCATTTGGGGCCGCTTTCTAGTCAACTTTTGGCGCACCACGAAAGTGAACGCACGGTTTCGGTGCGGAAGAGGCATGTCACACAGACCCTCGGTTCCCAGTATTCGCTCAACAAGGTGAATTCTTGAGTTATGAAGATTGGCGACTTGCAAGCTCGAGTTGTTCGCGACGCTGCCATGCCTTCGCAGCAGCGACTGGCAGCGACTGCTGGCCCCGTACGCCAGCGCGGTGCAGTCGATGACTGACGTCGTGAGCGCGAAAAATCGTCTGATGTTTTGTTTCAAAACACAATCGACGATCTGTCAGAAACATCGGACCAAACGAGCCCGCCCGAGGCCTCATCTCTCAGGCTTCCAGGGCTTCTCGTCTCGTCTCGAAAGCTCTTCAGATGCCCGCCATATAATTCGGCAATAGATTTTCAGAAACATTAGACCATGGAGATAGGTCGGCAACGGTGATTGGACCAGGTCAATAGTCGGCCGCTCTGCTGGATGGAGTCGTGCCGAAACCCCGCACTGGCAGAGGCGAACAGAGGCAGTTAAGCAAATCAGTTTGCAAGGGCAACGGGGCTGGATTCACAATCTGGGTTATGCCTGCCACTATGGGGCAATTGCGGTTTGTGTCGTGCTTGTGACGCCTGAAATCGGCGTTTTGACTAACCGCACCTTATCAGCCACTTGCTCAGCTGCCTGATTCCTGCTCTGTAATCGCGGATGCTAGTTACCCACCTAGTTAGATAATTCAAGTTGAACTCACCGTTATTCAGCATCTCATTTGCCTTCGGAACCTCGGCCATGTCCTTACTTACTAGTCCAGCCGGCTCTCTATCTATAAGAGGTAATCACCGTCAGAAGCCAATAACATCTCATCTCCCACGCCCCAACAAATGAACCCCAGATACCCTACCGGTATTGGCTCCGTGACAGAGCTCCAGGCCCTCGCAGAAAAGCGGAATCTCGTTTGAAATTGATTACTGCTGGCAGCAGCTCAGCACGGGCCTTGTGTCACTCCTACAGCCCCTCATCTCATCTCGGGAGCAGACGCCAATGAAAGCCAAGACATCCACCCCTCTTATTGTATCGCACAAACTCTATTATTTCTATTACATATCGACACGAGCGGGTGTGAAGCCATGTCCGGATTAAACTCCTCCGCGGTCAACACGCCGGCCCCGGGCACACCCTATTTCACGCCGAACCAGGAACCTCCTGCGGGTACGGCATTGGATCCGGGCAAACGCACCCACATTATTCCAGCCGCTAATGATCCGAAATTTGTAGCTCCACAACCGCTTCGTGGTGTCGCCCATGTGCCAGTATTCGGCCGAGGATGGACATCTGACAGATTGGCACTTTGCGCATCTCTCGCAGTTCATGATCCACGGCAATGCATTGACAATCGTCGAGGCTACTGCTGCGACTTCGCATGGCGGCATCACGCCGCAGGATTCTGGTCTTTGGAAAGACCCAGATTGAACCCCTGAAGCGAATCGTGACCTTTGCGCACAGCCCCGGCCAGAAGATCGGCATTCAACTGGCACACGCGGCAGGAAGGCCAACACCGTTGACCCATGGCTTGTCCCCCTGCTGGGAGACGTTAGGGCCATAGCTTCGGCTGAGCATGGTGGGTGGCCTGATAACGTCTGGGCTCCCAGCGCCATCAAGTTTGCCGACGGCTACGCGACGCCCAAGGCGATGACGACAGAGGACATCCAGAGCCTTATGCAAGGGTTCACGGATGCTGCTGCGCGTTCAGTCAAGGCTGGGTTCGACGTCATCGAGATTCACGCTGCACATGGCTATCTCCTGACGGAGTTCTTATCGCCTATCACCGACCAGCGGTCTGATGCGTATGGCGGTTCCTTCGAGAACCGGACCCGGCTGTTGTTCGAGGTCATATCTGCCGTTCGCAGTGTCGTCCCCGATACAATGCCCCTGTTCTTACGCATCTCGGCCATCGAGTGGATGGAGTGGGGCGACCAGCCAAGCTGCTGCCGACTGCTGGCGAGGACCTGCTTGATGTCAGTTCGGGTGGCAACAACGCAGAACAAGAGATCAAAATCCATCCTTATTATCAGGTTCATCGCTGGGCAGATTCGTGACACGCTCAAGAAGGAGGGTCTGCCATTGTCGATCGGGGCAGTCGGCATGATTACCGAGGCTGAGATGGCCAGGTTGATTGTTCAGGAGACCGAGCAAGTACCGGATGGGGTCAAGCAGGAGACGAGCACGCTTGAGGTCGAACAGGAGGGCGGCCAAAAGACACAGGCTGCTTCTGGCACGGCAGCTACTGCGAGAGCCTGAATTCCCCTGCGGGTTGCGCATCAGCTTGGCGTCGAGGTGAAGTGGCCAATCCAGTATCACCGCGGAGCCTGGAGAAAGGGCCAAAAGATAGAGATATAGAGAACGATCCGCATTACCATTGGGCAGCACGTGAGGTTGCACGGCCTGAGGTTGCACGACATCACGAGACATACATTGGGTGTGTTTAATGAACGAGAACACGCGAAGTTTGTTAGACGAAAGCGCGCAAGACGTGTTAGACAACAGCACTGTTAGTGTTCCTCAGACCAACACAACATTGTAATAACGCCAGATTTGTCAATTATGGCTTCGCTAGTATGGTACAGCACAACAAGCTCACCGCTTCTCGACATGTTTGGGGGGGTTCCTAACCGACTCCTATGTGCTACCTAGCTCGGTGCACCACATTTCTGAGTCCTGTGGCTTCTATTGCTTGACCTTTGGAGGGTATTTCTTGCCATCCACTTCAAACTTCGGCTCGCAGGTGCACCAGTTCTCCACCGGGAGCTGGTCCAGCACACTCGGGATGTGCTTTCCGCATCCGAACCAAGTACTTTTGTCTGTCGATTTGGTTAGCACCAAAGTACGGTAGGGATTGGAAAGTAGACCCTGAACGTACTGCACGTGTTGCAGTCGACTCTTTTACACATATTGGCGGTTGTTTCAAATGAGGATATCTCGTGAGGGAGGAGAGAGACTAGGTACTTTCCTGACAGTAACGAAAGTTTTTATCACAACGTTCGACATTTGGGATTTGTAGTCGAGACATGTCGTTTTTATACGATCAAATCGGCGACCTGAGTTGCTCTTCGCCGTTACCTACAATGGATATCTCTTGAGGTAAGTTTGCACATTTCTTTACCAAGATCCTCTCGTCCGATAAGAGTATGCGATTCGGCGACTCGAACGGTGGGGACGGCGCGGGAGATCGGCGAACGGCAATCGGGGGTACCATGTGCATGATGGATGGCCAGAATGGATCGTCGCCGAGGTCGCCGATGAGCGGCTTCCTCGGTCCTCATCGTTATCAATCTGCCTGCGGCAATAATGATCCTTAAGCATAGCTGTGACCTCGCTCAGAACGTTTCTCAGCTCCTGCTTGAAACTTCACATCTTGTCTGTATGGTGCATCTATATAAACCAAGATCGTGCTCGTGTGCACCTACCTGCCTAACCTACGTACTTCGCTGCATAAACGACGTTTGTGTTCGTTCGCCTGAGCGCACGGTCACCATGTTCTTCTTCTTCTCTCTTTCCCGCACAGCAAAACTTCCATATTCTCCTTGTTTGACGAGGAACATCTCGTCGACTAGGTTTTGTGAGGTTCAGACCCCCAGATGTTCTGTTCTGGCCAACGTTGCCAGCCCCACCTACGAAGGTCCATGTTGAAAAAATCCTGAAACGAAACCTCCAAAAGCCAGCATGGAGTCCAGGTTCTGATATATTAACTTATCGACACGGCAAATGCGCCTTCCGAACGTAGTCTTCTAGGGATTTATGATTTTTTGGTTTCGCGATTCACCTGGGGAAATCGTTGCCGCAACGTATGATGTCAATCCGGCTTGACCTGCTTCCGGTGTCGATGTCGTGGCCACGGGCAAAGGCTTACGCGGTAGGGGTGGATACTGACCATATAGTACTTGACGAATATTGGAACATGGAGATGTCACTGCTGGGGACTTGGCCAGACCTGGAACAAGAGACCTCTTGTAGTATCAGAAACACCATACTCGAAAATGGAGAGGCCACGTCAAGTTGGCCCTGGCCGACTCTAGTGGCGGTTTCATGACGTTAGATACAGAATTAAGATATAGAATTATACCAAGGGTATGGCGACAGGCGGTCCGACACTATAACAGCTTCTATTCGGCTCGGCCTGTGGGGCCAGCCGGAATGGAGCAAATACTGAGGCTATTTGGACGGTGGCTTGTTCTCATTGGCCGTCGTTCCGTAGGGTTGGAATAAGGGTTGGGACGGCGCAAGCCTCAGTTTATAGTTAACAAGGACATATGTACACCTGACATAATTTCCCATTGGCGCTTCTCAAATAAAAAAACCTGTTCAGTATATGCATACAATAACGAATATTAGCGAATATCTATTGTGTTGTTATTTATGGCTCTGCGGCTGACAAAACCCCCCTTGTTGTTAAAGCTCCCCGACGGATTCCTTCTTGTTGAGCTCACTCTCGATAATCGATTTAATCAACTGTGTGGCCAGTTCGGTTCCGGTTCTCAACATCTCTTTCGATCCAATGGCTGGGACATGAAGAAACAGGACTTTCCTGGGTCGTTGCTGCTTGTAAAGGTGAGCCAAACTCGAGAAGTAGATGAAGTCGCAGAGATATCTGCCTGGGTCCTCGGATATCCGGACGTTTGCGTATTTCTTCATCAGTGCCTGCGTGTTAGTGGCAAAACCCGAGACTAAACTCCCCAACCACCTCGATGATACGCTTACCGGAATTTTGTCAACCCATCTTTTGTAGATGTCGGCGACATCCAAGTTGGTCACGAGTTCCTCTGGCATGTCATGCCATATCCATTTATCGCCTTCCCTTTCATGCCGTTCTTCGTCGTTCAGAAAGTTGCCGTCGACGTCTTTCATTTTGTAGCCGTCACGGTGGCCCCTCCTCTCCATCGAGTAGACATCGGCTGGCCCGGCCATGCCAATGTGAAGAACGAAGTCAACCTTTGGCTCGGTCTTGTCCCAGAACGAGGGCACTAGCTCTCGAACGACTTCATAGTTAACCCGGACAGGTGCCGGTGGGACAACAAGCCGAACTCTGGGGAACTTTGAGGATGACCGGTGTGCCGGATCTTTCACCCTGTTTAAGGGGAGGTACTCCGGTAATGACTTTGCTATCTCCCAAGACGGATTTATGGGATACTCCTGCTTAAATGGCTGCAATCGGTATTGGTTAGCATCGAGAGTGTCAATCTGCGGGACTAAGATGGGGAAGGAGGGACTGCTTGGAGTATTTGCGACCTACCCCGAAACCGGTGACCAAGACCGTCAGTTCTCCTTCGTCAAAGGTGTCAAAGGTGTCAATGGAACCCATCGCAACACCCTATGTACTTTTGAGTCGCAGATTGGGTGGCAGAGTCACAAATTTTCTCGCACGCGGTATCTCAGAATCTCGTGAGGATTGTATCAAATCTGATGATGGGAGCCCAAGAGCGTGAAAGCTGAGGGGTAGGAGGGGTAATAAAATATATATCTTAAATAAGTTTGGTCTCCGCATCGTAACGAGGCCCGGAACCGTTATTCAGGTTTGACGTTCGGAAGCCGGCGCAAGTAATGCTTGATTGATGGAGGAGCGGAGTAATACTACGTTGTACAAGTGATGAGCATTGGGTGCAGCGGCGCCAAGATTTTGACGTCCGAAAGCAAGCTAACATGACTAGGTTAGAACTCCAAATTGGGCATCTGCCACGCACACTGATGTATGAACGTCGAACGACGCGATGCAGCTGCAAGTGTTTCGAGTTCGGTAGAAGCCGGCTTACTCCCGAGGTAGCGATTGCCTGTAGAATCTGCATGTCGCTCAATCTGACAAAGAATTGATGGTGCGTGAACCTCTGGCTGCCCAGGTGTTGTAAACGTAGAGAATTTTTTGAATGTGCAAGCAAGTGTTCTTCCTTCCATGCTTCAGCTCCTTCTTCCTTGACATTTTGTCAGCAATCATCCCTTGAATACGCAGCCTCAAAAGCCGGCCAGACAGAGCAGGCACAAACCTTCAGTTGGTACAACGTTGGAACCGGCTCGCAACCATGAACCAATCAGGCAAGATACTGCGATCAAGAAGTCAATTCTCAAGTCAGGATGAAGGTTTCGACTTGGGTTATAACCCAAGGTTTGCTGAAGTGAGCAAAGTAGGCAAGGTAATTGAGCCTGGCATTGAGAAACGGCGAGAAATCAAGTAGCGGTAAAGGGAAATGAATGTCTCCCATGATAATGATACTGGACAAGATCGTAAAGTACAACTGTAAAGTAATTAACACCAATATTCCAGTCACGTCATCGAAACCAAAGCTATCAAGAAGAGTCACTACACCCCACGAAAGTTCGACAACGTTAGGAACCAAAACGTCACCTCGGCGCTCCTGTGAGACGAGAAGGATGGTTGCTGACTTTGAAAGGACAACACCAGGCCTCAACATGATCAAGGTATGGAGAGCTGAAGGATGGCCGCGGCGGGATTCGAGGCCTCGAACTGACCTTCGCCGGGCACCTAAGGAATGTATGTGTACGAAGAGAACGACGACGACAATTTATCTTCCTGACTCGCAAGCAAGATTGAATGTAGACTACTTATCAAGTAAGCTGATGCAGCGGCCCTCCCTATTGTATCTACTTGGAAGGTGAAGAGAAAATATAGGATTGCCGAAGCGAAGGATGACAGGACTTGGAGGATTGCACTTCGCGTCTTGTTAGTCACGAATAACACGTGGGTTTAAGGTTATTACAATAAGCAGTATCTGCTGCCGGTGCTTCTGGCTAAGGGTAAATAAAACAGGTAGGTACGACAACTAGTGGAAGGGCGCCCAATGACTAGGTTAGCGCCTTGCTCGGCTGACAAAGACGAGTTCGGCCCAACACCAGTGGTGAAATTGTCAGTACTTAAGTGACACACAATGGGCTTCGAAGACCATTTCGATGTCCTCTAAACGAAGTGTCTTGGGAAAGGTCAAGAGGACATGAAGTAAGGTGTAAGGGGCAAAAGAACATATCCAGGTACCGAAACTTCTGGTCCACTCACACGTAAATATGGTCAACAGTTGCTGGAAGGGAGGCTGTCATGCATCACTTGTTTGAAGCTGAGGGGTACAGTCCGGGAATGCAGGATGGGATTTGCAATCAATGAATGATATATGTTAGTCTTGTTAGTCATGATCAATGATCAAGGTAGACCATAGTTGTTTGTTGGTACCATAAGTGTCCCAAAGACTAGATAGATTCGCCAATCATTAAAGACGAGATGCAGGCGTCGGAGGGTGTACCAGGGAAAAAGTGATGCACGCATTAGAATCGACTGTGAACCGAGTAGGATATCGTGTTCTCAGCCCCCTAGCTCATCCTACATCTGCTGCTACCAAATCCCTCCTGTGTAAACCAGTCTCACCAAATCAACCTCTTTCCCAAGCATGCCGCTTACTATCTACTCCTCTGCCTTCACCAACCCACCATCATCCAGTATCCTAAGGCCTCCAGTATTATCCCACTCGACCCTCCCCTCATCAACCGCCTTCCTCAACTTCTCGGATAGGACCTCCTTCTCGCCGGTGTGCGGATCCCAGTGCCACCCTTCTTTCATCCAAAGCCATCGCAGACAGGCCCTCAACTCCTTATCCTGGGGCAGAACGTGCATCCACTCGGGTTGGAACTCGCCTTCCCGACCTTTGCCTTTCCAGTCTTCGGCCAGGCCCAGGAGCACGTCGCGGCAGAAGATGCGCCAGCTGTCGATGGCGTAGGAGCCTTGTGTCATGTGTCCTATTTCCCAAGCCGAGACCCTATTGTCCTCGTGTTCTGGTTTGATTTCTTCACCGGCTTTCACGTCCGTACCGTCGCCTGGCCTGGGGTAATTCTTGACTCCGTAGCGGACATGTTTGCTAGGGGGTATTTCCAGCCACATACGGGAGTACTTCTGAATTCGTGTAGCTCTGACCACTGAGAGTCCCAAGTGTTTGGTCATGGCCGAGATTTCGTGAGAGTCAGCTTCGGCCAAAGCCTCAGGGGTCGGGAATTTCTGCATGAGTGCATCAAAAGTCGGGATGGCTGTTTTTCCAGCAGTTTTGATCAGGAACGTAACGGCTATAAGGAGTCGGAAAGGGTTGTCGGCCAGCTTTTCCTGGACGAGGCCAAACTGCGGCGCTGAAAGAGGGGGAAAGGGCAAGGAAGAGACGGTTCCGCGCGGCGGCCAGGCGCTTTTCTTCTTTATGATATTAGATGAGTCAGGGGGGTTAACTGTGGTGGCAAAGTAATGTGATGTCGCAGCACGTTTTGGTGTCTTTGTTGATGAACGCAGACTGTACCGTCTCTGTGCGGTGCCGCTGGGAGTGCTTGCCACCTCTGTCAACCCTACATGTGGTGTCTTTACTACTGCCTCTAGTAAATCGGTTTCTGGTGTTGCTCTGGCTTTTTGGGGTGAATGTAGTGATGATGCTGGTGGTGTGTCTTGCTTTGTATTGACTTGATCAGTGCTTTGGTCTTGCTGCAAGTCGTGGCCCAGGTTTCCACGACCACTCGCAGACTCCTGGCCATCTACGAGTGGTTCGATTTTAAAGAAGTGCTGCCATCATCTTCTTCGGAAGCTATGGGTGCCTCTGTTTCTGCTTCCGCCTTGGGCTGTTCGTCGGTTGCGTTCGGAAGTGGGATGTTATCCTCACTCCGGTACCAAACTGCAGCGTCCTGGAGTACAGGGACTTCCTCCTGAAGCGCAGGGACTTCCTCCTGGAGCGCAGGGGCTTCCTCCTGGAGCACAGGGGCTTCCTCCTGTAGTACAGGGACTTCCTCCTGGAGCACAGAGACTTCCTCCTGTAGTACAGGGACTTCCTCCTGGAGCATGTCGACATCTTGTTCCTGGATCGATTCGGAGATGGGCTTGTCCTCCTTGAGTTGCACGCCAGCCCGAGCTACCTTCCGCTTCTCCTTCTTGGAGGCTTTCTTCTGCTTCTTCGATGTATTGTCGCCTGAGAAGAAGTGGGACTCTGTTGCGCTTGTACGTTTTCTCTTGCCCCTCGGGGCCTTTGCCGGGGGAGGCGCATCTCTCTCCTCGCTGGAAGGGAGCCCAGAGACCCCGTTGCTCAGCTCGTTGCTGTCAGCTTCAGTTGAAGCTACGAGGAGCTTGGATATATAAGAGAGAGGATCTTGGCCATCCAGTGGATCGACGTCGGACTGCTCCTTCTTCATGGCTCCAGCGCACGAGATCATCATGGACCACTCCTCTACCCCACGTAGTAAGCTGTAGCGAGTGAGAACTTTGAGGTCGGCCGCCTCACCCCAGCCGTTGGCGGCCGCGAGTCCTACAAGCCTTCTGTCTGTGGCATCCTTGACGTCCCAGCCGACCATGTAGTCTGCGGCAAGCCGCTCATCGACAGAGTTCATCATGTCCGTCTACCGTATGAGCTTTGTGGAAATTTGCGCTTGAGCGGGAGATGTGTATTGGCACTGGTAGGGTCAGATAGGCCAAGTAATACTCGGTAAGAAATACGTAGTCCCAAAAAAAGAGCAGGGGGAAATAATGAAGTCCCGCTAATTCGGGAATGGCTGGTGCTGTTTGTTTGATGTTTGTCGTGATGTCGAGCGAGTTGCTGTTGATTGAGCAAAGTCGGGCACTGCAGTCGCCTCTGAATATCAAATTACTTGGCGACACGTGGGATGAAGAAAGTGCAACCAAGGAAAAGGGAAAAAAGCGAAGGTCTGCAGAAGGTGATTGCGATGTTGAAGATGTAACAGTAGAGACTCGGCCTCCATGGCAAATTTTGCCCGTGAGGTGGATGCTCACTAGCACTGACATTTCACCGCAACCTCACCATTTCAGTTGAGTTGTTCAGTAAGTCACGAATACAGGTACCCGACTCCAATTGGACAGTAGTCAAACGGAGACGTTCAGACATTGTGAATCATTGTATTTCACCCAAAGAAATCAATTAAATTAGACATCTAAAGCAGGTACCGCAGCCATCAAACCAATTAGAGTCAGTTGTTGAATACAAGCCGACTTCTACATTTGTCACTGCATGCGAACCCGTTGTGATACTGATAAAAATACAACTTTTCTCCGATTCAAATGCTCTTCAACACATGGAAAAGGCACACTGCATCTCTCAGGTTTAGCACCATGAAGCTTAAGTCCTTCGAGGTGGCGTAATACATCCTCAAAATGTCACCCTAAATATTATAATACAGGATTGACATGCTGACTTCCATCACCCTCATGGCCCATATCAGAGAACTCAAATCCTTGGAAGGTATCATCCCCATTGATCTTTTCAGGTTTATGCCTCTTATGAACTCACTTGTATACACCCCGAGTGTGGTGCGACATGCCTTCACTTAAATCAAGCAGATGTCCTACAATGCTGTAGAAATGCAGAACTTGATTTACACTCTAAAGCCACTAGCCTCGGATCGCCCCCAGCCCCAGCAACCTCGAATATTTTGCTGAGACAAAAACAAAGGAGCTGTAGGAGTCTAGTATTACATACAGGAGAGTTGTCTAGATGCGGATGTGCTTGGTTGCCTTCGGCGGGTCGTAGACGGTCTTTCTTGACTTGATCGGTGCCCACTTGTATCGCTTCACCCAAACACTGAGAGCAAAGAGAACCGATGTGATCGCAAGAACCTTCATGCCCATTCTCTTGCGGTCGTCCATCTCAGGTTCGGCAGCCCAGTTGAGGAATTCCACCACGTCTTTGGCCATCTGTGAGGTCGAGGCAGGCGTCTCGTCTTCGTATTCAACCAAGCCGTCGTACAAGACACGGGCCATGGCAATACCGGTACCAGGGAAGTAGGGGTTGAAGTTCATGCCAGCCGCGAGCTGGGCACCAGCGGGAGGCTCCTCGGGGTAACCAGTCAACAAGCTGAAGATGTAGTTGCAGCCACCATGTCGTCCCTTGATGATCAAACTCAAGTCGGGGGGCAGAGCACCGTTGTTGGCAGCTCGAGCGGCCTCGTCGTTCTTGTACGGGGCCGGGATGTAATCGGAAAGCTTTCCAGGTCGCTTCTCAATCTCGCCCTCGTCGTTAGGCTCGCTGTCATACTCGTTCTCCTCGGCCAGCGCCTTGGCCTCGTCCACTGTCAGGACCGTGCCGACCAGTGTTCGGTAAGGAATACGGCTCAAGGAGTGACACGCAGCGCAGACTTCTTGGTAGACCTGAAAACCTCGACGAAGTCTAGCAGGCATGGGTTAGGTTCGGAATCAAGCCTGTTGGACAGGGAACAATGTTATTCTTACGCTTGATGATCGAAGGTCTTGAACCATTGCTCGTGAACCCAGGGGTAGGCTGTGGGATGCAGACTGCGGATCACCATCAGTATTTGGACAACCCGTGAACCTAAAGCAGCCGTAGTGTTGCGGCCCAAGCTAGCCAGCTCGAGCCCCAGTGGCCATTGTCGGGATTTCGTTGTGAATTGACGACTCACCCTTCCTCAGCAGGCGTCATGGCAAATGCGTCAGTTCCATAGAGATGATAGTACCATGCCACGGATCCAATGGCTACGGCTGTGGATGCGGCGGCGGCCACATTTAATCGGGCAGGGGATTCGGAGGCGGCACGGGAGCTTGAAGTCGAGACGGTTCGCTACAACGACAATTATGTCAGCCATTATCCAGCAATATGGTGTTTCCACGGCTCCCATTGAGACAGTTGTGGGGCCAGTGTGGCCATTGGTGATGGAGAAGCAGGTGTGGCATAGACGGAAGGATGTCGTTTACCTTAGCGAAGCCGGTCGCGCTATTTCTGGCCCCGTTGAGGAAGCGCGTCGAGCGCAGGCAGGATCTTGCCAACATGATGGGCGTGCTGCTCTTCAGCTGTTCGAAGGGCCGCAGGCGGGTTGACGAGGTGATTGGGTCGTCCGACTCGAAGGGTGAGTGAGGTCGGGAATCGTCGTAGGTCGCTCGGGTGAACAGAAAAGCTCGCAAGTTGCCGACAAATCATTCCAAAGCTACAATAATCGTGGTCATTGGATCAAGGCCAACCTGATTGGCTGCAATCGGGTGCACAGACCCTTCGAGATGAGCACTGTACACCTCTACCAGCCCTCTGGATGATAGTGCCGTACTCGCCCCGCCCACATTTGTTTGAGTGTGGTGGAAGTACGGCACTAACATCTAGAGGGCTTGTAGAGTTGTATTTCCTTGGGGTCATAACTCTGAACATCAACCTAATAATTTCATGGGAACTTCAAGATGCTGCGAGTACTCCAACAATACATACAATAATTGATCTACTAGGTAAAGCAAATTGCAAGCATCTTACCTCAAATGACAAGTCTCGACTCTGAGAAATCGCAGTGGCCTTAAAGCTCACCTTAGCATGTTGGACCATGAAAGTAGACATACTTATCCTCGGCCTACTAACCTTCGTTCATGTAATGGCATGGGCCGTCATTCCGACCTTCGGTGACCTTGCGGACAATGCTGGACAATGCAGCCAAACTCGGGTATTCTGATTCTCCTGGATTTGTCAAGTGACCTTACTTGCGTACCCAACGCAATAGGCATACCTTTTACTCAAGGTAGGCAGCAGCAAAATACAAGTGCAGGTCGACTGGATCAATACGAAAGCTCGAAGACATCTATAGTGGTGATTTTCATTCGCACTGCACATTCTGTAGGCAGCTTCACAAATATGAATTCATATGCGGCTTGCAGCCCACCAAGAACCCCCTCTCACATCTAGCTGCTGGGCTTAGGACTGAATCCCAGAGAGCTAGGTCTCGTTAGCTCCAAAATGTACTGAAACTGGAATCAATACAATTGAAGAAGCAATACAAGCAGTATTCTCCACCCCTGAGCTCCTGGAAGCCATCCTGGTCGAAGTCGACATAAAGACCCTGCTCGTCTCGGCCTGACGAGCATGTCGATCCTGGAAACAAGTAACGGTAGAGTTCAGCGGGATCCAAGAACATATGCTCTTCAAGCCTCGACGCACTGGCTCAGTCGACTCGGTTGACTTTACGGACAATCGGCTGCTATTCGACATCTTCCCCATGGCTGTGTTGAGCTTCAAGTCAAGATTCTTACAGTCGGGCCGCCGCCGCCACAGGACCTCCTTTATTAGACTCCTGGGAGATACTACCCGGACATCTTGTGCGAGTTTGGTGCGGCCGAAAGCAAGCTGGAGACGGGTAAGGGGTAGTCTTCTGAATACGGTTGTCTTGCTGGATGGACTGATTCGACTATGTAGATATTAATCGTGTAGCCCATTCCATGCAAGGATGTCGTCCTAAAACCGAAACGTCGAAACACCGAGAACTGGATGCAACCAGCAACTCCAGTATTCAAAAACAACTTCAATTGGCGATAAGGGGCGCGATGCCTCCAGTTACAAATGGCTGGTATCGAGCTTGACTATTCATTGGCATCGAATAGGCACAAACGGATTATCTTGGGTGATAGCAAGGGATTCACGCAGCAGTGCAGTGGTGGAAGCGTGATGCTGCCTGGGAAATTGACAAATACCTCGCCTTCTGAAACGTAGTGGGAGCGGCCATGGGCTTACGAATCGTGTACTGTCATGAAATCTGATTCTATTAGTGAAATATGAGGTTATATGCCCATTGTACCGTACTTTTTTGCTACCTTGAACCCATTGAAATAATATTAAACGACACATAACTTTTAACTGCCATTTGAAATGTTTCTCCTCGTCTTGACAGCGTCCGCAAGAGTCCGGAGGACAGACTCTGTGTCTGACCATCCTATGCAGGCATCAGTAATGCTGACGCCGTACTGCAGGCCGGCCTTTCCTTCCTTGGGAACCTTCTGACTGCCTGTATGGCGCTGAGTTAGCAACATGCACCTGTAATATCAAATGGAGCCAGCTTACCTTCATTGATGTTGCTCTCGATCATCACGCCCATGATAGCTTGTTCGCCATTCGAGATCTGCTCCGCCAGTGTAGCGGCGACCTTGGGCTGGTTCTTATGGTTCTTCAACGAGTTGCCATGGCTGCAATCCACCATCAGTCGCTGGCGCAATCCCGACTTAGCCAAGGCCTCCTTGGCCTCGCCGATGCTCTTTGCGTCGTAATTAGTGCCCCGAGTTCCGCCGCGCAGAATGACAAAGCAGTCCTCGTTGCCCACCGTCCCGACGATGGCGACAACACCAGGCTTGGTGACAGACAGGAAGTGGTGGGGATGTCTAACGGCTCCAATAGCATCGATAGCAACTCCAAGTGTCCCGTCTGTGCCATTCTTGAACCCGACCGGGAAGGACAGACCGCTGGCCAATTCACGGTGCAGTTGACTCTCTGTCGTTCTTGCGCCGACAGCACCAGCCGATAGCACATCAGCCAAGAACTGCGGCGAGATGGTGTCCAGCATCTCGCTGGCAATGGGCATCCCCTTGTCGGTCAAGTCGACGAAGAGCTGTCGCGATATGCGCAAGCCTTTGTTTATCTTGAAGCTATTGTCGATGTCCGGGTCGTTGATCAGGCCCTTCCATCCGACCGTCGTTCGGGGCTTCTCGAGGTAGGATCGCATTACAATCAACAGCTCGTCCTTGTGCTTCTCCTTTTCCTGCATCAGCAGGTCGCAGTACTCGAGCGCGGCTTGTGGGTCGTGGATCGAGCATGGTCCGATGATGACCAGGAGTCTTTGCTTCTCGTCGCTGCCATTGACCACTGCGACTACCTCCTCACGACTTCGGACAACTGTCTTCTTCGAGTTCTCGGTTTGGGAAATCTCGTGTTGCAGCAGATCGGGTGGTGTTAGAGGGTTGTAACCACGAACTACAAGAGCCAGTTAAACCGATTGAAACTGTACCTGACTAACACTACTCTAACTTACTTCTCCAATCTTCACTCTCAGTCTTGTTGCCGACATTCTTGTTCTCAATGAAGAAGCTCTAAATTATGAGTCAGAGGAGCACAGTCGAGGGACGGATCGAAATGCAAGCCTTACCGACATGGTGGGCAAGACGAAGGAAGAAATGCCGGGGAAATTCGCTGTCAATGGAATATGATTCTGCTTTTCTGTTCGACTAGTAAGGGAATACGAATCTTGCTTCTATTTCAAGTCTTCGCTGTTACAAGTTTGGAGGATTCAGTCACTGGAGATGAAATAGGAACATTGGCGGGGTCAGCGTTCCTCGCATGGTATAAAAAGTTGACCAATCTTAAACAAACCGTGGGGGATTGGTCTTGGTGGCGTCACAAACGGGTGCACCAATTTTGACTTACATCGGGAACCGCGGGGCAACATGCAGCTACCCTGAGACCACCCACTTTACCCGGCCAGTGGGGAATATAACGTACGACGGTCTTCCCTTCCACCCCCAGCTAGGGTGTGGTTGGTCTGTCTCTTAAATGCCTGAGCCGTCTCGGAGCATAGCTACCTCAATATCTACCCAAGTAGCTGGTCTGTTGGCCATGACACCTTGCACTATACGGATGGCCGGTACGCCACTGACCAACCCAAATATGAATTCTCCTACCCCTTGGCTTCAGTAGCTTATTCGCCTTTGGTGTGAAATCCGGCGGGGTTGGTTATAGCTTCCTTCTGGAAACGTTCAATACCATTAAGCTTGCCGTACAGCCATTTCAGTAGCATGGTGCTGCCGGTCATCAAAGACGCCGAAGAAATAAAGAGCAGTGCTCGTTGCCACGTCGAGAGTAACTCGAAGATAGGATACGGGTACCTGTTTCTAAATGTTAGCGACTCCCTAACGTCATATCAGCATGCATAATTGCCGTCTCTTACCAGCCATTTTGTTGTCCACACCACTCAACCCAAAACCAGTACACAATCGCAAGTGACATGCTCAGAACGGTTGCAGAGTAAGCTTCGATTGTCCAGGGCGGGCTTAGAAGCAGCAGGTCCAAGGCTAACATGATGCCCGGCGCCGCATGGAAGCCAAAATCAGGCAAAAAGTCCAGCTGCAAGTCCGGGGGAAACACCAGAGACTTATCGATGGCACATAGTCCCCAGTATAAAATGGTGATGAGGATCTCGAGTGGAGCCGAGAACGTTGACAGTGTGTTCTTTGCCTTGAAGAGCATTGGAGAGAGGGTGATGTCGGCTAGGAGGCCAACCACGAAGGTGATCTGGGCCAGAGCCAGGCCTATAATGGTCAAGAACTGATAATGACCACCGTAGGCGCTCGATATCGGGGTCTCCCATTGATCAAGAAATTTGAACGAGGCCGTGAAGGATAAGATTCCCGCGATATGCAGTAGCATTGACAATGTCCGCGAGGGAGCCTCCAACCTTTGGAGACGATGCCGAGCCATCTTGGAGAACCGCGAACGTGGAGATGGATATGAAGCAGTTTTGGGGTCAAAAAGTTGGGGGACTATCATGGAAGAGTTCAGAAGAATGTCAACGACACCAAATTCTGAAGCAGTAAACAGGACTTGATCAATTAAAACATGGGCAAAAGATTTAAATACCCTGCACAACCCCTGTAAAGATCTATTTACCCTGCAATTTCTCAGACCTCCCACCGCCTTCCCAATCCATCAGACCCACCGATCGGGCCTATCAAGCTATCCATGGGGGCGTTGGCACCTTCTCATATTATGTCCAGTCTCACCACAACTAGAGCATCGCGATTGTGAGCTCTGTGGAGGGCGGCGAGAATCCCCCTTTCGAATCCTCTCTTTGACAGGGCGTCCTCGAGGTACTCCAGTAATTGGAGGGTTACAAGGGTCCTCTGGCTTGAGCTTGAGCTCAGAGACGCTGATAGCTGGCATCGGGCTACTATACGTGGCAGCCCAAACTGTCGGAGAGAGAGATTCTGGTAGATAAGGGGTTATACCGTCCCCTCCTGCTAGTATTACGGTAATGGCATGCCCGCAAGGGATTCCATTCCTTTGATACCGACGGCATGAACATGTCCCTGCTGTCAAATTTACAATGCAAATAAGGCCGTCAGGCTGTACTACTCTTGCTTCCGTTGGTGACGAAAACTGAGCACGATTACTAGACGCCCATTGCCTCACTTCTCGTAATTTCCCTTCAACGAATGGGGTAGCTGTCTTCCCTGCCTCTATCAACCGTAAAGCAGATTGAAGCCGAGCTGCCCTCTTCTCCATAACCTGGTGCCATATTGAGTCGAGGAGAGCAATAATTGGAAGTTCCCGATCAAGCTTTAATACTCCGTTTTGCGACTCGACGATATTACTTGTATCGTGGCCATATCGACGCCCAGAGAATAGCGCCTCGGCCCAAAGCGAAGGGTTTGCCGCCTCTAGATATGCCGCAGCTTCGGGCTTTTGTTGTCGAAGCTTCTCTAAAGCTGCCTCGTATTGGGCTAGAGTTGGTGCTCGGGCGATAGTCCAAAATAAAGAGGCAAGTCCTCTCCCGAACTTTCCCGTGAAATTCTCCTTAATATGATGACAGCACCACGCCCCTGTAGCTAACGGACCGAGGACCTTCTCCGAGTCAAAGAGTCCTTTATCTCGGTCTGATAGAATTGTGCTCTGCTCTGTTGAGACCTCTGGGATAGCCCAACGAAGGTGCTGTAAAAACCATGTCCAAGAAGACTTATTTTCCGACTCGACTACCGCCCAGGCCAAGATAATAGTCTCGCCATTCGCATCGATCGTGACGGCAAGCAATAGAGTAAGGATGAAACGACCCTTTAAGAAGGTTCCGTCGATAACGAGGAGACGTCGGCAAAGGGTATAAGTAGAGCGGCTCTCAGCAGGGCAAACGAAGATTCGTTCAAAACGTTGATGGCGGTCTCGAAGTAAGTCGATATGGATAGCAGGAGAGATGGTCTCTAAGAGCTCCTTATAAGCGGGTAGTAACTGGAAGCTATGTCGTTGCTTGCCAATATCTCCGTCGAGTAGTCGCAACCGGCACTCTTGAGCTCTCTTGTAGTCGATATCTTCAGCGAATTGGATACGGAGGAGGTCGAGTATTTGTTGTGGGGGGGTCTGCTGTGTTACTGCAATATTGGCAGCGACAATACGGTCTAACCAGTCTTTCTTAGACGCAGAGGAGAATTTTTGCCTTGCAGCTCCGCTACAACTATGCTCCGTTTCGAGAATATGAATCTGCCAGATATCCTCACTAGGGGAATAGGTTGCTCGGCAGCGCCATAAACAGCCGCTTAACGCAGAGGCACACACCCAGGAGCCACGGGTCTTATCTCGCCGCTCAACCCGATAAGAGAATTTCTCCTTTACAGCCCAGTTGTCGAGGGCAAGCGATAGAGTATCAAGGTCAAGGAACTCTTGTCCATCAATAGGAATAGATAATAGGGCTAGCGACGTCATGTTGAGCTGAGGAATAGTAGTCGCATGCTAATTCCAGAGGCATGAAGTCAGAAAGCATGGCGGAAATGTGAAGAGAAAAGCGGCAGAAAATTGCAGGGTAAATAAATCTTTACAGGGGTTATACAGGGTATTTAAATCTTTTGCCCATTAAATATTGATCGTTTTAGATTCATGACGATAATGCATGTGAACTTGGACCTTCCGTTGGTTCCGCAATTGCTAATAGACCTCGGCGCACCAGTTGGGCCCTGGAACGGTGCACCAACTGCCCGTGGGGTTGCATCGGAGGTTGGCATCTCCAACGCGCCCGGTCGGGCGTCGTCAATGCTGCAACTAAATTTCGCGACTCAACAGCTGAGTAGCAAGGGGCTTGCACAGAAGCTTTGTCAGGACGCCGTAGCAGCACTTCACCCGTCTTCGCCATGACAGCTGTACAAGAAGAAGATGCCACAAATTCGAACAAGCGCAGTCATTCCGATTTTGCGGAGCAAGATGGTTCTGGTAAGTGTCTTCTCTTATGGTTCCTTCAATGTGCTCTGTTTATTGACATGGACAAGACAGCTCCTCGGACGATGACATGGGACCACAGCTCCCCTCAGTGGCCCCAAAGAAGAAACGACGAGTCCTCCCATACCAAAAGTTGTACATATCAGCCCTTCCCACGTCGGCGCGATACTCCAAATCCCTGATGCACAAGGAACAGGTTTCTTTCGTGACTGTGACGCCGTTGACCGACTTCCTCATTACAAGCTCAGTCGACGGGGTTGTCAAATTTTGGAAGAAGGACGGGCAGGGTATCGAGTTTGTCAAAGAGTTCAAGGCGCACCACGGCGAGATCCAGTCCGTCTCGGTCAGCCAAGATGGGCGAAGCTTTGCGACAGCCGGCACCGACAAGACCATCAAGATATTTGACGTTATTACCTTCGACCTACTATCCATGATAGCTCTTGAATACACGCCCAAGTGCATATGCTGGGTGCACAAACGTGGTGCTTCCCTCCCGCTACTGGCCGTGTCCGACGATTCGAACCCCCTGATCAATATCTATGATGGACAGGGCGAAAGCCAGACCCCAATACACACCATCAAGAGTCTCCATAGAAGCATTGTATCCCTGATGGGTTTCAACGATGCGTATGATTGCGTGGCTTCCGCCGATGAGAGTGGAATGCTCGAGTACTGGAGTCCGAGCAACAACTACGAAAAACCAGACAATGTGTTCCAATACAAGAGCTCTACGAACCTTTTCGATTTCAAGAAGGCCAAGTCAGTGCCTGTGTCTCTGACAATATCACCTTCGGGCCACCAATTCGTCACATTGTCGATGCCTGATCGCAAGATTCGAATATTTGAGTTTGCCACGGCAAAGCTGTACAGGACATATGATGAGTCTCTCCAGGTCATTGAAGAGATGCAGCAGGCAGGAACATCTATGCAGAAGCTGGAAGACGTGGAATTTGGGAGGCGTCTCGCGGCAGAACGCCAGATTGAGTCAACTGATCTACGGAACAAGGTCAACGTGATATTTGACGAGTCGGGTCATTTCATCCTGTACGGTTCCATTTTGGGCGTCAAGGTCCTGAACACCTTCACAAACCACATTGTAAAAATCTATGGCAAGGACGAGAACCTGCGGCCTGTCAATTTGGCCATCTATCAAGGCCAACCGCAGAAGAAAGGGGTGACGACGGTGGCCATGGCCGCATCCAACAATCCCCTGCTTCAAGAGTCGGAGACGCGGGATCCCATGCTTGTTTCCACCGCAGTCGGAAAGCAACGTTTCTACATGTTCACCAACGACGAGGAAATATCGCGATCACAACGAGACATTCAGAACGAGAAACCGACGATGCTGGGTGCGAAGAAGGCCCAGCAGACGAAGGTAGCTGAGACTGGCACCGCCGCCATCATCCACACTTCGTACGGCGACATTCATATTCGTTTGTTCCCGGATGCGGCACCCAAGGCGGTTGAGAACTTCGTCACGCACTCGAAGCGTGGATATTACAACAACACGATCTTCCACCGAGTGATCCGAAAGTTCATGATCCAGGGCGGAGACCCGCTCGGGGACGGTACAGGAGGCGAGAGTATCTGGAACAAAGAATTCGAGGATGAGTTCTCGACTCTCAGGCACGACAAGCCATATACTGTCAGTATGGCAAATGCAGGTCCCAACACGAACGGCAGTCAGTTTTTCATCACTACAGAAAAGACGGTAAGCAATTGCCACGGACTCAACTGGCCATGCGAATCAGCTAACATACGAATGTAGCCGTGGCTCGATAACAAACACACCATCTTTGGGCGGGCAACCCAAGGGCTGGATGTGATTCACAAGATCGAGAACGTGCGCACTTACAAGGAGAAGCCTGAAGAGGACATCAAGATTCTCAATATCGACGTCGTATAGCATTGGGCTAGGGGGGATTCTTGGTTATGATCAATTGAGCCACAAACCACGATGGCACTCGGCGGTCCAGAAGCCGTCTCTCTCTCTCGGTCAGAGCAACCAATCATAATGACGACTTTCTAACGAGCCGTTGCAATAAGCGGCTTCGGTCAAGTTCCTTGATAACGGTTAGTGGGAAGGCGGAGTGGGGTCCACTCAGATCTTGGTTACCTGAGATGGGCGGATACGTAGTAACTGTTAGATAAGTTGCATCGGCATGAAGCGGCGCAGCGTTGCCGGCTGGTCAATCCATCCTAGCTTCGGCCGGGCTCTTATCAATGTTGCCCATGCTAGTTCGAACACGAACCCCATTTTGCCCGCTGAGCGACCACCAAGTGAGAGGAAACATGCATTTTAACTTCACTCCATCCATTATTGATCCCGCGTTATCGCACTACCGCATAAGCATGAGCATAAGCATGAGCATAAGCATGCGGGCGCATTCGTAAACGATTTTGCTTTGCTTGCGAGAGGCCCGCCAGAACATGTCTCCACTGCCAGCCGGTCCCGCCTGCTTACGACTCATGCCAAGTCCATGATACCGATACCTCGCGCCCTATCAACGGCAATCGCTTATTAGCGATACAACCACAATGCCTCGCCCCAAGAAGCCTGGAGCGCCTGAGCCCAAACGGCGAAGTCGAAACGGTTGCTGGTAAGGATGCCGACAGACCTCACTCACCATCTTGCTACTACCACCTCATGAACAAAACTGACATGTTTCAAGGCCATGCAAAAATCGCAAGATCAAATGTGGCGAAGAGCATCCATCATGCCTCAAGTATGCTCCCCTGGCGATGTTCCAAGTCTTCGTTTGAGTTCGGACGCTCGTATGAGTCTATACCAGAATGTGCTTTCATCTACAAGTGACCTCGTAAGCTAATTGCAAGAAATGATAGTTGTCAGAGAGCTGGGGAGGCTTGCGATTACAGCATTCGCTTGAACTGGGAAGGTCGAAAGGGGAAACGGCCCGAGCCAGCAACCATTGATTTCGTGTCAGATGCCCCATCGTCAACAGTCCCGAGCAGAGGCTTTCAGCTAGTCCATCAGTTCCAACCCGGGTCGAAGCTGGCAGCAGGCCGTAAGTTGGAACCGCTGGGACCGATGAAGGAATCCTCAAAATCCGAAGGGATCTCCTCTGTCTCCACTTCTGCCCCCGTTGAAGCCGGAAGCTCGACGGCTGATAGTCCATCTGATTCATTTCAACGTCCTAGCAAACGCTTCAAGGTCAGCACAGCGTCGAGCACTGCAGGTTCATCAGAGAAGCGGCCTGTTTCGTCTCCTGCATCGACGGTAGACTCGGGGGCATCTGTCTACAGGTTTGCTGGGTCTGTCGTTTCGTCAATACCGTCGCCACTGACACCAGCTGCTTCGTCGACGTACAGCGATGAAGATGGACGTCAAGTGTGCATATCGGACCCACAATCGACGCTAACCCCCGAACTCAGGAGACTGTCGGTTCATTCCCTCCTCTCGGGACCCCCTGGCCCACGAGCCTCATTAGAGGACTGTACAAGCCAGTCATACTATCCCTCTGCGAGTATAGACACGCACATATCATACTCTACAGAGCCGCAGTACTACGGCATGGACCGCGGCCTACCCGATCTGGATCTTGGCAAGAATGACGACGAGAATGCAATCAGCACCGTTACTTCCCCTTTCGCAACCTGCGATCGCCTGGACACGCCACTTGACTACTTCGACGATGATCTATTTTCTGCCGAGTTCGCCTTTGGCCTCGAGACGTACGATACGACCCTAGACACGGGAGGTTACTACGACAAGCCCGTTCCGATCTACATCCCGCACTACCTTCAACCGCTGCCACCCAAGTAAGAAAACGCCTTGGATTGACTGAATACTGGGATTTTTGCGCTGACAGTAAGCAGACTTCTTCATAACCCTATGAACCTACTGGTAAATGACCCCTATCTACTATGCCCACTCCTTGTCCCAAACTGAGTATCTCTATGCTGACAAGATTTGCAGTACTTTGTAAGTCAATCTTTACTATTCGTGTGATGTGTGTGCTCTAATTACTAGCTTAGCATCACTTCATAAATCACACTGCAAGTTGTCTCGTACCATATGACGACCCGCATGCGAATCCATTTAGAATAACCCTCCCTGAGATGGCCGTCAAGAACGAGAATCTTCTTGCTCTAATCCTGGCATACTCTGGTACGTTCTGATCGGGTCGCCCCAATGGATTGTAACTTATCATCCTGTGCAAAGCGTCACATCGAGCTCGAGTCTTGAAACAAAAAGAACCAGAGCTGCGAATAGCCAGCTGGGTTACCGATATCTTCCCTGCGTTGCGCCAGGCGCTTTCCGATCCGAAGAAGAACTTCTCTAACGCCAACCTTGCCACCGTAATCATGCTTGTCTCGCTCGAGATTGCTTCACCAAAAGCATTCGGGTACGGCATTCCGTGGCAGAAACATCTCAACCTGGCCAAGGAACTCATCACTGCGCGCCCAGGGGGCTTGCACTACGAGACCAACTTTCGACAAAATCAAGCATGCTCGTTCTTGTGGAGCTGGGCAGCATATCTTGATGTCATTGGTAGTCTAAGTGGTGGACTGAAAGACTCATCTACCGCTTGGATGTTCGACTACGAGATCGAGGACATGAATGACGGGTTTGATGAGATCGATTGCATAATGGGATTTACCACCCGGTGCATATACCTTCTTGCGAAGATTGCCGACCTTGCGCGACAGTGTGCTACAGAGCGGCTCGGCGCAGACAACATTGTACGGACAGATTGGAAGCCCAACGCAGAGGTCGCCGAGCAGGCTCTCAAGCTTGAGGAGGGCATCATCGACAGCATGAATCAGCCGCCGCGGCCATGCAAACATATTCATATGAAAGGCAATTTGGAGAAATGGGGCAGGGTGGAATTGACAGCTACAAATGAAGCCTTCCACTGGGCCGCCCTAGTCCATCTTTACCGGAGGATTCTAGGGAGACCGTCTGAAGACAAAGGTGTTCAACACGCCGTGAGGATGATCATCGCGTGTTTTGACAGGATTCGACGAGGTGGAACGGCCGAGGCTTGCTTGCTTTTCCCCATGTTCACCGCGGGTTGTGATGCTAAGGAAGAAAGGCAACGAGCTCTCATTTTGGAGAGGTTTGCCGCGGGAGAGATGCATGGAATGACAACGGTGTGTCCCCTCTCGTCCTTGTATTGTTGTTCAAAACTATGATGCAACCGCTAACACTATGCAGATACATAGATCACGTCGATTGATGGAGAAGGTATGGGAAACTGGGCAGCCCTGGGAGACAGTGTTGAGTACGGAGTTCATCGGTTAACCCGGCGGGAAGGAAAGATGGGAGGCCCGGCGTACAAGAATCAGCGCAAGCTTTGCTTTCCCTACACTCGGCTTCTGACCAATTGCGGAATATCTGCTTATGATCTTATTTATGACTTTTTCAAGACACTGTCTCATTATAAATGGGAATATGGGAGGATTGACTCGAATAGATGCTATTATGGAAATGACCACGCGAGGCTTGTCGTAAACAAAACCGGCCCCGCTTTCTGGCCCAGCAAGGTATTATATGTACTTGCAGAAGTGTCTAACAATAGAAAACGTTCAGGTCTTGACCTCCAAGGTACTTACTTCAGAACGGGTGTTCTCATCCGACGCTTTGGTGGGCCCATCGGCTGTGCTGAGCACGACATATGTTTGTCCCGAAGGCGGAGGCTGGCCAGTTTGGGAGTAGTCAGCGCCAGGTCGCCCTCGGCGAACCCCGTGATGAACTGCGCAGCCAACGAGAAAACAGTGTATAAGTCCAAAGGCGTATCATACGGTTTTGGAAAAGGGAAGTCGTCGTTTCTGGGCAGGGCGGAGCGGATGTAAGCTGCGTGCAGCGCCTTGACAGTTATGATGGAGCCGGCGGTGGCGGCTGCGGCAGCTAGGTAGGCGGAGACGCCGAAGTCTTCAAGGATCGTGGCCAGGAAGGGGAAGGAGGAGGCTGGGATGCAGGGGAAGCGCTATCTGGCTTCGTTTACGGCGCCGGGGCCAGTCGAGAGGAAGGTGACGTAGGAAGCTTCGTCGCGGGCGATTTCTTGGAGGTTGGTGTAGAAATCCCGATGGAATGAATGTCGAGATCGGCAAGTAGCCATGCCATGATGCCCGTGTCGAGAGTCACGAGGAGGACTTCGACCCCAGTTGCGTTGGCCGTGACTTCGTCGTCCACGGGCCCGTGAAACTTGAACCATCTCAGGTTGTCGCCGCTTCCCCTGACGACTTTTTGGATATTGCTCGATGAGGCGGTGCTCATTATGTAAGGCACCTTGAGCTCGGCGCATGCAGGTGCTGTAACGGTTCCTTGTCGGGGTGGTATACTGACTGCACACCCACAGGGGCTTGTAGAACCGGTGTTTCTAGTTATAATGGCCAGTAAGGCGTATACTATCTGGCACCGTCTGCTTCGAGTTGCTTAGCGCAACTTTTGCATAAATTTAGAGCAACTCGAGTTTCAACCCCCTAAGGCTCATAAATGTGCACGAACAGGTTTCCGAGAGTTGTTATTTGACATGAGGGAAATCAATGATGCCCGTATTCATGGGGAAACATGGAACTTGAACTTCCTCAGCTTTGGGGGTTCTAAGGACGATTCAATCCAGGACAATTATACGACCACATTAACAACGCGTATCTTGTTCACTTTGCAATCATTCTACAACCGCACACAAAATAGAGAGACGACATTGTTCTGTCGTATTCGTAACGGCAATTCGCATGGCGACGCAGCCGCCGGGTAATAAAACCCCGGACTCTAATGTAAAGTGCTTGAATCAGTAGATATTTTAGTTTATATAAAGCACTTAGCTATGGCCCTTCCTTATAACCACTAGATGAAGACTAGTTTAAAATTAAATAATTTTCTCGAAAGACGGGGCCCTTCTAAAAGGAAAGCTCATTTAAGAATACCTAATTATATCCTCGGGATGTTAAAGCAGGTATATATTACATATAATAATTTATGAATGGAATGCTACTGTGAGCTTTGTCGAGCAAAGCAAAATGAAGCTCCATACACCGAAGGTGCGAAATGCGGTTAGTGCAGTATAGAGTTCTAATATATATGCAATTAAAACCAATTTTGTTCAATCACGAAGAGAGCCCGTACACCACTAGGCATCGTTAGATGCCCTCATAGCTCAGTGGTAGAGCGCGTCACTAGTAATGACGAGGTCGTCAGTTCAATTCTGGCTGAGGGCATATATCTTTCACCAATTCATTTTTGGATCTTGGCTGCACCAGAGTTATTATTAGACTTTCTTCGGCTGATCTTTCTGCTTACTTGCCAATTGATATTAGTTTTTTATACCGTAGTCGCTGGTTCGTCCTGTTAATCACGGGATTTTGCGTTATACCAGATTGCATATGCCGACAGTGTCTATAGACAATTCAACACCCAGATCTCAAAGCTGACAGCCGCATAGTTGCCCCTGAGTTTTATGAATGAATTGATTCCTCAATTCTTAGATGCACTGGACAAGACGCCTATCATTCTGGGGGTATAATACAAACTCCCCTGCAAAACAATAAGATCATCGTCGTCTTTGTCCTGTAAACCACCAAGAACCAAAGTACTCTCAAAATTATTATACATGATGTGTGCGCGCGCATTCACACAACACCACCCGCATTAGAAGCTTCAAGCCGTGCAACCAATTTCTTGATACTAGTGTACTCCTCCGCCTTGACACCGTCCTTGCCACCCAAGTCCGGCCCAACCTCGAACACGGTAACAACGGAATCGATGCCGCCCACCGCGACCCGCTTACCCTCGCTGGGTTCCCATGCCACCTTGTTGAGACTCTTGCTCAGCAGCTGTCGACCTTCCTTCCGCGCCGTGGGGCTTATCTTCGCAACGGGGATCTCCGTTTCGACGCTCAGGTCCCAAATCTCCATAGAGCCGGCACCGTCGACGAGGGCGAAGACTCCGGGTCGCACGGGAGACCATGCCGCGTCGTAGACCACATCTTCACGGGCGAGGTCTAGCAACGGCGCTACGGAGGTGCCGGTAGCGTCGACGATAGTGGATGTCGCGGCGGGCGCGCGCACTTTCCACAGTTTGACAGACCAGTCGAGGGAAGCGGACAACACGAGGTCGCCCAGATCCACTGGGCCCCGCGGCGGGTGGTAGGCGACTGACATTACCGGTGCGGCGTGACCCTTGTAACTAACACGGGAGTCGATACCTGCTTTGGCGCCGGCGCGGTCGTAGCGATGGCATGGGTAAATGGGTCCCTCCTCAGTGCCAATAAGGAAATATGTCGGGTCTGCCTGAGGAAACGCCATGGTTGTAGGTGCAACATCCTCAAATTTGCTTGGGGGTGGGCTGGTAAGAGTCAGAGATTCTTGGGGTTGAGACAGCATGTCAACGGACCAGACACATAGAGCGCCGTCTGTCGAGACCGAGATAATGTTATTTGCATTTTGTGTTCCGACAATGTCGACGGAGTAAACGGGGTGAGAGTGGCCCGAGCCTGTGAGCGGCGTCTTCTGGACCGGAGCAGATCTTGCCCGTGTGTCCCATAGCAGTACCTGGCCAGAGTATGTACCACCAATTATGAGATTTGGGTGGAAAGGGGAGAACTTTGCCGTCAAGATGTCAGATTGGGCGTGGAAAATGAACTCAGGCCGATCCTGCAGATGCGAATTCCAGACCTGAACGATGCCATCGGGATCGTGAGGCGCAGATGGATTCTTGGTATATGATGCAAGCAATAGCTCTGGGAATTTGGGTGAAAAGTCGATGCTGCTGACCATGCGCTTCTTGGACCAACGTTCGTCGTAGAACTGGACGACCTCCTTGACTCGCCGCCGGCCCTTGCCTGCTGTGTTTCCAGCTTGGTCCTCAACATCGTCAACATCGTTAATTTGCAGTGAATAGTCGGTCAAGACATCATACGACTGGTCCAGGGCGCGCTCAATGACTTTGGTCGACCGCTCAACGAAGTCGAGGAACTCATCCGAGGCCGTCACGGCCTTAAGCTCCTCGGCCGTCAGGGTCCGCGCTGGGAAGTTGGCGTTGGCAACCGAACTCTCTGGAAGCACGCCATCAATAACCAGCTCCTTCGTTGCTTTCAGCTCTTCTTCGATTTCTTTCCGTAATTTCAGCCGTAGATCTTCCTCTCGCTCCCGTGCTCTCCTGCTCAACCGCTTGTTCGGTGTTGATGTTACGCCGGAAAGGTCATCTTCGTCTGGGAGTTCTGAAATCGCACGAGGTCTGGTACTTGGGCCCGTCCACTCATCAGTCGTTTGCACTCCCTTGCTGTAAGAAAATATCTCCTTTACGGGCGACGGCGGGCATTCGTATACCGTTTGGAGTGGTACCGTCGTCAAGACCTGTGGTTGCGAAGGCGGAGATGCTTGAGCAGGCTGTTGTCCATTCGCTTGGGATGCAAAATCCGAGAATTTTGTGCTTAATTCCCCTGCACTCAAGACACTATTCGGTCGGCTTCCTCGCTGTGCTGGTGATGCGCTCCCAAAGGTAGAGCCCGGTCTGCTTTCTCCCACAAGCTTATTGATCAGGTTTTCGATATCCGTTTTGTCGCCTCGCCCGGGCGTCGGGTGAACCAGCTTTGGAGCATATAGGTCAGCTTCTTATAAAATCTGCTGCGGCATGGCATTACATGTGAAAAGACATCAACACATACTTCGGGGTGGCTGCCGGAGCCAGTCCTACCAGCAGCGGCTTGATTGGCCCTGTTTTCCCTCCTGGCCTTCAGCTCTGCGAGCTTCGCCTTCTTCGCATTGATCTCCTGCTGTCGTTGTTGCATATTGTCTACTACAACGACCCATTCCGGGTCGATTCGTCAGGGGATGGAATGCCGGCTGCGAGCGTATTACAGTGACTCCGAGACCAGGGAATATCGGTTTCTATCGTTATGGTGGGGTGGGGGGCTCGGTGATGTAGGAATTCGTGATATGGCAAGGTTACGTAGGCTCACTTGAAGATGCTAAACAAGTCAAGTCGACAATGAGGTCCATTCCAGCAATTGCGCTGCGCGTGCCGTCCCTGACCCTGATGCAGCAGTCGCGCTGCCGCTAGAACAAAGCCGTACAGCTGCCAGCTGCTTGAGCCTGGGCCTAGGGATTGGGTCTCTTATTGGTAGCGGCTAGCGGCTAAAAATCGGACCTGGCCTTGTTCCAGCTCGGAGCTCTGATAGAGAGCGCCTGGCTGCTGCTAGGCTCTGGCCTCTTCAAGCTTGCTTGCCCGGCTGTAAAATTCCCTTGCGAAATTTCCCGACCTTCGTCTTAGACTAAATCTTCAAAGAGTCGTATCACGTATCGCCCCATTCCTTCGACAACACCCAGCGAAAGGGCCAATTGGGAATCTATTTCCTGTCTGCGCACTGCGAAGCGACCGCTCTTCACTATCCAAAGGCAGTCGCGCGACTAAACCGGCCCAATGTCTGCCACTTCGGGAGTCAACGTACGTGACACTCGTCTTGTTTTGCCCCGAAAACCTCGCAAATCGCTCCCAATCCTGCCCAGCCTCTGGCGGCGCATTCACGGCCCAACGTACTATATTTCAGTGGAAATCATGGCTAATGAAATGCAATATAGGTGCTCCGGTACTCGGCACTCGCATTTGGCGTTTTCTACGGTTTCTCCCACCAGCGAACCATTACCTCCACGCAAAAGGCCGCCGCTGCACAGAAGGAATACGAGCACAAGAAGCAATTAATAGAGCAGGCGAGAGCCAAGTACGCCGAATCGAAGAACCCGACTCCCAAGTCTGCCGAGCAGAGTGGACGTATGTTTTGTCCCTAGAAACGCCTGGAGAAGCAGTGCTAGCTTTGGAAGAAGGGATACTAACAGTTACACAGTAAACCAAGACCCCATGGACCCGAATTTCGATCTCGAAGCCTACTTCAACGCTCTGATTGCGCAGAAGCCGTAAATCTCCCAGTCTTCGATATGGATGTAATATGAAGGGAACGCAATCCTGAATAGACTTGTGAGGAGATAACAGGACAGGGGTGGACGAGCCTGCATCGACTGCCACGGGGGCTCTACCATCTACAATGAATCATGATGGACTGTGCCTGCTCGGGGCATAAACCGGGGGTGTATGATTGCGACGCTCTCAAAAATAACCTCATAGATTTCCTTGGGTTCCTCATGTACATGTGTACCAATACGCAAAACTACCTAGACTTGGGTGGCTGAATCCGACGATGACACTCCTGGTTCTTCTGGTCTTCAACCAACGTATCTCATCTCCTGTGATAACTTGAGGGGTCACTCTGCCACGTTCTACTCAAGCTGGGCACGTTGCTTTGAACCTACTAATCACCCGTTGCGGGAGTTTAGGGCAGTCTGGAAATTGCCATGATGCACCGTTTCAGTATGGTTCAGCATGATCTGAAATAAGGTGGGATATGATAATGTCAAACCTCTCTAACTGTGCACTCACTTCGCTGGGCAACACACTACTCTCCTACGTCATATGGCCCTTGTAATGGAAATATTTATATCATGTCTTGTCCTCATTATTCGTAGTCATAGTAAGCCTCGGAAAGCAGGATCCCTACATTCAACCTTTACAACCTACGGAACAGTATACATGTTTATGACCACCTCTTCGACTTACATCCTCCGTTTCGGTTATCCGTCATATTGCAGATTTATGCGATGTCCATTTGGGTGCTGGGCATCGTCGAGTTGACAAAAGCCTTTCACTAGCCTCAGATAGACCTGTCATTTCAAGCGGCTCATATTCACTCGTACAACCTGATAATAAAATTGGTCTGATTACGGATATCACAACAGAACTCCATCGTAAAAAATTCACCATACCCCCACAAGCAGTAAACGAAAGGGTTGAGTGTTCACACGTGATATCAATTCTTGTATTACCATTTGCAAATATCTTCTCGCGGTGTTGATGGTGTGAACGGTGATACAGATTTGAAATTATATTCAGAAGATGCCGCTTGGGGGTGGACCATTTACGTTCTGCCCCTGTTTCTTCATACATACCGAGTCGGCACATCTCACGAACCTTCTCGATACCCATAATGAAATTCCTTCATATTGAGGACACATTTTTACGAAAAACTGAAGCTGCATAATGATGCGATTCCATCTGCCTACCAATATAATGTGATCGACGATGGAAGAAGCCCAATATACTGCGAAAAGATGGGGTCTAGGCTACCCCCGCGTGATGCCAAATTCCACGGCTCCGTGCAGTCCAGTGCGGATGGCCTTCATAACTTCGGGGGCCTCCGAAGAAATCCGGGTTGGTTCAGCGATGGCGAGATGATATGCGTGCTCGAGGACATAGCCGAAGATCTATGATGAGTTGACGGCTGTCATAGGTTGAACGTGGAGCTGAGAGCAGAGAAGAGGAAGGAGGGTGAGGAGGAATGGTTATTTGATAATTACGACATAGTTGATAATCTATCGGTCTTTACTCTCTATAGACTCCCTCGAAAGAGAGGCCAAAGACACGAGTTCTAACAACGATTGTACTAGATGAGCTAGTATCATGATTAACAAGAGACACAACGGAAAGTACCTATACGCAATAACAGCACCATCTTCGTGCACACGAATCTTCAATTGGACAAAATAAGCAAATTGGCAGATATGCTACAAACTTAGAAGACTCTGGATATACCCCCTGAAGCTAGTCTGTGGCAAACTCTCCATGTTACTACCTAAGTCTCAACCGTTTCTTATTACTTCGGCACCAATTTTATGGCTCTGCGATTTTAAGCTAAAATGATAACTATATCAATATTTACATTGATGGACATAATGTTCACTATTCAGCTCAAGATTTCACTTGCCTGATCACTGACGTATTTTGCAATCAGCTGATAGGCTACCTGAAACAAGTGCAAACACTACCACCCAGGCACCCATGGCAGCCTGGAGATCTCGACTGCCTGTCATTGAGTTTCTTGGAAGATGAAACTGTGTTTGAGTGTAAATAAAAGGATCAGCTCTACAACCAAAGTTGAGGGGACTGCAAAGCACCATCAGTTATTACATCTAAATTTTACTACACACACGCAGTCCTACACTGAAGAGCAGGACACCTTGGGGCGACGATGGTTTAGCGTTGAAACTCAGGGGTTTCCGATGAATCGATTTCTACAATATCAACTCATTCTTCTGTGACGACGTTGGAGAGAATTGCTGTGGGTCAATGAAAGCAATATGTTGTATCTCACCACAATCCACCTCCTTTCCTCCCAGATTGACAAATATCAGAATAAACCAGCATTTTATACAGCAGTTCAAAAAAGATGGAAAATCGTCATCTGATCATCGTGGACTACAAGGGCGGCACGTACCACATTACCCAGTACGGCCAGTGGGACGGCTACCCAGAAGCACAGGCGGCTCGAGTCTTGTGGTTCCTGCGCAACAAGGACGACACCGAAGCCGTCAAAGAAAGCTCTCTACTCCAACAGTGTACACGTACGTTCCAGACGAACACAATACCCGCAAGCAAGGTGACCTAATCCCCCCTTCCCTGAGCTGTGATATCAGCGCCGGTATCTTGGGACTCGTCGCCAAAACCACCGAGCCCATTCCCGTGATCGGCGAACTGGAGTTCATCTTCAGCGTTGGGGCTGTGTGAATGGTCATATGTCGTAGACCTAGATGAGATCAGCTTGGAGACTTACAAGACTGCATACTTGGGTATGCATGGGTATAAGACGGTGCCCAGTGACAGGTTCAAAGAGCTTTTTGCGTCGAATGAAGATCTTGATGAGAGACCCAACGGCATCGGACGTAGTAAGGCTTTACCGGTCATGGTCAGCAAGTTTTCGCTGGAAAGTCTGCCTCGTGATAAAAGGGATGGCATTAAGAGCGACAAGAAAGGTTATTCAGAGGCAACCGGCATTGGCTGTCCCCGAAGTGACAGGAGCTCGTCGCTTGGTGGTCGTGAGATAATAGTTCATCTGTGAAATGTAATGGGCATGGATTAAAGAAGCTGATCAGGACCTAAAGACACGCCTAGACCACAATGTAGAGCTGCTCACTCAGAGTAGAATATTCCACATGTGACCCACTTAATACCTTCTAATACTTCAGTACTACAAGCTTAGGTGAGCGCGTAACTTTGACCATAAATACGGATTGCATTGGTTGATCCCAATGGCCGTTGGGTCAGCTCACAGATCACATAGTATTTGAGAAGGACAAACCAAATTAAAATAGATGTCTATAAATGTCTGTTAACGTTACCGGTGAGGTGGGCCCTGTTCCATGATATTGGTATCAGAAGCTTGATGTCCTTCGAATAGGGCCTTGGCATCCGAGGAAATATGACCAATTCCACAGGAGCGCCGTCTTCTGGCCGACCTGGTTTCGTCTGAGTGGTAGACGAACCCTCTATTCGGCCTCCAATGGATATTCATATACATAGGCCTTGGTACTGAGCTGCAAAATTGTGGAAAGCTTCAAGGTCGGTAGGTTCAGCCCGAGCATAGAGAATCCTATAATAGAACCTGCCAGCCCGCTTGTCTGTTGTAGGAGTTAGCTTTGCGTCCGCAGTCTTTCAAGATTGATAATTGCCACAGCCTGGCCAGTCAAGTTGAGCAACATAAAACAATATATGGATATAGAAGTTGTTGAGCGATTGACCAGCTTGATGTAGTTGTGAGCAATTCTGAAACAACTAATCGGAATAAACGGCTGGCAGAACCAAGAACTTGATTGGCCTGCTTGACGGTCTTGGCCCCCACCTACCCCTACTGCCAACTACTGGACCCCTGCAACCCGAACTTCTGTGACGCGCGGAGCATCTGAAAGCTCCAGCTGTCCTCAAAGTGCATGCGTTCGAAAATTGGGCTTCAAGTAACTCCAACCAAGGCCTTGCTGTTTTCATGAACCACCCTCCCGACAGCAATTCCGACAACGAGGGAGCAACAGCGACAATGGTGGTCGCAACCGACCCTCATTCTTCAAACCCGGTGGAGGCTTTTGCCAACCTGGGCAAGAGTAAGAGCACCAAGACCATATTGAAAGTCGTCATTCTCTGCTTCATCGCAGGCGCGGCAGTAGCTAGTCGTCTTTTCTCCGTCATTCGTGAGTCGCCCCAGACCAAACTTCACGGCGCATATCGGCAGCTTGGGGTCTCCCGAATCCCTTGCACATGTCTGCCTCCGATTCAATCGGGGCCTTGATGCTGCCCTGTGTCATTGTGAAGCTCCAATGCTAACCACCTCAACTCCAGGTTTCGAGTCCATCATCCACGAATGTCAGTAGCTTAGAACCAGAGCTCTCCTACCCGCTACCGGTTCCGTCACTAACACTCGAGACAGTTGACCCATGGTTCAACTTCAGGGCAACCAAATACTTGGTAGCAAATGGCTTCTACGATTTCTGGGACTGGTTTGACGACCGAACATGGCATCCATTGGGACGAGTGACTGGAGGTACCCTGTACCCGGGCCTGATGGTTACCAGCGGTGTCATCTATCATCTTCTCCGTGCCCTGACTGTGCCGGTCGACATCAGGAACATTTGTGTCCTTCTCGCACCAGCCTGCTCCGGCTTGACGGCGTTTGCAGCTTACCTCCTGACAAATGAGATGACCACATCCTCCTCGGCTGGATTGCTGGCTGCCGTCTTCATGGGAATCACGCCCGGCTACATTTCGAGATCCGTTGCTGGTTCGTACGATAACGAAGCCATCGCCATCTTCCTCCTCGTCTTCACCTTTTACCTGTGGATCAAGGCGCTGAAGCTCGGATCCGTCCTCTGGGGTGCCCTCTGTGCCCTTTTCTACGGTTACATGGTGTCCTCGTGGGGTGGATATGCCTTCATTACGAACCTGCTGCCTCTCCATGCTTTGGTTCTCATCTGTATGGGCAGGTACAGCACCAGGCTCTATGTTTCATATACCACTTGGTACGCGCTGGGCACGATTGCCAGCATGCAGATTCCTTTTGTGGGTTTCTTGCCTGTTCGCACCAGTGAGCACATGCCAGCTTTGGGTAGGTCATTTGCATCATGAGCAGCATAAGAGTCAGCAACTAACCGAACGTCAGGCGTCTTTGGATTCCTCCAGTTGGTGGCGTTCATCGTCTATATCCGTGCGGCGCTACCCAGTCAGCAGCAGTTTAAGAACTTTCTGATCATCGTTGCGGGCGGCGTGTTCGGTATCTCACTCGTCACCCTGGTTGGTTTGACATCAGCAGGATACATTGCACCCTGGTCCGGCCGATTCTACTCTCTGTGGGATACCGGCTATGCCAAGATCCACATTCCCATCATTGCCTCGGTGTCTGAGCATCAGCCCACGGCCTGGCCTGCCTTTTTCTTCGACCTGAACATGTTGATCTGGCTCTTCCCAGCTGGCGTCTACCTGTGCTTCCAAAAGCTGGAGGATGAACATGTCTTCATTGTGGTCTACTCTGTCTTTGGCACCTATTTCGCTGGTGTCATGGTACGACTGATGCTGACGCTGACCCCTGTGGTCTGTGTCGCTGCTGCCATGTCCGCATCCCAGCTTTTGAACACGTATCTCCATGTCAAGTCTCCAAAACCCGAAACAGCTGAGGCAGAGGAGAGCACAGACAAGAAGGCTTCCAAGCATGCGGGGTCGCTGCGCAGTACCAGAAAGCCTCTGGTCGGTATCTACAGCTTTATGTCCAAGGTTTCCGTTTCAGCAGCCATGACCGGCTACCTCCTGCTCTTTGTTCTTCACTGCACGTGGGTCACTTCCAACGCATACTCGTCCCCATCCGTGGTGCTGGCAAGCAGAATGCCGGATGGCAGCCAGCATATCATCGATGATTACCGTGAGGCTTACCAATGGCTTCGACAAAACACCAAGGAGGATGCCAAGATCATGTCATGGTGGGATTACGGCTACCAGATTGGCGGTATGGCTGATCGACCTACCCTGGTTGACAACAACACGTGGAACAACACCCACATCGCGACCGTTGGCAAGGCGATGAGCTCTCGTGAAGAGGTCAGCTACCCAATCATGCGCCAGCATGAGGTCGATTACGTCTTGGTTGTCTTCGGAGGTCTTCTCGGATACTCTGGAGACGATATCAACAAGTTTCTGTGGATGGTCAGAATCGCCGAAGGTATCTGGCCCGATGAGGTCAAGGAACGCGACTTCTTCACCCCTCGTGGCGAGTACCGCATCGACGGCGAAGCTACTGAGACCATGAAGAACAGCTTGATGTAAGTGTATCGCTGCTAATATCGTAAAACATCACTAACAACTACCAGGTACAAGATGTCGTACTACAACTACCAGTCTCTCTTCCCACCCGGCCAGGCTCAGGATCGCGTCCGAGGTGCGCGTCTCCCTGATGTCGGCCCGACTCTCAACACGCTGGACGAGGCCTTTACCAGTGAAAACTGGATCATCCGCATCTACAAGGTCAAGGATCTCGACAATATTGGTCGAGACCATGCCGCAGCAGCATCATTTGACAGAGGCCATAAAAAGAAGAAGGCCATCAAGAAGCGAGGTGCGAGAACCCTGAGAGTAGACTAGATCTTCCAGGCTGTTGCTTCGTAGAGGCTTGATCACACATAGAGGCTTGGGTTCGTCTCTACGATGAAGTCCCACAATCTCGTAAGGATGGGCTGAAAAATAGCCTACCAGGATGACGGGCGGGCAGGCAGGCATTGTACGTGTAACAAAAACGGACCAAATATATTTTGTTAACTGATGAGCTCGACTCTCTGGACTGTACTGATGGAGTGAAGATATGCAAAAGTGTAACGTGCTGGGTGAGGTCCTTGTGAACGAGCAGCGAGGTCTTGGTGGTGAACGGTTGGTGGACCATGGGTGAGATCGAAGATTATACAACCGTACATTTTCAATTGTGTGAACGAGGCATTACTCAATTGATTCTGAGAGCATCAAGCATTATCTAATTGGTTTTTAGTTGAGCATAGTCTGGTCTCAAGTCACCATTCCTCGCAACCATCACAACTTGCCTTCCCCAGCACCTCCCCCATGATTCTTCTATTTTGTTGGCAACCAGAAGAAATAACATAAAGCTACACCCGAATCGCCCAGCTCATTCTTTGCCCTTTCTCAATACCTGCAATTGGGCTGTGCGAAGCTTTTATTTTCATTTCCTCTACCAGCAGCAGTGTCACAACTGAGCCTTTGAGTTAGCCAACCTGTCGCGACCATCCCCGTCGCTCCTTCCTCACTGGCACATATCTCTAGATTGCAAGATATCACAGTGTTGGAAGTGGCGGTGATGTGGAGATCCAGAAAAGGTCGTAGTGGCAGCGAGTAAGTCTTCCGTTTATACTTTACCTGCCGTTGATTTTACAATGTCAATCACCGCACTCCCATCACCTCATGTCGCGGAAAGTGCGACTCTGTTCACTTCCTTCTGATCCTGGGCATCTCCTTGTCAAACCATATTGATAGCTATCATCTGGCAAGCAACGACAGAGAGATTGGTATACTCAAATCTGTACATCTCACTGACAACTCACCAGGAGCTCCAGCACGCTCTCAGCCCGGCCGTTAGTTGGCAGCAGTGAAACATATCTCCCGCAGTATGCGATGTATGTCACGACGACCAAGTCAGGAAAACCTGCGCTGGTCAGGAAGAAGCATGATCCGCTATTACAAGACTATGGCTTCGACTTGATGGGACAGGGTTTGGGCCTTCCGTCTCGAATGGACTTTGATCGACGTGCTCGTCCCAATACTGCCTCTAGAAGCCCGTCGCTCGTCTCAACTCCGATCAGAGCTTCTCATCGTCGGATCGAGCCTTCATCAAAACGAGATACCGAGTATGACTACTACGGGCTTCCTCGCTCAATCCTCAAGGCCAGACACAATAGTCGCAGCCGGTCCCGCTCCGCGTCCGCGGTCGGGAAGTTATTTGGTCGTAAGGCTAATGAATACGAGCTGGAGCCCGAGCCTGAGCCTGAGGAGTCCCCAGCGACTGTTGTCAAGATCAAACGAAGCAATGGTTGCAGTTCCCGAGCAAAGCCTAATGGACACGACCAGCTCGAACGGAGGGAGACCATTGAGCTTAAGGATGATAGGGATTCCGTGATTGAGCTAGAGAAACCAGAGAAACCAGAGAAGCCACACCAGCCTCCGGCACCATACACGCCATTCACCTTTCCTGCACTCTCAATACCCCCGGGCTTTTCGCCACAGCATGCAACGACTATGGCACCGAACGTGGCTCACGCATACCATCAACCAGTGACCTTTCCGACCTTCCCCGGAACTGTAGCTGACCATACTCATTTCGCTACATATCCTCTCAACAATTGGCACAATCAGCAAACTCCATTCACTCCCCCTGCCTCAGTCCATCATCAAAGCTATATTATGCCTCAATCAGCGTCAATGCCCATACTGCCAAACCAGACCCAGCACATGGTACCGTCTATGCCAAAATCCGCCTCGGCTCCCTTTGCTGAGTTTTTATTTCCATCTCCTCCACCCTCTGCTCGCATCGTCTACGTCGGCGATGGAACCACGGCGTCCTATGCCGGAAGCAACACAATTGGAACACAGGAGGCTTTGGATATTCAAGAGCATTACGACACGATTGTCCAGTCTCAGAGCGCTTTTCAAGATGAGGTGAAGGACAACGTCGGGGGTCAGGCAGACAAAAAGTCTAAGCCGAAGAAGCAGAGCAAAGAGAAGGATTCGACGAAGGAGAAACCTCTCAAACACGTGTGTGCTGATTGCGGCAAGACGAGATCCAAAGGGTACCACATGGCACATCCGTTGAAGCCAGGACAGGTTCCCGAGCCGGATTATTGTCGCAGATGCATTGCGAAAGCTCCCGTCACGGACTCTGAAGCGACAGCTAGTGTTGTAAGCCGCAAATTTACCAAGGTAAGTTCTTCCTCTGCTTCATTAATAATGTCGCTGAGTAAATTGACCAAAACCATTCAGGAGGCCCCCACTGTGACTGCCAGCACGGATGAAGATTATCTTGTCTCGAGTGGCCAGTATACTCACGACGATCGCAGACGACGTCGTACTCTTCACAAGAGACCCAGACGTAGTAGCCTCATGAAGACCTTGGTGTCTATGTATTGTGCCCACAGAGGTAACCACAAGAAGGCAAAGTCTCTGTCTACGGCTGAAGAGTCGGAATCTAGAGCGTCATCCCGATTAGGAGGCCCCAAGGTTCATCACAAGGCACCGAATGCGTCTGTTCGGCGCTCTGCTGGCAGTTCTAAAGGGGTTGCTCCTCTTCAGACGGCTTCCCTGGCGAATTTGTCTTCCGCATTGTGCTCCACAGATTCTTGTGTGTCTTCTTCAAAGCTGCTAGAAAGACTAAATGAACTGCGCAAAAGCGAGTCGACGGCATCGCATCTTTCTTCCATGGTGGGGTCGAAGGTCTCGACCTCGTCTTCCAAGAACAGTGATGTCACCCCTGTTTACAGGAAGCCTTCAGTTCGCAATGAGGCATCGGATGTGACGAATCGCTCTGCAGACCACAATCAGACTGATGTTCCTCAACCCATGGGTCATTCTGATCAGCTTGGACAATCGCATTCTGGACAATCGCATTCTGAGCAACTGCCGCGCTCCTCGAACAGCCCGTCTAACCTCAATGAGCCCGTCAACAACAGCATGCTTTCCCATGCTTCATTCAATAACCTCTCGGCGGCCAAGCGCTTCAGTTCTTAGGATGAACGTCGCTCCATGCTCGAGCCGGAGGAACCTACCCCCAGTGATCGCAATAGTGCTTTTGACTTCGTGCCTCCCACGCCTGCTGAATACTATTTTGACAACAACCACGCCTCGCCTCGCGTTAGAACCGACTCATGGGAGAACATACAATCTAGTATCGAGCAAGTTGCCGAAGAGATGGCTGAAGAGGATCTCATGCGTGCCGGTAAACGCTCTGGCCTTTTCGGTGGGTCGTATGGTGGTTCTGCGACCTCGACATTCCCCTTCTCTAGCAATCTGACGCCTAGTCTGATCTCCATAGAATCGTGTGATTCAGGCGAGGATCGCGTTGATGGCAATGATCACTACAAGATGGCGACGGGCGGTGGCTCAGACGTTGATGATAAGGAAATCAACGATTCCAAGGACAAGAGCCCAAGACAACTTGGTAAGTCTTTGATGCTACCGAATGTTGTGACGACAGCCATGACAGAACTGACCGGCAAAACAGAATTTTCGAGCAATGAGGATCGAGCTCATAAGACAAATCTGAGAAATACTCTGTCTGTCTCGCCTTTCAAGCACCATTACAATGCTCGCCAACACGATAATGTACAGAAGTATGACCCCAATAACGCTCATGCAGAATCCATGTACCACTACCATGACAAGACTTCCGACCTTTCAAATCACGCATCTGACTTCCACCCTCCGTCCGAAGGATCCTCCGTCGTAGCACATACCGGACACTCGGCAGACAATGTTGTCTGCCGCAACAGTAGCTGTTGCACTCCGCGGCGCCGTGTGCGACGCTTCGGCATGTACTAAACTCGGAACTGTGAAACCCACTCGACATGCGCGGCTCCTGGCAGGCTACCGTTCTATGCTTGCCCTGGATGGACTCCAATTTGGGCTGCGCTGCGATGATCGAGTACCTCTGAAGGAGAGAGCTAAGCGGAAAACTCTTGCCTTACCATTCACTATTGTTCTATACTTACTGCTTGTTGCACCATTTGCAGAATACTGTCTTGGCTTAGACTCAAAGAGTCGAAGAAAACTAGGAGAACAGGACGGGAATCTCCTTGTTCAGGCCGAGCAATAAAAAAGAAAACAACAAAAAAAAATTTGATTTGCACGAAACTGACTCCGTCCTTGTATACCACCCCACCTCCTTCATCCCCATACCGACATGGAAAAGGAGATCGACAATACAGCAGAAAATAGGCGAGAGCAGAGTTCTAGACTGTCACTTGAGGACAAAAGGATACGATACAATGATCAATTTTGTATCAGTATGGGATATAACAAAAGGGAAAAGAAAGCAAGGTCACTCCTTTCATATCGTCATCAGTTTCGCCCATGGTGACCCATCGGCAGATTTGCATTATCCGGACGATATCGTGGCCCTATCATGAGATTGACTTGTACATAAATGAATTTCATAGCTGTTACCCATCACTAATGCGAAGATTTCTTAACAACTTGGAACTTCTGACATGTACGTTCCGTAGTAGCTGCCCAAGATCACACAAGCATGAGCCTCAATAATATTACATCAGGAGCCATCGACTAGGTCAAGCCTAATCTTATTATCTTCCCAGTTCATCGCAATGCGTGCCATTTAGATCATATTACACTTTCAGCCATTCTAACATGTAGTGTTCCCTCAAACTCAACGCCCTGACTTCTCTGGCTTTCTCGTCTCTCCCTGTTAGCTTTTGCCCCTTTTACAGTCGCAGTATTCCGATAAATAACCCAAGCTTTCTTCCTTCTTCACCTTACTGAATGTCATCCACCGCCCAGACAGTCGGCCCCTTCTTCTCCAAGCTTGCCCTCAACTTCCCAAGCACAGCCCCTCTGCGCTCCTTCCGCTCCTTGACAGCCTTCTTATCTGCCTCACCAAACCCGCTGATCTTCCTGCGCGGCGATGTGAATGCACGTACGGCAAACATGCCACCACCAATGCTGTTCACGGACGCACTCAAGGAGGGGCGCATCATGCTCTGGCGCTGCTGCGACGGCGTGCCCTCGCGCATCGACCGCTCGGGCGAGAATATGACTGACGACCTTTTCTGCGGAGTGGTGAAGGGAGAGCCCTCGCGGCTGCGGTTGCTGGCGTTGAGAGGCGAGCTGAAGCGCAGCTTGCGCATCTGGTTTTCAAGCACGTCAATGTCGCCGCTGCGCTTCTCCACCATGGCTGTCATCTTGGTAATGGTTCGCATGACGGCTTCGATGGTGGGCGTAGGGCCGCCTTTGCCGTTGGCGGCACCGGCCGACACCATCTTGGCTTTGAGTAGCGTGAGGTTTTCCTCAGCTTCGGCGAGGAGCTTGGTGAATCTCGTGAAGTCACGTCGCAGATCGTTTTGCTGCGCCGCCTGCTCGGCCGTGAGAGGTAGCGAGCGGGTGATGAGTGCTTGGTCTGGATCAATACGTGAGTCGATGATTTTCTGCAGGTCGTAACGCTTATTGCGTTCGCGAGCCAGATCGCGCAGGAGATCCTGGGCATCTGCAATCTTGTCCTCAACGTTGGCGACACGGGAACTTTCGAGCTCCTCGACAAGGTTGGACGAAACGATTTCCCCCAGATCCTCCAGTTCTCCGATGGTCCAGTCTTCGGGCGCTGAAAGGTCATCTTTATCCTTGTAGTTTTCCTGGCTGGAACCATCAATGTGCCCTTGGATGAAATTTGCAAGGGAACGGGCGTTCAGTCCCAACGTGTCGATCATGCCATTAATATCGCGATATACGGCCTCCACTTGGGCAGGAATATTATCGCTGGCTGAGGGCGCTGGACCAGTATGTGCCACAAACTCGTCTAACTCAAGAGTCGGCTGGATACCGGCTCTCAACTGGCTCTGTATCTTGTCATCCTCCTCATCAATTAACAGCTGGGTCTCTTCTGCTTCTTTCTTGGCTCTTGCTCTGCGCTGCTGTTCGACTCGAGGGTCCGCAGACGGTGGTACATCTTTCCCAATAATCGGGGGTCCCATTCGACTCTGGGGTCGCTTAGAGGCACCAAGTATTTGAGAAGCCATTCCAGGGGCGCCGAACGGGGCGCTAACAGACCGTGGTGGGTCATGGCCAATGATCCTGGAGAGAATAGCGCCTCGTACCGGACTAGGCGAACGAGGACTGACCGGATTGGGTTGGGGAAATAGGGGCGCATTTCGTCCAACCTCTCCGAACAAACTCTTCCGTTCCTCTGGGCGGGATATTGTGGAGAAGCTTCCGCCGAGACCATCGAAAGAACTCCCGGGTGTGAAGCCAGGCGTCTTATCCTTGCCACCGGCCGGAGGGCTCAGGTCTTTGGCAACATCAACGCCGCTCCCTTCACTTTCAGCATCTGAGCCTTCTTCCTCTCCCTCTTTCCCAGACTCTTCATCCTCATCACTATCGGAGACGGCGGGTAGATCGCTAGGGAAAGAGAAGCCAGTTGACTTTGAAGCGACTGATTCAAAAACAGATTGCGGTTTCGCCTGTGGTTTAGCTTGTGGTTTCGCTGATGTTTGAGCCGACTGAAGAGTAGACAGGGACGGGAAAGTGGCGTTATACGCCTTTTTGTTCTTCATGGGATCCGGGGGTAAGGGAGCGGCATCAGCCGGGCTGGGCTTAGGTTTGGCCGTCTCTCCTGGCAAAGGCGCATTTATAAATTTGGTGTCATAAATCTTCTTGTTCTTCAATGGATCTGGCGGTAGTGGGGCGTCAAGTACAGCCGAGCTGGACTTCAATGCTAACGAGGCAGGAGGCAGCGGAGCATGCGAGGGCGCCTTCCTGGTATCCGGAGAATCTACAGAACAAGACGATGAGGATGACGAGTCTCCAAGTGGAAAAGGAGCCTTACTGGTAGATTCAGGGGGGAGAGGAATGTCCGGAATATCCTTGAGGTCTTTAGGAGTGTCTGCCTCAACTTTCACCTTGTGCGGTTCAGCCGAAGGTGTCGTGGCCGCCGGACTGTCAAATATGCTGCGAGTGCTCTTTTGGAGTAAGCTGAAGATTCCACCGGTCTGAGGCGCAGTCGACGTCGTCTGGGGCATGAACTTTGACGGAGCAGGAGTCGATGTCGGGGTCGTAGATTCGGCGGTAGGAGAAGGTTGGCCGCCCAGACCAAAAAGGCCGGAGCCCGCTGGCTTCGAGTTGTCCAAGGCGCTTGCGAAGCCACTGCCGAACATAGACCTTCCTGTGCCAGAAGGCTCCTCGGGGGCAGCCTCTTCGTCCTTCGCATTGGGATCGGGTTGGAAGCTCGAAGTCAGCTTGAAAGGTTGGGATCCAAAGGGATTTCCAGTGCTAGCGGCGGGCTTCGAAGACGGGAACGAAGTCTTGGTGTCCATTGGTGCATCCGCTTTCTTTGCAGCAAATATACTTGTTCCGCTACTTGCATCGTTAGCACCAAGAGAGGCAAAGCCCCCCTTGTTAGCAAAACCAGCGAAGCCCCCAGCCCCAGGGGCATCGTTGGTTCCCGAGGGGCTACCGAATGCGCCGCCTCCCGTTGTCGGAGTCGCGCTGGCAAATCCACCCTTGTTCGCGAAATTGGCAAATCCACCTCCGGCCGAGCTACCGACTGTGCCACTGCCCGAGCCGGAGCCAGCGTTGGCGAATCCAGACTGACCGAATGCTGATCCTCCCGGTTTCGAACCAGATGCCCATGGCGATGACTTCGTTCCGATCCCTGAAGACTGGCCAAACGCAGGAGTGGGCTGCCCAAACGTAGATGAGCCGAATGATGGCGTACCAAATTTGGGGACTGATGAGGCAGCTCCGCTTCCAAATGTGCTTGACCCGAACGCACCACCGGTGATAGGGGCTGTGGAGGCTGGAGCGCTTCCGAAAGTGCTCGAGCCAAACGCGGCATCACCAGCGCCGAGTGATGAAGGTGGTGTCGAACCCCAGACTGAGGATTTTGAACCGAGTGCTGATGGGCCGCCAAATGCCGGTGTCGTGGTTGTTGCCGGTGCTCCAAATGCCGAACTGCTTGGGGCGCCGAACGCAATTGACTGGGAAGGCTTAGCCTGCGCCGCAGTTGGTGCCGACGCTTGTGCAGCATTTCCTTCAACTGCGGCTAGACCTGGGTAACTTGTCCCTCCTCTAATAGACTCAGAGTATATGATCCACCACACAGCCAACACACCCTCGTCATTTAGGACCCAGTAACCAGGTATGGGCCCGGGCGATTGTTCGATCTCGTCCGTGGGAATGGGTTTGTAGACGGTATCTCGACTTGAAAGGTCAAGGACCGTACCAATGGGCATTGGGGTATCCATGTTATCGCCCATAGGAAGAGTGGCTCTTTTGGAATCATCAGCTAACTCCGTGGTGGTGAAGACATTGGTGATTTTATCTGCGTCGGCCCCTGAGTCGAGAGGTGATTTTGACCGTGTTAGCAGACCAATATCTGGAGTAGCCGTCGACGAGAATATTAAGAGGTCTTGTAAGTTTGGAGGGAAGTCCTTCAGGCGCGCAGCTGTATGATGTGGCACCTTCTCGTTTCCGTAGGGGTCAACAGGATCAGTCAACTTCTGGCATGTGAAAGATTGGCCTTGACGGGTGATCAGGTGATATCTAGACTGAGGTGGTTGTTCTGCGGTCAACATATGGATTGCCAGGAAGACATCATTTTCCAGCCAGAGCAGAAACGAAACTGAGGTGTGGTCAGTAAAGTAGCGGATTCAGGGGCAAGTCCCGACTTACCAAAGTAATTCGCATCCAGCGTGGGTGGTCTCGGGATCTCAGCTTTGACAACACCCTCCGGCGTCATTTGGTATATCGTGCCATCCCCCGATCCAGCGACCAGTTGTTTCCCTCGTGTACTCCACGCCGCGCAGCTGATTTGGCCCTTCAATATTTGGCCACTAGCTCCTGCAACGAAATCCTTGGTTTTCATGTTGGCCATGAGTAGGTTGCCTTTGTCCGTCACTACAGCGCAGTACTCTCCCTTTTCCGGGCTCGGGTTCGGTACCAAAGCTCGCAGGGCCTCGCCGTTTGTAGGAATCTGGAAAGCTGTCTGTGTCGAGCCTTGCAGTAGCGCCTGCACGTCGTAAACGGCCAGTCCTCCACCCTGTTCAGCCGACATGATCAGGTAGTTCTCATCGGCGGTAAAAGCAAGTTGACATATGCGGACGGGCATCGGTATCTTCAGTTGCGGCTCAAACGAGCGGACCTCACTGTCGCCATCTTTTTCAGATGCGAATGCCTTTCGGACTGCTTCGGTCGTGGCTAGAACAATGGCGTCGGGACCGGCAGCTGCGACAAGCCCTTTCCGTGGTGCAATGCTGATCAAAGACGCAGTAGCCGCGGGTGCAGGAGACCATTGGGATGTCAAACGAATTTTGGCGTCGCCGGCCAGAGACAGGAAACCGAGCGCTTCTGTCTGTATAAGCTCCAACGCTGGGCCCTCGGCCATGCCCCCATTTGCACCTCCAGTCCCGGTCGGGGAACCGGTTTTGAATCCAAATCCAAAAGCCATGACTATTGGGGAGCTATCCTCCCATGGAAGGGGTAGACGAGTTCAGAGAGCCAATTCTCGCATCGGCGTGGTGAAGTCTGGAAGTTCAAGTGTATTGAGCGGCTTGGATGGCTGGTTGGGGCAGGCCAGTTTCTGCGAGTGGTCGAGTAAACAAGGTGTTCGTATCGTAAATCGTGTCTCGTAAGCTGAAAGAGGGCCCTGTAGAGGTTGGGTCGTCTTTACCCTCCTGAATCAAGCGTAGTTTCTGTGATGAAGACTTTCGCCTGATCGATTTAAAGCGTCGAAGCCTGGAGCTCTGTGTCTGCAATCGCGACTTGAGCTGGACTTTTTGGTGTACCCCTGTCAATAAAGGGCACGGGCCAGGCACTACTTCTAGCGAGCTGCAACCCGGTCATCCCGACCAATTACAGCTTGCAACACGTCGAGCTCAGGCAGCTTCTCCAGGTCGTCAGCTCTTGCCTGCCTCACGACCTGGGCATCACCAAACGCAGTCGTACTCCATACGTGACGCCATCCAACTATCACCACCACCACTTTGTCCACTCGCATCTCGAGCCCGATTCCGTCCAGGAAGCACTCCACTGTCTTCATAGAAACACTACGACGCACCCGAAGAAGCCACAATGCCAGGCTTCGACTTCTCCAACTACAACCGCAATGCAGCCTTGCATGCGCGAGGCGTCCCGCTGCCCAAGGCGACCAGCACAGGTACCACTATCGTAGGATGTATATTCGACGGAGGTGTTGTCGTGAGTACAGACAAGATTTTACATGTTCATACATCTGCATTCGTACTAAACTCCCTCATCAGATCGCAGCTGATACCCGAGCCACGAGCGGGCCCATCGTCGCCGACAAGAACTGCGAGAAGCTACACTACATCTCGCCCCAGATCTGGTGTGCTGGTGCTGGTACAGCCGCCGACACCGAATTCACCACCGCCCTCATTTCTTCCCAACTTGAATTGCACTCTCTATCTACCGGCCGCAAGCCCCGCGTCGTCACATGCATGACCCTGCTGAAGCAACACCTGTTCCGGTACCAAGGCCACATCGGCGCATACCTGGTCGTTGCCGGCGTCGACCCCACAGGAACCCACCTCTTCACTGTGCACGCGCATGGCAGCACCGATAAGCTTCCTTATGTGACTATGGGTTCGGGTTCATTGGCCGCCATGTCGGTGTTCGAGACGCAATGGAAGCCGGATTGCACCCAGGAGGATGCCATGAAGCTGTGTTCCGAGGCCATCCAGGCTGGTATCTTCAACGACTTGGGCTCCGGTTCGAACGTGGATGTGGCTGTCATCACGGCCGACAAGACGACTTTACACCGCGGCTACGTTAAGCCGAATGAGCGCAGCCAGAAGCTGAAGAATTACAAGTTCAAGCGGGGCACGACAGCCGTGCTCAACGAGAAGATCATTACGAAGGACGAGATTGGCAAATACGTGAGCGTGCAAGAGATGCCCGTGGCGGAGGTGGAAAAGATGGATGTCGATTCTTGAGGGCGCTGAGATGGGCAGGCGGGGAAATGAAATCAGGTCTCCAGAGGTGCACTTGTAACACTAAGGTTGTGCTATAATAGAGGGCGTTTCGTCAGGCGATGAGACACAGCTATTCCCCTATTCTCTGATTGTGGAGATGAGAATGAAGTTACGCGATGACATTTTGACGAGCACGTGTGGCCTTTGAGAACGATGCAAAGGCGATAAGCCAGTGGGATGTTCTTCAGCCCAGCGGGCCTCGTCAATTTTTCCGGTTTTACGATGGCAACCCACAATAGGATACGGCGTGTAGAAAGAAAATAAGTAACTATTCAAGCAGTGTTCAAGAGCTTATCCTCCTTTAAATTGACGTCATCACAAAAGGAGTTGGCCTAAGCCATACGAGGGTCATAATGCCATGATAGCTGAGACCTCACTCATTATACCGTCATTACATTACGATACTCTGTATTGGTATAAGCTCTGAAAGCATATTTAAGGAATTCACCACTTTCGTTGGTAACACAGCTTCCACAAAAAGTGGCAACAACCACCAAGATCTGACGAAAAAGGAAAAAGAAAAAGGTATCATTTCGAAAAATATAAACACAAACCGCCGATGCAACTACTATGTACGCCAATGTTCTCTAAAGTTTCAACTCGAGCTGAACTCACCCGTGGAGACAGATCTAAAATGTTTCTTCTGGCCTGTCTAGGTAGCTTCAGCAACGACCATGATAATAGCCTGACTGTTGCCGGAGGGGAGATCGGCGTGAAAGTTGGCATCGACAATATACTGTTTCAAATATCGTCAGTCAAAAAGGATACAGAAACAGGAGAGGAGACGAAGAGACGAAGACAAGGGGAAGAGACTTACCAGATTATCCATGCCGTGAACCTTGGCATTGGTGTCCACAGCCGACGTTGTACTACCTCCCCCAATAACAGCAGACCCAACCCAATGGTTCCCCGACGTATAGCTCTTGGCCATCGCGGTGACGATGGTGAAATTCACGAGCTCCAACGCAATACGGTTCGCAATCACACTAGCCTTTTCTTCAACGACTCCTGATCGCCCTGGGTCTGCAGGTACGGCTCCTGCTCGAGCGTCGTCGTGCCATTGCTATCAATACAAAGATTGTAGACGAGGCCAGACCGTAGATGAGGTACGCCTTGATACCGAAGACACCCGTATCGCTGGCGCTGCAGGACCGCTGTAGTACCGTATCACGCCGTCGCTGGCCACGTTGGACATCCAGAAGATCAGCATGCGCATGCCCTGCATTAGGATGCCCGACTCCTGGTTGTACAGGTTGGTGTTGGCGGTGAAGATGGCATGGTCCTTCATCCCCTGGCCGGCGGGGAGGTCGAGCCATTCGTTCTCAGAGGTAAGGGTGATACCTGTTGTTACCATTCTGGACAGTTTAGGACTGGGTAGCAGGTCCGATACCCGAGTTGAACAGCATGCCGGGGGTGATCCATGCCCAGGCTGCAAGGACGACTTTGCCTACCGCAGCCAAGCTGATGATCTAACTTCCGGTCTCGGTCTCGACATCGATACCTTGCTGCTTCCGGTACAGACAACACGGAGGGCCTTGGTGCTCAAGCGGATGGTGAACTCGTCTGACTACCCTGCGATTGGGAGATAAGTGCGGATCGGACCAGCACGCATCTGGTTCTCGATATCCCAGTTCGGGTAGCTGTACACCTGGGTCTTCTCGTCTAGCTGATCGACCTGGTCGCCCGACGCCCAACCCAGGCCATCAAGGAAATAACAAAAATACCATAGAAGGCTTGGTCGTACCGCTGGCCGTCTGCCGAGTTAAACCGAGCGCACTCTCTCGGCTGCTGGAGCGATGCGGTTCCACTCTCACGCCGTGGGCCACTTGTCGTCGAACTCCGACGCTAAAGGATGCACGTAGACCATGTAGTTGAATGAGCCTGCTCCTCCCAGGACACAAGCAGAGGTCCCTTCCGCGTTGGCGCATGCGTATTTGCTCGCCAGGCTGTTGGAGCCGAGGGCCGAGGCGAGTGCCGGGACACAGATGGGAGTCGGGGTATCGTTCCAGCTGAGGGTGTTGGTGGCGCCCGTTGATACAGTATTGGCGGTGCCTCGCTTGAGTAGGACGTTCTTGTTAGTCTCGGCTACTCTGGTCGCGGCGATGATGCCGGCTGGGCCACTTCCGAATACTATATAGTCATACGTGCTTTTGGAAGCCGCAGGGGATGGAAACACAGCCCGTGGGTATGGCAGTGGCGCCTTCCTCTTAATGCGTAAATTTCCTCTATCAGATCTATCAACACTTGGTCCTTGTGATCAAGACCCCGTCCAAGATCAAGCCGACACCTCCCTTGACCCATGATAGCTCACGAGAAACAAACAAATGCCAAGTAGCAAAGATCAGCGATTCCCTAGCAAACAACACAATATTTTAACAAAGCCACTCTTATGAAGCGTCTCACAGGTAGCCAGACTAGGCTTGAAATGGGGTCACATGTGGAGCCTGTCACTCCCGACAATGAGCTTAAGATAACAACGACAAGGAACTATGCCCTTACTTCCACCATCTGCGCCACTGATAGGAAAGCTGGGAATATCCCCGTGGAGGTCGAGCTGGAACACTGACAGAACTTCAAGAAACACTTTACGAGAAACGGAGGGAAGACGATAGTCCGAGTGTTATAGGGGTCTCGTATATATAGCGAAGCCGACACAACGGTGCCCAGCCTTATTTATTTAGTTATAGGACCACTATGGCCGGTATCAAAGCCCCATACATTACAACTTTAGCATTATAATGTCGGCGTGATCACCGAGATCGCCATAGTTACCAGTCATTGGATATGGAGTAGCAGAGAGAAATGCGAGATTGATTGCTCAGATTTCTAAGCGATGGCAATATCACGTGTTACCATGACTCTGGAACGGCGTGCCTGGCTTGCTGTGCCTATTTCAATGTCTAATTTAGGTAATTTCCAGTCTAACTTGCTTCCACTCGTTTCTTGTTCGCTATGGGGACTGCAGAGCATCTCGCCATAGCGAGGCTTGTGGTACCCCTCGATGACTGCTGGTTTCTGCTGGACGCATCAGTCCCTTTCATTAGTTAGCTACCCCTTGCTGTCGTATAGCTTCGCAAATATTAGCCCCGCTATCACAGCTTTAGCGGGCTGGTAATGCCTAGTTAAATGGTTTAAGGGTATAAGTCTCTGGATCTCTTGTTTCTTGCGATTTCCAAATTTCTAAGCAGCATACCATATCTACTGTATCCCGAGTACCTAACCGCCTTGATTTCTTCTTAGCTCCATTTTGATCCCCGGATAATCCACAAGTCTGCCTCCTCGGGGATCTCAACTCTCATTTCTGTTAAGAAGAGCATGACTTACACGCACAACACTACCATTACGGCCACCACCATGAGCACCAGCGTTGAGCCATCAACCTCACGACCCAGCGCCACCAGCCTCGACCGCTACACTTACCTCAAAGCCAACAAAGGCTGGATACTAGCCCACCATACGCCATCGATAACTCTCGCATCTTTTCCCTCCACATCGACGGGGCCGATGGCCCAACTCCTCACCAAATGCAAAACTGCGGCGTATCGTCCTTCACGGACACGACACCCGCGGGGTCCTCCCTAACAGCTGACTGCCAATGCGCCCGCGACAACGCAGGGTCCATGATCGGATCTCTCACGTTTGACTCGGACAAATTCGCACGGCTGGTTTACTGTGGGACTTGTGTCTTTGGGTGCCATCGGATAATTTCCTCGGGACGGTCGTGGGGACGAGGAATATTGCGGGGTTTGCTACGGGTGGGAGGAGTCGGGCGGAGGGGAGGGTTGGATATGACAGTTAGTTTGAGACTGCAGGGACGGAATAGGCGATTTTTCATACTTGGCGATTGAGAGGATGAGAGTGGTTGGCGATTACAAGAGGTTCAAGGTGACGGGCGAGGATTGTACTCCAGGTACAAGTACTGTATGTGAGGCGTTGGCGTTAACAATATGGGAAAGAAGATTGAATCAGAACATTAGTTAGATGCTTCTATAATATAATTCAATTGAACTGATTTATGTGTCTTGCAGCTTGTGAGTGGCTAACATTTATATGCCTGCTATATACAATTCCTGAAGCCTGCATATTCTCATCGTTACCACATCACTTTACAGCATAAAGATATGAGCAATCATAACTGCTATACACATGGCCCTCGAGAAATTTTAAAAGTCAATTGCCTAGATCAGGTTTGTAAAGCATGCCAGGGTTTCGGGGAAGCTACTCGGCATCGCAGCCCCTGACATAGTTAGACCATTAGTTACAGGGGGGCTGCTGACTTACAGATCTTTCTTCGCTAGGGCGCTAACAAAACGAAGTACCAGCGCCTGTTTCTTCAAGGAGTGGACATAGCGAATGTTGCAACTAGGTGTAATTATCAGTATATACAATCATTCTAGCCTGCCATTGTGGTGGCATATCGGATTATATTATATTGTCCCACTTGTTGTGCCATTCATTATGTTATCCGCCTGCTCTGCTTCAACCGGCATAAGCCCTGCAACCTCATTGATGCAGGGGGTGGCACGGGTGCATTTGCACCTTCGGGGATCTCATTCGTGTGGCAAGAAGCAAAAATGCTTAACAAATCCATGACAATCCGCGCGGGGGGAGTCGGCATACAAATAGCCTGTTTCTCCCCAGCTGTGGCAGCAACCTTTCTAATTCCACCCTTGTCTCAGCTCCTCTAGGGTTATCACGATATCTCACCACCATGATCGAACTACAATATGTCTAAACTCAAGACGCTTTCTGAATTCACATGTTTCCCGAGGCTTCCCCCAGAAATTCGGCAATTGATATGGCAATTCGCCATACCTATTCGAGTCTTTGAAATCGATTATCTGCACGCGACCCTAGGTCCTTCTGAAAGCGGCTGTAGCTGCGATCGTCCGGCCTGGCCTCTACCAGCTCCAAGGATAGCTCGGGTATGCCGAGAGGCGCGGCACGTCTCGCAGATCCTGGGTGGATGGCGGCTACTGGAAGCGAAAGACTACGGCTTCAACATCACCGGCCGATGGACCTGGTTCGACTCAGGCGCTGACACGTTGTGTGTGTATACGTGGAATTATAGAAACCGGCCTAATAGTAACGATGCCCGATACTTCAACTTACACGCATTTTGTCAAACCGCTACCAATATCTGTGTTGGTCTGTCGTCTTTGACCTGGGACCCATTGCCGATGCCCCTATTCTTCGCCTTCAGACTGGGCGACCGGAAGCTATGGCCCAGACTCGCTAATTACATGTTCTTCAATGATACCATTCACCTGCACCTGCCACCAGAGGCCATCAGAACCCAGACTTTGTTCACAGAGGGCAGCTATACTGCCTTGGTCGATATTCGAGACACTAAAAAGCTGAAGCAATGCCAAGAGCTTTGGGACCAGCATTGCCTAGGTCATGCCAACGCCACCCGTCGGTGGATGCCGGAAATAACACCTAACTCATTTCCTGGTATCTTGAATTCGCCAGAACGCGCTGAGGAGTATGCCCGGAGGCAACACGACCGACTGCGGAACATATGGCTCCAGTACGTAAACAAGAGTTTCTTTGTAGTCTGTTGCTAGACACGAGAAAACTACTTTTATATATATTAGCTCTTGATACAAATACAGACAAGGGTGGAGAGCGCAATGGGAGTTTCCCTGAGGCACTTGCAACGATTCCATTGCTGATTCCGGGTTCTACAGTGCACACTATAGTGCTTTGCTTGACGGTGACGACATGCTTCAGGACCGGACGTTATTCAAACCTGACAGCATAGATCCCAGCAAACCGCGGTTCCTCCACCATCACCCCTGGGCGCGCAAGACTCTGGCCAAGATGCCTGACTATCGACTGGTTATTGTCGTGAGGATGTGCAAAGACTACATTCATGACGCGAGTCATCTGTATAGGAAAAACGAGATGCCTGAGCGCCGCGTGGCTGGAGCGAATGTCTTACCAGCTAATTTCAGCTTCCACGGCGGATTTGAACAATAGCCGGAAACGGGACGCAAGAGCCGTCACTGGCTGGGGACTGTTTAGTGAAAGGAGTCGGCAGTTCCCAGGAAAGGAAGCTTTCGATTGCCCAGGAAGTGCTCAGGGGCCAATGATGTGTGTCCCATGTACCAAGCGCTCCAAAAGTGCCCCGATATGACAAATAATCATAATGGTCATTTATTAGTCTGCTATGTCGTAATGCCAAATATCTATATCTTTTCCCTGAAACCCCCCTTCTCTCGAGTATCGCGAGTTAGCATGGAAACAATGGTCATTTGGAACCCTCGACATCCTGTCTTAACATGCTAAACATAATCATGTCCATGACAACCCCCTTTTTGCAATACGCCTGCCTCTTGACCCCCTCCCGGATAAATCCCGCCTTCTCCAGGACTCGCACACTGGCCGCATTTTCGTGACAGACCTCAGCCTCGAGCCTCAACATCTCAGGGAAAGCGACAAACGCCCATCTGCAAAATCCAGTGACGGCACTCGTCGTGATGCCCTGCCCCCAGGCGTCCTTCCCTGTCCAGTAGCCTAGCTCGTACGTGCGATACGTGACGTCGGACCCGGGAGTCAGCCCGATGCCTCCGGCGAACGTGCCGTCTGACTTGAAGACGGCAAAGTCAACGACAGGTCTGGCCTCGATAGCCATCTTGATGAAGGAGTGCGCGTTTTCCAGGGTGTAGGGGCTGGGAAACCGGTTGCGCAGGAAACGGGAAACTTCAGGGTCATTCGCTGCTGGTTGACTGGCGGTTGCGTCACTGTGCTCGTAGGGACGGATGTAACATTTCTCGGTGACGACGATGGCGGTTGCCGGTGCCGACGAAGAGATTGAGGAAACCATGGTGATAAGGGATGTGCTCAAATTGGTCGGTTCAATGTGAGTTGAACCGTCACAGGGGCTGTTTTGGCATAGGTCCGAATGTCTGTGCGATTGGGGCGTCAACCATCCGATACTTATACTGTGAGATGTGAGGTTGGATGCGGTATAGTCTCACTTGACGTAAGTCGATCGATCCTTTCAAGATGACTCATCGAGTATTGATGGTGTTGCTGGAATTAGTGAAGCCAACAAAGGAATGTAGTATTTGATCATATCGTGTTCGGCATAGATCAAGAATAGTACATGAGGGTGATTGACTCCCAACGTATCATTCGTATGTGATTTGGATATTGGCATGCATTCTAAAGATGGGAAACAGCGGTGTTGTGGAAATCGACATATGTTGTGCACCACCACGGCCGTCACCGTGGCTTTGTGCGACAAGAACCTGTGGCTATCAGAAGCTCATATCTAGTACCACCCAATGACATTCGTACGGGTCCTCATAATTCTGCTCCTATCTCAGAATTGGATCTGAAAACTTGCGTTCAACACGGACCAAAATCGTGAATTCGACAGCAGTGAAGTCCCTTTTGGAGAGCCCATAAGAAGTTCATACGGGGACCGCTAGCCGCTAGCGGGTCCCTCCGTACCGGGCTGACGAGTTCCGGCCCCGATAAACCCACTTGAAGATGCAGAGCAGCTGACGCTAACTCGCTTTGGCATTAGCCAGGTCCCTGCAGAGCTCCAAGCGTGGAAACTTGTGAGGTGGCCTTTCGCAGCCCTGTCTAATATTTGACTTTCGCCAAAGCCAAGCTGGACGAGACCCTCCATCGACTCCTTGAGCTCAGTGAATCCAATGCGGCGTCCACGGTGAAAGTGAACCCACTGCTGCATCCTCGTGCCCTTCTTTCCCTTCTAGTTTGATTTCTCTTCACGAGAATCTTTTATTCTGCATTTCGACCAAGGCGCTGTGTCACAAGCTCCCCCCTCGAGAGCTCTACCAACTATTGCCATGGTTTCTAAATCGAGGTTTACGAAGCTGGATGCCTTCACAAAGACGGTCGAGGATGCGCGGATACGGACTACTTCTGGAGGAATTGTCACCATTGCCTCTTTATTGGTAGTGCTATGGCTTGCCTGGGGAGAATGGGCCGACTATAGAAGGATCGTCATCCACCCCGAGCTCATCGTCGATAAGGGGCGAGGTATGTGAACCAACTCATTGCTGACAACCGACAATATGCTCACAATCCGATTTCACAGGCGAGCGGATGGAGATCCACATGAACATCACCTTCCCTAAAATACCCTGCGAACTCCTGACCCTGGATGTGATGGATGTCTCGGGTGAGCAGCAACATGGCGTCATGCACGGAGTGAACAAGGTCAGACTTCAGTCTGCCGCCCAGGGCGGCGGAGTCATCGACATCAAGGCATTGGCTCTGTAAGTCGCGACACACAAGAAATGCGCAATACCCTCGCTGACAAGGTGACATGCAGCCACTCCCAAGACCAAAGCGCCGAACATCTTGACCCGGAATACTGTGGCCAATGCTATGGCGCAGCCGCTCCTAGCAACGCTATCAAGCCCGGTTGCTGTAATAACTGCGACGAGGTCAGAGAGGCATATGCGCAAGCATCGTGGGCGTTTGGGAGGGGCGAAGGGGTTGAACAGTGCGAGCGTGAGCACTATGCTGAGAAACTTGATGAGCAGAGACAAGAGGGATGTCGCATCGAGGGCGGTCTCCGTGTCAACAAAGTCATTGGAAACTTCCACTTTGCCCCTGGCCGAAGTTTCAGCAATGGCAACATGCACGTCCACGACTTGAAGAACTACTGGGACAGCCCCGTCACCCACTCCTTCGAGCATACCATTCACCAGATGCGGTTTGGGCCTCAGCTGCCCGAGGATATCGTCGAGAAAACTGTTAAGAACACGCCATGGACCAACCATCACCTGAATCCGCTCGACGACAGCGCTCAGAAAACGGATGATCCTAACTATAACTTCATGTACTTTGTCAAGATCGTGCCGACTTCATACCTGCCCTTGGGATGGACGCCAAGTACATCCACCGGAACTCAAGATGAGAGCGCGTGGCTTGGCAGTCTGGGGCATGCGTTCGACGGCAGTTTGGAAACACACCAGTACTCAGCAACGAGCCACAAGCGAAGCTTGATCGGTGGTGATGATTCTGCTGATGGCCACAAGGAGCGCCTGCATGCGAAGGGTGGTATCCCCGGAGTTTTCTTCTCATACGTAAGTTTATCATGCTTTCCCGATATAGCGGGCCAAATCTCTAATGTGGTCCAGGATATCTCCCCAATGAAGGTTATCAACCGCGAGGAGCGTGCCAAGACGTTTACTGGTTTCCTCACGGGTCTCTGCGCCATTCTCGGTGGCACGCTCACAGTTGCAGCTGCCGTCGATCGTGGTGTTTACGAGGGTGCAACGAGGCTGAAGAAAATGCGGTCAAAGGATTTGTAGAACGCGCGTGTTGGAACGTGTACGATCATACCAGTCGTGATCGATACCTTGTTCAAATGTATTGCATAGGAAATGGAGTTATTGGTTCTAGCTTTTTGACAACTTGATCTCATTCGCCTGACGAATCACCTGCCTTGGTGTTTGACCCCTTGGCGATGCTCTGATTCAAAAATATACCCCCACATTATGGCCCAGTCTAGCGCCTGTTCTAGTCTGTGATCGTTACTGTCACAGGATCCGGTCTAGAGTCGTGTGTTAGTAACGGCCGTCTAATTCCTTGTAACATAATTCTCATCAATCTCATCAATGCCCCCTTTTCCTGCATTTATCATACATACCATGCTATACAAGATTTGCTCCATCATCACTCATGTGACGATCACCAGGTCTTGAACTCGCTCATACATAAGTACTTGAACGTTGAAAGGTGCTCTTGCAACAGACCTTCGCCTCCCCCCCTCGGGGACCAGTTCCAATCCCTCCAGTTTTGAACCACAGTTTCCTTTCCCTCTTTTAGAATTTCGACACGTCGATGCTGTTAAATCCAATGGCGCGCATCATGCTCGCCGGCTAAGCGCTCGGAGGAGTGATGATCGTAGGACTCCTGATAGTGCTATGTTATGCGTGCAGTCCAGCTTGTGTATGCCAGCGATACCGATAGAGCGGTAGTAGTACACTGTTTCCAGTTCCGCAGAAGGCTAAAGTTTAGAGGTGGATTCGTTGATAGTCTGGACAATACAAAGAGCTGAAGGTTACTTAGTGTCGAACAATGTATGCCAATATTGATATCTAGGTGGCTTGGTGTTGCGTATTGACTCGAGTGCACAAGAAAAATATTGGGTGTTCATGGGCTTGTGAATAGGGTTGTCTAGATGACAGCTACATACCATACCTTGTAACCCCTGGCCAGTGCATTTGTAGTTGAGGTACTGTGTTCTGCTCTTAGAAAAGATTATTCTGATTGCCACAGCCATGTATGCGCCGCACACGTGTTGGAATACCTACAGGCATCAAGTTAAAGGCTAGCATGCTGGTCTATTAAGTCAAGATCACATTGGAAACCGGAGTATTATGTTTTGATGTCCTGTACGAAGTTTCATACGGCTGACCTGAGATACGAACACAAGAAGTAGCGTCCCAAGACGTTAGAAATCGCTTCTAGAGGGTTGTGCCAGCTAGTAATACATTTTACCGAAGAGATCGATCATGAGCATTAGGGGCGGGTGTAGAGAGAAGTACTGGACGGAGGAAACTGATATGATCTGCATAACAACAGTAGACAGCATTGCAACGAAAGTTTGCAGATTATATAAAATGTTGCCCGCAGTGACATGAATGAAACACCGGCCCCCTTTCGCACATTTGAGTATGCCCGTATCGTTCCCGATGGGATAGTCTTAACATCCTGGATAGCGTAGTCCGCAAGTTGACTCCATGGTTTCCAAAGTCAGTTGTAAGGTTTTGCTGAATGATCCCGTTGTCTTGGATAGGAAGAATAGGTGGAAAGTATCTGCATTTCCGCAAAAAGTATGAGAGGATGGCCAAAGTGAGTGTCGTTCGTAGGGTTGCTGAATGACAACATCAACTCTCTTCTTTGCTGCTATTGTGCTCAACGAGACTCCCCAGCAAGTATGTGATCCTGATCCTTAGTTAAGGAATAATCTTGCCCGTGCAATGACATCGAGCTTGAGGTTTAAATGATTGACATTGAAGTCGACGATGGAGGGCAGGGACGTTTGAAGCTAACCTCAGGGTATCATGAATACTTCGCGCCAGATCACCTGACTACTCAACATGCCGCGTCCAAAGTCTCGGCGTGACCCCCAAGTGTATTAAGTAAGTAGTTCTCCCTTGTTATCAGTCCTCATGTTGCGGTGGATATCGAGAAAGCTTCTACATTCTGATACAGTGGTCATGCCTGTGGTATACTTACTACAGCGTGCTTTAGTATTACTCCATAGCCCGGAGATTGGGACCCGTCGGTATGATGATCTTGATAGATCCTGATACAAATAACTGCCATACGATTGTATCCACTGGTGTGCTGCTGTCGAACCCGATTTATCTCTTGAATTGTGTGAAACTTCCTTTGGCAAGGTTAGTTAGGAAGAAGATGTCGTTTATTGTTGCTGATTCCCAAGACCTTGTGACACATCGAGATCGCAGAGGCTGCAATGGCCACCTCGGGCAGGTAAGACGGGCAGATGAATTGCACTAAGGACCGTATTTTCTGGGTTTCTTCTTTTGTGTACCTTAAGTAGTGCTGTTTACTTATCATGAAGTCGGCTTTGCTTCGTGTCTGTCGTCGACATCAATCAAGGTTTCATCGTCCGAGCTCCAAATCTCATCGGATCAGATTGATTTTGGGCTTACCCAGTTGCTAACATGATCAGCGTAGAGTGATCAAAACTGACAGTCCGACCGTTAGAGATTGCGTAAAACAACATTTACTAGGACGAACTCGTCCGTGATTCTCGTCCAATGGACAATCATTCGAACGTTGTGAGAAGTCTAAATGTGAAATCAAAATCGAGTAGCCAGAAGAGCTGGGTGCATGGCTGTGGGAAAATGTGTAATCTCCCCACGGCAGCCTATAGCTGCAGGGTTCTCCGCGATATTAGCCGTCCGGAAAAGCCATATTTTGGGAGGCGGAATTGGTTCCAGCAAATGATGCCCAGGAATGGCGCGCTTGCATAAGGCTGGCTTGCCCTGACTTTAGCTCCTCACGCACAGTGTTGTTTCGATTGGCCGAAGGTCTTCTTTTTTGGATAGCCAACATGTCAAACCACGTCGTCTAGCCAAGAGAGGGTCGGAGGCGATAGAGGTCCTCATTTGAAACATCTCGGGCATTACGACAAGACGTGCCGGGCAGACGGAGATGTCAGTGGATCATTGCACGGGGCAAATGGACCAGCCTCGACTTCTAGCTGTCAGCTTGTCATGGACTTGGAAGAGGCCATCGTGATCGGGCATTTCCAAGGAATGGACAATTGACCTGTCGTACTTTGTAACATTGAAAATTGCTCGATTTCCGAGTCGGCGCAACGCTGTGTGCAACTTTGAAATGACCTGAGGCGAACCCTGGTCTGCCCTCGCTCAGCTGCATCACCGAGGACGCGGCTTCGCAGTTCACAATCTTTCTAGAAAATAATTTTCGCGTAATCACCGTGGGGGAGCTCCCTGGTGTCCCGTTCCAGGTAATAATAATTGAAACAAACTGGGTTGCATGCGTTGAGTGATCAAACCTCTTTATTTCTTACTTGGATATAGAGAGTCGAAGTGCCCGTATTCCATGATATAACTTGTTGGAAAGTGAAATCTATGATATGTACCCCAGACTTCTAAGCATCGTTTTTGAGTGATTAGATTTGTGATGCAGTGATGCCGCTTGAGTCTGGCAAACCTTGGGATGGTCACTTTGTACCTCTGCCACCACCACCACCACGCATGCAAACTCCGCGTTCCCGTACGCTACCTAAGTGGCGTCCCCGTTCACGAGGCCCACTGGCGTAGACTTCTTTGGGATGATCCTCCGATACGACCTGTTTACAGATTCCACTGTGTTGCAGGGTAATTCATTGAGGTTTGAAATTGTATCCAACTTGTGCTGGACCAAGCCAATTGAAGCTGCCATTATGCTCCAGCCTCTGGACAGGAGACCAACGATGCATCATCGGGGACAAATACTTCACTCCATGAATTAAGTGGTGCACACAGTACATGAGGTCCCCAGCACATGGACCCCTAACGCCAAGAAATCGACTTGTCAAGGGTTCCAAGGTTGCTTGACCAAGCAAAATCACTGAATGTGATCTTCGGGCTTCAGCAAAGCTTTTTGCTTGCTTGCTCTTCTCCCGCGCCTGCTCTCAGTCCTCCCACCACCACGCAAGATCTGGTAACGGGCACCGTCAGCCAAGTAAACACATCACAACTATTTTCGTATTCACTCCTTTAGCATCAACCTTGAAATCATTCGTCCGCTCCTTTTCTTACTAACATCCCCATTGTCCTGTATTCCTCTTCTTTTGCGTCCGAACTGAAACTTTTTTTGTGTTTGCCCCTTTCTCCAATATCAGCACAACCGGTCTACTCCGTCTTCCGATTACTTCGTCTACTTCGTCTACTTCGTAGTCTTTTCACAGTCTCTATTATCAGGAGGATATCAGGATTCAATCATCCCTGCACCAGCAAACAGTTCAACTTGCGCAAATAAGCCACCGAATTTCTCCTACACATCTGCGCTGGCATACCATCCAACGTACTTGACGCTCCCGTCGATATTGCTTGCATTCCTGCCCGCCACCCCCCAGGGACCACGACCCTGTAAAGATTGACCTCACCGAATTCATGCAAGCGACCGATCCGCCACATCTTGATCGTTTTCCACCAACGCCTCACGACGGCGTCAATAGAGTTCTTTTGGCGCCTAACATCTATTTGGAGGAAGGCTTAGATGGTCTATGCCAAAACGGCACCAAGAGAGGCTTGGGAATCCACACCTAAAGTGCTAAGGCCCACCACACGCGACGAAGCCAATCGAGACCTAAGCTTTGGGACGTCGTTTCGTCAACCTCTCTGCCGACACCCGGACTGTTAAAGCTGGCATTGAAGCACGATACGGGAAGATACCACTGATTACAACCCAAAGCGACTCGTGAACCGACCATGGCGTCGCGGCCGAATCACATCGACCTGAGGGCGACCTCTTCGGCTTCCATGGCCACCAGCATCTCCCGTCCGCTTAGGTCGCCGCGATTGCATGTTGCTGGAGACGTTCCTCCTGCATTGTCACCCCTCGATGCGTTCGCCGCCCAGAGTCGACTGCTCGCGAAGCAGCTGGAGCAGAGCTCCAAAACAGGCAGGAGGATGAGCCGACTGCCACCGCTAACTACAGAAAGCCCCTTGGTTGTTCAGGGCCGATCAGAGTACTTCCGGTCCTTGTCGCACGACTCTGCGGAGGAAATGGGAGAACATGGCGGACATGGTGAATTCAACGAGGGAAACACAGGACTTGGTCTGACTGCTGAGGTCGAATCGCCCTCAGAGATGGAACGACCAAGGTCGATGCACCCGCGCATGAGTCGAATCCCTGCGACTCCCGACGAGTCGATTCCTGTTCCTCCCAATCCTTTTCTTGCTACTAATGGAGAACAACTGGACCAACTAGATGACAATGAGGGCTTTTTTGGAGCACGAAGAGACTATTCTCCGCCAGACTTGGACCATTTGACCAACGGAGCAACAGTACGCAGGTCGATAGACGACGACGACCCGAACCCCCGGGAGTCAGCTCTATGGGAAGACCACATATCTGTGGACCATCCTCCGTCTCCCGCAGGCGAGAAACTTAGCCGACAGGTTTCGCATGATTCTGGACTTGCTCCTCCTCGGTCAACATTCCCCAAACGTTCTTCAAGCATCATGTCTGCCCCAGTAGAATATCACGACGACGAAGCCACAGATGCTTCCTTCTACTCACAACCACCACGAAAGATGTCTGGCGGCAGTGCATACTCAGGACCAGCACTTGTTTCTCCGGCCTTTCCAAACAAGAATTATCAAAGATCTCCCTCTATCAGCTCTGTAGCATCCCTACCGCGTCCCTCGTTCAATTTCTCTAGACCTCTGAGTCGGGCAGGAACCCCCAGTCTTGACATGCCGTCTCGACAAGCATCTTCGGATAGCCATCCGTCTTTCGTACTGGCAGATGACACCGCTCATACACCTGTGAGCATGCATAGCGAAGCCTTTCCGGACATTGGTATCGCAGATGATGGGCAAGGTGCACCATCATACATCTATTCCAAGTACTCGTTGCCGAGAGGCAAGGCCTTGCAACGAGGATCTTTGTTATTCAATCCAGACGATGTCGCCCAGTTTACCTGGGAGCAACAAATGGTGCCCCCGAGCAACGTGCAGTCTTTTGCGCGAGGTGGACAAGCTCCACCGTCTCCCCCTTCAAGGCCTTCAAGCTCATCTTCACGCCTCCTGGATACTGCACAGGGAGCTGACTCACTCCTTAGACCATCGCTCGAAAGGAGTAAGTTGTCTAACGAAGTTTCCGTGACCGGAGAGCCATCTCCAGGTTTCAGTCGACCATCGACAGAAGCAGACAGCCGGCTTTCAGAGGATGTACCTAGAGGGCGTCCGCTGACGTCGCCAGTGCATGACCAAGATCGCGGTCGAACTCCTATGTCAACGTCGACTAGTGATTCGGCAAGTACCATCAGACCAGCCAGGTCTCTCGCGCCAACCGCAGCCGAGATGAGTGCCGAAGAACATCTGACAAAGGGAATCAAATGTCATGAGGAAGGCTCCGTCAAAGAATCGACTTACCACCTGCGACTAGCTGCTCGAGGTGGCTCCTCAACAGGTATGCTCTTGTATGCGTTGGCCTGCAGACACGGATGGGGTATGCGACCAAATCAAAAGGAGGGCGTTCAGTGGCTTCGAAAGGCAGCAGAAGGCGCAAGCTTGGAAATCGCAGAGGACGAGGGACACGTCAAGGATGGCAAAACGGTTGATCCTACAGAGCGTAAGACTCGCAAGGCACAGTTTGCCCTGAGCATCTACGAACTTGGCGTGAGCCACATGAACGGCTGGGGTATCGAGCAGGATAAATCACTTGCTCTACGATGCTTTGAGATCGCTGGCAGTAAGTAACTTTTACCCCAAGTGACACGGATCTAATGGCTAACAATTTCGTTAGATTGGGGCGACGTTGATGCTCTTGCTGAGGCTGGCTTTTGCTACGCCCAAGGGGTCGGTTGCAAGAAGGATCTCATGAAGAGTGCCAAGTTCTATAGAATGGCTGAAGCCAAGGGTATGAGCATGCCTGGCAACAGCTGGATCCACAAGGCGAAATACAGCGACGACGCTAGCAGTGTCAAGTCTAAGCAAGGCCGAAGTAAATCGAGAGCCCGTGGTAAGAGTCTGTTTGGCAAGAGGGCCAAGGAAACACAAGAGGCTCTCCCTTGATTCGGCTAATTGCATCAAAACATTTAACGACGAACTTGAAGGTTCCTTCCGGCGTTCAGGACACAAGGAGTGGGTGCGTTCATACAGCATCAAAACTATCATTCGAGCATGATGAGCGTCTGCGTTCTATTTGCATCAAAGGCGGCTTGCGGCGGGGCATATTTTTCGGCTGAGAGGAGAGATTATTGATACGCTGGAGCTTCTGATACCCTAGCATAAGAGCAGACGGAGAGAGAAGCTCGGCGCTGCATTTATATCTGCATTTGTGTGTAGGAGCCGAAGCCCAGACAAGAGGGTTGGTTCACGATGTTGGACCAAATAGCGTGGTGGCGTGTATATACCCAAGATTCTTTGGTAGGCCACGGTGGGCGAACGGATGTCAGGAATAGCTAGCTAGTAGGGCAGGTTAGGGCAGGGCGAGAAATAGACTCGAGACCACGTATTCCGTGGACGAGATCTCAGGCGAGATTCTGGACGTAATGGATTTTACCATACAGAGAACTATCGGTGTACCAAGATCACCTTGGTTACAATAGTTAACTTTACTGTACAACATGAACGGTTCTATGATGTCTTGATTAATGTCTCGAATCAATACTCTGGAGTGGCCATAATGAAATACCTCGAGCAACTAACGCAAATATGGACAACCTGTTTCACCCTCTTCAGCAAAATCTTGCATGGTCCAAAATATCCTTCCACGTCATGATTCCGATCCACATGTGACCATCCCCATTGATGGCACTTGTCTGCCGTGGGCCAACATGCCAGTCCTCTTGTCAGATCTTCAAGGACGCGAACTCTGGTTGCCTTGCCACCCGTAACAGCCCAGGGTGCCATTGTGGTTCCAGACAATACGATCTGGGTAATTCATGTCAGCTGAGTCACTCGCATAGGGTGCCAGGGAAAACTGGGGAAAGTACATACTGATGTCGTAGCTTGAGTTCTTAAGGTTGCCGTCGATGTCCGAGCACAGGCAGGCGAACTGGAAGTCGGTGTTGCTTCCTCGGAAGCTGCAGTCGTGGCAGCTGCCGTAGAATTGCCCACTAGATATAGTGAGTCAACCAGTCACTCCAAATTATACCACCAGATGCAAAGATGCAAATGATTTAGATTCTTAAGGGACCAAAAAGAATACTCACTTGTCATATGCAGCCAGACTGCCGCCGTTGTTGAGCATGCAGTGCCCGAGGTCGAACCCTGTTCACAGCCAAGGTCAGCTACCGGTACAAGTGGGAGGAAAGAATGGAGAGCAAAAACTCACAGGTCCACATGTAGTGGAATTCGGCCCAGTCATTGTCGTTGCAGTACATGCCTAGGAAGGAGCCAGTGAGGTTGGCGCCTTGCCAGGTGCAGTTACTGACGAAGCCTTGAGCGGATGCATGGTTGGCGAGACCGAGCAGGGTGACGACCAGAGTGACGATGGTGATGAGGAACTTCATTGTGCTGGTGGTTGGTTGGTTGTTTGGTGATGGGTCGGCGAGGATGATGTTTATGGGTGGCAAGTGTTGATGATGGTTGTCAAGACGTGCTGAGGTTCGCGGGAGAATTTGGCCGTTGCTGAGAGATCACGGTGTCAGTCGAGCTGGCTGATAATATTGGGCAGGGACTTGGGAATAGGTCAAGTTGAATGTCCCAACCTGTCTTTTATATATCTGAAGTAGTTAGGTAGTACCTTACGGGCTTGGAGGAACCACTTGATCTACTTCTGCCGTCAAAGTTGACGAGCTTCAGGATATCCGTAAATGAAGGGACTTTAGGCTCTGTTTGTGTGTACTTGAGACGACAGAAGAACGGGGGTGTGCCACGGGGTACAGTCCATCCCCCCAGGTTCAGTCGGCGCCTTCCTTGATGCAGCAAACAGGTGATGGAGCACCAAATTAGCAGAAGGCTAGCACGTTCCAAAGGCTGGTACTCAAGCTATAAATGTTTTTTTATTTAATTTCCAAGAAAGCACTCTGTAATTACGTGCTTCAAGTATTAATGGAGATTGGATGGATGATTTACTTCTAATTTGCCCGATACACACGTAGCTGGAAGCGTATGATCAGAGCTTTTGGAACGTATTTATATGAGTGAAGGTACTAATGGTACGAGACGAGACTTGTCCTATTTTAGATACTTTGAAACAGCAGATTCAACGTGAGTAACCTTGTATTACTGGAGCGTCAACCCGTGAAATTCAACTGGACTGCACTCGGGTAGTCTGGCCCTTTTGTTGCCAAACAATGACCACCGCCAGACCTAGCATCATGCGAAAGCATATAGATCTGACTCTGGCTAGTATTTAGCCCCGTGTGCCCTTCATCATGTGCGGCTGTTCATAGAGCAGTGGATATCCCGAGTTTCAAACAATCCAAGTCGATAGCCAGCAGAAAAGAAAGGCAAATAGTATATTATTACTTCAAGACTATTTACGGGTAGTCCCTGAAACCAGCACTAGGACCATCCCGATCCACAAGATACGAAAACCTGTCTCGCTCGTCTAGCAGCATGGGAGGTATATCTTCGTTGTTCTCGACCCTCAAAAACTCCTCGCCCTCTCGATCCCACAGATCCTTCCCCTGTCTGACATAATTTGCAATACGATCTCTATCGCGATACACCTCTTGGTTCATCCATACATGAGAAAATGACGACATCTTATTGAGAAACTCTTGAATCGTGGAGAAGCAAGATGAACAATGCCAGCCAGCATTCCAGAGATCGGCCGTCTCGAGTTTGACAAGAGGTTGTAACCCTCCGTCCCAGTTCCGCAAGTTGACGGGCAGTATCGTTCTCCATCCTTGGTAGTATGTCGCTTGAGGATGTATCCACTGAGCCCCACTGTGCAGGAACTGGAAGCTATAGTAATAGAAGCTGCTCCTGAGGTTCAGCCGGCGTGGGAAATTGCATGACTTGAGGAGCACCAGAGTCTCCGGACGGATGATCTCGTCGACATCCGCGACGATGATCACATCCCCTAGCTCCGGAGCTTGGGAGTGTTCGAGGCGTGGGAGGACTTGGTCGTACATTGCATTGCGCTGGAGGTCTTCCCACGCCCACGCCGGGTTCTCCCGGTCGGAATGGAACCCTTCGGGTATTTTGAGCTCATGATAAATGATCTTGTCGCGATAGGCGGCGAATTTGTCCAGGTTATTTTTAATGGTCATCGGCTTGTCAAGGTTTGTGAAAGTTTTTGGAGATTCAACGATGACAAAGTAGTCAACAAGGTCGAATGTCGTGTTCAGACGGATCTCCAACCAGTCAAGTTCCGAGTTCACCATGAATAAGTCGAATATTTTTCGCGGCGACTTGCCCAACCCCTTTTCCTTCCAGGCAGTCCACCCGTGCTGCCGGCATAGCTGATGCCTCGCGTCAATGTCGTTGAGGTCAAAAGTTTTGGTATCGAAGCCCGAAACTTGGTGAATGGAACGGTCAGTCCAGTTTGGGTTTAACCAAACAATCAACAAGATGCTGAGTCCCAAACCGAGCGCTGCTCTCAACCCTTTGCAGCTGTACCGTCGTGTAAGCATCATTGGATCAGACCTGAAACATCGACGTCCTGACTAAAGCGAGAGCACAACCAAAGAAGCCACAGCGGGATTACGTATATCAATGATACATATTGGAGAATCGTGGCTATTCTGTGGGTTGTACTGCCTTTCGGGTCACCTTTCTCGGGCGCGTCTGGCGATCGAGCCTGCGGAGATAATTTGATGTGGTCGTTCGAAAGAACCCTGAGCCTCCACTGTTTCGGCAACATTGAAAGGCCCAAAAGGACTAATCTTGGCTCCACTTTCAGCCACAAGCGGCTGCTCCTCTTTCCCCAGAATTAAATCTCCCTCGCTGAGCCAGCTGGACCGTGGGCCGGATACTACTGCCTTGGCCCGCCAGATTTGCTGCCAACAAAGCAGGAGCCTATCTTTGCTTTTAAGAATCTGTATTCACCATTCTTGCCTCGAGGACATGGGGCCAGCTCGGGCTTTGTACTCTGTGAATCGGACACGATGCCATCATGAAAAAATTGGCAGCCGAAAGGCGCTGGGATGGTTTATCATTGAAAAAGCATGCAGCATCATAGGATCGTCCGAAATTCGGCATTGGTCATCATGTATCCGCACTTCTATGCCCCCGCATCGTTGTGAAACCTCATCGCGCCGCGGCGGCATCCAACAAACACGGTGTCATTATTCTGCTGTGCATTCTATAGCAACATCGCATCAAATGGAGCAAGTTAACGGTACAAATGGCACGAGTGTGTCCGGTGCAAAGCCGAACAACTGGCTTGGCCACAAGGGCGCGGCCGCCTTCGATCTACGAAGTGAGTTCTTGCGGAGGGCACCAGCTTCCGTTCCTTTCGAGCTTGCTCCCTGAGAGCTGACTGTGTGATATACTTTAGGTGACACACAGACGACACCTACTCCTGAGATGTTAGCTGCTATTCAAGCAACAACCCTGGACGACGATGTCTTTGATGAGGACAAGACTACACATGATCTTCAATCACACGTCGCGTCGCTGACAGGCAAGGATGCCGCCCTCATCGTGTTGTCGGGGACTATGGGGAATCAACTTGCTCTGCGATCTTTGCTCACACAGCCACCTCACAGTGTGCTGTGTGACCATCGATCTCACATCATCCAATACGAGGCCGGAGGAGTTGCTTCGTTGTGCGGTGCCATGATAACGGCCGTGGTCCCCAAGAATGGCATTCATCTCACATTGGAGGACGTCAAGAAACACGCCTGTCTGGACGACAACATCCACCATTGCCCAACACGAGTTATCAGCCTCGAGAACACGCTTTCGGGCTTGATCATGCCACTAGAGGAGACCAGGCGGATATCCTCATTTGCTAGAGAGCACGGCATCAAGATGCACTGCGATGGCGCTAGACTATGGGAAGCCGTCTCGTCAGGAGCTGGATCGATCAAAGACTTCGCAGAGTGTTTCGACACCTTGAGTCTCTGTTTTTCCAAGGGCCTTGGCGCTCCGATCGGATCCATTTTGGTAGGTACAAAGGAAATTATCAAGCATGCTCGATGGATGCGCAAGGCTATCGGCGGGGGGATACGACAATCTGGTGTTGTCGCCGCTGCTGCAAGGGTTGCCCTCACGACTTTTGGTGAGGGCCCAAATGGCGTAGGCGGCAGGTTGAAAGACACCCATGCGATGGCCAAAAGGGTGGGAAAACTTTGGAGAGATCTTGGGGGTGAATTGCTCCTCCCTGTTCAGACGAACATGGTCTGGCTCGACTTGGAGTCCATGGGCACTAGCGACGGGAGATTCGATGAAATCGGCGCCCAGTATGGCCTCAAGCTCATGGGACATCGGCTGATCACCCATTATCAGATTGGGGAAGAAGCAATTTCAAAGTTGACGGATGTTTTCAAGAAACTTGCAGAAGAAAAGTCCGCAGCCGCAGGTTCACACGTAGACGGTACTGCAAAGAGTAGCGGACCCTACAGCACCACACGCTAAGGGATGACAGCAGCAAGGCAACGACACGTGAGGGACGAAACCTGGTTGGATGAGTAAACAAGACGCGAATTTATGACATTATTCCAGGGAGGTGCGAACCGGAGTACGAAGCCTCAGCAGGTTCCAAGCGCGAGACTAGCGTGAATCGTGGGATATCAACTCTGTACCCAAGGTGCCAAGCCAAGCACGAGCTTACTGTTATACACGTGACCTGATCTTGTTTGACGGCTACATGCATGTTTTTGGTTCTGTTCAAGCCTTCTGGCCTTATGATCCATATAGGACAGCGGTGGTTTCGGATTCAAACCAGGATGTTGTACAAGTACTCCGGCGAGCCAATGAGAAAGATCAAGTGTGCTGAAGCAGTTTAGGGACGTTGTACATATGTACAATGTCTACCTTGCATGGGAACATACTGCAATACCAAGCAGTGCTGTTTCGGCAAGGCCGATTCGTACACACTCAGCCTCAGGGATATTTGCCTTCGAGCTCATACCCAATTGCCACTGAAACTGGTCGTGTACAAAACAAATCTGGGACAGATTTTATGCTTATCTGGACAAGCTGCGTGAAACTACCTTCCAGCTCACCATTTTATGATGGTGACTGTGCCACTGGAATAGAGCATCGCTCCTGGCTTCAATCCATTGATCGTGCAGTCTGCTTGCTTATTTGAGTCTTAGAGCTCACTGGAAGACCATGATGTCAGGCTGGTTGTATTGGACTTAGGAGTATTCTCATACAAGCCTTTTTGTACCGATGATACTTTGACATTAGATTATTCCTGGGCTTTTCCTTCCCAAAACATTTTGACGTCATCTGTAAACTGGAAGCTGCAGCCCCCGGCACCACCGAAGCGAAGCATGCCTTTGTGACGAATGAGAGAGCTCCGATTTCTTCCATTTCTCTAAATGGAGCGGACGTTGCGGGGAAACGACAAAGCCACTTCAACGGGATCAACGGCGGATTCCATGTTCGCGGGAGTTCGCTTTGGGGAGCCGGTGTGGACATGACGGGCTAGCAGCAGTCTAGCAGCAAAGCAATTCGCCCTGCCTTGGTCAGTCTCCAACTCCGCCTGCAATACCAAGGCAATGAGCGACCAGCTAGTAAGCAGCTGGAACCACGCAAGTCGCCTGGTAAGGTCCGAAACGGGTCAGGCTGTGAGAATGACGACGAGGCAGACCCAGCTGCCACTGCAGGTCACTGCAGAACCGCAGCTTCTCCACTAGTCTCCCATGCCTGCAGGTCGAGCCTTACAAGATCGTTCTGGTCACATTTTTATATGAATGAGGCTGGGTCCTCGTCCTGGCTGTGATTTTGGGTGTCCGGCGTCACATAGGATCGAATGTTGACGGTGTTTGAGTCACAATATCGCGGTCTTCAAACTGCTCACCGACTTCCACAATATTTCTCTACTTAATGTGTTTGCGAACCTCGAAGCCCGGGTTTTCGTTTGTCTCGGCAACCTGATCTAAAAGATCTTCATTTGTACTATCTCTCCATACTGGCTACTCCACGCGTACTCGAAAATCCACTTATGGCGGGTCTACGAGGCCTTGTGGTAGCGGCTCTACTGCTCTCCCCCCCTTTCGTCAACGGGTTATATGCGAATGGGTCCGTTGTCGCCCCTTGCGACTCACCATTGTACTGCCAAGGCGAGATCTTGAAGGCTATTGAGCTGGCAAAGCCTTACTCAGATTCGAAGACTTTTGTCGATCTGTGAGTGTCCTGCGAGGCCTTATACGATTACATGATTTTGACTTCATTTACAGTCCTACAATTCGTCCTATGGACGAAGTAATTGCGGCATTCGACGAACTCTCTAAGCCTCTTAGCAACAACACTGAGTTGAATACGTTTCTCTCAACCTACTTCGGCGAGGCTGGGTCGGAACTCACTGCAGTGCGAACGGATGAGCTGACGACCGACCCGGTATTTCTTGACAAGGTCGACGACACGGTAATTAAGCAGTTCGTACAGAAGGTGATCAATATCTGGCCGGATTTGACTCGAGAATATGTCAGCGCTGGCAAATGCACCGGCTGCGTCGATAGTTTCATTCCTGTCAACCGAACATTTGTCGTCGCCGGAGGTCGGTTCCGAGAACCATATTACTGGGACTCTTTCTGGATCATCGAAGGCCTGCTTAGGACTGGAGGTAGCTTCACCGAGATCGCGAAGTAAGCAACACCCATCCTCGTCGTCGCGGCATGAGACACTAATCACTATGCAGGAACATTGTTGAAAACTTCCTCGACTCTGTGGACAAATTTGGATTCGTACCCAATGGCTTTCGCATATATTATCTCAACCGGTCGCAGCCACCTCTGTTGACGCAAATGGTGAAGATCTACGTGGAGTATACGAATGATACAAGTATCCTGGAACGAGCTGTGCCTCTTCTAATCAAAGAACATGACTTCTGGATGCAAAATCGGACGGTGGATATCGAATCGGGCGATGAAATATACACACTAAACCGGTGGGTCGAAAATCCCTATATCATGTTGGATCGTTGCTGATCTGGCTGTTAGTTACGGGGTTCAAAATACCGAACCAAGGCCTGAGTCGTACAGGGAGGATTATATCTCCGCCAACAATGAATCTTACTATTCCACATCTGGTATCATCTACCCCGAAGTAAATGGTTTGACCGACGAGGAGAAGGCTACTCTTTATGCAAATCTCGCGTCTGGCGCTGAGTCAGGGTGGGATTACTCGTCGCGCTGGCTTGCTAATCCGAATGATGCGGCCGATGATGTGTATTTCCCATTGCGGTCACTGAACACGGTGAATACCATTGGAGTAGACCTCAACTCAATCCTCTACGCGAATGAGATCTCAATCGCTCGCTTCCTGGCCGCCAGTGGTGACGACACTGGTGCGCAACAGTTCTCAGAACTGGCGGAACAGCGGGCAGCGGCCATTCAATCTCTAATGTGGAACGAGACGCACATGAGCTACTTCGACTACAATTTGACTTCGAATTCGCAGAACTTGTACGTCCCTATGGATGACGACACCACGCCCGCTCAAAGAGGAGACGCGCCTGAAGGCTACCAGGTGATGTTCCACGTGGGACAATTCTACCCTTTCTGGCTGGGCGTGGCACCTAAAAGCATAAGGAACAACCCACTCGCCGTGAAAATCGCTTTCCAGCGAGTAGCCGACCTCCTGGCGCAGAAAGCTGGGGCTATCGCCGCCACGAATTTTCAGACTGGTCAACAGTGGGATCAGCCCAATGTGTGGCCGCCGTTGATGTATGTCTTGATGAAGGCATTGTTGGAGACTCCGGCGACCTTTGGGGAGGATGACGTCTATTATATCGAGACGCAGGATTTGGCTCTGCGACTCGGTCAGAGGTATCTCGACAGCACTTTTTGCACGTGGCGAGCGACAGGAGGCTCTACAGACGACATGTCGCAATTGGAAGGCCTCGAATCTACTGATGAAGGCATCATGTTTGAGAAATACGGAGACAATTCGACCAATGCCGTGGGAGGCGGAGGAGAATACGAAGTTGTAGAGGGTTTCGGTCAGTCCCCTCCCTGCCTTGACGGTCTTAAGAATAGACTCCCCAACCGGAAACGATATATTGCTAACATTCATCCTCTCAGGGTGGACCAACGGTGTCTTACTATGGGTTGCTGACACCTTCAATACCCAGTTGCAGAGACCTGACTGCGGCAACATAACAGCAGCCGTTAACACAGAGAAGAGAGGCGCTGGCCCTTCAGCTGTGGAATTAGACCAATCTGATGCTAGGAACGTCAAGTTATTCCACAAGCAACCGGCTTGAGATTGCCGGTAAACGCCCTGAGATGCGAGATGACTGTCGAAAATTTATTGTGTATCTCATCAATGCTACGCCTGCATGGAAGTATGCAAGCATGAATGAGTTCATATAGCGACGGATCTCGCTGATGAATATGTGGGAAAACGAGGAGTTCTGTGCATAATCAGCAGAAAATCATACCAAATAAACAAGTTTTACAAGAATAGTGGCCAAATTGCGACGCAGTCGCCTGGAATTGATTCCTCCGATGGAAGAGTGACACAAAGAGCGAAGAACAAATGAGCCAGCACCTCAGCTAACTTGGAGCATATTTCGGTTTCTTAACACCTGTTTGAGACCTATTTGGGTTTATTGTTAATGATCCGGTTTGACATACGGGAGTACTAGTAGAGGTACCGGGGGCTTCGAGCCTACGGCGTATTTAATAATAATAATAATGTTAATGATCATGAATCATGAGGGGTTTCGGGGGAGGGTTCGTCTCTTATTTTTTTAATCCTTTTCTTTACTTTTTTAGGGTCTGTTTTTTTGATTTTGAATGAGTCTATAATGAAATTGGGCTTCCAGTGGACCATCACTTTTTAGAAGTGATTGAAAATTCTAGAGCCACTAAAGCCAGCTGAAGGTCTGAAGTAAAGTAGTCTGACATTGCAGTCGAGGACACTATGTTCTGCTTGCTTCGTAAGTACCAACCTTGCTATTGAACTTTCGAAGGTTGCAAGCTGGACATCAATGCTATGGACTCAACGCACCAACTGCAAGATCTACTCTAAAACTTCCCAATATCATGGAGTCGATATGTTTTGGGATTTAGGCAGAGAGTCGACATGGATTTCGTCAGTCGCGAAGTCACAAGACCTGGTGTCAGTTACAACTGAATCTCTGACCTTTCCAGGCAGCCCCCAGGCAGCAGAGCCACTAGATCGCGTCCAACGGATCCTTTTTCGACGTGTTTAGCCAAGCTAAGCCAGCCACTTTGGAAGTTCCGGAAGCTATAAAAACTCTGTAGGTTCCACGTCCTTATGAGACGGTCTTCTTTTATTTCATCGCCCTCCGTCTCATACTGTTGTCTCGTTTGATCATCTCACGTTGCCGCTCGTCGTTCTTCAACAGGATTATACTTTGATTTCCATCAATTCCAATCCACCATTATCTTCAGCCCACTGGTCGGCCCCCTTTCCGTTGTTGGGAACCTAAGTTGAATTTCCATCAGTCATATCAACATGGCGTTCACGAATATTTCCAAGCTGCCAATTGCTCATGATGAGCTGGCAGCATACATTGCGAAGAAAATCGCGACCCCTATCCAGAAGATACTGGAGCCTTTCCGTCAATATGAAGCTCAGCTTCGCGAAGTCTACGCGCAAGGTCTTACAGAACTATGCGGAACTTACGTACATGTGCTGACCTGCCAGCAGAACGTAACAACCCGGTCCTGGATGACCCGTACCTTAACGTGCTACCTCTATTTACCCAGAGCACTTCAGACATCAAGACTCGTGCTCGCAATCTGGAAGCTGAGTCGCAGGGGGAAAGGGACCGCTATATCATGGTACTTCCCGACGACAAGCGTCGTCCCGACGGATCCCCGGCGGTAGTGGCGTCCCTGAAAGAATTTCGCCACAACTTCAACATCTTCTCCGAGTCGTCCTTGGTCGACATGGACTGGGATAATGTCGTTGCCGCTGGCTCGTCTGCTGTTAATTGTCTGCTCCCCGTGCCTAACAACTATAAGACGTCCAAGCGGGCACTTCGGCAGTACTACCACGAGAAGTTTTGTCCTGCTTCCGATGTCGATCTCTTCTTGTATGGTTTGAATGAAGAGCAGGCGATTGAAAAGATCAAGCAAATCGAGACGAGGATCCGAGACTCCATTCTGTCAGAGACCACTGTCGTCCGAACCAAGAACGCCATCACCATTTGTAGTCAATATCCTACAAGACACGTCCAGGTAAGGACACCCTAGGCTCGATGATACCCGATGACTGACATAAATCAAAGATTGTGCTCCGAGTCTACAAGTCAATCTCGGAGATTCTGACTGGATTTGACATTGACTGCTCCGGTGCTGCCTACGACGGGAAGCAGGTGTATACCACACCCCGTGCCTTGGCCTCTTATATAACCCAGATCAACCCTATCGACCTCTCCAGGCGCTCTCCCTCGTACGAGAACCGGCTGAGCAAATACAGCCACCGCAACTTTGAGGTCTACTGGCCCGAGCTCGACAGGTCTAGGATTGATCCGACTATCTTCGAGCGAAACTTTGGAAGGACTGTGGGCCTCGCGAGGCTGCTCGTCCTGGAGCGCCTCCCCACGACCAATTCCAGAGAGCAGTACATGAAGAAAAGGAGGGAGGAACGTGGTCGTCCCGATCTGGGCTATCAATTCCAGCACAAAATGCACGGGAACATCAAAGATGCCCACGAGGACGAAGTCGCTGACTGGGTCAACGAAGAAGAAGTGTCCAACTATCACACCTTCACGATTCCCTATGGTGTCAGATTCCATGCTAAGAAAATCGAGAAACTCTGCTATACTCGAGACCTGCGTAAGACACTGTATCCGGTACCTCCTGTTGGGGCCCTCCACTAACAATAATGCAGTTCTCAATGCCGAGTGGAACCAGCAGAATCAAGTCAAGCCTCGTGAAGTATACCTCCATCGACACCCAGCCTTCTTCGGCCGTGTTGAGGACGTAATTACCGACTGCTGCAGTACTTGTCCTCAACCTGTGACCCGGGAGGAACATGAGATTGCAGAGAAAGAGAGTGAGATTTACGTGTCGGGGAAATGCACCTTTCGAATCGAAGACCCTGGGAGACAGGTAAGCATAGATACCCTGAGTGTTTGTTACGACAAGTAGGTAATTTTCTTTAGCAAATTGGCAGCTTCCACCCCCTCACGGAGAACGACTGGACGGAGATGGCCTATGTTGGAAACACGGCACGTCTTTGCCAAGCGATTGTTGATGAGGATATTGAACATGTTGAAGACTGGCTGGCCCAGGAAGGAGCCGACTGTAACCAACGAGATTACACGGGCCGAACGCCCTTGCATCTGGCCACCAGCAGCTCTACACCTCAAATTGTAAAGTGCTTGGTAGATCATGGCGCAAGGCTTGTTGCCCGGCTCGGCGATGGAAGGACGGCCCTTCACTTGGCTGCTGCTCGTGGAAACGCCGACATGGTCAAGATCCTGTTGGACAAGAGCTCGGCCAACCAGGAGGAAGAGGAAGCAAAGCAGGACCTTCGTCGCAAAGCTCGAGATGTCAACCAAAATGATGACCAAGAAAGTCGGTATAGGTCAAATCAAGTTGCCCAGAGTGACTCGGACACTGAAGAATCCGAAGGCGAAATGATGGACGACGCAGATTCTGACGACGAAGTCCACTCGATTGCGACGGGATCCTTCGTTAAAGTCGGCAAAGACGATAAGACCCAGACGGATGAATCATTACCACTCGATGACAATGATAACGACCCCGACTTCTACTCCATCGACGTGGTCGCATGGGACTCGCACTGTTCCGCTCTTCACTTCGCCATTCTGGGCGGCCACGTTGATGTTGTGAAGCTTTTGTGTCAAGATTACGCTGCCGATGTCCTCAATCCCGTCAAGTTCGGCAATGGATCGCACGATGATTCTCGTGCGGCCATTCTGCCACTGGTTCTCGCCCTCGCTCTTCCGATAGAGAAAGCTGTCGTCATGGCTGAGATTTTGTTGAGTCTTGGCGCAACATCTTCACAAGCCGAAGTCAACGGTATCACAGCATTCCATCGATACGTTAAACATGGCGGCCGCAAGCTCATCGAGAGCCTCTTCGAGCACGATAAGATAGGACTAAAAGCGGCCATTAACCACATAACAGTGACTGGTTATAGCTGGCGCTCGAACGCTACTAGCCCATTGATGACGGCCATCGACAAGGGCGACGCGGTCCTTGTGCTGCGGCTGCTCGAGGCTGGTGCGAACCCTCAAATTGACTTCGATTCGTGGCTTAAGGGTGCCAAGGTGTCCTTTGAGGCGAATCTTGGCGATTACGAAAGGAACCAAGGTCACTTCAAGGAGTCGACCGAGCAACCCCTTATCATTGCCATCATGTCATCCCAACCTGGCATTGCTGTCGATCTCTTAGAAAAGGGAGCTGAATCGAACGTCATTACGAAGGACAGCCATGGTTTGGTGCAGTCCAAATGGTCTGTCAGCCACCGCAAAGGCCGGACTGCTTTGGATCTCGTTCGAGACTCCCTCAAAACATTACGCGAGTACACAGAGAACACTGCCCTCAACCATCAAGCATCTGGCAATAATCGTGGTTACTTCAATGCTGGTAAAAACACCCACCCCGAACCACCCGAGAGTCCCCAAGGGACTGACGAGTTCCTGCGCAAATTTGACAAAGACTCATACCAGCACTGGGTTGTATCAGCCGATATCAAGGAGAAATTAGATGACTATAAGGAAACACTCGAGCGCTTCGAGCAGGAGAAGCAGAAGCACTCCAACCAGGAAGGGCTACAAGAGAAGAAGCAAGCGATCCAAGATATCATCGTCCAGCTTGAAAGTGTCGAAGAGGCACTTCAGAAAAAGTCGGCCAAAACTTTCCGAGAGCTGTATCCAGAGATCCAGGAATCCAGCGCACCTTCGAACCATATTCAAACTGAAAAGTCTACGGCCTATTGCTTCGACTTCAACTTTCTTCGTGTCACTGATCTGACTGAGGTGCGGCGGATTGCGTACATCGAATTGTTCGAGGCAGCTTGGCGTGGTGATTTGGAGAAGATCAAATCACTGACGCTGGCCTCTTGGGGTGCCAGCGAGAATGAACCGCCACTCAAAATCGCAGTTTGGGATTCCAAGAACAACAATTGTTTCTCACTTGCCTTTTTGCGCGGACACCAAAATGTTGCCAAAGCCATACTCGAGATCGCACAGGCCCAGTGGTCTCCCAAGGACGAGAGCAAGGTGCGTTACACGATGACTGGAGAAGATTACGAGTCTTGCGAAGGTTCCAAGGTCGGCAGTGACGAGGAACAGCCCGAATTCTACAGGGAGATCGTCGACGACCAGTTCACTGTCGAGAACATCGGTCAGGTATCTATGCAGGTCAAGAGCCAGGTCTTTGCAAACGCGATGCTGAACTGGGACACCCCGACTTTCGTAATGCGCGAAGGGAGGGTTGAGGACTTGACAAATTGCGAAAGCTTGCTGTTCTTTGCAATGAAGACCAACGATCAAGCACGACTGAAGTTCCTTGTCGACATGGATATTTACCACACCAAAAAGCAGCCAGATCCGGAAGACGAGTCCGAATCTTCCCGGCTTTACGCGTTCCCAGAACGCGAATTCCAAGATGCCATCAGGCTGGGCCGGATCGACATGCTGGCAGATGTCATCAAACGCACAGGAGCTGGAATTCCCCTCGAGTAAGCAGTTCACCTATGCACACACTCTAGGCTGGCTTTCAGATGGATAAGACTCTAACTGTTTGTTTAGGCAACTCGTCAAGAAGAGCGGAGTTGAGATGAAGGCAAAGCCGCGTTACTACCAGGGTTTGACTGTATACGGCAAAAAGAGGTGAACACGTTAACACGAGGTTCCCCTTTTGGAGCTCTCACTGACTTTTGGTTTAGATCTGACTGGGCCAATGCGGGCCGGAATCTCATCGTTAGGGACACGGGAAGCAAGGCGCCTCCACTTCTAATGGCTGCCATTGAAGGATCTCTCAAATCTGTTCAATGGTTCGTCAGTGATACTCCCATGAATCATTACTTGGAGTTTGGCAAATCCAAAACCGCCATGGAAGATCCTCGTCTGAAGCATCTTAAATCATCTCAAGGGGGCTTTGACCGAGCTATTTCTAAATGGCTGGGCATACAGAGTAAGACAATCACATCAGCAAGCACGAAGTTTAGCTGACCATCCTAGACGACTTGGTTATTCATTGCGCTGTTATGGGGCCTCTTGCGGACGAGACCAACCGTGTCATCAAGTACTTGATTCAGGTTTGCCCCTTATCCTTGGAAACCAAATCGGATCATGGATATACACCCTTATACCTGGCATGCCTTCTTGGACGCGTTCAGTTTGCTAAGACGCTCATTGAAGCTGGTGCCGACCAGTCAGTGAAAGACACTAGCTTCAACAACATCATCCACGCAGCCCTGACAAACGGCCCCGAGCTCGACCAACTCCAAGAGTTATTGGATCTGCTGGATCCTGAGTTCAGATCTGATCTCTTCCTCCAGAGAAATCACCTTACTCACAACGGCGACACCCCGGTACACTTCTGGTTGAAGACAGCGAACCCTAGCCCTCACAACTGGGGCTACCGGGCTGAGGAGAACCTGAAAAACGTCGAAATCCTCAAGATGCTCTTGAAGTACTCAGGTGGTCATGACCTAGAGGCTTTCAATGGTTCCGGTATGACTTGTCTCCATAGCGCCGTCCTTCGTCAACTCCCGGAGCATATGAAAGTGATGCTGGAACACAACCCAAAGTTGCTGTACCGCGAGAACTCAGTGGGGAGAACCCCGGCCGAGATCGCCTACGACCGGTTCATCTTCCGCAAAGTTTCGCGGCCCGCGGGAGTCCAGCTCACCTATGAAAACCATAACATGTCCGTGGTCAACAAAAGCCCAGAGTTGTTTTTGAAGCCTTCCTTGGACTCGGCCAAGGAAATACAGGAGCTGGTCTGGGAAGTGGCGCAAGAATATCTACTCAAATTCCCCGGCAAGCGTCGCCTCGTAAGCCTGAATGAGGCCAACGACGTGGCGAGGCGGCTTGGCGAGAGCTATGCTTGGCAACGTTACTATTCCAAGTCGAATAATACTGCCGTCGATGCTGGCAATGACGACAGGGAAGATGAAGATAAGCCAGAGGATAAGGACAGCGACTTCGTCACGGCCCAGTATGCGACGAGGAAGAGCTTGGCTTGGGTCAAGGATTGGTTGTAGGAGTTTCAGCGCCCTGAGCGACATGATGGACTTGTGGGTACTACTTCCTTGGTCGGTCTACACTACTGAGGGTCTGTAACTTAGGATCCATCTCTACGCCGCGGGGGTTGCAGTTTGTGCTGTGTTTTATGTACTTGGCTCTCCTAGTCGTGTCGTGGGCGAAGATCAGGCAAGGATTGCTTGGGGATTGGCTGGGTTTTTCTCCCGTGCTAAATACGAATAACGAGTTTCTTGTTGTTTATCATACAATGGCAGGTGGTCGTAAGCCATCACTCTTAGCATTTCACTCATGTCAACCTCATAGGGAAACACTACAACAAAACCACAGACCAGCTTCACTCAAGTCTACCCGCTAGCTTGACCTTTCCTTCATGTGGCGGCTCTGATGATAATGCATGGACCTCGCGGAATTTCGACAACGCTATTTGCTTTCAAAGGTCTCATAATGGCCGGCAGTACTCGTAACTTAGTCATCTGCACATGAATAAGGCAGCTGTACAGAGCTGACGCTTCCGTCGCTCTAAGTCTCACCCGCTCTCTGATATCAGCTGAACTACACCATTGCCTAAGATGGTCTTGGCAGAACGTAATGCATATAAGTAACATCACTACACTGGTAATAAGCCGGATGTCCAACGCGCCTCCTGGGAAACCAACATGCAGAGCACACTCACTCACATGCAGGAACAAGACTCAAAGTGGGCAACAATGACTTCATGTCCAACCAACAGTTTGTGTTTGCACACCACATACAGTCATGTACGAAGCTTTCTACCCAGCGCCTTGACTCGTAGCCGAACCCAAATATTTGGTTGCCAAGCATCGCGTATATCGGATGAACTGAACTCAGCCGCAGAGATTCCCGGTGACAACGCAACCATATCCGCCACGCCCAGAACCGACGGCAACGAACTGTCTCTCTATTAGACCAATAACTGATTGGTCCCGGATCCTGCGGCTGAATCAGGGACAAAGGGGAGCTTTTCTACCGGCGCGACTGTCAAAATTCTATTTCTGGGCAGCTTGTGCTGACGGAGCCAAAACCTAGATAACCGTGGGAAAAGGTTCCAGGCCGTGAATCGCGACTTCTCGTTTATGCTTTGTTATCTTGGAGCTATGAAATTCGACACTAGTGAGATGTGGAGGAAAAGGGGAAAGGGAGGGGATGGTTCGAGTAGAGTTGCGTACTTAAGTATATACACAATATACAAGATCCTTCCTTGGTTGGCGCGACGGTGCCTGTGGATGAGCCAGCGCGTTTTTTATATTCATACTGTTTATTTCTCGACTCGTAACTCAGTTCGTATATACCAAAACTGGACAATCCGGACTCTTTGCATTTTTTACCCTTCCCCCCCATACGGTGCTCCTGAGTCCGCACTTTGTTTTTCTCAACCCATAGTTTTCCTTTCTGTTCCAAAATTATGGCATCTTTATCAACAGCCGCTAACACCACCGAAGTCCTAATCATCGGCGGTGGGCCCACGGGACTAACCCTCGCCCTCGAGCTGTCCGTCCAGAAAGTCCCTTTCCGGATAATTGACAAAGCTACCGTCCGAAGCGATAAAAGCCGGGCCCTCTCGTGCCAACCTCGCAGTCTGGAGCTGCTTATGCGGTACGGTGATTCTCGCGAGCTCGCCGCAAGGGGAAACGCGATAAAGGGTCTGCAGTACATCTTGAACAAGAAGGTCGTATCGACGGTTGAAACAGACGGCATAGACTTGAACGACACCGAGTTCCGGCAGCCCCTAATCCTTTCCCAGCACGAGACCGAGACATGGCTGGAAGTGAGGCTAGCGGAGCAGGGCCTCGCCGTCGAACGGGGTGTGACGGCTACGAGCATCGAGCAGGATGTTGATGGGGCTACTGTGCGATTGACTCTGCCAGACGGAGCCTGCGAGACGGTACGATGTCAATACTGCATCGGCTGCGACGGCGCGCACAGCTTCGTCCGGAAACTAGCGGGTCTGCGGTTTGAAGGCGAACGATACGCGTCCGAGTTCGCTTTGTGCGACGCACATGTCAAGTGGGAGCACTCGCTCAAACATATCACGGTGTGTATGGGTAAGCGTTGGATGGTTCTTCTGCCTCTGGGAGATGGCAGGGTGCGGATGGGCATGTGCACGGTGAAAGGCGAGGAGCAGCCGAGCCTGGAGCGGTTCCGGCGGGAGTTTAAGCGGCTTGTGCCAGGGCCATTCGAGCTATACGGTGCGGAGTGGTTGACTACGTTTCGGCTGCACCACCGAATTGCGGATGAGTTCAGGACGGAGCGGTTGCTCGTTGCTGGAGATGCGGCGCATATACATAGTCCAATAGGGGGCCAGGGTATGAATACGGGGATCCAAGATGCGGTCAATTTGGGGTGGAAGCTAGGGTGCGTGGTTCGTGGAGAGAAACCGGATTCGTTCCTTGATACGTACACTCAAGAGAGGCGACCGGTCGGGCTCAAGATCTTGTCCACTACGGATCGTATGTTTAACTTCTTGACGGGGACGAACTGGCTGTTCGTCGCCATGCGCAATCTCTTGATGCCTTGGGTTTTGCCACGGGTCTACGACACTCGTGAGAAGCGGGAGAAAATGTTCCGTTTCATGATGGAGCTGGGCCTGAACTACCGCCGCAGCCCCATTGTGGATAACACCAATGGGGTCGGGGCCTCCATCCAGGCAGGCGATCGCGCCCCTGACGGGAGACTTCAGGGGGCCGACGGAACAGACAAGCAGCTTCAGCAGCTGTTCAGGGGGCCGAACCATCATATTGTCGTATTCTCAGGGCTGGGGCCGGGTCGAGATGTCAAGGAGCAGATCCATGACTTCAGAAGAATCGTGTCTATGAAACAAGATATGCTTTGGAGAAAGGCCGAAATTCACAATATATGGTCGGAGGAGTTGTTTGCGAACTCAGGTCGGCTTGATGTTATGAATGCCCTCCACTTCCGGTACGGGATGACCGAGGCTGGATTTATACTAGTGCGGCCTGATGGGTATGTGGCACAGATAGGAGTTTTGCCGTACCTGCCACCGTATTAGGGGATTTCATGAATTGTTTTAGGTCCTACTGATATGACATATTGTCAGCATGAGTCGTTGTGACTGGGGAGTTTAAGGGTGCGCAATACATACTGGAGTGTCGTTATTTTGGCCTGTGTTAGTGGGCAGCATTGGGTAGTTTGCTATAATATATGAAAGTAAACTCTAATTCTTCAATCATGCCGAGCGCCAGATATTATCAAGACATCAAAGAGGTCCAGGTAGCTGGTGCCGATAATATCATTCAACTAGCGCATCCATTGTTGATGACACGAGCATCCCTGTGATCCAGCTGTATCGTATTGTTCTCAAACCAGAGTTGTGCCTTTTATTCCAATTTTCGGTTGCGTCACTTCGTGCCATCCTCTGCGAGTTTGAGAGAATGTCCTCCCTTGCAGGCATAAGTCGCAACAACTTCAATGGATGCCGTGTTGGCGTTGTTCTCAACCGTCCATAAATGCTTCACTTTTTGCTTTCACCTGTGCTTCATCGACAGTACCATCTGGATTCATCGATGGGCGGTTGGCAATGAGTCGCTATTTGGCGTCAGTAAATGCAATTGTGGCAAAACACTCTAAAGCCACACAGGGGACTTACGACCAGGTTCCGTAGGAGCACAGCTATCGTCACTTTTCCTACCGAAGGTACGTAGATCGATGCCTTCTCCTTGACTGCAGGACCATCAAAGTTCTTATACGAGGAGAAGTTGATGCATACTGCCCCATCCCGGATAAGCTCAGTTGGAACCTTGAACTTTTCCGATGGAACACCGCCGATAACAACGTCACTGATGGGAAGACACTGCTCCAGACCCCAACCTTCCTTGTCCTGGACTTGGTGGCGAGGTTGTTTTATACCCTGACCTCGAGTGAAGATTTGGACACCAGTCAAGTCGACTGAGTATACCGTAGCTCCGTCGTTGGCCAACAAAGCAGCTAACGGCCGGCCGTTTACCTCAGAGCGGTTGATGACGGTGATAGTCTTTCCAAAAAGTCGGTTACCAGAAGGCAGAATTGAGTTGTATATCTGAAGGTACTCGAGGATCTTGACTACTGCCAATGGTGTGCAGGGAAGAAGCGACTTCTTCTGGTTGTGCGGAGGATCAAGGAATCTAACATTGTGATACATGTTGTAGATATGCTTGTGGCAAAGACCCTCCACATCTCGAAGAAGTGAGACAGTTTCTTGGATGTACTTGTCATGGGCTGGGTTCCCAGGGAATATCGGGTAGTAGACAATGATGCCATCGACTTTGCTGTCTTCGTTGGCGGCCATGATCTCTTCCTCCAGTTGCTCTTTGTCCATCTGACGCAGATCAAAGTTGAATCCACTAATGCCAGTGAGCTACTGTCCAACTCGGCTTGTCCAAATTTGAATAAAGCCACAGAAGGAGTTGAGCTTACTTCTCTTCGCAGGTCTTCTTTGACCACTCAGCATACTTGGCAGCCGCTGGATCTCCATTGGCCAGGAAGGCTGCTAGGGTCGGTTTCCCTTCAGTGTCTTGCTGAACCGTCTTCAGGGTTTCTTTCACTTCAGCCAACAGGCCTTTGGCAATTGTGTCTGCCAGGATGACCTTGCAGGTCTTCGGTACGATTTGAGATGCCATATTTCTATGCTGAGTTCGATTGAGAGAGGGTCAGCCGTGGCTTTTTAACATTGCAGACTCTGTGCCAGATGACATATGGGTCATGCACAACATGCTTTCCTTACTCACATGCCCCACTGCCCAAGGATTCCACGAACAAAGCAAAGCGGACGATGATCTCCACGATAGATCGGTAGTAAGAAAACACTGAGTACTCAGAGGGCGGTGACTCGAGGAATACAAACGATAGAAAAATCTGGATGAATTTGTACAAGAAAAAGAAGCAAATGGGAACTTAGAGAATGTATGGAGGCTCATACTGAAAACCAATTGGTTGGAATAATTGCAAAGTGGTACCTGTCAGTATCCCGTTCCCTGTGCAGTGGGCATCTAGCGTATGTCCCTGAAAAAATTGTTACCCCTCCTACCTGATATGGATTAGCGCCATCTACCCGCCGTTTGTGGGTAAGATTACCGCGGTGGACAGGGAGTGTCAAAATTGGGGAACTAAAGTTAGCCTATAGGGTGCTGCTGCAGGGCCTGTGCAATTGATTAATCAAACCGACGATGGCAACAAATTGGAAATATCGCAATTGAAGCCTTTCCAGTTGCCATTTTCCTGTGACTTTATTTGCGTTAAGAAACTACAGTTGCGCTAGTGCTATTAGAGTGACCGCCTTTGCCGATAACAAGGTTCTGCCGTCATCGGCCTCCGATAAGGAACTTTTGGAGGTGGGACAAAATAGCCCGGCATCATGAAGTTACTTGAGCAGCACAGGAATTCCACTTTCAGCGTGACTTACCTCCCTGCACTTCGGTACAATCACATCATCTCGATAACTGCAGCATAATCAATTATCTGCAACCGAAACAACCAATCTTTCCATCACAATATGTCATGTTGATTTAACTCATTGCCAACTCGCCCGTCACCCACACACCGGCCATGGCGACCACTCTGGACCCGGCAACCTTGCCGGACACCTTTGACAAGGAGACGCTGCAGCAGGTTGCAATGAATTTCGTACTTGAGGATGATGAAGACAAGCGCCGTGTCCTCGTGACTGCAGTTGCGAATGCGATCAAGAGTTCTGCAGGCAGCAGAACAATTGTTGGGCACTGGGTTGCGTCAATAAATCGATGGATGTCGCATGGCTGGCCCCTTGATTTACAGGAGGCAGAGGACGACGACATCATAGGACGCGCAAAAGCCTTAGACTTCCTTGCAAGTACTCTGGTTTATCTCGAGAAGGACGTCCTCAAGTTCGATCAAGGTAAACCGTTTTTCTTCATTGCCATCACCTGCAGACAAGCAGAAGAGGGCGTCAATAGTGAGAAACCATGGAGAAGGGAGACCCGCACTCTGCATTTCATATCCTTTGACGCCTGAGGCATCCACTACATTAAGGTGCTTGGATGGAATAAATATTGAGGGGTAGAAGTCATGTCACGTCTACGCTATTGAGCGCATCCTTCGTTGCTATCGCTATAGGAGACCGCTATACTAACAAGGCTATAGTCAAACTTCTCATCGGCTTCTTCACTTCGCTCTTCTCCTCAGATCACCAAGCTGGAATCGCCGCATCTGTGAAAGCACTACGGGAACTGAGCAGGATGAACACTTTCCAACCCTCACTAGGGGATGGCATTATCATGAATGTCACTAAGCTTGGAGAAGATTTCAAACGCCAGACGCTAGCAACCCGTCTAGCAACCTACGAACTAATCCTGGCGCTTCTGAAAGATGCCCCTGTAGCCAAAGAGCTGCATTTCAAATACGGGGAGACCTGTGGGTTCATGACAGGCCTACTTGACCTTTGCCGAAACGAGAGAGACCCCCAAAATCTCTTGAAATGGTTCGAGATTCAAACAGTGTTCCTGCAAAACTTTTCCCCTTCCAAAGATATTGCGGCTGAGGTTTTCAAAGTCTTCTCGGCTTATTTTCCCATCACATTGCGAGCATCAGCAACACCGTCAGGGGTGACTGTCGACGACTTGAAAGGCTCTCTGAGATCTTGCTTCGCCTCGCACCAGCGCATAGCAGACCTAGCTATACCCTTCTTGATAGAAAAGTTGGATCAAGGAGATGCTGTAACTGTTGCTGTCAAAGTCGATATACTCCAGACGTTGCAGGCATGCTTGACCCAGTACCAACAAGCTCAACAATCCGTTGTGCCCTATACTGATCAAATATGGGCGTCACTCAAGTACGAGGTGCGGAATGGCGAAATCCGTGACTCGATCGAATCGACCCTTAAAGTTATTGGCACATTGACTAAACGACTGGATGGGGAAAGTCTCGATCAATTCTTCCACACAGCCTGGACAGACTTAGCCGATGACTTGTCCAACCCAACCTACACTTCACAAGCAGGCCAATTACTTACGGCTTTCTCCGGGGCCACTCCTCAGGCATTCTACTTGTCGACTCCACGAGCATTGAGCCATGTCAAGGCAACCCTCAAGCAATCTAAATCCACACACCACCAGCTTAAGCTGCTCTCTCTGCTTAACTCTCTACTCTTGGTCCGATCAAGCTATGCCGAGAAGGATGTTAGCAAGCCATCCGAGGCAAATACCAGCTTGGGACTGTTGCAAGACGTGCAGTTTGGCGATGTTCTTTTCGAAGATGTATATGCGCCTATGTGGAGAGAACATGATCATAGCTTGCAAGTTTCGGATGAGCAGGTCGAAATCATAAAGAAACTCATGGGTGGCATGGCTTCCTTGGCCGTGGGACATGCAAATAGTGATGCCGGGACGAGTCGTCACTTGTGTTCGGATACCGTCCGCGAAAAGATCTGCCGCTGGCTTGAGATGCCCATATTATGTCCTCTCCAGGGCATTAAGTTTCGCAATGGTGCGCAAGACCAACAAGAGGCCGAACTTCGCAATGATGCTACAGAAGCCTTGAAGGAAATAGCACCGCTATATCCTAGCGGCTATCGACAGCTGCTGATGCACTTTCTTGCTTCCCTCACGAAAGGCATCGAAGCTCGCCCCTATACTTTCTATCCAACGATCTACGATGTCACGTCAAGATTGTGTAGAATAGGCTGCGCATCTATCTCTGAAGGGCATCCTTTGTCGAACATTGTTTCGCTGATCAGCACTCTGTTGGAAGGACTTGATGCGATGCTGAGCGTCGCACCTGATCCGGTGTTCTGGACCGTCATAGTCGCCTCCATCGAACTTGCTATCTTGGAGTCTATGAGTATGCTAGATTTAGGCCAGATTGAGAAATCCTTACGTAAAGAGAACACTACCGTCTCTCTCTCGGATGGAGCGATCGCCTGGTACCCTGGATTCAGTAACTCCGTCATCGGGTTGCCAGAAATCGACATTGGCAAGCATGGTGACCTTGAAGTCGCAGCCACAAGCTTGGAGAAGTTGAACAAGGGCGAGGCCAATATCTACCGGCAATATCTAGGGTATTGCCTCTTCACCGTGGCACAGATATACCGCCGTGTCACTGCCATTAAACCTACTGATTCTACCTGGGGTATTGGGGTTAGTACCGACATCCAGGAGAAGATTAACATCCCTGCTCGGCTTGATCAGTGCTTCATCCACCTGGGCCACATGGCAACCATTGTCATCAGGGCCCTCCCTGCTGAGATCCAGAAAGAACTTGGCTTCTGGCGTGATGCGTTTGTCATGTTCCGAGGCGATGAGAAATTGCCCGAGGGAAACGATACCCTTTGGACGGCAGTAACTGCGAGCAGACCGGTTGCAATCAGCTCCGCTGACCAATATCGCACAGCTCCTTTAGCATTGGGCATCCTATCGGGTCTATGGCCTTCGGAGATGCTTGATTTGGTAAGTTAAGCCTGCTTCCTCCCCCTTCCTTGTGCTATATCGACGTGCCATATGGCCTGGCGATAAGCATTTCTCTTCGGCCTTGTTTGTACCAACAGAACACCAGCCCAGTCTGTACATTGGAACATATGCCAAGAGAAATGCTTATCCTACACACCGAACACTAATCATTGTTCATCTGCTGTTGAGACATGACTAATATGAGCTAGTATCCACTCGGAACCATGCAGAGGTTATGTGATACCCTCGGCAAGTCTATCTCGCCTTGCTTTGGAGATGCAACACGCTGTGCCCTCAACGCAATTCTGGCGTGCTTATCCAATAAATTCACCGAGTCGAACGCTGATGCGGCTCAATACTGGGGAAAAGCCTACCACACAGCAGCAGGGTCCTATGGAAAGGTCATGAGAAGGGCGGCCGGAGACGGTCCAGATGTGACTGCGTCTGTGGCCATCTTCAAAAGTGTCTTGTACTTCCTTGCCGGGGATATTGCACGATTTTCGTCGTCCAAGGTGTCCGAGTCAGGCTCGAACTGGCTGCTCCGACTGATTTGCGCGGGAGCGCCGGCGGAAATCACCATGGGTCGGCAACTCGCACAGTGTTTCGGGATCCTCGTCGCTCCTAAGGAATGCCTCGAGCCGGAAAACCATGCAATCCTCAAAAGACTTCGCGGTCAGTGGGTCTATGGCAATACGGTTCAGCCTCACCTTCCAAATTGCTTCCCTCGACCTGGTATTGTGGATGAAAGAGTCGCAACAAATCAAGCGATAGCCACCTTTGCCATCCTGAGGCACCTGAAGTATGCAGAGTATCAGAACGATATTGAAATGATTGTCCGGGTCATCATTCGATCCCTCGTTACGTTCAAGATAAGCCAAGACATGTGTTCGGCATTAATTGTTCTGCTTGAAATTCTCGCCCACGAACCCGAGCAGTTCAAGGAGCATCTGAATACCCTCACGACACATATCCTTTCTGTCTACCACATGGCGCTCATGGTGAGCAGGTCGCTGGAAATCGCCGGCAAAGGAGAGGCGGAGCAAGCGGAAGCCGTTACATGCCGAATTTCGGTGCTGCATTTCCTCCATGGTTTGCCAGAAAGCAAAGGCCTGGAATCACGATACCTCTTGCAGTATCAACAGATTGTGACTCGTGGCCTGGCTGTGGCGTGCGGCGATCCGGTGCGAGAGGTACGAGGAATTGCCATCAAAGCCAAGCGTTTGTGGCTCAACGTGGCGTAAGGGTATGGCTATATGGGCAGGGCTTAGTTTTCTCTGAGGGAGTTGCCTCGTCAGAGATTTGATATGGCCAACATTACATGAGACATGGCATTGAAAAGTGGCTATTTTATAGGCCGTAGACATAGACGCGCACGAGGCGTACTGGTGTAATGTTTTAATACACATCAAGCAGCATGCGCAAGTCAGCACGACAGTAAAACCAGGGGGGTTGTTCGTAGTATATTTGTGACTCTTGCCCCATAATATAGATAACCTTGACTAACTGTTGTGTTAACTCACGCCTTTCTGCGCTTCGACTTTTTGCCGGAACCTGCCTCTGCACCCGTCGTCGAACCAGAACCTGCAGCCAACTGATCGAGCAAGCCCGGGTCGAGGTCCGCAAAGTCTGAGCCTGATTCCGATTTTGCTGCCCTCTTCGGATCCGCCTTAGCGATCATGGGCACAGAACTAGCTAGCACGGTCTGGAAGGGCGGCGCGATAAAGTGACCGGCAGAATCGAACCATTCGGTAAATGACTTCGCAATATCGATGGTGCTCTGCTTCCCTGCCTTGCTCTTAACGGTGATCTTCACGTTGTAAATGGGCACGTTCTTCTTCGTCGAGGTCGCGATAGAGATCTATACGGCTTCCCGTCAGCTCCTACTCTGCCGCCATGCTCGGAAATGCTGGAGCAACATACCTTTTCCCCATCGGGCCCAACACCCTGATACACAGTCCCCTTCTCAACAAAGCTGATCCAATACGTCAGGACGGTGTTCAGGAGGGCGTATACGGCGACCGCAGCGGCCGTATAGTACTTTGTGCTCTCGAAGCCGATCTGATAGTCCCAGCCGAAGCAGGCGGCGGCAACGGCGAAGGCGCCATAGCCGAGGGCTAGGCGCGTATCCAGCAAGGTGTGTACCTGCTTGAATTTGAGGGAGTTGAGATAGTTGGGGATTGCATCATCTGAGGTGTTCTTGAGGTCTGGTCTTTGTTAGTGAGGTTCAAGTACACCTAAATGGCTGACAAAGGAAGGACGGAAGATGCTGACCCGCTAGGTTGTGGACGGTGATTTTTTCTTGGGAAGCCATTGCGAGTTTGCTTGCAACACAGGCACTATTGTCAAGAAGGCCTCGTCTGTTGACAAGATCTCTCAAGCTTTAGAATGTTGTCGACTTGCAAGTGCGAGGCCAGCTTTCAATTCATGGATGTCAGCTCAAGGGCCCACTTCAGCTTGACAGCTCGCCAGTAAGAGCAAGACGTGGCTTTTCAGCAGCTGGTCCGAGCTTCATTATCCCTAATGACCTCAGCTGAGCTTAAACACAACCTCAAGTCCGCTGTTCGGGTTGCAGCTCAATCCAGACGAGAAGCTCCAAGTCACCAGCCCCCAAGTCGCTCTCCGCTATGGCCCAACTACCGCCTCAGACGATCCAACGGGATCCCCAGTTATTGTAAGCGCACCCAGCAATACGTGCAAAACCGAATGAACTGGTATTAAAAGAATACTTCGCACCAACACACTGACCCCTCGTCTAGCTACTGGATCCTGTTCCCCATCACCGCCGTCATGATCCTCACAGGCATTCTCCGCTACTACGCAACAGTCCTGATGGCCACCCCGCCCAAGCGCCTCGAGCAACCCGCCATGAAGGAGCAGCGATCGCTGATGCACGGCGTAGCCCTGCGTAGCAACTTCCACGCCCTGGCGGCTCCCTCCTTCAAAGCCCGCCGCGAGCAGCTCACCACGGCCTACGAGTCAGGTGCCTACCTGAAGGACCCCGAGCGCCGTGGCCAGCCCGCCCCCAACCCCATGACGGACCCGGGCGCCATGGACGGCATGATGGGCATGATGAAGAACAACATGGCTATGATCATCCCCAACACTTTGATCATGAGCTGGATCAATGCGTTTTTCAGCGGATTTGTCATTTTGAAGCTGCCGTTCCCGATTACGATTAAATTCAAGAGCATGTTGCAGGCGGGTGTGGCTACCAAAGAGATGGATCCTAGGTGGATGTCGAGTATTAGTTGGTACTTTTTGTGTTATTTCGGGTTGCAGTTTGTTTTCAACTTTTTGCTGGGCAGCGATAATGGTAAGCTCTCATACCCCAAGTCCACGGCCCGGAACGAGAGGCTAATTCGGACGCAGCCGCAAGCCAGATGGCTCAGCAGGTGCAGGGCATGGCACCACAGGCACCCAACATGTTTGGCCCGGGTGTTGATGCTGACAAGCAGTTCTTAGCTGAGGCGGAAAACTTGGCCGTCATTGATCACTATTCCGTTCTGGATGGTGTAGAAGAGAGATTGCTCCAGGATTTCTCTAAATAGGTAGAAGGATAAGCGTGAGCCACACATCCACGAACCACACAATAGCTATGCAAATACCAGAAACGCCATCCTATGCTGTTTTCCTGTGGAAAATCGGCACCTGGTCCTCTTGCCGGAATACTCACCCAAGAACCTCATGATTAGCCATCCCACCACAAACACACACCGAGACCCTCCTTCATCATGGTGCCCCTGACATTGTAAGGCGATATCTTCTTGGCCTTTTCCGCTGCGTCATCAGCAGTACTGTCAGGCGCCTGGTCGTGCCAGACCTCGTCTATCACCTGCAGCCGAACCATTTCGTTCTTGTCGTAGAAGATTCTGTCCTCGCCCTCCTCCATATTCCATGTCCATACCTTCTGGTTGTGGTCGCTGCAAACGTCAATAGATATTTCGGCGGAAACAGCCCCAGGGACACGCACAACTCAGTTGACTCGGGAAGCTCCTTGAAGTGCACAAAGATTTCCTCAAAGAAATCTGTACGAACTGGAGGCTGGTCAGCATATCGACTGTCTCTCCATGATAGAAGACACATCATACTATGAATCCCTTCTGGTGTCGCACTGCTGATTTTGCCAACTATAGTCTCCCCCTTGAAGGGTCTGAAGACGAGGAGTCGGAACTCGACTATAACCAAATAAGCTTTTCGTGTCCAAATTTATTGGGACAGGGAGATAAAAATCACCATTGATGTTTACCAGCCCAGTGCCATGACCAATCAAGCCTTCTGAAGCCCAAATGAGGTCGTACATGCAGATACAGAGACCGATCTTCTGAATGACTCGGTTCGAGTACTTCGCATTGATGTTATCCTCAATGGCTTGTCGGCTCTTCTTCTCGAAATCTCCTGGCGTGACCTGTACGAGGTCCGAAATTTTCGTCTGCATATTGTTAGTAAAGTAGTTTGAGATTTGGGGCGGTAGACTGACCAATATAAACATAACTGCGACTTTGCTCTCTGCCTTGAAGCAATTCGCCTCATGAGATTTAATTCCTTTCACGGGCTTTAGGTTGATCGATGGTGGGGTACAGAGTATTAGTGCACCGGACTTAGTGACTGGATGCAAGGATTTTGCTACGGTACGAAGTAGGCGCTCGGACTCTGCAGCTCAGTGACCCGGGTCGTCAATTCGGCCTGTTATTCCGGTGTCGAGCATCCACCAGCTCTGGCATAACAGTGGGGCTCAAAGCTGTCGGTCTTGCCGACCAGAAAGCAATTCCATAAGCTATCCCTTTCTGCTTCGTACAGAAGTGACGACCAACACATTTTGGGAGTCTTGGTGCGAAGAAATCAATATCTTTCGGCGAAATTCTCAAATAGTCTGAAGGCTGACCTCTTTAATCGTTTTCTTCGATTTAGCCGTCTCCAGATACTGAGGTATCGGACTCGCAACATAAAGATTTGCACCGCCGTCTCCCTTCGAGCCTAACACTCTTCTTCGACGACGAGCAGCTGGTGCCTTTTCATCGTCAATTTCCTCGATCGGCGTTGCGTGCTCACCGGTTAGACTGACTGCCTCATCAGCCGCCGTCGTTACCGTCCAACCGCGAACCACCTCGATTATTATTCTCGACGACACCAGTCAAGGTTGTTCACTAAGCAGACCACGGAACTTGACCGGTGCAAAAGTATTACCAACCCTTTACGTCGGGCATTCGCCAGCTTAAACCCTTGCCTGGTTATTTCAAATCAAGCAAGGCACAACCCTCCCAACATAGCGACAATATACTTGGGTGGACCTGGTTCAGACAAGCTGACACCATGGCCGGTCAATATTCGTACCCGCCTCCTCCGCCCCCCCCTTCATCTGCTTCCACTGGCTATCCTTATGGGCAGCCCCAGACATACTCTCCCGCACCCCCTCGTGGCGGTGGGAGAGGTCGTGGCCAGCATCAGGGACCTAGCCGAGGTGATTATGGATCTCCTTATGGCAGCTACCCTCAACAGGACTACAATTCTCCTCACACTGCCTCGCCGTACAATCACCAAGCACCCAGCAACTACTGGAGTGGCAGTCCCCAGATGAACCCCCAAGTACACAACGCTCCGCTCCCCCAGACCAATTACCACCCGAACTATGCGCCGCAAGGGTATGCGCCGCAGCCCCATGCCACTTATCCCACGAGTGCATACCCAACCAACGGCCAACGACCGTCATATCCGCCCGCATACAACCCGCCGTCAAATGATTACTCTGCGACTCAGTCGTGGAGTGACACTTCATCGCCTTTCTCTTCACATTCTACCAGAGGTGGACGAGGTGGATACAGTGACCGAGGTGGTCACAGGCCAGAGCAAGCAAGTGGACAGGTTCTACGTATGGGCTTTGACCAGAACGCTGGTCATGGCACTCAAGCGAGCAATGGCTACGCCCCGCCCTATCCACCCCCTGCCCCTCAGCACCATTCTCTAGCACCTTACCAGCAGCCGCCATACCACAGTTACCCCCCTGCTGCAGCTCCTTCGTACTTGACGTCTTCTCAGAACTCGCACTCCTTTAATAACAGAGGTCGTGTTCGTGACGGGTTTTCGAGCGGCAGAGGCCGAGGCGGCCACAACGACCGTGGCGACAAGTTTCGCAATCGCGGCGGCCAGCGCTCTTATCACGACCACAACTCGGCTCAGAAGTCTGACCACTCTGCCAAAAAGAAGAAGAGGAAGACAAATACCCTCGGTCTTACCCCTGGTGACGAAGAGTCCGATGACGGCTCAGGTGATGAAGAGAAGCATCTGACCGACCTTCTCGGCCCCGATGTTCCTGTGTACGTGTTTTAAATTTATTATATCTCTTGCTGATTCGTACTGATCTTCATTTTTGTAGAATCTCTGATTTAGCAGATTGGATTAAGGAGCGCAAGGCAAATTTTCCCACAAAGGCACGTATCGCAGCCAAGCAGGCTGCAGAACAGGCCAAACGCGCCGAAGTCGGTGATGCTCAAAAGCCTACTTCCAAGATCGACAAAGACGTGAAAGAGTTGGAGAAACTGAAAAGAAAGATGGCCAAGATAGAGGACAAACTTAAGAGAAAGCGAGAAGCGGACGATGAGGGTGATGACATGAGGGTAAACGAAATCGAGTCTTCTCTCTCCTCTTCAGATGATGAGAAGCCTGAGTCGCTGTCGACTCGTAAGCCTTCGCACCAACCCCCTCCTCCAATGAACCGTGCAGACCCGACCAACCACTGCAAGTACTACGCCACGGGTGGCACCTGTGGGAAAAAGGGCAAGTGCCGATTCAAGCATGATCCCGCGGTGCGAGAAAAGGCCCTTCAGGAGCAGGCAATGAATGGCGGACGCATGACTCTGAAACAGCTACTCTTGCGGAATGACAAACACAACGACGATCTTGCTGTTCTTCAGAGCATCGCGACCCTTAAAGCTACTGGGAAGCTCCCACCATCGGGATCACTCCCGCCCACCAATCCCACAACATCTGTTCTAATCCATCCATTGCCAGCCAAGGTTGAGTACGTATCTCAGCAATCTCAACCCCCTCCAGGTCTTGTGTCCACTCAAACTAACAAGAAGGGTGCAAAGAAGTCTCTAAAGCGGCAGGCCCAGAAACCGAGCAACCATCGACTCGATCTCCGCTCTGCCTCTCGCTCTCACCCTGCCAGCACAAAGGCATACTCGAACGTTTCGAAACATGACCCATTCAAACATAGCTTCTCGAAACACGGCTCCCACGTGGATGTGATGAATTATCGACCGCCTGTACACACTTTGCTAAAATCCCCTGCTAACGCAGACCTTCGCTCAAAATATGTTCCGAAACATATATATTACGAGGATCCGCGCAGCAGTACCGCTCGGGACCTTCAACGCTCCCATGTCTCTCCTTATTTCATGGAGGCTCGCCCAAAGAAGGCTTTGGGGTGCCTTCCAAAATACGACTTTCACAACATGCGTGGCTCTCGGTGGCGTCAAAATCCGCTTGTCCGGTCTCAGTCTGGATCGGGAGCAGTTCGACCAAACAAGGCGTCGAAGCCTGAATCGAAGAAGTTGCGTGTTCCTCCTCGGGGCCAACTTTCCCCATCCTCCTCCATTTCCATCAAAGCGGAAGACCGTCTTGAGAAGCGTTCTAAAGGAGACTTCTACACAAACTTGCGGGGCTTCGGGTTCAACACCAATTTTTAGGCATTGCGGTCGAGAGTTTAGACTCGCATGGAGTTGCTTGCTTTGTGGGTCGGTCAAAATACTCGGGCATAAGTCTGTGGGAATTCGGGTGCTCAGTGGGCACCAGATTCTCAGAGCCGTGATCGTTTGAGACAACAAGTTACTCTCCCCCCCATTCATCATGTGATGAATGGGAATGAAATTTATTCATGCCATGTGGCACGCGACAGTAGAGAATATCCGATTTTAGCATTTTCCAATCCGTCGACTGGTTTGCGCTGGCCTCGCTGACTCTCCATTCTGGCAACATCTGCCAGTCATTGGCCGACAACCCGCCTCGCAGCCTATCTGACTCCACATATGATTATGTGCTTTTGGGGAGATGCAGTCGCCTATGGTGTCAAGAAGCCATTGCCCTTCCACCAACTTTTCCCTTGGAGCACTGACCCTGGGCGGAAAGGCATTGCTCTGTCGAAGTTCGGCAGACGCTCCTGCTCTACGAGGCACGATAACGACTCGTTCAGACTCATGGCTGTACACTTATGTGGTTCCCTCCTTAGCACTGTTTCGAGTTTCTTTGATTGTTCCCCTTATCTCCACCCCCTGCATACACTTTTGGGAAGTTATAGTGAGTCATTTGATTTCGAGAGAAGGCGTTGGTGTTTAAAACAGGTGGGCATTGGCACAAAGTTGTTCGCAGTTCGGCCAGCCCTTGGGACGCAATAGGAGAGCGTCACGCATGGGTGATATTATTTTGGCACGGGAGGTTGGTGGGCTTGAATCTCTTCATAGCATCTCCGGCACAAATATGACTATAGACTGCATCTAACACCTGGCAAACATTGCTCGCACTTCGCTATGAATTCTGAAGTGTACTATTCGGTAAAATACCGCTATGATGCTTTTCAAGATTGAGCCCATGCAACAGAATCAACATTGGCCACACGGTATCTCTTTAGCTGGCCCAAATTATGCCTTGGTAGGACATTGCAAACTCCAAAACGCCATTTGATGCGTAATTTCTGTTGTTTCCTTCTTCAACCCTTCCCTTCATTAGCCGGATGCGCTTACACGAGTAGAACAGCGTTCACACAGCCGTCGTTTTCCTAAATAGCCAGAGTCAGCAATTGCTTTTCCAGTTCTCGGTATGATTGGGAGATCTGGGCCCTGAATCTTGCTTCGGGGGTCAAAGGTCCACGAGGTGGCCTTCCCGGAAAGTTTTCTCTGCGCACAAGGCGCAACATGGATCGATCGGATTCACTTACAGGCGTGTTTGCTGTGGATTATTGCTTAGCTTTTAACACTTTTTGCCAGATCGAAAAGGGTCAACTTACTGATTTGAGCGTAGCGGCCCCATGCCACCTTGCCCGAGGCTGTCACCAAACCAACTGTATGTCTCGAGTTAGAACGACCCACTCCTGCGATGAATCTGATACGTATGGCTAGGGAATAACCTACGTTCGCTGACATTGACCTCCACCACGGTTCCCTTTGTCAAAACACCGAGTTGCGTATACAACGGGTTCTGTGGGTTCCTGTAATATGCGGGTTAGTCGATACTATTTCAAGAATCTATGGGGCAAGGGATTATTTGAATGCACTTACTTCTTGACACTGATAATAGGTAACTGCACAGTGACTCCAAGTTCGGGATCTGAAAGGGGTCAGTACTTGAGTTTTCGACAAAGATTTGAATCTCGATTTGGGGTTTACAAGCAAGAACTCCCGAGATAAGAAGTTTTTGCTTTCAACCTGGTCGAAAAGGGGTTATGTAGAACTCCAGGGGTTGCATACGTGTCACGTTCGCCTTCTTGTAGCGCAGACCCATAGGGCTATTACTTAGTTAGCAGACGTTTCTTGGCATTAGAACTTAGAACTGTATGCTGACTTACCGGATAAACCGTTCGTACTTGACGGGTCGTCTTTTCGAGAGTTAGTAATGCCATAGAAAATCACCAGGTGATGCATAATACCTCGTGAAGTCGGGGCCAACGAAAGTTGGCTTGGTGACCATTCTCTGTACGCGGATTAGCAATTAAACTCTATCCCTTAGTGAAGAAGCTTCTCCATACCTTCCATGCTTTCTTGTGCGTCTTCTTGCCCGTGTTGATGACCTTAAACATCTCCTCCTCAGATATACCCTTCACTTTGGGTAGCGGGACGGAGTATCGAGCAGCCTTATCCTGACGCTTGTTCTTGATTGCACTGCTAAGGGCCTTGGCCGTCGTGGGGTTCTTGCGATCCAGAAGGTAGTTGGGCAAAGGGGTGGTGGGGTCCTTGTCGGTGGCGGACTTGATGTTTCGCTCCTCGTGTTGCTTGATACTATTCACGGTCAGTTCCAACAACTTGACATAACCTCATCTCGTGAGCTCTCTCTTACGTCTTCTTCATTTGGATCTGTTGAACGAGTTAGCCATGTCATTCTGCAGGCGTATGCTGAGAGAACCAACCTTTTCCTTATGCCTCTTCTCCGCATACATCTTAGCGCGCAGTCCACGCAGATTCTGGGCATCTTCGCTGGCCTTGTGGCCAGAACGAGCTTCCTTCTTACGGGCTCTCTCCTCGTGATCGAAACGGCGACCGTGTAGGCGGCGCCATCGATCCATATACCTGGGATGCTTGTTAGCGTTGGCGCATTGAACAAGGTACATCTGCATTTACTCATTCTGAGGCATCTTGAGTTCGGTGCGTAGTCGTCGAAGGACTTGAAGATGCTGGAGTGGATGTTCGGCAGTGATGCGGCGGGATGGCTTCTTACTCCAACGCAGAGTTGAAGTAAAAAAGTGCTTATCGATAATGCCTGTACGTTGACCCGCCACTCCCCCAAAAATATCCACCTGGACAAGAGTGGGGCCAATCGTTGATTGGCAGCGTCAACTAGGAGCTTTCCAGGCCTCAATTTTCGCGAAGTAGACGACAAAGAAATCGCCAACTCAACGCACAACTCGATAGATTGACCAAGTTCGAGGGCACAATCATGAGCCGCTCACTCCTCCGCTCCGTCCTGGAGATGCGGACGCCCCTGACGCGTCTCCCACCATCATTCCTACTGCCTATCCAGGCAACGCGCTCTCTTTCCACGACGCAGCAGCACATCGATCCCGTCCCGGCACCAGCTCCCACTCCAGCTGCATCTTCTCCAGCTCCTGTGTCTACAACTCCAGCGGTAGCAGAACCCCCAAAGAAGCACGAAAGATTCTACCCCTCCGACAACGGCATCCTCTACCCCAAACAACCCCAAAACCCGCCCAAGCCATCGCCGGAAGCCGCCCACTCCCTGAGCCAGCTGCTACCGCTCCTGCGCGCCCAGCCCGCGCACTACATCACAGCGCACATCCACGGACAACCGTACCTCGTGACTCCAGGGGACCAGATCCGGCTGCCGTTCAAGATGCCTGGTGTGCAGCCGGGGGACGTATTGCGGCTGGACCGGGCCTCGGTGCTGGGGTCGCGCGACTACACGCTCAAGGGGACACCGTACATTGACGAGCGCCTGTTCGAGTGCCGCGCCACCGTCACCGGTACCGAGAGCGAGCCCTTGCGCATCAAGGTCAAGACAAAGCGGAGGCAGAGGAGGAACAGGACGGTTAGGAGCAAGCATCGGTATACCATGCTTCGTATCAGCGAGTTGAAGATTCATGGTGCGGAGGCTATTGGGTTGTAGAGGGTAGTTGGTGGAGGTGGAGCGTTGAGCTTTTGGAGACGGGTTTGTTTGACGGATAGATGGGTGGGTGGAGAGTGCAAGCACCGTATCTGTGATATGCGGCCTCTTCTAAAAAGGGGCTGCTTTGTAGACTATACGTAAACGATGGGTTGGGCTGAACGAAGAACTGAACGAACAGCTAACCAGGCAGCCATTCAATGGGCAAGCAAAACTGTATAAGACCACCAAACTCATACTACACGAATGACCCTTCATGACCTGTGGCATGTGTAATGAATGAATCGCATTGTTCATTAGAAAATCGATTTCAAACGTCGCTAAACCAAAACTTTCAATGCCTAGCGGCTCGTATAACTATCATCCATGCCAAGCTTCAAAAACTCCATAGCTATGACATCCATCGTGAAACAGAACAAGCGGCCTTTTTCCAACAGAACACTAATCCAAACATATCCTTCACACCGACATCGACAGCCATGCTGTCGGTAGTGAGAGCGCCAGAAGCCGATCGTCCAGAGACCAGAATTCAAACATCCTCAAAGGGGGTATAATATAATCAACATCACCGCACATCCTTCCCAACCGCCTTTGCAACACTGCCCCAATATGCACCGGGCCATATACTAATCGCCTCGGCTTCCGTTGGCATCCTCTCCCGACAACGCGCAACCACGCTTTGGATGATCCTACCAAGCAGCTCCTCGCTCACCGGCAGCTGGCCCTCGGGTACTTCGACGGGGTACAAAAACGGATCTTCCATGCTCAGCAGCTCCTGGCATGTAGGTCGCAAATGCTGATCACGATTCAGACATCGCTTCATGGTTCTCAACAGAGAAGGGGGAACAGGGACATCACCCATGCCACGCTCGCGGAACGTGATAGCATAGTCCCAATCAATGATGGCGTGACACCGAGCCATCGGATTAGGGATGTGCCCAAAAGGCGGCGTTCCGTAGACCATTTGGAACAGGATACAGCCTAGACTCCAGATGTCACTTGGCTTGCCGAGCTTCATCAACTTGGTCCCAAGGCGGGCGGGGTGGGTTGACAGCCGCCTGCCGTCCGGGGCGGTCGTGTTAGAATCGATGAGACTTTCTGGCGACATGTAATTAGGGGTGCCGATTTGGGTTTCGCGGTGAACGTTGACCGTCTCATCCGTCTGAATGGCGTTCGCGATGCCAAAGTCGATGAGCTTGAGGCGACCCTGAACAAGCACGAAGTTGGCCGGCTTCAAGTCTGAATGGACTATGTCGAATGCGTGGACAGCGGCAAGACACTCCAGCATCTCCTTCCAGTAGAACCGCACAAAGACAGAGTCGAACTTGGCTGCTTCGGGCGAGAGGCGGAGGCGGAACAGTGTGTTTAAGTCCAATTCGCCCATCTCCATAAGCTGGTAACCAATTAGTATTTCGTCTAGCACATCTTGAGAGTCATGTATACTTACAAGGCTAAGAACCTGCTTCTCTTCGTTCATTTCGTAGTCGAAGAGATTTATCACCCGGTCACAGCCATTCAGCTTCTTGAGTAAGTCAATCTCGCCCCTGTATCCGCGAATGGCCAATTCGTCGGCATTTTCGATGGCGACACGTTTCAGGGCGAACATCTTGCCATTGTCCGCCGCCACGCGGTACACCTTAGCGCTACCTCCACGACCGAGAGTATCCAAACGGGTATAGTATTTTCCATTGAGCTTCATGTAGTTGCGCTTCTTGGATGCTTGCTGTGTTGTGGCTGCCCCAGCCGCAGAGGTTGCCGCGTCAAGGATTGACATCTTTGGTGGCGGCGGAGGTGCTACGCGCCGCGGGGTATTACGGCTCAAAGGGGCCAGTGCTTTCCTTTCGGGGGACGCTGGCCGTACAGCTATATCGGTGTTCAATGGCCGTGACGGTATTTTGGCCAGATCCTTTTCCAACAACGGCTCTTGGTTTCTTTTGAATGGTGGCGGTGCTTCATTCTCCTGGTCATGACGTGATGGCATATCCGCCCGCGGGGGCGGGATCTTGTAATGAGGAATGGGGATCTCATCTCTCTCAGGGGAACCTTGCCCCGATATCTTGCCTGGCGCTTTATCCAGTACAGAGGATTCCCTCATGTACCTGGCAGAGCTCTTAGCACTAACAGGACTTCCAGACGCCAGGCGGTCAGGCACGTAGTAAGATGAGACTAGGTTATCCGCGGGTTCCATGTCCAGAAGGTCCTGTGGCAGTTGGCTCTCCTGCTCCTGACTGGAGTGCTGTGGCTCGCCTTCATTCTCGCCATCCTCTTCACTCTGTCGCCTTCGGCCACGACGAGCCGGGCCACTGAGAAAGCTGCCTGGGATCTTCCCAACTCTCTTGACACGCATAGAACTCTGCACCTGGTTCTCCTCAGCGCGACTTCTCGACCCATTAGAGCCTGGTCGCGAAACACTACCCTGGTTCAGTGGTGCTCGCTGTCTTGGCGCCGTGGCAGGGTCTTCCGGTGCTTCGCTCTCAGAGGGAGGATGGGAGGCAGAGTCTACTCTTCTAGAAGAGACTCCAGACGAGCCTGATGAGCGACCTCTATTGCCGGACGATCCAACGATAATTCGCACACTTCTGGCGGGCTGAGCCACGGGGGTGTTGACGTCCTTGACTTCTGATGCGTTCGCTTTATCCTCGCCCTGGCTTTCCCGACTAGGGGGCCGGGTCCTCCGCTGCGAAGCCGAGAGAGACGTGGACCTTCTTGCTGACGATCTGAATTGTGCTGCTGCTGTCGCCGCCGCAGCAGCCGCCCCCGGTGTGGTACTCAGTCTTACGACCCGCTTCCTCACAGGGCTATTTTCCCGACTAGCCTGGCTCTTCACCGGCGACGTGGGTCTGGACGATAATTGAACACTGCTAGCTCTCGTGGTCCTCTTCTCTTCCGCCGTCGAGTTGCCCAAGATACTGCGTCGCTTGACTGACTTCTCCTGCTCCTGCACGGCGGGGACTGGCGAGGACGGCCGGTGGCTCTGAGCTCTAGTACGAACCCGGCTCCCATGTTCATTGCGTTCTGATTCCGAAGCATTGTCGTTCAAGAGAGCCTTTGTGATTGCACTGAGCTTCATAGGCACAGGTATCTCATCGTCGGAGCTGTCGGCATTAGCAGCGTTATACTGCGATTTGGAGGATGCGTGGGCTGATGAGGGAGGTGGATTCGATAGCGCGCGGTCAATTTGTGGTCTCGACGGCGCCCTCCTCAAGCCCGATCTCAGCGAAGGTCTTCTTGTGGGAGCCGACAAGTGGCTTGAACCGATGGGTGTTGGTGATGCAGTCGCCATTCCGTTCTTTATTTGTGGGTTATCTCGATTGATCAACGGATGGATGCTCGTGGCAATGACGACTAAGCAAGCAAGCAACTGGGCAAATGTTGATACCGCGTCCAAGAAAAAAAAGGGCGATTGGACGTGTATCCTGTCGATGTAAGTGATGTTTTACGTGTCGAAGTCGCCCATGATCCAAGAGGAGCAATTTGGTAGGAAAATTACAGCAATGCGGCGCGCAATGCGAAAGTGTTTGTCGCGTTCATGAGGATGGTCCACCAACTCGACCGGATAGCGAACCCTGTCGTTCTTTTCGAGCTTTTGTGTTGCTGGCTCGGTGTGGTGCACGAATCAGAATCTGGAAACCCCGTTGCTCGCGGCAACCATGGGGCGGCCGCCCGGCCGGTGGGTGGAGACCTCAGGCCTCGCTTGGGTGAAAATTTGGGAATCATACACAAGTTCTTTAAGTGGTCGCATCTTTTTTCATCACCACTAGCAGCGTATGCATAAAAAGTTCGGGTGCCCCGCATCAAAGCTGGAGATTGTATCAGGACGCGCATTATTACCAAGTAAACACCTACCTTATGTAGCAGAGTTGATACACATGACATCATTCAGATAGAGGCATTGGAGACTATTATGTTCATTATCAGAGGAGCAAGACTGTATTTGTCGCAGAGACATCCATCTAGTTGTTTTCCATAGATATCGCCGAGGGGAAGTTCATGTCGTGAGACGCAGAACCTGCCATGCCAGATGTCAATGCCGTGCAGAATCAACTGCAGCCTGTTTCCATACGATGTCTTCGGGTTTGCGTTCGCTCGTGGCCGCATTCGTCGAGGGGGGTAAGATGGTGCGCTTAATCGAAGAGACCGAAACCCATGTCCTCGTCGGACTCCTCTGCTGCCTCGGACTTGGCGTCCTCCTTGGCCTCCTCGGCGGCACCGCCAGCACCACCGGCAGCAGCTCCGCCAGCAGCAGGCGCGCCTCCGGCGCCGCCGCTGGGGACGGAAGCGAGCTTAGAAGATCCCTCGGAGATCAACTATATCTCTACGTCAGTTCCTTTATTCGAAGCGTGATTCTAGAATCCTTCGTACCTCGTTGATGTCCTTGTCCTTGAGCTCAGACAGCAGCTTCTCTAGGCGGTCAGAATCGGCCTCAATACCAACGGACTCGAGCACCTGCTTCACATCGGAAGCAGAGGGGGCGGTGTTGCCACCAAGGCCGAGGAGGAGGTATGCCGCGAGGTGCTTCATTGTGATGATGGAACTGCGCGTAAATATCGTGTCAGTTTTTTCTGCCCGACTGAACCAAGAATGATTTGCTGCTAACACCTTGCGGTTTGGGGTTCAGGCGCAAGCTGTAGGACTTACAAGTCGTGAGGGTGGTTTTTAAGAACACGAGAGATCAATCGATTTAACCCAAGGGTGGGAGACTAATTCTTCGAGTTCTGGAGTTGATGTTCGTGGGTGACGACTAGATTGACGCGGGTCGATGTGAGAAATTAATGGCAGCAGCGCTTGTGGGTGGGTCTTCTCAATAGGGCTTGCTGGCTGGACTTGGTCAATCAAACCGAATTTCTTCGAATTTCTTATCTCAGTCTCAGGCTGCGTTCAAGGGGCTGGAACTTTGGGTCCTTGAGATTATCCGGCTAGTCTTCGGCTTAAGTCCGAGAGCAATCTGCATTCTAGCGCTGGATCACTGCTTCCGGAGAAGCAGTTTATCCGCTACTGGGCCTTCCAGATTGTCGAGCCGGCGGTTCCTTCATGTTGAACTTGACTGCCCTAAATTCAGCATCTCTTTGGTAACCCGAGTCTTAAGGTTTTCGTTGCGCCCGTCTCCGTTCGCACCCACGAGTCGCTACGAAGACTCTTCACACCGTTTTCCCTACCCTTTCTGTCACTATAAAATTGTCGCACTATCGCATTATGCTGTGAAAACAGCACGGTTAAAGTCATGTTTATGACGTGTCCGATACCACACGATATCATCTGACGGCGATCCGACTTCTACTACCTGAATTGCCTGTTTCTCTTTCGAGCCGAACACCGCGAGGTTGTTCTCCAAGATGCCGGTATGTTACATGTGCTTGATTACCTATTGCGCGCCGTTTTATTTTATACTTCTGGTACTAAAATATCTAGATCGGAGACCTCCTCGCTGAAATTTCCGGGGAGAAGTCCTCTCCGGCCCCCTCTAACCTGAAGATATCGACTTCAGCTGGCATCAAGCGCAAAGCCGATAACGACCCGAATGGGATTCCGAATGGAATCCCGAACAAGGTCTCCAAGATTCGACAAGCGAACGGATCATACGCAACTAGCTCAGTCGCCCGAAATACTGATGGAGATGCCAAGCAGTCTCTTTCTGCATCTCGAAATGCCCTATCGATCAAGCCAACGACTCCCTCCAGCCGCATAACAGCCACAGCGAAGCCTTCCTCGTCCACAGCCAGTAATCAACGCCCTGCGGCTACGTCTTCCTCGAGCTCTGACAGTCGACCATACACGGGCACCGCTACTCCTGGTCGTCTGAATGGCAGGCCATCTCCACTCCCCAGCACTACATTAAAAGGCGATAAGCCGGCACTAGCTGCGCGCCCCAAACCCAACTCTTCTGTGCCCTCAGCGAAACCGTCTCCAACGACCCCTACTCTCTTGGATCCGTCCAAGGCGCCGAAGAAGGGGTCATTTGCTGAAATCATGGCGCGTGGCGCGAAGGCTCAGCAGATAATGCCCAAGGCTGGGGTTATTCAGCACAAGCCCGTTCCAAAACTTACTCACAAACAACGCAACGAGAGGATCAAGGGCAAATTGGGGAGTAGCACCGGCAAAGCTAGATCAGCCACGGGACAGGGGAGCAAGGGGCCTCGCCCGTCGACTGCCTCACGCGATGGTCCTAAAAATGGCATGTCAAAGGACTCGAAAGCGAATGGAAGAAGCCGGCCCAACTCTTCTGGTAGTGATGCTCCCGAGAAGAAGCTCAAGAAAGCTGCCTTAGCCACCACAGGCTATACGGGAACTGCGCGACCCCCGCCAGCTTCGAGTGCTGCCAAAAAGTCGTCTGCATCACGAAACAGCCAGTTTTCGGCCTCGTCGCGAACTGCTGGTGGACTTCTTGCTCCGCCCAAGGCGAAAAGTCGTGGTCGCTTCGAGGAAGAGTACGACGATGAACTGGATGATTTCATCGTGGATGATGAGGATCATGACGATGGGCCACAACCTGGGGGGTACAGTCGAGAATATGACTACGCCTCCGATGCTTCCAGTGATATGGAAGCTGGTCTTAGCGATATCGACGTCGAAGAACGGAAGGCGGAATACATAGCTCGTGAAGAGGACCGACGGGAGAAGGCGCTCGAGGAGAAGCTGAAGCGCGAAAAGGAAGAGAGGAAACGACGCCTGGGTATTCCCTAATTTGCCTCCCAACCAAGTCATTACATCGACATGGTAGAGTGTTGGATCCTGTATGCTGGCATTCACAGTTTGACTCGGGAATATTTTCCTAATTGGAGTTTACATGGTCTACAGTCTGGAGAGAGGACTTGCATATGAAAGGCGTTTTCTGAGTTTACCTGACAAGGAAATCAGCATGATGGTTGGCCAAGGCGTTCAAGTCTGCACGCTAGTAGCAAGCGACGCGGTTATTTGGTTTATAGATGACGCATTTGGACTGTAATTACTCGAGAATACAGTATATTGATCTGCTCAGCCTCATCCTTCACTAAGCTGTGAACAAAACAAAATAATGCACACGTATTTGAACCGTAGGCAAAGTCAGATTATACCAATAGCATGTTTACTGCTCCAGGTAGTGCCTTACCACTTCACCTAAGTCGCCTCTTATCCTATCTGATTTTTCGCTTCATATTCTCTACAGCAGAGTCGGTTTCCCAAGTGCCGCAAGATGTTTATCGGGCCCCAGAATACTTGCCCAATTGGTTCGAGATCGTAGGAAATAGTAGTGATTTGACTCCCAGGGAAAAGGGAGTAGCCTGAGGGTGCAACAACATGGGATAGCACGGAATTCCAGTGTGGTAAACCAGATGTAACCGGAACTATTCCTCTTAGAGTGTAAACAGTGGCGTTGCCTCATTGCTTGGACTCAACTGCTGGCACCGAATGCTGCCTGCTGGCCCCTTGCCTAGCACTAGACCTGGGGAGGCTTCTTTCCCGTGACTTGGTGCCAATCTCGCGCGTGGTTGCCTAATACAACGGCTGCTGGATTCAAACAACCTAAGTCAATAGGGGTGAAATTTGTCAAGCGCGAGATGAAGCTGATCTTTTAAAACCGTCGACAGGCCTCGGGACTTCGCCCCGTCTCAGTCTACACCTTCATTGTCCTGCCCTCAATCAACTGCACTTGTGGAGTCAGTCGGACAAAACACACCTTACCCACGTCTACCTTATCCACCCACACCTCGGCTCAATCCGAGCCCTGAAACTCCAACCTCACGATGCCGCCAAAGAAGGCTAAAAAACGGCCCCCACCGGCCCCACCATTGCATGGCTGTACGATCGCTCTCAGTGGCAGTTTTGGCATGGCCCAGGGAGTCATTGAAGAGACTTACCTCGAGCCCCTTGGTGCTTCATTGGCCAAGAGCGTCAATGCAAACACCTCTCACCTAGTCACTACAGAGGCGGACTTCAACAAGCCTTCTGCGAAGGTGAAGGCCGCCAAAACCAATGGAGTTTCAATTATCAACCTCAATTGGTTGGAGGATTGCTTAGCACAGTCGAGCAGGTTGAACGAACGGGACTATGGCTTTGATGTACCTGATGATGATGCCGGTGCCGCACCTGCCACTAACGCCCAACCACAATTGCAGCCCGGCAAGACTAATGGCTCTCGCAAGCGACCTGTCACATCTGCCGACACGGGAGCGAGCGACGAAGAGTCTCAGCCGCAGCCCAAGAAGAAGGCTAAGGCAGATTCACAGACCGAGTCCAAAATTCCGGAGATTGGTGCTGCCCAGATCGCTCAAAAGGGCACCTTGATTCCATTGGATGAGGCCTGTCCACTGACTCACTACGCGGTTTATACCGATGGGGCTGGCATTATCTACGACGCCTCTTTGAACCAAACCAACGCCGGACAAAATAATAACAAATTCTACCGAGTCCAGCTTCTGCACAATGGCGGCGATTACAAAACGTGGACCCGCTGGGGACGCGTGGGAGAACGCGGTCAGACGGCTACATTGGTAAGTCGCTTTGGTCTCGTTTTCAACTTGCAGCTATCACTTGTACGTCAGAAGTACTTACTAGACTGTTTTGCAGGGTGGTGGCTGTCTGGATGATGCTATGAAGAATTTCCTCAAGAAATTCAAGAATAAGTCCGGTTTATCCTGGACTGACCGAGGAGCAAGCCCTAAGGCGGGCAAATACACTTTCGTTGAGCGATCCTATGACCCTGACTCTGAAGAGGAGGACGGGGATGAGGACTCAAACAATGTGAAGACTGAGGATGACCTGGAGGTACCCCAGTCAAAGCTTACCCCTGCAGTCCAAGAACTGATGGAACTCATCTTTGACCCGCAGTATTTCGCTGCTACGATGAGTGATCTCAACTACGATGCAAAGAAGCTCCCACTCGGCAAGCTGAGCAAAACCACCATTACTCGGGGTTATCAAACCTTGAAAGACCTCTCGGCGCTCCTGGATAACTCAAATCTAGCTCAGACTCAGTATGGAACCTCGTGGCCAGAGGCAACTGAGATGTTATCCAATACCTACTTCTCTCTGATTCCGCATGCGTCAGTAGCCTCCCCCTTGCGAGAGTCCCCCTTTTTTAGTCAATATGCTGAAGAGAAATGCTGACTTGGACTGCTGCAGTTTCGGCCGCAGTAGACCTCCTGTCATTCGAGACCATACGTTGCTCAAGAGAGAAGCAGAGCTTCTCGACAGTTTGAGTGATCTCAAGGATGCAGCTGGCATCATGAATGTCAAAAAGGATGTTGAAAGACTTCACACGCTCGATCGGCAGTTCCAAGGCTTGGGTCTCGATGAGATGACGCCACTCAAGAGTGACAGCGCCGAGTTCCGTGAGCTGAAGAACTATCTGACGGAAACTCGAGGGCAGACACACTGTGTCAATTATCAGATATCTCAGATCTTCCGAATTGAGAGACAAGGGGAGAAAGACCGTTTCGAAAGCCAGTTCGCAGGACCTCCGAAAGACCGAAGACTCCTATGGCATGGAAGCAGAGCCACCAATTTCGGTGGCATCCTCAGTCAAGGGTTGAGAATAGCGCCCCCGGAAGCCCCGGCGACCGGCTACATGTTCGGAAAGGGTATTTATTTGGCTGACATGAGTTCAAAGTCGGCAAACTATTGCTACTCCTACATTACCGGTGGCCACGCATTGCTTCTTCTATGTGAAGCCGAACTCGGTAATCCCTTGCAAATTCTCACCAATGCCTCGTACAAGTTAGTACAGATCCACGTCTCTCCACGCAACCCAGCTAACCATTGCACTATAGCGCGGACGCGAATGCCAAGGCGAAAGGAATGCTGTCCACCTGGGGTCAAGGTATCACAGGACCTAGCCTGTGGAAAGACGCCGAATGTGTCCATCCGTCTCTGAAAGGCGTGAAGATGGTGGGTTTATTTCCAAAGCCCCTACATCTGCAGCTACGAGTGCTAATGGCCGTTTTAAAAGCCGGACGTAACTGTGAAGCCCGGAAATACCGAGGTCCACAACGCATACCTCCAATACAACGAGTACATTGCCTATAATGTCCAGCAGGTGCGACTCAGATACCTACTTCGAGTCAAAATGTAGGTATTTTCCGCAGCAATAGGAGCTTTTCGACGATTTCATGATGATTTGCCAAGGGCGATGTTAAGGGTTCAAGGTTGAGGGTTTGTGGACTCGGACCAAAATGGCTGTGCTTTGAAGAGAATTTGATCTCTGTAAGACAAAATGGGTAGCGATCGCCGATTACGGCAACTTGTCGCCAAAGATGGACTGTAACTAAACTACTACTGCTTATTGCTAGGTCGGAAAAATCTAATGAAGCTATAGATAATTAGGGTATCTATGAAGGTTTCTGAACATGAACTCCTGTATGAAAGAAGTGGGCTTGGCAAGTATATCAAGTAGATTCTGCTACGTGCTACCAAAGCTGATATGATACCTGGCTGTCCAGGGAGTCAAGGATTGTCTCGTAAGTCGTCGCCACGAGTACTCCTGTACAATGCCAGCCCGCTTGTCCTCGTTTAACAATGTTGAAATGTTAAGCCAATCACAAGATTTAAACCGTGTCTCGCATTAGGGACCACGACCGAGTTGAACTTGGCCTTGGGGGAAGATTACTCTGCGTCCGGAATCGGAGGCTGGCTATATAACAGTTGCCTCTACAGAAGCGAGGGTCTCGGTCTTTTCAAAAGAGAAGTCAGTTGCGCCTACGTCTTCCAGAAATCGCAATCAAACTAAAAGACCTGCCTCCGGTGATAACCAACATAGAGCCCTCGAAGTTGTTCACCGTCGACAACCGCAGTGATGGTCAGCAGCTCTCCCACAGTCGCTGGCTGCACAGTCACGAAAAGTGCCGACAACATATCCGAATCGATTTGCCCCGGAGCAGGAAAGTTGTTCTGCACAGCCGACAGATCACCAGAAGCCATCTACCCGTCCGGATACTCGGCCAGAGGCGGGCAAATGTTGGCAGTGACGAAATTGCCACCAAACGCGAAGAAGGGGCCACCCGTGCCATCCAGACTAAACCCCATGAGGGTGAGGCCATGCTCAGCCCGAGACGGTCGGACGAGAAGGTTGAGTAGCTGTGGGACATGGCCTGGTCCACGTAGCGGTAGTTGTACTTGTAGCAGGGGTGGTCCCAGTAGCCGCGATCGAAGGCGACGCCGTGGGTGAAGATTTGCAATTTTTGGCCGGCGTCGAGCTCGCAGTAGGTTGCCAGGATGTTGTGGATTGCCGGACACTATCATGTTCTATAAAGGCCAGAGTCAGTCTGTGTGGTCTTGTGGTCTTGTTTCTTGTTTCAATGGATATACTTACACCTCGCGTTATGCTCTCGACAAAGTTGCCCTCGGGTTGGGTGACATGCAAGAAATTTGTGACCTCGATGTTTCTTGCTGGGGCTTCGCGAGCGAATTCTGCGTTGGCCTCAGTAATTTATACGAGAATTGTGAGGTTCTGGCAGTGACGAGCCGAGCTGATGGCCGAGAGGCCGGGTACGAGGAGGGTTAGACTTACACGAGCCGTTGTTGCTTACGTCTTTGGTCAAGTAGGACTAGGTCTGGGCTGCTGTGTTCACTTGTGTATGGTTCAACTCGTATGATTCATGGGAGACTTTGTTTCACGTTTATACAGTCGGAAATCACTCATTCCCATCTTGCTCATCCCGTCGCCGGCGTTCCCAGAGCCGGGCCCCTGATCAATATTCCAAATATTCTGCGGTCAGGCCAACAATCTTGGGCGAAGCCAACAACTAAATCGACTTGGTTCAAAGACGGACTGAGACCCCCGGGGTTTTCGATGGCCATAGCTACTAATCCGCCTGAGTGAAGCTCAATGATCACAATGCAGAACGATGTCGACGAACCCGCTGATATGATGCGGTGGCTGCGAAGGATCCTGTCACCAACGAAGAAGGCGCCGGGTCTGCTCATAACGCTAGCCGGCTAGTCTTGCCGGTCCGGACTTGGAGGATGAAGAATTGATACAGATCGCTTTCGGATTAAGTGGTGCTGAAAAATTTGAGGGTCGAGACAGCCCTCAGCCGACATGCGAGACATATCGCATCGTGTCATTCACAAGAACCTATATCAATAGGCGTATACCGCGTGCTTACAGACCAAATGCGATATAACTCGTAAAGTACCAGCGGATAGCAGAGGAAACGGCGTGCCTGCGTATAAAAGCCAGGTTGTGTTTGTCTACTGCACTGGAATGTCAAACTATCCCACATTATTCCACCCTTGGTGCACCGTTTATTCTGTCATCTACTTGTCGCCAAGGGAAGTACTTGAGTGTAAGTAGGTTGTGAAGCAAGTCAGATTGGGCCCAGCTCCTGGGTCGGTCACATGGCTTACAGTAGAGTGCGGTGTAGCTGCAAGTCTGACATCTCATGCATGTAGTTATCAGGCTACACTGCTTTTCTCACCGAAGGGTATCTACACATTGCCAAGCCATTGCTAACTAAAGCATCGATTTGTAATTGACTTTGTCTCTGCTCAGTACAGACTTGCGGAACTAAAGCATAAAACATATTGAGATATTGGGCCCTGTTATTATGGATAAACGTAAAACCTTGAATAAACCAATAACGATGGTCCTAGCAAAGGTTGAGGGGTGGATGGCATCCAAATATATCGGAGTGGGCTTGCTTATGTCTTCTTAGGATGAACTAAGTAGCAGTTCACGTAGGGCTGCGGCACATGCTCCATGACGCTAAAAATATCAACATTTCTTAATGAAGTACACAGTACACAGGTTCTCCTGGGCGTGGTAGAATGGAGGCCCCGAACCGCATTAACAACCAATTTGAATGCACCCCCATTTTTAACTGCAATCTTTAGGAAACGTTAAGACGCGACTGCTCTTTAACAGGCGATAATTCCACAACTACTTACAAAATAACTAACCCACCGGAACCTGATCCTGTTGGTTTAGGCAGCGTATCGAACGAGTTATGGTTTTTAGTCCGCAGCACAAGTACTTCAGAGTTCAGCGGCCGCGCTGCAGAATGAACCCTTCAATCCTCTTGTACTAACTTACCAAGACTAAATCGCATCGTAATACTACCATCGACTAATAGAAGCTTACGAGGGAATAAGGAGGTTACCGTGAAGTAGATTCTGTATGAAGAACTCTATTGGGGGGCTTCTAGTAAAGTTTTCAGTGCCGATTGCGCTAGGTAAATACTAAATGCTGAATAGGCCTACGCTATTAGGCCTACACTGGATCGACGACTGCATTAAGCGTTATCTAGACGTATATACTAAGATCCGTAACAATAATATTACTCTAGCCGTTCTTAGTCTCTATATTGACGACGGGCAGTGAAACCACCCGCAGGTTTAAGGTGTAAGATGATGGCAACGAATAACAAGATCCTCAACAAGACCTTACTATCCGGGAGGTGGAAAGAAATAACAAGATCAAGAGCTCCTTGCCCTGATCGGAACGACAAGTACCTCAACAGGTACTAACAACTATAGCCTCAGCAGGCTGGGGAAGAAAAGGAACCTCAACAGGTCCTTGAACAATCACCTCAACAGGTGAAAGGTGGGAACAATGGCCTCAGCAGGCACAATCAGATCTATAGGGGCAACAAAAGTACCTCAACAGGTACGTCAGACATTGAATACCTGTCCAAGTCAAGAGAAATTGGTTCAGATTACTGTGGAAAAGGCCGCTTGAATTCCTATCTTTTTCTCAAGAGAGTGACTATGTATATAAGGTCTTAAATACCCTTCAAGAACGCGCTTACATAACTCGTCTGAAACCGGAAAAAAAGAAAACGAGCACCCAAAAACCCTAACCCCACGTCAATATATTCCTATTCTATTCTATTTTAGCTTAGAAACTGATATGCTTGACTGAAAACCCTGGACACTATATAGACCTGAGTCCTTGCACAAAGAAAACTGATATACTTCATCTAGGAGCACTGTGGGATCGCTCTGGTACTAGCAGTCCCGGCTACATACAACGGTGAAGAAGAGAAGCAACACCTTGTGTTCAAAGAAACCGCTCCTAAAAAGTGGGCTCGTACGAGCCTGGCGAACAGGTTGGGATGTTGGTTAAGCGTATTTTGCATATTAAAATTGAATGAAGTTATAGCGTTGCTTACGGAGATCTCTTCAAAATGGGGGTGCATTCCAAATGGCGGTCCTTGAGAATACCGTGTCAATCACGTCTGGTCCAATGTTGCAGAGTTTGGAGGAATATCGTCTCATCATTCAGGCAGTAGCCTGATGTTGGCAAAGCTTGGGAATGTGACAAGACAAGGGACGGTGACGCAATACTGGAAGTTATGGCGTATGGCGGGGCAGCTCGGAACGGACCACATTTTGAGGTCACAAACTACCATCGTACGTCAAGCACCAAAAAGTTAAGCACGGGTGAGGTTGCATTGGATTGGAAATTTGGTATCAGCATTTAGGGCTGCACAAGATTTGAGCCTCATGGCAACTTCGAGGTTGGAGTAGATCTTCAAGATAACGTGCCTTCCTGGTCCATGCATGGGGTGCCGCTGTCTAACTTCGACCCTTGTCCTGCAGGGGAAGTGTATTTATAGGGAGGGCGGGCTGTAGTTGCGTGATTGCTCATCAACCCAGAGAAGGAAGACGATGGAATCGTCATGGCTGATGACAAAAGCACGCCCCTTTCGTCCCAAGTCGTACTGAGGGCGAGGAATGCTTACTTCATCTACTACTCAGATTTTACCGCCCGGAACAACACTTCGAAAGCCATGGCTAGACACGTACGGCGCTTCTTTAATTTCGATCCCTCTCGGTCAGAAACCTACGCAGCTCCTTGAAATAAGACCCCACTCAGGTAGGAAGTTGGTGACTTGAGGGACCAACCCCACCAGCAAACATCCCACCACAAGCATCCGCTTACACGAGAGACGGCGTAGATAGAATTTCGACGGGTACTTGCGGTGTTCAAATCATTTGACGGGACAACGAGACAGCCCGTCCTGAATTTTGCCAAGCTCGATATTTCTTCCTCAACTCGCAACCGTCACCGCAACTTTGCGCAACATTGTCAGAATGACTGTCCCAGCTGAGCACCCTCTTCAGACCCCGCCACGGGCACCTTCTCCCCTTTACGGGTTTGGCACCCTGGCCGTTCATGCTGGCGCGCCTCACGATCCTACAACCGGTGCCGTCATTGAACCCATCTCGCTCTCTACAACATTCGCGCAGCATGGTGTCGGTAAGCCCGTGGGCGCATACGAGTACTCCCGAAGCGCAAACCCCAACCGCGACAACTTCGAGCAGGCCGTCGCCGCCCTCGAGCATGCCAAACACGCTCTCGCCTTTGCCAGCGGCAGCGCGGCCACGGCCACTATTCTCCAGAGTTTGGCCTCCGGGTCGCATGTCATCAGCGTAAGCGATGTCTACGGCGGCACTCACCGATACTTCACACAGGTTGCAAAGGCGCATGGAGTGAAGGTTACCTTCACGCCCCAGATCGAGGTCGACATCGCCGAACACATCACCGATAGCACGAAATTGGTCTGGATTGAGTCTCCTAGCAATCCTACATTACGATTGGTGGACATTCGCGCGGTCGCGACGGCGGCGCATGCCAGGGGGGTCTTGGTGGTCGTGGACAACACATTCCTCAGTCCCTATATACAGAACCCGTTGGATCACGGCGCCGACATCGTCGTCCACAGCGTCACAAAATACATCAACGGACACTCAGACGTCGTCATGGGCTTGGCCGCATTTAACTCGGAGGATCTTAAGGCACGACTGTCCTTCCTGCAGAACGCCGGCGGAGCTGTTCCCTCCGCCTTTGACAGTTGGCTGGCGCACAGAGGTGTCAAGACGCTGCATTTGAGAGTCCGGCAATCAAGCAACAATGCACTGGCGGTCGCAAAAGCGCTGGAGACCAGCCCTTACGTCGTCGCTGTCAACTATCCCGGACTGGACTCCCACCCCCACCGCCACATTGCCATCAAGCAGCACCGCGAAGGCATGGGCGGCGGTATGCTCTCGTTCCGCATTAAAGGCGGCCGCATAGCAGCCGAGAGGTTCTGCCAGCTCACCAAGATCTACACCCTGGCCGAGAGTTTAGGCGGCATCGAGAGTCTGGTCGAACTGCCCAGCGGCATGACGCACGCAGGCATTCCAAAGGACCAGCGAGAAGCAGTCGGTGTTTTTGACGACCTAGTTCGGATCAGCAGCGGTATTGAGGAGGCTGAAGATCTAGTGCGGGATGTAGAGCAGGCTTTGGCCAGGGCCGTCTCCGAGATATCTTCAAACGGCGTCAACGGGTATTCGGGAAACTAGAAAAGGATGCATTTGTGTAAAGGCGTGGTTGGACATGCGCTTTGGGTCACACTATAGGAGGACCAGCTCGTGGACCAGTCCTTTGATAGAATATTGGGTTCTTTCGTTACGTACCGGCATACATGACCAAATTTACTCAGCCTGCGTCGCGTTGTGTCAACTTCTATTCAAATGGTGTCGCTCAAAGGTAGGCTACGCTAGCTTGTCACCCTTTGGTAGCTGTTCTCCCGGCGCCCCTGAGCAGTATCCATCATGTGAATCTGTATGGAAAAACAGCTAAACGAGCACATTTTGGACTTTGTTCAAATCCAGGCTGGACAGAATTTCAAATCAAGTGAGGTGGCGCGCCGTGGGGTGTATTAGCCAGGGGTCCTATTTCGACGAGGACAAGGAAAACCTATTCATACCACAACGCAACTTTTTACACCGCTTACTACGTTATTTATACGAATAAGATGGTCTGGTCTGTTGATGACTAAAACAACCAGCTCGTGACCCGGTCATAGCCGGTTTCTCAGGGTAAGAAAGAATGGCTGTTTCGTTTTTTTCAACCCTCGGGAAACCAGTCCGAGGGTCGAAGAATTATGAAAAGTGGTCAACATTACGTAGTAGTCTACAAGTATGGCAATTCCCTCGATAGACCACTCCTGGCCTTCTTACCCCTGGACGAACTGTACGTATGTGCGCGTTGTCGAGATATGGGTAGTAGGAATGCTCTTACTTAACTCTTAAGTAGCTCAGTAAGTAGACACGATTGGCTTTCAACATGGTGGACAGATGTGAGACGATGATGCTCTTTCTTTCCAGGTAGTTCTTCGATTCTCATACGGGAGGCATTTTCATGGTGAGTGCCATGACCTGAAAACATTCGGCACGTCAGATACGGATTGCCCACCAGACAGGAAGAGGCGACGAACATGTATCTACCAGTGGAATCTTGCACCTTGAGTGAAGAGAAAGTTGCAGAGTTGCAGGATTGTCGGTACAACGTATATTTAGCAAGGTGGTTACTGGTGAGCATCCATATATAGAGGTATACTGAGGGCACTATTGAGCAACTCGGTGGCAATGCCTAGAATCCGTGGCATGTGTGCAATTACGGACTGGAACACTTGCCTCAACTCGGTTTCCGACCTTCCAGATACTCAGTCATCCGTGTGACTCTTCCCCAGTCTGTACCCTCGAGAGTCTTCTTCATGTCATCCTCGTGAAATGCACGTCGATTGTGCCACTTTCCATTGCCGCCTCCTCCGGACCCAGCTACTAGCTCGTGAGCCACGGTGAATGCTGAGAACCCAAGATCTACGGTCCTCCAGCACCCTCTCCCTTCAACGTAGGCTAACCATCTTCGTTAGTACCATGTAACTCCAAACCCCTATAGAAACAAGCAACATACCTTCAAAGCGTCCACAACACAGGCCGTTCTCGTTAAGAAAGGACAATCCTTATCCGAGCGGTGGAAGTCCTTGCAAAACCGGCAGCGGCAAGGGCAGTCCTGAACTAGGTGGATGCCCTTGCAGTAGTTGCACCGTGAGCCGTACCACTTCTGGATGATGCAATTCGTCATGGCGTGTCCCAGGCTGCCACAACAAGCACATCGCGCAGCGCAGTGGGTGGCGCGGTGTCGGTGCTTTCCCTGGCACATGGTACAGGCGACCTTGCAGTGATGAAGGAGATGGTAGGGGAATTTGGTGCAGCTACAGATATAGTCCTTGTATTTGCATGCCAGGAAGTGGTGGTCGGCGCCGCAGGCGCGGCAGGACCATTCACAGGGCCTGGCGTGGTAGTCGAGGCAGTTCTCGCATTTGGTGGTGTTAGATGTGGATTTCTTGCGACTGTTGTCTCGGAGCGTTTGCGCGGTGTTGGGCTGGCCAGGCTGGGTCTTGGTAGAGTCCTTTGCTGCACCTGCTTCGCGTTTCTCAACGTTACGCCCATCCGGGTCAGGCTCGAATCTGAGGCTCGTGGTCGGTAGACTAGAGCCTGTGTCCGTATCGGCTTGCATTTCGCTGGCTTCGGAAGACCCGTCAAGGTGTTGCTTCTCTGCGATTGATGCTGAGCCTTGTTTGAGTATAGCAACGGCCGTGGCAGCTTCCTCGGCGAGGAATGCAGTGGCTACCTTAGGACCCATGATTGAGGGTGAGAATTCCATCTCGAATAATGAGTTTATCAAGAGTTGTGACGATCCCATGGGGGTTTGTGAGATTGATTAACTTATTGCCTGATTGTGAAAACTGGACGGGAATTTGATTTTGTAGGAGAAAGGAAGGTGTGAGGGTCGGTGGCATGGACCATGAGGAGTGACAACGAGATTGCGGTTCTATTTCCTAGAATTGCTGGCAAGTGCAGTCCAGGTATGGTGTGGTATTGGGAGGCAGAAGCTGCAAGATGAAGTCGACCAAATGAGCTTATTGGCCTTGCATTAAAAATATTGTTGCGGACAAGCAACAAAAGCAAGAACAAGGGCCATGACACGAGGATGACGACCCGTGATCTCAAAGCCTTCATTTCTCTGGCAGGTGTGATCGGGGTCGTGGGTAGAAGCAGAACACCCTCAGCTACATGATTGATGAAAATCATTAGTACACATGGATTTTTGTGGACTGTGTGTGCCTGCCTGACCTACAATCAAGTTGACGCTTTCATAATTGTGCGATGGCTGTACGCAAGTGACAACTACGTCCCAGTAGTGTTCAAGCCTACTACTAGCCCTAGGTTAGGGAAGTGGCGATGCTTCATTGGCCATCAGCATATATGCACTGTACAGGCTCACCTCAAAAGGTTTGTATAACATCCGTACCAAGCTTCCATAACGGAAAACCACAAGAATGGGACTCCGAAAAAGTCGAAGTCCCTTCCATGCCAATTGGACGGGGTCTGATCAGTTACCATCGTCACTGTCGTCATCGCTGTCTTCATCGCTACCGGCATCCCCACTGTCCACATCTGTACTCAATGTTAGTTCGCGAGTTTCAATAGCATCGGCCGTCGTGCTCGACAAAGAATGAAGCTGAGATTGGGAGACGGCCACTCACCCGTGCCATCATTACCACTAGACTGCTGGTTGTCTTCTGGAGGCCACGTAATGTCTAGACTTTCCTTGAAGTCCTTACAGGCACCGGCGAAATCTTTTCCAGCCCATTTGCGAACTGCTCTAGTGGGGTGTTGATCATTAAAAAGGACAGATACAGTGGGAGAGACGTGAAGGGGACCTTGTTGTGATACATTGGATATCTGCATGTCTGTGAGGTTGAGGCGGAGTCTGAATAGCTGATCGAAGAACTTGGACCACAAATCCACTTTGGTTTGAGCCAGCGTGGGATCCGTCTGCAGGAGGCTGAGCCTGTGGAAGCTGACGGCACGGAGGGTTTTCTGGAACTTCCGAAGCACCGCAAGGAGCATCTGTGGTTCCACCTTAACCATTCCGATATCGAGCTTCTCAAGCTTGGGGAACTCGACAGGTTGGGGCGACTCCAACAGTGACACCGCTGGGCGATTACTGGAGGTCGAGAGGGCGGGGGTTTTCGACAGCCAGAGCAAGAAATCTTTGGCATCATCTTGATTGTACCCCCGGAAGTTGATGCGAAAATGCTCTAGTTGTTGGCCTTTGGCGAGGAACTTCCGCAGCAGGAAGCTGTAACATGGGACCAGGGCGTTGTCACCGTCGACATAGGCGGCAGGTAGTTGGGAATTCGGTTCCAGAAACAGTGTCCTGAGGCTGCTCAGTACTGGCTCAATGACGGACTCGGAATAACGGGGGATGTTGAATGCATGATCTGCGAGGCCGCAGTGTCGCAGGTTCACCTCCAGTCTCTTGGGACGCGAGGAGGACGCGCCCAACGATCGAAGGAGGGCCGAAAACACATGGCTCAAATAAACAAGGTGGTCCGGCGTAAGAGAGCCAAAGTGGCGACCAGGCCATTCAAGGCTTGCCCTTGCCCCCGTCTCCCGCATGAACTTTCTGGCTCCAAAGCTTGTCCATTCACCATCAGGGCCCTCCCGATTGCGGCTCCGTGAGTTGAAGTCACGGATCTCAACAGTTTCGAGGCTGGGTAAATTGCCGAAGGCTTCTGCAAGCATTACCACATCTTGGCCGGTGCTGATGAGGCTGAGATGATCAGCACATTCGGAGCGGAAGCAATTCTGCTCGACAGCCTGGGAGTCGGAGGCTGTCAGGCTGCTTGGAGCCACCATGAAACGGCCAGGGACACGGCTCAACGAAGGTCGCTCCGGGCTGATGATGACGTGGGATAAACACCGGGAGAATTTCGACTTAGAAATATCCACCAGGCCTTGGCTACAGTACGTATTAGTTCCTGTCATGTCGAGTTTTCTGCCTTGGGAAGTTCTTACAGGCTGAATTCGGTGAGCATGAATTGTCTCTTGGTAAAGAACTCCCGCGCAAAGTTCCCAACGAGTGAGGCCTCCATATGTTTACAAACGAGTCGGAGAATGCCGTAGTCTCTGGTTGTCAAGTGATCCGAAATCTGAAAAAGGACCTCCAAAGGCATCTTCAGAAGCCGACTGTCTCGAGCTACTGTTTGGGAGTCCATTGTTGATCAGATGCAGGTGATTGTGAGCAATGGTGCGAAGTAAGTCTCCGAGTGCGAGGAAGTCTTTGGGAATATTTAAAGGCATCAGTCGCGACTTGGCCTGATGGTTACTCACGCGATTCCCATTAGGCAACGACGCCTCTAAACTCGCACCGTCAATTGCATAGAGATTCCACAAGGCGCCATTCACTTGCCGGGGCTGCTTGGACCACTACCTTCTCCAAGATGCCTATGTCATTAGCAAGTCTCTGAGGCTAGTAATGATTTGAAACGCAACCCTCAATAGCAGTCTGACGGAAAATTGGGTGGTTGTGTCTTGCTGACAAACAAGCCCTACTTCATCCTGGAGATGGGTGTCTACTGGAGACGAGGCGTGCTAAGAAGACAACGAAATAGGGGAAAACATGGGATGGCCAGGTCATGTCAATCTACGACACCAGAATAACAGGCTATTCCTGTCATTCCATTCCAACCCTAGGAGAGCCGTTTGTTTCGTTGTCCGCCTGAGTCGCCTGAGTGTCTTGCATGTGGTGGAGATGAGCGGATAGCCGAGGGGCCGTGCCTCCTCCGGCGCGTCTGACCAATAGGGACTGTGTAGAGGTGAATCCTAGCCGCTTGCGTCGATCAAGAGAGCTGGTTTCCCTGAACCCGTTCGTGTACAGGGTACCGTCCGCCATATTGAAAACGCCATATTGGAAACACCTCATTGAATGTACGTAGTAGGAACTGAACCCTTTGCTTGAAATTCAGGCGGAGGCGCTTTTCAAAACGAGTTTACACTTTGCCGCAGACAGTTTTCTGGTTCTCGCCGTACTTCCCACTAACGACCGCTTCTTCGTCGAATTCATGTTGGCTGCTGCCCTCGTATGCCAACCTGATATCCGTGATTTCATCGCCAACTTCCAACCATCTATCGCTCACGGCAGGAACCGGGGACACTTTGCACAGACCCCAGTAAATTGCTGCCGAGATGATGAAACCGCAAAAGAAATTGAGGTTGTAGATATAGGTGGCCGCAACGGGAACTTCACGTCCAACGGCGCCTGCGAATCCTACGACGTTGATCAGGATACCGGCGATGTAGGCAGTGTAAGCCCTCCAGTGGAAACCGAAGCTGTAAAAATATGGCCCCGTCTTCCGGGCGTCGTAAAGTTCCTTGATCTCCAGATAGCCCTTTCGAACGAAGTAGTAGTCGCTGCACATGACCCCAGCAATGGAGCTCAAGAAAACGGAATATGCGCTCAAGTAGGTAGTGAACTGGTTGGCAGAAGTTAACAACGTATATGGGCACATGGCCAAACCGACTGCCGCGCAGATATAACCGCCGCGACGAATATTGAGGAACCGCGGAAAGAGAGCGGTCAGATCTGTCGAAGTATCAGCACGCGACAACGGTTATCACGAACAGAATACAGAGTTGCTTACCTGTACCGGCCGAGACTGAATTTGCTGCAATATTAGTCCCAAGTTGCGCCAGTGCGAATGCAAGCGCGATGACAAAGACACCAAATCGTTGGGCGGATCCACCGTCATCTATAAAATTTTCAAGAAGGTCGAGTGGATCCCAGATAGGCTCGCTCCCGGGATAGATGACCACGGACGAGGAGGAAACGAAAATGCCGATGAAGCTCGTAATGGCGAAACCGATAGGTACAGTAAAAAGTTGAGACCACAAAGCATCGCGAGGTTTGCCGGCGAAACGACTGAAGTCCGGGTCGTTCACGATGAGTGTGGCAAAGTTGGCTATGGACGACATGACGCCTTTGACAAATTCCCATCCGAGTTCACTGCCGCTGATCGTCGCTGGTTGTCGTATGATAGGCCCTACACCGCCAGCCCTGACAACGGCCCATATAAAGAAGGCGATGGCTGCGCAAGGAACAAAGTAACTTTTGACAGTGAACAAGTGCCGAATCTGATGTACGGGGAACCATATGGCCGGCAGGGAGCAGAGCCAGAAGATGAAGAAAGAGACATAATCGGCAGTCGTAGTCCCAGAGTCGACGGCGAAGGCACCGGGTTGGATGGTGTCCCGATCCCAGCTTTTCCATATGGCCCGGATCATCAGGTATACGCAGTGACCCCCTATATAGGCTTGAACACCGTACCAGATACAGGCCATGGCGGCTCGGTTGAAGACCGGCCAGAGAGCCCCGTATATTCCGAAGGAAGCCCGGTTGACCACCGGGAATCCAATGTGATACACGGCTCCTATCCGGCCCGTGAGGCAGATGAAGCACCCAGCGATGGCATATCCGAGCCAGACACAGATCCACGATTGCCACCACGACATTCCGGCAACCACCATGCTGCTACTGATCATGAAGGTATTCAGGTTCATTCTGGAGGAGCGTTGTTAGTTACTATTCAACAAAGCTTCCTCGAGGCCAGCGGTGCGGCTTGTATGGAAGAAAGGGGGCGCGTAAAGCGCAAAGGGCGAAGGGGCCGCCGTCGCTGTATAATTTCAGACGACGACCCCATCCCAACCCAACAAAATGGAAACAGCCGATCCGAGAGCAACTCACGAATCCGAAATCCAAAAGGCGACAAAATTCCAAGGGCCCCATTGTCGTCGCTCGGGCTCAACCGGTTTGAGGTCGTTGTTTGTCAACTGCAAGGGACTATGGTCAGCTCCCGTTGCCTCACATGCAGCTGCACAAGTTCCCCACAACATACCATCAATTGGGCGTTCGTCAATCCTTCCTCGTGGTCAACGGTCAGCTTGTGGGCCAATCGGCTCAGCCAGGAGTTGTGAAGCTCCTCCATGGCAACGGCGTGGAAACCCAAGCAAGTCTGGTGGTACTGGGGGCGTGACCGAAGGGTTCCTATCGACTAAGAGTCGGAGGAACAAAATGAAATGCAGGATTTATGGCAAATGCGCGGTTGGATTGCGTCTGGTCTTGCACGTGAGGCGAATCAGAGAATTAGGCAATGCTGTGCACGGCGTCAGCCCAGAGCTGTTTGCAGACCGAGACGCAGCTGCTGCGGCAAGACATTCAAACTTGACAGGAAGAGATACCATGAGATATATGATATTTAAAGATGAAGAGGAATGTAAATCTCTCTCAAACAACGTAGCTCGCATTGCTCTCTGGGCTGATCAGACCAAGGCTGGGAAGCCATCAGATGAACTACCATGTTTAGATAAAGGTTACTCACCCCCTCCCCCCCACTACATACTATCTCATCCCGTGACAGGGGGCAATGTCTTATCCGAAGCCGATGTTGAATCGGCCTCGCCGCTCGCCTACTGTCGTGGTTAGCCAGCGTCATTATCACCAGGTGATGATGGAATGCCTATCAAGCCCCTTGCTCTTCAACTACAGAGCACAGTGAAGTTTTAGAGAAGACCGGGATCCCCATGTGCAGCCCCCGCAATGGAGATAAATGTGGCTAGCGGCAGCGCTTGGCATTGGCTATCTTATCCTCCCTCTGCCAAAAGAATTGCTCGATCTCATCGTGTAATAGGTGCTGATTGGCCTCAGCGCTATTCTGCCCAATGACAGGGCTTCCTAGACAGTCACCTTTCGACGTCACAATCCGCGAATCTGGTAATTCCCATGCGTGGAAAAAGTCTTCTTCGGAGGTGAAGATATCTCTCCTCAGGGAAGCCTCTCCTGGCGGTCTAGATGCAGAACGAGTCTCTGATTGGGACCGAGAAACAGCGCGACGATGTCTCTCGCTCGAAGAGATCGAATAACAGCCAAGCTTGCTGTCAGCTGTGGCGCAGATAAAAGGTGCTCCAGACAAAGCCGTTACTTTTCCCCAGCCGCGTGCTTCGTCCTGCAGCGCCTTACATGGAGATTCCAGGGTGAGGATCACTTCCAAAAGCTTCATTTAATATGCGGTAGACTCATCGCGCCGCGACACATCCCCCCACCGTATCGAATATGAGCGCTTTGGCCCGCAGATACCTCCTTGACAGTCGGCGTTCGCATGAGAAATCGGACCTAGTAACCGCCCAAACCCTCCCGAGGATGGGAAAAGAAAAAACAAAGAAAAAGAAAAGTTGCGCAACCCGCGTTCGTCCTTGTGGTCTAATTCTACGAATCAGGCGGTTTGCCGTGCTGTGTCTGCTCTGTTGCGGTAACGGCAGAACCCATTTTCAAAGAACCTAAACCCGCCTGCATATCAGGCCGACGTCATATCCCATTCTACTAGAAAAGCTTGCCCAATACCAAGCAATGAACAAAAACCATAGTCCTCTAATTGACAGACCAAGCAGACGCTAGAACAAGAGCGGAGCGAGGTTAGAATAAGGGTAGCGTGGCATAACTCGATATTCCAGCGTAGTAAACTGAAATGTCAGGCTATGTCGCATGATACCAGCTGGGTAACACTGGAATACCGGTATATCCCATATTGTCCCATCTATAGTGTGCTATTTATTTTATTTCTTTTCGTTCATGCCTTTAGGGTACTAGCACCGGACTGGATTCCCCCAAATGTGCTTTTGTTATGAGAATTTCAAAGCATTGCAGGTCTGATGCCTCAGGCGATGTATTTGGTGATGATGCTAGTCACCGACTTTCCGACGTGCTCAACCGCATTATGAACAACCATCCCGTACTCCACTGAGACCAACTTGGAGTAACTGATGATATCATAGTCGTAAATGGGGATGTTGAAATATAAGAACTTGCTAAAGACTTCTGTCTACTGTCACGTGGAGTGTCAGACTCAAACGTCCGATCTCGACGAGAAATCTACTGTAGGCCACGGCCATACAAGGTCTTTGCCTAGCAAGCTCCATCCGTCCATCCTGCAACCTGACTGTCAGCTTTTATCTGGCTTGAGGCTCTGGATGGCCTGTCCCGTTATAGGCCTGGTGGAGCGACTAGGAGTAACAGACAGGTGACCAAGTCAACCTAGCTATCAAGGTCTCGCGTGATGTCTGTCTTACTATAGGCTTGGTTGTCAAGACCAGGGCTGGTACAGGCAGCATCTGGTCGGGCGGGGTTGTAAGGCAGGGAGAGGGGGAGAGGGGAAGAGGGATGAGGAAACGTAAAGAAGAAGCTTATGAACAGGTATGTGTTGACTGTGTTTTGGGGCGGGCTTACACTCAAGGCAGACTAAAGAAACATGACCACACAAAGCATAGGATCCGTTAAGAAACCTTCTCTCTGTTCCATGTCACCTCAAAGATACCCTTCTGAATATTGTCTGCTGTGCGTTTGCAAAACTTGCGGTGATCCAATTTGCATGCGTCTTTCACCTGTCACGGCGACCCGCATCTGATCCCATATTTCACCGTCATCTTAACATTGTCAAGCTCTCTTCATAAAAGCAGCACGTGGCCGACGATTGAATGTAAATCAGCATCAGGTAGCCCCTGTCAAATAAGAAAGAGCAGAGATGGTGGACCAATCAACCCCAAATATGAAACCGGACCAGACATCCAGTTGACTCTGGCTTGTACCACCATGGCTGACTTCATGAAGATATTCTATGTTAATATCACTCTCCTAGCTCGTTACGGCGAATGTAATATTTATTATTAAATACGCCGTAGGCTCGAAGCCCCCGGTACCTCTACAAGTGCTCCCGTATGTCAAACCGTGCCCTAATGGCTGGACTAAATACATACGCTGCTACGTAGGTTCGCTCTATTAGCGACTGCGTTACGTCCACCACAATACTATGTTAGTTCTCACCCTACTAACAAAGTCCCCCTGAGAAGATCGATATTATCCGGGCCTAAGCGCTATCCGGCCAGTCCTGAGTAGCCACCTTGTGATAGTCCCGCTGACTACTGGTTTCCCCGTCGCCGTTGCCAGGTCTCTACGTGTATGCAGCGGCCATGGTGCGATAGTGGCCCGTAGGCGCTCTCTCGATTCTTCCAGCAGGCCGCAAAAGAGGATTACGTGCTCTGCCGTCTCGGGGGCCTCTCCACAGCGGCATAACGGCGAGTACACACCGAAGGCTCCTATCTTAAATAAGAAATCTGATAGTCCTATTTTTCCGGTCCTGATCTGGCATAGGGTAGACGCCTCCGGTCGGTTTAGGTCTGAGTATTTGCCCTGTTTCGGCATTCGCATCGAGGGGCCCTCCTGCTCCTCGGCGATAGCGCGTCGCTGGCGGTCGTGTTGTGCTGCCCCGGAGATCCATCTCTTCTCCCAGTGGTCTAGGAGGGCGGCCGGGACTTCCTTCGCCTTGCCTATCCACTCGGAGCCCCTAGCCTCCTTCTCTATCGTGTACCCCGCTGGTCTGAGCGATTGTGACGCCCGCTTCCGTCTCGCCGGCGTGTCCTGTCGGAGTATGTGTGACGCTCTCGCGCTCGCGCTCCGAAGCAGGCTCCTTTTGCCGTTATTCCGTATCCGTTCTTCAAATTTCGCCGCCCGGGCACTGAGATATAGGTCTAGTGGCGGGATAGCTGCCTCTATTTCTAGGTGTCGGACCGGTGTCGCTTTGTAGGCGCCACAGACTATTCGGAGGCACTCATTCTGTATCCCGACTAGGCTCTTAGCTGGTCCCGCTGGTTCCTCGCTTATAGTGTGCCACGCAGCCGCCCCGAAGGCGATCGCGCTGCGATGAATGTAATAAGATCTAGATACCTATCGGATAACTCAGGGAAAATATCTTACTCGTCCAAAGAGAGGCTTAAAACTTTCTCGGCAGTGGTGGCGGCCGCCCCCAGAAGACGGAGCTGGAGGAGGACCGGAAGAGGATGGAGGCAAGACAGTGCTCGCCTTGGCCCGACACCAACTCTAATTTAATCTTAGCCCAGTACTAGAAAGTCAAGAAGGCCAGGAGGCATGTAAAGCGGGTAGAGAAGTAACCTGTCAAGTTGGGTCTTCTGGCCCCCAGCGTCGCCATTACTAAGACGGCCGAGACCACCATACCGTGGTAAGTCTTCCTGTATACTGATTTGTGTGGATATTAAGTAACCTAGTAATTTAGAAAAGGGTGATCACAGCCTTATGACAGGGCTTTGTCGCTTTTCCTGCAACTGGAGCTACGTGTAAGGATCCGCTAGACTTAAATTCGATGTATGTTGCCGGTCCTTGAGTGTTTATCTCCTCTACATGTAACTTGCACCTTGATTATACGACAGATGAAACGGCCTGCCGAGATCGAGACTGACTATCCCTAACCCGAGGCCCAACTTTTCGCACTGGCTAGCTGGATTGATGAGAACTTGAAAAAAATGAAATACGTTATCAACCAGCACGCTTGCGGTAGGGTGATAGACGGTGATACTCTTATTACAAGCACTGGCCAAGCATCCTGTCCAGCGAGAAGGTTGATACCATGTCATGATGAATCTGATTATCTGATTTGGATTCTGGGATGAGCACGCTAAGAAAATTTCCTATATATCGATCAATACCGAGTTTCGTATAGATTTAAAGGAGTTCGTCGGCTCGTTACTGTGGTTCCATCACGGGACGACGTCATCGGAAGCAAGCTCCCTAGTACGGAGCTTTGCCGGAATTGCCCAATATGTCTGTGGCATATACGATACTGGCGAGTCTCTTAACTGGAAAATCCGGGAAGAAAGCATGGGTATCCAACTAACTCTCGTAGAGCAACGATAGACACTATTGACGCACTTAGACCAGTGAATCGACGCTACGAGACTTGAGGCCAAGCTCAACAGCGGTGAGATAGCTACAAGCTTAGATCGATACTAGGAAGTCAGAACGCTGGCAAGCGACATGGGTACATTCTTGGGCATTTGGGGGCAAGTTTCGGGTTTTCCAACCTTGTGTGCCTCGGTGCTTAATACTGTTAGGCCGGTCATTCAGGCAAAACTGCCACCAGCAAGTGTGGCTTTCTCAGCGGCCTATGGCACACTCTGGGTTGCTGCCATTATCATCAGTTCGACGCGAGTCTGCGCAAGGCTCTGTACTGATGTCATCTATGCCGGGCTGATAAAATACCTAAAGTGAACAATCTCATATCTCTAAAGGAGATGGTTTGTGTACGATGTCACTTAACCTAGTGAGATATACCTCTGTCGATCTAAATAGCGTTCGTGGAGCATCCTATATTCAGTGGCCGTTTTGTTTCAAGAATGCAATGATCTGAACATGGCTTTCAGACTATCGGAGGACCATATCCCATAACTAGGGGATCTACTCGACAGAGCCGCAGAATTCTTGCTGCGTGATACAGCTCATGAGACTGAAACGTACGAATCAGGCAGCCGAATAATCAACTTGATGCGGATGTCGAATCGGGAAATCTTTATTGAACCCATTTGAAAATCGCGAGTTGGCTCCCGGTTATGGATTATTAGTTTCAATTCGGCCTCGAGGCAAAGCGATATAGTGTGAGCAGCTTCATCCAAGATGGCAGTATTATCGAACTTTGTACCGATACTTCAGACGTGGCGAATGTATTGTTCGAGGCCGACGAGGTCCTTGGCAAAAGAGTCGACAGGGGTCGTGAAATATGGGGTCAGGACTCATGTCGTAATACAAGCCGCGTGTTCATGCCTTCGATTATTCTGGAAGACCGAGCTAGACAATGAATCTGGATTGGTCCGTCTTCGCATTCAAGTGGCAGCGTTTGAATGCCAAGGAGTAGTGGCCCAGCACGATGCGATTAAATGACTCAAGCGCTATGAATTTTTTTTTGGCACGCGGGAGAAGGGTTTGTGTCCAAGGAGGCCTGTCCCTGTTGGCCAGGTGAAACTATGTAAAGCCCGATATTGCACGGTTATAATTACCAGAGTGCTTGGTTGTGGAGTATCTGACTATCCGGTACTGGTCACAAGAAGTGTTTATGTTAATCTTGACGTTCCCTATCTGGGGTATCCTTGTCGCAGAAGTGGAGCTATCAACCCCTAAAGCTTGAGTCTAGGTTAGCTTATGCATGGCGAATATATCGCCTTCGATCATTGCATTGCTCCCGACCATACGACTTGCTAACGTAATCGATTGCAGCATGGAGGTCTTACCTACTGAGATCTTACTCTCCATTCTGGAGTGGTCGGTTGTGTATCATTATGGGCATAAGAATTCCATACTCAAGTTTAGAACGGTGTGCAAGCTCTGGGATGAAGTACTCAGGCCCTTCGTACTTCGCACACTCCAGTTTGAATTCACCCGAATTGATAGTAGTAAAAGACGACAACTCCTCCTTGACGAAGATGCGTTGCGAAGGATTGGACACCTGTGCCAAACTCTCTATGTGGATATGATGGTGATGAGAGACGAAGGTATGTCAATCATTGGTATGCTAAGAATAGCCATTGACGAAATTTTGGCTTGCAGGCGAAGTAAAGTATCTGGGGAAAATTTTCCAGAAGATACCTTCAATGCAATCATTCGTATCGACTCTGAAGACTAGATACTCCATGAATGAGGAGTCATTCACCGAAGCCGACTTCCGCATCTCTTTCGGAAAGATGCTTGCATACGCACCGAATACCACAGCTGTCAGGCTCAGCCTCCCTTTTCAACTGATTTCCCCACATTTTCAGGCTGCGACAAGAATACTAGGCAACGGCCTAGAGGCTCTGGCACAACGGCCAGAAGAGTTCGCAAGCCTCGAGACCTTAGTCTTAGAGAATGTTACGGACGTCTCTATCAACAAATTGCTCCACAATCCATAAGACGTCAAGAATATCATTGGTGCCTTTGCTCAGCTAAAGCAACTGCTAATCTCTGTTCGGCAACACGAAAGTGCACGTGGTCAGATCATCCGGTTCCGACATCGCCTATGGGAAATGGTCGGCAAAGGTGGAAACCTGGAAAGTCTTTGCTTGATCAGTCTCGATCTCGAAGAACGACCGTTTAGAGCCATAAAGCAGTCGAGTAGGAGGGACTGGACAATTGACGAGTGGCAGTTCAAGTCCCTTCCAACCATACGAAAACCTCCCAAATCCGTGTTACCGCACCTGTCTTGCCTGGAACTTCGCCGAGTTGAGGTGATTGGCTGCGGCTTGCTGTCGATATTTCAGTGCTTCGGAAGTTCACTCAGAGAGCTTTACATGAACCAAGTCAACCTTAAGACTGTCCACAGAGATCCTCCTGATGATGATGAAACGGGGACACTTTGGATAGGGCTGCCGAACTCTGATATGCCATCGGGGCCGACTCTCGCACCGACAAGTCCGAGCTCAAACCAGACTGAGATGGTGCCTAGTTCCACCCAGACGGTGTTCACTCCTACAGCTCAGAATAAGACGCCTTCAAACTCGATTGAAGCTAGAGCGGCAGGTAACCCGACTTAGACTCAGATCGGGGAGCATTCTAACCGAGACAATGCAAAACACACGTATAGCCTTACGATAAGCAAATCCGGACTACTGAATATGTCTCACGTATATTCATGACCGCTTGGAAGGTGATGGTCCTCTTCAAAATACAACCGTTCTGAGGGTGCCCATTTATTTAATCGGGGCTGGGGGATTCGTTTTCTCAGGATTATCACTATGGCAAGCGCACTTCGGTTGTGCGCGTAACAGTCGAGACCTTAATACTTTCCGAAGGCGAGTATACTGATTCCTTAATACCGAAATACCGAGATACCGACACTAGAAAGTCCAATGGGGAGTCTGGCAATACAAACACGCGTATTTCATTAACAACTGCGTCGGGATACAGAGTTCCGAGACGGAACGGACGCTGTAGATCTCCGCGGCTCCTCATTACGGTGGGGAGGGGGACCACAGACATACTTAATTAATCAAATACGACAGCAGACACCAGGGATCTTCGAGATCTTTCCTGATTGATTCGAGATTAGTTGTGCAATAGCCGGAGAACGCACTGCCCGCCGACTGATGCCACTTATACATTATCTCTCAGGCCACCAATCAGTATATGATCCGAGGCTCAGAGTGACAGGTCATTAATGCGACAACTTGGAACATAGTCAAGTCGATGGGCCAATCGTCCCATGTTGCGAGGCAAGGCTTAGAAACTCGAGCAACGTCATGGGTGGCATTTCGAAGTCGGTTTCGCTGGCACGCTATCCTAGCCTAACTAGTCTTTCCGTACGCGCGATTCACCTCGGGGATCGCATTCGTATTTAGAAATAGGAGAGTGAATGTATATAACCTGCCATCCCGATTTCGTCTCATGTGCCAAAATTTTTAGTGCAGCAACGTTTAAATCATCCCTTGCTTTGGGTCGGCTGTATACTGTTTTTTTATCAGTGCTCATCCATTCACTGCCTTTTTGGTTTATTCTGCAATCGTCCTCTACTTAGACATAGCAAATCCACGGGCGACATTCCGGATTCCCTCTCCTACCGCTTTCCAACCGCCATCATGGCTTTGCTTTCATTAAGCATGGGCAATGTGGTAGCTTTAATACTTGGTTCAGTAAGTTGGCCGATGGGTGTAAGACGGGGCTCGCAAAATGCTGATATTGACTCGTCCCATAGGTAATATGCTACACTCTTGGGACATGCATATACAACGTATGGCTGCACCCCCTACGCAACTTTCCAGGTCCGCTCATGATGCGCGCGACAAGGTGGCCGTATCATTACAAGCTCATCAAAGGAACTCTGCCCTTGGAAGTACTGGATCTCCACAATCGGTATGGCGAGGTCGTCCGCATCGCTCCTAATGAATTGGCTTTTGCAAATGCATCGGCATGGAATGACATTCAAGGCCATCGGACGAAAGGCGGACAAGCCGAAATGGAGAAGGACATGAAATTCTACCGGGCCGTCGACGATATGGAGAGCGATATTGTCAACGCAGATCGAGCGGAGCATAGTTTGCTCCGCCGCTCACTCGCTCACGGCTTTAGTGACAAGTCTCTTCGAGACCAGGAGCCGCTCATCACCAGTTACATCGACTTGCTGCTGCAGCGTCTGCGAGAGAACTGTGACGCCGGCAAGAAGGCCCTCAACATGGCAGCGTGGTACAACTTCGCTACATTCGACATAATTGGCGACCTTGCCTTCGGGGAATCCTTTGGATGCCTCGAGAATTCGGCTTACCACCCGTGGGTTGGGATCATCTTCAAGATGGCTCGCGCAGGAACCATCCTCCAAGTGTTAAACCACTTCCCCCGAACCAAGCGTTATCTTCTCAAACTGGTACCCAAGTCAATGGCCGAGCAACAGGAGAAGCACGACGCTTTGACGAGAGCTAAATTGGAGCGCCGCATGGCGTCAGGAGAACGACCCGATTTTGTTGAAACCATGTTGAAGAAGAAGGAAACATTGGTGAGTGCCGAAAACTGGGTGCCGTGGAAGTGACTAACCATGACTGGAAGGGTCTTACCATCGCAAAGTTGCAAGCTAATAGCAGCATCTTGATCATTGGCGGTTCGGAAACGACGGCGACCCTTCTTTCGGGTGTGACATACTTCCTCGCGATGAACCAGGACGCTCTCAAGAAAGTAACAGAAGAGGTTCGGGCAGCTTTCAAGAGCGAGGACGAGATCAACTTCACAACCGTCAATGACCTCAACTACATGCTCGGGTGCTTGAACGAAGCATTGCGAATGTATCCTCCGGTCCCGTCTGGTCTCCCGCGGGTTGTGCCCCAGGGAGGGGCACATATTTGTGGATATTACGTACCCCAAGGTGTAAGACAGCCCTTGACAGAGGGGCCACCACCAGGCTGTTGGAGCACACTGCTAACTACTCTTCAGGTCACCGTCGGTATTTATCAATGGGCTCTCTACCACAACTCGAAATTCTTCAAGGACCCTTTCGAGTTTCATCCTGAAAGGTTCTTGGGCGATGCCAAGTACGATAGTGATGAAAAGAATGCATTCCAGCCCTTTCACGTTGGGCCGAGGAACTGCATCGGAAGAAAGTGAGTGTTTCGTTCCGCCACGATATTACCGAGTTCTTGCTGACGAAATGAATGAAGCCTTGCATATGTCGAGATGAGAACAATTATGGCCCGGATCTTGTTCAACTTTGACCTGGAGATTGCAGAGGACAGCAAGGGCTGGATCGATCAGAAAATCTTCAATCTGTGGGCGAAGGGCGCACTCAATGTTTACTTAAAGCCTGTGGTTCGCGATTAAGGTTTGATACCCCTTAGGATGACGTTTGCCAAGAGACAGACGGGATAGACTTGGGGACTAGGCGGGCTTGCGTTATTTGATTTGGGACGGGGTAGACTTGTGAAATTGGCGGCGGGCTTGCATTATTTGATTAGGGACGGGACAGACTTGTAGAATTGGCGGGCTTGCTTGGTTTGATTTGGGAAGATGAGTTGAGTCGATACCAACACAGATAGATGCAACAAATAATACCCATCCATATTCAGTCTTGTGGCCAAGACTGATTGGGCACACCCACGTCCTGTAAACAAAGTTATAGCCATCAACAATGCCTGCAGGCCAAACAAAGGCTGCAGCAAGATGTGGTCGTGTCCTCAGTTAGCTTGATCAACATCTACACTATCTTTAAACGCCAAAATAGGCAAGACCCTAGTTCGTTAAAGCGGTGTGAAATTCTGCATGTTCACCTTTTGAATATTGTTTGTGACAAAGTACCCGCAACAAGCCTGCAGTACCAATTTACGCCTATTGACACGTATTCAGAACACAGTCATTAACTGCCCCTCCACAAAAAGACCACAGCAAAAAAATACAGCTAGCAATCAATCTGAAAAGTCCCTTATCCAGCTGTGCCAAAGCACCAAAACATTGCCAGCTCCACACTGACTACGTACCTTGCCCACCCGACGACCGACTTCAACTCCTTTTGAAGCTCTCTGCACCCGACCCCATTGTTTTTATCAACCTCCGTCCAGCGCTGTGCGCAGAAGTCTCGACCAGCTCTCTGTCACTCGAGAATTGCAGTTTCTTCATATCAGAACCCCAGTGTCACAATCCATCATGAAGGGCGAGGTGAGTAATGCGACACCCTGTCTATATTTACTCCAATTGGGGGCATTGGTGGTGTTTGCCCAGAGCAAATCCCCTTTTCCTCAGCATCGTGGCTGCACCCGAAGCAGTAGCTGGAGGCAAATGCTCCAATGCCTCCGTCGCACGAAGGACGCGTAGAACAAGTTATTGGGGTAGCATTTATTGACTTTATTTGTGTTTTAGATCCTTCACGTTCATCTCGGCCAGGCTGGTACCCAGCTCGGCAACAGCGCTTGGGAGCTGTAAGTGCTACACCGCCCTACCCCATTTGCACCCGCTCAGCTGGCTCAACACCGGCTTGAAGGGTTGTAAGAGCTTCATAGCTGACATATTCCGCTAGGTACCTGCTCGAGCACGGTCTTGCACACGATGGTCGCCCCGATCCCGCTGCCAAGGACATTCTTGACGGTGGCTCCTACGAAACCTTCTTCACCGAGACGAGCAATGGCAAACACGTGCCCCGAGCCATCTTCTGCGACTTGGATCCTTCCCCCATTGACGAGATCCGGACTGGCGCATACCGCCAGCTCTTCCACCCGGAGCTTCTGATCAGCGGCAAGGAGGATGCGGCCAACAACTACGCTCGTGGCCACTACACCATTGGGAAGGAGATGGTTGAGAGTGTCATTGACCGCATCAGACGCGTCGCCGACAACTGCAACTCGCTGCAAGGGTTCCTCATCTTCCACTCCTTTGGTGGTGGCACTGGCTCCGGCTTCGGTGCCCTGCTTCTCGAGCGCCTCTCGACCGAGTACGGCAAGAAGTGCAAGCTGGAATTCGCCGTGTACCCAGCTCCCCGTGTCTCTACTGCCGTTGTCGAGCCCTACAACGCCGTTCTGTCTACCCACAGCACCATTGAAAACTCGGACTGTACCTTCTTGGTCGATAACGAGGCGGTGTACGACATCTGCAGACGCAACCTGGACATTCCCCGTCCCAGCTTTGAGCACCTGAACCGCCTGATTGCCCAGGTAGTCAGCTCCATTACTTCGTCCCTGCGATTCGACGGTGCTCTGAACGTCGATTTGAACGAATTCCAGACGAACTTGGTCCCGTACCCCCGTATCCACTACCCGCTCATCAGCTACGCCCCTGTTGTCTCGGCCTCCAAGAGTGCCCACGAGAGCTTCAAGGTCCACGACTTGACATTCCAGTGTAAGCAGTCCAATATGCCCCTAAGTCTATTCTGTGTTACTAACCGCTTCCCCAGGCTTCGAGCCCAACAACCAAATGGTTGTTTGCGATCCCCGCAACGGCAAGTACATGGCCGTCGCCCTGCTGTACCGCGGAGATGTTGTTCCGCGGGACTGCAATTCTGCCATCGCAGCTCTCAAGGCCAAAGCCTCCTTCAACCTGGTTGAGTGGTGCCCAACTGGCTTCAAGCTTGGAATCAACTACCAGAAGCCCATGGCTGTCCCCAGCACCTCGCCTAATGATGGCGGTCTCGCATCGGTCGACCGCTCCGTCTCTATGCTTTCCAACACCACAGCTATTGCTGAGGCCTGGTCGCGTTTGGACTACAAGTTCGACCTCATGTACAGCAAGCGTGCCTTTGTGCACTGGTACGTCGGTGAGGGCATGGAGGAGGGCGAGTTCTCGGAAGCACGCGAGGATCTTGCAGCTCTCGAGAAGGATTATGAGGAGGTAGCAGCCGACTCGACATTCGAGGGTGATGAAGGTGAGGCCGAGTACTAAATGAAATACTTGGAGCTGATGAGCTGGCGTCGGATACCCGCGGTTTCTTCCCTTCACCACACATAGTTCTCATCGCCACAGCACCCTGTCCCGATATAACACGTTCACCTTTTGGCAGTTCTGTTCAGGTCCTGATAGGAAAAAGGATAATGGATTAATTGTCTATTTCTTGTTGGGAGGCCAGATAGAGGAACACTGATTCTCTTCTATGAGCTCGGTCGGGCTCCTGCAAAGAAGGAGCCAGTAAATAAAGCCAAACGAGTCGTGATTGGTGAATCTCGATGTTGATGGTTGAATAAGACCATCTTCTCCTTATAGTTTTACCTCCTCTTTTACGACCGCAGCAAAATACCTGCACAAAGTAGCTAGGATGTCGACTGGATTGATGCATGCGAACCACGACGCCTGTAGATTCCTATGTGTTTGCAATTGTGCATGTTTCGGTCATGAACTTGGTGAACGGCAGAGGTTGAAACTACGAAGCGTATCTGTTTCCAAGGATATGGCATACAATCTTCTGATTATCTGATAGTCTCAAGAGCGAATTACTCCCATCAAGGTATTTACTACTTTGCGCCCTTCTTGCGCCATTCAGAAGCCCTCTTCGCACCACGTCCTTTCATCTTGGCCATGGCGGCTTTCTTGTTACCCCTGACTTTGCCAAACTTGAGATCCTTGGGCCGGCCATCTTTCGAACTCGCCCTACGACCTTCAAAAACAATTTGTTCAGGAGTCTTCATCTCGCCCTTCATCGTTTGATTTGCACCCGTGGCCGGGTTTCCATCATTGCTCCTGTGTCTCGACTTCTGCCCACCCTTGAGCTCACGCTGCTGCCGCGCCGCCCCAGCACGGCCGAGCAGCCGCCCTGCGCGTCCGGCCAGGGATTGCTGCTCAGGCGTCGCCTTGTGCTTGTACTTTGTGCTCTTCGGCTTCGCCGCACCTCCAGTCAAGCCCTCGAGCTTGAACATGTTAGTCCGCTCCTGCGCCAGGGTCGTCTTGCGTGGGTTCTTGGCGCGGCTGACGCGAAGTGCGCGAGGCAGCATGGGCGGGAACTTCTTCTCGTTGAGAAGCAGGGCCGACTCGACAGCGTTGACGTCGTAGAACTGCACGTAGGCAAATCCCTTGCCGACGCGCGTCTTGGGATCCCGCGGCACGCGTACGCTCTCCACCTTGCCGGCCTCCTTGCCGAATGTGCGCCACAGGCCCTCCTCGATGTCGGCGGGCACCTTATTGCGTTTCTTGGTGGTAGTATCGCCTTCTGCGGTGGTGTTGATGACTGTTTCATCGTCCACGAAGCCGAGGTTGCCTACGAAGACGCACCGGCGGTGGGCTATGGGTTGCGGGTGGGCTACACTGTCGACGCGAAGGTGACGATCGAGGACCACGGTTCCGTTAAGAGCTTTGAGCGCTGTACGGGCTGCCAAAGGGGTAGTGTAGACTACGTAGGCGTTGGTTGATTTTGTAGTTGCTGTCATGATGGACTTGGTTATGTAGGCCGCGCGCTTGGGAATGCCGCCTGCTGCGAATGCGGTCGACCGGAAGCGGAGAGACTCGATCTTATGGGGTCCTGTTGCAGCATCCAGGTCTGAAAGGGGGGAAGAGAGATGGGCCATCAGTTGCTTCTTGGCCTTGGAGGAGGATATGGCATCGGAGCAGACATTGCCCAAGAAAAGCGTCCGGTTTGCCTTGTCTAGCTCAATGTCGGGATGTTCTTCTGTCTTCCGAAGAGATTCATGGACAATTGTTGTTTCTTCTTCATCTGAATCATCTGCAGATGCGGACTCCCCATTAACGGCTTCGCCAGTCTCGCCCTTTTGTCGCTTCCCTAAAGGCTTGTCTTCCTCATCGTCGTCGGCAAGTTTGCGCAGGTATTTGGACTCCAAGTCGTCGTGCTCGTCCCTGCGCTTCCGTTTCCGTTCTTTCTTCTTTTGATCAGCGCTGTCTTCCACAGTCATTTCTTCATCTAAGGGTGCGTCCACTTCTTCTGACTCCGATGCAGACTCCGACTCTTCACTGCCATCTTCCTCGTCGCTTGATTGCTCATCCTCCTCAAGTACACTCAGGACCTCGTCATCCTCTTCGTCTACATCACCGTCCTCATCAGATATTGGCTCGAATTCTTTATGCTTAATCGGCTTCCTTTCCTTCGGAGGAAGTAGCGCGATATATCGTTGAGTCTCCGGCTTCTTAGGTGCGACGGAGCTCGAGAACAGAGCATCAAGCTCGGGCTTGACCACACTAGTCGCAGCTGCGAGGGTAAATTTGCTGGAAACAGTCAGTATGAAACTCGAATAGTCAATCTCAAAAAGAAAATACACCTTTTCGCCATTTTCGAGTTCGATGTTACTACTGTGAACTAAAAATCCTACTCTCATTTGTCCAAGACCTGCCCGCGACTAGGACTTTTTTTTTGATCCTTAACAAACTCATGTGGGGCTAAGCTACGCTGATAAGATAACGGACAAGCTAACAGCCCAAAGCGGGAGCATTGGTTGCATTGCTTTCCACACTGCGAATAGCCGATCAGGCGCTCCTTCCACTCAGCACTCGACTCACATCTTCGACTCGCCCATAACCCCTCCAGAGAGATATATATTCCTCTCCCCGCCATGGTCATATTTAATTTCTCTCATGTGTCTAAATTCCGAACATAACAACATACTTACGTCTTGAAACATCCTTTTACCCACTCGTGAGGGTGCTGCAACCCTGTCAACAGTCTACAGTTTTCACCTCCCTCTACGATCTGCGCCAACCTTGAACGCCCTCCGAATCATGTCGTTAGGAGACACGGCGCGTCCGCCGTTGGCTATTCCGCCTATGATTGAACCGCTCAGCGATGACAACGGTTCCAGCCCTCTTAGCGAAGTCGAGGATGCCGATGGGGAGGAGCTTGACCAGCTCGACCTTGGCGATCGCGACGAGGCAGATCAAGATAATGACACAGAAGCAGAGACGGAGCGATTGCACGACACTCCACACAACCCCCGACGAGTTGTAATGAACCAATTTAACGAACAAGTCTTCGAGCGAACTCCCACCAAGCTTCGTCAAGAAAAGACTACACACAGTGGGGATGATGATGAAGATGACGACGAACCACTTTCAGAAGAAGAATCAATCGCTTCGAGCCCTCCAATACGAGCGCAAGATTCGACAGTTGTTACAGATGCCGAAAAGCTACAGAGTCCCACTCTAGATATGCTCGCTGAGGCGGTGGCTCAAGAAGCTGAAAATAGGAAGCGCAAGCGCTCATCACATCCCGCAGAACAACCTGATATCGAACTATCACCACGCAAGCGCCCATCCCCGGAAATTCCCGTCGTTCAAGGAGATGGAGACGGCGACGTCGCAATGGCCGACGAAGAAGAGGAAGCTTCAACAAATACAAATAGCGGTGAACACTCGGCGGACGAGGGTGTCGATGCGACTATTCCTCCAGAAACGCGGGGTCAAGCCGAACAGCCCGATGACCAAGAAGCCGAGGTTGAAATACGGAAACAAACCCGTAGCGGTTCTAGAAAACAAAGGGGACCGGTGGACGAAAAAACGGTTGACGGAAACGAGCATGGGGCCGCCCCAAACCACGCTGCAATAGAAGAAGATAGTGCACCTACTGGAGATGAGCACATGGTGGATGTGGACGAAGAAGCCGAGGCAGCGCACAGGAATGAAGAAGAGCGTACGAGCCACAGACTCCCATATGGTGCACCGAGGAAGCTAACCGAGTTGACAGTTGAGCGCAAACGAACAGCTTTTGAGCAATTGACGAGCATCGAAGAACGTTTCGCTGCATTTCGAACGAAGTTCTACGACGAAAAACTCGAGCAATTGAATCAAGAAGAAGCCGCGCTAAGATCTGACAATCCTACTCACCCCGAATACCTTGCCATGATGCAATGTATAGATGCGCGCAGAGACGAGAAGCTCCGGATAGCCGAAAAGGAGCTGGAATTGAATATGGAGGCATTGGAGAGGTGGGCAGTCGCGAGGCGTTCACAAGTACACTCCCAATTCTACCAATCCGTTCGAGAGTCCAGGGAGAGGACCTTGGCCGAGCTCGGCCAGCATTGGTACGACATTCAGCATGAGCGCCGGAAACATGCCAATAACGTTCCCGACTTTGGTATTCGTTACCCGCAGAGCCACAACCAAAGGATTCGCAATGCGTTGGCCTACAATAAAGAGGTGTCGATTTTGTCTGGCATTGCTAAATATGAGGGCATGCCTGCCGCGCCTAACATGTGTGGCGCTTCGCTACAAGAGCTGGATGACGACTTCGAAGCCATGACCGTACGCCGTCTAATGAAACACTCTTGTCGTTTCGAGCATGGCTGACTTGGTTATACAGCGCGGAAGACAACCCAATCCTCAACCTCAGCGGCTACCAAGATCTGTGTACGCAGACTACGGTGGCCTTCCATTTGGTCAGGGACTCGGCGCGGCAGGTGAAGAGTGGCTAGAACAGACAGCAGTATGGAACTTCCAGAATCCTCGTCCCCCCTTCTAGTCTGTCTGGGGAGTCAAAAGTGCCTATTACACTGGATTGGGCAATTTTTGCTCCTATGATATGACTGAAAACCTCGAAGTTGTCACCCAGTTCTCCGCAAGTGGCAATATCTAACTCAGTCACTGCAGTGGGCGAATCCCGGCCGTCAATCCCACGGTCATATTCCTCAAATACCACCAGGGCAACAGGAGAGTCGGAAACGTAGCCCACTCCCGGAAGCACAAGCAAATCGCCATTCGAACCAACTTCACCCGTTTTCATCTAGCACTATCTCAAACGTCTCGAATCACGTGTCAACGTTCCAGCAAGAACATAAGAATCCGACAGCACAAAAGAATGCCCAACGACAGCCAACCAACTCCCCAGAAGTGACTCGCGCGGCGAGCTTGCTGGAACAGACAAGTGCCCGAAGTAAGGCGGCTGCCGCCGCCGCTGCGGCAGAACAGGGACCGACAGTGAAGCACGAAACTGTTCAGCCTGTAGGGGGATTCTGATAGTATTCGGGTTGGGCCTGTTCAATTCATGTACAAAATGTGCATACAACTGGCGTTGACGGCGTAGCTGAGGGTCACGGCCATGTAGAACTCGGACATGCCGCTGATGCTTTTGAGATTCAGTCATGGAGGCGTGTGATTAGCATTGCTCGGTGTTGGAGTTGAGGATCGGCGAGGTACGCCTCATGCTTTAGAGATACGGCACACATTGTTTTATTTGTAGATACATTTCATGGGCGTCTCAAGTGTTTTCGGGAGAGGCCCAGAAGGAGCCGCCCAGGATGATACCACTGAGCTGCTTGGTTAGCCTGCTATAGCAGAGCAAACATCGAATTTTGCCGTCAAACGAATACCCCAACGCCGAACTGTGTGCTATAATTTCTTCAGGCGTCTATATGTACAAATGTTCCCATGTCGGACCGCATCGATGGCTCATTTTTTGGCTGGCTGCTGCGGTGCATCGGGGACCTTGACATCCTCAAACTCGTCTTGGCCAATGGCTCTGATGGTGTAGGCATCTGGATCTCTGATGAGCATTATTCGGACTATGCTAGGGCTAGGGTTACGGCGTACATATTCCAATGGCGAACATCGCGATTCCCGTGCCCAACACAGCGTTCTTGAACAGATATGGTCGTCGAGCGCGGATAAGAGCCGGCGACTGGCGGTTGCTAGCATAGTAGGAGGAGCTTCCGTATCTGGGGGGCAATGCAGGTTAGGTCATGAAAATGAGAGTTGGAAATGGACGTACATACCCTTGAGGCATCTTGGATTGTCTTTGCCCTGTTGGGCGCCTGCACTATGCGATGTCGTGAAGTTGAGAACTGCTGAAGATTTCGGTTTGTGGCGTTCAATGGTAGGTGATGATGGGATGCGCCGCTATCTTCGCCCATGGGTGGAGGTATTAAGGCTGTTCCTTGCAACCTTCACTTTACATAATCCTGGGGGTATGTCTTTATTACAAGGGTACTATCCTCGCAATATGAAATCTTCAGAAGAACTGCAGTATGGGCTTTGCAGATATGACGCCAGTTTTAGATCAGATGCTTGAAAATATGATTAATTACGGTTGGTATTCGTCTACAATTCGTTCACAGGTGCATAGTAAACTCACTGTAGCTGGGTAGAGTCAGCCTAGCAAATTGACCCACTCACCACTGTGGTGGTTCTTCGGTTAATAATAAAGCCAGGCACGGCCAGCCAACTTTGGCATCTACTGCAGAGCGCGGCAATCCAAAGCTGGATAGCTCTTTCTCTCTTCATTCCACCACCCCCCAATTCCCCAGTCAGTAAGGCTATCTGGACTTGCAAACTGAACAAGGCAATTGCAGTTTGCCTGTGATGCTCGATATCCCATAAGAAGAACAATTGATCGCATTTGACGCCCCAATACGCCACGCTTTGTCTGCATCTTTTCTACTTCTACGCGCCTTCGTCCTGGTCGCCGCTTGGGTATCATGGAACAATAGGGCCTGCAATCTTCCTATTGACATCACCAGCGACCGACACGCATACGGCTCGTTACGCGCCGAACGTCACACCACCCGTGCACCGCAAAGCACAACACAGCAGCACAGTACGACTTACACCGTCGCATCTACAATTATCACTTGAGCATTCCTAATCTTTGTAATCTCGCAATTGTCTGGCGAAGAGCATCCTTTGATCTCGCAGACCTGTCGCCCATTGTAGTAGTTGCCATAAAACACGCTGTGCGGTTGATAGTTGGTTGCTTCACACGAGAAAAAAGACTCCCAACCCACCACTCTTCACCATGGCAACTACTCCTCAACTCTCTGTGCCCGATCAGATACGACAGCTTCAAGATGCGCGCAAGCTTGTCTTGAGTGACGTGAGCTATTACCCACAAGTCATCCAAGCGACCTTGCCCATCATAGGCCCGTCAGCACAGGTTGAGTTTCGACGATGGGGTGCCGAATTTCTCTCAGAAGCCTTTGCGACACCAGCAGTTCCGCTTGGTCAAAAAGAGACGCTGTCGCTACTTGTGTTGGAGACGCTGAAGCTCCTGGTGGAGGATCCAAATCAGGACGTTGTGGTCTTGCGCAGCGTTATTCAGACAGCAGCTAGTGTATACCCGCTAGCTCTGAGGTGGATGTAGGTCTTCCCCTGCCCTATGCGCCCCCGGGCATAGCATCGTAGACACTCTTCTCCGTAAAACTGGCCATGTCTGTGACCGTGTCTGCGAGTGCCCTCCGTCCATATGTCATACCAGCTTTGTTCACCGAGAGCTACGGAAGACTTGACCCGCTGACATTCGCCGATGCTGCCAGAATCAACAATGCCTACGACACTACGACATGGGATCGCATGACGGTGATCAAGACGAGGATCTTGCGAATTTGGGAGACAGCCCCTCCAACGGTGCGAATATGCTGCATCAAGTTCGCCCAGCGAGTGGTGCTCGCCCAAACACCAAGTGTTAACCCCGAACCAAGAGTAGGATATCGCATTCTGAAGCCTTTGCCTGGTCTACTTGCTGAACGTGGATATAGCGTGGCGATCCCCTCGACATTTCCCTTCTCATGATACCACCGAACCACACTGTCCTCGAGGTCCCCAGTCTAGAGGCCGAAGCATCGGGGCTTCTTGACAGGATGCTGGGAGTGTTGCAGGACAACAGCAGGTATGAGAGTTTCATGTCCGTGTCTATAACTAACGCCGTAGCTGACGAGATACCTCCCTCTTTACGTAGTGATGCTCTGATTGTTGATGCCACTCTTAATACTCTGTCCATCCTCATCCGGGCAAGGCCCGGTACTTCTAACAGGATACTCAATGCCATCCTCAACTTCAACCCTTTGAAGCTCGCTAGTGGTCCCATGACTCCAAAAATTAAGGTCATAGTGAGATCCATGGAGAAAACCACGCGCATGCTTTTGACGCATCTGTCAAGACGGTATGTTCACCTGGTTGAGCCCTGATTGTTCGTTTGGTTGACATGATTCCACAGTGACTCGCGTAACCCACATGTTGGTCGCATACACCAGTATCTCGAGCGCCTTATGCAGGCGCGGGCAGAGGTATTTGATGGCGCAAGTCGAAAACGTGCGCACGTGGAGCAGGATGGTCTGGATGCCAAGCGACAACGAATGGCCGCATTGCCGCAAGAGTTCCAGATACCGCCCATGGCAGCCGGTCCTCATTCGCTAGCTGATGTTTTCTCCTTGACTTCAAATGAGGGTCTGAAGACCTTCGATGTCTCTGTGGTGCCCGCAGCCTTGGCTGCAAAGATCAGCGTGACAACCATCGCCCGTATAGACCCGAAACTTCTTGATCGGGTTCTAAATGTACGTGTCTCATTTTACATCGTCAGTCTTCTTTTAGTGGCAAAGTGCTAATATTTTTTGTTCAGGGCGTACGTGACCGCTTGACGGCTCTTTATCAAGTGGCTCAACAAGCTGATAACCCGGAGACCGCTTCGCTGGACGTTGAAGATGATGATGACTACGAACCTGACTACTACGCGGCTGAGGACAACGAACAAATTCTCAACAAGCTGGATTCATCCGAGCCATCGTCGTCCAATCGGGAACTGCAAAAACCGGCCGTATTAAGCAATTTTGCCTTGCCTACATTCAAGCTTCCTCCGCCACCCGCCCTGAATCCGGATCAGGCTGCTGTGGTAGGACAAGGTACTGTCACCCGTGTGTTTGGTGTAATGAGTACACTCGATGAGCCAGCGTCGAAAAAGACCAAGGCCGGCATCAATAGACTTGCTGCCAGCTCTTACGATAAAGACTCATGGCTTACCATCATCACACGCCTTGCAACGCGCGCTCCTGCGGGACTTAATGACGTGTCCGTCAAGGACGAACATAACTCTGCCTCGGCGAGCCGTATCAATATGAGCAACTCAATACGCGAGTCTCTCTATGCATACGTTCTCGACGATTTCAGGAAACGCATCGATATTGCAGTCTCCTGGCTCAACGAGGAATGGTATAACGACCGCGTGCAACAAATAGCCGCCTCCGATTCCGCTCGTGATGTACCACTCCATTATGACAAGTGGGCGCTTCGCATGCTGGATGGGTTCTTGCCGTATCTGCATGCGCAGGATCGAGTTCTCACACGCTTTCTAAGTGAGATTCCTGATCTAAACGCGGCCATCTTGGGCCGAGTCAAGACTTTATGTCGTGATCCTACCTTGGTCTCCTTGGCTCTGAACAGTCTTCTCTACCTCGTCATGATGCGCCCGCCCGTACGCAACCTTGCGCTCGATGCCGTGCAGGATATCTGGAAAGAATATGACGAGGCAAGGCCCATGGCAGGCAAATATCTCACCAAATGGCGCCCGGGCTTCCTAGAGGCTCAACAACAGTTGGAGAACGGGGGTGGGACACCGACGGGGCCTCAGACTGTCGCAGCTGTGTAGGTCGCGCCTCCGGGTACACTCGTGGAAGCCCCAAGGATAGAAGCCAGAGGAATGAAACGGAGAGGCTTCCAAAGTGAAGAAGAAGATCTCGGCAAAGTCCACCAAACATATCTTTTTTAGCCGCTGGGAAGCGAAGGGAAAGCGAGCGGGAGGCAGACATGGGAGGCTTGATGGTCTTTCTGGCTGCACACATTCATCAGAGGAACGAAAACGAGTGCCTCGGCATCGATCTGTTGGTTTTGGCACACAGGCGTTACGGAAAAGGTTACGTAGGGTACGTCACGCCCTGATTCTGCCGTCGAGTATGATACGGAGTTGGACTGCAAGTGGCAGCCAGCAGAAACAATTGTAAGAGTGCAGACTTCTAGATCAGATAGGACACAGCGCCTGAGAGCTCATCATGCTCGGCCGGTCTCCTGATATTACTGTTACTGTGCTACAGTGCCGCAGATTAAATGTCATGGCCGTTCTGGCACTTAAAACCGAAAACTCCGCTGCCGTGTAGTGAAGACAAACTTGCCCTCTTTGAATGATTGAGAGCCGCATGATCGGAAGTCAAGAGGTGATAGGTTGTAAGCAGAACCCTCTGGCGTTGTACTTCTTGACTTCACTCGATACTGTTCCACTGGTTTTCGAAGCAGTTATACTGAAGGTTCCTGCTGGCTGCATGCATGCAAGGTATGACCGTTACAATAGTCAGGGGCAGGTTCCAAAGGAAGGTTTTTCACATAACGGCCACCAATCAACAGGTGCAAAGGCGCGGAGAGCTCTGCAACTAATGCATGACCAAAATGCGGAAAATTAGCCGCTCGTGGAACAAACCACATTTAAGTTAGGCCCATCTAGGTTTGCGCCTACATGGCGATGTCGATTGTTTCATGATATGCGCGACGGCAGAAATTGCGGTAGAAATAGAAGTGCCACGGACTCAAGCTGATAATTCTAACGTAAACAGCTTGTCCTAGATAGTAGTCCAGGAGACTGTGGGATCTGACCCTCATAGAGCATGAAATGATTTGGTACATAATATCTGTGATACTCGACAAGTAATAGTAGCTCCCATCATGCAGTGCAAAGATGACCAATCAGCGACGAACCTGTGGTGTAAGGTGGCCAGTCAAATGAACAACCACAAGCAAACAACGCTATAAAGGTCGATGGCATTGCCATTTTGTCCATCCAGTCTGCCAGGGCCCGGGAGTGCACGGGGCCCTCCCCACAGGGCGTCACGGTGCCAGCAGTAGAAATTTTAGCCTTCAACTGATCGCCTATATTAAAGTGACAGGTCATGCCGGCACACATGTCAACACGTCAGCATGTCATCCAAGGCTATGGGATGTAATTTGGGACGATCTACGCTTGACAAGGTCCGGCGATTGGGACGTTGGCCTGGTTGGGAGTTGGTTGCTGGGGCGCTTCCACAAATGAGTTGTGGCTGGTGCTAACGTTGGCCTGAAGCACGCTGAGAGGAGAGCTTGCATGCATGAATGCTCAATTAACCTTTCAAGAATCAACACCGGATGCCGCCAGTTGATTGCCGCCCATAAACATTAAAAATACCCATACCACAAGCCCCCCAAGGCCTCCAGACCTGCTTCTCCCCTGAAAGTCCTGAGGTCCCCCCCAGTCTCGCTCAAGCTTCAGACTTTATTTGTTCTTGCCAAATGCTCCTTCCCATCCTATGCGGTACTATTTTTGCCGCTTTCGTTAATCAGCCCTGCGAAAACAACCGAGTTCGAGTGGTTCAGTTGCTGTCGACGTAATTGCGGAGAGGCCGCCCTAGCGACCCGACGCTTGCGGTGTCACGTAAATTTGACTTTGGCCCATTTACACGACCCCGAAACGCGAAACATCAAGCACCGTGGTCCAACTGACCGCCGCGGTCAGCCGATCCTGTCAACAACAACGACGCTGAACGAGTTGCACCATCCTGGCTATACAACGAGAAATGCCGAGTCGATTGCAGAAAGCCCGGCCCCGTCACGTTCCCAAACCAAGCCGAGAATACATCCACCAGGACAGCAGAGACGGTAAGCAATCCTTAGCAAATGCTGCTTACATCACGCTTCGCATTGTCTGCCCATCAGCCAGGAACAAAGGCGACCTAGGATTTGTTCTCTTGTCTGCGAACCCGTGAACATACGGCCCTGCTTTGGACAGAGCTGAACATTTCTTTGTGTGGTCTTGATCGAAGCTGACCAGCTTTGTCTTCTCCCCATAGCCCTCTGTCCTGGCATATGACGCAGTTGTAGTATTAATTGCCTTGACAGATCGGGAGTTGGCTGCGTCAGATGAGAACTACAAAGCAGCGACACCCCAAACCCCGAATCGGACAATGAATAGCAAGCTGAACGGTGCGACAATGGAAGAGGCGAGATACAATCCCTACGCAAATTCACCAAAATCCGTAAATGGGAAAATCCCCTCCACAATACGCACAGTACCTAGCTTCGAAGCACCTTCAGACTCCTCGTCTGAATCACCGTCGGCGAGGAACAGCGGCTTTTCTAGCTCCATCAACAGCAACGCGAGTGGCACATCATACCTCTCCCAACCTCTTTTGCAAGAAGGATCGGCAGTGAGGTCAACAGGGCAGTCTCCAAGTCCAGATCCAAGGGCAGCAAGGCTATCAAACGTTGCGTCGTCAATGTCTTCCAACTCGACGCTGAAGGCGAGTACCAATGGGGCCGCGGAGGCCCCATTCTCGTCACAAGTAGGGCACACAAGTCCTGCGGAAGAACAGTCGCCATCGCCGCGCGACGGCTTGCCACAATGGGATGGAACGGTCGGCAAAGCTGCGCTGGGCAAGACGGGTCGCGTCATCAACAAGCTAGTTACGGAGAACGAGGCCCTGAAGCGCGACATCAAAATAGAAAGAATGAAGTCGGAAGAATCCAAGCAAGCGGCCAAACTAATGGAGGACAAGATGGAACGCATGGTATCAGATTACGAGTCTCGCCTACTGGAAGCCAATGTGACCAAGACCCTCCTCAGTCGAAAAGAGCGACAAGTCGAACATTTGCAAGCAACGGTTGAGCTGGAAAAGAAACGAACGGCTGAAGCATTGGAGAGAGAGCGTACTTGGCGCGAGGAGATGGAGAAGAGTCGGAGAGATGCCGGCGAACAAGTGGAAGAAGCCAAAACACATGCTGCGCTTATGGAAGGACGATATAATGCCATTGCGTCGCACTGGCAGGATCAAGGGAACGAAGTGAAGCGGGCCACTGCTAGCGTACGCGCTAAGATCGCGTCCTTGGTTGCGGAAAGACAGAGCGACGACGCTAAGATCAACACTCTAAGGGAACTCTGCGACCAACAAGAGTCCAACATCCGTGATTTGAAGAGGCAGAAGGACGACATTGGACAGCAGTTCGAAAACTACAAACGAGAGCAAGAGGATGCGCTGCGATATATTAAGACCAAGGCTGACGAAAGGGAAACGCTCCAAGAACGCACCCTTGCCGAATCGCAGAAAGTGCTGGGCGAATTGAAATGGGCCCTGAACGTCAACAAGAACGTTCCAGGCGCAAGGTGAGACGGAGCAACATACTGGGAAAGCGGAGGAATACAGTGGTGGGCCGCATCTCATCCGACGACCAACCCTTACAAGCCACCTTTCCGTCTCTGCAACCAATTCCTTCATTACTACACGATTTCAAACCGCTTGAGCAAGGTTGTCAAAATTCCTGCCAAGCCTGTACATAACCATGCAAGCTTTTCGGCATTATACGACGACGTCCTTCCCTGGACCCACGTGCGTCTCCTACATCCCACAAACATCTCTGTTCAGCTAGAGAAGCTCTAAACCAAGAGGGTATAGCCAACGGGGAAATTGGTAATGGCGGTCGGGTGGGCGATATCCGAACTGAGTCTGGATATTTATAGAATCTTGGAGTTTCAAGGCGTATACTATTCCATCAGGGACTGCTGGAGAGGAATTCATGTTCCTTTTATTTTTTTAAGGTAATAGGGGGAAGAAAACAGAAGTCCCCCCCCTACCATACAGCATGAGCCTCTATTTACGAAATTTGCGTTCATGACCCTCCTTTTTCACTTTTTCTCCATTATTTTGCATATACCCGGATCGAAGAAAAGGTAGCAAGCACCATAGAATGAGATGGGTTGGCCTTATCAGTACATACCCCGGAGATTCCCAGACTAATTCGATTCTTATATACACATCGGTGCGAATGTGCTTTGACTGTATTGTGAATGAATATTGCCACAACTCGCGGATGTATAGATGTTCTTGTTGTAGGTATGTCCTGCTACTCACCCACTTACCTGCCAAATTTGCTGCAAATTTGGCTGGTACTGACTTTTCTTTGTCTAGAAGTCGAATCTCAGCTTGGGGGGAGGGGGCAGGGAGGCGTGGGGAGGTTTGCTCGGAATGAACTTTTCTTCCTCCCTTCATTCCTTCATTTCTCTTACCCGAGCCTCCCCCCTCCCCCCCCCCCAAAAAGGCCTACTTGGTAAGCAGGTCTGATACATATCCTCTCACTAATCCTCATACGTCTCCTCGTACTCCTCTTCGTACTCGCGCTGCATCTCCGCGATCTCCTCGCGCCGCTCCTCGAGCTCCTCTTTGTCGCTGCCAGAGACAGAACTGCCACTCGCCGTCTCCTCGGGCAACTGCTCGTTGTACATGTACGAGTTGTCCTCAGCGGGCGGTGGTGCGGCACTGTAAGACGCGGCTGCGGGGGCGGCTACGTAAGTGGTTTGTTCGGCGGCGTGGCGCTCTTCATCGGAGTCCTCAGCTGTGGAAAGCGTTGGGAATTAGTAAGATAGTAGGTGGGATTGGAGCAGGTAAGGGTGAAAGATGGTCTGAACTCAAGGGGTCAAAAGGGGATGAGTGGGGGCAAGGCATACTCAGCTCGTGGGCAATGACGGCTCCTCCTATGGCACCAACTGCCAGGCCTCCGGCGGCTGCCATGTATACGTTCTTGTTAGAACTCTTCTCCTTGGTCTCCTGCTGCCCTCTGTCGTCGTATCCCCCCTGGCCGCCTGAGTTATCCCCGTATCCGCCACCAGGAGCACCACCGTATCCGCCTCCTGGAGCACCACCGTATCCTCCGCCTTGTCCGTACTGGCCTCCATATCCTCCACCCACGCCGCCCGAGTAGGAATCAGCCGCACCCCGGCTGCCGTCCTGTCCACCGTAGCCTTGGGGGTTCGCGTAGGGAGGTTGGCCGGGGGGTGCGCCTGGTGGAGGGGCGAAGGGTCCCTGGGGAGCGGGAGAGGAGACGGCTGGGGGATCCCATTGTGACCGGCCGCTGGATTGTTCTATGTAGAACCAGCGGTTGCTGTTGTTATCCCACTGTGCGTGCCCTGTAGCATCTCGACATTAGGACGATCTCTGGGATGGGAATTTTCAGATGCTGGAGACTCACAGCCAGGCGGCATAGGGGGAGGTGCGCCGTAGGGAGCCGGGGGCCCTTGGGGAGGTGCGGGAGAGCCGTAGCCTTGGCCCTGACCATATTGAGGTTGGCCATATTGAGGCTGGCCATATTGAGGCTGGCCATATTGGGGCTGGCCATATTGGGGCCCGCCCTGCTGAGGTTGACCATATTGTTGCTGTTGCCCTTGCCCACCGTATTGAGATCCATATCCACCATTGCCACCACCATATGGCATGTCTCGGCTCTGGTCTTTAACTGGTTAATATTCACCGGACTCCAAAGGCAAGTGCGAGCATTATTTCCCCTCACCTTGACCCCGCTGCTTGTCCTTGTCGTCGTCAAAGGCATCCTTGATCTTCTTGAAAAAGTCCATAATGTTGAAAGTTGAGCACACCCGTTTCTCTTGTTAACGGAGAGCACAAGAAACAGCAGAGTTGCGGAATCCCCCTGCTTTTAAACCCACGGATGCCGACCTAGTACATAACCATGTGGTCTCACAGTGTGACATTGTAGATCTCGCGTCCCACTGAACCACATATCCCAATACCCAAGCACCAAACGGGGGCTTCCGCCAATTGTACATTCTCATGGAGAAGCACAGAGCCAAGGCCGCTCCCAGCTTTCGAATCAGTTCTATCAAAGCATCAGCAAATGGAGGCCTCTAGTGTAAAGTGGAGAAATGCAAGCACATACCGTGCAGAAATTGATTGAAGCACCAAAGGCCAAAAGGGCCTCTACGTTGGGGAAAATATGTCGAGGTTCGTAACGCTTTCATGGAGAGGACTGCGCGCCCTTGGCGTAGCATGGGTTTGTCGATGTCATTGAATCACAATGTGCCACCTCACCCGATTCCCTGCAGCATCGCGGTATCACGGCTCCATCGCCAAGCCGCTTGCTCGGCTTCTCCCTTCCCAACGCCGCTGGTGCAACGTCGCGGTCAGGGACTCTTTCTATGCTTGGCTGCAGAATAGGAGGAGCCCCAACATCCCTACATCGGGAAGGGGGTTGGGGGTGCCTTTGTTCGGGCCGCCGCTGTGGTGCCATTTGGAGGTGGTGTTATGAATGACTTCAACTCCATTATCGTGGAGCCTGCGGGTCCACGTATATCCATAAGACTCTATCGAGCCTTACTCAACTCTGGTGTTTGTCTGCACCATGAGTGAACGCCTGGGAATGAGCTTCCAGAACTTCCTATCTTGAGAAGAGATGAGACAGACTGCTGCTTCTGGCCTTTTACCCCAACTTGTTGCCACTTTTGACTTGGCTTTCAAACTGCCTTTGATCCGACTTTCTGACGTGGTTGACTATACTTTGGTACGAAGTTCATCTGCTTGCACTACCTGCAGCTTTGGGCTTTTTTCCCTAAATTCTTGATGATTTCCTTTCGGCCGAGTAGTTTACAAGAACTGTAACGAATCCTCTTCTCGTTCTATTCAGGTTAAAAGAAGCAGTGATATAGGACCTCCATCTCTGTTTAAATAATGATGTGAATAACGGGCGAGTAGCTGCATGCGCTATGGTTCAATCTTACCATTTACTCGAGGCTGGTCTAGACAAATCTAGGAGCCAGAGGTGTTTCCATAGTTTGGGCAAGCCTAATCAAACAAGAAGGGGCAATTCCTTATTCTCTATAGAGGATCGACCAAAACCATAGTGACTTGCTGAGTAAGTTGCAAAGCACTAGGCGAAATACCAGAGCCCAGAATCGTCGGTAGGGATACCGTCAAGCATTGTTGGCAAAATCCAGTAGATTCCTGAGTAAGATCCAAAGCTCGTTGTCAAGGTTGGTAGTTCGACGCCCTGCCTCATATCTGAGCTACCTTACCTATCGGCAAGAACCAAGGCCTTCAAAATTTTCAGCCTGCCAATACTGGTTTCTTCTGTCGTCAAATAATCGCCATGAAATCCTGAAGCAAGTGATCAAGACCTCCTTGATTTCCCACTTCTATGGAATCCAAGCTGTTACGTCTCTTGTCATTAGACAATCTGAACCGTTGCTTTCCACCAACAGATCTCCTGGCGATCAAAGGTACGTTTATCCCATGTTTCTCACCACCACTCAGGTTTCTCGTCCGTCGCGACATCCATTCCAAAACTAACAGTAGATCTGTAGATCTAGACACCTCGGTAGGCTTTTCGCTTTGTAGTCATCTACTAGGCACTGTTCTTCACATTCATCACTGCATCCGCTTCCCCAGGCTCGTCCCTCACCTTCCCTTGTAATCATCGACAGCTCCATAAAATCCATCCAGCATTGTCCTTTTCCTCATAATCAGTTCACGCCGCAAATTTCGCCAACAAAATTGGCTGCAGTGAGACAGCATCAGTCTCACCTTGAATCGCCTCTAGCCTAAGTTATCTTAGTCGGGCGCATCTGCCCAGGTGTTACAGAACATTCAATCTACGGGTATACTACTACCTTGTGTTCTCGTGACAAGGCGCCTTACCACGACGAATCTACAGGTTTACACGTTACTACCACTTCCCGAGTACGACTGTCCTTCCACAATCAACTCTTCGAGAACAACATCATAACCTTTAGAGAACTGAGCAAGACCGGAACGCTGCTTCTGAGTAAGTCCCTTTTTTTATCATTATCCTTCATCTTAAGAAGGTCAAGCAAGGTCTATACTGCATGGTTGCCTTCTCGTCCTTGTTCTTGCAAGAGCAGCTACGACTGTGGTCACTCCACCTAGATAAACCAAACTTGTTCCTTCCACATTTAGTCGTCGTTGCCCGCAATAGCACTGCCTGGCTCAGCAGAGCTAATTTCCATATCCTTTCACTCCAGCACCTACTCCTTGGGTTGCTGGTTCGACCCTGCCCCTTTCACCACTTTCCCTCACATTGACTGCATCACAGTTCCTCCCATTCAGCTTACGGCGAGAATCATCCTGACCTAACTAGAGTCTGCCCAACTGTTCATCTCGTGACCCAATCTGGGCTCTATCCACAAAGCCTTTTTCGCAGAGGCGGGTACATCTATCCATTGCCCATCATGGCGGTAGCACCTAACTTCAGGGCTTACCAAACGATGGAAAAGTACTTTCCAGGCTGCATGTCGGTGCCCTTTTCGATGAAGAAACCCTCCGAAGCCACCAGCACCGTCCATGATAAATACGCAGAGTTCATACTCAGTAGCAACTGGATCTTCCGCCCAGAAGGCCTCAAGGAATTCTATTCTGAACTCCGCAAGCAGGCCATGGTATGTCTGCCCATCCTTTCCCGGAACGTTTGACTACAACAAGTGTACTAACAATCGATGGAGCGTCCTACCATCGAATACGATTTGGAAATCGGCTGCTTCCGAATTCGTTGTCCCGCTGGCGAAGAAGGCACCTTTGTCCAGCATGCCAACCACATCATGAATGCAATTGTGCAGAATGAGATCCAAAAGATCCCTATGGAGCAACCTATTGGCCAGTTCGGAGTATGATTACCTTTCTAGTTTTTACACGCCTTTACTTACAGTCGACAGCCCAACACAAGCAATAAGATCCGGCATATTGACGAGTGGCGCCTTGCCGAAACTGATGAGTCTGAAATCACGGCTTACGAGGTCTATTCATACCCTCCTGAAGTTGCCGACTTACCTTTCAAGATCACCTGGCGTATTCCCAAGGGTGAGCCGAGTGAAGCAGAGCTAACTATTCCAGCTCTGTTCGGCAACAACGACCCCGTTGCTTCGCTGAATAAATTTGCCAACTGTGAAATCTTCCTCGGAACCGATGACCGCTCTTTGCACATTGGTGCAAAATCGAGGGATAGTCTCGACTTGGCCTTGAAGAAAGTCGACACGCTCGTCAAGTACTACGTATGTTTCGTCCTGGCTACGAATCTTGCGCATCATATTTAACCCGTTTCTTAGCATACTCCAGCACACCTGGATAGCCATTTTTCACATGTGCTTTACAGCGAGAACGTGCCCAACTTCCTGACGGAGATACGTTACATTGCACAAGCCGACACACAATTGCTGAAATCCATTCTTCTGGAACGTATCAGTTTCAGTCTGAAATCCAAGTCATCGGATTACGCAAAAGTCTTCAGCGGCGGAAGTTTTGTCCGGATGCTCCCCTTAAGCCCAAACCTCAATGGTAACAGACCAATGTTTCCTCTACATCCCGTTAATCCGGTCATCTCGGAGGAACAAGCCGCTGAGCGTTTCGTGGCTTTTGAGTCATACTGCTACAAGCCCAAAACCAGAGATGGGGATAAGGAAACAGACAGCGTCATGCATCCGCCTCAAAGTTATCTTCCCAGTCAACTTGCAGAGTATAATTCTCAGACCATGACTGGGGTTGGCATTCTCAAATGGGCAAAATCTCTGGCCGAACACCCTGTTGAAGACATTTCAGCGGATGGACCAACAGAGGGGCTAGCGAGAAAAATTATTTCCTTGCCGGTCACAGAGGCTACTGCTCAACGTCCTGGCAATGATGTTTATCTGCCTGCGACAGGACATGGGCAAGTCGGAACTCCGCGTAAGAAGTCAACAGCTCTCCAGGACTGTGAGGACAGAGATTTGGTCCCTCCATCCGGCAGCTCAACAACGCCTACTCCTCGGATGACCAATGCAAGCAGCCAAGCAACTATCCCCGGGACTTTGATGCTTTCTCCAAAAAAACCACGAGGTGTACGACGCCATGTGAGTCCCACTCCTTTCTGTCCGCACGCTACACCGTCACCTTCGGCTGAATCGTCGCCGGCCACCAACTCGAACGTAACTACCGCGACCGGCCGAGAAAGACTGGCAGACCTTAGGAAGCGTTTGGGGCAATCAAAGCCCAAAGGCTCTCACATGAAGGACTCGAAGGAAAAACCTACGAATGACTACGACGCTGAGACCACCAGCATCAGCAACCAGATTCCAAATGACCCTTTCGTCCTCACAAAGGTGTTTCAACGTAATGAACCAGTATTACTTGACTTTGGTGACACTACAGCATCGTCTCAACCTGAAATGGGGCAGGGAGAAGCGAACTTTCTTGATTTTTCTCCAGTAAATCCGCAGAACGATCAGCCTCTGTCATGGTCTATGGAACCGCTTCTCCCGACCCCGAAGCCTACATTAGAAAAGAGAAAGCCTCCAAGCTTCCACTCTACCGTGCAGCAGAAGGCGGGCTCGAGATCTGTGCCTCTGGAGGCAAACCAAAAAAAGTCAGATACTTTAAACAGCACCCAAAGCAATGATGGTTTTCTTCCGCATCAGAGAAAATCCTTCACTCCGAGCGGACACCGAAGGGAGAAGCAAGAGACGTCATCTCGTCCCAAGAAGACCGATCTAACCGGCCCAGATCCCAGTCCTGATGTGATTCAAACCATATCCCAAAAACTCACGCAAATTATGCAGCCTCTTCGTATTTTCAAAGGAAATGTGTTTCTAAAGGCAGAAATTGGCCGATTCATACTCACAAAAGTCAACTACAAACACATCAGCATCCCCACTGTGGCCGAGGAGGATCGACTGAGAACCATGACGGAAGAGCAGATGACCCGCGGGTTTCTCGACCTGCGCCACTGTCAGAGAAAGGACCTTTTCTTCACGAGGGTTGTTTCCGCAAGCGGTGGCGATGCAAACTATATCGCGTCGCTCATGGAACCCGGTTCTGGTTCTTCACAGATTAAAATGTGGACTCCCAGTGGCAAACGGGTTATCTACGAATTTAGATGTTCAACCACTGGCCCAGTCGGGAAGAAGCACAGATTTATCTTGAACGTGGATGCTGAGAACTTCTCATATAGTGCTCAAAAGGACAGGACTATCGTGGGCAAGGTGTTCATGCACTGCATGAAAAGAACATATGACATCCAGTTTACCGTCGATGCGGTTCAAAACATAGCGGAGAATTATGGGGGCTTCGCTCAGGAGCTTATCGGCAGTTTGGAAGTCAGGTACGTGAAGAGCTCTCGATTTACAAATGTGTCCTTGACAGTTTACTGACTACGTCGTCGGTTAGACCACAGAGCGACGGACGTCCTCGTCTTTCATTCATAAACTTCTTGGCTTGGGGCGCTGAGATTGTGGCCGTTCGTGTCAGGCACATTGCAGAGTTTGTTAACAGTGCCCAAACCTGCAAACTTGAGATCACCCAAGTTCATGAGATGAGCCTGAAAGATCTTGGCGTCCAAACCTGCGGTCCAGGACCCTCTGACAATGCTTCGTATCTCGAAGCTATTCCTTCGTCTGATAAACCGGAACTCGGCTACTTTGCAACGTGGTACGACGCTTGTGTCAAGTCACAAAAGGTCGACGAGGCTGTCACCCAGAACGAGGATCTCGGTTTCGGTGACGAAGCGACTTGGAGTCCAGATGACCTGAAGTCTGCGGGGGCATTCGAGGACCTCATCGACGCTGCCACTCATATGGTGAAGAATATGGATGGAGTTGCGTACTGGTGTGACAACAACCAGGAGGCCATGAACTATCGCAAACCTCCGGGTTCCGAACAAGAGATACGCCAGCTGATAAAGTCTACTCAACGCGAAGTGTACTGGTAAAACTTGTACTAATCTACTGACCGACCGCATCTTCATGGGGCCAGATGACCAACACGTCATGAATTGTTCTAATAATGAAACAGGTAACTCTTGTTCTTCTCATGCCATTTTCCTCCTGAAAAGCACCTACAGCGGCCGCATTTGCAACATCTCATTGTCGCAGATTGCTCAACTCCCAAACTCCTCAACACCCAATAACCAAAACACGATCCAGAGCCTCCACTTTCTTTCCGTTTATTCATCACATGACAATTAAGGACGGAACGTGACCACCACAGAATTTCCCGCGGTCCGCAAAACACGACATCACGCCTAGTCAGATTCACATGCTAAATTTGGCGTAATGAAGGCTGAACTGATAAGTAAGGGCAGCAGACTTCATAATAGGTCTCGTTGGTTCGCTCCCTGTGATCCGGCACTTCCTTGGTCACACCAGCTGCTCAATACGAGTGTAACGAGCTCTGTTAACATGAGAAGTAAATCTGGACCACAAGGATACCGGATACCTTGCAGCTTGGATTCGTACAGTCGTGCAGTCTGGATCACATGATCGGTTCGGCTTTCTCGACGTTGCAGGCTTGCCAATGCCATACCTGGACTTCTGCAGCTTGCTCCCTCCCTCGCTGCACAGTGGTACATATATCGTCTGATACCTCTTTGCCATCATTACTAGCTCTATGAAGTTGATGATACGTAAAGGGTGCTATATCGGGCCCATCATGGACAATATGATCATCTCGTTATCCAGTTGCGAACATTCAGCCGTTGTCTTTCCGTGCCTTGGAAAGCCAGGCTCGCAATTTGCTACAAGGCAGACTGCGGCAACAAGCATGGAAAACATATCATGATGATTCTCGAAACTTGCATCCCTACACAGAAAGGCTGTAACGGATGATCTCTATAAAGTTCCTTCATAGCTTCATGACCGATGTAGCTTCACCATCTAACCGAAGTCCGCCTTAACCTGGCGTTGCGTTTGATTCTGCGATCTTGTCAACGCAAAATCGTCATGCTGGAGACGGATGGGTTTCAAACAAATGGTGGCGTGGAGGCTTTCTTTGAAGATAGCCCCCCGCAAAATAAGTAGACGTATGCAGATAGGCAATAACCGAGTATTATAGACCAAACTCCTAGAAACGTAATAAGGCGAATTGTTTTCGCAATGTGAAGTATGTTGTGATAAGCGATGAGTTTTATTCATCTCAAGTTTTTGGTCTCATAGTGTACAAATTCTCCGTATTAGCACCGTCCACGCTCACCAATACTTCAACATGTTTATGCTAGCTGCTGGCTCAATTCCTTCGCAACATCAGTAAATTGCGAGGAATGGCAGACTCATGGCCAAGAACGCCCCCATTACTCTTTGGTTTGTTCTTGCCTTGTCAAGACAACCCCCCCGGATGACCCTGTGAACGGCGACGAGGTAAATAGTTGAGAAGCAGCCGGTTCAACCAGAGATTATCGTCCCATTTTCTTCCTTCCTCCAAAACCGCAAGCTACTTCCTTCACTCTTACCTCGTGCCCTTCTTCCATTGCGCGCACTTCCCTAAAGAGCACTCAAATCCAAAGGAACACTGCTGCCACGTCCTGCGCGATACCTCTTGGCGCCACCCTGGAATGGCCTGGGCTTAGGTAACATAGTCTCGTCCGTAAACCTCCAACGATTGTCCTCGATAATATACCTTGTGTGACCGCCACCCCTGGGGCTCATAACGCCGCCGGCGGTTGTGTTTGACCGCGTTGGAGACGTGCTCTTGGCGCCGTTGTGGGATAGGGTGTAGGCGCTGGGGTCAAGCATGGATGAGCGTAAATTCGAGGGCGCGCGTTGCCGTTTTATTGGCGCTGACGGCGGAGGGGCTGGAGGGTGAGGAGTTAATGATGGAGGTGAAGGCGCCGCAACTGGAGGTGGTGGAGGAGGGGGAGCTGGCGGTACACCTGGTGGTGAGGGCGGCCCTCCTGAAGCACGAATAGCCGCCTGAAGGGCGATGTTTTGCGAGCTACCGTTTGTAGTAGATGACGCTCCGGGTGGGGGCGGTGGTGGTGGGGGAGGTTGTGACCGGGAAGGAGCCACGGGGGGTCGGGGTGCAGGTGTCGAAGGAAGAGATGGAGCGGCAGATGGGGGTGGAGGAGGTGGAGCTGGAGGTGCGGGCGCTGAAGACGGGGGTGGGGGAGGGGCCGGGGCACCTGGTACTGGTGGTGGTGCACCGGACATAACTGACGAAAACTTGCGAGAGCTTGGGGGTGGAGGGGGCTTCTTCCCAATGGGTGGTGGTGGTCCTTTCGTCGAAGCCGAAGACACTGGCAGGGGCATTTCACTGCCAGTCTTCCTTAAATTTGCTATCGACGGGTGGAAAGAGGGGCCTCCGGGTGCCGGTGGAACAGCACGGCCAGGTATCGCCGGCGCCGCTCCGGATGGTAGTTTCGGCGCACCCATTGGCGGCGGCTTCGGTGCTGAGCTCTGTGGTGACTCCATATCTGATATATACGAAGACCCGCGAGATGCTGGAGACATATTAATTTGGCTGCTAGGGCTTTGTACACGGACCTGGGTACTCACCTCCGGTATCCACGCCGCCTCCACGTTTCTTCAACTTGGGCATCCCACCTGCGAACAACCCTCCCAGCTGGGGTGCCGGATCTGTTGTCGCTGGCGCGCCGTCCCGGCTGGCATGGTCACTGTCGCTCCTTGTTCGAAGTCCTCCTGGGACTGGCGGTGCTGACCCTGGCACAGGGGGAGCCCCCCCTATCGCCGGTGCCCCTCCGCTTCCAGGCTCCTTTGCTACTATCGGTGCGGATCGATCATTGGTGACTGCTTTCCTGAGAGCCCTCCCCTTCGTAATGTCGCCTAGAAGAGCGCCCTAATAGTCGTCAGTGACCGGTATGAGCTTAGTGGACGGGTAGAGAAAGCATACCCGTCCAGCACCTGCAGCGGCAGGCGGTCGCACGGGTAAACCGCCCGGTGGTGGTGGAGGGGGAGGCGGGCCACCCATGCCTGGCGGAGGCGGCGGTGGAGGTGGAGGAGGGGGTGGCATGTTGGTGATGTCGCCTGTGTCGAGCTCAGTATGTTGGGGAGAGATGTGAAGCGTTGAGATTCAATGTTTTGAATGATAATCAGCTGCTGTGCTACGGAGCTATGTGGATGGCCGAAAACGATGGGAAAAAGCGGCTTGAGACGTCGCACCTGGCTACTCAGAAACGAAGAATACTATGGGAATGTCACACAATGCGGGCTTTGCAGAGCGCAATGTGTGGAAAGCCGAAAGATTGACGATGCCTCTATACTCATTCACAGTCTGGGCGACAATTGAATGAGGTCTGACGTTAGAGCCTAACACTAATCCTTTCAGCCGCATCTGTCGTCACTGCAGCGTGGCGCAGCTACTTTGCCGTCTTGGGTCCAACTTGAGCAGGGAACCCCTGATCCTGGTCCTCGGGTTATCGGGCTATCGGGGTTACATGGGCTTCGTGTCACAGTCACCTTGGAAAAGATAATTTTCCGTCTTACCGGTACCTTGACCAATCAACAACTCGCTGACAACTTGCTCAATATCCATGGATACGAAAACTTGCAGGCGGCCATACCTGTTGACGAATAGGATGACGGTGCGGTCGATCCTCAGCTAACAATGAATGTTGAATTTGGAATTGTTGAACTTTGGTCACAGCAAAAAGTGACGTCAAGCCATCGAGCAGCGGTGGAATGCCGAGTCTATTCGTTGGGTCATCGGCATTACACTACCTGAGCAACATCATGACGAACTGGTCTTGGTTTCTTGGCCACTCTTAGTGATTATCATGGTGATTGGGTTGGCCAGAGAGCCGTCGCAGGCAGCATCGTGGAAGTGAGAACATTTCCGAGAGGTTGCATCTGGAAAATGGTGTGCTAAGCCAGCGAGCCGCAAGTTACCAAGACAATCAAGATGCCGTGCCTTGCCCGACTCGCACCACCAGATTAGTAGGAGCAGACTTACGAGAGCCCATCACTAGAGAGTCCGTCGTTGCTAGCATTAATTCGATCTCCTTTGGACACATCTGGAGCGCTAAGTATTCTTCCGGGGCGCTCCTTTCGAGATCATATCCACTTGTACCACAACTAGTCTACATACCACATCACCACCTGTTCATAGCCTACGCCCGGACTTGTGCTCTGCCGAGAGACTATGCGAGGGCTTACATAGTAGATCTGTTCTTCACCCGATTGGGTAATGCTGTTATTTTCGAGACGCTATTTCTCTTCGAGTTGGCTTGGCGTAACCTAGTCGCTCTCGGCAGTCCCAGCAAGTCCTTCCACCGCAGGGATGGAGGATGAACACTTATGTACCTCTGGTATTGAAAGGTGTTGGGTTTGGTCATCGACTGGGCTCTATCAATCTCGTTGACTTCGCACATTACGAAGCCTACCTGAAGGCAGATGGTACTCAAGACAATAAGAGATGGGGAGCAACTGAGTCACAGATAATGGAGCGGGTTAGAATGTACTTGTAATGCTGATGGGCAAGTCAGTTGCCTATCACCTCTGGGCTATATACACAACAGCATCTGGAACGCATACCGACTTTTTTTCAGCTTGCTTCCGCTCCGTATTCAATGCAGCCCTGACTCAACCGATAGCGTTACGGAGAGAAAGGTGCCGGGATAGGAACCGGGATGATCCTCACGTGGGCAACGTTGTATCAAGTCTAGACTCTGGGGCCTTCGGTCGTCTCGTCCAGTCAGAGAGGCGTTCGACTATAGTCAATAGTGTTGATGGCCATTCTGTCCCGAACTCTTGGTATTACTTATGATTTGCTTTTAATGTGCTTGACGTCTTCAGCGCGCTCATTTACGCACACTCCAGCTCGGCTTACACACACAGGGACAACGGAGGTAGTGACAACTCCACGACACTCCACGAAAGCCACTAAAAAGCGAGACTAGTCGATTGTGGAGCGACCAGTTGAGGCGTGAGCACGCGACCAAGTTTGGCTGGAGTCGGGCACTACCCTGTATGTGAAGGACTTGGATAAGTCAAGTCTGATATAAGGAGGTATGCCTGCATGCCAAAGTCAGTTCCGGGGCTTTTGGTTGGCCTTCGATTGGCCGTTCGTTCACTCTCTACGATCCATCTTTGCAAAGCATTCGGGTCCAGTCGATGTGCAGAGACTTGAAGGTAAAGATGAACTATGTCATGCTATTTAAGGGCTCAGGCCCATTTCGGTCAATAGAACGTAGATATTGAGTTTGGAGTTTGGCGTGTGGCTTGAAAATCTATGGATGCCCCTATGAGAGCGCAAAAACGTTCTAATTTGATATGCCGTACTGTCGTGATCGGCAGCTCATTTGAGCACGCCTTCGCTCTGCACAAGGTCTTTCTAACCCCTACTAACGATGGATGTAGCCAGCAAGGGGTACAGTACGTACCTAAAGTCAAATTAGTGATGGAACCCTATCCAATTAAGCAGGCGGTGTCAACGATATTTACTAATTAACACTTAACATTAGTATTAGCAGACTACTATGACAGAGTGCTTTTAACGATAAACTAAGAGCTATAGCTTTATTAGAGTAGCTTAAAGATGTATCCCAAGGCCCCTAGGTCAGTAGCGCCACCGTACCCAGCCCTAGTAGAAAGAACACCTAATTCGTCTCGCCCTGGTAATAGCTGTACGTGATTAACTAATATAGGAAGCGATAACACCGCTATTCTCGCCTTTTCTAATATGAACGATATTCTCTCTCCTCGTACTCTAATCGATCGAGTCGTTTCGCGGTTCGTTACCTTGTAAATGCCTCTACTAGCGGGGTAGAGAAAAAGGAAGAGCCTAATAACGCGGAAGGCTTGATAACAAGTAATAAAGATTACGTTTAGGTAAAAAAGAAAACAGGCAGAATTAGCGCGCTTTACCTAATCTATATACCGAAAGGACCCCTATCTAGTGTGGCACATGCTAAGTTTCTTGTCTGGACAGTGGATTCAGTTACAGCCAAAACCAGTGCCAAAATAGGTTAAATGACATATTACCTTATTCAACGTACAACGTGCGGTTGATTCATAATGTCCAAACCTTGTTTTATGAATGTACTATAGTAGAGTTGCGCGGGGATCAGCAAGGATCCCTGAAAACCGCGGCTGAGACATTACCCTAATCGGGAAGCACTGCCGTTGTCCAATTGCCGAATGCAATTTGAAGATTCCTTTTGCGATATCTTCCGCGCGACGACAATCCATCAAGCGCGTCTGATCCATAGTTTCGATTCGGGTTTTCATTTACGTCCCTCAGACTCCCCGCCTTTGGACGACATTTCCGCTGGCGTGCATCATTACGCTATAGCACCCTAGCCTGCAATCCCCCCGAGCCATTGCCAACCGGCCCGCTGCAAGAAATAAGCGTCATGCCTCGATCAGCGCTTGTTCCCCGACAGTATCCCCTCTGTCGCATCTGCGACGCTCTCGCTGTCCGACGTCTGTACACAGCCAAGACCCCATTTACCTCGCAGATTGTCTCCAGTGTCTCCAGATCCCGACCCAGATTGTTGAGCCAGTGTACCCAGAGTATCAAAGGTGCGGCAGCCAGGGTATCAGGTCGAACGCCATGCCAGGTAGCGGCGATAAGCACGCGACCATATACCGGCAGTAACACAGAGGACTATGCTGCGGACCCTGTGGGCACCAATACTCAGCAGCCAGAGGAGCGACAAGAACTGTCTTCCCTGACCGATATGACGGCCTATCTTGAGAACCATAAGGCCAAGGTGCTCGGCCACCGAAATATCCCATCCGAGCCAGATATAAGTGCGGCTCTGCATGCGTGTAAAGTGGTGGCTGATTACATCATGGACGAATCGGCACAGCCCCAGATTACTCATATGGTGAATGAATTGGACTCCACCGCCTCGAATCTTCTGTCGCTGGATAAAGCTTCACAATCGTCATCAACTCCTGGGTCCGACGACGGCGCCAGTGGCGTCCGCATACCTGCGCAGCTCAAGCAGATGATCGACAAGATATCGGACACCGCTTACGCAATTTTAGTCCACCCAACTATATTCATCACGCCAAGCCTACTACGGCAGTACGTCCATGTCCAATCCCGTCTGGGCAAGTCCGAGACGCTGCCCGGCATCTTCCAGCTGTATTCCTCCAAGCCCATGCCCCGGTCGGGCTCTGGCTCGCAGGTTGTCTATGTGAAGCAGAATTCCAACAAGGCTGCAAGTGCTATAGAGCCTGAAGTGGTTGAAACAGCCCTGGACACCGCAATCGAAAGCAAGAACCTTGATGCCGCTGTTGGCATCATCGAAAATAGCTATGGGACAACCGCCTTTGTCCGATCCAAGCTCCTCCGCAAAGCTGGCCTCCCAGTAGTCACATTCGCGGTAACACCCATCGCTGCTTATGGTTTGGCATCCAGTTTCTCAGTCCTGCAGGACTCCATGGATGCAGCCACTGCAACCAATACCGCTTTTGTCGGCATTTTAGCCTACGTTGCCTTCACAGCCTCGATTGGCATGGTCGCGGTGATGACAGCCAATGACCAAATGAAGCGTGTCACGTGGGCACCGGGAATCCCTTTGCGCACACGATGGATCCGGGAAGAAGAAAGGGCAGCACTCGATAAGATTGCTGTTTCGTGGGGGTTCGCCGAGGACACACGGCGCCAGGGTGAGGAGGAAGGCGCCGATTGGGACGCCCTACGAGAGTACATCGGGCAAAGGGGCATGATACTTGATAATCCTGCACTAATGGAGGGTATGGAATAGACGCGAAGCTTAAAGGCGGTGCCTTACGTTTGACCCCTATTGTGGCTGTGGCTTGCCAAATCACCAGGCACACACTTGTTGGTTATGATGAATCCAACTACTCATGACAATCCCGCCCGTTTCCCAACTACACGTAATCCGTGCCGCTTGCGCAAATCGTGACTAAGCTCGACCCGAACATGCCATGATGGGACAACCATGTTGGAATAACATCGGTGATCAACGTATTTGCTACATACATTACATACCTCCCTTTAAGCGTAGCTTGCACAACTCTCAACCCAATTTGCGCTTAGCGTTGTCACAAACTGGGGTTCTTTCAGCGCATGTCAGCAACTTGGTGTTCTAGACAAACAGTTCAACCAACATTCCCTGCCGACACCCGTCACCATAATTGAGATTTCGACGAGACTTCAGATCTCTCGGCATTTCACTTTTGGGCTTTAAGCTATCCCATTATCGCCAAGGGTGATCGACAATTTTGTTTCACTCCGCTGCAGTTGCCAAGGAAGCATGAGCCAGAGCTTTGATGAGATACTGTCAAACAATCATGGGGCAATCCTATCACCTATGTGACTCGCTCTATGCGGCCATCCACTCTGTTTACCCGTATTGGCTCTAAATTGAGCCTGCCAAGTGCTACGGTCTGCGCACTCAAAGAGAAGGTTTCACTTAACCATGGATTCATGTGCGCTGTGGTTCTTTTGTCCCATATAGTGTACCCTACTGCAAGCCGCACCGGGTCTTGCGCTTAGAATTACGGTTGATGGGAAAGTACTAGCCTGAGTGCGAATGCCCCTTCCCCAAAGTGATATAACGCTTGCACCCGCTCCCACCTTTTTTTCCCAGTAAATCACCATGAAGTCTTACTAAAGTAGTGAATCTGCAAACCGAACCTTGGGAATCGTATACAACACCATCCATATCTGGCTCTACAACAACAGCCATCACCGAAAACGGCACCGTACAAACTTAGCAAGCAACCTTTCGACAGCATCACTATCAGCATTTGTCTTCCTGCCGCTGCGTCCTCCGAATAACTCGTTACCTCGCCGCCACCTCGATGACCAGAGCCATGGGCGGCCAATTTACACCGTACGATCCAGCCAGATGCGAGCACTACGCCCACTTCGCTGCACGATTAGACCGAGTCCATTTCGACGCGCTGTATTGGGTGTTTTTCTTTAGTATAATCGCTGTGTTATTTCTGGCGTCATGGATCTATCAATGGTATGGGCCCCCTCTACACACAAGCACCTGTCCCATCCATTCCGTTTTTCATAACATTGGCTAAGAGTTTGTCCAGGACCATGCTCTATAAGGAGAAGCCTGATTTCAACGAAGCAATATTCCGCAAGAAGCTCAAGTTGGCCATGGCCTATTGCTCCAGCCTGTTTTTGATCGCCGCGGTTATGTTGGTCATAGAAGTATTTGCCCTCCTGGCTCTTCAGTTCTGCGATGGCGAGGATCTCATGTCACTCTACTGGTCCACTTGGGCTATGTTGCAGCTGGGATCCGAGATTGCCATCTTGGGTATCGTATTGGCGCTGTGGCATCAGATTTGCGACATTCGTCATCCGTTAGTTAACCCCTATGTTAAAATCACATAACCAGATTACACTGACATATCGACAGGCTGTGGGCACTTGCTTTAGGCACACCGGTTCTCGTGGTCGCCGGATTCGGACACGTCATCGCTGTCTGCGTGGAATCTATTTGGAAGAAGGCCAAGGAAAAGAGAAAGGGCTCGGTTGCTACTCGGAAACCCACTAGGGCGCCAAACGAGAAGGAGCCACACTCTTCTGCGTAAGTTACTTGAGCCTCTTCAAATTCATATCGTCACTAACCTGACTGCTCGTTCAGATCGACTATTAAGCCCTCCGTCGAGGAATACTCCCGGCGCCCAAGCGTCAACGATATCACCGACGTTCGCTCCCGCTCTGCTAGTATAAGAGAAGAGGGTCGTGCTGTCATCTTCGAAATCGACGTGGGAAATCAAAGCCAAGTCGTCCGAAATTGGCCTGCCTTTGTGGGTTTGGTCAATGGAAAGGCATTAGTGCAAGCCTACGTCCGAGGAGGGGAAGACATGCTTAATCAGATGGAAAACGGACAAGCTGGGCCGAGTAGGAGCAACACCCAGTGAACAGGATTGATCCATGGGACAAGGCAAATCATGCATTACTTTTTCTTTCTTTTTTGCGATTATGGCATTATGGACATTCATCATGGCAAGCAGTATTGCATTGGGTTTGGGTAAAGTCACACACAGCGGGCAGTCATTGGTTTTTTACGGCTATGAATTATTTGATAGAGGAGACCAAGCTGTCTCTCGGCGGCGGCGGCGGGCGTTGCAGGCTAAACCATGAGTGTAGGATAGTTAGCGGGAGTCTGTCAACGGAAAAGGGTGGCGTTGGTTAGAGAATGTACACAAGCAATTCCACTTGGGTGCCATATGGACAGATGTGCATCTCAGACTGTGGACACGAGATGATGGATCGCACAATGCAGTATGACAGAGCATGGCTGAGTCCAGAACAATGCTTGGCTGGACGGTTAATCACATGATCATTAATCAATAAAGTTCTCAATGCTACGATGACGAACAGGGGTGAGCATAACCAAACCCCAATGCGTGAAACCTGATCCATGTACCTCTCCAGCCAACCCAACCCAGTGTGCAAACTAAATTATTCCCCAAGAAAAGACGGCTCTCTTCCGAGGATCCATTTCATCCTGGTCAGACACAGAGTGGAAGAAAACAGTTACTCATCATAAGAAAAAGCGTAAGCAGGGGCCGGTAGGACGTTCTTGGAAGTGGAGGGTTCTGTACGCTGGGTACGGCCCAAACTTAAGAATCACTGTATTTCTCAAATGTCTTTTTTTGGCATGCGCAGGCCACTAGCCTGGCGAGACTCGTCGGTACCTGCTATAATACAACAGAGATCGACATTGGTTGCATGATCTAGATAGACAGAGATCTCTGCCGGGATGGACGGGATAGACCCACGTTGAATGAGCAGCCAATACAGGATCCATGTCGAGGCCCAATAAGAACCAGGGATGGGCCATTCAGCTATGCTACCACGCTTGCAATGCTAGCTACTTTTCGTTTCAGTGCCCAGGAAAAATCGAGACGGCGCCGAGACCTTCTTTCCCCTCCGTGAGATATCTTACAGTTTTTTTGTGGTCAGCTGGGCTCTACCGGGGCTTTCGGCTCTACGATCCCCGTACCTGCATGTGGGGTGGACAGGACTCTTATACAGTTACGGACACACGCTGATAACCCTACATTGTCGCCCCGATAATGTCGACTTTGTAGCCCGAAACCCTTAGTAACGGACCCTGTAAGTAGATATTTCCATGAGGCGTGTACACTTGTGGAAAAAACGTAGTTGCCTCTACAAATCGTAGTTTCGGGCAGAAAATTATACAGTTATCGGTCATTATACAGTTTCAGGAACGATCACTGTACTACGACCTGGCCCACCCTACACACAGACGCGAAAGCCAATTGAACCGAGTTTATTCATTCACTGCTGCTAACAATCCCACTGGTTGATGCTCCGATTCTGTCACCCACAGCCAAATCCGTCTGATATGCACGAGGAGTAGCGACGATGGATTTGGCTTGCTGCCCAGCCCGAACAAACCACTGCACTACCTCGTTGACAACAACTGTGAATCTGCGAGCATCCCGCCCTTCCTTCACCCATCACCTAAGACTGACTTGACTGCGTAGGTCCGTATGTAGATCGTAGATCACGTTAGCATTACGAAGCCAATTTGTCCGATAAGCTTTCTACCTCTCTTGCCTCCGCCTAGTCTTCCTCAGCACGGATAATCATCCCTCGGAAACTTTGGGTACCAAGATAACCAAAGCCGTCTAAGACGGATGATGACGCCTTCCCGCCGTTTTCTGATCTACGCAATCCACCGACACTCGGTTTAAGCAGCCTACCTCAACCACCGCTGAGACGAATTTGCTAATTTTTGATTCTGTGCAATTGACATTTGTTACAGAATGGTTGTGCCAAGTGACCTTCGAAAAAGTCGGTGCTTAGCTTCTTGTTAGCGGCATCATGGGCCAAGGCCAAGCGGTGGTGTAGGCTAAGAGATGAAACTGGCTACACCTGGCCGGCGCGTCCAACTTGCAAAATCTCGCCTGTCTGCCGATCATCGCTGCGCAAAACCGGCCAGCTCTTTCCGTCTGCTTTGTACAAGCTGACTTCGAGCTTGGTGCCGAGAATCTTGAAGCTACTTTTGTCCGTGTCGATTGGTCCAAACAGAGGAACGGTCGTCTTGTATCTCTTGGGCGCCGCATCGCTGGTCGGCAGATCGAGCGTTAGTTCTTGTGCCTCGAATTTGACAGTTGCGTTGGTCTTGTCAATCTTCTTCAGGAAGAACGAGGCAATAACTGTGCTCGGTGTTTGATAGAAGTCGTGTCGAACTGTGTCCAACAACTCCTCACCACTTTCTCCCGCGGAGTTTGATACGACACCATTGCCTTTCTTCTTATCCTGTCCCGAGCCAACGAACAGGTGACGGGGTGATATCTTGCAGCCTTCAATTTTCATGAACTGGTCAAATTCCAAGACGCGACGCTTACAGCAGCTGTAGCCCTTGCTACCCTCGTGGAAAATGGGCACACCCGGGTGGTGGACGCACTGCTCGTCATTGGAACGGACTTGTCCTTTCTTGTAGGCCACATTACATGTTTTCCGTCTACACACTTTGCCATCTGGGATATCCAAAGAGGGTTCGTCATCTTCTGACTCGGGAGGCGGGGGCGGTGCTGTAGGGGCTGCCTGGGGAGCCAGGGGAGCGCGGCTGGGTGCTGACGTTGGCACCTCAGAAAGCTCGGAGAGTTTGTTGGAGAGAGATTGCGTGGTTGTGTCAGCGTCGCCACCTGTCTTCTTCTCGATCCCGGGGGGCAGATCGGTGGTGCTGTGCGTGCCCTCGGTGCAAGGTGGGATGGATAGAAACTCGTCAAAGGTGAGGACTCTTGGCTTGCAACATTTCCATCCTGAAGTGCTTCATATTTTAGCTTCTGTCCCAAACGTCCGAAACATGGCATTTCTCATCTCCCAGGGCTTCCACTTCCACACGGGTCCTCGAAGGCTTCGTAGGACCCGCCATGCTTTGCCAAGAATTGTCATTCGCTGCTTCACCTCGCCCTGTCGCTCACTTACCTTTCTGTCCTTCATGAAAGACGGGCGGTCCTGGATGGTACGAACAGACCTCTTCCGGGTCGGTGTACGTCTTGCCGCAGCCCTTGTGCACACACTTTTGCGCCATGGTTTTCGAAAGCGAAATCGATTTTGGGTTGTTGCAAGTATTGTTTGCCTTCTGCTGAAGTTGTGCTGCCGTGGAAGAAGTTAGAATGTTCGTTGGAGGGGCAGGATGGAGATTTCCGACCAGGGTTCACGTCATTTCTCCCAGGCGCTAGGCTGTCTTGGGCAAGCGGTGTAGAAGTTCCCCAGGTCTCAATCAAACGGTCCGCTGCTGCCGATCTGCTGCAAGGGACAAGTGGGATCATCATGCCTGGTTTACTACACAGGAATATTGGGCTATCGCATATTATTCCCCTTCTAGGTGCACCGTATATTATGACACCTCTTTGACGCGAGGACGTGCGCGTGCACTGAGATTTCCTGGTTTTCGGCTGAACCAACTCATCCTTAATAACGATCCCAAAATATCTCAATGCAACTTTTGAAGTACTTACCCCGTACCGAACCAAATTTCTGGACCCTGCCATCTGGTCTGTATTTCAACCCCAATCCTTTTCAGTGTATCACAATCTTCGGGGTACTAACCAATTACTTTAGCCCACCACGAAAATGCGGCCCACCAGCAGATTATTAAAACACGCTTGCCGCATCACTCTATTCACTCGTGAGAACTGCGGGCTCTGTACAGAAGCCAGGTCCGTCCTCTCTGATGTCTGGGACTCTCGTCCGTTCACCTTCAAAGAGGTTGACATTATCAAATCTGACTCAATTCCCCGCTGGCGAGATCTCTATGAGTTCGATGTTCCGGTGGTACGTAACATGACGCCTCTTTCCGGCAAAATTCGAGAAAGTTTCTACGCCTCGCTTCCTAGCAACATTCGACAATGTTTCTGCGTTCCCTGCGGGTTACATCGTTGTGGAAAACAAACCTTACTGAACCACAAAAAGCTGAAACCTTCGTGTATAGATCCATATCGACAAATCCACCGCGCCGGAAGAGCAGTTACAACTTGCTTCCAAGGCGGTTAAGTTGATGCACCGCTTCACGTCAGATGATGTCAAAGCCAAGATGGACGCTGTCGAGAAGCACTGAAAAGCATTGTATGAAGTGAAGTGGAAATTTAGTTTCCAATCCGAAGCCGAACGGCGCAGGATCTATGTCGGAACCTTCTGAGCCAGTTCATTGAATATTCTCACCATCATCTCCCCTCCTAATCAAGCACTATCTCAGGTGGCGGACGCCCTGTAGCTTAACCTTGAACGTGAAGTGACATCTTAACGAGGCTGACAAACTTGGTTGAAGGCACTTGACATTCGCGGTACCTGATGAGCCCCGAGGCTACTGCACTCCACTTCCCTTTAGTTGAGGTGGGCCTCGAGCAGCACTCGCTTGTGCAGCCACCGCGTACTGCAAGGTTGTCATATCCAAGGCAACAGAAATCATGTCGTAACCCTTGTCCGCATACATCTTGGCCTGCTCCGCACTCATGGCAAGCACCCCGCACTTTTTACCAGCCTTGTGTGCCACTGTTAGAACGAGATCGATGGCTTCCTCAAGTTCCGGTCGCATCACCCCGTGCAAAATGGGATATCCGATGTTATTACCCAAGTCGAGCGGGCCTACGAAGAGAAGGTCGATGCCGGGCACAGCAGCAATTTCTTCGAGAGCATCGAGCGCTTCCTGTGTTTCGATTTGGACCATGGTCAAGAGCGAGTCATTGGCATACTGCAGGTATTCTGTCATCGAAGGGACGGGATGAAAACGCTCCATTGCGAAAGGGGATCCAAATCCTCTTTGTCCTACAGGCGGGAATTTTGCTGCTGCAACTACCTTCTTGGCCTCTTCTGCGGAACGAAGCATAGGAACAAGAATCTAGAGTAATGTCAACAAAGATTGGGACCGATCATGGTTGCAATGGACTTACGCCGTGCGCTCCGGTATCCAGGGCGCCTGTGGTATGCATTAGAAGCATGTGAAGGAGAAGGCACCATAATACGCACGCTTGATCATCCAGTCTTGCATATCTGGAATTCTCACAAGGGGACTAACTCCGCAGCTAGCAACCGCCGGAACCGCTTCATGCATGGCAGCATCTATTATGGTGTCAGTCTTGCTTGCGTACGCCTTGCAAAGTCGCCGTTTCGGATGTTTCCAGATTTCGAAATGTCAAGCGGGCAGATAGGCTTACCGTCAATATTACCATGTTCACAATCGATCATAACCCAATCGACCCCTGCTTTCGCCAAGGCCCTCGAGACGTTGGCTCCGGGTAGCATCTGCCAAACCCCTATGGCCGGAGCCGCGCCTTTGTCAAAGGCTGCCTTCAGCGTTCCTCCCAGCATTACGGAGTATCGTCTGGTTGAAGAAGTCAATGGCCATCCAGTTCTGGAAAGGTGTCGACTGGAAATACCCCACGTAGCCTTGCTCAGCAAAGCCGTCTGGGGTAGTGGCATACTGACCGAGATGCTGGAGTACTCGTGGAAAAGCTTTCTCAGGTAGAAGGTGGATACCAAAGTTATGAACTTCGATACGTTTAACCTGATTATATGACACGATCTGAGACTGCAAAGTGGATAGCCAGCGATTGTGTGCTGGACAGCGATGTGAAGAATCCGGGGTCACCCCTGAGTCTTGAGGGGAGTTGAGGGGAGCTGACACTCCACATCTATGATCCATTTGCGGGGTACCGGGTTTCGGGGGGATGGTCTGTCAGCAAGCGTGCGGGATTTCTCCAACGATGTGGTCGGTGCCATTCGTGAGAAGCAGCAGCTTCAGGCATAGGGACTCGATGATGCATAAAACGGGGTTTGTTTCGATTGTTTCGACAGCAACTAGTCCTGGGCTGTCAAATGCCTGGAAATTACTAGTTTCGGAAAAAGCTTATTCAAGGGCCACCCCGAACGACCTGCACTGTCCACATACTGGTGGGTTGTCTTATCATAGGCCCGGCAAGCGGAGGACAGACTAAGTGTCGCACCAAGGGTGGAATAATGTGAAATAGTACGGTATTCCAGTGTATTAGACAATAATAACTTAATTATTCCACCTGGAGTGCATCGTTTATTCTGCTCTCCACTTGCCCGACTGTCGTTTAACAACTGATGGCATCTTCCTTGCCCAAAGTGTCTCTAGTTCAAGGACTCGACGCCAATACACTTCGTAGAATGATGGTTAGTAGCGGCGAACGCCAAGCGAGCGCATATTCTTCTGGCAGCCTTGTTATTATATGCAGTAAGCTATGATTAGGCGACCATCCCACACGGCGACTTTCTCTTGGTATAATCGGGCCGGTGCGGCTCCGATTCCCAACCTCAGTTGCGACAACGTCGGGTGGTGCACCCATTACAGTTGCAGGCGGACTATTCGTTCGCGATCTTCCACGGCGAACATAGCCCCTAATGCATAACAAATGATTACCACCGACGACACATTCTGCTTCCCTTTTGTACACTGGCTATGGATCGGAGACTCCACGAAGTTCGAATCCGTCATTTCATGCAGCAATGTCAAGGCCTTCCATACGGAGTGCCGACGGCTTGATAGACTAACCACTGGATCACGTATGCTAAATTTGGGAACGTAGACACGTCACAGTGCCATGAACTACTGCTCACGAGAAGACGACCACTACACCAAGCTGACAGGCTTGGTAAGCAGTTGATGAGAATGATTCATCTTAAGCTACACCATGTGGCCAAACTCTCAATCTTTCTCTTCTAGCCTGATCACATATTGCAAGATAGCACGTCGAAATAGCCAGCAACATGGCGTTAGCGTGCCCTAGGAAATTCTTCAAGCGATGAGGCGACAACGCAGCGGCGGTCAACCTTATCTCTCCGGCCCACTCAGACGTCACATTCCTTGCCCCCTTCTCCGCCCTATGCATATCAACGGAGACCTGGAGGGTCAGAGGACACAAGTCAACAAACTTTGCAAACGGTTATGAGCCACGGTATGATACACGATTCTATATGTGTGCAATTGCCAAAATCTCCCTACAGGCCTTTTCATGTACTGATCGCAGGCTATCTATATTTCTTTGATTGCATCTTTTGCCAATCTCGTAGTCCCTGAAGTGGAGTATTACTCTTAGCCCTTGGAGGGAAAGATCAAATAAACTTGCAGCATGATACTGAGTCGAATCAAAGGGATACCACCCTGGCTGAGCGCCTCGGTTATTGCAGCATGTAGTGCGATGTGTTTTGGGTAAGTAGTACAAAGTACTGGTTGTTGCATGGCGGTATAGCTGCTAATAAGACGGCACTAGACTGGATACGGGCACTATAGGCTCGGTAACCAGCATGTCCTCTTTCCTGGACACGTTTGGCGAGCTCTCAGCCACAGTCCATGGTGTGGTCGTCTCTTCCATCCTCCTCCCCGGCGCCCTCTCGGCTCTCTTTGCGGGCATACTGGCGGACCGATGGGGCCGCACGCGGACTATCACCATCGGATCCGTCATCTTCGGCCTCGGGGCGTCTCTCGAGGCGGCCTCCTTCTGGCTGCCCATGTTTATTGTCGGCCGCCTTATCAAAGGAGTGGGAGAAGGTTTTTTCCTCAGCACAGCATACGTATACGTTTGCGAGATCTCGCCAGCGCGGATACGGGGCGTCATGGCGAGCGTGGTGCAGATGGTGATAGTTTCGGGCCTCGTGCTCGGCTTTTTCATGTGCTACGGCACCGAGCGCCTCCCAGGTTCACTCTCGTGGAGGCTGCCCATCACTGTACAGGCCATCGTCGCTTTCTCCAACGCCGCCTGTTGCTCGGTCATCCCTCCCAGTCCGAGGTGGTTGCAGGCGACGGGCCATGCGCAGCAGGCCAGGGAGATCAGCGCCCAGCTGGGGCTCGACGAGGCAGAGCAGGCAGAGCTGTTCTCTCAGGCTTCCATCGAGCCCCTCGAGCACTCCCCCGATATTTCCTTCTGGCAGGACCTCCAGCACACGGCTCGCGGCTTCAAGGAGACCTTCTCAGCCCCCTTTCGGGCGCGCACCCTCTTTGGCATTTTTCTCATGGCCATGCAGCAATTCAGTGGCATCGACGGAGTGCTGTACTATGCGCCTATCCTGCTTCGGCAGGCGGGTATCGCCTCCCAGCAGGCCAGCTTCCTCGCCTCGGGCGTGAGTGCACTCGTCATCATGGCGGTCACCATTCCCGCAACGGTTCTGGCTGACAAATGGGGACGCAAGACGTCGACTGTGGTCGGGGGGTCGCTGATCTTTGTGCTGATGCTGCTTATCGGGTCGCTGTATGCATCGAGCCAGGTTCATCGTGATCACGGCGCCGGAAGGTGGGTTGTCATTGTGAGCATATACCTCTTTGCGGCGGTGTTTAGTTTTACGTGGGCTATTGGGTTCAGGGCGTACTTGATTGAGATGTTGCCACGCAAGACGAGGAGCAGCGCAGCCAGTTTAGCGCAGAGTAGTAATTGGGTGGGTGTTCTTTTCTTTCTCTTTTCTCCCTCCTCACCCCTTCCCATTACTCCTAACTTCTGATCGTGAAAGCGAATCATACTAACAGAGTCTGCATAGGTGGCTAATTATATTGTGGCTCTCACGACGCCCGTTTTTATCGCCACGTCGAGCTTTGGTGCTTACTACTTCTTCGCCTTTTCGACCTTGCTTTGTACGGTTGTCTGCGCGGTGCTGATGGTGGAGACGAAGGGGCATAGTCTCGAAGTTATTGAAAAACAATATGCGGAGCGGCAGTCCACGAGTGAGGGGAGTTGGTACCTGGAGAAGTTGGGAATTAAGGGATCGAATATGAGGATGAAGGTCGTTCGGGTTGGGGCCAATGAGGGGTGAGCGGGTTCGATGTAGGGGCGATGATAGTCTCTGGGGAAAGTGAGAGGCGTGTGTGGTGCTAATAGGGCTGGGAACAACTGCTCATATATGCTGTCATGTCGCGAACCCGATCGTGATAGTTTGAGCGGAACTTTTGGTGTGAGACGCACCGGCCGATGTGTAGTTTTGGAGTCGCCAACAGCTAAGTGAAAATGAAGTTACGTTGCAGCCTTTATATATTGGTGTCACGTCTGCCGGATTCTTCGCATTTCAGCGCCTGTAGGTATAATTTGAGACTTCTGAGCATGGTGGCCAAGTCTAGGTTGCCCAATTCGTGAATGCTGAAGGCCTCATCCAACGGCTTCGAGATTTGAGTGGAAGTTGTCTCAGCTGATACAGATCCTACAAACTCGGCTTGAACACTAAAGCTACCACAATAATTCATCATAACTACCGATCCCGAAACCGGTCAACTAGAGCATATCCAGCAATGCTGTGAGGTTATTGCCAAGCTCATTGGGTTGCCTCTGTAAACGAACCCGGCGTCGCTCCTTATGACTTGCAGGTGGTGTTCTCCCAGTGATTCCCTTAGCGGCTTGTTTGCCAAATCACAAAATGGTGTTACCGAAAAATAGGAGTGTTCCGAAACATGTATACCTCATAGAATATCCTATGACTTTACATCGTGACAGACAGAATGTTAGATCCAATCAGTGATACAATAGGAACTTCAATAGCCTGACACTTCCACAGTCCAATAACCTTGTTCATTTTCCTCTGCATGTTTTCTTTCCACGCAACCGTGTTATTTTTAAAAACATTTATTATAAACTCGGAGACCCCGTATGATGAGCGAGAGCGAACACGAAATAGCCAAGGATCAATAGGTGCTTAGAGGATCGTTCAGCGTCCTGTCCTATACAGGAAGAGACAAGTCAGCAAGGTCAGCTTTCGCCCCAAACGGCGAGCTGTACCCATACCCAATTAAGCCTAAAAAAACTCTCTCCTCCGATGCTTATAGTGGTTAGCTAGCCTTTTCTTGCTCGGCAAGAACTTCAAGCATGTATATAAGGCACAGATGAACATCTCTGCCAAAGCTCCAGAACAACTCAGCATCATCAGCCTCCAAACCAAACAACCACCAATCTTCCATCTCCTCAATCACTGACCAGCAACTTCATCTCTCTCTCTCTGTCTCTCTCTGAGAACTTCACTAAAAACACAAAATAAGCCCTAAAATTGTCAAAATGCAGTTCTCCACCCTCTCCATCATGACCCTCGCCTGCACCGCCTTCGCGGCCGCGGCACCCGTCGAGCCTCGCGACGCAGCCTGCAACATCGCCGTCGCGGCCTCCGAGGTGTCTTGCATCAAGGGTTGCGGAAAGAACGAGGGTTGCATCACCGACTGGTATGGTCTTTTCCTCTAAGAAAACTGTGTGCGAAACTTATCTGACAATGAAAATGTAACAACAGCACCTTAACTGCCGTCTCTGCTTATCTGAAATGCGCTGGGTTTTAAGCTGGGGGTTGGGATTTGTGGGTAGATTTGATGCATATGACTGCGAAGGGCGGATAGAATCTCTCATTGATGGTAGTTTTGTTCGGAGTGGGAAACAGAGGTATAGATTGGGAAGATGATTAGAAAGGTTGCAATACGGTTCTTGAGTATTCCTACATTCATTTAGGCCATGGTTTCAAAGAGGGGATTCTAGATTAGAAAAAGGATAACTTCTTAGTCCTTTGACGTTGGTGCAGCCATCACTCTCAGCAACTTGCTTCTGTTGATCCCCATTGCCATTTTAGTCTCTTACTTGTAAGCATATCATATCATTTCTTTTGGTTGTCTTATTAGTGAAATGTCTAGGCTTGCTCTCTGTTATTGAGCGATTTACCAATGGCACTTTGTATTGAATACGGCCACCCTTAGGCCTTTCTGGCAACATGTCGTATGGGTTGTTGGATGGATCTGTACTACCCGTAGCGAATCAAATTACACTCAGCTGGGGGAACCTTCACCATTTCTGTACCAAATTTACAGGTTTCGTCTGTATGTCTCTCAAGATGGTGGGAGCCGCAGGGAATCCATTGTCATCCCGCAAACCCAGAATGATGGTCCACTGTAGCACAGTCAACCGCTACTTTCCGCTAGAGCTTCGGTCATTTCTTGTCACGACAATATCCTGTCGAAGATTTGCCATGCATCTTTCTCATGTGTAGAGCAGCACTATCATCTCCAGTTCGGTACGATGGCATCCACAAGGGTTCATCACTCAAAAGAGAATATATATAAAACTCAGAGACGCCGGAACAGTATGAAGACACCACTTCCTGCAACTCCTTTCGCGAGTCCAACTGCATATTGTACCATCACCCAATAACCTTTGGGTAACACCACATTACCGGTAACCAAATTAGCAGTGCACATCGCATCACTGCTTCAACTTCACTTATACAGCTCTTGGCTGCAACTAAAACGATTCACAAGCCAATTTAACCAGTAGATAACAATTATAATAGAGTACTGAATTCATTTAACTTTTAAAGGCAATGTATAACTTCGTATCAGTAGAGCCGAATTCTATAAGCCGTGAAATGCCGCCTTTATTGTGTATGTATCTACGATACCTTCTTAAGTATTACTCTACAAATATTACGCTTTGGGACGTGAAACTGCTGCGTTATGAGTATATAGAGGAGTAAATAGCTGATTCTATCTTTCATATACTAACAACGGCTTATCGTAGTATGAATACAACTAGAAATACGGAGTACCGTAGTAGGTGTTTCTAAGGGAATGCAGAGCTTAAGGGCATGAATGAGCCCGGATTTGAGAATGAAGTGCTCAAATTACAAGATCTTTGGGTCTATGTCGGGCAGATGGTTACGCGCAGCCATTCTTTACAATATTATTAAACTATATCAATGGTTGTAGGTTTCAGATAACTAAACCAAACCCGGGCTAGCGAGTTTTATGGCCTAGGGGAGAAGAATTACTAAATAAAACCTCAAGTAAGAGTCTTTAGGCTATACTAACATTAACTAGGTACACGCCTACGTTTCTATACTTCTACTAAATCCGATCCAGCGTTCTATAAGTATTACGGAAGTACTAACTACCGGATAGCCAATTCCGGCGGATTCGCGTTGAAATCAGGCCAAAGGTATTGAAGCTGCAGTAGTTAAGGAGGAGGTTAAGCCATCGGATTTGGAGAACTTAGAGCTGAACATACTGGCGCCAATTATTATGCAGAAGAGGTATCAATAAAGCGAATGATGTATAGGTCTGGGTCTGCGTGGCAAAGTTCCCGGTAGGGTTAGCCCCCAAGGGTCTCAACCTATTTGAAGAGGGTCTGGACCTCGTATTTATTATTACTGTCACTCTTGTTGTTATCTGCTGCTACTGCTGCTGCTGTTTGCTTGAGGCGTGTGCTCTGTCGTGTGATAGCTTTGGATTACTCTTTTCTGTCTGGCTTTTCAAGAATGTCTTCTTTTCAAACTTGGATACCCTGGGACGCCCTTGCATTAAGCGGCAAATTCGCGTATTCGTGCATGTATTTCTCCTGATCTATGAGTCTCTACAAGGTCGCTCTTGTCCCCGTGACTGAGAGCCTATCGAGAAAGGTGATAGTGGGTATATGTCTCTCTCGTCTGGAGACGAGTCCCAGTCACCGCAGGACTTGACTTGAGAAATACTGGTAGGACATCAACCTCGATTCATTATGTGGCACGCAGAAATCGTGCAGTGTATGCGATCTAAGGGAATGGGTTCTTTGCATCGAGCGGTTCCTCTAATCCAGTGGCTGGCCCATGGCGCCCTTGAATTCAATCGCTAAGCAACCCCTAAAAGTAAGTAATCCCTCTGTGTTAGTTGGCATGGGGTACACTTGGGCACTTCTTGGTGGGTTACCCTGCGCCTTCCGTAAAATCCATTCCGTAGTCAAAATACCACGTCTTTCTTCGTGCATCAAGTTTTCAACTCTAGCTCTTCTGAAATATACAGCACTGCCGGAATCGCCATTCCACCTCGAGCAAATCAGACACTCCGTGGTCAATTCACTGTACAACTACCGTCAGCGAGTAAGTAATTCACCTGCGCTACCCATCGCAGTCCGGTCGTGACCAACCTGTAGTATCAAAAAGAACCAAGTTGCTCCTACCTACTACGCTGGAACACTGTGATAACCTCATATTAGTTCACCCTTGGTGCGCCGTATATTCTGTCCTCCGCTGAGCAGATGCGACTCTTACCCTGTCGTCAATCTCGGCAACTTCGCCGGTGCCGACAGGTACTCTAGCGCTCTGTACTATTCGCACTGTCCATCCATCACACCTTCGCGCACCGCCCGTTTGTTCGTGTCGGCGAATACCCGCGTTGAGCATACGTTTGAAGTTGCCCGGGATCGATATCAATCCACGATCGAGTGGTATGCACTTTATGGTCGTCTCTTGCCTGAAGCCACCCAGCGTATGTACTTTATTTGTTATTCGTGAGCTGCTGACCCGCTCGGTTGCTGCCCCTCTTTCAGCACTCCCTCGCCTATCTGAACCCAATCATTCATTGACTAAATCCACATCACATCTGCGAGAGTAATAATCATGACGTTTATTGCCCGTCTCTTGTCCAAGACCAAGCCGGTGCTGGTTCCAGGTATGATGCGCTCGCTATTTTCCTCCCGAGACGGGATCTTGACGTGTGCTCTCCAGGAAAGCTGTTGGTGTCGGAGCTCTGGTTCGAAGTCCCCCTCGACCACTCCAAACCCGACGGCAAGAAGATCAAGCTCTTCGCCAGAACTGCGACCAAATATGAACGCCCAGTCGTGCCGCTACCCGCGGATGACAAGTCCTGGCAGAAACCCTACCTACTCTACCTACAAGGCGGTCCCGGCTTTGGGAACCCTGCGCCCCAGGATAGCACTCTTTCAACTTATATGCTGGATAGGGGCTACGAGCTGCTCCTTCTTGACTACCGCGGCGTCGGCTTCAGCTGTCCCGTTTCGGCCAGCACGCTCAAGGAGGTTGGCGGTCCCAAGGAGCAGGCGGAGTACCTGAAGCATTTCCGGGCGGACAATATCGTCCGGGATAGCGAGGCTGTGCGCAAGTGCTTGACCAAGGACTACCCGCCCGAGAAGCAGAAGTGGTCCATCTTCGGCCAATCCTTTGGTGGCATGACGGCCCTGACCTACTTGTCTTTTCACCCGGCGGGATTACGTGAGGCCTTCATCACGGGCGGTCTCGTCGCCTTGGATAAGGGCCCGGAGGAGGTCTACAGCATTACCTACCCGAGAGTCTTGGAGAGGAACAAGGATTACTATGCGAAGTATCCGCAGGACATCGCTGCTGTGAAAGAAGTTGCTGCGAAGATTATTGAATTAGGCGGCGAAGACGGCATTCCCATCCCAGCGGGCCGACTCACAGTTCCGAGACTCATGACCATTGGACTCAATTTCGGCATGGATGGCGGTATTGATCTCGTTCACAACATGATTCTCAAGATGAAGGCCGACCTGGACCAGTTCGGGGTTTTTACGAAGGCGAGCTTGAGTAAGTTCAACCAGATGATCGATTGGGACTCCGCACCGATATACATCTTGCTCCACGAACCATGTTGGTGCTATGGTCCTGGCGTAGCAGGGAAATGGGCAGCCGAGCGAGTGGGAAAATCCCTCGACACCTTCCAGTGGCTCCAAGCCGACTGGGCGGGTCCCGAGTCATTGAAAGAGGACGAGCCGCTTTGCTTCGCTGGGGAGATGACGTACCCTTTTCTCCTTGACACCTGTGAGGATTTGTCCGGGCTGAAGGAGACGGCGCAAATACTGGCCGAATTTGATGAATGGCCATCCCTGTACGACGAGGCGCAGTTGCAGGAGAACAAAGTGCCCGTCTACGCGGCTATCTATAATGATATGTACGTGGACCCGGATACTTCGAGGGTGACGGCCAGGAAGGTCAAGGGGATCAAGACATGGGAGACAAATGTGCACTACCATGGCGCGGTAAGTCAATCTCGGAGCTCTTATTTCCTCTGCTTGTCGTGTCTCAAGGGGTAGCACAATCCGTAAAAGGCTGTCCCACCACAGCTTTACACTCCTAAGATCACATATAAGTAGCAATTACTAACTCCAAGAATTTCTTAGGTACGGCAGAAGCCTCAAGATGTATTTAGGGAGTTGTTGAATTTGAGGGATGATACAATTGACTGAGGTCGGGAAACGAAGGGTGGAACTCGGGCACGTTGAGACTTTGAGCAGAGTCAACATCGTGATATGAAATTGGGGGATATATCATGATTAGCTAAGCATAACCAACTTTGACTTTTGACACTGAAATACTCGGCCAGTGACGTGCACATCGCTAAATGGCAAAGCCAACTGGTCCCATAAGTAGCTTATGTGCCATGCCTTCGTTGTCTACCTATATCGGGACCTTGGGTGCATGTGTCCTCCAGAAGTCACACCGCTCCTTAAATTGCGTCAGGTCCGCCGTTGAGAACCCCTGGGCGTTAACAACGAACTCCTGGCCGCTTTTCAACGGAGGCACGCCGGTTACATTCTCCGCTGTCAATTTCAAAGCGTTCGGGTCGCCCGTCATGAAGTAAGACGCAAATGCACCTGAAGCACGTACAATGAGTATCATCCGTTCCTTAGTAAAGGGGGCTTGGCTCACCTGCGTATCCCTGGTAATGCAGCGGGTCAGTCTGTTGGGCTGAGTTGACGGTATTCCACTAGATTTTCCGTTTAGTTCATGTGCCATATAAACGCCAAAGTTTCGAGCATATGTAAAGAGGCCTGGAAGCAGGTCAGGCCACTTACCCAGTAAACATCACTAGCATGTGTAGCTGGCGAGATAGTGTACTCCCCCAGCCACCCCCCCTTCAGAGCAGCTCCAGCCCCCGCCATCCAATACGCTGGACAGGCAAGAACGCTGTCGCGGTACACCAGCCCAGTACGGGTATACGAGTCGCTGTACGACCCAATCGCCTCGGAGCTGCCGTTCTCCGGGTACAGCACCTTCAACTGAGCCAGATCGGCCTCGGAGAAATTGGGGAGGTACCCTCTGAGCCAGCCATCGAAGGAGGCGGCTGACGAGTTGAAGGGCGGACTGCCGCTATTGGTGGCGCTGCGTAGGCCGGCCGGGATGAAGTTCTCGCCTTCGTGGGTGTTGTACATGCTGAAGGCGAGCTGTATGTTGACGCCACTTCCGTCGCTCTGGTTCGCCGCGGTGGCAGCGGATAATGGCTGGGTGAGGAATTCGCCGTCGATGATAGGGCCCCAGGAGTAACTTGTCGTGTTGTAGGTATGCGAGTTGCCGACGATTAGGCTAGCATTGCGGAGGGTCTGGACGTCGAGGCTTTTGAGACACTTCAAGCTATCCGGGCCCGTACAGTCGGTTAAGCTGGCGAGCATGTCGTATCGTGCTTGAGACTCTGGATCTTCATTTCGGTACGTCTTGGGCCAGAAGGGGCTCGATGCTAGAGCTTTTTCGAAAAGGGGCGGGTTGTGTTTCCGGGCTATGACTTGAGCAACAACACTGCCACCACCTGCCGATTGTCCCCAGATGGAGACGTGATTCGGGTCGCCGCCGAACTCTTTGATGTACTTTTGAGTCCATTTCAGAACCTGTTTGAAGTCAATGGTCAGCCCCCAGTTTCGCAAAGGGGAGGAGAAATGCATTCGAGCAACACCAGAAACTCCAAGTAAACGTAAAAGTAAGCTGAAACTCACCATCTGCTGATCCAACAACCCAGCATTTACATCCGACTTGGGGTCCTCCGCCACCTCCCTGCCCGGCAGAAAGCCAAATGCATTGACTCTATAATTCGGATAGACGAACATCATGTCACTCGACTCGGACACATTGAGAATAGGATAAGCCGAAGGCGGGATCGTAAAGTACGCCGACCCTTGGATGAACGCGCCACCGTAGAACGTCACGACCACGGGTCGAAGGGGCTGTCCTTCACTCCAGGGGCGGCCATACAGGCCTAAATACAAACAGTCTTCGGAGCCGTTAACCTGGGCGGACATGGTCAGTGACTTGTGGACAAAAGCACTGAATACGTGTGGACTCTCACCGTCCGTTGTGGACACATGTCAAAAGGTTGGAGAGAATCGTATGTCCCGTTAGTGATTGGCAAAGGGGGTTGCAGAGCTCGGAATCTTGGATGGAAATCAGTATAGCTGTTCTAACAAGTCTCACCGAACAGTGTTTTTCCAGGTAACTTGCCTGTTCTCGCCAATAGGAGGCGCCGCGAAGGGGATCTTTTGCCAATACGATATGCCATACTGAGCACTATAGGCCCCCTGAAACGTGCCGTAGTCCAGAGTCGCAACCGTCTTGATTTTTTCCGCCGCAGCCAGTCTGGCCGCAAACACCGCAAGCCATACCGACACTAGCACACCCAGACGTAATGCCATGGTAAACGACTAAGCAATAAGCAACAAGACATAGAACTGTCTCTTGTCTTGGCGGTCATGACAGCGGATTCCGGGAGAACTGTGGCTTATGTATCCTTTTCCCAAGTTCAGTGTGGACATAACGACCAGCAATGCAATGTCGTATTGCGATGCCAATCCCCCCTCGCTCCATATTGCAACGTCGTTCATGCTGGGGTAGGCCCAGGTTGTCCCCGGATCTCGTTTCTTAGCTCTACCGTATTGGCACCTTGGGGAAGAAAGATCGTGGGGTAACAAAACTTGGAGAAAGGTCGACTAGTGGTTACGCGCGGCCAATGAAGTCGCAGCGGACCCATGCCTAAAGAAGGTGATCCCATTCGGGGCTCGGCCATGGTAGCAATCATACACCGAGGTTGATGGTTGATTTTCCGTAAGATTTATGTGCTCCTTACTCAATAACAGACAGGTTGGCCCTAGTGATCCTATTTTCTTGTACCCCGTTTGCGTATGCGGAAGTGATCGAGATAACTGAGACTGGTGATGGGGTGCGGATGAATCGAGACAAATAAAAAAGGGAAATGATAGCTGGCCCAGACGCCCAACTCGCACCTTGCACTCAATCCCGTCCATGAAGTACAGCTCTCCGCTCAACGCAACCTGTGCTGAATCATCTCGAGAACTCCAATATCCAGTGGAGAAGCAAGTGCGAATTCCTTCCCACGAGCCCGAGAAAGGAAAACCACGAAAAAGAAACATACCCTCCTCCTAAACCCACAATTCAAAACCCCAGAAGTTATCCTAGTCTTCCTTTCAAACCCGACATTTGCTGCGCCGAAACCCCCAGTATAAACGTATCCGTGTTCCCCGCGCTGTCATTTCACGTAACCCACCGACAAGAGTCCTCGAGGTCTTTTCAACCAGGGAAAGTCAAGAATTTTCGCCTCCCCGAACCACATACCTTACCAACGAGGCCGACCTCCCATAACGGGCCCTCCCGGCCTCCCATAGGGCCCCTCGGGCGGCGGCGGCGGCGGGGGGAACAACGGCCTCTCCATAGCGGGCAACTGGTTAACATGATCTTGCTCCCTCCTCGCCACGGTCTCCTTGAGTATCAGGGCCGAAATCTCCGGGTGCGTCAACAGGAAATCCGACGTTTGCTGCGGCACGCGCCTCCACAATAGAGGTTGCATGAACCCGACTCTCGCAAACACCATCTTCATTAGTGGGTCCGACTCGGGTAGGCCTTGGTACAACTTATAGCACAACTGCAAAACCTCCGCCTGGGCAGCGTCTGGCCCGGCCGTTTCGAGCATGTCGATGCAGACGCGGGCGATGGCGAGCTTGAAGTCGTCGAGGAGGAACTTGTTGGCGCAGATGTAGCAGTCAAGGTTCATCTCATAGGTGAGGAGCCACGATCGCAGGTCCTCGCCTTGGATGCGATTGGGATCGGTAGGCAGAGCGGTGGCCGGGCGCATGGGAGGCGGCGAGGGCAGGCGGTGTCGTCGGTCGGCTGCGCGACGCCGGTGCCGTGCTCGACGATCGGGCTCGACGATGACCATGCCGGGTGGAATGCCGTTCAGGACGGGCATGGGGGCCGGAGGCAGGCGGGGGGCGGCGCAGTGCCAGCAAGGCGGTCCGCCTCCATTGACACATTGTCTACAGCCTGGCATTCGGGGTGAGCTCTTATAAGTCGACGTAAGCCGGTGGCTTCTTGATGTTTAACTTACCACATCCGAACCTATGCGCACCTGGGTGTTTCTGGCGAAGTCTCTCCCAGTGGCGGTCCTCCCTCCTCCTCCGCCTCTCGCGAAGCCGTCGACTCCGCGCGCTGGAAGAATCACTCTGTATGCTCCCAATATCGGAGTCGGAATCGGATGCTGCCGTGTCGTCACCTTCCAGACCCTTGCCTTTGTCATCAACTAGACGTGTCCCATGTATTAGCGCAGCCCTCAACTTGTGTTACCGAAAGAGACTTGGTTTACCGAGGACTGATGCTATCGGCTTGATGGGCACATATTTCTCCTCGTACAGAAAAGCGACGATGAAGTGGAAGATAGCGGGGTCCTCCTCGGGAAGGTCAATAACTTGAGTTTCTGCCTCTTTGAACTCGCCGCAGAGCGCCTTGCGGAAATACTCGGACTTCAGTAACACACTTTTATGTACCTGGCAGTCGTAAGCCCAAAAGTTCACGTTGGTTATGTGAGGAGGAGGAGGACTTGGAGGGCATTCGTCGACTTACATAGAAAGTCTGTACATGATCAAAGGCCTCGCCCACCCGTAGAGGGATGACTGGTGAGTTGTAACGTCTGCAATCTTTTAGTCAGTCATATAAAATCCAGAGAAATAAATATGCCGGCCGATTCGAGAGGGTAACTTGGAAGCTGATCAAGATGCCCGCAGCGTTGCGATGGACTGACTCCGCAATGGGATGGACCCGGTATCCATCGGCAAGCGTACTCGTAAACAAGAAGCAGGGGACCACCTAGCAGCGCGTCGTAAGACGGGAGATCGTCAACTTACCCGTCGGCAGAAGATAGCCAAAGATCTTCATTCGGGTTCAAAGACGCCTTGCGATTCTTTTCTTCGTGCGTCGAGTCCAAAACCACAATTTCGGGCACATTTGTCGACGGCGCCCTCATGACCTCGTCTAATGTGCTTGTCATCGTGGTTGTGTTCGTCGTCTGCGTTCCTACTGTCCCCGCGGCGCCGACCGCATTGCTGCTGCTACCAGTACCACTCGGCCCCTCACCGCCGTTCTCGTTTTCATCGTCGCCGGCCCGTCTACGAACCATTATTAGGCACGTTTAATTATCAAAAGAGTTGTGCTATACTCGGTTGCAGTGTTGCAGGATGGAATTTGTATTTGTAAATGGAGATGGAGGGGGCTCGTGCATCAGATAGATAGTATTGACGCAAGTGATGATAATAACGCTTTGGATTAGACCACTACAGAAATGTGGTGGTGGGCCATATCACCTGCAGCATGCGGACAGGAATACAGAGCAAAACCTTCTCAGGCAGCCAGCCACTACATGAATGCCAGCCGATTAAATGGTGGTGTTGGGCAGCTGGGCGAGAACGAAGGCTGGGCGGGGTGGAGGGTAGTACCCCAGCTTTCCCATGCACACGCGACGTCTTTTCGAGCCGGCGAGGCGCATTGCCCACCACAAGGCAACAGGCGGAATAGTGTGTAACAATGTAGCATGCCTCAGTGTTTCAGTGTAGCGGACTAGGTACGAAGCCTCTGGCCAAGCGTAATTGGACTAGCAGCAGTACGAATCTACATCGCTAACGAGAATACACTGTTCCACGCCAACCATGTAAGCCCCAAGCCTCAGTACCTCTGTATAAGCTGTTATTTACATAAAAATATAGTTAACTTCCTAAAGTCGCTTTCTTAACTATATTTACAGCTTTAGCTAGCCAGAAGTAGCGGGACAATATTGTTTTATATATATAAAAGAATGCTAGACTAAAAAAGAGAGACCAAAAGAATTATAAGTACGGGTGCTCGTTCCTCTTTTATAAGAGAAATGGGTGTATAAAGGTGGGATAGTCCTGGTGTTTCGTTCCATTGTTCATGTATAAGCGCCATAATACTCTAGTTAATAGAACCGCAAATTCTAGGCTTAAGTATGTATGCTACTAATAATTTAGTTACTAAGTAGTCTGGATTTGGTACTAATTTAGCCCTCTTGATTACACTCGAGAGTATAGGATTAAGCGTCATAGTTATAACCTAGGCTAAAAGCGGTATGGTTGCTAGTTGTCACGCCGTGCTAGGGGTTGCAATCCTTGCCACTACGCCACCGTACCAGATGTCTTCACCAAAAGAGACCAATACCAAAGTCCCTGACTTTGATATCTGCAACCACTTATCAATCTGTTCAGACCAGTGTAGGTCAATCACGTGACAACCGTCACACTAGTGTAGATAGTAGGTTAGACCCCTCTGTCCTTCCTTAGAGAGAGTAAAAGTACCTTAAAGAGCTTCTTAACACTAACCTACGTAAAGCAACGCGAAGAACAGGCATAGCGGTTAATATGACATCACGAAGCTGCTACTAATCCTATGAATAAGGAAGGAAACTTAGTAGAGAGTGTATTTCCCCGCGTTTCAGAGCCGAGAGTAGCCGGAATAGGATTAGGATACTAGTAACAGCAAGCCCAGTACCTAGTGAACTGAAATAATTGCTAACAGTTAGTGAGTATTTAGCTTTGTTAGGTACTGTACTTACTGTTAATAGTATCCTAACCCTATCCCGGCTGCTCTTAGACCTAAAAGGCGGGGAAGTAAAATTTATACTAACATGCTAGTACCAGTGCGATCCTACACTACATTTTTCATTGTAGTGAAATATAATAAATTCTAGGAAGGAAATAGGTCCCATACTTAGACTTATTAAGAGCTGCTGTACCTAGCCGCTACATAGTAAAAACAAAGAGCTAAAGGACTACCGTAAGTCTCTATATAAACACGCGGTAAGAGAGAACTTTATGATTAGATTGGTAATAAAGTGTCACAAAAGTCAGTGGTATAGTTACAGGTAGTAGTCAGATTAGGTCTACTACCGGGAAGCTAACGGAACCGTGACGGGCCGTCGGCGTTTCAGGAAAACCTTCAAGCCCTCAAAATGGTGTTCCGGCACCGAAGGGACCGAAGGGATCGAATGGACTTGTAGGAGCAAGTACCCTTCTCTATATATTTTTACTGCTAGCATTACGAAGTAATGATTGTGCCTAGCCTCCATCGCTGTCTTTGACCTGTTGCTACATAAAAATACTCAAGTTATAATCCCCCGATAGAAGGTATAGTTGCGGTTGCTATAACTAAAATACTGCTTACTTAATTCTCTACTATAAACTATATAGTAGAGAAAGAGATCCTTAGAGCCGATCTTAAAGCCCTGCCGCTCTATTTATACACTCTCTTGAATACTACACTAGTGATACGTGACCCCATGGGGGGTTACCCTGTAGCTACAGATAAGACAGATAAGACAGATAAGATAAGATAAGATAAGAGCTATAAAAGAGCTCTGCCAGGCCAGAATAGCTGACTTGGCTATCCTTTTCCAATACAACAATTCACACCCCATATGCACTCGCATCAAATGGTAGCATCTCCAGAAGATCAAGAAATCCAACCAAACCAACCATCAATTCGGCCACTTCCCATCGCCGCCAGCGTCCTGTACGCACCAATCACAGCCCCAAAATTCTCATCTATATAAACCCCAGAGTTCCTCCAAATCCTCTTTGCCTACTGCTGGAAGCGTTCCACCCCCACTGCATCTGTCAAATCCATCAACACAGTCAAAAGCAGTCAACGTACCTCGCAAAATCCTTCACATTCCCCAAGCCCATCACATTGCCAAGGCATCCACCCTTGGCACCTCCCCTTCCAACATAAGCCGCAACTTGAAGTCTTCACTACCTGTTGCCGGCCGGTGGAAGCCTTCCGTCTCCTCTACATCAGTCAGAATCATCAAGCATCAAGACATCAACATCAACGCCCTGAGAAAGACGATTGGACCCTCAAGGTATCTTCGGATCAATCTTTACCACCTGCGGGTGAATACTGAGCGATCCCAAGAGCCCGCTGTACGGTTGGCATACGTCCAACAGAGACTGATTGCGATAGATTGAGCGTGATTGACTGGTGATCACAACATGTCCGGCAGAGTGACACGCTCTACTCGCAACCGCGAATCCGACAATCTGAGCACCGAGGAAGACAACCAGCCGTTTCCAGAAGACGGTCCCTTCTACGACCGCGGGGAAGCTGCAAGCATCGATCACGACATCTCTCGACCCCCGCTCACTACCTCAATCAAGACAATAAGCTATTTGGACCGCAAGACAGATCGAATCTACAATTTTTTCATCAACGAGTCCAGATGATCGAGAACATACCAACACAGCAAGTCGGCCAGCACCCAGCTGCCACCGCAAGAATGTACGACCAACTCGCAGACAGGGTCAGGACGTTGCAAGCCGAACTAGATCAACTCAAGGCAGCAAGCCTTGAACGTCGTATTGATGATATCGACCAACGATCATAATCCCCGGACGTCAGGCATCAGCAGTGGCGCTCCCATGCTGACAGCAATCCTATACATTATCTACCCCTTCCATCTCTCTCACGCATCAAGTTGTCCGAAAACAAGCTCACCCGAGAAATTGTGGGCATTTTCGACCCACATTACGGAGACCATGACGGAATCGGATGAATCACAGACGGCAAACTCCTCATCTACACTGACGTGGTCTGCTTCAGAGAACGTCTTATCATGCTGACGGAAGATGACCCCGAACACGCGATCGCCCAACAGATCAAAGCATTATGGCCCACCCTCATGGCGGGACCAGCACTAGACTGGTGGACCAACGAGCTGACATACGATGAACGGACCGAACACCGCAAGTCACTCAATGATATGTGCTCCGCACTCTTACATCGCTTTAGACCTGATGCTGCTATGGCCATAAAGCGCTTTAACGATTCAGGCCTCACATTGAGAGACCTCATCGACAACGACAACGCATTATCTGACTACATTGCAAAGAAAATGCGCTGGGCTAGAGCCATGGGCATTGTTTCCGAGAAGAACGGCAACTGGCACGGCGCCATGATCCAAATCTGGTCAAACATGTCACTTGGTATTCGACAATACCTCCGCGCACCAAACGATATTGAATCTTTTGGCGAATATCAACGCGTTATCACAAACAGCAAGGCTATTCTGCTTGCAGCGGCCCACGATAAGTATCCCAAATCACGAAGATCCCGCACCACTCCATCAGAGTCACCACGCACAAGCATTCGCGACAATTATTACCCCTCCCGCCGTGACACATCGCGCAGCCGCTCCGACCGATACCAACGCGAACCTTCTCGCTACAGAAGCAATCGATCCAATGATCGCGACCAAGAACACCGACGCCGAGAGGCCTCACTGCATCGCGATTACGATAGACGTGACAGGCAGTCGTACAAAGACAATAGCTGGCAAGAGCGCAAGGAATCCAAATCTGACAACTTTGACAAACAAGATCACAACAAATCACGTGATGATCAAAACCGCAAGGATGACCGACGGGACACGTCCAAGGACCGAGTCCACTGGGCCGGAGAACCCGAAGAGATACCATCTGGTGGCTCGCCGTCGGAATCGACTTCGGAGTCCGAAGGTTCGACATACGATTCATACTACATCCTGGACAAGAACCTGACTTGCAACCGATGTATGGTTGCATTCCGATCCACTGAACAGCTTCAAAAACATCGCACTACTTGTAAGGCAACGAAACAAGTTAAGCGAGAAAGACTGTACCCGATATGCTCTCCAAACACCCCAGACCGACGAACATGCGGATTCTGTCACTTTACGTGCGAATCACGAAACAAGCTGTTCCAACACCTTGGAAATTGCAAAGACGCCAAAGTTGGCAACATCAAGCCCAAAGAGTTGGAACAGAACACGGTAAAGGATCCAGACAGCCAGCCTAGGATCAAGGAGGCGCCAGCCGTCGACTTCCAGGACAGATCAGTCATGAGCAGATACACCTACCTTAGAGTAGAAGCCAGTGCTTTACCAACAGCCGACAAGGTAGAAGTATGCCTTGATCCCGGCACAGGTAGAACAATTATCGGGCGCTCCTACCTCAAGACACTGAAGCATACTATTGAAAACCGAAGAGGTATGGTCAAAGGCATTGGCAAGAAAAGCATGAAGGTAACCGAATGGGCAACCTTTACATTCTATCTGCACGGTACAGACGAATCGGGACCCACGGTCATGAAGTTCACCAAATCAGGATGGGTCGTTGAGGACGACCTCGAACCCAACATGCTTGTCGGCAATGATATGCTTCATCCACACGGAGCTAACATCTGTTACGAAAATTTTACCGTTACATTTACCCACCTGTACAAATTCACCGTCGATTTTGAAGTCAAAGTCAACAGCAATGCGTGCATACGTAAGGTTACGACTATTAGTTGATCTAGTTCGGCTTGCAACGTCCTAACCCTGTCTGCGAGTTGGTCGTACATTCTTGCGGTGGCAGCTGGGTGCTGGCCGACTTGCTGTGTTGGTATGTTCTCGATCATCTGGACTCGTTGATGAAAAAATTGTAGATTCGATCTGTCTTGCGGTCCAAATAGCTTATTGTCTTGATTGAGGTAGTGAGCGGGGGTCGAGAGATGTCGTGATCGATGCTTGCAGCTTCCCCGCGGTCGTAGAAGGGACCGTCTTCTGGAAACGGCTGGTTGTCTTCCTCGGTGCTCAGATTGTCGGATTCGCGGTTGCGAGTAGAGCGTGTCACTCTGCCGGACATGTTGTGATCACCAGTCAATCACGCTCAATCTATCGCAATCAGTCTCTGTTGGACGTATGCCAACCGTACAGCGGGCTCTTGGGATCGCTCAGTATTCACCCGCAGGTGGTAAAGATTGATCCGAAGATACCTTGAGGGTCCAATCGTCTTTCTCAGGGCGTTGATGTTGATGTCTTGATGCTTGATGATTCTGACTGATGTAGAGGAGACGGAAGGCTTCCACCGGCCGGCAACAGGTAGTGAAGACTTCAAGTTGCGGCTTATGTTGGAAGGGGAGGTGCCAAGGGTGGATGCCTTGGCAATGTGATGGGCTTGGGGAATGTGAAGGATTTTGCGAGGTACGTTGACTGCTTTTGACTGTGTTGATGGATTTGACAGATGCAGTGGGGGTGGAACGCTTCCAGCAGTAGGCAAAGAGGATTTGGAGGAACTCTGGGGTTTATATAGATGAGAATTTTGGGGCTGTGATTGGTGCGTACAGGACGCTGGCGGCGATGGGAAGTGGCCGAATTGATGGTTGGTTTGGTTGGATTTCTTGATCTTCTGGAGATGCTACCATTTGATGCGAGTGCATATGGGGTGTGAATTGTTGTATTGGAAAAGGATAGCCAGGTCAGCTATTCTGGCCTGGCAGAGCTCTTTTATAGCTCTTATCTTATCTTATCTATCTTATCTGTAGCTACAGGGTAACCCCCCATGGGGTCACGTATCACTAGAAAGAGGCTACTTAATGTCACGGGTATTCAACTACAGGTGAAGGACGAGTGTGCTAGAGAGAAGTCGGATGCTGGTCATCTAAGACAACTTCATCGCTGCCCCCCTCTAGTGTTACGAACTGTTGGTTCCTAACCAACTAAACTAACCAGGCCCGATGGCAGGCCGCAGGAACTCCGACACGGGAAGGAAGAACTATTACCAGAAAGACAGGAACGGTCACGTGACCTGGATCACTAATGGATCACCTTCTGAGCTGTGAGCCGGAAGTGTTATTATTAAATACGCCGTAGGCTCGAAGCCCCCGGTACCTCTACTAGTACTCCCGTATGTCAAACCGTGCCCTAATGGCTGGACTAAATACATACGCTGCGTCGTCGGTTCGCCCTATTGGCGACTGCGTTGCGTTCACTACCATACTACGTTGGTTCTAAACCTACCAACAAAGTCCCCCCTGAGAAGATCGATGCTATCTGGGCCTTGAAGCTATCCGACCCGTCCCTAGCAGCCACCTTACAATAGTCCCACTAACTACTGGTTCTCCTGTTGCCGTTGCGAGGTCTCTGCGAGAGTATAGTGGCCGTGGTGCGATAGCGGCCCGTAATCGTTCCCTCGGTCCTTCCAACAGCCCGCAAAAGAGGATTACGTGCTCTGCCGTCTCAGGGGCGTCGCCACAGCGGCATAGCGGCGAGTACACGCCAAAAGCCCCTGTCTTGAATAAGAAGGCTGCTAGTCCTATTTTTTCCGTCCTGATCTGGCACAGCGTAGACGCTTCCATTCGGTTCAGGCCGAAATACTTGCCCCCTTTCGGTATCTGCATCGAAGGGCCCTCCGGTTCCTCAGCGATGGCGCGTCGCTGAGCCGGAAGTGATCCAAGGAATCAGTGAAGGAGAGGTTGGCTATATAAGGGACAGGACTCCCAGGTATTTCATAGATAGACAGTCTCTACTTCAGTGATCAATCTAAGCATCAAACCAACCCATTGGTAAGGCAAACTGCCTTAACGACTCTATTCCCAGTTACCCTACTTGAATACTTCAGTTACCCGAGCACTATACTCCATACGTCAGTTACATTGCTAAAGGCCCCGCAGCAGGACGCACTTACTAGCACAAACCCTTACAAGACTCTTTAGTGGTTTACGCAGCTAGACTATTAGAGCTTTCGTTACAGATAGCTATATTGCGAGTGAGAGGTTTTTAGTATTTACGGATGTAAAAGCGAGACTGAAGTTACCCTTCCTTCTAGGCTAATAGCCTAGGAGATATTATAGGGACATAGGTCCCTACTACTTTTTCATTCACAGTAGCTAGTCTACTTCACTGCCGTCATAAGCCGTAGGCTTCTGTAAGGCAGTGAAATAAACGAGATTAAAAAATCCAAAGGAATTAGAGGATACGAAATATTAACATTCTAGATGCGGAAATTGTGGCCTGATGTGAAGGTCAACCCTCGCAGACTCACTACAACCAGGTGACGTACAGCTGGAACACCTGCCATGACAGTGTCAGATGGGAAGCCAATCATAACCCTTGTAGGAGCCCCGCCAAGCGTGGATGACTTAGTCGCGCTCCCTCAAACCTAAGTTGTCATCTTCTTTCCTTCGCTCCTTAGAGTAGAATCTTCGTCGATAGCACCTAATCGAGGTCTCTACCAATGCGATGCAACCCAGGTCGTGACACCTGATACGTGACCCCATGGGCCCCTAGTAGCACGCATCATGGCCTCAGGTATGGAGGGGTACAAGGCAGTCAGGCACGCATTGTAGTATTTAGATAATTAATTTATACTATAGAAGCTCGAAACCGATGGAATTTGTGATGATTAATAATTTGAAGTGTTATTACTACTAAAGATAGGGCTAGCTAGCTAAGACTTCAATTGAATACTATATGATTTTAAACTACTATGAATCCCTACACCTATAACTTTCAATAATTATTTCACCAGGATGTCCTCTTTATTTTGTTAACAGCTGGGCTCCGATTCTAGAGCCGAGATATACTGCTACATGAGAGGCAGTGCACAAAGGATGAGTGCTATCTCGTTTGTCATTAGCGGTTTAAGACTTTCATGCAGCAGGGTGCGCCATTCGCAGCCTTAGCACCTTGTGACAGAATGCAGCGAGTGGCCGCAACTACTATTAAGGCAACCAGCACTAGTCCATGCCACGCCGAATGCTAAATAATGTAGCCCCTGCCCGAAGTTTGCATTCGACAGCCAAGTTATGAGCCTATGCACACACGAGACCTGCAATACAACCACATTTGTCCCGACAACTTGTCTTAGTGCCGATTGTACAGGATGTATTCAATTGCCAAGTCTTACCGATCAACTGCGGCTCTTAGAGTGATTTCGCAGGTACCGTATCTCCAGCCCACTTGCCGCAGTCTTGTACTTTCAAGTCGTTCATATGTGTACCGCCTAGCTCGTAGTATCAGTGCTAGCGGTGGCTCTTTCTGACCGAGGTATTGACTGGGCACTGTCAAACAAACGTTGCCTTCATCTTTGCATTTCGCCTCTCTAAACACATCGCTTTCTACGTGCCACTTTCTCCATCTAACCTTCTTGATGCCTTGCCGAGATTCATGTGGATCGCATGCGGTCATCTTTTATGTACACGGTTGAAAACCCATACCCCGACGACACGATGAGCCCGGGAATTCCTAAAACAGCCGCAACAGGCTATAGATACAGTCATAACGCCTTCTCCAGGTCTGACCTTGACCGCAACACACTCTCCGGAATAGAAAAGAACTAAGTCTCCGCAACCGGATAGATGTTCGCGTCAGAAACTGAAGACATCTTCCCACCTTCGCCGTTCTTAAGACAGTAGATTGCGGAGGGAGGGGCTGGCGCTCGCTCCACTGGCTGGCCGCCCATCGCTGGGTCGCGGCGGTGGGTTGTTGTTAGATAAACTCGGCTCACGACTCATCGCAAGTCCATCTCGAGAGACCGGAGGGCTGCCGTGTGGTGTTGAAAACGGTGATCTTTGGGGGAGAAGTCCCTGAGGAAAGGAATGTTCCGGAGCCCGCGGCGGCGGTCCACCGTTCGTAAGATTATGTAGCGAGTGGTGGGGTGGATGGTAAGAGGCGAGGTATGGAGAAGTGCTATTCTGTACTGCTGGTGCCCGCCTTGGGGAGGGCGGAAGCCCATTAACTATGGCTTGGCCCATGGGACCATGCGGCAGCGAAGGCGCTTGGTGATGGGTGATCGGCGCAATCGGGGTGGGCGAAGATCCCGCAATTGATTGTGGAGGGGATTCGGACCCGGCGGGCCGCCGTTCATCTGGTGCATCGGAGGTGGATGTTGAGAGGTGGTGCGGTGCCAGTCACTGTATGGAGTGCTTGGTGGGGGGTAATGATGGGGGGTTGGGGGCTGAGGGACCGGAGCGGCCATAGGACTCGGTCCTGGGTGAGAAGCATTCAGGGACAACGTTGGAGCTGGACCAGTCGAGGGTGCCTGTAACTGAGGTGCGGCTACTGGAGGCGGCGGCGGCGGCGCTGCTGCTGCTTGCACGGGGGTTGCCCAGGGATATTGCGATTGTATGGAAGCTCTAGGCTCTGATATGGCTGGTGGCGGACTTGTCAGAGCGGCTGCAATAGCTGGTGGTGCCCTGGCTTGCTCCATCGTAGGCGCGATGTCTGGCAAAGGTGGAGGTGGTGCATGCGCTGTGGGCACGCGGCCTGCTTTCTTGCATTTATGACATTGGAAGTTTCTCTGCGCCACAAACTTCTGAGCCTCGCTTCCCAAGCTGCCGAAATGACCATTAGTAAGGACTTTCTCCTGGCTCTTGTCAATGGGCCACCACTTTGGGCTGACATCGACACCACAAGTGATGCACACTTTGTCCCCACTCGGGGGAATGACGGATGCCGTCTCCGAATGACCATCGACCGAAGACGCCCTATGGGCAACAGGCGCACTTGTAGAAGCTGTTGTCGTAGATGCACGCCGATTTGCTGTGGGCGGTGGTGCTGTCGATGGAGTCTTGGTTGCCATTGCAATCAGGTTAGCCTTCCTCACCGTACCCGTCAGGGTCAAATCTGCCTGCTTGAAGTTCTGCACGTATAGCTGCAGCGCATTGAGAGCCGTGGGGTCCTTGTTTTGGTTCTCCCCCTGATTAACCACGTCATGCATCCGGTGAACTACCGTTCTGGTTGGCACGTGCTCCTTGCACCAAATGGCGGCTGACATCGCCCCAGTCTCCCCATTAATAGTTACAATGTTGAATTGATCACGCCGTGAGCCCTTAACTGGCGTCACTTCGAAACCCAACAGGTAGCCAAGCTGATGGGCGCACTCGACGTGAACTGGAACTTTGCACTGATGACAAGCGACACATGCACCGCCTCGTTCCTTGCAGGCCTTGCACACCTCGTCATACCTGGCCCGGGGTATGGATGGTATACCCTCCGACGGGCTCAAGGCTTTAGCATTGCTGAATTTGACCTCAGGTGTCCATACTGCGCAACTGACGTGAACCCAGTTGTTGTCAATCGTCCGCTTCAGAGGTTCCCGAGGGTTGAGCGGTCGGTTCATCTCTTCTTGCTTCTTGCGATAGTAGTCGGCGGCCTTTTGCGCATTTTCTCGCTCTAGCCGCTCCTTCTCTCGTTCTTTCTCGGTTTTTTTCTTGTGCGTGTTCTTTGGTGGTTCAACAAAGTCATGCTCCGTGTATTCGACAGGGCACAAGACACATTTGTAATCCTACGAACTCTGGTCAGGGTCGCAATCGCAGAAAGGTGTAAAATCACATTACTCACCAGCGAGACTTGCGGGCCTTTATCATTGAGACACATATCGCAAGTCCACTTCCCAGGATGTCGGTTGTCAAGTACGCCGTAGCATTTACGGTGCACGCTGAGTCGACATTCTTTGCAAGACAGGAGGTGCTGCTCCCCGGTGGGGTTCATCTGGTTACAGATGGCGCAGGGCAACACTCGTGGCTTTGGTACTTCGGGCGCAGGAGGTGGAGCTGGCTTCTCCACGACCCTTTCCTTCTTCTTTGACACAATGACCCCGGACATGCTTCCAGAATCCGAAGCATTGGGCTCGGCATCTTTCTCAGTCATGGTCTTCAGTTTCTTCCTAGGGGATCCACGGGACTGGCGAGTGGCGGTGCAACAGCAGAAGCTCCCGGCGTCGCTGAGGGAGCGGGGGAGTTGTAGACTGTTTGACTCATCATCTCGTTGGCGGCAGTCAGCTCTTTGAGTAGTTCTTCGTCCACTCTTCGCTTCCAAGCCCTGCCACCAGCAGCCGCGACCTTCTTCGCAAGCTCCTCCATGTCTTCCCACTGGATGGCATAACGCCGCCACAACTCGGCACATCGTCGGCAAAGTGCTACGATATATTGGGCACCTTTGTCTTTGCCCTTACCGCCCTCAGTAACCAAGGCGGAGGAGACGTTGGGCGCCCTCCGCCATTGCCTCGACGATTTCGTTGAGCAGAATTTGCACATAAAATTCCTTTTACGCTCGACAGCCTTTCCAGTGTCGAATGCAGAGTCGTCATGTGCGTCGGCGACATCGTCCTGAAGCTTGTTTGCGTTGGCTTCGGCTTTCTTTGCTTCCTTCTTGCCTTTTCTTCCGGTATAGTTGCCCCAAATCTGCCTCCCGCGCTCTGTTTTCTTCCACGTGTAGTAAAAGCGCACAATGGTTTTGTGTCGTGCCGTTTTGACATGTCTGGTGACCTGATACAGCTCCGATCCGAATTTCGCTACCCCTTCTTCAAACTTCTTAAGTTCGGCGGCACTCAGCTCTGGTTCTTTGAATTCGGTTTTTTCGGTCTTCGGAATTGCCTTCAAGGACTTCGCAGTGTCAAAATTATTGCGGTACAACGTGTCGCGGGCCACATCCATCAGATTCGTCGAGCGCTCGGGAATACCCAGCGATGGGACCAACTTCATAGCCTTATCGAGGTACTTGTCAATCTCCGTGGGCGAAATGGCTGCACCGACTGCTTCAGCAGGCTTCCACAGTAGCTGCGCCGTATTGTTGGGGTCATCGTTGTCAAAGTCCTCCCCACGGGCGACATAACCAGGGGGCTCATCCTGAATCCATTTTGGCCGTTTTTCTCGAGCAATTTTGTCGGCTTCAATGGCAGCAAGGGTCTCCTTGGACGGTTTGCCATCCTTCCGGCTGCTTTTCTTGATCTCCAGCGGCTTGACTAGTTTAAGTTTGCGACCAGGCCATGGCAAGACGACTGCTTGGTGCTTTGGTCCCAGGCGAGAACCAGCTCGGGGGTATATTCGATCGTCATAGTCGAGCGCATCTTCGGGCTTGCAGTGGATCCCGAGATATCGATAAGGCCATAAGCTTGCATGGTACATTTGTTCTGCCGTGGCGGGCTGGTGTGTGTCATCTATACCGTCGGCAGGGCTGGTCCGATTTGTATCGGCCGCGTGGTCGTCCTCTTCCTCATCCCAGTATTCTTCCTCATCGCCGTCTGGGTGGGGATCAAGTAAGTTGGGAGTGTGTCGCGCCTCTAACTTTCTCTCTTGTGCGCGACTGCATGCAGCACAAGCCCAAGCAAAACCACGTGACGGCTTCTTCAGTAGAGGCGGCCTGACACAATTCATGTGGTACGTCTGCTGACATACCGCACAATCGACCGAATCGTTGCTTTTCCCATGTTAGCCTCTGCTGAGTGATCTGGCCACAGTGGGGCAGAAACGCCAGAAACGCCGACGGGACCTACTTTGCACAGTATCCGCCGCATCTTTTGCATAGTTTGACAGCACTGGTGAATTCCTTGGATCGGCCTTGTTCCACCAGGATATACTTCCATCGCTCGTCAAGCACCTTCTTAACCTTTTCAGGCACATTTACAATCTGCGCACAGGGGATTACATCGTAGTTTTTCTGGATGTAGCGGTCGTACAGTTTTTCAAACCAGAAGCAGTCGGGCGTCTTTCGGTACTCGTCCATGCTCTGGATCTCGGCTTTATGGCGGATCTCGCATTTGCCGCGCAATGCGGTCAAAGGGCTTATGTCGGAATGCATCGTGGCAAAAACGAGTCGCGTGTCGTTGACCTTTTTACCAATGTCCTTGGGCCTGTAGTACCAATTGATTCGCAATGCATCCACCGCTTTGGTGCTGTCATTTTGCACGTGGAGAAATTCCATGATGCGCCCCAAATAGTAGGGTTCGCCAGGTGGCTCACATACAAGATACACATGATCTGCCAAGCGTGTGTCAGCAGCAGAACGAGAGAAATGAACATGCCCATCAGCGCAAAATACCATTTTTTCCGAGTACAGTGCCATCATCTGCAACCATTTTCCCATCCTTGGGTTTTGCGCCCGAGACATCGAAACTGAGCATGTTCGTTTCCCTGAAGCCAGCACCAATGTTCACAGCAGCTGCCGGGTTGGCAGCGCTGCGTCTGGTGCTTGCGCCAACAGCAGGGCTCTGCGTTGCCACAGGAGTCGAGTGAGAAGTAGTACCATTCGCAGTTGCGTGAGTGGCAGCTTTGCGTTTCTTTGATGTGGCAGACGACGTTGTTGCTGCTGCTGCTGTTGTTGTTGTTGTTGTTGTGGTGGTGGTGGTGGTGTTGGTGGATGATGCCGCTGCACTCGAGGCGCCGGTTGTGCCCAATTGCTGGTCTTTGGTAACAGCGTGGGGCTGGCCGGTCTTGCTGTCGTCTGTCGAGGTGGCCTTGCGCGAAGCTGGACCACCGGCTCGAGGCGCATCAGAAGCTCCATTTGCTGCACTGACAGCTTGCCGGGATGTTTTCTTTGGCTCTTCCTCTTTCTTGTCGCGGTAGCCATCGTACATGTCCATGTCCACATCTTTGTCTTCTGCGTAATTGGGCCGCGCCTGCCCGCGATTGCGTGAACGCGTGCCGTAGGGTGATGGTCCGGACATCGTGTCTTTCGAGGCCGGGTTGGGCCCCGACGAGGTAGACTTGGTTACCGGCTGCGAGTCAGCGACATTATCAGGTAAGTTGTCGTTGCTAGCTGCTCTTGCCGATTGAGCGGCTATGGGTGAATGGTTGGATTGAGAAGTGGTCTTGTTGTGGGATGAAGCAGAGTCTGAGGAATCCTTGGTCGAGGATGACGCAGGGTTTGGCTGATCATCGGCGCCGTTCGCGTTCTGGGACTTCTGCGCCATTGTGGGCGTTTAGAGGCGCCGCATCCAACAATTTGACGATGCAAGCCGCCGCAAAGCTACGACGTGATACTGGGGGAGAAAGCCGGAGATAGAAATCCATAGGACTTCCGGTCTGCATGTAAATTGAGTAGACGTGCTGCTCTGATAACCTAGACGCAGGTGAAAGTGCAAGTGCTGGTAGCCGTGGGTTCCATGTGAGCGTTTCGCTGGTGCTCTGGTGCTGGTCGTACCACAGTGCAGAACCAGGATGGTTGAAAGCTTGTTGGAATACTGGCACGACCAACTTCGGATGCCGTGGGGGGCTAGAAAATAAAAGAAATGGGAAGGGACGAGCGTGAGGCGTGGGATTGTGCCGGATTCTCGAGAGAAAAGCGTGAAATGTCCCCTAATATCACAAAATGTAAGGTAGATACTGGGGTCGATTAAGTTGCAAGAAAGGAAAGATTCCAGAGGGACGGACGAGACGCGGGAGTGGAACGGAAGGAGAGAGAGGGAGGGAGGAAGAGGTGGTGCGTGTGCGGTCTAGAGCCCGAGGACTGAGGCGGGAGCCATCAAATCAACGGCATGGGAGATGTCAAGGTCAAGGTCAAGGTCAGTCATAAAGGTCGACATGAATGTGGTAAGGTCTGGGTAGGCAGGCTTGCAAGCTTGCACCAGCACCAGCCAGACGGACGGCTTTGCTGCTTTGTTGCTGCTTTGCTAGAGCCACGGAGCCATATGGAGCCTAGGCAAAGCAGAGCGCAAGGTGCGATGCAGGTCTGCCCGTACCGGCGATTTAGCTCCACAAAGAAGACGATGTGGATTGGGGAAGGGGTTCTGCTCGTCTAAAAGACAAAGTAGCGATACAAAACTAGGCCCTGCAGATCGATATGTTCCCGCATCAATGCCACAAGAGTCTGCGCCTGGGCGTGTAGCCGGTACTAACGCGGGCGTGGAGGTCTGGCCCCCTGTCGTTGCCAAACCGTCCTCTTTTGACTTCACCTCATGGATCCCCCAGGGCTCATCACAGCCAGATCCACCTCATGTCGTCCTCCGACGCTTCGACGGTCTATCCAGAATGCCTTCTTGAGATGCGTCCACGAGCAAGTCTTTGCCTTGAAGCTACTCGTCCATTTGCATCGTCGTCAATGAGAGCACTAGGTCGGCAGGAAGGCGACGCGCCCGGTCAAATTGCCACCTATATTGAGCATCCCCGCTGAACTATCCAGGTGGTCACCATTTGTTCTCGCACGAGAAGGCGTGATGGGAAACTCGGTATTTTGATCTCAAGGAGTCGCTTGATGAAATCCTTGGAAATATTCCCAACCTTTTTCTTCGTCTTCGTTGCGGTCAAGTTGAAAAGTGGTTGGTGTGTGGCAGCAGTCAAGATCACAGATCGACGTTGATATCGCACTTGAGCGCCAACACACACACACACACACATACACACACAAATAACACACTTCAGATCGCCGCACCTTTCCGTCTCATACCAATCCAATTTATCGATATAACGCATCGCAGCAAACAGAAGCAGAGCGATCTCGCAATTACTGCACTACAGAGTGATTTGATGATGGATTGTTGGTGGTGCCAAACGTTACAATACCGGAAGCATGCCAAGATCGCCGCTACCAAGTACTTAAGTACCTACATTAGATATATTGCAGCATGCTTCAGTCAAACCCCCACATGTTAACGTGTAGCCCGACTTCACGCTCAATCATCGACCAATTGCCAATATCTAATGGCAGAGACCAGCAACCAAAGCCTTCTGAACTTAACTGATTCAAGCTGTTCTCTGGCAGGGCTATCCCAAGTGCTCACAATCTCACAATCTGGATCTTAAGTACTGGGTGCGTTGGGCAAGATTTCCTCCTCGCCGCCGGGCTGGTGCATCGTCATCTTCTCTCTACCCTTTGTGAACAAGTTACGACAGGCGAGGATTTCGGTAATCATCAAAGGTCCCCAAACGTTTGAGACACGGTGGAAGAAACCGAAACGGTATTAGTCCCCACCTCTCGTGCCTAGGCAGGAGGTCACACAGAAACATTTCAACAGGGATCAAGAATCCATCATCGCGGACCATTCAGCAGATTGGCAGCCGACACCACCATTTTGATCTACTTTCAGGCTACATGAATCGAGTTGCCGTGGGGTCACTGGCATGCCAAAGCAACAGAAGCTCTACGCAATCATTGCGCCTAGCCAATGCCGGCAAGGCTCTCAAGTTGATGGCCAAAGGATGCGCTGTGCCATCATCACACTCGTCAAGGTATCGATCACTTCGACTAGCTTCAAAAAAAAACCCACCGGTGATACCCATCCAACCGTAAGGTAGCCATTTGCACAGTCCAATTGAACTTGGTGATTTCTTCCTTGAGATTCTAGGGTGCCATGCGACGCTGGGGTTTGTCAGAAAAGAGGTGAGCGGTGCTTGTGCCAAGAAAACTTGCATACAGGGATCGTTGTCACTAGTCATGCTGAACGTCGATATTCCCATTTCAACCAGTCTAACAATATGAATATGCCGCCCTTCGCACTCTGAGGAAGAACGGGTCGCCGCAATAGCTTATACCCGAGGAAAGTTGCTCCAAGAGAACTGTGCACGCACAGCGCTAAGTCCGAAACATTGATTAACGTTATTCCAATCGTGCTCACATGGACTTCGAGCTTTTGTCTACGTAGTCCAGTATCCCAGGCTCTGGAAAACAAGCGGTCTCCTATATTCATCTTGAGTCGCCGGTAGCCCTTTTGGAGCGCTTGGTGCGTATTGAAATTACGTTGGGTGGCTGACAACTTCAACCTTGTTCGTCCAGCTGTTCCCCCACTGACCAAATAGCATTGGATCAGGCTGCGCACACATTTGTTCTTCACGACAGCGACTCCGAGCGTCTGTAGTTCCTCTAGATGGAACATGGACACACGTCTATAAATTACAAGGTGAAGCTGTATTTGCCCAAGCCGACAACTGAGAGAATTCCCGAGTTTGACCGAATAGCCTACTGCCTGACGTTGACCAAGCGGTGGGCCGCATGGGCATTGGCTCGGGAATTTGGCTGGTGTTTACCGAGAAAATTGTGCACGACCCATCACCCATCATGCAAGCACTTCATCTTACCAGATCGCGGGGTCCCAGACACGTGCTTTCGCGTCCCTCGGATGCGGGAAGTCGCGTTGCCCGATGGCTCTTATCTTCGCGCTTCGGGTTTGCCTTGTCCTTTTGCCACCCTCCTTCGCACGAATTGAGTATCAAGCATTCCTTGATTCGCTATACCGACATATTGATCTGGCCATAATGTGTCTGAGGATGTGTTTTCTTTTCAACATAAGCACCGCGACGCTAGAATCGCCACTCAGGAGTAACCGTAACAAGAGACGTCGAAATTGAGTCGATGGAATCTAGGTATTACTGGGAATTGGGATAATATCAAACCGGGATGGTAGTACACAATTGCAGAGTGAAATTGCTGTTATCCACAAATTGGAACATCATGACTGTTATTCTAGGCCCTTAGGCGAGCAGTGGATTCGAAAAGCCAAACTCATGGCTACATAGCCGCACTGAGGTACAGTGCATGTGGATCGCACTACGGATGTTACCAAGAGGAGGTGGAATGCTTCACTACAGATAGTCTGGTAGTGTAATGGCATGGAGCGGCGGGGTCCCCGACCGATGTATCCGTGAAGTCAAGTTGTCGCAAGAGCTTGGGTATGGCTAATCAACCTAATAAACCAAGCAAAGTAGTTGCAAGATGTTGAAAGGCTGGTTGGATTGTCAATTATCGCTGTTATGGTGCAAGAGATAACTCGGTGGAGCCGGAATCGGCCGCCATCTGATAAAATTGAGCACTGTTTGACATTGCGAACACTACAGCTACAGATATTTGGAGATAAACTCCGGAACCAAGAAAAAAATGAACGATTCCAAGGGTCTCGCTATAGCTTTTGAGGAGGCAAAGCTCTCCTATCAGGAGGGAGGAATTCCTGTTAGCCACTCGATCAATCTGAAATGCGAGAGATACGCTGCTAACTCGCCACCAAGATCGGGGCCGCCCTGATCGCCAGTGACGGAACGGTGCTCGGTCGAGGACATAACATGCGAATCCAGAATGGAAATCCTATACTTCATGTAAGCGTCAAATCGTATCAATACATGCAGAGTGAGCTGTTTGCTAAGCGGATGTTCGTCATCCAGGGCGAGACATCCACCCTTCAGAACGCAGGCCGTCTGCCGGCGACTTCTTATAAAGGGAGTACTATGTACACCACTCTGTCTCCTTGTGATATGTGTAAGTCTGTCATAAATCTCCCTTTACCAGCTCCTTCATGGCTAACAAGTCCAGGTACCGGAGCGTGTCTCCTCTACGGTATCTCGCGTGTTGTCATCGGGGAGAACAAAACGTTCCTCGGCGGCGAGGCGTATCTTAAGCAGCGGGGAGTCGAGGTGCTCATCGCGGACGATACTGAGTGTCGCGAATTGATGGAGAAATTCATCGCGGAGAAGCCGGAGGTTTGGTATGTTTGCTTCCCTGAGAACACAAGCATGGGGGTACTAACGAGGTTAGGAATGAGGATATTGGGGTCGAAAAGAGGGTATACTCGAAAGAGGGAGCTCAGACTCTCTTGTAAATGCTCAGTGACAATGAAATGCCAAGGCTACTACTTGAGGAACCCTGGTTTTCTCGCCATCAAAGACAAACGATATATTGACAATTCTCGAACCTTGGGCTCCGATGTAATGTTCGAATAGCCTAAGTGGTGGTTTCATGCTGTCACAAGTAAAGAAACGAAATTGAACGCTCCCTTTTCCAGAAACTCTCACACTATGGGCGATGTGCTTAAGTGATAAGCAGCGTTAGACTCGAAGGGGGTCTTCAAATTCGCAAGTCGGTTGCATTACACTCTTTTAAAGGCAGTCTTGCTCCTGCCTCTATATTAACTGTTCAAACCGATGCCAGCAGTTTGTGATAACCCTCTCCTGATCTTACAGCGACTAGTCGCATATAAACCCCTGAGTCATTCTTGACCAAGGCCAGTCATTGAGTGAGTGCTGTGGGATTGAGCGCCATATGTGTGCCTGAGGTGGTGCCTAAGGCAGTGAAATCGCTTGTGTAGATAAAAAGGTCGGCACCTGCCTACCTACCTTAGATGTAACTTCTTACAGAGGACTCCGAGCAGTCAATACACACATCACACTGCGCATCGAGCATCGTAACCAATACAGGATCTGTACAGAGTCATCATCTGAGGGTTGAATCCCTCAAGTGCTTGATTAAACAGAAAACGGATTCCCCGGAACTGGTAGTGTTTACCACCTTGCACGATAAGGACAAGGTGAATAGAACAATCGCAAACATGAGGGGCTAGCCCACGCATAAAGAAAAAAGCGAACATCATACTTGCCAACAATGCCGTATACTTCACGCAAATAGGTGAATGGACTCAGAACACTACGGGATACCGTCGTCCGACTCTCATAATGATCTATCAACCTCCCTCATCGTGTCTATGTTTTCTTAGGGGCCCGCAAGTAAGAGTCTATGACCTTTCCTCCATGGAAACCCCCGAAAAAGGAAACTCTACTTATATCATATTTCTGGAGCCTGGTCACTGACGTCTATCTACACTGAACGTGCGTAGCCAGGCAATTAAACATCTTGGTAATAATCGCTTGGCAACCCGCCAAATAAGGTTGAAGACGAAAGCTCGGCGTTGTTCGAATGGGACTAGCATACTCGAACTGGAGAGTCTATCACAACCCTCCATCGTCACGGGGCAAATGCCGAGTAGGTGTAAGCATATTAAATCACGCATCGTCTAAATATGAAAGAAAAGACCTGGCCCTTGCCATTTTACATCACAAATCCAGACAAGCACTACAGCGACAAGCTATATTATATGTCAAATGCGCATAGATTTCCTATGAGACCATGTACCAATCGTGTGTGTGACCGACCTAGTTAGCAGGAAAATGTGGATTTTACTCCCCTAAGTCATGGAATTACAAAAAGTCCACGCCGCTCAAAGATCAACGGTGAAGCAGCGTACTCTACCTGACATGCGTACACCACGCCAGAAAATGACTTCTTTGCTGACCAATCCATCATCACCATTTCCCGTACCAATTACACGAGACACTGGAATATATGTGGTGATGGGGCCAGGCATGCGCTTCCCAATCCCAATCAGCCGGCCGTTATACCCTTTTCAGTCCAACTCCATTTATTCATGTTGCGAGACCATCGTCTATTCATACAAAGACGTCACTTTATTCAACCGTCACCGACTTGGCCAGGTTTCGGGGGAAGTCAACGTTGAGACCCTCCATGACAGCAAGCCAGTAGGCGATCAGCTGCAGCGGAATGACATTCAGGAGACCTTGCAGACAATCGACCGTCTTAGGAACTTCGATCTTCTGGGCCTCGCTGGCTGCAAACTCCTCGTCACTGGGATTGCAGATGACGATGGGCTTTCCACCACGGGCAGCAACTGTAGGTGGGTTAGCAAAGCGAACGGGTGATAGGGAAAATAGTCATGTTGCTGTACGTACCTTGCTGGTAGGCGTTGAGCGACTTCTTGAAGAGGTTGTCACGGGTCAAAATCATGATGATGGGCAAGTTCTCATCAACAAGAGCCAACACACCATGCTTCAGCTCACCAGACATGACAGCCTCGCAATGAAGATAGGATATTTCCTTGATTTTGAGAGCACCCTCAAGCGCAGTAGAGAACTGGCTGCCACGACCCAAAAGCAAGAGAGACTTCTGGTTCTTGAAAGTGTTCCTGCACAGCTCCTTGATAGTTTGGTCAAGCTCCAAAATCTGCTTGATCTGGGCTGAGATGTTGGCAAGGCCTTCGACGATTTCACGACGCCTTTGGACCTTGGACGCTCGGTCTTCACTAAGCGACAAAGCGAACATGACCATGGCAATGAACTGGGAGGTATAGGCCTTGGTGGAGGCGACACCGATTTCGGGGCCGGCGTTGACGTGGACGCCGCAGTGGGTAAGCAAAGAGATGGAAGAACCGACGACGTTGACAATGCCAACGGTCAAAGCACCACGCTCCAAGCAGTATCGCAGTGCCATGAGGGAGTCGGCTGTCTCACCAGACTGGGAAACGAAGACACACGTGTCGTCGCGGAAAACAGGTGCTTCTCTGTCCAGGAAATCCGAGGCCAACTCAACAGCAATAGGGATCTCGGCAAGCTCCTCGAAGATACCACGAACAGCCATGCAGGAGTGATAACTAGTTCCGCAGGCAATGAAGATGATGCGTCGGCATCTGCGGATGGTTGCAATGTAGGATCGAAGACCACCCAGGGTGACGGTGTGGTTCTCAGCGTCGAGACGACCTCGCATGGTGTTGACGACGGACTCGGGTTGTTCGAAAATCTCCTTCTGCATGAAGTGGTCGAACTTACCCTTCATGATCTCCTGGAGTTCAAGCTCAAGGGTCTGGATGGTTCGGACATTGGAGCTGCCGTCGGCTTTCTTGAGGCGATGGATGTTGAGGGAGCCTTCGTGAATGTGGGCAATGTCGTCGTCCTCCAGGTACATAACCTTCTTGGTATGCTCAACAATCGCCGAGGGGTCCGAGGAGAGGAAGAACTCGGCGGGCATGGGCATGCCATCGTCGGTCATGAAAGCGCGGGATTGCGAGCGGTGGAGGAGCGATTTGTCGGGAGCACCAAGGAGGGTATTGTTGGGGGCCAACAGGCCGCCCGAGTCCTTCTTCAGGGCGGCATTCTGGGCCGCGGTCTCAGCAGGCAGGGCACCGTTCTCTTCGGAGTATTCAACATCGACAAAGTCTACCTTCATGCGTCTCTGCGTCTTGACACCAATGACAAGGGGCGAACCCTTGCGAGCAGCGACGACCTCATGGGGGTAGTGAATCGACTTGATGAGCAGACCGTAGGCACCCTCGAGCTCGTTGATGACGGCCTTGGCGAGGTCGACGAAGCCAATGCTAGGGTATTGGTCGTAGAGGTACTTGGCAAGCTTCGCGATGCATTCGGTGTCGGTCTCGGTCTCGAACTTGAAGCCCTTGGCTGTGAGCAGCGTCTTCAGCTCCTTGTAGTTGGTGATGATGCCGTTGTGGACGACGGAGAACTCCCAGTTGGGGTCCGAACTGGATCGCAATGTATGATTAGATCAAAGAGGCCTCATAAGCGCTGCGTGTACAGCACGAAGGGGTAGCATTTACCGGTGGGGATGGCAGTTCAGCCGCGAGGGCGGGCCGTGTGTGGCCCAGCGCGTATGGGCAATACCGGCATGTGAGTCGAAGACTTTTGAGAAATCTGGCTTGGACTCCTCGATGAGACCCTTGAGCTTAGCCACCTTGCCCACCTCCTTGAAGGCGAAGACCGTGTTCTTTTTGTCGCCATCGACAGCTAGACCGGCCGAGTCGTATCCGCGGTACTCGAGGCGGGAGAGGCCTGCCAAACATCGGACGAGTCAGCTTCTGGTTCAATTCCATCCCATGGAAGGATAGTTCAATGCTGCTTGCTCGGCCGCCCAACTTCTGATGGTTTTGAAATCGTATAGAGTGGGCAACGGTTTCCTACTCACCATTTACGAGCGTGTCGAGAATGTATCTGCGGTCCTTCTCCACCAGGTAGTTGATGTATCCGAAAATGCCACTGCAAGAAACAATCAAGTCAGTATCGTGAGATCCCAATTGTGTCGTCTTCGGGGCTTCTTTGTCCTGCTGTCACCGCCAGAGGTTCAGGGATTTGTTGCGAACGCATTGTCTTGCTGGCCCCCAAAACAATGGCGGTGGAGGGGCAGTTCTCTGACGTACCACATGGTTGCGTTTGTTGTGCTGGGGTTCAATGCGTACGTAACTCTCGAGTACGACAGGCAATGCAACTCTCTTTCCAATTCGCTTGCTAGCAAAAGCAGGGTATCAAGAGAAACGAAAAGCCGGGACGGAGAGAGAGATGAGAACTGAGTTTCCCAGATGAGGGAGCGACGGGCTTATGGCTTTTAAATGGCTTTCAGATCCAGCTAGAGAACCTGGCATGTATGGCGGGGAGCGTGTTTCTTTTGACCGTAACGAGACCAGTGAGGCTTTGTACCCCCCTGCACCTGCACTATGGTACTTGCCCACTTGGCTGGCTCTTCGTCTTTTCGTCATTTCGTCTTTGCGTCTTGTCGCTCGTGTCTTGGCTGGCCAAGCCGTTGGTGTCCTTCGTGAAGTCTTTCTTTTGGCATGACAAGCTCCTGGCCTCCAGTTACGCCCATCATCGGGATTACTTCTTTGAAGTTGTGGTGGTTTGTTGGCAGGTTATCAATGTTATCCACAGTCTAATTGTCTTGCTCGTAAGGGTACTTTGTACGATCTCGCCATATTCCTCAACTTTCCATGGCCAATTCCTCCATTTCTCATTTCTATGCTGCTTCTGTCTTGAGTATCTTGCGTTGCCAGCAGTGCATTTGATCGGCGCTTTGCAATACATCCCAAACCGCCTCCAGGTTTGGAAGGTTTACCCTTTCTTTCAGCTCAAAGTGCATCCCGCAAAAGTTGGGTGCCACGGCCAACTAGCGCTAGACGTCCCATTGGTGACTACACGGGGTTTATGGCTTGCTTGCATTGGTGTACTTTTTTCCCGGCTTGCTGAAACAGAATTGATGAACTGGGGTTGCTGGGCTGTTGCTTGCGGGCTCGTAGCGCTGCCGAGCTCTAGAAGCCAGATGCATGGCATCAGATATTGTGGATCGCCCCTTCCGTCCATCATCTGAAGAACAAAGGCGACCTAACAACAACGCCCAAGCCGGTCAATCAACTCTCAACGGCCGCCTGTCAAATTCCTTAAGTCGGATCTCAATTCCCATTGCTTTCCTCGGAAGGATTGATCCTTCCGAAAGAATGAATGCTGAGCTGACAAGACTGGCCAGCCCGTTGTCAGATTTTGGGGAATAGGCTATCCTAGGCCTCAGTCCTATCACGGGACAGCGTCAAGTTGCTGGTCAAACTTACATCAATGGCTCCAGAGCCGTTTGGCGTTAGTCACCATCACAAGGGGTTTGCCGATCACAAGCGCCATCTTGTTTGCGTGTGGGCACAGATCTCCCTTTCCTTTGGTCTACCGGCGTTGAATTAAGGCCTTCAAGTCGCTTCTCCTCATCACGACATGGCCGTGGCGTCCAGTCCGTCATACAAGCCCTGCTTCTTTTTTTTGCTGCAGTGACACAAACTGTTGCAACAAGAAATTCCTGATCGTCATTGCGGTTGCATCCCCTCCCCCAATTCATGCGACACCGTATTGACATCAGTGCAAAAGGTCGTGTTGAGTTCGTGCCTTGCTCTAGCACCCTCCCCAAGAGTGGGGTTCAAGTCCCATGTACAGCCTCAATTAAAGGGGCAAGGTTGAGCCGGCCATTGATCTACATTGCTAAGAATAGCCAGCATAGCATAGCACCCTGCATACGTTTACTACATACAATACGGTATCTTCTCTGATGTCAGACGAGCAGGGATCATACTTGCAATGTCGCCCATTCAATCTTCCATCACGAACAGCATTTTGCCGGTGGCCTCAACTTCAAGTTCCGGAAACAGCAACGCCATTTTTATTGTGGGTGACATAATCCCTGCTAGTCGAATCGAAGCTGCGTATATTTCACCTGTACGCATTTCTCATCACATGAAGTACGTCTTGAAAGCTGAGCTGCTGCGTGTGCTCTTCGTGCGGCTAAGTCCGAGGTATCAGGCTGATAGGAACGACGGTGGCTTTCTACTTTAATCCATAGTGTAGAAATAATTGCCTAGCCAGCCTTACCGCTCCCGGGTGCTACATACCAACGTGAGACTACTGGATATTAATGCTGGTAGGTTCAGTCGTGGATACCATCTGTCGGCTGAGGTCAACCCGTCAAGCAAACCGACTTACTAGCCGATACGGCGACGAGGCAGCCACGCAGAGGCAAAATCGCAGCTGGCCTCTTCCAGGGGTAGAAGCAGCTGTTGCGTTGGCTATTGCGAATATTGGAAAGCAATGTGGGCAAGGCTGAAGCTTCATTGGTGCCTCTTAGGTTTACATATAGAATTACATCCGAGGTTTGGTGATCGGTTTGGTGATATCTTCTCACCCAGCTCTATGCCTCATTGTCTAATGCCATTTCACGCTAGAACCCCCCTAGAACCGTCACCAAGCCAACTTTGAGTTGATTACAACTTCTGGTATTCAAGTTTGCCCTCCAACTTCTTCGACTCGGCCAGCTTCCGGACGGCCTTGTTGAAATCATCTTGACTGATGGCGTCGCGGTAATCCTTGATGGCAAACAATCCTCTGCGTGGCAAATGTAATTAGTATCAAACAACAAGTGATCATTTGCGGCGTTAGCGCAGCACTTACGCTTCTGTAACGACGTTTCGCAGATCGGCACCGTTCAACCCATCGCTCATTTTGACCACGCTCTCAAAGTCGATATCGCCATCGGTAACGACTCCGGACGCGTGGATCTTCAGAATTTCTAGTCTGCCCACCTCATTCGGTAACGGAATCTCCAGCTTACGGTCCAATCGTCCGGCACGCAGCAGAGCCGGGTCGAGGGTGTCGGGTCTGTTGGTTGCCATGATGATCTTCGTCTTGCCCAGGTAGTCAAAACCGTCCAGTTGATTCAACAACTCCATAAGTGTCCGCTGAATCTCTCGATCGGCGCTAGTTCCCTCGGAGAATCGTCGTCCGCCGATGGCATCGATCTCGTCCATGAAAATAATGCAGGGTTCGTGTTCTTTCGCGTAGCCAAACATCTCGCGGATCAGTCTGGCAGATTCGCCGATGTACTTGTCCACAATTGCCGAGGAAACAACTGTAGTTTAAATTTAGTTAGCGACGCACACTCGTCGTAGTGCCCATTGCAGGTGTCCATACCTTTCAAGAAGTTCGTCTCCAGGCTGCTGGCAACGGCACGCGCAAGAAGCGTCTTCCCCGTTCCCGGCGGTCCATACAGCAAGACACCCTTTGGCGGCTTGATGCCTACTCTCAAGAACAGCTCGGGGTTCTTCAAGGGCAGCTCGATGACCTCACGCAGTTCACGGATCTGGTCATTCAGACCGCCAATACCCGCAAAGCTGACTTGTCCCGGGTCTTCCAGCGACATGTTGTAGACGAGGGGATCGACTTCTCGCGGCAGCATTCGCATGATGGTGAGTGTGGTCATATCTAATGCCACTCGCGTACCCTGCTTCAGTTTCGCCTTGTCGACCTTCGATCTGCATCCAACGACATATCGGGGACCTGAAGAGGCCTTGACGATAACTGTAGAGGGGAAGAGTAAGCCAAGAGTTGTTATCATGTTGAAATTTGGCGCCAGACTCACATCTCTCATCATCCAACTGCTTGAGCACCTCGCCTATTATTTGGCCGACGCTTTGCAGCGCCTTGATGTTATCCTCGGTCTGGTCAAAGTCCTTCGCCAATCCCTTAATCTCTAAGCGCAGTGCCTTCAGCTTCGCCTCCCATTCTCGCGACTCGATGAGCTTGGTCCGGAGGGCTTGGAGCGCGTGGTCCCGCTCTTGATCCGACGCCATGATGTGTGTGAGGGTGGAAGGTGAAGGGAGAAGGTGGGGCGCGTATCCGAAGTCGAATCGCGATAACAAATTCTATGTCTCGGAGAGAAAAATACGTCTGGTTGTTGATGGGAATTGTGGTTGGATTGTCCCAAAGGTCGCTGTACGTTGTTGATACCAGTGCTTGTTCAGACGTGAGGCTGCTGATGATGAAGCTCACCCGTTGCCTGCGCTGGCCTTGCGTGCAGGGACCACACCCTTGTACGAATTCCTACTAGTGCCCTCACTGTACCGACTTCAGCACCTGCCCTCATTAAGCTCACAACAAGCATCAGTATGAAATGAACTTCGAGGTTTCTAACTTGTTAAATCCATCAAGACATATTACAAGAATTCTACTGTCGTGTTTTCATCTGCTCAATTTCTCAGATTCATGTGAAAATCTTGATCTGTTCACAGTGCTCTCCCAAATGGCTCTGGTTGGTTACGAGAGCAGTGACGAGGAGGAAGTTGCACAGCAGCCCGTGGCGGACGTAAAGGTATGAAGCTTTCCTTACATTACCTACAAGGTATACCCGAAACAGACGGACAGCGGGCGGCACTGATTTGAAGAGACCAGTCTGTCCCAAAGAATCAGGAAGTTACGGTTGAGGCAATTGGATATCAAAGTCAGTTCTCCCCCGAACCTATTTGACGGACTTCATCTCATCACATGCAGGTATCAGCTCAGAGAAAAGGGCTTCTCTTCCTCAGCAGCAGCCTGAGAAAGCAGAAGTCATTGGACCGATGTTGCCACCACAAAATGCCAGCAATCCCACCTTCCCACCCCTAGAGGATGCACCAATGGAAGACGACCTCCCCATCCCTTCTCTCGGCTCACCCTACACAGCAAACCGGGCTCTACTGCGTGATCTCACCCTCCCACAGCTACCCAACATGGACATCCCGCCATCTCCCCCTGGTTCTCCCATCCCAGGCACGAACAAGAAGTTCGAGCAGTTTCTGGAGCTGAAGAAGAAAGGCGTGCACTTCAACTCCAAGATTGCGCAATCCTCGGCGCTGAAGAACCCGGGGCTGATGGACAAGCTTATGGAGTTCGTCGAGCTGGACCCGAGGGATCAGTACAGGACGACGCTGGGCACGGACTTGTGGGATCCGGCTGTTGGTTTCGCGAGGCATGCGTATAAAGAGCAGCTGAGGCTGAGCCAGACGGAGATTGGGAAGGCTAGAGTGCGGGTGCAGGGGGCGCCGGTGGAGTTCGTGCCGGCTTCTGAGGGCAGTCGGGATAATACGCCCGGCGTATCCAAGCCAGTCTCTGTTTGCGGGACACCGACAGCAGCAGCAGGTCCAGGGAAGAGGAAGACGAGATTTGAAAGCTGAGCTGGTGGCAATTTCCGTCAAACGAGCAAGTATGTGGAGTTCTGAGGTGTTGCGGTTCTCCACTTGGACATCGGGGGCTCTTACACGAGTTGTGAGGCGAGATGGATAGACATGTACGTGTACGATTTACAGTCGGCAAAAAAGGATGATACCCACTGGCGGACGCAGCTATCTCCCCTTGATCTTTGGTAATGCTTGAAGAGGTGTTATATTGCGGTCTTGGCTTTGGTAATACCATGACAGTCATCCAGGAATGGGCTGACACGTAGAATGGAAATATCCGGCGTCTAGCTACCTCGATCAGCAACCCTTCATGCAGAGCATGGCACTACGAAAATATGGATTGGTGTGGAACGATGAATAAAACTGGTCACCACCCCACTAACCATCCCTCCCCTTACCGTCTTGTACAAGGACCGACGACGTTTGTAGGGCACAGTAAACATGTCCCGGCTCTGTTTCTGCCTCGTTTGTCATAATCACGAAGTAATCATATAGTCCTGGCCTTACCTTCGTACCCCCTGGAAATGCATACTTCGCTCGGCCATCTATAACATGAGCCGCTCCAGTGCTCTTACTCTTTAGGTATGGGTCTGATGGTCTGCCTGGAATGAATAACTCGGTTCGAGGTGAAGTCGTTATTTACCTACGGAGAAGGCATGGCTAGAATATTTCGGTTCTATGTATGTGATGATGTCTGGAGGAACATTGGCCGGTCGAGGTTTGATGGTATTCCAAACTGAATCTAGACATTGACTGTCATGTTGGTATACTGAGATGAGGAGCAGAGACACAAATTATGCACAACTAGAAGAGATAGGAGTCACGACGAAAACCACGTCCCGGCCTAAGCCGTAGTCCTTATCAAACGCGACGTTTTTCGTTCTATTGTTACAAGTTGTGTTTGGTCTACTCTGCTCTGCTCGTCCACAATCAAGAGGGTTTTGTAGGATGAAAGTTCACATGTCTAGATAGCTCGGCCACTTGTGTGAGTAAGTAAGTTGAACAAACTCGCTCCTACAAGCTCGTGTTCATTGTCAGGTGCTCTGAGATCCCCTATGGATTCATGAGCCATCAGAAGCAACGCATTCCACCCACGACCCTCTACACAGTCTGCGTTCCGTACCCCTTGATCCGATCAGCAAAAGCCCAGCTCTGCTTCTCGAGCTTCTCATTCTCTTTGAGTTCAACCCCCTCCTTCGTAACCACCGCAATCGAGTACTCATCCATACTACGCGCATCGCGGTAGAACAGGACCTTCATACACTCCTTGATAATATCCACCGCCTCCTCCTTAGTCAACTTTGCCGCGCTCTCCTCATCCGGCGCATACCGGCGCATGATAGGCTGAGCAAGAACCGAGCCGAAACCTGTAGCCAAACTAGGTGATGTGAAGGTGGTGCCGAGCAGGTCGGCAGCAGCGAGGAACGGCTTGTCGTCCTCGTCAAGACCGGCGACCAGCAAGTGGTTCCACAGCGGGTCGAACTTGGAGCGCCGGTGGTAGAGCAACTTCGACAGGTACTTGTGCAGGTTGCGGCCGTTAAGCGTGTGACCCGCCTCCGACGTGTAGGCTTCGTCGATGGCGAGCTCGTTCAGGTGGCGGTCGAGGTATTGCATGTCCGAGACGTCGCCGCCGAAGCCAACCACGGAGGTGCCGGCGAAGGTGCGCAGACGCTTGACGTTGGTGAAGCGGGCGAGGGAGCCGTAGGATGCTGAAATTGACACATGAGGTTAGTGAATTTGAAATTCTTGGGAACAGCAGGGCAGCAGTGTAGCAAGAGAGGAACTGCGTACCCAGGTTATCGGCCGCAATCACGACGCCGTCCTTGAACTTGATGGCTACTACGGACGTTCCCGTGACGATGGGCTGCTGCGTGTGTTGGTTTGGGCCGTTGTTCTGCATGTATGAAGCATCGTAGGCGCCGTAGACGTCGTCTCTGGGCTGTCATGATGAAGTCAGTTTTCCAATGTGGTTGTTTAGCTTGGGCGACATCGACGAGAGCTTACACGGCCCCATTGTTGCGGTCGGTGATCCATGATGATCTATGAAGAAAGACGACGGGTCTAGTACGGGAATTGTGGTTCTTGGTGGTTCTTGGAGTATAGCGGGCTCTGCGGAACAAAGTGGCGGGTGTTGAGACGTCGTTCCAGGCAAGAAAGGCTGAGATGGTTGTTGAAGCTTCCAATAGCTCCTGCTTCGTCACGGTTGGTCTGCCTTACGCTGGCGGAGCTCGGACTAGATCCAGTTGACATTGGGGCAAACAGTGTATTACTACAGTGTTACTCGACAGTTGACACGGTACCGAAGGATACACCAACTAGTGGCAGGACACTAGCAGCTTTGAAGATATATTGGGAGTATATTTCACCAGCACAACATTTCGTGAGAAAGTTCTGATGTATGCTTTCGTATTGGTTCTCTCGCCTGGTATGTCGCTCACTGTCGCCATCGCCTGCTGAAGGAAGGTAGAACGATGACCTCACCTCACTCCTATCAATACACTAAACCGCTAAATACAATTGCTGCGCAGCCACTTCAAACCTGTGTGCCTGCTCTAGGCCTTAAAGGCACTCATGCCCTTCCGCCCACCCGTTTTCACATCCCATGTGCATCCCTCGTTGCAAGCTGCCTGCTTGCTACTAAATCAACTCAGAGGTATCAAAATGTATGTCAGACACCCGGCTGACATGTGCCGCTTTAAAAAGAACCAAGAAAAAAACTGTTACCCTCAAAACGCCTTGTCCTGGGTTCCGTATGCCTGCCCCAAAAAGAGCGAACGCGAGGGACCGATTAGGTCTAAAGAACAATGCAACTAGTCGAGCTACCCATAATCTAGCTTGTGATGACTTCCCCGAATCCGTCTCGAATATCGTTCAACTATCCATAAACACTACTAATGATTTGAGGGTGGGTACTGGTCGCGGCTTAGGGGACAGTGCCCGCCTTCGAGGCTCGTCGAGCGCACATTATGGAAACGTGTTGAGCGACAGCTGAACCCACCAGTGTTCACTGTGGAATCGTGAAGGCGGGTGGGAATGCTTCAGAAATGCCACCGTTGCTTATTTTCCTTTGGCTTACTATCAGTGCCACTGGTAGAGGTACTTTTACGCATCGCGAAACGCGCACCCGCAACTGCCTGCGGACTCGCACGGCCCGTGGTGTTTTCCTTCTTCCCTGCTTTCGGCTGAGGAAGCTGACTAATTCGTCTGGACGGAGCCATCGAACTTGCTGACCGTTGCCTACTGTCAGCTGGCTGAAGGTTCGGTCTCGGGGACTGGAGCGAGGATCGCCGATTGCTGAGCGCAGATATGGAAGCCTGCGTCGCAAGTCGCGGCCTCAGGAGCGATTGCTGCGCTTGGAGTGCGGGAGCGGGAGAGGCGCCCATGCCCATGCGATCGCGAAACGCCATGCGAGATGCGCTGGCTCTAGAAGGTGTGTCCACGGGCATTGGCGATGCAGAGCCCGCCCGACCAAGCGGACTTCGTAGGGTGGGTATCTTAGAATCTCTAGAAGTCGGCGTAAGCGCCGAGACGGAGCGGATGGGCGTCGGGCTTCTCTTCGCATAGGGACTGGGCGTGGTGAGGGTGAGAGGCTTGAAATTGTGCCCCAAATCCGAGTCTTTTGTGTTCACTGAAGCATTCCATCGCGGCCTGTTGTCCGCCATGCTCGACGTGGCGCGCGGAAGTTGGTTGTCCATGGGAGTCGACGAGCCACTCCGAGGAGGCGGCGTGATTCGGTTGGATGAAGTCGAAAAGGTGGAAAACCGAGACCCTAAGGGTTTCCTCGTAATCTGCGGTGGTGGTGCTAGTCCGCATCGCCGCGTCGAGGCAGGTTTTGGAAGCTGGCTGCCCATACTCGAAGATCGGCTCTTATTCTTCCTAGCTCCCGATGAGGTTATTGAATCGAAGCCCAAGCTGGCCATATAGACTGATGAAGGCGGCGAGCTTCCAGGCGTCTCAGCACCGCTGCCAACAGTAGACCGGTCGTTGGACAGCAGACTCGAAATCGAGTCTCTGAGCGCCTGCCCCCGTCTGTCTGTGTGAACATCCTCTAATGTGGCATCCAATTCTCGCATCTGATTCCTGATATCCTCCCATTTGGATCGCATTTCCGCGTGTAGCCGCAAGATTTCGCCATTGACAGTGAGCCGCTCCTTGACGCCTCTGTCGATTATGGAGAGGACTCGCTCAATCGCTGGTCCGTAGTGCGTCTTCTTTGCCTCGTAGCTTTCGATCTTCTTGCTGGCGACGGCTGGGTTGGTTAGATGCATCCCCGTGTCTATTGCCTCCCGCAGCTTCCCTATGCTCCTCTCCACGGATTCGTACATCTTTTGGGCCTGTCGTCCCGCCCCGCGAAATACCAAGACCCACTTGTCCTCGCCCAACTCTTTCCGCAACGATTCCGCGTCCTTCTCCAATTTCTTATAGCCTTCCTCCAGTGATACTCTTCTCTCCTCAAGCTCCTCGCATGCGGTTGGGAAGGCTTTCTGCGCTCTCGCCTCGAAGACAGATAGTCTCATGGGCAGAAAATCTAGTGAAGCCCGAAGTGGTTGCATCCGCGCAAACAGGGCAAGCAAACTCGAGTCATCTTGACTTAAATTAGGCGCGGCAGGAGAAGCAGGACTCATGGGAAAGGCTGCTAAGCTGAGTCGGTTGCTTCGGGCTACAGCGGGCGGCGTTTCCTCGACAATAGTCTCCAGATCACCAATATCCACTCCGTCTCCGTTTCCCACCGCCATGAGTGACTTGTGCCGGCGCTCCTCCATCTCAAAGACTAGTCGACTAAGCTCGTCCATCTCGTTTTGAATATCGCCCAGGACCATGTTCCACAACTCCTCCCATTCCATCGCCGTCTCGATTTGACCCTTGGCGGTGTTCAACGTAAATCGGATCTTGGCCCATTCTTCCAAGATGGCCTCCATCTGTGTGACAGCCCTCTGAAGATCCTCGCCAGACACACAGCCAATATCATTCCGGTTCTGCAGCTCTTCGATGGCGCTAACGTATACGTTGATGAGCTCCTCGAACCTGGTGATGGCGTTTTCGACTTCCTCATAGCCTTCTCTTCCACCGGCGGCAGCCCATTCGACGTCATCCTCGCTGTCGAGACCTCCAATGACCTCGGAAGCCTTATTAATCCACATTCGTATCTGTTCGGCGGCATTGATCAGGGCTTTGGCGGCGGATTGTGCTGTAGGTATCGCCGAGACTTTACTGGACAGCGACTCGGCATCCGGCAGCTGCAGCGATGTCAACTGGGCGAGCTGATTGGCAAAGGAGAGTCGAGAGATGGTATAGATGGAGCCTGGCCGCTGGAGGCCTAGCGGGTCAAAGTAGGATGTCGCCCCAGGGTTGAATTCGGCGGAAGCAGTGCCGCCGGGGGGGGTATCTTTCGGTAATGGTGGCGGAGGCACCTGGCTCTCTTGTTCCTGGACAAAGAGATCTCTCGCAAGGTGTCCCCGCCGCGTATCTGCCAGAGCCTTGGTGCCATTTCCGTTGGTGTGGTCGGGCAACCGGTACTTGTTCGTGTCCATATCCAAAGGCGGCACAGCCAAGATCTCGGGTAGCAGGGGTGGCTTGGGCGTCGTCGACGACTGCTCTTGTTTGTCGTCGTTGTCATCGGCCGGCTCGCTCCGACGAATCAGGCTGCTGCGACTTGATTTACTTCTTAGCAGCTGGCCCAAAGGTGCGCTGGCACCTTTCCACGGGCGGCCGCGCCGTTCAACTGCGATGCCGGCGGAGCTGTTAGCTTGATGTTGTTGGTCGAGTAGTCGCAGCTGGTCTTCGGGCAGCCGGCCGATGTGGTCGTAGGGGGCGGACGAAGGTTGAGGAGGCGACGGCCCTCTTGTTGCTCCACCGAAACCGAGCGCTTTGAGACGCTGTGCCAAGCCAGGCGAAGGTTTGCGCGGGCGGTGATGGGGATTGGGCGAGGCAGGTGGCAATGACGAATTGCTGGCGGGTGCGCTCAGGTTGTTTTGGAGTGTGTGTCGCTGGGATTCGAGAGACCCGAGCTGTACAAGATCGGGTGGGATCTCAGAAAACGTTAGGATGGTCGGCGGCGGATGCGGATCAGCATTTTGTTGACGGTCGTGGTCGTCGTGGTGACCTGTCAATCCAGGCTCTTCGTTATTCCCATCAGAGTCCGACGAGCAATGATGATGTTGATGATGATGATGATGATGATGATGAGGGTGATGGAGGTGAGCTGTGCCGCCTGCAGCTGTGAATTCGACTGAGGGTGACCCGGTCATTTACCTTGCTTGTACCGTCGGGCGATCTGAACGCCAGTAGTTAGCAGCTATATAATTAGCCGTTTTTCGCTGTTTCGAACGCCCTGCCCTGTTCCTTGGGCCGTTGAGGGGTGTGGTGTCGTCTGCCTGCAAGGCGCAGGTCAACCGGCTCCTGGGCTCCTGTTTTCCTCTGTGCTCCAGTGGACGAGCTGGCAAAGTGGCACGCTGGCAAGGTGGGCCGCCTAGTTTGGCGCGTCTTTCTGCACTGGCAGTGGGGAAGTGGATGGTTCGTTGGCCGCAGATGCAGTGGCGATTGGCCTGGATTATGGTGCCTAAGCGGAAGCAGGGAGCACTGTTGACGGGATGATGCTGTATGGCCGGGCGAACTGTGCGGCCGTTGATCGAGTTACAATTGTTTACGAACCCATTGGAGCGTCCTTTCTTTTGACGTAATGCCGTCGTTCGCCTGGGGTCCGCAGAGAGCGGCTTTGGTGATTGTCGGCTCCTTGTGTTTTGGTACCGCGTTTTGGATGCACCAAACTGTAAGGAGGTTGGACTATTGTTTGTCGTCGTGTCGAACATCGATTTTCCTTCGTTCCTGGCCAGTTGAGGTTGCAAGGGTACGGACCACCCGCGTCGTTGGACAATTGGATCCCGCGGTACCGGGATGACTTGTACTTCGTATGCCTGTGTTACGTCGGAGAGGCGCGTTCTTAGAAATTCCCAGGAGAGTCTGGATCGATGCCCGACGAAGGTTGAATGGGTTAGAAATCCGGAGAAAAGAGCTCATTGGCGGTCGCGAAGTCCTGTACCGGTCCGATGTCCACTGCCACTTCCCTCTAAGTCGAGTCAGATTTGAATTATGGTTTTCATTGGCGAAAGAAGTATCAAAAGGAGAAGTTAAGTGGTCACGTTGGTCAGACACAAATGTCAAGATGAATCCGCAGGCGTCAGAGAATAATATGACCTCACGAGCTGTCCGACCAAGGTAGCAATCATCCAACCAGACTAGTAGGCCATCCCAGCACATTGATTGATTGAAGCCATCCAAATTACCTCGATGTTTGCCGCTTCCCAGCACTTATGACTTTGAGTAGGACCTAATAGCAGCGGTCCTAAACGGTCGCTCGGAGAACACCCTTGACCGTGAATGGAGTAGGTTATCTCACTTTGATGGGGATGTGATTCATCGATCGTGGCTGCTACCTAAGTAATGTGGTCAAGGCTGGCTCAATCCATCGGACCAGCCACCTGGTAAAAGCCGAAGTAATATACGTGAAAGCACGTCAACCTCGCCCAAATCCATATTCTCTACTAGAACTGTTTCTGCATCGAGACTGGAAACACGTTTGTTTGGCGATCTAGATTAAGGTTCTACGACGGGTACCACAAAACAGAAGCCGAAGGGTGCGGGAGTTCTGGAACCGAGGAAGAATCAAACTAGAGGATTCAGAATGTGACGCTGGGAAAGTCAGACCAAAGCTGGCAGACCCATCCGACATACTACGGAGTGCAGGTTGTCCAGATCATTTAATAGCAAATTAGTGTGGAATAAATGCTTAAGTGTTTGTGCGATATAGAGTAACTAAGGCCCAGTTATAGTATTTGTCCTAAACGAAAGGGGCAACTAATTGTACACTGCTCGGAAGTAATGACTGAGAGCATACCTCAACGCACGAAACACCGAGCCTACTCTTTACGTCATTTGCATCTACGGAACAGGTCATCTCGGGGCTTCCCACTTCACACTACGTATACGTTGAAGGCAATTAGCTCGAGAATGGCTAAGTAAGTGGTTGAGCTGAGCACTGTCGACTTTCACCTGACAGATGGAACCTGGGAATTACAATCTGCAGGCAACACCCTGCATTGTACCTGCATTTCATTCGAGCAAGACAATAGTCGTCATGTGATAATGCATATCGCCGTACCGGTCATCCCTGGTGCGGGATAAGATCATACATAAGTACACGCTTCGCAAAGCATGCAAGCTGGCGCCCCCACGCATATCTGATCCGCGGATGTACCTCGACTGCCACCATGGCATGCCACCAGCAGCTAGAATATCATCAGAGATGAAGCGCGAGGGCTGCCAATGTTCAGTCTTTGGGAACCCTGGTAACGCACTATCTGGCAGACTTGCTGGTCATGTTAACTAGGAAACATCTCGCTTATCTGAATAGTGCGTGCCTTGGTCGGAGCTTGCAGCCAGCAGTGTCCGTTCATCTCGACAACACCGAGGATAATGCAGAGCATACTTGGAATCCTATATAATCGTAATTTTACGACATTTGACATATATTTGCGATCCTAGGCGTCAATAATGCGGATACTAGTTGAGATCCTCGGGCTACGTAGTTTCGTACAATGATGTTGAGGCCGTACAACTATGATAGGACAGTCAACTACTAATTTCCCACATTCTTAGGTACGCATCCTAGCATGCTTCCTGTAATAACAGAACATCATGTGGTTGAGTTGGCAAGGTGGTCAGCCCATTTGCTAGATCAAAGTTGAGAATGACGACTGTAGAAATATGAAGGTGTGACGGAAGCGAGCCCTCCGAGTGAATGATCAGCATTTACGCATTGGCCGTTCTTCTTCGTACAGTATGCCGACCTTGCCGTTCTTCCCTGGCTTCTGCCGGAACCTTCGCAGATACATAATCCGTTACGGAACCCGGAGTGGAATATCAAATTTGTGAAGTTGTTACCACGTTGACGTCGTGGCCTTGTAATCACCGACCAACGTTGCACTGGCAGGTCCACGAGTCTGGTCGCGTACTCCACACTTAGGCAGACCCACCCAAGCTATTTAGGCACTAACCAGTAAGCAGGGGTATGGATCCTTGAAAGGGCCTGACATGCAACACGTGCAACGGTGCACACCATAGACATGTGAAGATTCAATAGCGTATCTATGACTGGTTGCGAGATTGCGAATAAATACTTGCCTCGGCGCCGTCCCCACGCCGGGACGTCGCTGTGATTAACTGGTGGGCGGTGGTGGAAAGCAATTATGTGGATTGATCTCGAGTTCATTGCATGCCGGACCGTCGGGCGTTGCCGAAGGTGACGCTAATTGGAATACCATCAAATCTCCAGGTTGCCGGATGGTGGCCCAAACACTTCAAAGCATTGATTCGTTTCGAATGTACCTTCTCGACTTCTCGTTGGATACTCCAGCTTCTGATGTTTACGGCTTCTTTTTCTTTGAGCTCGTCGACGTGCCGATCAAATCGGAAATCGCCAGCATGGGCTTTGGGTGCTAGAAGAGGACGGGCTGGCGAAACATCCGAACAACAGTCGGATTGATCGTGATATCGGCCCTCAAAGTGGTCGGATAATCAATCCCACTGAAGTACTTTCACAACGTGTTTCGACCCCACACATTGAGCATACCACGTTGGAGCACTTGCCAACCCCTGACCGCAGTCGTGTCAGTCTTTTTGTTCGCATCATTGACAAAGTCGCTCTTGTTTGACCCGTTCCAGCTCTCCGTTCTGCGCCCTGTCCTGGACAAAACACTCTCGCTTCTCCATTCAGTATCCAGCGCCCAGGAGCCGATGCCAGAACGCCCACGTTGCTGAGCAATTAAGATTCGGCCCAACGCCCCGCATCGCATTCTTCTTGTAAATACTCCTGGCCTTCGTCGTGCCAATTCTTCATTTCCCGTCTACCGCGACCTGATCGATCTACACACTTTAATCCACCAACTGTTGTCCTCCCGCATAAAATTTCCTTTGATCCGACGTTTTTGATTCTTCTATCGGCCATGGCTGCAACGGCGACCCACGATGAGCCTCCAACCGTCCGCTGCGACTCGCCCTCGCCCAAGAGTACCCCGTCCAAGGCCGTGGGAGGCAGGCAGGGAATGGCCGACCGGTGCCTGTCGACGGGCTCTTCGACTTCTCATGCTTCCAGCACCGATGGCTCTTATCGTGACTCTCTCGGCAGTAGCGCGTATTCGCGTCATTCGTCTGCCAGTTATGGGTCGAGGCGATCGGACATCAGCCTGGGGTCCTCTCTGGGGTCCTCTCGATACTCTACCGGAAGCTTTGCTGATCGACCCTCGATCAAACGACGGGGCTTCTCGAGACCCGAGGGTACATACTTTGCAGCGAGTGCCAAACATAGGGAGAGCGTCTTGAGTTTGGGAAGCATTGCACACCTCCAGTACTACTTCGCTAGAACCGGGTTGTTGGATGGAAAGGGCGCACAGCTTGCCAGAAAGAGAAATCCAAGGGCCACACTCGACTTATCGTCGCTTGACACTGCATCCCTCCTCCTCTCGCCCGTACTTCCCGGCTCCGATGCGGATTCGTCATATGCTTCCATGCGCAGCAGCCCAGACCTCAAACCTCAGCATATCGGAGGCGGGCCCATCACGGAATCACCCGTCGATGACACCGAGGGCTTCTACTCAGACGAGATCTCGGAGCCTGATCTCTCCGTGCTGCCTCCAACCACCAGCACCTACAAGCAACGACAGAGAGCGGTATCGAAACCGCCGACACTCGAGCAGCTGAGGACGAAGCTGACCAGGGCGTTGGACACTGCGTCGGCTGTTTTGCTTGATGCCACACCAGGCGCTCCTGGTACTCCCGGCACCCCCGGCACTCCAGCGAGGCCAGGAACACCACGGAAACCTGCTACACCAACCCCCAACACTCCACGGAGAACGGCAGTGGCAACGTCAATGCAGTCTCCTGCCCGATCACCCAAGACGGGGCCAGGCTGGTTCGAGATTCAAGGCATGCAGATCCTCGATCACATGACGCTAGCCATCCGCGCTGCCAAGGTCTACTACACGTCGCACGAGCACCCCGAACGACTCGACACCATACGGTCGGAAAAGGAGATCCGCTCCGAATTACTATCCGTCATGGAAGTCCTCAAGCACATGGCAACGCGAAACTTTGCCGGAGGCATGCGCGATGATGAGCAGGACGCAATGACTTCTTGGATCCAGGGAATCCGCCAGCTGCTCGCAAGGGAGGATGAGATGGCGGATGCCGATAAGGCAGAGAGGGCAGGCTGGAAATGGCTCAAGGGCGACTGGACTGGCAGGGAAATTGAGCGTGAGCTTGCCTTCCTGGCTGCGATGGACACAGAATCCGACCCGCTACCCGCATATACCCCCGTCGATGAAGCCGCCAAGTTGCCCACGCCATTCCTCGAGAGTTTTCAGAACGGCGTGCGCTTGGTCAAGCTCCACAACGCGGCGGTGCAGAAATATGGTCGCCGCTTCGGCTCCATCGGTACATTCCATACCGACACGCAGAAGCCCTACAGATGCATAGAGAACCTGCGCTACTGGAGCAAGGCAGCGGAGCTGCGATGGGAGGTCATACTTAAGTTTGATGTCTTGGGTGTTGTCTACAACAACAACCCTCAGGTCTGGGTTGACTTCGAGGAGGCGATATGGAAATGGTGCCGGAAAGTGCGTGAAGAAATCACTGCTGAGCTGGTGAACTGAGTAGCACCACCAAATTCTTCGTTCTGCCATTACACACATATATGTAATGCGCTAATGATTTATGCTTCGACTTTTCGGAGAGAGATGGATTCTTCGTTTGTTGAGGACGGACAGACATTATTGCATAGTTTCATACGATGCTCGGCTCGGCTCGGCATGAAACATTAATGATACACTTTATAAGAGAAAGCAAGAAAGAAAGGAGGAAGGAGGAAAGTCATCCAGGACGGTCCTGAGAGGAGAGGAAGGTGCTTATTCAGCACTCACTAGAGTTTTACACCCATATACCCCCATTTCCCCAACCAGCATAGTATCGAGTTTGTAGTAGCTACTCTATTTTTCCTGCAAAGGGAGTAACACCTGTTGAAGGACGATCACACAATGCATTTTGTTCGAGATTATAAGAACGTACGATGTTTGGTAGCCGACTGTTGTGATACGTTGTGCAGGCAGCCACCAAACGTGGTACGCGCCCCTTAGTGATACGTTGCATAGCTGTATTAAATATCGCCTGAGCATTTTTGACTAAATTTTGAGTATGATTACGCGAAATCCGCTGTTCCATACTTACCGAGTGCCTAGAGCCCAAAGATTCTGACAAATGTGATTGAGTGGGAAAATTATGAGATTGAATCCACACATCTCCTGGTTGCCACTATCTACATTACACCCAGCTTTTCTCGTCTGCCCACATCTGCCCACATCTGCTCATATTTATGTCTCCTGTATTTCATAAGTAACTCGGTCTAGGCTTCGACAAGGCTTACATCTCAGTACGCTTTGGCGCGTGATGGGTCCATGTGGTGTAAATACTCAACCACAAACTGATGCAAATTCGGAGTATAACAGCCACTGGGTTGTGTGTATATTAACACCGCCCTGAGATCATGTATGTATGTATGCATGTAACTTATGTAGCCAGCCTCAAGACTACAATTCAAGCAACCAAACCCGCGACGCCAAATTCTCTTCCCAGGGCGCCTTATTGTCATGTCTGTGTCTGTCTGCATGCTCGCACTGGATGGAAATCTCGATGTCAAGCTCTCTCAGGGGTGCGTGCCACGAAAATCGAAGGAAGACAAAAAAAAAGAAGAAAAAAAACGCCGCCAGCCATGCGACGCCACGCCATGCAAGATACAAAGCTCGCTCCACCGTCATCAATATTCGTAGTATAGTTCCTATCGCAAGAAAAGTCACAACCACGGTCACCGCGGCATCAAACCAATCCCTCCGCCGCCGCCGCCGCCATTTCTACCGCTTCCTCCCCTGGTAAATCCACTCGAAGACCTCTTGCTCGGCGCCTTCTTATTAGCAACTCCAGCATTACTCTTACCCCTGCCGCCGAAACTCCCTGAACCCTTGCGGGCGAAAGACCGCTTCGCTCCGCGGCTAAAGCTCTTGCCTCCGCGAAATGTGGACGTGGATGTAGAGTTGGGGCGTGCGCGTGACGAGGATGGTGACTTGGGGGCATTGGCCAGTCTCTCCAGATTGGCGTTCCATGCTTGCACATCGGGTGGAGTAGCCGGAGTCGGGCCCGAGAAATACTTGGAGTCTTGTCCGTTGTCCTCTTCTAACTCTACATCGTATATATCCTCGTCCTCATCAGTCGATACAAGATCGACTACACTCACATCACCAGTATCCACTGCTACCCTACGCCTCCCAACTGAAGGCATGATCTCCTGATACCGGGCATGAAAATGCTGAATCAGGGGAATGAATTTATGGCCATGGCGTCTGACTTTGTCCTGGTTTATGCCAGGGATATTCATCATTTCGTCCAGGCTAAGTGTCCACTGGATAGCCATAGCACGGTAGTTTTGAATATTAAAGATTGCCTGCCGTAGCGACAGGGAATTTTTGATTGCCTCTCCCTTCTTCTGGGCTTCTTCAACGAAGGCAGTGATTATATCCTTGTGAATCTCATCCAACGCGGCCAGTTCGTCGTTCTGCGGTTTGGGAAAAGCTATTCGTGTTTGCTCTTGTCGCCGCCGCCGTGGAGGCGGCATCGCCTCGAACTCATCATCGACTTCATCGTCGGCGACCACAAAGTCGTCTTTCGCGTATCCGTTATCATGTCTGTCGTAATTATCCTCGTCACTTTCTTCATCGTCATAGTTCGCAACAGCTTTGCCCTTGCGCTTTTTAGTGGTGGCTCGAACTGGCGACGACACGTTTGTCGATGGCGGAAGCCTCGAAGAATCCAGCTTCTTCTGGGCTGTCGATTTTGGCGTCTTTGGCTTCACCTTTGAGGAGCTGCCATCTTGACCCCCACTACTCTTAGTTTGGGTTGTCAATTCCAGCCGCTTGCGTCCCGACAAATATTGTTGGGCATTGCGTCCAAGCTATGAACAGCCTAGTCAGTACGCAAGAAAATGGCGACTCAGACAATCGTGACTTACGTTGAAATATTGGATTGCAATTCCAACCTTGCGATTGACCACATTTTCTTCGCCCAGGGCCCCTTCGATAGCCAGTCGGTCGATGACTCGATGGATTTCATGTTTCGGTGTCCCCTTTGCAGCCCCAGAGTACCGCTCAATCCCGGAGCCATAAGTTTCAGTGTGCCTTTTCTTGCTGAGGCCCATCAAAATTTCGGCGCATTGGTTGAGCGTAAGCTGTCCTACATCTTGAATAAGTTGCAATGCGGCCACAGCAATGTTGGTAAAATCCTTCAACACAAAGGTTACATCCCTCTTGCAGTTGTCGCAAGTCTTCGCGCATTGGGCTTTCGTGAAAGGCTCACCAAAGTATCGCAAGATCTCAACACGCCTACATTCGCTTTGATTATCGGCATAGGCCGTCACGGCATTAAGCATGTTCCTCTGGCGTTCCTTCTGTTGTTCATTTCCTTCTCCATCGGATATCATCTTGCGAAGTTGCGTCACATCACCAAAGCCGAAATACAAATAGCAGGTAGATGGCTTGCCGTCTCGCCCGGCGCGCCCTGTCTCCTGATAATACCCCTCGAGACTTTTTGGCAGCGATTGATGGATAACGAAACGGACGTCGGGCTTGTCGATGCCCATTCCGAATGCAATGGTCGCTACGACGACTTTGATATTGCCTTTCTGCCACTCCTTCTGCACTTGGGCCTTTTTTTCTACGTCGATGGAAGCGTGGTAATGGTCTGCAACAATGTGATGTTCGCGGAGCTTCTTGGCAATGTTCTCCGCGGACTTGCGAGAGAGTGTGTACACAATCCCAGTTTGGCCTTGATATTTGCTCTTGATTAGGGCAGCAATTGTACCAATATTGTCTTTTTCCTTTCTCAGGACTTCGTAAAAGAGGTTGGGTCGGTTGAAGCTCTGCGAGAATACCTTACACTGGCCAATCCCCAGATTATGTTTGATATCAACAATAACATTCTGGGTCGCTGTTGCTGTAAGAGCCATGATAGGAACTTGTGGAAAGTCCCGTCGAAATGAACCCAGCTCTTTGTAATCGGGCCGAAAATCGTGCCCCCATTGGCTAACACAATGTGCCTCATCAATCACGAGACGAGCGAGCTTCTTGTTGCGATGAAGGGCAACCAGGCTATTCCGAAAGGCGGCGCTATTGCGAATCATCTCAGGCGTGACGTAAAGGAGCTGGATCCAATTCTCCGGGTGGGGATTCCTCAGCGTTCTCAAGACCTCTTGCCGATATTCGGGTTTGCTTTCGCCGTTGAAAGACATTGCTTGAATATGGAGGGCTTTTAAATGATCCACTTGATCTTGCATCAGGCTGAGGAGAGGAGAGACAACGATGGTGACCCCATCGGTCTTTCCGCTGGTAATGACGGCGGGTAGTTGGTAGCAGAGAGACTTTCCACCACCCGTGGGCATCAGAATGAAAGCGTCCTTTCCATCGAGCGTGGCATTAATCGCCTCCAACTGATTGTGTCTGAAGCCCGCCATTCGGAATCTGTCTTTGAGTGCCTTCTTGACTTCAGGCCACCAGGGAAACTTGGTCAGTTCCGGAGATATCTGAGATCTCCAGGATGAACTCGCGGCTCTCTTCACTGCGGTTTTCTGTTTGGTAGGCCCGTAGTTCCCATACGTCTCCGAGAAAACAGAGTGGGATGGCCTATGCGACGTTCTCTCCGAGCTTTGACCCAACTCAATATTTTGGGCGATTTCGAGCATATCGATGTCTTCACCATAATCGCTGCCACTTATATAGCCTTCGTTTCGCTTTGATTGCGCTTTGTGAGGACTTTTGCGGCGCTGAGCACTCTCCAGATTCGCCTTGGGCTGATGTAATGATTGCCAGGTATTTGGAGAATGCATTTCGTCGAAATAATCCTGGTCATCGTCAAACAGATCGTCGCCGTCTTCATCCTCTGCAAACGCCTGTTGGTGTTGGCCATCATTCCTTGGGGGGAAAGAGGTCTCTCGGTGAAAGATCGTACGAGAGACTGAAAAAGCAGACTGCTGCCTTTGCCCGCCCGCTGACCTTGAAAATGGCCGTTCCCCTGCTCTCTGATGATTCGACATTGCCAAATGGTTTGTTTGTCGCGGTACTTGGGTTTGCATGATAACGTCCGTGTTCCGATCAGATGGCATACCATACTCACTAACCCGGGCAGATTGAGGGGTATCGCGTGAAACTTGCGTGGCTTGGACAACCCGTTGTGGTCGGTCACTGGATGAAAGCCCATGATCTTGGAACAAGCCAATGTCATTGATTCCAGCCTTCAATAGCGAATCGAGAAGAGATGCTTCCTGTTTCGATATTTGTTTGGTCAACTCGAGTAATTTCGATTCGCTCCCCTCGGTATCAAGATCTCGATCGTAGGCGTCCATGATCTGTGCTACTAGGGACTCCTTTTCAGCAATGAGGTCTCGGTAAGACTGATGCTCATTCGCGAGAGCGTCCAATGCCGTTTGTTGCCGCGTCAGCTGTTCTTTTTCTCGCCTCAGCTGAGTACCTTGCTCGATCTCTCCGCTGTTCACCGCTGCCCGGAAAGCTTCTCGGTTCTGTTGAAGCTTCTCATCGAGCAAACCACGTTTCCTCCGCGCGACTGACGGTTTGGCAATGAAGAACTTCAGAATAGCAGCCTTCACGTCGTCGCTAAGTACGGGCATGATTTGACTGGAAACCAGAGATTGAGAGCTTTTGGAAGTAGTGTCATCTTGACCATGGCTCTTTTCAACCCCTACAGTTTTCTGGCCGAGGCCCCGCCTTGGAGGCGAAACATCTGCTTCTGGCTCTCTTTTCAGGGCGGGCCGGCCAGGCTTAGACGGTATAATTGAGACGTTGGGACGGGAAATGTTGTCAGGTGAACGGCTACATTTTGATTCTTCCCGGCATTTCTCGTCACTGGCCGAATGAATAGTCACGACTGATACATGGTGTGACGGGGGAGTCGCCCATTCATCCTCAGAATCCTGGATCACTCGACTATCGCGCCGAGGTAATTGTGAGGGTGGCGGGTTCGATTCAAAGGGGCTTCCAAGGTTGTCTTCCAGATCTGATTCCACCTTGCGCGGAGTTTCTCTGACCTTGTCAGCAACCAGTGAGTCGTCCGAGGACGCCCGTTTCAACGGCGTCGTGCCTTTGGCTGGCGAGCACATCGCATTTGTCGACTGTTCATGGGGCTCTGTTTTCGAGCTCCGAGGTTGTTCAGGCTGCCCGTTCGTTGTCCTACTACCCTCGAAACTATCCAAAGCCGTCTCGCGTCGACGCTCAGGTGTCCTCGGCGTGAGTTTCTTAGAACGCTTCATATTATGGACAACAGATTGATGCAATACACTGTCATCCAATATATCATCGATGTTGGGGAACTCCTCATCGGAATCATCAGTGGATGGCGTCGTACGTCGGCTGATCTCACTGCTTTTGCGTTTCTTTCCCCGCCGCTCCGGAGGTGGCTCAGGGCGCGTAGCACAGTCTTCTGCCCACAGCCGGACATCATCGTCAAACTCGAATTGCCCCGAGTCTGAAGAGGTGAATTCGTCCGCCCCCGTTAAGTCGACTGTTTCTAGTTCGGCTTCATTGAATATTGGAGGGGCAGGAGTAACAACTGGTGTCTGCGGTTTCATTTCGGGCTTTCTTTGTGGCGATACATTCCTACTTGTTGTGTTCACTGATTCTTTAGTCCCAGGTTCCAGATGAAAGGCCTCAGCTCGAGGGTTGGAGGGATGCACACCTGGATTCCTCAAGGAAGCGGAGTAGGCTCTCTGCAGTGGCCCAGCACCAGTAGTTGAAGCCGGTGTAAGCAGCTGTTCCTGTTGCACAACAAGAGTCCGTTTTCTGGATGCCGAGTTTTGGACCAGTCGGCCCATGTTTGCCTGAGATTCTGCTATACCGTCCTCATCCAGTCCCTCCCGCGCCTGCCTAGTCGGTGTCCTCGAATCATTGGTTGCGGTGGATCGCAAAGACCGAACGGCAGCGTGGGGTACGGAGAAGGAACTTTCAGATCGACCGGTCGTGCGAGCAGTGGTTCCCAAGGTTGGGTGTGATGTTGATGGAGGAAATGCGTTGGCACCGAGCGTCGACAACTCGCCAGGCAGATCGCGAGCGTCGGGGAGCAAAGGCGCGTTCGGCGCAGATAGAGCAACGTTGGCCAACAACCAAGTCAAATGATCGCGGAGATTATTCCGAGTCATGGAGCCGTCGTTAAACTTGAATGCCCCAGAAGCTCCATGAGCATCGACTAGAGATTCGCATGGGAATAGGCGGCAACACAGAAATTCGAACTGATATTCTCGTGTTTTTCGCCCGCCATCAGAAGCTACACGCGCCAAAGCCCCACTGAAAACTAGCTCGCGTCACCTAGCCAGGACAACACCACAGCACGTGACGGCTAGCTTAAAGGTACCTCTTATTAATGGCGAAGGAGCACATTGTTATTGCCCTTACGAATTTGATATCGCCAACATTACCACTCGTCCGTCCCTCTTTGTCGCTAACAGCTCATTTTTACAATACCAAGTACATGTACAAGAGTTCCGACACTATTGGGGGAGGGGGCTTTTTGCGTCTTCGATCTCCTACGTCATCTCATTCGTACCATCAGCTCATCATGCCAATTCCCACGCGAGAGCACATCTAGGGGAACTGTGTTGTTGCTCGGTCATGGCAGGGTCGTGGAGTTTATTTTGAATCAACATGTTTTGTCTCATTAGAAGTTCGAAGGTCCGATGGCAGACAACCAGTGTTGCCTTAAGTTTCTGTTCTGAGAATATACAGTGAGCTTCTCAGGTCTTCACAAGATCTACTTGGGCATGGACATTGAAGGGAAGTGAGTCTCTTGTCTCTATCTAAGGGTGAGCATCATGATGGCGGGTGGATCCGTCACTCAACCTCGGATCACGGCCTTTTTCAACGTGATCTTCCTTTGGCTTTTCCGCACCATTGAAAAGATACATCACGGTGACTAAGAGCTTTCCCCCTGCAGAAACGAAGATGGCGACCGCAGACCCAGCAGTCCTGTATATTGCAGCCCCGAGAAGACAGCCAAGCACAAGGGCGAGGAGGAAGCTAACTCGTCTATTCCGTGGCCGGTTCTTGAGCGTAAACATATTCGGGTCGATGACAAGATCCACCCAAGCCGCCGTCGCCATCGCTGTGCTAATCTCCGTCATAGCAAGTGATCGAGACTGTACCACCTGACTACCCGATGCAAACGCCAGTAAAGCGAGCACCACAAGAGCGGAAGGGCCCTCTAGCTGAGTACCATATCGATACTGTACAGCGGCGGCAGCGAAGACGAGACACGTTTGGAAGGCGTTGCAGAGAAACAGCCAGAATCGGCGCCGTCGCCCAATGATATGGCTCAGTTGGCCCGTTAGCCAGCCGGCCGCGAGGAAGGCGCCGAGGGCGGCGCCGATGTAGGCGGTTATGAACATGTTGTCGTTGGACTGGGGCAGCACGATGGCGAGCATGAGGAAGATGGTGTTGCCGGTTTGGTTCGACGCGAAGCAATGGTAGTCGGGGAAGGAGACGGCGTCTTGGATGCCGGTGCAACTATGGGGTCCCAAGTTCAGTGTCGATCTGGGAGAAAAGCGACTTGGTCGATCATGCCCGGGTTGAGGGGATATGTTGGCAAAATGACGACCACGAAAAATACATACAAGGTGAGAATGAGGAGTTCTATTTCGGCAAATAGCGAAGGACGAACATCTTCAAGCATATGAGACTTGGCTCTGGAGACGAAGGACGGACGTGGTGGCGAATGGCATCTTGGTGATTCAACAGAGATCACCTTGCCTGATGTGTTGCAGTCTTGAGGATCTGGGGCCATTGCCGTGAAGTCTATGGCAGAATACAATAGTTGTTACTCAAGAAGGGTGTGAAGTGGAAGGATTAAGTTGAGTTACGAATCACCCAAGGGAGCAAGACTCAATATTGATGGGAAGCAGTGTCATAATAAAGACTTGTCCCTCGTAAGGAGATGAGGGAAATTTTACAACTACATTTGCACACCGGCTTCATGACGTCCGACTGGGCTGTCGGCAACGGCTCTCTCAAAACATCGCCTCTGAAGCAGACGGAGCCAGTAAGTGATAAGTCGTGCTTCGCTATTCCAGGAAATCGATAGAGCCGTTGGCGGCCAATGTGACCCCTCCGACACCCGGCCTACCCAAGTCAGCCATAACTGAACGCGCTATTCAACGGCGGAACTCGGGCTCTCGAATTTCTGCTCGCGGCTCAAAATCTTGGCACAACGGTCATTATTTGTCTGCGTAGCACAAGTAGCGAGCCATTCTCTAACTTAGTCAGACTTCTTTCTCACCAGTCCCAAAAAGAGTTTAGGCATGATTTGACTCGACCCAAGAGTTAGGCCGCTGGAAATGATCGGAACATGTACCGGCCTAGTCAACCTTAAAAGCCGCCGTCCGATCAGAGTTGCTAGTTCATTTTGACCTATAATTGTGGAACAGCTCTGTGTGTTCTGCAGGGGAAAAATTTTCCATTCCAGTCTAGACATCACAGCTACGTAATTCTGTTATTGAGACAGGTGGAAACGGCTCTCGCAGATTCTGCTCTGTGGAGGTACCCCGGCGTTGGCGTAGTGACTTGAAACGGCGAGCGGCGCGGACCGACTACCGTAGGGAATACGACCGAGTTCCGGATGACCCATTCCCCGACTCAGGTTAGATTGAACATGATGTGAAGACCCGAGCAGCCTGACCTAGGGAATGATCGCAGAATACGCTGAAAGGGAAAACAGCATACACGATCGAGTTTCTCTAGTTCCGGTTCATAGAGACGCACCATCACATATTTCCTTCCCCATTTTTTCAACTTTGAATTTCCCAACATTCCTTCATCGGACTAGGTCACCGGGATTTGCTGGGGCGCATCGCAGACTGGCTGGCAGATCGGACGGCAACAACGACCAGTGGATACGGTGATCACTCGGGCTTGCCTTTGATTAAGCGCTGTGACTATGTTAAAGCAGATTAGTACGTACATATTGGGGCCATTGATTCGGATGACTTGCCAGCAACTATTTATAGATGATATCTTAGAACGCTCTCGACTGTCCTTGCCACTAATAACTCTCAGAGTAGCGAAGGCGATTCTCTATAACGACGATAACGATCTCCGGGCTGTATTTTAAGCAAATGACCAGTCATCCAACTGTTGAGTCCAAGTTCCCCTTATCTGGACATGGGCGAAGACGAGGAATAACAACGTCATGTAAGCTAGAAACCAACTGGGCCCAGCATATTGAACAATACTTGCGCCTACACTCTATGCTCGAAGTATGAGACCGAACAAGATCACCCCATGTTATTGGTGACTCGATGTTCTTAAAGTTGCTTCGGATGGAACTTGGTCTGTCGCCCCCTGCAACCTATATGGCAAGAGACTCTACGAGCTTCGAGGCACCCTTAACAACACCTGACGTAGACATGGCAGAGAAGCATCTCAAAGAGTCGATATCTGATTGCTTTGGGTTGGAACTACCATCAGGTTTTCTCCTTTGGAAGCCATCTTTGAAATGAAGAAAAAGGCCTCAAGGTTTGGGGCGGCATTTCGCTTCTTATCAGCCCTGAAGTCGATACACAACACTCGGGCCACGTTTCTGTAGCCTTTTCTCAAATCGAGGCTTCCCCTCCTTGCTCTCGGCTGGAAATGCTCTTCGCATACCTTGTCACCGCCAGCCAATGGGCCGTTGGAGTGTATGCCAATAACGGCAACCTTCCGGCTTTTCCATCCCCACGATTCGCCAGAGCTAACTCAACCGAGTTGAGACCAAAAGTTGGGCGAGTCCCCTACGGCGTCGAGATTGAAGAATGCACATCGAAGGGCAAGGTTGCACTCACGTTCGACGATGGCCCTGCGGAGTTTACAAACGACCTGCTAGACACCCTCAAGGAGAACGGCGTGATGGCGACCTTCTTCATCACGGGTGCCAACGGCGACAACGGCGAGATCCAAGACCACTGGGGCGATGTGATCCAGAGAATGCATAAAGACTGGCATCACATCGCCAGCCACGGATGGAGTCATCGGGACATGGACGGCTTATCGTCCGACGAGCGGGAGGAGGAAGTGTTCGAGAACGAAAAGGCACTAGCTGAGATCCTGGGCTCCTTTCCGACTTACTTCCGACCTCCGTACGGGACTTGTGCCTCGGAGTGCCTCCATGACTTGGGAAGACTTGGGTATCATGTGGTGAGTCGTCCGAGGTACTTGGTTTGCTCGAACGATCGTCGAGGAAGAAGCTCATACTGGGCCACAGGTCATGTGGAATCTCGACACGGAGGACTGGAAGGGCGACTATGACCACGCGCGCAGCTTTTATGAAACATGCCTCGGCGAAGAGGGCCCCGATTCAAAGTCGTGGATTAGTCTTGCCCATGATCCGCAGCCGGAGACCGTGAAAAGCTTCGCGCAGTATATGATCGACGTCGCTAACAAGTACGGGTACGAGCTGGTCACATTAGGCGAGTGTCTGGAAGACCCGAGGCACAACTGGTACCGAAATTCGTCGTACGTCGAAGCTCAACATTGACGGGCTTCGGTTCCATCAACAAGGGGTCCCGTCGGTTGAGGCTCATGCTTCAACGTGAAGACTCGCTGTCTTGTCTTAATTTCTGATGCCAACATCTCGTGGAGAATTTCGGAGCAGCCGTGGGCACAAGGTGCATATGCCGAACTGTCTATTGAAGCGCACTTCCGTAAAGTCATGCGTAGATTCATCCGTTTGGGTTGGGTCCATTGGTCTGTTAGAGTTAGTATAGCCGCCGTTAGGCCTGATTGGATACGAACTTGTGTTATTACCTTGCTTTGTTTACACTAGTTAGATATATATACATAGATATATTATATCCCATACTTCTTTAGGCCCCGTTCTCTTCTCCCTCGGGCATCATCAATAAGCTCGCGTACTAAATCTGCTGGTACAACTACTTCTTGAGCTGATTCAGGTAAGCCTGAGTTTCCCATAGTTTCCCATATTTTCCCATACTCGTCCAACTTGAGCAAATCCGAACCGTTAGAGAGCTAAGTGAGACACAGTATGATGGAGGCTCTTAGGACAGAATAGACACTTCCCAGGCTAGAGGTCTGCGAGAATCGGCCCACTCGCGAGTTTTACTGGGCTGTTACTGTCGCCCTTTTATTATGGTACGGGTCGGTTGTTATAGTGTGGGCCGCTGACACTTACGTGTACATGGTCGCAAGTATGTGAATCGAAGGGCCTCGGTCCAAGGAAGACGACAATGACTACCGACCAATGCCTACCAGACTACCGAAGGCTCCCTCTTGACCTGGTATGCGCCCGGCATCCTCCAGAACTGGACCGATGCCATTGCCCACATCATCGCGTCGCGCAGTCTCCAGCGGGTTGGGGCTGAAGGGAACCGAGGGACCGCCACAAGAGGCGGCGAGGGCACGCACTACACGTACTCCATTCTCGCCAAGGTGGACGACGGGGTCACGACGCAATCCATCAACGATCCAAATGGCTCTTCAAGGTCTACCCTATAGTTCAGGTGGGGCATAAAGCCACAGCATCACCATCTAGGCCACGGCCATGAGCTCAGCTACCTCTACCGCAGCACATTCGTGCGTTGATAATGCGGTTCAGTGACCTATCAATCGTGCTTCGGAATCGAGCCAAGAGTGGACCTCGTTGATGAGTGGGGTAGCTGCAAAATGGCCCTCCAGGTCAACCTAAGCAAAGGCAAGGGCAACAGTGGCGAATATGGTGCCTGCTGCGGCTACTAGTTGGACCCGGTCGGAACGTCTGGTTTCGCGTTGGCCTCCCGACTTGACAAAGGAGGAAAGCTTCAACTTGCTTCCGTGATTGCTTTGATGGCGCGCTCGGTAAGTGACCTGGCGGTTAGGGTGGATGGTGATTCTGCGTGGTGATAGTAGTCTGGATAGAGGCGATCAAGCATCATAATGGCAATATGCAGAAGCGCACCATGGATTGCCAGCTGGAAAGCACCGAGACTGTGGTGCAATGAGGCGAGCCTGTGTTGCGAGCAGTCTCTGCATGCATGTGCAGCTTTCTTTCACAGTCCCTTCAGAGCGGGGAGCCAATAACAACAAAGGCAATTCATATTCTCGGCCGATCTCTGAGGATTCGGATGGAGTGCGTGGGGGCGATGCTAGTCCCTGTCATCCCTGCTTTGAGGCTGGATTTTCAATATAATGTGGGTTTCCTGTTTGTCGTTCTTGCGAATAAATAGTCAGGTGTAAACGGAACAGAATTTCAGCCTCATCTCTAGAGCCTCAGCCAGTCATAGTTTACTAGTCAGCCATTGTTGGATAGAGATGTTTGGTTTCCGGTACTTAGGGAATGTGGTCTTACCTAAGGTGGCCTAGTCTAGTTTAAGATGCTATCCTGGCTGAATGATGATGGCTCTGGCTGATGCCACCCATCGACGGAAGAGACGTCATCAGTCATTTTAACAACGGCATATCCCCTGACGTTCTGCCCTTTCTCCCGCGAAGATCAACATGGCTGCTGAGCGCCAGGGAGCCAGGCCAACGACAGCTCTTGTCCTTATCTTTGACGGGGTAGGGCTGCAACCATCGTCTGAACGAGGTTCGAGATAAGAGATTCAGTACGATGTCGTCACCCAAGGCTTCCTACTGAACGAAGACTCTACCCGAATCCGCAATGGTATGATTGGATGGCGCCCTAATAGGACTAGGATTCAGGTGCTTATTTTATGCGTGGGTGTCTTGAGTGGACACGGCAGTCTCCGTTTTCACTATCAGGCGGCAACTCGGATTTTTTGCCAACTTGGGAGTTTATTCAAACTGCTTGAATAATTTCTTGGATAATTTGGCGAGTACTACAACTGCTCTTTCAAGACAACAACGCTTCACCCCTGATTGCATTATCGGTGTGACACCGGGCACTTAGGAACGGAAAGAAAGCCTGATTTGGAAGTCTTCACTGCGTACAAATGGGCTATTCTGCATTATTTGGAAATCCAATCTCTGTCCATCATAGTAGGAGCCTGTCATCGAGCTTGATCGAGCGTCTTCGGCGCCGCTTGCCCACAAGACGCTAGGCACGCCCTTCACAGCTGAGTCCGGCTTTTCAGGGACCGTCGCCATCGTTGTCACTTAGCCTCGGCTCTGACCCTATCCGTCAAAGACTTAAGTTCGTCAACGGATGACTTGGCAGCAGACGCTGTAAAGCGTTTCCGTTCGCGTGGTTTTGCAGTTTCTCCAGTGTATATCCTGTCAGGGATCCCCACAGGGCCTACCTGCGAAAAGTATGAGTCCAGTTTAGTGTGCTAGAGCCGATACGTCTGGCCAACTCCGAGGCGTCTGTCCGGAGATGCGCATTTTCTGCATGGCGATGGATCGCTGATTTGGCAGTGCACCAAGAGCCGGCAAGGGTCACTCATGTAAGAAGACGACGATATCCTGCATATGTCTCAATTCCAAAATCTGCCTCGGAGAATCCTTGAATGAATCAACCTTCTGGTCTCTGTCTTGATAATACACCAGTTTCAAGATGTTGAAATTCTCCCACCTTTACCACTCTCCGGAGATCAACCCGATCAGCCGGAAAGCTCGATCCATCCCGTTCCTCAACCCCGTCAACGTCTATGGCCGTGTATTTTTCTTCTCCTGGTTTGGGTTCATGGTCGCCTTCTGGGCGTGGTACGCGTTTCCTCCACTCGTAAGATCCCATATCAACAACTCAGCGACTATGGGTTCCGACTAATCCTGTTTGTAGTTGACGCACACTATCAAGGCTAACCTTCATCTCACCCCGGCCGAAGTTGCAAACTCGAATATTGTGTCCTTGGTGGCGACGTATGTATACACAACACCTCGATCAAGTCTGACTTGAAGCCAACAATGAGTAGTCTGTTTATTCGTGTCCTCGCCGGTCCGCTCTGCGATATGTTTGGACCACGACTTGTGTTCGGCGGATTACTTCTTGTCGGCTCCATCCCACTTGGCCTCGCACCCCTTGTCCACAACGCATCCGGACTGTACGTTAGTCGTTTCTTCATCGGCATTCTAGGTGGCTCCTTCGTCCCTTGCCAAGTCTGGTCCACCGGTTTCTTCGATAAGAACGTTGTTGGTACCGCGAATGCCTTGACGGGTGGATGGGGAAACGCCGGTGGAGGCATCACATACTTCATCATGCCCGCCGTCTTCGACTCATTCGTTGCTCGTGGCTACAACACCGGAACTTCTTGGCGCATAGCTTTCATCGTCCCCTTGGTCGTGGTCATTGTTACTGGTGTTAGTCTTATCGTTTTCTGTCCCGATACACCGACGGGCAAGTGGTCTGGGCGACACTTGCACGCTATCGAGAACCTTCACAGACATGAAGTCGACAACAGTGGTGTGTTGATGGACATCCCCGATAGCGTTGCGGACAAGGTCAGCTCCCACGGCACCATACCATCCTACGAACACGAACAGGAGAAGAAGCCTAAGCCCGAGCACGAGGCCGTTCTCTCGAAAGATGAGATGCTCCAGACTGCCAACGGTGAGGTGGTGGCCAAGCCGTCGTTTGGTGAGGCCTTGAAGGTCTTCGTATGTCCCCAGACCTTCTTCCACATGGTGACTTATTTCTGCTCCTTCGGCGCAGAGTTGGCCATCAACTCGATTCTCAGCGCCTACTATGTCAAGAACTTCCCTGCCCTCGGTCAGACCAACGCGTCCACTTGGGCCGCTATGTTCGGTTTCCTTAACTTCGTTACTCGACCACTCGGGGGCGTCATCGGCGACATCGTCTACAGAATGACCAGCCGCAATGTCTGGGCCAAGAAGATCTGGATCGTTCTCTGCGGCTGCATCACTGGCGTCATGCTCATCATCATCGGCAAGGTCAACCCTCATAGCCAGAGCACCATGTTCGGCCTGATCGCCCTCATGGCCGTTTTCCTCGAGGCTGGCAATGGCGCTAACTTCGCCCTCGTTCCTCACGTCCACCCGCATGCCAATGGCATCATTTCCGGCTGCATCGGTGCCGTCGGAAATTTAGGCGGTGTCGTCTTCGCCGTTATCTTCCGATTTACGGACGCGGGCACGAATTACGCCAAGGCTTTCTGGATTATTGGAATTATTCACGTTGCTATGAACTTGGTTCTCTCCTGGGTTCCTCCGTTGCCCAAGGGCCAGATTGGCGGTCATTAGATCACACGCCACCTAAATTAGATAAATAAATGGAATTGTTTGTTAAGAGCAAGCGGGTGGTGTGTGGGTATATTTATGGCAGACTCTTCTGATTGGATTATACAGGGTATGAGAAATGACATATCAATAACAGGGCGATGTGATATCCAGGAAAGCCTTGGGCAGGAGAGGCTTATAGATGGAATGTCTGCCGAATTGTTACTTGGAACGCGGTAATACAATCAAATTTTATCCAATCTATCGCATGCCTTCCATGCCAGATTTGACCCTGGAGTGATAAAATCTAGATTTTGAAGCTTTCCGAACTCTGGCCCCGATTCGCGCAGCTACAGTCTTGACTCACGCGATGGAGCAATTGGGATCGCTAAGACTGATCGACGATAGATGCACTTCCAAGACCGTAGACGGTCTATCGATCAAGAATATATGTCTAAAAGCCACTTGAAACCATATCTACTGTCTACCACCATCGGAGCTTTGACATGTAACCGGATAGCTCCCGCATCTTACCCGTCCATCCTGCAGGTACAGATAAACCTTCCGGCACGATGGCACCAAGCTTAAGTTGAGTAGTTGAGCTGTCACAAGCCGTCACGGCGATAAGACAGGCACGTGCAGCCTTTCAAGTTCCTCGCATCGTCGATCATGTCCTGGTAGGGAGAGAGGTATTGCCAAGTCTTGCCAAACTCGAGATATCTTCCCTGGACTTTTCTGGGGGCTTACCACTCTTTCCCCGTTGGTGGACAATGGAAGAAACGAGTTGGCTTTCTTCGGTTTTCGATGTTGTCATATCATTGTCTTGTTGGTTAAAAGGGTATGCCGCAGGTTCAACTCAAACAAGTTCTGCGGACTCTGGGTGAGCCAGGCAGCTTTACATAAGAGAGCGGCTATAACGACGACTCGTATTAGTGAGTTCTGCTAGTAGTATGTTAACCTGTAGGCTCTCTATTTATAAGCCGGGTTATTTACCCCTTTAGGTATGTGATTAGACTGAGATAGCAATACCTCCGTAGTACTATTCTAGCACTAAAGGGAGCTAAAAGCTGAACTAAATTGTACGATTAACTAAGTCGGATTGCCCCTTTAACGGTGTAGGATGCTCTAGACACGTAGAAGGCCCTAGAAAAAACGTAGTATCTGTCACGACCTGGGTTGCATCGCATTGGTATAGACCTCGATTAGGTGCTATCGACGAAGATTCTACTCTAAGGAGCGAAGGAAAGAAGATGACAACTTAGGTTTGAGGGAGCGCGACTAAGTCATCCACGCTTGGCGGGGCTCCTACAAGGGTTATGATTGGCTTCCCATCTCACACTGCCACGGCAGGTGTTCCAGCTGTAAGTCACCTGGTTGTAGTGAGTCTGCGAGGGTTGACCGTCACAGATCGCACTGATACTGGCATTCCGGCTACATACGAAGGTGAAGAAGGGAAGTACAGGTGGGGGGTCCTGTCACGACCTGGGTTGCATCGCATTGGTAGAGACCTCGATTAGGTGCTATCGACGAAGATTCTACTCTCAGGAGCGAAGGAAAGAAGATCGCAACTTAGGTTTGAGGGAGCGCGACTAAGTCATCCACGCTTGGCGGGGCTCCTACAAGGGTTATGATTGGCTTCCCATCTGACACTGCCATGGCAGGTGTTCCAGCTGTAAGTCACCTGGTTGTAGTGAGTCTGCGAGGGTTGACCTTCACAGGTCCAAGCCGCACAAAGGCACTCAAGTATCTCGCGTGTATCTCACGTGACCTTAGGCCACTAATTCCACAAATAATAGGTAGGTCTACTTAAGTACAGTAGTAAGTTACCGAAATATAACTTTCGGGGTAGTTTGCTAGGTAAGTGTCTTGAATTATCAGCTTACTGTGGAATTGGTGGCCTAAGGTCACGTGGAATACGGGCAAGATACTTGAAGTGCCTTTGTGCGGCTTGGAATCCCCACCTGTACTTCCCTTCTTCACCTTCGTATGTAGCCGGAATGCCAGTACCAGTGCGATCCCACACTTACAAGGTAATACGTTACGCATCCACCACTTCGCAATCCCCAGACCACCGACCGACTCCGCCGGGACGGCCCGGATTTGAAGTCAGCTACGGATCTGGCTTCCAACGGGGAAGTGCATGCTTCTGCATATCTCATAGTCTAGTTCAGCTATGCGCGTGGTGTGTGTACAACCATAAAATTCACACCCAGTGTTCTCATTTCCAAGTAGTAGACGACGACAAATCACGGTAAACAAAATAAGGTTTCATATGTAGTCGTATTTACAGCGTCTACTAGAGTTTCGTCATTTCGTTCCACTCCACTCTGCCTCCACTTTGTGCTACCATCCATACGCATGCAGTGTTGAACGCTAGGAGCAGGAACGTACACGTAATGAAGTTTCCTAGTGCTATGTCCTTTTTAATTGTCCCCTGAAATCCAAGGCAATCGAACCTTTCCTAATGATGCACAATGTAATGAGGCAAATGAACAAAATGTTATTACGCCGAAAGAGAAGTTTTCCTAATGCTCTCCGCTTACAAAGCGAATATGGCGGCGGCGACACCACCGAACAGAGCGAGCGAGCCGGCGGCGAATTGGGAAGCACCGCTGCTGGCAACGCTAGACGGGGCAGAGGTGGTGGAGGTGCTGCTGGCAGTCGAGGAGACGGTGCTGCTGGACAGGGTGGTCTGGCTGGCGGTAGCCGAGAGGTTGCCGGAGGCGGTCATACTGGGGAACGAGGAGGAGACGGGGACAGAGTAGGCGCTGGTGACGGAGCTCTTGGCCGCGGAGGACGCGGTAGACACGGCAGCGTACGTAGAGGATGCGCTCGACAGGGAAACCGTCACGGTGGATGAGCCAGTCGCGGTAGAGCTGACCTCCTCAGCGCCGTAAGTGCTGCTGCTACTGCTGCTGCCGCCGGAGCTGGCCTTGATCTGGAAGGGGAACGAGTACTGGAAAGTCTCTGTGTCGCTCTCGAGGGTGATCTGGATACCGTAGGTGGCATCCGAACCGAGCGTGGAGTCGACAGCCCACTCGTACGAGCCATCCTGGTTGTTGACGCCAGCTGGATAAATGCGTTAACGGTCAAGATCAGATGACAGAGCGTTTGCGATTGAGTTTTACTTACTGGCAATGGAGCCCTGGGACTGGAGGGTCGAGGGAGACGAGCCACCCAAGAGAGCGAGGGTGACGGTGCCGTCGACGGTACCGGGCTGCCACTCGATGGTGTAGGTCTCACCGGCAGGCACCTGCTCATCCTCGACGGGGGCGGTGATGGCATCGAAGCCGGCGGTCTGCGCGAAGGCAGAGGCCGCGAAGGCCAAGGCAGCAGCGGAGATTGCAGAGAAACGCATCTTGAATGTAGTTTGGACTGGTTTGGGTATTATGAGTAATTAAAAAGTATACAGCTGTGTAATGTGGTCAAAGAACGACAAGAACGACAGAGAATACTGGTGTTTTCAGGTGTGACCTTTAGGTGGGAATGAGTGACTAGTATTATAAAAAAAGAGTGTGGAAGACGAAACAGTCTTGAAAGTGGCAGAGCAGACGAGGGTGGTAGTGAAAGAGGAAAGGGAAACAATGACACGATGGGGCCGAGAGAAGTAGGCAGACGAGCCCAGCCCAGCGGCACAGCACGGCCGCACAACAGTAAATTGGTCAATCATCATGCATAGACAATAGCTCCTCCCCAGCGTAAACAGGTAAGCTTGTCGGGAACCCTAGTATTATGCATCCTTGTCCTCAATTGATGGTATGGATATGTAGAACACGGGCAGTCTCATCAACGAAGGGGTATCAGTGGCACCAAGCCGTCAGCCAAAAATACAAGGATATTGCCGGGAACGACCTACCATTCGGCCGTTTCGTGCCATGGACCCTCCAGGGCTGTCCACCAAGTGCTGGATCGAACCTGTTCGCGGCCGGTCATCCAATCTCCAATGTCCACGGCGACACAGCGACAACATGGGTGCCATCGTGAGATCAGGGTAATTTTAAAATGACTGCTCGGAAATCGGCGCGCATACAGAGCCAAGCTTGTCAATCTGTGCAACGTGAAAAGGGGCTTTCAGCTGCACGGCTAGGCCATTCCTGGATAGTCAAACTCGGTTCACGACCCCGACACTCCTGCTCATTTGGGCATGGAGCATGTCAGGGCTGAGATCTCATTTAGCCGTCGGCCGTGCCATTAGACCAGAAGAGTGAGGATGCAGAGCCCCCCTGGAGAACGTTAAAAAGGAACCCTGCGCCTATGTCTTGGCGACTGCACATCACGCACAACGGGTGACAGGTCCATGGTAAACTGTTGAACTCCAACCCACGTTTCCAGATGGTTGCTGACTCGGTGCCTTGAAGGACGATGCTGTCGGATCCCTTTGCATGAGATGCAACAAGTGGATGCAGCAATCAATTGAATAGGTATCGCCGTTATGATGGCTTAGTAAATAGTGTTTAAATTATTCAGGTCAAAGGTTGGCCGTTTGTCGTGAAGTTAGTTAGACAAGGCGTTGCGAGGTCTGGGATTACTGTATTGGTTCTAGTATCATTAGTTCAGCCTTGGTGGTCGTCCACCGCATCCCCCATCTCAAACCAGCACCCAGACACCCGTAACGTTCTGTCCCTATGCTCTCGCTATCTTTCTGTAGCTTCATTCCGTTTCGCCTCACCCCTCCGCGCTCGACACAACGCTCTCTCTCTCTCTCTCTTCTCTCGGCCGGTAGTTCGTTCCAGTGGGGCCCCTGTGGGCTCTGGCTACCGTTGATGCTTAGCAGCAATAGGGTCTTTGCAATTCGCGCCACGGCAGCCGATGTTGCTTTGCCAAATCGGTGGTAGTGTCAGCCTTGCTGATATTCACGGATTTAGCTTGGGAGTCTTGCACGAGCAAAGCTCGCAGCGCAAAGTTGGCGTCGTTGTTGGCTGTAGTAATCTTGCAAAGATAATTTTCCACACGCCTAGCATTTTCTCGAGCGACAAGTGGCATGGTCCCATTGGGAGAGGCAATCACGCCGCTTCGAGGATATCGATGGCAAGCTGAGTGCAGGATGGATATCCGAGGTAGGAGGCCGAAAGAAACCCCCTACGCCCTCTTTGCGGTCTGTTAGTTGCACGGGCCAGATTAAGTCAGACCCATGACTACTGGCCTGCAATCACTTCTTGCAAGGCTTTCAATCTGGATATATTTGTCTCTGCAGACCCGAAAAGAAACCTGATTGCCTGGAAATCATCTGACATTTCCCAACTTGAAAGTGGTAAGACTGCATCATCTCCTTAGCGCTTATGCATGTAATGGCGTTACTCTGCTCTGGTCCCATCAACTCTCTCCATATGAAGGACTTGAAATGTCTCGTGTCTAGCACGGCTATACCAATTTCAAGTCCATGTCAGTTACCATCCTGCACCATCAATATCGAACGCGGTGAAGCATCCTTGATCTCGCAGCCTTGCAAGCTTTCCACAACGTGGACAGTGCGTGGGAAAGAAGAGGCTGCTGAAGCGCCATGAAATGCTCGGCCCGTCGGTTATTTGCCTTAGCAGTAGAGGAGTCTGTGTCTCTGTAGCAATTTCGGTCGACGGAAAGTGCTGTGGATAGATATTTCTTGTCTAGGGTTTCTGAACCCAATTCGTACTTCACCTAGCAAAGCCTGTTGTGCATTTTTTTTTTGCTCTATATCGATAATCTGATATCTAATACTTCAATTTTGGCTTCTACAGACCTTTCAGTACACTGTTAATAGTCAAAACAGATGCCTGATCTATCTTTTCGTTATAATATCAAAAAACATTGTTTTCCAAACGGTACATGAATATTGGCAATGGTCAAGCCAACAAATCGCAATAGTGGCCCACGGGGTAATTTACCGCCGGGGAGCTTCACATCCCAGTTCCGGGTTTGGAGCTCCAAAGCTTTCAAACTTGCCGACTTTACAACCTCATAAAAACCAATTATCACAACCTCGCACTGCTAGTAGTCACACATCTAGGGCAAAGGGCACATCATGGCTCCCGTTGGGATGAATCACGAGCCGAGCTATATGGCGCTGGCAGTCACGTTGGCTCATCTTGGTCTGAAAAAAAAGGACCGAGGGAACGATTACGGGCCGCTATCGCACCACGGCCACTATACTCTCGCAGAGACCTCGCAACGGCAACAGGAGAACCAGTAGTTAGTGGGACTATTGTAAGGTGGCTGCTAGGGACGGGTCGGACAGCTTCAAGGCCCAGATAGCATCGATCTTCTCAGGGGGGACTTTGTTGGTAGGTTGAGAACCAACGTAGTATGGTAGTGAACGCAACGCAGTCGCCAATAGGGCACGGTTTGATATACGGGAGTACTAGTAGAGGTACCGGGGGCTTCAAGCCTACGGCGTATTTAATAATAATAATAATTTACCGCCGAGACACCCAATCGTCCTAGCGGTGGCTTTAGTATAAAGCAACACGCACTCTTACGATGCTAGATCAATATTTTTAACATTTGCCGCACTGCCTCGACAAGACAGTGAATAACGCAGTTGTATATACGTCGGGCGACGACAATAACCATTTGGTGCGGCAGCATCGCAGCCTTGAGTCGTTGGGCTCGAGGGCTGGCGTACTGCTGTTCAATACTCAAATAACATCACTGTTTGTGCCTTCTTGCGCATGTCCCACGTGGAATGGAAACATGAGAAGTTAGGCAAGAGGGAAACATGGTAAAATTGATTTCGTGCCACTCAGTTGAACATTCTGCATAATTTCTGTATAACACACCCAGCAATCCAAGCAGGGCATCTTCACCCATTTAAAGTTCGCAGATTTCCACATGCCTCCCAGACTGGCATTTCTCAGTTCCAGCTAGTTTGTGCCAGTTGCACATCGTATGACCACCCACCCCCAATGGGAAGTCAGCAATGCTACCGTTTGCTCGAAGCAGCGGTGTTGGCAGAGGTAAGCGGCAGGCAGGTATGCAAACGGCATGCAGGTGGCAGGGCGGGCCATCGTCAGCAGGATCACGTCAATGAAAGGAATATGATGCATCTTATGTATGATGTCTTGGCGAACGTTCCGAGGCCTTCTGTGCCTGCTGCCACGATTTAGTCCACCAACCGGTCTTCCCACCCTCTCCCTGTTTATCTGTGCCCTAAGTACTTTACTCTCACCATATATTGGACGACTATAGCCGAGTTCAGATGGCGGACCGTTAAAGCGTCGAGTTATTTTTGTTCACGTTGTCAACCGGCGAGTATCATACATCTTGGCTGGCTACTTGGCAGGTTCGTGTTGTTTAGCCGATCGCAATCTACTCGTTGGTACGTAGTAGTCTTGCTGACTCGACCGCGTCGGATCGCCGTAGTCTATATAGTGATCCGGCTTGTATTAGGCTTGGCGAACGCGTCGTACATCCATTATTGCCGTAACCTTAGTTCCATCAAATACCCAGTTAACGTACAACCCCACCTTTCTGGCCACATATTGCAATCCAATTGAAGGTATTCGAAACAGTGTATTCAACGTACTGTTATAGCTATTCAGGTACAACCAGCTCTAATAGAAAGCTGTGCTCTAGGGCTTCCTGAGGTATAGATCTGATAGATTCTGACGCCTTAGCTGGGTCCAGTATTACCTGATTCCGACGTTGTACCTGGTCTCGTTGCCGTTCTACTTCAAGGGCTCGATCCATCGCTTCCTTAATCTGTACAATGTTACCAAATCGTTCATTAGGCCCCAATCGTACCTTCTTACGTGGTTTGGGGCGTAACGAAGTTATCTCGCCTTCTAATGCGTGTACACGTTGGGTCAAAGTAGCGACCTCGACGCTCTGTACATCTAGCCGACGAGTCAGCTTCCGAAACAATAGCCGTTGCGACGATCGCAATGGCGTAATCGCTGCCAGACTCTCCCTAGCTACTATATGCCTCGATGTATAGCGAGAGGAACGTCGACTTTTTAAATGGAATAGAACAGTACTCGATCGAGAGAGAGGTCGCTAACGAGCGATAGTACCGCTTTAATGGAGCAAATACGGCGACGTCGAGAGGTTGGAGCCCGTGAGAACAGTGTGCTGGCAAAAATAGTAACGAGATCTTGTTACAATAGGCTAACCACATAAACTCGACGTTGTCGTGAGCGATATGACCATCTAATATCAAGAGCCGCTGCTCATCGGGATCAGCTGGTTGTGTACGAGGTATAAAGATATCACGAAGCCATCGAACGGCGATATCTGTACTGATCCAACCGTTAGACGAATAAGTATATTGCCAATCAGGTATGTCGTCGCAATCGTTAAACCATTTCCCTACATAGCTTCATCGACGCGATTGACGCGTCAGAATGGCTGAGGCCATCGCCGAGTCGTAATTGGAGGGTAGAGCGTGGAACGCCCCATCGGAGGGAAGCCTGGCGCTGGGATATCCCTTGATTGATATCGTTGAGAGCGCCTTGAATCGAATTTTCTGAATATCGAGGCATTGTATAATAATAGCCAATACCGACGATAATCTGTTGTGCCGAAGATTGTTGTAGTTGGCAGATTAGGTGGCCAGAAAGTTGGGTGGCCGGAAGGGTGGCCGGAAACATGGGGTTGTACGTTATCGCATGCTTCGATGCTGAGCGCTAGAGACCAATGTTGTCCGTCCACTCGACCTCATGGCCCGACAACTATATTTCTCGTATCGTCCTCGATCATTTCGTGACTCACCACCGCATGACTCCCCAGTACAGTGACGCGCGAGCACTGCAATCAGCTCATGATTATATTTCGGCTCAAGCACTGAACCTGATCGCTATTCGCGCTCCAATACTTGCAGAAGCGAGCCCGGCAGGAGATACCCTTCGGAGTCGTAAGCCCACGGTCTGCGCTGCATGTCTCACCATGGCTACCGGCACTTCTTACCTGCCGGCGCGAAGTACCTGTCTGAGAAATGTGAGAATCGGATCCTGTTGGACGTTACCCTAAAGCCATGATCAAGTCAACCGCAATTATTTCCGGAAGCTCGTTGAGGCTTCAACCTGGGCCGCAACGGAAGCCGGCTTGCTCAGATACACAATGCTGAATGTCATTGCCAAGACTACCTAATAGAGATGTCTCTTATTGACGTGGCTTTAGGAGATCTAATCATTAGCAGTATCCGTGGTGGCAACATCGATGCCACCTGTTGCGCCGGCTGCCTGGTGCAATTGCCAGACATGCGAGAAGGTCTTGTAAATGGGGCGAAAGACAGACGAAGACACCTAACGCTGAGCCCAAGATCTTTTCCGTGGCAACGTAACCTTCCAGCCAAATTTCTTCCTAATTTTCAGAATGTCAGCGTTTACACATCTCAGAAGACATGTACCAGAAGAGAACCATAAGCATCAGGGTCAACGAATGGAAGCATTCCCTGGGATTGCTGGGTGCAGTGAGGAACGGTCCAGGGCATGAGGCTCAGAAGGTCGACGAAGATCAAGGTCAAAACAAGGGCACGTACGTCAGGAGCATGGGTGTGGGCACGACTGGGAACGGGAATAGGCATTGTGCAGGGCAGATGGCCGTTCATGCAGATTAAATAAGAATACCTCTCAAATATCAAGCAACCCTCATTCCATGACCACCGGTAATCTGTCGCCAACGAGGTCGAACACCTTTTTATGTTCACCGCCTATAGATGACAGCTGAGCCTGGACGCCAAAACCACCAAAAGGAACCTCGTTATGTACCGCCGGGTGAATGGATCAGCCTGGTAGTGGTCAATGACGACCGCAGTCGCGAGCAGCGCATCCTCGTACTAGACGCATGGTGGGACCGCGCTCGATTGTGGGAATCGAAACATCATGATCATCATCAGTCATTAGATTCGGTGTTTTTCGCTCTCTGTTTGGGACGCCGGTGATTAGCGTCTGACAGTGGTGACTTTGTAGAAAGGGGTTCTTTACCTAGTCGGGAATACAGCATGTAAAGTGCCATTCTGTTGCACTCCTCTGTACCCGTGATTGTGACAAGCCGCTCGTTGCTGTTGTCCTGTGGCTCGTTGATCTTGATGACGCTGCCACTGATCTGCCGAATCTCGTTTATCTTTTGTCCACCCTTGCCAATGATGGCCCCGACCATGTCATTGGGAATGTAGATCTGTTGAGTCAGTGGTTGACCTGGCATGGCACCATGCATCGGCTGAGCGGGAGGGCCTCCATGCGGCGGCTGGGGACCGGCAGCGTGACCGGCCTGATGGGGTGGCATATGTGGACCGGCGCCGTAGGCAGCAGCGGCTTGAGGGGCGTAGTGCATCGGGGCACTCGCTGGGGCTTGAGGTATAGCACCTTGAGGGGGGTACTGCTGGGCATACGGGTTGGGAGGCATTTGGTGCGATCTGGGATCGGGGCGCCTGCCGTAGTTCTCGCGCTGACCAAAGTTGCCTCCTGCAGGCTGAGGCGAATAAGGAACAACCTGCATGCCTCCGGGAATTACACCTGCCGGACCGCCACTTCGAGTCGCGTAGGCAGATGCGGCCGGGCCCCCGAACCGCTCATTGAGCTGCTCTAGTAATGTGCTACCAACATAGTAAGTTGCAATATGGACAGCATCGGCCACACCCATGACAACGAGAGAGCGCTCAGAGGACAGCGGGAGGCAGGAATCTGAGGCGTTGAGGCGAGCGCCGGAGGCCTCTTGAATTTCTCGAATGCGCACTCCCCCTTTACCGATGATGGATCCGATGAGCACATGAGGAATCAGCAGACGCAGCGGATAAGTCTTAGACTGTGCGTTCGAAGTCTCGGTTAAGGGCTCATTGTTCAGAGTCCGGATAATCAAGCCAAAGGCCTACATGGAGCACGTCAGCATTTCAATCAGCGATATTGAGAGTGTATGTTGACATACCTTGGCCACGGCATCGACGCCGCCACTGACTGTGAGGATTCGCTCCACTGCACCCTTCTGGTAGTCACTGACGGTGCACTTGGCATTGGACTGCTTGCGGATGTTGGACACATTCTCACCCCCCTTGCCGATGATGGTAGCCGCCTCAGGGCTGGAAATCACGGCGCGGATGTGGATCCACGCAGTCTCGTCATGAGTGCTTCCGCCCGGAGTAGCAGCTGGGATAGTTCCGGCGACATTAGCGCCGAGGGTCTTCGTCTCGCTGGCGTCGGGGACGATAGTGTCACCCTGTTCGTCTTTGGCTTCCGTCTTCTCTCCGTCCGTATCCTCTGTCTTGGTAGTGCCGTTGGCCTCTGGGACGGGTTCAGGAGCCGCGACGCCATTGCTCTCAGGTGACTTGATTTCTTCTTCATCGTGGCCGTTCTTGATGACCTTGTCGAGAGCTGGTCGCTTGGCGTCCGGCTGGTCGTTGGCTCTGGAAGGCGAGGAGGCGTCCTCGAGCGGACGCTTCGCCGGGTTGATATTTTGGGACGGTGAGGCAGACATGATGTCGTCCTAAAGATGTGATATTTGCACTCAAAGGGTAGGCTTCACGAGGTCGTCGTGGTGAATGTAGTTGGATTGAATTTTGATTTATCGACGTTATTTACACCTTAGGGGTTTCCGAAAGAAAACGGGCAGGTGCAAGTGTAGTGGTTCGGGGCGGAGCGGAATGAGGCCGGACAGAGGTGATTGAGGTCGGGCGAGGGAATGTATGATCGATGGCTGCCAGCAGTCGAGATGATGCTGACTTCAGAGTTGTGAGAAGTGATGACTCGAGGGAACCGGTCGTCGAAGCTCTCGCGTGCAAACAGGCTGTGATGGTGACTTGAAGATCGCAAGGTGATGAAGATGCAAGAGGACAATGGCTGGATGATGATCACAGCCGTCGGGATGTGATGGCAGGTCAAGTGCTCGATGAAGTGATGTCAAGAAGTTGAAAGAGGTGGATAAGTCCTCAAACCTTTGCTCTGTCAAACGGCGCAACCTTGCTTATTTGCCAAATCTCTCCGTTCTCTTTCACTTCGCAAACTTCTCTCTCATCAGCTCAGGGCAGACGGCAACCCGCAGAAGATGATGCCCAAGAGCTTTGGTGCCGGATGTGGTTGCTGAACTTGATTGCAGGAATGTTTCTCTGCTTAGCTGCTTGGGGATGGATATGCGGGTCGGTCCCAAGGTAGCTTCCAACCAACGCGTAGAGCCTTGCAACCTTCAGTGGAGATGGGGAATGGGGGAAATTAGAGAAAGAATCACACGAGGACGTGCTGAGGACGCCTGAAGTAATGTCACGATGGAGGATGGATTGGGGGAAAGGTGAAGGGAAGGTGAGGAAGGCTTGAATGTGAAGGAGACAACTGTTGTCTCAATGAGAAGTTGATGCGATCTGCACGTTTTGAACCTTCAATGCTCTCCACACACATTTGCCGTCTCAGGTCCGAGCGCTTCTCTGGTTTTTAGGGCGCGGTCCGACTTTCACTTGCGGGTCACATTCCAAGATTGAAGGTGGGGTGCATTTTGGGGGTTGCAGCCGCAGGTTGGCATAGGGCCTCTTGGGCTCTTGGAAGTTTTAGGCCCGTTCCCGTCTGACAGAGTTGATCGCTTCAAGAGACTGCAACAGATGTCAAGACGAATGAAACAAGTATGTCCCTCTGATCCTCTGGGTCAAACCCTGTTTACTCAAGGATTTACCATGTTTGGCATGTGGTGTAACTTCTAACAAATTGTTTTGATGAAAGCTGGCGCTCCGTTTGAGACGACGTCAAACCGTCGTAGTGTGCGATCTCATCTGCGATTTGATATCGTGATTATTTTCTGTGGACTCGAGTGTATGGCCGACTCGACTGTGTCTGCCCATGCACCCCCAAACACTCTCTGTACTCATTTACAAGTGAATTTCCCGTGCGTTCAAACCGTCACCGGACACGAAGCTCACCGACACACTGAACGTCTAGGACAACCTTGTCCCACCCACTTTCTTCACCCAAATTCTTGACCACACAGACATCTCCGGCTTATTAGCCGCGGTAGAGACATCTCCGTGCAGGGCTCGGAGCAAATGGAACTCACTGATTGGACATTGATTGGGCTGTTATCTATCATCATCTCTTGTGTGCAATTCCACGGTTGAATCAGCATGGATCACGACCACGATTACTACGACAGGCTGCATGCCGACCGCGTCAAGCAATCCTTGGAGGAACTTCAGTATGTGGTCAAAGAGCATGACGCAGCACTGGCAAAGGTTCGTAATCATCTCTGCTTGGCTTTCAGTGCTGAACCATGAGCTCACAAAGCAAAGTTGCGTGCTTCATCGGCCAACAGCCAGCCAAGCTTCACGCCCGGGCCAGAGACATCTTTGGGCATGATGAAAGTAGCTTATGATGAGCTCGCAACGAAGCCACCATTCCTGGCTTTCCCGGAGTCTGTCTTGCCCGCCATGATCGCGCTCCGCAAGACTAGCCAGACCGTCGATGATACCAAGGCATTCCTCTCCTCGCATGACGAGTCCATGAGCAAGGCCAAGCGGCGGCTTGAAATTGAACAATCCAATCTGAAAGACCAGCAAGGGCTCTCTCAGAGTCTCCAAAATCGAATTCAAACTCTGCGCGAAGGGCTGGACAATCGAATGGAAATGGGCCCTGAAGATATCGCCAGAGAGCGGATCAACGTTTTGAAACAGACTAAAAAAAAGTACGACAAGGAGACAGCAAGGTTGCTCAAGGCGCTGAGGAACTTTATTGACGACTCCCTCGCCTCGATGCTCGCGGCCGAAGAGCTTGGCGGTCCCGTGGTTGGTGATATGATGGACATTGATGGCGAAAACCTGGCAGCCGGATTCAGTGGCCAAGGGCGTCCTAAGAAGGTTAAGGAAACCCAGGATCAAGATAAGCGTCAGCGGCGCATTGATGAGATATGGGGTCACAGAGAGCCTCAACAACGAGACCAGGACAGGGACAACCGGGACGAATCCACGGCAGCAGGAGCAGAGATGCGGGAGCTGACAGAAGAGCTACTCAATGGCCTCATGGAATCGGATGGGGATAACTCAGCTGCCTATGTCCAACTGTCCAGGGAGTCGGCGGCAGCCAGATTTCTGATTAGATCTAAGGTGGCACAATTTCACCCCAAAGACTCGACGAAGCTGCGACTGGTAGACTTTGGCAGAGAGTTGGACAGTTGATGACGTGATCCACTCCAAGAACGACCAGCTTCACGGTTGAAGCTCACAGCGGAAATGATCAACAGGGGACTGGTTAATCAAACAAGGCCTCTTGACATGAGGATTTCTTTCCAATTGGTAAAAGTAGCACCGGCGCCTTGGCCTATCCTACGCAGCTGGCTGGCTAGTTGGCAAGATATCGTGCCCTGGAGTATCGTCCGAAGGCCTTGACTATTGATCATGAACATGGGATCAAGAGCAATGAACCACACACAATCGAGCTGGCTTACTAGGCTTGCTAGGTGTTGAAACACCCAGCCGTCTTGACAAGGATGAGCTGAGATTCTGGGACTCTAGAAACTAGGTCTTGCTGGTCACAGCGCTGATCAAAAATAAACGCTCTGGTGTGCCCCCTGTTGCAGACAAACTCGGCAGAAACTCAACTGAGACTACTATGGACAGTTTCAGTGGAGGGCAGAGGGCAGTGCTATTATGATATGGCACTCACCTATAACTTGTTGCAATGAAAGGCAGCCAATCACAGCCCGCAGCGGAATGGCAGAAGTAAGCAAGTCTATCTATTGACAACCACTGTAGCATCTACAGGAGTGCGTATGGTGAAATCCTGGCTAGAATATTGTCATGATATCAAACTGCTTCTGTGCCACTTTTGGTACAACTATCAGGGTCCGAAGTAGTATCCAAGATCAGCTCCCGGAAGCACCATTTTTAGCCCCGCGTCAATCCCATTACAACCACTTAACGCGTCTCCGTCGCGTCTCTCACCGCTGCCAGCTTTCAACCCACATCTTTCAACTGCACTCAACAACTCCCTCCAATTCACCTCATACACTTCGTACCATGACTACCGAGAGCGTGACCTCGCCACCCACCTCACCACCAGCAAAAAGAGTCAAGACTGACGCCACAATGGCAACCGAAACCGCCCCGGTTGTGCCCAAGCTCGACGCCGCGCCCCCGCTGCTGATCAAGAAGCTCTCGGACAAGGCACGCCTGCCCACGCGTGGCAGCGCGTTCGCCGCCGGCTACGATGTCTACGCCTCCAAGGATACAGTGATTCCCTCCAAGGGAAAGGCTCTTGTGGATACGGATATTGCGATTGCGGTTCCGGCGGGTACTTGTTCGTGAACCCCCACTCTGAAGCCTCAGAACAATTGCACCACCCCCAATCCAAGCCAAGAGACCAATGCTAACATGCGATTGTAATGGAACCAGATGGCCGCATAGCCCCCCGCTCCGGCCTGGCATCGAAGCATTTCATTGACACGGGCGCAGGCGTCATTGACGCCGATTACCGGGGTCAGGTCAAGGTGCTGCTGTTCAACCACAACGAGGCCGACTTCGAGGTCAAGGAGGGCGACCGCGTAGCGCAGCTCATTATCGAGCGCATCTACACGCCTGAGGTGGTTGAGGTGCAGGAGCTCGAGGAGAGTGTGCGTGGTGCTGGAGGGTTCGGCAGCACGGGTACGAACTAAACCGCGACAAAATATCCAAATGGATTTCAGGCAAAAGAGAAGGGAAAGGGGTCAGAGAGACAGCTCAGGATTGAAGTTGACCAGTCACGGACGGCATCGGAAAGGGCACATGGCACGGAGTCCCAGGATAGATGGGTGCTTGTTTACACTAGACAAACAAGAGGTAGTAAAAGTGCTGGAGGGGCAATTGCTCGGCCGGACTATTCAATGCGTCTCTAGATGCCGTTCTGTACAACCCAGACCAATCCAGTCTCCACGAGCAATATACGCCTTCTCCAAGTCCCGACCGTCTAGACCAGATATCTCGCACATATTCCCGTTCCTTCCCGCAGCAAGCCTTCACGTTTATCCTCACATCCTCTCCGCCCAATACTCGACCTTTGGATTCCTTAAACACCCCAAATTCCTCACCAACCTCAGCTCTGCCGCCTTACTTCTAAGCAAATGCAACCTCTTCGCCTCCTCCTCCTCCGTTCCCATCTTCTCCAACCCCGTCGTCCTCTCCATCTCCTCCGTCATGCCCTCGCAGGTCCTACTCAACACCTCGTGCATACTCGCCAACACCTTTTCCGCCGCCTTCGCAAGCGGCAAGTCCAGCGCATCAACCTCGTCGCCACTGACCCAACTAGCCGTTTCGCCTACGTCATTCCCTAGGTTGGCGACGGCCTCGCGCATGCGCACAACCATGAGCGCCGCGAACATGTCACCCGTGCCGCTGAAGTAGCAGTCGAACACGGGGAACCGAATCTTGAAGAGGCGCGGCTTACCCGTTGAGGTGCGCGTCGAGCCCACTACTGACATGGTGCGCGTTGTGGTTGTTGATGACGACTGCGACTCGCCCAGCGGCATCGAAACCGAGGTGATTACGATGTGCGGGAGGTGGAATTTGGTGTGTAGGACTTCGATGGCGTGGCGGAGGGAGGCAGCGTCAGTTATTTTTACTTCGGAGAGGAGTCTGTCAATGCTCGCAAGTAAGCCTCATGGAGAACGAACAATGGATTTCGAGGTAAGGGAGGAGACAGGAAGACAGAAGGAAGGAGACAGAAAAGACTCACTCAGCCTCAAATTGATTCGGCAATATCAGATCCGCATGCTGAATTAAACCCCTATACGCAGGCACCACATCATCCGCAACATAAAGCTTGTCATTATCGCCCATGACGGGGTCCAGCACCCAGAAGAAACCCCCTCCCTTCTTGTAATTGTTGTTCTTGGCCCGCAGTTCTTTCGCAATGGTTCCCACGGCTTCGACGGCGGCGGCTCCGGGGACGTACCCCGACAGCATCATGTCGAAGGTGTCGAGGTATGACTGCCTCAGGCCCGTCCAAAGGTCCGTGATCTCTTCGGCGGATACGCGCGTGCCTTTCCATTGGCGGTAGCCGGTATGGTTGCCTGTGATTTCACTGTTCATCATTTGTTCCCTTTCTGTGTGTAATGTTGCTCGGGTAGGCAGGGACTTACTGAATTGCACCGTGTTCAAGGCCGAGACGTCGCAGCCCATAGACTGGAGGACGAAGACGGCGATCTTGTTACCGACATTACTTATGTTTATAAAACCAGTCAACGCGCCATTCGACAGCGAGGCAGATATACATAGAGACGGCGCGGAAGATTGGGGCCGCAGACTCACCCTGAGACAACCTTGACGGCAACTGTTAGCTATGATAGGACGAAATCACGAGGGCATATTCTATCCTACATGGCTGGCGACGGCCAGGACGCTTGTCGCTGGTACCGGAGGCTTGGCGCTCATCATCTTGTAGACTTGCCTTGCGCTGGCTTCTTTGACTGGAGTCTTATATGTTGTGCGTCTGAGGCTGAGAGGGAAGTACGGATCTAGGTGGTGAAAGTCAAGGATGGTCTCAAAGAAATGTTTACGAGTCAATATTACAGTCAGCTATCTTGGACAGATCCGATAAGGAAACCCGCAACAGTCTTCACGCGCCGCAATCGCAAGTGCCACAGAAACCCGTCACATTGAGGATGGAGAGTAGTCGCAGTCTTCTTTTTTTTTTTTTGGTCCCATTTGGAAGGGTCCTCGACCCCGCCAAACTCTGCGAAACCCCGCACTAACGCTTTCTAGAAGGGCGCATGGCATGGCACGGCACAGATCAACAATTGGTAGAAGTTGGATGGTGTATCTCATTATTGGCCTGTATCGTGTCTCGACAATATGCGAGATCATATGTCTTGGGAAATCCCAATGGGAAGAAGACATGTGCCTGTAGCAAATGGTTAGTTCTTTTCCGTACCATATCCACAATGTAGGCCATAACGCTAGGTAGCCGCGCGCCCCTTATGCCAGCAAAATTGGTATTATCTTGTGATATTTGTGAATCCTCCACCGCGCTCTACTCCTCGTCTCCAATCTGGTGTGCTTGGTTAGCATGATGGTCCCAAGATGGGTTGGAGATAGCCGGAGAAATGCATACCTTGGGCGCAAGGTAGAAGCGCAGATAACTACCGCCCTCCATGGCGTATTCGACCAAGAGCGGTACTTCATTAGAGATGTGCAGCTTGACAGTTTTGGACAGGTTTTGGGCTTTGCAGAAGTTCACGAGATACTTGAGCGAGAAGGTGAGCGAGACGGGCTCTGTCAGCGCGATCTCGATGTTGTTCTCCTTGTTCTCAACGTCCTGGACGGTGCGCAGCGTTATGGAACCGTTGCCAATATCGCCATTGCAAGCGAACTTAATGCCATCCTTGCCTGCCTCGATTGTGACTTGGGTGCTTGGGTTAGCGGTGTACGCGTTATCTAGAAAGTGCGGTCAGCTACTTACCAGATTCAGACATGGCCATCAGGTCTGTGCAGATGCGCTTGAACTCAGCGCTGGGCATGGAGATGGTGGCAGAGTAGTCGGTGTCGGGGATGCCGAGGTGCTCCTGGTCGATGTCCATGAGCTTGAGGTCGTACTCGCTGATGCGGTCCTTGTCGCTGCTCTCGAAGGTAAGGTTGAGCGAGTCGGGGGCGTCTTCGGCCTTGAGCGTCAAGATATCCTCGTTCTGGGCGGCGCGTAGCACCTTGGTGAGCGAGACGAGGTTCAGACCAATGGCGATGTTGCGGTCACATCGGAATGGGTTGAAGCTCTCAGCCTTCAGCATCATGGACACAAGCGCTACGTGCGAGTTGTCCATGGCCTGCAGCGCAATGCCCGAGTCGTTACAGTCGAAGTTGCAGTCCTGCACCAGGTCCTTGATGGCATCCACCACCTGTATCGTCAGCACGCCATCGTGACGGCATTGGTTGCAGGGAAACTGGGCGGCCTCACCTTCTTCAGGAGCTGCGCCTGCTCAAGTCTGGCTTCCAACATGGTGGCGGCTGTGGTGGTAGATGGAGGATTAATATGATTTCAAGGACAACACCGAGATGAGATGCACTGGAAGGAGGAGGGTATGTATCGCCAAAAGGGTGGAAGAAGTGTTGCGTTTGTTGCTTCGACAGTGTTACCTTGGAGGAGAAGGAGCTGGAGAAGCCCAAGTGGGATGAAATAGATCGCGAGTCGACGGGTGGGCTAGACGCGTTAATTAGATGCAGCCTTTTAGGACGCGAAATGCTCGCGAAGCTGCCTTCATAAATTGCATAACGCCTTACATAAATAAGCCTTGTCATATTAAATCTACAAGTGCATCTTGCACCAAATTTCGATATATATCTATATATAGTTGGTCATCTTTGGCAATCTAAAGAACAACGTGGCATATAACCTCAGCTAACGTAAGGCTCCTTGGGTGTATACTCAGTTCAAAAATTGGACCTTGTTGTTGCATTGTTGCAAACGCACTTCATCTTTTCCCTTTCAAAGAGTTTGCACCGTCATTCGTATGACCCAGACAACAAACCCTTTCAAGTGATGAGCACAACCCCATGCCATAAGAATAAGTGTCCTGATATGTTTTAATCATTTGGTTATGTACAAAAAAAACATTAGATTTAGCGACAGCGACTTTTTGAATAACCCATAGAATATGCAATCCGTCATTCCCCTAGAAGATGCCTGATAAAGGCTACGCCAAAACTCAAGTCAACGCCAAACCAAAAACACCAATTCTATACCCTATCGCGCCATAAGCCAATCCATGGGAACCTTTATACCCCATCCGTAATACATTAGGAAAGCCGTTGTGAAGCTGCGGCATTTGTAGGCCGCGGTAAGCCCGCGGATGGGATACATTACACCGCGGGCGTCCTCGTCAGGTTCGGCATGGACTGGCGAGCTTTCTTCCGGTTGTCCAGGACGTTCTTCAGCTCCCCTAATACGTAACCATTGATTGGGGGCCTCTCCTTGGCTGTTTCTCTAGCCTCTCGGTCTGCCTTGACCTTGGCGATTCTCTCGGCGCGAGACATGAGGCTCCGCGGTTTCTCTTGCAAGGCGATAGCTTCGAAGACGATTTCGGGTTGCGGCAGGCTTACGGGACTGCTGGGGTCGACTGAGCTAGGCGGGGAAGAGCCTCCGTTGAGAGCCTTGAGAGCATCTTCTCGGCCACCCTCTTCAGACACGGACGCCATCTCGCTAGAACTGATGGGAGACATGATGAAGCTCCTGGACGATACCCGTCGCTCGGCTTTGTTCATGCCTACTGATAAGCCTGCTTTGCCTGCTTCCCATTCATCCATCAAAGCGCGTAGATCTTTGCCTATAGTTTCGTATTGGGCCATGAACATGGTGCCAAGGCCCGATAAGTCGTCGGACGTGGAGATGATCTCGGTCGACTCCTCCGCCAGAAGAGCCATTTTAGCTTGCAAGCTACGAATACTCATATTCATACTTCCAATCTTCCGCACCTGCATCCGCCAGTTTTTGTGTTCTGGGGTTTGCGGAAGTTTTGGAGATGTTATATTCGCGAATGCTAGATCAATCAGCTTGGCTCGTCGCTCCGGTCTGTGCAAGAAAACTTACTCTCGTCATTCAAAAGCATCTTCTTGATGTTGCAGCAAGCCGTCCGGGTCACCTCGTTGGCTCGGCGAAGACTCTCCAACGCGAGCGTAAAGGTGAAGAACTCAGCCTCGGTACTCTTCCCGTCTATCGCAATCAAGCCGAGCAGCATCATCTTGCGGAGTTCCTGGACCACATGGTGAAATTCTCTGATCTCGTAGGTTTTCCACGGCTGCTCCGGGTCGCATTGCTGTAGACTTTCGAGTGCTTCCTCCACCATCGTCTTGGAGAAGCCGTAGAATGCGTCGAGTTGCATCAACTCGTCCTCGTTGGAGAGCTCTCGGATCTTCTCCGCCATCCCGTGGAAAGTAACGCCGGCATGCTTAAGCTCGTGAAGCAGAGCTTTCCTCGTCTTCACGCTCTTAAGACTTTGTCCGTTGGCCACGGTCTGGTCTTCGAAACGACTGACGGGTGGTAGCGGCAGAGAGCTACGTCATGGTTAGCCCAGTGCCCCTTTCACCCAAAGCTGCCCTGCATATCCGTACTCACATTCGGTAACCTCGGGCGATGAGCTCCACTTCCATAATGAAATTACAAGCCGCACCGGCGGCGCTGTCAAACTCCTCCGAAAGCTGACTAAAAGCGTTCGCCTGCGCCGCTGTCTGTTCTGTAATGTATTCGAGCCATTGACGTCGCATATACACCCTAGTAATTAAGACGACCAACAGAACCAAGACGGCCGCTACGATGGCCCGCCATAATGTTATCCTCAAGACACCGCCGACAAAGAACCAACGACAGAGGCAGGCGAAACCGAGACCGAGGGCAGCGGCGACAATGGCGCCATTGGCTGACCACGGACTGCTGTAGATGTTGTTTTCATCAATGGCTCCCGGCACTATTATCGGCAGGGATACCCCAGTAAGGGGCCCAAATGAGGGCTCCGGCGTCAATAGCCGTGATGTGGTGATGGTGTGTTTGAGCACCTCGAGGAATTTCTTGGCCTTGCGACTGTCGACCGTCTTGTTTACGACTTTCTGTACGTCGTTGGCGACTTTCGGAATATGTATACTCAGGCGGTTCCGTATATTCCTTGCTGTCACCGTGCCCCTCGGAGCGAAGCTGAGGGGCGGACTGCTCGGAGGAGACGAGGGCGGCGTGTGCATCGAGGCGCCAGACGGGCGCCTACTGCGATCAGGCTCCTCATCATAGGTGCCGATTCCGGTGCCTATAGCAAAGATGCGGGTTAGATATCGCGGAGCCATAGTTTGTCATGCGATGGTATGTCAAGTGGCGGCGGCGTGTAGGGTGGTGTAGTATACCTTCGAGGACGTCGCCGTTAAACAACTGGTCATGAGGGCCGCCAGGCTGCATAAAAGGATCCATGTAATTGCGGTGTCGCACGACGGGTGGCATCCATCTGCCGCCACGATATTGTCTTGTCTTTGCGATAGTCGTACGTTGTTACGGTTAATGATCGAGGTTCGGGGGCGAAAATGGAAAAACTGATGCGGAAAGGACCAAAGAGATATAAGTCATTAAAGAGCGAAAGTAGTTGGTGGGCTGTGTAGTTTGCGAGCACCACTAGGTGTCGGAGTTGAATCAGGGAGGAATAAGGGTATGGCAGACGGTGACGCCAAAGAGGCATTATGGCCCGGCTCAACATTCAAGTAATGTCCGAGATAACCTTTCTGCACCAAAATGCTAAAGAACAGCTATCCCAGCGCCGACTTGGCCTTAGCGTCTTTGAATGATCCCCAGGTCGTCACAATGCAATGCATATTGCTTGGGTGGGAATCTGATCTCCTGTTGCTGGGGGAGTGCTATTGCCCATTTCCTTTGCAGTGGGGAGGCCCTTGTTACGAGTGATACCTTGCTCAGGAACGGGTTGCGGAATTGCGGCTCGTTTTGGCAGATCAAATGAAACGAAACAATGCGTAAGCAAAGCCCATGCTACTTTCGAAAGCCTGACTTGTTTGGGAACAAGTTATCGCAGCCGGGTCCGACTTGCTGCAGGGGTTGGTCCGTCAGCACTACCCACGAGCTGGCGGGTAATCCCAGCCGTTTGGTCGTCAAGCCACCGTGCTTTGAGCTCCCTCAGTGCGTGCGGCCGGTCAAGTATAGAGCGAACTTACACATGTCAAAAGACGAACCATCTTGATGTTCCCGCCTGTCCATTCGTGTTCCGAGACCCGAAAAAGGACCAAGCAACTGCCCCCTACTGTCAGACAGCTCAGACAACTCGATCGATCGTCAGACCGCTTGCAGCCATGCCTACCGAACGCGAGTTCCAAGTCGCGCCCATCGTGCCGGAGTCGGTGATGCACAACACCAAGGTTGGAGCGCCCCACGCACAGGGACAATGAAACTGGCTTCTAAAACAGCAATGGCTGACTGAGATAACTGCAGGCGCTATCAAATCTCCAGAGCCTGACGGCGTCCATCTTTGGCGTTGCCGCCGGCATCCTGGGGCTCGAGTCCTACAATGGCTTCCTGTTTTACTTCGTGTTCACCCTCCTGACGACCGTCCTCTTCTACGCCTTCCGTGTCGCGCCAACGTCACTCAAGTCGGGCCTGGGCATGTTCGACACCAGCAGATACTACAGGACACAATATGAGTTCTGGACTGGTGGCATATTCGGGGGTCTTGCTGGGTATATCCTGACTTGGACCTTGTTTTACGGATTGATACGCGCATGATGGCGACGGCTTGCGCCACGGGGCTACAGGCGGCATTGGTATGGTGTTATGGTGTTATGATGTTATGGTATCTGTTTTCTTGGACTGGTATGGCACTTGTTATGAGCAAAATACACCCATTTGGAGATAATGTCAATGGTGAACCACCCAGTTGGTTGGCCGTCTCTATTTCGCTGTATGCTACCGCTATTCAGTGCTGTCTATAAGAAAAACTTATTACTACATTGTCCTTAGGCCAGGCCGCCATCTTTGTGACCCGCTTGGTTGACGTGATCAGCCCACAACCTCAGTTACCTTGCCCACAAATCCGTCTAATCCCGAACCGTCTTTGCTCCCTCCTTCCATAAGAACTACCCGCGAACCCAACTCAATCCATTCTCTACTCGTCATAAGCTCAAGCGAAACTGTGTACTCAATGTCAAAATCGTCAACATCAGCTTCAGACTGTGCTCTACCAAGATCAATACTATCAGCCATGTTAAATACGTCATCGTGATCCTCGGAGGCAACTCTGCGAGTATCCAAACGCGAGTGCTGGCGGACGATGTGGAGTATCCGTGCAGCCGCGCGAACCGTGGCTACGTAGACGTTGACGAGGTTTCCAATTTGCAGAGACTTGACGTTCATATCGTTGAATGTCGCAGTAAAGCCTGTAGCAGCCTGTAGGGTGAGGCCAGTATCTAGCATATGCTGGCTAGGGATAGCCAGTACTTGTCCTTTGCGGATATGCCGACTTGATGGTTTCACCCTTTCGAACAATGCGTCATCAATGCCCGATGTCTCCTCAAACGGTTCATCGAAAGCAACCTGGATGGTCCCCGCCTGACCGGCTTCCATAGTTCTCACGGGCAAGCGCAAGTTGCGAATGTTCATAATCGTTGCATTGTGCCACTCCCCATGGATGGTGGAGGCCGATACCGCATTTCGGGCTGCCCACGGATGCGATAGGGACAAGCCACGACCAGGTGAAGGATGGTCTCGGGGCACAAGCCCTCGCACATCTTCATCTTCCTCGGCAGGGAAGGGGCCGAACACAACCTTGTCGCCGATAGACAGCCTGCCGAAGCGCAGATACCCAGCGACTACAGTAGCACTTCCGTCGGCGCCATGAATCGACGAGTCCTGTGTGCGGAACGATTTTAAGTCGAACTTGTCATCGATATGGAAGAGCGACGCCGGCTGCTCCGGGTTGAGTGCCTGGCCCACATAGTCTCGCGCAGTTGGCGGAGGCGGCATGGGCAAGCTGCGCAAGAGGGCATGAGTCAAACCAATACCCTGCCCCGACACGGCACTGGTCAACACTACTGGAACGACAGAGAGCATATTTCCCGACCGTTGGATAGCATCGGTGATCTCCATGGTAACTTTCTCCTGGCTTGTAGGGGGTATGTGCGTCAGGTCGGCGCTGTCGGTCTGCGTCGACACGAGCAACTTGGGCGTCCTCTGCGCGGCTTTTATCTTAGAAAAGATCGAGCTCAAGGTGCTTCTTAGGGTTACTTTGGTCGCTAAGTCATATTTGGTTATGACAATGACCATGGGAATCTCTAGTCGCACGCACAAGTCAAGATGGGACATGGCAAGGTCGGCGGCCCCAGCAAGATCAAGGTCATCAGGGGTACCCGACAACGAGTGAGCACCACGGGATGCTCCAGCGATTTCGTTGCCAGCAATACAAAGGAGCGTCCAGTGTGGTGCCCATCCCACAAGCCCACGCAGGATAGTCCTTCGATATCGAAGATGGCCAGCAGAGTCCGAGAAGAATACCAAGCGACCATCTTCCGAATGATCATGTATATCCGTCCACGTATTTATGCCCATGCCGACATAGTTGAATATTCTGTTGTCCTTGTATCCGATGAGCTCTTGGGCCACGGATGATGTTTGGCCGGACACTCTCTCATGACGGTGCTTGAGCAGATCGATTCTACTACTCCCACGGCCATTATCCAATGTACCGTTTGCAAGAGTGCCAAGCAGTGTCGTTTTGCCCGACGTGGTTGGCCCAATTAGAGAGACACGTAACTGCTCCGTTTTCGAGGCACGTCTTTCTGGAACAGGGGTCAATGAGCCGTTGGGTAACGAGCCCTGAGCAGAGACGGCGTCCTGATCCTTCTGCGGTTCTAGGATTGGGGTGACGAGGGCTTCTGCTACCCACAAATCTCCTTGTAGCACTTTGCCGATCGGGATGCCCTTGGAACCAGACGATTCAACCCATTCGCAATTCCCAACCGTCTTCATCCGTTGCACTTCCACACGGCACCCCAAACTAGCCGCCATGACCTTCAAAGTTGTCATACTCTCGTCCATCTCTTCCTTAGTCAATCCAACGAACGTCCCATCGTCCGACACCCCTATCTCGTACAGTGCGCCGTTTGACTCCTCCAGGCCCGGAAGCAGCTGCTGAGGTTTGACCAAATCCTCCATATCGTCACTGTCCTCTGGCAGCTTGGGAATGACAAGCTGCCCTTTCCCTGTGGAGTGATGTGGTGACGACTGCTGCAGTCTCCAGAGCAACTGAGTGGTCAGTTGCTGAAGGCGGTTCTGTCGTGTCTGCGCTGAGGAGGCCAACGGCACATTAGTTGGCCTGGTTGATTTCATTGGCCGAGCTGAGTTGGACTGCGGCGAGCCTGAGCCCTTTGAAGTTGTACTCATGAATGCATATGCTCTGCGGGCCCGCAGAAGAAGATGCAGCTTGTACTCAATGGGACCTTCTTGCGGCTCTGCCTCAAGCCTATACAGCTTGGGCTCATTGGCTTGGACTGACTCATTACCATAGCCGACTTGGTCAGTGGCTTCTGAGGCTGACTTCTTCGCCGTTTCCTCTGAAGCTAGCCAGGGTGACGACACCCGCGGAGGGTTATCGTCAAAAGTGAATATAGATGTCATGTTGAGGCTTATGACTGTTCGAGTCGAAAAGCCTCGTGGTATCCCTAAAGTCCCACCTACCCCGTTTTCCAAAAGGCTGGGTATGAATATACAATAGAGTTACCAATAGAAAATATACGTTGTGGCGGGTCGGTACTATAGTCGGTGTAAGGGTACTAAACACGTTTCTTTTTGTTTGGTTGCTATTGCATAGGCTCGTCGTATTCGTGGCATCATTTTTGTGACTTTCTAAGCTGAGCTGCTCTAGGACAAATGAAGTGGCCAACTAGTGTGAGAAGAGGTGGACGAAGTTCAGAAGTGGTGATGACTCCTGCGCAGGAACACCTAGGTCTGCATGGTCGGTGTTGAGGGTGAATTGCGATGATGTAGGTCCAAGGTGATGCTGTATTACTAGAGGGTTGAGAGAGAGGGGATGCGTATTTGAGAATGCAAATAGCGAAACTTTTATTTGGCTTATGAGATGCGCGATGAGTGAGTTGACCCGTTAGAGGTGCGGGTTCAGGGGTTCAGTACAAGTCGAACCAGACATTGGCACTACACAGACATGCCACCGCCTGTCAGCTGTCGGGCTACTACAATAAAGCCAGTTGGGCATGTACGGAGCCGAAGCTAGTTGCACGGTGAGGCAAGGTTGTAGTCCCGTTCACAACTTGGCTCAGCGGCCTCGGTACTGTGACGGTACCTACATAAACTAGGGAAACCGTATTGAATCAAATAGAGACGCCTTTCGATCAATCCACCATTGCCATGCGACCAAGATAAAAGAAATCCAGTCGCGGACAAGAGGTATGAGTTGTCATCACAATATCATTGCCAAACCTTTCGACTGAGGCACGGAAGAGAGCAGACCGTCCCAATCGATCGCCACTCCAGTGCTATTGCCGATAATTCAATTTGACTTTCCAGACAGCCCAATTTAATGCTTGCCACTGTCTGTGATACTGAAGTAATGATTGAGGCTGAGCGTGATTGACGCCCCAAAAAGTGATGTGGCCTCAACCTTGGAGCTTACGGATAGTAGGCTCAGCTGATCAGCGACTGACTGCAGCGATAAAGGAGTTCTAGGACCCTTGGAAGGACGGGTTGCCGTCGGCGATCAGTGGAGCGGCCAGCCGGTCCCTCTTTCTCGAAACGCACTTGACACTAAAAGCCCCATAACATTCATTTGAGCACTCACTTGATCTTTAAATCGAACCAAACATCCGCCTCTCGTATCAATATTTACCTTTCTTATTATTTAAGATCGCCAAAAGCCAGCATATCCATTTCGTTATTCACAACCCGCCTTCGATCGACCACCATTACGCCGTAACTGACAATGAAGAAATTCGGCTTCGGCAGCAAGAAGGAGAAGGGCGGCTCGCCAGCGTCGTCTGACAACCCCTATGCCCAACCTCAAGATGCCAACGACCCGTACGCCGGAGGCAAGCCCATGACGGGTCCACAAGCAGCATACAAGCAATACCAGCAAGCACCCATTGGAGGCGGGCTTCCCAGCGGCCCACGAGGCAGCGGTGGCCTCCCCGGTGGTCCAGGAGCTGCCCGAGGCGGTTATGGTGCGTCCTCGTTGAACCGCAACGGCAGCACTGCCTCGTCCGAGACCGCTCCTCCGCCATACAGCAACAACCAGTCCGCAGGCGGCTACGTCTCCGATCGCTACGGTGCCCAAGGCGGGTATGGCAGCAACCGATACGAGAAGTCCGGAGGCTACAGCACTGACGCGGGGGCAAGGGGCCCCGGAGGTTACGGTGGCCTCGGCCGAACCAACAGTGACGACACCGATGCGAACCGCGATGCCCTCTTTGCTGGCGCCAAGGATCGATATGCTACGAGACCACCGCCTGGACCGAGCGTACCAAGCACGGGAAGCGGGGGCTACGGTGCTTCTGGTGCCGCGTCTAGCTACGGCGGCTACGGCGAGCAGCGTGAACTCACTGCCGAGGAGCAAGAGGAAGCTGAGGTAGATGATGTCAAGCGCCAGATCAAAGAAATGAAGCTGGCATCTGCCAACTCGGCCGAAAACTCAGAACGCATTGCTGCCCAGGCCGTGGAGACGGCTCTGGGTACCTACGCAAGACTGGGTGCGCAGCACGAGCGTCTGAACTACACCGAGAGTCTCCTCGATAAAGCCAGCATTTCCACTCGCGAGGCCGAGGGCCAAACCAAGAAACTCAAGAGCCTGAACCGCAGCATGTTCGCGGTCCACGTGGACAACCCCTTCACCAAGAAGAAGCGTGAGACCGAGTTCGAGCAGAGGACGCTTGATCAACATCGAGCGGATCGAGACCTGCGCGAAACCACGCGCAAGGCGGGCTGGGAGGCAAACGCGCACATGGAAGCCGGTTTCAAGGAGATCGAGGGGTCCCGAAGCGTCAACAAGTGGGAGCGGGCCAGCGCAGCCGAGAAGAAGAAGTTTCAGTTTGAGGACGACTCGGAGGGTGACGAGGCCGAGGATCGCATCGATGATGCCATGGAGCGGACGGCCGGTCATGTCCACACACTTAATAGCGTGGCCAAGTTGATGGGCAAGGAAATCGATGCGCAGAATACTGTTATTGACAGTGTTGGCAACAAGGTAAGTTCACTGCTACATGCGCTCCTATACCCACCTATCGTTTTCAGTTTTGACTAACTTCAATCAGGCTACTACCCTTGACGACAGAGCCAAGCTGAACACCGAGAGGTTGCGGAGAATCCGATGATTGGAGCGGGTTTTGGCCATTCCGTTGCGTACGAAAATCGGATGTTGAATGTTGGCATAGACCTCCCTTAATGCGGGACAAATGGCGTTTCGGTGGACAGGACTTGATTGGTTACGAAAAAAGGTAGTTCTATAGAACTTCCGTTTGCAATCCTCCTTTCCTCGGACCCTGATCAATATTCTGGGCTTTCTTGGCTGGTGCTCGTACATCTTCATCTTCTATCATACTTTCACGGCCGCTGTGTGAATGAACACGATTGGACGGTATCCCCGAGTCCAGCCAAGCCAATCGCCCGCGAGACGTTACGAAAAACTTCAACCCAGGATGACACAGCCAGCGGCTTGTAGTTTGTACTACCATTATTGGCATTGTACAATCATCTTAAAGCCAAACCCACGCCCTAACTCAACAAATTTATAATCCAGTCCGCCTGTATAGCACTTACCTTCTTAGCATAGTTCTTCTGCGTAAACACATGCTCCAAAAACATGATGGCCTCCTTCTTCTGCCCGTGCAAAACACTCGAGGGGTGTATAGCCACGACGTGCTTTCCCTGAACCGTAACATAACTCCCATCCGGCGCCAACAACGCGCACTTGGTGACGAACCCCGTCATGAAGCACCGCAACAAGGACTCTGCGCGTTCGGGGGACAGGGGAATGAATGGTTGGGGATCCTGCGGCGGCTTCTCGAGGAGAATGTTCTCCTTGAGACACAGGCCGCGCAGCTGCTTGCGTATGTTCATCGCCTGCTTCATGTTGCGGATATTGACGCGCCGCTTCTTGCACCATTCGATGCGGTCCGTGTTTTCGGCGATGTATTGCTGCATCGTGGTGAGGTAAGTCAGGATGTCGCCCTCCCGGCGGTAGAGCTCTTTGCGAGTCTCTTCGGTCTCCTCTTGGATTTCTTCGGTGTGGAGTTGGAAGAAGATGTTCTCTCCTGATGTGATGCAGGAGATGACGTCGATCACCTCTAGGAGGCAGTCGAATTCGGGTTGGGAAGCTGCAAGAAGTACCCTGCCATAAGGTGCAGAAACCGGGAATAGAGCTATTTTCCTTCCGATTATTGTGATTTTGCCTTCATTGTCCAGTGCATCGAGCACATGGAGATGGATCAGCGCCTTCTTGACGGAATCATCATCAGGGAAGTCCATTAGAGGGAACGTCCGTACATCGTTGATGCCCCGAGCTTTCATCGTCAAAATCGCTCCCATGACATCGTTGCGCAGGATTTCAGGAAGGTCGGTGTCTTTCAGCCCCTCGTAAGTGTCGGCGGTATACAGCCGGAAGCATTTGCCAGCGCTCTCACGTCCCGCTCGTCCAGTCCTTTGCTTAGCGGAGGATTTAGAGATCGGCTTCGCTAGCAGCGATTCCATGCCCAGCTGCGAGCGGAATTGCTTGACCTTGGCTTTGCCCTGATCGATAACGTATCGAACTCCGGGGACGGTCACTGAAGTTTCTGCAATATTTGTCGCCAAAACCACCTTCCTTGTGAACTTTTTGGTGAGAGGCTGAAGAGCGGCTTGCTGCGCTTGTATGGAAAGCTGGCCATAAAGTGGGCACACCATCAATTTGGGCACATCTGAGGCCAAGGCCAAGCTGTATTCCTCCAGACGAGTCTGGGCCTCCTCGATATCTTCCTGACCTGTAAGGAAAGCCAAGATATCACCAGGAAGTGGCTCTTGCTCATGAAGTGTCGTGATTTGTTTGAAGAGTGCATCCTGAATATCTGGGACAGGTTTGTCCGTATGTTTAATCTCCACAGGGTATTGACGTCCTTTGATTAGAAGCAGTTGAAGTGCTTGATGGTGCACAGAGCCATCTGGATTTGGTACTGAGAAGAAATCTTGCAAGCGCTCCACGTCTGCTGTTGCACTCATGATCACAACCTTCAACGGAACACCACCGCGTCCGGCTTTGTCGCCCGTTATGATCTGCTTGAGGAAACCGGTGACCAAATCGACATCCACACTCCTTTCATGGATTTCATCGACAACGATGGCGCTGTATTCCCTCAGATTGGGGTCCCGTAGGAGTTCCTGAAGGAGCATGCCTTCGGTCAAGAATTTGATTTTGGTGCCTCGAGGGACGTTGTGGTCAAATCGGACTGAGTACCCAACATGGCCATCGCGTCTTCCATCCAGAGGCGTGCCCATCTCGCGAGCCACTCGATTAGCCAAAGTCGTAGCAGCAACTCGTCTTGGCTGAGTGATGGCAATCATGCCGCCGACCTTGACGCCCGGCTCCACCTCTTTTTTCCGACACCATTTCTCTTCACATAGAAACTGGGGAACCTGGGTGCTCTTTCCAGATCCAGTCTCTCCAACGACCAACAGAACATCATCGCCATCTTTTCTGATGCTTGAAGTGATTTCATTCCGATGGGCCCAGATCGGTAGTGCTTTCCTACCCTTCAGCATGGCATCATGTGACTGGCCTTTGGATGGGTTGGATTTCCGATCAGTCGCTCGTGGTGGTCTTCCTGGCTTCTGCGTGGGTTCTGGCTTTTTGGTCGCTTCTGCGTTGTGGTTGATTTCTGCACTTTGCGACTTCCCATCAGAGACTTCCTCTTCCCTGGGGGCTTCAGCAACCTTCGGTGCATTTACAGCAGCCACAGGCTTGGTGAGCTCTCCGGTGACCCTCGAAAACCCCAAGTCGACATATTTACCACCAATCTTAAAAAGGTGTTTATTGTCTTGTTTCCGTCTCTTGGGAGGCCGTTCGTCCGTCATGATAGCGTTGCTGGTGACTTGAAATCGTTCAATGAGGACGAACTAAAATTCAATAGCACATGGGTCTGGTGGAGTCGGAAATTTTCAGGAGAGCTGAAGTAGAGAGCTCATTGCGTGGCGGCCGGTCCAGCTGTCAGCCAGCTGTTTCTCAAAACTTTAGAATTCGACTTGCAGAGCTTCAAATGCGCTGGCATCGGAACTCACGAGACTGCATGTGGATAAATTCGTGGTAGATTCAGCATGTGTGATTAAAGTCAAGAACTTTCTTCAGGTCGACCACGTGGCCTGGATCGCGGGATATCTGAGATAGCTCCAGATCTAACTCATGTTCTAAGTACAGTTCATCACCTACTTTGCCCCTTATTAAACATCACCGTCGTGAGTTTACAGGAACCGACTTCACTCTGCCACGTTCGTATGCTATTCATTGATGTACACTGGGTGAATTTCCGACGTAGAAGCTGTTTCTGCACAATACGAAGCCCATCCTCGTTCATGTCTAGGGTATGTGAGTCGCCTCTGAATACAACTTCATCCTACAGTGCATATACATTGCTGTCTGCATTTACAACATAACGAGTTCAGTATTGTAGAACAAACGTACTAAGCCGCCTTGAACAACTAATCCTCCTCCTCTCCGCTATCTTGCTTCTCTCTAATCGCCTGCATCAATTCATACAATTGTGCAATTTGCTCGTCTAGTCGCATACATTAGTTCCACAGTCTGAATCCGCAAAGGAACGTAATTAAACAAACCACTCATCTTCTCAACCTTTCCCTGGTCAATCTTCTCACCCTTCCACGAGTCCCCCTCGATCTGTTGCGCATACAACTGCCACTCGGTCAAGAAACCTATCTATGCCGACTATGTTAGGCTCTCGTCTGGGGGCCGTTGTAACCAATTCTCATCAAGTTATCGTGCTTACTAAATGTGCTGGATTATCCACGTTCCTGTGGGCACGAAACTCGGATTTGACGTATTCATCTCCCAATAATCGCATTTCGGTGGGCAGATGGGTGCGATGTGCCCGTAATAAGCGGCGGTATAGGGGAATGGGAGGGAGCAGCGCCATGGGCGCTGGTCTTATGCCATTTGTTGCGGTGGCTGTCGCCAGTAATCTTAAGGAGGCTTTCATGGTGATATGTCGCGAATTTCACGGTTTCCACCTAGTTTCATAGACGAAAAATAGTGCTTGGTTGAGTGGCCTGATAGATTCAATTACAAGTTTGGTATCTATATTTTATGATGAATTGGAAATGCAGCTGCCAGGACCGTAGACCTCAGTAGCTGGTGGCGACAGCTGTGAGGAATGTGTTCCAGGTGGCAGAATTTTGCACAGTGTCTTACTTGCGCGTATTGGCGAATGTTCGCACTGTCCTAGATCACTTACACATGCTGGGATACGTCAAGAATATGAAACGGGTTCGTCGCCAAACTTCGAATCGATACCGGAGAACTTGAGGGAAATATCCACATGTTTATGAAATGGTGTGCTGGCTAGGGTAAGACGTATTCATCATTATAATATACTGCCCAGCTACTTTACTCGTAATGCTAGGTAGACGTTCCATGTCTATAGGTATATATAAGTTCACAGGCTGTGAACAATGTGCTCTCTTCTCTTCTCATCCACAATAGCAAACTGGCCACTCACAGGTCGTATTGTGCGCATTCAGGAACGCATTACAGCCTTGCACTGGCTGCTTCCTTGTCCAAATACCAAGTAGTATTGGCATTAGGATCCAACTCCTTAGACGAGAATCCATTCCCCAGATAGCTAAACCTATTCTGAGAGGCGTTGTCGTATACGTACTCCCAGTCCTCACCTCTGAACTGTTCCAGCATGTGGAAGAAATGTATACGGCTTCCGGGGTGCAGCGCGGTCACAGGTCCGTATTCTTTCCCACCCTTGAACCAAGAACGGCCGGGTGCACTCCACGCCGTGCGAGGCATAAACGCGGCGATGTGTTCGCTATAGTCACGGACGGCAGCGTCTGATGGCACGATGGCTTTGATGCCCTCATTTTGGCATTTGCGAATGATTCTCGTGACGTATCTAGCGATGTGCTCAGTCAAAGTGAACACACTACCGTGCCCAATCGGGGCGTTTGGTCCAAAGAAAGCTAGTCGAGGTGTCAGTTACACGGATAACTCTAGGAAGTAGTGATTCCAGCTTACTGAAGTAGTTTGGTACTCCTGCTAAAGCGCACGACATGTAGCCTTTGGGCGTCTCTTGCTTCATGATGTCTTGGACATTTCCGTGCCTCCCTACCACGGGAAAACGGGGAGAAAATGAGTTATCAAACCCTGATGCGCAGATGATGGCGTCCAGCTCAACGATTGCTCCTGACGTCAACTGGATCCCTTCAGGCACAACTCTAGCGATGCCATCTAATACCAGTTCGACATTCGGAGCTCTGAGGGACTCCAGATATCGTGGTGCTGGTGTGATCCGCCGGGTGCCAAGGGGGAACGTTGGTACCAAAGCCTTGCAAAGCTTCTCGTCTCCTCCAAGACATGCCGTCATGTACTGCGTAACCTTTTCAGTGGCAAATGCTTGGACGGGGCTACCAGTGAGGATCTGGGGGAAGGCAAATCAGTTCTCTGATCCACACAAGTAAGCATTAGAATAATCTCACAGTGGGGAAAAATCTGTTACTATCGCATTCAATGGCCTTGACGAACTTTTCGTAGAATTCGGGTTGTGTCTTGAACTTCTTGATCTGGGCGGGAGTAAAGTTCTCCATTTCGTCCATTTCAATCTCGCCGAGTATCTCCTGTGCAGGACCGCCCATCATCATCATCGACATGACCCTTGGTGGTACGATCCATGTTGGGGTGCGAATTAAATGATAGAGTTGCTTGGCATCTGGTTTCAGTGTTAGAATATTCCAGTATGGGGGGTTGGTGGACGCGGCAGCACGCACCTGGTTGTATTGCCGGCACGATTTGAACGCCCGTCGAACCATTGCCAATGACTGCGACAGTCTTGTCGGCCCAGTCGAAGTTTTTCGGCCAACTGGCAGTGTGAATCAGGTCGCCTTGAAATCGGTCAAGGTTCGCCAAGCTCGGCCATTTCCAATTGCTAGAATACTTATCAGCCAACAAGTCCCTAAGTACCGGTGATTAGGGTCGAGTAACGAACTTCAAAATGCCTGAAGCATCAACAATAAAATTGGCCTGGTCTCGAAAGTCCTCGCCGGTTGACAAGTTCCGAATGCTCACATCCCACAACCCCCTAGCTTCGTCCCACCACGCACCTGTCACCTTGTGTTGAGTCTTGATAACATCTGACATGCGCTCTTCCTCGCAAACCCGCCATAGATACTCCTTGATTTCCTCTGCGGGTGAGAAGAAATTGGACCAGTCCGGATTGGGCTTCCATGAGAACTGATAATTGTGTGAAGGGACGTCACATCTGCACCCCGGATAGCTATTCTCCTCCCACGTGCCTCCAACGTTGTCGTTCTTCTCATAGATGACATGCTCGTAGTTGGTCAAGTTGTTGCGCAGGGTTCGGACCATGTTGATGCCGCTCGCACCTGCCCCAATCCCAACAATCCTAATATGTTTGGCACTGCCCAGCGGTTTCTCCAGGACAGAATAGGACGCATTAGCTGCAGAAGCAGAAGCGTCAGTACTATGGCCATTGGTGATGATGCCGTGTGCAAGCTGAGATGGCCGATGGCGCGTCATATTGATCATGGGAATTGGGAAGGAAACTAACCAGAAGCCATGACTGATGCTCGAATATCTCGAGCTTTTATACTGAGTGCAGGGTTTCTGTCATGTGGCCATTGAGGGTGAACTTTCGTGTATCTTAATCATGACAAGCAGCCCAGCTGAAAGGGAGCCAAGGTGAATGGCCAACCAAAAGAATCGGGGACGATTTGCTAGGAAGCTGAACCTGGTAATCAGCGTATCTTAACCTACCATGACTAGAGTCGGAAGACTAGGAGTAGGTGGCTTCCAATGTCGTATCAGGGTGTATGCTTGATAGCTCGACATGCCGACATCTGGTCAATACCGATAGGTCTTTGGCTCCTTCCCAAGCTTGTTGCAGAAGCCGCCGCAGGCAGCCTGCTAGCCGATTCCGAGCCGCAGACTGCATGCCGTGTCGTTTACGATTCACTTGTTGCCATATGCCATGAAAACCTGCCCAGAAGATCCCAGCAGTGAACAGCAAACCAGAGCCAATGACAACTCGTGACATGAGCTGTTTAGGTGGTCGACATGCGCTCTGGAGCTTTGCATCGTATTCCGTCCAACCACAGCGTCCGGCCCCACACTTTGCAACTCTTTCGGCGGCCATTGAGACAAGAACCGTCCGACTGCGGCGTTGCTGGAGGTGCCCGGCATCTGGTGTTAGACTTGACTAGCTTCATTTTCTATCACTTTGGCTTGATCTGTGGATCCGTAAGAAACAGGACGTTGACAAAGGATCAGGTATGTTAACATGGCAAGGTGGGATCCGTCCAGTTGGGATATGGATTCGGTAAAAACCCCGAAGATTTGCCCCCCCCTCAAAGCTACGCCATGATGATTCGCTGTAACTGCCCCAACAGGGGTGCAGTATTCCCCGTTTTGACCATGCGGGCCCTCTCATGATTGAAGTCCGCCTTGGAAAATCGTAAAATCCCACAGAGCAACTCAAGCTCTGAAAATTACCAGCTCTCGGTCTCTGTCCTATCAGCAAACTCAATTGTCATTTGCGGGCCTATTTCAATTCCCAACGAGCCATGTCTGGACAGTTTGCCTTCTCGTTTGCTGGCGACGACATTGATGAGGAGGATCAAGTAGGAACCAACGCCACCAGTATATCCACAAAGCAAACAACGGCGGCACCATCAAGCGCATTTCCTGTTGCTGGCAAACCGTTGATACCCGCGAGACGCCATGACTTGAAGAAAATGCTATCTGAGCTCCCCTCCAAGATTGCTTACAGCGTCTTGGATGTCGACTTGGACGGAAATGGAACAGTTCGACTACCTCGGCGAGAACTGTGGGATGTGCGGGTTCAGCTGATGGCAGAGGACGAGGGCGGCGTCGGTGGCGAGGCGGAATCCGGTCTTGGCAGCCACGACGTGAAAACCGGAGTTTACGAGGGCGGGTTCAAGAGCTGGGAGAGCAGCGTCGATCTTGTCAAGGTGCTTGCGCAATCGCAATCGTTTCTATCGTCGCAGGATGGCACTCCTTGCGTTATTGAGGTAACTATTCGAGGTAAAAATGGACATCAGGAACGAGTTCTAATCCTCTCTCTGCAGCTTGGCTGCGGCACAGCCCTCCCATCTTTGGCGCTCTTCCAGTGGGCTGCTGCATTGGGGCCAACTGGCCAGCCTTCTTCGCTATCTATTGTCCTGGCCGACTACAACCCGACTGTTCTCCAGCTTGTGACACTCCCAAACTTCATTCTATCTTGGGCTCTCCAAGCTCTCCAACATCAGCAAACTTCGTCTATCGTGGCAGATGCGCTTTCTTCTGAAGGCGAACTGGAATTGTCCGGAGGAGTTATCCAGGCCTTTGAAGGATTCCTGACTGAGCGCAACATTACTTTGCATTTCCTTTCCGGTGCATGGTCGCCAGAATTCGTTGAGCTCGTCAAGGCGTCTCAACAGAGTGTCCTTCGCAGTGGCTTCAGACAGCGGACGGTCATACTGGGTGCTGAGACCATATACTCCCCATTCGCCCTCCAATCTTTTACTGAGACCGTCTTCTCCCTTATGGAGCAACAGGCGCAAGGAAACGAGGCCGAGGCCCTCATTGGTGCAAAGAAACTCTACTTCGGAGTTGGCGGCTCCCTCGACGACTTTGTCATGAAGGCAAGAGGACTCGGTGCGGTAATCGATCAACTACGAGAAGAAACCGAAGGGGTCCGTAGGGGAGTGGTTCGATGCGCGCTTCGCCCTTGATAACTGCCGCTCCATACCTAGGTTCTGACCTCGAGATCTACTTCGCAGAACTCAAGGGGTTGTGCCGCAACCAAAGAATCACGCATGAGCTTCTCCGGGAAATACCCGGCCATACTCGTTCGTTTACACGAATCGAGATCCATGTTGAGCTGAACTTGCCCGGTCAGACGCCTTCAACTTGATGTCGCCTAAAGTATAAAAACTGTCTTGCATAGCTCTAGGCACTCAGCCGCAGAGTTTGAGCTAGTCGGCGCTCAGTCACCGCTGCAGACCTTACTACTTCGCGAGACGTCGCCCGTGCGTTGTCGTTACTAATCATTTGAACAGTGCCATGCAGCCCACAACAACGGAAACAACCTCCCAGTAGCTGTAAGTTTGCCGGAAGTGACGACATTTACAAATGCCACCAAGTCCATCAACATGTTTGATAAGCTTTGTTTTCATGCCGAAGAACGCTACCTGAATCAAGTGGAATGTTCAGACGTGTCGCATCAACGAGGAAAAAAACACATATTGCGTGGAACAGCTGCTGGCCCCCTCTCATCCATTGCGCTTTGCATCGCGACTGTCAAGATCTGCTAGGGGTCCAGGCTACCATTGCCAAGTCATCTTCGCCAGTCATAACTGAGATCCGAGGACACGGCTAACAACCGCTAAGTCTTGGTGAACTAAGACGAACATTATTTTCCCCTGAATAATAAGCAAAGAGAAGACCCAACATAGATCAGACTACTCTGAAGTACTGCAGCTGGGATTGGGAATTTCTTTAGAGTTCATCTCTTGTCCTTAATAAACATGGATCACATGGTGTCAAATCTCTATTTTTGACGTATTGAAACCTGGTAGTGCTGAACGTCATCCGGTGTTGATGAATTTCCCAGATGCTAGTCTGCATATCAGCATATCTGGGGAACATATGCATTCTTGAAGCCCAACGCTATAAACCGATCTATATGGGGATTAATGCAGGAACCACACCCCGGGAATCAAAGTTGGTCTCGCGAGATTGTGACGGCCCCGCCAATACGGATTAGGACCACTGACCGTTGAGAGATTATGTCGCAACCCGATTGCCATTGCGCCATATGGTGCACCTGATGGGATAGTTGAAACATACTACGCCCTAGGAACAGTTCGAAAGAGTAGCAGCAAACAAGGCAGGAATACTATTGACACGCCGATTGCTCTCATCACTCGCTAGTGGTTGCTCTTCGCGCGAGATCTCAAGTCGTTTTTAAAAACCACGACGCGGGCCGCCAAGATCGTCTTACAAGAACAGGGTCCATGTTTACCTGCGACAGCATTTTCCTCAGCCTAGTCAGAAAAAGGCCGCGCGAATGAGGCGGGTAAGTTGCCAGAGAAGACCATGCACTCACTCACTGGTCATACTGTATCAGCATTCGGATTTCAGCCCTTTGGGAGAAATCGCATGCGCTCATCTGGCGGGCCTGATGCAAGTGAGATGAGAGTCCAATAGACTGCCCTCAAGCGGTAAAGCGTCATTTCCATCCCTGCCACGGAAAAAAGTCAAGAACAATATCAATGGCATATCCTAGCAAGCATGGTGACCAATCAAGACGCGTTCCAGATCACTGAGACTGCTTATTGGCATGATGCCAAGTGTTTTCCAGCTTGCAAAGTACTGGGTAACCCGATAGAAGGAATTACTAGCAGGAAAATTGTCAAGCTAATAGACGGGTACGTCGGGCGCAGGATGTCCAATTTGGGAACGGATTAATAAGGTCACATTTTGAAGGGGGTGATGGGGGGCGCTGGAAGGCTAGACAGCCAGAGCGGAGGAAGGTGAGAAGGTAAAGTCTGCTCATCTCGCGTGTTGTGATTCCTTCTCTCCTTCCTAGATCACACACACTTTCTGTGCCTAATAACTTAATCGTATTTACACTCTCTTGACATCGGGCCTCGCCTCGTCCTCCTCACACTACAACCCTATATTCCTATTAATCAACCGCGGTTTTATACTGGTACGTCGCTTACAGCCCAGCCCAAACACTCCGAATCATGGTGATGCTTGTCTATCGCGCCTGCCTTGGCCTCCCGTGTTTGGTACCATGGAGCTCGACGGGGCAGCACAAATGGCATCGAGCCGATCGTGTTTCTGAATCACGTCACACTTTCGACCCCTACTTGAACCCCGAATTTCCAAACTTGCCTTCTTTAATTTCCTTCCCACAAACCACCCCAGGCGACATTGCTGACCAATAACAACAGCCACCTGCTTCTCTACTCTCGTTTAATCAATTCACGACGCCCACAGCCCAAGATGAAGTTCATCGCATCCCTCACCTTTGCCGCCCTCGCAGGACTGGCTACCGCCAAGGTTATATTGACCAACAGCGACTACAATGTTGTGGCCGGCGAGACCTTCACGTTGACCTGGGCTGATGCCACGAGTGCCGTAACCATCAACCTCAAGAATGGTCCCGCGGGTGACTTGGAGACAGTCCAGACGCTCACATGTAAGTCAAGATGATAATGACGGCCAATCGCTGCCTATTAACCAATGTATATAGCCAGCGGAGGCAGCCCCGCCGGATCCTTCGCTTGGGCCGTTCCGTCGACACTTACCTCGGACACCTACAGCTTCGAAATTATCAGTGGTGACGAATCCAACTATTCGCCGCAATTCCAGTTCTCGGGAGCGGCTGCCAGCACCTCTACGACCGAGAGCAGCTCATCGAGTGAGACCGCTACTGCCACCGAGACCTCCACAACGACGACTGAGTCTAGCACTGCCACCTCTACAGGCAGCTCCACTCTGACCACGAGCACCACCGGCACTGCCTCGGTGTCTGCCTCGAGCTCTGCCACCAGGAGTAAGCGATCCACAGCCGACATTCCCAGACTTGATGCTAACAGTCTATCGCAGCTTCTTCCTCTGTGGCAAGCAGGACCTCCGCAGCTTCCACCTCCACCACCAGCATTGTTAACACCAACGACGGCCGCGGACTCGCTGCGCCTGTGGCTCCCCTGCTCATCGCAGCTGGTATCGCTATTGCCGCCCTATAGGCAACCTTCACTCTACGAGATTCGTGTTTCTGCTCTTTGTGTAAATATCTGTGCAGGCCTGTGCAGCAGTCTATTTGATGGTGCATTGGGCACGCGAATATGTTATACGAAATGGACGTCGATGTTGGCCCAGGCTAGAGTAGTCGTCTTGGAACGTTGCCGCACACTTGCTCATAGTTGCGTAAATTCAATCATGACAGGTCTTGAACACTAAATTCTGCTCCCTGTCCTGGTGCTAAATGCAGTAGCACTTCGGCACATCCCGATGCCAACATCTCATCTGTTTCATTGGCCGACATCTCAGCCTCCTGGCATAGCTGCTACGAGTACATAAACATGAACACGTCGAGCTATCATCCCATCCCACCCTTCGCGCTGCTCTCTAATGGAATAATCAAACGAACGATGAACAGCTACCAGGGTGTTGACTCGCGTGCTTTCCGGTATATCCGAAAGCTCCATTCACCTCGGCCCCAACCCAGCCTTCGGCGCAAGGTTGGATGGCATCCCCGGTGGCCGATGGGACCCGCCAGATCAGAATCTCGAGTGACACAACTTTGCCTCATCGAATAGATGCATACGTACGCGTGCGCAGCTATTTATCCATTCTGGCAAATGCCGAGGCTAGACGAATGACATATGAAGGAAGCTGCTGCCGTGGCACCTCAACGTGCAAGTTGTGTAAATTGACCGATCAGGCGGGATTACTTGGGTGGGTGGTACGACTTGAGAGCCTGCTGTGAGATCCTCTTTGGGTAGTTGGAAGGAGGCATAAATATAGACTAGCGGGGTAGGTGATGGTGATGTCTGACTAATTGTGTCGTGAAAAACTAGTTGGGGGTTGGGTGGATATCTACCTGCTAGATATATTTGAACAAGGGGCAAGTCAGAGGGTGAAGGAAGCTGCTAGCTGGTTGAGGAGATGAACCACTATCCCACCCCGAACCGAATAATTCGCTTTCATAACTCCAGCTAGCGGTAGAATCTGTGACGTGACTCTCCTTGGTGAGATACAGAAAGCAAACAACGCGCGTTGGTGTGAACTCAGTTGTATACACGTACCACACCAGCGAAAACCTCACTCAGAACGAGGTAGCGTATGATTCTGATCGGCGATGCTACAAGCATGAGCGCAACAGGTGTTTTTTGTCTAGATTTGAACAGAACAGAAACAGCCTCGTAAATGCCGCATAGTTTGTATCTGATCTACCTTGGTTGTACAAAAAGATAAAATACCCTCCGTGGTGATGCCCAATATGCTGATGCGAATGCTTTCTTTTTCCATGCCCATTTGCTGTTTGTCCCCGAAACGCCAGAGCAATGCAAAAATGATGACCCCATTATATGTTGAATGGTTGTTCGTCTATCCCAAGGTATCACATCCCGTACTTCTCCTCATTATAGCTTGGCCTTGGTGGCCGGGCCTTTGCCATCTTCCGATACGACTACAACCACCACACAAATGTCGTCGACTTTGCCTCCGTGCCAGCCCTCCTGCGGATAGTACTTCTGTACTTCTTTGGCGAATGGGCCGTCGACCCGCTTGTTCATACTGGCCGCCTTGGCCGCTTTCGTGATCTCCAGCGCGAGTGCACTTTGGAGCGTGGCGGGGCGTTGAGTCGATTCCTCAGCTTGGGTGAGAGGCGCCAGGTCGTCCACCACGCGAGTGCCGCCCTCGGACACCTGCCATGCGCCGCTTCCCGTCATCAGCCGGCTCGCGATCCGCAGAATATCTTGGTTGAACAGGTTATCCCACAGTCCGTCGCTAGCGACTACCAAGATGTCGCCGTGCTTGAGGGTGTGCTTCGTGACGTCGGCGTCCTTGGGGTGGTCGCAAAGCTGCGCACCACCGAACGCCGCGGCGCGGGCGAGCATGCTGGCTGGGATCACCGAGAGCTGATACGGCGTGTTGAAGGCATGCGTCTGGGGCTCCGAGTAGCTGTGTACCGCGTTGAGGCGCAATTGTACGAAGCCAGAGTCTCCCAGGTTCGCAACGTCTAGCGTGCCATCCTCAGATGCAATGGCTACGCATGCCGTGCTCCCTCCTGCCGGTATACTCCGATCGTTGCAGACGTCATCATATCCTTTTTGCATCAGTGACCGAGCAGTCAGCGGCGGTCCGCTGCCGTCGGGCTTGTATTCGTACGCACCGGCCGCCATGTAGTCGCAGAATCCGTGAGAAAAATCGGCAGGATCCACCCCGCTCTCCTCCCAGCCTCCCACGCCGTCAGCGACGCCAAATGCGATAGCATTGCTGTCTCCCATACGCGCTATGAAGAAGGCATCCTGGCCGCTGGACGGTCGCTTCGATTTGGGGCGTTGCGTCGATTGTATGCGGTTGTATTGGTTGAAGTGGAATACGCTCGTGACGGGATCGAATCGAGTGTATTTTCCGCTGAAGGAGGCGGCGGCATGGTATGCCACCTTGCCCATGGAGGTTTCGGTGTGTTGTAATTGAAGGCCGGCTTGCGCTGTGAAACGTCGAGTCTGGTCTAACCTTGACAAGGCAAGGCGGTATATTGGAAGCTTCGATGGTCGAGCCTGAGCGGGCAACCTCCTGCAATGCAACAGGAGTCGTGGCGGTATCGTGGCCATTGGCTTTTGGAGATGCAAGACCACAAAGTCTGCATGAATAGGACGAGGAGCTTAATGAATCTTTTATTAGGGGGACATCGTAGTAAGATACTACGGCTCATGTCATATAAGTGCACCAGGTAATGAAGAAACCGTCTCGATCTGTGATTCGGTCAGAATTGCGCTGCGGCAAGTTGCGGAAGTATAAAAAAAGAGCCCGCTGATCGTCCACTATCGCGATAACAGACCGCGATCATTCCATCGAAGGTTGCCAAGATTGCTCCAGGGCTAGGTTTGGAGAAATTGGCAACTGGGAGCACGTCACTCGCAGACGGCCCGACTGTACTTTCCAGCAGTCGCTCGCTTCAGAGTGGATACCAGGACCTAACTCTAAAAGCTTGCAGGCTTATCTCAGTGTCCGCATCAAATCACCTGGGCCGAGCAACACGCAAATCTCATGTGCTGCAGGTGCTTCCATGAGAGTAAACACGGCTCTCGACTCACACTTCTTAGTGAACAACTTAGGCATTGTAGTTCTTGGCTATTGCTTTGTTGCTTGAGGCAATCTGGATTTGGGGATATTCTTTCCTTATCCACTTGCCTGCACTCCAGTTTTCTTGGCGGGCAAAAGGCATGAATTTGGTGAGATAGGGCCTCCACGAAAATCCCGAGTGAATAATTAGGGTGCTGTGATTGGTCAGGGGTTTGCCGAGGGATTGAAGTCGGGACTCGGATCGCGAGTGTATGATGAAGACATTCTTCACAATCCGTTGCCACTGCTCCAGATTGGCCTTGTACTGTATTAGGACGAAACCTTAATTGTCGTTATTCAGAAGCTGGATTTAATCCCTTTTACCAAATCCCATCCCTTTTTCCTCTTACCTGGTTATCAGAATCCAGCTCGTATATCCTAAATCGCCTACCATGGCAGCTCTCCGCTCTACTTCGTCACGGCTCTTGGCCACCGCATCGCGACACGCCTTCAAGTCGACAGCAGTCATGAGCCGATCCATGGCCTCTGTTGCTGATGCCACTGTCGAAAGCAGCCCGAACGCCAGCTCCGACTCGCGAATGAAGTCGATCCAGGTGTACCGATGGAACCCCGACAGCCCAACTGAGAAGCCCCGGATGCAGACGTACAAGCTCGATCTTAACAAGACGGGACCCATGGTGCTTGATGCTCTAGTTCGAATAAAGAACGAGATCGATCCCACTCTGACCTTCCGTCGGAGCTGCAGAGAGGGTATCTGCGGCAGCTGTGCCATGAACATCAATGGCACCAACACTTTGGCTTGTTTATGTATGCGGTACCATGCATGGTGTTGAGCTCTTTCAGCACTCACAAGACGGGTAAACTAATCAATGCATCAGGCCGTATTCCCACGGATACCAGCGCGGAAATGAAAATTTACCCACTACCTCATACCTATGTCGTCAAAGACCTCGTCCCCGATTTGACGCATTTCTACAAACAATATAAGTCTATTAAGCCATACCTCCAGCGCGACACGCCATCTCCGGACGTAAGTTGGCCACATTGATTTGCGCCACATGTTCTAACAACGTCGCAGGGCAAGGAATATCGTCAGAGCAAGGCGGATCGTCGCAAGCTCGACGGCCTTTACGAGTGCATTCTCTGCGCCTGCTGTTCAACATCGTGTCCCTCATATTGGTGGAATTCTGAGGAATATCTCGGCCCCGCTATCCTTCTGCAATCCTACCGCTGGCTGGCCGATTCGCGTGATGAGAAGAAGGCGCAACGAAAGGCCGCACTCGACAACTCAATGAGCCTGTACCGATGTCACACGATTCTCAACTGCTCAAGAACTTGCCCTAAGGGTCTGAACCCCGGTCTCGCCATCGCCGAAATCAAGAAGGAAATGTCGTTTTAATCGGTTGGCGGTACTAGGCGAGTTGGCCAAGGCATCGAAGTAAAGAAGGGTATAGATGTAGAGTGGGACAAACGACTGTACAAATTTTCTGTTAGTTATGGTTTGCGCCTTTGGGATTTTGTCTCGGATCGCTGTACGCCAGTGACTGTGTTCCTTTGTATGAGCATGGTCGGAGTTATGTCAGTTTAAATAAGGTACGGTTGTGGAATTGAAGTCGTTCACTTTGAACTAACCTTTCCCTCTCGCCCACTGTAGGCGATACTATGGAGCGATCGAGCACAAGCGTCCCGTATGACGCCGGTTCTCCTCTAAATATCAACCAATTTCTCGCGCTCGGTACGGTTCTCCTCTTCCATGTCTTTTGTTTGGTCCCCTGTAGCCACATTTTCATGCAACTCCCGCTCCAAACTATCATCTACTCCATCTGTCCTACCTTCCTCTCCCTTAATCTCGCTCCCCCCACTACACGCCATAGCCCTTCGTTCCCCAGCCCGTCTCTCACCACCATCTCCATATCCTGTGTTTGTCCATCCAATTATCCCCTCCCACCTCTTCCGCGGGCTCCAATAGCTGCTGCCTAAACCACCGTACATAACCCATCCCATATGGCCTGTCTCGTACGACATCCGCATAGCCGCCAACCACCAGCCCGGAAAATCACTGAGTCCCACCTCCCGCAGCCCCTCGACCGTCTGTGGCATCGCGTGTTGGTATCGGCATACAGGTCCCCATTTGCACGTGCCGTAGTGGCACCAGTGTCGGCAGAAGATGTTGGATGTGCTGTTGTTGTAGCTGCCGCCGCGGTGGTGCAGGTGTTTGGGGTAGTAGCCTGTTGTTGCTGTCGAAGAGGAGGGGAGTGGGGAGGAAGTAGAGGAGGGAAATGGGGATGCGGAGGTGGACAGGAAGCATGATGCGGGGTGAGGACCATGGTGGGGCCAGAGGAGGGGGTAAGGATTGCTGGGCACGGTCGAGGACGCGGGTGGAGATGGGAGGCGGGGGTTAAGGGGGACGATGGGGGTTTGATCGTTGGCGTTGATGGTGGTAGGCCTGTGGTCCTTGATGGGCTTCGTCTTGGACAACGGTTTGGGGTTGGAGTCAAAGCCTTGGGGTTTGCTGTGGGTGATGGTGCTGGAGGTCTTGGATGAGGGGCTGTTGGCGCCGCAGCTGGTGCTGTGCGGATCGTTGTCGTTGATCTTGCGGATGGGGTACACATGGGTGTTGTCAGCCTTGCCGTTGTTGCTATTGTTCTTCTTGTTGGAATTCGTGTTGGCATTGCCGATGGTGAAGGCCCTGGCGGAGAGATCTATGCGAGAGCTAGAGCTCGATGGATTTATGTGGGACGACGACAATCCAGTGTTACGTCCAGAAGTGTGGCTGTTCAAGTCTTCAGAGCCATGATAAGGGGAAGCTGCCGTCATGAGTCTGACATCGTTGAGCAGGTGGACGTCGTAGTAATCAGAGGACCTGGCGACAGTTCCCAGATTGCAGAGGCCCATCGTCTGCTCTACTGTCAAGTCGCGGGGGATGCCGACAACGTCGAGCCACTCCGGCAGCTGATCAATGGGAATCAGAGGCACAATGGGACCAGGGATCATGGCAGTACCCGAAGCCGTGTGCTTGGTTGTTCCGGGGCGAACAAGGAAGTGCTGGGGTAGGGGTACTTGTTTTGAGGGCGAAGAGTTGGAGACTCGGTGATCTTCGGTCTGGTGGTTAGGAGGCATGACTGCGATATGCTGGGCCTTGGTTTCTTGATTTGGTTCTGGTCTTAATGAAATTGCAGCTGGCATTTAGACTTGCACGAAGCCGCTCAGACTCTAGAATGCTGTGGGGTTTGGTCTGCTGATAATCATAGTCAGTGAGAGAAAACACACATGCAAATATGTATGACCTGGAGGTTAAAAACTAAATATTGACTGTTTGTACTCCAGTGCTACTGCTGAGTTTTGTCAAATTGATTGTCTAGCTTTCGTTTGCAGTTGGATGTATGCTTCAGGAAAACACTAGCCAGCCAGGAAAACTCGCACCGATTTAGAAGATCTATAGTGTATTGAGGTGTATGATATGAAATCTCGAATGAGGCATAAAAGGCATCTTTAAGTACCACAATATTGTTGCATGTCCATGGGTGCCATGATGGCAATGCTGTGATATCATGGTCAACGCACTTCAACCCTGACGTTTGCCTGTAACCCGTCCACGCAAAAGCCAAGCTGCCGTGGCCCGTCTTGCAGCTCAACCTCACGCTTGATCCACTTCCCACCTTTCCTGCCGACAAGCGAGGCATTATCTGCCAGTCCATCAGTATCTGTTGCTGCTGCACTGGTAGCTTCCGGCGTTGCTTCATCCTCACTGTTGTCGTCAACTTCATCGTCGAATCCAGCCACGGGATCAAACTCCCCTGTTTCCCAAATCAAACGGAGTCCTAGCGGATATTTTTCAAATAGCTTGCCTGCAATTCCCTTGACTCTGTAAATGTCAAAACTCATTGGTATCTTGGTGGTTCTGTACACAATCTCGCCTTCTTCTGGTTGGAAGGCAAACTGTACCGTCACAAGCCTGGCCTCTAGGAAGGCGGGGTTGATCTCCTTTTTACGATTTACAACCGGTGTGCCGTACAGATCGCATAGCTCCGTGTACCGCTTATGCTGCTTGATGACTTGCGCCTCCTCGGCCTCAGGCACGGCGGCCAGGTGTTTGCCGATGCGGGCGAGGTAAAACATCTCGGCATCCTGACGATTGTTTGCTGAAATGCTGCCAAAATTGAGAGACTTGAGTTTCGCCATACGACCAACGGTGATCATGTATGCTTCTTCCGTGATAACCTTGGAGTGTTGGGAGAACTCGGGGTCGGGGTTATCATAGATGGGGTTGTGGGCGAAACGGAGAGAAACCAGACCGGGACAGCTGGCCGGCAAGTCGTCGATAAAAGACCATGTAGTGACCTGGTTGTAAGAAAGGTCTAGATACTGAACACTTTCCGAGAACACTGGAGGTGCATCTACAGTGTTGGCGGATAAGGCGCTAATATTGTTTCCCTTGAGATGCAGGTTGCGGAGGGACTTCAACTCGGACAAGCTTGCCAGATCTGCAAAGCTCGTAAACTCGTTCCACTCGAGATTCAAGGACGTCAGTGTGAAAGACAGAGTCAAGAAAGGTGTTGGTGGTAATGATGGCAGTTGGTTCATGTCCGCCGACAACGTGGCTAGGGCTGGGAATCTGGTAGCCACATGGCAAACTTCCTCCCAGCTCATGAGGGTTTCCTCCACGGCGAGATCCTTGACATTGCTGAATATATTATGGGCATCATGCAGGATCTTGTCTTGCAGGATGTTTTGAAAACGGTTGCCACTGAATGTTGTTAGCTGTCTGTCTGCATATGGTACTCTCGAAAGTCAGATGTTCTCACTTCAGCCGTACACTTCGCAACGCAGGAAGCTCTGAACAAATCTGAACAACTGTGCCGATTCGAGTGAACAAGTTGCGACTGAAGTCAGCCTCCACAATCTTGGGACACAAGTCACCGATGCGCTCGTCTCCATCGGCATAGTCGTATGCGATACGGGTGCCGTCCACAATGGCAAATTTCAATTCGGCCAGATCCGCCTGCCGGCGACGAATCTTCTCAAAGCCCACCTCCTCGGCGATCTTGCCCGAGAACTTGATCTGGGCGCTTGCTGCCGATATCTCGGACGTGTACTTCTCCTTGAGCGCGGCGACAAAGCTTTGAGGGGTTTCGGCGGTGCGCGTGGGTCGCACAAATGACGCCGCTGTGGGCGCTTTGGATTTGCCTACGGGGCATTAGAGAGGTTCCTTTCAATGTGACAAGAGAGGATTATAACTCGCATGAGAAATACCGCTTCCCCTTGTGGGAGCCGTCATGCTTTCCTCGGGTGGCCTCGTCCCATTCCACGCCGATCCAGCTGCCGGAGGTGCCAGTAACTTCACCAATATAACGGACGGTGCATAAGGCGCCGTCATATGACAGCCGATCTCCGACTTGGACTTGGACTTGGACTGGCATGGCTGCAATTTTCGCGATCTTCACTACATCTTCGAAATATTTTGATTGGACAGAGACACGTACCTGTGGAAACCTGGCGATGGACGTTTGTATGTTCAAGTGTAAAATTTGACTCAATGATCCATCAGGCAACGAAATTGTCTGAAATGGGCGGCAACGCTTTGGACTAATTTATCAACACAACACATCAATGTATCTTCTTTCCATTACTGACCACCATTTTCATACAGAACTCAAGTTGCATTTATGGTTTTCGACAGACTATGTATAAAATGCCTGCTGATATTCAAAACAAATTCATCCATGATTTACAACTTAGACTCAGCATCGCCAACGACCTTGATCAAGGCCCGGCCATTGCTCAAACAGACCTTCCCACCCTCAACGCTCGTCACAAATCTGATCTCCTCGAAATCTCCCTTGATCTCCCCAGTCCTCCAAGCCTGCGTAATAATCTTGTCACCAGGCCTAACCGGGCTCGCAAACCGCGCTTGGAACTCCTTAATGTTGTTGGGGTCGCTGCCGCCAAAGTGCTTCAACAGCCCGTGGCAAGCCGAATTGTACTGGTAGAGGCCATGTATAATCGAGCCACCGAATCCCATCTTCTTGCCAGGCTCCGGGTGCGCATGCAGCGGGTTGTAGTCGCCATTCAATCGATACAGCAACGCCGTCTCCTTGGTCGTCTGATCCTCGAATACAGCATCAGGCTTCTTGCCCTGCGGCGGCGGGTAGTTCACCGTCGCAGGGCCCTTGGGTCCACCCCAGTTACCCTGCGCCACGTAGAACGAGCTGCCGATCATGCGTGAGTAAACGTCGCCCGTACCCGTCTCGACCAGCTCCACCTGCAGCTCCACTACGGTGCCCGGGCGGCCCTTGTCGTAGACGCCGAGGACCTTGGTGCGCACCTCGAACTTCTTGCCTGCCGAGGTGGTCGGCAGCGGCTTGAGGAACTGGATGAGGCGTTGGCCGTCGACCACTCGTCGCGCGTCGAACTCAGGCACGCCGGGGATCTTGATGGCCTTTTGCGCGGCGTAAAAGTCGACTGCTTCTTGGGTGTCGCCCTTGAATGCTGTGGAACTATCTATTAGTCCTGGCCAAAGTTCCGAGCTTCGCATCTCGGGTCTTGGGGCAGCTCACGCAGGACTATCGAGTAGGTTGGGAAGACGCTGAAGTTGGGGTCGAGCTCCTAAAGAATAGTCAGGAACAAAGTAACAAATCCAAGTTTGGGTGATAACGGACATAGAGGAAATGGAGCTCGTCATCTGTACACCCAATGCTGGCGGCGAACAGCAGAGCATCACGCTTCAGCCATGATACTGTCTGGGGTGGATACTCGAAACCAGCTCCGGGGCTGCTCATTGTGACGTTTAGGACTATGTGTCTCAGAGCTCAAGGTATGACTGGGAATTGCCAGTTGACTCTGGTAGTCTTCGTAGAGGGCTACGATGTATATACAGACAGGACGAGTAAACTACCTCAAATTCTGGAGACCGGCGGATCGCAATTGCGTTTTACGTGATCCCCTCTGCCGAGGTCCAAATAGTGGAGAGGTGTTACTTGGGGGAGCTTGGCGGCCGGTCGAGGACTTCATTTGCCGATTTGCGGCCGAGGCTGGTTAAAGGTATCCTACAGTCGCAGTGAAATAACTATGGGGCACACAGGCCAGCTATTTCACTGCAGTAGCTAATATATAAACTTGGTCATACTAAGTATCCAATTCAACAGGATTCTTGGATTTCACGTTCTTGAGGCCAAGACATCTTAGTAGAGCTTTGCGCTAAATGCTAGGTGCTTTTACCGCCTGCTGAACTGGTTTACCCGTTGCTGGGGCAGGAGCTCAGTGTGGGGAGGGTAGTGGGGTTCTGCCGCCGAGCGCGGGCAGCGGGACAAGAAAAAGAAAGAGACATCCTAGCTCAAAGCGATCCTATTTTGATTTGTGATGAAGACCTGCTTCCAACCGCGTTGAATCCTTTATTTCACACGTCTTGTCGGCAAAAATCACCTACTATTGCATCGACTGCCTCGTTTGGAATTCCCACGATGGCTTCGACACCGCAGATGTCTTCTGCCGGCCATGCGACCGAAGGCGAAGGGACAGCGCCGGAAGCTCCTTAGGACGGAGCTGCTCGTGAAGCTGCGCCCTCGTTCGGCGGCAAGAAAAGAAAGAAGAAGCACAGGCATCGCAACAAATCGGAGACCACATCCGTTGTGCATAACTCATCGAGGCCAAATAAGTTGAACGGTGGTCGCTTGAACGAGAACGACGCTGTCGCCTCCGAGAAGCCGCTCGATAATGACGTACCCGATACGGCCGACAAGTCTGCAAGAGACCGAAAGCGTGAGGATAAGAAGGTCAAGCGAAAGAAAAAGCGCCTTGATGATGCATCAAATAACAAGCTTGAGAGTGAGGTGGATCAGACGCCGAAGGAGCCTGTAAAGAACACAATTGGCAAGAACGAAGTCAAGCCGAAGGAGAAGTTTGCCGATGTCGCCTCAAGGAACAGTCTTGAGTATGAGTTAGTTCAGACACCTGAGAAGTCTTAAGCTGGAAGATGACGGACCTGACGTACCTGAGAAAGTCCAAAAGGACAAGAAGGCCAAGAAAAAGAGAGGAACGCTTGAGGGCACTCCAGCGAAGATTGACAACGCTGCCGATGTCATTGAGAGCCGAGCCGGGCCCCGGAAACCTAGGAACCCTAGAACGGACAAGAGGGCAAAGCGAAAGAAAGAGAAACTCGAGCGTGCTGCGGATGAGCTCAGGATGGTTGCCAGCGCCAGTGAGAGCCTAGCCGACTCCCATACTTCTGAGAAGCTCATAAATGACAAAGAAGCGCAAGACGAGAAGGAGAAGCTCGAGGCCTTGAAGAAGCTTTCAACTGATGCCAGTGCGACTGGGAACAACCAAAAGTCTCGAACAGTCGATCGGGAACCCATCGCAAAGCATGAAGCTCATTCACTGTCGCTTCCCGAGGACAACTTCCAGGAAGACGTCGGTGCTGCTAATGCCATTGTCGGAGGAGGTACTGGCAAATCCAACAAGTCAGAGGAATCCAAGACTCCCCTTTTTGAGGAAAGTAGTGGAATGAAACGCAAGAGAAAGAACCGAGATGCAGACGACCACCCCGAGAAGAAGCGCAAAAAACATAAGATCAAAGACCGCGAGGTGGAAAAAAACAACGAGACGAATGAGGACGGTGATGATTCTATGAGCGGCGCGATCATCGATAGTCCCTCTGAGCATCCTGCAGACATGGCCCCTTGTAAGTCAGTAGCCTCATACGAGACAGATACCAACACTGAATCGGAGGCTATTCGAGAGCTTCCGCTCTGGGTCAGCAGACCTGCATACGCTCTGAATATGAGGAAGAAGGGGACGACCACAACTAGAGAAGATAATAAGGAGTCTTACATACCAGTGGCATTACCTGCTGTCACGCCCAAGTCATCAGCTCGACGTACTAGTGTTCCTATCTCGATACCAGAGACACCGCAGCCGAAGCCGACGGTCATACCTCCTAAGCGCCAGATGATCGATGCTTTGCCGATGTCATGGAAAGCCCCTAAACCTTCTCAGGAGGTGCATCGAAAGCTTGGGATTCCATCGTCGGCAGCTTCAACTCCAACGAGAGCTTCCAGTGCTCACTCGTCAGGCTCAACGTCGAAATACTCTGCGTTCTTGGGCAAGAGCACAACGCCAATTCCTCCGCCTAAGATTGGCAATGGCTTGGTAACCACGAATTGGGACAAATAGATACGCATTGGGTCGCGATCTGCATTGTCTGCGTTTTCTCACTGCTGGTGTAGAGCCGTTGTAGAGCTGTTGCAAGCATTTGATGCTAACCACAACGAAAAGGAGAAGATACTTTGCATATATGTAGGGTTTGATTGGTCTGGATATCTCATAATAGACTCTTGTACAATCCCAAGTGCATGCCATTGGAATAAGCTGAATACTCACCAAGGTTGCTATGAGAACCATACTCTAATATCTAACGGTCGTTACTAGATTTCAGCGTACCCACCTACGTTATGTAATACCCCGAAGTCGGAGAATTGCCGTCGAGTTCAACGTGAACTTTATCGCCGAAAATGACCTTATTGAGACAACGCTTCTCCAGTTTTTGGAGACTACGGTTTCGCGGTAAAAGCCGCCGACGGATCCACATGACATGCTCATAACAGTCTCGGTGACTTGCCTTGCCAATGAGCGTGCTCTTGATTCTCATCAAGTCAAATTGTCGATTTCAGAAATGACGAAGACGTTCACTGCAGAGGAAGGTACGCATGACTCTCTAATTGGAATGAGACGAAATATTGTTTTTTGCTACTTGTATAGTCTTAACTAATGGGCGGCTTTTTCTAGTTGCGAAACACACATCGGCCGACAGTTGTTGGGTGGTGCTGTACGGTGAGTAAACACAACAATCAGCCGAAAAACGTTTGCGAAGGCCAGTTGGTCAGCGAACTGTAATATGGCTTGAGACATGCGTCGGGTGGAAATTCGCGTGGAATTCTGCTGATGGGATAACTTGAACAGGCAATGTATATGATGTGACAGACTTCCTGCCCTCGCACCCGGGAGGCTCCAGGATCATCGTGCAACTAGCCGGCCGGGATGCAACGGAGGATTACGACCCAATACACCCCCCCGGAACGCTGGAGGAGAACCTCAAGGCGGAAGCGAAGCTGGGTCGAATTGATCCCGAGACTCTAGACAAAGCGAGCTCTCCGGCGGCCAAAGGAGAGAAGAAGGACGACGACGCGGATCCTCCGTTAGAGAGCCTGCTGAACCTCAACGAGCTCGAGGAACTGGCTCACAAGAAGATCTCTAAGAAGGCATGGGCATACTACTACTCTGCCGGTGACGACCTCTGGTCTAAAGACTACAACAACCTCGTCTACCGAAATATCCTGCTCCGGCCACGTGTCTTCGTGGACTGCACCACCTGTGACCCGTCAACCACGCTCGTGGGGCATAAAGTCGATATACCTCTCTTCGTATCCCCCGCCGCCATGGCCCGCCTCGCCCACCCAGACGGTGAACAAGCCATCGCTCGCGCGGCAGCCAAGTTCGCTGCCATGCAGGTGATATCCAACAACGCGTCCATGACGCCCGAGCAGATCGTGTCGGACGCCGCGCCGGGCCAAGTATTTGGCTGGCAGTTATATGTGCAGAACGACAGGGCCAAGAGCGAGGCCATGCTGAAGCGCATCAATAGCATGAGGGACAAGTTCAAGTTCATATGCCTTACGCTTGACGCCCCTGTGCCCGGGAAGCGCGAGATGGACGAGAAGTCCAACTTCGAGAACGCGGCGCCTGTCGCTTCGGCGGTCAACACGTCCGATGAGGCGGCGAGGCCTGGGGGAGGCGGCGTGGGGCAGCAGCTTTTCTTCGGCACGGCGTCGGACTTGACGTGGAAGGTTACGCTGCCTTGGTTGGCGCAGCACACGGATTTGCCGATTGTGTTGAAGGGGCTGCAGACGCATGAGGATGCGTACTTGGCGGCGAAGTACGCGCCCCAGGTTAAGGCGGTTATATTGTCAAATCATGGGGGGCGGGAATTGGACACGGCGCCACCGGCCGTGCATACTCTGCTGGAGATTAGGAAGTACTGTCCCGAGGTCTTTGATAAGATCGAGGTGTGGGTCGATGGGGGTATCAAGCGAGGGACTGATGTCGTCAAGGCCCTGTGTCTAGGTGCCAGGGCTGTGGGGATTGGGAGGGCGGCCTTGTATGGGCTCGGGGCTGGCGGGCAGCAGGGTGTGGAACGCACCTTTGAGAGTGAGTTGGAAGAATATTCGGTCTCTTCGCTTCGACATGCATCGCATTGCTTACTGACGTGTCATCAAACACAGTTCTCAAGGCTGAGATCGAAACATGCATGAAGCTCCTGGGCGCAAAGAGCGTCAGCGATCTAGGGCCTCAACACGTGAGTATCACCCCCGCGTGCATCGCATGGCATGACACTGCGCTTGTTGCTCCCTTGCCCGGCCTGGATTTGAATTGTCGAGAAGGAGCTAACCAAGGTGTCGCATTGCAGATTAACTCGAGGATGGTGGAGAGAGACATATACGATGGGGATGCAGGATTGGACACGACTGGACTTTGGACGAAGTCGAAGCTGTAGAGAGGTAAATTGCGTCAACTTGCATCGAGTCATAGCGATGTTGAGAGAAAGTTGCATATTCAGATGCCCTCGCATGGGATGAAATTTGAAGATCTGGGGTAGCGGTGTGTTGTAACACTGTAAAGAGATGCCTGTGCATACATGTAGAAAGTTATATTATTATCATCATCAACCCGTCCGTTACCTTCGAGTTGCTTCAGCAAGCGTCGTAGAAAGCCGAGGGATAGTTGCGATCTAGCTGATGCTCTCAAGATCTTGGGGACTATTGCACATCTCGACGCCATTGGCTGCGGTCATGCCTGCTGATGAGTCCGGAGTGCTTTGACGCCGAGGGCTGCACGGAGGATGACACGGCTAAGGTAAGGAAGGAAAAATACCCCAAGTGTTGTTCAACCTACCGTCTTGGGCTTGTGGAAGGTCATCGGGTGTCGGTGTGTCTTGCTGACTACGATGTCTTGAAGTCGATGGCTTACCTCGTCAAGTGAGGAGTCGTCGGATGGGGTTCGCAGTATGTGACAGACCAATAAACAGCACCGAATACTGGAGTAAAGCGAGCTGAGTACCACACCAACGCAACTTTAACCGCAAGCTTTGGGTTGTTCTAGATGCTGCTCGTCAGTCAGAATACCATGGTATGCATTTTCCACCTACCTTAGTTTTCGGGGCGAGAAATCCGCTACTTTAGAACAACAGTAGCTGGATCTTGACGGGGACTGACAGCCACTGAAGACTCCCTTTGGCGGCTGGTAGTGGTCGGTCTTGGGCCTCTAGCAGCACAAACCTGTTCATTTGGCTGAATCCCGGTAGCAAATCACGCTTCGCCGTCGCAAATCTCCGAGCAACGTACCACTAGCCATTCCTTGGGATCCCTCCGCCAGAACCCCTAACCAAACAGAGACAAGAAAAATAGAGTTCCGCCGAGTGCTTGTCCCAGCGGTCCTGGCTTTTGCATAATATCAACGTCTTGACTTGCTATTCGGCAGTTCCATTGACGCCATATGTCCTCCCCGTCTTGCATCATCGAACCCTGATAGGGTTTCGATTAGACGACGGGATCCAAGAAGGCTTCAGACGGCAGATGACCCGCGTCTGAAGCCAGCTTCACATCAAGTGAAGCTTAAAATTTGGACTACTCGTCCTTCCGGTTTGGGAGAAGAGCATGAACAAGAGTTCAAAATGTGGAACTGGAGAAGAATTGCCCCACCCCTCCACAACGTCCGCTATGCGCAAACATGGAGGACGGAGCGGGCACACGAGCTTGCCGGCGTTTCTTGCGGAGCAGAACTTGGCTTCACTGGCTCAAAACCTGGGGAAACCAGTCGCATGCGCTCAACTCGCTAGTACACGTCCGTGGCGAGTAGTCGTAGTCTCCTCCCATGCTTCACAAATCGTGAAGGAGGACGGCCGAGTCGGTTTCTCCTTTCTCAAGCGCCCCCAGTTCCTTCACTACAAGAACGAAAAGTTTCATGTGCTCGTGATGCAAAGCCGAGGGAGCTGCCCAGATCGGCTTCTGAACTTCGTCGTCCACTGCAAGGCACCCCTGCTGGCTGGTCAGGGCTGGGCCGGGATGTCATTGTGGGGCCATTGCGGGACGACTTCTCAAGTCGTTGAGGATGAGCTCGGCAGAGGCTGAATCTGGAAGTCAAAGCCAGGGCCCACCTCGTCATTGTCAAAGGGTGTGGCTCGAACTCATTACTTGCTGGGTGACACAGCTGGGAAAGGCATGGATCCTACTCAGAGCTAAGGGACTGCGCGACTAATGGAAGAGCTTCTTTTTCAGACATGCCTGGGGCCAGGTTGCAAGCTGGTTGGCTACGGCTTCCTGGCCCAGCGGCGTTGCAATCTATCTCTTGATCATGGGCCATGTCGATCTACGATGTAGATACGACGTTTCGTTTGTGCACTTTATAATTCCCCAGAGCCCCCCGTACTCTTGTTCGAACGATCTATTGTTGACTTATCCCGTGATGGATTCAGCAAGTCTCGAGACTTGATTTCCCTTCCAGCTTTTTCACTCCTGATAGGCCCGTTCTCGAGGCGAGGAACATTATACACGTTAATCCAGAAAAATGGCGGACTCTTACAAGGAAGAAACGATCACCACCCGCTTCGATGCGTCCCCGGAGACCAACTCCAAGGCCTCGAAGGGTCACTGCAAAAGGTTCTGGTGGGTATATATCTTGGTACTGGTGGTTATTGTCGTAATTGTGGTGCCTGTCGTGTAAGTTGAGAAAATCCCGAGGACTATGTCACCGAGTTTTAAAACTGACAATGCATGGAGACTTCTGGTTGCTGTACCAAAAATTGCCCAACAGAAAATCAATGAGGCGAAACTCCATGTCGACAGCATCGTCGTCACCAACACAAGGCCTAATGTCTTGAACATGGCCATCAACTCGACGATCACCACCGATGGCAAGGTGCACGCTACCATTGCAGGATTTCAGTCCACCATGTATCTCATGGACGTCGACCCTCCTCTAGCCTTCGCCACCCTCGACTTTCCCCAGACAAAATCGGATGCTCTGATGGTAGTCAACATCAGCCAGGAACTCACCTTCGATAACCTGGATGCAGTTAAGACCTTCAACGCACATCTCCTCTCTAAGGAGAAGATCAACGTCAAGATCGAGGGCGACACGAACGTCCGCGTTTCCGGCATCGCGCGCAACTACCCCGTATCCTTCTCCAAGAATATCGAGATGGTCGGGTTCAACAACTTCGCTGGCGTCGTGGTCACGAACCCACACGTCAACCTCAACCCAGTAAACAACTTCAATGCCACCGCGAATCTGCCTAACCCCACAATATGGACCGTGGAAATTGTATGTCTAAAGTTGAAGTTAACCTCATGGCGATCTATGTGTGCTGACCTGCATCTAGGGCAACGCAACATTCCATAATTACTTGAACGGCTCTGATATCGGCACGGCGTACATCTTGGACGTGGTCCTGAGACCAGGCGATAACGAGTTCTTCATTTGGGCAGACGTTAATCAGGCCCCTATCCTAAACGCCTTGACTTTGCCCCCGGCCTGCGAAACCGGCAACCTCACAATCGACCTCGGCGGCAAGACAGTTATGAACAACGGCCAGACCATCTCGTACTTCCAGGACGCGTTCGCCTCGTCCAATGTTAGCGCTATCATTGACATCGGCGCCGCCGTTAAGAACGATATCGGGTTGAGTATCCCGTGTAAGGGCTCTAGTTAAGATTTTGTTGATCGACTAAACTATAATGTTTTTGAAAACACTACACTATGTTTTAATGTCTCTTTTTCGGATTATGGTTGCCTCACGCGCTTTATGACTGAACTGGAGCTCTCACGATGGTTCAGTTCAGTGTTGGCAGTTCTGCCAATATGGCTGAGATAAAACTAAAACGCGGAAGTTAGGACCAGGGGAAGGAAGAGCAGGATACCATGTTGGTTATGATTTCGCAGAGGCTGCAGTTATGGCTGGTGCGTGGTAGCCGGGCATACGAGTTGTTATGCGATATTTGAGGCGGACTTTGTCGGCCGTTCTTGGTACTATTGTTGTCACTGCCGCATACTAGTACTGCTGTGGGAAGAAGCTGGCCTCTGAAGCTCTCGTACTGCTTGCGTCAAACGATGAACATGAACACCGACTTGCATATACTACATGGAATGAACATAACACTACCAGAACTACTTCTTTTATGCACGTTATTGCCTCCACGGTGTGAGGATAGTGAATGGATCGCTATGCGTGTGCCATATATATCTGGTAGGGTGCGCTTGCGGGGGTAGATCAGTAGGGGTTGGGTCCAGGTTAGAAGTAGCGTATTGTCTTCATAGCGCGAGTCTGCAAGCTGCGAAGGCTTAAAGTGGTTGTGTATTTAGTAGGATAAGCACAAGACGTAATGCAAAACGCGGAGTGAATACGAGTAGCAAAAGAAAGGATCGAGACTGAGATAGTCCTGTCTTAAAACTGGGAGCATGAAATAGCTACCAACTAAGAGTTCGGAGGGTTCATCAGTAGTGTAAATCACCGGCGACGTAATTCTTCGAGATTGTATAAGACTCACACTGAGCGCAAGAGCACCCGTTTCCAGTAAATCGAACCGACATTAACGCCTAGCAATAACTTCCATGGGGTTCGCTCCAAACCCTTCCTATCGAGTATGCTTTGCGGTCAGGTTCAAATTTCCATCAAGATTCCTTTGGTTATACAGTCGAAACTTGCTTCATGCTCGGTCGCATCTGTAGTATGATTACCGCTCATGAACATAATAGACACACAATAGATGACTTGAGCCCATAATCACTCCAAACATCGGGTGCAGATGAAGCAGGAAGAAAATGCCGTCTAGCTTGTTAGCTAACAGATGCTTTAGGAGCTTGAGGAGCTTGAATGTGATGCTTGCCTAAGTGCTAAGAACTGCTGCATAGTGAGCATAACTTATTTGAGCAACAAATCACTGTTGTTGGAATGATTATTTTGAAACTGTTAACTGCTAAATTTGCCAAAGTACTCGGTCCTAGTGTAAGACAGGTCGTCTGAAACCTGTAATCCATAACGATCAACACGATGAACTCTCTACAGCCAGGTCGCAAGCCCAGAACGAATTATCAAGTCCAGGACTTATTAATCAATTGTAGCAACTTGTAACTTCTGCTTGTACGTATGAACCTGGCAGCAGGCTTAGATAACATGAGTTCCACATATACGGGAGTTGCAGCAGAGACAGCGCCCCTTCTCCTCAAGTCACATCGGAAAGTCCGCTCGCGCCGTCGACTTGCGGACTTCAACTCCACGGAGTCTCATCCACCGTCATCCGGGGACGCCGCTCACCGCCGGCCATAGACTGAATACGCGACTTGAGCTTCATTTTCGTAAACAGACAATAGAAACCTAGGTCACGTTCCATCGCTTGTAAGTGAGACAAACCATGGCTTTGACCCGCAACACCGCTCGACGCCCGCGACAAGACACGGCTCAGATGCAGCCGGTGCGCGAAGAACCCGTCATGGTGCATCTACGGAGCGTAAATGCGGGCTTTCGCGGCGGAGGCGGCTGGGGACAACATGCCTATGGACTTGGATTTGGACCTGGGCCTCGACTTGGACCCTTTGGCCGTGTCTATGAGCACCAACAATAGCTCTTGCCACATGTTCCTGGGACTGGAAAACAGCTTCTCGTCTCCGCTAAACCCTAGCATCGGCCTGTTGTCGCCCACGGCGGTATTTCAGCTCGATTGGCGCTTGACCAGCTGCTGAAAAACATGTCTGGCAGTACGGCGTTGGATGAACTGTCGCAGAGCGGCGTGTTGAGGCAGCAGCAGGCTGAGATGGTGGGTACGCCTTCCACAGAGGAGAAGAGGGTAATGGTGAGAAAGGACTATTTGGTGATGAATCGCATATGTGTTTGTACTTGATCTACTCTACGAAGCACAGCTTTTCCAGGACGACTACCGCACATAATTCTTAGGTATTACACTCAAACGGGGACAGATCCTAACAGACATGCAGAACCCTAGCAATTAGCTGATACAAGCTTGAAGATTGCCAATACCACGGCACAGTTCAAGGCTCTCGTATGTTTTATTTTGGAGTTGCTTATACACGCACCGCATCCTGAGAAGAGCAATCTCTACTGATAAGAAACTGACTGGCATGTACCAGCATGCATAATTCGCGCGTGACAATACTACGCCGTATATGCATCATTACCTGTACAAAGACAACATGTCCCGCTGGGTTCTCCAGGCGTTTTCCATATCCGGCCTATATGTGAACAAAAACGAAGGCAACCGGGGCATGATTCAGAGCTCTCTACGAGAACGTAACCGACCTGCTCATTCCGGCAACTTCCCCTAATTTCACACCCCAAGCAATGATCGGTCGAGTCCATGCTCTGATGGTGTATCAGACGATACGCATATGAGATGGCGATATGACGCTCGGCCAACAAGCCGACACTGATATGGCCCTGTTGGATGCTTGGCTGGGTAACCTCTGCAAAAACAGAAACAACCTCATCGAGGAGCGTAAATGGACACCGCGATAATCTACCAGAGTCTTGGAAGGTGCGTTGTGACTGCACATAAGATGGGGCACGCATTTATGGACAAACGTGTTCTGTCAGCGATGGATATTTGCCGAGTGTATCCGTAAGACCATCGTCATGGGAAATTTGCTGAGCACTCTTCTGGATCTGATAAAGGGACGGATCAAACCTGGTAGGAGTCACCATCATTACTGGCATAGATGCGGCATCGTGCTAATCTGACTCGCAACTGAAAGCGGAAACTGGGCATTGATGCATCGTTGGTCCCTGTAGCATCACTTGTGGGATGCGTTAGCTTCACTCAGGTTTTTCCAGGCATGGAAAATAAACGTCGCTTCATTGTCTCGGGTTTGCACTACGAAGAGGTCCTAACGATGGGATCGGGTGATGATTTGGACGAACTCTCGTGAATCTTCCTCATTATGTGAGCATCCACGTCTTACTCCCTATCTTATAGGTGAGCTATACTGACCTCTAGTGGTAGTTACGTGGTAGATACTATGGCGTTAATGAAATCAAGACTGTTTGTCACGAGACGACTGTAGACCGGTTGGCTTCGTAGAGCCGCCGGTTGCATTATCCAAAGGTCTGGTGTCTGCAGCGTGGCAAACAAGTCAGTCTTGCGGACCAAATAATGAATAGTAACTCCGCAACTCACCGCTGGCCTTGGTGCCGCTTTGACGGACACTGCATAGGCCAAGTCCATCTCGAGTCTGCACATCCAGTCTCGGTGCTGCTGTCATCATATACTAGGGCCTCTATAAGAAGGTTCTTACCCACTGGTCTTCATTTCTTTGCATCATTTTTAGCAACAATACCTAGTCCAATACCAACATAATTGCACCTGACAAGCCCAGTAAAGCCATTCACCAAACAACGACTACATGTTTCTATGTCCAAGATGGCTTCCATCTCAACTCGTGAACTCGGCAAGAACGGCCTCATGGCCCCTTGCATTGGATTCTAGACCACAAGCCTGTCACACTCTTATCAGGACCCCCTTCCAGATGAGCAACGCCTAGCTGTGTTTGACTACGCTCACAAGATCGGAGACTTTTTGGGACACCAGTGACGCCTATGTAAGGGACTGGTATCCACAGACCATATGAAGATCGGTCCATATACTAACCCTCCATCAGGCCAACTCAGAGGATCTACTGGGCAAGCGTTCTGCCAAAATGGCAAGCGTTGCGACATCTTTCTCGCCACAAAATTCGGCGGCATCTACGAAAGCCCCAACGAATACGTCCCCGACGCGTGTGAGGCGGAACTATCCCCGCGTCTTGGACAAGAATTCCTCCAAGAATAGGACGATTGTGAAGACGCTGCATAATAATGCTTGCGAAAAGAGGTGTACGGCGGAGCAGTTGGCGTTAGCTTGGTTGTTGACTCAGGGGGACGATGTATTTCCTATTCCCGGGTGAGGTTTATCTTCATTTCTATTTTATCTTGACGATATAAAAATACTAAAATATAATATGGCACGGCCAAGACAAAGTACCTCGAGCAAAACTTTGCTGCTGCCAATCTGCAGTTGACGGCGGACGAAGTCGACAGGATCCGCTCGCTAGTTGATAATGCTGTAGCGGGCGCGAAGTGTCCTGAGGCGCATGGTATTCTTCCCTTTGCTGATACTACACTTCTTTGATCCGGTGGATTTTCTCATTGAATCCATATAGTGACCATAGGAGAATACATGGCTGTGTCAAGTACGACTTCTTGGGACGCTGAGTTGAGTTATCGGGAATGTTCTAGGAACTTCAACATTTAATTGTATTCTTGATAGGTAGAGAGCAAGAAAATCAACTTCCAATTTTGCGTCCTCGCTTCTTGAGCCAGTCTTCCAGTTACTAATGTGCTGCCTCTCTTTCAGGGGCTCGTCTAACCTCGTAGTCTTCACCGGAATGCTGTCGGCACTGCCACTCCCTACTCCCAGAAGTAACAATATCATGAATCATTCAAAAACACACTTTGTACTCGGGTAAGCCGCCTATCTGCTGCCACGGTAATACCGGCAGATTAAAACTATCGTAGGCTAGAAAACGCAGGGGGCAGAGAGGGGCGATTTGCTTCCCCAGACTGTCAGTTGACATGGTAATGAGCATGCACTCATTACTCACGGTTCTCAATATAGACATAGATCGCCCATATCACTCAACACGTTATTCCGAAAAGCTCATATTAGGAAAATTCCCAGAGATCTGCCATAGTGCTATGAAGTCCTCCAGTCGAGGCGTCAGACCAACCCCTGACCGTATCCCTTATCATCGCATAATCCTTCCGGTTCCATGGCTCCCACAGATCGATCCAGCAGGCAAGCGGCATACCGAAAAGGCTCCCGACATGGACTCCTACCGGACCTGCGTCACTTTGGGAGCCGAGACAAACACTCAAGGCATACATAGATACACCGAGTCAAGTTTCGTCCCACGCGGCGTGCGTGGCTACCTGCATGTGCGCTTGTCAGTCCTTCCTTGTCTCGGCCGCCTTGTTCACCAACGTGGGTTCAACATGATGACAAGCGCGCACCGATGCAGGTAGCCGGTATATGAGTGCTTACGACATACGTACAGTTCCCATCACGTTTTGTTTTGTTGGGGCTGGGGAGATGTTCCCGGCAAATCGGAATTTGGGCAAAATAGGTGCATACATCTATTGAGTGGTGTGGTGTCACGATACACACGCATCTCGGATGGCTGCCGGTGGCGGAGCGATGGCGAGGCAGAAGGATGCTGTCAAAGGGCAGCAAACAAGCAAACGACTAAATCGCTTCCATCTCAAGAAGACAACTCGCCACGATCTGCCGTATCTGGAAGAGCACAGGATCGTGTGGAACGGTGATTGACGATATTATCTGGATGGGGTTGATGTGAGGACTCGACTGGTGGTTCGTGGCCAGCAAACTGCTTTCATTGCAACACGTTACCCCACGAGCAAACTACTGATTCCTAGGCCGAACAGTAAGAATTTCCCAAGATGTTCTTATTAAAAGGGGCAGTAACTACTCTATGTTACCCAAACACCACTGGATTTGTACCAAGTGATCTGCAATCGAGAGGACCCTTTACTGATGCCTTACGGAGGCGCAAGCGATGAGATGAGATGAACCATGTATGGGTCCATGTTAGTCATGCCACAGGCATGCGAATGTATGAGCTGATGTGTTCGGGAAGACGATCGCGCGTCCTCTGTATCTTGCAGAACCGAGGGAGAAAATATGACGACCTCGATATCGTTGGCCGGCGATCAATGATTACTGAACACGACGCCGCTGGTGGCATTTATTAGAGTTTCAACTGCCCCCGTCCCTGAAAAACGATATTTGATGCACACTAAAATCGGTAGCACAACGCGACCTACACGTGATGTGCCGGGTGTGCCTGGATAAGTGGCGGTTGTCGTCGCAACTTGCCCTGGATAGTACCGCACCCCGCAAGCTCGGAGTATATAGCTGTAAAGGCGGAAGGGCTGAGGCGTGTTCTCGTTAGACTTGGCATATGGAAGTATAGTGGGGGCACTTCAGGCCGGTCTAAGCCGATATCCGCCCTAGGCGAAGCTATGTTATGCGGGAAATATGTTCTCGGCGAACTGGCACAGTTTAAGTTGCACGAGGCAATGGGGGGAGGGGGATGGGGTGACTGACTTCCCCCCCAACTAGCTCTGAGCTATGGCAAGTTAGTAGGAGCCATTAAGAACTCAACAAACACTTGCCAAGTAATGAGCGCAAGCTTTGGAGATTTGGAATGCTTCTGCTCGCACCGACGACAGGCTAACCGGTAGTCGATCCTGGTATTGTGGCTGTTGCCGCCCAGCTCGTGTCACAGCCACCAAAGCCATGTCTTGCAAAAAGCAGATGATTCCAGCTGATAGACCACAGACTAGCTCCCGTTCGCAACCATGCCGAGAAGGCAAGGAACAGGCGGTTGGGCGGCCAACAAGGAGGAGGTTGTCAAGCCTACTTGATTCACTGTCAGGATATGTCAAGACACTCCCGGGAAGCCACGTTTTTGCTCAGTGGCAGTTTTCGCCGAAGAATGCAAGTGCACGACGATCCTCTAACGTTTGTAGGTCGGAAATTAAGAAATATTATACACAGGGTTTTATGCCAAGAAAGCCACAAACCTTCAGCCCTTCCTACTTGTTCATGTGTGTTCATATGTGTACGTGTGTGTTGCTTTGTGTTTAAGCAGCAATTATGCTGATGGCAAGGAATTGCCCGGTTTTGTTACCATCCGGCCGAAAGGCCTGATCGATTGAATTCGTGGCTGAATAGATACGAGGCCATAAGTATGCGAAACGAGTTGAGCAGAACCGCCGATGGCTCAAGGGCATTGTCATCAGACCGGGCTCTATTGAGGCGAAGGTGGAGAGCGAGAAACATCTTGACCTTTGTGTGTGGACACCATGAACCGATATCCTACTTGATAATGCAGCATAGCAATGTGCAAATCCAACACAGTGTACGCGCCATCTGCGTCATATACTGCTTCCTTCGCTCACGTGGTGGCCAGTAAGCTATCTGAGCATATCTTTTGAAGCGTCAGCTGGGCTTCCTTCTTCCAGGTTAGCTGTGTGAACTTCTTGATTTCTATAGTTCGCTTGGTGGCTACACAGCTTCTTCATTTGGAGGGAAATCGACGCATTAAATTTCGACCGTCGCTAACGTTCTGCATGCCCAAATGAGGAAACGTCCCCCAGCTGAAAGCGACGTCGAGGTTTCAATGCGGGGGAATTGACCGTCAGGACGCTGTTACGAGGCGTAGATTCCGTCAACATACTAGGATTGCGGTTACAAACGTCTACAAGAGGACATCGCTCCGACCATACAGGACTTATAAGTGATAACCAGAAAGTTGTAAGTAATGATATGACCGGGCCAATGGTACCATACGGAGTAATATGGATCGTGCCCAAGTTGTTGAAGTTCCAAAGTTTATGAAGACACTCCCCACAAAATACAATCTCAGATCTGTCCATCCTATTCCCGGGCCCGTAGCAAGAGAGCCGCGCCGGTCCTTTCACCTAAGGGCAACAAGTATTCCGCCGAGCGAGATTGCGTACAGCATGTCATCCCCACTAGTCCACATCCATTGGACAGCTTGTGGGTCGCTCTGGGTAGCGACCCCATCTGGAATGCACTTCCGCGGCTTGCAGGACCAGGGCCGGTAGCTTATTGTTCGAAATGAGAGAAGTGACAGGGGACAGAATCTCTTAATAGTACCGGAACGTGGCCAGCACACGACAGCAGGCTGCAGGCCCACAGCAGGCCCATAGTACAAGTTTGAGCCCGTGCATAACGGAGGAGTCCCGGTTGCTCGTACTCCCGTACCCTATTTGTTATAATTTCTGGCCGTTTAGTTTTCCCCTTCCATCTGAATTGACGGGATTTTCGGGAACTGGCAGCTTGGAGATTTGTATTCGTACGCTGTCGCTTAAACATAGCTCGATACACGACGTTCGCATTGTGCAAGTACAGTACGGCTGACAATGTTGAGGCCCACGTGGGCTCTAACCAAGCAAAGTATATTTACTATGTGGACCCCCAAATGCGGAGAGCTGTTGCCAGGGATGGCTTGGGCCCGGATTTACAAAAGGTTTTCTCCGAACGGTACCATGTTCCCTTGAACTTTCGAGGGCGACTCGCCTTGTAACGATACCAATCACACTGTGATCCCCAGAGACATTAAGCATCTGATAAGTTGAGTCGCTCTGTGCCGTATACCTCGGTTGGGTATAGGAACGAACCCGACGTCTGAAAAGGACTCGCCGTGGCGCATTCATGGCATGGACAAATCCCAGATTCATGCTGGCAATCCGAAAGTCCGAGCGTCTGTCACTAACAATCTCAACGATCGCATGATGGCTCGAGGGCTCGAGGGTTCGAGAGTTGTTCATTGAGCACGGAACTCAGCATGTGACGTGCCTCTTCTCACCAGGGCCTCCCCAGCGAGCTTTCAATAGTCGTCTCCAGTCCCTTGGAAAACGGGCCGTGCTGCGTCCAATATATGCCAAACAATGATGACATGTCAAAAACAGCTGTTTGTATTGCCGGATGAAAACGCCGCAAGGAACAAACGCAACCCGCTCTGTTGTCAACTGATCGGTTCGACATGTCCCGAGCGGCTCAGCCAAAAGTTACTCCACGGTGGACGACTCTGGAGCCGCCTCTGCAAGACGGGGGGGCACTCATCGACTGTCAGACGAAGGTCAATTGTGACTTCAACCCGTGATTGGACTATCAAAATGCTACCATGCGCGGAGACGCAGCCGTACGAGGTGAGATTGTCGAGTGTGCCCGAAACATAGATTTGGGACGCTGGGTGTTGTAGCTCATCCGGTTTGCGAAACAGTGTACAAGTACACAATAGTCGACCACGTTGCACCTCACCCAGGGACCATGTACGATGTCGCGGGCTTTTCGAGATTGTGCAAGGTCACCCAGGACCTGGAGCAAACTTTTCCACATAACACAACGAACAAACAATTCATAGACACCCCTTCTCTTGCCAATGCCATTCACTATGTAAAATACATGGAAAAAAATTGCAGTTCCACGCCACATAGTATGATGACTCCCATTTGTACGGGCTGGTCCCTGGATGCGCGATACCGGTGACAGAGTGCCCAGTTGTGGAGGTAAAATAGTTTGCCGGGGAATTTTCCACAGACTCCCGGGACAGCCTCGACAACCAAACCTGGCGCATGGTTGCCCGCCTGCCCGCCTAGCTTGCAGCGCATCTCACGTGGCGGCGGGAGATCTGACCGGTGGGGTGGACCACCAACCAACCGCAACTTGCTTGGGGTTTTGCTACTCTGAAATTGGGGTACGCAGACCGTGGCAACAATATCGTAACGTTTGATTGTCCCCTCTAGAGACGCCACATGGTCGCCCCTTCCGTTGGATTCTGTCCGGAGGGAAACGACAACACAATGCATTGATGGCTTCTGCGGTTCAAGCGAGGAAAGAGCATTGCATTGTCTGTCTATATGCCCTCCTCACCTGGAACATGATCGACCAGCAGCAGCATTCTCAGTCAACCTGAAGAAAATCACTGTCGTCGCAATCGTGCGCTTGTTGGCGAGATGGGCGCAAAAGTCTCGAAGTGTGAGCTCTAGTGTCTAGCAATCAGGCACTCCAGATGCACCACACGCATCTACCCATCCTCGGTCTCGATGGTGTTCATCTCAGTTCGGACGCTCATCCTCCACAGTTGCACAGGGCTTTTTTTTTTTTTCCCCTCCCGATTTTTTTTTTCTTCCGGTTCAGAAACCACTCGAAAGCGGGTCCGCTCGCGACAAGTGGTTTGAGAGAAGTCCCTGTCTGCGAACGCTGCACGAGCCAACAGCGCATGGCATTCTGGGCAATGTACCTACCTCATCAGGCGCGCTCGCACAGGCAGCACATCCCAACCTTCGCTTCTATTGACCGTGCCTGTCACGGAACTTTCCACGGATGTGCGACCTGGTGTAAGGGAATGAACGCCTTGCCAGTCCTGATCTCGGCCAATAGATGCTGGTACTCGCTCCGTCTCCTATTATGCTCCCAAGTACAGGCCTTGCCATATCCTGTCTTATCCTGACCTCTGTTGAGAAACGTGACTGGAGCAGAGACGAGAATACTTTCTTCCTTTGTATTGGCACCCGCAGGCAGCCGTACGATTTGAGCAAAGTTTTGGGGGTCGAACAGATACACCAACTTTGACTCTTCACGGACCAACTAGTGACGCATACAAGCTGCATAGGTATCGCTACTTGGCCACGATGCGCCCATAGCCCGTGCCAGGTTCCTCCCCCCCCCCCCCATGCTTTGTCCATGCTCAGGTGGCAGACTCGCTTCGGAGGTGCTCAGTACAAGCGCCGCCACGAGAAATAAGCAACGACATGAGCCGGCTGGCGCGCAACGTGGCCCACGAGTTGCATGACGCTAGCTGCACATCCATGGCTCGGCGGTATCGCCTACCCAAGCACCAGGTAGCTTTCGGCCCATTTTCCGCCCAAGGACGGAGGATGCGGCGGCCCTTGAAAGGAACAGCCCGATGCATTGTTTAATAGGTACAACTTGTTAACTAGGGTGCGCTGCCGCCCACCAGCACAAGGCTCGGTACCCCGTCTTGACCGTGCTCTTCTCCCCAACTCCCATTCTGCTTGCTGCTGCTTCTTCTGTACAACTCTTGAGTTGTTTGGTCCCAGCGGACTGGGATCCCTCGCATCAACCGGCCCCATTGCCCACGCTGCCCACGCTGCCCGCCAGCCCGCCAGCCAAGAGTGGAGAGACGCGAGACAGGGCATCTCTGGGACCAGTTGCTGGGCTCTCTGCCAATCTTAGCCGCTTTTAACTGTTCGCTCCCCGTCCCAATTCTCAGTCAGCCTGCATCGTAAATGCCTCTACGTCCCAGCATTGTTGGCGTGTGAAATCTCAAGCTCTCACGGTTGCTTGCTTTCAACCAGTTGTGCACCATTGCCATTGAAAGCCCTGACACTACATGCTGCTGCGTCTCACGGGTTAACTAATAATTTATTCTAAGCTGCGCTTGAGTTTTCTTGTCTTTAAAACCCAAGTATTTCTAGTCGGCCGCGGCAAGCACGCTCTTTTTTACCCGCCCGAATCTAATGAACCTTCTGTCGACTTTAAAAGCTCAACGACGGTGAAATTTGTCGCAGAGCAAATCATCTACTACAGCTTGCCGACCTTAAGACTCTCTGGCCGTTGCGCGCGCCCTTCGCCTTTCGACGACCGAAATGGCGAACGAGCAGCTGCACCGTCCCGCATCGCAGAAGCTGCCAGCGGGGTTGGCAGGAGTTCTGAACCCGGAGGAAAATCGTGATTCGGCATATTTCTCGAGTACCGACGCCTCGAGCAAGCGTACGTAATGCCGCGTCTTCCAGATTGCCAAATAATTGCCTGCTTACCTCGCACCTCTAGACACATCGGCTGCTTCTGGCATTGGCATAAACGTATTGAGTCCAACCTCAACAATATCGGGATATCAGTCGGCCAACGACAAAACTCCTTCGCCAATTAGTGGCAACATGATGCCCCAACCTCTGATATCTCCGTCCAGCAACATGAGTATCAATTCAATGGTTTCGCCAACAACGCCAGGGAGTGGACGCTTCGATCGGCCTCAGTCATTCGAGTCGAATGGCACCCCACTGGGAATGCATGGAGGCCCTGAGTCGCGGCGTGAAAGTGTGGATAGCAGGATGAACCAGAACTTCGGCGATATGAGGATTGCTGGGTCGCCGTACGCCAGTCACAACCAGTCGACGACTTCGATCCAGGTTAGTCTAGCGCAGCAGAGGAACCCCCGCGGCGGGTTGGACACCAACCTTGCGAGCCATCGCATCTCGAACGGGTACCAACCAAGTGCTGACCGTACTCCCGATGGCCACCCAAAGGTGTCTCGGACAGCACCAGCTATCACGGGGCCCGCAACCAGTACCATTGCTCGAGCGGCGGAACCCACCAAAGGCCAGGCGTGGGCTTTCCCCGAAGAGGAAATCCAGCGCATGCCTTCTGCCGGTAGCTTCATGGACTCTAGACGGAGTAGTATCACGGAATCGATCGCCAGCAGCCAATTCACTACCGAATCGAGGTTACCTCCTGGTCAGCGCCGGCTTGATGACGGCATGGGGACAGACTTTCAACGTTTGTCAGGCCTGTCCGCCGATTTTCCTCCCGTGCATCACCACACACTTCAACACAAGCAACTTTCCGACCTTCACAGTGAAGAGTCTAGCCCAAATTCGGCTGCCCAACCGTACAGTCGAACCCCTGAACTGCGTGTAAGCCACAAGCTAGCCGAGCGCAAACGGCGGACAGAAATGAAGGAACTATTCGAACAACTCAGAGACCTGATGCCGCAAGAACGGGGGTCCAAGGCGTCTAAGTGGGAGATCTTGACCAAGGGTAAGTTTGCTCCTCCAGTTTACCATGGCGGGGGTCCTTACACACGGATTTAGCAATCACGGAGCATCAACGACAGCAAGAGCACATCAAATCTCTATCAACGCACTGTTCCAACGCCCATCAGGAGTCCGAGTATCTGCGAAGGGAACTAGAGAAGCTGCGCATGGAAAATGCCCATTTGCGGGCAGGCATGGGTAATGTGCCTGCAGGACAGGCTCCCGCGAACGCCCCAATGCCTTCACAACAACCTCCGTCCGATCCATATGCTCAAGACCCCTACGGAAGGGGAGCTACACGGCCGGAACTGCCACCGCTGCGATCGTTGAGTGGCAGCCTCGCGAATGGCCCGGAATCCATGTCTGGAGTGCAATACGAAGCACAAAGACCGAATGGATTCCGAACTGAACGATACTAACCGCCTCGGCACGGTCGACTAATTTTCTTTAATTCAAATTTCGGGATACATACTGCGTGCAGTCCCTCTACAGATGGCCCATGGACAGCTTGGAGTTGAATAACCGAGCGAGACTTGGCCGCTTGCTATCAGAGCTGAAACTCGGCAGCATTGCGAAGGAGCCACTGCATTTGAGGCAAAAATTATCCCACTCAATACTTTTTAAGGCCTTGTTTGGTTCTGGAGTTTTGTGAAATACGGGTTGGCTCTCTGGCTTCGTGCCCAATTGGAAGCAGGGTCTTGAAGTGGGCGAGGCGTGGCCGATAAGGGGTAAAAAAAAATTAAAGAAAATTCCTTTCTTAGCTGTGACACAGGGGCACAGCTTCAAGGAAATGACGGATATATTTTCCATGTGGTGGTTTAGGTTGGTTCGGAGTATGGGTTACCAATTTTGTCGGCAAGCGACCAGCGACTTGACGAGCCGTGCGGACGGTGGAGGTCCTCTCTGCTGGCTGTTTGTTTTCTTGGGTGAGGAATCGTATTGGTGTATATACCCAGTCTTCTCCAAATATTGGCCAGTGGCACAGAGTCTTACGAGACATTGGGAGAGGACCAATGTTGGAGATTTTTTGTATAATGGGTGGTTGTACGCAGGGTTGTTTGAGACTAGGAGGATCGAGATGTGGCTATCTACCTACGAGGACCACAATGCGGTTGCATATACCTGAGCTAGGTAGCATCATTATTAAAACCACACAGGAACCCACGGATGGATCCTCACGGCCAATTCCATGATATCCCGTAACCTACCGGCATATCCATCAACACATAAGCAGTGCAAGGTGAGGCTGACTGAAGCTCGGTTAAGGGGTGGCAGTCACGTCATTGTTAGGTTTACATATACGCGGCACACATTTAAAGAACAAACCAACATATCAAACTTCAGACTATAAGAATCGAACTTTCACAACCGGAACAGTTAGCAATTGCCATTACATGGGTCTGGGTAGGGAGTTTAGTGAGTTTTGGGGCCTATTTTGGACTAGTGCTGCAGCCGTTACGCAGCGCGTATAATTGACTGCGTATCATTCGTTTATCGGACCCGGCCAAAATTTTTTCGTGACACTCATCCTGAAAAGAAGCCTCAATTTGTACTGCAATCTTTCTGCGATCATCATCTAACTACACAAGCCCGTTTACGTATCTACGATCTAATCAACTTTCCTGCATCATGTAAGTCCCTGGGAACTCTACCCTTATGGTTCATTCGTTACACTGAATCGCAATTGATAAGTTTGCGGCAGGCATTCCGTTCGACGTGCGGCTCTGAGGGCTGCCAGCTCTTCCTCCTCCGTGGCAGCTGCCGTCTCGAGACAACAGGCCACCTCGTTCGCCATCCAGCTCAGCAAGGCTAGCGTGCGTCCGGCAACAGCTATTTCAGTGTCGCGCTTCTTCTCCCTGACTGTGCGAGTCGCCCAAGACGAGAAGCCTTACGAATCCCCCGCGACGGAAACACCAGAGAATGACACTCCGCTGTCCTCTTCCCCGACGGAGACCGAGCGCGCCCGCGATGGCTTCTCCATTTTTATTAGCAACATGACGTTCGATGCCACTGATATGCACTTGCGCGAGGCATTCGGCAAGTACGGCACCATCACCTCGGTCAACATTGGTCGTGATGGCCGCGGATTGAGCAGAGGGTATGTGTATCCTATTGTTTGTAGTCTACCGATGGGAAGGCTTCAATACGGCTTTCGGATGGATGACTTGAGCACTACTCCATCATGTGGAATCATTTACTGACACACTCTCAGCTTCGGCTTCCTTACTTTCGCCGAGAAGGAGGCAGCTGAGCGCGCCGTCAACGAGGCCCACAAGTCATTCTGGCACGGCCGTCGCATCAACGTCGAGCACCGCAAGGCGTCGTCCGATAAGAAGACGGGCCCCCGACCTCTGAACATGGAGCCGACCACCTCGCTGTACATCGGCAACATCCCTTACGAGACTTCGGACGCCGACCTGAACCGCATGTTCCGTGACCTCGACAACGTGACCGACGTTCGCGTCGCCGTCGACCGCAACACTGGCTGGCCGCGTGGCTTCGCTCATGCCGATTTCACCGATGTCGAGAGTGCGATCAAGGCCTACGAGAAGCTCTCCTCGGTCGCTATGGGCGGCCGCCAACTACGCGTTGATTACTCGGAGAAGCGCAGCGGGTACTCCCGTCAGTAAAGTTGTGGTGGAAGACGCTGGCAATGGATGCGAATCTGCCGACCTGGGGTCATGTGGCCGATGATGAAAAGGGTGCATTGCCCTTCTTCAGCTTGTGTTTAGAACATCCCAAACCTGGGCTGGAAGATGGCATAGATGAGCCATAGTCGGTCATCTGTGGGAATCATGCGCCCGAGAAAAAGGGAACTGTATATATATAACGTGTAGAACAACATGATAATCAGCGGCGGGTGCTGGGGCCGACGAATCAATGTACCATCTCTCCATTCCTCTACATGCTGGGTGCCCCACAATATTGCCAAACCAATACAGTGGCCGATAATTTGCCAAATAGATGACCGTTATGTACGAATCGTAATGATATGGATCTTCTCTACTCTTATGGAGGGGGCGGCCCTAAGATATCCTGGTGGAATATGGAGCCGCACGGGTACGAAAAGGAATGTTGTGGCTGTTACGAAAGTGCATTCCATGAATCGTCGTGACATTTATTCCGCCTACACCTGACACTCAACCTTGGTGTCAAGGTGATTGCACGGAGTTGCACTGCAACGGCCAATGCAGTTTTCAATTCCGATGCAGAAACCCTTCCCTCCTCTTCATGATACTGAAGTTAGTTTCTTGTGAATCAGAGGTGACCATATTTCACACGAACAAAAGCAATGAGGTCAGCAGGCGGAGATAACGCTTCTGAGAGCCGAGGGACAACGCTAAAAATCGTCCCGCATCCCGAGGCTCTTACGCATTCGGTCGTGGTGGGTGCAGCGGGCCCAAACTGAGAACATCTTACAGCCACCTTCGGGGCGCCCAACTTTTTAACAACTACATCCACTCGCGGCGCCAAACAATCAATATGTCTTTTCTTGGCGGTCCTGAGTGTTCGACAGCGGGCAACCCGCTTAGTCAGTTCGCGAAACATACACAGGACGACAAAAGCCTTCAGCGAGACAGGGTCGTCAATGGCGGCCCTCAAGGAAGCGCAGGCGGTTTCCGCAGTGCCCCCAATCACGCCCCCCAGGACGAGATGATGAACGGCTTCCTGCAGCAGAATGGACGATTACCAGACATGCCTCTCGAGGCTATGAACCCGCAGCTTCGACTCGACCACCCGGCACAGGCGGTCCACCTGAGAGCCAACTCGACTTCGCCAACCTGGGCCAACGAGTTCCAACGCAATCCTCAGGCCGCCATGGAGTCGGCCTTCAAGGTACCACAAGGCACGCACTTTGGTCCGGAGGACTATGCGAAGTTTCAGCAAATGACACAGGTGGGGCCGTCAAGGTCGAGTCCTATGCCCCAGGGCATGGCATACCCGGGGCCCATGATGGGAACGGGTATGATGAGTGGTATGGGCAACGTGGGAATGGGCTACGGTATGCGCGGCATGTACGGCAGCCCCATGTACCAGCAGCCGCAGCAACAACAACCGGCGGCGGCACAGTCCATGGACAAAGGCAAGGGCAAGCTGGTGGAGCTCGATGACAACAAGTGGGAGGAGCAGTTCGCCCAGATTGCGCTCGAGGACCAACAGGCGAGAGAAGATGAGCAGAACAAGGCCATGGAACCCGAGCTCAACAAGCTCGACGAGCAAATCCTGCAATCGGAAACCAACGAATTTGGGGACTTCGAATCTATCTGGAGAGGCATCCAGTCCGAGAAGAACGCGGCTACGGAGCAGCTCAACGAAGATGAATGGGTCAACAGGTTCAACGACGAGAACTGGCAGAATGGCTTCGGCTGGGGCGAAAACAACTATAGAATCACTGGCGAACCCCAGGTCGAGAATTACCTCTTCGAAGAAGACAACCTGTTCAAAGATACGCCCAATCCCTTCGACGAGGGCATGCGGATCATGGAACAAGGTGGCAACCTGTCCCTTGCGGCACTTGCTTTCGAAGCCGCGGCGCAGAAAGACCCCACCCATGTCGAGGCTTGGGTACAACTAGGAGCAGCACAGGCACAAAACGAGAAGGAAACCGCCGCCATTCGTGCGTTGGAACAAGCTAAGAGTCTTGACCCTAATAACCCTGGGGCGCTGATGACTCTCGCCGTCTCCTACACGAATGAGGGATACGACAGCACGGCTTACCGGACCCTTGAACGATGGCTCTCAGTCAAGTACCCCTCCATTATCTCCCCCGCCGACCTCTCTCCAGCCGCAGACCTGGGCTTTACCGATCGACAACAACTCCACGACAAAGTCTCGAATCTCTTCATCAAGGCTGCCAACCTGAGCCCGGGCGGCGAGCAGATGGACCCTGACGTGCAAGTTGGCTTGGGAGTATTGTTTTACGGCGCTGAAGAGTATGAAAAGGCCGTCGATTGCTTCGGCGCAGCACTGCAGTCGACAGAGCAAGGCGCGTCAAATCAGCGCTCCCAGGTGCACCTTCTCTGGAACCGAATGGGTGCCACGCTCGCCAATTCGGGGAAGAGCGAAGAAGCGATTGCGGCGTACGAAAGGGCCCTTACCCTGCGGCCCAACTTCGTCCGGGCTCGGTACAATCTTGGCGTCAGCTGTATCAACATGGGCTGCCAGCAGGAAGCCGCCAGCCACTTGCTCGCCGCTCTCGATATGCACAAGAGCGTCGAGAAGGAGGGACGGGACAAGGCTCGTGAGATCCTGGGCGACCTGAGCGATTCCCAGCTCGACGCCATGACAACACAGAACTGCAGTACGAACCTGTATGATACCTTGCGGAGGGTGTTTATGCAGATGGGCAGACGGGATTTGGCAGACAAGGTGGTGGCCGGTGTAGACCCTGCCGTATTCAGGGGCGACATCGACTTTTAGAGGGGTAATGGGTCACGACATTCCGATAAGGGGCTGCATAACTTGTCCGGGAGGCCACTGGGGCACTACTGCCTGTCAAACCCAAACCCAAAAGGCTTGAGGGAAATAAATCCAAGTATCGTTATCATCATTATCAAGACGGCGGCGCATTGATTACGCTGGGGGCAAACACATTTACGAGAAAGCGAGGCAAGAGGCAGTGGGTCTGGGTGCCTATTGAGACTGAATCGTCGGGTGTTGCTGGTGGGCATTGGGAATCGAAAGCCTGTCAAGAAGGACATGGGGGTGCTAGTTCTGAGTGGAGCGGTTGGAGGGCCAACTGGAAAATCACCTGGTTTGTCCGGCAACTAACTCAGCAAGGTAGATGGTGATGCTGGTTAGGTTGGGCTGAGTTATGGGTAGAGTATGAATAATAGCGATTGAATAGTCTAATCCCCGCATGAAAAGATGCCTAACGGTGAACAATAGTCGCGGAAGTTAGTCGACGGGATCATACTCTGCGGATGTGATGTAACGAGGACTCAGTATGAAAACTAGTCTGCTTCCTTTCTAATAATATTGCTTGTTCAAGATGCCTGGGGCTATGGGGCTACAAGACTGCCCATTTGGACACCATCTGGATGGCCTCGCCCAGGAGCCGTTGTGCTGAGCTTTGTGGTTGGCTTAGATTTCAGGTACTCCTACCGTTCACGAGGTATCCTCCAATGAACAGACTGACGAGAAAAGGGTGGTGTACAGCGGAAAAGAAAAAGAAAAAGGATTGTTGCTAGGCACACAGGCGACGCTGGGTTGACTCTGAAAGTCGAGACGATGTCCCTTGCTCAATCAGCTTCAATTAGGCTGCCGTTACTTATGTACGGAGGCGTGAACGATGGAGGCTTCCAATGCCCTTAATTGCTTTCCTGGGAAGACACACGGCTCAGGATTGCCCAAGCACTTGAGAAGGAACATCGAATCCTCAACCAGGAGGTAGAGTAATTAGCATAAATGCCCCTTCTTATTGGGGCAGTTTGCAACCGCCAAGTTCATAAATCGAATGTTTGGTTCTGCTGGATTTGCGCCATGGCTTTGCTCCTTGCTTCGGCTAGTCTAGTTTCTGAAGGGGATCGGTTCTGAGTGGAGACACCTGGGCTTCAGGAACAGTTTACTTCACAACGATTGTCTTCCAGAGACACCACATCCAACCAAATAAGGGTCACAAGAAGATCTGCATGCACAGATACATCTAGCTATAGCTACTTTGTCTTCAGTCCCTCTCAAACAAAATGGGGTATCATCTTCCCTAAGCACGACCTCAATCCCAAGAGCATATATAATACCATGGCTAGTTCTCTGTCTTTGTGTGAAATCAAATGCTGATACACGCTTGTCATACCCTCGATATCAGGCTCATACCAACTAGGCCAACCAGTTCCTGAGCATGCAAATGTTACTGTTTCTCACAGTCGTAAGCTTGAACAATAGTTTATTTAACGCCAATAAAGCCAATTCCATTTCTCGCATTTTGGACGGCTTTCTTCAGTGCCTGGTCCTCCGTGTCGGTCCACTTGACGCTGAGCTCGTCCCATTTGCTACCCGGAGTGTTATACTCACGCTTGTGTTGGGTATGCATTGCTTGTAGCCGCGCCATCTCGCGAGGGTCGCCACTACCGCTGAAGACGATGAACGCGGTGCAAGGAGGCAGCGCTTCGTGAATTTTCTTCAGATTGGCCGTCAACTTCTCCAGGCACGTCTTGAGGTCTGATGACGAGCCACTATCCATGTCAGGGGGTGCGAGAAAGTCGGGATCGGCGCCGGATCGGTTGCGGTTCCACCATCCCTGCAGTGCCTCAAGCTCCCGGAAGCGCGCGAATACGAAATCGGCACCACCGAAGGGAATTTCCTCTGCTGCTGGGTCGCCTTTCACTGCTCGGAAAATGCCTTCGACGACCTCATCATCCGACTTGCAGCCGATGGCATACGTCGAAGCGGCTCCTGGTCCTTTCATGGGATCCCCCCAATCTACCATGGCACTGGATTTGCCGATCTTTGCGCCGCCTGTGGCCTCAACACCTCCATTGGCACGATATGCTGTTCCGGCTTGGTGGAGGCGGCGGAACAGGTTCTCGCCCTGCAGCTCATTGGCTCCCCATGCCTTGCCTTTCTCACACTTCTGCTTGACGAGGTCTAGACATGCTTTTGCGTCCTCCGTCGGGTTGTGGCCCAAGACACCTTTTTGGATTTCTCGTTTGAGAAACCGCTGGGTGAGGAATTTCAGGCTGTTCTTCAGCGGCGGTCCGCGGACGTGGGGGAAGAGAATTGCTGTATCAACAATAAAAGGGTGTGTCATCTGCATGGCCTTGAGATCCGAGTCTAATGAATGACCAACGAGAATAGTCCTAGGATGAAGAATTTCCAGCAATTCTGACTGAATGTCCTTGAGAGTGGTCGTTATAGGATCGATCATCTCTTTCGTGATACCAGACCACTGGGTAACGTAGTTGGTGATAGGCTTGTCGGGCTTGACCAGTTTATCCATAACCACGGTCCCATCCCAGTTTACTAGACTGATTCTGGTGAGGGAGAACTCGTTTTCACCTGTCATGCACATCTCACAATCGAGGCCCAAAATTTCGCGGCCAGCCGTGATGGAGCCTTGCTCAATCTCAGCCTCCGGGACGTCGCCATCTTCTAGATTCTCTACTCTTGTGTGGACCCAGCCTTCCTGATCTTTGAACTCCTTGCGGCGCTCTGCATCACTAATCAGTGCCGGATGAAGGACGTATCCATTTGGTATAAAGTCCTCGGGCATGAGTAAGAATTCCGTGATCCGAGTGCGCTGGTCTTTCCACCCCTTAGGTTCATTTGCTTGCCGCACCGCACCCTTCGGACCCCTCAACTCCTGAGACTTCTCGAGAGGGGCAGTCAACATGGTGCCCATCGGCGACCGTAGTTGCCCACGCTTTTCGTCGGCCGGAGTCTTTATAGGCCAAAGATGGGGGAAAAAGTCGGCAAAGGGTTGCAGAACTTCAGGTAGCTCGCCCTTCTTGAGAAGTCGAGGGTAATAGTCATCGGGACTTGTGATGACGCGCGGTTTCTCATCGACACATCTGGCCTGGTCTGCGTAGGTTGCAAAGTCAATATCTTGCTTGAACATAGCCTCTTCCAACCCAGGAATCATCAACGTGACGATCTTCCTGAACTGGGGTCGATGGGCGATAGAAACCCAGCTTGGGCCTGGACCTTCCGCAAAGATGTACAGTATGAGATTGCGCAATTGTTCCAGCGAGACCTTGGACTGAAGCTTGGCATTATAGTTGAAGGTGATGGAGGGGTAGTTGGACGAGTCGGTTTTGGGGATCTTCTTGTGCTTCCTCGTTCGATGTTTCTTGCCGACAGTCTGCCATCCACCACCGTCGTCCTCGTCTTCGTCATGTGGCTTGGAGCGCTTCAGGCTGGTCGCTTCGCTTGCGCTAGTACTTGTGCTTGTTGTTGCGTCGGCCGTTGTGTTTTTAACCGTGCCGGGCGTGTCCCAGTTGCCAATTGCGTTGGAGGCTGGTATAGTGTCTTCTTCTACTGCCGCTCGCAGAGCCGCAAGGGCATCCTCGGCAATGTTTGCCGCCGTTGTCTGTTCCATTGGGGCTCACAAGGCAGTGGCACGGTAGATAGGCTCGAGGAAAGCAAGTTGCGAAAATGGAAATTCAACAATTGAAGTTTTGCCAACGTCGACAAGGGGTGCCGCTAGCGCTGCGCTAGCCAATGTGGGGGAGCGCGAATGTAACAGGGCTTATCGCTTATCGAGACGTCGCTAAAAGTACTGTATCCAGCACTATAAGCCTATCCTATTATTGCCAGTGGGAGGTTAGCTGGGTGTTACTTGGACGTGGTCGTGACAAACTCAGGAGCCATCACTGACTGAACCAGCCTACATGAAAATAAAACACTGCCACTCATCAACGGCAATAATAATCAATGATCAACCTAGAATGATGGTTCAAACAACTCTCAGTCATTTCATCGCACTTGGTTGAAGGCCCATGATTACATTGCAACCTCGCTCAGTGCAACACATCGTCCCCAGTCATCCTGAAGCATGTTGGCACAAATTGCAGAAAGTACAATGTAAGGATTGGCAGCTCTTCTCAACTCGTGGACTCAAATAGGTAGGGAGCCATGTCAGCCCCTCGTCGATCCGGATGACGACCAGGACATTATTCAAACTGGGCGATCTTGACTTGAAGAGAAAGCAGATGCTTGTTGCAAACTGGTATGCCAGCCCATTCACCAATAGATACTTCGAAGTTCACACGCCTTGAAAATGAGATAAAAGCTGCACGACAGGTAACGTCTACTGTACGAGAGAAAATTACACATTCCCTAAAAGATTCAGAAGAACAACCTCGGCAGGAAAACGATTGTATCCAGAAACGATACAGGAGGTGAACACCCTTCGTGGATCACTGGGAAACACAAGAATTGTGGCCAGAGAAAGCATTTCTACTGTAAAGGGATATGCAATGAGAGCAATCACAGGCAGCGAGCTATCCAATTGGCCAAGCTTTCCTCCCAGAAACTATGGCTCAATCAGCTCACCACCATCGATGGCTTCTCTGAGAGTTCAGTGTAGAAGTGGTGGTGCATGGCTTACCAAGTCAGGGGCGGTTGAAAAGAGATGCTTGATGCGCAAGAACATGAAGGCAGCAGGTGAGCAGTCGAATGCTTGAGAAAGTTGACATCCTCAACACTGCATTTCTATTTCTCGTGGACCAAGCTCTGCTCGGATTCGAATTCGACACTCATGATCTCAAGTGCGAACCCAGACAACTCTTGGATAGGCTTCAACACGGCATGGTCGAAAAAGAGCCTACCTTCCAGATCATTTTGCTCCTTCACCCAAAATTTGATGGCAGCACATTCCTTCTCCCGACCTGGCAGACTCTCTATATCTTTCAGCAGCTGGCTCGCTTCTCGATACACCTGCCATTCTTCCGAATGCGCCAAAGGACCATAGTGGACAGCCATTCGCAGGATTGCCTGAGCCATGGTCGCCTGATCCATCCTCATTAAGGATTGCGCAAGTCTCGACCTTACTGACCCGTCATTTCCCGGTTGTGCTGAAGCTGACTCTGCGCCCGTATGGCTTAGAAGCTTGGAAATCATGAGTAATCCCTTGATCCGTTGCGGACTAAACGGGGCAGGGTTTCTGAAAGGGTCGCTGTTCAGAGCGAGGAAACAGGAGAGGGCTAAGCTATAGGCGAAGTCGCCACGCTCACCAAAGTAGATGCTAGCTTCCACCATGACTTTTACCAAGGGGTCCATGGCGAAGAGTTTGGCCTCACGTAGTTCTTCACACTTCCTCCAGCGTTGCCGAAGGGTGTATGCCGGGTCTTTAATCATGGACGAACCTGGGCCTGTACATGGCTCTGAGCAAAGACGGTACAGTTCCTCCAAATTTTGTTGCAATGCCTTGTTGGAGTGGAATGAGGTGGTGACAGGGGGGTGACGGAATAAATTCAGATCTGGTGTAAGACTGAAGCTGTTCAGTGTTAAATGGGGATAATCTTGGCAGACCCGGTAGACGTCGAGGTCATCCTTGCATCTAGGGCACATGCAGTCAAAATGGTAGCGCTCTTTCAAAACACGCTGGCGATAGGAGCGGTGCAAACCTTTGTCTAGTCAAAGCGTAGTCAGAACAAGGCCGGGCTGACACTCCAGACGGAGCACTTACCAATATAAGATATCTCAACCTCCTCGCCCTCTTTGATGGCTTGATATGCCCGTAGCACAGCTTTTCGCCCTATAAACTGGACGAAGGTGTTCGGGACGCATGAATGATTGACTATGGCCAGCGCCGGGTTGACGAACATACCCGTCTGGTCAATATCCACATCCAGCCTGTTGAAGGAGTTGACTTGCAGCTATTCATTACATATAATTAGCACCCGAGCCATCAACCACCCACCCGTTCACTCAGGGAATGTCTTCCTCACCTTGCACAAAATCTCAACAGCACTCGCCAAACTCCTCGCATTCGTTTCCCTCCCCATATAATGCAATGCCGCCATACCCTGCAGTTCCATATCCGCCCACGCGTTACTGCCCCTCCCAGACCGAAACTCGTCCACATGCCCCTCCATCTCCGCCGCCGCCAATAGCATCTCCGATACCCTCATCAACAACATCTGCACCAAGCCCCTCACCGGCGTGGGCAGCACGTCATGAACCTCAGCCCGCACGCGCTGGAAGACCTTGCATTCGGCCTTGTGGACCAGGGACCAGTCGGACTTTTGGCAGGAGGGGGAGCAATAGTAGACGGTTTTGCAGCCGGTGCAGGCGCGGACTTTGATGGGGATAGAGGCAGAAGGGTTGGAGATGGAGAGGCAGTAAGAACAGGTCGTGGAGAGGTGGTTGGAGTCCGGAATGGCGATGCTGGGGGTGGTGAAGAAGGCGATAGGTGACCCAGGAGAGAAGGATTGAGTGGCGACGAGGGAGCGGCCGCGTGGGGAGGAGGGGGTGCCTGTGAGGGTTAGGCTGGGTGGGAGGATGAGCATGGTTGCTGTTGTGGCAGGAGATGGGGCTGGGAATTTGATTCGGTTGACAGAAGGAAGTATGAGTATTGGATGCTTGGCAATCAAGGGTCCGGTGTACTGAGTGGCTGTGTTGCAGTTCTTTGAATGAATGTCGAACAGCCATTCATAAGTGGAGTTTGATATATCAGGTTGTCAAATGGACGAAACGTGCGAGCCGGACTATTGAGTAATTGTAAACCAATGTGCCTCAATATTTACGCTGATAATAAATTGTTCATGAAATGTACAAACACTTTCAAGCAGATATCTTGACTAGTGAACAATTTGATGGAGGTCGCATACATGCAGGCGGTGGTCCGGGACGTAAATTTCACAGCAGCTTAGGGCAGTTTTAGGTATGCTTTAGGGTAGCGCCTCTTCAGTATCGAGGTATCCGGAAGCACACATCTATGTCTGCAGTTCGTCCTGTCAACATCATCAAGAAGCCTCACATGAACCTGTAAACTACAATTATGGGCATCTATGGCATGGTACGGCAATAAGCACCTTTCACAATCGATTGGCCCACTGAGGTGCCAGCGGGCGTAGCAAAATACCTGATGCTACGTCGGGTGACTCAGCTCGCCCCGTCTTACAAGAAGTCAACCCCATTCCTTGTTTACTAACAATCAGAACGGGCGAGGGCTATAGATTGTCGCAATCCCAAGGCCAACTTGTAAATCAATAGACGGACCGCATCCCCCCACGATGGCCCCTCTCCAACTCCAACCAGCCACCACAGTCAACGCCTGTCGCTCCGAGATAGAAGTAAGAGCGTATGGGCTACAACCCTCCAGGCTGGTCTTGTTTCTTCCCGGACAACGCCAAGAAGATCAAGGCAGAGCCTTTGTTCAAGCACTTCAACAAGGATAAAACCACACGCTGGCTCAAGGCTGTTCAATCCGATGCGCAGATGGAATAACTACACGCAGAAGTCGACTTTTATGCCCATATAGCTTGGCCACGGGTGCAATATGGAAGATTGCTAGGCGTCGTTTGGTGGTGGGTTCGGAGGCAGAGGGCTAAGCTTTAGGGGAAGCTGTTATATGGCTGCGAGTGATATTCTCTGTCTAGACTTATGAGCTCATTGCATATGCCTACATGCACGTCCGAAGACCTTGTGGGCTGATGGCTGGAAATCCAACGTCTGCGCTTGCTGCACACGGATCCTAAACACCAACGCCGGGAAGCAGGGGCGATGCTGGTGCAGTGGGGGCTCGACGAGGCACAGAAGCGGGGGTTGATTGCACAACTGGAATCTTCTCTCATGGATTATATTCAAATTTAAGATTTGGAGATGTGTAGGTTCATTCTGTTGATATGAGTAAATGGGGCATGGAACAGAAGCATAAACCGTGGCCACGACATGGGAGTCAACGGGTAGTGGAATACTTTCGCTTGGGAAATAACACGTATTTAATTTTGTAACGCTGAAATCCAGACTACTCTGGTAGAAAAAGAACCTGCAATAGCCACATGAGACTTCTTGGCATTCACATCTTGAGAAACTGTGATAACGTACAACCCCACCTTTCTGGCCACATATTGCAATCCAATTGAAGGTATTCGAAACAGTGTATTCAACGTACTGTTATAGCTATTCAGGTACAACCAGCTCTAATAGAAAGCTGTGCTCTAGGGCTTCCTGAGGTATAGATCTGATAGATTCTGACGCCTTAGCTGGGTCCAGTATTACCTGATTCCGACGTTGTACCTGGTCTCGTTGCCGTTCTACTTCAAGGGCTCGATCCATCGCTTCCTTAATCTGTACAATGTTACCAAATCGTTCATTAGGCCCTAATCGTACCTTCTTACGTGGTTTGGGGCGTAACGAAGTTATAGGGTAGAGCGTGGAACGCCCCATCGGAGGGAAGCCTGGCGCTGGGATATCCCTTGATTGATATCGTTGAGAGCGCCTTGAATCAAATTTTCTGAATATCGAGGCATTGTATAATAATAGCCAATACCGACGATAATCTGTTGTGCCGAAGGTTGTTGTAGTTGGCAGATTAGGTGGCCAGAAAGGTAGGTGGCCAGAAAGGTGGGTGGCCGGAGAGGTGGGGTTGTACGTTAGTTGTTGCTTGGTTGGCAGCTCTGTCCTAAGGCAAGAACAGTGACAAGGAGGGGCATTTGCTTTCTTAGTGGGGTAGTATTTAAAACACCAACCAGGTCCTTCCCTACTCCATCACAGCCAGACATGGTTATCGCTCTGACGACGCAACTACGTATACGATCCGTGCAAATCTTATATTGAGATTATCAAGCCATCCCATCCCAACGGTATTCACCTTTCAGTCGGAAAAATAACGCAATCCCCAGCCAACGTGACGTCATCCCCGCCCATAGCCTCGACGCCCCAAACCTTCAGCCACTTCGAACTATATCACCACCGGGCTATTGGCACCCACCTGCCAGCCAGAACATGCTCACCCCCATTAAGCGCTTAATCATGACAGACTCCAACTCCAACACCAAGTCCGACCCCCCGGCTCCGCTCCAGAGTTCGTTCCAAGTGCTCTCCAGCGCCGGCGAGTCCTTCGCCTCAGTTCGGGTCCAGAATCTGCAAGGCACTATCTCGGTAGGCCGGGACGCCTGGGGCCGCGCCAACAAGCTGCAGCCGGCTTTGATCTCTACGTGTGTCTCGTTCGCACAGCCATTTGGCACCGCCTCCTCGGGGGACGTGGTCAATGCCGAGACGGCGCACTACGGTAACCTGAGCAAGAATCTGCTCTCTACTTTGAACTTGTTTGATGCTTCCTCGCCGCCGAAAGACCCCAATGTTGTGGGCAAGGCCGAGACTGAGGGCCCCAGCTCGGCGGATGTATTTGAGTTGCTTTGGGTCGGGCTGACGGGAAGGGTGGTGGATGGGAGTCAGAGGGTGTTACCGCTAGATCAGGTGCCGTTTCTGGATACGGGGAAGTTGCGGTCATTGGAGTTGACAGTGTTGTTACCGAAGGCGTCACTGTTGGGAGAGGGGTGTAGTTTGACGGTCACTGCTTGCTTTAAGGAGGGTGCGGATGGGAATCCGCTGAAGGCTTATGCTAGGTCGATAAGGATACATGGTCTTCGGGTCCCTACACTGATAGGGGTCAATGCGAATGAGCGCAAGGCGAAGCAGATGGTCCTTGCGGATGTGGTGATCGATAAGTTGGATGTGACTCGGGATATTCATCCTGAGGTGGAGAGGATGGTTGTGGATGTCAGCATTGCCATTTCCTGATTTTACTGTGTTTGTGCTAACGTGTAACAGGCGATGGAAGCGTCCTCTTTTGAGACACTCGAGGCCTTGGCAGTTCATATCGGTAATAAAATTCTGTCGGATTTCAGGATTGGTGACGACCCCAAGCCTGCTAGAGAGAGGGGTTGGCAAGTCAAGATAAGTCTGTCGAAGCCGATTGCTGTTCCTCTGGCAGAGTGCCCGACTATTGAAATCAAGATGGGAGCAGATTTGCCATAAAGATGACTGCACAATATCAGATGTCTTCAAGCCAGCCATTGTCAGCTTCTCAGTAGTTGCGTGCTCACATATTTGTGAGCGGCACATGTTGGGCAATGATGAGTTGAACATTATGAGTACATCCACGGCTCTTGTGGTATACTCTGCCAGACAAGTCAGTCCAAGACTGGGTTGCGTGTGTTAAACTTTCTGACACAAGGGAATATCACCATTCGTGATCTCCTTGATAAAGTTCGGATCAGGATCGAACAACATGACATGGAAATGCTCGACGGCCTGCACGGATTTGAGAGATCTCCAGTTCTTGAACCAGATATACTATCCGTGGTAGGTAAGTCATATAGCTTTATTCTGTCAAAGAAGGGCCAACTTACACGATCCCGCGGTACCATTGCGCCAAACGTGTTATTGACATAATCATCAATATCCTTCCTCGCCTTGTCCGTGAGGTCTGTCGTAACCGGATTCTCCTCGAGATCAAACTTGGTCCAAACCACTAAATGCACAATCTGCTTATCAATTCCGTACGGCCAATCATTCCACAAGATTTTGATGTCCTCATCACACTCGAACGGTCGACTCCCCTTCGGAGTAATGGGCGTGCTCCAATGGAGCCGCTCGTTGAGCACGAAATTCATGACGCTGCCGTACTCCTGCTTCAACTTCCACGTGTAGCCCAGGTACCGCCGCAGCTCCGAGGGAACCCGCTGGAACAGGTCCAGCCGGTTGTCCGCGATGATTTTCTGGACTTCAGGCCACATCAGTACGTGGTATTCAGCATCGGGCGTGCGGATGATGCCGAGGTCTTTGGCATTGAGGGTTCGCAGGAACTCGGGGCATTCTGACGTCCTTTCTGCTTCGGGCACGTTCATGTGCCAGTAGGGCAGAGTGCTGCCATGGTCGAGGCTGCCCATCTTTGGTGTTGAAACTCGATCAAGGTGGTTCCGAGAAGGACTTAGAATCTGCTCGGTAGATTAAGCTGAACATGGAGTACAAAACGTCACGTTACTTCGACGCATGAGCGAGGCAACTTCTTTACAATCGGAGATCAGGGGAAATGCGGTCAGCCGCATAGTGCACTTTGTACATAACGCCACACTACATTTTCCCCACCACGGCGGGTGGAGCTAGTCAGATGTACGAAGTACACTGTTGAATGAAACGACGACGCCAAAAAGAATTATATTGTTCCAATCGATTATGCTATATGTTGTCGTATCGACGCGCAGTATGAACTGCATAGCTTCAATAGTACACCATGTTCGTGCGGGTACATGAAGTTGCAAACGAAGCTCGGCAACAGACGCATGGCTCGTTGCATTTCACCGGCTGGACCCCCACGTGGAAAGGGTCCACGACATCTATTTGATACTCGTTTTACCGTCTATTTTCCACATGGTGACGTGTGTCAATTTTACATGAACAGCACACAGTGACACAAAGTGCTTGGTGACATTGGCCGGATTCTCAGACTATTGGACGCTGGAATTTCGGGGACTTGCCATGCCACTCACCCGGACAATATGCGGCAGCGGTGAGAGAGAGCCTCATCAATATTCGGGGGTGGTCCCGATAAATTGAAAGCCTCGATAATCAATGGCAGCTGAACTTGTGACAGGAGTCAGGATCCTTACAAGTGCATAGTACTGCTTGCGCACCTCCAGAGGCTGGGAAGATGAAAAAGAGAAGCTCAACGATAAAACGCATGAACGCCTCCAATACGAACTCTATTCACCAAGACCCCCCGTTCGGATAGAGTTGGAACGGAAACACCACACCGGCACTCGAAGCGGTTTGGGCCAGAGCTGGTCAAAGGTCTAGACTTGTTCGTTTTCGCTCGATGCGATGGCGTTGCTTAGTTAGCAAACTTCTCGTGGAAAGACCCTTGCGGAAATCCCGCCACTCGGCTCGGCAGACTGTTGAGATAAAGGCATTGGCTTGAATCGAACGCCGTGGAAGCTCGTATTCGACCTCAAGAAATGATGGCGAGCTTGAAAAGTCAATTGACAAGTTGCCCAGACTCTCAACAACTCAAAGTTCCAGACCTGCCAGACTTGCAGAATTTCACACAGCCAGCGCCGGTTCTCTCTTGGTTCGGGTGGAGTCGTCAATGGACGAAGCTCCAGAAACTCAATGCTTCATTTCACGCTAGTTCCCGCTGGAGGCTTGGATGCACGGCCAACTTGCAAGCTCCGTGATATCCACAGCAGTAATAATAGTAAAGTGGATGAGGTTCCGCGGGAGATAATAACAAACGGCAAATACGAAGCCGTCATGAAGAAAAGGGGGAAACTCTTTGAAACTCTCGGGATTTTGGTGAGTCGAGTCGTAGGCGTCAACAGGCCTAGGGAGTCGAAAATAGTATATGCCAGAGTACCTTAGTTGTTGGTTGTCCCAAATCACACCATCTTGGCACAACCACACGCACCTTATCATATGCAGCAGCTGCGAGCGATCTCCTTTCCACCGCCCATCGGCATCCCCTGAGCTGATTGATGGGTGCTTTTATGGTCGCTCAAAAATTTAATGGGTCGGGATGCAACCTCACCAGCTGGACTCTTGGCTATCCCTGCCTGCCAACGCCACAAGTGATAGCCGGTGAGTGCAATTGGTAAGGCGTTCTGACATCTCGCTCAATTCAAGCGTGGGACTTTGCCATGCCAGGTACACCATCGTTGTACACGAAGTGCTGGGGCGGTGGCTATATACCGTACCAATTATTTTTTCAAAGAAGCGGGTGGGCCAAGGGTTGGTAACAATCAAGTAGCAATAAAAGGGCGGTTAGAACTCGTTGGCAACCACCTTAACCTCATTCTTCTACTCCGACTTTTGAAACCGTCAACCCACATCCCGTTGGTGACTGACTAGGCATTTGCCAGGTAAGTACGTTGAAGATCGTCTTGGTGGCCCTGCCCATGGGCAGCTGTTTGGCTGTGTCTCTCCCTTCGCTCGACGACCCCCATGTGATTCCTGCATGCAATTTGGGCCTTGGTTGGGGATCTTCCCTGCTAGGACCTATGGGATTGCAAAGACGACCACCCAGATGCAGCAAGCGAGCAGCAGGTGCACAACTACGTCAGGGCAACTTGGGCTAACAGCTTTACTCCTATCCAGAGAAAGAAAAAATTAAGAGCTCCTGCTTCAGAAGCTGCTCCAAGCTCGCCGTACCCCGCCATCCACTCCACTTGCTTGGCACCTGGGCGGGCACCTTCATTCACGACAAGCCAGAGAAATCCTCCCCGCCTCTACTTCTATTCTATCTTCCTTCACCACCTCTTGCTGCTGAGACTGCATTCCAGCAGTACACATCAAACAACATCCTTTTCTAAATAGACTTTACTCTGATCCACCGTCACAATGGCAGCTCAAGCTATTAAGAGTGCTCTGCCTTCCCATCTCAAGCCACATGGTAATGGCGACGAATTCCAGGCCCGTCACCATGGCAAAACGCGATCTCACATGGTTCGTTTGTTCCCCTTCTCTCTTTGTCTTTGGTTGTCGTTTCCCCTTTGACAAGTCAACTGTCCTTTTTTTTCCGGGTCTGCAATGGAAAGATGTCATCCGCTCTTCAACAGGGTGCGGTGAAGCTACAGACCCGCCTTCAAGCCTGATTGCTACGTATCCCCATACACTACTGCATTCACCGGCCGCCGCGATTCAATGAATATTGCATATAACCAAGTGCCTTACCCTCAAAACCCGCCTCTTCCCTGCTTGCCTCCGACATAGAAGCCCCCTATTTCATTGCAGAGTTCCTTAACCTGCTATACCTCAGTCCATTATAGATATATCATTGCCCACCCTGGCAATCACGTTCCAAGATGGTCACCAAGCTAACCGATCATGCTAAGGCTTTCGAGAACACTTCGACCAACATCGCCGCCGCTCAGATGCGGAACTCTCTGACGGAGCTTGCCGAGACGGTCAAGGACCCTAACGAGAAGAAGCTCTTCGAGACCGAGATGGACAACTTCTTTTCGCTCTTCCGCCGCTACTTGAACGACAAGTCCAAGGGCAACGTTGTGTAGGTGTCCAAGTCTCAGCGTGTCGAGATCAAAACCAGAACAATTACTGATATTCTGGTTTAAATAGGGACTGGGATCGCATTGCTCCTCCTGCCCAGGGCCAAGTCGTTGACTATGAAGACCTGGCCAACTCGGAATCCGTCTCCTTCCTCAACAAGCTTGCTGTCCTAAAGCTGAACGGTGGTCTCGGTACCTCCATGGGCTGTGTTGGACCGAAGTCAGTCATTGAAGTCCGTGATGGCATGTCCTTCCTGGATCTCTCTGTGCGCCAGGTCGAGTACCTCAACCGAACATACGACACAAACGTGCCCTTCATCCTGATGAACTCGTTCAACACTCATGATGACACTGCCGCCATCATCAAGAAGTACGAGGGCCACAATGTCGACATCCTCACCTTCAACCAGTCGCGATACCCTAGAATCCTTAAGGATTCGCTTCTGCCCGTCCCCAAGAGCTTCGACTCCCAGATCACCGACTGGTACCCTCCTGGCCACGGTGACGTCTTCGAGTCCCTGTACAACTCCGGTCTTCTTGACAAGCTGATTGACCGTGGCATCGAGATCATCTTCTTGTCCAACGTTGACAACTTGGGTGCGGTCGTTGATCTGCGCATCCTGCAACACATGGTGGAGACTAACGCCGAGTACATCATGGAGTTGACCAACAAGACCAAGGCTGACGTCAAGGGTGGCACCATTATCGATTACGAGGGTTCCGTCCGGCTTCTCGAAATTGCCCAGGTCCCTAAGGAGCATGTCAACGAGTTCAAGTCCATCAAGAAGTTCAAGTACTTCAACACCAACAACATCTGGATGAACGTGAAGGCCGTTAAGCGCGTTGTTGAGAACGATGAGCTCGAGATGGAGATCATCCCCAATGGCAAGTCCATCCCTGGCGACAAGAAGGGCGAGTCCGACATTTCTATTGTCCAGCTTGAGACCGCTGTTGGTGCTGCCATACGTCACTTCCGCAACGCCCACGGAGTCAACGTGCCGCGTCGTCGCTTCTTGCCAGTCAAGACTTGCTCCGACCTGATGTTGGTCAAGTCTGATCTGTACGCCCTGAAGCATGGTCAGCTCCAAATGAGCGCTAACCGATTCGGTGACGCGCCGCTTATTAAGCTGGGTGGCGACTTCAAGAAGGTCTCTGACTTCCAGAAGCGCATCCCATCCATTCCCAGAATCATTGAGCTTGACCATCTCACGATAACTGGAAACGTCAACCTTAGCAGGGGTATCACCCTGAAGGGCACGGTCATCATTGTGGCCACTGAGGGTGCCACGATCGACATCCCCCCTGGTTCCATCCTCGAGAACGTGGTTGTGCAGGGTAGCTTGCGTCTGCTCGAGCACTAGTGTATTGTTATCTGGCATTATTCTTTGGCTTCTCACTTAGGTTTGGTTCTTCAGACGAGGCTACGTCTGTCTTCGAGTTCACGGCTTGTCTTGCCCTACGTTGATTGGGGCTGACTAATAGAGGAGGCTACATGTGGTGTAGATAGCGGAACACCTGATCATAAGAACGCACCTTGAAGTGCGGTAGGACTACCTAATACAGTGAATGGAGGCATTGTTTGCACCATGACACCTGAATGAATGAACTTGTCGTTTGGAAAGCTTCGCAGTTGGCTTCATTGTCACGTGTTACAAAAGGAATTGGCTGAATGACTGTACTGAGTTCGGAAAACCTAGTTATGATGTCGTTTACTAGCATATTTAGTTAGTTTGAAACATGTAAACCAAAACAAGTAAGCATTGTGAGCTTCACTCCCCACCCTGGAATACTTTTCTCTTGAACACATGCGGATATGAATTAGGAGGAAGCGTCAGTATCAAGACATACGTTCCTGCATAGATCTGAGTCGACTTTGAACACGACTGGCTTGGTCGTGCTACAAATCTATCCGGCATACACAGCTTGCACAGATAGAGGAAAAACAACCCAGTGATATTAGATATATAGGTTTGTTGGAACAAGTGAACCTTGGCAATCCCAGTGTTGTGCTTGATTTGATCAAAAATGGTTTTCATTGATTCGTTTATTACTCGTTGTTACCAACGCTATGAAGGTGCTCCGGGGTATGTACTATCCACAAGTGTTCCCAATTCAATCAAACACGATGGCAATTGGTAGTGACGATCCTACGGCTCTCCCGTCAGACCTAAATTCCTCGTGCTCGGTGTCGTCGGACGTGTCAAATTCGAATTTGACGAAGTCGGGGGCTTTGCTTTGCGGTCTAAGCACAACGACTTCGCCTGCTTGGTCAGGGTGCGCTTGGGGTAGTTTTCAGGGTATGCGGTGAAGCGCTTATACACGTGGGTGAAAGGGTCGTGGGGAGGGTACGCATCAAGAAGCGCTAATGGTTTAGCCAGTAGAGGCCGGTTTTGTCCGTGCCATGGTACTTTGATGTAATACAGATGATGTCGCTGCAGCGGTCCTCACAACCAAGTTCGCAGGTTACATCAGCAAGACCACAGGATCCAGCGGTGGTTGCTCGTGGGTTAGGGAGTCAGCCAATATGCTCCAGCATAGCAACAAGCGCTGAAGTATGTTGGGTGCTGGGGTAGGATAAATGGAAAGAATTCGCCCAGTCTGAACTATTCACCATGTGATTTCATTTGCCCTTCTTCCGTAAGCTCTCGGTGCACTCAGGGCAGAACCAGCGCCCCTGCGGCTCGCTCTTGAGCCCCACGCAGTTCCAGTGAAACCACTCGTAAGGACAATTCGGATTGTCACATGCCACCATGTCGCCATACGACACGTGCTGGCATAGACAGTACTTCTTGCCCTCTTCATCATCTTCGTCAATGTCAGAGCTGGCATCGTCGTTGCTATCGCGATCCACTATGTCATCGTCGCTATTAAGCTCACGGTGCTTGGGTGGTCGCTTATGAGGCAGATGAGTAGTGTTAGCCGAAGCAGGTGCCGGGGTGCCGCTGCCTGCTCTAGAGGCTGCGCGCGAACTAGGCGCTGACTCGGCATCAGAGAGTTCGCTATCGGGAGTTGAAGTCGGCGAGCCCTTAGATCGACCGGCTTGTTTGACACGGTTCAGGCCCGATTTGGCGCTGGGGGGCTTCTTACGCCCTGTGGCGCCACTCGGGGTGCTCTTGCGGACACCGGCTGATTTGACGGTTCCTCGCGGTCCAACGCTACCTGCCCGCGCTGTGCTGCCTGGAGTTCCCGCCTTTGGTGTGCCAGGCCCCATGGACGAGTGACGCGCGAGGCCGCTTGAAGCCGGCGGCACATTTCCCATACTGCCGTTGTTTCGGGGCCCTCTCTTAGGGACACCACTGCCAGGGCCCGCGGAGGATTCGCGCTCCTTGCGATTCATGATCATGCTTGTAGCTGGGGTAGCTGGTGCCGAAGCCGAGTTATGCATTAGTGATTGTGTGCTTCGTACCTGCGGATTCGAAATTCTTGCCCCACTGGGCGCCGCATGGTTGAGGATGGGGTTGAGCGGATGGGAAGCGGCCGTGGTCGGGAACTTGGTGCTAGGGATGCTGTGATTGGCAGCACTGGGGCGCAGGACAGACGGCAACTCGTCCGGGTCGGTGAAGCCCGGCTCGCCTCGATCGTACAGAACCTTGATCTGGCCGTCCATATGGCGCAGATGCTTCTCCAACAGGAACTGCAGCTTCTCCGACAGAGCCAACTTCTCATTCGCCAGCCGGTCTGCCTTGGCATAATTCTCACGAATGTTGCTGCGCAGCAGCTCCTCTCTGGGATTGTGCTGGTGGCTCCCATTCGCGCGGATCCAACGTTGAACTTTAACGTCGCTCTCCTCGATACTCTTGACGCATTCCATGTAGACGCGGTCCTTGTCTTGTATCTCGCTCTGCAGAAAGCGAATCTCTTCGTGGAGGTTCGAGGTGCGGTGGATCCAGTCTTCGAGGATCACACCAGGATCTTGCGCCTCCGCCGAGGGCGCCATCCTGTGGACGAAATCGATGGACAGGTCGTCTCTAGGCATGGCTGTTAACCTGGCCCTCTTCGTGGTGATAGTATATATGGGTCGTGGTAGGAAGACAACGCAGGTATATGCTTTCTTTTCTTTTTGCTTCTTTCCCTGGCGGATTGTATTATTTTTTTCACTTGGTATGCCTGCGCTGGGATGCTATCACAGATGTCGGACAAGGGCTCATGTGCATTATGACATAGTGGGTGGTGAACAGGCGGGGGCAAGTATGCGAAATGAGATGATAGGTTGGGTAGAGGGAGAAGGCAGGTAGTAATAGCATGCGATGCAATGACTGGGTTGGAACTGCTGCATATAACAACGCTATGCAAGAACAAGTTATGAGCTATATGTATGGCTCACCTTCGATCATGAAAGGTACGGGTCAAAAGTCAGGACGATCCCGTTGACAATTCCCTGTCTGATGATTTTACCCTTGAAGGAAGGGTGGTCCAGCTTTGGCACGATGGCACGATAAAAGCAGGCCAAGGGTCCTCCCGTCTGGATGCTACAGGCAAGACAAGCAGGCGCGCGGAGACGAGGTGGGGAGGGCGCGGTGATGAAGGCAAGCGAAGCGAGATGGAGACGGAACGTGACTCGACTTGTTGGGGGGACGTGAATTTTTGTCAGCCTCTTGCTCCTCAAGATTTTTGCTCGGCTGACACCGGCTAACTTGATTCAGCTGTGGCGTCTCAGTCCAACGCCACATTGGTCAGCCTTGTATTTTACCAAGCCAAGGCCCATGGAGCTTTGTGACCTTTCCAAGATTGTGACTACTCCAGCTACTTTGTATAATTGGAAGCCAAATGGATGAAATCGCTAGTGAGGAAGTACTTTACAGAAAGCTGTTTGACTAATCCAAGAACTCAACACAGATTGGCCTTGACTTAAACATGGGCATCATTTACTTTGGTGACATAACATACTACAATCGGTGGTTATGATACATTACATACCAGCTGGGGTATTTCGTGGTCCGCTCGCAAACTTTGGCCTCTCGATCCATCACATTCGCTGTCTTGCGAAAGCACTACCAGACAAACCATAGAGATTTCTCGCGTCTTTCATTTCTTCTTTACAAACATCTTCGATGACGGAACAAAATACTAATTCGCCGTATCGGATGCGGCTTCCCCGGCCCAACTATCTGCCTCATAACATTGAGGCGGACATAGACGACGAATCCATCGTCCAGCAGTACAAGCCGCTGGGGCGACCTAGTCGTCGTGAGGAGGAGGCTTACATCAAGAAAGTCAGACGTTTCGCAGAGGAGTATCGAATTACCAAACCTCAAGGCTACAATGTCTCGTTTCACTACAATCCCGCCATGGAGAAGCACCATTTCGGCCAGACACATCCCATGAAGCCCTGGCGTCTCACTCTCACCAAGAGCTTGGTCAATGCGTATGGCATGAACTATGCCATGGACAACTACCATCCACGCGCTGCCACCTTTGACGAGCTCACCACATTTCATACCAAGGATTACATCGACTTCCTGGCCACTGTCGCCCCTCAGCCGACACCCTTGGACGTGGATAACCCCAACCCAGACCTCAAGTTCAATCTTGGCGGCAGTGACTGTCCTCTATTTGAAGGGTTATACAATTACTGCTCCATGTCTGGCGGTGCTTCTCTTGATGCGGCCAGGAAGATTTGTAACAAACAGTCCGACATCGCCATCGCTTGGGGCGGCGGACTGCATCATGCCAAGAAAACCGAGGCGTCGGGATTTTGCTATGTCAATGATATTGTTATTGCCATACTGCAGCTCCTGAGAGTGCATGCTCGAGTTTTATACATCGATATAGACGTCCATCATGGTGACGGCGTCGAAGAGGCCTTTCTTTCTACCGACAGGGTCATGACGGTATCGTTCCACAAATACGATCCCCAAGTTTTTTTCCCGGGTACGGGCGCCCTGGAAGATAATGGCCCGAAGAACGAACTAAATCCAGGCGCCCACCATGCCATCAACGTGCCGTTGAACGACGGCATCACCGATGAGCAGTACGAGTGGCTGTTCCAGACCATCATCTCACAAGTGGTGGCAAAATTCAGACCCGAGGCCATAGCCCTCCAGTGCGGCGCCGACTCTCTGGCGGGCGACAGATTGGGCAAGTTCAACTTGCTTGTCGAAGGGCACGGCGCCTGTGTCGAATACTGCAAGAAACTGGGCATCCCCATGATCATGTTCGGCGGCGGAGGTTACACTCCGAGAAACGTGGCTCGCGCCTGGGCATACGAAACCGCCATCGCCATCGGCCAGCACAAGAACATACCCTCCGAGATACCAGAACACACGTCTTGGCGCGATCGGTTCCGTCAGACAACCCTTCTCCCATCTATAGAGGAAATCCTAGGAGAGCCCCGCACGAACAAGAACACGCCAAAGAAACTTCAGGACATCGTACAGCATGTCAGCGAACAACTGCGCTTCGTCGAGCAGGCGCCTAGTGTTCAGTACAGCATCATTCCGCCCGACTTGGGCCCAATTCGAGAAGAGGTGGAGCACAGGCTTAGAGAGGAAGCCGAGGAGCGGGAGGAAAACAGAAGGGATCGAGAAGAAGGCGTTGGCGTGCGCGGCGAGCTGTAGGCTAGCAAGGCCGACGCCGATGCACAAAACGATACACATCACCGCTAAAGCTATTTTGGCAGAGCTTCAGGTTTCAGAAATCCGGCGGCTGGGAAGGCCGATACCCAACAGTTGGACATATATTGAGGGTCTATCAAGGACGGAGCAAACGCTTCTAGACGACTTATTCTAGCGCCGCCGCAGAACAAGTGCCATATTCAACGATTATCTACTGGATCTCCTGCCCGTCTTCTACTATATTTTACTATGATGAACTGTACCCTTGTCCATTGGCCAAGGTACTTGGAGTGACCCCGAGTGACCTTATCTATTCTTTGGTAAAGATATTATAGGGGTGAAAAGGTTGAAATTCTGAAGGCATCGGGCACATGTCGGGCTACCAAGTTATGCTACACCACACTGCCTTTACGATATTGTTAGCAGTGGGTTGATTGCCCAGAACACCTCAAGATTGGTATAAGGGTATGTACATTTAAAGTGGTCTGTTTTTGTGTGAATTTCTATTATGCGCAGAACCATACTAACAACGTATTGGTTTGGGCTTAAGCCCGTAATAGACCCCCTACAACAATACGTCTTCTTACTTTTTACTACCCCACTTCCCTCGCATGTGCGGCTATTTTGGTGTATTTCCTGAGAATGTGGCCCCTCTTCAGTCCTTTGCGGGCTTGCCGCTTATAACTAGGTCGAATGATCTTGAGTCGACGGCAATTCGGTTCTACTTGGCTCGGACTTTCGGGACCGACTCGACTCGACGTATCGTGTCTCACTCGGGGTCGCTTCAGAGGAAACCGTGTTTGCACAAGTAGTAAAGGCAGCGATAATCAACGTACCTCGTCGATTCTAATACCAGTAAGTTTCCCAAACCTTTAGTATTCCATGACCCCTTGCCCTCGAGTTGAAGCGAAACATTCTGGTCCCGCTAGCTAGGCGATTCACCGTCGTCGCTTCCAAATTCAGAAACACCGTTACTGTCCTTACGGACGGGCTTCTTGGGCGCGTACGGCATACTATATTGCTGCGTCCGCATCTGGCTCAACTGCGGCTGCAGCTCCCCTACCATTCCGGCCTTGGACAACATGGGCTTGGCGCACATGGGCTGCGGGATCGAGTGGCACACAGGCTGGACGAACTGCGGCTTGTGTCCCGGGTTAGCGTTCTGGAGCGGCAAGAGGGGTAGGTTGCGCGATGTGCGGGCCAGGCCTTTGGATGCTTGTGTTTTGGAGGCGGGGACGGCGGAGTGGTTGTTGTGCTGCTGGTAGTAAGGAGTCTGAACAGGAGTTTGAGCCGGAGCACGAGCGACCTGGGCACGATCTGGGGCTTTTTGCTTCTGGGCGGGCCGATGACGAGGGTCGTGCACGGCGTCGTACTGGCTACCAGGCATGCCGACGAGAGCCTGGCCTAGCGAGGGTTCAAGGTACGAGTCCCGGTCCCTTGGTCGCTTGCCACCGGCCGCGTCCGCCCAGCCGTAGTTCTGGGTGGCGAGCTTGGCGCGGTGGCGGGCCCGGTCGTTGCGGCTCTCGCAGGCCTCGCAGGAGTTGCGCAGTTCGTGGTAGCAGTCGCGGACACCTTCGCACCGGCCGCTGCCGAAGCAGGAATAGAGACAGCTATTGTCAGAGTCGGCTACGTGTTGGCAGACCACGTGCTTGCTATCCCGGTGGCGACATTGGTGGTATATGTAGTGGTGATTAGTGCACATTTTGACTGTTCTGGGGGCTGTTGTTGTTGTTGTTGTTGACTACAGGGGTTGAGAAGAAGAATAAATAAGGAGTATTAGGTGAAGTATAGTTAGTGTTATTTCTGTACCTGACAGAGGAAGATCGTATAAAATAGAAAACAAATTTAGTCGAATGATGGAACGAAACAAATGTGTAGGTGAAGACAAGGTAACAAAAATGGTATACAGTGGTCCTGAGTCCCATTTCGTGTGCCAAGTCACTGGAGTCGTGATCTATATAACCCCTGAGTCACCATTGTCCCTAAAAGACAAAGATGCCTGTCATATTCCACAGTGTTTTGGGGTTAAAAAGGTTTGCCTTAATTTCTTTCATTGATTTTGTCAAAGAAACGTATCCGAGCTTCGCGCCCACTCTGGTTGCGAGCGGTTCGGGCTTGCTCGAATTTGAATATTTGGAATGTAATAGTGACTAGCTTCTAGCCTCAATAACCCTACCTAGGAAGCCATTCACATTGTCCCAAGACTGTGTATAGAAGCATCTTGCAAAACATTATCTCAGTTGAAGCCCCAATGCTTAAATTAGCAGTGAAACAACTGCTCAATCAACTCCTCTGGAGTCGCTATTATTCTATCTATGTAATCTACCATGCTCAAAATATCTAATTCGGACGCAATAGGCGTGCACTATCTGAATGTCAGGAAAATAAACTACTTTTATGCTAGAGGGTACGTAAGAACAGAACTTCATCCGCCTATGGTCAACGGTTCTGAAATGCAGCATAAAATTTGAACTACTTTAAAGACTTATCTTCGCATTATAATGGTTTCGGTTTCTGGAGCGCATGGCTCGCATTGCTTATCGCATCGAACAAGCTTGTAGTGTCATTTCTCGTAGTATTTCGTTTGTAACAACGAAGAAGCAGAAGATCAGCCGGGGGAGGGGGGTTATTCCGTAGGTACCGGTAAAAGCCTACAGTATATGGTGTTGCCCGAGAGTTGGCTTGTATGTTTTACTATAGAAACCAGAGTTCAAGGGACTAGAACAGAGAACGCAGTATGCTTTCTTCCATAGGCCCTGAAGAACAAAAAGGCATTACGCGTTATGGACCTCTTGTACCCGATATGATGAGATCTAGGTTAGAACCGAACATAAAGGGGAAACCAACACGTTTTTGGCCTTTCTTTCACGTAGACAAAAAACAAGTGAAGCGGCTATTCCCTGTCGCAAACTTTGGAACTACCATGAAAATATAGTTCACACCATAAGACGGCATTCCCTGACATCTTTCCTAGATATGACCTGGTGATGAAAGATTGGGCCTCAATAATGATCCTATCTACAGTCCTTGTAGTGATTACTTCTTTTTGGTGCAGATTGTCTCCGGAATAAACCCACCGGCCTTGAGGACATCTTTCTGCCTCCAGTGCAGGGTTTAGAGGAGCAGCCTGCCGAGGATGAGGATGTACCACAGGCCGAAGAATCAGACTCAGCCCCAGCCCCCCATACAGAAATTCGGGAACGAGAAGAGTCACCTACCGAGGGTGAGGATAAAGAAGGGACAAGAGAAGGAGAAGAAAAGCCTGTACGGACGGAGAACTTGACGCTCGAGACGGAGCAGAAGAACGCTGCTCTCGGGGAGAAGACTGCTTTGGCTCTTTTCTTACTGTGAGCAAGACTTGAAAGGTTCACGAGAGATGTATTGGGATATTGACGTATATTGATGTGTATGACTAAAATTTATCCATACCGCAAGTTGATATCAATTCTCTTTGGCCATTTCTTCGAGTAATTGGGTGAAGTCCTTCTCTCATAGCCCATTATGAGGCGATATCCTCTTGCCCATCGCATCAGTATCGACGTTGGAATCTTGGATAGCTCCAGCTACTCAAGGAATTCAGAACGGGGCAGAGGTACAAGAATAATCTAGTCAGACGGTTGGATTTTACGGCTAGATACAGTACCTGACCCACTATCCATTTTTGTTATTAATTCTGGTAACAATACTTGCTGTTGAAAATGGGAGATTTTGCGGATCTGCCTCTCACTACGTTGAGTGCGCGAACCCACAGACACTTCCCGAGTCACAAGTTCAGAAGCTGTCACAGGAGAGATCTCGCATATTTAACTGTATTGTGTCTTATCACATTCTCTGCTATCTAGCCTTCCCATCAACGGTCTTCCAGCCTAAGCCGAGCCAGGAAGAGCAACACACTCGATCTCAACGGTAGCGCCCAAGGGCAGGGCAGCAACAGCGACACAGCTACGGGCGGGCCTGTGGGTGAACCACTTCTTGTACTCCTCGTTCATGGGGACGAAGTCGTTCTGCATGTCGACGATGAAGATGTTGACCTTGACAACGTTCTGGAGGGAGGAGCCGGCCGACTCGAGCACGGCCGACAGATTCTTGATGCAGATGGCCGTCTTCTCGCCGATGGTGGCGTCCGTCACGAGCTTGCTGGTCGCCGGGTCCATGTGGACCTGGCCCGAGCAGTAGATGGCGGATGCAGTTTTAACGGCGTGGGACTGGGGGGTTAAGTATGGTGAGCTTCATTCTTTTCTGCCTCGGTTCAAACAATAGTGAGTTGATTGAGTGGTACATACGTAGGGAGCGGCAGCTGCGGCATGTTAGTTGTATGTATATAATTAGGATGCAAAGGAATACATACCACCTGGCGCCTTGTCACTCATCACCATAGTCATCTCTGGGGCCTTGCCTGCCATCTTGCGACTTGCCGTGAAGCTTACGGGGGATACTGGTGTGAGGAATGGTCTCGCGAGTGTGCAACGGGTCGTGTAGGAGAGAATTGAGCGGATTGGTAGTGCTCGAACTGGACTGATCATGGTTAACTTTGATCCAGTTGCGGGCGGACGACGTTAAGGTTTTACGATACGGGGGAGTGAGGTCGAGCTCCGTATTTCGGATCTCGAGCTGGCCCCACCCGATCGGGAGGATCGCCGTCCCGCTACGACTTTGCAACATCGAAGCTTCGGTGCTTTTATTACCTTGTGTGAGCACATATTATTACACCTCATTCTTGCACGTAGACACATACTCGAGTCAGTATTTAGCATCAATGGCATTTACCTGTTAGAGCTCTTGCAAGGTGCACACGACACCGAAACAGCTATGCATTGACACCGAGGTTTCGGGAGTTGAATGTAACGGCAGTGATAGCGCCATACAATATGTTGATCCATGTGGGCATTTCTCAATTTCTCAATCGGACCATTGTGCTTCCAATTATGATTAATTTTAGACTCAAGTAATATATTGGATATCCGCTGCAATGTTGAATTTCGTCATTGCAAAGAGGGAGAGTTTTAGCACTGGAAAGTTGCCGCCACCAGAAGCACAGCTAGGGTTTCACATCTTGGCCAACTAGCCTGAAGGGTCCATTGTCCAAAAGTTAGCTCCACAACCACCCCTCTACCCCTGTCGGAATACTCAGCTGCGTCAAGTAAAGGAGCTCAATGGCCCATCCCAATTCAACATCTTGTTCACTTCGAGAACTCGACTTTGATTTCTACAAGTCGTAATCGCCCCCTTTGTTCCCAGCAACACCGAATTTTGTCGGTTGGATGGTTGCACCAAATTCTATCCACACCACTCTTTCGGTAAGTCCACGTCGCAGCTTCTTTCTGAGATGCAATAGTTCTAGCTCTTGTGAAGCCGCAGCTGTCGTCTGAACAGCTCGTCAGAACCGCGTGTCAGATCGTGAAATTCGAAGCAACAAGCTAACCTTAGCGCCCTGCCTTCCACAGTTTCCGTCGATTGACTTTACCTGGTCAACTCGCAGTAGCCCGTCATGGCGGCAACTGCCACATCGCAGGGCAGTTTGCGTCAGCGCAATGTCCCTAGCTCCAAAAAGAAGGCTGCATCAGTGTCTGGCGACGATGCCGAGCTCGACACCTTGAACAAGACGAACAAGCAGATCTCTGGGCCAGGATCAGAATGGGATTACAAGATTGCCCTGATCATCATCACCATACTGGCCTTTGTATCGAGATTCTGGGGCATCAGCCATCCCAATGAAGTTGTCTTCGACGAAGTCCACTTTGGCAAGGTAAGGATAGCTGCCCCCTTCGGCACCGAGAGCCACGTGGCTGACAGACATTCTCTACAACCAGTTTGCCTCGTACTACCTCGAAAAGACTTACTTCTTCGACGTCCACCCACCGTTCGGAAAGCTACTGTTTGCATTTATGGGATGGCTCGTAGGCTACGATGGACACTTCCACTTCGATAACATTGGCGACTCGTACATTGCGAACAAGGTCCCGTACGTCGCGTTCCGCTCGATGCCAGCTTTCCTCGGTTCCTTGACCGTGACAGTCACCTACCTCATCATGTGGGAATCTGGTTACAGTCTCCCCGCCTGTGTCGTGGCTGCCGGCTTGGTCCTCCTCGACAATGCCCACATCGGACAGACTCGATTGATTCTGCTGGACGCCACCTTGGTCCTGGCCATGGCTTGCAGTCTTCTGTTCTACATCAAGTTCTACAAGCAGAGGCACAACCCCTTTGGTCGAAAGTGGTGGAAATGGCTGATCCTGACTGGCTTTGCCCTCTCGTGCGATATTTCGACCAAGTACGTGGGCCTGTTCGCCTTCGTCACCATCGGCTCTGCTGTAGTGATCGACCTGTGGGACCTGCTTGATGTGAAGCGACCAGGAGGCGCATTGGAGCTGGCTGATTTTGCGAAGCACTTTGCGGCGCGCGCCTTCGGACTCATCGCCATGCCCTTCATTTTCTACCTGTTCTGGTTCCAGGTCCACTTCTCCATCCTGACGCGGTCGGGACCTGGTGATGACTTCATGACGCCCGAATTCCAGGAGACGCTGTCTGACAATGTCATGATGGCCAACTCTATTACGATCAACTACTATGATTCCATCTCCCTGCGACACAAGGAGACCAAGGCCTACCTCCACAGTCATGAAGAGAAGTACCCGCTCCGTTACGACGATGGTCGTGTCTCCAGTCAGGGGCAGCAAGTGACGGGATATCCCTACAACGACACAAATAACTTCTGGCAGATCATTCCCCAGAATGATGACCATCAGCTGGGTCGCGTCGTCAAGAACCATGACCTCGTCCGTCTGCGACACATTGTCACCGATACTATGCTCCTGTCGCATGATGTCGCCTCTCCGTACTACCCTACGAACCAGGAGTTTACAACCGTTCCTCTAGAGGAAGCGTACGGCAACCGTCTGCCCGACACGCTCTTCGAAGTCCGTATCGAGAACGGTAAGGTTGGGCAAGAGTTCAAGAGTGTAGCCAGCCACTTCAAGTTCATCCACAACCCAAGCAAGGTCGCCATGTGGACTCACACGACACCACTACCCGACTGGGGTCACCGCCAGCAAGAAATCAACGGAAACAAGCAGATCGCACCCAGCTCTAATGTCTGGCTCGTGGACGACATTCCGTCTCTCCCTGCGGACCATCCCCGCCGAGAAAAGCCCGAGAAGCAGGTCAAGAGACTCCCATTCTTGAGGAAGTGGTTTGAGCTGCAGCGTTCCATGTTCTGGCACAACAACCAGTTGACGAGCAGCCACCCCTATGCCAGTCAGCCTTACCAGTGGCCGTTCCTGTTGAGAGGTGTGAGCTTCTGGACGCAGAGTGATACTCGCCAGCAGATCTACTTCTTGGGAAACCCTATCGGATGGTGGCTTGCAAGCAGTCTGATCGCTGTTTTCGCTGGCATCATTGGTGCTGATCAGGTCTCCCTCCGCCGTGGTATCGATGCCCTGGATCATCGTAAGTGCAAGCCGTATACGCTTCCGTGTGTTGGGATCCCAATACTGACAGTTCCTAGGTACCCGCTCCCGCCTGTACAACTCCACCGGGTTCTTCTTCCTGGCTTGGGCGACACATTATTTCCCCTTCTTCATTATGGGCCGACAGCTGTTCTTGCACCACTACCTTCCCGCGCATTTAGCATCAACCCTGATCGTAGGTGCCTTGGTTGAGTTTGTGTTCAACGCAGACCCACCACCGGAGGAGTTGAACTACCAGTCTGTTAAGTCCGGCAAGAAGTCGGCTCCTGGCCCGAAGCGACATATTTCCGCGCGCGAAAGATTTGCCGGCCAGAGCATGGTCCCGGCGTGGATTGCCTGTGGAGTCATCTTGGCTCTGGCGACCTTTGGCTGGTCCTTCTTCTTGCCGCTCACTTACGGCTACCCTGGTCTGGATGTGGACCAGGTGCTCCGACGAAAGTGGCTTGGATATGATTTGCATTTTGCTAAATAGAAGACCGCACTCGGCAAGTTGATGGGGATTGCTATGCTTCTTTTGTGTGGACGGTATCTGATTGTGTACGATTTGGAAGCATGTGCTGGGGCGGATATGCATGGGCGCAGTTGGACGGAAAATTCAAGGCCTGTCAATGGTGGAGAGGACCATCTTAACACACTGGGCGCTACAAGAGTCTAATTGACAACATTTTGAAATCATCAGATATGTAATTGTGTCTTAGCCAATGATTTTGTCCGGCCACGCTTTTGAAAATAACAGCGCTCCATCAATGCTTTGTGTGTTGTGCTACGGTCCTTCGACTTACGCCAGGAACAGCTAGTCTCTCGACATCTAGCTGGTCGACTTTGAAGACATTACGAAGTTAGGTATGTGATCTTGTGCTTTACAATTTTTGCAATATACTCACTACTAGGCGAGTTGATAAGCGACTGACAAGCGACTCTGTGAACCTATGTGTAGTATATTGGACCACTTGTATTTTTTTCGAGATGATTTGAGGCACGACTTATACAAGCCTATAGGCATGCGAACAAGGGATGAATGACGGTGGCTACCTGAGGAGCGGCGAATACAACCTCCCCACACTGGCTTACATCGACGGATTTTCACTGTCATACTCACCTTCTCCTTCAAACAGGCATGGCTGCCTAATTCCTTCAAAGGCAAAACGACCCAGGGTACTGATAAAGCACCCCTAATACTTCGATGTACACACATCAACAAGGTTCCATTTTCAACCCCGTCATGCCCAACGAGATAACTCCCGCTGTATATATTGGGCGCCAATGCGGCGTCCCTAATGGCAGCGATGACCGGCCCTGCACCTGTGCTCTCACCTGTCGCGCTCATAGTATGGGCGCGAAGCGCACCGTCCCGGGGAGGCTGTTGCTGTTTGATATGTGGCTTTCGGGGTACCGGCGGCAGATGGGGGAGAGGAGGGAAGAGCGGGAACGACAACAGGGGCAGGAAGGGGTCCAGGCGGAGGAACCGGAAGAACAACAGCAGGAGCAGAAATTGGAGTGCCCGGCGGGTCATTGGAGTATGGGGTTTGCGGGAGGGCTAAGAGATCAAGTGCTTTGGGGGTTGGACGGATGCTTTGAGTGAGACGTAACGCCGATTAAGCACTTCAATTGAAAGGAAGCTTCTCTGGGTTGTTCAGCTCTACGGGTAAGATGGGCTTGATTTGGGGTCGTTTCAGTCAACAACAGTTCATCTTGGGGCCAGTTGGCCAACAGGAAATAAGAAGACAACAGCACTCTTTCCTGTGTCGATGGGGTTGTTTGAAATCCTGCGTGTACAACTAGACTCGGGGGGTTAGGAGTTGCGGATATTGGACAGCGCTTTCGGACTCTATATTCTCACCACAGCCGAGAAAAGGATATACTCATACGGGAGTTTGAGCGATAGTTATCTCTTCTCTTTGGGGGTTAACTCCTCCATGTTTCATTTCTACACTGAAACAAAACTTTTCTGAAACTCGATGCTGGGGGCTTTTCTCAGTATTCCTGTACTTCCTGCTGACAGCTCTGTTTTACGGACAAGCTGGATGAGCGGCCAGAGGCTTAGGGGAGCCTATCGGGAAGGTCCTAGACATCGAAGTTCGACGCATGAATGTTTATACATGGGCCATAATGCTTTGCTTTGAGTGTGGCTTTCATAATTGCTCTAGCACCGTTCAGTACCATCTGGTAGTGTCTATCCGAGGTGTAGTGAAAAATGGAACAGTCCACTATAACCTCAATCTTCAAGCTAAATAGGTGGCGCCCTTTCGATCCAGAACACCGTTTATCTCCCCAGCCCCTAGATCAGCGACGTATCAAGAAAAACGCCCCAAAGAGACCCAATATCAGGATTTCCAAGCTCCGGGAATGACCCCGGCGGAACGAGTGGCAAATCTGCATCTTTCGGGATCCTGGATAGATACCAATTCTTAATCCACCGAATCTTCTGCGCAAAGAAGCTATTGACCCCAATCATCCCCGGAGACGACTCCGGATCCGCCACAACAAGCCTCTCGAGCTCATCAAACTGGTCTGAAAGCCGCTCAACCACGGAGGCAAAATCGGCTGTCTTGCGCGCGAGCTCCACGTCCCAGTCGGGCGAGTTTTCGATGTGGAGCAGGCGAGAGAAGGTAACGATGCCGAAGGCGACGCAGGCCGTCCAGGTGAAGGGCCGCACGGGGTGGATCGTCATCGGGGCGAGGAAGTGGGATTCAAAGAACGACTGGGAGCTTTGTAAACAGTTCCACAGGGCTTCGGATCGTTGGAAGACTTGGGGTCCGTCGACTGAGGCTTCCATGTAGACCGCCGGCTCATAGATGCGGACGATGGCGTTGTGGTAGTGGGTCCAGAACAGATCTATATTTGGTGTTAGCTTGGGGTATTGATTAAGTGACAGTTTGAGCGGAGCTGACAGTTTGACTTTACTGCCTCGGGTTGACTGTCGACCAGAGCCTCGAGCTCTTTACGGATCGAAGCAGTGCTCAGAGCGTGTGGCGCTGAGTAGACCCCTCGACCGTCGCTATCGAGTGGAAAGATGGTATTAACACGAGCCAGCAGGCGTTGGATTCGTACCAGAGCTACTAGCTGTAGGTCTGTGGAGTATATGTTTTTGGTGCCGATATCATCACAGCACTTGGCCAGGTAGTCGTTGAAAGCGAACCCCTGTGGTCTCCGGAAGAGAGTTGACGTCCTATCCGTTGTCAGTCCTGTGAGCAATCGTCGCGAGAAGCGACACGAAGGGGCGATATTACAGAGTGGCGAGGTAAAAACACCCCAAAACCACTCGTTTGTCCTCCAAGGTATGTTCTCCTCTATGGCCTTGACTCCTCATAGCGAGAGCCGCCTCCTCCACAAGAGACTGCGGTAGTAGGCCCCATGAATGACCGGGAGGGTTGCGGAGACCCAGGTCCATCACCAATGCAATGGCTAGTTGTAGGAAGTCGGTACCTTGTGCTTGGAAGTATATCCGAAAGTCACACCTTGCCACCGCTGTTAGACTATATAAACACGAGCTGAGGAAAAGGCAGGATCTTCACGAACCATGAGATATACAGCAGCAGCGCCTGGAGTAGCTCAAGGGTCTTGTAATTCTGTATGATCATCTGCTCGGCAATATACTTCCTGAAGGCATGTTTCATGGCCTCTTGTATTTTGGGAACCTGCGGGGCGGTCACGAGGATAATGGTATGAAACAAGACGGGACTTCTTTCGTGTAATTGAGCCGCATTCACCAGCGGAGACAATGGGACAAACGGAAAATGAGGGGTCAGCTTCTCACGGTAGGTATGCAAGATCTTGTTGCCTTGGTCCAACGTGAGGCTAAAGCCGGGAACTAGGCCAATCTTTGGAGGCTGGTGATCAGTAGGAAACGAGACCCGACTTCTGGGAGAAACATGTGTTTGTGGAGCGTGTGAATTATCGGCAATGGGTGGCTGAGCTGGGTCATCAGTGACAAGGTGAGAATGGTCATGCATATTTAGCTGGAGATGCTGGCTTGCTGTCAAAAGCTGCATGATGCCATCGACTTTTTGCTCCAGCTGAACGACTCGGCTGCATATGGGGTAGATGGGTTAGTGTTCCTAGACATCCTTATGGTCCACGATTCAATGGTATACAAAGGGTGGAGAACACACGTTGATTTGCCTCTCGCCTTCCGTGGTCTGATCTCGCGTGGAGTACAGTCTAGATTGTACTTTCGACATCTATAAACATAGCTTGTAAGTCACGTTGGCTTGGGCGTATAAGTGGACAAGACTGATGAAGAAAACGGCACCACACTTAGCCGAACCCAGCTAAACCTGATGGATAAGGAGATGTACCTTTGACAAGAAGTACTGGAACCCGCCTCATCAGACCAGGCGCAACGGGCTTTCACCCGGGCACAACCCGAGCAAGCGTGTCGGGCCTTGGCATCTCCGGGTCTGAAGCCGGCTCTGGAAGTTGAGCTGAAAGCCGCTCCGGAGCTTGGTGAAGATGCCGGTGAGAACTGATTGTCCTCCATTGCGCTCCAAGAGGGTTACGGTCACGATATAACCGAACCCATAAAGTATTTGATTGAAAACCTGTTGCTCTGTTGATCTGTGAATGAGTCTTGACTAACAAAAGTGAGCAATCAGCATTATTGTGTACTTTTCTTTGGCACTTATTGTTCAGAGCAAGTGAAGAATTCTGGTCCGGCGGTGTTGGTGCATTGACATGGGTGAGCGCAAAGGCATGCGGGCACCGGACGTTAAAATATTCCCCGAAATCCGGCCAAATACTCAACTCCTTGCGACCAGGTTAGACCTGCTTACCCGGGCGACCCAATTTTACAACCTATCAATACCAAAGTTGCGGCATGATCATCTGTCCGCGGCGATACGTGACCTAAAAGAGCTGGGCTTGTGCTACCGGATGTCAAAATGACTGCCGAATGCTCACTCTGCCGCAGGCAATCGCAAGTGGTAAAGATGGGATGTCAGTGTTAATTACAGCCATGTCTCTCTTTTCAACATGTTTTCTTCTTGTCTGTCGTGATGTGATGCAACAAGTATCCTCCCAGCTTTGCTCTGATCGTCACTTCCTGCCTTTTAGATCTTGATATTGCTTTCCCAATTTTCAGAACCACTCTCTGCGTCCCTGACCTCCCATATCTGTCTCGATGCTGGATGCTACTTTTCGAGACGTGTACATTTCTTTTTTTTTTATTGACGCATGGTATTTCTCGAACATGGCAGATACAGAATTGTCCAATGTCCCACACGCCACTTCCAAGGCACCAACAAACCAAGCGGACGTTGAGCAGCATTCACAAGATGTCTACACCGACCACAGTAACCATAGTTCCCACAGCGTAGCACAGCCCAAAGAGACGGAACCAAACTATCCTGAAGGCATCCAACTTTTCATGATATGTTTCGGTCTATGGCTAGCGATCCTGTGCGGTGGACTTGTACGTTGCCCTTTCCCCAAGTTCGTCTTCATCTTTCTGATCTCAGTGACCAGGATCGCTCCATCCTCTCTACAGCGATCCCAAAAATCACCACCGAGTTCCACTCGCTACCCGACATAGGCTGGTATGGTTCGGCGTATTTACTCACGACGTGTTCTTTCCAACTCATGTTTGGGAAATTGTATGCCGAGCTCAACATCAAATGGGTCTACATGGCAGTTCTGGTCATATTCGAAGTTGGCTCCGTTATTTGTGCAGCGGCACCGAATTCTATTGCCATGATTATCGGCCGTGCTGTTGCAGGAATTGGCTGCTCGGGGCTAAGTTCCGGCTCTCTCATTGTGAGAACCTAGTTGGATGCCAAAGAAAGAAACGAGGATGGCTGACTCGGTGTAGATTCTGGCTCACAGTTTACCGTTGCACAAGAGACCCAAGTTTACTGGTGCTGTGGCTTCTTCGATGGGAATTGCTCAGGTTCTTGCACCGACACTTGGGGGTGTGTTTACGGATCAAGTATCCTGGCGTACGTCTTTCGTGCTTGAATTTTCGCTTGAATAGAAAACTAATATTGACCATAGGCTGGTGTTTCTGGATCAACCTTCCCATGGGCGGTGTGACCTTATTTGTCCTCTTATTCCTTCTCCGCCTCCCTCCCCGCCCCAAGTCCGAGAGGACTTTCAGCCTTACCGCGCTCGCTTCAAAGCTCGACTTTCTCGGCACGGCCATCGTGGTACCCGCTGTCATCAGTCTCCTTCTTGCCATGCAATGGGGTGGTACGACGTACAGCTGGGGTAACTGGCGCATCATCCTCTGCCTGTGTCTGTTCGGGATCTTGACTATCGTCTGGCTTTACCATCAATACCGAAGGGGCGAGAAGGCAACAGTTCCCACGCGCCTTTTAAGAGAGCGTACGATGGCTACTGCCATCATTTTCACTTTGACCGGATTCTCGAACCTCTACCTGCAGCTCTATTACATACCCATTTGGTTTCAGTCCGTCAAGGGCGATTCCGCCCAGCAGTCGGGAATCAATGTTTTAGCTATGACGGCGTCCATGACAATCGCAACGGTGTTGTCAGGGTTCTTTGTCAGTGACCATTTTGCCCTTTTACTCCTTCCACTCCTGAGCTACCACTGACCTTTCGCATGGCAGACCAGCAAAATCGGCTACTACGTGCCGTCGATGATTCTATCTACTGCCATGATGTCGGCTGCGGCAGGCATGACCTATACATTCAGCATCTCAACCAGCACCGGATTTTGGTGAGTGTGAACAGTGATTAACATACTGGGAAAGCAGCGAGAACTAAAGTCGAACTCACAGGGTCGGTGCCCTCATTCTACTAGGTTTTGGTACAGGGGCCGGCGCTCAATCCCCTCTCATGGCCTTGCAAACCGTCTTCGAAGCCAAGGATATGGCCATCGCAACCTCAGTGTGGATGTTCTTCCAGTCGCTCGGCTCCAGCATTTTTGTCAGCATTGGTGCCAATGTCTTCCAGTCTCGTCTCGTCGAGAGCTTGCAGGCTATTGTGCCCGAAGTCAACCCGGCAGTCATAATTGGCAACGGCGCATTTGGATTGAGCGAAGCGATGGAGCGGGTGTATCCACAGTTCGTGGACGGGATCCTGCTGGCGTATGATAAGGCGGTGCAGAGGGTGTTTTTGGTTGGACTTATTATGGCTTGCTTGTCGATTTTTGGCAGCGCGGCGATGCCGTGGAGAGATGTGAGGAAGGGGGAGCAGAAGAAGAATGCAAATGAGGTGGAAGGGGAACAGAAAGAGGAAGTCAAGAAATGGGACGAGAATGCTCCAGAGGTTGTGGAATAATGATGACATGGGGGTAAGAGCCAGTAGGCGAGAGCTCTCATGACACGTATGATCGTGGTTTATTTCAGACGACGCTGACCAGTATACAGTATGATACAGGTTTCAATGCAAGGAAAATAATTTTCACAAAAAGATCTTGTTATGCAGTCTCCTCTAGAAGTCTCTGGGGATTTCTATTCAATGCACTACGGAAGGTGAGCATTCTATAATCAGCGTTCTGAATATACAATGAATCTACCAGTGACAATTTTACACGAGACAAAAGAACCACAACGCCATGTAGTCTAAAAGTAAGCGTGTCTACATGTGTTATGGCCAGGTGTCAAGGAAGAATGCGTAGAACGCAACTCCTGTCTTGGAAAGGCATCGTCATCAACCCCACCTCCCGGCAGTCATTACTACCTTTGTCCAGTGTGTCATGGACAATATTTCATAGCGACTGTTGGTACAAAGGTATGGATCTATCGCACTTGCTGCGTTCATCCTTGATGAGATGTAAGAGCTACCCGTTGGGAAGGTATGACGGCACATGAATAACCATCAAACCTGCTAAACATGGCGAGCCACATGTATTTCTATCATGACGGCAACTGCAACCCGCGCTGGTCGGACCAGAAAATCCAAATATCCCCCCTTTCTCGCCAACTGGTTCAATTTTACTACATCCCATTCATAACACCTCCTAAACCAGCACCATCTTTTGCATTGCTTTCTGTTCTCGACTTTGGAAGATCCTCGTATGACTCCGCCATCTCTGTGTCTCTCTGTACTCTCGATTTTGCCTACCATCTTTACGTATATTCTACCAGGCTGAGGTAATAGAGTCTACCCAGCAGCACGAGCTTCCAGAATGGGGGAATTTGACTGACTTGACGTCTATGCAGGACCGGAACACGCCGTCAGCCATATCCCAAACTTACAGCTACACCAGACGTCGGGAATGCCGATGTCATCTAAGTTTTCTCTACCGCTCATCGCTCCTCACAAGTCTCCCATCTCTCGACCTGAGTGGACTTTTTCGGTCCACTTGTCTTCAATGGCTCAAGCATTTCCATTCATAATTACTCACGAAGCTTCCCATGCTCAGTCGACAATACACTCATCTATTTCCGATGATTAGACAACAAGAGCGAGGGACATTTCAGAGATGTCGAAGAAATTCTAAAAAAGAATGTTCGGACAAGCGTGAATTCAGATCCCACCTGAAACGTTCGGTATTCGTCGTTATCGACATAGGGTGCAACGAAGAAGCCACTTCTGAGATCGGACTTGCCGCGTGCCATAGGGTGACTGCACAACCACGAACATGTCTCCTGTTGGACCCAAGAAAACGTGATATCACAGCATATCAAGTTCCAATACTCCGAGTAAATTCAAAAGGCTTGTTCGATTTCAAGTTAATGAGAACAAATCCTAGATTTGCGATACGAAATGTGCAAGGCTTTCGAGGAGTTCAACGAGAAATACTGCCAAAATGGGAAGATTCTAGTTCTTGTTGGCTTCGACGTGCGTAAAGAACTTTACCGAATCTACACGAAGTTTGGGGACATGATCCTGCACCTCTCTGCGTGGGTATATATCCAGTCAATATGCAGAGAAATGTGTTCTTCATGGAAAAATCTCTCTGTCAGACTGTGTGGCAATGTTTGAGAGACGCCGAGATTACATGCTGGTGGTAAGCCCTGAAAACGCTGGAAACAATGCATTGTGCATCTAGCTTTGCTTGATCGCATCGAACTTGCTGTTGTCCCCGGCACAGGCTTCCGAATTATGAAGTGGAAAAATGTTAAAAGATGACACCGAAAGTCCGCAGGGTGATCAATCCAGAGGGGCAACAAGGCCGAGCGCTGGAGAAGATATGTTTGGCATCGAAGAAGTGGATGATGATCTACTATCACTTGTTAGCCTGGCAGGGGGTGTGAGGATCTCGGTAAAGTCTGGGTCAGCGATGGTTTCAATTTTCGCCGGGTCTCTATGTGAAGCGAAAGGCTTGACGGGTTCTTCAACTTGGACACCACACTTGCGGGAGAGCGTAGTATTGATACTCGTAAGGAATTAAAGTAATTGTAGTCAGAACAACAGAAAATGTCCTCCATTTCTTCAAGCCTTGGCCATTGATATGTCGCATGAAAACACTCAGCCCATCGAACATGATTACCATGCTAACCAATATGATCAATTACCAGAAAGGTTATCCATGTTCCTCTAGGTATCTATAGGTTGTGAACAACAGTTTTTTCATATTAAGAAGTCCTGGCGAGCCTTACCATGATAGCTTCGAAGATTTCCCAAACCTACTTCTCCTTTCTGCTTCCTATGTCCTGTTCCCCTATACGCGCCTCACTTGACCTCTGTCACTTTGACCTTCTTAAACCACTCTAAACATACACAGTCTTCGCATTTCAATTGAAGCAGAACAGCAATGTCAACGTGACAACATCGAGCATGACGCAGAAACCATCTGCTGACACCATAGTCGAGTCCGAGCAGAGTCGAATCCTCTGATGCGAATCTCTTAGAATTTCTGGATTACTTCCTGGCGACTGATTCGAGAGGGGAATCTACCATCAACCAGCCATCTCAGATTCTAGAACCTGGTCGACTGATTCACATTATACGTATTTGCTGCATTTATATAGCGATGTTTTTTTCTGCTACAGTGCTGAGATGGCAGGTGATTGCAGACTCAAGCAGTCATTAAACATCGAAATGACCGGGAAGACTGCTGGTTTTTTTTTAAAAAAAATTATCAACGGTCAAATGTTTCTGATAAAGTGAACATTAGTATTGAAGCTTTTGTCGAAATTGCATTGGAAGGTAGGCGATGGCACATATTCCAGAGGGGTAAATGGGGAGAAAATGTTCGCAATTTGAACTCCAAGTTGCGCATAAGAAAATGCAACCGAACACATCAACTAACCAACCCAACTTATGAATTCAATTGCGAGATTATAGTTCTTGAATGCGGCATTGAGGTGGTATTTTGCATGCAGTTGGGTATTGACACAGTCGGAGCCCTATTCATTCCCATATTAGGACCAACAATGCAAACCCCCTGTGCCTGACAAAGGAAACCATTCCACATCAGCATCGACTTCAAAGGTTGTCATAATTTCATGGTCATACTGGATGAATGAGTTCTTACACTTTGTTGATACATACTTTTTATTCTATTGTTGTTGCGTGGGTGGAACCGGTCATAGTTCGACACCCCTTGAGAGCGGTCCCAACAACACTCTGGCCAAATGTTTGATATTGGCGAGGAATCTTTTGAGGTGAGTTCCAATTTAACCACATTTCTAGGTTGGTTCTGGGCCATCATGGAGCAGCAAAGGGGTTGGAGAGACATCGCATACCTCCAGTTGGTCGGCCGCCTCCCTTGAGAGCATAAAGGCAGACTATAGCCCAATTCGGTTTCTGCAATAGGTGGTAATATCAGAGGTTGACCAGCTGGGCCGCCATCAAGTAGTTGTTTATTTTTCTTGTCATGTTAGTGGGTGGATTTCTTCTACAAGAGCTGGACTCGAACTGCTTGAAGCAGTCCATTTGTTTTTCACTCAAGCCACCCATTCACAGGATTTACAATTTCTAAATGCAGAACCTTATACTTCTGACTATACCCCATTTTTCTTTTGCAACAGGTGCGGTTGGCCTCGAGAAACGAACGCGATGTACCTCTCTCGAGTCCACGACGAATACGGCCACCTTCGCTACCAGTTTTATCGAAACTAATGGACTCACAACTTCAAAATTAGCGGCAAGTGTATTGAAGAGCGCAACGCGAGGCAACGCGGCCGGCTGGCTCTTTACTACAGCAGTTACACCGATAACATCTCTCGTGCGGGCGGCAACGAGTACCGAAACAAGCATTAGCTCACCAACTGGTTCTCCTAATCAGACATTGTCTGTACCCACCAAGTGGTGTGAAAACTGTGGTTACTTTGCTAATTGGTAATTTTTCACTCCTCTAGGTTCAGTGGGATTGACTAATCTCTTCTCAGGGGTATATATGATACCTTGAATTATCAGCCCCAGGAACTACCTGTATCGGAGCTCATACGTGTACTCCATGTATTCGCAGACATTGGGCCCGATAGGACCGTGAAGCCATTCAACGCCTATGCAGATTATGAAAAGCTCTATGCAGGGGACTCTATGGCCAAGCCAGGAAAGAATGCATATGGTATCGTTCAACAATTCTTTATCCACAAGAAAAACAACCCACCCCTCAAAGTACTGCTGTCAATTGGGTCTGCAGGACCGATTTCCCCCACTCGTCGCTTCCGATGCACGAGGACAGACCTTCGCCTCGTCTGCAGTGAAGATGATGGTCGATTACAGCTTCGATGGCCTTGATATCGACTGGGAGTACCCTGCTGATTCCACAGAACCTCAGTATTTTGTGACGCTGTTGGAGGCTTGTCGGAATGCTCTCGATTCCTATTCCTCCAAGCAGCATTTTGATTACAAGTTCTTACTCCCGATAGCTAGCCCTGCTGGTCCGCAAAAATAAAAATCATAGATTTGTCAGGCATGGATAAATGGCTTGATACTTGGTGAGTATTAACATCATGATGAGAAATCACCCACTCCACTTACACCCATACGCACAGGAATATGATGGCGTATGACTACGCCGGCGGTTTCGACGAATCTTCCACAGGCCACCAGTCCAACATATTCAAAGACGGGCCCAACCCCAACGCCACCAAGTTCAATACAGACGACGCGATTAAGTCCTACCTAAGTCAAGGCATTGACCCACAGAAGATAAACCTCGGTCTGCCCCTCTATGGCCGATCCTTTGAAGCAACAAAAGGCATTGGCAGATTGTACTCGGGAGTAGTAGCCAGTGATGCAGACCCTGTCACCTGCGTATTTAAATATACCCCCCCCCCCCAAGCCTGGAACTGTCGAGGAGTGGGACGATATTGCCAAAGAGTCATACAGTATCGATCATGCTACGGGCGAACTCATCACATACGACAACGTCCGGGCGGCCGAGGCGAAATTATAGGATGTCTTCAACCGGAAACGGGAGGTGCCTTATTCTGGGAAACCAGTGATGATAAGACAGATGACCAGAGTTTTATCGGCACGGTGGCCAAGAACCTGGAGACGCTGGATCAAACGCAGAACAATCCTGGGTATCCCGACAGCCGGTTCCACAACATAAGGCAGAACATGGTGAGCCCATGATATAAGAGACCATTTCATTCGACACATCTGAAGGGTTTGATGTTGAATCTGAAGGCTCGCATCCATCATGTTCATGGCGTTTTAGGTGGTGGATCTAAACTTGGCATTAGGCAAGTCGTGCCACTTACGTACTTTCTGAGCATTTAAAGGGAACGGAACTATCGTAATGTTTAATTTGCCACGTCGAACACATTGTGAAGTAGTCTTGCCAAGATGTCTTACAACACCCACAAACCCGCAGCGAATCAAGGGATGGCCCCCGGGCCAAGGCTGTCCACCTATTAGGGTAGAAATGTGGCTGGGATTATTGAGAAGGGGCCTCCAGTTAGTATAATTATCAGAGCGTATGGTTTAGTGTAGACCTATCAGCTTCAACTAGAACGGGTGGCTGCAGTCATGCGTCCTCACTAAGCTGCAGTAGTATCAATTATGAAGTAAATGTATTGATTTCATGATTCGACCATTTTTGTCATACCTTACGTCTCAGCAAACACATAAGTGCTCTTCGACTCCTCGACTGCAACCTCAATCTTGGCCTCTTCGATTTCCTTGCCGTCCACCTTGATACCACACTTCATCACATCCCCTGGCACAACCGGGCCAACACCCTTGGGCGTGCCGGTCAAAATGATGTCGCCCTTCTCCAGAGTGAAAACCTTGGAAATATCGCTAATGATTCGGGGGATCTGGAAGAGCATGAGCTCCGTGTTGTCGCTCTGCTGGACCTTGTCGTTGACGCTGAGGTACAGGTCAATCTTGTGAGGGTTGGGGAGGGCCGACTTGGGGATAATGTTGCTCAACGGCAGGAAAGTGTCGAATCCCTTCGAGATGGACCAGGGAAGACCCTTCTTCTTGGCCTCCCACTGAGCATTCCGTGCTGTCATATCGATGCCGAGAGCGTAACCTTGGGTTCAGGTTAGTATCTGCCTAAGCAAGGGTTGCAGTAGGGGACATACTGTCAATGGCATCAAAAGCGGCCTTCTCGTCGTCAGCCTCCAGATCCTTGACCTCCTTGCCCATGATCAGAGCAAGCTCGACTTCATAGTGAAGGTCGACACCACGTGGGCGGATGACGGGACCCTCGCCGGGCAGCAAGATTGACGTTGAAGGCTTCAAGAAAAAGAAGGGCTGCTTGGGCCTTGCACTGTTCAGCTCTGCAATGTGGTCGCTAAAGGATGGTGTCAGCAACTGACTTCTTGATAGAAACCCAACAAGAAGCATTGGAGACTTCTGAAAGCCTTACGCATAGTTTCTACCAATGCAAACAACCTTTCGAGCTTGCTTGACACTCGCTAATGTAGCCATTTTGCGTCGGAAAACATTCATGTCGGGCCTCAGGTCAACGTCAGCATAAGGGAGGACGTGATTGGGTCTTCTTATAGTAACTCACTGTTCGATGTGACACTTGCCACAACTGCTACAGTAACCGAAGAAAGAATGTCACGCAGCCGATGCGGAGATAGATTTGGATCCGATGGCCGGCTTAAGAATTGCCCTCGGGACTCTGCAACGGTTGACCTTGGAGGGTGGACTCCCTCCTCAATGCAAGTGCTCTCCGATCCGAGGATCAGCGAAGCTCCGAAGGGCTTGCGACGCCGACGCTTGGCCGCTAGAGTGTGTCAATTATACGCTAAAACGCACACAGACCCCGCAGCCCAAGGCGTTCTAGGTCTACGGGGGCGAGGGGGATTAGCAGTTTGCTGTCACTGTTCGCAGCGGGGTTCGAGCTCGTCATCTACATTCAAGCAAGTCGTGACTGGCCCGAGATTCCGGTGCTGGCCCAGAATTTCTCTTGAAAAAGCTGTCGAAACACCCACAACGCGACTTCTCCACAAAGCTACTTGGCCGCATGTCCCCTGCAATCCTACATCGTTACCATTTTGTCGCCAAAAGAATCTAGGCCAGGGACGTGAATTATACAAGTCGACTCGAAAACTCACAGTACAAAAAAATATCCGATTGTCGCACAGAAAGTTCATGTAGTAGCTATGGAGGCTATTCAGCTAGCCCAGATGCTGGCTGATCTTAATGATCTCCAAGTCGCTGTACGTCTTTTTTTCTTCTTTTTTTTTCTCCTGTTTTTTTTCTCTTGTCTGGCAATGCTCTGACGTATTTGAGCTCTGAACTGACCCCGCTTAGCAAGACCAAGGTGCGGCGAAAGCTTTGGTGAGCGCCAACAAGAACCTCGACGCCAAGCTCGTGCCCCAGTCGCAACCCCAGTCAAAGGGCCTCTCGGAGAGCCGGACAGCTTCTCCAGCTACGAGATTCGACAAGCTGGGCCGCCGCATCTTCACGCCTCCCTTGAGCCGCACGAACTCCGGCACTGGCACCACGGCGTCATCGATCCCAGGGACCCCTCGTACCCACAGAGAAGACGTGAGCTCCCCACAACCGACCGGTGCTGAGGAATGAATAGCCAGCTGACTGTTTTTCGTTGTAGTCCGATGCAGATATTGATCGAGCTAGCACCTTGCTCTCCCTCTACGAGATCCGCGCCAAGTTGAAGGAACAAGATAACAGCAGCCTCATGAAGGCGCGCGAAAAGATCAACGCCCTCGCCGCGAAGCAAGCGCAGACGTCTAAGGACCAGAAGCATCTCGCCCCGCCGAAGAAGGACGGTCCTGGTCGCATTACGTATCCAAAGTAACCATACGACACGATGGAACATTGAGCATTACCGGCGTTGTACTGGAGTTCAGTGTCAGGGTTTGAAGTTTCGGGGTCGACACATACCATCGGTTTAGGGGGCGTTCAGTCATTGCGGAAAAGTCTTTGTCACTAGTGGTTTGGGAATGGGACGAGGTCTGATGGCCTCGTGGCTGGGAATACAGGCCACGGAGGATTGCTATGGATGGTTATGGCTATGAGCATCACGGTTAATGAGGCTTCAAGGCCATCGATGGTTTACGGGCAGGCAGGACCGTATCAAGGTGCTGGTCTATTGACAGGCTGTGGGAACAAGAATACCAAAACACACACTAAAAGGTGCTGCGGACCAAACGGAAACTTGGAAGCGGTGAAGGTGTATCAACACACCAGTGACGTTTGCAGGAAGTCGGGGTAGGGCCCTGATCGGCAGATGTCAAGTCGGGCCAAGGTATCGTGTCTCTCTGCACATAATTTGTTGACGAAGTACCTACATACTTTTTGGAAGCAATCAAAATAGACTACAGAATACACCGAGCCCTCTTGTCCGTCGTTTTCCAGAGTTGACTCTAGCTTCGAATGAACTTGACTTAAAACTTCAGTTCTATCTGTATGGAAGTTGTAGAGTTCACTTGCAACTACCACTTGAGGCCATCGAAGTGTCCGATGCCAAATCCAACCCATCGTAGCTACGTTATTCAATACTCAATGAGTACCTCCGGTCAATCTTTGAAGCTCCTACCACCATATGCGGGCGCTGTGCTCCAGGGTAACTTGAGAGAGCTGGAAGCATTATGCTTGTCTGCCCACTTGCACTGTAGAAAAGTTGGCCCCACCACGGCATTCTCTCCCCTGTGAGGCAGACAGACGTCACATTCAATTGACATTCTCTGCACACCAAAGGTTCTTACGTATTTCAAGCATTTCTGCTGCAATTCGTTACAACTCGACTAGGATCCTCGGTCGAAATCAACCTCGCGCTTCACCCCGATCTGACTCAGCCAGGTCACGCGTCTCTTTTCTTCTGGCATATCGCGCAGCCGATAACGCTCACGGAAACAGGTCTTTCCCCATTGAGCTTGGAAGCTCGTACATATCCGCCATGGCTTCCAGCGTGGACACGAAACTCCTGAGGGCCACCAAGTTCCCTCCCGAGTTCAACCAGAAGGTGGACATGCAAAAGGTTAACCTCCAGGTCATGAAAAAGTTAGTGCCCAACGGTCGATGCCAGTCCGTCGTGATTTGACTCCGCGCTGACTGAGCTCCTTGCCTTGCAGGTGGATTGCCAGCAAGATCTCTGAGATTCTAGGTTCAGAGGATGATGTGGTAACCGAGCTCTGCTTCAATTTGATTGATGGCCCACGATACGTACGTCTACTTTTGTCCCTTTTTCAAAGTAGGAACTGTGCAACTGCTGACCATGATGGTAAAAGCCCGACATTAAGTCCATGCAAATCCAACTCACCGGATTCCTCGACAAGGATACTGCACCGTTCTGTAAAGAACTATGGTCACTATGTTTAAGTGCTCAGAGCAGCCCCCAGGGTGTACCGAAGGAGCTTCTCGAAGCCAAGAAGCTCGAGCTGATCCAAGAGAAGGTAGTTGACGCCGCGGCCAAAACCATTCTACTTGATGTATACTGACTAGGAACTAGCTTGAGGCAGATAAGGCTGCCGAGGAGGCCCGGCTGCGCCGCGAGAATTACGAGCATCGCGATCGTGATGCACCCGATGTTCGAGACCGAGACCGTCGAGACCGAGGATTCCGTGGCGGACGCGGAGGTGACAACTGGCGCGGTAGCGGTGGCGGCGGCGGAAGGCGCGGAGGTGATCGAGCATTTGGTGACCGAGCCTTCGATGATCGTAGCAGAGGATTTGGACGTGGCAGAGATCGATCGTCATCACCAAGGAGAAGAGACAGACCCTCTTTCCACGCTGATCGTGACCGATATGTGCCGCAAACCCGCCGCGGTGGTCGCCAGGACGGCCGACGAGCCCGCTCGCCTACTCGATCCCTCTCACCGGTCACGCGAGACTCTTCTCGGTCCCGTTCGCGTTCGCGTTCGCGCTCTTCGAGCTCTGCGCCCCGCCGACGCGGACCCTCGCGTAGATCACCTCCTCGGAACCGAAGCAGCCGCAAGCATTCGAGATCACGGGGGCGGGACAGAGACTACAGATCTCGCAGACATGGTCGCAGACGAAACACTTCATCGCCGGATAGCGCCTCGGAATCAGAAGGCGGCAGAAAGCGATCCCCGCCACCCAAAAGACGGCGATACTCGGATTCCCTAAGTCGCTCCAGATCTCCGCCCCGCCGAGGCCACCGACGCTCAACCCGGTCTCCTTCCTCATCTTCTTCTCGATCACCCAGTCGCACTTCTCGACGACGGCCGACAAGGGAACTGATTAGCCGCAGCCCATCTCCGAACCGCCATGGCAGATTAAGAAGATCGATTACACGGAGCAGAACCAGAACCAGAACCAGAGATGAGCCACCATCATCGTCGAAGCGGAGGCATCCTTCAGACTCCCCTCGCCCCCGTAACAAATCAGCTGATGTTTCCGAAGATGAAGACAGAAAAGACCATCCCGCCAATCGCGACCCGCCAACTACGAAGGCCGAGGAGGTTCGTTCTTCTTCATAATAGGGCTTCTTCATCTCTGCTATGCGCTTGGATTGAGAAACTGACCTTGCTCTCTGTTATCAGACCAAGAACACGAAAACTCCACAGCAACAGGCCAATGAGCTGCGAGAAAGGCTTCTTAAGGAGAAGATCATGAAGATGAGAAGAACCTCGAACAGTAGCAATGTCAACGGCTGAAGCTAATCATTGCGACATATGCAGACTTGCCACCACCCCTTCACCACAACTCAAACTAGTTGTACCCTAGCACAACTGGTGAACAATCCAGTTGGCCTTTCTTTCTGGCTGTGAGCTTGTTCTTCAGATATGGCTTTGGCTACGGGCCCGTTGAGAGAGGGTCTCACGTCACAATAGGTAGATAAATGTTTAATTCATTTCAGCGGCTGACAATAGTTTTTACTCTTGATTTCACTACCATTATGAAGAACATAATATAAACCACCACCAGATCTACTATACTGCTGATGGAAGTTGTGAGACATGTCTGTGGCCGCAGGCTCCTAGCCTGCCCAATAAAAAGATAGCTGAGGAAATTCTCTTATGACAACCGTGAGATTCGAACTCACGCCTCTTGCGAGACTAGCATTATTGGAATATTTCCTGAAGCTAGCGCCTTAGACCGCTCGGCCAGGTTGCCTTGCTTTTCTTTATTTCGCAGACAGGTTGCCAGTGTTTGTTGATCAGCTCACCTGTCTCGCTTGGTGAAAAATTTCTGCGTTGACATGGCTCATATCGCCGACCGGAGAAATCTTATTGGTTATGGGAAGGGGGGATGGGGACAATATACGGAGTCCCACACCTAGTACTCACAAACTGAAAGTCTTGCTAACTTGATAGCCAATCACTGTTGTATTATTTCGGGGTACGACTGGATTTGTATGTGTTGTGAGATAACGCATTCAAGCCGAGTATAAATATGATAATAGGGATAGTGTGGGATTGAGCGCCATATGTGTGCCTGAGGTGGTGCCTGAGGTGGTGCCTAAGGCAGTGAAATCGCTTGTGTAGATAAAAAGGTCGGCACCTGCCTACCTACCTTAGATGTAACTTCTTACATAGCACTCCGAGCAGTCAATACACACATCACACTGCGCATCGAGCATCGTAACCAATACACGATCTGTACAGAGTCATCATCTGAGGGTTGAATCCCTCAGATAGCGTGGATCGGGGTGAATGAAGTATTCTATCTGCGGAGGAAAGCCGAATGCATACAAAAACACCCAGATCTATGGGAAGGGACGCTCAAAACTATCCATGTTGATCCCTTACAGAGGTTTTCTTAGTCTGCTCACTAAGAAATGCTTCATGGGGTCTAACTTGGGACCCCTCTGTCTTGTCATTTCCCCCATTTTCGGAAGGCATGAGGGTTCTTGTACCATTAAGCACAGTAAAGTTGTTTGAATACATGGCGCACCAAATAACAAAACAGTATAGTATATCCCAATATATCAGTATAGTAAGCAGATATAGTCAGTCGGCTTATCTAATCATTTCGACAGTGATGCTGTGTGCCTCAATATAAAGATAACCTGGGAAATCCTAAAATCAGGGTTGAATGCTTTGTAGAATGATAACACTCTACGTGCCTGTCCTGAATAACGAAAAAAGCTATTTATTTATCGACGGCAAAGGTTGCTCTACTTCTGCTCCAATTGTTCTCATCAGTGGATAATTGAGTGCGTCGGTGTCTAGAAGCCACCTAGGTACCTTATATTATCCTTGCTGGTTGCAAAAGTACTTTTATATCTAAGAAGTGGGAGACTTAACATCAGCTTTCTGCTGACCTAGGAAGTAACGTAAGGGCTGTTTTTAGATAAGTGTGTCTCTTCCCAATACTCCAAGACATTCTGAATGAGTATATCTAGTGCTTTGAAATTCTCTTCACACTCCTCAGAGCTGCCATTGTAGCCGACTTGGGCTATCACGCAACATATGCGTCTACGGGGTGACTTTCCAACATTATTGAGGATATGTCGTGGTGTGTAGGAGCAATAGTTCCTTACGCCTTTAAGCACTAAGTCACAATATTGCGAATACTGAATAAAAGTAATACCTGGGTGAAGATAACTGTGCTTCTCAAGGGAAAACTCTGTGAATGTATGCCACTGCCTCATTCCTTAGAGTGAAGCTGTTCTAGGCGTGTCTATCAGTCAGACTGCCTCTATCGGTGAATATATGTGCAAGACCTAACTGGACAAGGATATCTTGGAACAACGCGAGATCTAATATACACATCTCGAGAGTTATGTAGTCTTGCAAGCTATCTATCGTTTTCCAAGCACAAGTGAATGCCATGGTAGCCAGCCTGAAGATAACAGCGAAAGGTGTCCATATACCCAGTTGTACATATCCATGGCAAAGTTTCAATATTGATTCTGATATAGAACTTGTAGCCCTAGGAGCTCTGCTGCGCAAGATCTCCCATACTAGACTAAAATCACTGTCGAAGGACATTGAAACTCCTACCCTCGGAGTTAGGGAGACATCCCACTCAATGGAAGGCATGGAAAGCAGCTGTTGCGTGCGACAGTTACCCAGGCCCCATGCATCAATCATTGTGCAGTGTAATCACAAACGATCCGGGCTCTTAGGGGACGACTGACCTATTCGCTCGTGATGCCCAGGCTTATGTGAACAAACAGTGAAGAGGATTAAATTCTGAGAAGCTGGTAAACATCGCACTGGACCGGTCAATGCGCATCCACCAACCCTCTGTGCTGCCATCAACCAACCTTTGCCATCACTCACAGTTATAGTCATCTGCATTTACATCCTTCCATCCCCAGATCTCCGACAGGCTCGTTGACTTCATTTGGCAACCACCTTCGACCCTCTTTCCCCCTCTCCCTTTCCTCCCAACTTGGCACCGTCCCCAGCTTCAACACTTGGCCCGTTTGCCGCAGTTGCTCACCATGCCCCTTGGCGTCAGCGTAAACAGGCCGCAAGTGACTCAGGGCCACAAGCCTCGCCTAGTTGTCACCATAAGAGAGCTGCATGGTGGTCATCCTGTGTTCGCCCGTGCTAGCTGCACAGGAAGGAAGTTACTGTTCACCACCAAGGAGGCCCCGCAGCCCCGACCCGCCTCTGCCTCCCCTTCACCTTCCCCCACCCACGAGCCACCTTTACCTACCATCGAAGAAACGCAGGAGAATCTGAAAAGGCAGCTCAAGCGGCCACCTGCCCCAGGCCAGCAAGCTCATCGCCTCCGTGTCGGGAGAAAAGCTGCACCACAGCCGGAGCCTCAGGGCATTCCCAACGCCCAAAGCTGCGTAATTCTGGCAGATCCCTCCCAGCATCTGAGCTTCAGAGATTGTGCTGAAGCATTCCTTGCTACTGAGTCCGAGTCGCCTCGGTACATTTTCGGGTTTGATACGCGCGCTCCGCCTGAAGAGAAGGTCAAAGTCCAAGCTGATCTCCTTGAAGAGGGCCGCGACTGCGACATGCTCAAACTTGATGATGACCTCACCCCGCTTGAGCTTGAAGGGATCTTCAAGTATCTAGAGCGAGAAGAGCAGATGGAACGGTTCGTGGATGCGAATGGAACGAGAAGGGTGGAGAGTACATTTATATTTAAAGGCATGATAGCTGACCACGTGACTTTCTTCCTTTTAGATGGATTGACGAGTCGGAAGAAGCCGAGACAGGCCCGCCGCGTCACGATTATCCCCAATTCGTGCTGCTCCGCGACATTCATGGCGAGTGGCCGTCGCATCTGGACGAAATCAAACTTGGTCTCCAGGACTTGCAAAACAAGGGCTCGCACGGCAAATCGCAAGCAGGCCTTTCACATCCTCTTTTAGGTTACCTTCCACCCGAAGATTTCCATCTCCAATACAGCACGTTGAGAAAACGCCGACATCCAGACGGGCGCCGTCGTGTTCAGGTTCGAGCTCGAGTTCCCAGGCCAGGCGAGTTTGCTGGACGAGAGGAATACGTTCCGCAGAGAATTCTTCGATTTCTCCTCCCTGCCGCCTTCAAAGCTGTTGCGCTACCGAATCCCCCAGCTTGGACTCGAACAGTTGTCCAAGGCTCATATTGGCTGGAAGGGTTCGACATGGCAGAGAACGCGCCGCCGGCCGCCAGCGGCAACGGCGAGTCCGTGGATCGCGCCAAAGAGATGCCTGAGTACGAAAAGGAGAAGCAGAAGGTCAGAGAGGCCATCGCTCAGAAGAACCATCTCGTGCGCAACTTGGTATGGACTCCACGTCATCTTTCGATGTTCCGTAGGGTGAGTGCAAGGCTAACTGGCGGTACCCATCCGCAGGCCCTCGTCGAGGCTAGAATCACCGACCTTGAGGGAAAGTACATTGAGAGTACCCCGAGCGGCAACATTCTCACCGGCTTCGACAATTACACCAAAGGCATTACGGGTGCTGCAGCTCAGCGACGCAAGGCTGGAACCGCGGAGCAGAATCGCGTCTTCTCGCGATCCTCCATCTCGTACAATGTACGGCACTGATGTGATATCTCTGTTTCCCGAGCGAACGATTACTGACTTGAATTTGTGTTATAGCAAGACGCGGCGACTCCCGCCTCTGGAGCCACCACACCTGGCGCGCCGACTCCTCTTTCCGCCACGTTCGCGAACAAGGACAAAGACAGTGGCCCTGCCAATGCGCCCACTCCCGGGTCCGTTACCGATAAGAAAGGCGGTGCGAGTAAGAAACGCAAGGAGAAGGAGAAGGCCACCACCAACGAAGACAGCGAGACCGATTCGCGCGAAATCAAGAAAATCCGTACCAACTTTGGGGCCACCCGCAAGTAACGTGTCGCACCTATTGCCAACTCTGGGCAGCTTGCAGGTGTTCTGCAGGCGTTTTCTTCGATGCTGCGGGATCCGCAATACAAGTTTGACGGTCGCAAGTAATTTGTCCGCAACAAAAGTCAACACTTGCTCGTGATGACATCGCACTACGACAAAGAGCACTGAGAAATTATGAACGGTTGCAACTTCTAGCACTATTTACCGGACCACAGGTCCATCAGAATTTAGGAAACAGTCGATTGGCAAGGCAGTACTACGACACTCGTGTCTTCGGGACCCATTGGCAGACTATCAGCAGTCGGATAGGTGGTTTCCCCACATGCCCTTTCTACGATACTGCATCATGCTTTGTTTGTTTTGTTTTCTTCATGTTTGACTAGATACCCAACTTGCATTGGAACGGAGTTCCGGAATGCGAGCTATACTTGAGTTAAGATACGCAACCTTCTTTTGCATCTGGAGGGTAAAATTGGCGTTTAAAGGGTAAGTAGCTGCAAACCGCCATTGACTAGGTTTGAATACAGCTGATATACTGTACGAATGTTGAAATAAATACAGCTGACAAGCACACCTCGTCCAAATGTCAATGCCCTTTTATGCAGATCTTAGGTGAAGTACTGTTGACACCCACTACGGGCAGGCACCTGAGAATGAGGGGTTCGATCCCTTCCAAGCTCAAGCTCAAGCTCGAAGCCCCGAGAGTCGCTGCAGATCTCCACTGCGGGGTGATGATGATATGGCACCCGTGTGTCTTCCGCCCCAGCTCTCCCGCCCCAGCTATCTTATAAAGCACCAACAGGACTTACGTTCTTGGGTGTGGTTGTCACACTTTCTGGATTATAATCTATTTATTGACAGAATAATTCATAATGACTCTCGTGGCGACCAAGTTTACGCCAGAGGTGCTCCTCTCCGCTCCCCGTCGTACGGCTGCTATTCCGAACAGAGAAGGCACTCTAGCTCTGTACACCGGTAAACAAGCCACGTTCCTCCCAAGCAGAGGACAAGACAAGCTGACGGGAGATTCTTAGAAACCTCCTACTCCTTCGACTCGCACTCCAAGAGCTTCGCATTCAAAGTTCTCGACATCAAGACGGGCAACTCGACCACCTTGTACGATGCCGAGGGTTATACCGACCCCGCTTGGGTCTCCGACACCGAGTTCGTGTTCGTCCAGAGTGGTGATAAGGGGTCCAGTCTGATGATGGCGGATGCGACGAAAGAGCGCTCTAAGTGCGTTGGGCCTGTCCGCTATGCTGATGGGTGAAAATCTTATTAATGGAGGTTCTGCTAGACCTCATGAGATCTGCAGCTTCAAGGGCGCGATATCAAACCTGAAGGCCAAAAAGATCAGTGATGACACGGTAGCGATTGCATGCTCGGCCCTTGCGACTCCCTCGGGGGAGATGTACAGCGCCGCCGACGAGCCCAAGCCCCATTCCTCGGCCAAGGTATACACGAAGTTGTTCGTGCGTCATTGGGATACGTGGGTGACTGAGAATACGTCAGCAATATGGTATGGTGCCCTGAAGAAGGACGGGGGACGCTATTCCCTCCAAGAGCCCGGGTTGGTGAATGCGCTGGCTGGGACTAAACTCGAGAGTCCCGTACCCCCGTTTGGAGGATCATCCGATTTCGACATCAGCAACGAGGGATTGGTGTTCATCTCGAACCACCCGGAGGTAAATGCTGCGATATGGACGAGGACTGACGTCTACTACGTGCCCCTAAAGACTTTCACCGAGGCAGAGCCACCCCTGCCGCAAATCATCAAGACGGGCAACTTGCAAGGATACAGCGGAACGCCCGTGTTTTCGCATGACGGGAAGCGATTGGTTTTCAAGCGAATGCGCCATCAACAATACGAGTCAGATAAGCCACGCCTACTCCTGATACCCGATATCAAGGACCTCAGCAACGTGCAAGAGTTCTACAAGACGGACGACGGCGAAGGCGGTTGGGACCTGCGGCCAGACGCCATTGTCTGGAGCAACAATGACTCGGAGCTCTTCGTGACGGCAGAGAAGGAAGGGCGTAGCCTTCTCTTTAGACTGCCCTCGTCCCCCTTGGAAGCCAAATCTCTCCCGGAACCATTCACTCATGACGGTGCCGTTGGCGATGTCTTTAACCTTGCCCATAATGGCCGGCTCTTCATCACTTCTTCCTCCTTGATCGACAGTTCGGCCTATTCCGTTGTTGACCCGGACTCTAAAGATATTACTCTCGTGTCCTCTAGCTCGAAACAGGGCAAGTCGTTCGGTCTCTCGAAATCTCAGATCTCTGAATTCTGGTTCCACGGAGCCGGCGACTACAAGTGTCACGCCCTGGTAATGAAGCCATCCGACTTCGACTCATCCAAGAAATACCCACTAGCGATGCTTATTCACGGCGGTCCGCAAGGTGCCTGGACCGAATCCTGGAGCACGCGCTGGAACCCCGCCATCTTCGCTGAACAAGGCTACGTCGTCGTGCTACCAAACCCAACCGGCTCAACGGGTTACGGCCAAGAACTCACGGACGGCATCGCCAGAGAATGGGGCGGCCGGCCCTACAACGACCTCGTCAATTGCTTCGACCACATCACCTCGGAGCTCCCCTACGTTGACACGACCAACGCTGTCGCCCTGGGCGCCAGCTACGGCGGTTACATGATCAACTGGATTCAGGGGCACCCTTTGGGGCGCCGGTTCAAGGCCCTCGTCTGTCATGATGGTGTCTTCAGCACTATGAACGACTGGGCTACCGAGGAGCTCTTCTTCACCGTCCACGACATGGGCGGCACCCTGTGGGAAAGCCGCGAGCTGTACGAGAAGTGGGACCCGGCTGCCTTCACCTCGGCTTGGGCCACACCGCAGCTTGTCATTCATAGTGAGCTCGATTACCGGTTGCCGATTACGGAGGGTTTGGCTGCGTTCAATGTTCTTCAGGCTAGGGAGGTGCCGTCGAAATTTTTGATGTTTCCGGACGAAAATCATGTAAGTGCCCCGCCTTTCTCTCCTGTTACATTGTTTGGCTTCTTGGAGTCGGGAGGGGAAATGTGATTATAATCACTAACTTAACCCGGCAGTGGGTCCTGAAACCTGAGAACTCGCTTGTTTGGCATAAAGAGGTTCTGGGCTGGATTAACAAGTACACTAGCTTGGACCGCTCGGGATTGGCTGGGGAGACAGACAAGCTGAGCCTCTAGCGAAAGGTCTGGTTTCCATGATTCCGCGCTCTCTCTCCCCTATCAGAAGATCAACTTTCTGATTCCCTTTTTTCGAAACTTGTGTTTAAGCATGTAAGGAAGGATGCTCTCTGCTAGTCATTGAACTGCTCAGTTTTCATCAATACGGTAGTCTTGTATAATGAGCCACCATTACTGGAGCATTGGGTCAAAAAGTATTGAGTATGGGAACAAGTAGGTGGTACAAAAGGACCTGGTAGCGCAGTTAAGTAGCTAGCCTATTTGCGTTTCCCTAGTCGAAGCTGCGAACAAAATTCGCTGATTGCTCTGCTTACATTGGCTGTCGACCTGTTGTAGATGCCGCACTAGTAAACTCCTAATTTCTGTTCCGTTCTCGTCCCACACCAGCAACCGATGTCGGGCCTAGAATCAACGCCCCAACATGATCATTTACAGATATTGCGTCGCGTCGGCTAGTAGCACAGAAGGCACTTCGTTCAGCCTAGCCATTAACGTTTGGCACCTGATCATCTGTGGTCAACTCGTTACTGCGGTGGAAGTCACTGTTGTTCGACAAATGTGGACGGGAAAGTTCAGCCTCGCGGAAGTTGAGGCTTTTTCACTTGACTTCTCTTCCGGGTTTCGAAGACCTCCAACTCCTTGATTATGTCCAAGTCTTGGAAGGTCTTGATCACACCATGCGCAGTCAACTTGTTGAGATGGATTTGCATGATGACGCCCTTTCCCGACGGCTGGCTTGACTTGGATCTCTTTGTCACCTCCCGTCGCTTCTTGAAAAGGTGGTACTGCAGGATATGCGCGATGTCAGGGTCCTGCGCCTCGAGGAAAGTCTGGATGAAGCGTTTCTCGTTCTTGAGGAGCTGGGTCTTAGCCAAGGCTATGAACTCACGGGAGCTGGCCAAGTAGCGTTGGATGCGTTCAGGTAATTTCCTCTCTATAGATGATAGATGGAGCTCCATGTAATCATCTCTGGTAGCTCTGGCAACTGCCTCGGCGGCGCGACGAGAGACTGCCCGGGTACGAGGACGCTCAGCTGTGGCCGCTCCACTTGTCTTTGGGGGCTTGCCTGGTCTCTGGGCTAACAGGAATTGTGCGTTAGTACAATGATACGAACGAACGATGAGTAGATCCATACCCTGCGTCATACTCTTCTTGGTTAGGATTAGTTGCGCTGCTTGTCTAAATTGCAACTTCAGTTCTGCGAGCCACTTCTCCAGCTCCTGGGTTGCAGGTACAGCGAGCACACGACTTCGGTCAGCGTCGAACTGCTTCAACTGATCGTCGAGCTTGCAGTTCAGCATTATGAAATTATCGTCATAGCCTTTGGCTTGAAGTTCCATAGCAGTCACTCTCTCCTTCATGTACTTGATTGCTTCCTCGAGGATCTGCATTTCCCGAGTTCTTTGAGAGTTGTGCTCATTCTGAAGATTTTCGAGCTTATTAAACCTTTCGTTGATAGCAGCAAGCCCCTGGTCGATCCTCTCGTTGACAGCGGCAAATCCCTGATCAACTCTCTTGGTGAGAGTGGCGAATCCATTGTCAAGGCCATTTTGCATTTCATTCAAGCCGCGAAGTGTGTCATTGTGCCCGTCAAGCTGGCCTTGCAACTTGTCTAGTCGGTGGTCGTGCTCGCCAAGCTCGGCGTTGGCAAGGGACTGGCCGTGTTTCAGATTTTCGATGTCTAGGCAATTCAAGTTTTGCACAAGTGAAGGAATGGCATTGCGCCTCTCAAGTTCATCTGCTCGAAGTCGCAGCGCGCCCAAGCGAGCAAGCTGGGTGATTTTAGTCGGGCTAGCCATAGTTGAGAGCAGGGGCCGTTCCTGCCACCCAAGGTGAGGGACTAGAAGCAGGTGTCTGTACACATTGACCTCCAGCAGTGGAGGTCCACGCCGGGCCGGTACTTTTTGTGTGTGCGCGTGTATGTCTGTGAGTGTCCCCAGATCTGACAAAGCTGCTGTCGGCAAGAACGTTGAGTGTTGGAGGGGATGAGGCCAACAGGAACTTGGGGTCTCCGGAGGTGCTTCAAGATGAGACGCAAAGTCTGGTTGCACTTTCCATGCGGTGGGATGCCGCCTCCCTTTTAGGATGGAATGAGCGTCTGGGCGTCTGGGCGCTCAGGGGCACCTTCCCAAAGTCCCTTACCAGTCACCCACAGAGAAGGTACGAAGTTCGAACTAAACCCTGGCCTCTTAAATATCCTCAGCATCACTGTTCAAAGTCTGCAGGGGCCCTTATTCAAGGAAGCAACGTGATGAAAGATAGCAGGAATGGGACTTCGTGTTGATGTAATCAACAGCTGACTTGCGAACCAAAACATTTCCGCAATAGAATGGACGTACATCGCCACTATCATCACCGAATATCCTTTTGGCAGCCGAACAATAATCCATCCTGGAAACCAGCTGGACGTTCGTGCCGCATTTGTGGTGTTGACAAGTTCATCATAGCTGCAGTAGAGATCCCACCAAAGCCCCAAATGGTTGAGAAATATAGCTTCTTAGTCGAGTGTGACAGTGCCAATTCTGATGATCTTGTCAATGCATGGGGCTGGTCAAGACGAGATACAACTGCGACGAAACCACCTAAGCATTCTCTCGCGATCCGGAAGGGGAATGTGGGCACATCATAATTTGTCCAGATGAATTTGATCCGGACGACGGTATGATCCACGTTATAGCATCGCAATGGGTCCAAGCTACCATGTGTCGTCAACACCCAAGTCCCTAGAAAGCCTGGAGAGCCCCCGTCGCAGAAGCATTGTGGGGGCTAGAAGCGGCTGGCGTGGTGTAAAGCAGAGACATCGTACTAGGTGTTCCAACAGCACTGAAGTACCCGCACCCGGAATTGAAGGGCAGAGTTAACATTTCACGTGGAGATATTTCCAAACGAACGGGTTCGATGCGAATCCAAATATCACTTGCTTCGAGTATTTGCCACAACCCCTCGACAATGACTTGGTCTTCTCCCCCTTTCCTGGACTCGAACTGAGTTCATAAGCCATCAAGGGAATTAAGTTGAACCTCGGAATAATTGTACAACTGCGACGACAACTGGTCCTTCCAGGAAGAGGACCGCATACTGGCTGCTCCTGCGTGTCGACCCTATGGGCCCCCTTGCGATTTGGGGCGAGCTTTTTTCTTTGGCTTGAGCTCGCTGTGTATAGTCAACATGTTCTAGCGTACTCCGAATTTACCACCTATGAAAGCGGTGATGATCGTGTGACGTGTGTCGACAATCATACTGAACTTTTCTTTCCTACCGAAGATGTCGAAACCGCGGTTTGGATATTGTCAACCTATGAGAACTAGAAATTCGCGGCTGGCACGCAGATCTACATGCAAGACGAGAATTGGGCGGACGACTACGTGGTAGGCGCCGACAGGTTTATGACGAGGATGAGATGTGAAAGATGCAGCCAGCGGCGGAGCTACTATTATGAGACCTCGGTTAATTACCGCTGGAAGAGACCCTCTGCTGTCATCGTAGTCGCGAACGTGGACCGTTTCCTTAGGCACTTAGAAAACTCTATTCCTGCGTCGGCTTCTGAGCTGAGTGAAGCGGTGGATGGTCTCACAAAGAAAGTGTAGTTGCGTTAGTCCAGCACAGATTATTTATGGTCACCATGTTGGGACAACCTGTTTGTTTGGGTTGCGGACGAGTATTGCTGGGTTAGCAAGCGTATCAAGGGTATGGTTTTTTCTTTCTGTGAGGTCTTTCTTGAATTAGGTATCACTAGTTAGCATTGCCGCTACTCCAGAGCCTGGAAGCTTATCACTTGGGATTTGAGGCGCTTCACACCTCATACGGGATCCCGCCTTGAGCCCACTGGCTCGAAATTTGATAATCCTAGCGCATGAAGCGTCTGTTAGTACATCACAGAAAGAGAACTAATAAATGTATCTAGAATTTTACTCCTTTGTTGATTCCACTACCTGGCTCTGTTCCCACTGGGCCCCTTAGGGGGGTCTCTAACTAGCAGCCTGACCTTGCCATCCCCAATCTCGACCCCTTGACTCAGGATATCAACCTCTTCCTCAGGCTCCTCCTTCTTAGCCTCATCCCTTGCAAGCGACTTGTCCCAGCTGCGGGCATCAATCCCAAGAATCCCACCCATGCTGTTCCGGTCACCAGGAACCGAGAACTCACGATAAGTGTACCGCCATTCGTTGAGGAAATTGCGGATTGCCTTGCCCACCTTGTCTTTGCCGTTCTTGCTGTGGTGGCCCGTACCAGTAATAGCGTAGACGGGCCTACTCTCCTTGCTATTGTCGAGGAGCATGCGCTCCAGGTACTCGACGGCTTCCTCGGGATGCAGTCCATGCAAGTCGACAAAGATCTCCAAGCTGGACCCTGTGTTTTTATTGCGCTCCTCATAAAGCTCGCGGGCGGCTTCGCGATGAGCTTTCCGCATAAGATCGTTCTCGCTCTGACCTCGGAGACTAAGAGCCTTCGCTGCCCGCGCGTCGTTTCGATTCCAAGCCTGAGCAGCGCTACGTAGAGAGTTAGCATTCGGGACTTCCAAGCACGTTGCAAGAGTGACACACCTTTGCAAGAACTTGTTCCGGAGGCCACCATGCTTGATGGCCTCCTGTCGAGCCTTCAGATATGCCTTGTTGGCTCGATCTCCAGTCTCTAGCCACGGAATGTGTTTGGGATTTGGAATGACTTGTGCAGCAGCGCTGTTCTCGCCACTCTTGGCCACAGCAGAATTTCCGCCGCGGCCAAGTTTCTTCGCATCTTGTCGTACAGGGGTTGGCGACGGCGACATCTTGACGATATCGGCCAATGAACTAGGCGCAAAATTCTCCTTGTGGCCATGTCCATGACCCCCTCGTTTGCCGTGGTGCTTCTTATTTGGTTTGGCTGAAGCGGACCCAAGGGATGGGAAAGCATCATTGTCGTCGATAGATGGCGCGCTCAATCCGTCTTTAGTCTGGTGCCTGCTACCTGGCCGTGACCTGGGATGGTCATGTAATGGTCTCAGTCCGGGTGGAGGAGTGATGCCTAGACTAGGATAATTGAAGCTCGCAGCGTTGGGATTAAGCTCTGGAGTCGCTGGGCGCAGAGCAGGAAACGAGGTGTAGTCTTGCACTTGCAGTTTTGCTTGGGGAGGCGTGCCAGGGGCGCTGCCTCCGTCCACTGTAAGTCGATTCATAAGGTGGGCCGGATCATGGGAGAAGATGCAGGTATCACCAGCCAGACAGTTGCCCATCACCCAGTATCTAGATATCATGATCAGCGTTCCATCAAAGCTTTGTTACCCCAAAGATTGACTCACTTGCAAATATGGTTACTGAGATCATGACTGAAGCGGCAATCTGCACGAAGACATTGTCCCGTAGACAGGTAGAATTTGCATATAATGCCCGACTTCTGCTGGTTTGAAGGTGTAGCTGGTCGCGGATCCGGAATCATGGCCTTGCCAATGAGTATACTCTTGGCTTCAGGCGTGAGAGCTGAGGCATTCAACGGGTCTTGTCCTTGAGCATCCATGATGGCTGCTATGGCCGCACTGAGGTCGTAGCCGTGCATAGCCAGAGCCCCCTCGATCTCGGCGTCAGTTTTCGACTGGCCCAGTATGGAGCGAAGCATATCGTATGGAGTCATATCTGATTGTTGCGCGTTTATAGCAGAAACGTACTCGGGCGCCGCGGCATTCAGACCGCTTGGTGTCCCGATAGAGGAGGTGACGCTAAGGGCATCATCGTCGACGAGCCAATCAACGTTGGCATTTTGAAAGTCGCCAAATACCTCCTGAATTGGGCTGGTATCAGCTTGCGCAAACTCGTAGGCATTAAGATTCGGACTGTGCGGCATCGCCGGAGCGACGAAAGCGAGACGCGGAGACGGTCGAGGAGACGAGAAAGGCGAGACACCTGATGACTTGGTCCTGCTGAGCGCTGTCGGGACGAAGCCTGGAGGAGCCAGGGGGCTCACTCCAAGTCGCGGCGAGCCTGACATAGGAGTTGCAGCGCCCCTCCAAGAAGCTGGAGAAGGGCGACGCAGTATAGTCTGTCGTATCGGGGGAGGCGAGGCCGCGCTGCCGCCTGCATCGCGATACCGCCACAAGACGTCCAACACCGCATTTTCTAGGCTAGTTCCGCCCAAATTTGTCTCACTCTTCAGCAGATCTTCCAGCTTATCCGCCTTGTCTTCCTCCTCAAGGCTCGAATCCTGCAGGACGGGAAGGCATAGCTCGTAAGTCTCGTCGGAGACCATATTGGCGAGCCTGTGTTACGGTGTGAAGGAAGACGACGAGGGAGAGGATAAGGACGGCGAGGGCGATGGCAGAATAAACGTTCGGTTGAGGTCACGTAGGTCGGAAGTGATGAAGATATATATCTAGTACGCGTACTTCCGTAAGGCAGAACATAGGGCTAGCTGGGTAAGCACTCGGGTTGCAGAGGTGAAACGACTCGAAAAAGGGATGCGATCTAAGCCCAGACAAACACCCACGAGAAGAAAAAAAAAACAGAATAGACGGGGTCGCTAGCTGAAGGATGACGAGAGGTGCATGGTGCGGTATTCGAGCGTAACTTCGCTTCTGTCGAGCGGCATACAGAGGCGGTATGGCTGGGTAATACGAGCAACAGGTTCAGAGTCTCGTTCAGCTGGTGATGTTTGGAGCTGTCTTGTTGCTCAGTGGCTATTGATGCAAGTGACGAGTTAACGGGGACTTGGGGTCGGGCGATGCTGGGTCTTGCCCCGCTGGTACGTGCTTTCCCGCCAACCGTAACCCATCCTGTCAGAGCTGCCATTGGCCACCATCCTCAGACAATTGGGTCAGACGCCAAGCATTCCTACTACATAATACACCGAAAGCCACCTCTGATTCTCTGATGTTTTGAACCGCTATTGAGGCAGTATATATCTGGATGTGGGCAGACAACCGCCATCAAGCACGATTTGACTTTGAAGAGCATCGTGTATGTAGTAGAGTTATTCAAATGAAGCTTCGAAGCGATACCGAAGACGTTTGACCCATATGTTCAGTGTGCCCACAATTATGTAAGTACCTGGTAGCGGAATGTCCGTTACACTGATACTGACTGTGTACGACTGTAAGCTGACATTGCGATGAGACGCTGAGCTTGAACTGCTGTGTTGCGTGCCCGTAAGCGATTCATTATTTCAGGAGACAGGCATGCATTCTATGGACCTGCCAGAGTTCGCTCAATACATATCCCAACATCCATGGCCGCTTAGTGGGCGTTGATGCAGATTCCTCAGCAAGGTCTGGTGCTGGCTACTAGATCGGCGGCGGTGGCAGCTCTTAAGGAATATCGTCATCATCATCGGCGCCGAAGCCGAAGCTGAATCCACCAGACGCATTGTCAGCCTCTGCATTTGAGCCAACTGCTTCTTCCCATCTCCGTTTCCTCCCTGCGCTCTTCCGTTCCATCTCTTGAAGCGTCTCATTGAGCAACGACGGCTGCTTCTCTTGGAGCCTCTCGACGAACAATTCATAGGGCTTGGTTACATCCCTGCTAAAGCCTGTGACTTGATCTGGCTTGTCCTTCAAGAAAGACAGTACCTGCGTCAGATGCTTTTGCGACTTCGTTACAAAATTTTGGGTGAGGGCGACACCTGGTTCAATATTGACTACCAGATGCCTAAGAAAGGTCAGTGAAAACGATCATCAGTTGGTTCCGAGATCCGTCAAAGGCCAAGGTGTTTTCAATACAGAAAGGAAAAGACTTACCACCAGCCACTCGGTACGAACAAGACTTCACCAGCCCTGCAAATACCTTCCAAACACCCTGCGGTCTTGCGAGCCTCCGCATGGAATGATAGGAGATACTCGGCTATACTCAGAGGACTGGTAACCTCGCTGCTGTCTTCCGAAACGAACACACCAGGAGGCTGAGGCACAGAGGGTGGGAACATGAGCCAGTATTTTGACCCCTGAATGACGGCGTTCCAGGCTGAGGTGGCGTTGGGGTCTTTATGGAAAGTAGATCCACTACTTTCTGGTCCAACAACTGTTTACATATCAGATCGAGTTCAAGGGAATTTGGGTAGTGTGCCGGAGTGGAAAAGCTGATTACAGTTGTTCGGGACACTTGCAAGAACAGTCACTTACTCAACCATCGATGGGCCGGTCGTTCTTCCGCAAGCAGTTCGAACAAGTCTTCGCCAAAGCACTCGGGCGGCCAGTATGCTGCACCTTCATGCTGACCAACATCAATTCCCGTCTTCTCCGCAAATTCCTTATCGAACAAGTATAGAGGGCTCTCGTCGTCATTCTTGTCCATATAAGTGCGATAGGCCGAAAATGGCCAGTCCACCGCCTCAGCCCTGAAGTTGACGTCTGGGTACCGTTTCCCCAGCCCATCAATACTCCAAGTTTTATAGACTGGCCAGGCCTCGATATAGTTTGCCAGTATAAACGGTTTGTCACTCCATTTGCGTTCGAACTCGTCGTGGGTGAGACTTTCGAGTCGCGTAATCTGGTTTTCCCGGGGGATGTCAGAAATGTAGGTGCTCAACCTTATATGACTGCATTCAAAGGGCCTGTGAAGCACATCTGAGAATACGTTGTTGCATTCTACCTGGGCTATCGCTTCAGCTGGGAGCTGCAGCACGGTGCTTCGCCAGGAACCCTTCCAGGACGGCGGACCAGGACTAGCAGTTTGCAACCTGTTGCCACATTAGCCCCTGAAGATGGACGTCCAGTGGTGATCCGTTCAGTGTTGCCTGCCATAGTTAGTGCTGAGTGTGTTGAGTCACCCAGTTTTGTGTTGTTTTTGTTTTTTTGAACACAATGGTTGAGTCACAGACTAATGAACCACGGAACAAATTTTAGTTCTCTGGAAAGAATGCAACCTACTCGAGGAATAATGCTTTCCACAGCTCTTCCAAATGGCAGAATGCCCTCAAGAACTTGCAAGTGGAGCCCACATTTCTTAATGACTGTGCATCCAGATATTCGAGTAACTGTAGGATCATCTCATCCGGCATGCAGCCAATAGAACCCAGTGCCTGCCGTGCAGTTGGACCAGTAGCAAAATATTGATTCCCCAATGGCTTGACTCCCAAAGGATGGACTGGTATGACCTCTGATGACTCAATGGTAGATTCATGAGCGTCGTGAACTGCATGTACACCATGCATGGCGCCACCAAGGTTGCTCGCCCCATTGACCAACCCATCTGGCGAGAGCAGCATTTTCAGTATGGCTGCAAGCCTTTGTGATGTGCTGGTGTTGCCGTGGTTAGCAGTAAATGGTAGCGACCAAGTGAATAAAACTCCCCAAGAAATTCACCTGCCATGTGCTAGACAATGATTCAGAGAACACAAAGAAATTTTTCCAATAAATTGGGCGAGAGGCGACCACCATCGAGTCGAGCCAATGGAGACGGTACGTAGAATAACTCGGGATTTTATTTGCCTGGCTCCTGATTGTTGCGTCAGGCGTTATCAGGCATTGATTGCTACGCCCACCATTGTCCGTATCTGAGCACTGTGCGCACTAGCCGGTTTTTTTGCGACTTACGAAATTTTTCTGTCCAGTATTTGTAGGCTTGGTCCTTTCCCTCCTCACTTCACCGAGACCATCAAACACTACAACAGCCGAACTCACTTCCACTAGATTTGTATTGCTCTCCGTATTCGAGAGCATCAATCCAGTTCTTTTTCGCATTCTTCAGTTCTCTGCTTCTGCTGTCGCAGGGCTTCTTTTGCTGCAGGCGGTTCGCGCAAAGCAAATCTCTCTCCTTCCCAACCCCACCATCCACGATCCCGCACTTTCTAGGTCTCGACGATCTAGAAAGTCCTATCTCGTAACCACCCAATATGGCTGCTCAAGGAGGTCTGGAAGATGTTCCAGAAGGTATGGTGCATTCCCTTCATATATTTTGCCGATGCGCTTTGTGTTATTGGCTGCTGGTGGCTGGTCGCAGCCTGTCGCCGATCATCGCACAACCTCCTTAACTTCTTGAGCCCCAAGACTGACATGGACCCCTTCTCTACAGGCCAGATCGAATCTAACTACGATGAGACCGTCGACTCTTTCGATGAGATGGCCCTGAAGGCTGAGCTCCTCCGAGGTACGTCCCTACCCCGCCAAGATACGATCCCAATTGAAGATAGAGGGGCTGACATGACTATGTATAGGTGTTTATGCCTACGGTTTCGAGCGTCCCTCTGCTATCCAGCAGCGTGCCATCATGCCCGTCATCAAGGGTAAGCAATAAATTCGATACCATTTTACGTTGGTGGAAGATTAATTTGGAATGAAGGTCACGATGTCATCGCCCAGGCTCAGTCTGGTACCGGCAAGACCGCCACCTTCTCCATCTCCGTTCTCCAGAAGATCGACCCCAACGTCAAGGCCTGCCAGGCTCTGATCCTTGCGCCCACTCGTGAGCTGGCCCAGCAGATCCAGAAGGTCGTCATCGCCATTGGCGACTTCATGAGCATTGAGTGCCACGCCTGCATTGGAGGAACCAGCGTCCGTGATGACATGAAGGCCCTCCAGGACGGCCCCCAGGTCGTTGTCGGCACCCCGGGACGTGTCCACGATATGATCCAGCGACGATTCCTCAAGACTGACAGCATGAAGATGTTTGTCCTTGACGAGGCTGACGAAATGCTTTCTGTAAGTGCTGCCAGGACTGGCAACTGATGACTCTAGACTTCTAACAAGTTTTCAGCGTGGTTTCACCGAGCAAATCTACGACATCTTCCAGCTGCTGCCCCAGTCGACCCAGGTCGTTCTTCTGTCAGCCACCATGCCCCAGGACGTGCTTGAGGTCACCACCAAGTTCATGCGTGATCCCGTCCGCATTCTCGTCAAGAAGGACGAGCTTACCCTTGAGGGTATCAAGCAGTTCTACATTGCCGTTGAGAAGGAGGAGTGGAAGCTCGACACCCTTTCCGATCTCTACGAAACCGTTACCATCACCCAAGCCGTCATCTTCTGCAACACCCGCAGAAAGGTCGACTGGCTCACCGATAAGCTGACTGCTCGTGACTTCACCGTTTCGGCCATGCACGGTGACATGGATCAGGGTCAGCGTGACCTTATCATGAAAGAGTTTCGATCCGGTTCTTCCCGTGTCCTCATCGCCACTGATCTGCTTGCCCGTGGTATCGACGTTCAGCAGGTCTCCCTGGTCATCAACTACGATCTCCCCGCCAACCGTGAGAACTACATCCACCGCATCGGTCGTGGCGGTCGATTCGGCCGAAAGGGTGTCGCCATCAACTTTGTCACCGCCGAGGACGTCCGCATGATGAGAGAAATCGAGCAATTCTATAGCACCCAAATCGAGGAGATGCCCATGAACGTTGCCGATCTCATCTAAGACACCAACACTCGTCGTTCCACACAAAAGTTCTCTCATTTTGCCATCGCATAAAGGGATACACCACACACATCGACGTTGGTGTAGCCCCCGACTGGGCTCTCGGGTCTGATAGACAGGAGGGGGCCTGGTGCCACTTGCTGCGTTCTACTGATTTTAGTAGACAGCCAGCGGTAGGCACGAAAACTATGATGCATCTGGGGTTGTTTGTGGCCAGGTATCTAGCACCTAATATTGCATCAGAGGTGCGCGGTTATCTGTCAAGCAAGGCTGGTTGGCTGGTTGTCATCCGGCTGCCATTTCATTGTCTTTGTGGTTAGGTCACAAGTGCTTTTCCCAATAAAGTTTCCTAGATTAATAATTGTGGCTGTCCTGTGACGATGTGACGCCAGTACATGTATACGTTCGCCATAGCAGGTAACACGAGCCAGTGGATTGAATGATCGCATGACACAGATTATTAGGGTTCTCTCGAGGTAGCTTTCTCACTGTCCTGGAGAGCCGTGCAACGTAAACCCACCACCATCAGCGCCTACCAGTGACGTAGAGTAGGTGGCCAAGTTCGGCCTCTGACAAACATATGCTTGCTACAGCCTTCAGGATGGGAAGTACAAATTGACAGCACCGGCGAAATCTAGATGTTTAGGGGAAGAATCGGGTACCGCTGCCGATAGATCCGAGACCTATATCGACTTGACGGGTTACAGATCTTTTCTCGCAGAGATTCTACATTGAAGTGGAGTGGACGAACTCGGGCATCATTTGGACGATAAGCGTTTTTTTTTGACTGGGCATTGTCGATGTCGAGGCGGCCGGGGCTTCTGATAATGAAACCCAGAAGCTGGATGGGTTCTCTGGCGTATACATGAAGCCAAGACTTGGACCTTAACTTTGACCTCTTTAAGGCTGTAGTGCCTTATACCGTCTGACCCGGGATTGTCATCTTCTATTGTACGATGAGCCGTAAGGCTTCCCTTTGGGATCATGCTTCTCCGTTTCTTCGTCGAGTGCACGTATACTCACCTTTGCTAAGCACGTGTGGCTGCATAGCAATGTTGAAATGCACAGGTTCTAGTTACTCCGCAGGCCATATTGGGCCATCTTAGGCTTCATCAAAGGGGGCGAGGTGAAGTGTTTGCCCCCTCGGAGGCTTTCCAGAAGCACCCATTACGTGTTTAGGTGATTGCATGTTGGATCGAATGGCACAACTGCCAGTCTCTTTGGCGCAGAGGCGTCGACTTCAATGGGTCACTGGTATGGACTGCTCCCTAAGACAAAATGAATACTCCGAGGCTTCTCTACGTTTACTGAAGCAAGCATGTACGTCATCTACGAAATAGGGATATTTGATGGCGCATGACATGACGAGAGAGCGCCAAAGTCGCAACTTCACAATCTGAGACACACACTGGATCCTTCATCAGATATCTCACACATGCTAGCTCTCGAAAGTATTGGTAATCTACTATGGGCGGGATCGCACTGGTACTGACATGCCGGCTGCATATGAAGATGAAGGGATATGAAGGTGGAGTCCAAACCGCACAACACGGGCACCACAGATCTCATGTGTACCTCACCATGACCTTAGGCCACCAATTCTACACTATGTATAAAATATAGCTTACCGCATGTAGCAAACGAAACCACCGGACTTGTAGCCAACGATTCGGAGAGATGAAAAGGAGAACGACGGGTATAATTTCTGAGACGTCACTTGGATGTTATTTGGTGGTGGCGTATGCTTAGTCCCAAATAATCGGGCGAAAAAACATGGTCATGTATGTATTCTTCAGCTTAGAATTATGGACTGACAGCTCTATACATGTGTTCTCGATGAGGTGTGTGTGGTAGTGGCAGGATTGTGAAGGCGTGGTTTTCTTCAAACATCAGAACCTAAGGAATGAACTATGGCACCTCGACGGTTTGGCATGTCCTCCGTTTGTTCCCAGGTAGGCTTGCTCGTTGCGTTTCCGAGGCCGACAAGGGTAGATCCTTGGCTTTTGGAGATCGACGACGACCCAGGGCCACGGGCCGCCCTTGCATGATGTAGTTGGCTTTTCAGCGTGTCAGGCTGATGCGACATGTTTGAATTGCAGTTGCATGCTTGAAACATCTCTCTTTAACCATCAGAAGCCCGATCAAGTTGCTCTCGGCCTACCTCGTCCAGACAAGAAACATGAATCGAATTGGACTTTTACCGTACTAGGTACACTCGTGGAACTCAGCCCAAGTGTTCAGCTGTTCATCGGCACTTCCAAGGTCAGCAAACTTTGGACCGTGGGAATGTGGCTATGTTGAGGCGTCTTACATCGCATTGCACCAACAAGCTTGCTGGCAACCCCGTCGCACAAGAAGACAGATCCCTCAAGCTGAACATCATTTATAATAGTATTGTGTTGGAATAGCTTTCGCATCATCTACATGCCCCGTCACTGGAAGAATGGCTCGGTAGCATACATCTCAACCTGAACCTCAATCCGACGCTCCCGAAACAACGCCAAACCATCACCACCAACAACTCGACCTCCCTATCGAACCGCAACCATGCCAGCAGACTACATCTCGACCGCGCAAGCGCTCTCCCTCCCCATATCCCCCTTCGAAACCTCCTCCCCTTCTCCGACCTCAACACCCGGCCCCCTCCCGCCCTGGGCCCGCACGCGCTCAGGATCCGGCGCAAACCGCCGTCTTTCAACCCCGTACTCGCGCCCCACCTCCACCGACGCTCCCCTCGGCGCCCGCATCCTGCAAACCTCAACGGACCTTGTGAATCGCTCCTTGAAAGTCTACCTATCTTTGTCTCCACTCCAACGAATAATCGCCAGCGTCGCCAGCGTCATTATCTTCGTCGTCATTGTCTTGGCCCTCGTCTACTCGCACCGCATCTTCGCGGCCCTGTCCCCCATCGCAAAGGGATGGCGTAACTTACCGGCCGGGTGGCTCCTTGTAGGCCTCATGTCATTCTGCACTGCGTTTCCGCCCATAATCGGATACAGCACTTCTGTCACCATTGCGGGATTCGTGTACGGGTTCCCGGGCGGGTGGCCCATCGTGGCATGCTCTACGATTCTCGGTTCCACAGCCGCGTTCTTTACGAGCAGGGGGATATTTAGTGGGTATGTTCACGCGCTCGTGGGCACGGACAAGCGATTCGTAGCTTTGGGGCACGTGTTGCAACACGACGGGGTGTTGGTCCTGGCGGCGATACGCTTCTGTCCGCTGCCGTACAGTCTGAGCAATGGGTTCCTGGCTACGATCCCCAGCGTGAGCCTGCTGAGCTTCGCGCTCGCGACTGCCATGGCGACGCCCAAGCTGCTGATTCTCGTCTTCATCGGGAGTCGGCTGGCGTTGCTGGCGGAGACGGGGGACGAGATGACCGCGGGCGACAAGGCGATCAACTACTTGAGCATGGCGCTGTTTGGGGTCTTGGGCGTGCTCATTGGGCTGGTTATTTACCGCCGGACCATGGCGAGGGCAGAGGACTTGGATAGGGAGGACACGGCGAGAGGGGGCCGGGATAGTGGAATTAATGAGTTTCATTATGAGGATCTGGAAGAGGGCACTCTGGGAAGAGAGAGCGAGGTGGATGCGGCGGCATTGATGGATGATGATGACATTTCGCTGTGGGAGACAGATGGTGTTGAGCTTGAGTACCGGGATGTGACGGATAGAGACGCGCTTAGGGATGGGGTGAAAGATGACAGGGAACAGACAGACTTGTAAACAAATGAAAGTCACTTGGCGGAGCCTGGACACTTGACACGGGAATCGAAGCAGTTTGTAGAACAGTGAACCTTGGTTAGGAGGCACTGGGTGCTTGGCTAAGCTCATACTCTCTACCTGTCAACTAAACAATGCTCCCTCTGCCTACCGCCTGGACGGTTTACCCAACGGGCTATGATCACGTAGATGACATACGACTTGGTAGTCATGGGATGCGAGGACGATCCGCTACGCAGGTATGCCAAACCGTGGCAGCCTTTGCCCGACAAGCTCGAATCATGGCTGGAATGTGAAAGCCATGGCCATGCAAAGGGTCCGACATACCTAAGTCGAGCTGGGTATGGTAAGTAGTATCTTGTGGATGATTTAGACGCCTCGCCGCGGATCGGTATCGCTATTTACTAATGTCATGTTGAAACCGCAATAAGAGAGACCTAAGAGAGTAATGTGACAGGCAGAAGATGGCTCTATACTGTGCTGGAATATCACTTTTTCTACTCTAATACGTCCCTAAGTGTTGGCCCTGTGACAAATGAGAGATGCTCAGACAGTGGCGAATCAGTGGACCCCCATAAGGGAAAATATGACAGTGAAATGTGCCTGTATACGATCTCAAACAATATATTTACAAAAACAAAGTCGAAGGGTATCGTTACTCAGCAAATAGTCCAAAAGGAGTAGTGGTACCACGCCAACGCCAACGCCGATCCTAATGATTGCTCAAGTTCATAAATAACAATACAACACTGAAACTCCTCAAATGCATCCCTCGCTTAAAACACCTAAAACCAGAGCCACTTGCTCACAAGGCCCCTGATGTCGTACCAGCGGGGCTCTCACTGCTGTCCTTGGAATTGCTGCATAAATTGAATTGCCTGCTCAATGGGATACCCTATGAAGACCGGGCCTGTGAACAGCATCGCCGGCGGGTTTGTGCCTTTGCCGCGCGGTACGTCGGCCGCGTTGATGAATGTGGGCTGCCCTGGTGTAGTTCCCGGCGGAAGAGGGGCGTGGTGGGCCAGCGTAGCGGGAGTGAAGGGCTGGTTGCTGCGAGCATCGCCCAGTCGAGTAGAACCCTTCTCCTCCGTCTTCGGCATAGCGGGATTGGACCCGTTCAACTGCATTTTCGTGTGGTCGAAAGGGCATTTCCCCGTCTTGGCTGGCGTCTCCGGGTGTCCAGACCGTGAAGTGGAAGAAGGCATATACACCGGTGCAGGGGGTGGTGATTCGGGCCGCCCGTGCTCCTCGCCATTCATAGAAGGCGAGCCGTATATTGGTATAGGAATTCCCCACGGCCTGCTTGGGGATTCGCCTACGCGTACTTCTTTCAGTGGCCGATCGAAGTGGCTTTGACGTTCGTCGTCCTCGTCGCGCTGCTCGGCTATCAACTCAGCCTGGTCGGGGTCGTTGGTAGCGTTCGCACTGACAGTCTGCGCCCAAGTTTCCACTCGGTCATGCGATCCCTTCTCCAAACTGCTCTGCGGTTGAGTGTCCTGCTCGGGCAGCATGGGTTGATGGATGCGGCCCAACCCTTCCACCATGTTGACCAAGTTGCCATACTTCGCATCCAGCTTCCTGATGTGGTCTTCGTTCTTCTGGTATCTTCGGACACACACTTCGTGGCTACGTGGCAGCTCATGCTTGTGTGTTTCTAGGTAGTGTGCGATTTCTTCGGGTGAGTGCTGGTCCATGTAGCGGATTGGGCATTTCGAGGTACCATTAGCCGAAGGCGCTTGCTGCGAACCTGTATCCTCCAACATGGCAGCACAAATAGGGTCTGACGACTGGTGAGGTCTGGGGTCTGGGGTTTTAGCCTGGCTGCCGCTCTGCTCATCGCCTGCTTCCGAAGCTGGTCGGGTGAACGGACAGCCGAGCGTTCCTTTCTTCTTCCCCTCCACTGTAAAATCTTGTTCAAGGATGGTAGACATTGTCGTCAAGGTCGTTCGGGAAAGAGTGTCTCGGCTGGACCGACTGCTCTTGCTGAAGTCTGTGAGTGATGATGCCGCACGTCTTCCTTCCCGGATGATCAAAGCAATTTGATGTTTCGAGTCGGACGACTTCCGTCGGGGAAGTGGGACCACGTTCGTATTGGCAAGAGATTGATTATGCGCCTCAGGAGGAAGCTGCAGGTTCACCAGAGTCTCTGATATCTCCTGGGCTGCACCAGGTGCATATCGGTCGGCAAAGTATTGGAACTGTAGGTAGTGACAAATGTCAGCTTCTCGTTGCCTGATGGATTTTCCCAGCAAGTAACATATGAATCGCAATGGTCAGGAACTTCAAAGTAAATGTTGTCGGTCATCGCCATCTCAATGGCAGCTCTTGATCTAGAGCTAAAGTATCTCATCATGAGAGGCAAGAAAGGAAACAGGATTATGCCCAGTGGCAGATCCATCATGGCACGTACGTACCTGTTCGTGAGCGTATCGCAACTTATGCTCCAGCACAGTTTGCCTATCGCTCAAATTCTGCACCTCATCTGCAAGAGCGTTGAAAGACTCAACCAAAGTCTGTGTGACGTCCTGGTTTTTCATTCCGGCTGCAGGTTGGGGGTCATCCGTGAAGTCTCGTCGGATGAGGTGGAAAGTTGGTCATGCTCTCGAAAGTCTGGTATGGAGAACGCAGCTTGATGCCGATACAGGCCGGTCCTAGTTCCGAAGCCCGACGGGTGATTATTTAAGGACTAGACCCATCACTAACAACATATTCTAGACTAGATGCATATGTAGTATATAGCCGTGACTATGTCCAAGTAACGCTGCACGAACGACATGCTTACAGCTGCTGTTACATTGCCGGTCTTCCTCCTTGCAGCGCATCTTTACTTTAATTTGAGTCCCGACGACCCAAATGTGATCATAGCACTTATCAAGCTACACCAGAGCTTGGTGTCACAAACTCGAAGTGTATAATTCAACAATATCTCACGCCCTTCACTTCACTCTTAGCACCATCGTCTAACGGGATTTCTCGAGCCTTCGACATCGTCAAGGTAAGATTGTGTACGAGCTAGCCATCCATACCATGTACTTTGATATGTATTGATGTGTATATCTAACAGATAAGTCGCAAGACCAACTAGGAACAGGAGATGCAGTTCAGATTACATTACCCCTCTGCAGGTATTTGATCTCGTGTTCGTGTTTGAACATAGCCTTCATTAGTGTCGAGACGACTCTGAACCTCCCTTATAGATCCGGCTCGACGTTTCGAGACAATGCCGCAATAATTCATGATGCTCGGCCACAACTGGAGGCATACTGTTCAACCTACCAGTAATAATACTTGCCCCAACTTCTGGGAACGTGTTCTTCATTGTTTCAGGATGCCGAAGGCGTCAACCCAGTTGTTGACACCTCTCGATAGCTCACAGTTGGCTCGGGCGACCCGGGTGCACATAATGGGACCCTGTTGCAACGCATTGTTTCGTGATTTTCGGGGGGGGCAAGTCGTCGCATCAGAGGCCATCGAGCCATACCCCACATGGTATATTGATCACATCACCGGCAGAATCTTCGTCGCCGTGAGTGCGCTAAGCTTCGTAGTCTATATGCGAACTACGCGATCATTGACAGCACCGCAATCAGCATGTTGTGTACGGCACAGACCCAAAATCTCGCGTGCACGCCCCTCGTTGACTGCAAGGTCTAAGCCAAGTAGTTAATGTCTTGTTAAGAGGCGCGGAACCCGGAGTAGGCGAGATAATGCGTCGCCGCGTTTTCCATGCCCAGGCTGGCCTGAGTTGCGAGCGGGGGGAGAGAGAGTGCCGCCTGGAGAGTAGCTCTTTTCTTCAACGCACTTTGTGACTTTACACGCTCTCTTAAGGCCCCTTCAGTCGTTGCCGGCACGCGAGCCGTTCGAGAAGCCATGCTCTTGCCGCGCCATGACCAGTTGTGCAGAAATAAGTTGCTCAGCTCCCGAATATGCGTAGTTGACCGTGTCGGCTGGCAAACCGGGGGGTAAGTTTTGCATCGCAGCAAACATCTGCGACAGCATTTCGATGTGGTTTATGAACCCGCCTCCGTTCTGCCGATTTGCCTGGTCTAGTAGAACGCTCTCCGCTTCCCAGTCGGCGCCCCAAACTTCTGGTGGAATAACATCACCATCATGCAAGACCACTCGAAGAGGCCATTGCAGTCTCGGCCACCAAACCTGGTCGTCCGGATCAAACATGTGCACAATTCCTAGGACTTCACGGCGTGCTACCCCCCTCAACCACCACACACCGTCGAGGCACTTCAAAAGCCCAAAGAAACAAGCGAGGATTGCTAACGCGCGCGGGCGGCGAGCCTGGAGTAGCTCGACATAGCGACGGGATACAGTAGCCAGGAAAACCATCGGTGCCCCGCTGAGTGGTATCTTGTGGGCCCAGTTGAGGACAGCAACGGCATGCTGATATGCTTGCCGTGTGAGCATGTGGGAAGCCGGGTCGCTTTCGAGACTCTCGAGTTCCCCGTCCAGGCCAACTAATAAGTTGGCAAAGTATGTCGATTCCTGCGAGCTCAAATTTAGATTGAGTGCGGGCTGACCTTGGATGATTGGGACCACTATGCCGCTGTTGCGCAGCCATTGCCAGCTTGACGCGACAACGGCTTTCACACCCTGGAATGCATGGAACCACGACAGCGGCAGGGTGTACTGATTGCTGCGACTCTTGACGTCACCGCCGTTGTCGCGCACGAAGATGCGGGATGCCGTAGACTGAAAGGCAATGAGGGCAGCCGTAAGGAACAACGCTTCGGCATTGGACGCGTTGATGCCTTTGCTCAAATTGCTCCCATAATCAGATAGAGTCGAGGCCATGTAGGCATGACTAGCCTGCACAAGCTGCTGGTCGTGGGGTGAGATGGCCCTCAGATGCAGTGCGGAAACGGAGAGGAGGGCATCGACTAGGAAACTGTTACCGGAGAAGGCGAGGCTGGGAACCGTGTCCCGCCATATGTTCTCGGCCGAAGGGTCGCAAATGGTGAGGGTCTTGCAGGTCATGGTAGTGTAGTGATGTAGCAGTTTTAGTTCCATTAATCGGTTGTTCTTGGAAGCTGCGCTGAAAGCCGGCGGATCCGGATTTCGACAAATCGTCAAGAGAGTGCGGGCAGCTACGCTGGGCCCAGGAGCCGGGCTGAAGCCGCTGGACAAGTTCGAGAAGCTGGGTGAAGGCGCTCCAAATGAGCCCGGCGTGTCTGGAATATTGAGGCTTTCTGTGAGTTCGGGGTGTTCGAAGTCACAGGGGACGCCATGTTTGAGACAGTTGCCACAACGCGGGTGTACTTCATCGCACTGGAGCATTGACGATCAGTCAGTGACGGGCCCCGAAAAGGCGGTATCGCTTAGGCAGTATTTCGTACCTTAATCTTGCGACTCTTGCAGCGTCGGCAACCTGCTCTAGATTTCTTGTGGGATCTGCGTGGGGGCATAGTCGAGTTTCTGCATGTGGTGCGACAATTCAGATTGCGGCTCTGTGGAAGGAATCATATTTGTCGGCCGGTAGAGCTTCGAAGCGTTGATATGGTGGACTTGGAGCGTATCGCTGTGGAGTTGGGTTGTGCAGAAAAGCATATGGCCACCCCAAGTTTGAGGGTCGAGGACCTCACCTGGGCAGGTTGACAAGGTTGCGGCTTGCAAGGCTTGGATGACCCTCACAGGGATGCCACTAGCACTCGCCCTTGTCGAATCGGCTTACAGGACGCGTTTGATCAAGTCCGTTGGCCTCCGCTCAGCCACGGCCACGGACGGCAATCACCCCCCTTCGTCGTCGGTGTCAAACCACACAAGATCTTCCCCGCACCTTTTTTCCTGGAATTCGACCTGAGATGAATATTCCCCATTTTTGATTGGCCGACCTTGTCAACCTCACCCCAAGCTCCTATCAACCCGTCATGTCTGAAGTTGAACTTAATCTCGTTTCTGAATAATCAGTAGAAGCATGTGCACATGCCTCTCTCTCATTCACTGCATGCATGCCTTACATACTGAAGCTCGACTTAATGACTCGACCTAATGACTCGACTTCTCTGCCTTGGGGTGGGAAGTATTCTGTACATGGCCTATTGCATCTCGTCTCAGACATCGCCTCTGTCCGTGGCCAAATCCACACGGCTCGTGCAACCATTCCAAGGATCTTATGAGCACTCCAATCACGGTGATGGCCAATTCCGAGAGTCCGTAGAGCCCTGACACATCTACCCATGTAGCACTCTAACACTTTGCTTTCTGTCAGTGTGCACGGAGACATACTTTGGAAGGAAGCCACGAGTCGATCCTGGAGTATTGGAGCGAAACCGAGCTGAACACGCAATCAGACGAACTGGAGTCATGTGTTTCTTCAAAAGTTGAAGCGAAGACTAGGGTTAATCCGGACTAGGTTTGTTTTTCCATTCGATACTGTAACGTTTCCAGACAACATGCTGAATGTCAGACGTTGGGGGGCGGAGGGGAAGGAGAAAGATTGATGTGGCTGTATTGCGACTATGAAGGTGCGTGGGGGACGAATATACCAATTGGCCCCGGAGGGTCCTTGATTACATATTCGGTGCCTGCCAACCTTGGGCTGCCCCACCATACCTGAGGCTACAATTGCCCACACTGAGCCTGGTTAGTCGAAATTTGTCCAAATGACGATACGCTTATCGCCTTCTGTACAATGTCCATATTGGAGTATTAATAAGCGGTGGCTGTGAACTCAACGGCGGCTGTAAATTCCGCAGTTTTGCCTAATATTTCGATAAGCAACTCAATCTTCCGCCAGCCAGACATGAAGTTGAGCTCAAACCTAGTATTGTGAGTGCTTTTGTGCTCAAATTTGGTCGATAAGGCTGTGCCTGATAATCTGGATGAACATTACTATCTGGCGCGGCACTATGATCGCTTTTTCTTTAGCCCGCTATGCCAAATGCGAGTTCTAGTATATGGTGTCGGCGAACCCGTCTGGATGCAGGGCCTCGTCAACTAGGGGCGTCTACCACAACTGTATCCCCTACCTGAATGGCAGGATACTGGGCTTCCCTTGTCCTGCTGTCCGTCGAAGGTGTATGGCACATGTGCGTGCCAAAGAACACCTTCCCTTCAAACCTCCTTGTTTTGGTTAACGTAATGAAAGGCTCCTCGCCTTTTGCAGCCGTTTCTTGGTCGATGCATACCATGTGACATCTCCTACAAGATCCCAGCATCTTGAAGTCTTGTTGCCCAATTTTCAACCTCGACCAATGGTCTTCGGAATAAGCAAAGGAGTCTGGTTTCCATGTCGACGCGCCAATGACAACATTCGCACGAAAGACCTCTGGGGAGACCGGTTTGCCCCCTCGTTCCACGATCGCTTGGTTCAAAACTTCAAGACTAGAAAGGTTGATAGCAAGAATGGGACTCTCGTTCGACAGCAATATCTTGCGGTTTTCTGTTTCAGAATCCGAATCAGGCGGCGTCACAATTTCTAAGAAGCTCCACGGATTGACATGTTTGATCCTATTGCCCACGTTTTGATGCTGCTGCAGATGAGCCTTTGCATAACGCATCCTCTTGCCTTGGCCGCCTGGTGGGAAGCGTGCTAGGGCGCATGAGACCCCGAGGATATTGGAGAAGAAATCGTTGATGGTAGCTGATGTGTATGTTTGGGCAGAAATCTCCTCACCACAAACTCGTGACGCCATACGTTTAGCTGCCACGGTATTTTGGAAGAAAGTTGGATCAGCCGAGAGTGGAACAGATATCGATGTAGGCTGTTGTTTGGCCAGAACTCCCCGGAAAGATATTTCCAACATCCCTGTGGTAAAATTGATCATCGGCCGGAGCAGAGCCATGCGTGGATGTCGCTTTTGGCTTAACGCTTGGCCGGAACCACGATGTACCAAGCACCACTCTCTGTCCCATGCTAGACCCTCAGGCCTGACCTCCCACGGCATCCCTTTCGGGATGCGATATCCACCACAGCTCTTGATCGGGTACACCATGAGATCCCTCACGTACAAGTCCTCCAAATTATGAGGCGGGATCGCATCCTTGAGCTGGGTTGTTTCGAGGATGACTTCGACGCGGTAAAACTCGTTGACGAAATCGACGAACCGATCCACGTCTGATACCGTGCTCATGGCACCAAGACTCGCTCGGATGACACCAGTCGGCTTGCCGCCCATAATATCATTTTCAGTTCCGCACCGAAATCCAGACGATATATTCCTCTTCATCTCCCAAGGCTCTAGACCCAACGCAGCCGCAACACCGCCAGGATTACACAATCCTCCCGTGCGAACATGGAACCCTTTCAAGACTGCAAGCTTCTCGAATTCTGTCAGACTGATCCAAGCACCAAGGTCGTTCTGTATGTTGAATGCCACGACGGGGCCAGACCCTAGTGTGCCAACGTGGTACTCGGGTTTGCGAGAATAGACCACACATATAAAACTTCCGTTTCCATGTTGTAAAGCCGATAGCTTGTCATGCAATCTTTGAGACAAGAAAGACGTGTGCGAGGACACATCGTTCATGGTCCCAAAAAGCCGATGGTGAACATCCATTGAGGAGTCCAAAGCAATAATATTGTGGATTGGGAGTGTCCCATCTTCAAGAGACTCGTGCAAGCCTTTTTTCAGAGCATGCCATTGCTCCTTGACAGACACAACCATATCAACAGTGCCTCCGCCGAAATACTTTCGGTTTTTAAGGGCTGATGAAGCCTGATGTCGGACTATCAAGGCTCCCAAATCCGGAAAGCCAAAAATTTTGTAAAAGCTCAGTACCGTGAAATCGGGCGCAGTCTCCGAATCACCGAGATCTAATGGGGACGTTGCAACGTAGGCTGAGGCATCTAACAGGGTGTAAACCTTGCCGGTTGATGAGGGATTTCGTGAACGCAGTTGACTACTCCACTCCAACGGAAACCGACGACCGTCCATATTGGACTGAGCTGGATATGCGAACAGCACCGGGACTTGGGTAGATTCGACTCTGCCGGGCAGGGCACCGTGTTCAAGCCAGTGTTCCATGGCAACATCATCCAGACAGAAACTATTTCTAGCCTCTTCTCGAACACCGATAAGGCTAGTGTGGCATGTTTGGTGATACGCATAGTTAAAACCAGCGGGAGCGCCACGCAGGGCTTCCGTTACTAATTTGATGCCAGCAGTTGCGTTTGCAACAAAAACAAGATCGAACTCGGAGGGATCGGCATTGAAAAACTGCAGAACTCGGAGTCGAATGTCTTCGATACGAGACGTAGTGGACTGGGAGGATGTTGAGAAGGAATGCGGATTTCCGAATAAGTTCGAAGTCATATCTGACGCAAACCTGTCCACAAGAGACTTTGCGTAGAGTGTTGTTCCTGCATGATCAAGATAGATCTGGTCTGTACAAACCGTCAACTTTCTGCGTTTTTGAATGGACCACAACACTGACCTTTCAACATGGGATACTCCCGTTCCCGGAGTGCCTCAACAAGGCCGTTGTAAGCCTCACTCCCTCCTCTCGTCATATTCTTGAGATTACTCCCTTCATCGAAGCAAGACAGCATTTCTTCAGCATTAGTCGCCTTACAAGCATACTTGCATGCGTCAGGGAGCGTTGAGGGTCAATGCGAAGAGAGGCTCTATATAAGCAAAGGTTGCAAAAACTTAAGGGAGGCTATCTAAACTGAAATGTGGCAGCGTCGGGTCTGCATATATGGAGTATCAATGGAAAGCGCAGTTGATAAACCGGCAGTTGGCGGGTTGCAGCGGTGATGGCCGAGGATTCAACTGCCAAGAGTGGGGGGGGCGCTAGGTGGGTGTGTGTTAGTGTGTTAGGCAATTCGGAGGCCAGCATTCAGTTCCGGGCAAATTCATGTGTAAATGGTGCACGGTCTTTTCAATTAACGCGTTGCTCAAGTCGCGTCGCGTCGACTCGACAAGGGCCTAAGATTTTGATTCCTCGACCCGCTACGCTCAAGCGCGTCCAGCTGGGTAGATTCTTAATACCATTCAAAGTACCTGTAATTTCTAATTTCTTCTTGTACATACAATTTTGTGATTTCGAGCCTATCATCAGCAGACATGGCTAGAATCACACTTGGAAAGAGAACCAGAAGCTCAACTGAGTTTGCTACGTCTACTCGACTTACGGGGGAAACTACAACCTGCATTGTCGACCCGGAGGTCCAGCTTCCTGCGAAACGTGTGAAGCGCCAGACACGCAGCTGCCCCATCCCCGATGAGAACGCAGACCGCGAGGTTCTTACCGTCACAGAGGAGGACAGGGAAGAGGCAATTGCTTCTGAGATCACAGAGGAGTCGCTGTCGAGCTTCCCGCAAGACCGTGGTGTATTTACCTTCAGAAGTGGGAAGACGCGCAGAACAGAAACGACGCCAATTGATGGCAACTGCAACCCCATAACTCCCAGCACACTACGGTTTCGAGATGCGCTTGCTTTAACACCCGTCACCCCCCGTCATCGGGTCATGTCCGTTGGCAAAGTGTCGAAGCGACTCACACCGCAAACCCCTCTCACACCTTCCTCCGTACAGACCGTGTATCACCACGCGCGCCAACTCTTCTCACGGAATGCCGGCCCGAGCCAATTGATTGGACGGGACGCAGAACGAATACAACTACGGGGCTTTCTGCAACGATGTTCCAAATCGAACCCGAGCGGATGTCTTTATGTCAGCGGACCACCTGGGACCGGCAAGAGTGCCATGGTCAACGAGTTGACTCAAGAGGTGGCTGAGGCTTCGAACGTGAAGAAGGCATGCATTAATTGCATGAGCATCAAGTCTTCTAAGGATCTGTATGCAACACTTCTAGATCTCGTCTGCGACGAGACCGAAATCGATGAGGTAGATGCTGCTTCGACCCTCCAGAAGCTTTTCATGCCGCGCAAGAAGTCGTCAGATGTGTACTTGGTTGTCTTGGACGAGATTGATCATATTCTCACACTTGACTTGGAGAGCCTGTACCGACTCTTCGAATGGTCCCTCCAGAAAACAGCGCGTCTCGTCCTCGTTGGCATTGCCAATGCTCTAGATCTGACCGATCGGTTCCTGCCCAGGCTCAAGTCTCGGAATCTCAAGCCCAACCTCCTACCATTCCTACCCTACTCCGCCATTCAAATCAAGACAATCATCACCACCCGACTCAGGAGTCTTGTATCTGAGGGAAGCCAATTGCCCTTCATCCATCCAGCAGCAATTGAGCTGTGCGCTCGGAAAGTCGCGAGCCAGACAGGCGACTTGCGCAAAGCATTCGAGATATGCCGCCGAGCCATTGACTTGGTGGAAATGGAAACGAAGCAAAAACACGAGTGGGAGATCAAAGAGAAAATTCTCTTAGCTACACCATCTCGGAAGGTATTGGGGGAGAACAACAACTTATCATCGTCGTCGAAGAGAACGCCTGAGAAAAGCTTGTCGGCGTCGTTGATTGCTTCTCTGAAGAATCTAACGATAGAGACTGCGCCGAGAGTTACGATTGCGCACCTAAACAAGGTTACGGCAGCGGCATTCAGCAATGGGACAAACCAACGGCTAAAGACTCTCAACCTGCAGCAAAAGGCGGCATTGTGCTCTCTTGTCGCACTCGAGAAACGCAACAGAGCCCATAAAGCTTCTGTTTTCTCAACTCCTTCTAAGGCATACGTTTCTGCGCCGAGCATTAAAATTCTTTACGAGACTTACTGCCGCCTTTGCACGAGCGACTCAGTGTTGCACCCGTTGTCCAGCTCTGAATTTCGGGAAGTGGTGGGCAGCCTAGAAACTTTGTCTCTAGTGAGTGCCGTGGATGGCAAGACTGGTTCTTTTACCATGTCGCAGACTCCTAGCAAGGGTCGGAAGAAGAGTGTATTTGGATCCGGTGTGGGAGTAGCGGACGAGAAGCGAGTAGCAAGCTGTGTAGGGGAGAAGGAGATGGAGCAGGCAGTAGAAGGACTTGGAGCTGGGATTCTACAAAGCATATTGAGCGGCGAGGCATTGGATTAGATGGAGCCGTCATGTGAGATTTCGGACTGAATGCATGCATGGCGTTTGGAGTTTTGAGGGAACACTTGGCTACTGCTGGACACAATTTCTCTGGACCACAGCAACGCCCATTATCGTTGGTTTGCTTTGGATGAGAGACACTATTAATAGACATTTCAAAGTGCTGCACCCATTTCTCAAGAGTATTTCTGTATCAATGTTACAGACTGACGATACCGAAGACGCCGAATAATTTATATAGGCTGCTCTGCTTGGCTTAACGTCGCCGACCTTGAGTCATGGGAAAATGCCCTCCTCTCCATAGTGCCTGCCTCGGCGGCTTTAAGACTTGGCAAGTTAAGCTTTTGAAACCCTTGCTAGCATCTAGCCGTTAGCTCTTGATAGATGCGACGGTCTTACAAGGGTATTCTTTTGAGGGCTCACTCGCATATGACGCTAGTCTTATTCGGGCACTGTTCGGCCATAGCTAGCTATGCTAAGTCTTTACTTTAGCAATAAATTCGATACCAACTAGAAATGTATATATATATATATTCATATATGTCAAGAGTATTATATTTGATACGATATCAATAATGGTGTAACTGTGTTAATTTTATACGTATATTATTTATATCTTCTAAGCTACAAAGGAATATAAACCTAAGAAATAGAACCATAACTGTTATTGTATCCGATTTAAATATTAAGTTATACGTATATTATTTATATCTTCTAAGCTACAAAGGAATATAAACCTAAAAAATCGAACCATAACTTTTATTGTATCCGATTTAGATCTAGTACTAGATTGATTACAGTTATGTATAATAAATTACGCTATCTCGAAGAGTCGAAGAGATAGGCCTACATCCTGGCCTTTCAAGTACTCCACCTGACGTAAATGGTTGGAACGAAACAGCTGAATGTCGTAGCCGTTGCTGATGGGAAACTCAAATAGCAAGAGATCCTTGAATGACCCCGAGCTCCTCCTGAGGACTAGGATACTGACGCAGTCTTCCGCAAAACCCCGAAGAGTCTTTCCAAGTTTGTTCAATTTCGCCGACACGAAAGGACGCATACACAATGCATTGAACCCCCCGGCCCGGCCCAATCCGAGGCTCAAGTATCTACCTTTAACATCGTAACTTGTACAAAGTACGACAGTAGCTCAACAGCAGTTCTTGCTCATGAGGGTAGAGATATTTGATACAAACAGAAGGATTGCGTAATCTTTCGAAAGGGTCCATCTTCAGCTGAAAGCTTGGTCTTGATCTGACACTCACGATTGGATCTGCATCAACCCATCCAGGATGTGGATTATTTGAGGGGCAGTGTTTCTTGGTCTCATTCAAGCGAGATCCATGCGCGACGAGTCCACTCGGTTGCGATATGGATACCCAATGGCAGCGGCAAATTTTCTGAGAGGGTGTTTCGGTTTCGTTGAGTGTCGACGTTGCATGCATTTGCACCATACATACCTCGTACAAACTGCATAGTGGGGCATGTTGCGTGTCTGTTGATTTCAGAAGCTCTAGACCCGACTTACTCGACCAGGCCAAGGACTCGCCGAGTCAGGTGCAGATAAAATGTCCGGTCAAGCAACAGTGTATGCAGTCATCCTCTTGTGTCGCCTGCCTAGTAACGTGTCTCGTACCCTCGTAACTACTGTCGTCTCGACACTGTCGTCTGGACTTGCTGAGTGCACTCGACGTGCGCTGTTCGTAGCCGAAACTTCCTTGGAAATTCTTGCGGAAATTTTTTCCTTAGCCCCACGAAAAGGGTTCCAAAGTTACTTATTAAGAAGCAGAACATCTCTTGGCACCCGCTCCCCATCGATCGAATACCAAGACCCTCCACAGCTTGGCACATGCCATCCCCAAGACTTTGGTGATCCCGAAGGGCGCAATCGAACATTCCAAGCCTTTTCTTCTCGCACTGCCGCCTCTGCGACGGATACAGATCCGGCGGCCAACCATCTACGCCCTGTGGCCCTGTCGCTATCCTCCCAACCCTGCCACCCCCGACCGTGAGATATTTGTATCCCGCATCCGCACTCTCGAGTACGGCCCGGCAACGGACGCGGGACGCCGTTGACGACGAATACGAAGACAACAACGCCGGCCCCGACGATAGACTGGTGCCGTGTCATGCGTGGCAGGCACATCGTTGTCAAGGGACAAGACAAAATTCTAGATGGGTGCCGACTCCGACCGCGCTGCCGATTTCTCTTTCGATGACCAGCCGTCGAAGAGTTCCTTCTTCTCGCGCCTTAAACTGCCCCTCCGCTCGAGGACGCGCAACCTCGCCGACTTCCAAGTAGGACTCGACGAGCCGCATCGCCAGTTCCAGGCCGGCGATCATGTCACCGGCTCCGTCATCCTATCCGTCATCAAGCCCATCCGTATCACCCACCTAACGGTCGCATTGCACGGATATATTCGCGTATACAAGAATGCTGCCGCCGCTGCTCAGCTCAATGCCACGAACCCCACCGTGGCGCCGGACGGGGGGAGTAGGAGCTTCAGGTATTATGGCAATGGGCACGCATCATTATTCTCGGACGAGCAGGTCTTGTGTGGGGAGGGAAGATTGACTGCGAGGAAGTGGGAATTCAAATTCGATCTGATATTGCCACCTAAGGACCTCCCAAGTAGCATCGACGTACGCTGCCCTCTTTGTCATGTTCCTTCAAGTGTGATACCATACTCACCTTCTAGTCTAGTTTGAACGAGGGACAATAGCGTATGTCATCACCGCGACCATGACGCGCCCAACGTCCATTAGCCAAACAACCAGCGCCGAGACCAAGCTATCGCTCGTCGAAAAGGTAGATGTTGGGCTGGTGGTTCCACCACGCGAGAGGAAGGTCACCATGCATGCCATGCGCAGGCGGACAAGGAGGAAGAAGCAACCAGTAGCCACAACAACAACTGCGGTGAGGAACTCGGCAACTCCAGAAACGCCCGAGCCTGCATCCGACATTGATTCGATACGGGTGAACGAGAATACCAATGACAGTTCTGTCAATCTCTCGGACCCTGGACAAGCGGGACCTGATGGCGTTCTCATTCCGCGGAGTCCAATCCAGAGCGATATGCAAAGCGACATCAGCGCAGACAGTGTTCCTAGCAATAACAGCAATAGTGTCAGAGGTGCAGATGCGAGCTGCCGTTCAGCTGCCGGAAGCGGAGTGTCAGCACTGGGGATAGAGGATAGAGAAATAACGGCGACGGTCGAGCTGCTCAAGGGAGGCTGTCTCCCCGGGGACTTGCTTCCCGTGAGGATTAAGGTTGAGCACAATCGGCGCATGAAGAGCATGCATGGCATCATTGTTACGTTTTACCGGCAAGGTCGAGTCGATTACGCCCCGCCGGCGTCTCTATTTACGAATTTGTCAAAGGAGGATGCGCGGCGACTTGAACGCGAAGAATACTACCCTAAGTCACGAACCGGGTTGGGTGGCCTATCCTTATCATCCGCCGGCTCTTGCAGCGTGTTTCGGAAGGACCTGTCTCAAGCGGTGGCCCCTTTAATTATCGACCCCGTCAGTCTATCCGCAAACATCACGACCTCCGTACGAGTGCCGGAGGATGTATTCCCTAGTATCAAAGGCGTTCCTGGGGGCTTGATTAGTTTCAAGTATCACGTGGAAGTCGTGGTTGATCTAGGTGGGAAGCTTGCCGGCCAGACACAAGGTAACGCACCAACGCCTGGCAGAGTGGGATCTGTGTCAGCACCAGGAGCTGGATCAGGCTCCGCCGTGAGCCCATATGAAGGTCATTTGAACAGACTTGCGAATTGGAATGGCACCATTGTCGACACGGATCACCTTCGCCGGGAAAAGGGGGTTATTTCAGTCTTGTTCGAGGTGGTAGTGGGAACAATGGATAGCAATCGGGCAAGAGGAAAGGCCGTGGCTCGGCCCACGCTGATCCTACAGTCTCCCTCTGCACAGGAACTCCCTATCGACGCCGATGAAAACAACTACACTTGGCAAGATGGATTCGAGGAAACTGATGACTACAATGAGATCGGCTATTCTCACGACCAATCGCGAGAGTACTTTCCGCCAGCCGCTGCGTCCCAACCATCCTATCACGACTACCAAGGAGGGCAGCCTCAAATTCCGGCTTATATAGCACCACCGCAACTACCGGATCAAAGTGGACTTTCAGAGAAGGAACGCTTACGTCAAGCCGAACAGCGTTTATTGCCCAGTCAACCTCGTTCCCAAGTGTCTGCCTCGGAACCTGATCCTTCGCAGCCGTTGCCGTCCACCGAATCAATAACGGGACCGAGCAATGATTTACCACAGCCTAGCGCTCCTGTATTCCCGTCACTGGTCATTGATGATGATGTCGAAGCAGGGCCATCCGCACCTCCGCTAGAAGCCTTATCACACTCGGAGACAAATCCTGTGGATGATAAACAAGAGCTCGAATGGCGAAGGTTACTGGGTGAGGCAAGCGCGCCGCCTGAAGTACCAGACGACTATGAGGAGGGAGAACGTTCGTCGCCAGCCATCAATGCGGCAGGGCCTCCTTCTACAAACCCTGAGCCATCAGCGCCGATTCTTGACGAGCTAGATTCTTACGGGTCGCACTATCCCTACGAGGCCTACGAGGGGATCGCTGGCCCATTGACGGCTAGGCCTTCACACAGAAATGACCATGGAGACGAACAACTACCAAAGTACGAGCGGTGACGATAGCCACAAGGGTGGTGTATATATTAATGAGGTACGAAGCGATTATACGTTGCGATACGTGGTGGGTGAAATCTCCCCGTGGTCGGACAGGACCTTGGAAAGCCGTTGAGAAGAGCTTTACGCGGGTTAGATATTGTACTATATCTTGACACATATATGATGCATCACAGGACATAAAATTACCCCAAAGGAGGCCACGGTTTCTCCAAGTTTGGGTTTTCTTCACGCTGATCTGCCCCGCTGCGCTATCTGCACTGACCACAGTCCACCTTCGTGTGGGTTCTACTGACATTACCTTATATGAACACAGCTTGGAAACTAGAATGGAGCCAAACCACAATTACGGGAGGGAATACGATATGGAACCTTTACCGACTTTTGACGTTGCCAGCTACCTTGGTTTCCAGTTACCTGTTATTCCTCACACGGTAGTACTACTGCAACCTTTTCAGCTCCGCCCAGCCGCATATCCCACCTGAACATCTTGATAGGCGGTCCCAACCCAAGTGAGACCTGAAAGAGCCTCGCGATGACGAAGCCGCTGCATTGGCGTCCCCATTTTATCGCCTCGTAGCGTACGAAAGAACTGATAGCGCCTGTGTAACTGGAGGAACCACCCGGCCTGAACCACACCGAAAGTAGCCAGCCGGTCAACCAGACTGGCCCGACAACAGCAGCTACTAACGTTTCCGTTCTTCCATTTGACCGCCTTGGACCTACCGTGTCATGGTCCACTGGAGGAGGGCGGAGCAAAATGCTGACTGGCTCGGCATGCAGGATGGCTCTAGGACTCTGCCTATCGGAACGACAACTTAACTGTTTTGGCTTTCTGCATTTCTAATACTCTTGTTTCAGAACTGTTGTCTAGGTCAGCGGAGCCTCTTTCTGGAACTTGGAGGCGTCTTTTCCTCAATTAATTCGAATCGCCAATACCGGGACCCCGGATCCTTACCCATGGCACTCCCCTTGTCGCATCGTTGATATTGCAGCTTCCCGTTGATGCGCGCGGGCCAGAGGAATCAATATCACAATGTCGAATATCGCGTCGGTGTCAGTGAGCAGGGTGTTCTACACAGCCTTGGTACTTGTTCTCTTCTCTTTTGTCCGGTGCACTTCACAGGAGAGGCTTGTGCCTCGAGAAGAGATCATGGAACAACATGATACACCGGTAGAACCCTTCCAACTACGACCGATATACCTAGGCGTTGATCCTCGTCATCAGACTTTGAGCTTTGCAGATACTCTGTTCAAACGGGATTGCCTCTCTAACGGCAGCAACTACTGTTTCGGGAATTCGGTCGACTACTGTCCCAACTGCGGAACATGTTGCGTGGACTCGGGCAAGCAGGTTTGCTGTGCTGATGCGACGTCGACTTGCTGTGGAGGTGGTTGCTGTGCTGCAGGAGAATTATGCACTAATGGGCAATGTGCTTCACCCATGTAAGCTATTCCCGTCTTTGGTCAGAACGTGAGTGTGTGCCTAATGGATGGCAGAGTTACTGTCACATCTACAACCACTTTTACATATAGTATCACGCATGTGGCAACTGCACTTGAGAGCGTGAAAGTCCGGATCGACGAGATATCTACTGTCAATTCGGTAGTCATCGTCACTGTTTCCAATATCGCTACCGCCACCGAGGTTACTTACACGACGACAACGGTGATTGCGAGGCGTAGAATCCCAGCTGAAGCATCCTTGGTAGCCCGTGGCGAAGTTCTGGAAGCCACAGCCAACCCCATCAGTCGGTTCTCGTCTCTGCTGAAAAGACTGGTAGGCCGAGCAACTGTGGCAGATGATGACCATGAGCTAGCTAGTCCATTTGCTCCGAGGTTTGACCCAGTTCCGTGGACGGACCAGCCGACTGGCGACGATATAGTTAAAGTTGCCAGGGCAGCATCAACGACCACTATTATCGTATCGGTGACTAGCATGGTGGACGTCACTAATACAATCTCGAGTACAGTCACTGCCTCGACGACATATGTTTCCCTAACCACTTCCGTTCGAACTCAGACAAGGTGAGAAGTCCCCAGGCCACCACATTTGGTATAGAAGGGGCCATTGAAGGCCCATGCTTACTTTTTCCTAGCGTGGTCAACGCTCAAGCAACCATCTCTGCAACCTCGACGATAGTGGCTACATTAAGACCACCCGTCACGAAAACCAGTACGAACTTTAGAACGATCACTCCAACCGGCGTATCGAGAACATCGAGCTCAAACAACCGGACTCCAACTTCAATCATCGGTCCCACCTCCTCAAACAGCGCCAGCGGCTCCTCCCTACCAACCGCTGCCGTCGTCGGCATCGGCGTTGGCTCCGGCATAGGTGCCATCCTCCTCATTGGCGTCGTTTTCGCCCTATGGCGCGTCCGCCGCAAGCGTCAAGCCTCCGCCAATGATCCACAGAATGACCCCTTTTATCACCGGCCGCCGCCACCACTGACCACCTCTGGCATGATGTCCACCAATATCTCGCCTCCGAAACAGTTCCTCTCCACCCCGCCCGCACACCAGGTCGTCGAGTGGGGGGCTTTCACCCGTCCGCCGAGATCGGGGGGGATCAAGTCAAATCTTAGTTCGGGGCATACGCCAATGTTGAGGAGTGGTGGACAGGGTGGGCGCGATCGCAGCTCGACGGGGACGCAGAGTTATGCGGGTAGTTCATCCGTTAGGGGGAGTACGCTCGTCGAGGTTTTGGGGTCGGCGCCTAGGGACAGTACGCCCGCGGAGGTGGGTGGGTCCGAGTCCGCCTGAGACGCATGAGAAGGAGGGAAGACATGAGGGTTGAGGATGCGTAGAGAACAACGGGCGATTAGAGTAAAGGCTATTTGTGGTGGTTACCATTTGGAGCTAGGGGCGTTTTGTTTTGCGTGTAACTTAGGCCGAGAAGGCAAGGCTTGCTATCATCTCGGGGAATCGAGTGCTTACGATCATACCCGTTCGCCTGCAATGAATGAGATTCTTGATGGACGCTGTGCGCAGTTTTCTGATGACCGGATATCGATGGGTGGTTACACTGTAAAAGCCCACTATTTAAGCCAATACGCGTGAAAGGAGCCTTAGACACCAGCTCCGTCCAGACTGTATATTCTGCATCATGAATTGTAAATCTCATCTCATACCAATGCCCTGTTTGCTACATGACGGTCCCAAGCATGGGCTAGTATTGAAGTTTGTCAGATACTTTGCTGGCTTGTCCTATTGGCTATGTGTCTCCAACATGAAGAAGGATGGACAGTCACCCAGTTCGTGCTGTTGTCAGCCACGAGCCAGAGAAACACTCGTCCGCCTGAGAACTGTAGCTCAAAGCCATCCTCAATGCCCTGAGTTTTCATGTTCCCGTTGGATTGCCTTGGGTTCTTTGATGTTTTCGTGCGTAGTCGCTGCGGATCGGGTAGCTTTGGTCAGCGCTGGATTCACCCAGCTCAATCCATTTGCGGAAAATAGGCTTGATGGCTGGGGCCCTCCCTGCGATGATGCATAGTTGGGCTTCGAGACTATATGAACAGTTCAGTCCGAGGGGAATTGGTGTGATTGTACTCGCGCGAAAGACAGAGATAAAGTGTGTGTGCGGGTGTCTGCTTCGAGGGCACAGGGAGAGGCGTGGCTTGTGGTAGTGAAAAAGAGTGTGTAAAAGCCCAGGAGTGGTCGTTTGAGGTCTGGGTGAGTCTGGTGCCACAGAATCAAATCCAGTTGTTGCTATGTCCATGTCAGCCAAACAAGCAAACCGTATAAAGATTCATGAGGATCTTTCTGAAAGACCAACTGGCATACTGTTTTGGCAATGCTCATGGAAACGGCTTTGAAGTACTGAACAACAAAACAACCGTGGAGGTGAGGTTGCGATGGGTATACTCGATGTACGGATAGCCGAAACTCAGGGTTCCCACCGGATAGATGCATGTGCGAAGGCTTCCTGGAGTTTCATGATGATTGATTGGTATGGGAAAATTCTCTAAGCAGATGTCTGAGGAATATTGCTGGCTATTGGAAGTATAAATTGCAAGTCAGTTGATGTACTTTTATTTTGGACTGGATGATAAGGTATCTGGGTTGATGAAGGTAGTGAGTGGCCTTGTAGAAAGTGGGATCATAAGTCGTATACTCGATTTCTGTGTTCTACTAGGCTTTAACCTGTCTAAAAGTAGGATATGAGAGAAACCAGGCAAATATTGTGCAAGCGCATACATAGTCTGTTCAGGGGGCTGAATATACATGGAGTTACAGAGCGGATTTCATGACATAGCAATGAGGACAGAGGGATTAAATATGGTGTGGTCAGTATAAAGGGGCCGGCTGACCAAAACAGCAATCATTACATCGTCTCAGCGGCGTAAGCAGGATGGAGACCCCTTGCCGAGTTTGAAGACATGATGAATTTTACGTGTTGTAAACGTTACGGAAATATGATCAAGCAACTACACGAGTGAAGTCCTGGATCAAGGTGTCTCTGGGTATGATGGAATACATATTCAACACCAGGCTAGAGTTCAACCTGTAGGTAATTCGCCACTGTAACAGGGAGAAGTGTATTTACCATGAACAACATGAACTATTCATATTATTGTTACCGGAAAGCTTCATCAAATCTGTGCTCTTCAGGATTTTCTTGTTCGTACTCAAATACCTTTGAATGCTTGAGAGCCGACACGCATCTAGGTAAAGAATCGATCGATACCTGCAGTCAAAGTCTAGTATAGTAATAGCCTGGACATGGGAGTAAATATTGGTGCAACTGCTTATTGTAGCCTTGTATGGCCACGCAGGTTCTAACATCACATACTCCCCAATTCCCAAGCTTACATAGTCTCATCGTGTTCGGCAAAGTCAATACCATTGCCACAAGCTTTGCACTTATTGTCATGATTGAAGTCGTCTATTATTGGCTTTCTCTGTCGTCGACGGGAATATCTTGCGAGGACCTGTTTTCGTAGTGAACCCGATCAGTTTCGGCTGTGACGGTTGGCGGATCCGCGACAAGGACGAGATATATCCCCTATCAAATAAATCAACCACAGTGGTGCTTAAATCATTTTATATCCAGTATATAGTGCTTTTGTTCCTTGCTACAACAATGCAGAACTTCCGACCAGATCCTTCGGCCAGATCTAAAAGCGGCAACAGCTCGCAACGAGCTTCATACGAGAAATTTGGCATGTTCTCCACGCCAAGAACTACTATGTGTGAAATCTGACTGATGAGATGGCTCACCGCAGATTCTTGCGCTCAAGAGACGTGTGGATTTTACAAGAACCATGCGGCATCATGGTTTTCGACGCAGCCACAACCAGTTACCGTTGGCGCTGTCGAATTTCATTTCGGTTATTCCACTTTGGGTAGCCTCTTGCCAATATGCGCTTCCCTACTTCCTTAGCGACTTGGTCGTTTGCAGGCTCCAACTTGTCACTGCAATTCAAGATGCCCACGATATTATGTCACAGCTGCACAGCCAGGCTATCAAGACACTGAAGCAGCCGAGGAGAATAGTAGAGGCGAGCACGTCCCAGATCAGACAAGATTGGTTCACCAAGGCATTATCGTTATCTGAATTCCCTATTATACATGTTGGCTTCACTCCAAACAAAGTGAGTATATGAGTATGTTGATGAGAAAGGACTACATACGTTGTGTCCAATCTCTGCTCGACTCCCTATCGAAGTTGACTTAATACGGATGGGCGAACAAAAACCATTACTCCGACTTTATTAGCGTACACATCAACATATCCCGCGTGGTCCACAGCACAGGTATTTCTCTCATCCACCATAGACTCATCGTCTATCTGTTGAGGAACGCTTCAAGGCATACGTGGGGATATCAAGGTCACCAGCTGGCAAGGGGCAACATCATCACCCACAACTAATTGACCTCAGCTGATAATATTATTTTTAGCACTGGGACTGGTTCAGATGACTTGAGCATGTCTCCCGTGTCTGGTAGCAGCGATATGAGCTTGAGTGGTGATGGCTGTTAGAAGGTTACAAGCATACAGCGGATATTTGTAGATTGTTACCGGGTACCTACAGGGTAGTTTCTCGAAGTAAAAGAGTAATAAAGTATAATAGGTTATTATTGTGATTTATTGTCAAAGTATGTGTGTAGGTGTATTTTCCTGCCTGATTTAGTCATTTGTTTATGATGCTAGTGCATATGGGGTGTTGTATTGGGAAAGGATGGCCAGGTCAGCTATTCTGGCCTGGCAGAGCTCTTTTATAGCTCTTGTCTTATTTTATCTATCTTATCTATAGCTACAGGGTAACCCTCTTGGGGTCAAGTATCAGTTTAGCTAGATTTTTTTAATAAGGCCGAATTCAATACCTTTTGTTTTCTTTATCTTCTCAATCCCTCAATACAGCAAATAAATTAGTTATTTCTTGATCTATGCAAGATTCCGATCATTTCGTTTAGTGAATTTGAGAGGATTGATCAGTCAAAGCTAGTTGATAGCTGAGTGAATGTACATAATCCGTATGAAGTTTATCCCTGTGTTTCAGCACAGAAGGGGCCTGGATTGTAGCCCGGATTGTAACCCTGATACCTGAGTAAAAAACACAGCACTGCGATGACCATATGAATACTGATAATCTGTAATGAAGTGCTTTCGTCTATTTTCCGAAGAAACCCTTTATTATCCTAAAACGGTGGGAACTTTTTTTGTATTTTCAAGATATAATCTACGTAGAAATTCATTGTATCCTTCAATGGATATCATAGTTCTTCGGCGTCGTCTTCCTCTCCATCGAGGTAGATCTCATGGCCGCTGCCTTCATAAATAATCATGGCCGCCGCCCATCCCAGGGCCGACATGCCTCCAACCGCCCACCAGCTGAAGCCGACCATCTCGGCATTCAGCCCAATTCCGTACCAACACCCGCCGACAATGGGCCCCACGGTCCGGAAGCCGGCCGAAACACTTTGTCCGAGTCCGTGGATCGTCCCCAACACACTGGGATGGGGACTGCAGTTGTTGAGCAGAATAATGCTAGCCGGGAGCGTCATTGTTCTCCCCGTCGTATGAAGCAATAACAAAAAGAAAATGCCCACCCAGATGAAGCCGCCCGAGGCTGGCTCAGGCGACCGGGTAGATGAGGGCAAGACCGCAAGGAAAGGCGCGAGGAAGTAAGCCATGGGGAAAAGGAGCAGGAACCAGCGGAAAGAGCGCAACGTGCCGAGGCGGGAGTGGACGGGCGGATAGAGGAAGATCTGTAGGACCATGCCGAGGACGCCGAGGATGCAAGTGGCGCCGCCGACCATGGAGGAGGGCATGCCCAGGCCGCCGGAGAAGGAGAAGGGCAGGCCGCGCTTGGCAAAGTCGGGTTGCCAGCGGGGCGTGGACAGGAAGAGAGTCCAGATGTTGGTGAAGGCGCCGAGGTGGAAGTCGTAGAAGGCGGCGGCGACGAGGGTGAATATGACGTTGCGGGTCCAGATACGGCTAAAGGGGAGGCTGTGGGTGAAGTGTTTGGGTTGGGTATCCGCCACGGGGAGTTTCTCGCTGAGCGTTTGGAGCTGGTTCGTGTTTTCGTTCCATTCCAGCTTGGAGTATCCCTCGTGCATTGGTCGTCGGGTGACAAAGGACATGAACCTAGCCCAGAGGTGTAGACCCGCGTCGAACTTGTCTCGCTTGGCGACGGAAGTCTAGGCTGGTTAGTTTGGGGGACGACGAAGAGCGGTGGTTGAGTGGTTCTCACCTCCTCGAGACCAAATACGACGGCCAACCCCGTCAGGGCCAAGGCTACAGCATTCATGATGCTGGGTAACGCGAAAGGAAAGTCGACAATCAGGCTACAGTGCAGTGGAGCACCCTCGCCAAAAAGGTCGGGTAGGGCTTTGGTAGGGTCGGCGAGCCATCCGCCCATCACTGAAAGTCGTTAGTAGTTATCCCAGATGCTTGAGCCGAGAATCAAACTCACTGGGTCCTAGAATGCCTGCCACGTTAAAACTCATGGGGAGGATCAAGAATGCTCTTGACTGGTATTTCCTCTCCACGGTGATTTCGGATATCATGGTTCGAATAATGCCCACCAATCCATTGATCGAACCGCCGAATGCCCGCCAGAAGATGGCCCAGTAAAAGCTGCTTGAAAACCCGTATCCTATGCACGAAAGGGCCGTTCCAAAAAGTCCGATGACGAGAACCAGCTTGCGCCCGCACCAGCTGGCATCGGCGGCTTTGCCCCATAGGATGGCAGTCAAAACTTGAGCGCCCGTAAACGCGCCCTGTAACAAGCCGGCTTGGCCTGAGATCTGGGCGTCCGACAACTCCTCGTCGAAACTCTTGAGCTGGTAAAACACATAGGCTTGCAGAGATGCCACTTGCAAGAAGTCGACAAAACGGCAAAGGAAAAGGATGGCGAGCTGGTCCTTCCGGGGCAGCGACATCCATGTGACTGGTTCATCTTTCGGCTGGGCCAACTTTTCTAATAATGATTCGGCATCCTGGGAATCCTGGCTACTTCGTTCCTCGATGAGGTTGAAGTCGTAGCTTTGTGGTGATGGCAATCCATCGACTGCTGTTGTGTCCCCTGCTCGGGTTGCAATTGCGGAAATCGAGCCCCGGCTAATGTGTCTAGAGTGTCTCCTCATGGTTGCGTCAACAAAATAAAAAATAAAAAGGTTTGATATATAGGTACAGAACAGTTAGAAAGGATAAGTAAGACTTGACAAATTGAGAACGAAAGTGAGAGGATAAATTTCTTATGATGGATGGTTGTAGAGCAACCCCAGAGAAGGAGAAAAAACGGTAATAGAACCAACGCGTGGACGATTGCGAGGACGACAGAGAATCGTCACACCTCTGAGCCACTCCCAATTTTGAGAAGGTCGATAATAATAAATGGGCTTCGCCAGCCGAGGGTTGGTACGTTGTTACTTGGTACATACCTAGGTACTCGTAGACTAGTGGTATGAAATTTGATGCGACAAACTACTATCGGGGCCATTGCATCCTACCGTTTCGGTATTATGATCCTGCCAAGTTGTCCATCCGATTCCCAAGTTGGAGGTTGATAGACAGCTTGATCCTGTTTATTGGGTTGCTGGGATGAATTGACGACGTTAAAGTGGACAGGGGTACCCGCAGAGCATACGCGTGGAACGCCGCGCAATTACTATGGTGGGTTTGGTGGGTTTCGTCGAAACCATCCGAGCCGATCTTCGTGGTACCCTGCCAAGGATGCCGACCCCCTGCCCCGGCCGGGCCATGGCAGTCAATGGCAGTTGGGAACCCCCCTTGCAGCTTATCAGAAGCAGTGGAAGCCACGCCAGTCGAATCGTATGCTGCGTAGTGTAATAGTTCGTCGCATCTGGGGCGCTTTCAGAATTGAAGAGTCCACCGTGACTCGCTGGCCCGTTTGGGGCTAGTCGATTCGAAACGGAAGAAACGGCGAATCATGAGGCATGGTAGCTCTCCTCCGTCTCTCTTTGCTATGCGAATCAGGATTTCTGGTTGGTGATGCTGCTAAGTAGCAAGGCACGATGAGGGTTCAATGGTTGGCTGCTCTTCTTGGCGTTCTAGCAAGCAAAGATTTTGCCTCGCAGGTGCTCGCTGATGTGCCTGCATATGTCAACGACTATGGCTATGATCGGGAGGCGCACGGCATTCATCCCGTCCAGGTGTACAAGTCGACGGACGTTGTCGTTCCGCATCTCAACCTCCTGCAGCGTGACACGGCATGCGAAAGCTCGCTTTACACATTAATGACGCCAAGGGGGCAAGCTACGCGAGAGGCGCAAGCGACCATCCTAGATCACAACGGCCACCTGATATGGACGACCAGATGGCATGACCAGCAACTCTACAACCTGATGGTCCAGGAATATAGAGGCGACAACTACCTGACCTTCTGGGCGGGAAACGATGCCGTCGGGGGTCATGGCGCGGGCTTCTATTATATGCTCGACAAGTTTTACAACGAGTTCAAGAAAGTTGGCGCGGCGAACGGCCTCGACGGTGACCTGCACGATTTCCGGATAACCCAGGATGGAACCGCCCTTATCACCGTGTACCAAATCGTACCCGTGGATCTTACCATTGTCGGAAAGGCTGCCGATGGTCCCGTCTGGGACTGTCTGATCCAGGAGATCGACCTCGAGACTGGAGAGGCCATTTTCGAATGGCGTGCACTCGACCACTACAATGTGACGGACAGCTACCGAGATGTGGGCGGCGACGGCGAGGGCGACAGGGCGTGGGATTTTTTTCACATGAACAGCATCGACAAGGACTCCAAAGGGAACTACCTGGCCTCGGCTCGTTATACCCACAGCCTCACCTACATCAACGGCAGCACGGGTGAAATCATCTGGATTCTCGGCGGCAAGAGGAACATGTTCAATGATTTATCTGGCGGTTCGGCCACCGACTTCGCCTATCAGCACGATGCACGTTGGTCCGATAACGAGACGACCATCACCATGTTCGACAACGGAGTGGACGATTTCCATCCGACAATCGCGACCACTCGAGGTCTCAGGGTTCGGCTGGACGAAGAAGCCATGACGGTGGCTCTAGCTGCGCAGTACATCAACCCGCAAAATATCCACGGAATCTCCCAGGGATCCTGCCAAACGCTGCCGAACGGCAATACTATCTTAGGCTACGGCAATACGGCCGCTTTCACCGAGTTCGCACATGACGGCACCGTCCTCTGCGATACGCACTTCGCGCCCCAGAGCGGCTTTGGCAAAGGCGCCGTTCAGTCCTATCGAGTCTACAAATACGACTGGGTAGGCTGGCCAGCCGAGCCGCCGGCGGCAGTCATCGCGCAGGACAGCACGGATGACTGGGCCTTCTACGTGAGTTGGAACGGCGCGACCGAGGTGTCGACATGGCTGCTTCAGGGATCCGAAAAGTCCAACGGCACCGACCACGACTGGGTGGATCTCGACACGGTATACAAGGAGGAGTTCGAGACGGAATTCACGCTGAGGAAATGGTACCCGACGTACTTGCGCGCCGTTGCAAAAGACTCGACGGGTATCGTGCTGGGGTCTACTGACCCGCTGGATTTCAACTCAACCAACAGGGTGGGTTACTCTGCCCAGTGTACATCTCGCATCTCGTTAACTAACATGCTCGCAGTTATGGAAACCTCAAACCCTGCGTGTGGAGGAAGACGAGGACTTTGCAATACGGACTTTGGTCATTTTCTGCGGGGTACTCAGTTTAGGGATGTTGCTACAAATTGCTCGTTCAGCATGGCATTCATAGCTCTTGATGTATTTTTTTGCGTTTTTATTAGGCAAATCACCATAAGTTCTCATTCTTGTTCTCAGTTTACGATAACCTACGGCGGCTTGCCCGATTGCATCGATCTAGGAACTTGTGAAGTCGTATGATGTTGCAATTTACTCTTCCGATGTTGCAATCTCCAAACGCTCAAGTGCAGACCACTCGCAGCGCTTGCTCGGCTGTGCCTCCGTTCCGTTAAGTGAGTTCCACCTGCCCATGTAATAATCACTGATCGGCAGGGGGAGCATTACGCGTTTACCCCGGCCACAGCTGGGAATATGCCGGCCGGGGCGTCTTTTATTGAACCATTTCTGGCACGGACTTCACGGGGATGGCGGTTCCTGGGACTTGTGGGTTTGGGGCCGGTTTTTAACAACATCCGTTGTGCTGATCAAACTCGGTGATGCCATACATTCTAGAAAACAAGTATTCGGAAAATTTGCCATCTGTCACACTTTCATGTTTGATAACACATACAGCAAAGCAGATATTTTAATCTTAAAACAGTTGTGTAAATTCAAACCACTTTTGTAACGCCGGGGTTATCTAAAGAAATGCCTCGCCCAGAAGTCTATGTACATGATGGGTTTTGTTACCCGTGGAGATATCAATGAGTAATGCGCAACCAGTACCGTCTGTATGTACAGTTAGGGTTTTTACGTGAAGTAGTAGATGAGAAACAGGCCCAGGCCGAGAATAGCGATCCATTCAAAGATCTGTGCCAAGACATTGAGCATCTGCATCCGATTTCGGCGGCGGGAGCGATCCACAAAGTCGTTGTTGTCGTTGACCTTGGGGAACTTCTGGCCGTAGGGTACACGCTCGCCGAGGAACTCGCACAGGGGCTCCCAGCCGTCCTGGACGCGGAATTCGAGCAGGTTCTCGGGCGGCACGAGGCTCTTGACGTTCTCGTAGTGGCGCTTGTAGACGTCCTTGCCGCGGTTGGGGAAGTCGCCCTCAAAGAAGGTGTCGAAGAACTTCTTCAGCATCGGGTAGTACATGCTGGCAGCCCAGCTGAAGTTGGACAGCCACCGCAGCTCGTGATCCGTCACGCGCCAGTACACCGTCTTCATCGTCGAAGCGTGCCAAGAGTCCACATCTCGCCCGGTCAGGACCACTTTGGCTTCTGGGTATGCCTGGATGAGCTCCTCGGCAAAGGCGCATGCCGGCCAGTCGCAGACGGCTTGCGCGTTGCCGAGCAGCTTGTCCCAGTCCTCGCGCTCGAAGGGCTTGCCCACGCCATCATATTTGGCTTTCAGCGCGTCCATCCACAGGAGGGCGTCTGGAGGGTTCTCGATGGAGCACGACATCATGTGGTAGGTATCAACGTAGCCCAGTTGTTGCATGGCAGCTCGCATTGCTAGAAGAAAGGATTAGCTCGAGTTGAAGATTGGGGAGCTCCAAAGGGGTGCTCACAAGCTGTGCCTGTCCGTCCGACTCCCAATAGCAACACCTTCATGGGGACTGTCCGTGTGCATTGTCTCCGGTCGATATCTGTGTCGCTTGTGAAGATGTCCGTAATGGGCTTTCGGGTATATTTGTCGGCGCACGCCATTGGGTATGTGTGTAAGTGAAATCGACTTTGGTGTTTGGTGTATAAGAGAAACCCAGGTGACGAAGTCAAGTGAAAGACTTGAATGTGCAACGATTGAATCTGGAGGCAGGTAGAGAGGAGGCAAGCAGAGAAGAGAAAAGAAGCGTGTGTACCGAGTATATCTGTAAGTCTACCTACTTGTGTTCCTGTCGCAAGATGAGCGAGCCCTTTTTGATGACGAGCGGCTTCGGCGGTGGGTGTGGTAGTCCATCTTCGAAACCCTTGCACGTCGAAAAATGCCAAGAATTCTAAATGGAGATCAACCTATATTCTGCTTCACATACAGCAACTTGTAGATGCTTGCGAGCTTGCGCAAGTCGATAGGGGGTTGGCGATCAAATGTTACTACACCTCTTTTACTCCAACCAAAGCTCACCTGGTGTGCACAGGCCAACGGGCTGGGGCCATGGGCAGGGTCCAATCAGCCGGTGCTGTCAGTATGTCTCGACAGACAAAAAATGACGACGTTAACATGTGGAACGGGGTAGGCTTGGGTTTTTGGCTCCACTCCAAACATCTTAGGCGGCGGAAGGGTCTTCCTGTATCTCCACTGGTCGAGCGTGACGCGGCAGCAATATTAATGCTCGTTTCAGCCCCCTTTCGATGATGGAAGCTTGACTCTCTTTCCACAGCCTCTCATGCGTCTTATCTCGTTTCATTACGACTGACAACACGTGATGGGGACCCTATGGGCCGCTCCGACAGACAGGCCCAGGCTCAATAGACAGGTTAAAACAAGTGAAGAGAAGAAGCATGGTGGTTGTGCCGGCTGCGCGTATGAAAACCCAGAATTGTGGGTTGGTCTCGTTTCGGCGCCAAGGCCAACATTGAAGTCGTTGAAAAGCTTGCCGCCTCTTTTTTCTTGCTCCGACGTGGTATGGAGTATGGAGTCGCCAAAGATCAGATAAAGGCGAAACACATTGTTGTTGGTGGGAAAATGGGTTGCAGGCTGCCTGAAGTTGATCAAGTGCCACTGCCAAAACTCAAACCTGCAGATAATCAATGCCTGCCAAGAGGGCCGGTGTTGAACTGGGAACACAAGCTTTCTGGCCCCGCTGACGATTGAACGGCATTCGGAGCGGCTAAAGTAGAAGGTGTGTCGGCTGCCGGTATCACACTTGCAGCGTCCTGGGGAGATCTGGCGACGGTTGTCGGTCGGCTGTATTTTCAATTGCTCTGCAGGTTGGTGAGACGGCCCAAAATGGATAAAGTTGAAATATCCATGTCGCTAAGACCATGAAAAACCAGACGCTGCAGGTGGAGACCACGGGGGGGCGCCATTGAGGGGGCAGGGGTGCCTCGCAACAAGTCCCACGACGACGATCGATCCAACGATCCCCTTTGTGACTTGTCCTGTTCCAGTCGCAGTAATTAAATGTGGCATTTCAACCAGAAACGGAGCGGGAACGCACGAGCGGTACATTGTGCACAAGGCATCTTCCCGGAATTGGGAAGCAAACAAGTTGCACCTCAGCTGCCCGGTGGGGCCGGATGGACCTCCTAATCTTTTTTATTCTTTCGTGTGTCTTGTCCAGCGTCATGTTGACTGAGGGCGGACGCTAGAACGGGTCTCGACTTTGAAGCTCAAGAAAGCAATACAAAAAGACACGTGTTTAACCGCAGCACGCATACGCAGCAGCTTACGGAGTATTCATGGACGAGCCACATGAACTAGGTAAACGTCAAGCAAGGAATAAACCGGGTCTACCGTCCCCATAGTAATAAAGACGGGTGTGGCACGTAAGTTGATTGCGGACTGGCGGTTCGCTGTGTGCATAGATGAGGACCAGCCAGTGACGGCGCAAGCGCCTCAGTTAGCTGGCTAACGGTCCGTTTCACGATACCAAACATATCGAAACGCCCAATTTTCCAGAACGCAGCTGTTGCCAAAGAGGATGGAGAACATGGCCACTCCGCTGACATCGCGCCATGAGCCCGAAAGGGACAAATATCCAATCAATCTACCATCCGATTTGCATACAAGGTCGGCCTTGCCAAGACTCCCAAATCGCCGAGAACGTCGAACCGATTTCTTGGCGACGGCTCGAAACATCTCACTCTCTTTTTTGCATAAGTCCAGATGACCGAGATCAATTTTGCCTAACGCTGTGCATATACCACCATGCCACGGAAACCGGGCGACGATCATGTGAGGCGACGACCCTATCTGGTAGCGAGAGTCAATGGAGCACTACATTGAGCATGACGCAAGCTCTCATCACAAGATTCGAGGGAAAAAGAGGTCCCGACTCAAGTGTGGTGTGGTGCTGAGGGGTGGTTCATTCCATCCCACCAAGATGGTACTTATAGGGGTTCCCGCTCATGGGGGGGGGCATTAAAAGACGGCAACTATAGAGATAGTGTCTTGGCCGATCCACTGTCTGACTACATAGTAGTAAGAGACGGCGGCTTTCTGGTTGCCAGGACTCACGGCCGGCATCGTCGACGCCAGCGGCCCACAAGTTGCCTGGCATCTTCATTTGGCCTCTTTTGTGTCCTGACTCCATTCCCGTTCGTCCACTGCCAACTAATTCGAGGTGCCAAGCGGAGCAGAATATTTTCCCTCCAAGGCAAATCTTCGAATTTGTGGAACATGTCTTAGGTGGCTCTGTCAGATTCATTGAGGCAAATGCGGTCGGGACACGTCAATAGGACGCTAAGAACATGTCTTACAATGCGACATCGTGGTTGCCATTCGCCTTGGCTGTACCTGAGTCAAGGAGGTAGGTCACTTTCGTGGCGGGGAAGTTGATCTAAGACTGAGCTGACCATTTAGCGTGGAGCTTGAAGTTGATGGTCTCGCAGCCTTGTTGTTTCTCTACACCAAGCAGAGATTGTATGTCCGGCCTGTTCAGGTAAAGCACCGCAGAGAGCCCTTCCGTACTTGGTCCAAGATACTTGAAGATTTCGGGTATTCAGTAGGGCGGCGGTTATAGTGCGACCCACAATCGTATGGGCTTCGTCTTGCTGCATCCATCTCCTCCTGGACAAAATTGAGGTTTGTGGCTTCAGTACAGAATTTTGACTGATAACACCAACGATGTAGCAGCAACTGGTGTCATTTAAACGAAATGTGTCTTGGTAGTAATCCGTGCTGAAGATATCGTAGTGTCCCAGCGTCGTATAGACGCAATCTAAAACAGCGTTGACCAGGACAATCCCTCCGCTCTCGACAGCAGGCGCTTCGCTTTCTCAAAAGGCTTGCTTGCGAATGAGGTCAGACGCGAAGCGCGGTACATATCGACCAGCAAACGACCCCCCGCGATGTATAGCCCCTGACTCAGTATTATGGGAGGGTCGTCGTGAACTGGACAAGAAATTCGGAAATGTCTTTGCTGACCTCTCCGAGCGTCCCGGGGGGTCGTTTTCTGCTGTTAAGAAGCCACCGCCGGCGGGCTGACTGAATAATGTGATAAGATGGCATAAGAGTAGACAGCAATTGGTGGAACTTACTCGATGAACAACAAATTGGCGAACTTGGCCCAGCTGTCGGGATTTATGACGGTCCCTTCTGACTAGTATAGAAATGTGGACGAACCCATTTAACCAAACAATAGTCGGGACATCATGCGCCAGTTGTCCACAGCTTTCGAAGAACCCCAACAGACGAGTGCGTGTTAGCAGCGATAGCAAACGAATAACGATTTGTTCATTACAGCTCAGTAGAATATACTCTTTCGAGAAACTCTAAGATTTCCGAATGAAGTGAGTCGTGTTTGCTTGACAAGCGTTTTCATCTTGTATATATGGCTTCAGCTCTGGTCCAGGGGCAGATTGCCCTCTAAACGAGGCGATTGGTATATCTGATATCCCGGGCTCGAAGCGACTGAACAGGAGAAGAGAGACCACGCTGCACAGCACTGTTAGATGATAGAGATTCATGGCAGCAATGGAGGATTATTGGGCTTATGTGCGAAATAACGAGGCAAGTAATGAAGTGGTCTCTGACGAAAAACAATAGAAAGAGACAAATTGGCCAATGACATAGGACCTTTTGACCATGAAGCTTTGTTATCCTCCTAGCCAATTTATGCGTAGCGCGCCTAGCATTGTACATAGATTGGCTAATACGCCGGCACAATACAGAGGATTAGATAATATATAGAAGCCTACACGCCTGCCAAAGCGTAAACTTCGATGAATTTAGTCCAACCGGGGGCCTCGCAAGTACGATTAACCTTGCAAGACTAGTAGCGATTTATACTATTGAAACGAAAGTATTCAGGAAGGATCGAATTCTTCAATAGTCTCAGAACCACGTAGAAATCACATCTTCTTTTATAGACAAGTTAGCCAAACATAAGGGCTAGAGTCAAACTTGGATTGTTTAATAGGTATTCAGATGAGACATTTTGAAAATTGAGCTTGTTTATTTGCGATTTGCCTGTCCTGAGTTTGAGCTCGTATGGCTTGCTATACTTTTGCGCTAAGGTCATGTGAGTTTTTCCATTTGGTATGATGCGCACTGTAGAATACGAGGTACGGCTAGGCTGCTGGTTGATGCTGTAGGCCAAGCTTAGCACGTGTTCACACAGTCTGCCAAGTAGTGAAATCGACACCTACCATGGCAAAAGACCTCTTAGTACTGTGATGGGAGAGCAAAAGACAGAACAAAACACGATGAGGCTCTGCCCTAGCCAGGTCCAAGTCATAACAGATTCTTACCTCTACACAGCCAATTTTCAGTATTATTAAGATGTACTCACACAGATGCAGGGCATCTATACTAGCAACTACAGTGCGCCATTTTAGGGGCAACTGTAGTAGGGTGGAACGGTCGCTCTACCATAGGGCCACTGGCAATATCATGAGGGGGCTATCTCAGTGCCAAAGGGCCAGTTGCGGTGCACTCATAATGGAGTTATCGCTACTAGCGGGAGTATGATATTTTGGTTCTTTGAGTGTTGGTTTGTTGGCGAGCCACCTCTGAGGAAGATGGATCGCGCCGGCTATGCGGATATGGAAGACGCAGTTGCCTGTTACCCACGTACTAACCTAAAACATCAAACACGAGCACATTCTACGACATTGAGAGTTACGCCTTATCCTCTTTGGTGGCTGGGCGCCTGGTAATCCTGGTACAGAAATTTCTGTCCTGAAAGCGGAAAATGATTCTAGATAGAGTTAGGGCGCAACTGTTCAAGCAAGCGTCGAAGAGAAAAGAAGAGAAAAGACAAGACAAATATAGTGGTTCCGTCCGGGCGGGCAACTTGGCCGTCATGTTTTCCCTCATAAAGCGTTTCCTGCTGAAGTCGGACACCAGGGAGGGGTAGTCGGACATGCATGGCCGAAGTTTCATCGCGCATACAGATCATTATAGTAGACATAACTATGTGTCAGATACTCACGTATATTGCTGTGTCACCTTTCTGTGGCGTTAATGTGACGGTAATGTGGCTGTGATGTGCTCTCTCTCTAATATTGCTGTGATCTTGAGGTGATCGATCCAACTGATTGTTGTGGTGTGCTCTCTACAGAAGGCTCTTAGGCTACATGGTGTCAGGCCGAATAAAAACTACCCTGCCGTGCACCAGTGTTGTAGTAGTGGTGATCATGAAGTGGTTAATTGAGGACGACCCTCGTCTACAAGGGCCGATAATGGCCGAGAATAAAGGAAGTATGTATTGTACATGCAAAGATGGCCACTAGGATTTTCGCCACCTGACAATATTGGCTACAGCTGACAGAGGGGACTGCTAAATACTGCCACTATACCAAATACGGCAGTATCGTATCCAGGCACCTAGCTAGGCACTTCCATAGCGTTCTACATGTCCGAATGAAGCGGTTTCAAAAATGTCCTCGCTGACATCGTCAGATTTCACGGGGTTCAGCTACGTACTCTTACGTCCATTACGATGGTATCAGGCCAAAGTTTTCACCCCGGTCAGATACCTCCGCATGAGATCAATGCGCACGCTATACTAAATCGAGCTTAACTAGCATTGGGGTACTTCCAAACCCAACTTTTACGATTTTTCCCCTCGCCAACTCATCTTCAGCATTATGAACATGGCTATGGAGCGCCGACCAAGAAATATCCATACAAAGCACTTGAAAGAGGCTGACCGCCTTCGAGTCCGGACACTATATTCCGACGCCGGCCTCGGCCCGACTGCTATTGCAAGGCAAACGGGCTTCTCTATTGGCCAGGTTAAGCACGCAATTCGAGCTGAATCCGCTGCCGTTAAGCCTCGTACAGGCCGCCCACGAGAGCTTAGTGTAAAGCGAGAAGCCCAGCTTGTTAAGTATGTTATCTCCTAAAAAAAGTGCCGTCAGGCCACTTTACTCCAGCTCTCTTGTCTCTTGTTTAACGCGGTATTTGGAGTATGCGCAATTCGGCCCGCCCTACGTCGCCTCGGATGCAAGCGGTAAGTCGCCCGGAGGGAACGAACTATCTCCAAAGAGAATCGACAACGGCGTCTTGCCTGGACGATCGAGCCTTCCAACTGGACGATCGAGCAGTGGAGGACAATACTCTGGACGGACGCGACTTGGATAACAGGCGGGTATCATCGGAAATAGTACGTGACGCGCCGGTCGGGCGAAGAATGGAATCCAACGTGTATTATCGAGATGCGTCAACGCAAGCAGGTTTGGATGTTTTGGGGATGCTTCTCGGGTGGCCGGAAGGGGCCTGGCTTACTATGGGAAAAGGAATGGGGTATAATAACAGCTGATCCGATAAACCTGGGTTTCCAGTAGTATATACTGGTATTAGTATGTTACTCGACGGCCTTGAGAGAATTATTATCCGGAAGAAATAGTTTGACAGGGGCAGGAGTCTTCCTTTTTCTTTCGTCATTTATATAGCCGCTAGCACTAACAATGAAAAACAAGAACGCAGTTGGAGGAGGCAGTTCATTTCTTTTTCAGATTTTACATTGAGGGAGCACGTTTCTCATAATCAATCTTTTCGCCCTCATCTGGGCCAAAACAACCACTAGAGTTTGTTTTGGTATGGTCAGACTAACCTCGTACTTGTCATACCTCTGTTTTACTTTAGAGGCCTGATTGGCATACCCGACTATCTCGGAGTCACAAGGCGAACAGGAGCTTGGCTTCTGCAACCAGTGCAGCGAGTACCATCTAATCAGATGTAACGAAACCTCTACTGGTCTAGCTGCGTAAACCACTAAAGTGTTTTGTAAGGGTTTGTGCCAGTAAGTAAGTCCTGCCGACGGCTTCTTGAGCAATAACAAAGTATAGACGTATGGAGTATGGTGCTTGGTAACTGGGTACTGAAGAGTAACTGGGAATAGAGTCGTTAAGGCAGTGTGCCTCGCCAATGGGTTAGATTGATGCTTAGATTGATCACTGAAGTAGAGACTGTCTAACTATGAAATGCCTGGGGACCTCGTTCCTTATATATCCATCTCTCCTTTACTGATCCCCACTGGATCACCTCCAGCGTGGCGAGCCTCTGGTGATCCCTAGCTGGGCTCACTTTGGCTCACTGATCCTGGGTGAGCCGTCACGTGACTACCAGGGTCCTTGGCCTTGGAACATGGTTCTTCCTTTCCGTAGTGGATCCTAGTGCAGGCCTGCCATCGGGCCTGTTAGGTTGGTTGGGCTTGTTAGAACCAACGGTTCGTAACATCAAATAGGATTCGTCTGTGCTAGGAGCCGTCTAACAGTGTGTTGGGTGGTGGGTATATCCTATTGACCGCCCGACCCCGTTTCAATAGCTACATTCGTTTACACTATGAAGATAATAGCGAAGAGCTCGTTTTAATATAGGAAGCCGTTACGGGCTTACAGAGGGAAGGCTACGTGTGACTAGGCAGAGGAACTGCGAGTATGAATGAAGATAGCGATATAAATATATCTCTGTTACGAATACTAAACTAAAAAAGAGAGAAAAAGGGTATCAAGTATAGGTGCCCGTTCCTCTATTATAAGGAGGTGTCAGAGAACAGAATGCCATAGGCACCAGTGGGTGTCAGGACACTGAACGCAGGACACCGGTGGGCCGCCGGAGGGGTGTTTCGGACAAAAGACTCCCGAGTCATGATTACAATCTATGTGAAGCTTTCGGATGACGAGAGTCAAGATCCTTGGCATCGCCGACCCTGCTGTTATGCCGGGTCCAAGCGGCGGCCTAGCTATCTATATAAGGACCATCTCGAAGTAGGATAGGGAAGGAGTTGTCAGAGCCACAAGTGTCATCCGAGGCGGGCCGGCTTCCACCAGGTAGGAAGCCGTTTGTGGCGGCTAGAGAGCCGCTTGTGGCGAATGAGAGCCGTTGAAGCCGTTTGCAACGGATAGGGAATCGCTTGGTTGCAGATAAGGAGCCGCTGTCCAAGATATTGGCCGAAGTCGGAGGAACACAGACATACGGAAGCAAACATCCAGAATCCAAGAGAGAACCTCGGCTGGCTATAAGTAAGGAGTCGAGACGGAGGAAGATAGAGAGGGCAGAGATCAATGCATCACCGTGGGCACCCCTACCTGAGACCGCCAGTGACCACCCGGTATTACGTAGGAGGGACGCCCGTTACTCCCCATCATTCTGTACTATTGCCTTCGGCCTAGCCGTACCCTGACAAGCGGCGAGTACACGCCAAAAGCCCCTGTCTTGAATAAGAAGGCTGCTAGTCCTATTTTTTCCGTCCTGATCTGGCACAGCGTAGACGCTTCCAGTCGGTTCAGGCCGAAATACTTGCCCCCTTTCGGTATCTGCATCGAAGGGCCCTCCGGTTCCTCAGCGATGGCGCGTCGCTGGCGATCGTGATGCTCTGCTCCGGTGAGCCATCTCTTCCTCCAGTGGCCGAGGAGGGCAGCCGGGACCTCCTTTTCCTCACTCATCCACTCGGAGCCCCGGGCCTCCTTCTCCATAGTGTACCCTGCCGGTCGGAGTAGCTGCGACGCCTGCTTCCTCTTCGCCGGCCTATCCTGCCGGAGTATATGTGACGCTTTAGCGCTCGTGCTGCGAAGCAGATTTCTCGTCCCGCTAAGCCGTAGCCGTTCTTCAAACTTAGCAGCCCGGGCACTAAGATAGAGGTCTAGTGGCGGGATTGCTGCTTCTGCTTCCAGGTGGCGAACCGGCGTCGCTTTGTGGGCGCCACAGACTACCCGGAGGCACTCGTTCTGTATCCCCATCAGGCTCTTAGCTGGCCCTGCCGGTTCCTCACTTATAGTATGCCACGCAGTCACCCCGAAGGCGATCGCGCTACGGATAACCACCGTATATAACAGCCTCGCCCGTATAAGATCGCAGCCCCACGATATATTGACTAGCTTTGTCAGGGCTAGCTTTTGAGTTGCCATTTTTGTTTTAACACGCTCAACATGGGCGTGCCACGTCAGTTTGCGGTCGAACCAGACTCCTAGGAACCTGGCTGAGACTACCGGCGACACTGTGGCGTCCCCAAGGCGAATACTTTGCGGCAAGGGCTCTCGGGCCCTAGTAAAGTGCATTAGCTCACTCTTGTCAGGAGCGAACTCCATTCCGTGCCTCACTGCCCACCGCTGACACGTAGCCCATGCGCTCTCCAACCGGCGGCAGGTCGTGTCTGGATCGGTGCCGACGCTTAGCAGGTTCGTGTCGTCCGCGAACCCGACTACTAAAAGTAGTGGGTGAGTAATAATATAGCCTCTAAACTCTCTAGACTTAAATCCTATGGAAAACGTTTATAACTGGATAAAAAACTAGATCGAAGATAATTACGGTTAGGACGAGAGTCACTCCTACGAGCGGCTGAAAGGATACGTTTATGAGGCATCATGGAAATTTGGAGGCGCAAGTTTTCTTCTTTGTATCTAATTACTACTGGCGTTAGGAATTGATGATTGTGCCTGGCCTCCCCCAAATCTGTACCTGTTGTTACAGGTGAAGTAAAGCTAGTAGTTGATATATTAAATAGCAGATTTTAAACGATAGTAATTGTAGTATAGTATTGCCGTTCTAGGCGTAGCTTAAGGGAGGGGGGTATAGAGAATACTGACGGTCTATTTTGAATTACACTTTAGATGTGGGTGGTTCTCAATACTCTATATACTTGAGTCTTACCCCCATCTTTATACAATACTCTTTTTCTACGCTCTTCCGTCAAAATAGCTACTACTTATTACATCATCATATTTATGGACATAAGCCATATGCTGAAGTCTCGAAGTCTGCAGATCCGCAACAACCATTGATTGTGTTGAAAGACTCCTCCGAACAGCATGCTATCGAGCTGTGCAACGATGAGAATCAGCGGCTGATTGATGAGAAGTCGCAAGTGTTTTGTAGTTTATGAGAGTACATGGAATCACGGTAAATATTTTCACAATGAAAGGCACTTGCACGCACCCAAAAGTGGGATGTATTGTATGGCTCCTAGTACCATGGCAGTTGTTTCTTATTATTCAACTGATCATCTGAACAACAATAACGTCGATCCGGCAACTTTGATCTTGGCCTCACCAGAGTCTTCTGGTCGCAAACCCATAGTGATTGCTACACAATCCTTTTCAGTTCCCACGAGCTGGGGATGAGCCTGACGCCAGCGAGTAACCATAGTCGCCGTCCCAAGACTGCCGGCCAGTTCATCCAGAGTAGTTTTGGCAGATCCTCTAAAGAAGTCGTCCTCGCCCAACTCCAGCTTGCCATCCCGGTTCCACTCCATGCCTTTGAAGGAAGCTTTATCGAAAGCAGTAACCGGTTGGCCAAGATCCCAGGGCATGGCAAGCCTGGGAAAAGTCCTGTGCGATATTGCACGTCGCTTGGCCCGTACCGCAGCCGATGTCCAAGACAGTGCCGAAGTTTCCTCCATGGGAGGCGTGCCAGATGGTTACCACTTGGAAGATGCTGCCGGCGTAAGATCCCCGGTGTGTGGCATACGACACTGCTTGCTGCGGGGCGTATTTACGGAAAGTGGGATCTAAGGTGGATGATTGAGTTGATCGAGACATACTGCAGTTATTAGCGAAAGCGAGTTGTTGAATTGGGCAAGTTGGGGAGGTGGAGTCGGCTGGCTCTTTTATAACCCCGGCTGGCCTGCATGCCAGCCATGCAAGCCGCCTTAGTAGCGTGACTCAGAATCAGTGCATAAAATAAGCAGCAAAACTTCCAGTCACGCGAAACGATCGGCCCAGTTCATCTAAACCCATACTAGGAATCGCATACTACGTCATGTTTTGCTTAGACTCAACATGCCCATGTATAGATTGTGTTCAGTTGGACATGGCGCCCCTAAGGAACCCTCTTGTTCCCGGAAACTATTCTGAGCATGTAGATTCTCCTGTATTGCATCCTGACTTCGTTGGTTACGATGACTAGGGCAGGCGTTATGGGGAAAACGCATTCGGAGCGTAATCTTACCTTTGATATCAAACCCAGCGGTCACATGGGTGAGTACTTTAATTGTATTGGATTCTGTTGCAAAGAGAGGGAAACCGACTATATAAACCTAGTCCCACAGTATGCCCCTTCGGCCGCCTACCGGGGCTTGAAGTTCTTGCTCGGGCGTACGCCTTCGCTCAGTTGTGAGGGACCTTCTACCACGTCTGATAACGGCTTGAGGATATAATGAAATGCCAATCGACCGGAACTCATAAAAATAGAGCATATATATATGTAAACGTATCGATGGTTCATCCTAGTCTTGGCAATAAGCGTCTGATGAAAAAAGACCTTTTCCAAAGGCATCTTCACACTCCAATTCTCGTTATGGATCCTAGCCCCTGTATGTTGGAGAAGCTCCCCACCTCATACTAACAGAAATATGCTCTGTGTCTCACTTGCCCTGCAGCCCTCGGGCTTCTGGGTTGCTAAGATGGCTATACATAGTGCATGATTGTGGAGAAACTTATGCGGGAAATGCTGATGAGCGTGATCAAGTATTGCCATAATTATGGTATCAGGGTTTATTGGCACTGCCTATGTGGGATCAATTTTGGGGAAATGGAGGCTTTTCCTCCAGTGATAATTCACAAAGATACGTCTGCTTTAATAGTCATTGGTGGGGACTTTGTTGGTAGGTTGAGAACCAACGTAGTATGGTAGTGAACACAACGCAGTCGCCAATAGGGCGAACCGACGACGCAGCGTATGTATTTAGTCCAGCCATTAGGGCACGGTTTGACATACGGGAGTACTAGTAGAGGCACCGGGGGCTTCGAGCCTACGGCGTATTTAATAATAATACTAATAATAATAGTCATCGGATGTCATTATTCCTTCTCCTATATACCCTGGAATTGTACTGTTTCCACTGTGTTACCGTTACAGGGGCTGAGGTGGAAGACGGTTACGGTGCTGATTTGTTTCTACTACGGTAGACTGTTATCAACTTCACAGCTTCCAAAAGGTTCGGGCATTATATCACTACCAGACATTTGGGCTATACTTAAAATACATCAGTTGGAATGACCAGGTTATGCCTATCTCCTATACCAGATATCGAAGTATTTGATGTATCCCGCACTTGGTGAATATTCCACCTCAATGCAATTAGCGCGTTCTTGTCCTGAAATACTTCGGTTGTGCTCCGCGCCTACCCCGCAGCGCAGCCCTCAGGTCCAGAACTTGACCACTGGAGGGTCATTTATACAATGAAATTCTATTGTAGGGGATACTTATTTAGTGAGCAAAGCTTTGATGCTGTAAACGCATTCTTAGTGTCGTAGACAAAGCTCTCATTCTAGGCAACGAGCGGCTTATTGCTCAGCTCAAGTAGCTGCCTCCCAACCTTTCCTGCACCAACTCACGCACAGCCAGTCGCAAAAGCATATCCCGTTGATTGAGCATCTTGCAGCAATTTATTTCTGTAAGCGAGGTTCAGCTCTGCGGCAAAGTGACGACTGGGTGCGTTGATCCCTGTGCATCAGTCTTTGGGAGTCACATCTTACCAACTTATACCTACAGTCGTTTGCCAGCAGTGGGAGCGCCTTCAGTCAGAGTAACTTGGCCCTTCTGACTCATTTGAACCACGACCGACTGCTTTGTCTTTCAGGACCGAAGCATTTGGGCCCGGGCGCACCGTCTTTTTATCTTGGATTGCAGGTGCTGGAGTTCAGGAGTCACCGGCGCAACTACTTCCGCATTAATTTGCTTTCCTTGCCAACACAGCTAGAAATCACCATGGGTGGACTCGTCTTCACCAAGGGCGAGGACGCCCTACACGTTCCTCGAATGTCGCCAACGATCTACAAGTATGTCAAGGGCCAGTGTCATGCTGCTCTGCGCCAGCTTTTCATGGTTGTGGCAAGTCCCATTGACGGCCCTGGTAAGAAAGACTTCGGAGATATTGACATATTTGTCACTTGGAGGAAAGAGGGCGCAATTCCTGGTTCCACGTCCGAAGCAGAAGTCGGTGACGGTAGCCCAGATGCTCTCGACACCATTGCGCTCTGTTTGGGTGCTTTTCGCACCCAAAAGCTGAACCCTAGCGCTGCCAACTTTGCCATCCCCTGGCCCAAGACCCTGCCCAGTCACACCAACGACGATCCTTGGGAAGATAAACAGAAGCCCCGATACATCCAGGTCGATGTTACCATGTGCAGTTCGCTTGAAAGACTCCAATGGCAACTCTTCAAGCATGTGCACGGCGATATGTGGAATATCCTTGGCAGTATTATCAGACCACTGGGCCTCACAGCTGATGAGGTCGGTCTTTACCTCCGAATCCCCGAGGTTGAGAGACTCAATCGCAAGCAGGCGAAGGTGCTGTTGTCGACTGATCCAGCTCAAGTCCTCAACTTCCTTCGCCTTCGATGCGACGGACCAGAATGGGAGGGGCCCTTCTCGACAATGGAGGAAATGTTCGAGTACACAGCGAAATGCCGAATGTTCTGGGTAAAGCCAGAGAAAGACACCGAAAACGCCGATACTGACGGTGAACGGGTCGGCGGCGAATTTGAGAAGACTCAGCTCAATTCCAACGACAGAAGACGGATGAAACAGCGATCGCTGTTCAGAAAGTGGATTGAGGAATTCCTGCCAAAGTGTCGAGACGAGCGTCGTTTCCTCAATTGCACAATGACACGCGGAGAGGTTCGAGAGGACGCTTTCCAGCGTTTTGGTACCAAAGAGCAGTATGAGAAACAGCTGTTCGATTTTCAGTTGGACACCCAGACCAAAGGCCTGCGTGGAAACATCAAGGCATGGCTGTTGACAGTGGCGGAAACAAACGCCATCAGTTACCAGCAGCGAGGCGTTCTCGCATCCGCTTTCTGGAATATCATTGCAAACAATGACACAAGCTTCAGCGTTCGACCCAATAAGTCGTTGAAGGATGATCGAGGCTTAATGTACGAGGACGAAGTCGAACGGTTCGTGAAATCTTCTTGGAAGGAAGTCCTGGCGGTAGCTTGGGAACGTCATCTGGAAACGTACCATGCGAATCTGGCCAAGAAGAGAACTGAGTGAACCGTTTTCGGGTTAGCCAACAACCGGGCGAGGACTGCAGCGAGCAAGGGATCCAGTACAGCAACCGGCGACAAAGCCATGGAGAGGGCCACTGAGATGGCCCTTTCAGTGAGGACCAGCGACAAAGTAAACCAACAAACTAGGGAAAGGGGAAAACCAGACAAGCAAATAAAAAATCAGAGGTTCAGCGGGTTACAGGTGCAAGGAGTATATGAATATTGTCGCAGCATGTAAGCAGAGGTTGGCGTGAGATTGGTCGCATCAAGTGGCGCAATTGGGGTGGATCGTCAATCTAGGTTCAGTGCAATGAAATCTCGGATATTGGCTCTCATTTTGCCACCACAATTTGCCAGCATCATTTAGAGGGAGAAGTGTGATTGCCAATGAACAACCCAGATTAACATATGATCCTGCAGGGACAGAGAGCTCGATGCTACACCGCTCCAACTTCGGGGGTCGCGCTATGAAGGGGCATGGCAGTCTACATTGTCCTTTGATAGGTCAAGGAGTAGGAGACGATGATATCTGTGTCATTAGCCCCCCTTCAGCTCCTCACCTTGATTGGAGTCTAGACAAGGAGTAACTAAAGCTGAAAGGTAACTACTGCATGACATGTAAGTTCATAGCTTGAAGTCAGCATTGGCCTTCTCCCATCCCCAGGACGTTGCCTCCATGCCAGCAACACGTTCAGCCAGTCGTAACTTCAGGTTCTTGGCATGATCCGTACCCAACTCATACATGGTGCTCAGGTTGAACAGCAGGGTATGAGATGTTCGACCCCCATCGACCAAACCCTCAAGAGATTCACGCCCCTATTCTCCTGTGTTAGCAATTTCCCAGCTTCATGAGCCTGAGTCCACTCACCTCGTCCATCTTGCCAAGGTACAGCAAGCAAACTGCCAAATTGACGCCAATCATTTCATCGAGAACCCCCTCGTCCTCCATTTCATCCTGCAAGGCTCTCCATTTTTCCAGTGCCCCCTCGTAGTTCCCATCAGCCATGTCAGTGAGAGCCGCTACCACTCGTACCCCCGATTCATCCGCTTTTCGATCCCTCACGGATCGTCTAGCAGCATCTAAATCTCCAAGATGCAGCCAAAGCAAGGCACGCGACATAGCCAACCTTCCATCCCCACCCTCATGATCCCTAAGCGTCGCCAAATGCTCCGCCGCTCCGGCCAAGTCCTCCATCTCAATCAACGCCCCCGCCACTTTGATACCCAAGTCCGCAAGACGGGTTTTCCAAACCAACTTAGCTGACTGATCATGTGCCTTATTCGCCTTGGCGAACTCGAAGCGCGCCTCCCTCGCCAAGTCATAGTAGCTCATCACCGCTCTCCTCGGATCGCCAAAGCCCAGCGTCTGCAGACGAATGGCGAGCACCCTCAACTCCCAGGGCATCAAATGCGCGCCGGAGATGGGGTCGAGGTAGTAAGCCTGATTCAGATCCTCGAGCGCCTTGGCCTCCTGCGCCGCGAAGGGGACGGCGTCGATGAGACACAGACACGCGAGCCGCGTGTACAGCAGGGAGAAGATGCGCACATGATCCTTTGGGTCGACAGGTGGGTGGGCGGCTGCCATGGTGGCGGAGACGGGGCTGCTGGTTAGGGCTTGGACGCTGGCGATGGCGGCTGCGCGGAAGTAGCCACGGGAGAGGAGCTCCTCGATGGGGGTCTCGGGGGTCGGCTGCTTAGATAAGTTGCGGAAGGGAGCTAGGATAGACAAGGGCGTGAGCTGGTGGAATATCTCGGGGCGGAGGAGGTGGGAGAAGTCCCGGGATGAGACGGGAGCTGAGACAGGTGCTGGTGAGCGCATGGGTGAGCGGGGTCCGGATGAGCTTGATCTTCGGCTCGTGGTCTGATGCGATGCGATGACGCGGGTTGCTTGTGATGAGATCGGTGATGCTAATGGGGCCCTGCTTTCTTCATTAACTACCAAGGACGCACTCGGGTGGAAGAAAATAGCCTACTCATCCGGGTCTAGGGGCCCTTTAGTAGAGGACCGAGGGCGAGATGCTAGGAAACGGAACATGTTAGCTTGGGATGGTCTCGTAGGTAGTCATTACCGAAGAGGGACGGCTTGACCCCAGCTCATATTTTCTGAAGGGAGTTCATGTGTCAAGGGAAGCGACAAGACCATTGACTTAAAGGCGGAAGTCGCGAGCTACCATTGTGAATCCTCGTCCAACACTAGGCGACCTGCACCTTCTCAAATACCAGTCTGTGGGGGGAAATATCTTATCATTCTACTCACGTTTTGCACCCGACTTATTCCTCGTATGGCCCTTCGAGCTCGCACTATGCTGTAATGGATCCATCTTCAATAACTGTTCAATTTGGGCAAGTAGAGGTACACTTTAGTTGAGACGACGAACTTGAGATGACGTTGATTCTTGCCGGCTAAATTTCGGCATATCTCATTGTTCAGAAGACCACAGTCAAGATCAAACTTGATCTCATTCTTTTCAGGGACTCGTACTATAGGTGCGCCTTTTCAGTGTTCGAATTTGATCCAGAGCCATCAAGAGATCTCTTGCCAAGTAATGGCGGTTTCGAGTGATATCCTGTGGAAGCGTTAAAACACAGTCATAAGCCTAGCATGAGCATGCATGCAGGATGCACAGGCGAATTGCATCTACAAGATCAGTTTACCAATATTCTACAGTGCAGGAAATAATTCACCGTTGATAGGAAGCCAGGTTAGTCATTCGTGGCCTTTCCCAATGCTATTAACATTCTTACTGACTTCTACAGTGGAATCTCTTGAACTACTTGCTATTATCTAGCTTCCTCGTTACCCGTATAGCGTTAACCGACGTGTTTGACGCCGGTGCTACACGACCTGAGGATGAACAAATCTGGCGTAAGCATTTTAGTGCTTTCTAAAACAAAAAAAAACAACCCGGTTTCCATAACTTAAACAAGCAATATAACGTAGTCCACAAGCGAACCGGTCACCCAACCGAACGGGTCACGCCAACTAGCAAAACATGGAATTCAACACGATTTCGCAACCACAACGCCGTAAATCAATTAAAACTACTCAGAATACTCTTGCCCAGATGATTCTATCTCTACCTGACGGGTTCGCGCATTATGCCCGGTCTTCCCGCATACGCCACAGCGCCGTTGCCGTGGCTGGCCACGATTTGATCCAGCGCTATTTCCACGCATTTCCTGCTGTACTTGCTGCGCAACGTCCTTTTGATCTTGAAGATCTTGTACGTCTTGTGAATTAAGTGATCCTCCAAGCCGTACTCGTGTTTTTTTGGCCCTGCGCCGCTTGCTAATTAGAGCATTTGCCTCTCGAAGTTCGGCGACCTCAGCTTGGAGTAAAGCCATCTTATGCATAATACTCCGCGCTCCTTTCGAAAACTGATCGATAGCATCGTAAATTGACGTTGGGGAGTTATTTTGATGCCTAGCAATTCGAGATTTAATAAATTCGGATTGCGAAGTAGCCTCGGTTGGGTTGTTTGGCGTCCGAGAAGCCCAAGGAAGGGTTTCCCGCGTAGGGGGCCGGGAGGACGTTGGAGTCTGTAATTTCACATCCAGCTTCTCAATAACAATATCTGGGCTTAAAGGCACAAGCCCAGCCCATTGAAAGCCTGCACGAATATTGCTTTCGGTCAGGCTCTTCTTGAACGCGTCGCAAAATGCCGGAAGAAAGTCCTCCTTTGTGATATGCGAGTCGCGTAGCAGTCGGTTTGCCATATCTTCAACAGCACTTAGCCGGGGAGGAAATGCTTGCGAATCTAGCTCAATTATCCTTTGAATAATCGTATTTTCTTCTAGTTTTGTTAAATCCCGACCGTTGGCTTCGATATTGCGACGTGATTGACGTTTTTGAAGACGCGCCTGGAGAGTAGTATTCGAGACTTTGTAGATTGTTGCAGCACGTCGGATACTAAGTGTTGAGTCATTTATGATAGCCTGAGTTGCAAGGAGTAATTGAGATTCTTTTTGAGCAGAATCCATCGAGAATTAGTTGCGTGGTAAAGTTAGGAAGTTTAGTTCTATTTTTTGTTATGGGCGTGACCCGTTCGCTTGTGGACGACGTTATCTCATAGCATTAAAATAGTATATTCCATGTTTACAGTATTAGGTCTCTGTGCTTAAGTATCTTCCAAGTTAGTGCCTTAGTCGGGTCGTAGTGTGTTTATTCATCGAATCGATGAGCAAACTTTTCGTCTGAACGTACCACATGGCCGTATCTCGGACAGACTGCTAATCAGTGTCGGATATGCCCAGGGCACTGCTGTCTTCCGTGACTGCACCGAGAGCCTCTTTTATCCGTTCGACGCAACTCTAGCCCTCTACCTCGGGTCGAAGTGGTGTCCCCTCGAAAATAGACTGAAGCTAGCTTGTGCTCTTGATCTTGCCGAGAACAACACGAACAAGCAGGATGGAGGTCGGTGCTAAGGGACTTTACAGTTCTTCGTATTACCATATTAACTGCGCGGTAGGCTTTTGGTCGGCAAGATCATTTCTCCTTTATATGAAAACGTCTGCCTCGACTGTTCGCCGACTCCATCTTTGGCCTAAAGATGAAGGTCTAGTAGTATCTGAGTGCTGTGACCATTCAAGGGTATGCCAGCCTTGACAGGAGTTGAACAACATATATTCGAGCGCTGGCATCTTCGATACACCTCCGTGGGCTTACAAAGCCATGTGGAGACGATCTTTGTCTGAAGGCATTGGTATTATGAGAAATGGACTTAAGTTATTTAAAAGTAGAAATCATCTGTACATGGGTCTAAGATAAGGTGAAGGAAAATACCCTTGTGGACATTCACTAATCTTAGGTTGTAACAACTTAGGCAGAATGAGCCTCCTTATTGCGCCGAACCTTTAAACCATGGTTCCCCACCACTTCCGCTGAAGCAGCGACAGCTCAGGAATACTCGCGAAAATTGAGATTGTCAAAGCAGAGATTCGTTACTCTATGAGCTATTTCCTGTACGTTTCTAAGCAAGACAATGTTTACTAGATCTTGACACATGAACGAGATCCGGTTCTTCGTTGCTTACAGCTCATAGGCCATGAAGCCAGGCTGTGGAAACCGTGGGGTTATGTCAAGATCACAACTGTTTGATTTCGTTCAACCAGTTTATACAAGGCCCTTCTAGCTCTACCTCCGATAATGTTACTTGGGATCAACGACGATATTACTTGTTTTTGTGCAGGCCAGGAAACACTCTTCCTCTGCACTTGACGGATTGTTATCGATCGTATCCAAACCTCTTCATCCACGTAGCAATTCTGGCCTTCCAGTCATCGTTAACAATCCCCAGTAAGACAGCCTCAACATCAGGCATATTCGAGTGCTTGACCCCATCAAATAACGCATCAATCTCCTCAATTGTCTTTCCCTTGATTTCAACCCAATACCAAGCAATAAAAGCAAAGAAAAGGATATTCCAGCCGCCATTGATCAAATACAGCTTCCATCCCAGCCTTTCGAGCGCCACGGGAAAGGCAAAATTACTCCAGATGCCCGTCGCGCAGATCACCAAACTGAACATGCTCATGCCGGTGGCTCGGATCCGGAAGAAGAGCATCTCCGCGGGGATCAAGAACAGGATAGGAATCCAACCGAAGCCGAAGGAGGTCGAGAAAAAGAAGATACCCGCCACGGTGGCATATATACCGGGTCGATAGTCGGACTCGCCGTATTGCCGTGTGAGGATGCCGATGATAAAGAGAGCAACAGTGAGGCCGCCGGTGCTGAGCAGGGCAGCTGACTTAACTCCCATGCGATCGGTGTAGAAGCTGCCGCAGAGGGATACGACCAGAGTCCATGCGCTGAGACCGACATTCTGAAGGATCATGGTCAGCCCCCATTGGCAAGATTGAGACGCAAGTTCTCATACACTAAGACTGAATAAACTTACCACCAGTAATTGCGTGTGAGCATTAGTGACGCCAGCCCGCGTAAGAATCTTCCCAATGTTGTAGCTGACAAATATATTCCCAGTGAGCATGGAGAACAATGCACAAGTAGCGGTGATGATGAGTCTCTTCCTGGCCCCTCGATTCCGCAGCATCTCCCATGTCGACATAGGGTCGCGCTCATAGCCAATCGTATCGCATATTTGACGGAACTGAAGTCGAACCAGATCGTTCCTCATGTCCCCGTTGGCGTTCACGTAGGCCAGTACCGCGAGAGCCTCTCTCCCGCGGCCTTGATCGACAAGCCAGCGAGGGCTTTCGGGCATCCAGGGCAGGAGCAGGATACATGCAACGCCCCATAACCCTTGTACGAGGCTTGGGAGTCGCCACGACCACGTCCCTGCTATCTTGAAGGAGCCATACGTAGTTCCCGCAGCGACCAGGGCACCGACGTAGTAGAAGTCATCGAAGAGGGCCAGACCCCAGGCTCGTTGGTTCCAAGGCAGAGTCTCGGCCAGGTACGCTGGGCCTGTTATAACAGAAGCCGTCGTCCCAAATCCAATCAGAACACGTGCTGCGCAGAACATGGCGACGTGGATTGACAGCGCCTGGATTACTGCTGCGACGATGGTGATGACGGCGGCCCAAAAGAGTCCCCACCGACGGCCGTACTTGTCAGTCAACCAGCCCCAGAAACAGCACGCCATACAGCCGCCAATGTAGAAAGTGGCAGTGTTTAGGGACTTGGTTGCCGTTGAGAGGTGGAAGTATTCCGTATACTGGGGTAGGATGTTCATGCCGCCCATCATGGCTCCGTCATAACCTTGAGTCTGTCAACATGTCCATCAGGACTGCCCGGCTTCTAGCTGCAGAACTAGCACAGAATAGGTAAATTGCTTACCGCGGCCGTTATAATGGTACAAGCCAGCAGGACGATCGTATTGCCTGTTGCAGTTTTGGGGTACCACGAGGGGGCCATGAACGGAAGCAAAATGCCTCTCTGCTCGGCTTTACTGAATTCCCGAACATCCATGTTATTGCAGTCGTGGAGACACAAGGACCAAGAGATCATGGGTGACTGCTGCCATTGAGACGTGGCAACAATTCCCTAGTATGCGAGAATTGCCGAGAGACAGTCGATCTATGTATGACCAACGGTTTCACAGTGCGAACCGCAGAAACTAACCGTCATCCCAAAATACAACTAGCTTCGCCTCTGAACTCTGACTTATGGCTCGATCCTGATACTGCAAGTGGTCTGCATGATGCTCTTGGATTATATCCAATGATGCTTCTCAATAGGATAGACATGACTCGATTTGCGAGCTCGAGCGCATAGTTGCCGTATACCCGTATATAGCATGATTGGACGAAACCTATGAAAACTGCTTGATCGCACATCTAGGCAGAGCGCCCATGCTGTCCCGTTTGTAGATTTGGTGCGAGTGGGATACTATCTCCCCAATACCGAAGCCGTGGACCCCGAAAGGGTCGGCGCATCAGGTTGGGAGAAGCATAAAACATCTGACGGCTCCTTGGAGCCTAGATCGCATATGAGCGGGAAGGCCAGGCTCGGTGATAAGCAACCGCTCACATATACGGTCGCTTATACCAGGGAAGTGATTTATACACCCAGGTCGTTTGTTGAGTCAAAGAAGACGCAATTAAGTCGATTGTAATGAATACCCAGACGCACATTTGTGATTGCGCGACGTGGGCATATGGAATTGTGCTGAAATGTGGAAAAGAGGTGGCTGTTGTCAGACCTTATAACTACCAAAAATACCTCATTCTACAGCGAGTGGGTCCCTCATCTTTTGACGGTCAATTTGGTCCAACAGTTATGAGCCCGGGTTTGCGTCTTAAGACTGCAAGATTTTCTCGGGTATTATCAGTCCTCCAATTCCGCACAATATCATCGGCAATGGTTTGAGACGTAGCCAAACCGCGTCAAAAAATAAGAGTTTTATTACAGAATTCATACTCAAGGTAGTGGGGCGGACAATAAGATGTTCAAGACCCTGCAGACACCGTAGATGAAAAGATGTACGACGGCCAACGAGGCCAACCAACGACATAAGCCAGATGCTACTACAACTCGACAATATCTCTCCAAGCTGAGGGGGTGTGTCAGACCTTATAACTACCAAAAATACCTCATTCTACAACGAGTGGGTCCCTCGTCTTTTGACGGTCAATTTGGTCCAACAGCTGTATCATATTTGAGCCAAACCTGTTATCAACAGGCGTGGACTAGGTGAGGCATGGAAATATCTTGGCATTCCATCACCAATGGGAACCCTGCAAATCAACGCTAATATAATGAGAAACATCAGATGAATGTCTCTGGGATTCGTCTTGCGGATTGGGCGATTTGGAACATGCTAATTTGCTTGGCCCTGGCTCCAGACCTGATGATAAAGCAACGTGTAACTTAAATTGCAGAGGTAGTTGCAGTGCCATGATATTGGAGCCGTTTGATTGGAGCCATATATTATTAACCATGATTGGCCTTGGCTGACGTGGATTGAACGTTGAGAGACCCTATTTGATGCGTTTTGCCGAGGCTTTCTAACAGAGGACTAGTGGCACACAGTCCACTGGCGGAGCCCTAGTTACTCCGTAACAATGTACACTAGTTAGATAGGTAACATTCTACCGTTACACCTGACTTAGGTTAACTTAGCTCAATCAACATCACAATCCTCCATGACTTTCTACTACCTTGCTGACTTTGACAACTACATCCCATCCACCGCCATACTGATCACAAAGCAGAACCTGATAGCCACAAAGAACTCCCCACTCCACTGCTAAACCAGGACTCATGGTGAATATCCTAGCTTGTATGATGACTAAGACGGGTAGAATCACCATCCACGGCAGCAATAGGCCCAGTGGACCCCACTCCCCCGATACATCGTGCGTGAAACAAAACAGGGCGAGAAAAGGGCGTAGAAGACAGCGTTTCGCGTCAAAGACGCTGAATACTGGTTGGGTTTGAAAGCAGTATATTCAATTCCTAGGACCTCTTGAACGATGGCAACAGGAGCCGTTTGGTGAGATGCACGAATTCGTCCATTCGTATTGCTGCTGCCGTTGATGGTATTCCTACCGCTGGGAATATCTCGAACAGTTCGAGGAGGGGAGCAGTGGGAGCAGTAAAATGGCCGCAAGACGTGCTTGATCCTATGAAGGGGGGGAGTTATTGGTCGTCGGAGCTAGACCGAATTGATTCGAGGTCCGTTATTGTGTCGCTCATTGATTTTAAGGATAATAGCTTTCGAGCGTGTGGGCACTATAGCACATATTGGCGGCGATGATAATAGAGGGAAGAAACTAGGAAGCTACAATCGAAGGTAGGGCTAACTATCACAGCAGTGGCCGCAGCACGACCCGGTCCACACAACAGAAACAATGAAGAAATGATGATCTAGGTACAAGATCAGGCTTTCTTGAGCGTTAAAGGCTGAAATAACTTCGGGAGTATCAGCAGGGGGCACATCGGGGCTTACGACATAAACATAACCCAAATCGACAGCCACCAAACCATATGCAGAAACACGTTCCCATCATGTATTACAAATATAGTTGTTCAGTCGCATAACTTTGAATTACGTACACTAGGATTACACTCATACTGAGACCCCAAAAGTAGAAATAAGTAAAGGCTGTAACGTAGTCCATGGTCCAATTGCACACTTTGGCAGACCTTATACGACAATGTATAAGTTAATTCAACCACAACGCCTATCATCAATTGAAACTACTCAGAATCGTTATCTTCAGACGTCTCTACATCATTTCCACAAGTGCGCGCATTATGTCCGGGCTCGCCGCAGATTCTACAGCGCCGTACACGCGCAATTCGCCGCCTCGTACGACCACCAATTTGACGAAATTCGTCATGTAACTGCCCATCAACCTCTCATTGAGACTGTAGGTCCTGTCCAGCTTGTATACGAAGTGACCCTCCACTCTGTAGCTGTTTTTTCTTCGCACGGCGACGTCGACTTAAGGTCTCATTTGCCTTTCGAAGTGATTCGACCTCACCTTCTAAAAGGGCAAGCCGATGCATAACCTTCGTTGTACCTCGCGCAATCTGATCTATTCCAGCAAAAATTGAAGTTGGTGAGCTATTTTGATGTCGTAAAATCCTATTTTTCACATAATCGGTTTGTGATTGGGCTTCGGTTGGGTTGTTCGGAGTCTTTGATTCTCAAGGGACGGGGAGACCAGCCGAGCTACCCGGAGGTGTTGGCGTATGTAATTTCACATCGAGCTGTGATATGACATAATCTGCATCGTACGGAACTATTCCTACCCCTCGGAAACCTCCTTGGATATTTAAAACCGTGAAAGTTGCGTTGTACGCGTTCAAAAACGCCGGTAAAAAGTTTTTTTTCGAGATATGACTTATATGTGCTCGCATGAGATCTTCGATTTCTTTTCCGTACGCTCTTTTTAACCCGCGAAAACAACCAACATCAAGAGGCTGGAGCTTATGCGACGAATGAGGAGGCATACAAAGCACGACGATATTGTTAGCTTTGCAATATACCTCGAAATCGGTCGAGTGATGGCTTTCGTGACCGTCGAGGATCAATAGGCGATGAGTACCTTTCGTACGAGACTTGGTGTGATAATCGAAGTGTTTTATCCAATCTTCGCCTCTCTCGTTCGTAGTCCAGCCATTTTTAGTAACTGCGATAACCCAATCAGGCGGTAATGGGCTGTTTTCGTACCATGACGAGAGGTGGGTTTTGCCGGCGAAAATGATGTACGGAGGGAGGGCATAACCGGACGACCCAACGCCTTGAATAACTGTAACCCATTCCCGATTTCCTTTCTGGGCTGCCCTAGGCCTGCCGCGCCGATCAGAAGTCGTCACGACCATTTCGGACGAGATTTGGCCCATCACAAAACCGGTCTCGTCTGTGACGGTCAACCCTCGCAGACTCACTACAACCAGGTGACTTACAGCTGGAACACCTGCCGTGGCAGTGTCAGATGGGAAGCCAATCATAACCCTTGTAGGAGCCCCGCCAAGCGTGGATGACTTAGTCGCGCTCCCTCAAACCTAAGTTGTCATCTTCTTTCCTTCGCTCCTTAGAGTAGAATCTTCGTCGATAGCACCTAATCGAGGTCTCTACCAATGCGATGCAACCCAGGTCGTGACATCGTCGAAGTTGTAGATATCCTCCTCCTGGATCGCGTATTTCGCAATTGTATTCCGTACCAGGTCAAACCACGCGCGATACGCGTCAGGGTCTTCGCAGAGGACTCTCTGATAGTCGATCCTTCGATTTAAACGCGTCCGGAGGTCTGGTTGTCGTCTTACGAAGCTCGAGGCCCAGTTGACGCCGACGCGACTTCGAATAATCGGTTGGCCATATCTTCAACACCACTCAATCGGGGAGGGAATTCTCGCGAATCTAGGTCGGTTATATGTCGTACGATTGCCTCTTCTTCGGAAGGAGTCAACTTTTGCGTTGGCGATCGCGTAATCGCTCGAGCGGTTTTACCATCGCGTCGATACGCAAGGGTTCTAAAAGGTACGTTATGGATCTGACCAGCGCGACGTACACTTAATTTTGGATCAGATTGAAGCGCATGTAATGCTAGAATCATATCACTTTCATTTCAAGAACCAACCATAGTTATGTGGTGCAAAACCGCAGGTCAAAGTGGTAGCGTACGAAAATCTGCCGAAGTGTGCAATTGGACCGTGGACTACGTTATCCTATATGCTGTATTTGCGTCTAAGCGTAATCTTCGTACTAAATACGAAAAATACCAATGGGACCAATAGGAACGCCCCCACATCCCAAGGCGGGATATTCCCTGGCATAGTCTTAGCCCCGCCCGGTTGACGCCTTCCCACTGGGGCGATTTTTTGTAAGCTCAAGGACTCAGCGGACTAGAAGACCGCACCGCAAGTCCAAGAATGGTTGCGATACTTGTAAGCAACGGAAATTTAAGGTGAGTCAGTGTGCCATTTGCAGACCTATGTCTCACTACTTGGTTATGTGGTATAACCCATGCTAACATCATACTTCCGTAGTGCAATGAAGAGACGCCAGCTGGCGTCAGTTGTGTTTGCTCCAGCTTAAAGTGTAGCTCGCGAATTATCGCCGCAAGTGGGCAATGGCTCACCTTCACCGACCGAGATGACTTGTGTCGCAGCGGAGGATTCAACCGTACCGCGCATCGTGGAAGAGGCAGACGGCACAATAACTGGAAGGTGACAGCCGTGTCGGACCCGAAGACACACGGTAACAACAGGACTCGGACAGGCTCGACTTTAAAAACAATATCACCTGGCCAGGACACGAACAGGCCTTGGCTCAACTTCGTAGATGCTGAACTGCTGCTGCACTACGTCTCACAAATTATAATAAACCCTAATTGATTTATAGGATTTATGGAAGGCGAAGGTACCTTTGGTATTAGAACAGGATTTTCTTTTTCAGCGTCGCAAGATATCATTGGGCCAGGCGACAACGGTGCGATGACAGAATTCGTACCCCAATCGGCTTGGTCCACCTTTTCGTCCTGCCCCTGACCCTTGCCCTGGCCATCTACCACATGGAGCCCCTATGCCCCATCTCAAACCTGAGCAGCCTCCCGCCGAGCCTCCCGTATCACCTCCATATTATCCCTATGCACTCTCTCATATTCTTCAAAATAAATCAAGTCCCCCCTTTCCACATCCTCCTCCACAACCTTTTCCAACATCTGCTCCCACGCCTTGGGCCTCTCTATCGGTTCCGTCATCACTTCAATATACCGTATCGTTGCTTGAATAAGCGACGTCCCATACCCGCCTGCTGCGATGCGCTCGGGACTCCCATGGGCAGGTAGAATCTTAGATTCAGGGAACTGATCCGCCATACGCCGCAACTCGTTCAGGTGGGTTGGCAAGTTTTCCGCTTCCGAGATATACGTTGCTGTATCCTCGAGGGTGTCACCCGCGAAGAGGAGGCGCTGGGATGGAAGCCATAGGACGGTCCCATCGCGAGTATGAATGTTGAAGTTGTGCAGCTCAACAGTCAAGTCGCCTATCTTAAGGTCCAGCTGGTCCGAGTAAAGCGTAGTTGGGATCACGACGTCCGGGATGGGAGGATCGTCCTCAGCGAGTTCGTCTTTAGTCTCGTCAAGTTTGCTGGCTGTGATGCGTTGGCAGATGAAAGTGGAATTGGTATTTCTCAAAGCTGGAGCACCAGCGATATGGTCGGCGTGGAAGTGGCTGTATAGTATGGTTGTCTTGGTGACGCCCAGGCCTTGGATGTGGCGCTGCATAGCGGCCGCATGGGTGGTGGTGATGTGAGCGTCGTAGATGAGCGCTTCGGTGCCGCTGATAATGGAGTATGTTGCTACGCCGAGAGCAAATGCGCCGTCATCGAGCCAATTGGGTCGGTCCGAGTGGAATCGTTCCCCGGTACGGCCGTCATAGTAGGCGTAGATGTCCGGATAGGGGTTGAGGATCTGAAAAGTGGCAAGTGGACCGCCCTCTCTTGCTTCGGCCATGCTTTTACTGCACGTTAGATTTTATGTCGAAACTTCATGGAAAGATAGGTTTAGTTCACATAGCAACAGACAGCAAATTTCGGGACCTGGACAGACTTGGTGTTAGACCCTGCGATTTACTCCCAGCAGACAAGCACGGACAGGGTTTTAGACTACTAGGAGAAACTGCTCAACCGAGATTGACTCCCAATAATAGAAATGTGAAGATAATTTGTCTACAAGACTGATGGGCTGCAAGATGAACGACGTAGTTGGGGTAGTGTGGTACAAGTACACTTGATGACGTCACAGTAATCTCATGGAGGATTGTGATGTTGATTGAGCTAAGTTAACCTCCGTCAGGTATAACGGTAGAATGTTACCTATCTAACTAGTGTACATTGTTACGGAGCAACTAGGGCTCCGCCAGTGGACTGTGTGCCACTAGTCCTCTGTTACTGCCTCCCAGCGTAAGCTGATATTCCAATTTGATGAATTTCAGCCGTCAAATCGTCAATTTAGCGACTGTTGTCAATAAATCTCATAGCGATTCTGCCGCTCGTGACCGCTCAACTTTCAATTCATCTGCCATTTGTGAATTCGTTGATTGTGACCATGCCCAGCATCTCGACAACCTTCTGGTGTTTCGCCTTCTTCAATAGCTTCGTCAACCCGTCTGCTGCCATCAACATGCCGCTGATGTGTTTGACATCTATTTTGCCTTCTTTGATCGTCTGTTGAATCCATTTGAGGCGAACATCAATGTGATGTGTTCGGGCGTTGGTTTGACGATCCTTGATGAGCATCATCGCATTCGCGCTATCGGTATAGAGTAGATATGGTCTCTCCGGATCCATGTCATATTCGTTAAGCATTTCGGCTGTATACAATGGTTGACTTGGCAGTTGGAGTGAGATTTATGCCTTCTGCCTCCGTTGTCGATAAAGTGACGAGTCCTTGTAGCGCTGATTTCCAGTACAAGGCACCGCCAGTCAGAAATACGATGTGGCCCGCTGTTGAATAACGAGTTTTCTTGTCATCAGCAAAACTCGCGTCTGCCATTGCCATAAGGCCTGTGTTGCTAGTGTCATATTGCAACCCGCCAAAGCATATTCCCAATGTTGCTGTCAGATTCAAATAATGAATCATCTCGTCAACAGCTATCAAATGCTGGCGTGTTGGTTTTGACAAAGCTCTAGCCAGTTGATTCAATCTCTGGCAGATATCTGGCCTTGTGATGCCACACCAATGGAGTTTTCCAATAATCTGGCTATACAAGCCTTTTTCTTGGTCACCAACTGGATCCTCATCGTCATCATCGCTGCCTCCATTGCCAACATTTTCTTCGTTGTTTCCTGCATTACTCTGTTCTTGAGAATTGTCGCGTTAATCTTCCAACAAATTCCAGTCTGGAGGATTGGCATTGTCAACTTTGTCCGTCTTAGTAGGTATTTTGATGGTGATCTCAAGAGGTTTAGGTTCAGCAATGTCCTTGCGTTCCTCAAACTTCACAAGTGGAAGATCCTTCAGTGAGGCGTCATTGTGCGTCATATCTCGAGTACGAATTATGCGTTGGAGCTCAGGGATGTAGGCTTTATGGACCTTGCCATAAGAACCTTCGGAGCCCAGGTATAGGCCTTCCATTGCTCTGGAGTTCGCTTTCTCGGAGGCAACGCGGTCTTCTGGCTTAATGTGTACCCAGACTTTGGTACCCCAAGCTATCATATGTTTTCGATTTAGGCCATCTTGAAGTCGCTGATCAAGATTCAGCTCCCTTGCCCATGCTTGAGTAGGCGAAATCCATTCCAAAGACTTCTTCGGAGTGTTGTGAACTTCTATGGCATGCTTCAGAGCATAGGGCCACAGAAATTTGGGTACGCCTGTGTCAAGGAAAGCTGCCCGCAATCGAATTTCATGAATGTGGCCCATTTTATCGATCAGAGGATTTTGTTCTGAGCTGCGTGGCGCTGTAATCGTTACCTTCGATCCTCTGGCTTCGAATAATTCAATCGCTTTATTAAATTCTTTGGCGCCATCCATGTGGTATTCCTGAACTTCAATACCTCCTGTCTGTTTGATTTGAAATTTGTCAAATTTTATCATTAGATCAGAGGCTTCAGAACGCTTAGCCATAATTTCAAGCCAGCACATTCTTGTTTTGCGGTCACACCAGTGAATAGCGTGATTCATTTCATGGATTACGACTGGAGAGATCTTGAACGTGTCAACATCGACAATGTCAAGGATCTTTAGTGGTCTTCTCAAAGGATCATAGCTAATTTGGCGTTTAGCATCCTTTCCATGGCATGTTTCGTAGTTGTAACCTTGTGGGCGATGTAGCTTGATTCCCAGTGGTTCGAGTGCTCTGAATAGTGCCTCATCGCTACAATGAAGAAAGCGACGATGCCACAGGTCATATGCTTGTGCCGCAGACAAATAGGCATAAGCATGTCGAATAGTGGTTTTCTTGATGCCCAAGATGTAAACATCGTCAACAAGATGAAGTTTGAGTAATGGCTTTCCATCTTCACTTGCAAGACAGTTGCGATAGCCATCAATCACTACGCCAACTTTGCGTAATTTGCCAACAGATATGAGTGTGGCAGAAGCTGAAGGAGAGTAATATACTTCCTCGAAGATGACATTGCGGTATTTGTTGTCAATACCTTTCGCTTCAACCTCAAGAGTTCCCATGCCAACAGCTTGGGAATATCCGCCGTTACTGGTCAAAGAGTTTCGTGGTTTGATGTCCTTGAAGTCTGTAAATCATTCTTTGGTATTCGTTATGTGATCTGACGAACCACTATCAACGACGAAGTCATCAGCTTGTACATTCAACGTGTTCGCCAGGGCATATGATTCCTGTTGATCAGCAGCATCTTGCAAAACTTCGTCATAATCTTGCCACTTATCACCTCTTTCGCTCGAGATCGCCAGTGGTTCGTTTTCTTCTGTTTGCTCAACGTGTTCGTCATCGTCAATTGCTGAATCCAAGGTTGTGTTAATGAATTCAGAATCCCAGTCGCTGCCGAAGCAATTGTCGTCATCAATAGCAATCGCGAGATGTGAAGTGCCGAAATGAAGGGAAGTCGCGGATGGAGAGTTGTTCTTCTTATCCAATATCTTGGCCACAGCCTCTTTACCGAGAAGGACCTCCATTCGTGTTCTCGTTGCTTGATTTGTCTTCCATCCCTCTGGTTGTGTCATATGTTTGCAGATATTTTCACCTTTCTTGCCTTCTTCATTCTCAGAATGATCGGGGTTGCAAATTCTGCAGTATGACTCATTTTCGGTCTTCTTTTGGGCTTCCTTCTTCTTGTCAGGTTTCATATATTCATCTCGACTTACTCTTCCGTTGTTGTTGCGGTTGTTTCTGCCATTATCTCTGCCAGAATGAACATTTGACAGAGATTTGCCGACTGTTGTTGTGTTTTCGTGAAGAAAAGCAAGGACTTTCTGGAAATCCATCTTGGTAGCTGCGATCAAATCCTTGAGACGATCGCCAAGGTGCTTGTCTTGTTTCGTCATTGCTTGATGAATGATTCCAATCATGAAGCTTTCGGAGAACTTCATGTCGTGTTCCTTCTCCATCTTTGTCTTGAGGAAGAGAAGCTCTTTGACCCATGCTCTTGTATCCTTGAATTCAGACATATCAAGATAAATGGTCAGAAATCTCCCCTGTTGATTGTAGTTGTTGCCGAATTGATTCTGGCAAACAGCCTGTTCTGCTTTTGTCAAGCAGTCTTGGACTGATTCGTTTGTATAGCCAAGGTTTATCATGTCATTCATGATATTTTCCTTTATCGACTGCTCCAGCATGTAGCGAAGGGTCACTTCCCTTTGATCCCATTCTTCCTGCTCATTCTTCTGGGAATCGGGTGGTCTGTTGCTCATTTCCAAGACTTGTGTTGATTTCATGATCTTGGAGACATCGAGGATGGATTGCGTCCATGCTTCGTGGCTGATTTGGCCCGTCAAGGTTTAATCGAGATTCTGGGTGCGAAACCCTCCATCTTGTACGGAGATACGAAATTTCGCGATGATGATGATGATTCGGCTTGGATGAATGATGGTTTCGTCAATTGTGCCAATGGTTTTCAACGGAAGTTGAGGTGCGATTCACGTGTTTCACGCGCGATTCACCAGATGTTGCAACGAAGGTTTGCAACAGCAGGCAGGTTTCTGCTGCACTGCAGTTTGGTGTCAAATAGAATGGATTATCGTCGAATTTGAACGATGATGATGATGATGATGATGAATGATGTTGCAAATGATGCAGATGAAGTTGATGATGCTGCAAAAGATGCAGATGCTGCAGTAGATGATGATGCTGCAGTCTGCGTTGCGAAAGCAGAGGGCTCATAACCTCATGGAGGATTGTGATGTTGATTGAGCTAAGTTAACCTCCGTCAGGTGTAACGGTAGAATGTTACCTATCTAACTAGTGTACATTGTTATGGAGTAACTAGGGCTCCGCCAGTGGACTGTGTGCCACTAGTCCTCTGTTATAATCTACAGCAGAACTTACGTGGCAAAATGGTGCTACCGGGCTAGAGTGGTATACCAGAATAATAACTCTCGGTACGAAGACAACCGATAAGTCCAATCTGCTAGATTTAACTCCTCCAGAAAACTATCAGTTGGGCACAATATCTAGGCCCCAACGATATATCCAGGGAATTTGGTAGTCCCAGGTGCCCAGTGCACATGGGGCGACCAATGATGTACCCAGAATGCCGTATATCCTCCAAAGTTTATATATAGGGAGTGTAACTTATTCAAAGATCGGATGAAAACAAGACAGGGCAAGTGAGGTGATATACTGTCATTCCGAAAGAACAGACTGTAAATAAACAACGCCAACCAAGTTGAGGCCGAGTTTTCACGGGCCTGTAATTTCAAGCGTCTGTTGACTGACTAGTAAGTAGTGCGTTATCCATGAATCGCGCCGGTCTGGCAGGAAAATAAAGCCCACGATGGACGTTGTCGGACGAAACTCGGCAAATGAGAGTTTCTCGAATCTTTACTTGTTATGGGATCCCACTCTTTCGCTGAGCCAAATCAAATACCTCCCACACAACGTCAATACATTATATATACGTTGTTGAAGCCAGTTTTCAATGGTATGCGCTCATGCGCTCAGTATTTCTCGTGGACAGCCACACTTACCGCGACATTGCTCTCCATCTGACAGCTTCCTGGCATCTACCGATCTTAGTTTGATTTCAGGGTGCCAGAAGATGAATATGTTGAGCCAGCCACTTACACGCCAATGACGGGTGTTCTGTGGCACTCCGGTTCGATTTTCTGGACCGATTTCTTATATAATATGCCATTCTCGGTGACATCAAGGACGGCATCTACAATCTGTGCCTCTGTATAGGCATAATGTGTAGGTAGGGGCATAGTAGCGGTGGTGATAGGTTAGCCTGGTAGACAGAGAGGAGCCGACTAAGCAGAATATCACGGAAATCCCACGGTGTACGTTAATCTACTTCGAGATGCCGCCGTATGGAATCGAGTTAAAAACACCAAAAATTGTGAAATATAATAGACTAGCTATCTATCTACCCACTAAGATTATGGTGTGAATAGCTGCTCTACGTACAGTAAAATATGTTTAAAATATGCTTAGAGTATCAAACAGCGCACCAGGTGAATGGGATAAGCCGACGATGAAGTCGTTATGTTCTTGAGAAACTCATATGACGAGACGCGACTTTTGAAAAATGGGAATCATAGACTTTTCCGTTACAGGTGGTTGCTTATATACTGATTAGAGTAGTATGGATATCATAGAAATCTTCAAGAAATTAGTCACTATAGTCCAAATCTTGGAACTTCAACAATCCTAAAGCACAAGCAAAACCTCGTCTCCTTTGGTTGACCAGCACACCAACCCAGTTAGTTAGTCGCTAAATAAATCACTTCATAAATCCATTAATCCTTAGTTGTCACTCTTCCCTCAATCCATACTCGATTCAAGCCCCGCTAGGTTTCCGCCCCCCTCTTCCCCCAATTTTGCAATGGCACACTGTCCTCGCTCGTTGTCGGCGAACTTGTCCGGTTCGGCGGGCCGGAAATGTGCAAGCGGGAGGGGGTCTTAACGGCGCTCACGCGGCGGTCGATGGCCGAGGACTGGTTCATGTAGCCCGAACGCGAGGACGGGTTCCCGGTGACGTTAGTGGAATGGGAGATGTTCTTGCCATGGCGAAGAAAGCGGTAGATCGAGCGGGAGATGGCGAGGTTGGCGCCGATGATGGCCAGGAAGAGCTCGGCGTTGGACCAGATGGCGGCGATGGCGAAGTCGTCTGAAAAGATAAGGAGTTAGTGGAAGTTGTTAAGAGATGGGATAGTTTAGAGCGGTTGTGGTTGAGAAGAGGTTGCGTGTGTGTGTGTGTGTGTGTGTGTGTGTACTGCCGATTTGGACAAGGGGGGGGGTAAGTGTGGGTGGATTGACGAATTGCTTGGCTTCATGCTTACAGCTGAGATCAGATGTGCCAAGACCAAGCGATGCGGCTCGACCTACGCCAAATCCGGTGGCGAGTAGACCTAGGCTCATGAGTGCCCATAGGGAAACCTTCTTCTTGAGAGGAAGCTGGACTTTCCAGACGACGATGATGGGGAGGGAAGAACAGAAGAAGTCGGTGGCGAGTGAGTATGCTGCGGCGGAAGTAAGCGCTGAAGGCCAAGAGGGGAAGCGCCTAAGAGGAGTCGGGGATAATGCAAGAACATACCAATGGTGAAGTAAATATAATAAATCCGAATCTTAGTGTTCCAGCACTTTCCTCCAGTCACCGCGGGTCCTTCCCAAAAGGTTGAGATGGGGCGACACTCCGCAAGCAAAATGACAACAACACCCAAATTGGTAATAATCAGCCCGATCATCATGATGCCGAGCACGATCTTCAGAGACCGCGACTCTTTGATCCTCAGCATCAAAAAAATGATGGAAATCTTGACGAGACAGTTGCCCACGAAGAGAGTGATCTGTGCGAACCAGCCGAGCCGGTTATTGTTGACGTAGTCCTCCGCGCTGATGAACCAGCGGTGCCGGCCATTACCGTACTCAACCACTTGAATGATTTGTATGCTCACGCGGACAATGACCACGGCCACGGCTGCCATCATGGTGTAGTCGTCCCATCCTGCTGTGCGCAGAGATAACCGCGCGTAAATCCGAAGGAAGGTGGTGATGAAGACGAAGCCCAGAAGGGTCAGCGTCAAGCCTAAGAGGATCGGTCCAACATTGACGTCTCGCGGCAGCGGATTGGGAGGGACCACGATAGCCATGTAATAGTCCTGGAGTGATTATTCGCGTTATGACACAAGATGATCACCTTTCTGTTAACATGAAAGAGATAAATCTGAAAGATCTGACCGCTGAGAGGCTCAGGTAACTAATGTCGCGAGTAGCGAGGCCGGCACAGTTATGTACTAGAAAGAGCATGCGTAGCGTATCAATCTAGAGAGTGGACATACATGCACATCACGGACTGCAGGTTGAGATCGCCATCCTTCGCTCATACCTGTCTCTTCCTTTCTCCTCTGGTTCAACTACCTCGCGTCGCCTCGCAGGGCATTCGGGCCAAAAGACCTTGGACGATTCCCAACCTTGACACAGGAAAACCAAGTCCGGATTGACAAACTTCTAGCGCTGTAGGTAATTTTTCAATGAATTCTACGGCATCGTACCACTGCAGAGTCGTAGTAGGGTCGAGGATAGCATCGTCGCTCAATCCCAGCCAGGCTTCATCCAGGTTTCGCCATCAAACCTAAAGTCGGCTTCCGTGAAACTCGCCGGGTATTGTTGCTGCGAGCGGAGAGGAGCGGAGTGGATATAGGCCCACTAGACATGGAATCCCGGCTTTATTGATATTGACATCGACGCTCGTAGGCTTCCCCTATTTAATTCCCCAGCCGTGCGACGACAAGCAGTCTAGCAGTCAGTTGGCGGTTGAGGAGTTCACGGCCATTAATGCAAACCTTTCAATGATAATCTGGGCATGTTCAACCGCTATTTACTTTTCGGCGTTAAGTCGGATCTCTTGGCGAGATTGCCATGTACTTTGTATACCCAGGTAAATGGGTCCATACCGAAGAAAGAGATTAAGTGGTCTGTAATTTAGACTCCACAGCGTTACCTAACTGCTATGGCGCAGGCGGTCCATAGTAATTTGTGTTCCTCCAGACTTTTCAGCTGGCCCAAAATGTCACAGAATACCGTGGTACTTTTCCAGGCTCGTGACCGTGGTAGATAGACTTTTCAATCAGCCTTATAGTAATGGACGGATAAGGTGATCACCAGCGGGGGTCACTGCTACGCAATAGAGATCTTATCTGAGTGGAGCCTTCGGATGGCATCCTACAGTCCAGGAACAAGGTTCCTCAGGGTCCAACTTGGCGAGTTGCTTAGCCAGTCTTTCCATCCGGCAAGAAAGACGAAGTATACCGAACGACAAGCAACTCGGGAAAGGGAGGGGTCCGTAGCATAAATTTGATGTTTGGGATCTAAACCAAGGGGGGTCACCCGAACTCGGCATGGTACCAAATGCGGCTTTATAACCGAAAGGAGCTTAGCATAACGGCTTTCAAGGCACACACTTCCTGCAACAAGGAGGAATCGTTGGCAGAAAACTTGGCTTCTAACGTAACCCACCCATAAGCGGGCCACACCCCTTAGCGGGCCACCCATTTCGGCTCTGTCGAATTGGCTCAACTTAACAACAACATCATCAATTTCCACGTCGATTCTTATCGCTAGGTCTTTATTCTTTCGTCAAATGGATCAGGAAGACCAGATCAAGAAAGCCATCAAGTCTATTCGTTCTGGGGAAGTCCCTAGTATACGTGAAGCAGCCGAGCTCTTTGGGGTCCCCAGAACAACCCTCCAAGCCCGAATTCAAGGCCGCCAGAGCCGGACCACCGCCCACCAACACCAACAGCGATTATTACCTGCCGAAGAAGCTACGATAGAACGAGCCTTGCTTCAGTTAGCTGCGTGGGGATGGCCCTTGACTATCAAAGCAGTGGAAGGGCTAGCAGTGAACCTGCTGGAAGCGAAAGGAGATACAGAACCCCTAGGGGTCAACTTGTACACTAGCTTTCTAGACCGTCACCCTAAGCTGAAGACCTATAGGGTTCGTAGTCTAGATCAAGCTCGAAAGGATGGTATCACGTACAATATCCTCACCGAATGGTTCGACCTCTACCGACGAGTTAAAGAACAATACGCGATCACGGACGATGATACCTACAATATGAACGAGAAGGGGATTAGCAAAGGGATCGGTGATAACCCTAAGTTATTATCTCTTGAGAGGACGATCAGGCCTTTGCTAACCAGCCTGGTAACCGTGAATGGGTCTCTATCATCGAATGTATAGGAATCAACAGCTACTCCCTACCGCCTTTTATCATATTCGAGGGCAAGAGGATTCTGCCGTCTTGGATATACGAGAGGATCGATCCAAGGACTGTTATTCAGGCCAGCCCAAATGGCTGGACCGATCGACAGATTGCCTTGACCTGGCTACGCCATTTTGATACGTATACACGTCAACAGTGTCGTGGTCAATACCGCCTTCTTATTCTAGATGGTCACACAAGCCACGTATCCCTTGAATTCGTCAAATACCGCGAAGCAAATCAAATCATTCCTCTCTGCCTGCCCCCCCATTCGACCCACGAGCTTCAACCCCTTGACAAGGGTATCTTCGGCCCTCTGGCAAAGGCGTACAAGTCCCTGATCACTGAACGGTCTATCTTCGGTGCCGTACGAGTCGACAAACAGCAGTTCTTATTATTATATCAACAAGCTAGATCTACTATCTACCGCAATATCCCGGGCGCTTGAAGAGGTACTGGCTTATCCCCACTAGATCCGTCGAAGATCCTCGCCAAGTACCGGCCAAAGACCCCTCCATTTGCGAGCCTTACCGACGAGAATGGTGTACGCGTTGATATTCAAGTTGATAGGGATACGGCTCAGCAGATCAATGAGATTGTAGCTAAGCTTGTCACTGTTTGTGATAGCCCCTTACAGCGTAACGTTTCTTTTATTAAAGAGACTTGCCTAACAGCTCTAGCAGATAATCTAGCCTTACAGAAGATTAACGAGGGCCTCGTTAAGAAATAACAGGAGAGTAGAAATAGAAGGACGAAGAAGGCCTGTGGTACTGCACGTGTATTAACTGTTAAAGAGATTCGAGATCAACAGCGCCGGAGAGAGGAGCGAGAGGCTCAGGTAATGAGTGAAAAGGAGCGTAGACAAGCCCTTAGGGGCGTTGTTACCTTTGCTAAACGCGTTTGGAAGGAATTACCGCTCGATTCTGATGTATTTAGTTGAAAATAGCGTTGTGAATAGCTTCAACTCTGCTTGTTATGCTGTTATTGATCATCCTCTTATTATGCCAAAATGGTGGCCCGCTAAGGGGTGTGGCCGGCTTATGGGTGGGTTACGTTGCATGAATTCGGCGGCCCGATATGTCAATATCGGATCCGTGGGACCAGGAAGCAGGGAGTTGCATGCCTGTTAGCACTTGACGTGAGGGAGATCAAAACATCGAACGTTTTCATTACCGACGGTGTTGGAGGTTCGGTGTGCTGTCAAGCGGTTGAGATTACGGAGCTTTGCCTCTTTGATTTTCTAAGCGAGAATATGTTTTTGGGTTAAGGAGGAACTGGAATTATCAAAATCGCTTGCAGCAATGTCTACTGAAATCCTACTCAACTAGTTGGTTGTAGCTTTAGATCCTTAGATATTAGGGCCCAATCACAAGTATCTACGAATTGGCAGTTGAGTCTCTGGGGAGGTTAATCTATAGCCAAGCCACTAAGAATTGATTTGTGGAATTGCTAGGTTTCAATAGTCCCGCTGGTAATTTCGTTTGGCCAACCGCTATAGCGGATACTACCCGTCTTGTACGGCGCTGTCTTAATCCATACGTTCGGGTTTTGTCAAGAAAACTAGACTAGGAAACCCAAGGCCGTACAATAACAAAGCTCGTGTCTCTATCTCCTGATACCTCTTTCCTATGTTGCTTCCATTGGAGTGACATCTATCCCCCTTTTACTCTCTCACTTCAAGAGATCCATTTTTGTGTGCCTGATAATTTGTGCCAACTTGGAACTCCGATAGGATGAGGACTCCGATATACAAGCTTTGGTGTTTGGCGGCACTTACCACCGGCGCATGCGGTCTTGATTGTTCAACCGTTGGATATGACTATGTAAGTCTGATATTCAGTACACCACGAGACCCAGAAACTGACCGTCATGCCAGATCGTAGTTGGTGGCGGCACGGCAGGGGCAGCCATCGCCACCCTTCTGAGCCAGGGCCTACCAAAGCACAGCATCCTCCTAATAGAGGCAGGGCCCTCGGCTCTCTCAGACGACAAGATTAACATCCCCGGTCTCAAGGGTTCAACCCTAGCCGGCCGCTACGATTGGAACTTCACCACCACCGCCCAAGCGGGGGCCAACGACCGCGTCATCAGTGTCAACCGGGGCAAGGTCCTCGGAGGCAGCTCAGCGCTGAACCTGATGACGTGGGACCGGGCCAGCGCGCCCGAGTATGATGCCTGGGAGACCTTGGGCAACCCAGGCTGGAACTGGGAGAGCATGATCGCGGCCATGCAGAAGGCGGAGACCTTTACCATGCTTAACGCCGACGACTACGACACCGAGGGCGTGGGGTTCTCGGGGCCGGTCAATAGTGTGGTGAATCGGGAGATTCCTGAGCATCAGAAATTTTGGGTTCCTGCTGTGGAGAACTTCACAGATGGCCAGGTGGAACATAACCTTAACTCGCTAGGTGGGAATCCCCTGGGCGTCATGAACCAGCCCAGCAATATCGATGCCAAGTCCTGGGTTCGCTCGTATAGTGCCAATGCCTATTTGCCCGGAGCTGGGTCGAACTTGGTTGTGTTGACAGACACTCGGGTAGCCAAGGTCAACATGGACAATGGCAGTCCCAAGACCATCACTGGCGTAACACTACAGAACGGCACCGTCTTCTCGGCCTGCAAAGAAGTTATCCTCAGCGCCGGCTCGATCCAGTCTCCCGGCCTCCTGGAACTCTCCGGCATCGGTAACTCCTCCCTCCTAACCGCCGCGGGTATAAATCCTATCATTGACCTCCCCGGCGTCGGCGAGAACCTACAAGACCACGTCCGGTTCCAGGCCTCATTCCAGCTCAAACCCGAATACCGCTCCTTTGATATTCTCCGCTACAACACCACCTTCGCCGCCGAGCAAATGGCCCTCAGCAAGTCGGGGCAGCCCTCGCTCTACGACTACACGGGAAGCGGCTACACCTTTATGAACTGGAGGCAAGCCATCGGTGACGAAGGGTGGACCAACATGCAGAACTTCGCCGCGCAGGCCCTTGCCAACGAGTCCTCTGGCGCACAGGCAGCCAAGTTGGCCTATCTGTCCGTTCCGGCCGTCCCGCAGCTCGAAAGTATCTTCTCGGACGGGTACACGGGAGTGAAAGGCTACCCAGCCCCCACCTCTCCCCTTTACGGGCAAGGGTTCTTCACCCTGATCAGCGTTGTAATGCAGCCGCTTAGTCGGGGTGACGTCCACATCACTTCGAGCAACGTGTCCTCTCAGCCTCTGATCAATCCCAACTACCTCTCCAACGAGCACGACCTGCAAGCCGCTGTCCACGCCGCCCAGATGTCACGCCAGCTGGCGAGCGCGGAGCCGTTGAGGTCGGCGTGGGTGGCTGAGTACGAGCCAGGCAGTGAAGTGCAGACGGACGAGCAGTGGAGGGATTACGTAAAGAATTCGGTCTTGTCGATTTTCCATCCTGTGGGAACTTGTGCCATGTTGCCGGAGGCGTATGGGGGTGTGGTGGATCCGAAGCTGAAGGTGTATGGTACGAATAATCTAAGGGTCGTGGATGCGAGCATTATGCCTGTGTTACTGTCGGCGCATATCCAGACGGCGGTATACGGCATTGCCGAGAGGGCTGCAGAGTTTATTATTGCGGATGCTTCTTAAGTGTAGGTGAAGGGGGTGATGCTTGTTTGGATGGGGTAATTGCTAATGATTGGTATGATACATGTCGTCGGGGGGCGGTTCACATTTATTTCTATGTATTATACATTTTTCTTGTCGATTGATACCATATATTGTTCACACGGTCAGCCGTTTGAACATCCAGATATTGTTTCCTACCTCCGTTATACATACACATTTACAAGGCGGTGACAATACGTCGTGAAATAGAGCACCAGTAGATCAGGGTGAAGAAAGAAAATAGTGTCTTGTACATCTTGGATATGGACTTAGGTAAACGTGCTATTCCTAAGAAATAGAAGCCAGCCAGTTCAGAGTTTAAAGGGGCCACGCACCAAACCTTTTACAATTCATGACCACTTAGAGACAGGCAAGAAAGCTTGTCCTGGTTTGCGCAGGCTTTCTCCACCACGCGACGCCGAACGCAGTCGCTATAGCTATCAATTCGTGGGGTTCGTATACTTCCGAATTAATTGCAGGACTGATTCATAAGGAATCAAAGTTAGGTTTAAGGTGAGAGCGTTCGAGATTTTCTTGTCTACTGGGGCGCCTCGGGAGTTCTACCGGATCGGGGGTTAAAGTGTGTGTACTAGGAAAGCTTAGATGGATAGCTAGCTAGCTGGTCGAGCACCCTTTTAGGCTGGCTATCTTATCTATAGCTACAGGGTAACCCTCTTAGGGTCGCATCAAATCCCTATAGCTAGGGCTACTAAGAGCTCTATAATAATACTAATAAGTAATAGCTGTAAGTATCGCCTAGCTCCGATACCGGAGCGGGTACTATGATTATACCTTAGGTTTAAGCTACAACTTGTCTACTTCGAGCGATAATTAATTCGATTTCCTACTAGACCCGCTCTCAAATAATCTATCTAATTCCTTCCACGCTACAGCTCTGCGGTTATAGTGGCTGATTTAAGTCGTTCAACTCTTTTTACAATTAGAGGCTTCTCTCTATTAACTAGGCTTTGTTTCTCGGCTTCTCGTGGCTATGCCGGGATAACGTATATCTCCTCGGATGTATCTCGTAATGCCGAGTAAACGGATCCGCCCGCGTACGTGTACGGGGAGGAGCACAGGGAATTGCCGCATTCACTTCAATCAGATGAGATATATTGAGCTGCTGTTATAGATGGCATTGTGACGTGCCATCTTTCATTATAGTCAGACAACAACCTCCAACTCCTTTTATCACCCACAGCATATCACCCCTTCACGTTACGTTAAGCTATCAATCGCCCAATATGCTAGGTCACAAATCATTCGACGACATCGCCTCCTGGCAAGTGTACACCCAAGAGCGCGCCCGTGCCCTCCACACTCATATTATGTCTCTCCCGACTTCTCCATTCGAGAACAAACCCCTCACCCTTTGCACTACTATTGAGAGCTGGGCCAGCACCAACCGTCTCCCCATGATCTTCCGGGCTGCCAAGATGGACGTTGCGAGACAGGTCCTATCCAAGCTGGAGCCGAAGCCCAAGGTAATTGTCGAGTTTGGAACCTATGTGGGAACATCGGCGTTGGCGTGGGGTTATTTGCTTCGAAGTCTGCAGGGGGAGAATGGTGACAACGATGGGGCGAAGGTGTACACCTTCGAGTTGGACAGTGGAATGGCCGGCATCGCGAGGGACTTTGTGAAGCTGGTAGGTCTGGAGGATACTGTGCACGTCCTGGAGGGCCCAGGATCGGACTCCCTCAAGAAACTCACCCAAGAAGGAAAGGTTCAACCGGGCGGCGTGGATGTTGTGTTCTTTGACCACTGGGAGAAACTGTACCTGCCAGACCTACAGCTTTGCGAGAGCTTGAGTTTATTCCATAAGGGCTCTGTCGCCATTGCGGATAATACCGACATACCCGGTGCACCGGACTACCTGGAGTACGTGAAGAAGGGAGGCAGCGAGGATGGGAAGGTTCGCTACGAAAGCGTCTCGCACAGAGCCGAGGGGGACGGACAGGGACCGGTAAGTTGGCTTTTTTCCTTTCGTCAGTGGATCCCTATGAGTCGTGTTGTTGATTTCATGTTAAATTGGGCTTGGCTAACACGGCTTCTGCGGAGTAGAAAATCGTCGAGGTTAGCACGGTTGTCCAGGTTTAGTGGGCGATTGCTCCATAGCCTACGGTATCGTAAAGATAGATACTTATGTGTGATGCAAGTTTTTGGTTTAATTATCATACTCTTATGTCTCGTCGTGTAGTCGCTTCTCATAATCTACGAGGATGACTGGCAGCTTGAGTCTGTCTCTACCATCACCTTTGAACCCTCATCTTGCAATCGTCGTACCCCCATGCGTATTTTTGTTGCTGCGACTTTTTGGCAGCCCATGCCTGTGAGTATGATTAGAAGGTCCTATACGGCAAAGCCGCGAGCATCAAGACCCTGTCAAGCGGAGGATAGCACACTTGTTCTGTCATGTAAGGGTACCGGCTCTTGGCTTGGTTGTTTCACCCAATGTGGAGGTAAGGGGTCTAATTCTGATAGCATAATCGCCTGTACTCTTGTGCCTAGGCAAAATAAATCGCTCTATAGTCGTTCTGGCCACTTTTGCCATGTAGATATACGATCCTTGAGGAGTCGAGGCATAGTAATAGCTGTATCACTTGGATAATGTCCAAGTGGGAACCATGCATTCCATCCTCCCAAACTGAGGAAAATGGCACGGCCAATACAGGAACGGCCGCTACAACGGCTGAAGGGTTAATGGAAGTTTGTGCGACAATGCGCTATTGCGTACCGTACAGCTGACATACAAAAACGACTATGGTGCCTAGGCAGTGAGTGCGAATGTCGACCAGATACTACAATAACCAGGCCCCAGGTTAATCATTATATTCGTCCTCTTCCCCTTCTGATCCTAGACTTGCTAATACAGATATCTACCCGAGTATCAGCGACAATTAACATGGCCAGTCCCAAAGCGTCGTTTCCCACCACAATTCCAACCAGCCAACGCTAGCGCGAGCGCCTATGAATGCGTCTGCTTCTGAGGCCACCGAATCTAGTAACACTAATAACGAGCCTGCTAGAAGCAATGATAATGGCGGCAACAGGACAAAGCATGGATCTGATCCCACGGACATTGTACCAGGGTCTATTTCAAGTCCAACCTCGAAGAGTTACGGTCCGAGATTAAGCTGAGGACCAGAAATGGCGAGATCTGTGATCACATTGCCGCCATGATGACGACCCGTGGCATGACGCTCAAGTTAGGTGTGAGCACCATCCGCCGTCTCCAGATCGTGTGGAAACTTGTCGTCCACGAAGCCCACGCTTGGAGTATCTGCGTCACCTGCTAAGGAAGAAGTCAAGAGAACAGCAAAGATATAATTTCAGAACCATGCACGAGATCTAGGGCTTGCAGAAATTGATGCCTTGGTAAGGCCCAAGATGAATGACCCAGTTGCGAGAAAGACCAGACAGGACCAGCAATCGAGTTGATGGGGGATGCCGTGCCTAAGGAGTCATAGCCAAGTAGCAAACTCCCAATAAGAACAAGAAAAAGCGTCTGGTATCAAAGAGAAATGAGATGCGGTAGTTTCCCGTCGCAAACAGGACCCAAGTAACATCCTCATCCAAGAAAAGCGAGGTGAGGTGGTATCCCAATTCGCATCCCATACAAGAGATATTCTTCTCAGTGGCTGTTTTTGTTCTTGATGATGGGAGCGACAGTGGCTACCATCAGACGGCCAACCATGCATCTGCCGGTGAGAATGATACACCAAGCCCTCCAGATACACAGTCTTTGACGTTGTCTGCCGTGAAAAAGATCCTCTGCCGCCAGCATAGTTTGGACCATGGTGAAACAGGGAACAGCTCTGATGTCAGCGATAGCTAGCGAAGGCGAAAGCGAAAGCGACGGTAGCTGTGAATCCAATAACAATGATCGGCTGACGCTAACCCAACGAGGAGCCTCAATCAAGGGTTAGCGTATATTTACACCAATACTTTCACCATTCTCCGGACTTTGGTTGCTAATGCTAACCTTACCGGAGGTCCTGGTTGGTTTATAGTTGCCAAGGCTCAAATAGCTATTTTGACCGTGCTAGGGGTCCCTGACAGCCGTATTTTTAGGCAATTTGAAGTTGCTGGAGGTCCCTACCAGCCCTGTAGGAACCCCTGTAGGACTTGTTAGTTTACAAATCTCTACAAAATGTCTGGTACTTTGAAACTTAGCTGTTATCTTGTTATTATTCTGACGCCTAAGCCGCTACTCTTATGCTATGGAGGGTCTAATTGTCCCTACTCCCGGAGGCTCAAGAGCTCCTTTTCCAGTATTTCAATGCGTTCACTTTCTCCGAACGCGGTAAGGCCCTCCTATTATAGGCATAGGTCTATAGCCATAATGTTCAGAAGGATATGAATGTGAGCGTTTACAATATCTTGCTGCATCGAGTAGGCGTTTTAGAACCCCGTAACACCAACGTTTTCTCATGGCCTAGAAGCAGCTGTTAAAGTCGTTATATTATTGTATTAGTAGCATCTATGTCCATTATAGTACGTGTCAGAGAACAGAATGCCATAGGCACCAGTGGGTGTCAGGACACTGAACGCAGGACACCGGTGGGCCGCCGGAGGGGTGTTTCGGACAAAAGACTCCCGAGTCATGATTACAATCTATGTGAAGCTTTGGGATGACGAGAGTCAAGATCCTTGGCATCGCCGACCCTGCTGTTATGCCGGGTCCAAGCGGCGGCCTAGCTATCTATATAAGGACCATCTCGAAGTAGGATAGGGAAGGAGTTGTCAGAGCCACAAGTGTCATCCGAGGCGGGCCGGCTTCCACCAGGTAGGAAGCCGTTTGTGGCGGCTAGAGAGCCGCTTGTGGCGAATGAGAGCCGTTGAAGCCGTTTGCAGCGGATAGGGAATCGCTTGGTTGCAGATAAGGAGCCGCTGTCCAAGATATTGGCCGAAGTCGGAGGAACACAGACATACGGAAGCAAACATCCAGAATCCAAGAGAGAACCTCGGCTGGCTATAAGTAAGGAGTCGAGACGGAGGAAGATAGAGAGGGCAGAGATCAATGCATCACCGTGGGCACCCCTACCTGAGACCGCCAGTGACCACCCGGTATTACGTAGGAGGGACGCCCGTTACTCCCCATCACTCTGTACTATTGCCTTCGGCCTAGCCGTACCCTGACAGTACGACATATTTCCTACAGGTATCGGGTCACAATCCGGGGGATAAACATTATACGGATGGTGCAAATTCATTCAGAGCCGTTAGCTTAACTGATCAGTCCTCTCAAATGCACTAGACGAAGTGAAGGGAACCTCACACAATCACTTAAAACAAGCCCAGTTGATTGTCTTACCACTTCACTGCTTCCTGAAGTGATACTTACCGCACTATTCACCAGCACGTCGACGGACTAATTGAATTCGATGAGTGTGCTCGCTCATAACACCACTGATGGGAAAGGAATAAAGGGCACCATGTAACAAAAACATAGAGTAGTCGCGCTACATTTAGGCGTATCCTATTATATGCATTGTATAACGTACCCCACAAGCAAGTTGGCCACTTTTTCTTGGCACCGTATGAATAACTTCAATAACTTAACTAAACTAAAAAATAATAATTCAAACTAACCGGAATCCTCTTCCTCGTACGTATCTTTATCATTCTCACAAGTACGAGCATTATGTCCGGGCTCTCCGCAGATCCTACAGCGCCGTCGGCGTGGTTCGGCCGGTCTCGTACGACGACGACTTACACGTATATCATCCTGTAGCTGCTGTTCAATATCCCGTTGAGACTGTAAGTCCTGAGCGTCTCGTAAACTAAGAGATCCTCTATCTTGTAGCTGTCGATTTTTAGTCCTTCGACGACGGCTTAGCTCTTGATTGACCTTCCGAAGTGTAGTAACCTCATCCTCAAGTAAAACTAACCGATGTATAACAGCCGTCGCACCACGTGAAAATTGGTCAATAGCCGTAAGTATTGTCGTCGGGGAGCTATTCTGATGCTGTGCGATTCTGTTTTTAACGTATTCAGACTGGGATTGCGCCTCGGTTGGGTTATTTGGAGTCTTTGATTCCCAGATTAAGGGGGCGCCAGACGAGCTCCCAGGAGGTGTAGGCGTATGTAGCTTAATATCCAGCTGTGAAATCACATATTCCGGGTCGTACGGAATAAGTCCTGTCCCCCTGAAACCTGCCTGGATATTCGACTTAGTTATAGTCGTACGATACGCCCTATAGAATGCCGAAAAGAAATCCTCCTTCGAGATATGGGTTATATGCGCCCGTATTAGGTCTTCAATTTCTTTGCCGTAAGACCTTTTCAAAGCCCTAAAACAGCCTACATCGAGAGGCTGGAGCTTATGTGACGAATGAGCAGGCATACTAAGTGTAATAATAGTATGCTCTTTGCAATATAGCTCGAAGTCAGTCGAGTGGTGGCTCTCATGCCCGTCGAGGATAAGAAGACGATAAACACCCTTCGTACGATCCTTCGTATAGCGATCAAAGCGCTGAATCCAGTCTACGCCTCGCTCATTTGTTGTCCAACCGTTTTTGGTTACAGCGATTACCCAATCGGACGGGAATGGGCTATTCTCGTACCAGGATAAGAGGTGGTTTTGACCCGCGACAATAATATACGGCGGGATAGCCCAGCCGGACGAATTAATACCCTGGATTACTGTAGCCCATTCTCGATTGCCTTGTTGGACTGTACGAGGCCTTCCGCGTCGTTCGGCACTTGTAACTACCATCTCGGATGATTAAGCCCATCGCGAACCCTGTCTCGTCAAAGTTATAGATATCCGCCTCTTGGATACCATATTTCGCAATTGTATTTCGTACGAGCGTAAACCACGCGCGATACGCGTCAGGATCTTCGCAATAGGCTCGTTGGTAGTCGATTCTTCGATTAAAACGCGTCCAAAGGTCTGGTTGTCGTCGTACGAAGTTCGAGGCCCAGTTGACGCCGACGCGTCCAGCGCCACGGTCACGGAGCAGTCGGTTAGCCATAGCTTCAACACCATGGAGCCGGGGAGGAAATGATCGCGAATCTAGGTCAAGTATATATTGTACGACTGCTAACTCTTCTGATTCCGTAAGCTTATGACTAGATTGTCGAGTATCGCGTCGAGATAGTAGTCCGCGTTTTCGGTTAGCTAGAGTTGTACGAGGGACATTGTAGAGTTGGGCAGCGCGTCGGATGCTTAATTCGGGTTTCGATTGAAGCGCCTGACACGCTAGAATCATGTTGCTTTCTTTCCAATTCGATCCCATCTTGGTATGTGTAAAGATGTTAATTAAAAGGTTGTTCGTACGGTGCCAAGAAAAAGTGGCCAACTTGCTTGTGGGGTACGTTACTCCTTTGTCTTTCATTAGTTCGCTTCTTAATTTATTCAGCCTTCGCCTTGACAGCGTCATTATGTAACAGATCGCATTTGTAGATACATTTTCGAAGATGGAGTTTCAGCTAGAGTACATATTTAACTCTTGTTACGCTAACAAGCTCTTAGGATTCCTTCTCAGTCTTCGAATTTCACTCATACTCCTTCCTGACCGCCGACTAACTCCGCATCGCCTTTACGACTTATATTCCGTGGTCGGCCTCAGTGGTAGTCCAGCCTTCTTGTACGCACAATCAATCATCCGCATCTGCTTGATCGAATTCTCGTGACTGACCCAAACGCCCGAGCCTGGACGTCCCTTGACGGCATTAACAAACTCCTCAAGCTGGTATCTGTACGTCGACCACCAAGCTTCTCCCGCTCTACCGCTGATTTTATACTCCTTCACACTACGGCTTGTACGCCACCTTCTGAGTTCAGAAAGTGACTTACTGTCACGGATTGTGTGAACCTCATCAATATTGATACGATGCCAAATCGTGGGAAATAGCGGCATCCAGAAAGACACAGTGCGCTTGACTCGGTGTTCTTTGCCGGGCACGAGTTTTACTTCGGGATCTTCAGGGACAGTCACCTCTTTTAGTTGGGCTATAACATGTGGAGTGGAAAAAGTAGGTAGACGCTTGGCTATGAAGCCCGGCAGCCAAGTCGACTCCCCCCAGCTGCTAAGGCTACAATTGATTTCTCCGATTGCGCCACCGGGGAACCGCCATGCGGCTTTCATTCCGATTTCCGTAGAAGGCTCATCTTTAATATACGGTTCCGGAAGCAAGGCGTGCTTGGCTGAGATGCATTCCTCGGGCTCGGCGCCGAAGGTGTTGCGTAGCCAGGAAACGGCATAAGTGCCAATATCCATGGTTGCGCCGCCGGCTAGCTGGTACTTGAATCGAATGTCATCGAATGGGATGAGAAGTGCCCAGGGCATGACGCACTTAGCCCAAACATGCTCGATTTGCTGCTCCGGTTTGTCGCCAATGAGGGACTTGAAGGCGTCGAATGCGGGGTGGAAGCGGTAGTGAAACGCTTCCAGCAATACGGGAGGCATGGCATTCTCATTCTTGGCAAATAATATTGGTGATTCGAATAGCATGCGAGCTTCCTCGTTGTTGGAAGCCGAGGGCTTCTCCAGGAGCACATGCTTGCCGGCCTTGAGGCTCTTGAGGGCCCATTCGGCGTGCAGACTATTGGGGAGTGGGATGTAGACTGCGTCGATCGATGGGTCGGCCAGCAAGTCATCATAGGAATCGTGCACTATGGGTATATCCCACTTCTTTGCGTACGCTTCGGCCTTCGTCCTGTCCCTCGCGGCCACGGCGACGACAATGACGTCCGGATGTGAGAGTGCAGGGTTAATAACGGCGAGGGGTCCGATTTTGGAGGCGCCGAACAGGCCCAGCCGGATCGCGTTCGATGACTTGGCCGGTCTGGGAGGGCGGAAAAGCGTATAAATACGTGATACGAAGCCGGGAATGGATCCTAGCCAAGTGGTTATCCACATAATTGCGCGCAGTGGCTCCAATATGAACAACATTGGTTTTATATAGTGATGTGGCAGCGGCACAGTTCTGTATGAAACATAGATGTGTCTTTTCGTCGAGTAATAATCTGAAGTATCAAAGTGGGGAGAAATAACGGTGATAGAAGTCGATTCATTACATCATTATAAGCTTGTTTCGAGATGCTATAGTATGATATGACTTCATAAAATTGGGTAAGAGGACTGCAGAGGAAGCTGGGGTACGCAAGTCTAAACTTATTCCAAACAAGCAGAACCATGATGTCAGAGGTGGTACCTGCGCAGCCACCACCACTACTTAGTTCCAGACCAACAACACCAGCCTAGCTTTCTTTCCTCACCATAATACACTTCATTTCTATTGTGTGTCCCTCAACACATGACAAGTCTATATGCTTAGATGTAGCATAGTCCCACCTAAAAGTTAGCGTACCAAAACATGCTGGCTGTGAAAAATGTGCCATTTGAGCTAAAATTTTGGGACACTAAGAAAGGCGCAGGCGAAGTTATAAGAAAGCATTGGGATAGGTAAAATACCTAGAGAAACTGCTAGCCCAATGGTCAAGGAAACGAACGTGCCTCTCACCTATGATGCTTCACTTGTATTTATAAATAACCAATCTGTCGACCACTGAAACAGAACGGAAACATGAACTGGTTTGTTCGAAAAGGAGTACACAAGTTCGATGTTTTCTACTGGCTATTAATTCTAACATTGGACTATCTCAAAGTTTCATCAACCTCCACTCTAACCACAGTCTAATATATAACAAACGCCCTTTCCGGTCTCCTCATAAACATCTTGATAATATCCAAAAGCATTTTCTCCCCCAAATCCGAATCAAAACTCGCCTTAAATTGCGGCCGAGCCAAGTATGCCCACCCCATCTCCGGCGCACCCAGAGGCAAATGAGGGTGCATCAGCTGGCCTACAACAGCAATCACAAGAGTGACAAGAGTAAGAAGCATGAGTTCGTCCTCCAGCGTGGTCGGAAGGTACTGGTCGGGATCAATCGACCGTATCCTCCTCCTCCTAGTGCGCCGCTCCGCCTGCTCGACATCGGCCAGGTACTCACTATCATTATCATCATCGTCGTCGTCAACATTCCACTCTTGCTCCGTTTCCCATCCGGGATCGGATTCCATGTCGTCTAGCCACGTTGTGGGGAACATATTGATGGAGTCAGTTCGACGGGGTGCGTAGAAATCGATGTTGTTTTGTTGGAACTCTAATTGTAACTGTGGCTGATGGTCCACGGGGCCGCCTGGGATTAATGATGGAACTAGAGCTTTGAGTCGGTCTTGGCTAATGGGCCGGTGGAGGACAGTTTGGTCGATTCGGCCGAAGGGCTCGATTGTGTGGAAGTCGTAGACGCGGAAGGTGAGCATGTCGAGGAGATTGCGGGGGAGATTGATTTCGTCTATGGGTTGATTGTCGCGGTTGGACGAGATCCATTGTTTTGCTAGTTGGATTTGGTTTTGGAGCTGATCACAGGTTCATTAGTCTCAGCTACTTAGCAAACCAATGTGATTTATAGTCATATTGTGTGGTGACGAGGTGAATAGACAGAAATAAATACCTGAATACTTGGAAAATCTGTCAATTTCGACCAAGGATCATGCGAAGTCCGCCAGATAGCCGGGTTGGCGTGCATCGTAGATGAAGCCAAGAACTGTGTCGGCCGCAGGAAAATGGGCTGTTGGCTCAGTGTCAATCTGGCCGAGATGGCGTGAAACTCCAGGTTGCTTTGGATATAAGGCCCCCAGGACTTTTGAGCTCGCGAGATGGCGTCGATAATCTGCGTGATATCCCTGGGCCCAGTGGAGTTCCAGGAGCTGGAGAGAGCGCGCAGTGGCCTTCGCACTGCCTTTCTTGCTGCTTCATCGATGTTTTTCTGTTGTTTTTGGATCAGATGCGCGGTTGAAATTCGTCCATAGCTTCGAGCGATGGATAAAGCTGTTTCTCCGCTGACTTGTTGGACACGGGGATCTACTCCGGCGTTGCAGAGAAGCTCTACCACTTTCTCTGGGCTGTCGAAGCCTCGAAGTGCGGCATAATGAAGTGGTGTGTGTCCCATGTGGTCTAATAGGTTGCCGGATATGAGGTAAGACCCCAGAAATACAAGAATCTGCTGGACAGCCGAAAGTGGCCAAAGGTAGGCGGCGTAGTGCAAAGGGGTTGCGCCGTGGCTGTCCCATTCTAGTATGTCGGTCGGCTCTTGCAGCAATAGGGTTATGGCATCTGTTAGGTCGGCTTCTCGCCAGTTCAAGTTGGAGTCCTTGGGAATGTCATCCCACTCGGGTACGTAAACTCGGGATAGCGTCTGGAAAGGGGTGTTGCCAAGATGATCCCGGCCTGATCGATCAGCGCCTGCCTGCAGTAGAAGTTTGACTACTTCTCCTCGTCCAATTGATCGTGGCCTTTTTTCCAGAATCGATGCAAAGTCCCAGATGGGATACTGTGAGCAAGCATAATGCAGTGGTGTAAGTCCACGATTGTCAGCTGAGTTAACGTCGAGCTCTTTGCGTGCCAGGATAAATCTGACCGTTGTATAGTTGCCGGTCTTGGCAGCTAGATGAAGCGCCGTCGCTCCGTCCTCATTATATGTGTCTTTCATCACAGCACCCTCGTGGAGGAGAATCTCCCGGACTTGAGTCCTGTTGGATTTGACGGCTTCGAGAAGAGCGCCGCCATTTGGTGCCAGGAGGTCTATAGAAGCAGAGCCATAGGTCCAGGTCATGTATAATCCCAGAAGAAGCGCCAGGTTATATGACCAGTCGACGTTCAGAAAAGTTCCAAGGTCATCACCGTCTGAATCAGGGGGCCGAGCTAAGGCTTGGTGTGCCCACAGGATTCGAGTTTGCAGAGACTGTTCATTGTTCTCGCTCCGCACAACACCTTGTTCTTTAACTTGGACTTTGTGAATAGTGTCGGATATTTGCGAGAAGACCGCTTCAGAGTCATTTTGGCGCGTTTTGAAGTGCTTGTGTGTATTAGAGGATTGTTCAGGTCGACCAAGGGCGGCTGATAAGAATTTGACAGGTTCGGATGGATGAAGCATGGTTGCGTCCATGAGAAGGATAGCTTCGGCAATGCAGGGCTCGCTAAGGCCTATTATAGCTAGGTAAAATGCCTCAACTGTCATGTACGAGCATATTCCCAATTCACAGTTGAATTGACGGGGGAATTCTCCTGAAGCCCTAATGCCCCTGATGATCGCGGGCCTACCATAGTAGCAAGCAAAAGAGAGAGCATCCTCGATAATCGGGGAAAATGGTGCGGGACTGAAGATTAGTTCATGGGCAAGAGATTGGTCCCAAGAGTCCTGCCAAACAGGACTATCAAAGAAACAAACGATCTCTGCATCTAGCTCATCGTTTTCCGTAGCAGAATGTGCAACATGCTTCGCAAAGTACTTGAGCGCGTACTCCAGGAGAGCGCCACAAGCATTGTGGCGCTGCTCTTCTGGACCAAACGAGTTGAGATATCGCAGACAGGTTGTGGCAATTGCGGCATGTGATTGGCTATAATGGAACCGGTTGTCGGGGGTATACCATCTGGCATCAGAAATGTCGATGTCTGCACTGTCATCCACGCCGTAGGCTAGAAAGTGGTCCTTCACTGAAGGATGGGATACCTCGACGCAGTGGCCTATCCGAACAAGAGGTCCAAATAATCCCAGTATATCGCCGGCAACATCATTTGGCAGATCCTTTCGGATATCTTTCACTGTGGGTTGTGTTGGTGCAATGGATAGGGCTATAGCGACACGAAGAGCGTCCAGGCTCATGGGGCCCAGCGCAAGCAAGATCCACGGGAAGATCTTTCTTGCCCGTGGTAAATCGCCAGGGGATATACGATCCCATATCCTGTCGTACATCTCGCCAATGTCATGAGGTACTGATCGCAAAGTTCGTCGTATCGAATTAGGCGACGAGTCAGTCATGCACTCCAGATCGTCCACAACCAACTCGACCAGTCTGAACATTCCGTCGGCTTTCTCCGCAAGACTTTCGCAAATGTTCTGCATCTCCACAGTGTAGTGTGGGCGTGCCTTGATGAGCTCGCCGACTTTCAAGAAAATGAAACGGTCGATATCCCGTCTCATTGCTGGCTCCGTGTCTAGATCTAGATTGATGGCCGATGGGAACAATATGTCGGCGTAATTCCGCGATGTGATAATTATCTTCGAGTAACCGGCACTACTTTTCCGCTTGATCATCTCGGAAATGCGAGAGAGGTCTTTAACGAATTGTCTTCTGCTCGCTCCATGACATTCGTCCAGCGCATCAATCATGCAAGTAATACCCGTATTGTCTGGCGACGTCAGAACTCCTTCAAAAGATTCGAGTAGCTGTCGGTACGTCCAAGGCCCTGATCCTGCACTCCGTGGAACAGCGAATCGGAAAAGGTTGGGCTGTTTGGACAAGATTTGGCGAAGAATGGAGGATAATACCATTTCAGGGGTACGGCGAATGTTTTCCGTTTGCTTACATGCGAAGAACGCTATAGTGCCAGAGAAAATCGTTCGGCGTAGAAATTTGAGAAGAACTGTCTTGCCACATCCGGGCTTGCCCTTGATGAGCATGATCGGGTGCTCCGTACTCTGTGTCCAGGTTTGCAATTCGTCCGCTTCCAAGATCCATTCGAACGTGTTCCCGATAGGGGACGTGATTTGGCTTAACTCGCCTTCGACATCATATGAGCGCAACGATAGGAGGTAGGCCTGTTTTTGAGCGTGGTTTAAAAAAGCTTCGATTAACTATTAGTACCCCTGGATTGTCGCAATAATGGCCGAGACTGCCAGGTCCTACGTACATGGAGTAGCTGCAGCAAATGCATTCAGCTTTTGGAGAGTTTCATGCTCGTTGAGGTAGCTGTTCGTTGCCGCAGCTATCATACAAAGACTCTTGTGATCCTCCAAGCCAACCTTCTCCAGACCGCGTGCGTTGAAGCGAAAGTAGAGCCCGCTGAGGCCATTAATTCGCACAACAGTCTTTTCAAATCTCTCGGCGGCTTGTTCAGTGTCCGTCGAGATCTTAATCAAGGTCTCGCCAAGGTTCTTAAGATTCTTCCCAAAAGGTGACATCCCAGGCTTTCCTGTGCCAATGCTTAAGAATCTCTCGATACGACGACCGCTAGTGAGCCATATTTGCTCCACTTCGTCCAGAGTTTCTTCAACGGGATTGTTGTATCCCGTGGCACCATCGACAAATGTTTGCCCTTGTATGACGATGGGCTTGAAGAACGAGGATGCAGCTGAAGTTGCCCTTGCCGCCTCGACGATTGTGCAGTCCACTTCATCGACTGTAGTTGGTGTCTGGTAACTGCGTAGTCTTATGGGCCTTGCAACCTCGGCTCTAATGGCACAGACGAATCTGGGTTGGAAGAAATTGGCGCAAATCCAAATCTCAAAGAGAAGGGCTGTTCTCACACTTTGCACGTGGGATCAGTCTCTAGCATTTTGGCATCGGCTGCTTCGCCGGTTTTCACCACAATATCCCGCATAGCCTTGGCGAGCTCATCTGCGTCGAATGCGCCTTCTAGCGTCCAAAGATCCTTGCCCTTGCCCAGTACATTCAAGCGTGACCGTTTTGGCTGGAAGACAGTTTCCGATATGCTCTGATAGGCATCAATACACTCTTGTACACTCATCCGAAGACGCCCAAGCATGATGGCAATGAGGCTGCGATTCGTGTTAGACTAAGAATGCATATATCTCATAATTAAATAATGAAATACCCTCCAGTGCTGGTGCCAGCAATGATATCAAAATAATCACATGGCTTTGGCGTGTCTTTGTAATTGATCCGCTTCATCAAGTGACGCAGAATAAGCAAAGTTGACATTCCACGAACGCCCCCGCCATCTATAAAGCTGGGTTAAAAGATAACCTATATGAATGTTTGAAGTGACGTATGACATACCGAGAGAAAGAACTCTCAACCCCCGTTCCGTTGTCTCAATAGTGACGGTAGCCGACGAAGCCATTAATAATTACAGATGTGACCCAGAAACCATCCCACAGAAAAGAAAGAAAAGAACGAAAAAATGCAAAACAAAACAGCCTGCAATCTTAAATGAAGTTTTCATTTGGGAGCAGGCTGTCATTTCCATATGGGTTGTCCAGCTTTGCCCCAAATAGGAATGATATGCACCTTGCCCCAGCTTATGTATGCCTGGTTGTAATCTCAAGGCACCAAGCAATGCCGTGAAGAAGGTACAGCCACTCACCATTCATCACCATTGGGCGTTGTATAAAACAGCTGCGGCGAAGTCGTCAACGCCTCAGACAGGCCCCAAATTCGGAAGAGCCTGAGGCCAGACCCCATCGTACTCGAGGACTCAGACACAATTATCGACGTCTGTTGAGATCAAGTATTTCTCTTGTTTCCAATCATCCCCTCCAAATAACATTGGCCCCCACCACCGAGCGACCCTCGTGGATGCGTTGAGGGTTGGACTATTGGTCCACGTACTGTCGGTGGCTGACAAATGTGACCACCCACAACCAGTGAGGGGTAATAACTAGCCGCTCGCGTACTCTTTCCTATCGCCATAACCGCATATGACCGAATGAGGCTGACTGCTGCAACTGGCTCTTGGCGGTAAGCTGAGCACACGGGGGCCGAATCGTTCACGCAGCATTCGTGAATATTTTCAACGTGTCTGAGTGATCAACCCTTGTTATTATTTCAGATAGTTTAGTACAATAAGAAACTTGAGTCCCGCCACTACGCGTAAATGTATCGTCGAGCCAGGGCGGTAGCCGTTTGAGTAGCAACCAAAGGAGATCTACGTGTTATCTTTAGTGGTCGTGCCTTTGAAAACTTATGGAATTTCGCCTTTGTAGAGGATGTGCTACCGGACGATCCGCTATCTAGCTAACGCTAAGAGGATATATAGACTATATTAATTATATCACGGCCGGGGAGCCTAGTAGAAACAGGTGCCTTGAAAGTCGTTACTTCGGAACGTATGATTAATAGTTACCGATAGGGGGTAGCTATAGTTCGGCAGGCTAGCCTAGATAGCTAGCCACGGCGATATCCAGAGAAAGATCGGTGGTACCCTCTACTAGCTGTTCCTGTACCAACCGCCGCTCGCTAGCTTATTTCATCAAGTTGCGTCTTTTAGGATATTTTAAGGTACTTTTTCTAGTTACGTAAAGTCGGAGCGGTAACCGATTTAATTGTAACCGAAGGCAGCTCCAGTATTATTTGTAGTTATTCCTTAGAGGTCGTCGCGTATTTTTCCTATAAGGAGTAGTCGCTACCAAACGATCTACACTTTAAAGCCAAGATTTGGGTAACAGACTGAACTGAAGCACTGGAGATGGGGTTCGTGGAAGGCTGGATTAGCTATTTCGCGTATCCTAGAAAGGTACCAAACCCGAGAGTTGTCGCTAAGGATCTTGATATTATTCATTGTAGCGATCACTCTTAGGTGAGTGGTTTGGCTGCTTCCGCCGCTCGCCAAGGATGGGGCTCGCAGAGAGGTTGCCGCTCCCGCTCTCGTTCAAGTGACATATCTGGCCTGGAGGCTTATCGTCGTCTTCGATCATGATTGGATTTTCAGATGAGCTCCACTCCTCCCGTTAGGTGACCACTGTGACTGGCGTGCAGGCTCGGCGCCTTCTGGTCTGTCTGTGTGCGAAGTCTCAAGTGCCTCAGGGAGCGGCCGATAGAATACCGGCATTCCCCGTGGCGTAGTAGGAGAATGCTCGGAAGTATATTGCGTGAAATTAAGCACTGTGATAGATACCGCATCCAAAGATCAGATCAGAAGTAATGATGATTTGTTTAAATACGTTCGAGAAATTAACCTCTTCGACTCTTCGAGTTCAACCTTCCTCCATCGTTTGCGGTCATCTGCCGTTATATACGAAGACGTAATCACGCGGAATCTGACTTGAGGGAGTTCAGAAAGTTGAGGACCGACTTAGTAGCGTTTGAGCCTATCGTCGCCTCGTATTCACGCAAGTTAAGGATAGTCTCTATCTCCATTGATAGTGGGGCCCATTGCTACACGAAACACCTAGCCTGGAAGAAGGTCGCGGACAAGACAGATAACAGTATGGAACGGCAGTTCGGTTACATAGAGTGCGCCGCTTTTCGAAACGACCCTAATCAGCAAAGGGTGTGGATGGATGTCCTAGGTGCGTCAATTGATAAACCTCCCGTCTTGGCCTCATCCATTCACTCGTCGACAGTCAATGCCAGTGGTATGTCGACCACGTCAGCACTGTGACCGCTCAAGCGGCTTAGTTGCGTCGGATAAAGAACCACACGGCCACCAGCCAAGCAGGTGGTGATCGGGCACGCAAGGCGCATTTGCCAGCGCACATCGACGAGAACTGATTAGCATAGGCCTTTTAACTATACACGCCCACGGCACGCAATTTCAAGGTAGGAGGAGTGATGTGGATATTACAGTTCCAAGTAGTCGCTTTAGTGGTGATATGGCACTGAAACTGGCCCGACTATCCTGGCGACGAATTAACATTGATCCGTCCGTGGACAAGCTTCAGAAGGACGGTGCAAGCACACGCACACGCGAGTCTACCATCCACTGCTCGTAACTTAAGGGCCACGTCTCTGAAGAGATGTACGATCAAACCCAAGGTAAATCTCGAGCGTCAATGCATGCATCATGACCGTGACTTGCGTGGAAGGGTATCATGGTGTTGTTGCGGTGAAAAGAGCAACACAGTTGTGGAAACAGACTTTCGTTAAGCCGAAGCGTAGAAGGTGGCAGGCTTGATTAACTTGGCCAGACGAGAGGCCTCGAGAGTCGTGAGTCGAGGATACTGGAAAGAGGGGGAGAATAGAGCTTGTGACGGTGGTTGGAAAACAAGAGAGAAGATTAAGATACATCAGGAGGATCTGAAAAAGAACCAGTCTCATATATGCACATTGTGGTTGCTGACAGGGGTGCGCTGCCGCGCGATACCGACTCGGAAAGGAGAGCTAAACCTAGGAGGTGCGACAGCACATTCTCGACTACAAACAGAGATCAAATTGACACCACTAGTTTATTCCGGCTTGTGATTACACTAGCGAAGAAAATGAGAAAATGTTTATTTCTGGCTGGAACGAAAGTTACAGGTGCGCCTTATCAAGTGTGTTTTCAAACACACTGAACGAAGACTATCCATTGTGAGTTTACAAATCAAAGACAATAGCGAACCAGGCAATATCTCGATATATAGACTTTTTCTCTATTAACCTTGTCTGCACTAACTTCGTTGTTCACGTTTTGAAATTCGAACAGTGGTAAAAGAAGAATTTTGGGCACGTAATGGTATTCGTTACCTAGCAACTAATGATATGTACGCAAAGTTCAACCGACCTCAAAACAGCACGATACTTCCGCTGCCGTCCTAGACATCATATTAGCTCTTCCACTCAAATGAAGATTTAGTTCTTCGACCCGAAATCAAGGGCTTCCTTCACAAGCTCCTCATGTGACACAAAATTAGCATCCTCCACCTTTGTGGTTAAGAGTTCAGATACAAGGCCGCCGGATCTTCCAAAATCTCACCGGTAGCGATAAACGCATCCCAGTACCTACCCATAAACCATTCCAGCGTATCTTCGCTGCAGAGCTCCACGGGAAGGGCGAAAACACGCTCCACAAGTCGTCCTTGCATCCAGGAGATGGTCACTTCCCGTTTCCAGTGCTCCCACGTCGCCGAGTTATTTCGGAAGCTATTCAGGCAAGTGCTACATGCACAGGTGTCGATGCAGTACTCGGTGTCGCTATTGATCTCGCTTCCGCAGCTACCCAGAAACTTTAAAGGGGTTAGGGAGCTGAAGCTCATGCACCGTGCTTTGAAACAGAGCTCATGGTGGGTCTCGACGATCTGGAGAGGCTGTATGGGGTTCCCGCAGTGGGGGCAAACACAGGCGAGCACCATTTGACGGCACATCTTTGTTGATCAAGATATGGCTGAGGTGTTTGCGTCCGGTTATGGCTGACTGGGTAGGATAGACGAGATGTCGGAGATCCGACGGTACTGGGTTGTCATGCTTATATGGGGCGGAGGAGTTGTCAACTTAGGCATCTTTCACTGATATTCGGTAACAGTAGCTTGACCCAGAATGTGAGGCTACAAACAACGAGGATGTATAGGAACAGTGGTATATATTGGTTTCAAAACTTGGCAAACAACAAATTTAACAAAACAAAGAGTCAATGCCTGCACTGATGTATCAATGTTTCGAAACTTGTCTGGTGTATTCAAACAACACCTACGACGTGCCAACATCTCATTATCTTAGCAACCAGAGGAATTCATGCATGAAGATTTCCAAGCGTAGAAGGTAGCATGAAACAGGAGCCAAAATGAATAAAAGGTAAAAGGACAACTCCCATGCTGGGGTTTGAACCCAGGCCACTGCAGTTTTCATTGTTACAATGCTGATGAAAATGCAGGATCCTAACCACTAGACGACATGGGATTTGTTATGACTTGGGATATATCTATCTGAGCCAATGAAGCTTTGGACGGGCTGGTTGGGTACGAATGCCGAGGAGGTGCGTCCTGTAGCTGCGACTGCCTACTTCGTCTGTTCTGCCTGTCCTTCTGCTTGGCTCCCCATTTCCTGTCCCGCCCTGTACCCCCAAAGACTTTTAAATCTAGCACTTCGGTTCAGGTTGCAAAGTTGCATTTTTCCATTCCCACACCCCCTTCGCCCCTTTCAGTTTCCAACCCGTTCCTCATTATCTTCTACATCCCTCAACCACCAACTACTCATTGTTACGAAATGACAGTCACATTCCCCGCCAGTGCCTTACAATCCATCGGCATCGTAATCACCGGCCCCTCATCGGGATTCGCATCGTTACTATAACTAAATGTCGGATTAAATGCCATAATCTGACCCACCGTGGTATTGAACCTCTTTGCCACATCCACATACGTCCCATACAAAAACTCGTACGGCTGTACCACACACTGGCTCGGACTACACTGCGGGATCTTGAGCGTTGTGCCCACAGCAGGCGTCTGGCTCGGATCGACCGGCATCCGGTCTGCGTTGGTCAACGCCGTGACGGCCATTTCGAACTTGGCCGCGATCTTCTGGTACGTGTCATTGACGAAGGTGTCGTAGGTATGCGGGCCTCCCAGCACGCAGGTAGCGGTGTAGTTTATCTGGCTGGCAATGAGGCAGCTGGATGAGTCAAGGTCGCAGACTTGGGCCGGGATGAGGAGTTTCGCGCCTGCAACCAAAAGCTCAGCGTCGGCCATTCGGTTCGCACGGGCAATGTCACAGACGCCGCGGTTGGCGGAGAGGGCGATGCTGAAAATGGTATCAGAGGAAGTGACTGGCCACGAACCGATGGTGGTGTTGAGAGTTGTGGAGTTGCAAGAGCTCCAGGCCAGGGCACTGCGATTCCAGAGGGTGGTTACGACGATGAGGGCTAGCGGTCTCATTATGATTGGGGCTGCTGACGCTTGGGGCTCTGTGGGAATTGAGGAATCAAGTGTGTCACGTAGAAGTGTGCAGCCTCTACAACAAGAGAATGGCGAACCTGCTCCTTATAAGTACCATCGCGGGTATCACACACACACAACGGCAAACATCCAAGATTATAGACGCCATTGAAGCTAATGACGACGCACTACCTCTTGTCTCCTATTCCACGTATTCTATTTAGATTTCCTGCCCGGCACTGGCACGAAAAGGAATGAACTATGCTGATCGACATCAAGTTACCGCAACTCAACCCCGCTGTGTGAATGGACTAGGGAAGTTTCCTTGGGAATAATGCGTGGTACTATAGCTGACGAAGATCTGGGGTTCATCCGATGTGGGGGATCAGCAACGAAATAGTCAAGTCTGGCCAAAATATTCGCCGATCCTCCATCTCCAAGACCAGGGGACTGCATAATCTCCACTGACTATGTGCAGGAAACTTCCAATGATGAATACAGCGGCAATAATAATAACACCGAAATGTAGCAAAGTTACGCGAGGAAGGCTTGAATGGAAATAATACCAGAGAAAACACGTTGATTATGGTGAGCGTCACCATGTTCCAAGATAAGTATAATAGTTGGTAGAGCAGGGCGATGGACCCTGCTTCTGGATTAAAAACTAATATCTACTATAAACTAAGAGGTGCAACGGCCTGTGGTCCATATCATTCATTATTCGGATGCCCATACACGCATATCATATCATCCCGCAAACCACATCTTACAACCATGCGGCAACACCAACGATTCCGGCAAGGAGACCACCGATCATGGGCGTCGCCATGGCGGCACCGTTGTCGGAGGTAGCGCTGGCAGCGCCATCAGTGGCACTGGAAACAGCATTGCTGGCGCCAGACTCCGCCGAGGATTCAACATCGCTTGCGCTGGAGGTGATGGTAGACAGACCGGACTGGACGGTAGACACGACACCACCTGCTCCGGAGGTGATGGTGGACAGGATCTCGCTACCGTCGGATGTGATGGTGGAAACGACGCCAGCGGCACCGGATGTGGCAGTAGAGGCGGCACCACCAGCGGCCGATGTGATGGTGGAGAGAATCTCGCTTCCGTCCGAGGTGATGGTCGACACGACGGCACCGGCTCCCGAGGTGATGGTGGATATGATCTGGCTTCCTTCGGATACGATAGTGGTGATGATGCCACCAGCACCTGCGGTGATAGAAGACAGGATCTCGCTGCCGTCCGACGTAATGGTGGAGATGACACCGCTGACGACGGAGCCGGCTTCGGAATTGATAGAGGAGACGGCACCAGCGGCAGTAGTAGCAACGGCGGAGGCAGAGCTGCCGGCCGCGTCGGCGTAGTTCCAGCCACAGTCTGCGAGGATGCTTCCGAGATCTGAAGGCTAAGAGTTAGCAATGATGTCGCAACAAGTTCCCGGTGAGAGGACTGAGATGAAGTATTGTTTCACGCACCACTATCAGGCTCGTTCTGGCCGTTGGAGATGGAGCAAGCAGCACAGTACATCAGCTTATCGCGAGCACCAGCACCGCAAATACATTGGCGCTCATCGGCGGCGTTGCTTGTGGACTCGGAGCACGATGTGGACAGGCTGACGGCGGCTTTGCACTGGTCCTGGCATAGACCGGGGAAGTCGGCGGCCTTGATAGTCTGGCCGGCGCCGAGGGTAGCCAGGGCGGCGAAAGTGGTGAAAGTCTGGAAGTGCATGGTGGCGGTGTGAGGAAACTGGTGCTTGGACGGACTTGATCGGGTAGACTGATACAGGTTCGGGAGGCGTAGGCTTTCGGTGATGAAGCACAGTTGGAGGATGTTGATGGCAAAGGATGAACTTCGAGAGGTTCTCGAATTGGTGAGGTGCAGATGTTTGTTCTTTTATTAATACCTATTGGAATGCACGATGAATCACACTACGGTCTGTTCACCTTCGTCATGATCTCCACCGTGTCCATATGTCGATTTTCTGCCCGTTGCCATGGAACTGCTCGTTCTTCCCTGTTATTTCCCGCCCGTACGAGTTTCTCCCATCCCTTGATTGGCCCAGCCTCTACCAGTAAACTTTGATGCACCAGTCAACAAGCTCGAACGCGGCCGTACATGCAGGGGAGCTGTTTCGTATATTGCAGGCCGGGACAGGTCAGGAATGACATAGCGCTACGTGCAGTATCGTCATCGTCACTCAACCAAGAGGTTGGGAACCTGACAACAGTTCCACAGAATAACCAAGTTTTCAGGATTTTGCGTGTTGCTCCAAAATTGGGGCCAAATCTTGGCAGGGATCTTCCTTGGTTCCTGGGAAGCGTTGCCGCATTAGAGACGTGTGGAGAGATGGAGAAACATCATCATTGGCCCCTGGAGTAGAGAGACGCAAATGACGCCCGGCTCTCGGCTCGGCTGGGCATAGTCAAGCCAGCAGGGCGGCAACGGGCCGGAACTCTTTATACGTTGCTTTAGAATGCTTATTACTTTTCGGCGTGGTATTTTGTGGTTGTCGTTATTCTGTGCATTCTTAATGGCCATGCGTTCGCTGCGGCGCGCCAGGACGATTAGTGCGCATGCATCTGAGCATCGATGCTAAGAGATCCTGCAGATAGAGTGCTGACGACTCCTATCTTGAAATCGAACTGCAAGACGGTAGACTAATACTGCACACACATATGCGGAGTATGTATGGACCAAACAAACTTTGAGCTTTTATCCATGGGTTTGTTTGGTGGAATGGGCGGGCTGTTCCCAATGCATCTTGTACAACCTTGCATGTTGGCCGTTTGGATCTGCGGCATGTCATGCTTGTTGGAATGCAATGTCACCTTATTCTTTTCTGTTTCTTTCAGATGCGCGACACCACACATGCCGAGTTCTAGCACGTTTCTAAGTTGGTCAATGTATATATAAAATACTGTGTAGTTAGGTACCCTACAAAAGGAGTATTTGGAGGATGTAGATCTCATCTGTAGATCGCAGACAGATACCCATGCGTGTATCTCACCGCACGTCTGCAAGTGCCATAGTTACCTCTGGTTATCAACGAAACCCTTATATACTAGTCCCAGCTGATCTGTGGATTCACCTGGCATGAAATTGTACCAAGCACATCTCAATACGACTCGTGGGGCATCCTTACGTCATGTATTCAACGGGGCCCCATAGGCACACGGGTACCCGTGTGATTACCTAAATAGGTAAAGCCCCTCCGTTGTCGGATACTATCACGTGTCGCGTTGAAATTGGATAATTGAAGCAATTCATGTTCGTAGTCAAGTAGTCAAAGCACATATTATTAGCCAGAAATTACTACTGTAGACTGTCTGCTCTCTAATCGTTGCCAAGCGATGACTTCGTTATAAACAGTGAATCCGAGCTATGCAAAGCCGGTAATAACGCTTCAAGAGATAAAACAACGATATGAAGGGCTCTGTCAGCTCTGTTCGTATTACATGATTGCAGTGTATGAAATAAAGTACTGAATAACTGTCTGAAGTGAATGTCTGTTGTGTAATGCAAGGGAATTGTTTTTGTGCTGTTATGATGATGGTTGATGTGAGGTGATCGTGGCCATGTTTCTGCTTGCTTGCCTGTTGCTTGAGTGTGTTCATGCTTGTTAACGTGTGTGTTGACGTTGTTTTCCCGTACGTGCCTGTTGCTTGTTCGAGTGCTTCCGTGTGCCTACTATTCAGAATGTGCTGCTATTTATGCACCCAGAGAAGAAGAGAATAACCCCTGTCCTTGCCCTATTACAATAGTAGGCGGCTATTTAGCTACTACTATACAATCCTCTGTTTGCCTTGAATATAAAGCTTCTTGTTCCTTCATATCTTTTTCTATCCTTCTCCAAAGCTCACCTGTACCTCTCCTATTCGATGGACCGTTTACCGATTCTTGAGCAACCTGAGCCTCGATTCGATGAGTTTCTGACCTATCCCAGTCTAAATAAGCCATCATCTCTTCTTTCGTCCACTCTCTTGAGCCTGTTGAAGTAGTATAACGTTTGTTCATTTGCTTATAATTAAGACACCATTCATAGCTTGTCTTGTCATATCGTAGCGGTATGTCAGGTTACGGCCTGGACCGAAGGCGATAGTACAGAGTGAAGGGGAGAAATAGGCGTGTTCCCCTGGTGGTCACTTGATGATGGCAGGTAGGGTGTCCACAGTAGTTCATTGATCTCTGCCCTCTCTATCTTCCTCCGTCTCGACTCCTTACTTATAGCCAGCCGAGGTTCTCTCTTGGATTCTGGATGTTTGCTTCCGTATGTCTGTGTTCCTCCGACTTCGGCCAATATCTTGGACAGCGGCTCCTTATCTGCAACCAAGCGATTCCCTATCCGCTGCAAACGGCTTCAACGGCTCTCATTCGCCACAAGCGGCTCTCTAGCCGCTACAAACGGCTTCCTACCTGGTGGAAGCCGGCCCGCCTCGGATGACACTTGTGGCTCTGACAACTCCTTCCCTATCCTACTTCGAGATGGTCCTTATATAGATAGCTAGGCCGCCGCTTGGACCCGGCATAACAGCAGGGTCGGCGATGCCAAGGATCTTGACTCTCGTCATCCCAAAGCTTCACATAGATTGTAATCATGATTCGGGAGTCTTTTGTCCGAAACACCCCTCCGGCGGCCCGCCGGTGTCCTGCGTTCAGTGTCCTGACACCCACGGGTGCCTATGGCATTCTGTTCTCTGACACATTTACACGGCAACAGCAAGAACAACGACAGGAGCAACAGCAAGGGCTCGAAGCTTGGAACGAGTTCTACAACCATTGGCATTCGATTATGAAATCGCTAAACGAGGAGACATTCTACGAGCGTGTATCAAAGTTCGAAAGTAAATATATTCCGGGCTATCTCGAAGAAGTCGGATACATAAAAGGGACTTGGCTCGATTTACATAAAGAGAAGCTAGTAAAGGCTTGGGTTGATCGATACCTTCATTTCGATAATGTCGTTACTTCAAGAGTTGAAGGCATTCATGGGATACTTAAAAGCCATCTCAAAAGATCTACATTAGATCTGTTCAAAGCCTGGAGAGCAATAAAGCAAGCGTTGCATAACCAACTTACGGAGTTGAGATCTAACCAAGCCAAACAGCAAATTCGGACGCCAATCGAACTCTCTGGGCCACTATATCATATAGTCCGTGGTTGGGTATCACACGAAGCTCTAAGGAAAGTCGAAGAACAGCGGAAGCTATTAACGAAGAACCCGCCTCCCTCGCCAAACTGTACAGGCTCTTTTTCTCAGTCTCAAGGGCTACCATGCGTTCATAAATTAGAACGGTTATTGGCACAGGACCAGGTTCTACAACTAGAAGACTTCCACCCACATTGGCACCTAGTCCGCAACGGCATTCCGCAGCTATTACTAGAGCCTCGTCAGCGTATCGATCCGGCAATTACGAATTCATTATTACCACGGTCGAGTGTTAGGCGAGAGCTTAGCGGGTTCGAAATCATTGAAACAGCAACAGCGTCGAGAACACCGCCTCTATGTAGCAAATGCCATATATTAGGTCATACAAGGAACTCGAGAGAGTTTCCTTTAAGATATTCGGAACTCAGATCACAAGCAGTCCAGCCCGACCAGCGCGCCCAGCCTGTCCAGCCAGTTACGACTTCGACAGAGTCGCAGGCCCAGTCAAGCATCGGTTCAGAGCTAGCCTCGCAGACAAACACTATAAGAGAAGCATCAATCCAGACTCCTAAAGATGTTCCCCCTGCCGAAGATAGTCCTCTATCCCCTATCCTACCAGTTCGTACTCCATCGTCTTCCCCGAATCCAGGTTTATCTGCGTCTCTAAAACACGACAATCCAAGGGCTATCTACCAGAGATAAGTTACGGCAAGAGATGCTTGGTATATAGCCCAGCCTACTGGGACCTATGTAAACAATCAGCCATACCGAAAAGCGATGGGTTTACCGTGTCAGAGAACAGAATGCCATAGGCACCCGTGGGTGTCAGGACACTGAACGCAGGACACCGGCGGGCCGCCGGAGGGGTGTTTCGGACAAAAGACTCCCGAATCATGATTACAATCTATGTGAAGCTTTGGGATGACGAGAGTCAAGATCCTTGGCATCGCCGACCCTGCTGTTATACCGGGTCCAAGCGGCGGCCTAGCTATCTATATAAGGACCATCTCGAAGTAGGATAGGGAAGGAGTTGTCAGAGCCACAAGTGTCATCCGAGGCGGGCCGGCTTCCACCAGGTAGGAAGCCGTTTGTAGCGGCTAGAGAGCCGCTTGTGGCGAATGAGAGCCGTTGAAGCCGTTTGCAGCGGATAGGGAATCGCTTGGTTGCAGATAAGGAGCCGCTGTCCAAGATATTGGCCGAAGTCGGAGGAACACAGACATACGGAAGCAAACATCCAGAATCCAAGAGAGAACCTCGGCTGGCTATAAGTAAGGAGTCGAGACGGAGGAAGATAGAGAGGGCAGAGATCAATGAACTACTGTGGACACCCCTACCTGCCATCATCAAGTGACCACCAGGGGAACACGCCTATTTCTCCCCTTCACTCTGTACTATCGCCTTCGGTCCAGGCCGTAACCTGACAAAATGTTGGCCGACAATGACGAAGGACTGCTTTGTTTGCGTGCCAAAGACACAGAAGTAGTGCAGAAGATGGAAAGCAAGTAGAAACCGCATCCATACACGCAATACAGCGGTCTGTTAACATAACAGAGGGAAGCCGAGTATTACAGATCTCGTAAAGCGACTTTAATCGGTCCAAGGCCCAGAAGTAGTCCTGCTTGGACTCGCCGCTTAGGAATGCAAATGCAATACAGAAAGATCGCTGGCAGGCGTCGACTCCGATCATATCGAGAAGAGGCATTCCATACTTGTTCGTCTTATATGTACAGTCCAATATTAGAGTATCTGGGTAGGCGTGGAGGTACGCTAGGGAGTCTGGATGAGCGAACAGGACAGCGGTTACCCGGTTATCTGGACCTAATTGCATTCGGTTCCAAAACCCTTCCCGATCTAGCTGGTTCACAAGTGCGTTGATCGTATTCTGTCCTTCGCATGTGTCTCGCCTAGTATCTGCAATACGATTGTAGATATCTTGCTGGGTCGCTATAGCCGTGGTATTCTGGCGCATGTACGTTCTGATGTCTTTAGGAGCTATGCCAGCATTCGAAAGGCCTCTTAGCTGAGATATATCTTCATCGGAAAGCTTCCGGTGTGTTGGATGGGCAGATAGGTGTTGGCTAGGCTCGTGGTTATGTATGGCGAACCGTTTATCGGGACGATGTCGCAAGGTCCAAGTGCTTTTATCAAGTGACTCTTTTGCTAGTACTGAGAACGGACAGCTAGTTACTCGTGTAGTTGTCTTCCGCTGGCGCTCTTTCGAACTAGTAGGAGGGCGGCAAAATCGATCACATGTATATGTAATCGTCTGTCTGCCGGTTTTTTCTTTGGTTGACCGCCCAGTTACAAACGCGTAGCCTCTTGTTGACGCCCACGCGTTAATCGCCTTAGATAGAGCATCTCGGGATTCGTATTCGCCTTCAGGAGGGAGACAATCAGCTGGAAATGAAGCTAGTCTTGGGATTGGACTTGATTCCATCTTAATTATAGTAAATACTGCTACTCTAGTAGGTATATTCATGCGTAACTGGGGAAAATGATCCTTTGAGGTTTAATTACAACGCGACGCGTGATAGTATCCGACAACGGAGGGGCTTTACCTATTTAGGTAATCACACGGGTACCCGTGTGCCTATGGGGCCCCGTATTCAACAGATCATCCAGCCCCGCTTAGGCAGCGCCCCGTGTCCACGATCGTCGGCTCCATACGACAACTATCCAGACTGCACTACTTGGCTAGGCTGAGATATTGTCTCAACGTTCATATCTGCAAGCATCAGTCAATCTAGAGAGGTAGGCGCTTTTGGACAAGTTCCTGTTCCTTTGGTGTATGCTGTTAACGGCTATACCGGCAACTGGAAATCGGATGGTGACTTGACTTATCTGATATTTGATGTATGAAAGTCACAGAATGGCCAAGGACTGCTCGTAACCAAATTTGTGATGGCAGAAATTCTGGCTCTTCTAGGCCAAAATTCTACTCACTATAGGTTGTCAGGATAAATACATTCCGGCTCATGGCCTTATCGACTTCACTATACCGGCTTGGAAAGGGCCCGGTGGATATAATAAGCAGAGATATAAATTAGATGCCATGCAATGCCATTCACCTCGTTTGAACTATCTAGCGTCTACTCCTCGAAGAAGCTAGGATGTTCACCTAGGATGCTTGCACTGAAACAAGCGTGACCAATTTTCAATAACGGCATTACTACAGTATAAATCTATCAGACATGCCCCATCATATGGTCACTGTGAAGTCCTTTGACCTGTAGGTGAGAAAATCAGTAAGTGCCGAAGACCAGAGCCACTATAAGAAAGGGTTCCACGTTTCCAGACGACTTCGACTCAGACAATTTCAGAGCGATAATGGACCTCAAGGGAGATAAGAGCAGCTGCGGTCATACTAGAAAAGAACTGTCTACACCATTATGTCGCGAGTGGCCAAAGGGAGTAAATTTGAAGCACTCTGCTGTTTGTTGCGAAACAGCAGATTGTTATGAAACCACGACCAGTCACTCTCCCGGCACGACGTGCAGCTTCCCAGAATTCGGTCGTAACATCAGAAAAATACGTTACTCAAAAAAGGTGATCGGTGGTTCCCAAACGGGCAGTCTACACAGAAGCCATCCCCTTAATCATGTTTCATATAATAAGAGACAAGGTAGCTTGCAAAATGACTATTTTCTCTTGTGCCTTCTCCTTTTCTGAACGCGTTGTGGCTGTTTTGTATCGCTGGGCCTAGAATTTCTGCTTGCTATCCCTTTGGATCGTCTAGGCTAACCGTCATTTGGGTTACTGCTCATATAGGTATCTCACCAACAACCATCCTAGCAGCTTATTCTGTCAGATGTACCTTTTCGCGTCAGATGACTGTTGTTAGCTTTTTGCTATGCGAAGTTGATATTAGCTGGGGCTATCCAATGCTTCGTAGCATCGTGGAACCTGATGTATCACTACCAACAGATTTATATGAAGGCCAACAAAAGATGTTTTTTTCTTCGTCTATGATGGTTACTTCTGGTTTTGGGGCGGGGTTTTGTAGCCCTGTACTTGGCCGTACCTTCCCACCTACCACGTGACTTAGCCCTTCGGGACTAAGTCCAACCTTCGTGCTCCATAGGACTAGATATAATGTCATGCTTTTACAACCTCACAAATCTTTGACCACCTTTGCGTGTAACAACAGTCCTGAATCGTATGCTTCCATTGTTTTACGACCGTAATGATTAATAGGGAACAGAGACAGAGAAAGACGCTACAGAATAATAGAATTAGGACCCTACTAAACCAAAATGCTGTTGTTAAAAGTACCTGATTATTTTAACCCTGCTCCACCACGACCGAAACCTACAGCCCGCTAAGGATAACCGATGCTATACCCGTGCCACACCTGTCAGATACAAGGGGTCACGGCATTACCAGCCACTAGGACTTGGCCAGAAATCCCTCTGCAGAGCAGATAACAGATAGCACACACAATGAATCTGCCACACTGAACGGTCCGATTACCGTAAAATCAAGGCCACAATAAGGTCACATCGCAAGATACGTGAATATCCGACACCTGATATAAAATCGCAGTATTATTTCCATATGATGTCGGTGGGAATAAGGCGCAAGCTAGGGTCTTACACGATGCGAAAATCAGACTCGTACTAAATCAGATGAAGATGAGTCCGAAGATAGCCTAGGGCTGCCCTACGAATAAGCGCTCGGCGCTTTTGCTCGCCCTCGCTTTGGGAGAGACACTCTTGCTAAAATGCTTGCGACGTGATGTAACGAGGCAGCGGCTTCACAAAGATTCGATCGTCAATCCACACGATATGTAATTTGGAGTCCTCCGTGATAGTGATAGCCTGCCGTTTGACTAACTAGCGGTAAAGCGGGGAGATATTAGCGCTATCTTGTTTCGACATCCACCAAATTTTATCTGCTATCCGATCCAGGTCTTCCGAGCAGTATTCCTTATTAAGGGATTCGTAGACCCTGTACCAATCCGGAAGGGAAATACTGGGATATCCGGGTAGATATTACGTAACATCTAGGGACCCTGAAGTCTTTTCCAGCTCCCCATTAAGCTGATACGCTACTGCGAAAGGTGCGTTTCTGGTTGGAGATACCTGTAACGATGCTATTGGGATACAGAGGATGCGGGGGAAGGCGTGCAGTTAGGATCTGGCTTTCCTTACCTTTATATCGGTGTGGAGAGACCCAGAGCCTCGCTGTATGCATTAAACGCGCCCTGTTCGTGCGTGCAGATCGAGATTGGAGGGTACAATAATCACGTGGTGGTTCGCTTTGCGACCCCGATTCAGCCTGACGAAAATGCCTTCGTTGCCTTGATCTTACCTAGAGCCTACACGCTACCTCCAACCTATCTATTGATTTCTTTATTCTTTTGGGACTTGACTCTATCTGCTCGTGATCTGTGTTGTTACAATGGATCTACTTCCAAAAACTCTATCGTTGACAGCTCACTCACCTCTGGTGGCGGTTGTCGTCCTCTTCCTTGCAATCATCTTCCAGCGGACAATTGTTCAACGACTTCCAGCAACCCCCTCGAGACCTAGACCTAAACGACACGTCGTCATCCGTATTTACGAGATTCCGATAGACACGACCCGTGAACAACTACAGACCGACCTTACGGAGATCGCTAAGAAAGACTTAGCCTTACAGGAAGCTGTCAGCACTATCAAGCGTATCTCACTAGTGCGCATAGACAAGAAATGGGCATGTGCTACTGCTTCTTTCCACACCTCAATCTCCGATGTCGAGCTAGCTAGACGATTCAATCGAGCCGCTGAAGGCCAGTATCAATATGATTGTAGATTCGATGGTATCACACCGCTTTATGAAGACGAACGTGACGCTATAGTTGAGTAAGAGTCTCTATATACTGCTTGTAGCCGGGTTTCTTGCTAATTTAATGGTGCATTATGGTAGTATAGTTGCTGTGCCAGGCCTCGCTAGCCACGCGATCGGTTCGTGGAAGGCACCGAGTGGGGAGGACATCTGGCTGCGAGACTACCTTCCTACTGATGTATCTGGCATTCGGGTTTTACTCTATGGCTATAACACGAATCTGTTAGAAAACAAAGCTAAGAAGTCGATTGAAGAGATGGGAAAGACATTACTTGAGTCGATTACCACATTTCGAACGAACAATGGTGTATGTAAAGAGCAAAACCATAAATGCCGATACTAACTGAAGACAAGGCTAAGCGTCCTATCATTTTTATAGGCCATAGTCTAGGGGGTCTCCTTATCAAAGAAGTGTGTCCATCTATCTGGTGTTTATTTAAGTAGCTAAATTCTAGTTAGGCCCTCGTCCATGCTCGAAAGGGACCCCGTTACGACTTGTCGAGCACATGCTGCGGAATGCTTTTCTTCGGCGTTCCAAACCACGGGTTGAGAGACAATCAGCTCCAGAGCCTTGTACAGGGCCAGCCTAACGAAGCCTTTATACATAGCCTCAGGCTTGACGACGATACGGAGCCGTCTCCTTTCTTAAAGAGACTTTCTAGTGACTTTGCGGAATGTTGCAAAGGCCAATATCCAGTGATATCCTATTACGAGCTTATTAAGAGTCCAACTGTAGAGGTGAGACACAAAGGTTTTGAAAAAGAAAAGAAACTAATTAGTATTACCAAGAAACAACCGAATGGAACCTTAGCTAAGACTGGCGAGCTAATTCTTATGGTCACACGGCAGTCGGCTACAAGTACAGGTATCACCGCAGCGGCCGATGAAGACAATATTGCTTTTGAGACAGATCACTCAGGCCTAGTCAAGTATGATTCCAGGGGTATTGGGTCGTACCCGATCGTGAGGAACAGGATCGAAAAGCTTGTCTCTGAGGGGTCCCGTAGGGTTGCTGCCAGGTTTTCAGACAGTGTGTAATCAATATACGTCTTTCAGACATTTTTGTACTAATTTTTGCCCATCAGACCTCACATTTGAAGCCAAACGCTTATGGAATAACCTGAATGAACCACCATATTCATCGTTTCGGAAGTCCTCCAAGCTCGGAAAGCCCGAGAAAGGAACTCTTAAATGGCTCCTCCAGAAGCAGACCCCTAATTGCAGCGATGATAATTACAACGATGACGGCACGACCCTGCACTCAAAAGACTTCATCTCATGGCGTGACTCGGACAAATCAGACTGTCTTCTAATAACTGGAAATCCTGGACAGGGCAAATCGGTGCTCTCAAACTTTATCGTCACGAACCTCGAAGATAACATTGTGTCTGGCTCCAAAGTTATCTACTATTTCTGCAACATCAAAATCGATGAGGCCTTGCGTAATGCTAGCTCTATATTACGGTCTCTTATTATTCAACTCTGCGAGTTTCAACAACGCTTATTCCAGATCCTTCCTTCAGATCTGGCAGAAGATAGCCATCGCTTCTTCACGGCATCTCTAGACACGCTATTAAATACATTTGAGAAGATGCTACGAGGTGATACTTACGATCGGGTCTACTGTGTTATCGACGGTCTTGACGTTTATCAGGAGGGGGGGATGCACGATCTTATCGAAGGATTGACCAAGATATTCAACATAGCTAACAAAGATGACACGACAGTCCTGAAGCTGTTATGCACAAGCAGGCCAAACTCGTCTATACTTAGGGCATGGGGCCATATGCCACAAAAGATCCTTCGCTGCAACACAGATGATCTTGAGCTCTTTATTCGATCTCGAGTTTCATCTCTCGGGTCGAACTTTACCGACGGAATGAAGGACACTATTACCAGGAAGCTGATTGAGAATGCCGAGCGAACTTTCCTCTGGATCGATGTGGTAGTAAGGAAGATACATCGAATGAGTTTTCCAACCCCAGCTCTTGTGGAGGCGGAGATCGCCGACAGCTCAACACAACTCTATGAGCTCTACAAAACCTTAGTGGAAGGATTGGTCCACTCCAACAACCAAGGCCCGAACGGCCAACATGCACGCATTCTCGCCTGGATAGTGTACGCAAAACGTCCTCTCCACTACACAGAACTGACAGATGCTATCGCTGTTGATCCTGAGAGCACATGTGCAAGCTACGAGGACTGCTCCAAATACAGATCTTCCATCACCCCTGATCAACTGCACAGAAGTCTTGGCACTTTGATCGACATCATGGACGACAGGATATATCTTATTCACCAGTCGGTAAAGGACTTCTTCGAAGAAAAAGACCCATTGTCGGAAGCGTTAGGGGCTATCAAGCCCCAGCTACTACCTGCATACGTTTCTATGATATTTCTTTCCTTCGATGATATACCTGATCGGCTTTTACAAAAAAAACGCCTTTTTCTCAACTCCAATTCACAGAAAGAAAAGTCATTCTATGATTACAGTTCAAACCACTGGTTTTCGCATATCTCATCAACAAAAGATATCGACAATGAACCCCGTTTGCGAGAATTGCTGGTGCACATTGTGGATCCGACTTCGCAGAAAACGCAACTATGGATGAAATTCAGCGCAAACACGGCTTTCGCTGAAGCGAAAGTCGAAAATATCAGAATCCCTAGTCAAGTTGCTACTGAATTCGACATAGGGTGGCTAGCAGAACTATTACTCGACGGAAAGATTAAGGAATGCTCAAATGAGTTCATTGAAAATTGCTTCGCTGATAGCACAGAGAAAGGTGGAATAGTTTTAAAAGTGCTATTACAGCATACACTTGGATTTGATGTTCCCGTTGAAGGAGCAAAAGGAGGGCACATATGCCTAACCTGTCTGTATTGTAGCTAACTCTGGTCCTCTCTTCGAGGGTCTATGTATGGAAACAAAAGGGTTCTTATATAGTCAATGAATGGTAGACTTGCTGATTAATTCAGACAAGTTGTAGAAGCATATAGATAAGTAGGGAATGTTCTATCCTTGCCACATTTCTCGTAATAGAGGTATGTGGGGATGGTCGCCGTTCTAGGTGGCGATAGTGGCAAGTATAGGACCCACATGGCCCACAGGGCCCATATTGTCCAACTCATACTAAGGGTAAAGAATTTCTATTACCGAGAAATATGGCAAAGAAGATCGCAGAAAATTTTGATAGACCACTATTTGAGCTTCTTCTAGAAAGGAGAGGAGACGAGGTCACAATTACAGAGGACGTGGTCAAGGCGGCAGCTAGAAATTCGCACAATGGAAAATACTTGATAGCCCTTCTTCTGAAAGAGAGGGGAGATCAAGTCACGATCACAGAGGACGTGGTCAAGGCGGCAGCTGGAAATTGGCACAATGGAAGAGACGTGATAGCCCTCCTTCTGAAAGAGAGGGGAGATCAAGTCACGATCACAGAGGACGTGGTCAAGGCGGCAGCTGGAAATTGGCACAATGGAAGAGACGTGATAGCCCTCCTTCTGAAAGAGAGGGGAGATCAAGTCACGATCACAGAGGACGTGGTCAAGGCGGCAGCTGGAAATTGGCACAATGGAAGAGACGTGATAGCCCTCCTTCTGAAAGAGAGGGGAGATCAAGTCACGATCACAGAGGACGTGGTCAAGGTGGCAGCTGGAAATTGGTACAATGGAAGAGGCGTGATAGCCCTCCTTCTGAAAGAGAGGGGAGATCAAGTCACGATCACAGAGGACGTGGTCAAGGTGGCAGCTGGAAATTGGTACAATGGAAGAGGCGTGATAGCCCTCCTTCTGAAAGAGAGGGGAGATCAAGTCACGATCACAGAGGACGTGGTCAAGGCGGCAGCAGAGAATGAGGATTGTGGGAGAGACGTGATAGCCCTCCTTCTGAAAGAGAGGGGAGATCAAGTCACGATCACAGAGGACGTAGTCAAGGCAGCAGCTGGAAATGAGAATGGCGGGAGAGATGTGATAGCCCTCCTTCTCAAACACCGCGAGGAAGATGTTGTTACCAAATTCAATGAATCACTAGGCTTGACGGCTGCTACTTGTGGTCAGCTTAGTCTTTTGGACCTGATATGCAGACATGGGCTATCAACACGGAAGGATGAATGGTATAATATCGCAAGGCTTTATAATGCCGCGAAGTCTGGAGATGTCAAAACCCTGCGACAACTCTTAGTCCAAGAGGTCAGCCCCAACTTTACGAATATTGAAGGCATGACACCTTTATGGGTTGCTGCCGCTCAAGGGCATCGTGGGATTGTGGAGGTTCTGATACTAAGAGATGACGCCGATTTAAATTCAAGGTGTATATCGGGTAGAGCACCGGTATTCTGGCCATCCGCCGATGGGCGTGAGGACATAGTGGAACTATTTGTGAAGGCTGGTGCGGATCTAAGTTTCCAGGACGAGGATGGGCAAACCGCTATCTCGATAGCGAGGGAGTATGGACACGATGGGGTAGTCCGAATCTTAGAGCAAGCTATGGGCTTAGGAAGTTAGACTATAGCATGTTATCAAGATCGTTAAGAGAAAAACGTTCGCAATGAACACATAGGTCAGGTGAACTGTTTAAATACCCAATCAATTCAGGAGTAGGTGGGCGTCATCGGTTAGATTTGTTTGAGAACCCTCAATGGTTAAGGACGCTATAGGTACTAGACTTATCTAGTCAACCAAGAAAGCTCTCGCACCTTAGGTATGGCGCTTTTCGTGGGCCTATGCCTAGGAGTCATACCTGCTCCCAGGCTAAGTGTGACCTATGTCCCAGACCTTGAGAAGCTGCTATTCTGGCATATATGACCCGGATTACCCACTCTGAATTCAGGGATGACTATTCCCTAGTAGCATGAATGCTGCGCGAATCTGCCGACGGATGAGCAGCCTGGAAAGTTGGCCAATGCCAACCCCCTTTTCCCGCCGAGCGATGATGATCGCTCAACTCATGGCCATGCCACCATATTTCCAGCTTTTCACTTGCAGTCTCTTCTTTGGTCTATGATAAATGGAAAAGATGGAAAGAGGAGATGAGCAGACTCCGGGTGACAAAGATGAGTTGCTCTTAAGCCATGTATGTCATTGGAATCATAATCTGACGATATTTGGCTTCCAGGTGTTAATCACTTCAAGGGCTATTCCTCCACCCTTCGTTCTTCTTTTGCCTCTCCGTTTTCAGTCGTAATGACTGGCCAACCCAAACCCAATTCACCCTCATCCGCCCCGGCTACTGCACCACCAAACCCATTTACCACTTCCCATGGCGCTTCTCTCCTTCATCTTTCGGCCCTTTCGTTTGTTCATTCATAATCAACCTCCCCTGCACGATACACCACCGTCCACTCGTTAAGTGAACTATCACCCCCTAAAAGTAACTCCTCGCCCCCCTAAACCTAATAATCGCACACGCAAAATGTCAAATATACGCAACGTCAAAAACACAGCCGAGCTAACGACCGAGACCAAGACCAAGACCAAGGTCCCGCAAACCTCACCCCCTAAACCCAAGAAACACACACCTGGAATGCGAAACAAACACAACTCCAACCTGGCCGAGCCAACAGCCAAGGTCAAGGTCGCCGATTTCCGCGATCGATTCAGACCTTACTATAACCACGTTTGCCGCGAGTGCGCATGGTGGGACTGGGACGATTCGATCGACGGCGTTGGAGAGGTCTGTTCCTTTTGCCAGCTGCCGACCAAGCGGTGCGAGAGGGATGCGTGTGTACAGAAGTCGCGAGGTCAGGCGAAGAGACCGAGTTGCACAAATGGAGGGGTATGTACGCATCGTCATTAGGTTGGGCACATGACGTGTCTGCGTTGGGAGGAATCCTCGCTGGTGGGCACGTAGACAGCCAGGTAAAATGGGTACATCAGTTAGAAGAAATATGAAAGCCGGAAGAGTTAATCAAGTGTCTTTCAATCACAGGTATGGGGCTTTATGTGTATGTATTTTGCCTTGGCAGGTATGTGTTATTATCTTTACAAGTCTCTACAGTACCCCCATTGGTAGGTATCTGAGTTGATCCGTCCACACTATCATGGCTACCTGTACCCGAAAACCTATCTTACTAATCATCTCACACCCAAGTACACATACACTAGTACTAGCTAAAAAAACATTAAGTATATTTGACCCTAGAAGTCCAATATAGTTTACAAGAAAACAAAAGGTCCCGACGTTATACAATGAGCCAGGGGGATATATAGTGTAGTAGAAACCCAAAAGAGGCAGTTTGTATGCCCAACGCCCCATCGCCTTTTTGGTTCCAGAAGAGTGTTGCTCTAACCTCTTGCTTGTCCTTATGGACGCCCGATGCCCATATATGCCGTAAAAACCCTCCCCCAAAAGTCATGGTACAGCGCTCGCTTAGAAGCAAATTTATCGTGTCAAGTGAGGACGACAATATCATCCCGACAACGACTTGAATCGGTCCTCGAAGATCTTGACCTTCTCAGCCTTCAGCTCTCTTTCGAGCTTCCGCGTTTGGCTCACAGCGGCTTCGCGCTCCTCCTGTAGCGTAAGCACCTCGATCTGAGCTGTGTTCATACGGCCAACGACCTCCTGCATCTCGAAGTCGGCAGTAACCAATGCCCTCTCCAGCTCGGCGACACGCTCCTTGAGAGCGGTGACTTGAGTCTCGTCTGCGACGCTCTTCGCGGGGCCAGAGCGGGTCGTGCTGAGTCGGGGAGACCTAGCCGGATTGGCAAAGATTGGTGACAGGGGCGACTTGGGCGGGAACACGCGGGGCGAGCGCAGGCCGCTGGCAGCACTCAGCCTCGACAGCTGCCGGTTATGGCTCTCCTTGAGCGTGGCCATCTGCTCCTCGTGGCGCGCGATGCGATCCTCTGAGGCAGTTTGGGCTGCGATGAGCTGTTCCTCAAGGGTGCGCAGACGAGCCTGCATTGTGGTAATGCGTTGGGCATGGGACCGCTGGTCCGACTCGCGTCTCGAGACCGTCTCGTTCAAACGCTGGCGCAGGGTCTGGTTAGTGGCCAGTTGCTGGCGGACTTGGATGGCCAATTCTTCAACACGGCGTGCCGACTCGCGGAGTTCGTCCGCAAGAGCCTTCTCGCTCTCAAGATACATCTGTTCACCAGCTTTGAGCTCATCCAGTTGCACTTTGTAAGACGCCGCCTCCTGGCGCGCAAGATCCCGCTCCAACACGGCCGAGGACAATGCTTGCTCTAGCTTGTCCATAGCAATCCTGATCTTTGTGTCATCGTTAGATGATCCAAGCTCGAGCTTCTTGATGCGGTCAAGAGCCTCGGTGTACGAATCTTGCAGATCTTGGAAGGCCTCCATCAGAGATGCGGAGGTTGCTGGGCTGGCATCCTTATCACTGCTCCCGCTCATCCGAGCGAACGACTCCGGAATCAGAATATCCTTCTCGCTAAGCAGACTTCTCAGTGACGAGATCTCTTGCTCTGCTCGGTCCAGGTCCATCTTCAACCCAGCAAGGCCTTTTTCCACCTGCCACTTCTGTTCGAGCGCCTCTTCGGAACGACGGCGTAGCACGTTGATTTCTTCACGAAGAGTCGAGACTTCCTTGACAAACCCGGCCTTCTGTGGCGAAGTCGTCAAGAGGCGCTCGCGTTCGGCTTCGAGGGTGCGAATTCTTTTGTCGTTTTCGCGGTTCTGGCACTCTTGACGCTCGAGCAGAGCCTTGAGAGCCCTGTGGAGGGCATCGCGTTGTTCCTCCACATCCTTCAGTCGGTCGGAAAGAGCCTCTCGAGACTCGGTAGTCTTGACACTTTTTGACCGCGACAGGCCAGGTGCGCGTGCCATCTTGAATGAAGATGGCGGTCCAGTGATGGAACTTGAACGCGAAAGGCGAGAGAGTGGCGTGGACATAGGCTCCTCGGAGATGCTGGCGAAGGACTTCGCGTTCTTCAACGTCGTGTTTTCCACCTGGAGACTTTGCAGCTCTTGTTGCATCTTTGTCGACTCGTACGTCATCTTCTCCAGCTCGCCAGCCTGTCCTTCCAGGCCTTCCACGCGCGCTCGCAGCCGAGGCACAATCTCATCTCGAAGGTTGTCGCGCTCGTTGGCCGCATTTTGGAGTTCGCCCTTCAAAGCCGAGAGAAGATCCTCAAAGTTATCCTTGACCATGCGCTCTTCCGATAGCTTGCGGCGCAGAACCTCACAAGTGTTTTCGAGTTCCTTAACTCGATCGCTGGTATCGCTGTTGTTCGCCTGTGCCAGATCAACTTGCGATGCCTTCTGGGAGAGCTCCTTAATCTGGTTGTCGAGCTGTTGCCTTCTTGACCTCTCATCCTGGAGCTTGGTCGTCAACTCCAACCTGATTTGTGCCGTGTCCTGCTCTGCCCTCCTCTGTATCTTCTCGATTTCTTCCCTCGACTGGCCGTAATCACTAAACTTGGCTGAGCTGTAGCCCGAGTCCGAGAAGTAATCGCTGGTCCTCTTGTTGGCCGTTGACGAAGGATTTTCCCGTTCTGCCTGCAATCTTTCAACCAGGTCCTCTAGGTCCATCTCACGCCGAATGGACGATGCCAATTCGGTGGAGATGGCCTTCAGCTCATCCTCCATCTCTTCGATCTGCTCGGGGGCCGATTGTGTGGGGGCGGGCGGTGTTGCAAGGTAAGATTCGTGGTGTTCTCTAGATTTGTCGGATCCTGTGCGTGCCTTCGATTCTTCTTGTGTAGACGATGGTCTGACCGTGGTAACCGGGGAAGCATCTGTATAAGTGTTGGACCGTGATAGTGCATATGGCGATGCTAGCGGCGAAAAGCCTTGGTCTGAAAATTCGGTCGCCGACGGAGATGGAGATCCCCAGCCGAAGAAGGTTCCTAGTTTCGAAGAGCGTGGTGACCTTGGGAGCGGTTTGTCTGTATGGCGAGTCCTAGCATCGGTCTGTGTCGGTGATAGACTTGAAATGTTCTGCCCAAGACCAATTTGAAGCGGTGCAGGTTTTCGGTTCACGAAGGCAGACATATTATTAGGACTAGAATTATAGGACGAATCAGAATCAGAACCATAACCGTCGAGCACGCTCAACGGATCGTCGTCTGCATCGGCTTCGACTTCAGCCAATGGATCGTCATCAGTGGCCTGGCCGTTGGGTTGTGACCGTCCAGATGTGGACCGTGTTTGGAGACCTGCAGGGTAGTGGGCTTGAAAGCTTGGATGTTTGACTTCGCCCGCTGTGACAGCCGGGTTCGCCTGCATAGATGGAACAGAACTCCCAACTCTGGGGGATCTCCTATTTAAGTTGACATTTAGTTTGTTGGCCACTAAGATGTGACTGGTGTGCGTCTCACTGAGACCTTGACTCACCTGGTGGAGGGTGACTGAGTCGAAGCGATCTCGCTTGGCGCAGATGGGTTTGCAGGATATTGGTCGTGCTGCGGTACCGCCTGAGCAAACTCGTATATTGTAGGACTGTCGACAGAGAACGACCTCGAGAACCTCTGCTCGGGTTTGGGCAGATCTCTGGCGATGGAAAGGTACGCCCCCGACGAGTACCTAGTCGCGATGGGCGAGGCGGTCTTGGACAATGGCTTGCGTCGAATCGGCTGCAGTGGCGGCGGCACAGTGACGGAGCTGTCAATGACAAGCTTCCTGATGTTTCTCGAAGGCGTCAGGGTAGGGAGAGCGTCAGGGAAGCGGTCTTGAAAAGAAGGAAAAGGTTGAGGGAAGGAAACATCAGATGAAGCATTAAGAGTCTCAGATGTGAGTGACGAGGGGTGGCCCTGAGGCCTTTGGTTGGCGAACTCCATAGCGGTACGTAAAGTAGTATTAAGCCCAGGCCACTTTTCTTACGGTCGAGTGAAATAGGAAATTGAACGTCCACGGAGATTATTGACTCTCAAGGGGTCAGATGCATTGAGCGGAAAGGTAGTAGATGTCGTGGGACGCGAGCAATTGACAGGTAGCGCGCACAGCACAAAGTCCAGAGTGGTAGAGAAAATCATCCTGTCTGCCATCCACCAACGAAATGTGGGTGTGTCCTCTAATGGCTCATCTGGGCTTCCAATTGGCAGAGCCGACCATGACAGCGTCGCAGGATCCATTTCCGCGCACACGCCATCTCGCCTGTCAGCAATTTGAGGAGCCACGGTGGACAGAATGCGGTCGGCGCTTTTCCCGGGGGTGGTGCTCTCCAGCGTGTCTCACTGGCTCGTCGCTACCGACCCCCCATGTCCAGGTTGTATTGGCGCCGCGTGATGCTGGCGCTGCCATGACCGTTATGGAAACCTGCAATTTTACTTATCGCCTGCCCTGTGTGTGAATATTGAAACGGGTCTGGTTCGTCTGCATGTTTTGGGTCATTCGCTGGGGGGTGAGGTTTGAGAGGGGGGTGCTGCACAATCCTGGAGCCTCCTGCAGGTACAGATGTAACGCGCTCGAGGCTCAATTCCAATCGGGAGAAAGATCGTCGTCGCGCGGTTGCGAAGTTGGCAACTTGGTTGGTTGCGGGGTTGTTCGGCAGCCATGAATTTTCATCTCGTGTTCAATGTCGACATCCATCAACCTCGGGGTGTCCCATCCATGATCCAGTCGATTGCAAGTCAGTCCATGCCACCGAAGGGAAGTGGGCGACACTAGAATTAGGAATAGGACGGCGGCAAAATACTCTGGACCCTCTTCTCCTCCACCTGGAGTCTGGACAAAGCAAAGACCACCAGTTGTGCAGATTTCAGGCTGAAGGTGGACGGCGTGGCGCGCGGCAAATCAATGTTTAGTGGAATTGGCCACGCTATCGATCTGCGACCCATTCGTCGGGGGAGCATTTTTATTTCTGAAGCACGTGGATTCGCTGCATCATCTAGCGCACATAGCGATCCGAATCTGAGGAAAGCCTTGGACTGCAGGTACGATTGAACTCTAACAATACTGCAGAAAAATCCAGAGCCGCCCACCTTTGTGCAACATTGATTGAATGATGAACCATTTCGGAACTGAGGTATATTTTCGAGAGTCGAGCCGCTGACTGCAACACAGGAACAAGGAAAACCGTTGACGCCTGGGCCAAGGAAAAATTGTTTGATCCCTACTTGGCATTTTGTCCGCATGAAGTGGAAGCACTTGGTACCATTGTATCGTTCCCCGTTCGCCCACATGAAAGACAGGACTCGTTCAGTTTTGAAGCTGGGCTGTTCCATGTAACCATGGACAGATGCGTAATTCATCAAATCTATAGTATCTATGTCGTCGTCATGGCTCGTGGACAGTATCCACTACATGGGGTACTGGGCTTTCAAATAGCTGGCGAGTTGAAGAATAGACTGCAGTGCTGGCTGCAGCGCCCTTCTCAGCTCTCGTTGTTCTTGGATTGCAGTTATGCTTCCCCTGAGAGACCGTGGTTGCGCGGGGGTCGTCATGCACCTGCATCCAATAATACTCCGTACCAAAGTGGGAGTTACACCCGGTGTTTGCTACCCTTGCTACCCTGGTTTGCCAGGTTCTGGCGCAGGAGGCTCTCGCATCAGGCGATGGTGGACACAGAAAGAGTCTAGCGGGTTGCAAATGTTACTAGCGATGGTCCGGTCGTCAATTTGCCAATGTCCTGTCCCCATCGCGGATGCTGGCCCTGTTGGACTTCCGATATTCGTTCTGCAACATTGGCCTTGAAGCCTCCAAGACGTTACAAATGAAAGGAGAACCAAAGCCTGCCGTTCTGGAGACTCAATTGGAGACTCAATTGATAATGAGATGCGTTGTCGACTGCTCTGACGTCACCTAAAATGGCAACACAGCAGCTGCCAGCCACATGGCTTGTCAGCAGAGGCTCGTACGTTTTAGTTTGTTTCGACCTAATGTTACTCGAGCAAAACGCACATGTCTCGTCACGAACGGCTATAGCTTGGTGGAACGACAAAAGAGCCGCATTTTAGGCGCCTGCATGTGCATTTAATGGGCGAATCGCGGTGCAACATCCGCCGAGCGCTTATTGGTCTGGCCGTCATATTCATCTTGTGGGCGCTGACATTAAACCAATCAATATTCGAAACACGCGTCGCTCTGTCGAACCTTTGAGTTCTTGAGCGCATCCATTCAGGGTGCCCAGGCTGATAGCATGATTCAAGCCAACCTAGCTTCTTATGGCGGCCTTGGCTGGCCACGTCTTATGCTGTTTAAGTAGGCATAGAAAATACTCCGAACGTGTCATGCAAGTGTGGTGGTAGTGAACCGGGCCTCTGTGCGGATCCTTTACGGCGACTGTGGGTCATACCAGCCCGGAGCCGGGGCATCTTGCGAAGTCATGGATGAGTATACGAGAAGCCGCATGCGGTACACTTCTCGTTCAATGTCTCCCCCTAGCTCTTGCAGGGTTGCTTTCAAGGCAGTTAAGGACTGTTCGAGAGATTCATTCGACGCCCTCCAAACCCCACTTGGTAATCACCGAATTGCACAATTCAGCCTCCGCATAGGTAGAACCTCAAATCGTCGTGGCCAACCCTCGTTTACTTGCTTCTTCCTTGAAGGGTTTGCTTTATCCTACCACACGATCCGTTGGGTCGGATAATTTTAGTATCATGTTATCATCTCGGGAGTGGGGGCTCGTGCCGACGTCGGCGCAAGACGTTCACGTAACCTCACCCGCATTCACATCAAGTTTTACGCAGCTCAGGCTTCCAAGTGGTTGACGTAGTTGCCGACTTGGAGAAACTTCGGAATGGTACAATCCCGTTGTGAATTATTTTTTCTTTATTTTTGTTCGCTTGGTGCTTGAACAAAGCGCTTCGTCCCGACAGTTGTGATTTCGTCGCTTCTCGTACCTCTCAGCCCTGGATCCCCAAGAGAGGTCTTCACTTTTATTTGCTTACACTAAACTCCCAAAATAAATGGCACGTGGCTTATCATATCGATTCTTCTGGGTGTTTGGAAATGCGACCTTTTTCAACACCATATACACCATTTCCCAGGTGAAGATTATCGACATTGGAGTACAGTTATGATCAGATGAGCATATATTCGACCTTCAAAGTAACTTAACGAGCTTCGAAAACACCACCACCTATGGTCTCTGAGTCTGCTTCCCAAAAGCTCTCTGGATATCCTGTGCGCTTTCGCCAGCCTAACAGACGTCGTACCCCTATACGCACATCATCCGTCTCGACCTCCGCATCGTGCGATGTTCTATCCATCGCGTCGTGTGCTATCACCTCAACCTTTCTCGCCTAATCAAAAAAATAGGCAACAGCAGAGTAAAACCTTGAATTTTCTTGTCGACGTCTGGGTCTTCCCACAATACAGCCGTGCTTTCCTCCCACAGAATGGCGTCGCACTCCTGCATCAAGGCCCAGTCGAAATTGGGGTCTTCGAGCCCGGTCGTGAGACGCTTGTCGTGGTATACAGAATGTGCGGGATCCGCAAATTGAACGCAGCCCCCCAATACTTGTGCATAATTGCCCCAACGTCAACGTCGGCTGGCATGTCAGTCCATCGCGCTAGTTGCCTCGGGTTATTGGGTTCTTGCAGATTCTTAATCATGCTCATGATGACAGCGTCGACTTCCTTGACCCTGCTGCCGCCCATGATATCGAGGATGTGATCGCTGCTGATACTGAAGTTGTCAATCAACGGTGCCTAGTTCAAATTGGCATTTGACTCGATGGCACGCCGATTGCGAGCATAGTTCGATGGAGCGGAGCCCATGGCTAATTCGAATTTCTACCCGCCTGCTGCCATGGACTGCGGAATGCCCCCGAAGAGAGGCTTCAGGTCCTGTTCTCGCAGGAGGAACTCCGTGTCCGGCTAGATAAGGTCGTTGGCGAATAGCCATCGTAACGAAATCGGAAGTTCAAATGGCGTACGTCGACTTGTACGTAGTTGGTCTGTCGGCCGGAGGACTCGCTTTGGAAGCCTCGCGGCCTTTCTTGCGGGCTTCATCATTCAACCTCGTGCTCGGTGCTGGCGTGATCGTCGGTGGAGTTGAAGCCAGCGATGAGATCTGGTAGTAGCGTGATACCAAGTAGGTGGTGAGTGTTCAGAGTATTCATAGGTATATTCAGCACACAGTGCAAGTCTCACCACAACTTTGAAGCTCGTTTACAGATTTTACAGTTAAAGGAACTGCCTTGTTAAGTAATGAAAAACAACAGACTCAATATATAGCATGGGAGTTCCAATGTTCCGTTCTACTTTATGCAAATGCACTCAAAACGAATCATACGACGCGCCAGCGACTGCAGGGAATGTGGTTGGTACATACAGTGTAATAACTTCAAAAGTACATGCAACCCTGAATAATCAACTCGTGTGTCCAAGGGATCTTAAGGGTGCTCAAATTGTCCACCTAAGGCTAGCCTATGGGTTTACCATCTGGATTCAACGCGATTAAGCCTTTTCTTCGCCTTTTCATAATGTGACTTGCCTGGACAGAATCCGCTTCCAACCTGCTGACTCCCAGCCATTTTCTCAAGCCAAGCCCTCAATATTCTGCCTAATACTCTCCTTCAGGCCAGTATACCCCTTCTGGCCCCACCACTTCCTCAGAAGCTCTGCCCCCAGCGCATTATCAACCTCGCTCAGAACCCTCGGCAGATCCGGCATAATATCAACGACCTTTGCATCCGGCTTCAACTCCCTGATGACCTCGATGACATCGTTCCAATTGAACGGCTCATGAAAGGCCAGAACCCGCTCATTGACCACCGAACCATCAATGGTGGCCGCAACATGCAGTCTCGCACAGTCAACCACGTTGATAACATGCTCCGAGTCGGTATACCAGGGCATCTTCCCCTGGTAGATATCAATGACCAGCTGCCCCGAGAGACCGGGACTATCGATGATCCGCCCAACGTTGTAACTTGGGACGATGCTATTAACGACGAAATGGGGCTTTTTCTCCTTGACGAAGTTCCAGACGGCCGTCTCGGCTCGCATCTTGCTGAGAGCGTAAACATGGGGGGCTATGTCCGGTGTGTAGGGGGGCGGCAGGTCGGCGTACTTCTCGAGCTCGGTGTTCCACGTGCTTCGATCGATCTTCAATTTGGTGTTCGGCTTCGACGAGGTACAGGCGCTGCACGAGCTGGTGTAGACGAAGCGGCTGACGGATGGTTCTTTGAGAGCCGCATTAAGAATTCCGATGACACCATTTACGACAGGCAGGACAACGTTGTGGGGGTTCGGGTCAAGCGAGAATATAGTAGCGCAGTGGATGATGGCGTCAGCTCCTTTGACGGCTTCGTCGAATGCATTTTCATCTGCCAGATTCTCAACCACAACTCCGGCGTAGTCGGGATGGTTGAACGTCTGCTTCGTCCTGGTTACTTTGTCCTGGGAGCGGCATGTGCCCCGCACCTTGTAGCCAGCGTCCAGCGCTTCTCGGACAATGTTGCTGGCGACGTATCCATTGGATCCTGTAACTAGGATCTGGGAGCCCTTGGCCAGGACGAGGTCTTTGTTATCGAGCATACCCATGTTTTACGTGTTAGAGAGGTTGTGACCTATATGATTTGGGTAGATGTTTTAACCGAGATGTTCGCCGTCGCGTGTCAGTGAGGCTACAGTTAAGGTAACCATAGAACCCCCCGGCTCAGCCGACCAACGCCCCACTTTACCGAATAATTATAGGGCAATCCTTTAAAACCCGACCATACTGTTTCTTTTTCAATCCTGCTGGCTGGCATATGGAAGGGATAATGGAAGAATGGTAGTTGGTATGAGGCGAGAGCATCGATTTCGGCTCCATTTCTCATAAGCTTCATCAGAGCTTCCTCTTGAACTTCCGTGCTGAAATTGAATAGCCAGTGCAAACAAGTGATGCCAAATGCGGTACATCGGTGGGACGCCGAAGCTCCCTGGGCAAGCAACTCGGATGCAATCTCCCAGGAACCCCTAGCACATGCCAAATACAAAGGGGTCTCGCCTTCACTAGTATTTTTGTTGAGTAAATTTGTCTTTCCCAAGACCATGAATGTCCTCAGTTTCGTGAGAGATCCAAAGGCTGCCAGCCAGTGTAGGTATGAGTATCCAAGATCAATGCTGCTCGCTTCTGAATATTCATCACCATTGATCGTGAGTGGATCAACCAAGGAATAGAACATGTTATAACCACCCGTCAAATGGAATTGATGAGTGGCATGAGCATCTGCCTGGGGCTCTCTTTCCAACAGAAAAGTCCTGGCTAGTATAGAGCCGCTGCCTGTTGCATCTGCAGACTATTCCGTCAACTGAGCTTCTATATGAGGTGATGACTTTTGGTCCAAATTCTCCAGAACTCTTGGCACTGCTGCACGCGCTGGACGATATCCTTGAGCTGCTGAGGCTAACAGATATGCGAGAGCTGGCGGATTCAACTTTTTGGTTTCGGGTGCGCCAAGACTGCAGCTTAGAAACATGCTGAATAAGACCTTGGAGTCAATACTTCTGAGGACCTCAGCCGCTTGAATCTGGACTCCAAGGCCATAACGAATTCTATTAACAACCCGTGATCTTTGAATGTGAATATGGGCAATCGTGTTTGATAATCGGCTTGGACCGAAGCCAGGTGATCGTGACCGCTTTCTGCGGATGACTGATCGGAGTCCTGGACCTGTGTTCTATTTCTTTCCTTAGGAGCATTCACTCTCAAACATACAAACGCGAAGATTGAAAATATGTACGCCTGTGACTTACTCGGAGACGGACGCATTTCTCTCGAAAGGGAAGATTGCTGCAACATGTGATGGCCGTTGGCTGCCCTCGTATTGGAGTAGCCTGTGGATACCTGACTGCAGTAAGCAGAGATTGTCTGAGTGTATGACAACTTCGTAATGCCTAAGACAAATTTCGTTTTCAGTCAATCGTAGTGGTACTGAGCCATTGTCCAGCATCATACTCCACATAACGAGACTAAGAGAGTAGTTGGCAGCCGCAATAAGTTCAGAAGAGCTCAAATAAGAGTCACTCTCAAACCTCAGGCGCTTTGCCAGCCCTCAGTACCCCCAAGATGACGGCCGGTCTGTACTGAATCTATTCCGTCAATCGAGAGGCCAAAATCAGCAAGTTTCGCAATGGGATGTCAATTTAGATGGAATATGAAAATATTTCCAGGCTTCAAGTGTCGATGGATTATTCCATTGTTGTGTAGTGCGTCTAAGCCATGTCATGGCAGAAATACAGCCTGTCTTCCGAGTTCACGACATAGGAGTTGGAGCGCAAGATCTCTTCAAGATTACCACAAGCTAACTCCATGACTAGAGAAATGGGTGCATGGAATGTATTGCTATGGAAGGACCATGAGAGTAGCTGTACGATATTTGGGTGGTAGTAAAGGTCTTGATGCGTCAGAGCTGCGACCTCAAGGTATATCGCATGCAGGTGTTTCTGAGCACTTGGGTCTCCCAGATCAAGTTCTGTATTGGGATCCAAGCGAAACTTGGGCTGTTTAACCGCAACTGCTGTTGACCGGAAAGATTGGCCATCAGCTTCGAACCATCCCATGTCTTGCTTCGAGACCATAAATTGGCTACCTTGTCCCAAGTACTCATATTGACCGAATGTGGGTACCGGACCAGGTAATCCGCATTCTACTAGTACCTGAATAACCTGATCAAGAGTTTTCTGTAAGTCGTAGGACGACATAAAATCGTGTATCCGAGTAGAGGTCAGTATTGGTTGAAGAAAATACGGATACCCAAAGAATCGAGAAGACCGCCGACGGCTGTGGGCTGACGAGGAAAAGATGGAATATGAGTGAACTCTTGACATGCTGGACATGCTGTAGAGGGTAATCGATCTTGCAGAATGGACTTTACTTTCCGTCGTCTCAGCGAGCACAACTGTTCGGGCAGATTGATTCACTGGATGCCAGTCAATTAATGAGGCTGGCTACATACGGAATCATTAGTCGCACACTCAAGTGAATCGGCGATATCGGTGTTTGAGAGGCATGAGGGGTTGTGTAACACAACTGGTCGGAGGTACATTGAGAATGTACACGTAATGCAGGCATAAGCATCGAGGTAACGAGGTCGGACTACATGCCAGTTGAACAAGCAAGCAAGGCCGCATGCTTGGGGGTCAAAGAGCCTTGAGAGCACCTTGCACGGCACTGCAATCTCTTTTCCGGAGCCTGACAATATTGGCTGGTCTGCTAATGATAGCTCACACATCATGGCCGAGGTACCAGATCGCCTCAATGAAACTCTTCGCCTATCGATACGCCGCCACACCTACGAATCCGTGAAAGTATTGGCTCTCTATTGGAAGGACGGGCATCGAGGCTATCAGAATGAGGGGAGAGAGGTCACGAATATGTTCACGAACGAATTTCAATATCCCGCCGAGCAATTTGCCATTCCATCATCAAGTAGTTACATCACGTTTTAGGATTGCTGACCCAGACGCTTCGCAACATCGGGATTGCAGCGGAAGAGAAGAACGCGGCATCGCTCTTGATTCTTATTACGGTGGTCATGTCGATAAAAACGATGATAAGCACGAACGTCAAGAGAGAAGATCATCAGTTTGGGCGGGGTGAGTCTTGATTGCCGAAAAAGATACGCAGCAGCTAAATCAAAAGACACAGACATAGTACAGGAGAACCCACACCTCAATGGTTCCGGATCCAAGATCAACTAGATGATCTCAAGGTATCCAATACTGATGTCTTTCTCTTGTTGGATTGTCGTTTTGCTGCCCAAGCTGCCAGAGCACACGAAGCCCTTGGAGGTCGGTTTGAGATTCTAGCAGCCTCCACCAGGGGCATGGAGACGCCGTCACCCGGAGACACTTCATTCACGACTATTCTTCTCAGTGAGATTCGCAAAACACTTAATAACGAAGACCTGATCGATGTAAAAGACCTTCATGGGCGTATTTGTAATCCCAGGTCTCATCTCTGGGCGACCCCGGTGCACATAAGTCTCAGAGCTGGTCAGCGACCAATAAGACTGCAGCCCCTTGCGCAGACTTCTCGTTCAGAGCTTATTAGGAAATACGTTGATGCAGACGACAAATAATTCCTCCATCTTTTGATCGAAATTGACGGCGAACTCAGCGCCTTCCATGAGGATGAAATTGCAAGATGGTTAGGCGCGGACACGCCACAAATTGTATCAAAGCTAGTCTTCCAAACAACTGCTCATATCAGCGCCGCAGTACAGAAAATGGAGGGGGGGACGGAAAGCATCTCACGCCGCCTCGATAACGATTCTAAGGAAGAGATAACGACAGCCTGGAATAATGTGATCGACCTAGTAGAGCGATATCATGCTAAACAGCACGGTCGATCTCACCAACAACTCTCATCATCGAGTAAGAGTCAAAGAGCTCACGGATTTCTTCGACGACTAGATTTCTGCAACACTTCGGTCATTGATGCTATTGAAAGAAACCTTCAGGAACCAAGCGTACAGTGTGACCTGCTGCCATTAATGAGGCTATCAGCGGAAACACCGTCCAAGAACTTGGCCTTGTGGAACAACTCCGGAATAGCGTGAGTTACTGTTGACCTCTCGGACCCGACAATCGAGACAGATTTCTCCGTTCACCTCCTGCTCTCAGCCTTCCTTTCTATTGATGACATGACTATTTATCCCAAAATAAACCCACATTTCCACTATAATGAGTTCGCCGTCTATTTCAACGCGAGAGAGCGAGCCAACTATTATACCGCCCTCAGCAAGGCCCATGACGCTGACAGCTGTACATGCAAACCGGTCCTCAACCCCCTTTATACATGGCACCAACTCATTATTTAGAGCTGTAAGGATTTAGTATTACATAAGGATGTTCAGTGTTCTTGATATCTGGGCCACCTATACAATAGCCCCTTCCGGCTTGAGGCCGGGGATGCGCCAACCACAATGCTTGTATGGTTCAAGAGCCAAGGTAAAAACCGCTCGTATAGTTTAATGATTGTCTAATTTAAAGCAAATACCCTCCCTTGTCCGTCCATCTATGATGTCGATCAAGGCAAACTCTTACTACTATAAAGCAATAACCAATTTAATGAACTTCATTATCAAGAACCATTCGTTCTATACACACCACTTCGTTTCAAATCTTCTTATCCCCTTCACAATAACTAGCCCTGGATTATATATCGACATGCTCCGGTATTAAGACCGATAAAATGCCATGTCACCGACTTGTCTGATATTGATCATACAAATCCTCATCCGCCGTATCGTCATAAAAACCCCGCTGTTCTTGGGTAACTATAACATCCGATATATAGATTCTGATTGATGGTTTCAAAGACTGAATCTCCGCCTGGAGCTCCAAATATTTGTCTAGCCCTGGATCGATAAGGCCTGTGCCATTCATTATATCCGATAAGGAGGCCAAATTGATAAAATGAAGATTACGGTAGCCACAATCGAACCGCACAAGGTAGAGAGCAGCGACTTTCTTAAAGATTTATATTAATTTAGAGAGTTCGCGAGTCGTAGACCAGTGTTCTAACACCTCTTTTTGAATTGCCAACCTTTTAAATAGAAAAACCTGAGGCTTGTGGGATGCGTTCAATCAGGTTTTCCAGTCCAGGATGGCGATGATAACTCGAATAAATGTACAATGTATTAATAGGGTATAGCAAAATCGCTCATATTCTTAGAATAATTGCCAAATGGCAGTTGTAGTGTCCTGTAGCAGTTTCATGTTCTAGCGGGGTGGTCCCCAGACTTTTGGATCATGACTGTAGGCAGAGGGAAGACAGTACGATGGTGACATTTTGGTATCCTGTGAGGTTCTCTTATGGTCTCCCTGGGTTGTCATTTCGAAAATTTTCTCACGTTGCTGCGATGCTGGGGCGTTGGAAGGTAAGCAGCCGGGAGCATCACGCGACTAGTACCGGAGCAAGTCTTTAAAGAAGCAGCAAGGCGTCACGTAAGCGACACTGGCATAAGATGTTTAGACTCGCAGTTGAAAACACTCAAGTCTCGAACAAGTACGATATGTCGCCTGTTCCGACCCCCCTCAAGGGACCTGCTACTCCGTACTCCGATCCCTTGGCGGAACAAACCTCATTCCAAATCTCTTCTCATCTTTCCTCTTCTGATCATTGCCAATCAACGTAGCCCTCGGCATTTTTACTCTATACTCCTTCAACCAAGCCGACTCGGCCACCGCCAATAAAGACACCAACAACTCATCCAGCTGCGGGTAAATATCCAGCATAGGATCGAGCAATTCCTTCTTGTCCTCCATCCAATGGAAATGGCACAGCTCACGCGACCATATGGACAACGTCAATACGCGCAGCCCCCGCATCTGCCGTAAGGCGGCGTACATGACAGGCAATTCCCGCATGATCTGGCATTTGCAGGTGTTGGGGTAGTAGTTGGCGGAGATGCTTAGCGTGGTGATGGATTGGAAATGCCGGGGTAGCAGGGCGCTGGGGAGGGTGTTGAAGGCGTCCAGACGGCTGCCCTGGAGCTGGTTATCAATGGTAAAGGTGTTGTATTTGTACAGACCTTGGGACGTTTCTTGGTACCTTTTGCTTACATCAGATGAGCTTTACCTACTATTCTCTGGTCGAGGACTTACAGACGACGGCATGCTAGCAGTGGACCTAGCAAGTTTTGGCCATGCCACGGGTTCAGCAAGGCTTTTCCGTGATAGTTGAGGCACATATCTTTATGGGCGGAATGTGTGATGGTGAGGTCTGAGTTTTGACAGACGCAGTTACTCAACCGCGGAATCTTCTTGTCTCCGAGACGGAACACGGTGAGATGAACGATGTTTCCGTGCATGGCTTCCTGGTAGACATAGTCTCTCAGCTCACGGGGAAGACGGAAAATTGGAGATTGCTTCTGCATGAAGACGGCAAGTTCATCCTCGTTAAACTGGGTGTTGGTATCATCGCAAATAGTCACAGGCCGTGGCAGTATGGGTCGATCGAAGGCGGGCCCATGGCGGAAGCTCTTGTTCGGATCGGGACCGGGTTCTATCGGTGCCATGCTGCGTGACTTCGAATATGAGTTGCCTCGTGGATAGAACTTGCTTGAATGAATCACAAATATCCGGCTCATGAGAAATCCAGTGAGTCGGAAACCTGCCATCAAGATCAAGGTTGGAATCAGCCCCAAACTAGGCACTAGCACGCGAGGCATGCTTAGAAGCGCTCTAGGATACCAATGTTCTTATCCTCAGAATCCGTACGTAGAACGTATATTTGCATCCCTTTCCGTTAGTGTTCTTCAAGGTAATAGAAGGAAAATTGTGCTGCGATGGCAAGAGGGCTTATGTATCAAGTCACCTCTTTGGCCCATTGTGGCGCGGTTGATGAACACGCTGAAAGTCTATCGCATCCTCAACAGTAAACTTTAGTTGCTTGATACCTGGATGAGCCATCAAATGTTGGGGAGAGTACCTCAAGGTACTTATTTATCCATGGCATTTCCGTCGAATGATGTTGTTTTAACAAAGCAAATGAGAAATGTCGCATCTACGTCAACTCATACGTTTCTAGAAGTTAGGTGGCCATTAAACGGCATTATCGAGGTGATAGAATCATTCGATAAGCTCTTACAGGCCAGTAATTTCAAACAAGGTTGATATCACGGGACGATGTCAATCGAATCTGGTACGTCGTACCATATAGCAAGATTCACATGAACATTGCTACAACCAAGCACCGTCTTTTCTGGTCTCTAAATCACTGGAGTTAAATTAGCGTCCTTCTATGAAGATTAATATGAACAAGAAGCCATCTGCATTCCGTATGCGCAAAACCAACCCGCATGCATGTACTTGTCGCTTAGAAGCTCAAAATGGCACCAGCTTGGCCAGGGACAGTAGCTGCAACCTGGGAGGACCCAAGAAGCGAGAACGTGTAAGGGATGTCGCTGGCAGTGATGGTACCAACGGGAGCCGTGTTGGTAGCGCCGCCGAGATCATTGTCGATAGCGACAGCATATCTGTTCATTGTATTGAATCAGTTTCTGAATATATTCCAAGATAAAACTGGAAAACTTACCCAACGATGTCCGAGTCCTTGGTCATTATAGGCGAGGTGACGTTGCTGAACGCATTGCTCTGAACCAGAATTTGTGCGTTTTGGCGGGTATTGATGGCCGAGTCCATGCTAAGGAAACAAGGGTTTTAGTAAGTGTTCCCGGCCGGGATTGAAATGAGAACTTACTTGAGATAGTATGAGTTGTACACATGTCCGGTACCAAATCGCAAAGAGGGGCCACGTGAGCCGCAGTCCTTCCAGTAGTTGTTGGCATAGGTGATGCGAAGATGGCCGGTGTCTTCATCACCGTTGTTCTCGCTGTGGCCGACGAGGGATGTCTTCCAGTGGTCGTGGAAGTAGGTGCTTCTTACCATTAGTAGTTGATCCAATCCAAATTTCTTCCGGGAAAATCTTACTAGGAGATGGTCAACCAGTCGGCGGCATGAGAAGCATCAATGAGTCCATCATAGTAGTCCTTGTCAGCGATCAGCTCCGAGTACAACTCGCAGTGGTCGATCCACACATTCAAGCTCTCCTGAACGCGTACTACGGTTAGCAGTCTTTCACCTTGTGACAGAAGAGGGAACTGGGCATACGTCAATCTTGATACCATCCCCAGTCGACGCTTTGACGTTCTTGGAGATGATGTTTCGAACAATGACATTGCTCTGGCGACGGATGTACAAGCCGACACCATCGAAAGCTGGATACCACGTTAGTATGGGCAATCAAGTACACCATTAGACCTTACCAGAGACTTACTAGCACCCTTGAGACCGATGACCGACTTGTTGCTACCAATGCGGACGTTGACGTCTCCGGAGAGTGTCCCCGAGACGACGACAATCTTGGCAGTGGCGTCTTTCTCGTCGACTGCCTCGGTGAATTGAGCCAGGGTCGAGACGGTGGTCACGGTGCCGCCGCTGCCTCCTGTTGTTCTACCGTGTCTGTCAGTCAAAAGTTGGGTAGAGGTGCACTAGATAGCTCACCCTCCGTTCTGGGTGGCATATCCCAGCGTTGCCACTTCCGAGATGGTGGCTCGTTTCTGCAGGTTCGCTCCAGCGGGTGACTCCTTCACAGTAGGAGTAGGGCTGGCAGACGCCAAAGCGCACAGCACCGCGAAGACAGGGGTTACCCTCATTGTAACGGATGGGGAATAGTGATGAGACGACAAGTGAAAGAGATTAAAAATTGATGATCTTTCAGCGTAGTTCGTTCAAAGTTACATGTTCATGTCGACTTCCCTAGGAGTTTCTCTCCTATAAGTGCGCTTTTGATCCCACATTTCAAGAGAGCGTCCAGGTATATCCGTTCTGGTATACAAAATCTTGGAAACTAAATCATCCGCGAATCGCATCCGTTCCACGACTTTGACGTCCAAACAAGCTAAGTGGGACTTCCGCATCGCGCAGCTTGGTGTTTGTGAAACGAACTATATCGACGCAGCGTCCTGCAGGGTAGTATCTGCAATCTAAGGTATGTCGCATACGCCAACCGATGTTGGTATTGGAGGTGACACTGATTTTCCCCGAATCAGCGTTTTCGCCGTTGGGGAATGTTGGGGATAGGAGCAGGGTTCAATATGGGGAAGCGCCTCGCCTATCCCACACTCAACTTGGGAGCTTTCTCTTACAGCATGTAGCATATAATGATATGACTCGGTAATGGACTGGATAACTACACGAGCCTATTGACCTTCTAGTTGTCTTGCAACTGCTTAGCAAAGGACGTAGAGAATAACATTGAATTTGTTGATGTAGTTCGACAATCGTGTTCACCCCATATTGCGTCTATAAATTATGATAATCTGCCAGCATGAACCTGCTTGAGATATCCACACTCTCAGGCTGAGCCCTGTTTTTCCATGCCAGACATGTGGCCCTCAACACTTAGTTCTCGGGTTCCATCCCGCGAGGCTAAACCTCGCAACACAGATCAACGCGCACCCCAAAGCAGTGACAAACGCAGCCCAAATCTGTGCCCCAGTAAATTTTCCATCTGCTGCCCCTTGTAGCGCTCCACCAATGGGCGGTCCAGTCAGGGATGCAAACGAACAAATGCTAAAGGTCATGCCGAGCCGAGTGCCGACCATATCCAGCCGTTTCGTAATGCTCGCGATCACAGTGGCCAGCAGGCACTGGAAGCTTCCGGCTAGAATGCCATAGAAGCATGTAAAAACATATAACCCCGAGACGTCCCCAACCGCCAACCAGCAAAACACCACAATGCTCCACGTGATGGTCACAGGCACCATTACGTTCAAGGGCCCAACCTTATCTGAGATGAGAGGCGGTATCACCCGGAACGGGAGACCGGCCCCGTTGATGAGAATGATCAGGATGGAAGCAGATGAGTACGAGAAACCCAGTATCTCTCTGCCAAATGATGCGATCTGGGAAAATGTGAGCATTTGTGCACGTCAACAAAATCCCAAAAGGGGGCACTTACATAATAAAAAGTGTAATAATTCGCCCACATGACGAAAAACAAACCGCCAACAAAGGAAAGATAGACCGGCTCCTTGAACGCAGTCATATCAATCACCGGCCCCGACTTCCTTGGAGGCAGACGAGGCCGCATAAACGCGAGCACCACCGCGAGACAGCCAAGGTTGATAAAAGCCAGAACCCTCGCCGTCCACGCAAATCCCAACTGAGGGATCAGTTGCCTCACCACAACGGGGTATATCATTCCCCCGGCCGAATTCCCCGTCGTGACCAATCCCACCGCCAGCCCCCTCCTCTTACTGAAATACGTCGTAACGAGCGCCAACGAAGGCGTGAAAAAAATCCCACCCCCAATCCCCGTCAGCACACCCTGCGTAAGCATCAACGCCCAATATTGGCGACTGAAAGACATACACACCATACCCACCACCTGAATCACGGCACCCACAAAAAAGGTCGGCACGAACAAGCCCGCGTCCAGCAAACGCCCGGAAAAAGCACCGATGATCAGGGTGAGCCAGGTTTGCACGGACCCAATCCACGAGATGGTCGAGGGAGGCTGCGGCATGGTCTGCGTGTAGTACGTCTGAAATGCGCCGAACGAGTTGACATAGCCCCACGTCGTGAAGATGACCAGCCAGCCCATGGCGACTTGGGTCCAGGCGGCGAGGCCGCCGTCGGGCGGGGGAGGCGGTTGTGCCCAGGACCGCGTGGTGAAGCGGGAGGCTACTTGGGCGAGGACGTTGCTGGCGCTTCGACTCAAGTATTCTGAGAGGCCGGGGGCTGAGGGCCGGCGTTCGCGGGTGGAGGATTTGCGAGAGCGCTGGGTTGGCGCCTGCTCCAGGGGCGCTTGCTCGATGGTATTGACATCTGCATCATGGGAGGTGTTGTTGGATGAGCAGATGCTGTCATGGAGTGCGTTATTCAAACCTCCATCGTCCTGTTTTTCGACGTCTCGGTTCCGATCTTCACGGGCCATGTTTGCGGTGATTGCGAGTGGTGAGCAAGCAATGTCAGACTGTCACAGTTTATAAGACGGCGAGGATTTCCATATTTCAAAGTTTGTGGAAACTTTGCTACGGACCAGGAAACTGATGAAATGACAGGAAAACCGAACAACGCGTGACTGAAGTTGGATTTCAAGGTCCGTCTTCGGCCCTTCTGAGTCGTAGCGGCTCTCGGGAATTAGCCTCTTCGTGGGTCGGATATGTCAAAGTGGGGATTGGTGGCCGGTATAGTGGAGCCGTCATGCAGCCATGCCCCGTTCCGGGCCGGTACGGATGCGGTGAGCGGAGTCATCACATATCGCAGACATTTATTGGCAATTTCGGCATATCAGATAGATCGTCGCATGTTGTATATAGTTAGCAACGGGCGCCTTTGCCAAACACCCTGGTTTTGTTCGTATCTTAACGACATCTAGCGCGTGCGTGTCTCAAAATGGGTTGGTAGACGGGATTACGACAGTGTTTCTGCTCACATCACTCAGAAAAATTCGACAGTTTTGACACCTGGATGAAAATTCATTTGAATCTAACCATATGAAAATCAGGTTGAGTCGGGCTGAACCTTCAGTAAGCCCCGAACCCTATCAAGAGTACCAATACTTACCCCGAGGGGGAGTTTTGTTTTCACAATAGTCCAGGGTCTGCATGGTTGAAGTCTAGATCCCTATATAATGAACGCCGGAAGCTAGTCAAGACGATGCAACTCCATGGTTATTTCGAAACGACTAAATAACTCCAGATGCAGTGAAGTCGCCAAGCTACAACTAATTTGTCTAAGCAAATATAGGGTCTGTGACTTCCACGTGCCCGCGATATTTCATAATCAATGCAGTGCGTCAAAATCCGGATGCAACCTCGTGATGTCCTGTCACGTATACACCAGCCATGAACCCCAAAATCAAATTACCGTCCTCTCGATCTCCCAAACGCATTATCATGCAGTAGTGGCTCCGGCGACAACAGTCGCAAAGCCATTCGTGGCATCCGCCCCAGCCGCCGGCGTTGGACTCGTCGCCTTCACCCCCGTAAACGGACACACCCCCGGACTACTCTTCGGCCTCTGCACTAAGCCTGGCTCATCCTCAAGCTCATCCAACACCTTCTTCCCATACAGGTACCCCTCCGCCTCGACCCTAGGCGCCGCCATTTCCTCAGCAAACTCATCCCCATCCCTGACATACCACTTGGCAAATAAATCATTCTGCACCCAAATCACCTTTCCGATCGCCTTGACGAGCGCAATCTTGCGATCCATTCTTAGCTTCGGGTGGCACAGCAACGCCTCGGTAATGGTGTCCTGGATGAAGGCCAGACACGCGCCGATGTGCACATACTCGACGTGCAGGGGGTGCTCGCGGCCCCGCCCGACGTGCATCATGCCTACTTTGTCGAGGTACTCCCAGAACTCGAGGCGGCTGGGGTCGGAGCACAGCTTCGCCAGATAGGCGCGGAGGAACTTCTTGCGGTAGAGGATTTGCGGCGAGTCTTCCGTCAGGTTGGGGTCGACGGGGCCTTCGTAGCTTGTGCTGCGCGTTTCGAAGGCGCGGGCCGTGATGTCGTATTGCAGGAGTTTTTGGTACACGATGTTGACGATGGCGGGGGTGAGCTGTTTGATGTATTTGGAGCCCCAGATCAGGGCTTCGATGTCGTCTGCTGGCGTGTTAGTGGTGGTGTAAACGGAGGAGTGTGAGGGGATGTACTTGAGCTGAAGTCGAGGAATGTGTGTAAATATTGAATCCGCGCCTCGAGGTTGGTGTACAGATCTTTTCGATCGATATGTTTCATCGGCCGCGAATTGGGTGCCATCTTGACGTCTGGCGGACTAATACTCCGTGTTGGACAGGCAAAGTGGGATGGTGGTTATCGGTCAGTCTCCGCTGGAGTGAAGCCGCTTTGATTTATGGGATGACAATGGAGAAAACTGATCACGGTAGCCAACTATGTAGATTTATTTCAAATGCCTTATGAACCCAAAGTGGCGCCGCAGTGTTGGCTTACAATTGACCTCGTTGTATTTGGCGCATCGAGTGACAGACTGATAGTGGCATGATGTTGTGGAGCCATTTGAGCACCCCGTCGAACGATCCCCAGAGATTTCCGATGAGCTGAAAGTACTTAACCAATCGTACGACCTGGATTATCGTTTAATCATCCCCACCATCATATGTTACTACGGTATCAGGCCAAAGTTTTCACCCCCTTGACAAGTACCAGTGGACCACTACCAAGGTAACGCTATACTGATTCTTACCGATTCTTACCTAGCCTATTCATACTAACGAAAAGGTACTTCCACCTCTGATTCCAACTTGCTGTTAACGCGTCCTAATTATCGCGTATGTAGCAACTACAATAGGGACTAAACACCTTACAGAAGCAGATCGCTAACGAATTCGAACCCTCCATTTCGACGGTGGTAAATCGAAAGCCGAAATTCAAACTACTACAACGTTTTCTTTTAATCTGATTAAGACAGCTAGCTGTTAAGGTCGCTTCAAGCCAGGTAGCTAAGAGTTGGCTCGTGCCTAGGTGGAGCACGGTACAAACACACAATTGAAAACTTACCCATGATACCATAGTACACTGCCTACTTTATGCGGGTTAATATCCAGCTAAGGATTCGCACCAGGATTCTCTCCGCGAACATTTCGTCGGCCTGCGTTCCTGTGGGGATGCACGAGGATTGATCACACCACTTGGAGCTCAAAGAGCAGGGTGGTAACCGTGCGGGATGCAGCGACTCGCTAATGCTAATCGCAGGGATTGCGGGAGCTATACTCTAGAACTGGATAACCCTGCCTGACTTAAATATCTGACATCGGGATCTAGCCCTACAAGGACTCAATTGGACAACTTATCACCCGATCATGCGAGTATGCCGAGCCATATGGCGATGTAGAGATAAATTCCCTATTTTGGACGACATCATACATGGGAACCGATGCATGAGGGTATAGTACGTATGAACTTATGAGAAGGCATTGGGGCCACTGTTTCATGGCTGATCTTCTTTGTTCTTTCTCTTCATGCCCCTTTGCTGTCAAGTCTAGTGCTAAACTCTTTTATTCCAAGCACGATTCCAATCGAAGTCTGAAACATCATTGAATTCAATAAGCTTTTTATAACCAAGGGAGGGCGATGGGAGCTGGGCATACTTTACTAGTATGAGCAGTAAAACACCCTACTCCCAGCATATTTTCCCAGAGGATATCTCAAGCAGCTACCACCTCTCTAAGAAATTTAATCCTCTTATCCGCCTGTTCAGTCTTCAATGTGAAGCCCCCAGTCACTCAACAATCCACATCCAAACTCCTGTCCAACAAGCTCCCCACCCAACTGCCAAAGCCTTCCCACACTCTCCTCCTCCCGGGCCCACCCCTCTGCCTCTACAATCTTGCTGTCATCAAATGAGCTGGCGCCCTCCCCTCCACCTCCGAATCCAACGCCGCAATCTGTGCGAATGTTCCCCCTCTCGGCTCCTCAAACACAATATCCATCCCCGTAGTCCATTTCATCGCCGGAATAATATCACCGTAATCCTCAAACATCAGATGTGCACCAAGGTGGCTATCGTTGTTGTACTCCGGGTGCACGGCCGCGATCGTGATGCCGTGTTTGCGGAGCCGCTGGCGATGCCCGTACGTGAACAAGATGTTGGCTGTCTTGGCTTGACCTTAGCCCATCCGTGGTCGTATGTTTTGCCCGTGGGGACTTTGTAGTCGTCGAAGCGGAAGGGGGTTATGATGTAGCCCAAGCTAATTAAGTTAATAATTCGGGGGTGGGTGTGGATGCGGCGGCTAGGAGGGAGGGCATGAGTAGGTTCGTTAGGAGGAAATGCCGACGTGGTTAGCGGATAGTTGCATTTCGATATCCTGCTTGTCGACGGTGTATTCCTTAATAGCTATAACGCCATCTCTGTTGATAAGAATATCAATCTTGAGTGCTGCGTGTAGAATCTTGGGAGTAGCCTGCCGGACCGAATCGTGGCCCGATAGTTCAACTTGAACGCAAGTTCTCTTGATAGAGCTGTTGCATGTTTTCTAGTACCGGCTCAACCTGGGATACCGTCCGTGAAGGGATGAGGATGTGTGGGGTGATGATTTCGCTAGTGAAGTGGCTATCTGGCTGCATGGGGATCTGAGGTGGCAGGGTCTGTGCGATATGGACAGCAACCGATAATGGCAGCAATCTACGTACTATTTTGGGAGGATTAAGCGGTCGAAAGAGGACAAGTGTTAGACCTTATAACTACTAATATGACCATACTCTACAACGAGTTGTTCCCTCGTCTTTTAACGGACATTTTGTCCAACAAGAAGTCTATTGTTATGTTGCATCAAGTCCAGCCCAATTTCGCCCTTGGTATATTCCTCTTTCTATTCGGTCGTGTGCACTTAACCATCGCTATAGTTGCCTCAACAAAGTCAAATATCTACAAGTCTCTATCTTAAGAGTTGAATACATGTCTAGAACCCAACTACCCAGCTGAGGGCTATGATTCAATTATATTTCATCCATCAGATGGGAAGGACCTGGGTACGAGTGCCTTGTACTGGGCATGAGGACCGTAAGATTTGAGATGTCGACAGCCAGTCATTTAATCGTAGACCTGAATTGTTTTCATAGAATGTAATATATTCACGCTTGGCCTGCTAAAGGCCTGCGGTGAACCCCTATGGGGGATCCTAGCGGATCTGGCAACAGCTAGCTTTAGGCTGGGGTACTACCCGGAGCGCTTCCGCTCAGCGAGGGTGGTTGTTATCCCTAAGCCTAATAAAACGACAGCTCAGAAGCAGACCCCTGGCGGCTGGCGCCCCATTGCCCTGCTTAGCACGGTAGGGAAGGTAATAGAGACGGCGATGAGCCAGCGTATCACCAAAGTAGCTGAGGCGGCCGGCCTACTACCAAACGGCCAAATGGGTAACCGCGCTGGGAGGTCCACCGAACTGGCAATACGTATAGTTGAGGACGTGGTCTATACGGCGTGGAGACGCGGGGGCATCGCCTCGCTGCTACAGCTAGACATCAAGGGGGCATTCGATACGGTCAATTACAGACGGCTGATTTCCATATTAGCCCGGAAAGGCTACCCGGAGTGGGTTCAGGAGTGGGTACGCAGCTTCGTGGAGGATAGGACGGTACGCCTCCGGTTCAATGGCAAGGAGTCAGAGCCAATCCCCCTACGAGCTGGCGTCCCCCAGGGGTCACCGCTATCCCCGATACTGTTTATATTATACATTTCAACGCTGTACGAGGAGCTAGCGGAGCAGCACCCACTACTTTTAGTAGTCGGGTTCGCGGACGACACGAACCTGCTAAGCGTCGGCACCGATCCAGACACGACCTGCCGCCGGTTGGAGAGCGCATGGGCTACGTGTCAGCGGTGGGCAGTGAGGCACGGGATGGAGTTCGCTCCTGACAAGAGTGAGCTAATGCACTTTACTAGGGCCCGAGAGCCCTTGCCGCAAAGTATTCGCCTTGGGGACGCCACAGTGTCGCCGGTAGTCTCAGCCAGGTTCCTAGGAGTCTGGTTCGACCGCAAACTGACGTGGCACGCCCATGTTGAGCGTGTTAAAACAAAAATGGCAACTCAAAAGCTAGCCCTGACAAAGCTAGTCAATGTGTCGTGGGGCTGCGATCTTATACGGGCGAGGCTGTTATATACGGTGGTTATCCGTAGCGCAATCGCCTTCGGGGCGACTGCGTGGCATACTATAAGTGAGGAACCGGCAGGGCCAGCTAAGAGCCTGATGGGGATACAGAACGAGTGCCTCCGGGTAGTCTGTGGCGCCCACAAAGCGACGCCGGTTCGCCACCTGGAAGCAGAAGCAGCAATCCCGCCACTAGACCTCTATCTTAGTGCCCGGGCTGCTAAGTTTGAAGAACGGCTACGGCTTAGCGGGAAGAGAAATCTGCTTCGCAGCGCGAGCGCTAAAGCGTCACATATACTCCGGCAGGATAGGCCGGCGAAGAGGAAGCAGGCGTCGCAGCTACTCCGACCGGCAGGGTACACTATGGAGAAGGAGGCCCGGGGCTCCGAGTGGATGAGTGAGGAAAAGGAGGTCCCGGCTGCCCTCCTCGGCCACTGGAGGAAGAGATGGCTCACCGGAGCAGAGCATCACGATCGCCAGCGACGCGCTATCGCTGAGGAACCGGAGGGCCCTTCGATGCAGATACCGAAAGGGGGCAGGTATTTCGGCCTGAACCGACTGGAAGCGTCTACGCTGTGCCAGATCAGGACGGAAAAATAGGACTAGCAGCCTTCTTATTCAAGACAGGGGCTTTTGGCGTGTACTCACCGCTATGCCGCTGTGGCGACGCCCATGAGACGGCAGAGCACGTAATCCTCTTTTGCGGGCTGTTGGAAGGACCGAGGGAACGATTACGGGCCGCCATCGCACCACGGCCACTATACTCTCGCAGAGACCTCGCAACGGCAACAGGAGAACCAGTAGTTAGTGGGACTATTGTAAGGTGGCTGCTAGGGACGGGTCGGACAGCTTCAAGGCCCAGATAGCATCGATCTTCTCAGGGGGGACTTTGTTGGTAGATTGAGAACCAACGTAGTATGGTAGTGGACGCAACGCAGTCGCCAATAGGGCGAACCGACGACGCAGCGTATGTATTTAGTCCAGCCATTAGGGCACGGTTTGACATACGGGAATACTAGCAGAGGTACCGGGGGCTTCGAGCCTACGGCGTATTTAATAATAAATAATATATTCACGCTCGAGCGACATTATAGTAGCGTAGCGCAGGAATTGAATCTTGGATAATTCCCCACAGACAAATGATGGTAGACTAAGCACGACGATATGATATAAGAAATAAATTGATTACTCTACTACGGACCCCGGGTGGGGTGTAAAATATGCAGGGGCAGGGACGATACACACCAACCAGCGCGCCAGTGGGAATTATTTCTTAGCCAGCTGCTTTGAGACAAGCATCAACGGACGAGGATACTCAGTGGGTTTGGGTAGATGTGCCTGGACAGACTGCCAGATCTCGAGCTGGGCACGGTTGTGTCCATGGACATTAGAGCGGCATTGGAGACGTACATCGGTGTGTTGGTCGTGAGGGCGACGGTGATGCGAAATTGAACATGTAAATAGAAGAAAACGCAGTCGAAGTCGAGGCGTATTAGTTGGGCGAGGTGAAGCTGTGTCCGGCAGTTCCGAGTCATCAAGCCAACAACAATAGTGCGATCAGAGTTCATGCACGTACGTAGCGTATAGTATCAAGAGTATCGCTTGACTCTTCTGCCTTTGTGGGAATTGGGAGATGATTGGCGCTCCTCCTTTTTGATGGATGGTGGACTGTAGTGTTTATTGTGAGATGGTCGCCGTTTCCGGTCTTGGTATGCGTCCACAACCGGTTTCTGAGGGAGGGGGTGAGTCGAGGGGGGCGTTTCCTAATCTTCCTCGATCTCGCCCTCCTCGCTGCCAGAGTGCACACCAGCATCTTTCTTGGAAGGTGGCTGGACTGCCGGCGGGGTCCTAGTTTTCTGATGGCCATCACGAGGTGGGGAGCGCTCACGTGGGGTTCTCTCTCTCTTAAGTCTCTGCACTACCTGTCAGTGAAGATTGACGAAACGACAGGCGGAGTACTAACCTTTGAATCTCTTGAATCGCGACGGTCATAACCTTCGTCATCATCCGCTCTGCGGCGGCGGGAAGAAGTCGGCCGGTCATCACCATAAGGTAGCTCATCAACTGGTGCCCTTTCTACTCGGCGGCGATACAATCGTTCGCGCTCTTCTTCGCGGTCTCTTCTTTCACGATCATAGTGACTAGGCGGTTCATCACGCCGGGACCGGGGAACGTAGTCTCGGTCCCTCTCCCGAACATCGCGGACGTCCCGAACGTCTCGTTCGCGATCGCGATCACGGTCCCGCTCTTTTTCACGATCACCACGCTCGCGGTCGCGGTCTCGCACGTCACGGACGTCACGATCGCGGTAGGTGTCGGAGGTCCGACGGTCAGATAACAAACTCTCAGCCATGCTCGACTTACGATAGTTCTTCTCCCGCTCAGCAATCGCCTTGCGGCGGTCTGCTTCGTAAGCATCAGGCTCGGGGCTGCGGCTGTGACGAGAAGGTCGAGCTCGGTCGCTGCGATGAGATCGGTCCCCTCTATCTCTCTCTCTGTCACGGTACGTACCACGATCAGGGGATCGTTCCCGACGTTTGGGACGCTCCCTGTCTTCCTCCTCGCGGTCCCGAACGCGTCGAAGTACTTTTTCGAAGGCGGCTCGTCGGGACTCCTCAGACGTGACCGCTTGGAACTCAGGGGCTCGCACAAGCCTGGGTCGTACTTTTTCCCACGTGTCATCAGCCAAGACGGGAGGATCCAAATGTTTGATATGAGAGCGTAAGTCATCAAAAGCTCTACGTTGCTGGCGCTCGGTTTGTTTGTCCGCTTCATCAGCACGTTTCGTCTTCTTTTCTTGCAGCTGTGGTGTCTTTTAGCACGAAACGAGCAAATTACGGCTGGGGAAGGGAGGTGCTTACCCGCTCAAATAGCAGCGTGAGAATATCACGTTCAATGTTAGCAGTTCGTCTATCATTCTTCATGACAGATAGGAACTCCTCGAAGGTGGTTTTGGGGGTCAACTCAAAGCGATTGTCCTAAATGAAATGTCAGCAATTTGATGAGTGACAACAGCGCTTCTTCAGATTAAGCTAAACTTACGTCCATCACATCAAAGACTTCGTTTCTGGTGCTACGAAGCGCACGCTCCTCTTCTTCCACGATGTCCCAGAAGAGCTCAAGAGGAGGGGAACCTTCCTGGCCCAGTACTTGCAGGAAGCGCTCGTCGTTCTCAATCAGAGGGAAAATCTGGCCCCACTTGGTGCCGGCCTTGATCTTGCCGGCTCTTCGCAGTTCTTGGAGTAGTCCCACGAACGCATCGCGACGCTTTCGTGCAATTCGGAACTTGCGATTCTTCTCAATCTGCTTGGCCTCGTTGAAGTTACGTTCCAAGGTCTTGATGTGAGTTTGGAAAGCAGTGAGAATATCAAAATCGTTAAGGGTTTTGTACTTCTCCTCATTCTGGAAGGGGGCGGTTGACTTGAGAATACCTTGAGCTTCAGCCCAGCGTGTATAGGGCTCCAAGTTGAGCTTTGGCAGCAGCTCGAGCAACCCATCGATGGCGCTCTTTCGCATTGTGGCCTGGTTCTCTATGTGTGCCTTCTTGAGATCCAGGATGTAGTCCTCGAACAGCTGATGCCGTTCATCGTCATTGTTAGTGGAGCGGAAGATGGTCTCACCAGCGATAATTGGTCGAGCTGTCTTCCACCGTGTGTAATGCTTGATCTCAGGATGGCTCTTCAGCATGGTGCCAAAGTCAGCACGCAACTTCGCTAGTCTTTCCTTGGCTTTCTCCTTATCTTGGATGATCATGTCATGACAATATCTCTCAAAGGCAGCCTTTCGATCCTTGGGGTCTTTGATAGCGCGATACTGTGGATCCTTGATGGTAGCCTTCATGGCCTGCTCCCAGGACCAGTCGGGCTGGACACCGCTGCGTTTAAGCAGTTTCATGAAAGCGGCCTCGGCCTCTTCAGCAGTGGCGTATTCGGGCTCGTTGCTGGCAGGGACAAATGCCCGGACGCTAGGATCACTGCCATAGGTTAATTGTCGAGATTCCGGATAGGCATCTCGAGAGTCACGACGATCATCATATCCCTGATTCGAATACCCACCACCGGAAGCAAAGGGGGGCGCAGCACTACATCATATTAGCTACATAGAAAGGCAGTCTGGCAGGTCAGTGTACTTACGCGGGAGTCGGCGGGGCACTATCGTGACCCAGAGCCCTCTTATAGGCTTCGGGCATTTCCCAAGAGCTTTGCTTCGTTTCGGTATTGTACCAGTACTTGCGACCGCCCTCGGCAGTGTACTCCTTCCATGGCTGATTGGCGAGCGCGCGCTGAAATCAGTTAGCTTAGCCAGCTAAACCAGCCAACATATACATACCTCAGCGGGCGTCATCATATCCTCGGGCTTGGTCCATTGTGTGACCTTGGTGATTGAATTGTAGTAATAGGCGCGACCATCGGGGGTCTTGTGCTCTTGCCATGGATTTGGCTGGCCATAATGGCCATTGGCCCCATTCATCATCTCGAAAGTCTCGACAAATAACGTGATTGGCCGATTGGTGAAGGTTTTGTCGGCAGTGCTGGGCGGGAGCGCTGGATGCTGACGCGACTCGAGAAACAGGGCTATTCGCAGGCTAAGTAGAGAAGACTACGGCTGCGGATCAATGCAACGCAACGGTGGCGTGAGTGGCGGCAGAATAAGTCGAGGGGTGGTTATAAGCTGCAACTATCAAAGACGAGCCTCTCTGCTTAGAAGAGTGTAAAGCCGTGCGTTGAGGAAAGTCAACTGGCAATAGCTGCTTCGCGCCGGTATCAAGCTTGAAATTTTGTAGGTGGAGGTCGCGACAGTGAGGAGGCTGAAGTTTTGGAACTGACTGCACTCAATTGTCTTGGTCGCACAGACCACACCTAGTTAACTCGGAACCGGCAGCAACTGCAGTCAAGGCCACTGCAACAGGGATGCGCAGCGGCTCAAGCTTCTGCAGTTCACTTATCGCAATCGCAACATCACCTAGAAGACACATTCACCCTGGAATGTGGTTTCAGTACTTGACAAAGTTGGCTGCAATCTTCTAACAAAAGATTATGATTCTATATTCACAATTTAACAGCAGGCTTGGGTGAATTACCATTGTGTCGGCCCTGCGACATCACAATGGCCGAATCCACGATGCAACCTGGCTCTATGTCCGAGATGGACCTCATCGACGGCTCGGGCCTAACATATTTTGTGCCCCTGACAACCGATCTGAAGCTCGAAGAAGCTCTAAAGACCGCGGCAGAAAGTCCAGGGATATATATCGAGTCTATAGAATGCCGCGAATCGTTGCTATTCGGTGCGTCAGGTCCCTGCGGATTCCTGCGAGTCCATTTCTCACGTACTCATTCTTAGATCCCAGATGAATCCGTTGACGTACATCTTGTCCTACGAACTCCGCCCGTCGACGACCGACAACTCGACTTAAAGTCATTGGCAAGCCGGCTGGTGATATCTTTGGAGGTGCACATCGTTAACAGCAATGCGTCCGATCGAGATGCACCGTCGGGTTCCGAACTTATATTCTCCGGGAGAGTCGAGGACTCGGGGGGGTCATTGATAGTGGCCGGCGAAGCGGCTGATGCCGATGGGAACAATGAACGGAAGTGCCACAGATACCTTGTGTGGAAGCTACCTGTATTCCTTAATCGGCCACGAATGAGGCTGCAGTCGCCCTCAGTAGTATTTGCAGCTACCGCCAGCTTGAAACCGGTTGACTCACATCTGTTAAGCGGGCGTCGCGAGGGCTACTTGCAAAGCGGTTCAGCATTTGGCTTGAACCTCCTTGAGTCTCTCGGAAACGATCCGGCACTAGACGGTATCAAACCGCGTTTGTCGGCCCTCAGGGTGTCGCGCGTAGCACCTATTACCCAAGAAGCCAAGGACTTGTTGATGCCCATCAGAGCGCACCCGAAACAGTTTTCACTCCGGATATATCCTGCTGTACATTCGCGCATACGCTTTGCGCGCCCAAACACGACTCCACCAAGTCCAGCGATAATCGCCATGCTTGAAATCGACTTTACGCCCTTTTTCAACTACGAAATCACCCTCAAATCAATAAGTATGACAGTGCCATACGGTGTCGTCGAAGGCCTGACGTTCCAGCCGGAGATGAAGTTGCCCATGTCCTGCGTGGCGCATGATCACATCACATTTCTTTACCGCGTTGCGCCAGAGGGGGCAGACATGTTGGCTAAGAACCCGACACGGGATCTGAATATCTCCATCGAGGCAACCGCACTAGTCCAGCCTGGTATTTGCACCCCAAAACTGACCCTATCGTGGACATCAGCGCTGGACTTTACGCTACCAGTTAATCCAGGCTTTGGGTCAGCGATGCAGCCGATTCAGCGTGCTCATAGGCCGAGCCAGCTGTCTATCAATAGCATCACATCACTTATCGCTCCTGCCGTGGCACGACCCGATGCGCTGCCATTGATGGAAGACGCGTCAACGAGATTCGACGCTAACGTTCCTGAACTTGGGATTACCATGACATTTTCTGCCCCGTCGGTGGCTGAGAAGATTTGCCCGGGTGATGAGTTTACCTGGACCATCTTCGTGGTAAACCGCTCTCTACCGACGTCAAACAACCCACCAAGGAAATTGGCTCTTGTGGCGATTCCAAAGCGCCGCAGGAACGAGAGTAGAGTCAACCGTCCACCCTCTATCTCCCAACCGCCCATGATTTCCTACGGCTCCGTGCGCCCTAGGACGCCACGAGACAGAAGCGTGGCCGATGCAGTTCTAGACGAGAACATCGTGCATGCCATGCAGAAGAGCAGCATCGTCGATAGTGTCGAAATGGTGTGCTTGAGCGCGGACGTGAGAGTTGGCCCCTTGCCACCGGGGGCTTGTCACGTTGTTGAGTTGCGGTTCATGGCGTTGAAGAGTGGTATCGTGGGTATGGATGCGGTGAGGGTTATCGATCTTGGGAGTTCGGAGCATGTAGATATTCACGATCTACCTACTATGATGGTAGAGGACCCGGAAGATGAAGGCAATGGGATCGATAACGCGACGGAGGGACTTACCGCCGTTGCGGCGTGAGATTTATGGCGCAAGGTGTCGCTCAGTTTGATGCTTGGTATTATTTGTGCCGACATCTCGAAACGGAAAAGTGAAGGGGCACACGATTATGGCGTGGTTTGAGAAATCACCATATACCCAATCTGAGTCTTGCAGAATTCAAACTGGTCTTCCATTTAATGTAGAGCCAGCAAGTTTGACAACCAAAGCCAACGTTTTCTATTAATACAAAATACTCTATCCTCGATTGGTCGTTGCCAAAGCCTACCAGATGTTGTTGGTTGATTAAAATAATCATGGCAGATTGCACCATAGGAAACTTGGCGTGCAGACACAACAGAAGCCTGGGAGTTGTTCTATCATAAATATCTAAAGGCTGCCAAGAAGCAGTAGATCGTTTGTCATAGGTATATAAAAGCTTTATAGAAGCTTCGAGTCGCTATCGTTAGACCAACTACACCAGCCTGAATTGCTTGTCGACGAACGGTATAAGATACTTGAATCTGGGTATCCGATTGGCACGATATTTGTCACCCGATCATAAAAGGTCATCTCCCACACTGTCTCTTAGATGTCGCGCTCAATACCGCTACGCTCGAGGGGCGCGTCTGTTGACAATGATCACAAAGAGATCATGGAAAGCCGTAAATACTTACCAGTGGGCGCTCAATCAGACTGGAGAATATACCTACCCGAAATGTTACTTATGGAACACCTCACTGCAGGTCCCGATCATAACCTCTATTTCAATGGTCCTTAAGATCGAAGTAGCATATAAACTCTTCGCCAACTGTTCACTATCCTGATCCACACAATAGTGGCCTGGTCTTTAAGAAAATGATATATCCGCCCTTCGGCATATCATTGAACACCTAGAGACGTATTTCTGGTCGAAGGACGATTTTATTCGGCCTACGTCATCGGTTGCCTGGCCAAGCTATCAGAGACACGGGACTCTTTACCCAACAACTTTGATACGCCGGGACTGATTAGGACACATTCTCACGAAAGTGGGACATCCCTTGGGCGATGCGATCTTCGTTCAAGTCACGTCTGATGCACGTATCTTGGCTGAACTCCGAGTCTTCCGAATTTGTTCTTCTCCATCGAAATTTCGTTTTATTGATCAAGGGCTGGCACACTGCTGCCAAACCAATCTCCCAGTGCTTCTAATCTAAGCACCCATCAGCCTCTACTGATGGAGCACATTCCAAGAATACCTGACTCCATGAGTCAAGGGATATCATGCAATGCAGTAGACGGCAGTCACCCACTTCTTCCGTTTGCCCCTCAATCTACGAAATTGGTGCCAAGAGTATCTCTGATCTATATAGAAGATGTTCTCTGCTTTCAAGGCACCAATGCAGCTGATTATTGCTCTTCATAGGACCAGGCAGAACAGGGGATAGACTGCCGTCGCCGCGTTAGCCGTCAGGCTCATGAGCATCTTCGCCACTGCCCTCCTCGTCTGAACCCGACGAGTCCTGTAATCCGGCGGCGCTGCGCTTACTCCAATTTTGGATGCCTAACACGCCAAAATCAGGTAGAGGTATGTACGGATGCCCGTCGCTGTCATGTTGTACATTACGGCCATCGTTCTTGTTCCGACGGCGCTCACGATGGGGGACGCCCTTTTCAGGAACTAGAACTATCCTCTTCCAAGAAGAACTATTGAACTTGTTAGCAATGTGATGTTTCAAGTATGAATCGTCGGGGAAAGGGGAATCTTACGTAGTTTCCATTCAGTTTCTGATCCTGGTCTAGCTGACTGTTCAGCTTATTGATGCGAGGACGGTAGTTGGTGGGATCGCGTCGGAAAGTGACGTCGAGATTCTTCAAGAAGGCGTTGCAACCAGTCAAAAGCGACTCTGGGGTGTTAGCATGGGCATTGACACCGGGCTGACCATCGAAGACGATCACACGATCAGCCAGGTATGTAGCCATGATGAAATCGTGCTCCACGATAAAGGCTGTCTTCTTGGCGTGCATGATGAAACGCTTGATGACACGGGCTGCAATGATACGCTGTTCAGAGTCCAGGTAGGCAGAAGGCTCGTCGATCAGGTAGATATCCGCGGGAATGCCGAGTGCCAGAACAATGGCTACACGTTGCAATTCACCACCAGACAGGTTCTTGACTTCTTGGTCAATGAAGTCGTCGAGTTTCAGGGGTTTGACGACATCGGTTTGGAACTGCGGCGACAAGAACATGGATCTGATCTTCTTGAAGAAAAGTTGCCGAACGGTACCATCGAATTTGGGCGTGATGGTCTGAGGCTTCATGCTGATCTTCATATCGGGAACCTTTTGGGTGCCATCGGGCTTGAGAGCACCTGCCAACATCTTACAGAAAGTGGTCTTTCCCGTCCCGTTCTCACCCATCATGACGATGATTTCCGAGTCGGTGAAGTCGCCCTTGTCAATGCGCAGCTTGAAGTTGCCCAGGGTCTTCTCCATCTTGGGGTAGTTGAAGGCGCGACTCCGGTCAGTGACAAAGTCATCGGCACCTTCAGAGAGACGGAATGTCAACGACTCCTCGCGGAAACGCAAATTCTCCGTCGGAATATGACCATCCAGGAAGATGTTGATACCTTCACGAACAGAGTGAGGCAGTGTGACGACACCATAGACAGCGGGCCGACCGTACAGAACGCAGATATAGTCGGAAAGGTAGTCGAGAACTGACAGATCGTGCTCTACCACGATGACATAATTGGTAGATTTCAAGAGAGACCGGATGATTCTGGCAGCGGCGAGACGCTGCTTCACATCCAGGTAAGAAGACGGTTCGTCGAACATATACACATCGGCTTTCTGGACGCAGACAGTGCCGATAGCAAATCGCTGAAGCTCACCACCAGAGAGTTGATTAACGTCTCGCTCTAGAAGATGGCGGAGTTCAAGCACATCGAGGATCTGATCCAGGTTGCCGAGCGAGGCGCGCCCCTGTAGCAATCCCTTGACTGACTTGTCCGGGGTCCGGACAGCCTTAGGGATCTGGTCGACATACTGAGGCTTCACAATAGCCTTCAAGTCATCTTCGAGGATCTTGGTGAAGTAGTTCTGCAGCTCAGATCCTCTGAAGTGCTTAATAACATCCTCCCAGTCAGGGGGGTTGTCGTGCCGTCCCAAGTTGGGCTTGAGCTTCCCGCTGAGAATCTTGAGCGCGGTACTCTTTCCAATACCGTTTGTTCCAACGAGACCCAGAACTTGGCCCGGTCGTGGCATGGGCAGGCGGTGCAGTTTGAAGCTATTGGCTGAATAGCGGTGTGTTACTTGGGACTCGAGGTTTGTCGGCAAATTGATGATGGTAATGGCACTGAAAGGACACTTCTTGGGGCAGATACCACAACCAATGCATAGGGACTCCGAGATGAAGGCAAGCTTCGAATCGGATGCGACCTCAATACATAGCTTGCCACTGCGGACCACCGGGCACGACTTCTTGCATTCTTGTCGACATTTCTAGAGGGGTAAGTCAGCAAACGTCGATAAAGGGCAGGTTTAGGCACTTCGCAAGAAGGGTACCTTCGGCTTGCATTTGTCACTGTTGACAATGGCGATTCTAAACAAACATTAGCGAAGGTGTCCAGGAAGACCTGTATCGTAGTTGCAGGTCGGTGCAGGGAATCACTGGAAGCAGCGACAAAGACGGACCTGGTGAGCTTGTCTGACATGATTGCCGGATGGGGGTCCAAAGACGGGTGTGGAAAGTGCAACGGCGATGGAAACGCTTCAGAGAAGACAGTGGAGAATAGAAGAGGAATTCCTCGTCCCAGGGCACGCCGTAGCCTGGTTCACTGGAGACTTTCCAGGCAGCTTGAATTACAGCAGAGATGGGGAAAAGACGAGATGGAAGGGCTGATGCAAAGGTTCAAGGGCCAAATAGACGTCGCTTCATTTACAATTTTTTGTGGGCGGGGCAGTGTCGCGGGGTCGCAAAGTTGCAGTTTTGCCTTATGCTGCCAGCCCGAGGGCCGATTGATTGTTAATGGTGTTTTTGGCGAGATGTGACTGGACAGATCCATGACTTGAAGACTTGGCCCGAGCTGACTTGTTCTTTAAGTGATACAACAAGCCACCGTAAGATACATGAGTGGTTGATGGGCCTAGAAACTAAGATGCCTAGTTGTGTTCTTGCAAGATATAACTGCATTTGCTAACCTCTTGTTGCCGAGAACAGAAATGAAACTAGTGTAAAACCAGCTATACAGGGTCACAGCAGCATACCAGGGTTGTTCTGTGTGCCTGTGGCTCTGTCAACTGTCAATTTGTCTTGTTACTTGACTGGCTCTGGATAGAAGGGACTGTACCTTGGTTTTTCACTACAGGTGTGGAAAAGAATTAGCTTGACCAATTTGGGCCAAACGCAACTAACCTACTTTAGAACTGCAGCCTTTTGGACCGAGAGCCTTCCGAATTTGTCTAGGGGAAGTCCTAGCTGAGTTCGACGACCTCAATAAACAACTACTATCATCACGGATGGATTCCAGTTTCAGGTTGGATAATTCATTCCTGTTACTTCACAGACAATGTGAATCAACTATAATGCATTCATGTTTGCAATGACATGACACTGATGTGGCCACCATGTGTTTTGTTTCATTGCTTCAAACATACATTGCAAACCAAGTCTGTGCTACATCATGATGATTTTGATAAGGCGTCCTATCTTACAGTGATTCCGTCTTCTATTCCAAACGCATCTGATTCCCAGGATAATGACGTTGGTAAGGCTTGCTCTTGGAGTTCTGCTATAGGTTAATTGAAACCAAGTACTGAAGTGGCCCACCGAGCCAGGCTAGCAAACAACTCTTCGCTTCCACTATGTCTGGTTCTGCCTTTGTTAGCCATATCTACAACATAAACAGTGCAAAACATTTAGAAGAGTCCGGTTGGTTAAAACAACAGCCAGAGGTTCGACCCAGACAACTTTGGAAACACAATGTAGAAGATACCCAAATACACCAGAAAAGTTTAGAAATTTTAATTCAAAAGCTCCCGCAAGATGATAGTCCACAACACTAAATATTTTCTTGGCCAATTTGGGCCAGAGAATACTTGGAAGAGAAAGAGGAAGAGGAAGAATATCCTTAGAATAAGACACAAGGAAACTGCGAGACAGAAAATTTTCCCCATGATTTGAAATAATGGCTTTAGTATATTCGACGAAATATATACAGGTGACCCATAACACTGATGTTGGTATGCAGTCTGAATGCCACTTGCATCAGCTGCAACATGTAACTCCCCAGTCCAGAGTGAATGTAACATTTGAGCACAGCTTTGAACAATACAGTAAAGCTTTAATTGATTGGCGGGGAGCTTTTCTGGAAAGCGATTCAGCTCCAGCTCCAAATTCACTGGACTTCATGCCGCAACCATCTTCTTTGTCTGCTTTGCGGTCATGACTGGCGCCTCTTTAACCTATATTGCAACCAACTCACACCTGGCAGTTTGGACAATCAGATCCCCAGACCAGCTCGGACCAAGGTGCCAGCTCAGAGTCCAAGCTCCCGAGGTTTTGCCCCAGCGATACCAAACCTTTTTCAGCACTAGCGGCCGTGCACGACCTTTTCCTGCCGCCTCAGATCAACTTGCAGTTCCTCGAAGATAATCCTGTGAAGTCGCTTCACCTCCAGTACCTTTTCTTCAGCACTTCCCACTCATACCCACGCAAGCCACACCCTTGCCTTTCAACATCGTTACATTTTCCGTCGGGCTCTTGTATTCGCTGCCTGGAGGGCACAGTCGATGACTTGTAAGTTGTTTCTTTTACAAATGGCGGCTGAGAAGCTGTTGGCGAGGCTGGCCGACACTTCGCGTTGCCGTTGCTGGAGCATCAGATCCAGTCCGAATACAAGCATAAGTGCCCCTGCTATCAAGCCATTCGCTGCATCTGAGCTCTTCGGACCTCTGAAACTAGATGGAGTCGACTGTCGTCGATGCTCTAGACACTCTTGAAATGCTTCATTGTCCCTATTGGTGCCGACTGGAGACAATTGACTGTGTTTCCTCAACATCAGCCTTGCGTCCATCGACCAAGTACCCGCGATGCGCCAGGTGGATTCTCAGACTGGTTCTCTCTGTTATTCTGATTTTATCTGTTGGTTCTAAGTCGCTGGCTCTTGAATTTTCCAGCAATACCATTGGTGCTGTAGCTAGAGTATGGCATGGTGGCTAACCTCGTCGTCTTGCAGCAGGCAGCTCGGTGTATAGTCAACAAGAAGATGTCGAGCTCGCCCGAGTTTGCCAATGGCACCGAGTCGCCACCGGCAGACAATAGCATCGATGTCGACCCCGTGGCCAACGATGCTCAAAGCGATAGCGACCTGTCCGAGGTGAACGAGACTGTCGTCATCGCACAACCGCCCTCGCCATCGGGATATCATCACGACTCGGACGAGGATGCGAATGCCGATCTACATACCCCTGATGTCGCCGAGTCGAGTGCAAATGAGGATGTCGATGCCTCAGATGACGCTGACTTCGATGTGGAGAGCCCTGTGCCTTCCAACAGCGATGGCGGCCAAAGGGACCGATCTGCCTCCAACGACTCTCGCCGCGCTCCAAAGCGAAAGGTTGCTGCAGTTGAAGAGGATGAGTATATCATGGCAAATCCCGAGTTGTATGGATTGAGACGAAGCGTATGCCAATAGAAAACTCTGCTTGGAGAAAACTCTGCTGACCGAAGCCCAGACTCGTCCAACAAAACAGTCCAAGATTGTAAGTCGTCGCTCCTATACATCATGGCATGATATATACTGACGATATAGGTTGATTCCGATGATGATGGATCTGATTCTGATGTCCTTCCCACCAGTCGGCGTGCCACGAAGAAGCGACGCGTGGAACAAATCTCTCAACAATGTATGTCTTTCACTTCATCAATCGTGCTACTCACCCCATCATCGCGTCGCCTTCGAAGCTAACTCCTCACCTTTATAGCTTCCAAAAGAGGAACGCCTGCACGACATACTCCTGCCGGCGACTCCGACTCGGAAGACACATACGGCGGCGCCCGCGCTCGTACTCTGATGAAGAAGGCGCGGCGCGAAAAAGCTCAGCCTGAGACCGCACAACTTTATGCTGAGAAGCGATGGTCGAATCGCAGAGCTGCCCAACAAGTACAGACTTATCAAGAGAGCGATGTGGACGATGCGGATGATTCAGAGCTGACGCCTAACTATTGGGCTGGCGAAGAATTGGCTGACGACTCGCCCTACATCGAGAAAGTTGTCGGGCACCGCGTCAAAGATGGCGGGGAGCTGAGATATGACGCAACGAGAGACGATTTCGAGTACAACATCAAGTGGGAAGGCAAATCGTACTTGCATAACACGTGGGATACAATGGAAGTCCTGCGTGGCTATCGAGGAGTCCGCAAACTTGAGAACTACCACAGAAAAGTAGTAGAGTACGAGATTGATCTTCAATTTGGCGGAGATGACATCCCGCCCGAAACCCGAGAGCAGTACTTGCTTGACAAAGAACGCGAACAAGACGCTTTGGAAGATTATACCAAGGTCGAGCGTGTTGTCGCTCAGCGCAGTGGTGATGAAGGCCGAGAGTACTTTGTCAAGTGGAAGGGATTAATGTACGATTGCTGTACGTGGGAACTGGCATCAGCGATCAGCGAGGACGCTCAGGATAAGATTGATCAGTTCCTCGACCGCCAATCCCGCTCGTGGATGTCAGACAAGTACGAGTCGAATCCTGCCACCCGGACGAAGTTCTTGAAGCTGGACAAGCAACCCAGTTACATCAAAGGAGGTGAACTGCGAAACTTTCAGCTTACTGGGTTGAACTTTCTATGTCTGAACTGGTGTCGAGCAAACAACGTCATCCTTGCTGACGAGATGGGTCTTGGAAAAACGGTTCAGACCGTTGCCTTCCTCAGCTGGCTTCGCAATGAGCGCAAGCAAGAAGGGCCATTCTTAGTCGTCGCTCCCCTAAGTGTTATTCCCGCATGGTGCGATACCTTCAACTTGTGGTCTCCTGACCTCAACTATGTTGTCTACCTTGGAAACTCGGATGCGCGAAACACCATACGTGAGCACGAGCTGATATCTAACGGGAATGCTAAGAAGACCAGGTTCAATGTCCTGGTCACATCATACGAGTACATCTTGCAAGACGCAGATTTCCTGCGCAGCCTGAAGTGGCAAGCTTTGGCGGTTGATGAAGCCCATCGGCTCAAAAATAAGGAGTCGAAGTTGTACTCGGAGCTCGTGAGTTTTGGTGCACCCTCGAGACTTCTCATCACGGGCACTCCGATCCAGAATAACCTGGCTGAGCTGTCTTCCCTCCTGGATTTCCTGAACCCTGGAAAGGTTTACATTGACGAAGATCTTGAGACTTTGGCCAGTGTTGATGCTCAAGCCAAACTTCAAGCCTTACATGCTTCCATCGCCCCCTTCATCCTACGGCGAACCAAGGAGACAGTTGAATCGGATCTTCCCCCCAAGACTGAGAAGATCATTCGCGTCGAGCTATCGGACGTTCAACTGGAGTGGTATAAGAACATCCTAACGCGGAACTATGCGGCGTTGAACCAGGGCAACAATGGTCAAAAACAGTCGCTGCTGAATATTGTGATGGAGTTGAAGAAAGTCAGCAATCACCCTTACATGTTCGCCGGAGTCGAGGATAAAGTTCTCGCAGGAAGTGAACGTCGAGAGGACCAGATCAAGGGGCTCATTGCTAGCAGTGGAAAGATGATGCTCATTGACCAACTGCTCACCAAGTTGAAGAAGGATAATCATCGTGTCCTCATCTTCAGTCAGATGGTCAGGATGTTGGATATTCTCGGAGACTATCTCCGTCTTCGTGGCTATCAGTTCCAACGCCTGGATGGAACCATCGGCGCTGGTCCTCGTCGTCTTGCCATCAACCACTTCAACGCAGAAGATAGCCAGGACTTCTGTTTCCTGCTATCCACTCGAGCCGGTGGACTGGGCATTAACCTGATGACCGCGGATACAGTTATCATCTTCGACTCTGACTGGAATCCTCAAGCAGATCTCCAGGCTATGGCGCGAGCACACAGAATCGGCCAAAAGAGACCTGTCATGGTGTACCGACTGGTCTCCAAGGAGACTATCGAAGAGGAAGTTCTGGAACGTGCTCGCAATAAACTCCTCCTTGAATATCTCACCATACAGGCCGGCGTGACGGATGATGGTCAGGCCTTCAGAGAGGAGTTCAGGCAGAAGGGTCTCCGGATAGATGAAGCCAAGTCAGCTGACGACATTCAATGGGTGCTGAAGATGCGGTCCCAGAAGATGTTTGAGCAATCTGGCAACCAAGAGAGGCTGGAACAATTGGACATCGAATCCATCCTTGAGAATGCTGAAATTACCAAGACGCAAGTTTCGGACAAGATGAACCTCAGCACCGGTGGCATCGACTGGGATAATTTCATGCAATACACCGATGTCAAGGTCGACGATCTCACGCTCGACTGGGATCAAATTATCCCCGCAGAGGAATTGGCAGCGATCAAAGAGCAAGAGGAGAAGAAAAAGAGCGAGGAATACATCGCCAAGGTGATGGAAGAGAGCGCTCCCAGGCGCGCTGCGTTGAAGGGTTCCAAGAGCAATAATATCGACTCGGAAAGGGCGGAGCGCATGGCGAAGAAGCGGGAGAGAGAGCAACTCAAGCAGGAGCGCCTTGAAGAACAACGTGCATTGCTTTCTGATCCCAAGCGGCCACTAAACGAAAAGGAGACGCGAAACCTTATTAGGGCTTTCATGCGCTACGGCTTCATGGAAGATCGCCCAGATGAACTCCTGCGCGACGCGCGTCTCAGTGATCGAGACCATGACTTCATCAACGAAGTCTTGAATGATCTCATGCAAACGGGACGTGACGCCGTGGAGAGGAACAACGATGAAATTCGTGCCCAGGAACAGCAAACCAAGAAGAAGCTGACAAAGAAGGACATCAAGGCGGTCATGTTCGACTTTGGTACGGTCAAGAAGATCAACGCCGAGACTATTCTCGAACGTCCGCCCCAACAGCGATTACTCCGAAAGATTCTCAATGAACAGTCCGATTTCCGCAACTTCAGACTTACCGACGCTACTAAAGCCGCTCACTACAGCTGTGAATGGGGTGCGAAGGAAGATGCCATGCTTCTCGTCGGCATAGATCGATACGGATTCGGTGCATGGACTCAAATTCGCGACGATCGAGAGTTGGGCATGCAGGACAAGTTCTTCTTGGAGGAGCATCGCATTGAAAAGAAGCAAGAGCGCGAGCACGGCGAAACCAAGGGTGCCAAAGCCCCCGGTGCTGTCCACCTGGTCCGTCGTTCCGAGTATCTACTCTCGGTGCTTACTGCAGTTTATTCTGATGATGCTGAAGCCAAGAGGGAAGTGCAGAACCACCATCGGAATAATAAGAAATCTGCTTTGAATGGCCATAGACGCCCTGATAAGGTCAGCGCGTCTGCTTCGCCAGCTCCCCAAAACATGAAAAAGGCTCACCGGGATCGAGACCACGAACGATCCCATTCCCGTGGAGACCACCACCGCTCGCGCAGTCATGTAGGGGAGGGCAGCATTCCGCGACCCGACCCAAAGCGGAAGCACAGCGGCGAGGTTGACGAACGGAGGCACAAGCAGCGACGCGTTGAGGAGCATCGCCGTACTGAAGACACCCGTCAGCAGCTTGAGGAGGAAGAAGATGACAGGAGGAACGCACCTGTCATTGAGGCACTCATGCAGCCCATTTGGCCACACGTTGAGCGCGTTGGGTCGTGCACCAAAGCTAATATCCCGGTCGCGAAGGCTCGAGCTAAGGTCTTGAAGGCTCAGATCACGGCAATTGGCGATTTTATTGAAGGCCTGCACAAGACATCAGGATTGGACCGCGAGAAGCTTGCAGAACTCAAGCCCAAGTTATGGTATGTGTTTTCCCCTAATGGAAATGACAGTATAAGGACTGACTTGACTCTCAGGCGGTTCATTTCGAAGAGGATTCCCCCCTCGGAGAAGGAGAAACACGGCAAGGACAACCCGGATCCTATTCGGATGACCGGCCCACGTCTCGCCCGTCTTTACGACCAACTGAAAGCACAACAACTGAAGGAGGCTGAAGATATGAAGCAGAACAACGGCGACGCTCAGAAAACGAAGAGTTCCGACCTGGTTGTGATGAATGGCTCTTCTCGCGCTGATTCCTCCATGTCCAAACACTAACTTCACTATACCCATGAACCTACCAATCAGCGATCTTTCACAAAGGTGCGACCACTTCTATATTGCATGAGACGGCGTTACGGTCTAGCATCATATTTGGTTTTCTATCGGGTCTGGAATCATGACTACATACCCAGAAAAGCATGTTATAGGACACTTGGCGTTATCTGGTCGGCATGATCTTCGGTGCCGCAGTCTGTTAGCTGGCCGTGACACGTGTCCTTGGAGGATGCAGAAGCAGCGGTCAAAGCGGCAGTGTGTCAAAGCGATCATGGGCATCATTGCCGGCAAGACACCTTGACGTACTTATATCACTGGATGTTGTCGGAACAGCGGCAAGTTACTCTAGATGATGGATGTTCAGGGCCGTGTACAATACCGAGTACGCGACAGAGACCATGTTCTGTCGGGTTCATCCACACTTTGCCAGCGGAACAGAATCTGGCCCCTGGCCTCAGCGTTAATACACCTTATAGACACTTACTGCTATAAAATTATGTCAGCGTCCAGGTATTTCCAGACATGATACTTGAAGTTCTTTGGTCAGTGCTTGTGATTTCTCGTGACGAAAATTTGGCAGGTAGCAATCCAAAGCCACGGCGGACAAGCAAAGCGAAAGAGCATATCGCAACTGGGAAGTGGCTTTGCCGTATGAACTTGAACTAGCGTAGCGTTTCCATAGTGTCATGCCTGCCTGCGGCAATACAGGTCATTGTCTTCGGTAGTGGCTCCTAAAGTCTCGACAAACTGATTAACACCGTTGGGACTTTGGCCTGCTCATGGTAAACAGCCATATTCTGTCAAGTAACTAATCTAAATTATCGAGTTAGTTCTCATGCCACTACCTACGTACTTTTGGATGGGAAGTTCAATGGAGGCCGACACTAGCTGCTAACTGCCGCTGAATTCCCTTCCGAGGATTTGGGTTGGGGCTGAGCGCCAATCAGTTGTCTGCGCTAGCGTCGCTACTATAGGAGGTAAAGGCACATGGGGTGTAGAAACTCAATGCTTTAAACCTGTCGTGTTCGCATATTGGTGGTTCTGTTTAGTACTAAATAAATTCATCTCTGGAAAGTCCATGATCTGACCAAGGGGATGTTGACAATAGCGTTTGGCCTAGCCGTGAATGCCTTTTCTGGGGAATGCGAAGGACTGGCGGTGGAAGATAGCGGCCGATATAATCCATAGTCAGGGGGACATTTACAAACCATGTTCACTGCAATTTTAACCCCTACGAAGAGCGCAGGCCTGAGTTGCGGCTCATAATATTCACTGCGATTTCAACCCTCACGAAGCGCCCAGGCTTGCGGAGGAGCCCAAACGTCTGGAGCGATTTTCGCCCAAGGAAAATTTAGGACTTGATCAGACAACAGACTATGAGATCCGGCGAAATACTGCATGAACTACATGAAATATATACAGTCTTGAAATATATATGGAGTAGTTAACGGGCCAAAAAATGATATCGGTGTAACTGCTTGTACCCGAAATCGAAGCACCCGGAAACCAAACTGTCTGGAACCGAATGCGGTATCCTATATGAATACCAAATGCGTCATGCTACAGAGTAAAACTCGTAACGATACTTCTAAATCAAGGGAGGAAATCAAGGCTGCCGAATCTATTTGGCAAATTGATCAAGTCCCGTAGTACCAACCTTCGTTTCGGGGCCTCGCGAAACCGAAACCGGAATCTCGTTTGATAAAGGGGAGCTGGTAGTGGGAGAATCGTAGTTGGCGACATGAAACCTAGAGAAGCAATTTCGTTGTATTATTGGTTTACCATATGAATGCTTCTTGTATGGATACATTAGTATTGACTCCATTGCTGTTAGCATTAGGGGGGTTGGACGCGAGCTGGGGGCGGGGTAGATAACTTCACCATGCATCCAAAAATAAGTTTGACTGAGTTTACTAACAGATATCTTCATCAATTTGGCTGTAAAACAGATTGCCTGCGGATGTTTCTAATCAAACTTCAAGCATGTGGTCGTGCATTCCTTCTCTGCCTATGGTCTAAAAAAGGCCCAAAAGTTCCAAGAGACAGGACAATACCAACGTGTGTGTCGAAGAGGTTGAATGTCATCCGGAATTCTCAATCATTCAGCAGGACCTGGTTTCCCATCCTCGGCACTGCCCGAGACATGTGACAAAGCATAGCACTCGGGCTTCGTATCCAGCAGGCATTCGATCATGTCATTGTCATCTCCTGGCAATATTTTGACTAGTCGACTGTCCGAACCGGTTAGCTTGCGAGGGGGTTACTCGTCATCGTACATGTAGACTGAACCGGCATCTACATCGTACGATGACGTTGAATAAAGAACTCAATAGGAGGACGCTCCATCCTCATCAGAGGAGTATATTGCGCCTTCACCAGATGTTTTCCAATGGAAAATCCTTCCCTCAGAGACGCTGCTCTCAAGTTGGGGGAGAGATCCTCGGTCCATTATGACACAGGTCGCCAGCTCAGTGAACCTTAAACCTTCTTCGAGGCTTGAGGGTAAGAGCAAAAATGACGTGACGAGGGCACTGCTGTTGTAGAAAAAAACAGCAAACAATGGGAACAACCCAGCCTTGCTCCAGGAGTTTCTTCGTGCTTTTCCTTTTTGCCATATGAAGACCCACAATGTAAGTTGCAGCATCATCCTGCTGCTCCAATCTCTGCCACTTGCTGGGGGAAAAATCCTTTGTTGGATGCAGGCCGGTTGTTGATGGCAATCAGACCAAATGAGCCTCAGGCTGTACGGCTTTACCGTGGAAGCTGCATTCGGCTGCACAAATTGGGATATGCATCGTACTGTGAAGTCCAGGAGTTCCCCAGCGGTAGGCTTTTCCCAATAGATACGACGTTGGTAAAAGGGTGGACGACTTACTACACGGAGAGGGCGGATAGGAAAGGGAACATTCCACAAACTAGTTGGTAAGACTGTTTAGTCGCGGTGCACAAACTAGAGCGAGCTTCCACGGCTACGTTGGACCCTCAGGCCGTTCCGAAAGATTTGCATGGTTTCGACAAGGGTAGGATCGTTCTTGAACTTTTTATCTTCCCAACTTCCTAATCATTCCCCCTGGCGTCATTTATTTAATACTAACTCCCCTTTCTCTCCGTCCTACTCATATCAGCTGTGGAGATGACAACCGACTAACCCACCAACTCACCCCTAGTCAGAACTGCCAATCGACCACCACAGCAACAATTCCGCTGCTGCGTAAGGACAAAGTTGATACCAGGTTTATTAGACACCATGGCAATATCCTCCATGACACTAGCGCAGCGCGCACACCTGCGCAACGGCAATTCTTCGGGAACGCTCGAATGCTTGCGCCCAAATATCTCGACGCGCTTGAACATGTCGACACGCACGCCCTTCTGTCGGCGCTGCGCAAGAGCTCTCGACTCGTCATCAATCTCCAACAGCTCATAGTCCCCGAAGAATAGAGCTGCGCGGTCCGTGTGCTTGCGGAATTCGGCGAGGTCCTCCTTGAAGAACTTGTTCACCACCGGTAAAAAGGTCGGATAAGGCGGCTGCCCGGCGAGAAGCAAGGTAAGCTCGCACGCCGTCTGGGCCCGCTTGATCCGTACCTCGCCTGGATCTGGCTTGGGGGTGTTGTTGTTCTGGTTCTGGTGCTGCTGCGGCGCATTGGCTAGGTTGGCAAAGGACGAGCTGTAGCTCTTGCGGATGTCCGCGCCGAGGGTGGATAGGAGACGGTCGAACTCCTGCACCTTGATTAGGGACGTGCTCGTGTAGCCCAGAATCTTCTGGTAAGCGTGATATAGACTCATCAATGCCCCTGATCCCTTTGAGCTGGCTTCATTCGTGGAACCGGCGCCTCGGGATTCATAGTACTGGATTGCGCGTTGGGAGAGGTTATTCAGGTGGATGATGCGGCGACAGACTGCTGAGATGAGGCCGCGCGTTGCCGAAGAAAGCACCATGTGAAGTGCAACATCGTTCCTACCAACCAGATATGGAGTCACTTCGGAAAACCGTTGCTGGTTGAGTAACTCTAGAAACTTGTTGTCGTCCAGCAGACAAAACAGTGAGTCAGCCAGCCAGCACAGGAGATCCATGGACCATTTGCAGCATCCGGCCAAGGCATCGACGACCTCTATAATCAACGTCAGTACATTGTGATGTCATGGAAAAGGGGCTTCTTCTTACCAGGCTCGTCTAGTGGAGACCTGTCCTTGGCAATGCCTGGGCCGTTGCTGGCGATGGTGATCAAAATGACAATATTACGCAAGTTGAGCGCAAGCATGGAGAGTTTACTGTGGAACGTGCGGGGTTGATACTCTCCTCTCCAGCCTAGGTGGTTCAGTGTGCTCAGACAAAGCTGAAGCATGTTGTTGCGGACCAGGTTATCGTGGGGGGCTTCCTCGGAATAATCTACAGCTATTCTCATCATCTTTACCATCTCCGTCACCCAATCAACAGCAAATATTCCTGAAGTGCTTTCGTTAGTAGGATGATTCATCCTCAGGGCTAGTACAGCACTCACTATGGCTGTGGGTAAAACGTCTGCCGACTGCAAGAATGTCATCGATGTTGCTGTGCGATGTAGCTGCCTGAGCTGCAGACAGGGTCAAAGCGGCTATCACTGCTGAGTGTTGGGCTATATCCACATTAGGTTCTTACTCTGGTTTTTCTCAAGCAGAAACTTACCATCATCCAGAGCACTGACATCACCTAACGTGTAGTTTACGCCATGCCACTGTATCTTGCCATCCTCGCCCAATTGGACAAGGGAGAAATTGGTCGGCGAGAGTGCTGTTTGGAGACACGGGGTTTCTCCCCCACTTTGAACGAAGCCAGCTTCGTAGATCGAGTTAATGCGGTCGAGGTTGACAGCGTTCCATACCTCATTCATCGTTACGCGATCTCGGTACTCCACGGCCCCGTCGCTAAACATGAAGGCCACCACTGTGCCCATGCGGACGACCTCAATTCCGATGATGATTTTGTTCATGATTATGGTGTCCAGCTTCTTAAGCTTGGTAAAGGCCTATCAGTCTTCGTCAGTACTAGGGTATTGATCCAGTTTCTTCATTCCTTACTTGAGGTTGGGATCCAACACTATTCCTCCGCGATCCCAGTTGCTCAAAAGCCGAGTGGACTGTCTGTGGCTGGTCGATGACGATCTCCCACCGATCAATGATGCTCTGAACCTCTTGGTTGTAAGGGGTTTCTGGCGTCGGCACGAAGGAGCGTACGGTCAGTATGACGGGTGCAAGCCAAGTCCGGTTGACCTGGTCCATCATAGTAGGCAACAGCTCGATATGAGAGAGTTGAGTCATGCAGGGATCCAAGTGAGATTCGCTGCCCCCCCCCGGAAGCCACGTAGAGACAGCCACGAGCCTCTCGTTCAGGGTCGGGCTCAACGGTTGACTTGCAGAAGGGATGCCCTTCATACTCTCTTGCGGCGGCGGGTTGTTCCAGTTGAGGACTACCCGCACCACCTGCAGTTGCTTGGATGCCGTAGCAAGGGCAACGATGATAGACTTTGCTATATGAAGGGATTAATATGTGCTTGTAGTTTCCGCAGAAGGTTGCTTACATCTGCTGTCTGAGCATAGGGCAGCGTGCGTCACAAGATCGTCGGCTGAAACGACACTGTCTAACTCGAGCGTTGTCTCTTCGATTTTGTTGGTGTTCTGCGTCCAGAACATTTTCAACATGCCGCTGGCAGTGACGCAAAGCAAGGCAGACTGGCTTGGGTTAGGGTGAAATGGCATATTGCTAATGAGCATCGAAGGCTCGTACGTGTAACCGTTTCCGTGTTTGACGGCAGGGGCATGCAAGGGGTTAGCCTGGGATGGGTTTACATTAGCATCAATACTTGTGGAAAGGAAATGACTTGCTCCATACTCACCATGCCTTTGTGTGCCGGCATCGTGTTGAGCCAGTAAGTGCCGACGATCGCGTTCAGATCGTCGACCGCATCGGTTTCCCAGCGGCGGGCCGTCGAAGGCCGGTTGAGATTGGGGCTGAAGTTCAGGATCAAAACTCTACCCACCGAGTCTATGACAGCTAGTTGAGGATTCGGCGTTGGGGCCCAGGAGAGATGTGCCAGCGGTCCTACGAGCGGGCCTTGCCAAGGTGTGCAAGACGTGGGCTCGCTGAGACTCCAAGTGGCATCTTTGGGATGAGCGCGGAGATATCGCAGGTCCAGTGACTGTCCGTCGGGAGAAATGGAGGCTATCGTGCCCGACTTTGACCACGCGAGCCCTCTACAACACTGGTTAGCAAACGATACCGGTTGGAGTTTCGGTAGATGAAGAATTACTGGCACGATCCCCGACCGCGGAGCTCATCTAGTCTGAGTAGTAATCGCTTGCTTGGTGCTCGGGCTGGCAAAGTAACATCACCGAACAGGTCGTCGACGTCATGTAGATCGACCTGCATGGTCCCGCCCATTGAGTCTTCCATCATGAAAGGCATATTATTCCGCGTCGACATGACTTGGTCTTTCACGATATATACGCAGGTGTGTTGGGAGTTGCGCACTTGATCAAGGTTCAACACTCCCGAGGGATGCCCTCATTCTGTGATGCATTAAAAACTGGATCGCAATGGAATCTGGATTGTTTCTCAGTGAATTTAGCACATAACAGAGCACGATAGAAACCCTCGCCTCGATTCCAGGGAATGAGACGTTGTCAATGCGGTTGCAATTGCCAGTATAGCATAGATGTTGCGCGAGGCTGACGACTGCGGATTGCACCTGCGTAGTTGCACGAACGAAAACAGTCCGGCTGTGAACAGCCAAGGCTCTCACGTCCAGCTCATGGGCAGCTGCATGGGTAGGGCCATCTGCCATCGGTGTAGCGTCAGCTTAGCGGACCCACGATGCCACAGCCAAGCCTTGCAAGGCGCGCATAAGCCACACTCACCAAGGGTCCTACCCACTGCTTGACAAACGGCGATTTGGGGACCTGCCGTCATTCGAGATTGTTTCCTAGGAAACCTTATGTGTTAACTAGTCCCCGCAAATCCTGGTCTGCTTGGCTGATCGCTACGTTGACTTCACAACCGGCGCACGCGATGCGTTCGTTTGTCATTGCCGCTTCGCCACGAGTATATCGTGCCGCAGTTTATCGCAAGGTCCAACCCCCGTTGAGGCAATTTGCGGTATTGGATTGAGGCCGACCTGCTCAAACTTGATGACAAGCGCGTTCCTAGCAAAGACCTAGCAAAGAGCCATTGTCCGTGCCCGAAGAGGATGAGACGAAAAGTGAAAACCGGCATCTGGACAATCAAAAGTGTACTCAAAGCACAATACGCATCAAACGTGTCTTGGAAAGAACATTGGACACATTTACGGGCGTCTGTCGTGCTCGCTAAGAAGTATATCTTCCATTGCAGCGTTGCTTCTGTCGGAGCAATATCAACAGTTCCGTTCGGATCCTTATCCTGCCGATCAAGTCTTCGTCACCGCTGCCGACAGACGAGGGGTGGCCTGTGGACGTGTCAACACGCAAATAATCCCAAGCTATCCGTGTGGCCCACCCACACCAACACAACGCTGCTGTGTTACTGCGTCAGGGTAAACTGGATCCACCAGCAAAGAGCCTCCCGCCGACAGCGAAGTCAGCCAACCTCCTCAAAACCCAACTCTTCTTCGACAACGGCACAGTGGCACGCGAAAACACGAACCATTCATGGTCGCATGCCCATTGTGCGTTCGGAGATACCCACACGATATTCATTGCTGCTCATTTGCCGACCCCAAAAATGACATGGGCTTAGGCTTTTACTTCTGCTAACAGCTTCCTTGAACCCACCGTTCTTTTGGATCGGTCGCCGTGTCGCGTCTCTCTGGGATACCGCAAAAAAATTGCACCAGCTCGACTCCTCTAACAAAATGGACACCTCCTCATTGTCTTCCTCAGATCTTTCTGAGCCACCGTCGTCCGAGCCGCCGTCTTCTCCTCTCTCAGAATTATCCAAATCGCCGTCCCTCTCTCCGCGCAACTCCCCGCGGGACTCCATGTCTCGATATCTCTCACCCCCCTCGACCGCCCCGTCTGGGAGCTCCTCGCCTATGAAGTCGGCCGATGCGGCGGATTCGATTTGTGTCAATCCAGACGGCACACCCCCGGCCAAGCGCCGCAGAGTCGAGCGGAAACCCCGAACAACAGAACATTTGAGCCTGCGCGCCGCGTCGGAACAGAGCGAGAAAGACGAGAAGCTCCTGGATCGACTCACTTCCACGTTGCGGAAAAAGAAGAAGATCGTTATCGTCGCCGGTGCCGGCATCTCAGTGTCCGCTGGAAGTATATTTCCCCCTCTCTCTTTCCAAGTCACGCGCTACTGTGAAACCAGGAGCTGACATGTCCACTACTGTAGTTCCCGACTTCCGATCTGAGGACGGTCTCTTCAAGACATTACGAACCGGCCACAAGCTGAAGGCTTCCGGCAAGCAGCTCTTCGATGCATCTGTTTACAAGCATGACGCGTCGACCGAATCCTTCCATAACATGGTCCGTGAACTGTCCCACCAGACCAAGAATGCGAAGCCTACGCCATTTCACCACATGATCGCGTCGATCGCTGAAGAGGGCCGTCTGATGCGACTCTATTCTCAAAACGTGGACGGCATCGACTCGTCTATGGCGCCTCTGTCTACAAAAATTCCCCTTAACAAGAAGGGACCCTGGCCCAAGACTATTCAGCTGCATGGTAGCTTGGAGAAGATGGTATGCTCGAAATGCGGCGACATCAGTAATTTCGACGCATCCCTTTTCGACGGTCCGGAAGCGCCTTTGTGTAAAGGGTGCGAAGAGACGGAACATGTGCGCATATCCCATGCAGGCAAGCGCAGTCATGGCATTGGCAGGTTACGACCGCGAATGGTACTCTACAATGAATACAACCCGGATGAGGATGCCATAGTGAACGTTGTCAAAGCCGATATGCGTTCCCGACCAGACGCTCTCATTGTCGTCGGTACCAGTATGAAGATCCCTGGTGTGCGCCAGATTGTCAAGGATATGAGCAAAATTGTCCGAGCGAGACGAGACGGAATCGTTGCCTGGATCAATCTGGACGGCGAACCCAATGGTGTGGATTTGAAGGATTGCTGGGATTTGGTCGTGCGAGGCAAGTGTGACGATATTGCTACACTAGTCGGTCTTCCACATTTCGACGAGAGCCCCGCACTCGATGACGACATCAAGGTGGATGACTTGAAGTTCAAGGAACTGAAGGAGAACATGCGCAGTACGGAACTAGAGGTTAGAATCCCAAGCTCCCCAGGATTGCCCGTGGTATCGCCCGCCAGAGGATCGCGTGATTCGACGCCCACCGAGGCGAAGTCCAAGTCCATCGAGAAGGTGCAGGGAATTCCTACGCCGACTACCAGTCCCAAGATGCGCACTGCTCTGCCGACCAAACCTCAGCAAAAGACGAAACAAAGCCAATTGGTCTTTCCGGGCAAGTCTACCAAGGCTGCTGAAAAAGCTGTCAAGAAACGGGCTCCGCGAAAACCGCGCCAGTCTAAAAAGGCCGAGGCGAAGTCAACTACGACACTCACAAGCTCCTTCAAAACCACCAAAGCTACTGTTGTATCCACTTCCACGATGCCAGCGAAGCGTCAGTGGGACTCTGATTCGTCTGACCGTTTGTCTGATATGAAGGCAAAGTCAATACTTGGTTCAGATTTCCACCTCCGGCCTAGAATATCGAGACAAAAGCGTGAAGAGAACGAGTTAGATTCCAAGATCGCTCAACATGCCATCGACACGCAACTACACCAGGAGACTAGCGTGCGTCAAGCGCCGCCCTCCACGCCACCACGAACAGAGAGGCCGGGCTCTGCACACTCTCAGACGATTACTCCACCCTCAAAACCTAGTGGGATGGCGAACTTGATCGACTAGCATTCATTCTCAGCTTCGCCGGAGTGCAGGTTTCTGCCTCAACCATACTTAAAGGCCGAGTTGGAACTGTACCATACGGTCAAACGGACTTGACGTCCGCTACCTTGACGGAAATCCATCGGGGTACCTTGAAACATGACTTTCCGTAACTTTGAATACTTCATGAGAACTTGTACATACACTACATACATACGGGTCTTGCAGTTCTTGCATAACGGATGCCCAGTCCGGTAGATGGGAGATTTGCCCCATAGCGTTGGCGTTTGATGGGCGTTTTGTTCCCATGTCAGATGGACACAGGATGGTGGATGCGATCATTTGACTCCCTGAGTCAGGGTAGGCCGGGAAACGGGAATGCAGGGCTGACCTGTTGTGGCTGGAAGCATTCGGGACAGGACTGCAGAACTAATTGGAATTGCCGCAGTCTTTCAAGACTTGTGGGTATGCTTTTACAAGAATTTGGTGTTTCTATGTACTCCGCAGCCCGCCCTCGCGTGGTGTCTAGCCTTGCGAATAAGTGCATAAGTAAGGTAGGTACGAAGTAGGCTAGTTCCCAACGATGAGCATTTGTGGTATCCTTTCATGTTATGTTTTGTTGTCGGTAGCTTACTGCTAATAGAATCACGGCCGCACTCAATGATAACTTCCCAATCTTACGGTAAGTGGTCGCCTGGCAGCATCTCCTTGACGCATGACTAAGACAAGCGGACCACCATGTTCTTCTGGAACCTAGAATCCAAAACGGTACAGTCCCTCTTCGATTCGTTGTCTCCATCTATCCGTTTGCCTAAGAAATGAGGTTTTGAGATTGCTGCTGACGACCATAAGCCTAGCTGCCTAATATATTAGTCAACCCTAGATTGACAAGAGCCATGCATAATTAAGTTTTGGAGTATTTGAGATGGCATTAGCGCTACCTGAAGCCACTTGATGAATGCATGTTAGGCTTCATTGCGTTTGCAAGCTTGTACGTGGAGGTACCGGGCAGGATGATCTGGGACGAATGCCGAACTGCGAAGTATAATGCCGCTCGTAACTATCACGACAACATGGTGACATAATTCAGTAGCAGCATGCTTGTTCTCGGTAGCTGAAAGAAAGACAAAACTCACAAGACAAGAAGCAGATGTTGTGGGCGAACCCTTTGAGAATAACACTGCTGAGTTTGGGAATAGGGGTAGGATAGTATATGTGGGAAGCTGTGGTCTCAGGTATGGAGGGTTATGAGGCAGGCAGGCACGGATTATAGTATTTAGGGACCCCTTGGGGCCAGCTCGGGATTGGTCCCATACACACCTTCACAGTACCAATACAGCCCCCAATACTCGGAATACGACGGTATAGGGTATTCCCAGGCAGCTTGCTTTATGAATGTAGATACTACTTGTAGGAAAATATGTATTCCGGAACTTTCTTTCAAGCGCAAAAGGCCATGGCATTGTAGCCAAAGGCCTCCAGTCGCCTTTGGTTACAATGTCAAAAGAACTTGCAAATTTGATCTTACGATTTCTTGTACTCCAGCTAGATTGGTCTTTATACTCGCGGCATGGCTTTCGCTCCTATCTAAATGCAATGTCTTAAGTGCTACAACTTTTCCAGCCAACCTTTTCGTATACATAAACCAAGCTTCGGCTAAACGCTCGTGTTGATATATATATATACCGAAAAGGCCATCGAAGCGACAAAGCCCTCGTCACTTCAGAAGAGACATCGACTTTCAGACTAACATGCCCGGACCAACCCTGTACACGCTCTCCAATGAGATACTCATCCAGATTCTTCAGAATTCCCTCTGGGTGACCCCCACCACGCATTGGACCGTCTACACCACGGGCTCCGAATTCCCTAAGAACCTCGGGAGCCTCTGCCAGGTATCACACAGGTTCTACAAGATATCTTCTCCTCTCTTGTACCAGACCCTCATCCTCGGGCGTCCTGCGTCTGCCCGAATACACGGGCAACAACAGGGGAGTCACGGCCTTTTCCGTTCTCGTCTGGATATTTGTGAGATGGACACATCTGAGAAAAGTCCGGTTTCAGTGGGGCAGGTATTACCACCGAGTAGTCCTATCACTTCCAGACAGTTGTCAGAGCTTTTTTTGAGTGTACTAACTTGAAAGCGGTTAAAATCCGTATCGCCAAACGCGTATCCCTTTATCCAGCGTGCTGGACGTCGCTCTCGCTTTCCGGCACGCATCTGAATCATGCTCAACTCGAAACTATCATCTCTCTTTCGCTCAGGAAACTGATCCCGCAAGGAACTGAACTGGACGGAACTACGAACCCGACTTTGGCCCCACAGCTCGACTGCACTGCTTCGCCAGGTTTACGGCTCTCAAGTACCTCAGTGTCGATCTGTATGCACTCGTCGGGTATAATTCCCAACTGGTGACAGTCCAGTTAGAGACGGCGCTTCCTACGTCCTTGGTGACACCAACCTGATGAGGTGTGGTGGTGAGAGTAATGGGGTCCGCGTCCGCAGAGAAGTACAAGGATCATCTTCTTGGCATGCTAAAACACTTCGCCAAGAATTGTCGAGGCCGATGTCCAAATCTGAAGGAGCATGTTCATGCCGCCCGGAAAACACCGGAGCCAGTGGCGTGTGATGAACTGGCCCGACTGTTTGCGGGGATGGGGATCCGCTTCGAATGACGACTAGTCATGCATTTCCTTGCAACGGGCGGTGGTTCAAGACGAAGACGTCGATGGGTCCAGGCTTCTATCCGTATCGTGAGGTTGAAGGTCCTGATGTGTACAGTCTTGGTGATGGATTGAAGCGACGAAGCTCAGATGAATGGGGAGAAGCCGAGGTATGTATTTTGATATAACTTCTTGGTTTCGGACTGAGATCCGTCCCTCCATGAAAAGGCAAGATGACCTTCAAAGCATGTTGAGTTGAGAAGCCGGAATGGTGGGGCTTGGCTGAATAAGTAGTGGCTACTTAATTGACCTTCCTTATAGGTTCCCCCATGAAATGAAATCAGGGATGATCGAATGCTAGACAACCATCAAAGTTTGGGTTATCGCCATACTGAAGATTTCTGGAGCTGGGTCAACTTCGTGACGTTCCGCGTAAATATGTAGTATCCCAATGCGCTCGAAAGCATCAGGGGTATTTGGCGACGCCTGCAAAATAAGAGAAATATCCCTTTTGCGATCCAATTCGCGAATCATCCTCAAGCAGACCACCCCCGCCCCGGCAAGCACCTGGGACGAACCGCTTGTTTCCAGTGCATAATCCGGCCAAAAGGGGAGCGCTACGTCCTTGCTGAATCGTACTTGATACTTGAACTTCCCGTGATCATCAGATGTTCGTTCGACAACTCCCAAAACTACTGGTCCACTTATTGAAAGAGAACCTGACTCGACTTGACCGAACTCATCTAAACCAGCAGAAGTGCACTCGCAATGCTCGATGGATGCGAACGTCGCGCATTGCTCTTTCTCTTCTCTCCAGAGATCAATATCCCAATACACTACACTGTCTGTGTATTGAACCCCATGATCAATGCTCACCCACGACCACGACGGTGCAAGCCACGCTGCAGGCCGCGGTTTAGCGCAGCTGTAAGTCACCCAGAGCAAATCATCCATTAGCGAATCTTCCCACAAACCTGCCAGATAGCGGGATTTCCTCTCCCTGGCCGTGTCCCGCGCAATACCACTCAAAGCCGGTAGACGGTCGCTCGTCTTAGTCAAGTTGAGGCTTGTATAATGCACAACCATCGACCTCCAAATGCGAGCCAGATAGTACTCGGCATAATCGGCCCACCTCTCGTCAGCGCCAACGAGCTCGGAGTCGAGAGCGGAAGCGTACATGACCTTTGGCGATGTCAGGGGCACTTCGTCTGACACTCCTAGGTAGCCGATGCCAGTGCACTCGCACAGCTCGTCGGACAAACATTCATAAAATAACTCGTAGTGTCCAAAGTGCAGAACCCGGGGAGATAGGAGACGTTCCTGGTATACCCAAGCACGCGTCATGAGGGGAAACTGGGCCGCATTCTGGCGACCGGGGACAGCGAGTTCATGGTCGGTCTTCTCACGGAAGATCAGGTAGTAATCTTCGCCTGACGGGGTCGTCCCAGATACTTCAAAGTCGGGTGTGATAGTAAATAGACCGCCAGAACCACCGCTGGACTTGGTGCCGGCAATGGTGAGACATGCGTTTCGGTAGATTGAGGCCATCTGCGCTGACTCTCGTTCCCAATCTAGGGCGTCGTCTTGGATGATGCATAGGGAGTCGATCCAGACGTAATCGATCTGGAGGCGGCGCGTCACTTCGATCGCCTCCATGAACGTCTTTGAGAGATCGGTGGGATTGATCTCGTGCTGGCGGTCCTCGATGGTGGCTTTCGTGGTCATGAAAATTTGTTGCAGGCCCCAGCAGTGGCTTAGACAAACGTATTTATCTGCCCTGCCGTTGGTCTCGATCAGTTTAATAATGCCATCATGGCGCCCGACATTTACGACTCTGGTTGGGAGCTTCGTGGTAAGGGGCGGGGGGCAAAATTCGTGTTTGCTACTCATGCAATCCTGGAGCCAACCATTCGCCTTTTCGAATGCTTCATCGGATTCAGTACTCCTGGACGTTCTCGCCGACATGGGAACATCATCCCAGGCATCTGGACAGGGGCAATTTTCGTCTTGGAGGTGATCAGTGAGCAATTTCCAAGAGCACAGACGCCACCAACCTTCAAGAGTAAACCATTGTATGGTGAGTTGACTACCATCATCTAGCTGGCATACGACGTCGTTGTCGCAGTCTTTCAGGTCGCCTTCCCAACTTGCGTACAAGAACTTGAGGCTTAACTCAGACACACGAGTCAGTTCTATAGCGCGTTTTTCTAGGTAACCTGTTATGCCACGTAGTAGAACCTCGCAACAGTAGCATGTTTTAGCAAATTGCGTGAGGTCTGCCCACAGGATGTGTTCATTGTAAAAATTGCGGCTTCCGGCTGTGTTGCAACTCCTCATAGCTTGGGAGCGGTCCGACTCCCTTGAAAGAATTACACAGTGCGCAGAATGTTGACATTTCTTAGCTGGTGCACTTTTGAACACGCCAGCAATGTACTGTCTCCTGAATGAGCTCGGGTTTCCAAGTTAGGGTCGACGAGCCCGAGGACTACTGCGATGCCCTATTCACGGGATCCTCGAGCCTGGACTGACCATAGGCCGTGTTACGTCAAAATCTACGATTCAGACGTTATTTCGGTCACAGCGATCGGCTTGCTGGGGACGGAACAGCCCGTGTGGAAGATGAGATGAAGTCGGGTCATGGAGGTCGGGATGGAGGTCCCAGCTGACAGAGGTTAGGAATTTCAGGTAGGGGTTAGGAATAAGTAAGTGGACGGTTCATTTCAGACAGGGGTTAGAATTCTCTGCCCCGCACGTGCACCGCATATATAACTATATCTGTTAACGTGATCCACAAGTCAGTGACTCACTTTCAACCATCAATTCAATATTAATCAAGATAACTTCACCACAACACATCAGATCAATTCAACTAAGCAGAATCTTATTCATTAGATGTTTCTAATTCTACTTGACAAGTCCGCGCATTATGCCCAGTCCCCCCGCAGACACCACAACGTCTTACACTGGTTGCGATCCTTTTCCTTGGACCGTTACTTTTGTCTTCCTCACCCTCTACTGCCTCGATATCACCCTTGGCTTCCCGTAGCTCTTGTGAATCAGCTACAGTAATTGTACCTCCATGCTGTATTTGCTTATTTTTGGTTCTGCGACGTTTGCATAATAGGTAGTTAGTCTCATAGAGCTCCTTGTTCTCTTGTCGCAGAAGGGCAACCTCATGCATTATTAGGTGAGTAGCCTTCGCAATTGAGTCTACAGAGCTCAAAATATGGGCTGGGGAGCTATTTTGATGCCTCTGGACACTAGTCTTGATAAGATTTGATTGATAAGTAGCCTCCAGGGTGGTAGTAGGAGTCTTGGAAGTCCAAGTAGCAGCCGGCAATTGAGAGTCGGGCGACGGTGTACGGGCTTTTAGAGCAACATCTAACGAGGAAATATCCCTTTCTGGATCCAATGGGACAAGCCCAGCCGCTTCGAAGCCAGACCGAATATTAGATTCGGTCATTGCCTTGTTAGATGCCTCTAGAAACCCAGATAGAAAAATCCTCCTTCGCAACGTGGGTTTGGTGCTTTCGCATTCGCTCCTCAATATAGCCACTATATACGCGTTTTAACACACTAAAAGGTACTATATCGAGAGGCTGGGGCCGATGTGATAAACAGGCAGGCATACAAAGAGGAACAATTCCCAGTTTTTTGCAGGATTCCTCGAAATCCATCGAGTGATGGCTTTCGTGGCCGTCGAGAATCAAAAGACGTTTCGTACCCTTTGTACGGCTCCGGGTATGTAGACCAAAATGATTTACCCACTCTACACCCAATTCATTGGTTGTCCAACCATTACTGGACAGAGAAACCTTCCAGTCGCGTGGTAAGGTAGCGTCGCGGTACCAGGAGGCAAGGTGAACTTTCCCCGCGAAGATGATAAATGGAGGTACTGCCCAGCCTTGAGAATTGATGGCTTGGATAACGGTAACCCATTCCCTATCACCCTGCTGGGCTTATCTAGGCCTGCCCTTTCGTTTGGCACTTGTAACGACCATTCCAGTCATGATCATGCCCATTAAAAACCCTATCTCGTCAAAGTTATATATATCTTCCCGCGTGATCCCGTATTTCGCTATTATGTCGGCAACAAGCTTAAACCACGCGCGATATGCGATGGGATCTTCGTTAAATGCCCTCTAGTAGTCAATTCGGCGATTTAAACGCGTTCGGAGGAGTGGTTGTCGGTTAACGAAATTTGAAACCCAATTCTTGCCCACGGGTGGCGCGTCGTACGCGTCGGAGTATATTGGCCATATCGGTCACGTTTTGAAGGCGGGGAGGAAATGCTCGCGAATATAGCTCAAGTATACGTCGAACAATCGTCTCTTCTTCCATCGTAGTCAAATTCCGCTTCGTAGCGTTGGCAATATGCTGTGGTTGAATTCCGTTGTATCTTCGTTTGATGGTACTGGCGGCAGCTTTATAGATCAATTCGAGCTGTTTCCAGCTTAATTCTGGGTTTCGACGTTTAGCCTGGATAGCCAATTTAATATTAGCTTCGTTTGAGATACGTGGTATTTTGAATCGTGGAAAGTTGTATAAGTCAAGTTGGAGGTTGAAATGTCGCGAAAACTGAGTCACTGACTTGGGTGGGTCACTGACTTGTGGATCGCGTTAGTAGGGCTCAGACTCGAATAAAAGATAATTAATCGGGTACACTAAGGTGAAAAAGGCTGTTAAAGAAAAGAATAATAATAAATTAGAAATATTAGAGCGAAAGGATACCGTTAACGTAGTCCACAAGCGAACGGGTCACGCCCATAGCAAAAAATAGAACTAAACTTCCTAACTTTACCACGCAACTAATTCTCGATGGATTCTGCTCAAAAAGAATCTCAATTACTCCTTGCAACCCAGGCTATCAGAAATGACTCAACACTTAGTATCCGACGTGCTGCAACAATCTACAAAGTCTCGAATATTACTCTCCAGGCGCGTCTTCAAAAACGTCAATCACATCGCAATATCGAAGCCAACGGTCGGAATTTAACAAAACTAGAAGAAAATACGATTAATCAAAGGATAATTGAGCTAGATTCGCAAGCATTTCCTCCCCGGCTAAGTGCTGTTGAAGATATGGCAAACCGACTGCTACGCGACTCGCATATCACAAAGGAGGACTTTCTTCCGGCATTTTGCGACGCGTTCAAGAAGAGCCTGACCGAAAGCAATATTCGTGCAGGCTTTCAAGGGGCTGGGCTTGTGCCTTTAAGCCCAGATATTGTTATTGAGAAGCTGGATGTGAAATTACAGACTCCAACGTCCTCCCGGCCCCCTACGCGGGAAACCCTTCCTTGGGCTTCTCGGACGCCAAACAACCCAACCGAGGCTACTTCGCAATCCGAGTTTATTAAATCTCGAATTGCCAGGCATTAAAATAGCTCCTCGATGTCAATTTACGATGCTATCGATCAGTTTTCGAAAGGAGCGCCGAGTATTATGCATAAGATGGCTTTACTCCAAGCTGAGGTCGCCGAACTTCGAGAAGCAAATGCTCTAATTAGCAAGCGGCGCAGGGCCAAAAAAACACGAGTACGGCTTGGAGGATCGCTTAATTCACAAGACGTACAAGATCTTCAAGATCAAAAGGACGTTGCGCAGCAAGTACAGCAGGAAATGCGTGGAAATAGCGCTGGATCAAATCGTGGCCAGCCACGGCAACGGCACTGTGGCGTATGCGGAAAGACCGGGCATAATGCGCGAACCTGTCAGGTAGAGATAGAATCATCTGGGCAAGAGTATTCTGAGTATTTTTAATTGATTTACGGCATTGTGGTTGCGAAATCGTGTTGAATTCCATGTTTTGCTAGTTGGCGTGACCCGTTCGGTTGGGTGACCCGTTCGCTTGTGGACTACGTTATTCAGTTTATCTTTATATATATTTAGACACTAGTTTTCGCGAATCCATTATTCTGCTTTTATCTTAGCCTTAACAACTACGAGGAATTGTGTCTTGCCCTGATCAGAGCAATTCAACGCTAGTAGCAGCTTTGCTTCAACTCCCGGAGTCAAGAGTCCTATTCTGAGAGTCACCTCTTCGCTAAATACAAGAGGGCACATCCGACCAACTTGCGCCCTGTCCCCTCGGTCGGGATGTTTGGAGTAGCGGGGGAAGCGGCAGGCATTAACTATGGGGCGACCCCGGACCCGCAGCAGGTCTGACCTCGAGCCGAATCGGACTTCTACGATCTGTTGCCCAGACTCAGTATTTTGGAGCGTGCGGGTGGTGGGACGCCTGGTTTCTGCTCCTGAATGCGAAGCGTACATCATGTGTATATGTCTCCGAGAGTATACTGTAGACACTATGAGGATTGCACGACATTTAAAGATGGCCCAGAAGGCACAAGAGCTGCGAGTTCGCCAACAACAAATCAAAACCATGAGCGGGCAGTATGGGTTCGCTTGGAAGACTCCAAACATTGATCCAATAGTATGTTTCGAGGACTCGCGGGCGTAGGTCTAGTTCAGCCCATTGGATGCCCCTAAACGAATATTGCCAGTCAGTGAAGTCTTGCGTTGCAGTTATCTCTATTAGAGTTTCCAAGGCTTTATCGAGGAATGCGAGCCCTCGCAGCCATGTAGGCCACCTGGAAGAGGCTCTGACTCGCAAACATCAGATGCACAAGACGATAGATGTCCAGGACTGGGAAGCCTTGTCCAGACTATTTCTGGTCATTACAGGGATAACTTAAGGTAGGTATTGATGCAAACTATGCACGGACTCGTTCAGCTCCCACGTTCTCGAATTCTCCAATCTGATTGGTTTGACTTTCAGACTTTCAACATCAACCAATACCACACAGCGAATTGATCGCGTGCCTCATTCTGACACTCGCTCCAGAGCACAAGTGCGTTGGCAAAAGACCCCTACTCATATGTCGCTGGTTGTCCAGGGTCCTGTCGCCTTTCGAGCACATGCTCCAGTGGCGTTTCAAGCCGTTGGCGTTGTTCTGCTAAAAGCCCGTGTCCCCGTCCAACGTCTCATCAGGTATTGTGTATGTGAAATCTTCAGGATCGCGTCTTGTTCATTCTTCTGCGTTCTTTCTACCGACTCATCGGCCGACATGTTCTAAAAACGGTTCTTCTCGAAGCCCCAGACCCTTCGCCTCAGGGTTGTGAAGTGACGCCGTTCAGCAACAACTTGGCGATCTCGGCCTCCTTGTCCCGTCTCAAGTTGAAGCCTAGTCGAGTTGTTTGACGTCCCGAAGACTTGGCTCGCCGAGTAACATGGTCTGATTCTCTTAGCTGCCCGCATCTTAGTCGCAGCGATTACCAGGCGTTCCTATCTCCCATCGCAGGCCGTCCTTGGTATTCGTGGACCCCCGGTTGCACAGTTGCACACAGGTCGTGTGAGCATTCGCAAGGACTCACGGCCGTTGCCAGGACAAGAAGATTGGGAGCCACTCTCGTCAGTCCCGCCCAAGATGCCACGGCCCAAGATGTTGCCGACGCCCGTCTCCTCCACCGAGATCAAGGGCCATGACGGGGCGCACCAATTGTCCGCATTGCAACTATCCTTCGAACTGCCCCCCTTAAAGATAGTCGACGAAGACTCGTCCTCCCTGCGACCTGCTGGTTCCAAGACCACTACGCCCGAGGCGATATTCCCAGTTCAACCAGCAGAGGCAGTTAAGTCCAGAAGGCGTGCATCATCTACAGCGTACAAGAAGCAATTCGCGTTACCGCCCCCACCAACAAGGTCACGCACGATCATCCAGATGAAGCCTCACACTCAGGAGGACCCGAGCGATGCAGTTTTCCCTGCCAAGACGGCTTCAGCTCCGTCCAAGGCAGCTTCGTCGGGGTCGAAGAAGAAACAGTCGTCTAGCAACAGCGCGACAAGGAGGAAGATTGCTAGGAGAACGGCGCACAGCCTCATCGAACGGCGTCGAAGGTCAAAGATAAATGATGAGTTTGCCATTCTCAAGGACTTAATCCCTGCTTGCACGGGGGAGATGCACAAGCTGGCCATTCTTCAGGTAAGCCAAGTTAACCCCTTTCATTTGTCAGTTTTGTAATCGTAACTAACAGTACCTCCCAATAGGCATCAATAGACTATGTGCGCTACCTCGAGGACTGCGTTTCTCAACTAAAATCCCAATGCACCTCACACTCATTCACCCCCACCCCCGCCGAGTTTATACCCCCGCCCCTAGCCCGCAGGGAAGCATACGGCCATGACGAGCACTACGGCGACGAAGATGGGTCAGACGTCGAGATGATCGGCTCTGAAGAAGGGCCCTCACCCACCATCACCCAGCCCCCGGTATCCCCCTCACTCCTACCAGAAGCTTTGCGTCATAGACACGACTCTTCCTCCTCGGCGTCGACAGATCAGCGTCGGTACAGCTACATCCCGTCACCCACGGCTTTTTCGCCTGTGTTTGATCCGCAGACGTGTGTGCAGGCGAGGGGTTCGCCGTTGGGGTCTAATTCCACGCTGGCGAGCCCGGTATTGGCTCCGCTGCGAGAATTGGATCAGGAGGCTACGGCGGCGTTGTTGATGCTGAATACGGATCGGAGGGGGGTGGCTAGGACGGGGGGCCCCACCAGGGGGATGAGCGTAAGGGATCTTTTGAGTACGTGATCATCATGATAATGATTCATGGGTATATTAATGGGAGCGAGGTTATACTTAAGAGGATTTACATCCTGATTAATGTGAATACGTTCGGAGTTTGGGAGGCTTTGTTGACACTTGCATCGAGAAGCAAAAGTGTGCGGCCCGGTGTGAGAAACAATAAGGGCTCGGCGTATCAGAGCTTGGAGACTGTGTTTATGTAATCTTTGAGGCCGATGCCAGTCAATTTCCTTCACTTTTGGCTGCGTTCCCAGCACCCTATTTCGGCCAGAGGTCGATAGTTACTTTCCAATCTGATCCTCATAGAGAAACTGCATCGTTACATGATCGTAGGCCCCGTCTTCGACCCGGACGACAGTTTCACCGGCGATAAAGTCCTCAATGAAGGGACAAGAATAACGCTGGTCTGCACGAGTCGCAGTGGGTACACCGAAGAGATCATCTTCATACACATTCATTGCCAAGACCCGTCCTGGAAATAAATAAAACATCCCCACCACTGAGGACAAGGGTAAGCATGCTGGTGGTAGTTCGGGCAGTGATGGCACGAGACAAATTGCCGGCTCTGACATATTGGAGGGACTTTGTAGACGCGTCTGAACTTACCGTCTACACAACGCTGACGCCATCTGCCCTGATCAAAGTGGACAATGCATTCCAGCACATGCAGACGGCACTCGCCGTACGTCATATTCGACGGAGTTGTTAATTCAAATCCACATAACAGACCCTTTCTGGATGCACTCTGAGTGCCGTATGGGAGGAAGAAACTATGGGCAGCCCATGAAGGGTATTTGAGTGCTAGTCGTACGCAACGGATCCATTGGGGAGCACATGCAATATATCCCTCTTTTGGCTCCTATACGCTCTCTCGATTATCTGTAATGTTAAAGGGTCAAGCGTTGTTCATAATTTTCAACGTGCTCATCTGGGTACAGTGTAGCAACCTGGTCATAGTGAATGTGCAATTTCATCGTACCCATCTGCGTTTTGGCGAATGTCACGGCAGATGGCATAGAGTCAGGGATACAGCACCTACGAGCGCTGCCACACTGGGACATCGAACCCTGACTATTCCCATAAGGACGCAGTTACTTATCCGGACAATATACATCTTCAAACCGCGCCAATCCTCTAACAGAAACTCCAGCTTGGCTATTGTCCCTGGGATATACCGAGCGCTGGATGAGCTAGAGCTTGCGTGGCAGGAGCCTATGGGAAATGAGAGACATACTGTATCTCGTTGTTGAGAATTGCTGGGGATATAAGTTATCTCCGAGGTTACTCGCGTATTCTCCGAACGGATACGCGAAGAGATATCAACAAATGATACCTAACGGCACTATATTCAACGGCGTAGTCGTTTCACACGGGCATCAGTGAGAAACTTAGTAGCCGTCTCAAACTAGGCAACCTCTGCTTCTGTCTTGTTATCATCAACAGGAAGGAACCTTTACGTACACCTTATCAAACAAGCAACTTATAGAATTGAGATATTATTATAATACAAACAGGATCTATGAGAAAAAGTACTTGAACATTCATATACAACCTGCTAAACTAATAAATAAATACAACTAGTGAGAAACTAGTGAGAATACCAAAGTAGATAGGGAGGTAATACATCGATATGTGTACGTCTAGAGCAGTGTAAACCAGCCTCACTTAAAAGTTATAACCAGGACGCAAACCAAAGGCGCCATGTAACCGCGCTAAGAGCTTGCCGCGATTGTGGAAATTCGAGCATACGTAAAGCTGAGTCAGACAAATACCTGTGGGACAATCGATTAAAGTACTGGAAGTATTAACAACCCTAGAAAAAAAAGTGGAATTTGGACAAACCCTAATGAAGGTATGCTTTCGGTATGACTCGCTATGAAGCTCAACTATCACGGATAACGATATTATGCGCTAAGCATCCGTGCCGCTTGTGAGAAGCGCGGCCGGGGCTAGCTCGGGTTTCTCGTAAGGTAAGCCGGTGAGCCAGAAACGAAACTGGATTCCATATTCATCGTATTCATTTACCCCTTGCGCGAATTTCAGAAGAGAGAGCTGGAGACCAACGGGTACAGTGCCACGGATCAATGTTCTGAACACGCAACACGGAGAATACGTCACAATGACTGGACCCATGTTATACCGTCGCTACAAGGAATACGATTCTTGATTGCCGTCAGAACCCCAGAGAGCCGCTGCGGTCTACACTTAACCTTGTGGCCATTTCGTGTCATGATTAATGATCTTTTCGGGCTTAAGACTACGGCGTGGCTCAACACGCGATACAATAACTAGACCCATGTTATACCGTCGCTACAAGGAATACGATCCTTAATTGCCGTCAGAACCACAGAGAACTGCTGCGGTTTACACGTGATATTGCGGCCATTTCGTGTAATTACTAATGATTTTTCGGGCTTAAGACTGCGGCGTAATTCAACGCGAAACACAATGACGGAACCCAGCAAACTGGCAGGGAAATGTCCACTTTCCAGAGTGTACATTAACACGTCTTACATTCGGTGCGGAGGAATTCCTCACACCTTTGCATCGACATGCGACTTGATCTTACAAACTCGGGAGTTTGAGAGCCTAGAGATAGTCGGAGGTCGGGACGTTTATGGCATCCCCAAATCTTATCAGGATACAGTCGGCAATATCGCACCGCATCAACGCTCAAACGGAGTCTGGTAGGCGATTATCAAGTCTAATTATTTCAGGTATAAGGCTTTCGATGTTCCTGAGCATGTCCTCAATGTTGAAAGCATTTGCAAGTCACTATCAAACTCAACCGATACTTCAGCTGCTTCTGACAGCGAAAATTCATCCAGGCCAGTAGTACCTATGTCTCCATAATTGAACATATATCAAAGATTCTTAACTAAATCTCCTTCACATCAAAGACCATGGCGTCCCCAAGCACTCAATTAACTAGCGACTAAAATATCAACCCCTCCAAGTTTGATCCTAGCAATATCCATAAGGAGACACACCAGGCCAATATCGCACTCGCGGAAATGACGCGCAACTCTCCCAGGCTGGAAGACGTCAGGGCGCCCGAGTTCCTCCTCATGCAAGACGCCGGCAAAACAACACTACCACCTCCTACCCTTCTCCCGAGAGCGTACGACACTAGTTTTCCCTCCCAAGACGTAGGCCGAGACATCCCTGTCCGCGTGTACAAGCCAGACAACAGCCAAGCCAGCCAAGGCCTCATCATGCACATGCACGGAGGAGGCTTCGTCCTAGGATCTCACAGGACGTAAGACTTCAAAAGATACCGTGTACAAGTATTGCAGTCTCACTTACTCAAAAACAGCTCCGACTACCAACTCCAACTCTTCGCCAACAAATGCCAGCTCACCGCCCTCTCAGTAAACTACCGCCACGCCCCAGAGAGCCCTTACCCAGCGCCAGGAAACGACTGTCTCGACGCCGCCGAGTTCCTAGTCGACACGGCGAAGCCCTCCTCGGCGCAAAGCTGCTCTTCATGACGGGCGAGTCGTCCGGCGGTAACTTGACCGTCACCGCGGCCCTGGCACTCATGCGTTCCCGCCCATCCCACCGCCTGGCCGGGTTGATACCCTACTACGGCGCCTTCGACCCGACACTATGCCTCCCCCAAGCAGCGACTTACACCAAGCCCCTCGGCTTGTCCCGGGAAGCAGCGCAGCACTTGTCCAATACCTACCTGCCCGGGCTGAGTATGGGGGAGAGAAGGAACCCGGCGATATCGCCCATGTATGAGGATTTACAGGGGCTGGCGAAGGGTTCTGTGATGGGGAAGCTACCGCCAGCGCTTTTTCAGTGCGGGACAGAGGATATATTTCTAGATGATAGTATTTTGATGTGTGCCAAGTGGCAGATGACGGGGAGTGAGGGCGTTTTGAGGGGTTATCCTGGGGCGCCGCATGGGTTTAGTTTTATGGGTGGAAAGGAGGCTGAGAGTGTTAAAGAAACGGCGGTCAAGTTTGTTAAAGCAAAGTTGGCAGAGTTGAGACACTAAAAGAGGGGTTGGTGAGGGCAGATGAAGTTTCTTCCTGTACTATGAAGTGTGAGAAGATTGATGAAGTATCGAATTTATTTGTCGGAAATACAGTCCTTAGTCTGAAAAGGCCTGGAATAAGCTGCCCATCTCACAGTCATACGCAGGGGGTGCTAGGCTGTTTTCGTGGGGTCAGCCGGTTCAGCATGCCGAACTAGTCGTTGGAGCCGGTCATGTCTAGGCGTAGGGAGGTGAAAGGGAGTGTTGCGGGAAAGAGCTTGGTAGTTGTGCTGAGTGTTGATCTGTGGTGTGCGACAGTCTAAGATATAGCCGGTCATGATAAGCGGCGATCCTGTGAAGGCGAGAGTAGAGTATAGAGAGTATAGACGCTAACGTACCCCACGGTCCAATTGAACACTTTCGCGCATTTCCGTACAACCTAGGTTTTATCCCTTATTTTCCACCTTCTACAATGGCACGTAATTGGGAAGAAAGCGATATTCAATTAGCGCTTCAAGCGCTTCAAAACAACCCCAAACTAAGCGTACGATCCATAGCACGGATCTATAATATCCTTCATACAACCTTACGTCACCGATATCGCGGCGGTACTTCACGACAGGATATACGATCACCAACGCAAAAGCTTACCTATTCCGAAGAAGACGCGATCGTACGCTACATAGTCGACCTAGATTCACGATCATTTCCTCCTCGAATAAGTGGCGTTGAAGATATGGCGAATCGACTACTCCACCAACGCGACGCAGGACGCGTCGGTATTAACTGGGCTTCGAGCTTCGTACGACGACAACCAGACCTCCGGACGCGTTTTAATCGAAGAATCGACTACCAGAGAGTCCTCTGCGAAGATCCCGACGCGTACCGCGCGTGGTTTTATCTCGTTCGGAATACAATTAATAAGTATGGAATTCAAGAGGAGGATATCTATAATTTTGACGAGACTGGGTTTCTTATGGGTCAAATCTCATCCGAGATAGTTGTAACGACCTCTGATCGACGTGGAAGACCTAGAGCAGTACAGCAAGGGAATAGGGAATGGGTTACAGTTATCCAGGGCGTCAGATCGGACGGCTATACTATCCCTCCGTATATCATCTTTGCTGGTAAAACTCACCTATCTTCGTGGTACGAAAATAGCCTACTACTAAAGGATTGGGTTATCGCGGTTACGAAAAATGGCTGGACTACAAATGAAAGAGGCGAGGACTAGATTCGACATTTCGATCAACATACAAAGCTTCGTACGAAAGGTGTTTATCGCCTCTTAATTCTCGACGGCCACGAGAGCCACCACTCGACCGCTTTCGAGCTCTACTGTAAAGAGAACTCTATTATCACACTCTGTATGCCTGATCATTCGTCGCATAAGCTCCAACCTCTCGATATTGGCTGTTTTCGTGCACTGAAAAGAGCGTACGGTAAAGAAATTGAGGATCTTATGCGGGCACATATTACCCATATCTCGAAGGAGGACTTCCTCTCCGCGTTCTTAAAAGCGTTCCAGGCAACTTTTACGATCTAAAATATCCAGGGAGGTTTCCGAGGGGCAGGAATCGTACCGTACGATCCGGAATATGTGATTTTGCAGTTAGATGTGAAGTTACATACTCCAACACCTCCGGGTACCTCGTCTGGCCTTCCTATTATCTGGGAGTCGAAGACCCCAAATAACCCAATTGAGGCACAATCCAGACCGAACACGTGGAAAACCGAGTTATACGACATCAAAATAGCTCTCCGACAGCTACACTTACTGCACTTGACCAGTTTGCGAAGGGTACGACGCAGGTTATGCACCGGCTTGCTCTTTTAGAGGGTGAGAACGCCGCGCTTCGAAAGGCAAATGAGACACTTAGCCGGCGGCGTTATACGAGAAAAAAACGTTTACAGTATGGAGGATCACTTCGTATACAAGCTGGAGAAGATTTACAGTCTCAGAAGCTAGTTAACGGAGAGTTAGATAATAAATCGCGCTGGAGTTGTAGTCGTACGAGGAGGCCAGAGATACTTCAGCAACGCTGTAGGACGTGCGGAGAGCCCGGTCATAATATGCGTACTTGTCAGAATAGTAAAGAGATATCTGAAGAAGATAGTTCCGAGTAGTTTTAATTATTTTTTTACGTTATAGTTGAATTAACTTATATCTTATTGTACGAGGTCTTAAGAAGTGTTCAATTGGACCGTGGGGTACGTTACTAGAAAGTAGTATCGAGCCAAGGACGAAAATTTAGCCGAGGTGTCGCCCTCTATAGAATCCTTAGAATCCTGTCAGAGTGACTTCCGATAACTAACTGAAGATGATTCAAGAATTGATTGTTCGGTTCAGAAAGCAGGTGGCTATGCTATAGTAATCCAACCGATGACAGCTCCATTTGTAACTCGGTTCGGAAAGCATCACCGAGACTCCTATTCCTCAGCGAAGCTCGATCTGGTTATTTCTCACCGAGCTGTGGAGGAGAGCAAGATAGCTAGTGTACCCAACATATTTCACAGAACTCGGGTCTGGGGTATGGGGATACTCATAGAGACAATACCCTAAGCCACTCGAATCTCTAACAACTACCGGCGTCTACTAGGTTATTTAGGGTCTAAGTACACTGGGAACTGGTTAGTGCAAGAAGGGCCTCTAGAGATGTCGGAGTTCGTATATATGTATCTAGTTTTGTTGGAAAACACCGTGGTGACTTCCATGGTCAACGGCTCCGGTGGGAGGGTGTTACTGTGGTTAAGTGTCAGGAATGGCTAAGCCGCAAGGCGATAGTACAGAGTGAAAGGGAGTAACATGAGTCCCCAATATTTATCACCGGGTGGCCACTGGTGGTCTCAGATAGGGGTACCCAGAATAGTTCGTTGATCTCTAACCTTCCTCCTATCCTCCTCCAAGATACCTCCCTTACATAAATAGCAAGAGCCCGTAATCGGAGCAGTAGAGAGCCCCGTTTCCTCCGGTTCCTCGGCATTCCAAAACATCCATAATATGCTATGACTCACAGGCCCCTATGCTGGTGCCCCACTGGCTCCCCACCGGTGTCTTGAACTCGACACTTTGACGTGAAGATGGAAGGCGCGGCGCAGTCGTGACGAGAGGAATCCTTCGGAGTCTAACGTTAAAACTCTAACTTTACTTAGAATGAATCTTTAGCTGAACTCCTTCTTAGATAACAAACTCTGAAGTCGTAAGAACTTCTAGTTAATTAGACCTTAGTGCCTTGACCAGAACGTTATTGTCACGACCTGGGTTGCATCGCATTGGTATAGACCTCGATTAGGTGCTATCGACGAAGATTCTACTCTAAGGAGCGAAGGAAAGAAGATGACAACTTAGGTTTGAGGGAGCGCGACTAAGTCATCCACGCTTGGCGGGGCTCCTACAAGGGTTATGATTGGCTTCCCATCTCACACTGCCACGGCAGGTGTTCCAGCTGTAAGTCACCTGGTTGTAGTGAGTCTGCGAGGGTTGACCGTCACAGTTATCACTTCCACACCGTCTATACTGCCTCAGTTTTCAATAAGTTTAGATATAACCGTATCTAGACTATGAGGTACTAAAATAGACCCTATAAATTCGTCACTAATATTGTTTTCGCTAATAGTCGTATAGAATACGGCTTTAAATACGATAAAGCACTCGGGCCTGTTATTTAGTTAATATAGTACTTTATAAGCTCTTCGATCTAACGACTATTGACGTAGGGTTAGGGTTTTTGGTGCTCGTTTTCGTTTTTTTGGACATTCAGACGAATTGTGTAAGCGCGTTCTTGAAGAGTATTTAAGACCTTGTGTACATAGTCGCTCTCTTGAGAAAAAGATAGGAATTCAAGCGGCTTTTTCCACAGTAATCTGAACCAATTTCTCTTTACTTGGACAGGCATTCAATGTCTGACGTACCTGTTAAGGTACTTTCTGTTCCCCTATAGATCTGATTGTGCCTGTTGAGGCCATTGTTCCCATCTTTCACCTGTTGAGGTGACTGTTCAAGGGCCTGTTGAGGTTCCTTTTCTTCCCTAGCCTGCTGAGGCTCTAGTTGTTCGTACCTGTTGAGGTACTTGTTGTTCTGATCAGAGCTAGAAGAGCTCTTGATCTTGTTATTTCTTTCCACCTCCCGGATAGTAAGGTCTTGTTGAGGATCTTGTTGTCCGTTGCCATCATCTTACACCTTAAACCTGCGGGTTGTTTCACTGCCCGTCGTCACTATATATCCGCTGTAGAATACTTAAATACCTAACGTTGAATAAATAGAGTAGACATGACGAGTGTAGAGGTATAGATATCGTAATAATATCGTTCTACGTATTGTAGTGGGGCCAGGCCGGACATCAGGGAAATAGGTTACGGAGCAGGGAGGAAGTTTATTTTCTCTTCTTTAAGAGGCGAAGAGATAGAGTAAGACACCTTTTTCTTATCAATCTTTACCTATCCTTCATCATCCTCTTTCGTCATTATCTCCTTCGTCTTTCAGTTAGTCAGTTAGTTCTTCAGTTATTCTGTTCATCTTTATGTGCATTTAGACACAACTTTCGAGATCCCATTATTCTGCTCTTATCTTAGCCTCAAAAATTACAGGAGCCGTCATCTTGTCCTGATCAGACCAATCCAGTGCCAGTGAGAGCTTCAATTCGACTCCCAAAGCCAGACGTTTTGTTCTGCGAATTGCGCCGTCGCTAGTCACTGAGACACATCCGAGCCTCGGCACATCCGACCAACTTGCGCACAAGACTTGCAAGAGCTTCGCTCTTACAGCCAGTACCACAATCTTCGTCTGATCAGACCAACAGATGGGATCTGTTGGTATTGGAGCCGTTTGTTCAGTGTGTTAGGTGGTGGGTATATCCTACTGACCGCCTGACCCCGTTTCAGTATATAAAGCTACGAATTCTGCTAAAACGTAACTCTCGTAGCTATTGATTACTAATATTATATATTTGTCTTTACTATTGAAACGGGGTCAGGCGGTCAGTAGGATATACCTACCACCTAACACACTGAACAGACGGCTCCAGTACCAACAGATCCCATCTGTTGGTCTGATCAGACGAAGATCGTGGTACTGGTTGTAAGAGCACGTCTGGTGCGCGAGTTGGTCCGATGTGCCTCTGAGATTCTCGTAGGAATGATTCTCAGAACAAGACGTCTGGCTCTGGAAGTCGAATTGAAGCTCTCACTAGCACTAGATTGCTCTGATCAGAGCAAGATATAATCCTCTGTCATTGTCAAGGCTAGAATGAGGGCGGAATAATAGGATTTCGAAAGTAGTGTCTAAGTGCACGTATGAATTAACCGCATAATTGAAGGGCTCGTTAACTAGAATAGAAAACAAAAGCCAAGTTGATTGAAAGTGCTGGCGTCCCCCAGGGGTCACCGCTATCCCCGATACTGTTTATATTATACATTTCAACGCTGTACGAGGAGCTAGCGGAGCAGCACCCACTACTTTTAGTAGTCGGGTTCGCGGACGACACGAACCTGCTAAGCGTCGGCACCGATCCAGACACGACCTGCCGCCGGTTGGAGAGCGCATGGGCTACGTGTCAGCGGTGGGCAGTGAGGCACGGGATGGAGTTCGCTCCTGACAAGAGTGAGCTAATGCACTTTACTAGGGCCCGAGAGCCCTTGCCGCAAAGTATTCGCCTTGGGGACGCCACAGTGTCGCCAGTAGTCTCAGCGAGGTTCCTAGGAGTCTGGTTCGACCGCAAACTGACGTGGCACGCCCATGTTGAGCGTGTTAAAACAAAAATGGCAACTCAAAAGCTAGCCCTGACAAAGCTAGTCAATATATCGTGGGGCTGCGATCTTATACGGGCGAGGCTGTTATATACGGTGGTTATCCGTAGCGCGATCGCCTTCGGGGTGACTGCGTGGCATACTATAAGTGAGGAACCAGCAGGGCCAGCTAAGAGCCTGATGGGGATACAGAACGAGTGCCTCCGGGTAGTCTGTGGCGCCCACAAAGCGACGCCGGTTCGCCACCTGGAAGCAGAAGCAGCAATCCCGCCACTAGACCTCTATCTTAGTGCCCGGGCTGCTAAGTTTGAAGAACGGCTACGGCTTAGCGGGAAGAGAAATCTGCTTCGCAGCACGAGCGCTAAAGCGTCACATATACTCCGGCAGGATAGGCCGGCGAAGAGGAAGCAGGCGTCGCAGCTACTCCGACCGGCAGGGTACACTATGGAGAAGGAGGCCCGGGGCTCCGAGTGGATGAGTGAGGAAAAGGAGGTCCCGGCTGCCCTCCTCGGCCACTGGAGGAAGAGATGGCTCACCGGAGCAGAGCATCACGATCGCCAGCGACGCGCTATCGCTGAGGAACCGGAGGGCCCTTCGATGCAGATACCGAAAGGGGGCAAGTATTTCGGCCTGAACCGACTGGAAGCGTCTACGCTGTGCCAGATCAGGACGGAAAAATAGGACTAGCAGCCTTCTTATTCAAGACAGGGGCTTTTGGCGTGTACTCGCCGCTATGCCGCTGTGGCGACGCCCCTGAGACGGCAGAGCACGTAATCCTCTTTTGCGGGCTGTTGGAAGGACCGAGGGAACGATTACGGGCCGCTATCGCACCACGGCCACTATACTCTCGCAGAGACCTCGCAACGGCAACAGGAGAACCAGTAGTTAGTGGGACTATTGTAAGGTGGCTGCTAGGGACGGGTCGGACAGCTTCAAGGCCCAGATAGCATCGATCTTCTCAGGGGGGACTTTGTTGGTAGATTGAGAACCAACGTAGTATGGTAGTGAACGCAACGCAGTCGCCAATAGGGCGAACCGACGACGCAGCGTATGTATTTAGTCCAGCCATTAGGGCACGGTTTGACATACGGGAGTACTAGCAGAGGTACCGGGGGCTTCGAGCCTACGGCGTATTTAATAATAATAATAATTATTATTAGTATCTCATATTCCGGATAAGGTCGAAATATTCTTAAATCTTCTTAGGACCTTCGTATAAGGCCCTCTAGTAGTTGCATAGGCGATTAAAGCGCGTCTTAAGCTCTAGTCACTATTATATCTCGCGCTACGCTCCGCGAGTAGGGTATTAGCTATTGAAACGGGGCCCGATGTAAGGTGACAGCAAGCCTAGACTATCACGTCACATAGACCAAAAGATCTAGTAATTCTGTCACTTAGTGACAGAATTGAGGCTTAACCCTGCTTATAGCTCTGTATTCCCTTACACCCGGCGGTCAGTAGGATATACCCACCACCTAACACACTGACAAGACGGCTCCAGCTCTAACGAATTCGATCTGAGGTCTGATCAGACGAAGCCTGCAGTGCTGGTTGTAGGAGCAAAGCTTTTACATATCTTGCGACTGAGTGCGTGTCAGAGAACAGAATGCCATAGGCACCAGTGGGTGTCAGGACACTGAACGCAGGACACCGGCGGGCCGCCGGAGGGGTGTTTCGGACAAAAGACTCCCGAATCATGATTACAATCTATGTGAAGCTTTGGGATGACGAGAGTCAAGATCCTTGGCATCGCCGACCCTGCTGTTATGCCGGGTCCAAGCGGCGGCCTAGCTATCTATATAAGGACCATCTCGAAGTAGGATAGGGAAGGAGTTGTCAGAGCCACAAGTGTCATCCGAGGCGGGCCGGCTTCCACCAGGTAGGAAGCCGTTTGTGGCGGCTAGAGAGCCGCTTGTGGCGAATGAGAGCCGTTGAAGCCGTTTGCAGCGGATAGGGAATCGCTTGGTTGCAGATAAGGAGCCGCTGTCCAAGATATTGGCCGAAGTCGGAGGAACACAGACATACGGAAGCAAACATCCAGAATCCAAGAGAGAACCTCGGCTGGCTATAAGTAAGGAGTCGAGACGGAGGAAGATAGAGAGGGCAGAGATCAATGCATCACCGTGGGCACCCCTACCTGAGACCGCCAGTGACCACCCGGTGCTACGTAGGAGGGACGCCCGTTACTCCCCATCACTCTGTACTATCGCCTTCGGCCTAGCCGTACCCTGACAGTGCGCAAGCTGGTCGGATGTGTCCTCTGTAGTAGCGATGAAGCGAATCTCAAAGTATGACGCTTGCCTCTGGGAGTCGAATTGAAGCTGTCAATAGCATTCGATTGATCTGATCAGGGCAAGATACAGTCTTCTATAGTCATCAAGGCTAGGGTGAAGGCAAAATAATTGATTCTTGAAAGGCTCTATCTGAATGTGTATATGAACGAATGAATTGAATTGAAACCGAATAATTTGACTGAAAACGAAGATGCAGATGAAGGTGCGCACTGAATAGGAGAAGGAGATGATGAAGAAGGCCATGATCTGTCTCTGCGCACTTGTGAAGGAAAGAAAGGGAAGTCCTCCCTACCCCTGTCACCTATTTTCCCGATGACCGGCCTTGGCCCACTACACTATATCTTCTATATCCTTAACCGTAGGCGAAAACCCTGAAATTCTATATCTATAATATACTTAAGAATAGCATTCTCTTCTAATTTAGTCATTTTTATCTAATTAGCGCGGCTATCGCGTCATATAGGTGTACCGAAACCTCTAATAGTCTAGCTGCGTAAACCACTAAAGAGTCTTGTAAGGGTTTGTGCTAGTAAGCGCGTCCTGCTGCGGTGTCCTTTAGCAATATGATGGGGGTTCAACGTATGGAGTATAGTGCTTGGGTAACTGAAGTATTCAAGTAGGGTAACTGGGAATAGAGTCGTTAAGGCGGTGTGCCTGTGACAGGCTGTGCCTGATATGGGATCCGGAGCTGCAAGGACCGTGCGTCCGGATCCACCAAAGGAACCATCGAGGGCACACAAAACATAGTCCGTGTTCCCGGGACAACTCGCATATTTTACTTTCCTCCTCAGTTAGATAATTAACAGTATTTGGCCATGTTGAGCTGTATAGTTTCGCAGTGAGCCCGTCACAGTGCCTCATCAATAGGTTAGATTGATACCTAGATTGATCACTGAAGTAGAGACTGTCTATCTATGAAATACCTGGGAGTCCTGCCCTTTATATACCCGTCTCTCCTTCACTGATCCTTACTGGATATGTTTAGTCGCGCTACATATCCTTCGTTGGATCGCTTGGATATGTTGGACAAACAACGTATCCAACATATCACCCTTGTATGTTCTTATTAGGTCACGTGACCTATCGGTGTTCTATTCTTCCGGTGCGGGTCCTGCGTCTGTGTCCACCTGGCCTGCCAGCGGGCCTTCTGTGTTGGTTAGGGCCAACGGTTCGTAACAGGGAGCTGGGATAAGCTCTCAGACCGCTCTACCTAATATAACACAAAGAACCCATCCTTTCGATCTTCAAGAAATTCATAATAAGAACCTATGCATGTCCATAAAGTCGTAATGTTTGCCTTTTCAGATGGAATATACTCTGCTTGAGGGCCTTGGCCGAAAGGCATCTTGTCCAATCATGATAGCGCGTATCATGTTATGCAGGCAGCACCCCCGGAGCCTCAATTGGTCCCAATACGAGTTTTTCAATATGTGGAACGCGCAGGCACTGACAGCCATTTCAAATAATGCCAATCTGCATATGGTTTCCTTGAAGCGTGCCTTAATTATGAGATGCCAAGTCTGCCGGCAACCAAAAGATTAAATAAGGTTACAAATGGAGTACCAGTCCAACTCTGCGCGCAACAGCCAACTCAAAACGTTGTGTTAATCCATTACCTCCTCGTGCACATCCCCAATCTTGAGCCCTTCAAGCTACTTCCTCACTAACTGAAGAGACCGAAAACGGACGCCTCATCGTTCTACGCTGACCCCATGGACTTCTTCAACTCGCTGCGGGGCAGCGGCCTGCCCATGCCGTCTAGCATGCCCGCTCCCTCTGAAGTGCGGAGTAGGGCCAAGCGACTGAGCAAGTCCATCTTCACCTCCTGGGACACCCTGCACGCCATCCTGGAAAAGAGAGAAGAGACCATCCGCAAACGATGGATGAAAAAGACCAAGGACCAACGGGCCAAGATTTTGTTGGCGGCCTGGCCAAACATGCCAGCTTCTCATCGTCCCGATTTCCAGGCTCTACGCAAGAATTCGACATCCAAGCCACAAGGGGCCTTCAAGTGGCCATATGTCAACTTGGAAGATCTGACGCAGAGCAGGAATCTCCTGCTGCTCCTCAATTCCCGTGGCCGAAATCTGCCCGAGGCTTTTGCGCATGCAGACCTCGAGGCTACGCACGTGGGACAGACGAGCCAGGTGGTCAATCTTGAGTTCCTCAACGAGTACACCATGTACCTCGTCGGCGGCAAAAACCCCGATACGTATGGGCAGCTGGTCTCTTGGGACGAAGACGACAATGCCTTTGACCTGATGATGAACCAAATCCAGTTCCCTCCCGGCCACGGGCTTCTGGTTCTAGAGGTGCAAGACAAGCTGCTCAGATTCCTGGTCGAGTGCTGTTACCAAATGTTTCATGACATCCACAAGGAGAAGCTTATTGACGATACCGTGCCCTCTTTGCCCGAACCTTCACCTATCGTGGCCACTGAGACTTCGTATGCGCAGCTTTCAGCAGTAGCCGCAGAGGCACCCTACCGCGTCCCTGCAAAATTCGACATCGACCGCCTGAAGCTCCTCGTCGAGTCGCGTAGGGCATCAGCAGTGGACCACATCTGGGACCTCCGCGAGGACCCGGCCTACTTCGCTGCCACTGCGTTGGACTACGCGGACCACCGACAGGAGAAGCTCAGAGACACCACTGGCGGACGCCATCCCCACGACGATGATGATCTGTTCTGGGGTCGTGTCCTTACGACCGTCATCATGGATTCCTACGGCGAATTCCTCCTTTTTGACAAGATTCTCGAAAAGGTATTAGCCGCTAAGGCAGAGTTCGATAAGCTCAGCAGGGACCTGGATACGGGAAAATCACTCCCCACGAAACTGGAAGAGGCACTACTGGATCTGCGCTACACTCTCGATCGACTCGTGCAAGGCCCCATCCTAAACACCAAACTCGGCGTTCCAGCCTCGCCGCCGTTACGAGCCCACTTCGAGCGTCTGCCACAGCAGCCAGGAACCTCGAAGATGACAGTCCAAACCAAGCGAGGCCCCGGAGGCGATGCCCTACTGACTTTATTCAGTCAACTCTGGGACAGCGGACAGGTTTTCCTCCTGCGTCTACCCAATCTCGTGGATGAAATGCAACGCTGCATCGACGACCCCTTCCAAAAGGGGCGGATCTCCTCGTGGGTAGCGCACGTGTTTTCCGACTTGGCCTTGCTAGCGCAGATGATGCACCAAGTCGACATCTTCTACCCCTGGTCGGCTGCGTTCGAGGCAAAGTTGGATACGTCGAGAAAGGAGCGCCAGCCCAAGTACATGAAGGATATGGAGGATTTTTCCCAGTTCCATACTATTATCGAGAAGTGTCCTTCGCTTGCTGGGCTGGGGACGCCGACGCAGGGAAGGTTCAAGTATCCGGCTGACAAGCGGCGGAATGAGGCCATTACGAAGGCGATCCAGGCAGCGGAGAGAAATTTGGATGTGTTTTGGCAGAAATTTGACGACTACTTCGGCAGTGCTGCGGGAAAGTCGATTCAGGAGCTGCAGTCATCCCATGGCATGCAAATCAGACCCATCCACCGAACGCCAGATTGGATTCCAAAAGCGAGCTCTGCCACTTCAGGCGTAGCCGACATTGACCGATCACTCAGCAAGCTAGCACTAAGCTCATCCGAACCTGAACGCGCACCCGGGCGACTGATTGCCGAACCCCAGAAAGTCAAGCCCAAGAGGCGCGGCACCGCCGCCCCTGAAGCCGACGAACCTACCATCCCGACCCCCGAACAGCCCCCGCCATCCCCCGCTGGACCCCTCTTCACAGTAACCAAACGCGCCTTCAAAGTCTTCTCCTCCATGTTCCACATGCCTACCTCAACCTTAACCCAAGAACGGGCTGGGGAGGTAATGTGGTCCGACTTCCTGCATGCCATGACATGCATAGGGTTCGGCGCCGAGAAACGTTACGGCTCCGTGTGGCAGTTTACGCCGACGCGGCTGGACGTGACAGTGGGGATCCAGTTCCACGAGCCGCATCCCGTGGGCAAGATCAGTTGGATGGTGGCGCGGAGGTGGGGGGCTAGGCTGGGGAGGAATTACGGGCTAAGCGGGGAGAATTTTACTTTCGGATGAGAGGGAAAGGGGGAAGCGGAAGGGAAGGAATGGAGGGAGGACTTCGGGAGCCGTGATGCGCTTGATAGCTTGGGGATGTAATAATGAACACGCTGTTAATGCGGAGCGGTGCTGGTTGTTTTGGATGCAAACGGCTAGGAGTACACGGGTATCATATCTCTGAGGGGATTTAAGCTCTAGAGACACCGGGAACTTCTCCAGTGTCCCGAAAGCAGTGGCATCAATGAGCAAAATGCTTGGTAAACTGGTCCAAAGATTGCGCGCTCGACACCCCAACTCACATATGACAGGCAGAGTTTGGTCAATTTTGTACATGCCATAATAAATACTACATTAAGTTATGTTCGGTGCATCTCGCCACCAGGACGGTGCCTCAGAAGCCGGGGCGACTGAGACAAATGATATCCTCGTAAGGCAGGCTGATGAGCAATAGGGAACCATGAAGCACACCGATTCCAACTCCGTCGCTGATGCAGTCTCGTGTGCGTTATGAAGCCTTCTTCCTGCCCCGCTGTACCGTGAAGTCATAAAACCACGCTCCACACTCCGCCGGAAATAGCAAATGCCAAATAATCAAGTAAGTAAGTAGTGATGCCGTCATGTCGCTTCCTATCCAGCTCTACATCGCGCCCTTGCCTCCGTGGTTGGGAATTGCGTTGAACAAGTCTGCCGCTCGATTCGACTATGCTGGCGGCGAGCTCTGCACATTTGTAGCGATTGCTTCTGCTCCAAGCGGGTCCAATTCGCCTTCCTCCGGTGTCCACATTTCTGGCAGCCCATGAGAATGGGCCAGTGTTGAATCATCGCTGTCCATTTCAGTTGAATTGTCGCTGTTCGCGTCAGATGAATCCTTCTCGTCGGCGGCCGGCTGTGGTGCGTAAGAGTTTGTAGGTGTAGATTCATCACTGCCGCCCTCTTCAGCTTTGCTTGGAATAGTCTCATAGATCTCTCCATCATCTGAATTCTTATCACCTTTAGACATGCTTGCATTATCCTGCCGCCGCCACTCGGCCTCCCACTCACGAGGCGACATATTTGTGAGCGGAGACATGCCCCGATCAAAACTGCCGCCAGACGACCGAGGGCCCTGTTTCTAGTAGAACCCATCAGAGCCTGCACTACGGCTACCCGCCGAGTTGGGATGGGGGGTGCTTTGCGCCGAGTTACTGCTAGTATCACTAGGCGTCGGCGGCTCGACAACCTGGTTGCGAATGCACATTATCCATTCATGCTGCAACAATTCGACGGCACTGGCACGCCGTCTCGGATCCCGCGTAAAACATCGCTTGAGGAAATCGATACCTTGGGGGCTGAGTTGATCGGTGCTGGGGAGCTGCGGCGGGTTGCCCTGCGCGATGTTGTACATTATGGCCCACTCGTTGTCAAGATTGGACCACGGACGGCGCCCAGTTGCCATCTCGAGGATGACGCAGCCGAGGGACCATACGTCGACAGCTCCTGCCCGGCCAGGGTTCTCACCTTTGATAACTTCAGGAGACATATACATGGGGGTTCCGGTCATGGACTTGTTGGGCCTCGAGGTTGTACCAACGCCAACGACGCCAGAACTTCCGTGTACCAAAGTGCGCCCTTGCCGTGCTATGACCTTAGCAGCACCAAAGTCGACGTACTTGATGACACCGTTGTGGTCGAGGAGGACGTCTGCACGTTTATCAGTCATGTGTATTGACGCGGAAGTAAGCGTTCAACTTACTCTCTGGTTTAATATCGCGATGGGCAATGCCACTCTCGTGGAGGTATGCTAGGCCCTCAAGTAGCTGCAGCGCATAAACCATTGTCACTTGTTCGTCTTCAATTCGGCCATGTTCCAAAAGGTTGGCCAGAGATCCACCGGAGCAAAACTCCATGAAGATATACACTCTGTCCCGGTGGACTTCAATGCCATAATAAGACACTACGTTGGGATGGTCGAGGACCTCGAGAACGCCCATTTCATCCTTAATTTGCGTTGCGATTTGAGGGATGAGTTTTGGATCCTGCAGCCTAATCTCCTTGACGGCCATCAAATGTCCCGTATCCAGATTCATGGCGGCATAGACGTTTCCAAAGGTGCCGCCTCCAACGAAGTGACCCTGCTGCCACCGTATCGTCACGTTAGTAGCCGACGACGACAGGTAGGCAAGCGATCGGTCGACTTCGTTGGAGACCTCCAAAACCCGTCCCAATCCCTGTCTTTCAGCAACAGTCTGTCGTTGCTGGTCATCGATGGGTGAAAGCTTCTCCAGACGTTGTTCCTGGACGAACTTCAAAGCCTCATCGTCGTCACGCATGCGGTTCTTGTCAATTCTCTTGAACTGCCCGACTAGAGCCTCGATACGTTCTCGCTCGGACTGCGCCGCCTGGTTGGATTTGGCGCCTAATATGTCGAAGTGCGAGATCAACAACGACATGCAACCCGAGACTTTGGCCCGCAGTCTCGAATACTCGGCAGGGTCCAGATCAAGAATGTGTCGTCCTCTCGTCATGCCCATGGCGAACTCAAGAGCAGGTACGGCCCAGCGGAAGGACTTGCGATCCGTCACGGCACAGTCATCGCAGATGAAACTCACCCAGTCCAAGGCCAACTTGGTTAGTTTCATGTTGTTCATTTGACGACGATTACTGTCCATGCTCAGAAGGGACCGCTGACCGAACTCGGTGGCAAACACGAAGCAGGTCTGGATGAGCTCTGAGCAGTCCAGACCTTGCGTCTGCTTTCTGATGATTTCGACGCTGTCCATGAACGTGTTCGACAGCTTGAAGGCGACCTTTCGTATTTCCATCAACCTGGTGTTGACCTTATGCAAATTGGAGCGTTGCTCCACCACCAGGTCCAAGTGAAACTCTATCGTCTCCAAGAAATTCTTCCGTGCGTTGGCAAGTCTGTACTGCGATCCGTCGGCGATCAACCGTATTTGGCCAACTTTGAGATCAGAGGAATCAACATTCAAAGGCTGGGTGCTTCGGTTGCCGAACCAATGCAAGGTACTTTCTGGCCGGATTATCAGAACGTAGGGATCCGTGGGATCTTCCGACATCTCTTCATGGAAGCACGTTCGCAAAATGGACTGCACCTCGTCATCCCGGCCTATCAGGACCGGCGAGGCGATGATCTGGATGCCGTCAATTTCATCAACAAGGAAATGGTGGGTGGATATAAGGCGGTCGTAAAAGTTCTGGATGCCGTCCGAGTCAAAGGCAATGCTGAGATCGGATGCGTTCTCGTAATGGTCGCTAAGCATCCGCGAGAAACGCTGCAGCATCCTCTGCCGTACTCTAACCGACTCGAGGGTTTGCTTGTATCGTTTGCTTAAAGAGTCGGCGGACTCCTTAGGTTTTCGCTGAAGTTCCTTTTCAAATGTTTGACTGAGGCGATTGAGTGCTTTGAAGGTCAGAGTGCTAAACTGCTCCGCCACCTCGATGTCGCCTCCATTAAGATTGCGGCCAATCTCATTGGCGAAATCCCATTCCTGGAACAGGACTTCCGCTTCTTTAAATGTGTTCTTATTCCTACTCAGCTTCCAGTTCAACATCTTAAAGTAAAACTTCAAAGCATCTACCACGACCTGGTCGAAAGAGTCGTCGATCACCGGTGGGAGCTGCCAGCCCGGCTGGGGCTGGGACACGGTCAAGTACTCTTGCTTGATGCGAATGGCGAGCTTGAGGAGGATTTGAAATTGCGAGATCATCTGGTCCTGAAGCATCAGGTTCGACTGGGTGGACTCCTTCATTTTCCTAGCATAAGTCACTCGAACCTTGATGATTTCCTCAACGAGGCGCGAGGGAAAGCTGATTAACGTGAGTATTTCCTCGATGTACGGCGGCAGATGTCGTTTCTTAAATGCTGCCGAGTTCATTATCAAGGTTTCCTTGGCCTTGGCAATGGTGGTCGAGATGGCTGTAAGCATGCTCCTGCGGATGAGTGTTTTCGTCTTGATGGCTTTCCGGACCTTCTCGTCTTCGTCGTCGTCGTGTAGTGACTTCAGCCCATCCTCTTTCATTAGACGGTCCAGAAAGGATATGTCGTCCTTCAGACCGTTGGTGCTTGGGGACCTTTGCTGGGTCTTTTGAAAGTCGAGTTCGTCATTCCCAACCCATTTCTTTAAGATAGAGAGCTCTGTATTGATCAACTCGTTGGTGTTGTACCATGATAAAACGGCATCACACGCCTCGTGAAAGGCTGGAGAGGTAGCGGTTTTGTGCTCAGCGCCCAGAGCCTGCCATGACGGATACAGAGTTTCGCATCTTTCAATCTTCTTGACCACATCCCGTATCTGTTCGACAGGTGGCTTCCCCGCCTCGCTCTCTCCTTGCACCTCGAACCGAATGATTTCGTCAATGGTCCTGTCCAGGTTCGCACGCCCCTCCTCCATAATCCTCCGCTGTACCGCAAGAGATCGCCCGCATGATCTGGACCGCAAGGCAACCCACAGTTCTGTCTTGTGCGCCGTCTTGCTGCCTGCCTGGTCTGACGAGCCTATGAGGCGCTTCTTCTCCTGCTTAACGACATCACCAGTCAAGACCGCAGCCAGCATACCGTGCCATTCAAGCCGCTCCCGATTCGTGGGGTCCTTAATATCGTCCTCGGTTGGTTGCAAGTTGTCATCATCGGTATTGTAAAACATGATGGTTTCGTCAAAACGGTCATCAAAGATACTTTCGGAAGAGGGTGTCTCGCCGTCGGATTCATCGTCGGTATAGTCTAAACTAGGGGTATACGTGTCGAAGTAGCCTGGCGGCGGCTGGTCTTGTTTTATCAGACGCAGATACGCAGGCTCTTGATTGCGAAATTTATCGGCAGGGTCATCGCTGCGTTGGCGAGGGCGGGAGCCAGATCGAGTATTAATCGTGTAGGGCTGAGTTGCGGGTCCTCGCTGGGGCGCATACGTGCTCGAGGGCGTTCGGGTCAACTGTAGCGGTCTCTGCTGTTGGCGACTCGCCGTGCCATTCACTACCGTAGTATTGCTGGTTGTCTCTGCCGTGGCGACTCGCTGCCGGCTGGTCGCGCTATTGGCACTGTTTGCGACCGAATTTGGTGCCAGTGAAGCCATGGAGCTCGACATACTCGCATCCGCATATCTGGCCAACGATCCCAGCTCGTCCTGGCGCTCGAGCTCGTTCAGGTCTACCTGGTCGGGCGTGGAGAATTCTGAGGACCCGGAGCCATCGGTATCCGTCGTAATGGCAATGGGTCTGGAGCTCTTGTGCTTGTCGGGTAAAAGCTCGATCTCGCTTTGCGAAAAGCGCACGGCGCGCGGGCTCGTCTCGCTCATTTTCGGCGGTAGATGCCCAGGAAATGCTTCCGGGAGCGACGGCAATCAGGATGGCATCCAAAACAGCGTGTCGTAACTCGACGGGTTGGTGAGTGGCAAAGTCACGGCGGCACGACAGATAGCTCGACAAAAAAAATTGGGCCAGGCTCCACGATGACACCACAATTTTGTCGGCCTAGCGGTTCTAGATGGGAAAGTGAAAGGACCGTGTCGGTTTGCCAATAGCAGATGGTGCAACGAAGTCCAATTGCGATACACTGTTGTTGGCAACAGGTCAGTCGGTTGAAAACATGACTTTGGCGTCGGCTGAAAGAGGAACAAGAGGTTGTAGGGTCGGATAGGGTCGTGCAGGGTCTTCTTACACAGTGATGTGGAAAATTGTCATGGTGGCCTAAGGGTCTCCATCTGGAAGAGATGAGGTTTCCGGTGAGTATGGCAGCAAAAGGCCGTCGTAATCTCTACCCCGGAGCAGGTGGTGGATTTCAACCGATACAACAAGTAAAGCACGATCTACATCGAAATAGCCTAGGTGCGGTGATAATGTGGCTTGCCACTGGTCGGATGCGTTGGGCCCTTCTCCAGGCCAGTTGGCCAGTTTAAATGGCCCAAAAGGTTAGCCTTCCCACTAGCCAAGGTCTGCGATCCGGTTTTCTTGAGTAGCAGCTCAGAATGAAAAGTCGACGGTCCAATCCCAGCGGAGAGGGTGCTCCGTTTGGGAACGGTGGACTGGTGGAAGGGATTACCACAGGGGCCTTGCCTCCCGTCGATGTGTTTCAAGATCGTGATCTTGTTCACAAACGAGGGAGCAACAGATGACCTATCCACTTAAACAATTATTAGAGCCGAGATATCCAGCATATGTTGCACCTTGTATACGTGACTGCCACAACAACCTCGATGAAAACTGCAAATCCATTCACGATGGCTGAGTAGAAGGCTGACACGTCAGTAGCTAAAGACATTACAACGTGTGTCCTACTTGAAATTTGAGGGACGACAAAATATCATAGTGAAAAAAACAAATTAACACTATGAGTCAAGCCACGCCTGCGAAATGCCAAGCTCCAAATCAGCAGTACTTCAGTACCTTTATTGGAACATAGAGGCCCGTGCTGCCCCGCGGCGCGTCCCGTGCTTTTGACGCGATTTGGGTGGCCCCGAACATGGAAAATGATGCTAGACTTCATTGTGGAAAGCGAGTTCCACTATTCATATGACTATTGAGTTCTGATGTGGTCGCTGTCCAACTTGCATCATACCAAGTCTTGAATGGCTTCTTCTCGGCAGATTGCACTTCATGTCTCTTCGTTCCTCCTCACTACACCGTCCGTCGGGCATCCTCCACCCCCATCCTTCCTCAGACAGCCACTTGAACAAGCATGGGTCCTCTTCAAATGCCTGGGGCAGAAAACGCAAAGTTGATGCTCCTGGAAGGCAAAGTATGGCCTCTGCCATGGAAGACCTCCTCAAGGAGCCTATTATTGTACAGGTAGTGCACCCCCTCTCCGTATTGCCCCGACTCCTGCTCACGTTCGCAGACGTATCCTCCAAACCTCGCAGTGAAACCTCGCGCACTTCAAGGTCTCATGCTCCTACCCCGAGAGCATCTTGCACTTTCATACCTAGATCTTACTTCGCCCAACGGCCAATTCGAATCGTCCCGTTTCTACAAATCGAATATCAAGATTCTCGACCTCGAAAGCCGTATCGGCACTTGTCCAGTAGTCCTCATTGCGCGACTGGAAAGTAACAAGACATTCTATGCACTGGAGCGTCAAGATGACGGGCTTTATACCTTGTGCAAGTTGGGCTCCTGGGTGAACTTGGAAGCGATTGGCCAAAATGCTACTGTTTCCTGTTCCAGGCTGGTCAAGCCGCGACCTACTCTGCCTGAGAATACTGCAGTCCTCGAGCCTCCGACGACACCACAGCTGCAGAGGGAGAACAAGAAACGCCGGCTTGCTATCGAGGCTATCCAATCCCTGGTGAAGAAACCGACGCGGTCAAGATCTGTATTGCTGCCCTCTCAGGGTGTCGAGTCCACCCAAGCTTCGACCCAAGGGGACGTTGCCGAATCCCAGGCCCCCGCCCAACTATCTTCCCACGGTGACCACAGCGCCTCTGAACCTGCTACTCGGATGGCGAGTCAAGTAATTGCGGTCCCTGGGACCCCCGAGGATCTAGTCCAACCGACCTTAGATGACACATTGGACAATGTTCGACATCAGTATTTTGAAGCATTATATCATTCTATGGTATGTTTACGACAGTGTTACACCATAGAGAAAGGCAGCCTAACTCTTTCCAGGGATCTCTGGCGTATTTCGCAAAAGGTGCCCTATCTCGAGCCCGTGCTGCATTTCATCTTGACTGCGACTCAGCCTTGGAAATGGTTGACTTGGTGGAATTTCTAAAGAGCCTGGTCATGTCGACTGTGCAGATAGACAAGAAGTATCGGGACGCAATACCAGACATTCTTGCCAAAATGAAGATCCACGCGGTGGAATCAGATAACGAACAGGGAACCAAGGCCACGAAGAGAAAGTCGAGAAAGACAAGACTGGGTAAAAATGGACTGTACCCGAGCGAAGACGAGCACGTCCGAAAGTGGTGGGGAGTGCACAAACCACAGCCCAAAGATGAAGATTCCATGACAACAGCTATACCCCAGGAGACACGACTCCAGCTATCATGTCTTCGGTCAAGGGAAACACAACTGCAAATTATCATCATTCTCGAAGTCTTGGCGTTGGAATCGTTGAAGTCTGTCGACAATCCCAATGACTCACAGCTCCCAGGCCTTCCTGGGGAGGAGCCCACCCCGGGAGTCTCAAAGGAGTTGCCAACTAAAAAGCGAAACAAGCATAATCTCCCCATGCTTCTCGATGTCCACGCAGATCGGCTCAGCATATGGCAGTCCACAGCACTCGATGAGATCAACATGCTTGAAGACTCTCAAGCACAGCGACAGGAGGCAGATAAGTCTGCGAGGTCAAGCTCTGACCCGCTGAGGGACTTTTGTGTGGACATCATTGTGCCATTGTAAGTTTGCTCAAGTGCAACTGGCCAAAGACCATGGCGTACTGACATCCTGAAGTTTCTCATCGCGTCTTCCCGAGCATTGTGATTCAATCAACCGAAAGCTAGGTGGTCCTGTCATGCCGTCACCGCCAAAATCCAAGCCAAAGAAGCCTGATATGACTGTCAAGCCAAAGCTCAAATCTGGTGGCGCAACGAGAAAAGCTGCTCCGCCAAAATCATCACGTACGCTTGACAGAGTATTGTCAAAGGAGATTGAGCAAAATCGGCGTAGTATATCAAGAGGCCCGAGGGGAACGATTGCTCTGCTCAGGTCGGCATCCATCCCAGTGATTCCAAATTTGAAACGAGAGGCTAGCGAGCCCCTCTCTGTCGCGGACATACCAAAAGGAGATTTGAAAGATCTAGACAGGCCTAAGAGCAGACCATCTAGCTCTTCTAGTCTCGTCCAATCAAAGCAGAGGTCCGGGGAAGAAAGGGCAAAGAAGGAAGCCCATGTCAAAGCCGAGTTGCAAGACGCCATTTTAAGCTTGAGGAAGCCTAACAGGGAAGTAGTGAGCAAGGCTTTGGCTGAGACTGATGAAAGACGCGCGACTACAAGCCTGTCGCAATTGAGAAAATCGAAAAAGCCTACCCAGCACCCGCGGTTTCAGACCACCATCAAAGCAACACCTGTGGGAGTCCGATTCAGAGATGCTCTTGCAGGCGATGCGCATAATCAACCAAACTTCGGCATACGTCACCGCAAGTCTACCGAAACAGATCATATGCCTTCCTCCTCGTCCATAATCCCGTCATCTGCACCTAGAAAGCGTAACCGAGATGAGGCGTCGATAGAGGAGTCCCCTGAATTGCCGGCGTCGAAACGAAGCAGCGGGTATGTGGCCGCAACACCAGCCAAGCCTTCAATAAGGCTAGATGCTCTCTCGGTCTCTGGGATAGACGATGGGTTGGTTCTAGCATCCTCGCCGGTTCTGTCTCGAAAAGCGTCTCAATCCAATTTCTTGACGGTGCCTGGCAGCTCCCTCAGGCATCGAGATAGTGGGATCGAGATACCCTCGTCACCTCCAAGAGTGAGCTATGCCGAAACGCCTGTGAAGAAGCCATCGGTCGGGGGCTTTGGCTCATTGGAAGGCTACATTACTGTTACACCGGTGAAAAAGAGAAACGTCGATCACGGTACTGCCGCATCTCTTGTTTCAGATGGGACACAGGTGAATGAAGGAATGATGAAGATGTCCATCTTCGAGCGGCGCGGGTGGGATGAAGATCCCGATGACCTTGCTTGATTGGCTTTGAGTCTTAGGCTGAGGTCGTCTTTTGGGTGTAAGGCAGATAAATGGCTCTCAAAACCTGTACTTTGGAGGTCAGGTTCTGGAGATTGACATGCACAACACGAAACCCGCGGATGAAACTCTGGTAACCCTTCATCTGACACAGGATTCCAGACGTTTCCAGCTTGCTCCCATCCGCGAATTTTACTTGTGGAGTCCGAAGGGATGATACCCTTCCAGTTCTCGAGTTGTTGGAAGTATTTGAGGACTAGCATCGATGTACTCTGAGAGGGGATATGGGGTGCAAGCCTTGGGAACAGGAGGACACCGCACTGATCATCCAGATAGACAGAGGCGCTCACCAGTCGAGATTGTTGGCCATTCGGGCCTTTGGGAATATTATGCACTTTCCCAAACACGAATGAATAAATGAATGATCATGAGAGCTGAGATGAAACGATTAATGACTCTACGACTTGCATTGGGCGGCATTTACACATATAGAGTTTGTAGGCATTGCATAGCTGGTAGTAGGCATAGACATGAATGATGAAAATGAGTTTGAGCAAGGTCCAACCTCTTCGTTGTTGCGTGTAAGTGGGTTCGGATTTCACGGGACCTATACCACACACATGACAGCATCCCTCGACTTAAACTCATGCATCGGCGAGATTGGCGCATCGCAAAATTCCCGCGACAACAGGTATAACGAGCTGACTGTCGTTTCCGTAGAATTGCGGCACAGGTTCAGCTTTGGGACCATAAACATCACTGGCTGCATTGGTATGATGTCATACAGCGTGGCTGTGTGCAATTCCATGGATCAATAAAAACCTCTCACCTCCACATTGCCTTCATTGCCTTTCACCAAAACCTTTATAGACATTGGATCATTCAATTCATATTAAGTACACGTTTGCCCTTGCTGGTACTCCGCTACCTAAAGCCCAAGTAGCCAGAACACCAGAAACCCACACCAAGCCTAAGTCGACGCAGAAAAGACAAATCCCGAAAGTAACAGAAAAAAAGAAAAAAAGAAAAGAGCCTTGACACTATCCACCACGGGAATCAGCGACGCAATGCTCAGCCAGCAACGAGCAGGACGGCAAACAAGCGCAATACGAGGCGCTGAAGAAGCGGCACGACGACGCGATAGGGCGCGGTGAAGACCCGTTGGAGTTATACAAGAAGTGGGCTGCGGAGGAGAGACGGCATCGTGGGCGGAGAGGATGTGGCGGAAGGTTAAGGGGGAGGAGGGGAACGCAGATAAGCGGCGTGAGAAGGCGGATGGGAAGGGACAGGAGAAAGAGTTGGTGGGTACGAGGGGGATTAAAATGAGTGGCGGGATAGTGAACACGAAGACTTGAGGATGAGTTGTTGGGCTCGAGGGAGACTTGCTAATGAAATAACCCGTCTCTTCAACCTTCACAGCCGCAGGCCAACACAAGGGATTTTGCTTCTACGGGAGTAGATAAGTTGTAAATTAAGAGGACAGATCATGCGCCGCTCCAAAGATGCCTGCACCTCTTCGGATTGTACATCACAGAGTGACATGAGATGCCCAAATCGTCTCTGGAGGCTCAGTCCCCGCAGTAAAACAAACATAGCTCCTTTATGAAGCCGTCTAGCACGATAGGGGCAGCCCCAGCTAGTGTAATTTTAATCACGTTTCAGGTCTCATCCCAATGCAAGGTCGCTTCTAAATTATCCGTATAATGCTTCCTTCTTTGGTCCTCAATTAATCGGAATCATGATCTGGAAAGTATCCACTGGATGACACTCAACGGAACCATGGGGTCTCTGTCACCCTTGCCCACTTGACGCATGATCGGATATGCCCAAGTAGGGGCCGACCACGTCAGGAAGGCTAGGACCCAAGTATATCCCAAGACACTCTCTGCAACCGGGTTCAACTTTAATGGTAGGTGCCGGTGATATATAGCCTTGGCAGCAGTTTCGAAGATGATGCCGAAGGGCTGTATTGTGAAGAACCAGTAGGCTCCACGCTCAGATGCTAGAACCCCAAGCCCAACATCCGTGAATATGTGTATGACCGCACTCACTTGGAATGCCGTAACCAAAAGAACTAAGGAGTACAGGGTCGTCCCGAATTGCAATTGGAGTAGTTGGCTGGTGAAATGGCCAGCCTGCGTGGTGCTCCTGCGCAAGGTTTGCTGCCATGTGATGCTTGATATCGAGTTAGCAATTAAAAGATTTCACGTGCATTTGAGACTTGAGTAGTACGATTAATTGGAAAAACTCACCCCCAGAATCGCCGCAATGTGTAGCTTTCAAGAAAGCTTCCAAACATGGGTGGATATTCTGCTGGCTTCCCGAGCCCTATGGCCACAGCTGCGAAAGACACGGCGCTGTGTAGAAGGGTTATCTGCACAAAAGCAGAAAAGCCAGTTGCGCAAGTAAGCATTACTCTAGAAATGAGCTCTTCCGGCGATAGTTCGGAGAGTCTCGAGAACAAGGCTTGCTTCTGGACTGTAATCAATTGTGCGTCTGGAGGTGGCATAAATGTGATCAAGTCCATGAGCAGGTATGCGACCAGAAAGGTGAGTAGTCGTCCTCGAAGGAATTCTCCACGTGAAGGTGCGGCCTTTGCATTGATCGGAGACCACGGTATAGTCTTGACCTCCCATTTCGTCCCAATTCGTCGCCAGTTCCAGAGAAGTACGAGTGCTTTTCGAATCTGGCCCACAGCGGACCACGAAAGCAGTCTGTCTGTGCCGTCTCGATGCGCATGTCGCAAGTCCTTTGGGCTGGCATGTGACAGAAACAACAAGTCGAGTGCGCTTCCGAGTTGCATGAACAGGAATGGGAGAGCGAGAGCCTTGATCGAGCCATTCTGGCACCAGCTACTGAAAGCTTGTTGCAGACAAAATGTCATTACTGTTAGAAGGACCACGGAAACGAATTGTCCGAGGGTTCGAGGCAGTGTCAGAACGAAAGTAGCAACGAAGATTGCCTCGAAAACAAAGAGGAAGAGCACGAGTGTTCCTGGGGCCATTGTTCTCAACTTCTCTCGGACCAAGATACTGACCTAGCATCGATTCGAGGTGTTGCGTACGGGATCCTGAAATCGTTGTCAAAAGTCTGGCGCACACCCCACTACGCGACATGCCCGTGTCTCTCAATTTCCCACCCACCTACACCAACATTTCAGCCGACCACCACCAATCATGGAAAACACTCCCAGAGAATCAAGTAAGCGCGTTTCAACCGCCTGTCATTAGAGATGCTAGGAGTGATCTACACTAGTGCGTGCCACGATGGCGGCCTAGCGTGCAGGCGGCTTAAGTGTACGTGAGGTTGACAGTCGGTTTGAATGCTCGCCGTCAGTGGTTACACGCAATAGCAAGCGCGTATAACACACTCGATCATTCGCCTCACGACACCGTAACGGTTCACCTAAAGCTCTGAATATACGGCAGGCCCGGTACATTGCCATATTAGAGAAAACCCCCCAGAATAGATGGGCAGCGCTCTTTAAGCGGTCCGCGAGCAGGTCAGTTATGTATTGTGCCGTAACACTATTAGGCCGCCTTCAAGTTACAGAATCTCAGGCACTAGAAGTCGCTACTTCGAGTCTAGCTACTCCCTAGAGATTTAGGCTAACGTACGACATATTAACTCTTTTAGCAGGGCAGAGATATATAAGTGAGCTACGTATAAGTAATAGTAGAGTGTAGTATCGCGATCCTCGCAGCGATGTTAGAGACTAATAGCATTTATACTCTTAGGGCATATTTAGAGATGTGTGTATGGTATAAAATGCTACTATTTTTAGCGCCAGCTAGGTCTAGCTAATACTGTAACGGGGTAAGGCCGGACGCCAGGGAAAATAGGTGACGGAATGGGGAGGATCTTTTACTTTTCTTCAAGGGACTTGTGGCTGCAGTTTTTCTTTCCATCATCCCTTTTTTAAATCACCTCTTTCATCTCTTCTATTCTACATAGTCGATAGTTATCGTGCTCTTTTCTAGTGTGTGCAATTCAAAGCTTCTGTTCATGGTTCACTTATACGTTCAGGCATAGTTTTCAAGAATCCATCTATCTCTTCCACTTTAGCCTTAACAACTATGAGGAGTTATGTCTTGCTCTAATCAGAGAAATTCATCACTAGTGACAGCTTCAATTCGACTCCCAGAGCCAGACGTCCTATTCTGAGAATTATCCCGATACAAGTCTCAGGGGCACATCCGACCAACTTGCGCACAAGACTCGCAAGAGCTTCGCTCTTGAAACCATTACCACGATCTCCGTCTGATCAGACTAACAGATGGGATCTGTTGGTATTGGAGCTGTCTGTTCAGTGTGTTAGGTGGTAGGTATATTCTACTGACCGCCTGACTGTCAGAGAACAGAATGCCATAGGCACCAGTGGGTGTCAGGACACTGAACGCAGGACACCGGCGGGCCGCCGGAGGGGTGTTTCGGACAAAAGACTCCCGAATCATGATTACAATCTATGTGAAGCTTTGGGATGACGAGAGTCAAGATCCTTGGCATCGCCGACCCTGCTGTTATGCCGGGTCCAAGCGGCGGCCTAGCTATCTATATAAGGACCATCTCGAAGTAGGATAGGGAAGGAGTTGTCAGAGCCACAAGTGTCATCCGAGGCGGGCCGGCTTCCACCAGGTAGGAAGCCGTTTGTGGCGGCTAGAGAGCCGCTTGTGGCGAATGAGAGCCGTTGAAGCCGTTTGCAGCGGATAGGGAATCGCTTGGTTGCAGATAAGGAGCCGCTGTCCAAGATATTGGCCGAAGTCGGAGGAACACAGACATACGGAAGCAAACATCCAGAATCCAAGAGAGAACCTCGGCTGGCTATAAGTAAGGAGTCGAGACGGAGGAAGATAGAGAGGGCAGAGATCAATGCATCACCGTGGGCACCCCTACCTGAGACCGCCAGTGACCACCCGGTGCTACGTAGGAGGGACGCCCGTTACTCCCCATCACTCTGTACTATTGCCTTCGGCCTAGCCGTACCCTGACACTGACCCTGTTTCAATACCCTTTCATAATTATATGTTCCCTATGGTAGTATACTGCGCTATAGGTTATCAGTAACGGACTGATTGACTCGGTATCTAACGTGTGTCATAGATTAGTAACTATAGTATTACATATTGTAACAGTAGGTACTGTGTAAGGGGAGGCCAGTAGCAATTCGATACAAAGAAGGAAACTTGCCCCTCCAGCAAGTTTCCTTCAAGTTTCCTTAGTGCCTTGAGCACTATTTGAGGGGCCCAGAAGGTTTTGTTGAAACGCCATCAGGTCGTCATGATTTCGCCCGCCTATCCAGGCGGGCCCGATCGCGACCTTCTACCCCATCCTGATCATAGCTTGTGACACATATTAAGTTCTCTTAAGTAGAACTAGCGTATGCTAGACTGGTCGATAGTGATTTATTAAGATCTTATTTATGATAATACCCCTGTAACCAACTATATTTGAGTATAGTTAAGCATAAAGCGCCTTTCAACCTTAGGAATCACTATGGTGCTCAATCCCACATTTAATATCAAACAACAGTCTAGACAAAGCTAGAACTAACGACATGGTGCTTCTATGCTCCAATACCATGTGACCCGTCGTTTTTGACACGGGGTCAATCTAGATTTAGTTGAATATCCTATTGACAAGTAACGTAGTCCACAACCGAACGGGTCACCCAACCGAACGGGTCACGCCCATAGCAAAAAATAGAACTAAACTTCCTAACTTTACCACGCAACTAATTCTCGATGGATTCTGCTCAAAAAGAATCTCAATTACTCCTTGCAACCCAGGCTATCAGAAATGACTCAACACTTAGTATCCGACGTGCTGCAACAATCTACAAAGTCTCGAATACTACTCTCCAGGCGCGTCTTCAAAAACGTCAATCACATCGCAATATCGAAGCCAACGGTCGGAATTTAACAAAACTAGAAGAAAATACGATTAATCAAAGGATAATTGAGCTAGATTCGCAAGCATTTCCTCCCCGGCTAAGTGCTGTTGAAGATATGGCAAACCGACTGCTACGCGACTCGCATATCACAAAGGAGGACTTTCTTCCGGCATTTTGCGACGCGTTCAAGAAGAGCCTGACCGAAAGCAATATTCGTGCAGGCTTTCAAGGGGCTGGGCTTGTGCCTTTAAGCCCAGATATTGTTATTGAGAAGCTGGATGTGAAATTACAGACTCCAACGTCCTCCCGGCCCCCTACGCGGGAAACCCTTCCTTGGGCTTCTCGGACGCCAAACAACCCAACCGAGGCTACTTCGCAATCCGAATTTATTAAATGTCGAATTATCAGGCATTAAAATAGCTCCCCGACGTCAATTTACGATGCTATCGATCAGTTTTCGAAAGGAGCGCCGAGTATTATGCATAAGATGGCTTTACTCCAAGCTGAGGTCGCCGAACTTCGAGAGGCAAATGCTCTAATTAGCAAGCGGCGCAGGGCCAAAAAAACACGAGTACGGCTTGGAGGATCGCTTAATTCACAAGACGTACAAGATCTTCAAGATCAAAAGGACGTTGCGCAGCAAGTACAGCAGGAAATGCGTGGAAATAGCGCTGGATCAAATCGTGGCCAGCCACGGCAACGGCACTGTGGCGTATGCGGAAAGACCGGGCATAATGCGCGAACCTGTCAGGTAGAGATAGAATCATCTGGGCAAGAGTATTCTGAGTATTTTTAATTGATTTACGGCGTTGTGGTTGCGAAATCGTGTTGAATTCCATGTTTTGCTAGTTGGCGTGACCCGTTCGGTTGGGTGACCCGTTCGCTTGTGGACTACGTTATCCCAAATTTGCACAGGGAAAAATGAAAGAAATCTCTATCCATTCAAACTACGGATTTAAATTTACTCGTGTGTCCATCAGACTTTGTAACAACCTTTCTGTCAAATAGGGTTGACTTAGAGTTCACAAGGTCGACCGTTCATGGCCTTGCCGATAGTCTCCACGCAGGCCATAGCCTGTGATGTATACAGACTTCAGAGAAGATTCAGAGAAGACAAAAAGCAACGAAACACATACCTATAATGCTAGCTCGATCGGGAAATATATTCTCAGCTGTGTTAGTAAAAGACACGAAATTTCCTCTTTGATTCAATAGATAATTGCGGCCTCTAAGGTTCTACTACCGTTATAGACCGTAATGCTATTACGGACTATTAGGAACTTCGAGTCCATTCTAAGGATAAACCAACTATGTATATGCATTAAGATCTGATTGCTTATATGAAGTGCGATTTGTACTTATGCTGCAGGGTGCAAATATGGACATGAAAAATTCTAATTGCACTCGCATGCCAATGTAATATATGGATTGTGGGATAAAAGGTTGATCAAGACATAACTCTCAAATCTAAACATGGCAAAATACTTTAAAGTACTACAATCATCACTGAGTCAAGACATTAGCTCTATGGCCACCTTACCTGAAGGAATCGCACAGCTGAATATGATTTCGTAACGATACTTCTGTGCACATAACATAATGTAGTGCACATTCTGTGATCCTCATCTGTTATATAATTTCTAATCCATATATAGCTCTATATTTGAATCTAGTCTTGATGTGATTTCTACGTATATTCATTCTCGAGTCCCATAACCAGTTACGCTTCTGAAATCCCAAAACAAATAAAGCAGTTCCCTCATCTGGCATCTCCCCCTTTTATAGACCTTGATTTCCCCATCTACCCACTCATGAAGCGTGACAGCATCCTCCGCATCAGAAACCGCTGAGGGGGTTTGCTCTTCCGCGTTGACAGTCCCCGCCCAAGGTCTGGTTTCTCGGATGACTTAATGGCTTGTCCAATACAGATGATGGCTTCTTCAACTCCATGAGTCTCCTCTTCGGCAGTGTTGACTTCCAGGTAGGGACACCCCCAACTTTGCGCCATGAGCTTTCCCTTCATCCTCAGATTCTCCTTCAGTTCCTCTCTCGAGCTGGCTTTATGGGGAGTCAGCACAATATCCTGGTGTTCTCACCAGCAAGATGAAACCTACATGTACCGGCCACAACCGGTAACTCCGTATCGGCGTTGCCTATCAAGGCAAAGCACACTTCGTCCGAGTCTCGACTGATGCCCTTCGCCTGCAGGGCATGCTGAACCACGTCGCGGTACCTCTGGACCGTCTCGAGGGTGTGGGGAGAGAAGCGGCTAAATACGAAGACAAAGGCATCTGCATACTCGATGAGATAGCGCAGCATGGCCTCATCAGTGGCGCACGAATCAAATGCGACGAGCTCGATCAGGGTCTCCGTCCCATTCACGTCGACCGTCTGGCGGCACGCCTCAGTTGAGTCTGTCGCATTTTTGCCGGGTGCAAACTGTTGCAGTGTCAGTGCGATCAACCGAACACAGATAAACAGGGAAGGCTCGCACTAACTTTCTGGAGAATCTTGTCTCGGCCGGTAGGCTCGTCCTCATCACCGCACAACACGACGGAATATTCTTTGGGCATCCTGTCGAACTGCCAAGACCCGTTGGAATTTTCTTCACTCGCCACAAGATTTCGTGAGTAACCTTGTAGTTGGGGGGGGTCTTTTAAGCCACTTGTGGCTGTGAGGGGATAAATAAGTTGCTAGGATTAAATGGGCCTATAAAATTGGGTATTATATTTGTCACGTATTGCCAAAACAGCGGTTTACCGGGCGCGTTATAGCGGGTATTTTATAATTGCCCGCCTACGTGCGCAGACCACGCGCTAAGGCCGCCACTAATCCACAAATGGTACCCTGACGTTTGAGATAAAGTGGCTATAAGGGGTGAGATTGGCAATAATAGCTGTCTCGGTGTGAAACAACCCCATCAACACCAATAGGTGTGCGCGAGGATTCAAACAGTTGCCTATCTTTTCAAAGATAAATTGAACTATGTTGGGTTAAGAACATCAAGAAGAGCATACTCGTTGCAACCAAGCCACTCGGGAACGGACCACTACGTAGGACTACACCTCTTCCAGGATTGATTTCGTTAGTGCGATACAACATCCCGGTATCCCCACAAATAGCTAATATGTAACTTGCCTACAAATTAACTAGCGAGATACATACGCCACATCAGTAATTAATCAAGCCGTTATCTTCTTCTCACACCTTCCGCGGCCGGTCTGGCATTAACGAAGCCAACTTATACAGTAATGCCTCTGGCACTAAGGGCCACGCAGCGCGAATAGCGACAGCTAAGTCATCTAGGGTCAAGTGCTGCAGATCGTAGTGCCGGTACAGCTACTCCTTTACCTAGAACTATATATTTTCAATGTATGAGAGATCTGGCGACTTCAGTAGCTACCTTCGACACTCGATGCCTAGGTCTTTAATATGATCAAGAGTGACTCTGGCTCTATATGCTATGGCGTTATCCTGCTGGAAAACAAAGCCCCTGCGGAAAGTAGTCCTAAATTCCTCTATAAGAGCAAGGATATTATCGATATAGGTCTCTGTAATGATGCCCCCTTCGTCCTTAGGCTAGATAAAGAGAGGCCCCTTTTTGAGGCCACACACCATGCACCAGACCATCCCGCCGTGTCCCTTTTCACGTAATAAGTCGAATCCCGCGGGGTCCTTAGTGTCATATACAGTAATCCAGGTCTTCTATATTAGATTAATGTGCGCCCAGCACTTATCAGAGGAGACTTTAGGGCAATTGTGGTCCTCCACCCAGCCCTCAGAGTAGGCCACCGTTTAAGAGCCCAGTTAGAAAATTGCATTTTAGCAGCGCGATGCCGCCTGTTAAGTTTCAGTCTACAGCGCCGGACACGACGGTTGTAACTAAGATCCTTTACAGCAGTATTCAAAGCGTGGCTCCTTCCAGGCAATATATCTATAGCGATGGTCTTTGTCGATAAATTGCTCAATTTTCTGCTTTAATAGCGATGTAACGGCCTTATAGCCACGTAGCCCTTGTGTGGTGTTAGGGGCCCTCAAGTGCTAGATGATATTACCGTTAAGAGTAGCCCAACCGTTCGGAATTTCCATAAAAGCCCCCGAGCTAGATTCCGTAGTGTCCTTATTTAACGCCGGTCGTCCCGCGTAAGATGTCGGTTATAGGGGCCCGTAGTTCCAGTAGCGGTCGGCTGGCGTAGGGGTGGAAACGGCACTGAAGGTAAGTAGGATTTTGTTATTAGCGGAGAATTCTTTTGATCCGTTGGGTTGTATTACGTAGCTGATTGCGTAGGAAGCGCCTAGGTGTATTCATCTTAGCCAGAAGTGTTGGAAGTCGGCCAGCGTTGTTGGTGATGTTGGAAATGTTGAATTGGACGGTAAATCTACCGTTCCCTATTATTTGTGTGTGTAGTTTACTTGTCACGTCGTTGCGTCATACTTGGCCAAAAGACTGAATCTTGTAACATATTAACGATATCAATCCTGGAAGAAGTGTAGTAGGCAGTTTGCCCCAGACGTCTTACGCCTATCTACCACGATGCATACTTCGTGATAGTCATTCTCAGCACATAGTGTCATTATTCGATTCCTTTGGAAGCGCAGTCTTCATTATGCTAAGTTTCTAGTCTTACACGTTGGAAATGAATTTGAACAAAGAATCACAACCGATGGTAAACATGAAGATAATTAATTATGACCTTATGCCTGTCGTTATAACCGCAAATCGAGTGCATCCTTGAGAGATTGCTTTGCGCAGGTAGGACTCAGTTTCGTGCTGCAGCATTCCTTCCCGAGAGGTTCTCTACACATAACGACGGCGATAAAACCATGAATCTAGAACCACAAAAGCGTATTCTGGTAAACTAGAACCTTGAGTACATACCCGAGCTTGTCATCTACGACATAGTTCTTATAAAACCATCACCAAGAAAAAGCTGCATTTTATACTTCAGTATGTTACAACATGAGATGTCAACTCTATTTCTACCTACACGAAAGCCTTGTTCAACAACGAATTGAGCGAAAAAAGAAAAGAAAACAAAAATTTGGGGTGCGTTGCTTATGTGGGTTATTTGGCTCTGGATAAAGAGCAGTTGCTTTCAAAATGTATAAAAAGGCCATACCGAGTGTCAGAGAACAGAATGCCATAGGCACCAGTGGGTGTCAGGACACTGAACGCAGGACACCGGCGGGCCGCCGGAGGGGTGTTTCGGACAAAAGACTCCCGAATCATGATTACAATCTATGTGAAGCTTTGGGATGACGAGAGTCAAGATCCTTGGCATCGCCGACCCTGCTGTTATGCCGGGTCCAAGCGGCGGCCTAGCTATCTATATAAGGACCATCTCGAAGTAGGATAGGGAAGGAGTTGTCAGAGCCACAAGTGTCATCCGAGGCGGGCCGGCTTCCACCAGGTAGGAAGCCGTTTGTGGCGGCTAGAGAGCCGTTGAAGCCGTTTGTAGCGGATAGGGAATCGCTTGGTTGCAGATAAGGAGCCGCTGTCCAAGATATTGGCCGAAGTCGGAGGAACACAGACATACGGAAGCAAACATCCAGAATCCAAGAGAGAACCTCGGCTGGCTATAAGTAAGGAGTCGAGACGGAGGAAGATAGAGAGGGCAGAGATCAATGCATCACCGTGGGCACCCCTACCTGAGACCGCCAGTGACCACCCGGTATTACGTAGGAGGGACGCCCGTTACTCCCCATCACTCTGTACTATCGCCTTCGGCCTAGCCGTACCCTGACACCGAGCGGGTTAAATCAAAATGGCGACTCAGAAGCTAGCCCTAAGAAAGCTAGTGAACATGGCGTGGGGCTGCGATCTTATACGGGCGAGACTACTGTACACGTCGGTTATTCGCAACGCGATCGCCTTCGGGGCGGCTGCGTGGCACACTATAAGCGAGGAACCAGCGGGACCAGCTGAGAGCCTAGTCGGGATACAGAATGAGTGCCTCCGAATAGTCTGTGGCGCCTACAAAGCGACACCGGTCCGACACCTAGAAATAGAGGCAGCTATCCCGCCACTAGACCTATATCTCAGTGCCCGGGCGGCGAAATTTGAAGAATGGCTACGGAATAACGGCAAAAGGAGCCTGCTTCGGAGCACGAGCGCGAGAGCGTCACACATACTCCGACAGGATACGCCGGCGAGACGGAATCGGACGTCACAATCGCTCAGACCAGCGGGGTACACAATAGAGAAGGAGGCTAGGGGCTCCGAGTGGATAGGCAAGGCGAAGGAAGTCCCGGCCGCCCTCCTACACCACTGGGAGAAGAGATGGCTCTCCGGGGCAGCACAACACGACCGCCAGCGACGCGCTATCGCCGAGGAGCCGGAGGGCCCCTCGATGCGAATGCCGAAACAGGGCAAGTACTCAGACCTAAACCGACCGGAGGCGTCTACCGTATGCCAGATCAGGACCGGAAAATAGGACTATCAGCTTTCTTATTTAAGATAGGAGCCTTCGGTGTGTACTCACCGCTATGCCGCTGTGGAGAGGCCCCCGAGACGGCAGAGCACGTAATCCTCTTTTGCGGCCTGCTGGAAGAATCGAGAGAGCGCCTGCGGGCCACTATCGCACCATGGCCGCTGCATACACGTAGAGACCTGGTGTGACGGTCAACCCTCGCAGACTCACTACAACCAGGTGACGTACAGCTGGAACACCTGCCATGGCAGTGCCAGGTGGGAAGCCAATCATAACCCTTGTAGGAGCCCCGCCAAGCGTGGATGACTTAGTCGCGCTCCCTCAAACCTAAGTTGTCATCTTCTTTCCTTCGCTCCTTAGAGTAGAATCTTCGTCGATAGCACCTAATCGAGGTCTATACCAATGCGATGCAACCCAGGTCGTGACACCTGGCAACGGCGACGGGGAAACCAGTAGTCAGCGGGACTATCACAAGGTGGCTACTCAGGACTGGCCGGATAGCGCTTAGGCCCGGATAATATCGATCTTCTCAGGGGGACTTTGTTAGTAGGGTGAGAACTAACATAGTATTGTGGTGGACGTAACGCAGTCGCTAATAGAGCGAACCTACGTAGCAGCGTATGTATTTAGTCCAGCCATTAGGGCACGGTTTGACATACGGGAGCACTTGTAGAGGTACCGGGGGCTTCCAGCCTACGGCGTATTTGATAATAATATAATAAAAAGGGTAGCCTTTCCATAATTTAGCCAAAGCTATCATAAAAAGACTGCAACTAGAATACTCAGGTGGACGTCTTGTCGAAATCAGCTGCTTCGCAGTAGTTTCATTTGTGACATAGCCTGACTTTAGTCTATCAAGTCGGGGTAAAGGTAGCTTTGTTTTAGTTTAGAATAGAACTAACTACACTTAAGAGTAAAGGTAATACCTCATTTATAATGGTCCCAAATTGCTACTATCACAATACCAATGCCTTTGACGCGAGTATATGCCTGCAAAAGTCGGCGGTAGATGTGGGGCTAATAATACGTGTAGTTGGATCTACATTATCAATAGTTGAGACCTTTGAAGGTTTTCCCTGTATCCATGATAAAATATCAGCATGGTTCAAGTTATTAATACTCTCAGTCCGGTTTCGGCATGGAAACTCTATCATTTTCTATCCCCTCCGCAATAGGTGGCGCTTGGTCCAAGAAGACGAGCTCGAGCCTGTTCTCAGGCTCAACCTCTCGAACGAACGTCCTCAGTCGCCATGTCTTATACGCGTGGATCCCAGAACTAGTATTGTCGAAAATACCGTTTTTGGGCTTCGTAGTGACGATAGCCAACGCAAGCAAACCTCCCAGCTCCGACCACGCACGACTATACCAGCCATTTCCCAGAAGGACCATTCAAAAGTGGGCGTATATCAGCATAACGTGAAGAAGAAGCACAGCCCACGGGAGTTGCAGAAGGGTCCCTTCCAGCTTGCATGCGTGAACCTGGTGGTAGAGGTCCAAGCCTCGAGTACTCTTGGCCATCGGATCTCAAATCGCCTAGTGATGGTGCAGGTTGAGCTCGATTCTGAATTCTCCTCAGGGCGTCTGCGAATAACATTGCATATGCGAGCATTTCACACCTCGTATCGTAATCATAATCCATGCTCCCTGTCGTATTTGCTCGCTGGACACAGTCTTTTTGCAAGTGGTCAAAAGGAGACTAGTCGGACTGGGACCGATCAAGAGGCTCGACAACCAACTCGTCATCGATCATAGCTCCCCATGATCTATCTATCTTGATTCGCTGTTGGCTTTTATTCTCAGGGTCTTGAGGTGCTTCGTCGCTACGTCTTGTTGTAGAAAAGCTCGAGTGGTATATAACTCCCGACGGAGCTATGGTCCGAATGTCCGATTCAATCCATCTCGCATCGACTAAGCACATAAAGGTGTTGTTTTGGTACCAGCGGTTACTATGATCTATGATGAAGGCCATAGATATGTTGAGAGTTGGAAATTCATCTTGATTAAAGAAAACTGTCCTCTAGAGAGATCCGGGATCTGTTTTAAAGGACAGGGTCGCAGTGTCGATGGATATTACATGATCGGAAAAGGGGCCCTTTGGGAAATTGAATACCGGAGACGGCCTTCCTTGGGACGCATCATAGCTGCATTGGAAGATAAGCCGTGGCTGCGTCCAGGTGCGTGATTACCCGATTGGGCTTTCAGCACTTGCTTTGATCAAGATTGACTCGGAAGAAGTGGAATCCGTATACTCTCGGCTCGCTGCAGAAAGCTGTTTCGAAAAAATATATGATGGACAAGTTACCGCCATCGTCATGCTCTTATTAGGGCATGGAGGCTGCTTTTATAGGTCACATGGATATGATGTGACATTGTCTTCCCGATAATAGAGTGAATAAGAGTCAACAGTAGTGTCGTCAAGGACAGAAACATTTATGAAAGCGTTTCTGTCTTTGACTGACACCTGACTCAGTCCACTGAGCATATTGCGAAACTGAGTGGAGAATGTTCGGCGTGCGGATCCGCCTTCGTACCAGAGATAATTTGGAGACATTGTCTCGTCGACGTGAATAGGAAATAACTGCTCGAACGAAGCGCTAATATCCAATAAGCTGCGGTGCTTTGGTCCGAATAGCTGGGAAGCTGGTGATTTTCTGGTAAGGGCCACCAATTATACCGCGGCAGCAAGACGATACTCGAACATGGCGCCGATAACGCGGCCAAGATGAAGACAATAATGACCAGAAGGTTCGTTGTAAGCTCAGTAGGAGAGGCAAATGCATACTTGATTGATGCAACAAAAGGCCTCCCAATGAGAAAAAGAGGATTGGTGACCTGGAAAGGGGCAATGAGAAGGCCGAACAAGATGCCCCGGGTGGAGTATCCCCTGGTTATCAGGAGGTTATGCCGGATTCGATGAAACAATATGTTTGACAGGGATGCGATCATAAGGGCGTCATGTAATTTGGCTGCGAAGAGTAAAGCGTTGATTTGACCGGAATCCGCCGTCCACTGATAACCCACAAGATAGATTCCGGAGAGGATGAAGGTAATGGTCATGGAGGGCAGATGGAAGACGAAGAAAAGGACCAGATAATGGCGTTCATTCTTGACAGAAACTCGTTTAGGCTCTGTTCCTTGATTTTCTGGATTCGACAATGATGTAGAGTCCTCGGCGGCAGCTTGACTTTGGTCCAGGAATTTGGCACTCTCTTGGTCGGTCTTATCGACACTCGTCGTCTCTTCCGGACTACAGCCATCATTCGAAAAATCTTCGTTTAGGTCATCGAGCAGCCGTTGAGAAGTACTAAATGACTTCCTGTTCTGTGGGGCTGGATCTTCATTTTTTCGGCTGGGATTATTCCGTCATCAACATCATTGGTAGGTTGGCTGACCTATACTTCATTATTAGCACAGTAATGCTATAATCGCGTCGTTACAGATACGCCATACCCGATGGTACCACCCGGCCTCTTCTCCCAAGGAAATTGGCGAGACTGGTCGCGACATTAAGCTCAAGAGGGCGACAAGTTTATAAGCGCAAATACTTGATTCGAACACGGGCCAGTTTGTACGACTTCATTAGTTGTAACGAGACATCAAGAAGATTAGGTGGGAACCTGTACTATTTATCTGGACAAAGTGTCCACAGCCTTGTGATGCGTTAGTCAGACTTGAATTTCAGCTTTCTGCAGGTGTTCCGGCACAGAAAGCTGAGCGAACCAATGCTCGCTCAGGGCCTCGAGTTCTCTGAGCCGTGTATACAGCCTGATCACTGCGGCGGTGGCTGTGTCGCAATCCGCCATATGGAAGCTTATGACGGCATTGGGCTGCAACTAGGCTGGTATTTATCTTCGATTAGCATAGAGTACTAGGCAGTGTTTAGCTCAGAGCCATCTGCCAGTGCACCATGACTACATACACACGAAGGCCACCAAGATATCAATCGGCTGAGATGTCAGACTTATTGCAAGCTATTAAATAGGAAGTAAATTAAATTGAATGTATATCTACTGAGTTGTTCAACGAGCGCAATGGGTCGTAAGGGCCTTTAAGCACATGAAGACATACAACGATCCTAGAGTATGTACTGTCCCGTGGCAGATAGTACGGGGTAATCGGCTTGGCTGAAGAAACCGGAAGGTCCGGCTAACTAGTTGAAATAGCCAAGGAAACTTTGATATAGTCATTGGACACAAAAGGCCCAGCACAGGGCTGTTGCTGTTTGACACGCGAATAGGATCCGAAATCATCCCTTTTTATGGGACTCGAATATCAGCAATCCTAATCCAAGTGCTGGCGATGTATCGAACTAACTTCTGAAACCCTGAAGGTGTACATTTACCCACATGAGCAAAATTGTTGCATTTTACCCACACTACTACATAACTTCACATTTCCAAGCTCAGGGCAAAAGAATCGCAATCATGAAAATCAGTAGTCAGATGATGCCGGGCTGTTATTTACACATCGCCATGGATCTCCATGGGAAAGAGATCTCGAAGTATGAGTTCCTCCGAAATTGCCTTGCTCATATCTTCCGTGGTAAGGCATCGATGTCCTAGACATTAGGGACATTAGGTTAACCTCAATCTACAGCTAAGTATCTATTCTCGAAGACTACGTTCGGTCAATTCACGGCCGCCATAACTTATGGGAGCCCTAAGGTCTGAACTCGTTCCTCGATGGTTCGTTTGCCATCATATTCCAGTTTTATATTACCTTCGGCATTTTTCACCATGAATTGAGTTTCTCATTGTTACTCTCACGGTGGGATGGGGGCAAGAGTTGGTGTTACTGTCCCTGGCCTGCACGACTAAAAGTCATATTGAGAGTAAATCAGATCGATCGGTAGGTAAGGCAAATTGGCATCTCCTATTTTCCGTCAAGCGCTGAATGGTGGTCAGGAATGGCCCTGAGTGAGGTTCAATTTAGTACATTTCTTCAGTGCCATCTCCTGTGAAGTGCGTATTCACCATGAAATATCGTCACTTACAGACGACGAAGCTATCTCAACTATCATACGCGCTGCTCTTGCTGCAGTTAGACAGACGAATGCAATTTTGCCATTAGCACGCTAAGCTGGATTCAGCAGCAAGGGCGCCAAAGGGTTTGTTTTACTGACTACCATCAGACTAGGGAAATCTGGCATTCTCGTCAATTTAATAGCCTAAATATTTTATTGAACTAAAAACATAGTTTCAGTTAAAGTTGTGGCGGGATGTACAGCCCCAGTCTCACTCACCACTGTAGTCGCGGTCATGCCTCGGCAATGATCTATCCTGGTTTGAAAGTGTGCGTCTACTTACATTTCGCCACTTATGCCATTCGACATGACAACGTAGTTGCAGTCTAAAATCGTGCAGACTGAAGCCGAGTCAGAGATTTCTCCAGATTCATAGACCATGGCGTTTAGGAAAGGAGGTAGGGGGGTATAAAAGACACCTGGTTGACGGCGTGTCCACGTTAAAGCCGTGTTGGAAGTATAAATAAGTCCAGACCTACAAGTACTTCACTGATACGTGACCCCATGGGGGGTTACCCTATAGCTATAGATAAGATAGATTAGAGCTATAAAAGAGCTCTGCAGGCCAGAATAGCTGACCTGGCCATCCTTTCCCAATACAAGAATTCACACCCCATATGCACTCGCATAATTCGCAATAGATACATTGTAGAAACTACAATTTAGGCCTTCGGGCGTTTTATATTTTCTTACTATAGTTGATGTGCGAGAGAAGACATTAGGAAGGTGATACGTGACCCCATGGGGAGTTACCCTATAGCTATAGATAAGATAGATAAGAGCGATAAAAGAGCTCTGCCAGGCCAGAATAGCTGACCTGGCATCCTTTTCCAATACAACAATTCACACCCCATATGCACTCGCATCAGAAGGCAAGATATAAACTACCATGCTATTTCGTCGTAAAGGACTGGGGGTGATAAGCAGGAATTTGTATCGTTACTGCGAACTGCTTTCTACTTCTACTTGAGTACCTACACATAAGAGGGCGTATCTCGTAAAAGTTGATTACATACAAGAACCACGATACCACGCTCCTAGACGAAACTTACAACCTAGAATATCGGCATCTATTCTGTTACACGCAAAGGTGGTCAAAGATTTGTGAGGTTGTACAAGCATGACATTCTATCTAGTCCTATGGAGCACGAAGGTTGGACTTAGTCCCGAAGGGCTAAGTCACGTGGTAACCTTGGTGGTCTTGGCAAAGCCCACCAAGGTTGCCTAACATATTCAAAACCAAAAAGAAGAGGAAATAAGAGAATAAAATAAACGAAAATAGAAACCAAACCAAGGAGATTTTTATATGAAGGCCAAAAAAAGATGTTTTTTTTCTTTCTCTATGATAGTTACTTCTGGTTTGAAGCGGGGTTTTGTAGCCCTACGCTTAGCCGTACCTTCCCATCTAGTCCTTTCCACATAATGACCGCCCTCGGTTATTTTTACTAAGAGCCTTATAGTAAATCTCGTCCTCACGCTTCCGATCTCTTCACCTCTAGATATTTCATCCTGACAGCTTATCTTCCGAGTCCTCAATCCACAACGTACACAGCAGGTGACTCCACCTCTCTAATGCCGGGCTCACAATTACCACGGCCCTAGACCATCCATAGCCTACGAGAGTCCCCTAGTCTCCAAAGTGCTTCTTCAATGTGACTGTCGATATGAGGTATTTTGGGTGAGGTGGAAGAAGGGCTGAGGTATTTGCCTCTAGGTATTGGCCTGACGTAACGGTAGTGTGGAGCGTCGGCTACGCTCAGATATCTTATCCTGACAGCTCATCTTCCGAATTCTTCATCCACAACGTACATAGCAGGTGACTCCACCTCCCTGATGCCGGGCTCACAATTACCACGGCCCTAGGCTATCCATAGCCTACGAGAGTTCCCGCCTAGTCTCCAAAGTTCTTCTTCAATGTGACTGTCGACATGACGTATTCTGAGTGAGGTGGAGAAGGGCTGAGGTATTTGCCTCTAGGTATCAGCCTGACGTGACGGTGGTATAGAGCGCCAGCTTGAGGGATCTGAGGTCGACAGTAACGACCCTCCGCTGTAGAATCATACTATAAATAACAATAGTAAGGTCCTAAATTGATAAAACGAGTGAGTTGAATAAGTAACAATGCCTTAGAAGGTTAATAATATTTTGCCTCATACTGAGCACTAGATTTTTATATGAAGGCTAAAAAAAGATGTTTTTTTTTCCTTTCTCTATGATGGTTACTTCTGGTTTGAAGCGGGGTTTTGTAGCCCTACGCTTGGCCGTACCTTCCCATCTCAAGGAGGCTAAAAGAAAAGGCAACACTGGGTAGAAGACAAACCCGCCACTCCTCTATCCCCAAAGCCAGAGAAGACTTACGTATATATCACCAGATGCCCCGAATACTTGCACAAACATTGAGACTCGACCTTATTGAAGATTTCAGCAGGTGCCAACTCAAGGGCCACAGCCACAGCCGTATCGGCAAGCAGGGGAAAACACAACAAATGAACTTAGTAGATACGGCCCATAATCGTGTCCTACAGGTTCAAGTACTCAATGTAATCACCGACTACAGTGGGCTCTTCCTTGATCTTGGCCCCCGTCTCTAAATCGCACGAGGTTGCATCGTCCGGACACAGTGCGTGTAGCTGGTCGCGCACATTCTTAGGGATTTGCCGCCGCCATTTCCATCATCGGCATCATCCACCGGAACGGATATATTGGAGAAGCACGATGTAAGTGGGAAGTGTGCCCGTGGCGATGATAGTCTTATTAAACGCCCGGCAGCCTACGGTCCAGGTAGCTGTGTACACCGTGATGAGGTTCGTAACACTGCCGGTCGGCAGAGCTGTGTAGTCACAGCCTGTATGATAAAGACTCCCGAGTCTACATGAGGAGGGACAAGATGGTGGTGCCGTAGACGTGTTCAGGGCGGTGATGCTCAGACTAGGGCGCATGTATCGGAGATAGTAAGAAATACTTTACATGTCCGGATGCCAGTGCCATATTGCAGCGAACGTCACGAACTGCAGAAACGAGCCCAAAAGGAACCGCATGTGACACCAATCCGAAAGAAAAATTTAGGCACTCGAAAACAAAATACAATACGGGTTTGCTGGTAGTGAAGAGCTTCAGATTTGCCTTTCAGGGTCTTGAGCACTTAGATACTTATAGACACGCAATCCTCACGACTTGAGAGACATTCGACGACTATTTTATCGTTGCAGACGGCTAGGTCCACGAAATTGGGGATAGGTGAGATTTCAGTGTATAACACGGCATTATATTTAGGGGGTTCCAGTATTCAGGGAAGCTATTGGTGCAGCAAAGGTGTTGGCAAATGCTGCCTCTTGGCATTATGAAATGATTTGTTCCGAGCTACGGGCGAATTTGCTCTGGGGATGGCGCGGCCAAGTCTGTATTTGCGTTAGCGGTGTCGCTTGTAATTGAAAGGAGTTTTGTACTTACTGAGCCTCCCAACTTCGTTGACTGTGGGGTGAATACCTCACTAACCTGGTACGCCCTGTGATACTTCTACTGAGAGCTTAAAACGCCAAAGAAAGATATATTCTTAACCAAGTTATACCGTTTACTGGTTTTGCAGATTTGATTTAGCGGTAGCCAGCTGGTATGGTTGTTAAGTCACTTGTCGATCAATCTGTTGGCGAAACCGAAATGGCGCCTATGCATATATTGGCACATGTATCTGTGACTGGATCCTATAGAGTTGAGCGTATACGTGCGTATGGTAGAAAATTCATGATTGGCCATGCGAACCTGTCGATAGTAGACCGCTGCCGTCGTGGCAATGGAATTTTCAACTCGGAGATGGGGAGGTACGGCCAAGTGCAGGGTCGAAGACCTACAAAACCCCGCATAAGGCCAGAAGTAGCCATCAGACAAGAGAAAAAACACTCGGAAAGGAAATATTTGTGCAGGCCGTTCGAGCCCTACCAGCTAATAACTTATATAACTTATTGCCCAAGCCGCATCACCAACTTTTCCTGTTTGGCACGATACACCCTTTCTCTGATCTACACCATCTTCAGGTTAAGACATATTCGGCTCGGCCAACTTTATGTGTTGGTTCTTCTGTTAGCAATCTGCAGTCTACCGCCAACTAACGTACCAAAAACCACAGTCGGAGGCAATAATTTCCGCCTCCAACTTGATAATTTCACAGACGGTCCAGCATGTCACTATTTCTGCAACCTTCAGCCCTCATCCGTAGCCACATTTATCGCGAAGCAGAGCGTGTTACCAACAGCAGAATCCACTGAACTGCAAGGACCTAAAAACCTTTGCCCGCGGCGCAATATATATAAATTATTGGACATACAACAAACAATGGACTCTTTCTGGTAACGCATGATGCACGTTGTGCGTCGCGAGGTATGTATATACGTTGAAATGCCTGTGAAGACTGCGGTCACTCATCTCCCGATTGGTACAGGATACAGTTATTCATTCCTTCCTTTCAAACAATTACTCTGTACCCAGAGCCAGAGTAGCAAAAACCCAATTTCTTGGTAAAATAATCTAGTGACAAAAACCAGCGTAAAGGTATGATTAGGGCATTTTGTCGGACCGCAACAGACCCTTATGAAGCCAATATGACTACAATCTGTCAGAGTGGGCCTACTCGCCTCTTGCGTGCCGGTGTGGTCCCACAAATTTCCTGGCATCAACTTAAGTACATATCCTGACCAGAATACAAGGGCTCTACGGTTATCTAACTCTGACGAAACTGTAGTTGGCCAGTATCACTGTCCTTGTACAGCTCAGATAAAGGTATTTATTGAATCTAAGTATATCTCCGTGTCATATCAAGGGCATATAGAGTCCTACGAAGTACAGTAAATGGTTCGGTTTCTTCAGCTCCATTGTAGCCGTCATTACCAGAAGCAATCGTAGGCAAACGATTGGTAAGCACTCACGCAATCTTCGTCCTCTCCTACTTGTAGCGCATTTCCCCAGCATATCATCTATGTACCAAATAGCATGGATATAGTCATCCATAGCCCCTCACCATCCAAAGCCTAGCGCCATTGCGATTCCAACTACCATGAATGTGACTCCATCTGCCCCCAAGCACGCAATTCTCGCACCGCCAGTTGGGGTTGCTGACGTAGCACTCGCTGGCGTGCCCGTCCCTGTGCCCGTAGCTGTGCTCAGCGTAGTAGATTCAGTAGAAGTGGTAGCATGCGACACAGAATTGTGCGACGGCTTTGATGTCCCACTGATAATAACAGTAGGCTGGGTGCAATCTGTCCGCGTCTGGATACTGAGCACGCCCGAGTTGGTCGTGTCTAGCACGCATCTCTCCCCGTCACCCGTGGCAGTTGTGGACAGTTGCACGCTCGTATAGTCCGAGGGTAGGCTGGCCGGGAAGGTGGTAATGGAGGTCGGGAACGTAACGGTGGAGCCTTGTCGCTTTGCCAAGTCTGCCTCGGCTGCGGCGAATGCTGCCAAAGCTGGGAGGAGGATGGTGAGATACATGTTTAGAGTTTGGATGGGAATTGGAAGACTATTATTTAGAGTAGCATATTGTGAGTAATATCCATGCGCGATTGTGTAGGTGGATAATAAAACTATTTTGAAGGGGGTGTCGCTGGCATTTATGTGCGTGGTGGCGACTAACACCGCCTCTTTCAGGGGCAATAGCTCGTGTTTGAAGGCTGGCCAGTGCTGAGCTACTGAATAACGATCGGATTGGACAAGAAGCCTGCCCGCAAGTTGCTAGTCGGAATAGGAACTTGGCTAAAGATCTTGGCAAAGACGGTTCCTCGCGCGAAAATAATGTGCGTCGGAATTCCTTTCAAAAGCAAACCCGATCCTTGCAATACATCATGAGCCTTTGGTTGTTTCGAAACCACACCAGCCTGATGCAAATGAATTCGATAGCATCCCCTGAAGGTGTTTCACATCAACATACTAAATGTTGCCAAGCCTGTTTATATTGGTATACAACACTGTAAGGCAAAGAGCAAGCGGCTAGAACAGACAAACGCATCACCAGGCCCCAGGGAAAGGGGATATATCCTTAAATTTTCAAGTCTTTTTAAGATAAACTTTGAAGGATAAGCAACTCTGCAGCCCGCTATGATTACTGAATTTAGTTGTTCAAAGATAGAAGAAAGTGGGTTGGTGTCACGCCGTGCTAGGGGTTGCAATCCTTGCCACTACGCCACCGTACCAGATGTCTTCACCAAAGGAGACCAATACCAAAGTCCCTGACTTTGATATCTGCAACCACTTATCAATCTGTTCAGACCAGTGTAGGTCAATCACGTGACAACCGTCACAGTTGGAAAATAGCATCAACTCTTACTTAAGAATGATGGTAAGTTTGGCTGTTGTATTAAAAAAACGTTATTCGTGTTCACTTGTCCTAGTTTACGGAATGAGATAAACTATATAAAACAATAATCCCGCCCTACAATTTCTTTATTATAGTCAACGAACGGCCTGTATCTTCTTCCCCACGTCGTATTCCCGTCCCACGGGATACCTTGGAGTATAATATAGAACGTTTCTATACGACTAACGCTTCTTACTAACCCTTTAATCAGAACTTATAATAGTTATATCGTGAAATAGGAGAGCTTAGTAGATACTATAACGAAGAGCTAGTCCTACACGATATTGATACGAAAAGGTAGGGGGACCCACTGGTTGGGTGAATCCCATTCAATTAGATACTATAACGTTGCGCACTACTGCATTATAGCATCCGAGGATTTGGCAGAAGCTATTCTGACCCCGGAACGCTCAACGCGCGCGCGCACAATTCTTCAGCCAGCGCGATACAACGAGCGGATTCCATCTACTATTATATCGGCTGTATTTGGCTTCAAAACTCATGGTTAAGCTTCTGAATACATCTATTATCTATGGTGTTGACATATACGTAAGTAGTTGAGTTTCGGTGTGAAAAGTGGGTCGAAATGTCTATTCCTGATGTTAATGGACTGGATCATCAATCATGTGACAATCGCGCGTGCTGTATGGCGATTGGATGACTTTAAGCGCCAAAGAGTTGCCCCAGCCGCACCAGACTGGTGGTCAGATCTTCCCCTCTTCACGTTGCATATGCAAGGTTGATATCAAACCTACTACGGGGGTAGTTGCGGCCCTAGAACGCTCAAACTCTCGAGACACCAAGCATAAGCAAACGAGTAAGATGGTTAGTTGGTGGTTATAACCGGCTATCGGTTAATAGCTAACACGGGGAGCATAGCCTTTACGACAACTCTTTCCGGACTCTCAGAGCTCTGCCGGCAAATCAGCCAAGGTCGAGTGCGTAAAACCCTTACTATTCCCTTCGCTAGATATCGGCTAACATATCCTAGTATTATTGCCGTCCATGGGCTGAATCCTCGAAGCAAGAAAGACGCCGACCATGCTTGTGTCAGGGTACGGCTAGGCCGAAGGCAATAGTACAGAGTGATGGGGAGTAACGGGCGTCCCTCCTACGTAATACCGGGTGGTCACTGGCGGTCTCAGGTAGGGGTGCCCACGGTGATGCATTGATCTCTGCCCTCTCTATCTTCCTTCGTCTCGACTCCTTACTTATAGCCAGCCGAGGTTCTCTCTCGGATTCTGGATGTTTGCTTCCGTATGTCTGTGTTCCTCCGACTTCGGCCAATATCTTGGACAGCGGCTCCTTATCTGCAACCAAGCGATTCCCTATCCGTTGCAAACGGCTTCAACGGCTCTCATTCGCCACAAGCGGCTCTCTAGCCGCCACAAACGGCTTCCTACCTGGTGGAAGCCGGCCCGCCTCGGATGACACTTGTGGCTCTGACAACTCCTTCCCTATCCTACTTCGAGATGGTCCTTATATAGATAGCTAGGCCGCCGCTTGGACCCGGCATAACAGCAGGGTCGGCGATGCCAAGGATCTTGACTCTCGTCATCCCAAAGCTTCACATAGATTGTAATCATGATTCGGGAGTCTTTTGTCCGAAACACCCCTCCGGCGGCCCGCCGGTGTCCTGCGTTCAGTGTCCTGACACCCACTGGTGCCTATGGCATTCTGTTCTCTGACAGCTTGGGACACCTGGCGCACGCCTTCCGGATCAAAAGGACGACTATGGCTCCGCGACGATCTCCCCGAACACGTCCCCGACTCACGAATCTTCCTCTACGAATATAACGCGACAGCGGTCTACGGAAAGGACCGGGATACGTTCGTGGGCAAGGCCAGTGAGCTTCTCGAGGCCATACATATCCAAAGGAAAAAAGACGAGTCCCGGCCTATCCTACTGTTCGGTCACAGTATGGGCGGATTGCTGATCAAGCAGGCGCTAGTTAATGCGCACAACAATCCAAGGTATACGCCTATCAAGGATGTGACCGTAGGGCTGGCCTTCTTTGCGACGCCACACAACGGTGGGAACTCAAAGCTGGTGAGCCTGGGCGGCATAGCAGCCAAAATAGCCACTACGGCGGGATTCCAGAAGGGCGACGACCTGCTAGAGACTTTGAAAACAGGGAGCATCTTCTCGGACATCTTACAGGAACACTTTAGACACCAGCTACTGAAATACCAAATTATCTCGTTCTGGGGTGCTCAAGACAGCGTGAGTAGTATCTAAGAGGTGATGCTCTGTTACTAATAATTATCAAAGGTTGTACCAACGGGCAGTGCACAGCTAGGATTGCCTGGGGATCGCGAGAACATTGTAAAGTTGAACGCCGATCATAGAGGCGTATGCAAGTTTGGCGATAATCAGACGGATCAAGATAATTTCGAGCTAGTGCGAAGCAATATCGAAGAAATATACCAGGCAGCACTCAATTACCGTGAGTTGAAAAACACCCTTTCTGCTATTGATAAAGAGGGGGGGACTGCAACGGATGAGGAAATGATGCGTGCACCTAGGGGGGAGGATGCTATAATGCGGCAGTGCGCAACGTTATAGTATCTAATTGAATGGGATTCACCTAACCAGTGGGTCCCCCTACCTTTTCGTATCAGGAAATATTGCACGCACGATTGGTCAACTTAAGAGGTCATGCTTGAAACGAGACTTAATACTGTTGTATTCAGCAGCTGTGCCTCAAGATATAATTTTAAGCGCTACAAGATATGAATTTATCTATGAAAATTTGCAGGCAAGGCTAACAAACTACAGCGCCTACCAAGTTCTCTAGGGTCCGAGCGACCAGCGCTGACGATAGTCGCAACCTAGAACGACCAGAAGTTCTGCCGATTCCGTCAGCAATCATACCCTTCAATCACGACGAAGACTTCGTTGAGCGACGAGAAATTTTCGATCGAGTCCACCAGAAGTGTGCTAGACCAGGTTCTCGGACCGCGCTCGTAGGCCTGGGCGAAGTTGGGTAAGTCTAAACGCGTCTAATGATTCATATAGCTGACAGACGGCTGCGAAGCAAATCGCAAATCGCTATCGAACACGCGTACCAAACCCGAATGCGATCGCCCGAAACGTGGGTGTTCTGGGTCCACGCGAGCAACAGAACACGTTTTGAGCAGAGCTTTCGAGATATTGCAAATTACGTCAAAATCTCTGGGCGGCAGAACCCGAAAGCCAATACTTTCCAGCTTGTACATGACTGGTTGCGTGACGAAAGGAAGGGGAAATGGGTCCTTATACTTGACAACCTCGATGACACCGGCTTCCTCCTCGAAAGCGCTAGTCCAGATCGAGAAACGGACGGCTTGGATAGTGGGAACTCAAAGCTGCTTGTGTCGTATCTTCCACAGTGCCCGAACGGGTCCATTCTTATAACGACCAGGGACAAAAATGCGGCGCTACAGCTCGTTGAACAGAGTAGCATCATCACAGTCGAACCGATGGATAGCGCGCATGCGCTAGCTCTCGTTCAGAAAAAGCTGGACACGCAAGAAAATAACGATGAACTTTCCGAGTTCGCCACCTCGCTCGAATTCATGCCGCTAGCTATCGTTCAAGCAACTGCTTATATCTCTCGAAGGTCGCCCCGTTGCTCGGTGCGACAGTATCTTGAAGAATTCCGGAAGAGTGATCGCAAGAAAACGAGTCTCCTTAATTACGAAGGTGGAGAACTCCGCCGAGATCGAGAGGCAAAAAATTACATTATTATCACATGGCAATTATCATTTGATCATATCCGTCGGATAAAACCGTCAGCAGCCGACTTATTATCACTTATGAGCTTTTTTGACCGGCAAGGGATTCCAGAGGCCCTACTCCGAAATTATAGCGGACCGGGAAACAACCAGCAACACCAAAATGAGAGTGATGATGATAGTGATGGAGTAGGAAAAATCGTTTATTATACTGTCATATGCAAGTCCGGAGACTATGAAGATAGTGTGTCTAAAGATCCGAGATATATTGGGCTTGTTCTGTGGCAACTGTACCACGCCGATTCCCCGATCACGTCACTAGACATGCTAATAATGCTTATACCCGCCTTAGTGGCCATGTTATTACTCTTTTGCCATCGTGTTCAACGTGACTCTCACGTACATCGTACTTGCAGTCATCCATTTCGGTAAATTTGTACTAGTTAGGCTCGTTACGCCAATTTAAAACTCTACTCTTCTGCCATTTGGGCCAAGAGAGTTCTCAATCCATGTAAGATTTGACACTCGATCATTTATATGCCTCCTTACTACGCTAAAATAACAAGTTAAAAGCTACTGGTGTAGAAACTATCACAAGCCGATCCAATGATGCTATCATGCCCATCAAAGTGACTATCCCGTCCTGAATGTAGTCCACTGTCTTCACACCACTTCCGGTACATATCAGCCACAATATCTGATTGCTGACTGTCGTGGGCACCTTCATCGAAAGCTGGTATAACTGGCTGATTACTCTCCGGTGTTGGATGCTGCGCCTGTGCACCGTCATCATGCCTCTGATTACCGGACACGGGGCTTGGCGACTCAAATGACACAGTCACAAAATCCGCTCCAGCCCCTTGGTCTTGGTCTTCGCGATCTTGCTGAACCCGTTGATCCAGCCATCAATCGTGGATGTCCTCCAGCGCGATACGCAGCACTCGGTTCCAGTAGCCCTGGGACCACCGCTCTTCTTCGGCTTCGGTCCAATGCTCATTGCTCCGCATATGTTGAAGGATAATGCCACTTCCGTGTCTCGCGTGGAACTCGCGAAAGTCGTTCATTTCCTCCGACAAGTCCGTGTTGAGATACGGCGAGGCCGGCGGTTCCAGCGTGGGAAAGACAATACGCCAGACAATAAACCACTGTTCCTCTTGGGTTGATCCTGCCGGTCCTCGCTTGCCCAGCCGTTGCACCTGGTCGCTGGAGATGCTGTCATCCGTGACCCTCGGACAGCGGAAGCACGATTGTTCTCGAACGTGTTCATCGCGCTCATCCCCTGTGTCGAATGTATGCTGGCATAGGGGACATCGAATCGGATTCGAGTGTCTGCGGTACAGGTGCTGCTTGACGCCTTTGACCAGTTTCAGGTCTTTTGTGAAACAGTCGGAATAGTTCCGTGGGTCTTTCTTCCAGAAGGGGCAGGCAAACAGTTGGCCCTTTCGGGTTGAAGTTCTTCTCTTCTTCAAACTGGTCTTTGCATTGGTCTCTTCGTCTCCAGATAAATCTCCATCTGTCTTATTCTGGAGGCGGCGTTTCAAATTGCGCCTCGACGAATCATGCGTCTCAGATGCCGGTCTTTGGCTGTTCTTAGCACCCTTTTCGGAAGATTTTCCAGACCCTGGGTTGTCAGATGGATTAAAATGGTCTTCTTTGTAACATCTGAATGCATGGATAAGCTTCGTCGCTGCCTCCTGAATCTCTGAGTATGCAGGGTCGTTCTCCTCTAGTAGTTCAAGTTCCTCGGAGTCGTCTGTCCCCGAAAATAGTTCATAGTCACTTGAATCATCCAAATCCTCACATTCTCCGTTCTTAACTGTTGGAGTATCCGATACATGCTGCTCAAAATCCACTTCAATCGATGTTCTGGGAGTGGAGGACCAAGAAGCCAGTGGCTCCCGAGAGTGAATCGAGTCGGCGTACCCTCCGTACATGGAACTACCACTGCTGACCGTGGGCGCATAGATCCCGGTAGACATGAACTTTGCGAAGCTCTTCGATAGCCTTTTGATTCTGCTGATACGATGCGACAGTACCAATGAACCTGGCTGGCCTCAAAATGCGGATGGTTCAGGCAAACCTACAAGTAAACGCCAAGGAAAGCCTGCATATCCATCAGCTGGGGTTGGCGCTGACATTGGACGGCTGTGTTCTGTTCAGGGAACACTGGCGTCGACCCCTCATCAAATCTCAACATTATAGAGGAACTACTAAGCGAGGGCACAACTGTGCTCTCAGTTTCGGTGCTCTCGCCCATCATTTCCCGATGGGCCAAGAAGCGATACAAACACAGGTGATCATTTTGGTGCGACGATGTTTTCTAATGAAGGAACGTGTTGTGCTCTGAAGTAGCTTGAGGATAAGCTCGCGATGTCTAGTGAAAATGAGTTTATACAAGCGCATAGCGATGGTTTCTGCTCGATATATAATAAACTGTTTGACATTCTCAACACCAAGATGCCAACGACCATCGGACGAGCCTTTTACACATCTTCACATTTGAAGCTACTGTCCCTTCGAAACATGTCTCGTGTCAGTACCAACATTTTAATCGGCAGCGTCTCTGGGAAACATAGGTAACAAGAGCTTTGCCAACTTTGCGCACCAAATGCCTTATAATTGTATAGCTCAGACCGGACGAGTCCATCGGAAATGTTACAGAGATACCTATTGGCCGAACCTACAATCACCGAGAGGCTCTGTAATGAGTTGCCTATAGAAAATGAAAACAACATAAGCGGCCTCCTCGAAATGTGGGACATTCTCTGGGACAATTCGGTTCAAGTGGGAAACAAAGAAGATTAGCAGGATCTTCCAATATATGGTAGCTCCTGAAAGGGCTCCTAACAGTTTACTAGCCTCTGTATCACGTACGATAAACGCTTGGTGGTATGGGCAAATGTAATATATGAAATGTGCAGACAATAGCCGGTATGGATAGGGGCAAAAGCAACTTCTCAGTAAGCAACCATATTTTGTCAGTACCTCTGGTGACAAGATACAGACCTGATACACATTATCTATTTTCTGAAATACAATATGTAAATTTCGCACGAAAATAACTCCAATCCATACCATTTCACACTTGATAGACATTCAACCCTTAAAAGAATCATGGAGTCGTCCCGGTATCTCTATTGTGGAAAATGCATAATGCTAACAAGCTTGGTTCAAAACTGTTGTGAAACATATCTAGAGAAAACACCGCATACATCTTCAGGATTCAAGGCATCGTAAATGCAATGATCAATCTGTATTCGATCTTCAAATCTGCAGATGCTCAAGGTGAGTAGTTGTTATATTTGCGTAGGATGGGTCCCACTTTGACCTAATGATAGTGTCTGACGAAAAGGATTGGACTGCGCTGAAATGATTCGCGCCTGGGAGGCAGAAGGCGCCAAGCTACGAAGGGTCGACTTTTGAGGGACGCCACCCCTGCGAAAGTCGGTTACGCCTTACTTTGTCAGCCAAGTCGGGCCGGCTTTCTTTTGTTGTAAGCTCTTAGCCTGGTCATCTCATCTGTCGTTCACAACCAAAAGCGCTGCCCTGTTACCAGCGTCTAGGCCTAGGGCGCCGGATAGATAACAAGCACCTAGATGATCCGAGTGTGCGTTGCTTAATTTGCCTCTCTTCCACGTGGATTAACGCCAGATATATGGCTGTGTGGCTTCCGCAACTGTTAGCCAGGCTGAATGCCGGAAATTCCAGGGATTCTCCAAACCTGATAAAGGCCGAGTCAGACCGTCCGGATTCGGTGGTATGTCGGCGCATCAGGGTTAATTGGAAGTTTGGCTTGCTGTAATGTATGCTGTCAATCAGTCCTCAGATCTGCATACCGTGAATCTCGCGCCCACACCACCTTATAGAAAACGGAGTCCATGTAAGATCTTGGGCACGTTTTCAATATTAAGTCCGTCGCCTGAAGTCATAAGCAACTATAATTCCGGCTGGCATCACGACAAAACGGTGTCTCGTTCGCAGCATGGGAATCGGAACAGACACGAACGAAGCATCATGCGGTCGCCTCATTCACAGGCTTCCCTGTGGGATGAATTGTTGGCAGGCTCTTGGCTCCGTCGGTGACTCATGGTCATTACTCGGTCGCGAAATTTGCGCCGTAGTTGAGACTTTGCCAGGGAGCGAGAAACCAACGTGCAGCATCCATCTGGTCATATTGGGCGAGTCGAGGGAAACGGCTTCTGCCAAGGTGTTGTTCTGCTCCAAGGAATCACGTATACGAACCGCTGTCAAAGGCGCTTTCAAACAAAGTGATCGCACGAGTCATTGCTCATCGATTGGACTGCACTGCAGCTCGGAGACACCAGAACCCCTTGCTCAAGATGATTTTGTTTGGGACGGTCAGGGCGATAGTTCTTCGGCAAAAATGGAAAAAGGGGAGGTGTGGGCTCCCAAAGTCAGGCAAGAGGTTGGCAGGCGTCTTTACATACCCGTGTCTGGTGGCGGCCCCCCACGAGTTGCGACTGGTGGACCTATTCTTTTCGCAGGCTCCAAAGCCTACCAGACGACAGTGGGACATGTCCTTCATGACTCTCCAAAACTCCCCTTGATCAATTCCCATTTTTTCTCATTGGCTGATCTGGATCTGGAATCATCCGACTTCGAAGATGATAACGACACGACCAGTTATATCGCTCAAAGTACTTCTCATGAACTAGTTGGTGCGTCTGTTCGTACTGAGTTCGCGCATAGCTTGGAAAACAGGGATGAGAATGCATTTTCCACCGCGGCGATGGTACCGAGCAAGGACACATGGCCTATGAGTCTTGGAGATATTGTCCGAGTTGGGAAATTCGTTCCAAGAGGCGTCACTCAAGAACAAGGTTTGGATTACGCACTGGTGGAGTTGGAAAACTTCGAGGGAGAAGACAGAAACCTGGTATCCTATGGCCAACCTGGGAGCAATCGAATGGTCCGAGTGACTAAGCCTGGTGCCATCAACAACATTAGTAGCGATGCTCCCGTCATAGTGGCCACGGCCAGCGGCGGCGCGTTGGCCGGCAAACTATCCCCTTCACCCACTTGGATTAAACCAAAAGGCCAGAGCAGGTGTCAAGACATGTACTCGGTCATTTTGGAAGCCGGTCACTCCTTTCAGCCTGGGGATTGCGGTTCAACCGTCATCGGAAGGACAACTGGCGAGTTATTTGGACACATCGGCTTCGGGCACCAGGGAACTCAGATTGCTTACATTCTTCCCATGAATGCTATCCTCGAGAGTGTAGCCAGAACACTAAATTTGACCGTCTCTCTTGTCCCGCCGAAACAACTCTGCCAAACCATGAGCTCACCCAGGCGAACGACACCCAGTGGCCAGGGTGCGGGTCCTCACAAATTCACCGAATTTGGCTCACCGGAGTTTTATGAGAATCTGGACGGCAGGAAGATGCCCAAGAGAAACGTTCTTCGGGTCGCACGCGAAGCCGTCCAAGTCGGGACGAATATCAAGCTGCCACAGCTTCATCTAGACTTGCCCAAGAAAAAGACGAAGACCACTTTCGAGGTGCTCTTTTTCAACCTGCCACCAGAAATTCGAGACCAAATCATCAGGCTGCTGCCTTTTCGCTCTGCGATGAATCTTCGGCAGGTGTCGACCAAATGGCGCGCTGCTGTCTCCTCGAACGCATCCGCCATCTCCAAGCTATTCCTTGTTCGAAACCCTCTTCCGTCCCTTGCCCAAACGCTATACCCAAATTTGAACCAGGACATGCAGTATATTCAAGAGGTTGGCCATCGCCATGGCGTGGCGTCGAGGTTGGCGGCACACATAGCCAAATGGCTTAGTCAGGAGTTCTATCTACACAAGTCTAGGGAACAACAACATCACTTCCAGTCGACAAAGCGGCACATACAACAGCGTCTCGTCCCGTCACTTTTCGCGGCATTTCACTTTTTCGAGATGTATCCGAAGCATCTACTTCAGCATAACCGCTCGCATGAGCGGCATGACAGCCTTCTACGGCGCCACGATGTTGCAGAATTCCAGTTTGAGCGCGCAAGCATGGAATTTTATAGCAATGATATCTTACTACAGACGCACGAGATTTTTGACATAATAATCAATTTTGTGCGCCGGTTGCTTAGCCCGCCTTCGTACTACGGCTTCTGGGAGAGGTCGCTTCGTGGTTATCTGAAGAAAGCACCGCGAGATCAAGTGTATGCTGCGATACTCTGCCTAGGTGGTTTGGACGTCGTAGTTCAGCTTGCAAATATTTCAGATGTCATGCAGAGGAGATCAGCCGTGGATAGATTCTACGCTTCCCTGCCAAGGACCAAAAAGTCGACTCCAGCAGTACAGAGCACTTTCAGGGCAGAGGTATCAAGGCTATTCCATCACAAAGCAAAGCCAGCGGCGGGGTCCGATAAAACCGGCAGTATTGTGCCTATGAGAGGCTTAGGCGAGGACGACTTGCGGTTATTGCTACCGCTGTTGCCGGCACTGAACGATAGCTGGCATCATACAGCGGAGGCATTGTTGTTGGAGAAGATGGTTGTTGGTAGCAGGGGAGACATCAAGAATTATACACAGATGTTGACGGAGTTGATCCGGCCGGAAACAACACTGGCTGATATACTATACGATGGGCACCGCTTGTGGCATGCTTTATCACGCTATGAATTTGGTGATGCGGACGATGCTTAGAGCTAACTTGTCTTCGTTTGAGAGCTTGCCTTTCATACTCTTAGAATATCTTTCTAATTGTATTGACCCCCTTTTGCGCGCATCTGCATTTGCAAGTGAAACTGCATTGTTAATACCATAACCCCATTAGCGTTAAACCTTCAATCTCTTAACAACCAACATAGCAAACCATGCTTGAGCCACAGTTCGATCCAGACAATTCTAAGTAGCGTCTTACGTACGGTATATAATTTTATTATTAAAGCTATCGCTAGTCCGAGTCTTGTCACGTTTCTCGATTCTATATGGCGATATGATAAGTATTAGGTAAGTTAATATTAAATCCGTTATCATCTCAGCTTTCTAATTCGAGAGAGTGTCTCGGACGAGAAACCTAAGATTAGAACTGCCTTTATTTAAGTTCTTTAGTATTAAAAGTTTTGGAGAAACTTCAAGAAGAATAGAGTAGAATAGAAACGGCTGAGCTTGAGATGGCGTAACTTGGTCGAAGAGGGCGATTGAATTGGACTCCCTGTCTCGGTCAACCCGCGGAAACCCTAAGCAGTTCCCCGGCGATCTCGTCAGCTGTCACTCCACCACAACTTTAGGCTCAATAAAATCCTATGATTCCCAAAACCCTGTGATTCACTACGTCCTCTAATTCCTAAATCACAAGATCTCAGTCAGATTTGGAAGGTATTGTGAGAAGCTGGCGAAGTCAGAAGGGAGCCGTTTCTGGCTCTTTAGTGGCAGAATTTGGCACCGCGGTGTTATCCCACAGGTCAAGTCGCAGATAACGACTCCATGGTTGCCGCCGGGAAAAAGACCTCTATACATCTCGAAGTTTGTTAGGCGCATTACAGATACTAAACACAACCCCCATATTCATGTAGTACTCTGTGGTACCTGATGGCACCCTGTGCTCGCCCTGCTAAGCAGGGGCCGCTTTCGGGGCTGGTATGAGGATAATAGTCACCCTTTCCTATTAACAATATGCCTCTGTGCGGATCTTGTGCAGACATCAAATTAGACGACCTTCTTACCGCCACGGTGCGGCCTTTTAAAGCCACTTGGGCAGAATTGACGGATTCCATCGCTAAATGCGAGTTTTGCGCGCTATTCCTGGCTGAGTGCAAGCTCGACAGTCAGGTTCACGGTTCAAATGAAAGCCTCTACGTGGCAGGAAGTTGCAACATGGTACAAGAAAAATATGGGCAATATTCTATTCAAAATATCATCAACCTACACCTCTACGCGGGAGTCCCGAATGCTCTAGATACATCAGACCATTCTAACTCGGTTCGGGTTGGCAATGTACGAGACATGAAGGATCGCGGCTTGAGGCAATTCGGTAGCCTTCCAGTGACATGTGATAGAGGTATATACGCGTCGCGTAGTTATGAAATAAGACGAAAGAGATGGGCTAACTGTATCTGGTGTGGCAGATGCTCCATCCCAGACGGCTGATCGCATTCATAATCGCCTTGTTCATCCGGCCGATGATCCTGCCTGTGTGCGCCAGTGGCTTTCCACGTGCCTTTCTGATCATTCAGCATGTGCCACTGGTTTCGGGCGACAATATTCGGATGTACCGACCCGTCTTCTTGATATTGGCAATATTTCCGCAGGAATCCCACCATCCTTTGTTGAGACAAACGACACTATAGTCGACTACATCGCCTTGAGCCACAGATGGGGAGGGGTTAATATAACCCGAACAACCTCTGGGAACCTACGAAAACACAAAGAGGCTATCCCAACCGACACGTTGAATAACACGTTTCGGGACGCAATAGCCGTGACTGCAGCTCTCGGGTTTCGGTATATTTGCATTGACTCGCTCTGTATAATCCAGGACTCACGCGAAGATTGGGAACGAGAAGCTTCACGGATGGCACAGGTCTATCAGAACGCAATCTTAACAATATCTGCTGCCTGTGAGACTTCGGGTGATACCGGACTGTTTCAAACAAGGGAGACACCGACCATGGTCAATTTACCTCAATATGATGCTTTCAACGGCTCGGGAAGTCTAGCAGTCTATATTATCTCGAACCAATCTTTCACAAGCCCCATCGCCCTGGGTTCGTCCCGTTTCCGACATCTAGGACCATTTGATACGGAGGTGTCCAGCGGACCTCTTAATACCCGAGCTTGGACACTACAGGAACGGTATCTTTCTCGGCGCATTATTCACTTTGGATGCAAGCAGTTATTTTGGGAATGTCAAACCTCAACAGGTGAAGAAAGCTCGATCCGTGATCCCATGCCCCTAGACAGATTCGGCGCCACTGAGAAAGACCACACAAACGGCTTTCTGAAATGTCTCTCCAGTCAACCCCTTGTCGAAGAGACTCCGGGTTACGGTGGTAGTACCCATAGGTCCGCACCAACGTACGCAATTTGGTATAAACTTGTGTCCGACTATGGCGGGCGAGATTTAACCGTAGACACTGACAAACTTCCGGCGATATCGGGCATAACCCGTGTGTTTGCCTACTATTCGCAGGATGAATACCTGGCTGGCTTATGGCGGCGAGATATACCCACTGGACTGCTTTGGCATGCAAGTGAATGGGGTAAACCATTAAGACGACCCCGAGCGTACCGAGCTCCATCGTGGTCTTGGGCCTCGCGTGATGGTCCTGTTTTGATTGAAGCGGAATGGCGAGGTCAGGTTGAAATTAGTGACGTAGTAGCCTTCACTCAAACGGCGGGGTTTGATATGTACGGGGAGGTCAAAAGTGGCTACTTGAAGCTATCTGGCTACTTGGAGTGACTGATGCTAGGCTCAGTCATTGAGCAGGATGAACGGTCCGAGTTTGGCTGGATAAGGGCGAATATTCGGTTGATGGACTCTGATGGAGTTTTGCATGGAAATGGATGCTTGGATCAGTTTGAAGAAGTTCCATCGAGTCGCGAAATTTATTGTCTGATGATTATCCGGAATAATAATGGCTGGAGGTTTGAAGCCTTGACTATTGACACACTGGATTTCAGGGGTGACTGGGCCTGGTGTCTTATGTTGAAGAGGAAATCAGGTCAAGAGTACGAACGGGTCGGGCTTGCGCAAGTGCATCAAAGTATCTTTATCGGGAAGACTATCTATATCACCATCACGTAGAAGGCAGATAACTATATAATGCACTTAGGGAACAAAGCACACCTTCCTTACAAATCGCGTAAAGAGCTAAAGGTATATAGTACTTAATTGAGCAATAATGACTTTGACTTGTCAAGGTATAATGGGACTATACCTTTGACTAGTCATCGTCCAAAACATCCGTAGACACGGTGAGGCATGTCAATGTCCGTAGCTAGCATAAGGCCGCGGATCAAAAGGTGGCTTGCATGCGGGTTAGGCGACATGAACTGCAGACTTTGCAGATCAACGTCACAACGTCCAAACTATGGCTAGATCCCGCTAGTCACACAGATGAAGTTCACCGGGCTCCAATCTAATGGCTAAGATCCAGGACAGTGTTGCATATACATCCCAGTACGGAGCCGAGCAGATCATGGATCAAATCTCACCCGATGGTCAAGCGGTTCAACGAAGTACTGCGTAGTTCCCGACATGGCCCACTCTTATCAATAGAGCACCAGACGACTTTGATTCCTCACTCAAAACTGATTGACACTTGGGATCGAATGGAAACAGCAATCTGACTTATGTTGAACGGACTGAAAGTGTCTTCCTCTCTGAAGGATTTCCAGCCTGGTTTGCCCTTTTCTGCGCCATAAACCGAAAACAAGTCGATCAACCTTTGAATCTTGTAGTAGGTAAAACAGGATTCGGGGGATCAGACGGAAGTAGCCAAGGTGGACTTGGTAGTATTATGACTACTACTCGTAGATCACTACTTGCGAATCAACTACATTGGTCCTCTTCAGAACTATCTATACATATGTATTCATAATTATCTATTGTTACATTTAGTATAGACTGCTTGTATGTGATCATTTAGGAGCGGGAAAGACGCATGGAAAAGAGTGCTAAAAGGCAAAGTCTAAAAATAGAAAAACCTAAATTTTGTACAACAAATAAGCCTTTCTACATATGCTTATCTTTCACTAAGGGATAAGGTTCCTTAGTATAATACCTGTGTAAGGGTCGAGGGTGTTGTCCGTTGCAATTAGCCTAGCCTACTCTCCAAGTACAGTCAACAGCGTCCCGACATAAAGCAACTCCTTGGCGAACAAGTCAAGTCCAACGCAAACAAAGCAAATAGAATATGCCTTCTCCACTTATTTGCGAACATAAATCGCATGGCCTTATTTGCTTTGATTTGCTTGCATACGATGTCTATTAAAAGTCGAGATTTCCGGCCGGAAAGGGGTCCATCGCAATCGCTGAATCTTCGATTTGAAAGAGGGAGGATGCGGCTGCTAGTAGCTTAGAATATTGAAAAGTCAATAGATTTATACGATTCGGTTTGATGGGCAACCTTCAAAAGTTGAAGTTAATGAAGTCAGGGTAATTCGACGGCTCGAAAGAATACAGCCTTGATGAATTTACTAGATTTAAAAGTAATTAATAGTTTGAAAGAGTGAGGGCTAAGTAAGTTGGTGAATTAGCTATAAATCGAAGGTGTCAACAGGCACGAAATGCGATTAGAACACTGAGGGATCAAGTTTGGGTTATTAAACTATCATGTATAACCTAGACAATCTCCTCTCAGCCTCTCCTCCCATTATATCTACCCTAAGTCAATCCATTGATTCTCCACCTCTCTAGTTACCAAATATGGCCAGCTGGTTCTCATTCCACCAGCCTATCGCCTCAGCCCTATAGTCATCATCTTCCAGATAATTGCCCCCATCCTTTACACTAAACACCAAATTCTGCCCGACGTCTACGCCAGTCCCCTCGCTGTAAACCGGCCAAGCAGGTTCCACAGCCGCACCCTTGTTGGGGTCCAGCGCCGTGATGAAATTGATCCAGGCAGTGGACATGGTGAAGGCCAGGTCCTTGAAGGCCTGGGTCGTGTTGGCGAAGGGGTTGGTAGTGTAGCCGTCGCCGTTGAGGTTATAGAAGACGAAGGCGACCTAGAGGAATGTATTAGCTTGAAGGATTCCCTGAAGTGAGTAACCAGAAAGAAGCTGCGGGAGGCTCACCTCCTGAAAATGCGTAGCAGAATAAGACTCGTTAATCCCATTCACAGTGACATCAAATCGATAGCTCCACGATGGCAGCCCTGCCCTGTCCCAAGCAATACTACTCCGGCGGCGCGGATCGTGCATGAAATAATCACCATACAGCGCATTGATCCGGCGGTACTGCAAACCCAACTCGGCCGTATAAGTCAAGTTTGCCGTGATGACCTGGGGCCAAGATTCCAAAGATGGAATCCCCTCGCTCTGGATGTTGGGGTATAACGACATAATCTTTTCCACAATCTCATCGACCGTCTTGCCGGTTGAGAGTGTGACGTTTTCGTTGATTATGTCCCGCACAGCATACTCGAAATCAGCATCAGTGTTAATGACCGAACCATTTGGCCCGTGGCCCCTGCCAAATGCGGTGCCCTCGTCCGTGTTGGCGCCAATCAAGACAGGTATCTTAGGGAACTTGCCGTCTCTCAGCTGGTTGTACGGGTAGTCGGCGAAAAAGTCGTGGTCCAAGATCGGGGGCCAGGGGCCGAGTCCCGTGACATTAAGGACGTAGTTGATTTCCTCGAAAGGGGCATTTCGTAGACACGCGATGGATTCCTGGGTGCCTACGGTAGAAGCACATGAAGTATTGGTTAAGAGGGTGTCGAAGAGTTCCTGCTGAGCCGTCGTGGCGTTGAAGCCGCCGGCATAGCGAGGGACGAGGCCGCCGAAGCCGGATTGTCCGATTGCGCCGCGGAAGAGGCCATCGTCGCGACCTAGAGGCAATATGGTTAATATCTTAAGCGTAGGAGAGAAGACGGCATATAAGTGCCTTGCTTACCATTATAAGCCAAAACCTGAGCACTGACGCTCTCCGCTCCCGAGCTCTCACCAAAGATAGTCACTAGATCCGGCGAACCCCCAAATGACTGAATATTCTCATTTATCCAACGCAGCGCAAGGCGCTGGTCGCGGAATCCAATATTGGTCACCCCCTCAGCGAGGGCTTGGCTTCCGGGGAGGAATCCAAAGGCGGACAGGCGGTAGTTGAAGCTCACGGCGACGAGGGGCGTGCCTTGCTTGACGCTATTGTCTACGATGAAACTCAAATTGTAGCGCCTGTCGGCGGAACCGCCCATGTAGAGACCACCGCCGTGGATCCAGACTGCTACTGGGAGATCGGCGGTGTCTGAGATTCCGGCAGGGCGGACGACATTGATGTATAGACAGTCCTCTGAGAGATCATAGCCTACTTCGTCACCGCCGTAGCCGATACAATGTTTTGGGTAAGCGGTTGCTTCTTTGATGCCGTCCCAGGTTGAGTTAAGGTATTGGGAGTTACTAAAGCGAATTGGCTTCTAACAAATGTATTATACTTAGTATCATCCATCACCATAGATCGGAGAGAGTTGTGAAAGATTCGAAATTCTTGCAACTTACCCGAGCATACGGCATACCCAAGAAATAATCTTGATCATACTCCGAGCTGTATATCCCCGAGTACGTCCCGTTCTTCAGCGTCACGGTCGGCGCAGTAACAGGATGTGGCAACGTGCCATTGTCAGCCATGGGGGCAGCAACTACTATCGAAGCGCCAAGGCCGAAGCCAGTAGCTAGCAGCGAAAGAAGACGCATCGTGAAGACTGATCCAAAGGCAGCTGCTGTGAGCATGAGAACAAGAAGCTGGATTAAGTCTCTGGGAAGAAACAAGCTTCTTCTGCTTCTTCTTATTGTGCTTGTTTGACACCGTATTCCAACCCTCCCCTCACCTGAAGCCAAGACATCGTCCCCATTAATACCATTCATATTACCCCATCGCATCTCCCAGTTCTCCTCTTCCCTCCTTCTCCTAGTCACCGCTACCCACCAACCGAGCCCACGAGTTCGGCACCTTGCTGCCCCAGTTGCCGTCACCGGGGATAGGCGGTTCTTTGGGGGAAAAGGAAACAAGTTTACCAAGTAATCGGACCTTCTCTGGCGTGCCGCGTGGTGTACGCCCAAGGGGAAAGCCCCTCTGGTGTGTGGCCGAATTTGGTTCCTGGGTTCCGAGGTACGGTGCGGGGATTTGGCCAGACTCGTCAAAAATTAACCGAGAACTTGGAGATGAAGACACACGTTGTTGTGGTGCGCTACTACAGTGATGGTTCAACTGGTCGTTATTTGATGGTGGGAAGTGGGTCAGGTATCCCATGACTTGCAATCCACCATCATGATTGATGTTAGCGCTGAAAATCAGACCGCTTTTGACACTGTACCCAATTTTCAGATCCGCCTGTATTTTCTTACCACATAACGGCGCGTAGATACATCTAATATTACTCCTGATGTTACAAGCGACCGCGCGGGCTACCCTAGCAATTGCGACACTTAATATATCTTGGTCTAGCCCATAAGATTAGTTTATAGTACCGCTAAGTCTAGGGCGCTATTAACAAGCCCGCTAACGTCCTAGAAATCAGGCTGCAGAGGCCTATAGATATTATTATAGCCTAATGAAAAGTAACTACTCATCGACTTTCATAATAAGGATAAGAACCACGAGATGCTATAGCTAGATCTTTGATTCCTAGTCCTTGAAGTAGCTTACTATAGCGAGAAGGTCGTTATTAGGGCCCTAATAGAGCTAGCGACCGTAGATAGCGTAGAGTCAAAGGAAAACTACCTCTAATTATGCGCCTATCTATTTAAACGAGTACTGCGCTACTACGTATCTAGCTTAGTCCCGCTTCATTATAGTATTCAATATAGTGTAAGATTTGATCTCACAGTGACGACTTGTGATATATTAACGACAGTTGATTGTCTACAATATGTCTGGACAATCTGGACTACATACATGTGAGGTCAACAGTGGCGTTGTGGCCGAGCGATCGGGATATTCGTCGGAGATTGAACGCCTTTAAAATGGATCAGACGCGCAGACCTTAGCTCGGCAGATAGAAGTCTCCTGAACACCTCGCTTGGAATTGAATTCCGTGACAGGCCAACCGTGGTCACCTTCCCTAGCACACAGCCGCATCTATATCTTAAATATGAGTGGAGTTTACCCCGCCTTTGGTGGTGTGTCAGGCGCAATTCGGACACCTGTAAATCCCTAAGTAAGTACAGTCCAGATACCAAATATTGCTGACATATAGAGAATACTCAATCGTTTACAGTTATTAGAGAATAAGGCTTCTTCGGATACATATTTAAGGCGAAATTAGAGGAAAATCGAAGGGGCCCTACTGTAGATATCTAAAGGGATAAGGAGAAATTAACTATTAAAAACTATAACGATATTCTACCTTTAAATGCTCAGTTTTGTGAAGGTCAACCCTCGCAGACTCACTACAACCAGGTGACTTACAGCTGGAACACCTGCCGTGGCAGTGTCAGATGGGAAGCCAATCATAACCCTTGTAGGAGCTCCGCCAAGCGTGGATGACTTAGTCGCGCTCCCTCAAACCTAAGTTGCGATCTTCTTTCCTTCGCTCCTGAGAGTAGAATCTTCGTCGATAGCACCTAATCGAGGTCTCTACCAATGCGATGCAACCCAGGTCGTGACAAGTTTAAAGTATCATAAGCAAAAACTAATTAACGTCGTCTTTATATAGAACGGAGCTCTCTTGTGTTACTCTTTATTTACTAGTGTATACCTAGAGGTTCTTAGGATATTAGAAATGGAGTAGCTATGCTTTCCTAATGTAAGGAAAGAGTCGTCATGGCGGGCGGGTCTCAGCTGACGAGCTGAGTCGGGAGGGTTTCGCCCCGATCCGGTAGAACTCCGGAACCGTTCAGATTAAGAGAAGAACTCGAGGCGCTCCCACCTAACTTAGATTCCTTAAGAATCAGTCTTGCAATATACGCACCCATAACCCTGGCGCATTATAGCCGCTCTTTGCACTACCTGGCTATTCCTGTGAGACGTGATATCCTCGTTACACCTAATCTGAACTCTATAGAGAATATCTGGGTGTAGATAACGGATTTGCAACTTCATAACGCTCTATTAGCTACTTAAGAAGTATTAGTAGAGGACTTTCTCGAGAGCCTATCTGGAGGCTAGTACTGTAAGATACGTGTGAAGGTCAACCCTCGCAGACTCACTACAACCAGGTGACGTACAGCTGGAACACCTGCCATGGCAGTGCCAGGTGGGAAGCCAATCATAACCCCTGCAGGAGCCCCGCCAAGCGTGGACGACTTAGTCGCGCTCCCTCAAACCTAAGTTTGTGATCTTCTTTCCTTCGCTCCTTAGAGTAGAATCTTCGTCGATAGCACCTAATCGAGGTCTCTACCAATGCGATGCAACCCAGGTCGTGACAATACGTATAAGAAAGGGTCGTCATAGCGGGCCTGCCTTAGCCGACAAACAGAGTCGGAAGGGGTTCGCCCCCGATGCGGTGGAACTCGGAGTGGGTCCAGCCAAAGAGGAGACCTCGGACGCTCCCACTTAAGTTAGATTCCGCAAGAATCAGTCTTGCAATATACACACCCATCTTATTGGCACATCATCAGCTGCTCTTTGCGCTATCTGACTATTCTCGTGAGACGTGTGGTATCTATTCGGCAGTGTTATCGTTAAAACGGTGTATAGCAGAGGTGCTAAACTGTGAGGAAGAGCCGTCATGGGGTCGGCTAGCAAGCTATATCGAGGGGGGTTCGCCCCCGATCAGGTGGAACTCCGGCGGCGCCCTAGTTAAAGAGGACATATCGGACGCCTTCACCTAATTTAGATTCCTAAGAATCAGTCTTGCAATATACTCGCTCATGTTACTCGCGCATCATCCTTGAGTGATCGCACTATCTAATTGTTATTACCTAGAGACGTGCAGTATCTCCGTTACATAAATGCCCTTGAAAACATCACCTCGCTTAAACACCAAGCACTATTGTTCCAAAATTTGCTGCGCACATACACGGTATGATTATCAGCGCTATCAATTATGGCGGTGGGTTGTATAATGAAATCGACTGGGGACGATGGGAGGAGCGAGTCATGCGGAGAGGATGTCGGTCAGGTTATCCGATCCCTCTTCGGAGCATGGCCTGGTCTTCATCAACCTCCGCTTTTCCCTCTCCGCATTTTATCAAGCGTAATAACGGCGGTTAACCCACTGCTCACGCACTGGGTTAAATACGTTTATTCATCCTGTTTCAGCTGTACGTCATTCTCCCGATACTTCTAAATGTTAGTAATCAGCACCAAATTATTAGTACCTCCCCAATAGACATGTACATGGCATAGAACAATAAGTGTACGTACCCCAATTCGCTAACAACCCACAAGGCTATTTGAAGGTGTGGCTAGTTTCACGATGAGTCTGAAGCATCAGGCTCTGGCTCTTGATCTCGTGCTGCGTTGGACTTATCTCTCTCTCTCTCTCTCTCTCTCTCTCAATGCTTGTATAAAATCGATGGGTTTGATGAAGACGGCCGAATTGGCTGTTGAAAAGGAAATTGAAGTAGTATAAAGTAGGGTAGAGGGGGCTCTCTTGCGCGAAGGGCACCCGTTCTGTTTAATGCTTCTAAGCTTTATATTCGAACTTTGACAGATACTTCCAAATCTGGTGGTTATTCACGTGTACAGTCACAGGGCTCTGGGATCTCGTTTTGAGCTGGAGGAAGACAGAGTTCTATGAGAGAGAAAGAAGACCCATCACGCTTCTGATTCCTTGCTTCTGGTGTGAATTGGAAGTATCAGGCGCAAAAGACATGTAGCTGCAGAAAAAAAAAGAAACAGACGTACTTGACCCACTACGTGAGCAACGGGTTAACCGCCATCTTTAGGCTTGACGAGTAATATCCTGGGAGACCGCGTGGCCTAAGATCGGAACCCTTGCCGATAACAACCAGAGCGTCCGTTGACCATCCTCAGCGCTGAGAACCGGCCACTCCACCAAAGAACCATTGGAACCGGGAGTTGAGAGAGGCCTGGGCCTGGCCGGATCAAAGCTTTATTCTAGGCTTTGGTCTCGAGAAAATCGACTCGACGAACCATGGTTTGCGCCAGCTCCAACTAACGTCATTTCCGTACCGACTATTATGTAATGTTGTGCATGAGTTGCTGTCTGTGGCGCACAATCTAGAACCGACGGTACTCGTAATTTACAACCGTTCTGGGGTCAGTCAGGCCGCTCCCTCTTACTGCTCATGTATGGTAGTACCATGATCCTGGGATCTGTGGCCTAATTAGCCATATTTTCGGAACCGCACGACTGGGCCGAGTTGGAAGAAATGATAAAACCTGGTTGGATGTCTCAAAGCACGATGAGGGAAAGCGATCTGTATACGAATGGTTGGATTGGACGAATTCTTGACTTATTATTGCTCCCGTGCTTTATTTATCTGCCCTCCCGTATGTAAATAACAGTGTTCCCCCGAGCTCCCTTTGCTTTTGCTTTCCGGCTTGAACCATTAGCCTGTATACCACAAGATTCCCTTCTTGAATCTCCGCTTCCAGCGAAGACGTTTCCAGAAGCGACAGGCACAGATTTGCCTTATCCCGACATTGTGCAGCATCAACTCCGCCCCCAATTGTACAAGTTCACCCAAAGACACCCCAAACGCATCGCGAGTATTGGGGTATTCCAGACAAGATGGCGTCGTCTCTGAATAGAACAATTAGTCGACTCCAGATGGAACGTAGCAAAGTCTTCCCCTCCAGTTCCTCTTCCTCCTTGGCCCAACCACTCCATCCAAAGGGTATCATATTTTGTTCACCTGGACCTTGGATCCAAGAACATTATCTGCTCGCCATTACATTAGATGAAAAATTTTCGGTGTAGATATTTGTAAGTAAAAAAGATTGTTCTACGCAGCGCGCTGTTTATCAACACAGGAAATGGCTCGAGGCTCGATGTAGATGCTGAAAAGCAGGGTTGCTGGAAACATGGAGAATATGGGTACATGGTGCCACAGCCCGGAAGACGAACGACTGGCATCATCATCACGCAGTGACGTTGAGTTGATTGGGCCGTCGAGGACACATTGTCCGAGGCCGTTCAAATGGTGACAGGGCCTACTTCTCCTGGATGGATGTGTAGTCCTGCGGGGTCATATTCTGCGTGAATTGTATCGCCCGTGATCTCGGTTGGCCAGGCGAGGACTTGGATGAGGTTACTGATTCGTTCGCGTCCCAGTCATACTCCCGAGAGGTGCCAAGTACAGGGCCGACAAATTGACCGTGGTCCTGAGCCAAGCTCATCATGTGGGGAAATGCCGGAGTGGATGGCAGGCTTGCATCACTGAGGTCGACGTAGCTTGGAAAATTCCGCAGCGGGAGGTCTGGAAACTCGGTTCGGAAGTATGGCGTCAATAATGGCTGATCCGCCGAGAAGTCGGTGCCTGCGCTGAACGGATGCCCGCCGAAGTTGTAGCCAAAATTGGTCATTAATCCCGGTGTGCCCGGAGGTGTCTTCAAGGGCTCGGCCTTCAGATCATGCATGAGGCCAGCTGCTGACACCCCAGAAATGCTAGTGCCAAGCATGAATCCCTCGTCCTCGGAACAATTGGACGTGACAGTGGGTTCACGCATGCCTTGCTGACTCATGACCAGGGGTGTCATGGGCGTTGGGGGGGCAGCACCTGAAAAGGTCGAGCCAATTGTGCTGCCAGGAGACCGCGAGTGATAGTGGAGAAGGGCCTCGGTGTTTCTGTTGAAATACATGGGAGATCGTGGGCCTGCGCTTGACTTCTGGATCCTACCCGTCAGCGGACCATTGGTGGAAGCGATCCTGCGCATGGCGGTGGCAGGGCTTGAGGGGTCGGCTCGTCTCGAGCCCTCCATGGCCGTCTTGGCACCACCGCCGAGGTTGTATGAGAGGCTACGTAGTGCGGCAGAGTTGAGGGCCGCGGGTCGTGGGATGTTGCGACGAGATGCAATGTTGGCGGGAGGAGGTGGCGATTTGAACGAGTCGCCTGGTGTTGCAAGACCCAGACAAATCGAAGGAGTCGACTGCTGTTCCGGCTTCATGCCATCATCTGACACGCCCTCGGGTGTTCTCCTTTGCTGTGTCTCTGCCGCGGCTTCTTCCAACTTCTGCTCCTCGATCGTCGTCGTTGCGAAGAATGGCAAGGTGGGGCCAGTATACCCTGCACTCACCGGGTTCAGGTAATGGGTAGCCTGGTAATCGCCATGCTTGGACTGTTCCTCCGATGACGGCAATTCGTCCACGACCCCGCCGAAAGCCCCGCCTCCATCCAAATGCCCTCTCGAGTTTTGATGCGATGGCATAAAGGGGGCGTATGTGTGTATTTGACCTTCGTGGCTGAAGTTCTGGCTGGCTGGCGTGTAGGCAAATTCACCGTTGTCGGAACGAGAGTAGTCGAGAGACAGGGGCGATTGGAAGTCACCCTCAACGTCATCCTGATGAGGCTTGGCAGGCTGTGCGAAGGGCGAGCCAAAGTCCTCGGAGTCGCCCGTGGCATCGTCCTCATAATTGCTGTCGTCATACAGAGCATCCGCAGTGAGTGAAGCTGAGCTCAGGCCTGGGAAGAGAGCAGATGAAGGCTTCATGCGCTGGTGAAGATCGTCGTTGAACAGCTCCGAAACTCCAGACGTGGGATCAATGGGCGAATTGGGCTCAGACGATGTCTTCTCGGCAGCCCTGCGAGCCTCGTATTCCTCCTGCTTCCTCTCTTGCTTCGCCTTTGCCCGTCTGTTTTGAAACCAATTCTAGCAGCCAAAGTCAGCATGAGTAGTAAGTAAAGGGGTTTGGCATATCCACATTAATTCTTGGTCGTTCCAAGCCCAAGCCATCGGCCAGCTGAGCCTTTACTGAGCTGGACGGCTTGGGGTTTTCCTGAAAGACCTTCTCCAGCTTCTCAACCTCTTCCTTGGATAGTCTTGGTTTGGACTCCGTCTTGCCATCGCCCTGGGAGTTATGCTCTGGCATGCGATGATTACGCGAAGGATGAGGGGGGTACATGTATTGAAGACCGTGGAAGCCGTGGTATACCGGATATTGGCCCTCGGAGTACTGCATGGTGGTTCCTTGTCCATGGTTCAGGTTGAACATCGGGTTGAAGTTAGACTGAGCGCAAAATTGCATATCCATCGTGACGGGGAGGCCGATCCCGCTTCTATCAATCGAGATGGCGGCGGTGAGTCAAGCGACAGCAATAATCGAAGGATCCGTATTGGTTCGAACAGAAATTGGTTGAATAAGCCAGTATTATGTGAAATCAACTGGTGCGAGACCGTGGTATATACCGGGCAAGCCAGTGGAGCTGGGCTGGGTGTGCAGTGTGTAAAGAACGACTGGAGGTCAGGTGCCTATAGAGATAGACTCAATAGAGAGTTCCTTGGTCGAGAATGAGCGTAATGGCAAAGCTGATACTGGCTGCGGAGAAGACCGGGCGAGGTGGAGGGACCAGGCCGGTATAAGAGGAAGCCCAGTGGTCAAATGCGAGAGATCTGTGACTTGGTCTGAATGAGACAGACCTCACACCAAGGGACTCTTGATGTCGAACAGAGACAAGCAGACTCGGGATGGATCAAACACCACAACACAGGATCGCAAGGCGAGCGAAAGGGAGAGGAGGGGTGGGCGTGTAGAGAAGTAGTAGTTGTACGTAGTGGGCCCGCGAGCTGGGGGCCTGGGCTGCAACGAACGAACGAGCGAACGAGCACAGGTGGGTGTGTGTTGTCTCCCGGGATCCCGTGGGTGCTCACTCCATGTACCTTTGCGGTACCGACGCGAGATTGGGTGGGGGCAGCCAGAGGTGCGCCCTGACGGATTCTGGTCAAGGCGGGTGACACTGACAAGCGCAAGTACGGTACGGAGTGTGAAGTACCCTTACCTGGCTGTGAGTAATTAGCCCCCCCTTCTCTTGACCTGCGAGGGAGATAGGTGGTGCTGGGCGAAGAAAACGCCCGTATGAGGCGCGGACTGTCCCTCTGATTAGGACCAGGGTAGCGCTGTTCAAGCGCTGACCTGGGTTACTTGGCTGCGTGGGCCACGGCGGCGGCCACTGGCTTTGTGGCGGTCCTGGCGATTGCTGCTGCTTGGGGGCTTTGGGGCCATTGTTGGAGCTACCAACAGACTGGAATTGCACGAATTGCTCCAACAGCTCATGACGTGCTGCTCTGCTCGAGAGAGGGAAATGCAGAGATGATGGACACGGACCTGCGAAGATGGAGATTGGCCTGTTTAGCCACACTAGTTGATGTACTATGGCAGATGCTGGAGCTGATGAAAACCGCGGCGGTGGTGATGGAGAGCTGATTGCGAGAGGCTACCACGATTGTACACGTTCAACCGCTGCTCCAAGCTCTCAGGTGGATCGACGGCGAGGTGCCGTACTCGCTGCTCGCTGCTCACTGCCAGACTGCACAACCGACCGCTGAGAGCCAAGGAATCTTGTATTAGGATCCCTGGTCGTCACTGACCCCTGCTTGCAGCTGAAGATTTGATGCGATAGGAACACATCAAAAGTCTTACACTAGGTTATGGGCATCCACCAAAAGAAATACCATACCTTGCTTAGGGTTACTCGGCGTACCATCATCAAGCCCAACACAGGGCGTCCAAGAAACCAAGCTCATCCAACCATCCAAAGTACGGGCGACCATACTTCGGTACCGTAAATAGGGAGCGCATTGGGTGACCTCTACGTTTTGCTGCCCATTTTGTCCTCAGTTAAAGTTGACAGGTTCATCTGAAGTTAGGGCACTTGAGGCCTTGGGACGGAAATCTGCCATCTCCACAATCAAGGTACCCACACCTCAGAGTTCCGCATTTTGCAATTGAGTTGCTCTAAAGTAGTTCAGTTCAGACAGTGCGCCTGACCGTGCACGCATCCGAGTCGAGCTTGCCATTTACACGCACGGCGTATGGATGCTGTGGCCCGTGGGTCGCCCCCAATTTTGCGGATTGACAACCTGAGGAACTTTAGTGGATGAGGTAGGTTGGTTCAAAGCCGCTTGTGATCTATGTTGTCTGTATTCCTTCTACCACAATTGAGGAATGCAAGAACATATCCCATCACCGATCTCTCAGCGATGCACCCACCTGCGAGTACATGGGATGATGCCATAACCGGGCTGAAAGGATCTAGATGCCTGGCTCCCTGACAAGACAGTTTGACATTCCTTCACCTCAGTTTCCTACTAGCCTGCACTCCGTAACCTGAGCGCAGCACACCATATTCGGGCGTCCGGTTCGCTATCAAGCCTGCAACCCGACGGACGAGCTGACATGCAGAGCTGCAACTCGATTTCTGCTTGCCTATCACAAGACCGGAATGACTTTTCTACGAGCTGGCTCTGGTCCCCACGCCATCTATTCCGCTCGGCCGTACACTCATCGTCATCATCATAACCAGCCAGGTGACGGGATTCATCTTTACGAGTCAACGTCGCCGCTGTCAATACAGGCCTTGACGTCGACGACGAGATGGCCGCGCAATCTGGCAGTCAATCGCACGAGCACAGTGTCGGGCCTACCATCGGAGGGGCAAGAGGGACTGAGGGATCACACAGACAGAAACATTGGCTGATGTCTCGCTGTATCTATCGGAAGAGAAACCCTCGGAGGCGCGGCTGGACGATACTTCGAGGCCCCTGCAAAAGTCCAGCAAGCAGGGCAAATCCGAAGTATCTCTTGAATTTTTACCCCTGAAGCTTCTCGAGGATAGCGTGACGCTAACCGACGCCGCCGGGCTGGAGGAGCCTTGTCACATCTTTTGTCCTTTCTCCTTGTGTGCAAGTGGGTAGGAATCATGTTTCTTTTTCGTCTAGAGACCACACTTTATGGTTGCGCCGAGCCCCATCGAGTAATTGTGTCGCGCTTGGTGCTGCATACCGGAGACGGGATGTTCCCGGGGAGCTGCGCTGTCATCCCATCTCTGGCTGGGTCTTCCCCACCATTCCCAACCCTAACCTGGAGCGATCGTCGCCATTTGTCCTGGCTGCATGCAGTTTCCGAGTGGTGGTTTTTTTTCCTCAGGTGAAGCAAAGCAGAAAGCCATCGCCCAATTTGGACCCTCACTTGTTACTCCTCTCACTACAACCACTCAGCCTTCGAGGTGCATGGAACTTCTCGTAGGTCACAGCCATTTTCTCTAACCGCTACAACTGATTCGCATTCTTTTGAGCACCTCGCGGTTTCAGCCCGTCGGTGTATCATCAAGCCAAGGGATTCTACATACACTCAAGCCTTGCTGGCGTGTGGGGTGTGCCATGATACTTTTGCTGGACTGCGAATGCTAGCTCGTTTTGGGTCAGAGCACTGCGAGCGTGCTGGGGAAGCCTTCTGGCAGTGACACAGACTTGAATCGACGATGCAACCTCTAAGACTTGACAGCTGCGGCTTCGTTGTTGCGATATCAAATTTCCACTCAGTCGTGGTGAGCGACGTTAAGGTTCAACGTTTCCATGCGGAGTGAGGGGTTGCTCACTGCCATCGCCAGCTGTGCCGGGGATTTGCTGTGTTCAAAACACAACCGTCTGGTCGTATCATACCGCCGAATATCTTCCCAACGGTCAACGGTAATCTTTCCGATGCCAGATCATGAAATGCCATGAAACTTAACTTAATTGGGTCAGTGAAGCCGTTTTTGCTTCAACAGAGTTGGGCCGACCGCTCTGGCGCGACCCGACCCAACACCAAAGACAGAACTGCACGAGGCGATGCCAACGATGGTTTGGCCTGCCTCAGCATTTGCAACCTCCCAATTTCGCCATCATTTCGAACCTTTCCGACATTCTCAATTCGTTAGTTCAAGCAGTGGAAGGAGCTAGGCTGGGCTCAAACAGTCAAAAGGAATCATCACAAGAAGCGGCTTCAGGTACACAACAACAAGGCAGAATAGCAAGCCCCACCCAGATAGGAACTTACTTCGGCCTCTCAACAAACAATCCCTCTCTGCAGGTCGGTCGTGTTTCTCCCGGGGGGATTGTAGCATTGGGAGCTGAGAATCAAAGTCGCAAAGCCCACGCCGCATAGTTGCACGGCCAAGTTGCACTACTTCCGCGTGCAACCCAAAGATGCTATTTCTGGCGCTATTCCATTTCACACACCTGCAGCTCATCGTCAGCAGGGTCTAAAGTCATAAAATGGAGGGTATCATTGGTGTCCACACAATGCAGCCTGGCCATCTCGGCCATGAAAACTTGTCTATGCCATATCTACAGGCATCCCCTAATGCTGGTGTAACTCTCTCCAACCATCTGCGGTCAACTACAACCCTGACAATACATGACGAGTTCAGCCTACAGTCATCGATTCACCATTCCGAAGGCGAGTTTGTCAGCGAAGCCATGGCTTGGCGCAGTTGGTACGCGCAGCAATTGCGTGTTGGAGGTCGCTCTAAGAACTCCTCTTTAGGCGCTACCATGGGCTTTCGAGTCTTTGGATGAAAATTCTGGAGGCTAACGAGGGGCTGACCTCCCGAACGACAATGAGTTAGCTGGGTATGTCACAGCTTGGGACTTGATATTCTTAAGATGTTCGCTATACCTGTCAAGTCGACATTCGGGTCGGATATGGTGGGGTACTTGCTTGGCAGTGCGTTTGCGATATCGAGGCTCGCTCATATCTCACCGACCAACAGGAACATATCTTCAGATCTCATCAGCAAGACATAAGTCCAGAGCCTATTGGGTCCTTCAGCCGGTGTCAATCACGGAGGGCTGGTTGAGTGAGTTTGGCATAGGTCGACGCGTAGTCACGATGGAGGCCGACCATCATTCGAGTTGGCCAATCATTCACCTGTGCTCGGGTTTGTCACCTCGGGATTTGTCCAGATGCCTGGAGATGTTTGTTCCCGGAATGGATGGGGTCTTTCACTCCCACTTCCACTCCCACTCCCACCCTGGCCAGAACGGTAAGTCTTCCTAACTCTTAAGGGGCCGAGCAAGGACCAACAAAACATCGGGACATCCTGTTAATTAATTGGTCACGACGTCGCCAAATGGTGTCTTTCGGCTAGGAATGAGTACCTTGTACGTCGTAGTCACTCACCAATTGCGAAGGGAGGTCATCATTGAAGTCGACCATCCGCTTCTTTCGCGGACATTAGGTCACAGCAGGTGTTTTCGTGCGTTACGAAGACGCCGCTCTGAAGCACTCGGTGATGTGAAAGTCAACTTCCGGGGGTTGGCACCTCGGGTGATCTGGTGATGTCGACATTCACATCAACGACTTTACATATCCATTCTAAAGAGCCTCGGTCCCCACATAGAATGCCCATGGTGACTGAGAGCATTATCTCATGAGCTGACGAGGATTGGCGGGTACCGCCAAAAGGCGCCTCACATACCCAACAATGGCCGGATAAGCGACGCAGGGCGCTGACCCATTCACCATCATGACTACCATCACCCCGACAAGCCGGAATGTTGGTGTGTTAGCGGCCGGGCAGAGCACTCGGGTTCATCTTAGTTCTTGTGCATAGGCCATCGAGCAGGACTGGGATGCCAAACCTAGCTTAGTCGTTCCAGTAACACGAATACACTGTACACGAATACGGTAGTCGACGTTTTCCCTGAACTGTCATGAAGACATTAGCTTAACGCTCGATTCAGCACCTGCCTGCGCATTACAGTGACTAATGTTACCATTTCGGAGGCTTTTAGACTTTGTCTGCGAGCCATCGCATTCGCAATCCTCACCCTAGTGCCTCGTGGGAGATGGGTGGTTTTCCCCGCATCTGCTGCCACTTAGAAAGCCGCTTTGTATGGATTATTATGCGTCGCACTGTGAGCTACACGCCGCCTCCGCTCGGTGGTCGCAACGGATACATTTCGCAGTTTTTGCGTTACTGAAGCCGTCTACGCGGTTCGGAAATGAGGCGGACGCAAAGGACCTAGAATCTTGGGAATCGTAGTCCAGGCACACGGTGTCTTCCAAAACAGTACGGAGACCATCATCCAGAAATTTTCGGCATCAAAGGCATCAGTTCGTCGAGTCTTGACCACTTTGCCCCTGTATTTGCGTACATAGCCTTTAGTTGACGGCAGGCTAGGGTCATTTCTCCGGTACGTCACCTTTCTGATGCCGCGGTTTCTATTTTCTGTCCCGTCAGCATGCGCTCGCGGCTTCGCTGGCCGCTTTGGATCTGGCACCAGCACACAGAGTCTTCTTGGATACGGAACAGGTCACGCCAGATTTCAACTGCAAGATGCATCCATCTCACATCCTGCGGTCCAGACCCAACGGTGGGCGCCGTGATGCCGGGACGTCTAGAAAGCCTGCGCTTGCCGCTCATTGCTGGTGAGGCACCGTAAGCATCACGTAGTAACGGCCTCGGCGGCGGTACATGGATGAACGGAGACCAGTTGCCCCAGTCACAGCTGAAGCTGAAAGTTTGTACCTCATGATCCCAGCAAACCGCGCAATATCCTAATCAGTCCGAGATTTCTAGCATTCGCGCGGCCGACTGTGGTATTGTACCAGGTTCCTACGGTGCTGGTCCGGGCCGCCACGTGGATCAAGCGTCACTGGCGAGATGATCCCTATCCCTGTAACAGAATGGCTTGATGGGTCGGGAGGTACTTCAAAGTACCTAACAGATCTGGGCCACCAATTGCTCATTTCACTCCTGTCACCACGGCCGTAATGCAAATTTCTTTGCACACACTCATCACCCGCCGCAGACCTCCGCGCAAGAGCTGGATTTATGCAGTATTGCCTATCTGACTTATCATCAAGGAGCTGACAGACTCAATACATACAAGACTATCCCTTTCCAAATCAAGTGCGCCGCGATTCTCGCATATCGCGAAACGCTACCTTGTATTTGCGACAGATTCCAATTCTCAACCCAGGATTCTCACTTACCCATCAGCGCCATTCCGACCCCGCTATCCTTCCGACTGGTGGGTGAGTGTTACAAGTCGATGATCACTTCAAACTTGCAATGAGATCTTAAGATGCAGTAAACTTTGGCACAGACGTCATAGACGACCGAAGGCTTGGACAATATCATCAGTTTTCAATCCTCACGGACTGCATCATTTGCTCTGTCCCTCCAGGACGCCGAGGTTATTGATTGAGACAGCATTCTAGACCCCCTAGTTTTCGTTTTCTTCAACAAATGCTTTTCCGCCGTTCCTGCAGCCGCGGGCGTTGATGGCTTTTACTTCCTTCCTGCAGCCAGGGCTGCGGGGGTGAGGTTTCTGCTTGGCCCCTTATTACTTTTTGGACAAGCTTCAGGCTTCAAGTCATTCGCAGAAGCCTCACCCTTCACATGAGACCTTAGTAAGCTGTCAATCTGTTTGTGCCTATTATAAGACGTAGTCAGCCTAGCGGGTTGCGGAAACCGCGCGGAATCAAAGTCAGTTCTGCGTATTGCAAAGTTGCAAAAGTGGACCCCAATCGACGGTGATACTGACTGGTGCAATCAGACCCCAAAAACCTGTCTTGAACTAGTAGATCGTTGCCTCGAGTGAGGCGTTGCTGCAGCTTCGGGTTCCTTGCACGTTACGCAAGTCGGCGACCTGTCGAGGATCGGCTTGGTGGCCTCTGCAACTGTCCATACATGGAACTGTCGTGTTGCCATATGCATGTCTTGTACAGCTCTCCGAGCGGCCCCCTCCCCCCCCTGTGACTGGCCGTGTCATTGAACCGGGTCCTTACAGTGGCTAGAATCACGCTGATGAGCCGTGAGAAACACAGTTTCGGGCCGGCCACACAAGCTTGTTATTTGAACCCGTCTTTTTGGACAGCCACAACCATGGCCTTGGGAACGAAGTTTGCGATTCGAGTCAATGTACCACTATTCGTGTTTCTTTTGTTTTTCAAGCTTTGCGACGGACCGTCGCATAGCCGAACACGGATGAAATTTTGGGGGGTTCATTAAAGTAGACGCGCGACTACGTGTGACGTTCAGCCCATGGGAGCTGATTTACTTTTTACGACCCCCCAGCAGAAGAACTTCCGGTGTACTTGAACGAGTTTGTTGCCGTAGGTACAAGGATGGCGGAGCGGATATCTGCCCATCGGGGTTCCCAGGGTCGTTGCCTACATAACCCTTGGGGTCCTGTTCCGCCTGCTCTAACGGCGCACGCCGCGGCGATCACCATTGAAAGTCCAACATTGCTTGGCCAGGCGTGGGCTTTTTGCAGAGTTCGTTAAACCCCATGTGGGGAGATCGACAGACCAGCCGGACCGACTGCTAGTCGTAACCTTACCTTGACTTCTAGATATTCTACCACATCGTGAGTTGAAAGCGCGGGTTCGTTTCGGCGGGACATGTTCGTGGGGTCGCAAGTAAGACCGCTGGCTGAATGCTGGATCCCGCAACGTGTTTTCTCATTTCCCGCGGGGTTGCGACCGAGGAATGCGCTCGGGGAACAAACTGTCAATAGCTCTGGCGATCGGAATGTCGACAACAGAGTGCGGTCACGTTGGACCCTGCCGTCATTTGTCAATTGGGGTCTACGCCTTACACAACTCTATCTCGGCCTATTGAGATCTTGATTTCACTGAGCCTCATCTTAAGCTCACCCCAGTTCGGCCACCCGTGAATTAGGCACTAGCCGAGCGGGGAAGATTCCATGCCAATGTCACAAGCGTTGATGCCGTACTTTCCATCGTCAAATCTTGGAGGATTTCGGGTGGTCGATTCAGTTCCTCCCACACGGAGACATGGTTGTGATGGCCACCGTGATGGCCAAACTTCCTGATCCTGTGATCTGTGATCCTGCTCTGGTTTCTATGATGGGCTAGCACAATGACTATTGAATCCTCATTTCGGTACTGCTGCCGCCACCAGAGCGTCCGAAATCTGCAGCGTCACCTGTCCGCCCTCGCACGACACCATGTTGACCGACTCCAAGTCCCTGACGACCCAATCGGGCTCCGCTGCGACGACCTGCTCCAGCGTGTGACTAGTCACCAGGCCGATCACCTTGCAGCCCGCCGCCTTGCCCGCAATGATGCCCGCGGGGCTGTCCTCCAACACAAGCACGTCCTTTTCTGCGCCGCTGCCGAGCTGCAGCTTGTCCCGGCCCAGCTGATAGCATGCGGGGTCGGGTTTCCCATTCTTGACCGACTCGGCGGTAACCAAGTATTCGGGATGCGGGAGCTTCAACACGTCGAGCCAGCCGGTGACCAGAGGAAGGGTGCCGGACGTCACGATGGCCCAGGGTGCATTGGCGGCGATTAGGGAGTCGAGGAGGGCTCTGGCACCGGGGATTTCGACGGCGTCCTTGCCGTAGAGTTTTGGAAGAAGGCCCTCCATATTGCGAACATCTACCATGTATAAGCTGCTGGTTGGTGGTTTGGGGAGACTTCAGGGCGCCTGAGTGAGAGTCGAGGGGGTCCAATCAGTCGAGAGGGATCGGCATCTTACATTCCCAGTTGGCCTTGTCAGGCCTCAGTATCTTGAGGACGTCGATACTCCTCCGGCCGTGAGACGTCTCCAGGATGACTTTGGGGTCAACTCCAATCTCGGCCCCGATTCTGTTTAACAGTCAGCATGCTGTTCTGTTTTAGGCAGGGGAAGCGGCGAGGGTAGACTTGCGTGTGCCAATGCTTGACCACTGCTGCTGTTGAGTCGATGATGGTGCCATCCATATCGAACAGCAGGCCATGGAAGGAGACTGTCTCTGGTGGCGCCGAATAAGACATGATGGATAGATGGATGAATGGATAGGTAGATGGAGAGTCAGTCTGGTTCGTCTAGGAACTCTACGGCACTCTGTTAATCAAGATAGAAACTCGGAGGTCGCTGCAGAGCAGATATGCAAGTGGGAATGTCCAAAGCAGGTGATTAGACAACGAGTGGATAGTGAATAATAGCGAGTTGGACATGTCTATGTCACGCACGTAGCCGCAACGTTACTTATCGAACGATAGCAAAGGGATACGGGTTCTAGACCGGTGTGAGCTGTCCAATCTAGGAAACTCCGAACCTTCCAACCTTGTTGAAGGCATCACGGCGTCAACTTTTCAAAATCACCCACTTGGACTCTCTCCACTGGTCCCGTAAAGTCCGCTGAAGATCCACTGAGACCAAAAGTTTCAGTGAGCTTAGGTGCTGCGCTATTTGGCACGGCAGCGAAGCGGGGTGTCCTGTCGAGGCAGTAGCGCAGGCGGTGGCCAGCGGCAGTACAAAAAAAAAGTTCCAGCATCCCACTCTCCATGGCAGGACGGTGAATGGGTCAATTACAGCAACTCGACATCCAACCATCGAATTGATATAAATCCCCCAGTCTCAACCACCGTTACTCAATTTGACAATGGGGGGTATCAACAAGCCAAGCAGTAGGTCCTGACACATGCACTCCTAAAGGGATGTCATACTGATGGAAATAACACAGAGCCCAAGTCCAAGAGGGGGACAGTCCGCCTGCGGCACAAAATTGAGAAGAAGTCGAACGAGAAGCAACGTAAGGCGAGAAAAAACGAGAAGAAGAACCCACAATGGAAGTCCAAGCTTAAGAAGGACCCTGGAATCCCCAACATGTTCCCTTACAAGGAGAAGATCCTGCAAGAGATCGAAGAGGCCCGGGAAAGGAAGCAGGTCGAGGCACAAAAACGCAGGGAGATGGCCAAGGCTGCGAGGAGTGGCACCGTTGAAAGAGAACAACCTGATGAGGACGCCATGGCCGACATTGAAGGAGAGGACTTCGAGGGATTTGACGAGGACGACGATGCCATGGACGAGGACGGTGCCGACGATGCGAACCCCATGGCGGCGCTACTTGCCAGTGCGCGACGGGCGGCCGAGAAGTACGACCGTCAACTCCAGAGCGGCAGCGACATGGACCATGATGAAGATGAGGACGACGAGTCATCGGGCGATGAGGCCCACTACGCCGCTGGTGGCGCAGAAATTACCGGGCAGGGCTCGTCAAGAAAAGCCTTTGACAAGGTCTTCAAGCAGGTCATCGACCAAGCAGACGTCATTCTTTACGTGCTGGATGCTCGTGACCCCGAGGGTACAAGATCGCGTGAGGTCGAGCGCATGGTTATGGCTGCAGCAAGTGGAGGCAAGAGGCTGATGTTGATTCTAAACAAAATCGATCTGGTCCCAGCACCCGTGCTCAAGGATTGGCTCATACATCTGCGCAGATACTTCCCGACTCTGCCTCTGCGTGCTTCTGGCTCTGCGCCAAATGCGCATACCTTCAACCACCGCGATCTTACCGTTCAGAGCACTGCAACGACCTTGTTCAAGTCTCTGAAGTCATTCGCCGCCTCCAAGCAGCTCAAGCGTGCTGTTGCGGTCGGTGTTATCGGCTACCCCAACGTTGGAAAGTCATCCGTTATCAATGCACTGCTTTCCCGCATGAGTGGCAGAAGCGGAGCTGCGTGCCCGACCGGTGCCGAAGCAGGCGTCACTACGGGCATTCGTAATGTCAAGATCGACAGCAAATTAACTTTGCTCGACTCGCCCGGTATCGTTTTTCCCTCTACCAGAGATGGCGAATCATCCTCAAAGAAGAACGCCATTGAGGCGCACGCCCACCTGGTACTTCTCAATGCCATCCCGCCGAAGCAAATCGATGACCCTCTCCCGGCGGTTAGCTTGCTATTGAAGCGTTTATCCACGTCTCAGGACCTTCTGCAGAAGCTGATGGATGTATACGACTTGCCACCCCTCATGACCGCAAAGGATGGCGATATGACAACGGACTTCTTGGTACAGGTAGCACGCAAGCGTGGTAGACTTAGTAAGGGAGGTATCCCCAACCTGATTTCTGCCGCTATGACCATCGTAACAGACTGGCGCGACGGACGCATCCAGGGCTGGGTCAATGCACCAGTACTGGCGGTTGCCGGCGACGGCACCAGCAAACCTACCGGCAAGAACGGATCCTCCGATTCAGTACCCGCGCCTGATCAGAAGCAAATCGTCACCGAATGGGCCAAGGAATTCGACCTTGCTGGTCTTTTGGCCGGTGGCGCGGATGAGACCGTGGATGCTATGGAGGTTTGAGGTTTATTACACGCATGACCAACCTGGCTGGCATTGCGAAGAGCGATCCGTTTATTGGGCTTCCACAGAGACACTACGGCGTTTGGGTGTTAGATAGGAGGAATGACAATCAGAACTTGATATACAGCAATGATGTAGAGTTAAGGGGTTAAAAGAGGCGGTTTAGTCGACTTCAACCCCGGAAAGTTATTGAGGCACATATGAATCGGATGTTATTTATGTCGACCAAAACATCTTTGAGGTCCTGTCGGTGTTGGAATCAGGACATTTGACTCTATTATGAGATCAGATGCATGAATGTGATACTGAGATAGCCCTTCCATGGTACTTTAGGGTCTTTGCGGTTGCTAACTTCCGGCTGCTTTGCTGGCGGCACTACAATGAAGCAGGCCGGAAATCCGTGGAGCACATTCTATGCATAAGTCACAATTGCCCTCGCCATCCTAAATTTGCCGTCTGGAGAACTCATTTCCGTACAATACTTGATCTTTTAAGCCGCAACTATATTGTGTGTATTAGTTCATCCTAGGGGTTGTTGTGAATCAGTAAACTGACTTGTAGTCTGCTACTACAAAATAAGGTAGGGAGATCGTAGATGGCAATTTTCCATTTACTGTTTTGTTCAGGCGTGTTTGGATTGCCCCCGTCGACTTTGCGTGATTGAGTGAAAAGTGGAAGTATTATATGATATTACGTTCCAGCTGGGTGGAAATGGGGGAATGGGTGGGATCCAAATTTACAATCATAAGTATCTATCGGTCGCGGATTTGGTATCCGGTTTGAGATCGTGCGGACTGAGCTGAGTTATCTCCGGGACAAGACCTGCTCTTTGAACACAGCTGTGCAAGCTCAAACAGCACCAGCTTCATCGGTATGAGACGAATCAATACAGAAACGAGACTCTTCGAAAAGTTCATAGGAGGCAAGATCCCCTAGTACGCAGTCCTCTCGCGTACCTGGGAGGAAGAGGAAATCTCTTTCTAGGATTGCAGCAAGCCGTCTTGCAAAATCAAGAAAGAATGTGGGAAGATCAATATCAATATGAACTGCCAACTTGCCCCGAAGACAAGCTCGATCGCTCTTGGGTCGACAAATTCAGCAGTGATGAGCTTACCGGGGCGGTTAACTCAATGTATCGATGGTACCGAAACGCGGCGCGCTGTTATGTGTACCTGTCAGATCTCAAGGGCCCTACATGTCATGGGACACCGAGATTCACCACTGGCGGTAGTTCACTCGCGGCTGGGCTCTTCAAGAGCTCATTGACCCCCTGGATGGGTCATTCTCCGACCAAGATTGGAACTTTCGGTCGCAGAAGTTGACCACTGTCAATGAAATCAGTTGCGGCACTGCAATAAACACCAAAGTATTGCAACATGTGAGGCCCCTGTCGACATTTCCGTGGCCCAGCAGATGTCCTGGACGGCACACAAACAGACGACTCTGGTCGAAAATATGTCGTATTGCCTGTTACAAATGTTCAACGTCAATATGCTAATGTTGTACAGAGAGGAGTAGAAGGCTTTTCTGAGGCTACAATAGGATATCATCGCTGTCCAACAGGGGTTTCGCCTGGTCTATTACGTGTCGTGGTGTGAAGCAGTCGTTGAGAAATCACTGGAACCATGTGTCTTCAGTGGATTTCTAGCCAGGTACCATTCCTGGTTTTCCCGCAAGTGGTTTTGTTTGCACATTGCAGCAAAGGGATGGGTTTTGCTGGACGAATCAAGCCGTGAAGTTGGTTACCTGGCTGTGCTCTGATTCCAACTCACGAATCGCCAGTGCCGGCTTATGTTATGTGTCTGCCTGTCGACACGAGGAAAGGCCATTGAATAAACTTGGCAGAGAGAACCCATGTGAGCTTACTAAACTCACGGAACGGAATCGAGTTTAGGAAAAAAGGCCGCGAAGCATCTATTTGTTAGACCAGTTACCTGAAAGTGTATGTTTCATGTTCTACGCTTTTAAATAAGCCCAGGTTGAAGATAACAAGTTAGGCTGTACGGTTACCCTCTATCAGCTCATTCGGGCCGTGGAAACCGCAACAATGGCGGCCTTGACAAGCTTAATGAAGAGGTGGTAGGAGTTTCCCTGGGTACCTGAAGTATCGTTTATTGTTTACAGAGTCGAAGGGAGGTACCCCGATGTTCTGTTATCAATCAGAAGCGAGGATGTTAACGATTCGTCGGTATGCTCCAGTCCGCCCTGGCGCATCAGGTTTGAAAAGAGTGTCTTTGAAATGACCTAATGCCTCCCATTCAGGATGACCAGTGGAGGTACCGAGCTTAACGAACGAAAATAGGGGTAGTCTCAGGTCAAAATGTGCTAATTCCATGTTAGAAAAGCGATTTATATAGAATTTGCTAAGTGGGGGTGGCAGTACTTGGTTCTGTTGGCTATTATTGTCGTTCTGATTACTGTTCTCCGTTTTGTTTTCCTTTTCGTTTTCATTCTTGGAACAGAATGGAGGGCGTTGGGCTATTGTTGCTTAGACCTAGCTAGGGTAACGCCTTGCAATCGTTTTCTAACTCGGTATAGGGGCTGTTATATTGAAGACGACAGTGGCCTCAGGCGGCACGAAAAGGAAAGGTTGGAGCAACAAATGCCACGAAACTCTCACGGGCGCCATCATATGATCGAGTATTAGTGTTTCGATTGAGGCGTCATGTAATAGCCGGACTTGGTCTTATAGAAACTCACTCGACGTCGTAGTTCTTAATTCATTTCAAGCTGTTCGCAAATTAATCTATTACGAAAAGCACTCTCACCAATCTCTGGTAAACCGCCAGCCGGATGAACTGTAGGCCAAATTAGGAGAACATTCCGCGGCAAGCTGCTATAGACGTAGCCTTACTATCCCCGACTACCCTCTTGGTAACACCATCATTTCGGTAGTGTAAGACAGCCCGCTACCTACAAATTCAAAGTCTATAGCATAAAACGGGAATAGCTTTACGAAAGGAAGAATGCTAAAACTGAACAACTAATTTATTATTAGTTAAATCATAGTAACTTACTGAGAGGTTATAGTAATTATATATTATTATTATTTTTTTAGTAATTATATAACACAAGACAAATAGGAGCTAACTTTCCTTTATGTTTCTAGACTTGATGTTAGTTACGGCAGAAAATATATAGTAAATATTATTATTATTAAATACGCCGTAGGCTCGAAGCCCCCGGTACCTCTACAAGTGCTCCCGTATGTCAAACCGTGCCCTAATGGCTGGACTAAATACATACGCTGCTACGTAGGTTCGCTCTATTAGCGACTGCGTTACGTCCACCACAATACTATGTTAGTTCTCACCCTACTAACAAAGTCCCCCTGAGAAGATCGATATTATCCGGGCCTAAGCGCTATCCGGCCAGTCCTGAGTAGCCACCTTGTGATAGTCCCGCTGACTACTGGTTTCCCCGTCGCCGTTGCCAGGTCTCTACGTGTATGCAGCGTCCATGGTGCGATAGTGGCCCGCAGGCGCTCTCTCGATTCTTCCAGCAGGCCGCAAAAGAGGATTACGTGCTCTACCGTCTCGGGGGCCTCTCCACAGCGGCATAGCGGCGAGTACACACCGAAGGCTCCTATCTTAAATAAGAAAGCTGATAGTCCTATTTTTCCGGTCCTGATCTGGCATAGGGTAGACGCCTCCGGTCGGTTTAGGTCTGAGTACTTGCCCTGTTTCGGCATTCGCATCGAGGGGTTTTTTGGCGTGGCACCGGCTGCAGACAAGGGTTGGTAACTGATGGACAGGGACAATCAAGCCTAGTTTCTGACACTGCGTTGCATGCGAATCATTCTCGTTGGATCTAAGACCGTGACTAACACGTATGCGATGGTGTAGGGCGAACGAATTTGAAAGGTAACGAATCAATGATCATCTATAGAAAATAAGGCTCTGGTTTCTAACGTTAATACCTAACTACTTATAAGCGGTATACTCTTGAAATTTAAGTAACAACTCTATTTACTAAACTAGCTAAATTCGAAAACCCTACTTTAGTATCATTGAATCCAATTACATAGCTTATAATGAAGTTAGATGATTTTAGTAGGTTGGTGGAGGATGGTAGCACATGCTAACATAAAAATAATATTCTCTTGATGATGCTCCTTAAGACTTGAGTCAGGCGTTGCCCATTAGCCAGGCCACAGCATGCGTTAGACTAGAGTCTGACAAGCACGCTCAGAGGGAATATTGGATGACAGCAGTCTGGCCAAATTACTCGAATGTCGTCACGTGCTGAAGGATTCTACAATTTGCTTGCTTGGAAACCCATAGCATTAGAGTCCAAATTGCAGGCGGCGTACCAATCACAATCGACAAGTGGTGTAAACAAAACAAGCTCATAACAGGTGATGGATGGTGTATATGTTGGCATGACAGCTTGCTTTTATTAGTTCTATGGGAGTAAAACAAAAACTGAGCTTATATACACGGTCAGAATGATCTTGAGGGTCGACAGTCAAAGCCTCTGATGTATCAATTACAGTTAGATCTTCAGGAATGAAGCTTCTAATATATCAGCAACCCTGTTATGCTCATACGTGACCAGACTTCAATTCGGAGCTCCGGTTGGTCCCGTAACCATGATCTTCACAGCACATCAGAGATCATATCAGTATACCAAAGAACAAAAGGAAAATACAAAGCATATGAAGGTTCTGAATACCAGATTTTGTACTTTCATCAACAGCAGGGATTTGTTGTCAGGTTACGGCCTGGACCGAAGGCGATAGTACAGAGTGAAGGGGAGAAATAGGCGTGTTCCCCTGGTGGTCACCTGGTGGTCACTTGGTGATGGCAGGTAGGGGTGTCCACAGTAGTTCATTGATCTCTGCCCTCTCTATCTTCCTCCGTCTCGACTCCTTACTTATAGCCAGCCGAGGTTCTCTGTTGGATTCTGGATGTTTGCTTCCGCATGTCTGTGTTCCTCCGACTTCGGCCAATATCTTGGATAGCGGCTCCTTATCTGCAACCAAGCGATTCCCTATCCGCTGCAAACGGCTTCAACAGCTCTCATTCGCCACAAGCGGCTCTCTAGCCGCCACAAACGACTTCCTTCCTGGTGGAAGCCGGCCCGCCTCGGATGACACTTGTGGCTCTGACATTTGTACACTGAAATGGACCTCAATGAGCTAGTGCTCTATATAATCCTCGGGGTCCCCAGCCAACCTATGAAGCGCTGTAGCAGCTATCGGCATGCCAGCAGCTAGATGGTTTTAGCTACGAGCTAGTGCCGTTGCACGTTGCTCAACGTATGCTCGGAGAACTATGCTGTCGGGCCTTGACAGCCAACGAACCGATATTTGCTTCTTTTCCGACTATTTCAAGCCATTAGGTCGCTTAAATCCCCTTTTCGGCCCCAATGTTGATATAAGACTGGATGCAGTATCAGTACTGACTCCGAAGGCACCGGTTATTCCTTGTTGTATCTAAGGACCTTATGGCCAAGTCTGCTCACTTGATATTTCGGACTCTTCAAAGAGATTACATCAATTCAAAGCATTAGTTGCAGCCAATAAGCCCGACATGTGTTGTATTATAGCCCCAGAAGGAGATTGATATCATCATCTGGTGATGAACCTGCAGGGGTCAAACCGAGTTTCCTATCTGGTTCTCCAGCTGGCTAGTGTTAAGGGCCGCTAAGAGACGATCTAGCAGCATGTCTCATTTGATACTACAAAACAATCCATATGGCCAAGGGGCCTTGACATTCGAAACAGCATACTTAAGCCCATCAAGAAAAGCTATAACAACCAAAAACCATGCTGAAGTTTACAGTTCATTTCTCAGTGAGCTAGTCCACTTGTCGAGCACTCTTTCGGACCAAGATTCCAAAGGTATGTTTGCAGAAAATATAGTAATAATCAATGGTCTTAGGATCGAAAGTGGGATGAGGATTTCGTTCCTTCTCCTACTTGAGTATCGAGATCTCGCACTGACTATGCTGAGCAGCGAATAGCTAGATTTGATAAGTGATGTGCAGAGCGTAGAGCTTATAGACCCAAACCGAAGTTTGCTTTCGAGTACGACGAGGTCGAAATGGAACAAAACCCATTAACGCGTCGCGTCAAAAACCACCCCACCTTGCCTCAAGTCCCACGCGAACTATGGAACCCACACCGCTGCTACCAATTTTCCTGCGACATCAATTGCGTTGACTAGAAGCTCGAACACGCGCCCACCAGACACTTTTAGACGGCCAATCCCACTGGATAACGAATAAAAGATCTACCACTAGTCCCCAGCATTTCTTTCCTCATCTATATCGTGATTGGACAGTCGTGCTCCCAGCAACCAATTCCATCCCTCAACCCTACACCACCCTACCCAACATCAGTTCCCACCGTCGCGGTACCGAATAATTACTCCCCCCCCCTTTCCACCATGCCACGTAAGAGTGCAGCGAGCAACTCCCGACGGAGCGACGTGTCTATGGCCCAATTCGTCCTCGCTGAGGCTGGCAACATCGGCGGCTCACCTGTTCAAGCAGCAACACCAGCGACAGCACCACCACCATCGATTACAGCTTCCTCCACCACGGCGATAGCTAAGGATTCAGAGATGCAGACGGATCGGCCTGGCGGATCAGTGCCATCTTCGGAGAGGGAGAGGAAGGACAGCGGCTCTAAGGAGGGACGGGACTCTGTGGCGATCGAGGTAATGCGCAGTTGGAACTCGAAGCATGCAAAAGAAGACGCAGGAAGCTGATGGGAGAGCAGGACCTCAATCTACCTAAATCTATCATCACACGCCTGGCAAAGGGTGTACTGCCGCCGAACACACAAATCCAGGCCAATGCGATACTGGCCATGAGCAAAAGCGCTACGGTATTCGTGAATTACCTCGCCAATGCGTACGTTTCCCTGGAGGAAGAGCTGCGAACCTGTTGGCTAATATGGCACCCAGCGCAAACGAAATTACAACAAACTCCGGCAAAAAGACGATCATGCCCAACGATGTTTTCGATGCGCTCAAGGACGTAGAGTTCGAGGAGTTCAGGGATTCGCTACAAGCTGAATTCAAGAGTAATACTTGTCTTAACGCCCCGGCTTTGTGGGACAGACAGCACTGACGCGCCAAACTCTAGAATTCAACGAAATCCAAACCACAAAACGCAATACCTACCGCCGCCGCGTGGCAGCCGCTAAAAAGGGCCTCCCCTACCCGCCCGACGGCGACACCTCGACCCTGTCCGCAGCGGCCACAGACGGCGGCGCGGGCGTAGGCGACACGTCCACCCTCTCTTCGGCGGGACCGCGCTCAGCCAAGAAGCAGAAGCCCAACAACCCGGGCGACGACTCAGCGATGGACATTGACGGCGACGCGACAGGGGAGATCGACGCGGAATCTGAACCGGAACAAGAACAAGACGAGGACGATGAAGATGAAGAAGCGGCGGAAGATGAGGAAGAAGAACAAGAAGAAGACGAGGAAGATGAGCAAGAAGGTGGCGAGACGCAGGATGCGCTTGAGGAGCGGGAGGATGAGGAGGAGAGGGACGAGGCGCTTGATAGTGATGAGGACTAGTGGTCAGAATACCCCTGCGCATTGACTGCTATGAGTATCGTGAGCGCTGACCTGGCTTTCCACAGGTTCTACTACTGGCTGTGGATGCGAGTTGGTATAGAACGGGACGGCATATATGTGCCGTCGTCGAAGAGGAGACCTGAAGGGAACTCATCCTGAGGTCTACATTGCTAAAGCGCAAGGAGTGAAACCGAAGTAGCCAGGAAACCCTTGCGGTCGCTACCCTCCGGGGGAGAGCAACTGGCCGTCGAAGGATGGGACGCGGCGCATTATCTCAACTACAATCTAAGAGCTGTCGCAACTGGGGACTAAAGCGGCTCAGGCCAGCTGATGGAAATGGGAAACGAGCGACCGTCACAGCGCATGTGTAAACATGACTTTGATAGCATTGTTCGGGCGCTGGGCTTATATCTAACATTCGGCCTTTAACACGATCGCGTCATGGTTCAAACACACGTATGGCCCATGATCCTTTTTGTTTCCAGATGATGCTGCATACACTCTCCCCTTATTTCCCTATTTGCCTCAAGCGCGTGCGAGATGAAGCCTACACCGTCCTAACCAACTCCATCTTCGCCCCCCTCTTCCCCGTAGCCTCATCCTTCGCATCACTAATCCTCACCACCACCTTCTGGAACAATTCCACCGTAACCTCTCGGCTGCCACTCGTCTTGAGCGTATAGTTCTCAGCATCGAACGTACTCTCCGGCTCCGGCTCAGCCAGATCCCGCAAACGGATCAGACTCTCGATGCCGAAGCGCGGCACCAGGACCACGAAGCCGTTACTGAAGATCTTCATGACAAAGCCTTCCTCCTCAGCTACACGGCCCTTGAGCGCCTGTCCAACGTAGTAGGCTATACTGGCTCGTCCCGCCAGCTGCGCGTTTCGGTGCCGCACGTTAATGTTCTTACAGACGGCCTCGAGGCGACCGCGCGAGCGCACAGCGGGGTGCATGGGCTCGTAGTCGATGGCCGCTGCGAGCTGGCGGTGGGCAACCAGGTCGGCGTATCGACGGATCGGGGACGTAAAATGAGTGTAGATCTCGGATGCTAGACCGTAATGGCGGAATTCTGGGTAGGCTTGAGTGCCGGCGCAGAAGTACTCGGCACTCATCATGCAACGCGTTGCCATGACACGGATGAGAGTGTTGAAAAAGGGATCATGCGGGTCAACGCACTCGTCCAACGAATCGGCCAGAGCGCGTGACGAGTCGACGCGCAGTTCGAGTCCTCTCTTGACTTTGAGCTGGTTTGATAGCTCGTCAAAGTTCGTCTTGGGAGGTGCGCCGTGACGGCGGAGAATGGCTGTCTGGGGGAACGCTTCGTAGATCTTGCCTGCTACGCTGATGTTGGCAAGCAACATGAACTCTTCAACCAGGGAGTTGGTGTCGAGGAGTTCTTTCGTCTTGACATCAATGGGGTCCGATGTCTCAGACTCCATCTGGACCTTGACTTCGGGTGAGGAGAGACTGAGAGCACCGGCGTCCATACGCTTCTGCTTCAGTTTCTTGGAGAGCATCAGCAGCGTTCTCATTCCTTTGGTGAGGTCATCCTGCTGAGATGCGTCGTCGATACGCAATTGTGCTTGTTCGTAGCTGAAGGCTTCCCGTGACTTGATAACTGACTTGGTGAACCGCACGTTGACAATATCTGCGGCCTCGTTTACTTCCCAAATAACCGAGAACGCGTACCGTTCTACGTATGGCTTGAGTGAGCAAAGGTCGGTTCCCAATAACATCGGCAGCATGTCAATACGCTTGTCTACCAGATAAACAGTCGTGCCGCGTATGCTGGCCTCTGTGTCCATGGCATTGCTCGGCTTAACAAAATGTGACACGTCGGCAATGTGGACACCGACTTCGAAGTTGCCATTTGGCAGGGCCCGGGCATGTAGCGCGTCATCGATATCTTGACAACCAACGGGATCAATACTGCAAATGAGCAGCCCACGGAGATCTTCGCGGTCTTTCCAACCAGGGTCCGCCGTACTGGGAGGAACTTTCCAGTCGTGACCCTCCCTAGGCAAGCAGTCGAGCACAGTCTTCGGGAAAGGTCGATATTGGACATCGTACTCGAGCAACAAGGCCTCCGTCTCAGCGGCCTTGCTTTCCAACTCACCTAGTGATCTGACAAAGTGGCCGATGGGGTATCGCGATTCTCGATCCCAAGAATCGATTGTGACGAGAATACGCTTTCCCAGCAGCTCCCCAACTTGGCGCGTACGTATCCGGATTTTCGGAACCTTCTTGTCCATGGGAATGAGGAAGACGGTCTCCTGCTTCCGCCCCTGCTTTGCAGGTTGGCTGACCGAACTCTGGTCGACATGACCAACGTACTGACGCCAGTTGCGCTTGATAATACCGACCACCTTCGCAGTCGGCTGGGGGTGTCCTTCGGTACTCGTGCTATGCGTCTTCTTGACTTCCTCTTGCAGGGCACGCTTCTCCTTCTCCGTGACCAGATCCTCGCCTTCGTCACCATCGGCATTCTCATTCTTGGTGACAGCCTCTTCCTCGATAATCTTGGTAGACGGCTCCTTCCACCGGTCCTTCGGGAGAACTTCGACAACCACCACGTCTCCATCAACAGCCCTATTGATGTTGTCTCGTCCCAACACGAGAAGGGCCTTGGGGAACGCGGGAACCTTAATAGACCCCTCGAGATAGTTGTACGGGGAGACATTGAAGATACCCTGGTGAAGCATGCCATTTTTGATACCCGTCATCATCTTGGACATGCTGTAGTACTCTGGGTAGAGGAAATCCACAGCTTTCTTATCCCTGGACACTCCTCGCTCCTGACTTTCAGCAATCATGTCCAAAAGACGATCGGCCTCCTCAAGTCCCGAGACATAATTTCGCAGTGTAGACGCAGGAACTTTCTCCGCCTTTGCCTTTTCAAGATTGCTTCTGTCATCCGTGAGCATCACCACCGTAGGGCGCTGCTTGCTCTTCGTTTGAGCCAAGTGCTCGTTGTACCACTGCACGGCTCGGCGCACAGCCCGGTCATTTCGATCATTAATGCTCTCATCCTGCTCGCGGGCAACGTAGGTCTCAAGTCTGAACTCATTGAAAAACACGTAGAAGCGCTTGTCCTCACTCTTGGTCAGGCCAATGAGGCGATTGTATAGCGGCAGAGACCGGTTGCGCAGCTCCTCTAGAACCGTCTGCAAGATGATTACGTCATAGAATGCAGAAGTCTGCTCGAAGAGATCCATGGCGTTGAGCAGAGCATTCGTATCTGGCACCAAGTAATGGCCCTGAGGGAAGGCCTTGGTGCCTGCCGGCTTGTCTGAAAGCACAAATGGGCTCACTGTTGTCATGTCAGTCGTTCTATATCTCACCACAGTCTATCTCTGTTTCGGTAAAAACTCACCCACGCCAGCCGCGTTTGAGGGCGCTGTCGAGCGGCATATTGAACATATTTGGGAAGAACAAGGGATGTCTTGTCGAAGGTAGACCTCGCGCACAATCTTTTGGACCTTTCCGCGTTTGGTGGACCTCACATACACCTTACTTGAGATGTTTGAGGACAACGGGTCAGTCTCGAACGATCTCTTGAGACTCGTCATGTTGGCGACGTTCTCATTTGGGGTTCGTGGTTGTTGTCGAGGATTGCCTCAACTTGATGAAAGAGCTTCAATTTCGAAGATTTTGGGTCCCGTAGTTGGAATGCGCTAGCGCATCCAAACTGTTGGCCTTTGCTTGCCCCGCTGCGGCTCAAGTATTATCGTTATCTGGAAAGCTGCAACCTACCCCGCACCCAGGTCCACGTCAAGCTGAAGTTCTAAACTTGCTTAAAATCCCCAGCTGCTTGGATCGTTAAATGCTCCCGTCTTTAGTTGAGCTTCCACAACATCGGGAAACACCCCAACCATACGTGCGGGAACTTAGTTTATTGGCGTCCAACTCCTAGGAAGGCCTTGCCGAATTGCTGAGCTCAGCATGATCTCCAAATTCATGATCTGTCACGCTGAAGATCTGGCGCCGTTGTGAAAATTGGCTGACCTCCCATCTACCCCAGCCTTGGTAGCGCATCCTCCAGTTTCTAGCGGGCACCCACCTAGAAGAACCAACCTCATGTCATCATGCAACTTCCACAACAGTACGCCGATATGCCAAGTGTTCTCGAAGCTGATTTCCTCACAGCAATAGAACGCGTACGAAACAGACAGGATAGGCCGAGCTGCAGGTGATTCAATTCCGGATCAATATTGTTATCTGAATCATATGATCTACGGCCATTCACCCGGCCATTTATCCATATTGTCCTGGGACTTCTAGGTCTCATTCTCCACGGAGACGCTCCCAAAATAGCACCGCCGCATGCAACGAAGTAAGCTGTAGTGACAACACAAGAGCGCGAAGCGAGAGGCGAGACGTGGCTCGTGAAGCGAGAAAGGCCACCAACGCCAAGCTGTCGTCGCAGCATATTCGTTTTTCTTTGGGATGTACAGAAGAATATTGGATTCCTTCCATGGAATACTACCATGGTATGCTGACGCATGCCACCTACCTACCTTGCGTGAGCCACTGCCGCGTACGCCCCTGTAACAAACGCATCGCCTGAGTCGGTTCTTAGAAGTCTGGACAATAGGAGAGGCTATTATCTCGCCAGGGTTATTTCGAAGTCTGAACCCACAATTCGTCCGGTCTGAGGATTTTCAACGCGAGACAGTTTACCCCTTGTTCAAGCCTTGTCGAGGGCACGGACGAGGAAACCAAATGCAGCTTCGCATTGACATGTCTAGGCTTTTTGAAGTGCGCCGGCCAACGCAAATACGCAGCGAATCCGGCATACTAATGGTCCTTGGCAGCGAGCGATAGCCACTACAGCGAAGCCAACTTGAGTTTAGTGATCAGTAGCGGGTGTTCTTGGAAGCCTTGTGCTGTAAAACAAACTTGATCTCTTAGCATACACTAGAAGTCAGACCGAACATCGCCGACCAGCCTTTGTCCGAAAAAGTGTCTGCCTAGACGTTACCCAGAGAACTGGGGTTCGGCAATCTTGGAGTTCGAGTCACTTGATTTAAACATGAAACCTGAAGATTAGCGACACTCATCAGAACCTGCTGTGTCGCAAGCCTCTGGGGCGGCTTCCTGATGCCGTGTTACCCATAAATAAACCCGAAGGCTTGGTGGGATGTTTCACCCCTTTCTTCCTCACCAGACAAGTCAACGATGGAGGGAGTTGGTTGTGCACAGTCACTAGTTAGTTGGTTGGTTGGTGTAGGCTTTATGTTCCCGCAAATACAATAGAAGTCCGAATTGGAATAATCTTGGCTGTGGTGGCGGTGGTGATCACACAATATTCCTTGACCATGGTTCATGCAAGCAACAGTGGTACAATACCAAGATTGCGAAGTTCCTCTGTCTGACTGGCTGGCTAGCTGGGTCAAGATGCGAAACAGGGCGATGCGATGACTTACATCGGAACGAAGCGAAAGAAACGTATTGAAAAAGGAAATCGGGGGAGGTGGTCAGTGTAACGACCTGCAGAGCGGGTAACAAGGGGTCCTCCCGCCATGTTGTGCTATGCACAGAAGAGACGACCAACCGGCGGGCAGATGGGCATCGGGAAGACGATCGTGGAGTGCATTCTTCGACAAGTCAGTGGCTACAGAAGGGGGAACCAGCAACAGGCAGTGCCGTAGTGGTGTGTATCTCAAGCCTACTTTCACGCAGGCTGCCGTTGACCAGGCTCAGTGACTCCTCATCGTGGATGTCCGCCAACGCCACGACCACAACGACGAGTGGCTCGGTTCTTTCGGAAAGGCGCCAGAGGGCTGGTGAATCCCCGTTCAAACCACAGGCGCGCAGATTAAGGCCGAGGCCGTTCTGAAGAACGCGCGACTTTGTTTTCTAGGCCAGGCGATGTGATGTTGGAGGCGATACAGGACATGGTTCCGTGAGAATTTATTGATAAGAAGTCCAACATCGAACTACTCGTAGGCCATGTGCCCTTGGGCCTTAGTGTTTTGAGTGGGTCGTGCGGGTGGGTTTATATCAGTGGATGATTTGCAGATGGGGTTGGTCGTCTGTGTCCTGTCAGGTGGCATCAGCCAATAATGACGGGCATGCATCCGCCAAGGGTATTCTCTCAGCTCTGGGGTGGAGTGAATTGCTTCACACCATCTTCTTGTAGGTCCAGATGCATTCCCCGGATGTTGTGGGTCGTTAAACGGCATTGTTGATTCATATATCAGAGATCGGCTGACTCACATGGGAGACCTCTTAACAGCATCGTCTACCTTTGCCTCTCGATCTAGAGCGTCGTCAGTCGCGTTGGCTCGTAATTCGGTATGGGCGAAATAGGCAGACTGTATGAGAAGAGGAGTAGGAGGGGTAGCCAGACTCGGAAGCTGGGGTGCGGCGTGCCGGGTTTCCGTCGAGTGGGCATCTGGCGCAGAAGTTGGTCCCATCCAAGTACTTGACCACATAGTACAGAGACTGCGGGCTTTGTGCAAGGCAGCAAGCAAAGATGAAACAACTTGTCCTTCAATGATGCCACGTATTTTCTGCGTCGATTATCGCGGCAACTACTATGAGGAACTACCACAGTGGTGGAACCGCTAGTTCTTGCCACTGTGTGTGGAAACTCTGTTGTCCGAGTAGTCATCTTCTGCGCCAACTTGTTATCCACCGAAAGTGACAGATACAGCTTCACAGCAAGACTCTCGTATATACCCACCCTCGCCGCGATTCAGGCCGAGATTCAGCTGTGGCGCATTTATAGATATGTTCGGAGCCAGGGATTGACGTCTACAGGCCAATCATCTCGTGTTTCGACGTGCCTTTTGTCCATGACTGCAGTCAGCGTTCTTCATCAATACTGGGGTATGATTGGCAGTACCGCTGGATGACGGTCAAGGGCGCAAGCTCGCCGCCATTTGTTACTCGCCATCCAGGATCGTGAAACATACACACGGCCAGGTTCGAGATGGGTATCCATCACGAGAAGCAAAGGTGTCGCGACGTAGGATTGTGATCTAATGCCCTTCCGATCATCAGTTATTGCCCTCGGTTACTGTGGAGTATCGGCAATCGTATACGCATATGCGACTCACCATGGTTAGATCCGTGGAACAAGCTTGTTTTGCCCCACGCGTGTTGGATAGGAAAAGTCAACAGGCGCGTATACGTAAAAAATCTGAAATATCAGACCCATGACTGATGGTAGGGAAGCAAGGACGGAGCGGATTGTCACTTCTGCATCTCGACGGATGCGTGGAACTAAAGCTTGGCTGCAGTATCGTGCATAGGATTGGACCAGATTTTGTCTCACCTAACCGCTTTAGTAAGTATTACATGAAAGTGGCACTATCTCACCGGATCTGTATTTTGGGCATAACGGTGTCAATAATATTGCTTCTTGCGACGAAGCTGCAAGGCTTAAACCGAGTGTGTAAGGTACTCACTATCGGCTGAGGCAATTATACATTGATCATACTGGCAGTGTTCCTACGCTCCGGGTGTCCCAGACCAGTGCGGATTCTACTTTCCATGGAAAGCTTCGCATGGCGTTCCGCAAGTTGTTGTCTGATGCGCATGAGTTGAGTCGACTTGAGGGCGGCTGTGAGCTTCCTAGTTTTGCAACACGTTGACCCGCCGTCCTTGACAAATACAAGTGATGGCTCTTCATTGGTTTCATGAACGCATGGCATTCAACTCGGTACTATGTGACCTTCATCTCACTCGGGAGAGGGTTTAGACTCGGATCGACCGGTAGATTGGCATTGGCGGTTTGAGTCCGGCGCCGAAGGAAGATTGGCCGGCCAAACTGCAATTGGACTTTTGTCCACTGTTTCGATAATGCAACCGGTGAGCAGGCGCTTGAGTTGATGATTGGCTTTGCACTTGCGCCGGGGGCCAATCGTATCCCTTGGACGATGCTAGACATGAACCTGGAGTCTGATAGATGATAAGTCCGAGGCGAACAGGATAATGTTAGTAGGCCCTAATAAGCCGCAGTCATAGAGGAGTCGGTCATGCGCATCCATGATATCCACAATGAATGCTCGTCCAGTGCGAAGGATACGGCGGAAAATGCCAAGACACTTTATCGAACCTGACGTCTGACACTTGGAGCCGGCATAGGGTCGCAGAAGGAATCGAAAAGTGATGATGAATGCTGAAGTTTCATTCTAAGTTGGACGGGCTTGAGGCATACTTGCCATGGACGTTTGCAATATTTCTCTCTACGGACTCTGGCGACATCTTTGCCAGCCCGATCGTCTGTCTGGGTTGGAGAATGTTTATATCGGACGTAATTTTCGATCTCTTGTTGATTGGTCCTAAGAGGTTCGTTTGCAGTTGGACATACTTGTTGTTGAACAAACAGCCCCGCACTCTGGCGATAGCCTTGCAAGGGGATCTGTACAAGTATAAGTTTCATTACTGTGCATGTGCTAGAGTATCGAAACAATTTGGTTGTGGGGAAATCCAATTAGCCGGTCTTAGGTATCTATCTGGTAACCGTTCATTGTATGCGAAATCGTGTGCGCTTCGCAGAAGTTGGCCTTGGTAAAGTCTTCTGTGATGAACTGAGCGCCTCGGAGTAGCCAGTGGATGATGTACCGATGGTGGCGCATAGACGTTGCATTTGAGAATAAGTGCGCAGACCCGGCCGGATCGACGGTCTATTCATCAATGTCAGCTGTAATGCAATAATTGATTCCTACATGTCGCCTTGTACAGACTAGCTGACCGTATTCGAAGTCATATCATTATGAATTCTTGCCGCGGTGATAAAACACGTAGCCTGGTCGTTCGGATTAATGACCGAGATACCTAGAGGATCCTTTGACAGTGTTACTGGATACTATCAATAGATCGATGCTCGAATCTCGAATACGATCTTCAGATGCTACCGCCACATTATATCGTCTCCACCGATGTCGTTCAATTGTCTCTCTTTCATCATCGGGACGAGACTGGCCGAGGGAAGTCTTCGCATTGTGATACCTTCTTTGTTCATCTGGGTCATGTAGACTCTCGTAAAAACGTGCACCTGGCATGAAGGTAGGGAGAACGAAGTTTTTTTTGGGAAGCTATCCGGCTCCAAGAACATCTCGGAGAGAGGGTCCTTCCGTGGGGAACTCTCAGGCGCAGGCCTGTAAGAAGGCAGCGGCGGCTGGCGAGCTGGGTCAATGATCGCTGGCCTTCCCGCGCTCCACTTTCCACTTTCGCCCAAAGCAGAGGCCGAATGAACTTGAGGTCAGATTTCAAAACAGGCGTCCAGTCAGTTACCTTGCTGCGGCGACCTGTCGCAAACGCCAGGGCATCTTCTCCGTCGCTTTCGGCAAACTCCTGCCTATTATCATCTAGGTTAGATTATTACCATCACCATCTCACCAGGAAAATATGCTCGTCACATAACTTAGGAGACCAATCGACTCTACGCGACGAGAAGGGGTCATGATCACCTTCCAGCTTTCAGCGTCCTCGCGGCTCAACATCACGAGTGATGTGGATGGATGCGACGCCCTCAATACTACTCTATTAGGCATGACGCCGCATCAGCTAATGAAGCTTTACAGGGTGCATTGCTATGTATATTTGCAAGCACGGTACTCACATGGGAGCTACGTTAGGACTTGCGCAATTATGCACCCGAGGTATCGGTACGGCCGCAGTACCTGTAAAGATACTCCTCAAGTCTTACCGCCGACAATCGCGTCTTGTTCTAATAGATTCGCCTAAACCAGCGGGGTCTTTCCCATTTTACACCTCCTACAGCATTTCAAATGTTAGTGCCGTTACAACCCGACTACCTATATAACCATCAGCTAGTATTTAAAGAAGGATATCTACATATAAATAAGTATATGACGGTACTTAATAATGTATTTCTATGACCTCGCGAATTATAATACTCTAGTTCGTATTAGCCCAGATATTAAGTAGGTGAAATAATCGTAAGATCTTCAAAATTGTCTACCTCTAAAAAGTAGTAATATACTCTTTATATTTAATTAAATAATATTAAATACGCCGTAGGTGTTAACCCTCGGTACCTCTACAAGTACTCCCTTAAGGGGCTATAGATGATATAGCGGGCCCTTAAGCCGCGTCGGGCGGTTATACAGGTAAACTTGTAGCCAAATGACTACTAAACCTCCTGTCCCTCCCTAAGTCTGTGCTACAACCCCTGCCTGAACTACCGATAAGTGTGGTAATGTGGCACTTAAATTCGTCCTCAGGGGTGGGATGCTGCTGGTGTGCAGAAGATGCTCGACTATTTTTTTGTCGCGACAAGTCGTAGTATCTGCTAATTGGGGTTCTCGTCGAGCGTATACATCTCAACCATACGCTCAAGTGGATAGACCGTAACGTGGTCAGACGCTCGCAAGAATCGCGGCGAGAGGGCGTGCTGCGCGCCTTCTATCGTGAGGGGACGGGTTCGCCGACGAGCGTTATCGGAAAGGCGAGGTCCGATAAGGGGTCGGATTAACGATTCGAATTCTGGACCGGCTGTCGAGTTATATTCCGCCGACGTAGTGCTTGACGGTCGACTGGCTAGGATGCTCGTAATCCTAAACTGCACCAATCTCCCTATTATCGCTAGGTAGGCGAAGTCAACAAGGTGGGCAGCGCGCCGTAAGGGTTGACTAAACCCCCTTGTGTGTCAGCTGCGGGATTCGAACCCGCGACTCGTCACCGACCCAAGTGGGCGAGGCTCAAATCGGGACTTATCTACCAGCGAAGTGACCAACTACACCAGCCGACCAAGCCCAGATACAACGAGGGCTAGGATATGGACGGGGATAAAGCAGGGGGTAGTTGCGGACGGATTGAGAACAAGACTATATTTAATTAACTTCGTACAACATTGTATCTGTTTAGAGTACTTAGAGGTTTAAGTATTTAATAATGTCACTAGCTAGATTTATACGAGGAATATAGAGGTAAAATATACTCCTAGTGGTAGTATTAAGACGTAATATAGGGTTTCTGTATTTTAAAGAGAGAGACATATTCTCGTTATCAGAAGTCCGGTTCTAGCTTAAATCAAGGCTTTTCTAGAAAGAAATAGCCGTTACTACAAGATTATATAGCCTGGCTTTATGTTCTTTATAGTAGAGATCTCTTAATATAAGAGTAAAATATATAGTTGTATAGGAGCTTAGTTATAATAAAAAATCAACACTAGTGAATTAAGCTTACTAAAGTAAACTTAAGCTAATAAAAGAGGTATTATAAATAAACACTTGCTATGTAGCTAGGGTCTTAAAGACTAACGTACTAAGTATTACAGTCTCTAAATACAAGCTTAGAGAAGCTGAAATAATGATTATAATTACTCAATAAGCTATAATAAATGATTTTTTTTACAAGTATTGGTATAAATTATAAATAGACTATAGTAGCTACTTAACGATAACATTAATTCCTGCAGTTTAAGTTCATAGATGCCTTTCTATGGAGATTTGTATGCGTAGTTACTTGCCGAGAAAATGTGGAGTAAACAGGGGTAATGTACTGCACTAACTTTCAAAATGCTGGAGGAGGTGTAGGCAACGAGGCGTTAGCCCAGTCATATTCGTCGCCCCATGCTTTTACAAGCAGGCATCTCATCGACTATTACATGGCGAATCTGCTAAATGAAGCCCGCTTTCCGCTTTCCGTATTCTTCCTGGATGGTATCTGGATTTTTTCACAGCCTCGTGAAGCCAAACCAACAACCTTCCATCAACGCTAGACCGACGATAGTTTCGTCGCTTGTCATATTTCTTTTCGACATTGGATCACAACAAACCTTGCGTCCGATGCAACCTCGAGGTCCCTGCTTGTTGCAAGTTCTCGAAAAAAAAAAATTGTGAACAACGCTTGCCACAAGAGCCATTTCAAAGTCTTGTTCTCAATCCGTCCGCAACTACCCCCTGCTTTATCCCCGTCCATATCCTAGCCCTCGTTGTATCTGGGCTTGCTCCCCCGGTCCAACAAGCCCTTGGCTAAACAGGCGTCTCCTACCTCTGGGCGTCGTGATTTACCTATTGTCGCATCGCGCCGTGTTTCTAGTCGGGGGTCTGCGCGCTTTCCGATTGTCCCTCTCGAATAGTAGGTGCCGTATTTAGGTCATATTGTCATCACTTTCCAAGTTGCTTGTGATCCCTGCTGCGGGGCTCAAAGCCAGATAAACATCTCAGCTTCGGCTGCACTCACAAACAACTACCTACCGTCTTGAGCAGTTCTGACGGCAGCTGCAGCTAGCTGGCTCAAATTAAACGCGCCGCATTCCTGCGCAGGACTCTTGGTCATTACATGCGAGAGCGAAAGCTGCATGAACATTTGCGCCAACGGAAAGAAGAAGAAGATTGCCACATACCTGCTGGCCTTATTAACTGACTAGCATATCCGTCCATCCAGCGCCATCCCCAAAGGGAACGATCCCAAGACGTTGGCAACCCACAGGCCGGCAGACAGCACGCACGCAAGCAACCACCCATCAAGAGTGCATTTGAAGCACATCAAATACCTCAGAGCCAGACAGGACTTATTGGAGCAGAGAGCCAGCCCGGCACCGTCGCCTTTCTCCACCACCATCTTTTGGGCTACCCGTTGATCCACACCCACACCCTTTGACCCTCTGCATATCTCTTGCCGTCGCGCAGCCATCCATATCCACCCCCCATCCCATCATATCGAAAGCTTCTATACACCCATCGCCAACTCTCCGTTTGTCAGCTGCAGCTCGTCCCACGGTTTTCCCAACGACACTTCGGGATCTGAGCTTACAGCTTGTCTCTTGCGCCGGCACGGTGCTTTCAGTTCCAGGGTAGCTTGCGATGCCTTCAATATCTTGTTTACCATTTTAAAAGAGTCCTTCGCTACCTCCTGCCTCGCGTCATATTATAGGTCGTTGGTGTCCGCGCAAAAGGAACTCCCCCGCCCAGCCCAGCCTAATCATTCCTGCCAATCCTTCCCCGCCTGCCGCTGCCTCGCGTCGTCTTAGAAGAGCCCTGCATCGTTCATTATCAAGAAGTATTGATCTGGATTATTAACTCTGGAGGAGGGGTCATTTGCAAGCACCCCAGCTAGTTCATCAGCCAGCAGCAGGTCAAAGTCTCCATACTTGACAGGGTCGCAGAGGGCTCCGTCAATAGGTTTTTAACCTTTTCCCACTTTACAATACTATTCGACACCATCTCTCCGACCCCGAGCAAAGCCTTGGGTCTGCGCGCGCCAACCAAATGCATGAATGAATCCTGCATCACGCTCGAGCAACCGGTCAACCCTCGCCTCTTTTGCAGCGCGTCATTCATCTGTTTTATCTAGTCCAACTATATCAAGACACGTCGTTCTGCAGGCACTACAACTTTGTTCCACGCTTCGCCTTTCCCGCCGCTCCCACAGGCAGCCAAGGCACAGGCCGTGGTCGTCGCGCTGCTCGCCTGATTCCGAATGTATTCCACCGAGCCCAACGGCGCTGAGGGGGCGACCATCAATCCGGCGACAATCAACCCTGCTGCTCTCAATTCTGGTCAGTTGCGCCCGTTCGAGTATCCCTTCTACCCAAAAAAAATCCGCATCCCTTCCCGCGTGCTGTGGCGTGCTGTGCTGTTCTCCCGAGGTCCAAGTGGTCCTCGGTTGATGCACCGCGTTGCGCAAAAGCGCAACACTGGTCTGCCTGGCTGGCTGGCTGCGACGCAACTATCATGATGATCGTCGTCGTCATCACCACCGCATCATAACCGACGCGGAGTCCGGGTGATATCGGTCACGGCAGTGACGACAAGTCTTTCAACGCAATGCAGCTTCTCGTGCCTGTCGCGATGACGGTAACACGTGCTTTTCATCGTTATCTTTCTTTTTTTTTTGTGGCTAGGCGTTTGGTGCTAATGTACGATTCGTGACGCACAGAATTAGTAAACCCGAACGCCCGAGGACTTAAGCGGAGTCGCTCGCCCGAGTCGTATCAAGACGCGCAGCCGTCAGGAACGCCCGGAGACGATGGTAAGGCTCAGCTTTGCTCTGTGTAGCTGTGTGTCGCCGTGTCGCCGTGTTGCCATGTCTGCGCGCCTGGCTGCGGCACGATAGCACATGTGCTGCTCACGGTGGAAGTTCATGTTACATGTCGCCAGCTTGCCGTGCAACCAGGGTGGCGCCAGGCACAGCATAGCACAGCACTACACTGCGCAGGCGCGCGCAAAAAAGGAAGAACCCGTGCTAATCAAGCCGCGATCGCGTTACAGGTTCCGACAAACCGAGAAAGCGTGGACGACCGATGAAGCCTCGATCGTCTGGAGGACTACCCGATCCGCCGAATCAGACGCCGCACATGATGCCCCCGATGCAGCAGCAGCAGCAACAACAGCAGCAACACATGCCGCCGCAACAAACAATGACGCCCCAAACACCCCAATCGCGGAATGCGCCCTTGCCCGGACAGGCTGGGAATTACACGCCAGCCCAGCCACAGATATCCCCACCTCCGAAAACCACACCAACCAAGACGACGCTGAAGGCCTTGCCCACGGTGCGTGATCACACAACGGACCAGCTGGGGCCTGGCGGAGACGAATACATTCCGCGAGAGACAGACGAAGCCGGCGAAAAGAAGGTGATGCCAAACGGTCAACTACTTGGTAGCCGCGAATATAGGTGTCGAACTTTCTTGGTTCCCAACCGCGGAGACAAGTTGTTCATGTTGGCAACAGAATGCGCTAGGGTATTGGGATACCGGGACTCGTATCTGCTCTTCAATAAGAACAGGTCGCTGTTCAAGATCATCGCAAACCAGATTGAAAAAGATGATTTGGTGCAACAGGAAATTCTGCCATTCAGCTACCGATCCCGACAAATAGCAATTGTCACGGCTCGGTCCATGTTTCGACAATTTGGAAGCAGGGTCATCGTAAACGGTCGCAGAGTGCGCGACGACTACTGGGAGGGCAAAGCTCGTAAGCAGGGCTTCACCGAAGCAGATTTGGCCGGCGAGAAGAGACCAGGTGGTGCGAACAAGGTCCGAGAAGCAGCTGCCGAAGCTGCGAACAACCCGCCCGCCATGGTAGGCGGTCCTCATGGCGAGATTGTGTACGCCAATCCTCCAGGCCACTTTGGTGGTGCTCCACAGCCCCAACTCGTTCAACCAGGTATGATAGGAGTGCCACCAGGAAGTTCGACAAGAATGCCCATGATAACAGCAGGACCAGATATGAATGACACAAGGACGCGAGACTACAGCAACTATATCAAAGGAGGCCCCCGCCAGGAGATTGCAGGCTCCGCCTATCAGGATAGGACTCAGCCAAGTCCTTTGGCGGAAATCCATGCGCAGGCACACTACACCGCCGAGTTCAACCGTTCCGTCAACCAGGGACGCGAGATGCGAACCGACTACATACAGAATCTCTGGCGAAGACCGCACGAGCAGCCAAGCTCGGCGGCGCCTGCTACGACCACGGATGCGTCAGTGCCGCAGACGACACAGGCAGGTCAGTCACCTCACGTGTCGAACGCGACCATGCAACAGCCGACATCCGGCATGGTCCCAAACCAGAGTCCGCAGATGATGATGACCGCTCCGCCGTACTCTCAGTCCATGCATGCGCAGCAGCCCATCAGTCAGGCGCCACTGAGAGGCATGCCTCAGGCTTCTAATCAGAAGCAGTCGAGGCAGCCGAGTCTGCAATCTAGCGTCCCCAGCAATCTTCCCCAGGGCCAACCCCAATACAACTACGGCGCACAGAATCCGATGTGGGCCCAACACCCTCAAACTCCGCAGACTCCTCAACAGTACTCTGGTTATACTACTCAAGCGCAACAGTCTCCTCATCCCCAGCAATCGCCCGCTCCCCAACTGCGTCATCCCTCGGGAACCCCTCAAATGCAACCCGCCACTATGCAGTATCCCGGCATGCCAGCGATGCAGCAGGGCTATCCCAACTCAGGTCAGGGAATGTATCCGCCAGATCAGACCCCAAGGCAGTTCATGCCCCAGAATCCGAGTGGGGCCCCGGCAGTCACTCAAGGCTGGTCCAACCCGCAAACATCGACGACCGGTAACTGGTGGGCCAATCAGCCTCAATGAGCGCGCGTCTCATCCCGAAGTGTTCTAGCACATGAATTTTACTACCATCGTCCCGGCATCACTGATGACAAAGCTAGCTATGCTGTCGTGAATAGTGGCTCGGCATCTCGACCCTCTTCCGTATGGCCAAGAACTTGAACTTGGGCAACCGTACCGAATCTCGGCCGTTCGAGCAGCCTCCTGCCGTTATGATGATAGCCTTTGGTCAGGGCCGACGACAACACTAGGAGTCGACAAGATCATGATCAATTATGTTGTTTCTACACTCGTTCCCGCACACGTTGGCCTTGGTGTGTGCTGTTCAACCTGGTGCCTTTTGGACTACATCAGGATACAGCTGAACCGCCTGCTTTATTTTTGACTGTTGGACCATGGTACATCCCTTCAGCATTTGCATATACATCTTGATACCATTACGGCCTGCGTTGCTTCTGGCTGTTTCTTTCTCAAATTACGTTTATCCGCATTCGTTTTCTAGCATACACGATTACCCCTTTCGCGATGGTCTGTTAATTCTTTCTGCACTCACACAAACTAGAAGGAGCGGACTTCGACGCGCCTCCAGGCTTTTTCCACGCCTGATAACTTCGCGCTGGATGGGATCTTTCGAACCAACCCTGCAGCCATCACACTGGCTGTGAAGCTTCTCCTTCTCGACACCTCGCCTTCTATCCGCCTCCACTCCATGCGGCAGGAGTAGACGGCTGCCGGGAAACCGAGAGTTATGGCTACAAGGGTGTGGTGAGATAATTTGGACTTCCGCACATGTTTAATCTGTCGGCTAGTGAGTCGGACTGCACATATAGCCCGTCTTGTTTTACTTTTGGGGCAGAACAACACTGGCCTTGGTGCATTAACGGTTTGGGGGACGGTGTCTTATCGACCTCCTTTTGGTGTCAAACCGCCTCCTACTTTGCCTCTCCTGTGGGAACATTCAACGCGCACTGTGGCAGCATTGGAGGAGTTTGTTCTTAGTGTTACATCTTATTCTTGCTTTTGACTAGGAGCACTCTGTCTTTTTCTTTAACGTATGTGGATGAAGGTGGCTGACCGATCGTGAGCGGGGAGGCAACCTCTGCTCACTGCGTGAGCTAGGTTTATTAGGCCGTCTGCTCTCCTGTTTTTTTTTCAGTTATGTTGCAAGCAGGGCTGGTTGGGTTCACATGTATCCGCTAGGGGATGGGGACTTATGCATACTCAAGGGATTACTACTACTACGGGGAATCTGGTGTGGGATATCTGCTGCTACTGTTTGATTGCTTGCTTTTTCGTTATTGTTCTCACATGTCTGTGTTTTTATTTTATTATGCCTATTTTGTTTTCAAGCTTTATTGTTCACTTTCCATGGCGTTGCGCGGGATCGTGCAAAGATAAATTGCATGTGATTGTGCGGCACAAATGGTAGTATTATCGATCGATACTCATCTCTTCCACTCCAAGAGTAATTCTTGTTTTGTGCACAGTGAAGCAGGTGTGTGCTTGTATTTGGATCGAGGATAATGGTGATATGGGAATAGTACCTCCAACCCCAGCCCCCCTTAATCTACAACGCACAGGTTGTCGAAGTCATGGGGTATGTTTCTAAAGTAACCGAACTAGCCCGGGATTGACCGGCTCTATGGCATAGGTATTGCACAGTACCAGACTTGTCGACCTATGTGATTGATGGTTGGGGTCAGAGACGCCACCATCATACAGTTTGCTTATCCATTATGTCTCATGTTCGGACGGAGCACGCAACTATGGCTACCAAGATGGGCATTTATCCATACATGTTGGCGCAGATAAGCCGAAAAATCCAGCGGCTTGGTCAAGACTTGCGAGTGGTTGTTTGTTGATGGTATCACCAGCACTACGGTAAGTACTCGGGGGAGATATTTCGAAGCATGCCATGCGATATTTGGCCTATGATAAGGAATACCAATGTGTATCATAATTCGCAAGGTGAACAGGTGATGTACGCGTCCCTCAAGCATGACAGGTATTATTCCTGGGTTGAGTCGAGTAAATCTTGCAATGAAAGTCGAACAGGGTCGCGGGACATTCAGTGTCCCCCAAACAATTGACTACCGTTGGGTTTCTTAAACGGTGCCAGCTCGAGGAATGTCCATCATGAGCATAGCCCACCATTTTCCACCGACATGAATGATTTATCAACACGGCTCAACCCCCAACTCCAAAAGTAGGCCCAAAGGAGAGACCAGTGATACATGCCCGGCAAACCATCCAATCGTACCACGATCCCAATCCGGCACTTTTGGATGTGCCTCCATCTTCCTCTCCAACCTCGGGTCTACCTTACTACATACATTTACCACGCATCAGCTAGGTCGGGTAAAGAAGGATCGGCTTAATCAAGAATGGGTGAAACGGCCGAGTCTTTTGGGCGCTGGGTAGGATTGGAACAAATTAACCCCGCATGTATTCTCCGTAGAGCTGAGTCAGATTTTAACAAAATTCAAATTACGTCGAGTGGCTGTGGGCTACTGGGTTGTGTTTTAGTTTATATATTCAGTTCTTACGCTGACAGCAGGCAAGCAGGTCGGGTACCAAATCGGGAGGCAGGGAAGCGTGGCGGATATGTCGGTACTCTGGGCGAGCAAGCTTTCCAACCAGAGTGGATGTTGCCTGTTCTGGAGCGCTTGGGCCTGGGGGTGTTTGTCAGACGAGATGTGAGGATGGAAGGGGGGGTAGGGGGACGGGGGACGGACGGGTAAGCGGTCATGGTATGACATAGGTTGGTGAGAAGCATATTGGTAACATCATGTTGATTATCACATGGCCCTTGTATGAGTATTATGAATGGGTCGCTTTATTGACCTTGGGAATATGATATGTGTGATATATCATCTCACCATAGTTCTTTATGATATTAGAACCTACCTAGTAGGTATTTAGGATCTGGCCGAATACGAGAAGTTCTTAGAAATGAAATGATGCAGATGCGCAAAATTGACAGCTGGTCAGAATCTTATATTTTAGTCCCTTCTTTTGATTTACTTGCTAGTGTTCTTGAACCCGTTTCGCCCTCCTCTTTTTCGCATGTTCCACTTTGCCTGCGCAAACCATCCGTATATGCGGCCTTCGTTTCTTTAGGGCTATGGTAACACCACCGTATTGATATCCTTCCTCGCTAAAATCATGTTATGTACATATTTCACATTCCAACTGTGTCTCCAGGTCTGCCAAGCCCCAAATTCCGAAGTTTTTCTTGGAGCTAGTGTTAGTAAAATTCCTTCTATTAGTAAGAAATCTCCATGCTTAGACAGTGCTGCCAATGTCTGTGGCAACAGAGCTTGAATGAATGTGACGCGCAAGTCTTTCTCAACGGCGATTTCATTGTCTTCGTCTCGCGCGCTCACTCGTGTCGCAATTCAAGGGAAGCCTGCGATAAAGGAGATTCCCCACCCGTAGCTAGATAGTTCTACCCTAGAGAACATGCGGACGTGATTAGGGCTAGGGCGTATAAGTTCTCAGGATCTGCCATTTTAGGTCGTTGAGTTTGAGTATGGGGAAGGCCGCAAGTGGTATCCGAGTCGTACAAATAAATACAAGGCCGGAATGCGGACTTCAACGTCCCTCATACAGGATCATCCTGCAACTTTTCGCAGTTATTACCGGAGTACTTTCTAACTATAGCTATACCTCGAAACGAGGACAATTAGTTCACGTCTCAAGTGCGGGCTGTGCATGTGAAGTTGCAAATGCGAGACGTGACACCGCCGTAAACAGTGAAGCAACAACGAGGGCATAGTCAAGTGAATGCAAATACGGCATTTTAACGTCTCGCTTTCCAAGAGACGAATTTTACATTTTTGAAAAGGTTTCTTTGGCCATTCAATGAATCCTTTTTGTGTGGGAAACTGCCGGACGAAGAACTAGTACATGAACCTCAGGCCGTGGAACACAGAGCAAACGGTGTGGGGTACGTAGATGAAGTTTTATATCTGAAGAGCTCGAGTATCATGCCATGGTTAGGCACATATCTTCAAGTTTAAGTGTGTATCTGAGCCACACTACGGGAAACCTTGTCAGAAATTGGGCCCTGGAACCAACATAACTTACGCCGTCCTGAAAGTTTTACTCCGCGGATGGCGGGATTCGGGTTTGATGTCGTCCCGGCCGGTGCATACCACCCCCGCTCAGCATCCCCGCTGAACCATCCCGTAAGCAGATAATAACGAGGCGTTCGTAGCGTTCTAACGATCGGGAGATATTGAAAGCGGGTGAGACACGGTTAGTTAACGCACTTCGTTCATTGGCTCAATCGAACCGGCCTCGGGTTCGTTTAAGCCCCTGAGTAACTCCAAGAAGACCATATTCATGAGTGTGGAAGGGTCGTGATCCACGCAGGTTCGGGTGGACGAAGTTGTGTAATATACTGGATGCAGTAGTACTATCGACTCTAGTATCCGGGTGACGCAGCCGGTGGTTAGATCACTGAAGTACGTATGACACAACAGCGTCGTTTGTTGAACTGGTTCCATGGTGCTCCTGGACGATTCTTGACTGGGGTTGATATTATAACGACCAAAAAATGCGGCGTCAGCGTGAGCATTGCTCGGCTATGTGGAATGAAAGGCGGAAACCCGAGCAAGAACACAGCACGTTTCCCTAGAGGCTCGGTTGGATAAGTGCCAAGTGAGACTGGATTTGCGACTATGAACACTTTGGTTAATCCAACGCGCAACAGAAGCAGCATCGATCAACGCGGCGGCTGTCATTTTAACGGGTCTTGGCCACTGTCCACTGTCCATCAACGACCTCTCACCTTCAGGCTACCAGCCCATGCACAGTGACGACGGCCACATACACGCCGTAGTCAACAGCAAGATCTACGAACACGATCACATCCGCGAGAGTTTCATCAAGGAGCACGGGTAACGGTTCAAGGACCTTCCGACAGCGAACTGGTCGTAGTGCTCTATAAAGAGTATGGCGCGCCAGCGTTCCTGGACCATCTGCGCGGTGAGTTCGCCCTAGTGCTATACAATGAGAGGTCCGGCAAAGTCATCGCGGCACAGGATCGGTTCGGCATTAAGCCCCTAATCTGGAAAGTTTTCGACGATCGGTTGCTCATTGCGGCTGAGGCCACAGCTTTTCTGGCTCTTGGATGGCAGCCCGAGTGTGAAGTGAGATCATCATAGACAGGATGGAGGATTGGTGAGCGGACTGTTTTCATGGGGTCAAGCAGGTGTTGCCTGAGTATTGCATGGAAGTATCTCCACTTGGATACTTACAGCATCATCGATACCGGGAGTCTGGCTATCCCGAAAGAGGGATTCAGAAACTAGGGCCATTGAGGAGATGACATTGGGTGTTCGGGAACATCTTATCGAGGCCATCCGTCTGCATCTTCGAGCAGACGGGCCGGTTGGTATATACCTTTCAGGGGGCATTGACTCCTCACTCGTGGCCGGGATCGTAACCCATCTGGTGAAAGAAAGGGGCATCACTGCTGGAAGCCAAGATCCCACAGATCGAGTCCGCTGCTTCATTATCCAGGTCCCCCTGAATCCGGGTTTGACGATTCCGGTACGTGATTTCCGCTTGCGTGACTACTTAAATCACCAATGCTAACAGCTGACACAGAGATGGTAGGGCGAACAGCGGACTTCCTAGGTGTCTCGATCCAAAAGTTCGAGATGAACGAAGCTCGACTGACCCCAAACTTTGCCGATTCGGCCTACCACTGCGAGCACCACAATTCCGACCTCAATAGCGTGGGCAAGTTCGTCCTCTCCAAGGAAACAAGGGATAGCGATTGGGACATCAGTAAGGGAGAAATTTCTGGAGAAGTGGATTCTGCGCGAGGCGGCGAGGTCTTTTGTCACGAAGGATATTTACGAGACGAGGAAGCACCCATTTATGGCGCCGACGAAGTGGCTGAAGGATGGGCTGCTGAATAGGATGTTTGAGGGTTTGCTGACAAGAGAGAAGGTGGAGGGCTGGGATTTGTGAGTTATGGGTTGGTGGAAAAGCCGTTGCAGGACGGGTTTGGCGATGATGGATCTGCAGGCTTTTAGGAGGCTGCTTTTCGTGGGGCCGTGAGTTGTGCTGGATGAGAGGTTTTGGATTAAGAGAGTTGGGGTGGAGGACTATGGTGATGGGGAGTTGTCTTGAAGCGATAGAGGCGGGCATGGGTAGCGGTGACTTAGGGTCTTGATTAAAGGTAAAACAGTTGGAGATAAAAGTTTTAGATTGAGGTTCGGGATTATGAATATTCACTGGATTTCACCAATCATGACTTCGCCACTGGTAAAACATTCGAGCCCCTGACCACGACTCGTCAAGTGACTATCAGTAAACTTAACACCCTTTACTCCATGGGCACTCGCAATTTGACCATGAGAATAACGGAATATCAACGTAGTATTTGTAGCGTGTTCTGCAAAGCCCCAAATGGCCATCTAGAAAAGCCAGCCCTGGCTTGGTGCTACCCCTGTATCTGGTAGTGGTGGGAATTACAATGCACATACCGGCGAAGTGACTCGAATATTTGGCCCGAGCAGCAGCCTAATCACCAGACTACGTCTGAAGTATTCTCACTATATGGAAACCACCGCCGAGCAATGAGCTTGAACCTAACATAAAGATTCACAACACAACAACACCTACCCTACATATATGTCAGAGAACAGAATGCCATAGGCACCGGTGGGACACCGGTGGGGGCTCTGGTGTAGGAATGTGCGAGTCATGACACGATATGGAAGTCTTGGTTTGCGGAACAATCGGGGAAACTAGTGCTCCGCGGCTCCGACGTCGGGTTCTAGCTATCTATGTAAGGGGCGGAGGCCCGGGAAGAAGATAGAGGGAGAGTAGAGATCAATGCATCACCGTGGGCACCCCTACCTGAGACCGCCAGTGACCACCCGGTGCTACGTAGGAGGGACGCCCGTTACTCCCCATCACTCTGTACTATTGCCTTCGGCCTAGCCGTACCCTGACAATATACAGGCAAAGTTTCTCGCTCCATCGAAAAACCATAGAAACTGCACCAGTATGCATTCATTGAACTCAACTGTCTCGTGAGAAGCGAGGCAGTCATGTACGGGTGATTTTGTTACTACCAGAGCGAGTTACTACTGCCGAATCACCACGACTACTACAAGAAAAGGGGCATCGTAAGGACTGTGGCAAGCGCCAAAACACGCATACTTTGTTATGCTCGCAGGCTAAGGTGTTTTCTTTTCGGATTCGATAGTGTGGCTATAAAACACCATGTGGAATACAAAAGGCTCTGTTGTAATAGCTAATTTATATTGTCTAACGTGCACATACGCTTCTATAGCTTCAGTTCAGACAGCCTAGCCAAATGTCTATTTGGTTAGTTGTACTCCCTGTCAATATCACATCACTGGAGGTCAAGGTTCTTTCCAAAGACGGAATGGCGTGGATCCGGACGATGTGAAGACTTCTCTGTCTGTTTTGACATGCGACCATATATAACTCGAGAAGTCGTGGTTTATACCGAATAATATAAAGCGCCAGTACGGAAACCGGTTGTAGGATAAGAATATTCCTTAAATGTTTGAGGAGAATTTGATTTCGTATTACTTTTGTTCCTGATAGACTTATAGTCTTGAGAGGTCGATGGAATATTCGAGTTGATATAGTCTAAAGCATCATGGTATAGACGCTACTCTCTCGTTTGCCTTGGTCACTCTATACTACTTCGTGCTTCGTTCTTCATCATCTGAAGATTATTTCCCATATCCTCTTTCTTCGTTCCTCTCTGGACAGCAAGGACTCATGTATGCAGCCTGCCAGAGATCAGGCAGTTGCGCCGACCCAACTCACACTTTGTGGAATATGTGCAGTCGACGCAGTCCGTCACGACATGTTGAACCTTGATAAAGTGAGCCATGCCAATATTGTAAGAGACGGTCCGCTGGGTCCTAGAAACTCGTGAGTTGGTAAACACTGAGAGACATGCCCGATTTATTCCCGAGCATTAATACCTTCCTTCGACGCCGGGCGCCAAAGTATCAATCAACACCGGCCCACGGACCCCGTGCAAGATGCAACTTCTTGGCGCATATCTTCTGCAGCACGACAGCGCAGAGGTAAGTTGGGCGCCATTCGTGAAATTGCTGCCGTCCATTCTGCTACTCGCCCCCACGCTAGTAGATTGGACAAATAGAGTTGGGGGTGAATATCCACTCATTGCCGTGCCATCTTGAACCGAAATGACGCTGCAGGAGCCCAAGCGGAGTATAGCCAATTCGTGAACACCTCTGTGGCGGCCCCCCAAGAAAGACCGTGCGTGGTCTGCCAAACCCCATCTGATCGTTGCGTGCGCGGCCTCTGCAGGTGCAACATCTCTGAAGGTCACATTATCACTTGCCGGTACCGGTCTTTGAGACAGAACGTCTAAAAGTTTGGGCAGTTCAGATTGCGGTGATGTGGTGTCAGCGGTCATGGGGGCGGGCGAGATAACGAGCTTCAGTTGACCCTAGAAGAGGACCTACCGTGCACACCAGGGAGGAAGGGACAGCGGGGTTCGGCTCTATGAAACGACTTACGCGTAGGTTAAAAAGGGCTACATGAGAATCTATACAAGTGACCGGAGCCGACTGTCGGTATCGGCTGCCTCTGAAAAAGAATTTTGAATCGACTTTTGAAGAATCGCACATGGAATCGTAGGCCGATATGCGGATGGGCCGCCGGAATCGTCTTTCGGTCTTAGTTAAATGGCGGATGACCTCCATCCCGGAGGTAGCCTAGCTTCCAAAGAGCGAAACGTCATTTTACCCACTGCTCATTGGTGGTCCACTCCATGCGCCGATAAAGCATGGGTCAGCAGTTCGCATCGATTTGAATAACAGGCGGGGTCCGCGACGCGTAACTCAGCTGCGTTCAATGAGGAAAGTGATGCACCAGATCAGCTGAAAAATAACTGAACATGGTGTCGAGCTGCCTTGATCTTCATGTTAGAGAATCGGTATCTTACACTGTGGTACTGAGTCCTGGTTGGCTGGGCAGGAAAATAACGAAGTTCGGTCCGCAGGGAAGCGTGACTTCGGTGACGGAATGCCAAAAACATGTGCTTTTCAGGGATCTAGCATGGCACGAGGCCGCTGTCGGAGGTTAATTTACAAGTTGTCTTGGTTTCGACCTGCCGACCAGGTAATGTGCAAAGTGATGTCCTGGAAAGAGTAGACCAATGGTGACGACTCCCGTCAGCAGTGTGTTAACGTGGCGCACCTGGTTGGTGGCGAGCCAAAACGAAGTAAAAACGAATCTGCCGGTAGGAACCGACAAGCTTCGTCGGCTGTTGACGTTAGTCATTGTAAATACTTTGGTCCAATGGGTTGAACGGCGGACCAGTAGATCTTACACACGATGTAGGAGTTGAGGCTCGTAGCTTGGCACTTAGGACGCTATGTTTACCCATGCAGAGAACCTGACTGACTGGCCCGCACGCCGCCTTGCCAGCCGTGGCAATAACCAAGGCACAACCTAGATCCAACCCTGATGCTTCACCAGGTCTCACCAGGTCTCACCAGGTCTTGTGGGTTTGGATCGGAAGATGGTCGCAATACCACTGCAGTGTATACTTCACGACTGGGTACCCGACTCGCCCCCAATGCAAGGGATAAGCAAAGGACTGGCTCTGTTCAGCGGGGCGGCATAATGTTCCAAAGGCAGCATAGTGTTGCGCCTTAACGTAGGGCTATCCGAAAGACCGCCCCAGCGAACCACTGAGTATCTTCTCCGGCGACAGCTATCTGCATTCTTGCTCCATTCCACATGGCGACCGGCATCGATAACGTTGCGTCAACAGGCCGCAGTACTCAACGAGGAAGCCGGCGCCTCTGCTGGATGTGATGATGTGATCACGCAATGTGAGACGCCAGTCTGATGACCGAGAATGGAAGGGGTGGGCTATTGCTCCAGAACCTTGCACCAGGTAGTACTCGCTTAGGACCGCAGGAGACAAGATCATATCGTACCTCCATGGAGCAATGTGAGGGGCGCAACAGCGGCCGCACATAACCCCATCTGCGCCGTGGGTATTCGAGCTGAAAGTTCAGAGTCCAGCGCGTGATTCCGAAAGGAGAACGAAGGGGGATGCCCGTTATCGTCGCATTGCAGATGCGATCCGGTTGATGGTGTCCTGGCCTGTACGCTCACTGGAGCAATCGTGCGACTGTTCCAACATTTTACTTGCGCCGGACAATGCGGGGTTCATCTCGGACGCTGATAGGTAGGCTAAGGCGCGACGTCGAACTGGCCCCGGCTCCTTCGCGCAGGGTTGGATAGAGCAAGGTCGAAAGAGCAATGCCATGTTGTGATTGGTCACGGAGCCTAGTCCACGTGGCTGACATAGGTTAAGGCAATCCAGGAGATTTAGCACTCGATCGAGAGCATACCAATGCTGACGCCCTAGCTTGCCATGATTCCCAACTCAGAGAAAGTGGACAAGGGCCTCTCCGGCCAAGGCGTCTGAATGCAATATCCGCTGCGAGTTATAACCGCCCTGGTTTCAAGTCAGGCTCCTTTGTTGGCATGAAGGCAGCCGCTTGCGACCACCCTCGCATGGTCCAAGTCCGACGGCTTCCCCACACCGACAACACCGAGAATGATCGCCGTGGTGGAAGGATTTTGATCTGCTGCGCGCTTCAAGCCCGGCCTTGGCTGGGGGGGCCGGAGCATCTGCATTTGTAATTGCAGAGAGTAGTTCTTCGAGCTAGCTGAAGATGGTGTGTTTGACGAGAGAAGAAAAGAGGATCTCGTGACTCGACCACCTATAGATTGGGGTCTTTCAGATGTGATCTTGCTACGAATCTGAGGCTACGAGAATGGCGGTGAGGGAGAACCTGCGACTTGAAAAGAACGGCTCAAACCAGTTCGTAATTGGTCCCCGCGTGCCCACTTATCAGATAAGAGTTAACGACAGGGGCGTGCCTGGCAGGAACAGGAACAAGCGGAGACAAGGATCCACAACCCGTGCTGGTTCTAGCGTCAGGGTCCCTCCAAGAATAGATTTTATACAGCCATTTCCTACACATTGACACTAGACACTAAATACACGATAATTACCGAATAACAAGTCTTACAAATAATAAATAAGTCACTGTAGACGAGAGGGGAGTGAAATATTCATTCCATAGTTTTCTTCGTATTTTTACATTTTTTCTTCCCTCTCATATGGCTAGTTGAACGTGCTGTGTCTAGACGGATATGTTGGTGTATGAAATCAATTGTGCCTGGAATGTTTGCGACCCTAGCGATGTCGAGCATCTGCGAGACTGCATAAGACTGTGCATCATTCGACTAGATGCATGCGAATAATGCCGGGCCCCGGAATGCTTCTCGATAGCATTACCCAAGATCTGCACCGACGACAGCTAGCGAGCAACTTTCTTTTTATCTATGTGTGTGTGTCTTAAACAGTCCAGGTTGTTGAATGTCATGCATCATATTCCCAACATGGACGCATCTGACAGGCACCAATATGGAAGATGCGATGCAACTGGCCAGTCTTGCATATGAATTACACACCTGGGTAAGCGCGGCTTCTTAGAGGAGATGGATATACTTTGGGTAGAGGTGCTTGCATGAAAAGCGTCCCAAGTCGTTTCGACGGCCCCAGATTCGATATACAACATGCGAGATGCTACCCTCCTACGTTCACATGCACTGTGCGCATCGAATACAGCCGTACGAAGTAAACCATACACCGACAGCTGTGACATGAGCCTGATCCATAATGGTAAATGGTAAGATCTACCCAGGTAGTTTGCGTTTACGTGAGTACTGCGGTAGAAACTCTAATGGAGTGGCATATGGAGAAGGCGGTATGTTGGATGCTACGAAATGAGGCATATCTCTGTTTCGGTTGAAATCTTGGCAACTCCTGCCATAATCGCACCAGGAGTTTTTTCATGTGAGATCATACACCACTGGCCGGTACCATCGACCATCAGACCGGTTTCAACGGTTTCTGTTAGAGCAAGCCACCCTCTTACATTATCGTGATGACTTGCGATGCCATGCGGTTGTTGCGGCATGCGAAATATCCGCATAAAAAGAAACCCAGCGAACAGACGGGTTGGAGGAAAAATAAAACAACAAGAAAGGGGGACAGAGAATATGCTATGTCCCAATTGGGGCCAGTCGACAACTTGCCTCATGGTGCTGAGGATCTTAGAATGCAGCATGAACGATGGGATATCTTGAAAGTTACGGTTTGTGGATAAGGGTAGGCGAAAGCTGTGGTGTTCTGTGATGCACTCTAGTTTCTGGTCGGCTCGTGACGTAATGAATCCTCCGATGCGAGGCCGGGGGGTCCTTGACGATCGGCGCAGTGTACCGTGTAATTGGCGATGAAGTGTCCCATTGTAAGAGGGTCATCAACGCTTCAAAAGTGGCGATTCATGAAATACTATGGGGTCTAAGAAATAACGTCACAAATTCAAATATTAATCAGTGCTATAACACACCGGATTATGATCGTTGATGATTGGTACCGAACCTGGGAGCGTTGCACTCAATCAGTTTCATCAACTAGAAGGGACCTTGGACTAGGTTAGACCTGTTTACTTGTCTGTCACTTGACCAATCCTGCTTTTAAAATGAGAGTATCGTCGACTGGCTTCAGTCTTGATTCATGATCCGATCGGATATGGGAGTGTCAAAAGAGTGAACCTCGATCACATGGTCTCAAAGAAGGCATCTCGGAAATTGCCTTGAGACACCCATCTGGGGTTTCAAACGTAATATCAAGACACCACATGCAGGTCTTAGCAAGGCGGCCAGCCGCGTTCCCGCTGTTGGTCTGGTACCTTGCAGCTATGCCGATGCGTGTCGCAACAAGGTCAGCTTATAACATCAATATTTTGTTTCAATCCTGTAAAGGTTGTGACAGACACGTCCCAGATGGCCTTTTCCTTAATTGTGCCCAGAAACAGTCGTGACTTGATTTGGAAGCTTGACACGGTCTGCACCAATGACAGCGGTCCACGAGGATGACCTGGAGTCCCGCACCGGTTTCAGTGGCTGCACGCCCGCAACCACCCATTGCTCAGCGAGCCGTTATGACCGTAGATCACCCCGACCTGCTCAATCCTTCTGGGTGCAAACTCAAACTGGAAAAGTGCTACAGGATGACCTTGCTGTCGTGGGATTGTGAGGCAACTTCCGCATCAAGCGACAAGGCGGTGAGCCTCATGTTGTTCAGGCAAATTAGCTGAAGCAATCGTCTGAATTTGAGATTCAACTGAATCCAGGCACATCCTGAGAAAATAGATTCGGCACATTGTCCAGCCGGCGCCTCCATGAGCTTTCGGCCGACGGACCAGCGACTGCCGGCTGATTTGTGACCTCGAGATTTGCTCCAGCTCAACGGTTGACGCAAGGTGCAGTGCACCGTCGGGGATTTGCATATTCTCGTTTGGACTTTGGTCGCACGAGCCCCTTGACAAGCTGGTTTGTTGGTTGACTCGGTGCCATCCGATCAACAACCAACGACTGTCAAGACTGTCTCGAGGCCAGAAGAGACAGGCGGTGGTGGATTCCGCAGTGGTCTTTGAAATGCCTGAGTCGCCGCAGGTTACAGATGAATGTAGCAATGTCTCCGGCGTCATTTTCCCGAAGTCGCTACGATGTTGACTCGTCGCGCACCAAGTATCCGCAAGGCACCAGGCACAGCAGCAGCCAGCTTGCCAATTCTCTCGTCGAGAAGTGGTTGCATGACGCTAAAACGTTAGCGTGCAGTTAGCTGGATTCTCGAATAATCAGGGCAGCGGGGTGCCACGGCGAGGTCATAGAGACACGGATGCCCTGTAGACCGCTGCGATGCACACTCCCGCACGCCCGAGCAACGAACCTGCTTACACCACCGTCAACCATAGTTTTGCAGATGCACAGCACAGTATGGCTTTGCCATGCTGCCACGCGTGTTGGATTGGTGTCAAATCAACCATCGCCATGCAATTCAGACAGCAACTCTAGAACAACAAACCCTCTTATTTGAGCTGCTATCCGCTATCCCATGTTTCGGTGGCTGAGGGGTATGACCCTGTCAAAGGCCGACACGGCGCTACGATTCGTTCAGACCCCTCCTTGGGAAGCTCCTTAGCCGCACCAGCCCGCACAAGCTTCCCAGCTTCTCACCCCCACCATGAGCAGGTAAAAGCCTGAATTTGAGCGCCCATTTGTGGACAAGCCGCATTCATCCTCATCACTCCCGTGTTCCTGATCTCACTAGCATCTTAGCTGCTGCCCTACAAGGACGTTTCATGTCAAAGGAGCAAGAGGCTCGGAAAAGCCCTCACATAGACAGCTAGCACCTCCCAGGCCTTGTTACCTGAAGGCCTGAGTGCCGAGTGGACCGGTCTAGCTGCGGCCATGCTGCACACCAAAAGCTGCATCACCAACCACTTGATCATCGTGGCATGCGAACGACCAAGAGATAGAACACCGTATGAATCGCCGTCAGCGCTACGGTGGTATGGCTCTAGCCATGTCATGGATCTTGTGTCCACTGTCGACGACTTCATGAGGGGCGACTGGGTCCAAGTCCGCACCTTGACCTGAGCCCTTTGAGGATGCGACCTCGCCCTGTCATCATCTGAGGGGCAGCATCCCCTGTCCTAGCTGGGCCTGGTTCGTTGTTGCTTTTTTGTCATTCATATCCGATCACACCGTAGCGTTCGCCCGCAATCCACGACGAGCCGTGGCTGCAACCGTCATCAAATTGCCCAATGGTCGGCTGCCATAAAAGAAGCTTCGAAACAAGCCACCCACCTCAACTACTCCACCGCTCTTCGCCCCGTCTTTGGCGGGCTCTCTCTTGCTAGATATGTACTGCTACTGCTCCATCAGTACATATACCTGCAGCAAGGCTTCTCTCAGCGTCCACGTCGATTCATGACGCGGTATCATCGGCTTCCCGCCCCCATATCCACTGTGCACGGTTATATCTGTCTAGCATAACCCATTCCCATCGCGGTGCTGTGTAGCCCTCGAGAGCTCTGCTCACTCTGATCGCCTCAACTGGCTATAGAGGAATACATAACACCCTCTCATAGAGATGTCTTTGTTTCATCGGACGCATCCCGCTCTGTGAAGGCTTTCTCGTCGCCGGCTTCCCAAGAGATATCAAGCCGGCATCTCCAACCGGAGATCTCGTAATCCCGAGGGTTAGTTCTCCCCAGATTCTCTTAGCATCTCTCCCACCTATCTTTCTGTCCATGCACGAGAGTTGGCGCTCAAGCCAAGCTCAACGGTGTTGTGATCACTCATCCGCTCCGCCATATAGCAGCAGCAACATTGAGTGTTGCGCTCGATTTATCATGTTCACGATGTCGCGAGCCAAACTAGCCATGGCGTCGTTCTCCCTTGCCACCACCGGCATAATACTCGACTCGCCGGTGAAGCCTCGTGCTGGTGATGAGGGTTTGTGGGCTGCTTGCATGCTATCGGAACGAAAACGTCATGTTGGCTCGTATCTGACATTACGTGTAGATCCCAAGGATAGCGACGAGGAGGACGAGCCAACACCTCCAAGCCGACCGGCTGGTCTACCCTAGGTGCTCCAAGTTCCTCTGGGATCCGACCGCCGACGACATTAACATCAGTACTGTCGTCAGCCAGCATTAGCACGCTGACTGTTTCTGTCCCGGCGTCCAAGACCCCACCATTGTTTCTTTTCGCTCATCCACGACGAATGGTTCAATGCCGAGTCTTTCTTTGACGAACTTTCCAAGGACAGCGTCTTTATTAGCTTCAACTTTGTCGTCTGCAGAGGGCACTAGCCTCATCGCCGCGTCATCCTCTTCTACGATGGATGTTGCATCTTCGGGTTCTGCCACTGCCAGAGCGACCAACATCGAAAATGCCATGTCAATCAACAGCACAAGCAGTGACGCTATGTCGAATAATCGTACACTCATCGTTACTCTCAGTGCAGTGCTCTCCGTTGTTGGTGTGGTGGTTATCACAATCGGCGTATATCTCTGCTCGCGCAATCGGCGCCTGAAACGACTGGCCATTTTCAATCGAGGAATCACGCCCATCGACGACGACGAAATTGCGACGTGGAAGGTCAATCGTTCCAGCAACGAGAACAACGAGAAGGATGTGGCGCGAAGGAAACACGACTCGAGTAATTCAACTTATACGCATAAGGCTCCCAGTCTAATCCAATATCATAACGGCTCGACGCGGCCGTCGCTCGACGTTTCGCCAAGGTCACCTCATTCTTTTATTCGCAAGCAGAGCATGGATTTGCCGCCATCACCACCGAGTGCTGTGCTCGCCAAAGCACCCAACTCTCGAAGTGGTTTGACAGATGAGGCGATACCTGGCGATTACCCATACCTGCCCTCACCGCGGCGCCAGCCGTCGAAACTGTCGAAGCTCCCGAACTTACCGGCAGGAACCCACAGAGCTCGAGGCTCGAGGAGTAGCAGCATCAAGTCTTTCGCCGACGCATGGCACGGTGAGAACTTAGAGCTGTCACCTCGCACATCAACCGATCACTCTAGCACACGTGCCTATTCTCGAATTTACTCCAACGCCGCGGCGCCTCCGCGGCCTTCTTTCGGCGACCTCGCCGAGACCAATCTATTTACCGGGCTCTCCCCACCACCACTTCACCGTAACGACATTGGGCGAGCCATTGGTTGAGCCATTGGTTGAGCCGACTTCGTATTTCGGCTGATTAACGTGACGTTGTTTCACATCTACTCTCCTTGCTCGATACGTGCGGGAGACCAACTTCATTCATGCGTGTTTCAGCTCAGGGGTAATGCTGGAGGCAAGGGGCGGCTCAATTTGCATTCAAGCTTATTATGTCGCCCCAGTCCTACGGTAGGAGGGCCGTGCTACCATAAGCTCCAATACAATGGGGCAGGTTTGGGATATGAACCATCCGATCCCAGCACATATATGGCTTGATCATGCTGCAACCCGTCATTTTCGAGACGACAGATACTTCTGTTACTACTCTTCCGACCTTTATTCAGTCCTGGGCAGACACATTTTCTTAAACTATGCATAGGGACAGGCAGGCAGGACATGGACTATAGGAGGATATACCCAGTTTCTTCTCGTCGTTTTACTGGCCAGTGGCATCTTGGCTTTTGTGTCTTTTGATTATGGGTTGGTTCATGGCGCGGGCTTGTGTTAAGGTTGGCATTGAGAAGCCAAGCTGCACAGGATGGATGAAGAGACAATAGCAACTTCTGATTCGGTTCTGAAAATGCACGCGGTTAACATCGCTGGACGGAGGATGCATCACCCGGGCGTACTGTCCCCATGATAAAACTTGGTTACATATTTGTAGCTGATAGCATACAACCCCCAATGAATAAAAAAGCTGAAAACACCCACTTACTCTCGGCCCCGGTCCGACAACCGTTTTCCTACACCGCAGCATAGTCTCGTCGCATTATTTGGCGTTGCTCGTTAGTAACATCCCGACGACCATCTTTTCCTCGTATAAGAAATTTACATCTGGAAGGTTTGCTTCGTCAATGATGTAACGAAACTATCACCCCTCCCATACAATGCAAATAATCACCTCTTAGGGTTTCACCCCATACTGATCCGCGCCAGGGATCACCCTGGAATTTGTAATGCTCGTCCATATCTCAAATTCTTTTCATACGTCAACCATACTTCCCAGCGGAGGAAATCGGAATAGAGATGATGGAGTGCATCATTCAAGACGATACACGGCAGGTGTGGAAAGTGCAACACGAGGCAAACCGGTGAGGGCGGGACTAATTCCCCACCTACACGCTATTATCAGCATACCCCAGATTGACAGATGGGTGGGTGTGGATCACTCGTCCTGTATATGGTCAATGCTCGGCAGGGGCTGGAACTATCGAGTGGCGTTTGAGTTTGGGGCGGACAATTCGGAGAAATAGGGTTGGCGATAATCAGGATGATGGGCACACGGACTTTCAGGGAGTAGGAAGGCCACTAGTGTTGGAATTATGGAAGAAAGGCAACCAGCTTAGCGGCGCTGGGAGTGGGTTGCATTTCGCGTTTCGAGGGGTATTGCTGTTCCGCCCCCGCTGACAGTGGTGTGTCCAACCAGAGGCTAAGGGAGATGTTCCTATTCTATAGAAACCGGGTTGTTTGGGCTGTTCGAGGTATTCACATCTTGCCAAATGGCGTGCCGGGATGCAACTAGCTAGAGCACTTTTAAGGTGTCGTATTATATACGGGCAGTCGTAGCTGAGTTCGAGACATGTGACAGATGGGATTATGTTGTTTTTTTCTTGTGTAACATTTCTCTTGACGGAACATTGAAACTGGTCAGATATGTTAGCCAATAGAAATACAAGAAACGATCCAAACAGCTCCAGGAGAGTATAGGCAGTCCCTGCAGTGTGATATGACAGGTGTGGACTACTTCGAAGGAAGTATTGCAGCCGTCACGTTGGAGCCACATTCGACCCATCACTCTTATACAGGACGTCAAATATGGAAGACAGAGCGTGTCTAGAAACTTGAACTCTCGGTCCATGCGTCAACTGACAAAGGACACAAAGCTAGCTGGAGTATAGTAGATGTCACCATTCCTGACTATTCGTTATATGCCATGACAGGACTTGCCGTTCGTGCTTGGGTTCGCGGCAACGTGATAAAGAAGTTTTGCCACTGGGGGCTTGCAGGTCACGATTCTATGCACTTGAAGGCGCCCGTGTTGGGCTTTGTGCTTTCGTTGTTCAGGATCTAATATAATGCGAAGGAGATGATTCGAAGAATGCCCTACGGCTCTTGTTCGTGGACAAGACTTTGCTTGGTTCCGCAGGTCTGTATACGGGATAGGAAGAAGCAGCATACCGCACAAACACTGTTGTGGGCTCGGCTAACTGTGCTAGTAAAATAGGGTCGCTGTATTATAGTTACTTTTGTCTCTAATTTCTAGCCATAGTACAGTGTTGCTATGACGGGTGCCTCCTCGGCCTCATGACATTCAGTAAGACGTACTATATTTGGGGCTGAACGTTTGTGTTTGTATCTATGCTATCCCTACGTCACTCCTGGATGCCTAACCTGCGTTCTTATTTGTACCGTTTTAACGCGATTTGTTTTGACCTAGCACACAAGCCTGGGTTGCTTCTCTTCTCCATTCCCTGACTATCTCCGTGGTGGATCATCTACCCCTATGTTCCACTGCCAGGCAGTTCTGCCTCAATGAGGCTTTCAGCAACACCAGGATAGATGTAGATATTAGTGATTTTCAGACCTGCGCGTCTCTCAATAATGTCTCTCCAGTCTTTCTCTGTGCGCTCGCCAACAGACACGTGAGCCAGCATTTGCATGTCCATCGTCGTGGCTGCACGCGACGGTTGGTCCTCGGACACGACAATCTCGAAGAGAAGCACGCGGGAGTATCCCGTCTTCAAGGCCGGCTTGAGATTCTCAAGGATTTGTACACCTTGCTCATCACCCCAGTCGTGCAGAACCGAGTGCAGAGCGTAAGCGCGAGCCTTGATGGGTTGGGGCGTGTAGAAGTCGTGGACCTGAGCCTCGAACGGCGGGTCTTGGATGCCAATGCTGGCGATGACAGGTTCTTGGTCTTGCAAAACTAGTTTTCCGGGAAGCGAAGGATATTGGGCTGAAAGATGGACCATGTCGTGTCCACGGCCGCCGCCCACGTCAACGAGCAGCACCTCGCTGTAGGAAGCATCGAATCCCTCAATAAGGCGCTCATTCACCTTCAGGCGTAATCATTAGTAAAATTTAGCATGAAGGGTTGTGATATCCTTACCGGATAGAAGCCCGGGTCAAACCAGTTTGGTTTGCCCGCTCTGTATGCAGACATGAACGTGGCAAAGTTGGCAAGGTTGGGTGGATTGGCTTCTATCCAGGGGAAGAAGGATATCTGGGACTTATGAGCATATTGAAATGGTCCATCGGTATCGGACTTTGGGAGATTATATCCATTGTTCTTGAAGTATTCGGGGAATCTGTACGTTTTGTAAGTAGAAAGTAATTAGCCGAATCAGAGTGTAGACACGAACTTGTAAAACGAGGGCATCCCCGAATCATAGCAGAATTCAATGCTTCTCTGGTAATTCTGCTCCGCGAGACCGTTGCTCAAAGCTGTAGCGCACCACTTTCCCTTTGTGAACGACACAACATGAAAAACTGCTAGGTGTCTCATTAAACGTTGCAGCAGATGCAGGTCGATGCCCACTCCCGTCTTCTTTGCTAGATCCTCATCGCTGAGGCCTTCGTCGCCTGCATCTTTGAGGTGCTGGAAGATGTTGAGGCGAACGGCAGTCCGGCAGTTGGCCGATTTCGCTGGCTATTCGGGATCAGAACAGAGAATAACTTGCGCACAGCTACGCATAGCACCACCTACTTCGGCCCAAAAGGTTCTCTGGAGAAACTCGCTTGGAATTTCGAGTTTGCCGGCAAGTGCGTAACTCAGGTCGATCAGCGTCTCACGAGATCCAGCCCTGTTGCCCTCGTACGCCTTTCCAGCCGCGACGATATCCTCAATGATTGAGACCATGTTGGAGGACGTCATCTTGTCGAGTCACACAGAGAGATAAATGTAGTGTGTTGCGAACAAGATATCTAGGCTAGTGCTGGTGAACTGGAACCAAGTAGTGGTGGCTACGCACGAACCATCTGTGACACAGCCTCAAGGCTAACAGGACTAGCTACATATAGAATATCCATTTCGCGCTAACTTTACGTCAAATTCATTTCTGTTTTGGCCCCTTAATGCCGCTTTTAAGTTACAGTAGTCGAGGTGTTCCCATAAGACGTAATTAATCATCACCTAAAAGCTTATTAGTACGCTAGTAAGCCCGAATAATACCCTCAGTAGTTTGAGTATCCTGTGACGAAACCGTCATACACGCAATGGTGGTCGAATATTTGTGAAGTTGTAAAAGCATGTTATTCTCTCTAATGCTAATAATAATATTAAATACGCCGTAGGTGTTAACCCTCGGTACCTCTACAAGTACTCCCTTAAGGGGCTATAGATGATATAGCGGGCCCTTAAGCCGTGTCGGGCGGTTATACAGGTAAACTTGTAGCCAAACGACTACTAAACCTCCTGTCCCTCCCTAAGTCTGTGCTACAACCCCTGCCTGAACTACCGATAAGTGTGGTAATGTGGCACTTAAATTCGTCCTCAGGGGTGGGATGCTGCTGATGTGCAGAAGATGCTCGACTATTTTTTGTCGCAACAAGTCGTAGTATCTGCTAATTGGGGTTCTCGTCGAGCGTATACATCTCAACCATATGCTCAAGTGGATAGACCGTAACGTGGTCTAGACGCTCGCAAGAATCGCGGCGAGAGGGCGTGCTGCGCGCCTTCTATCGTGAGGGGACGGGTTCACCGACGAGCGTTATCGGATAGGCGAGGTCCGATAAGAGGTCGGATTAACGGTTCGAATTCTGGACCGGCTGTCGAGTTATATTCCGCCGACGTAGTGCGTGACGGTCGACTGGCTAGGATGTTTGTAATCCTAAACTGCACCAATCTCCCTATTATCGCTAGGTAGGCGAAGTCAACAAGGTGGGCAGCGCGCCGTAAGGGTTGACTAAACCCCCTTGTGTGTCAGCTGCGGGATTCGAACCCGCGACTCGTCACCGACCCAAGTGGGCGAGGCTCAAATCGGGACTTATCTACCAGCGAAGTGACCAACTACACCAGCCGACACTCTAATGCTATCGAGAGCACGAAGGTTGGACTTAGTCCCCAAAGGGCTAAGTTACGTGGTAACCTTGGTGGTCTTGGCAAAGCCCACAAAGGTTGCCTAACAATAGTCTAGCTACTGAACTACACGTATATAGTAGAGAGACCTTTCATATTAACACAAGAGCAGGCTCAATGGTAGACTGTAGTATCTAGGAGTATCTCTATAGGTCATTAAGTAACCTCTAAATTCGCAGTCTCTTTCATAATATCGTACTAGGGTTAATGGCCGCTTATACACGAGTTAAGATTATAGCTGGGATTAACTAACACTTGAATAAGGGTCCCCGGCTTTATTTACTAAGATTTTCATTTAAATATTATATCTATTAAGATTTATATTCAAGTCTAACAACTTTTTAGAAACGATTATATCAATCCTTTAGCTTATAAACATGTATATAGCACGGTTTGTATCCAGGTAAGCTCGCCAAATACGAGAAAAGGAGCTAAGTTCTTACTCTTATGTAGTTGCAATAACCTTAATGAATCAATCCACTTTCGACCCGAGGGTCGTTTCTATTACCGAGTGGATGGGGAGCCGATATCAAGTATATGCTTTTGCGGCGTCGGAGGCGTCGGATCGGACCGCACCAGACTTTTGTTCTGGCTGGTTTAGGGTTTCTCAACTTGCTCTGGTGTAAGCAGCCACGGTTCAGCTTTTTGTCATCTTGCTCTAGAATGAGTAGCCCAGAGGCACACCTTTCTGTACTTAAGGCCCCTATGCTCCTATGGCCACCCTCACTCCTTTGGAACTGGGGTGGTCAGAGACATGTTGAATCCTATGCTTTGTTATAGCTTGCAATAAGTCCGATAAAAGTACCCCACAACAATGGCGACCATGGACGTAGATTTGACTGAAAGCCGATCCTCAGAGATCATAGTCACATCATGTGTATGCACTGGAATTGCTATCATCACGGTAGCCCTGAAGCTGTTTACGCGCGTACGAATCCTCAAGAAAATGGGCTGGGATGACTTCTTTATTTTCTTAGCCTTGGTTAGTTGCCTTTAGCAAATATTGACCCCCGTAACTGATATGTATCACCAGGCCTTTAGCATTATAGCAGCCGCCTTCGCATCGTATTCAGCCTACCTAGGTGTAGGCAGACACACGATCGCTGTCCTCAGCGAACCGGGCGGCCAGGAACGGGCCATTGAAGCCGCGAAGTATCAGATGATCGGATACCGTATGTTCATGCTCCATTGTTGCTTAGACTTGGCTAGGACAGAGCCTTCACCCTGTCTTTCCTATCCTTGCTCTCCTTTGCGTATGGCCTTCTTACTTTTGCCTTCACGGCTTCAAGAAAGCGTGGGTCCATGGCAGGTTGGAAAACGGCCGAAAATATCTACTGATAAACGGTCAGCCTTCAACATAGGGTCTTTCAGTTTTCCAAACATATCTATCGCTATTCTCGTTAACAACCTTCTCGACCCAAACCTGTGGCGAACCCGATGCCTCTTCGCCATGGCAATTCTCCAGGTCATCTTCGCCTTCGTCTCTGTCATAATCGTTTTCGTGATGTGCAGTCCACTGGAAAAGCTATGGAACACATCACTGCCAGGCCATTGCTGGAGCCCGAATGTCATGAATGACTTTTCGTATTGGCTTAGTGCATGGACAACACTGACCGACATTGTCTTGGCTGTAGTTCCTATCGTGGCCTTTTGGAAGTTGCAGATGAGGCTTTCAACCAAGCTCGGTATATGTATCATGATGGGGTTGACCCTGTTGTCTGCTGCCATCACAGTTGTCAAGGCAGTATACCTGCGCCTGCTTTTTGACCAGACCGATCCTTGTGAGCTGACTCCACGTCAATTGGGCCACAGGAAGTTCAGGCTAATATCTTTCCAGTCTACAACCTAACCACTTTGATTTTATGGGGACTGTAAGTCCTCCTACCAAAGTACCGTCAGATAAGACTAACACGACGCATAGTATCGAGCAAAACGTCGTTATAGTCGCTGCCTGCATCCCTACCCTCCGACCATTTTTCTACCGGGCATTCCAAGAAGAAAACGCCACCAACGAGAGTCATCCGCGCATGAGCTCGAAACCGACCAGCAAGTCATTCCTCGGAGGGAGAAGTCACCAAAGTGAGGAAAGGTCGGCATCAGAAATGGGCTTAGACGACTTGCGACACGATTATGCGGAATTCAATGACTCACAGCAGGAGCGATGCGAGTCTCAGCAGGGCATATTGCGGACAGTGGCTGTGTTCATGGAGTGGGACAAGGAGCACGAGGCAGGCATGATACCCAAAACGGATCCCCGCGTGGTGCCAACGTCTTTGCTGGAGGGAAAAGGAAACGCGTAAAGTTCCTCCGTGCATAAGTACCGACCTTTGATATTTTACTTTACACATACTTGAACCACACTTCGTGTCCAGGATAGACTACAATAGACCATACCTAGCATTCTACACTCGAGGCCTACCCGGAAACCGGCAAGGCAAAGAAGCGCAGTTCATCCGCGCGGTGCCCGAATGGATGAATCAAGTGTTGCTATTATTGCAGACATTTCATGGGCATTTATTAATGAACTGCGTCTAGGCTGTACTCGTAGTCAATCGACAGACGTAATGTTTCATGGACAGATGATGGTGCCAGCCAATCGATGAGACGAAAAAGGGCAGATCGCCGCATATAATTCCGTTAAAGGACTTTAAGATTCAATTTAACTGACATTTGTGAGTGGGTGAATATCCGAGCTATAGCCCGCGACTAACATCCGTGTGGAGTCTCTTGGCACAAACAAGTTACAGTCTGGCTAGAAGCAAGTTTTGATTCACTCTAGTATCAGCTCTAGCTCGCAACCCTTCGGATAGTCCATCCAAAACAAGAAATAGTGCAGAATTAGAACTTCTAGCCGAAGCTAGTGAGATGAGGCGCTATTTTGCCGCAATTTACCTCTCCACGTTCCATAGCTAGCACTACACCATCGCGCCATTATGGGCTGCAGCTTGCGTGCGACCCTACTCCACATCCCATCGTGTAGCCCTGATGCGTTAGCAGTCTCATCCCATGTTACCAATTCCAGCACCTTATCAAACACTTCATGTTCTGTAAGCCTCAGTCCATCTGTTCAATACGAGAAAATGACCACCAACGCCTTACTCTGCCAGACGCCTTAGTGCGTGCAAGTAGCCTTTTATGTCCTGTATACTGTACTAATCTGGCTCCCAATTACCAATACATCGACCGTTATGAGGATTTTTATAATTGTATACTCACATCTTCCTTCAAGCATCAACAATAATACAACCGAAGACGGGTCGCTTCCAGGTGTTTGCGGAGGATTCCCAACCAAATGGGCATCGAAAACGGAGTACGACTATGTTCTTGAATTTTAGAGAGGAATGTCTACATAATGCAAACTATACTGGATGGCGGATATCCTAACGGAACAGAAGTGAGTTTCAACATCATCTTCTCCAACCACGACTAGATCGAGATCGTGTTTTGCCGGCCGCTGTTCTATCTGGGCCTGTGTGTGTGTGGATCACGAGGACATATGAGGAACATCAGTGTCAGTTACGGGCGAGGATCAATACGGTTGATATGGCTTTGGTGGATTTACGGGTGGAGAAAGGTTGGGTGTACGAGGGGGCGCTGGTGAGGATGTTCAAGGGGTGATGTAAGAAGACTCTTGGTGATGTTTGGGGAGTTTTCAGTTGCGTTGAGGTGATACTTACTGCGGGACGTCTGGCACGGCCTAGGAGTATTGAGGAGGTAAAGTAGAGTTTACAAAATTTTCGCTCTTGGAGACCAAGAGCGAAAATTTTCGTTGTGGGAGTTGGTGGTCGGAACTCGATGATTGTCTCTTTGATGGGTACTGAATCAACTCTTTACTCAATAGATTGTCTTATTCCCTCTTGATGATTTGTCATGATTTGATTGTATAATCTCCTTTATTCGCATAGCCTGCTCTGGTGTAAACATGCTACCTCTCGATCATCGAGAAATCGAGAGATGTTGCACTATCAGTGGATACAAGTGAAGATATGAGTCAAGCTGTCGCCTTGCGGCACGGAAGGTTCCATTGGTGCCCAAACAGTTGCCTGAATTGGGCGTTTTCCGATCGCCTTATTTTCGCTCAAGTCAGAATTTGCCACTGGATTAATCCGCAAGTCGAGACGCGAGACATAATGGTATCAAGACATGGTAGCAACAGTCCCAGGCTCTTCTCCTACAGACTTTGTCGAAGTGGGATTAAGTGATGGAGGAAGAGGAACGCCACGTATCATCGCCAGAGCAGTATAGAACAACATAGTTCAGATATTGTCAGTTGTTATAATATTCCACCCGAGAGCCTAAACGGTGCATCCCTCGAGACGGGGTAGCTCACCTGACAGCATGCCGACTATCTGTTCTAGGCAACATCATCCCATACTCTACATTTTCCGCCCATGTCTCCAATGCATAGCTCGTCAAACGAGGCGGCATAGGCTGATGCCCGAGAGCCGATTGTTTCGCCAATGGTGACATTGCCAATGGCGCATCTTGATGCATAATTCGGCTGCCTACTGACGTGTCACAGATCGGAACGTCGACTTCCCCTGCCCGCATATCGACCAAATGTTCTAGAGAGGTATCTCTCATAGATGCCTGATCGATCGGTGACTTTCTACGAGCGAATATCGATGTGCATCCGAGGGCCAGCATCGACATCGAATCGGTCACTTTGAGCAAAAGGGAGATCACATGCTGTTCGTAATATCACTGGCACCGACGAGTCCCTATATTGCAGCAACAAGTAGGCTGTATCTTCTGCAACCGCCTTGACCGGCACCCATGCCTGATGTCGCCCTACTCTGTACTCGGACACGCCCGCATCACCAGCATTGGTATAAGCGCAAGGGATATGTACGGCTTCGGCTCGGATTAGGTCGCTTACTGGCGCTCCAAGGCAGTTCCTAGTAGCCGTTGAGATCAGCATCACATTGAAGCCCAAACAAGCTCGTTGCGGTGCAGACACAGCGTTGATTCGCCAGGGACGAATAGTTAATAAACTGGTTTGTCGTCCTGGTCCCTGAGATCAACAACAGCCTGATTGTCGTTAGCAAATGCCACATCACCCAACGAAACGGGCTCTACCTGGTCACCTACAGATTAGAGGGCCCAGGGATCCTTTTCCAGATCAGGTCCCGATCAGCCTCATTCCAGCTCATTGGGCTTTCCCAGCCAAAAAAGCACAATGGCACGCAGATGCCAGCTTCCGATTTGAGGCCAAGATCAGCGACCAACAGGGCCCTGCCATTTTCTGACAAGGGTCCAGGATTGGGTCATGCGCACCCAACGGCCTCCACACACCGAGCCAACGTCATCGGATCAGGCCCACCCGACCGGCTTTTCCCTGACGAGCCTGCGAGAACCCACCCTGAGAGCAGGGGGCAGATGCTGCTCGTGATAGCTTCACCTGCAGTTTGGACTATTCTAGACACATCGCGCGTAAAAAGATGCAAGGCGCGATGCCCAAATGACCACGGCAGGCGCTTGTGGGGACATCAGAATACGGAGTATAACTTGAGAGTACTTGAGCCATCGCCTCCCCAAGCTGCAAAGTAACCAAACAAGCTGTAGAAGCTGCTCAATAACAAGGAATCACTCGAGCGATGATACCTGCACACGGCCTTCCTCGTCTGCTCGTATTGCATCAAGATTCTGAAGCATCCCGAGGTCTGCCCTGGTGGAAGTTCCCTCCACTGACATCCATTTAAAGCTGCTTCGATCCGGATTTTCCAACTCTCGAGCTTCCTTGACTCGACCCCAGGACCCTGCAGCGAAGCTCGAGCTCTGTCCGAGACGTGTGACGTAACGGTTGCCCGCAGCGGTCTGCACCGAAGCGCCTGACTCGGCCATTCCACTCCCAGATCGCAAACCTTATTTTAGGCTGGACTCCCCACTTCTTGCGACGATCATGTCTACCGATTATACCTGCTACTGGACTTCAACAGGTTAGGAATTATCAGTCTCCTTTGCGACATCTTCTGCCTGTTTCATCCTCTCATACCAGTTTCCATCTTCCTTGTGCCACTATCTTTTTTAATTGTACATTCTAAGCACGACCAAAGACTGACACCATGTCCTCCGTCTACACAGCCCCACGCAAGAAGAAGTACCACAAGAAAGTCCTGTACCTCGAAGAACCGCACAATGCAAGCCGAACCATACGTGCGCGTACCACAACCATAGTCCCACCACCAGCTCCTCCCCCGCGTCCGCCACCACCCCGTGCACTTCCGCCACCTAGGCCCATGCCGATGCCCATGCCGATGCCAATTCCGCAGCCCAAGCCAGTCGAGCTGCCACCCCCTCCTCCTCCTCCTCCTCCTCCTCCACCTCCGCCGCCGGTCATCGAGCATGACCAGATCGAAGTCATCGCTGTGGATGTCGAGCCCTCGGTCACGAGCGCCCGCAGCACCCAAAGCTCCAAGTCGTCGCGCAGCGGCAGAAGCCACAGCCACAGCAGGGTGCGCAGCCGGGATCGCGAGGTCATCATAGAGCGGGAGACGCTGGTCCCCGTGCGCATTCCTGTTCCGTACCCCGTGAGGGTCGAGTCGCCGCCTCAGCCAACGTTTCAATACATTGAGGCGCCGAGACGGCATGAGCCGAGGCGGCCGAGCGCGGACCGGGAGATTATCATTGAGGATCGGCATCGGAGGTACTACACCAGGAACTAGTCGTCGTGGGTTTACATAATTTTTTTCGGGAGTAGTCGCTCCAATATTTTTGAAGCATTCGAGGAGTTGTTGGAGAGTTGGACATAGCGTTTGTACAATATAATGGGCGGTCCCGATGATGAGACAGACGCTAGTGATGGGAGACATGTGCCATGATTATACGTTGTAACTTGGATATGGATTGGGCGCTGGGATACATAGCAACATACTTGTTGTACTCATGAATGATATATTACTGTTTCCATATGCATTTACACCCACGTTGTCGTCTTGGGAGCAGACCACACCCCTGAACTTTGTAATGTCACCATGCCGAATCGGAGTCATGCCTAGCGACACTCGGTCCATGTGGCCAGCACTGCTTCTTTTTGACTACCGCGCAGATCTAGTGCATGTTTACCAGATCTGGCCTCCAACGCTTGGGAGCCTACCACCGGAAATTGCTGTTATACGCCATGAGCGCCTACCAAAGTTCAAAACATCCAGTCCAACTGAAGACAGCCAAACCATCGAATAAGCAACGAAGAGGAATACATGATATATACCCATAGATTTTGATACCGTAAGAATCGACTCGGTGCAGTTCATCCCGAAGTGCAACCACTGGCGTCGAAGCTGGGCACAGAATCAGATTCCCAAATATTTGAAAAGGGACTGTTGATGCGTCTGCTCAACCCCAGCACCCAACTTTGGAATCACTGGTATCAAGTATCGTGTGAATAGAACAGCAATCAATGATCGAGGTCCCGCATTCTAGGGCGGGTTTTGGTTAGTGTGTCCCCAATTTTCTCGCTGGTTGTCTAGCCGCCCATTTGCTAGCGACAACCAAGTTGACGATGCAACTCAGACCACCTTGACTTCACAAAATGACTTGATCGTGCTGATAGATTGGACGTCACAAAACATTGGATATAAGTCTTACAGTTATCAGTCATTCCGAGTCTGTGGGTTTAATCTTGTTGTTCGATCTGCCGCAACACTCCGCATCACTCCGCATCTTCACCTCTGTTCGGCCACGTCCATTCTTCCATCAGCCAACAAGTATCCTTGGTTGCAATTTCGACTGTACAGTTCAATACTTCCGTTCAACTTTGAAAACATAAGTTGCTCTTCCTAATCCCAAACCACCTGCGCTTTATGCGAAGTAAATCTTCTTCACAGGTTCTTACAGCACCTTGCGTGATCAGTATTAACAGTTGCCCGCTCGACTTCCTCGATCAGCTTTTGCGCCAGCAACCTCGTACATACATAATTTACCCCACCCCATCAATCTGCAACGCAAAAGCCACAATCATTGCTTCTTCTATCCGCAGAACTGATTATCTATTGCCACAAGAACCATTCGCCTGCTTCGCAACAAGCAGACAAGGCACATGATCTTTTCTATGACAACCCTCATCTTCCAAGCTATACTACACTAGCCAAAACATTATTCACAATGGCCAACATCGCCCCCACGCAGGAGAGGGTCACCGAGTCTACCGCTATCGTGGGACATATAGATCGCCCCGACAAGGACTAAGGAACTGGCCTCAATCTGGACGTTACTTCTGTCGAGGCTAGGACCTCCATTGCTCGCCCCAAGCATCGACGAGGTATCCAAGCACATTGACAAGACAAGCAAGTCCAGTTGAGATGATGGTTGGGAGTGTCCTGATTTCTTCGATGTTGATGATGAGGGCCTCCCCACCAAGTCAGGCGAGAAGAAGGGCGCTCGCCGGTTCAAACTAGACCATTGGCAATTTCGATGATCACCACTTGCCCGATATTTTCGAGAAGTTCTCTGAAGACGAAAACGTGAGGTGGTACCATAATTGGAACAAACTTCTGGATTTCATCATCGTTTGCAAGATCCCCGAGATCAGATGGCCAGTGGCGTCCTCAAGGATGCAAGCCCCTCCCTCGTAGATTCGATAGAGGCTAGTGGTCGTCAGCCCATCGACGAGAGCGTAAGTCGCACCCGCTGCTGCTTTAGAACACACTAACTTGTTAGTTTTGAACAGCCCGTCTAAATTGCTTTCGGTGATTTCGAGCTCTGCGACTCTCCTGAAGCGCTCAACGCCCTCATTGGATGCCACTACCATGGCTGTCAGTTACTCACTTTTCTCGTACTGATCCCTTGCCCAACCAACCCGTCATCTTGAGAATGAAAACGAACCAACGCATTTCAACAGAGTGGACCATTCCCACAACCTGGGAAGCAAGCTGCTCTTACTTACATCTGTATCCGCCTCTTCCTGTGTGGCGATAAGTGGGACATCGACGGCTGCCGCGGTTGCGGGCCCAACGTCATGGGCCGCATCACCAAGTTCGTCTTGCACCTGAATCATAGCGCAAGTCCACCGCCGACCACGAGTTTGAGAATGCTCAACTCTATTCCTGCCTGCGTGTCGTCAAGTGGGCCTACAAATACGACCGATGCCAGCTCTGTGGTGATTTCTGGGGACTCCCGCGCGAGTATGGTGTCCAGATCGCTAGACTGAAGAATAATGAACAATTAATGGACTATGCCAGAGATGGAATCCGTGGCGGGAACTGTGCTCTATCTATCAGCTTCAAGCCTGAAGTCAAGATTGACCCTGCGGATATGCTCCGACCTATCTTGCTTATACCCGTTAGCAAGTTCGCTATCAAGGATGCGTACTCTCTTGTAAAATATTCCAAACAGCATACATCCCTCCTTCCTACCTCTAGCCACAAAACACCCCGTCAAACCCACAATCCACTACTCACGCTCCAATCCCTACCAACCTTTTAATCCCAATCCGCTCCTCCAACTTCCTCGCCTCCTCCGGATCCGCCTCCCTCCGCCTCTCCCTCTCCGCTTCCTCCTCCTCTTTGGGCGACAGTTTCTTCAGATAAACCGTCAATCGCGTCCTCTGGGCGTTCTCCACCAAATCTCTTAGCTTCTTTTTCTCATAGCGCGAGCGGGCGCCTTGTCTGTGAAGGGCTCTATTCAGGGGTTCGACGTCAGGGGGTAGGCTGCTGCTGTTACGGTCATTTATCGTCGGATGTTGTTGGAGTACTTGCTGTTGTTGTTGAGATGGTGATACTCTCGGTTGAAATTGTGGTTGTGGCGGTGCTTGAGCTTGGGCTTGAGCTTGAAGCAAATGGGCTATGTACTGCTCCCTTGCTAGTTGAGCTTCCGCGTGACGTTGTTGGCGGAATTGTTGCAGGTTTAGGCCAGGGCGGGGGCGTTGGGCTCCTGCTGGCGCAGCTACGGCATGACGGGCTAAGGGGTGAAAGGCTGCGGGTTGGAGAACTCGAGGGCGTGATTGAGGTTGCGGAACATGTCGCCGTTCTTTGTCGTCACGGATGGCGGGTATGCGGTGGATTGGGCGACCCCTCGGTGGGGAGTCAGCGTTGATGAATGTATTGCGCTGCTTTCCCTTAACCCGATCCTGCGGTTGGCCTGGGGTTTGTTGTTGTTGTGATTGTTGATGAGGTTGAGGTTTAGGGGTGAGTTGAATTACGGTCTTCCGTTCCTTTCCCTTTCCCTTGTCGTTCGAGGTGACGTGGAGTGGAGGGGCGAGCTCAATGACAGTCGCCCATTCCTTCCCCTTTCCCGTGTCCTCGTCGGCTTTGGTTTCGCTTTGAGCCATAGCCCTCTCCTTCCCCTTGCCATTGTGTTTCGATTGGTCTTCACTCTTATCCTGGACCATGGCTTTCTCCTTTCCCTTGCCTTTCGATTGGGTCTCAGGCTCTGGTGACGACTCGCTCTGCAAGGCACAATACATATCCCTGCTATGTCTTGTCTCCGATGATGAATTTCGGGCTGGTGAGTAGTGCTCCTTACGTAACTTTTCGAACTTCAACTTGGATGTAGAGTTAGGGGTGTTTGCTGGGATCAAGAGAGGGACAGAACACCGAATCGTACCCCATTCGGCGTCATCGTTGTTGTCATTGTCGTTATTCTTCTCCTCCTCCTCTGTCTTGTAATCTTGCTTTGGCAGAGTATCTGGCAGCCGATCGAAGAACGATAGATCGAGCTCGGGGTGTAGCTCCTCTGGGACAGCCGGCTTGGTCTTCTTAGCTTCCTTGATAACTTGCTGTTCCTTTTGCTGCGATGCTTGAGTCTTTCGTTGAGGTGGTCGTTGTTGAGAAGGCCTAGCTCGCCCTTGGGTAGACTCTTTGCTATTCTCTTGGTTCTCGGACTGGGGATTTGCCTTTGGACGATAAATAAGATTGTCGGGATCCCACTCCCAGTTGTCATTGAACCATTTGCTATTTTCGAGTTTGTAGAATCCTTCAGGGTCTGGACTCAGTCGCTTCCACGGCTGTGAAACATTCTTGCCGTTCCTCTCCAATCGACGCAGTTCTAGTAAGTGCCGCTGACACCCAGTGAGACGCCGCTCGGGGCCGGCAATCTGTGTTGTGTTGTTCTTGGTCTTAGCTGGAGGCTCAAGCTCCTTCCAGCGTATATGTCGTCCCTTGTACTTGGAGTTCGTCGCAGTCTTGAGAGCTCCTTCTTTGTTGGAGTTCCCCTCGTTTTTCGTGTTCGCCTCGTTCTTGGGTTGAGACAGCGGCCTGTTGTGGAAAGGATGTATTCGGTGAGAACTAGGACTCTGGAAAGGGGGTTCCTCTTCTTGGTTATCAGGGGTATTATTGTTATTGGACGTCCCGCCTTTCTGCTGAGGAGCTTCGGGAGACTTTGATGGCGAAAGTGCGCGCTTGTTAGCACCCTTGTAGCTCGATGGCCAACGGTGGATATAGGGCAGTAAAGAGTCCAACTTCTCAATGAACGACGACATCGTGAAGCTGGATAAGTTGCTGTGCTGTTTCGAGTTGTCGATTCTTTCGTGCGATGGCTTGCTTAGAGGTTCTATGAGCGAGCGTGTACTCATAAATTTCTCTGCAACTACATTGAGTGTTGTATCATTTGCTCTACTCCGAGTGTAGATTTGTAAACGAAGACTGGGAAGAAAATATTCCTCCTACTAAATGTAAACCTACCGTCCAAGTTATGTCCATGGTATACAAAACACAAGCGAGATGTAAACACTGGTTACTGCCAACTCTATTCCAGTGTTCTCAAGAATCACTGTGGGCCATTACTTTTTACTACTCTCGAGCCATTGTGGATAACTTTTCCTTGCGGTGGCTCTGTAATCGAGGTTTAAGTTTGGGTTCGACAATTTACAATTGTAGATTTTCTCAAAATTGCTATACTTAATCTCGGTGGAAAATTCCTGAGGTTGTTCCCACAATCTGAATTGCAACAGTTGATACAAACTCTGTTTTCTGAGCGTGTACTGAGTTATCTGAGATATTGCTAGGCTTGGTTGTGCTCCATGTAAAACAACCGCATGGTCTTTGCGGCATGTGCAAACAATTACAGCGGCTACTAATCACGAACAACTGGACTCGACCCATCCAGACTACACATTGCGTAGCTTTCTGATGGTAACTCAGCAGCTTCGGGTTGAGTTCAATCAATGAATACCGATCAATCACTCGAGGAGAGTCGATTTTCCTGGAAAGGAGGGAACGTCTGTCGTCGTGGCAAGAAATGATAGCGGGACTACAGGCAAGAGAAGGAATAACTCTATCCTAAGTTCTAATTTATACACAACCTGGAGTACGAGATCCAAGGGGGAAGGATTTCACATCCGTTCCCGGCAACAAGAGCGATCTAGCATCCTGAAATAGTAACCTGAATCGTGTCAACTCCGGTGGATGCGAATTCTGAATAATGCTATGGTGTATTCTAATCCATTTTTTCCCGCAGAAGTAGAGAACAAGCTACCCAAATTTGCGCTACACTATAATAAAGGCGAAGATGACCGACCGAACCTCAACCTCTCTAGGATCAAGCTCTCGTCCGGCATCTCCAAGGACATCAACGCATCAAACTGCAAATCAAAAATGTTCTAACCCAAGACAGACAGCCAGCTTGGAATTGGTCATTTTTTCCCCAGCGCCACATATCAATTCCATCGCAGAGGGCCAGCCGAACAGATGCGCTGAGCAGCGTCGAGGTAGGTGAAGTCGTATTTTAAACCACTTCGTCTGCAAAACGCCGAACCTATTGAAAATCTGAGGACGTCTGCTATATACACGATCGTCAAGGACATCAGCCGCAATGGCGACGCTGAAATTACCGCATTGCGAAGTATGCAACCATGGATAGCGCTCAACGCGTCTTTCGTCAATCTTTCCGCCAACTCCCGAATTTCATGCATCAAATAAAGAAAGTTGCTGGCTCAAATCCATTGCTGTCGGGTGCTAGGTTGCTCAATATGCACAGACAAAAAACCTTTCAGTCGTCAAAGACGGCATCGCAATGTGTATAAAGTAATCAATTGGGTACAAAGCAAAACCCAATAACGATAGAATGGTATCTTCAGTGCAAATGACACGACAAATGAGTACAACCATGCACATATGCATATATATGTAATCGCTCGGAAAGACGTGTTTGTAGATGCGACGAAGTCACTACATGTGGGACTAATCCCTCAGCCGATTTTTGGAGCTCTGATGATTCAGGTTCGTTCCATTGCTCATGAACATCATGGTGCTCTCTCTTCGTGAAGCCTTGTTGTAGGGCTGGTCGTAGGAGGCAGCAGAGCCGTCGGTGTAATTTTGTTCGTAGAGGGGTCGGTCATAGCCAGGGTTAGGTCTGGCTTGTCCTGGTATGTCGTAGCTTTCATATGCCGGACGGAGTGATGTCTGCGAGCCATTGCCTAGCTGACCATAATACTGCGGCTCGTAACCCAGTTGACGGGCCGCGGAAGGAGCACGCCCTCCAGCATTCATTAGAGCGGGAGGGGGTGTGGGAGTTGAGCGTTGCTGTTGTTCCATGAGGCGTTGTCTGTGAGGCGAGCCCGCTGCATTCGAAGTGGATGGGCGACGAGATTGATCGGTAGGGGCTCTCGAGTCCGCGTCAGAAACGGGTGAGGGGAGTTCGTACTCTTCAGGCTCGATCCCAAATACGCCTTCGTAGTTCTGCAAGAGCAGGGCAAAGACTGGGGCAGGTATGTTGAGCGTTGGAGAGAATACGATGCCAACGTTTCTGACAGTCATCTTGTTTGTGTCCGCGTGGTTGATAATCTTGATGAGGAAAGCAATTAAATACCGTAGCAGTGTACCGTTGGCCTGAGGAAGGAGCTGTACGAGCTCGCCCAATGCTGAAATCTTTTCCGAATGGCTGGACATCTCCGTGATATGTTGAAACTGCGGGTGGAGATCCCGCGTAAGTATGCTGGTAGGGAGCTCTCGAAGATATAGCTTCAAAAGCGAGGCAACAGCATGTATGTCGTAATAAGTCTCATCGGTGACAATGTTGACATCGCCCTCGAGGTTAAATCTTTCGCGCAGTTGTTTGATGACAACGTTGGAACCGCTGAGACGGAATATACCCTCCTCCCGGATGGCATTCTTCGCGTCCAAATATTGAATGCAACGGAAGACGACGGCCGGTAGTGGCACGTTCACATCCATGGGGCCATTGAATCTGACGGCGTCAGCCAATGGCGCGCCAAACACTTGACGAATGGGTCCCCGATATTCGTTACTTGGTGGCGCCACGGCCGCCGATCCACCGAAAAGAGCGTCGTGGTCGTCGGCGGTAGGCCGAGTCTTGGGGCCAAACCCGAAGAAGCTGCGTTTCCGCTGCTTCTTCTCTTCAATGGAAGGCCCGGGGGGCGCCAACCCCGCTCTAGCGCCCCAAGACGATCCATCCGAGATAACCTGGGGATCTCGCGGGGCAGAAATCGTGTACGAAGGAGGAAGCCGTTCTGGCGCGGGCTCAGGGGTGCCGGAATATTTGCGTCGGGACGGCACACTGTCAGGCAGATCGCCTTGCTTTGTGCCTTCATAGTTGATTCCGATCAAGCCTTCTTGACTGCTCGCACGAGCAATATGCGATTTCCCCTGGCCTTGTGTGTGATTCTTTCTCTTCGGGTTCGCACCGTTCGCATGTGACGAGCCAACAGAGCTTTGGCGGTCATGTGCGACGCTGGCCGGTGATTCCTCGTCTCCGGGTTCCTTGTAATCAATCCATCGAAGCAGCGCGTCAACCCAAAGGTCGCGCTCCGAGTCGCTTTCGGCGCATAGCACATGCTTCACGTGACTGGAAGAGTCCTTTTTCTTGGGTTCCAAGACCAAGAAGGCGTGTCGATATTGGTTATCGAGTTCGTCGTTGGATCCCCTCGCAGGAGAGTCATCACCCGCCTGCTGCGATTGCTTCCCAATTTGGGCATTCTGCAGCTTGATGGTACCCAGATGCGCTCCACCGGGCGTCTCGTAGTATCTCAAGTGGGGACCATCGAGAACGAAAAATCGCGCCTTCCAGCCGCCAAAGTTCTTGCCCCTCTTGGTGAGATAACCACTCCTAAATGGCCGTCCTCCAGGACCGGTCTTTTGGGTGGCGGTTTCCACACCTTTATTCACAGCGGTTCCAGTGTCGTCGGAATTAGGCGGTAATGTGTTCGTCGAAAGGTATCGGCACAGTTCCAAGGCTGTTGCTATGTCTAATGGGGTATTAAGTAGCTCGTCAAGATAATAGTTCAGGGCGACACGACGAGCGTCTAGCTTCGCGGGGGCATGGCCGCTGAACAGAGCCCGATCGGGGGTCTTGGCAGTGAATGCAGCGCATTGTTTGAGCCTTTGGTCGAGCTTACCAAGGGACGCCGAGTCCTTTTCGACCCTCCAGAGCTCTCCACCTTGTGCTCGGGAGTAGATGGCTAGAGTGAAGACGGGGTCTTCTTCCAATTGCGTGAGCGAGATCAGACTAGCTCTCGAAGGCCTCATGCGAGACGACGCAACTTTGACATCGATTGACGGCAGAGCATTGGGCGGCAACAAAAGATCCGGAAATTCGTCGGTGATGAATCCCTTGAAAACCCTGGTCCGCTCAACCGGGCTGTCACGACTTGCCGGCGGGCTTGGCTGATCTGCTTCTGTCGGTTGCTTGACAATGTTGAGTGGTTTCGGGGAGGACAACCCGCGAGGCTCTGCCAGTGGAGGGCTAGAGCTAGACAAGGGAGTGTTTGGAGGTAACGGGATGGGCTGTCGTGGTGCGCGCGGTGACAATGGAGCAGCGGGCATGCCCATTGCTCGGGGCGAGTGGGGAGGTGAAGTGACAGATCCCATACCCATCGGACGTGGGCTGGCCGGCAATCCAGGGCTCAGCATGGGCGCGGGAACGGCGGTGATCTGCAGGGTCTGTCCGCTGAGCACACCAGCAAGTGACGGGATGTTGTCGCGTGCCATCGACGAAGATGGAGCTGCATTAGGTTGTGAGCTAGACGGGAATTCAACTTGGGTGAAGGAGAATTCCGTTTCCTTCGGTGGCGTTTCTTTCTGGCTGCTTTTTTTGCTCTTTTTGGACAAGCTGCGCATCTCGGCTTCTTGTAATGCTAGAATCTCTCTCTTTTCGTCGTCTTCTTCTCGCGTTCGTCTTCGCCCCCGTCGCTCCGTTAGTGGCATTTCATCTACTTCCAACAGAGAGTCGAAGTCCGAGTCCGAGTCATTCTCATCCTCGGGCGAAACGGTTGCGGCGACATTTGCGTCCTTCTTCAGCTGCAGCGGAGCTGGTGGGGGCTTTCGCGGCGGAGGAGCAGATGGTGGCGGAAATTGTGCGAGGTTCTCCATTGTCGGCGACAATGGCGGCTTCGGAGGCGCCGTGCTCGGAGGCGCCATGCGTGGGGGCTCACTCGGAAGACTTCGCGAAGGAGGTATGCTAATATCGAGAAGAAGGTCCTTCGGAACACTAGCGGCCATCTTGGCTTCTTCGGCAGCGCGATCCTCTTCCTCGTGGTCGAAATTTCCCAACGCATGTTCCTGCGGCTTGGGCATGGCGTGAGTCGGGTCCAACAGCTCACCCATCGCAGAAGGCATGCTATTCGTCATATGATCCGCAGGTGGCGTAATAGGATAGGGTGCCATCGACATGTCGATGGGCGACTGTTTGATGCTGTCCGAGTCGGGGTTGGACGGTGACGCGGGCACGTCGACGGTCAGTTCCTTGGGAACATTAACGTCCACGTGCGGGACGATGGTAGCCGTTGACTGCATCGACAGCATAATATCATGTTTGGAGCGATCGTCGTGGGCAGACATGACTTCCTTCATCTTCTTGCGGTACTTCTCCTTGTCCTTGAGAGCCCGCTCCAGATCCTTGTTGAGGCCCAAGATCATCGCCCTTTGCTTGTCGACTAGTCGCCATAGCTGCGCATTCTGCTGTGATTGCGATTGCTTCTCTTTCAGCAGATACTGAATGACAGCCTCGGGGCTTCCTGCGGCCTTTACCAAATTGGCCACTTCCTGCGGTCCAGCAAGCGTATCTGGCGAGTGCTTGGACGAGGAGTTGGAATTGGTGGAGTCGATTGATGCCGTTCTCGGTGTTCCCTCGGTCGCCTCGACTCTCGAGGTGCTCGATCCGCCTGCCATGGCCGGCAAGCCTGCTGGAGGCTGGTTGCTCACAATTGGGTCGGAAACACTTCTGGTGTCATTCGGAGGAGGAGGGGCAAGGCTCGTTCTGTAATTGATCACGGGTTAGTTGCTGTGTTCTGTCCCACAGAGGGTAGCTCTGCGTCTTCAGGAAAGCACAAACCCGGGTATTTTCTCTGCTGGCGTGATGGGCGGAGAAGGGCTCTTCTGGCGGTAAGTTCCTGGGACGAGAGGGCGCTTGAAGTTATCGTCGGGCGATGGAGGATTACGAAGAGCACCGTCTGTTATCCGGGATACTGACGTGTCGTAAGTCCCCTGGGGGAAGTCGCTAGGGGTTAGGCCTGCGCTCGTTGGCGGAGATATTGCAGTGCTGATGTGCAGTGGACTAGTTGTAAATTTCCGTGGTGATCTAGTAAGGAGTAGAGTCCGAGTCAGCGCGCTGGCGAGCGTTTCGACGTGAGAGTTTCACAACAGGGTTTCCCATTAACGGCGCCGAGAGTCAAAAGGCCTCGGTAATAAAACGCGCGATGAGAGAATCAAGAGGGTGGGAAAAAGGTGACAAATGCGCAATCAGAGCCGCCAGGGAGAAATGTAATTAGAAACAAAGAAAACCTCGAGCAGGAAATCCGGTCGCAAGAGAGGGAACGTTACGAACTGAAAAGTGACCTTGAACGTGCCCGGGCCCACTACTAGTTGAAGTGCATAATAGTAATTCTTTGCTCACCTCGCGCTAGTCGTCGATATGGACAGTGGCCGCGGCGGCGCTGCTGCTGGGGCAGACACGTCAACGGCCTTGCTAGTGTCAGCAGTAACCGTAGCAGTAGCTTGTGATAAGACTTGGGTTTGAGCGGGTGTGTAGAGTTCTTGGGGATTCACGTGGGCTCCTTTGCCTATTGTCGGGCTGTCCTGGGTTGGTGCGGCAGCCGGAGACATTGACATCTGGGCGTTGGGCGGGTTCTGACTACACTGGAGGGAAAGCTGCGACATTGGTGCACTATGCAGATGATGCACTGCGTACCCGTTGAGGCCTAGACCAGCCAATTAAAGTTGCAGGGTACTGGGAGCCAGAGGGGGGGCAGTGGTCAGAGCTCTGTTCGCAGCACACCTCGTCCGGCTCACTGAGGTTTCGAGACGCCTGGATTGACCCTGATTGACGTTGTTCTTTGTGCGAGGTGGTACAGTGTACTGTCTAGCTGTCGGCAGCGTAGGGTGCAAGGGCTCGCCTTCAGAAGAACTGGAGAACGGAGTCTAGCATCCCAACTTTAGGAAAAGCGCATGGACGCGCGGATGGGATACTGGCAAGTTCGTGCTGTGATGCTGCAAACGGACCAGGGAGAGAACGATCGGTTTGGCTCTGGTTCTGGCTCTGGTTCTGGTTCTGACCTTAGTTGCCTGCTGGAACGAAAACCAACTACAAAAAGAGAAGAGCAAATATGTTGAAATTCAAAACGTGGAAACAACTGCTGCTCCTGCTAATTCTTTCGACAGTGACATCAGTAGGGGGTTGCTACTACCCTGCGGAGGACAGGTAGATCGCGTGCATTTGCAGAGATGGCTTGGGAAATGGTATATTTGCCGTGTATGGGAATGCCAATCACACCTAGAAACAGGTAGGTTTCCGTTGATGACCACGACACCTACCCATGTCTCATCGTGCCAGAGCAAGGTACATTCGACGGCGTCCCAAACTCCTCCCTTTATCAGTGACAGTCATCAGTCACGTCTGACAGATCGATTAAATTGCGTTTTCTCCCCTCGCTCGTCGATCTGCCAAGTGCCAGGGTCTTTCTCCACCAAAAGCGCATTGACGAACGCAGCAATTTTAGCGGTCGTTGAGAGGCCTGGGAGCCCTGGTATTCGCCGCATGAAGCACCGTCCAACCTGCACCGTCGCCTGCAGCACCATGGGTAAAAATCTGAATGTTCTTGTGGTTATTCCAAGGTAGGCACGTGGAGCAAGTCGCCGCACGTAACATGGACTACAAGACCAATGGCGTCACTTGTCAAATGAACAGACGCAGCATTGAAAACAAAACACAAAGAACCAGAGTCCAGAACTCGTCCCCTGCAGAAAGAACTCCAAATCAATCGGTGATGGCGCCTGTTAGGGCGCTACAAGCCTAACAGCCTGACAGGGTCTCGGTGCTATTTTCTTCAGACCCCGGATTTTTAGCTGCGCTCCCCAGGACCTTAATTAAAGTCCCTTGGTCGCGAGCCAGGGTGCATTTGCTAGCCCCTAGCGCCGTTCGGAGCATTCTAGTCACATTGGTCTTCGAGCTGAGAGCACTGGGAAACCCAAGCGCTTCGGATATCGAAAGATAATCGCACCTGACGTGACCAGCTTTGTTTTATTTTACATTATGGTTACTAGCCTCTTGCGAATCAGACGGTGGGGGGCTTGCATTGCTCCCAACTACCGGATTGCCCTGTCGAGATTGAAGGTTAAAAGTCTGCACGAAAACGGTCTAGATGTGAAGGCCTCTGCTTAGAGATTGCCTCTTTCGGCCACATCGTTTACTGGCGGCGAGGCGAGAGAATCCACAAGTTGCTTTCGCTCCCCCATGTATCATGCAGGAGGTCGGAGCGAGCTTCTGCAAGAACAGCGAAATGTCCTCAATGCAACAAGGCCCCTCCGCCATGACCAGTGAATACGCCGTGGAAAAGGACGAATTCGAGTGCCATCGCGCACATGCAGGCGACACGTTCGAAAACTTTCCGCAATTTACCTACTGGCCATGCTATCATCGCATTTCTTCATGAGGAACAATATAAACAATATTTTATGGAAAGGTCACAAGATCCAGCCAGATCTAGCTTTTGCTACAGCCTTACCTGCAAGCGACGCAAGCAAGGTTATGGTCTTGCTATTCTTCCAAGCGTCACCCGTTCTCAGAAACCCATGCGGGTGATGAGCTTCAAGGACTTCGGGAACGAGCAAACAAACAGTGGTCCCATGATCAAGACGACGTCTGACCAAACTTCCGCGCAGGCAATGTCTATCAAACCTCGCTAAATCTGCACTGTATTTCAGCCTGACACAAGACCAGATCCTGGGTAACCTGAGCGCTTCGAGAAACCGATTCGAAGTTTCGAAGGACCCCGCCAGCCACGTCGCCTCGAAGGACCGGGCTAAAACGCTGACATTCACGCAGTCTCATAGATACCCGGATTGTAGACACCACACCACTCATTGGCATTTGCATGTTAAGATCAACAACAGTCGCATCAGCGAGAGATTCGGATGATGCACCGCACCGACAATGAAGATCGCAGTGGGCCCCTATTCATTGCGGCCGGTCAGGGTCTCCGGCTTTTGCGTTATCCGGAGCAGAGTCGAACGACATCTTTCGGTATCCGTCAGAGCCGCCAGAAGCGAAGTGGCGTCACCCACCCGGCCTCGTCAGTCTCCGCAGAAGGTGGATGATATGGAACTCATCGGCCCATTACGTCTTCAGATCTAATATTCAGCACAGATCTCTTGTGGGCGAAGCCATCATCAGCTAGATGAGCCTCACGCCTCCACCTTCACTCCATGTGGGGTTCGTGATCTGCCTTACTCCTCGACAGGTTTAGCCTCTGTACGTGATGAGATGGCGGTGTGACCGTCAACCTACCAGAACAGCGCTCCCATTTGTGTCATCAAATTCACCTCAGCATCTGCTACTTGGTCTGGATTGCGCTTCATCCATGATGTATCAGTTGAGAATTGGGCAAATCTCCCCATCCCGTAACGCGCGTAATTTCGCAGATGCTCGAGCTCACTGGGAAACCCCGTCTGCTGTGCTTGATTGGATTCATCGACCCGGCCGGCAAGTGGTGCCGCCCCTGACCTTAAGGTCCGAGGCTATCGAGGATGCAACATCATGAACAGAAGCATGCCGCTCGATGTAACGATGAGGTCGAAGTTCATCCTGTGCAATCTTAGGTTTCTTGGAACTCGTCCGTTCGACTGCCTTCGGCCGGCCGCATTGCACCGCTCACTTCGGCGCCAGTGCTGGGCTGCCATTCGACTGATCCAAAATGGCAGCAGGTAAAGCTTGGACCTCTTCCATTGAGCTTTGTCCTTGGAGCAACGCAAGATTCCAAACCCCCAGCGCTAGAAAATATCTGTTGCTTGACATTCCCCAGCGTGAAACACTCTTGCAGGTGACAAGAATATGTCCGACTCACCAGCGACAGGCGATTTGAAATCCAGTCCACACCTCAACACCTAAACACCTACAGCGCATCGTCCGTGCGATGGTACTAGAGCTTCTTTTTCTAGCGTCGACTACCTACCTACCCGGTCAAATGGACTGGGTAGATCTTTCTGCGAGTCAAAAGGTAAATTCGACGGCTCTTCATGCTCATGGACCTGGTGGCCAATCAACACTCTCGAGGTTGCCATTCGCAAGACGGACGCCACAACATCTGTTTGACATGCCAGATTTCCACGACTGATAGCAAATCAAGGAGAATCGGATCCGCGTCGGCTCAGTAAGAGAGGCTTGATCCTGGCAGTGAGTTAGACCGTTGGTGATTGGTGCGATCAGATGGACGAATCGCTCAAAGTCACGATCCGCTACTCTGCCTACTATTTAATGAGCTTCTTGCTTCTCCTTGGCGATTAATTCTTTCCTGTGGCTGGGTTAATCGATGTGGTTTTACGCCAGTGCCACGACACTGCGTTTCTCCGCGAGGCTGAACACCGCTGTCAAGACTTGGATGCGCAACAAGCATGTTGCTGTGAGCTGCTGAGTAGCATCGCCGGTCCCGGATACACGAGGCCAACGCCGCTGGGCACACACCAGTCCACACGCATAGATCATGTGAAGCTGTCAACTGCTGATGGGGGTAGGATGTTCATACTCGAAACAATATCTGATCGGAATGTAGAAATTCCCCGCCGGAACTGGGAATGTGAGGGGCCCCCAAACAGGGGCTTCATTACGATGCTTCAATGCCCAACAAAGTTCCAATGACTCGCACTCCCAAATTTCGATATCAGCATCAACCAACATGGGGCAGGCCAAGAGGCTAAGAGATCAAAAACTGACAGCCTCATGGTCAGCTTCGGCCGTTATCTAATGGGAACTCCATCAGCTGAAGACGCTTTGGGCCTTAGCGCGCGCCCTTTCCTTCCCTTAGGGTTCACTGTCTTCTTGTCTTCGACATTTGCGGTAACACGCCAGCCGGCCGAAGGGCCGAATTAAGTAATCTTATTCTCGTATGCGAATTGAGACAAGATCTGGTAAAGCTAAGACCTCCAAGTTACTGTCGAACAGTGGGGCGAGTAAGAAGGTGACGAATTTACATAGTACGCTCACGTACGACACTTCTTGTATACTTTACTGAGGATATAATTATCACACCCAAGTGGGGACTTTGACTTTGATCGGCGACCTCGTCTTGACGGGATGCCAGCGGCTTGGTAGCATTGCTTCAGTATATCAGTCCTGCTATATGAAGGTGTTGACATGCCAAGCCCTCCTCGCCTCATTGCAATTCGTCTTCCCTCACAATCGGGCGGCCGCACCGTAAATCCCACGCAAACCACCCATCATTCGACAATGACGTCTATGTCTCCCTTTCGCATTGAAGAGTGCCGCTAGCGTTCGTCCCAATCGCCCTAGTAGTTCATGGGACTTGAAACGGGAGAACCGTATTGAGGACCACCTCATGATCTTTTGGCTGAATGGGCTATAGTTTCAGAATCGGTTTCACCGTGGCCTGGTCCATGCGCCTGTCGGTCGTCTGCGACCTCTCAGATCAAGTGAAGTCGGTCACAGTTTGGATTTCCAAACAAGGCAGCTGGGAGAAGTCTAGGACCGGACATGTCATGTGTGCAATTGCTCTCCCTGACAGTTTTTCCGCCTGATGCTTCGATTTCGTGGTCCGGCCAGAGAGGCGGCGACCGATTCCAAATTTGCGATACGAATACGATTCTTATTAATCAGCTTTTGTGCATCTCCGAATCGACCACTTACTAGGGCGAGTCCATGACTTCATCGGCCTTGTAATTGATTGTTAAGGGCTCAATGACCTCTCAACGCGGCAGGCTTTGGGTTGCAGCGAGACTCGTCTACGCGTCGACTCGGGCAATCAGTCAGTCCGAGGGAGGATATGTCAGCGCTCTCTGTTTCTGGTCAGTCTAGGAGTTCGGTTGCATCGCGCACTACGTTGAGGTTATCACTCGCCGTCAAAACGGGCGATTGGGGTGTGGTAGAATCGCTTCCCTTTCTAGGACTGGCCGTCGCATGGAAGCAACAGCCGGCTTCGAAAAGTCACAGCCATAGATCAAGCAAAGTATTGCACTTCACGTAACACGAAGAGATTCACTTTTCGCTACGACAGCCTTCGTCGAAGAGTAATCTCAACTCTTGAGGGCGTCCGCACTGAGCGCGAGAACCGAAACTTTGCAATTTCATCTCGTGTCGTCGAGCCGCTTTGCGGATGGCACTTATCCTCAACTTGGAGGCTGGCAGGCAGAGGTCATGGATTGCTGACGTAAGTGACATATGTGCCATTGGTCCTGTTGCTACTCCTATCTTGTAGTCCAAAGGCAGCTGAGTAGCAAGCATATGACAAGGATTGAATGCATGTGAGAAAACGAGGAGGATATGTCTATGCTCACCTTGCTTAGTCGCTGAACATGGTCGCGTATCAGCAAGTGCATGGCCGTCGTGAGCCAGACGTACTTCTAGTTTGAGTCGCTGCTAATTCTGCCTGAAGTGGTCAAATTCAAAAAGTAAATGTCCATTCCGCCGGGCTGGTGTTCCCTCCGGAGTTGGTACTCGATCAAAACAAATCCTGAATATGCCATATGGCTTCAAACTCATCCGAACCAATGGACTGATGTTGGGTTTCCAATCATTATTTTACCTAATCCTGATCGTTAGCACATCCTCAAAACCCAATCTCCCTTGGCAACCTGACGGAAGTCGATATCTGGGCTCGTATAACTGTTGATTGTTTGTCATTTCATATCATCGAGGGGTTTATTATGGATAGTATTGTGCCTCGACTGGGAATAATCTCGTGAGTTAACTAACAAAGTAAAACGTGGAGGTGATATTCCGACATATTCGATGAAATTGAGGTTATTGGTATCAGTCTAAGAGGTCTGTGCCTCTTTCACCCGCCAGCTGGTTCGAGACAAGAGCCTCAATTACTAGTTTCTTGTATTGGTCGAGAACTAGGTTCTGTTCTTGAATGCTTCCTTATCACACATAACGTCGTGGATGTTGTCCACCTGGAGGTCCCCTAGTCAACAAGTTACTAACAGATCCGAATTCAGGAGATGATAAACTACTGCACTATTTTAGCCTAAGGTTAAAGTCAAGGATGTTATCTGGCATTAAATACAAGTCACGTACTTTAGGGGTCTCATCAAGCTTCATGTATAGGCACGAAGTTTTCTACCACAAGTGATTTATTCGCCTCAGAGTAAAAACATCAGTCAACCATAAGCCTTCGGGCCTTTAACTTTAATAGTTAACATATTTAACGAGAATATTGAGGGGTTTTAGATGTGGCAGTACCGTGAGTATTAAACGCCGATTGCCTTCATTGTAAGAAATAAAGGAGTCTCTTGTGACTATGACTCCAAAACGTATTACTCTGTTGTCGAGACTTGGTCTAACTGAATCATTTACAAATCGCAGGGATACCATGTTTAAGCTGGTGGTCTAGACTCCTTAGTCGTCCTGCCGATCCAGCAACCGCTAGTTTACTTATACCGCCAGACCAATCTGCGATTTGCTCACTCAAGTCTTAACTATGGAGCTCAGGGGGCCTCGTAACGGAGTGATTCACTCGACCTATTCTGGACTCCCTCCACCACCCATGGGCCATTACAAGAAAGTTAAGAAGGCGTGCGCACAGCCTTTCTACAGAAACTCTCATTCGTGCTATCGGATAGAGTATCGACGCAAGCTCGACTTGAGGAAGAAGACCGGCGGTCTGCTCGTGACTGGCCACGCCTTCATACACTGGTATCAAAACATGTCAGAGGTGGTACCTGCGCAGCCACCATCACTACTTAGTTCCAGACCAACAACACTAGCCTAGCTTTCTTGCCTCACATAATACACTTCATTTCTATTGTGTGTCCCTCAACAAAACATGTCTCTTAAAAGGATAATAGGCATACACTCACAACAAATAGAAAGCAACTTATCGTTCCCCGACAAATGAGATGTATCCAATATGATGTTGACCGAAATTATCAAGAGTATTACCGTAGTGGTGGATCTTTTCCGCAACTTGCCGAAGCCATTTTCTGCGCCGTGTGTGCCCACGGCATTAGCAACCACATCGCGAAGTTCTACCAAAGAAGCCGCCTGGTATACAATAGCCTTGCTTCGCGCTTGATATACCGCATCGTTTGCGAAGTGTTGGGCAGAAGAACGGAACGCTTTCTCTGTCATGCCACTATTTCCTGTCACGGGTGAGTGTTATGCTGTCATCAAGTATAGCGTTGTGGTTTAGCTCTAACTGGGACTTTCTGCTTGATACTACGATTGAGTTGTCTCATAGGAACCCATATTAAGATGCCTAGCATCAATATTGCATCATTAGCTAAACTGAAAAGAACTAGGTCTGCCAGTCGTGGAAATATCCACACTTTGGTCAAGCTGTCTGTCACTGAGGGGCAGACTAGTTGTAGTTCCCCTTATACTACGACTCCGAAACTGTCTCGTAACAACAAAATACCCCAACAACAAAGAAAAAAGCCATTGGATATATATCTGAAGGCCCCTCTCACAGGAAAGCAATATGTCAGTCGTAATCGGATCAAGCAACTGGAGGAAGTGCGAGGTCTCAGGCGAATGTCAGGGTACGGCTAGGCCGAAGGCAATAGTACAGAGTGATGGGGAGTAACGGGCGTCCCTCCTACGTAGCACCGGGTGGTCACTGGCGGTCTCAGGTAGGGGTGCCCACGATGATGCATTAATCTCTGCTCCCTCCCTATCCTACTACGATATGGTCCTTATAGAGATAGCTAGACTACCGCTTAGACACAGCATAACAGCAGGGTCGGCGATGCCGAGGATCTTGACTCTCGTCATCCCAAAGCTTCACATAGATTGTAATCATGACTCGGGAGTCTTTTGTCCGAAACACCCCTCCGGCGCCCCACCGGTGTCCTGCGTTCAGTGTCCTGACAGCGAAGAACACAAGAAAGCTTGAGTTTAGTCAACATGAAAATCTTGCATCATCCTAAAAAACGGGAGTTGAATTCGTTACCTGGGAGCACCTACATGAGAATGAACCGAAGGGGATATTAGACTTAGAAGTCGCCTCCCAGTCTCAGGTCCCAAAAAACATAACGAACACCAAGGTGATATTGCATTTGTAATACACAAGCACTATGAGGTGGAAACCTAGGGGTCTGTTGGTGGATGAGGCCATCAAAAACAATCGGGCCCTGCTAGATCCAGAGCTCGTTCAACAGGTGGTCCAACTAGTCCCCAAGGAGATGATTGCCGTTGCCGAGATGTTTTTCACTCAATACCCATACTTGGAAATGAAAGCTACACAACGAGTGGATGCGCCTTTCCCATGATTGTAGGATTGCTGAAAGGTAAGAAAACTGGAAGCATTACCAGACTGAAAACGATAACTTACGGGACTCCTTACCGTATGTATACAAGATAACCGTTCGGAAATCATAACTTGGTCGACTCCTAGTCTCAGAAAGGTTTGGTGTCAAACTTGTCCACGGAATATCTAATCAAGCCGCAGGATGTTTGGGTGAGAATTGGAGAGGGAACATACGCCAGTTATCTGGCAACGTCCCGACCCCTAGAAATATCTAAAACTGCAGATGCGGATCCCTCCAGTCGAGACCAAACAGAACGGAGACAACAGAAGTGGCATTGAAAAGCCATTTCACTTTCGCATACGTTCACGGGCATTAAGCAGAGAAGACCTTCGTGTAAAACACAAAAGCTCAACATCATCGACACCACCGCCTCCAACAAGATGCCTCGGATACCAGGATGAAAGAAATCCATGATAACGTCCCACACGTACATCCGGGACACCCCCACATGTGGGACGCCCTAAAAATGACACTGTATATTATAACCATTAACTTCAACCTTTTTTTATACTTATTCTAATGCGACTACAATACAGCTTTCACCGTCACTAGGGTTTTCAGACTCGCTAGACTCATCTGTACTATCCTCAATTTCACCAGCCTCGATTTGAGCCTTCCGAATAGCCTTGATATTAGTAAACTTCGAATTTGGGCTCATCTTGACCTTCCTTCGCTTCCTAGCCCTACTAGCCTCAAGCTCTGCCTCTATTGCCTCAATCTTTCGCTGTGCGACAGCTAATTGGTAGTCCTTCTCATCAAAGCTCTTTTGAACTTTCCGAAAGAGTAGTCGCTGGGTATTTGGATCACTATCAAGCTTGCTGAATAAGCTGAGTTGAATCAGGGTTAGCCATCGATCGTATCGCTGGCATTTTGACCCACTCTCGCTCGCTGACCAGCGAGCGGCCTTAAGGACGCTCGTCGAGCGTTGACGTATCGCTAGGTGGGTCGCTCGGCAAGAATGGTGATAGTTTTTGGTGTTTTGGTATTACTACATAACCTCGTCGTCCAGCCCTGAGAGGCCAGCTGCTCTTACAACAAGCCGCCAATCATTGTTATCCACCAAATGGAGGGGAATTTGTGGTGTGTACACGCCATTCAGACTCCAAGACCGTATGCTCTGGGCCTGTGATACGATCCATCGGCTTAGGCGATTCCTCAACGGACTCAATATACGCCCTGCGCTGTTGAATTGATGCTCAGTCTCGCATGTTGACGGAGGTATAGTAAGGTAATCTATAGCCATATAGCTAAGCCGAGGAAAACGTCGCTGACCAACATCCCTCCACCATCGTATTGGGTTATCCTTGTATACTGCGATGTCGCAGACTGACTCGGCGAGGTATAGATCGAGCTCATCTTCGATTGGCGGCAGCGGTTGGGTAACTTGGGCCGGACGCTTCGCCCTAGACTTGTATATCTTCGTCCTTCTTGTCGCCTGGGTATTCTGTATGCTTTGCGTACCGGGGTCGGGTATCGTGGAGTTGTTACTACGTTGCCTAAAGAATAGACGTCTTTGAGCAAAGCTCATCGAGGCCACGCTCTGCTCAGTTGGACGCTCGCTGGTAATTACGTCCCTATGGCACATCTCTAATTAGTCATTATCGCACAAGAGCACGCTAACTTACTTGGTACTATAGTTATTAACCCACTCCATCCTTAGCTTGCCCATTACGTCAGCCCTCCACGTATCTTGCTGCCGACAAGGTATCGACGACCAGGCGTCGTCGAGATGCTTCATCTTTCGGCAAGGATGGAAGATTACGGCAGCATAGTACGCGAGCCCCGTCATCTTGGTATAGAACTCGTCGAGCTTTTTCCAACCAAGACGCAAAAAAACCTGGAGTGTGCGGCGCGTTTTAAGGTCAAGTCCTGTAAAGAAATCGCGTATTAGTACTAGCTAAGGGAAAAGTTAAGCGCCATACCTTCAAAGATTGGGATATCTTCACCATTTAGCTGACCATTGTGAGACCTCTTTTCTATATAGACAACGCCCTCATTGGCAGAGCGCTCGAGATGGTCAAGCAAGATCTCGAATGAAGGGAAGTAATCCCACATGCCGCCGGCCTTGCCCTCCTCGTCATCGTTGACAACAGCGCGCGATTGCAGGCTTTTTGAGACAACTGCGAAGTCCCTTAATACGAGCTGAACAGCCCGGATCACGCGCCAACCATTGGTAGTAAGGCCATACTTGAGGATCTAATCAGGCTAACATTGTCATCGAAGAACAGGTCAACGTCATCCTGTAAATCGGTCGGAATTGGAGATTGCGAGGCATTGGCTTTATTGGCAATTAGTTAGGGGACTCTAACGGTCCTAAACACCAAAATAGGGTCACGATACCACTCTAGCTCCACTTTCTTAGCTTCAACCCCTGTCAACAGGGCCCGACCCCTAGTAACTTCCAGGGGCACCCTACTCTCGCCGAGACTTAGCGAGCGATCCGGGTCAAGACCTCTCGCCGCGAGAATTTGCAAAGCCATTATCACTCGTCGAGATCTTGAGTATGCCAGACCCACTCGGCGATACGCTCGTTCTTGGCGCCAAGGCTCGCCGATCCCCTCGGCGAGCGCTCGATCGATGGCTAACCCTGGAGTTGATCTTGGAGCTCATCTCTCCTCTTAGGCGTTGACCAAGCTACTGCTGATGTCTCTAACGCCCAGTCCTGACTACCCTTACTATCAGAGTACCCTTTGCAAGTCTAACTAGGCTGTTTGATTGGTGCTGACGTATTCTCAAGGAGCAGGGGGCTCATAAGGGGTCTAGCTATGCTCGAAGGCCAGAGACCAGTATATTTCCATCCACTGATAATGTTCTTAGCGGTCAATGCTGCTAGTGCCTTTCTATAGCAGAGGAGAAAGCTTCTCTTCCCTACGACAGTAGTAGTATCCCATCGGTCAAGGTAACCAAGCTCCTTCTTATAGGCTGCCTTGAGGGGTCCAAAGACTGACTGATCGAGAGGCTGGAGAACGTGGGATGTGTGTGGCGGCAAGAAAACCAAGTGTATCTTGTTTACGAAGCAGAGGTACATAAACTCTGTCGTTTCGTGGCTACTATTCCCATCTAGGATAAGTAACCTAGTCTCTTCAGGGTCCTCTGGTTGAGTCAAAGGAATAAAGATCTTTTGTAGCCACTCAATAGCCGTAGAGTCTGACGTTCACCCATTCTCTGTTGCTGTAAACCTCCAGGCTTCGTATGGAGTCAAGTCCAGAGGAAACCACTGCTGCTGGACAGACTTCCCCTTGTATATCACAAGTGGGGGTAGTGCAGTACCAGTCGCAGAGATACACTCTATAAGAGATGTCCAAGCTCGAGATCCAGGCTGTTTCTTCCGTATAGAACGAATCTCAGATGACCCTAGAACAAGACCATTTGATCCTCTACCTTCTAGAATACCTGTCTCATCCATATTGTACCGATTCGAGGCCTTAATAGCTTTGATCTCAGGGATAGCGAGGTATTTGAACCATTGCCTGATCACATTAGCTGAGGCTCCATTAATACGCTGGGAATCGATAGCTCTGCTTCTCTGGACCTTGACTGAAGGGTTCCTCTTGATAAAAGCCTGGACCCAGTTGTTTCCAAGTGGTTCGGTGTCTCCGTGGATCTGTAGGATACGCTCGGCGAAGTCTTTGAGCTGTTGATGGGTTGGTGGGAGGCCTAGGGCAGCCTGGATTCGAACCCATTCAGCCAGATGAGCTTCCTGAGCTGGAGAGAGCCTCTGGTAGTCAGCGAAGGCTATATCTCTTGACTGGGCTCCCTGAATCCGTCGTGAAAGAGTAGACCTTGGGACACCATGCTCATATGCTGCTTTTCGGAGGCTTTGACCGGTAGCTATTGCTTGAAGAGCTCGATAAATATCATCTTCGGTATATTGACTCATATTAGTGTAAAGAAGACGTACATAAAATTTCGTAACGATTGAATTGATATTGGTAAAGAAAAAAGAGGTTGAAGTTAGAGGCTAGCGGTGTTGATGAGGCATTTTTGGGTGTCCCGGATGTGGGTGTGGGACGTTATAACTCAATGGTGGAAATTCTCGCAAGATGCAACCTACGAGTATGGACTAGCTAATTACAGAGTACTATACGTTTGAGTCAAGTGCCTTGCTGGATACTAATCAGAGCCCATCAGATCTGCAGTTATTCCGGGCATTATCCACCTTCACAATTTTACTCGAGAATATAGATAACATATTTGAATGCCACCTGCAGTTTCGCACACTTCAAGCTTTGGACAGAAGATAGGACGGGATTATAGATGGGGAAATATTCCTTCGGATTATGTGAATTGGTATGCATGAGTTTATCCAGCACAAACCCGAAAACATAAGTTGAAGTTTTTTTTGGGGGGTGTTTACCCCCCTGAATCGAGACACCATGCATTTGGACTCTTAGTTTCAATATAGACATTATTGTGCGTTGTCACTTCCCTTTGCTAAATAATCTTGAAGACGTCACACATTACAGGGGAATACCATTATCCTCTCCCTAAAGCCTATCTATGACTTGGCTACGTGGTCCCTTCGGCCGCTTGTAGACTATATCTAAATCAGACCTTCTGATTGAGTATGCCGCGTCTTAATAGAGTTCTAATGACCACATGTGATACCTACACTAAGACCTTTTAGAGTACGAGCTACACCAATGTGTAAAACGAAACCCAAAGTATAGTTGAGAAAAACGATTAATTCACTATATAATAATACTACTACTGCTAATTGAAGAAGCCCAACAGCACTGCTCCATGAACTCCAAGCAATATGACCCCACAGCTAATACTTCCGCATAATCCACCAAAAATGAGCTAGTTAGAAGGTGCCGTTCTCCCCTCTCGAGACACCATAGGTCAAGCACCCAGCAAGAACTCTGTGAGACTGCACAAATTCCTCGACAAACGACCACACGTTTTTCAGGGTTCCCTCACATATCTGATTGTCAGGAAAGCAACTTAGTCCACCGGTGGCGTGATCCGACATCAGGTTGGGCTTGCTCAGAACTGGAACAGTCCACCCCCTGGCATCCCCTCAATCAGAGGCCCCATAAATCCATCGTTCATAACATACCGCATGCTATTCTCGTACCCCTGATCTCCTGTTCCGATTCCAGAAAGCGTAAGACCCATGGCCTGCTCGAATCCGTCACCCAAACTTGTGTAGTCAAAGTCCGCCATGAAGGCGTTGTTGAGGTAGGGCATCGCACTCCCCGAAGACACCCCACTGACGCCGTCGCCGCCCGGGGTTGAGTCATATATGAAAGGTTGTGACTGCATCCATTGGTTTTGTTGGAAGACTTGAGCGTTACCACCACCGGCGGCAGCTGCGTTCTGGTTGTTACCACGAGCGCCATTGCCGGTCGCTATTTCAGAAAGAAGCTGTAGCGGTGTGTTCGCTGGGTTGTATTCACTTTGTTGCTGTTGTGGCGGCGGCGGCTGCTGCTGCTGCTGCTGATGCGGGGCTGTGGAACTGCCACCGTTCGTCTTGGTTGCGTCGCTCCCCTGGGCGTTGGCCTGTTCCTGCGACGGGAAGGGCACTTTGCCCTGTTTCTGAAACCAGCTCTTCAACATGACAAGTACAACGAGGAACTTCCCAGCTGGCCTGGACTTGTCGGAAGCAGCGGTCTCGCGAAACTTGTCGAGGAGTTTGTCCAGATATTCCTCCACTTTCATGTTGTCCTTGTTAATGACCTTGCCGAGCTCTGAGTTAGGCGTGCTAGCGCTAAAGTACATCTTGATCAGTACGACAACCGCGTATGCTACGCGGACGAAGTTGAATACAGGTAGACAGCGAATGCTAGGCGTATCCATGGCTAAGAAGGTGTCGAAGATGCCGTCGATTGCGGTGAGACATGACGACAAGGCGCCGATATGAGCAGCGGTCAAGCTCTCGTTAAGGCCTGGCACTGGATCGCGAAGAGCCTCGGCGTTGAAGGGCGGTCTGAAGTTTTCCTCTTTATCAACGTATAGTGCGACCTCGTGCATGTAAAGACTGAGTACGTGGAAGCTCAGCACAAGAGAGGCTACTAGGTTGTCAGTAACTGTTGCGCAGATGGGTGGCAGATGAGGGCGGTGCCGTAGGCGTGGAAGAAGGCGTGGAATGAGCACGACACGGAGATATCACTTACGGAGATTCTCGGACTTCGGGATCGATTCGCTGTACTTGGTCAAATCTCTTTCGAAGCCTCGCAGTGCGTACTGCACCTTAGGTTCAGCAACATTGACAAAGACCCCAGGATCATCCATAGAGAACTGAAGTCCGACCTCTTCAGTCAGCCGGTGTGTCCAGACCAAATGACACAGATATTTATCAGTTGGTGCGGCTTCAGGGGATGACTCGAGTATATCCATGCACTCCGTCATGAACGACGTCCATCTTATAAGATTAGGTCGGTGCAGTGCCATGGCCACGTTAGAGGCTAGGAAGTAGCATGCTAACCAAGCCCTTCGAGACTCGATCGTCGTGGGGTCGGGAAGGGGGCTCTTCCTGAATGGGTGGTCGCGCCAAGTGTAAGGGATCAATCGTGATTTTGGGCTGTTCTTCTTCCTGCCCAGGCCGATGTCGATTGCCATGACAGCACCCATGTGCACAAATTGATAGAACTTCAGCTCCTCGAAGTGTTCTGGCGGATAGTACCAGACAACGCCAACTTGAAGCGCCTGGACCATCTCCAAGCTCTTATCACCGGAGATGATGATCTTGTCGGCGTAGGTTTGCATGAGCTCTTTGACGAGTTGTCTTTGAATGCCGGGTGCGTCCGACGATGCAGCCGCCATGATGGCAAGGAAGAGCGTAGGTTTCGTTTTCCTGATGTCGGCAGCGGTGGTCCCGGCTGGGAAAACCACTGCAGGCAGATGACAGACCATGTGGTCGGTGTAGCGCGCAAAGAATTCATTCGCCTGGTCCATGGTCATGACTCCGCGATCGATTATATCGGTCTCCGGGTTCCTGACCGCCACAGACTGCGTCGTCGGGGAGTCCTTTGAGATATCGGCAGAACCGTCTCCGGCTTCGGCAAACTTACGCTTTTGGCCCGCGACGACCATGGGAGGTGCGGCCGACTTCTCCGGCTCGGGTGCATACTGCATCGTTTCCCTCGATGGCGGAACGCCCCATTCCCTAGGTGTGTTGCCGTACGGAGGCATAGCACCGTAGCCATGTTGCTGCTGCTGCTGCTGCTGCTGTTGTTGTTGTTGTAGTTGTTGTTGTAGTTGTTGTTGTACTTCTTGTTGTTGCTGCAGCTCTTCCTGAGGTTGTCTTGAGGCATGCAAACTCGCGGTCAGCGCATCGATCTTCTTCTCGAGCTCTGCAACGCGACTGTCCGTCTTCTTCTGCCTCTTCCGCGTCGGCTGCGTGACGAGGCAGGCCCTGCCAGCCTTGGCACATCTCTTGCAAGGGCCATCGGGGTTGGGATTTGTTGGGTCAGGTTCGCATCTGACCTTCAATCCGCGACAGGCCTCACAGGCGCGCGGTCGTTTGGGATCATTGGGATCGTGGTGATGGGCCGTACCATCGGTGTTGGGGGTGTCGCCGGCAGCTGACAGCGGTGGCAGGCCGTGACCCGGGTTGATGGGTGTGTGAGGCGTATGAGGCGTGTTATAGCTCGGTGCACCCGTTGGCGACGGGCCCGATAATGTCGACGGTGATTCAATGACGTGATGGGGGCCGGCGCTGGGCTCGTGGGACTTTGGGTCGTGGACGGGCGGGTTTACGGTGATAGTTCTTTCGTCCGCGGTGCCGCGCAGCAGAAGAGGGTCGATTTTGTCCATGGCCGGACCTTTGCAGCTACTTTCGCACCGTCAAAGCCCCAGTTCCCGTTGTAGAGTGATCTCGGGCGGAAAGTGATGCTGGCCGCCGATGATGGTATTGACGGAGCGGGTTTGTAGAGACCGGTTTGCCGATGCAAAGTTCCAGTAGAAGGGTAGTGGCAGCCTTGAGAGGCACAGACCACCATCCTCGGCGCTTGCCTCACTCCTCAGTTGACCAGCATGCAAAATGGCGGGGCATTGAATCAGCTTGACGATACCGAGTACAGATGCTGGGCACACCCTCAGACACTATAGCTGCTGAAAAAATGATCCTGTCGGCATTGGGAGTACAGATGCCATAGTTAATATCAATCTCATGTACCATATACGTCGAGCTTTCTCATGGTACGAGGGCATAACCTGTCTCATCCCTTCATATTTGTCATCTAGATTCCACCATCCATTATGGGTATGAGTTCCTGTTGCCAGTCCCAATTCAGGTATGTTCCCATCAGACACTTCGGAATCTTCACGGATCAATTATCAGGGAATTATGGTTTGCATGGTTGGAATATACTCCATTCCCCAATTCAGCGGCGCACACAGATGTAGTTATTCATCGCGCTGGCTTGATACCAATTCGTAGTCCGGCTCCCTTACAGCTGCGTCCGAATCCCCGCCTTGATCGACTCCTATATACATTGCTCTGACCCGTCCAGCATTGGACTCCGGGGCATCATCCAGCCCCCAATTCTCGGCCGTGTATCTTAGTTTTCTCACTCGGTGACAGTCGAAGCGGTTTTCCTAGCCAGATTTCCGCAGGGCTTTTCAAATTCGCCACACCGCCTCTTCCGGGCACGGCTCTCAATTCATTTCTCGTCGCGCAAGTCAATTTCCCAGCAAAAGCTGCCGCCAGATCGCCTCGATTTGCCCGTCGCATCCTTCCAACGCCTGGAAAAATTCTCAACGAACGACGTTAGTCAAAGGACGGTGTAAGAGGAAATACAGAAGGCAGACGCCGTAGTTTTATGTTTGGTGGCAATAGTGATGCGACCAGAGAAGTTATGTCTCAGGCATTGTGGCATAGATTTGTGTATGTTATGACGTTGTCGTCACGAGTCCAAAATCACCTCGTCGTTTCGTCGGTGTCATGATGACACAGGTCTGCGGACTGACCGCTAGTCCATCAGTCCATGTAGAAATCGCCCTTGAGGATTCGTTCCTGCATATGATCGGGCTTGGGTCGCTCTGGTTGCTTGGGCTTCAGAGCAGCCGCCTGCTGGGGTGGAGCAGGCATGTCGGAGACCGACTTGGCGCGGTCATGTTGACCGTTGCCGGCTCGCGGGGGAGAACTAGCAATGCCAGGCGCGAAGGATGGGCGCATGCCCGAAACGCTGCTTTCGGCACGGGATCTAAGCTGCTCGGACCAGTTGAACCCTTGGTCTGGGCGAGCGGCAGAAGAGAGCAAGTCAGATGGGGTTCTTGCGGGAAGTGCTGTGCTTGCCTGAGAGTTGCTCGTTCTCCGAGCAGCAAATGAAGCGAGAGGAGGGTTGCGGCCATTGCTGCCAGATGAACGTCGAGGTTGGTCGGGCCTACCAGCTGACCCGGGGCTTGTTCCCCCGCCGGGTTGACGCATAGAACGCATGGCTTGGGCGCCGAAGCTCATGCGACGTACAAAGGGAGTAGTGGGTGCGGTTCGCAACGAGTCGTCATCATCTACAGCATTCTCGTCAATGGAGTCGGACGTGTTTGTAGATATGCTACCACGTCGTAAGCTTCCGAATGGTGTCGAGGCCGACGCAGGGCCTGTTCCCGATAGACCCAAGGTAGTGACCGATAGACGTCTGCGCTGGTCTCTAGCCTGCGCAGTCAACGAGCCAGGCCCATTGTTCGATCCTGTCGAGGTAGAATTGCTCCGCTGGAAGAGGTTCGAGAATGCAGCCGAAGTGACCGAACCACGACGGTTGCGGCCCATGTCGTTGGGTGCGCTGTCGTTTTTGTCGTTGGACATCTTGACGGTAACGGACAAAGAACTAAAGGATAGTAGGTTGCAATGGTGATGCTGGGTGAGAGATGATATTTGTACTCGGCAACGACAATGAGGTGCGAGGGTGGTTGCAGAGAGGGGAAACCGGGTGCCTGGTGTATTTATTCCCAGACGGTACTTGTGTGATCCGAGCTCCCAATATCGAGAGACAGTCGATAGTGGTAATGGCAGAGAGATAATACGAGTCAAGAGGGCCTGTTCTTTGTGGGGATGGATGATAAGGTGTGTAGTAGCGTGGGTGTGACAAACGAATATGCTGCTTCCTGTGATGCAAATAGAAGCACTAGAAGGCCACTATACCACGTCGACCCTCTGATGGCTGATTGGAGGCGAACGTTATATCAGAGGGAAAGAGCGGGGTAAATGCCCCTCGGAATTGAGAGCGCTGGAGAGCTCCAACCGACGATGTTTTGGTCTGGCGCCGAGACACAATGTGGATGGGGACCCTGGAGACCGAAGAGGGAAAGGCAGATCGAAGGTGACGGAGTGAATTGGGATGTCTGTATTGAGAAGAAGGGCAGTATTCTGGGTTGGGGGATTCCAGTCGGCGGGAGAGGTTGTGCAGATGTTGCAGCGAGTGTCCCGACAGCCCGCCAATGGGATCAGCTGTTATCTCATGACCATGGGGTATTGGCAGGGATGTTAGCCCGGGCGATGCATCTGCTAAGGCTTGCCGCGCGGACGCCTGCTCTCCACTAACAAACCTTAGTGTGGAATCCGACGTCACGGTCAATCTAAAGACTGGGGAAATAAGAATCGACATCTCGGCTTGACAACTGATGTAAGTCTCCCGACCAGGCTTAGTGAGATCCTCAGCGTGCCAACCCGTTCTCATGGCGCACCAACACAACACCAACGATTCGCTGGCTCCTGGACGGATAGGCGCACTTGCAAGGGCTGATAGAAGACATTCCGACGTGTTTGGGGCCGTTCTACATCTGTTCCGTCGCTGGTAATCATGACGGGGTTGCTTTCCAGATAAGATCTGCAACTACGACGTGGACGATTGGAAGGATCCAACCAACACCAAGTGTTTGCCAACGCCAATCTCACGCACGAGACAGCTCACAACCGTCAAACGCGTGAGGGATCGACAGGAGGCAGTGTGGCCGTGTCTTTCCTTGGACCCCATTGCGTCTTTGTAGTTGTCAATAGTGGATAAAGTACCGCTCTAACAGGTATCCTGAATCTCGAAGATCATCTCATGCCCACCGCCGAGGCCCTTGGCTGCCAAGACATGCAGCCGGGCATGTAGTTTGGCAAGCTTGGGTCCGCGATGTTCAGCAGAATCTGAGACTCGAATAGCAAACCATCTTGCATGATTGCTGCGAGGTTTGCCCCAAGTCCATGCGATACGACTAAGTGCCGTAGCCGGTCAACGGATGTCTGCTTCTTCTAGTGGCATTGACGGGACGGCACTGACGGCACTGACGGCACAGCCGCAGACTTTTGGCCAGATTTCTCCTTGCAAGAGTCGATTGGCCTCCCCACACATTCCCCACGCATGATTGTGATTCGACTTGCCTGCTAGTTACCCTCAAACTCCAGACTCTTCGTGTTGTACTCTCCAGCAAGTGGTGGCACAAACACACAACCATTATGGTGGCAACTACGATCAACAGCTCAATACGGCGACTTGTCAAGTGTTCTCCGAGGCTATCCGTAAAAGGATGGGCGCACATGGGATGCTATGTGAAACACAGAATATCAATGCACATCAGAAGAGACGGCTTACCCAGGTATAGAATGACTCGCCCCGCAGCTCCGAGTGGGTTGATTGTCGGCACATATATGAGTGGTCTCGTACCATATGGTTCGTTTTGTTTGTACCGAAATCCACTTGCGCAGTGTACGTCTGCGGCCTGTCACAACTGCATGCCATGAATACGTACCCCGCCGTTGACCTAAGACAACTCCATTGACCCTTCAGCATTCATGAACCAGTGTCGACATGTTCAATGTCAGCGGGTGGGTCACTTACTAGCTGCTTCTTGCCATCGGCCCCTTGGGACGAGCTTCTCCGAATTCGGCACTCCCATCAGTCAACCATAGATGCCCGCACAAGATGGAATTGGATGAGCTGACAGGTTACCACGTCAAAGCCCCACACTGCACTGCCAAAGTCGGGATGAGACACGGACCAATCAACTCAGCCCTGGCAGTGTGTGGGAGTCCGAAGTGCTTATAGGTATATACTAGTATGGTAAATAATTTCTACCTGTCATATCCTACGGGTCATCCTTGTACCTCAAGTTCCTTATCGGCCGTCCAAAAGGCGTCCAAAACAGACGCAACTTCGGTGCTCATCGTGATTGGTATCTCATGGCCACCGGTCAGGACTACACACTCAACAGCATCCTCTCCCAGCACTTCCTTGGCGTCTGGTATCGTCTCATCTGAAACTATAACTGGGTCATCAGACCCGAGGACGAGCAGAACTTTGCCCTTCTCCAGCCCGGGTGCTAGGATTGTCCCGTCCGCAGAACTCCGTCTTCGTGCGGCGAGGATTGAACCCAAAACTCTCCAGTCAGCCTGCGGAGAATAGATGTGAGCCGTCCTGATCGTGCTCAAGAACGCATTGACGAAACCGAGGTGGTGATCCAGCTGCCAGGCGACGACAGACGACACTGTGACGCCTGGTCTGTATTTCGATATCGAAGCCGCGTCGAACCCCGTTCCCCCACTGGCATCGCCGTTGCCTGGTTGCATCTTGCTTTCGGCCGCGACGATGTCAGTTGGGCTCGCGGCTATCGGGAGCTTTTCGACAGGGCGGTTCCGTCTCTTCACCAGGTACCGTACCAACCATTCGGGCAGCAACCCCGAGTTATACAGCAGCTTGCTCTTCCATCCCACATGATACGGGCGAATGAGCCCGCCTCCAGCGATGAGGTTCAAGGACGCCAAACGATGCGGGAAGTATCTTGCGAACGACACACTGAGACACCCGCCAAGGGAATATCCGACAAGATGGAAATGGGTCCATGAAATACGAGAGGAGGCTACGACGAGCAGAATTTGCGTCACGTAGAGTCTCACGTCGTACGGGAGGTCGTTGGGCGCATCTGAGTATCCTCGGCCAAAGAGGTCTTGACGGCGAGGTTGTGAGTGCGACGAACTTGGAACATAAATTCCGACGACTTACCAAAGAGCATCACCCTGTAGCCCCGGCCGACAAGCTCATGCGCAAGGTCACCAAGGGCTATCGCAGGAGTGCTGATTCCATGGACAAGGAGGACCTGCTGACCGTTTTCGGGCCCCCATTCAAAGACTCGGATAGAACCATACGAAGTGGGGACATCCCTCCCACCAGGCAAGACATCCGGCGGGTATGGCAAACTTTCGACCTCAGATGCGGAGACACCTGCCAGAGCTGACTTTGGCGAAAGCGAAGACGTGGCCAGGCCTGCCTTTCGCCTTGGCAACATCATCCACAGCTGCAGTGCGACTCCCAACGACAAACACATCGTACCGATTAGGATAGTTCGGGGAGCCGGAGCACCACCGAACCAGCCGGACGCCGAAGCCATCCTCCCTTGGCCTTCGGATTTTTGATGATGCGGGAATTTCGGGGTTGCCAAAAGTGGAAGGCGGCTCTCGACTCCTCGCGGGTATGATCAATGTGCGACAATTCATCTATAAGATGTGCTGATGTGGTCGTTTGGGCCCAGAATTAGGAGCGTTTTGTGCCTTGCCGCCACTGAAGCGACTGAAAGGTCGATGTGGGTCACATGTGGAACTTGGGACCCGCTAATTGACTCTGGTCTCGAAATCTTTACAAGTTGCAATCGGGGATTGCCAACTTTGCGTCCAGGGTGTCTCACGGGGGACAGCGAACCAGCTCCCAAACCCGCATGCTACATCTGATGGACGTAGGGATAGGGCGGCAGAGACCCGTCAGATCCCTTATACCGGACCCACTCCGGGCTCAGCAGCCAATCAGTGGCTCTGCTCACCGCGGACCCGGCTCCGAGCTCCTGAACATCGTTCATGTTTGGGCTAGTCGTAGCGGAGGTCTATCTCCAGATATTGCCACATGGGTATGGCGGTTATTTGGGTTGTATTGACGCTCTTCGCAACAACGGGCAGTTCGCTATAAAACCCAGCATTCATGTCGTCCGAAAGGAACCATGAGACGGTTCTTCCCCTTAGCTATGACGAAGCCTTTCATTCACCACCCATGGAGCCTCACGATTCTAGCAACTCGCTTTCTCTACGCCCCCTGTTGCCCCGGCCACCGTCAGATGGCGCAGAGCCTCCACCCGGACCTGGTCTTGTATTGCCGCAACCCAAGAGACGCGCCGTATTAGCGGCTTGCAACCAGTGTAGAAAGAAGCGATCCAAAGTACGATACCAGGGAAAATATTTTCTTTGCCATCGCTGATCACTGGAAAGTGCGGGGGTCAACGGCCAGCATGCGACCGCTGTGCCAAGCTTAACATCGACTGCGAGTACGAAACCACGGGCGAAGAAACTCACTCAGATGCGCTCAAGCGCAGGTTCTCGGAGCTGCAGGAAAAGCACCACACATACGAGGAGCTCATCCAAATTCTACGGACGCGGCCCAGCAGCGACGTGGGGCCCATTCTGCAGCGGCTGCGCGCAGGCGAGGACGTCGGAGACATTGTCAACATCGTTAGGGAGGGTGACCTGTTACTCCAGCTAGACAAGGTACCATGCAGACACGAGTTCCTCTTCGTGCCGATCATGCCTGATTCTCTTCACTCGACCAAGAACTCGTACGTCGGCATTTTACCCCTTTTGCTTCCCTTACCTTCCTCCCCCCCTCGCTCCCCTCATTCAGAGCGCTTGTTGAAGGTCCATACTAACAAGGTCCTTGGGTTGTATTAGGACAATCCACGTAACGAATTCTACTGTCCAAAGTGTGGTTGCGCGTCGCGAATTTTCCAAGAGGAATCGGGGCCATCGAACGTTGTTGACGGCGTAGATGGACGGACATCAATAACGACTTGTCGACATTGCGGCTTACGACGAGCCATTACGCCGGTTATTGGACAGCATTGCAACCCGAATTCATGAGCGACTATGCGCTTACGATGATTCCTTCCTAGGGGAAGCATCGTAATCAATGAGAGACGATCCTCCTCGCTTACTGCGAAGGTGCTTCCCACAAGCGTTTGTGCAGGTACTTTGATTTTCAATAGCCTCGCATCATGTTCTACTGATACTTTGCAGCGCAATAAATGGGAAATCCGACGTCATTTGAACCCTGAATATGCTCAACTACCAATTCCTGGGCAAAACAAGGCGCTGCCAGGCTTTGCGTACTTGGCGAAACGCCGTGACGGCCAGAGTCGGTACAAGGAGGCCTGATGACATGCGTGGACTGTAATTTCAACGTCATCCGTGGATTCGCCGGTTTCTTGTTTCTTGGGAACTGAGGAGACTTGCACGCAATGGACCAGAGATACCACCGTTTTCTCTGGATACGCATGCAGTGTTCGACTCACCGCCACAAACAACTCCGCAGTGTCTCTGAGCGTTTCATACGGACTGGTTCGGGCATATCGGTTCTGCTTCTGTCGTGGTTATGTGAGATAGGCGACGGATGGAATCTTACACACCACCCAGAAGGACGCGCCGTGTCCCGTAATTAATAATAGGGATGAAACCTTTCGAATGCAGGGTCCGGAAGTATAAACTCGTTACACCCTGCATCCCATCTTTCTGAGCTTGGACTCCGTCGACTATACCATGCTGTTGGACCATAACGAAAACAAAAAAGAACCCTGATAAGAAATGGGGAAACCCAGCAGCGCAACAAGTCAACTGCTTTTCTTCGATCTAAGAATTAGTGCTCACTTGAAGCAGGGGATCAAGAAGGGAATGCTTTATGAGTAGAACAAAGCAAAGCAAGCCGAAAGTGTAATGTAGTCGCCCATGGACTTGACGTACGCAAGTATAGATTCTAAGGATCAGATCCAGAGTCATACTACGAGGCCAATAAAAGCACTTTCATGCTATGACTTCGGGTTGAACATATCAAGCAGTAGTTCTGATTCGTGGTTGGAGTTCCACAAATCCTTGGTTTGTCCAGGCCAAACTTTCGCAATCGGCCTAAAAGATTCAACCGTTATTAGGGTTTGTTCAATTGCCTATTGGGACAAGCCTGGATGATCAAGCCATCATTATTTTGTTCTCAAAGTCTCATTTGCAGTCTATTGCAACCATAGCTTGTCCCCTTCGTAGATTATTTCAAGCAGGTACTAGAACCAACAGAACTCGCAAATAAGTTCCAGTTGCTCTTAACTAGAGGACACGTATAGCTCTCACTTTAAAATCCAGGTGCAAAAGCTTTCGAGCCCTCCTTTGCAACTTTATGCTCCCCCCAAGGTAAAGTAGTTGTTGATTTGCCACATTCAACGTGTTTGTGCAACATCCGCCTCTGAACCAACCAAAGGCATCAATCACTTACGCCAGTGACCCCTGCGCCTAATTGAGGTAACCAAAGTACCGACTAATCTCGCGTGCGTCCCGATTTGCGTATCCCTACAGCTTAATCCCGCAGTCAATGCTGGCTGACATCAGTTCCTAGGTGCCGATCCTATTGAGAAGATACCTGAGTACTTGTTTTACTTGGAAATCGGGTTCTTTTCTACGCAACGACTGTGTCGCTCATCAACCCACCTCTGAGTGGCCGTCACTATTGTCCTTAAACACGAGCCTCGACCTCACGATCAGATTAGTGCCGCAACTGATGGCATCGACCTCCTCCACCGCGCCTAGGGATATGATACACGGTTGCGCGAAACTCCTTTCGTTTCTTTTTCTTGTGTCAAAGCGTACAAATATTTTGTTTACGCTGCTTCTTGTGTGGCAATATTCCTCTCCAGAGTCCCTTCTACTGTCAATTCGTGGCATATTATATCACATGCGTTGTAAAGAGTTACCTGCCAATAAAGGAGTGACTGTAGTTTTCTTTCAAAGGTCTATCAAATTCCCACTAAGCTGATGATGCTTCAATGTAATCACCCAATATTTGTAAACAAACGGAACGCCAACGAGCCCAAATATGATTTGCCACCACCACAATCTTCTGCCACATACCACCCACCCTTATTGTGACATCTTACCACCCCCCAGTCTTAGTCGAATAACCCCCCTCGCTCTTCTTCACTGTCTGCCAAGTCGGCGTCTTAGTCTGATAAGTCCAAGCCGTCGTGGGAGTGGTGTGAGCGCTGTAGCCAGTGCTGGTGGAAGGCGGCTTAGTCCACGACACCGTGGTGTTGTAGCCAGTCCAAGCAAGCGATGAAGAAGGCTTGGTGGTTTCGTAGCTGGACCAGGTGTCGTAGATAGTCGTGGTCGTCTCGTGTTTTGTCCAGCTGTCGTAGGTCTTGGGAGGAGCAGTCTCGCAGGCCTCTGAGGAAAAGGTCTCCCAGCTCGAGGTCGTGTAGTAGACTAGACTGGAAGTGGTTTCATAGTCGCAGGAGGTGATGCTGGTGGATGGGGTGGGGTAGGAGGTGGTGTGCTTGGTTGTCGAGTATTTGGTTGTGGTGTATGACTTGGTCGAGTACTCAGTCTTCGAGCTTGGAGGCACCGACGTGCTGTGGTTGTGCCAGGAGGAGGTGGTTGGGACACTTGTCGAGTATCCAGTGGTCGAGTACTCAGTGGTGGAATGCTTGCTCGTCGAATAGGGCTTCGATGTGTTGTGATGATTCCAGGAGTAGGTTGTTGGTACACTTGAAGAGTACTCAGTAGTAGAGTACTTGGTTGTAGAGTATTTAGTAGTGGAAGAAGGCACTGAAGTGCTGTAAGTGTACCGAGAACTGCTGGATGGCACACTGGCGGAGTATTCCCAAGAACTGCTAGAGTGACCGGGGATACTTGAAATCGAATATTCGGAGATGGTTGAAGTAGAGTAAACAGGGGTTGAAGTCGAGTAGACTGGTTCGGGAATCGAAGTTGAGTACGCGGGGATAGGTGAAGACCGAGCCCAGCTGGTGGTCTCATGCCCTTCGCCCCAGTCACCGTTATCACCACCATGACCTCCGTTGCCCCAATCGTTCCCGTGACCTTCACCTCCCGAACCGTAACCCTCACCACCAGCGAGAGCTACCCCGCTCAGAATCGAGATAGCAAAAGAAATAGCAGCGATCCGAGAAGCCATGATGAATCAAATAATGACAACAACGAATGTGGTATTGTGTATAAGTAGCAGCGAAGGGTTACTCTACCGTGCGGGTAGTGCTCGACAGATATAGGAAATAAATAAGGAAAAACTGAAAGAGGAAGATGCTGGTTTGAGTGTAGAGATGATCAAGATACGGAAACTCAGAGACCGAAGCATCAAGATGGTACGACTGATATATCCATGATTGCGCGTCGTTGTGTCAACTATGAGGTAAGTATTTCCAACATTAGAATATTGTGGTAGCATCACGTTATCGTAGTGTCCATCAAGCTTACCTACCCAACACGAGGATTTGGCTATTACGACAGGGCGCTGTCATCATTAAATCCATAGTGAGCAGCCCCGTGGCTGCTTAGCAGTTCGCCAGTACGGCCGGTCTTCACATGGGTAATCCGAAGATGCAAATGAGGAGTCAGAAACAGCAAGATTGGTCGAACGCGTTCAACGCCCCCAATAGCCTACGTAATGTCGGCCGCTCCAGCTAGGAGTGGCATAGATGACTCCGAAGCAGCCGTGGTCCAACGTTGAACGCCACCACCGAATGCACACAGAAGTGGCATTGCTGCCAAGAAAAGCAATGCTGACTTGGAGAATGGGGCAAGTTGGATTGTGCCGTTGGAAAATTTTTCAATGATTGGTTCTAATAGGCGGGAAGCGCATCCGCGGTCGGCGTCAGCGATGTCAGCCTCAACTACTCAGCCATCTCCACTTTTGGCACTTGTGTAGTAGCCCAGGACTCGTGAGGCTCCGAGTATCTCTATACTTGTGTCAATGGCGTTTTCGCTAATAACTCTGACAGAACTTGGAAGTAGTTCCTAACTGGAATCGCAGGAATGTCAGTCTATATTCGTTGGATGCTTATAGACTAGCCAGCCTATCAAGCACTCTATACCGTAAGGAGAACCTCAGCCGATCGATTCGAAATTCTTGCTATGGTAAGCACTATATTTCCGAACGGGTTCTCCTAGAAGCCATAAGCTCAGTAATATTGACGATTTGTGCATTTGAATAAGTATGAAATACCATATTGCTATCCCATGGCACTCAATAGTTAAGAGGTGTTCATATACGTGCACTAAACAGGGCCAGTGTGGAATGGCAAGCTAGATCAACTACGAGAGTCACTGGCGAATTCTCCGATATTTGCTTAGCTGCGGCTGACCGCTATGCTACATGGCTTACTTTTAAAATCTGGGAGGTAGCTTGATTTCTATTTCCTCGCAACCTCTTTTATGATGGTAAGTGTCGGTGACAGTCACCAGTCTCTTCGCGTGAAGATTCAAAAGGGCGACGTCCTCAACCCTGGAGAAGAAGACTATTCAGAGATTTTAAAGAAATGAAACGAGACAGGTATCAAGCCTGTAGTGCATTCTCTTGGTCCAATTTACTCTAAAAGAGACCTAACATTCCTGCAGGCGGTAATCGTGAAGCCCACCAAGTCGACCGAGATTTCCGAGGCCATGAAATATGCTACGGCCAAAAAGAACCCCCAGGTGGTGAAAGGGGATGGCCGCTAGACAAGTGCCACTCCGGCTTCTAATGGAGGCATGATTGACTCAGGTTTGCTGTGCTCGACCCGAGCCGACCCTGAAAATAAGATCATCACTTTTGGTGGAGGCTTTACTTGGAAGGACATCGCTAATAAAGCCTGGAAGTATGCTCTTGCTTCTGTGGGCGGCGTCTTTTATGTCACCGGGGTCGGAGGGTTGTCCTTGGGTGGCGACTACGGCTGGTTCACTCTAAAGCACGGGCTGGTGTGCAACAATCTCCCGGCGGCGGAGTTGGTGCTCGCGGACGGAGGCATTGTGAACATGTCTGAGTCCGAGAACTCTGACCTCTTCTTGGGCAGTATGTACATTTTTCAATCTTCATGTCATAGCATAACCACTAGGTTAGGAACTTTGTGAGGCTAACATATAATTTCAATCCGCAGTGCCAGGAAAAGCTTCAGCGTAACAACCAGCTTCACCCTCCACTCCCACAAACAGCAGGATGTGTACACCGGATTCGCCGTCTTACCCCTGGGAGCTATCTCAGCCGTTGCAGATTTCAACAACCCCCTCCCTCCACAAGCCTCAGGGCTCTGAGACGGGTTTCATGTTTGGCCCTCCTTGTGCGCCTCCAGACAATAACCCAATGATCCTGGGTCTCGCTTTCTACAACGGCACCGAGGAGCAGGGCAAGGCCTTCTTGAACCCCTTGCTAGATATCACTGTCACCAACATGGCCAATGCTCAGCTTGGCGGCCCCTGGGATCGCCCGCCACGAAGATTGCAAAAAGGGGCGACATTTGTGCCTCCGCTCAAGAAGGAGCATATGCAAGATATGATCCATAGGATCTACCCCTTCGTCAAGGAAAACGGCACAGAAGGGCAGAATTTGATTGCCTGGTAAATACTGACTAACCAGAAGATCAGGCAAGGAAATGTGGTGCACCTTCCGACCACGAGAACGTGGCTACAATTAAATCACACTTTTTTTAACATGTGAATTTCCAATCTGCTCATTCTTCCTTCATATATAGTATTTATATTTATTGGCAAGGCTTGCGCTGAGACGAAGAGGCGACGACGAGATTACCTCCACGCGAGGTCGCAGACTAACTGGGACGAATACTTAAGAGCTAACCAAAAACAACGGCTCGAAATCAGCGAGGCACAGGCGCGGAGCTGGCATGAGAAACTCGAGAGGACGGCGAAGGATCATGAAAGCCTTTGGGCACTACAGAGATGGGCTAGGCTGCGGAGCTGGACACCCCCTGACACCCATGGGATGCCGGATCTTCGACGGAACACAAGCGATGCACCCACAGCGCGCACCCACGACGAGAAGTCAAAGCTACTAGCTGAGAGGTTCTTCCCAGACCCGGATATAGACCTGTCGGATCTCGATCACAACCCGCCACGGACGAGACCAGACCTGGACGTCCCTAAGGATGTAAACGCGAAGGACATCGAGGCTGTTATCAAGAAGACAGCGGCTTGGAAGGCCCCCGGCGATGACCAGATCCCTACGGGCCTGCTGAAAATCTGTGGTAAACCCCTATGGGAGATCCTAGCGGATATAGCGACCGTAAGCTTTAGGCTAGGATACTACCCGGAGCGCCTCCGCTCGGCAAAGGTAGTCGTTATCCCTAAGCCGAACAAAACGACAGCCCAAAAGCAGACCCCTAGCGGCTGGCGACCGATAGCGCTGCTTAGTACGATAGGGAAGGTGATAGAGGCGGTGATATGCCAGCGTATCACTACCGTCGCGGAGACGGCCGGTCTGCTACCAAACGGCCAAATGGGTAACCGAAAGGGGCGGTCCACCGAATTAGCGATACGTATAGTCGAGGACGTAACCTATACAGCTTGGAGGCGCGGAGGGATCGCCACACTACTACAACTTGATATTAAGGGGGCGTTCGACACAGTTAACCACAGGCGTTTGATTTCTGTGACGGTCAACCCTCGCAGACTCACTACAACCAGGTGACTTACAGCTGGAACACCTGCCGTGGCAGTGTGAGATGGGAAGCCAATCATAACCCTTGTAGGAGCCCCGCCAAGCGTGGATGACTTAGTCGCGCTCCCTCAAACCTAAGTTGTCATCTTCTTTCCTTCGCTCCTTAGAGTAGAATCTTCGTCGATAGCACCTAATCGAGGTCTATACCAATGCGATGCAACCCAGGTCGTGACAATTTCTATACTAGCCCGGAAGGGCTACCCGGAGTGGGTTCAGGAATGGGTACACAGCTTCATAGAGGATAGGACAGTACGCCTCCGGTTCGACGGTAAGGAGTCAGAGCTGATCCCTCTACGAGCTGGCGTCCCCCAGGGGTCGCCACTCTCCACGATACTATTTATCCTATATATCTCGACGCTATATGAGGAACTAGCGGAGAAACACCCCCTACTCTTAGTCGTAGGGTTCGCGGACGATACGAACCTACTTAGCGTGAGCACAGACACGGGCACGACCTACCGCCGACTAGAGGACGCTTGGGCTACGTGCCAACGGTGGGCCGCCAGGCACGGGATGGAGTTCGCTCCGGACAAGAGTGAGCTGATGCACTTCACTAGAACCCGAGACCCCTCCCCGCAGAGTATCCGTCTTGGAAACGCTACAGTAACGCCGAAGGTCTCGGCAAGGTTCCTAGGGGTCTGGTTTGACCGCAAATTAACGTGGCACGCCCATACCGAACGGGTTAAATCAAAAATGGCGACTCAGAAGCTAGCCCTAACAAAGCTAGTGAACATGGCGTGGGGCTGCGATCTCATACGGGCGAGACTACTGCACACGTCGGTTATTCGCAGCGCGATCGCCTTCGGGGCGGCTGCGTGGCACACTATAAGCGAGGAACCAGCGGGACCAGCTAAGAGCCTAGTCGGGATACAGAATGAGTGCCTCCGAATAGTCTGTGGCGCCTACAAAGCGACACCGGTCCGACACCTAGAAATAGAGGCAGCTATCCCGCCACTAGACCTATATCTCAGTGCCCGGGCGGCGAAATTTGAAGAACGGCTACGGAATAACGGCAAAAGGAGCCTGCTTCGGAGCGCGAGCGCGAGAGCGTCGCACATACTCCGACAGGATACGCCGGCGAGACGGAAGCGGGCGTCACAATCGCTCAGACCAGCGGGGTACACGATAGAGAAGGAGGCTAGGGGCTCCGAGTGGATAGGCAAGACGAAGGAAGTCCCGGCCGCCCTCCTAGACCACTGGGAGAAGAGATGGCTCTCCGGGGCAGCACAACACGACCGCCAGCGACGCGCTATCGCCGAGGAGCCGGAGGGCCCCTCGATGCGAATGCCGAAACAGGGCAAGTACTCAGACCTAAACCGACCGGAGGCGTCTACCCTATGCCAGATCAGGACCGGAAAAATAGGACTATCAGCTTTCTTATTTAAGATAGGAGCCTTCGGTGTGTACTCGCCGCTATGCCGCTGTGGAGAGGCCCCCGAGACGGCAGAGCACGTAATCCTCTTTTGCGGCCTGCTGGAAGAATCGAGAGAGCGCCTGCGGGCCACTATTGCACCGTGGCCGCTGCATACACGTAGAGACCTGGCAACGGCGACGGGGAAACCAGTAGTCAGCGGGACTATCACAAGGTGGCTACTCAGGACTGGCCGGATAGCGCTTAGGCCCGGATAATATCGATCTTCTCAGGGGGACTTTGTTAGTAGGGTGAGAACTAACATAGTATTGTGGTGGACGTAACGCAGTCGCTAATAGAGCGAACCTACGTAGCAGCGTATGTATTTAGTCCAGCCATTAGGGCACGGTTTGACATACTGGAGCACTTGTAGAGGTACCGGGGGCTTCGAGCCTACGGCGTATTTAATAATAATAATAATAATATATTTATTGTACATCGTTTAATCCTTAGGCCAACATTCGTTCAGGTGCTCTTTTCAAGAAATTCACCTAGACGTTTCCACTACTTTGTATCGTATGAAAAAAATACCCCATACAAATTGATTCCTCTTCAAAGTCGGTAGAGAAGTGATGGTTAGAGCTGGACTGTCTCTGCAAATGATTTACAGGGTCTTAAATATTTTGTATAGTGATGGATTTTGTCCTCAGCAGGCTAAAGGTGTTACTTATTCTCACTTTTTCAGCTTGTGGTAAGTAGTATGCCCGAACTTGTTATTTGATCGTTGTGCGAGAAGAGACCCTCCAGACACTTTTCTGGTAGAGGAACCTCATCATAAGCCAATAAGTTTACTTCCACGTAGTCCTTACTTGGAAAGCTTGCTTCTTATGAGGCCATAGCTAATCCTTCAACCCCTGAACCACGACCCTAACTTCTTTCCAACCTCATATTTCTTATGTTTATTCTTTGACGCACCAATCCAGCCCTATCCTTTGCAATTTAATTACCAATCTTACCCTCGACAAGAAAAGACAATGGCACGCAAGCTTATCATGATCCGTACCGAGATATGCACGTTCGTCACGCCTGAAGGCGCTTACCACCGATGGCTGGACATCCGTTATTCGTTGTGGCGTCTATCAAATTGGCGAGACCATCATCATCTTCCACATGTTGATTGGTAGAATTCTGTCGGATGATGAATTCGGCATGAGCTTGAGCAAACACAGCACATAATCATGGCGCGTAAACTTGTTACGATCCGCCGCATAGACGCTATAAAACCCATTAAAGGAGTCCGTCGCCTTGAGATCGACTTCATCGATGGCTGGGCCTGTGCGGTCCGCCGCGCCGCGTTCAAAGGTCGACGAGCAAGTGGTCTTTATTGAGCTTCACAGTTTTCTCTCTCCTGCCACGAATGAAATTAGGGCAAATAAGAAGTCTGAATGAAAACTTACTGGTTCTATCAACAGCCCCAGAGCCCAGATCGCCATGGCATTCCCTCGCGTGGCGGTAGGTATAACGTCCACGATGACTGCCCCGCCTATGACCATTGGTCCAGCACAGGAATAGCCACTGATGAAGCGGACGACGAAGAACATGAACGTGCTCGTGCTCAAAGCCTACAAAATGAGGAACATCACGAAGAAGTTACATAGGTGAATGATGAGCCTGCCATACACTTCGGACAGGGGGGCGATGGATATGGTCTCCGGGCAAACCACAGCAGGTCTGTCTATTGGGACTGTATCAGCGCATGTCGGTGCCAAGTAAAAGAGTGCGACGCCAAGTACAATGCCAATTAGGGTGTTCCTACAAATACTGACTGTTAAAGCAGCAAGAAAATAGCTGACAATACCGAACTCGAGTATCAGCTGCGCGGCTCCAGACGTGTACATGGTGGCCTCAAGTTTGCTGCGTTGCGCCATAAATACGAGCTGCTGGTCAATGCAAACTACGGTATTGATAAGATAAATCACGCCTGGAGAGAGAACAAGCTGATGATAGTTACGTGGAGATGCCGCTTCCAACTCGGCCGGTTTATCAGCGTCTTGGTATCACCAGGGCCGTCCCAATCCACGACATGATCATTTTGGTTAGTCTCTTGCGCCGCGGGGTCGTCGGTGAAGCTGGGGTGAGGAAGTCATAACGGGCGGGTGCACCGGAATTTGGCGAATCTGCCGGTATAAGGGCGCACTGGGCTTGCTTGGCGAAAGGTCTGTTGTGTGAGTTTACGTCCTGGGTCGGGTGATTGTTGAAAACCGCCACATTATATGCTCGGAAAGGGGAACTCAGAACGCGACCCTTGCTTGTACCTTGCTTGCACTTCCTTGAGGGCTGCCGACCTGCAGACATAGGCTTCAAGACTTCTGGAATTCATGATGACTAATGTGGGCTCACCTGAATCTCGGCTGCTGCTGCAGAGAGCGAGCACGAGGTTGCATACTAGGGGTGACTTACATATCAGTTGTATGTCAAGATTATTCTGTTCGGTGCCAATAAAGACGCGCTTGGGTAACCGGAAATTAAGATTATGGCCGATCCAATCCTTTGGAACGTAGCTGCCGCATTAAGCGTGTTGGCCAAAGTTCAAATGGAGACGTGGGGGACAGAGAGCAAACCACCAGTTGTTTTATTAAAAGATAGCGCAACCATAAATCCATATTCGATGACAATCAATAGCGGAAAAGTTGTCGACCTGGACTCGCCTTACCGCAGTTATCAAGTTCGCTTACCCCTGATTATCTTTACATATTAAATTCATTCTCACTCCGTAATGCCTTGCGGAGCTACACTCCAACTCCTCGCGGGCTCATCCTGCCTTGAACTGTTGTCATTGTGAGGTGTCCAAATGGGCGCATCGCCCAAACGATCGGCAGTAAGTCCAGCACGGCCGGGGTGTTTCATGCCCGCCTCCAATTGTTTCTGGTAGGAGACCTTTCGCAGACGTTCTGCCTCAGCCGGAGTCAAATGCAACTGTTTAATATCAGTCACCGATCACAGATCATCAATGGCTGTGGTGGTTGGACTTACGTAGAGCTCAACGCCAATGACATGAAGCGCAAATGCTAACCAAAGGGCTGTTCCAAAAATAAAATCGAAAGCCGCAGATACTTGAATAGCATCCTGTGCCCCTGAGAAGTCTACCTTCGCCGTAGCATGCTGGTCCATAACTTCGCCAGAGAGGAACGCAGCACATGCAGGATAACTTAGTAACATCTGGTCATTCGACAGACCACCCTGGTTGAATGTCCACTGAATCTTGTCGCACGGTTGCGCCACATAATAGGTCCCAGTCATAGGCAAAATCAGCGCTGCGAGTATCATGATGATTCGAACGGTGATGATGGAGCCAGCCTGATCTGATTAGCAACAAATTTAGAGTGGTAGAAGGTGATAGATATGCATACCCAGAACCAAGCTCTCAACATCCAGGCGCGATGTTGCTCGATTTGGAGGCGTTTGATGTTGATGTATGCTATCACAAGAGCCACGAGGAACCCTATCCCCAGCAGTCCAACACCCACTTGAATATCAATACCTCCGCCATACGACCTTCGAGCGACCATGAAAGCTCCAGCCGTCGCCACCAAAGACAGGAGGATCACGACATGGCCGTTCACCCGGTGAACTATCATGGCCTTGTATCTTACGACGGGGATGAACTGGATGCAAGCCAGTAGCGCAGCGGGCAGGATACAACCCAGATGCAGAATCATGCCGACTCGATAGTGGCCCTGAAGCCAATAGAAACATTCGCCTGGGCCGGCGCCATTGTTTCCAGGGCGGCAAAAGTTGCCGTAGAAATCGAGGTACTGCAGACGGGCGAGGGTGAAGCCGAGGAAGGCGCCGAGGAAAATGAACCAGAGAATGAAGTTGTAGCCTTTGGAGAAGCCGACGGGCTTGTAGATCTTGCGGGCAAAGGTGACGAAAGAGTTTGCTGGAGGGCGGTTTGAGACATCCATTGTATATGGTAGATAGATGAGTTTATATGCTTGGTGAAGTTGAGTTACATGAACGTTGAGTGTCAAGCTAATCGTGTGATGGTGTTCTATACTAAGTGAGAATGCATATTTGGTATTTAGACATGGCGTCTCCCTTATATGCACTCTACCACCCGTCGAATGCTGCGTCAACTTGCACATCGTACACTAAATTCGGTCCGGACGTAGAAACTTCATGGGAGAAGGGCGATTACTGTGCCGACGTGGTTTCGCATCCGCCAGTCTGTCACATAGCCATAACTCGGACATCGAAGGCCAAAAGATTGAGCCGATTTTACGTGGACGCGCCATCATTCGATTCATCAGTTAGTTGGTATAGTGCAATGCGGTCTGCAAGGCGAATGCGATAGCCTCAACACCGGCTGAACCAAGCGCCGCCGTGGGTAGTTGCACTGGTCAGTCCAGTAAGTAAGCTTACCGCATTCGCTCACCAGCCAGGCCAAGCCAATCATGGACTAGCCGCGATTCTTCGCACTCGGTTATCTAGCCTTCGCATTCTCATAAGCTTTGGGCGCTAAAATGGCGTGGTGCCATATCGGAAATCGTCATAGATTCTCCTGCTATGCGAGAACGACCAAACAAGCCACAGTGCTGAACCAGCCTTTTCATTTCGATTTTCTCACACAAAGATTTCTGACGTGTTGTTGTTCTATCATTGCCGAAACACATATCATAAATTTCTATCAGAAGTCTGATACAGTCGAACCATCAGGCCGTGTACGTACCGACGCAATTACGGCGAACATTTACGTATTATCAAGTCAGACGCTTTTGTTACAGATCTAATTTACTAGCGCGGTATCACAGTTGGAAACCATGGCGACAACATAATGAGCCATGTATATCAATCATCGAATACTGGGATTACTTCTTTAGAGACTATGATAACGAATGCTAGGCATAGGCTCTCCTGTCAGGTAATGCGATGAAATACGTTTGACTATGGCAGGCTCCGGACCCACCGACTTGAGACGTACATTGGGATGGACTAGAAGTGGCGTGCTGTCTGCTGTGTGAAAAGCGCGTAGGATGTCCTCACTGAGAAGTTGAATATTGTCATTCCCAAGAAGCTGAAAGCGTGGATAAGGTTCTCGTAAGACAATCTGTAGGGATGGTCACCCAGAACACAACGAAGGGGCGCTGGTTATATCGGTCTGCACGTAGGAACTTGATGGTTGGTCAGAATTCGAAGTAATGAGCCCTGATCCACACTTTGTACTTAAACCTAAACAAACCCTCAGTCTCACCTTTCTCCCTATTGGAGTCTTTGGAGACCCTGCCTGAGGACTCCATTTTAACTCTGATGCGGTGAACTAGACAGTGCTGATATCTTCGCCTAATTCTTGGGTCAGCTCTCTCTGGACTGTCTTTATCTGACTGGACGTCTGATTTCACAATACGAATGTGCCGTTCCAAGGGACAACAAAGTCGAGTTCAGTATACTCCAAATAACACTCCGCCAGGAGCTTCTGGTCCTCATTCATCAATTTGGGCGAAGCCTTCATCAGTTAGAAGACAGAACCATCATCATATTGCTGCTTTAAAGTATCCCCAAGCAGTAGCCAACCTCGGCCGCAGCTTCGTTGATTCCTTCATCGGACGACTTTTCCGTTTACAAGCTCATCGTTAAAACCGAATCGGACTGTTAAATAGAAGAGCTTGGGGCATAGATGAAGATAGAAAAGGTGGATGGGTGTGTTAAGGTATTGTGTTGCACGTTAGGCGGTAATTGGCGGATGGCAGTGATTGCATTTTGTCTAACAGAGGGAGATCAAAGAACCGATGCGTCTGTTTCATAGCAGAGATGCGTATAGTCAACCTAAGTGAGAAATCGCAAATAACTAAAATAATGGTTTTATGAAACCCAAGCGCTATTAACATAGCAGTCGTGTTCGCTTTTGGTACTCCACTAAGCTAGATCCTTGTGCTCTGCAACCTTCAGGTTGAAAAGATAAACTGTACTCTGGTTTTCTTGTCTATTCATGCTGAAACGTTGCCTGGGTTCTTTACCACTGTCCATATGCTGCCTCATATTTCTCGGCCATATTGAAATTCAACACTCGTAAACCTGTTCACCAAGTCCGTTACCCAGCTCTCTTGCCATACGCTCCCCGCTCGGCGCCCACGCCAACCGCGGCAACGTATCCACATTCAGAACCACTTCGTCCTTCTCAAACGGCGCCTTCACTATATCTGGCCCCGGCGTACTCGTAAAGAGCACCTTGACCGTAGCCGGTACGCTCTGATCCTGCGTAAATTGCAAAAGTTCGGCCAGGACTTGCAGCGCCTCCTCGCAAAACTCCTCCCTCTCATAAAGAAATACGCCGTCGATGATGCAGAACAGTGTGATAGCCTGGGGTAGCCTACGCATCAGCCAGTGAAAAAGGTTGAATAGCTCTCTAAGCTCGCGACCTTGCAGAACTGCCAAGTTTATTGCCTGGTGCAGGAGTTGCATGTCGAATACGTGCTGGCGGAGAAGTTGGTCAATGAGACTGAGAAGTATGGCCCGACCACCGATTGAGCGACCAGGCTGGGATGGCTCGATGTGCTGCCCGCAAAACCATTGCACCGACATGAATCGTGGTTTTCCCTAGAGAGACCGTATCATGGACGTACAGAAGACGGAAAGGGGTGAGACTTCGGCAATGGTACTGGGTGGGCGGGAGGTCCATTGAACCAAGAGTTTGGCGCCTGAAGGAGACACGATCCAGTTGCGAAACAACTGTGTGTTGACGATCTGTTCGACTTGGGCACGTTGTTTCGCTGGTAATTGGGTTTTCCTGTCCGAAATGAAGTCCATATCGGCGAGATCTAGATCTGGGATATCTAGAAGTCGGCGTAGGGCTTCTTGATTCATACCCCACTCGGCGACTAGCCGCTGGGGCTGAGAGGGCGGCAGAAATTGAAGCGATGGCATGGGCGATATGGATTGTAATCTTTCATTCTCGAATCTGAGAAAGAGGTTTCCCTGTCTTGCGGCTTCAAGCTCCCCTGTCAAGGCAGTCATTTAACTAAGGTTAGTCCTAGAGTGTTCTCCTCAACTTAATGGCAGTAGGATTTAACCTACGATCTTTTTCCCTCACATGTTCCGAAAGCATTTGCTCAACCGAATTCAAAGTATCAGCCATATCCTTCTGGCCTTTCACCAGTCTATTGAGGAGTTTTTGGGTCTCTTGGGAGTCTTCGAGGGTTAATTTGCATGTCAGCTAGAATTATCTAAGGGGGAGATCAGGAGAATCATACACCATTGAGAATCGAGCATGTGCGATTTTGCCGCTTCTTCCATGAGACTTTTGCTTTTCTTTCCAATCTTCCCAAGTGCTTCAACAAGTGTCTTTTCGTATTCTTCCCTCATGAAGAAAGCCTTGCCACCCTTGAGGACTAATTTTATCGAAAGTATCTGTTAGCTTTTAAAGGCCACACTGATAGATGCATAAGATATTTTTATGGTAAAGTACTAAGAGAATACAACTTACATTCATTGCTTATGAAAAAGCCAATGGCTTGCTCCACAGCTTCCAAGGTTGTGATAATCAAGTCTATCGAGGTATTTCTTATGGTCGAATCTGTAGGAAATGTTCCTAGGAAGACCTCTACGTCCGAGAAGATTGGAATGAGGCCGTCAAGCCCTTCGAGCACTTCTTTGCGAACGGATGCGGCAATCTTCACAGCCTGACAAAGAAACAAGTCAGCCAGTCATGTAGTATGACGTTGATGGGCACACTAAATACTACACTTGAATAGCCACAAGTGTAAAAAAAATAGCCATGAGAAGAAGCAAGCAAGACTTACATCTAAGAGGATTCCCAAGGCGCCTAACACCGGTGTCGAGTAAGGGTTTTCTGGAATACACTTCTTGGCAATCTGAGTCACCTGAGCGAGAGGGGTGGCATAATCATCGGCAACCTTTCGTCTGACCTGCCGTAGCCACCCAACCTTTCCACCCTCTTTCTGATATTTACTTCTGGCTGATTCAAGCGTCGCATACACGGTATCCCAATTAGGTTTTTCGTGGATATGGTACCTGGTATTGGATCGGCCTTTCGGCTCTGTCACGCTCGACTTGAACTTGACCATTGCTTCTGGGAATATTATTGTCCAAAAGCTCATCGCTTTCGTATCTGTCCATGCTGGCCTTGAAGGAGGGAATTTACTTCGGAAGTAGGATATGCGTTAGGTGCCGTGAGTTGATCGCTGCTGGGTCTTGACACCAATAGGTACCTGGCTGTTGGGAACATATTGACTGGCCATCGGGTCATAGTGAACTGGTGGATCCACAAACACGGTATGGAAGTCTGGAAGGCGATTGTTGATAAAGTCAACCGTAGGGGGCTGACGACTGAGATTGAGAACAGAAGTCCTAGGATCCATGGTGGTGTTGATGATCAAGGTAAAGAGGCTATGTATTCTAGCAAGCAATGAGGCCTAGATGTCAGATATTCTGTGTCACAGCAGGCAAGGCTGGATGATTTCAGACCCCAAATACCCTAAAAGTGGCAGGACCCCGCTATCATCCAGATAAATTTGATTGGGCTTAGAAGTATGTCAGAGGTGGTACCTGCGCAGCCACCACTACTTATTTCCAGACCAACAACACTAGCCTAGCTTTCTTTCCTCACCACAATACATCACTTCTATTGTGTGTCCCTCAACAGGTTATGAGCCCTCACGCTCACGCGCATCACGAATAATTGCATTTCTGAAGCATTATTCGTCATCATCATCATCATTTCGATCATTTGCACAATTTTCGGCATCTGATTCGACCTTTATTTCGCGAAGTTGGCCTTCGAAGGTCCGCTACGGTAGGTGCACGAATCTGCTGCAACCTGCAGCAGCGCGGTCACTCTCCAACTTCACGGCTTGATCACAACAACAGCATTGAGAATAGTGACTGCACGAGCCTAAATCATTGATTCTGGCCTTGCAGCTCATCACTACACACTTTCCTCGGATTCGTTGATTTCTGCAGTTTTTCCACTTTGTTGGAAGGAACGCGTATCCGACGTCATTACCTTGAAGTGGGTCACGAAAAACTTCGTGCCTGCCTCAAGCTTCAACACTACTTAACATCACACAAAATTGCGTCCATCTGATAACGCAGTGACTTCACGATCGCATCATGGCGACTGAAGCATCTGTACGGCTGGCGCCAATTCCTCAGCTGGAAGGCGAGAAGAACCTCAAACTCTGGCAAGTGCAAGTAACTCAACATGCCGAATACTTTGGCCTCGAAGCCTTCCTCGATGGCACATCAACAGCACCACATGAAAGCGCGCCTTCTGAAGAGAAACTCAGATACAAGCAAAAGCAGATCCACGCTATGTCATTGCTTACTTCAAGCATCGTCAAGGTTCATGAAAAGCTGGAATCAGCAGGATGGGACATGCTTACTGAAAAAGATCCCTCTGTTCTCTACAGTTTGATTCTCAGAACCATTCCCAAAGAGTCCGAGAACAATGTACCAGCAATGTTCTATGAGCTCGTCGGCCTTATGAAAATTCCTGAAGGCCAGAAGCTCGAGAAATGGTCATCTCGACTCAACTATCTTATCAATCGTCTCACTGCCCTACAATGTGGCATGTCCGACAAAGCTCTGACACTGATCGCGCTCAAAGCATTTCAACAACGTTATCCCTTGGTCCATGGTTTTCTTACCAGATCTTTCCAAGAGGGTAATTTGGCGTGGAGGAAAATGCAAGAAGAGATCACTCGCAAGGCAAATGAAGAAGCACACAACCCCGAGATCATGTTAGAGATCAAAAATAACCAAGGTAATTCAACTCTAGGCTCACAGGCAAATAAAGAGAAGGAAAAGACAAACGACAACCAAGACAAGAAATGCAAGACGGAACACTGCAATACTTGCAAACGCAAACATCCAACCACTTGGCCTCTCTGTAACTATTGCAAGTTGCACCACACCGGCGACTGTTTTCGACAATTCCCAGAAAAGGCATCTGAACAATGGCGCAAACGTAATATGCCAGACTGGAAGCCTTCATCGAATGAAAATGCCTCAAAAGACGCACTTGATGTCAATACGAATCTTGGCCAACTTTGTCTTCAACCAGATTCAGTAGCGAAGCGTCCAACCAATCTGGGTCTCTTCGGCAATCTAATGTGTTTGCCAGCCAACACAATCTCAACTGATGGTGATGGAACAGATTACCTGACTCGTGACAGCTTCATCAATGACTCTGGTGCTGGAGGACACGTAGTCAATGATTTGAAGTGGTTTACCTCACTACGTCAACTTCCTGAACCAATCTACATGGACACAGCTAATGGTGGCGTTGCTGCTGCCACAGCTGTTGGCACCATTAAGATTCATCCTCAAAGAACTGATAGTAAACAGGTTAATTGGACTATCGGTGGTGTTCTCTATAACGAATCTTCCCCAGTTAACATCATCAGCCCTGGCTTACTGAGGGAAGATGGCATCATTGAAGATGGACATACATCAACTCTTCGCATTCGGGAATCGAATGTTGAACTTGGTAAGATCAACTGGCTCAAAAACGTGAAGGTTATTCCTCTCGTCTGCAAGCCAACAGCTCCCGCAGAGCACCTTCCACTCTTCTCAGCAACAATTGACATACAATTGATGCACGAGCGACTTATGCATGCGAACTACAAGACAGTCAAAAAGGCCTGCGAAGCCGCTGGTCTAAAAGTCACAAAACCAATCAAACCCTGCGAGACTTGTATGCTCTCGAAAGCAAAACAAATCATCCACAGAGATCCGGCTATTCAACCGAGTAGACCACTTGAGATCATCTATTTTGACACTATTCATCATCAACCGCTAGGCCTTACTGGCTGGCGTTACAGCGTTCACTTTACAGATGGGTTTACTGACATGCAGTGGACTCGCTTCACTCGCAAATTGGGTGATATACATGCGGAGATCATTGCCTTCGTTACTCAGGTCGAGCTTCAAACTGGTCTGAAAGTCCAAATATTCCACTCGGATAATGGCAAGGAATTTCTTGGCGATGCAAAGCAAATGGACACATTCGTCACCAAGAAGGGCATTCAATGGCATCGATCTCCTGCTAACACTCACGAACCAAATGGAAGAGCAGAGCGCTCAGTCCAGACTCTCATCACACCAGCTCGTAGCGGCATCATCGGCGGTAACTTGCCCAAGTTTCTCTGGCCGTGGGCTGAAGAGACAGCGGATACGATACATAATCTCCTACCAAATGGAAAAGACAGCCTGTCACCTCGCCAGCGTCTTGGATTCTATCTCAACATGACAGCACAGGTCATTAATGGCAATATTTCCAATCTCATCAAATACGGAGCTATAGCTTATGTCCACAAGAAAACACCAGCTGATCTTGCCAAAGCTGACAAGGTGGAGCACAGGGCATGGAAGGGCAAGCTCGTCGGCTATGCTGACCTTCGTACCAAACTCTACAAGATCTGGGTTCCCGAGAAGCACCGCGTGATGCGAGTGCGTGACGTTCGTTTTGCGGAGACTTTGGATGATACGCAACAAGATCACGACGCTGACGCTGACTTCATCGTTGAATTCGAAGATGAGAATGCTGACGTTGAATTTTCTGATCTGATAGCTAACCCCGTTGACTACGGAGTCGTCACGCACACAATAACCCAACCATCTACTTTTCCATCCTCTCAACCGGCCGATGATAGGGAAAATCAAGAGACAAAAGGAAATATGCAGCGCGAAGTTGAAAATGATCCACTCTATCCCACACCTGGGCCTGAGCAGATGGCCAGTCCAGCGCCATTGACTCGAACACGCGAAGAATTAAGCTTCGATTCCGATGATACTGATTTAGATGACATCGATGCCGAACATCCCTTACGTCCCCAGAGTCCTGAGCCGAATCCTGAGCCGAATCCCGAACCGAATCCTAAATCATCGACAACCTCAAATTCACGCCCTCGTCGTGCTGCGGCCAGATCAGTTGCAGATTATCGACATCTCGCTGGCATACGCACATACAACAAGAGAAAGGCAGACCAGTTGTCATTATCTTCGGTCAATTTCTCCAAATCTATCAACAAAACTCGCTATCTTGAGCTCGACGCCAAGATTAGTGATTCCACACATCTATGTCTGTCTGCAATCAAGGTTGAAAAACTCTTGAATCAATCCAAAACCGCATCAGACTTCCCTTCAGCCAAGTCATACAAGGATGCTCGAAAGCAAGAGAAATGGCCGACTTGGAAGTCAGCTTTCGACGATCAGATAAACGAACTGGTATCTCGTAAAGTCTTTGAGCTTTCAGATCTCCCTCCTGGAGCGAAGGCCTTGCCGACGAAGTGGGTAACGGACCAGAAGTTCCATCCAGTTACCAATCAACATTTGAGAAACAGAGCGAGGCTTGTAGCTATGGGGAACTTCGAAGACTCAAGCAGCTTTTCGGTCGAAGAAATGTATGCTGCAGTCGCTAGCCTTACATCTCTCAAAGTGTTTCTCGCTCTTATGGCCACTCTAGGTATACACGCCGAGCACTGTGATGTAGTAACAGCCTTCTTAAATGCTAAGAAGCCTCAGGACACTCCAGACATCTATGTTCGCCAACCAGAAGGATATGATGACGGCAGTGGACGCGTTTGGCGCCTGAAAGCCGCTCTCTACGGTCTCAAGCGAGCACCAATCTGGTGGTTCAATACCCTTGTTACCGCAATGAAGGAGATTGGATATGAACCTGTCGAAGCCGACCTCTGTCTTTTCAAGAATGATAAGACTGGAGTTATGGTACTTGTCTATGTAGATGATCTTCTGCTTGCGGGTCATCACAAGTCAGACATTACGATCGCTAAGCAGAAACTCGCTGCTTATTTCCGCCTCAAGGAGCTGGGAGATGTGCGAGAGTTTCTCGGCATGCAGATTTCAAGAAATCAAGATGAAAACAAGGTTTTTATCTCACAAGAGAAGTATGCGATGAAGATTCTCACCAAATTCGGCAAATTAGACCTCAAACCTTCTGCTGTGCCCTGGCCATCAGATATCAAAATACCAGCTGTATGGCCTAAGATTCAGCTGGATGACCAATCAAACTACCTCAAACAGACGGCCTCGCTCAACTATCTCAGTATTGGCAGCAGACCAGATATGACCAACACCAACAAGGCACTCTCTGAGGCGCAAAGCAAGCCAACCAAGGTTCATATGGACTTGCTTCAACATCTCTGGAGATATCTCAAAGGACAGCCTAATCTCGGTATTGTTCTCGGCGGAAAGTATCCCATTCATGATCTGAAACTCAATGTCTGGGCTGATGCGGCACACGCTGATGACCTGGCTACTCGAGCGTCAACAGGAGCTCATGTTGTATTCCTCTGCGGTGGTCCGATATATTGGAAGTCCAAGAAGCAGACCCTCGTGGTCATTTCAAGCACCGAAGCTGAATTCATCAATCTCACACCAGCTGGTTTATCCGCTGTTTGGATCTTACGCTTACTACAACAACTTGGGTTTCCCCAAGACACTCCAACTCTTCTCATGACTGACAGTCTCAATGCCAAGTCAATCGTACTTAACCCAAACAATGCAGCCAGAACCAGACATATTGACACAAGGTACAAGTGGATCATAGATCGCGTCCAACGAGGAGATTTCGATATTCAATACGCCAGAACAGGAGAGATGATTGCAGACGGTCTCACGAAGCCGTTAACGAAAGAGAATCATCTGAAATTCGTCCGTCAACTCCGTCTGACGCCGTGTCCTTGGTGATTCTGATTGAGGCGGTGTCAGGTGGCAGAAACGCATATAAAATTGGAAGTCAAGTTGATGAAAAACGGATATTCTGTACGTGTACGTAGCTCTTTTTAGATGACTAGCTCTATTGGCCTGGGGGGGTGTGTCAGAGGTGGTACCTGCGCAGCCACCACTACTTATTTCCAGACCAACAACACTAGCCTAGCTTTCTTTCCTCACCACAATACATCACTTCTATTGTGTGTCCCTCAACAAAGTATTTGTCTGTCGTGCTGTGTAACATATCTACTGCATGCTGGTCGATATTCCTGGTACTGCGCCTACATAGATGCCTCACAACTAGCCTATGAGATCTGAGAAGCTTCGGCTCAATAGCGGGGTCCGAGGCACAGCCACGAGATAAAGTGATGTTGACCAACTGGACGCACTTTTCTTCGCGGCACATAGCCCATATCAGGGTAGCCTTCATACAGTGAATGGGGGAGGGGGAGGAGGGGAGGGAGTGAAACCAGCTGAGTCATCAAATGCCAACACACCCTCGGAATGTATTGCCAATTAGTGCAGATGAATGAGCCGCCCACGTTTTATCTTGCCTTACATGATTAAGTGGTTTGATAGCTTGATTGTTTTATTGGTATTTAACCCATCCCACTTCCGGCTGTATTTGCAGCCGCCGCTCGTAAATAATTTTCTAGTTACGTCATCTTTGTCTAGCAGCATATCATTCTCAACCGGCTAGTAAACACATCGCCAATGGCGATGGAAGGCACAGCCAACAAACCCAAGGGCCCTGAACCCCCAAGTCTGCCAACTTCGAACCAAGATGGGCAGGACAGCGGTGCAAACAATCCTGGCGTTTCTGGTTCCTCTGTGGGCGAGAGCGCCCACGCCGAGGAACAGAGTAATGCCACCTTCAGTCATGAGGTTCAAGCCTTAAAGATGAAAATCTTTGCACTTGAGCAACATCTCAACCGCAAATCTATCACTAAAAAGTCCGACGAAAAATCCACTTTCCAAGATGCATCACAAGCTCAAGCTAGGGCCGATGTAGAGCAGTACAAGAGGATGGAAAACTTTCTTTTGAAACTTTTGAAACACCGCAAAGAGTGGGCGCAGAATCTTGAGGAATTAAGTTTTGCAATGTTTCCCCAGCCAAAGTCAGATGGCATCAACACATGGGCGCCGCGGGGACCCTGGAATTTATTTTGGAATTTTGCAGATGATGGCTACGAGAGACCAAATCCATTTCACGCTCAACACGAGCATGTGGACGACCCTTAGACTGAAAAGGATGAGTTTGATCACGAAATCGATTTCTGCGCCCGTAGGGACAGGATTCGCAAGAACTTCGAGTGGGATCTGGATCGTTTGTTTCTGGCAGAGGAAGTTGACAAGCGCAAACGGAAGAAAGCGAACGACAAACGCGACACTAAAGTCATGGATAAGATGGACTCGGCCAAGCCTGAACCCAACCGCATGGACTGGTTGTCGTTCCAGCGTCTGTATGATGCGCCAGAGAAGGAATGCTGTGTTATTGATATTCTTATCGGAGAGCCCTCCGACGACAGCTTCGGGAGCTCACGGGGTTGGTATGGCTACGCTGATTCGGATATGTCTCAAGCACACAATGAACTTGCCTCTCTCGCACCTGGACAAGGACCACTTCCCGAGAGAATCCGAGTTCACTCTCTTGTCCTACGAAAGATTCTGGCCGATATTCTCAGGTCGGTTGCTGGGGATCGCATTAACGCCTTAGCAAATCCTGATGTTCCCGCCATCTTGTTCATTAGGCCTTTCAAGGCACTCTTCTATGCGGAAAAGGCGTTAAGGGCTTGGTATGCTGCACTGGAAAAAAAGTTCGAGTCATCTGCTGCCAAAAGCCCCAAGCAGGGCGGGATAGAGTCGAATTAGCGTGATGATGCTACTATAAAAACCGTGGTGGAAGACGTTAATGTTGCCAAAGAGATGACCGAGGTCATATCAAGTACTGTTGAAGAAAAGAAAGACAAGGAAATGGATCAAGGCCAAGGCGGTGCCGAAAGAAACAGGAAAGAGGAAAAGGATAAGGACAGCGATGAAAAAGACACAACCAAGTCCAGAACGGCCATGGTTCATCTAAAATGCCTTCTACTTTGGAGACCTTTGGTACCTGTTTCGGCCAGGGTTAGAGGTGATTGGCCGTGATGGAAAACAGGCCTATCGTGTTGTCAAACTAGGAAGCGCTCCGCATCGCGTCGTTCCTGCCTGGCAGAGACGGATTTCAGACAAAAGGCAGCGTCCGATTGTCCCCTTCAGCATCACTTGTGTCTACATTGACTTTGACGGGAAAAGCCTCGGCCCAGTGTGGAAGACCTTTGAATTCCAACGTTTTGAAGGCGAGAGAGACATCATTTCATTTCCAGTATACCCGCTTCATTTTCACGCTCCAAGAAGGCTAGGCTCTACCGAGGAAGTAAAGAAGGAGCTTGAGTCCCTTTCTGTGGCGGAAACACACCGAAATACACTTGTTTCTCGGGGGATAAAGTTCCTCGAGGCTGCCGGGGTGAAACATGCATATTACGCCGGGCCCACGCAGGGAATTCGCGATGAAGTTGAAAGCGAAGTTGTTGTCGATTTTGAAACTGCATTCTCGGTGGAAGACAAGGAGCAGCAAAAGTGGAAACCAGCCTTGGACGTGATGCTGGGCAACCCCCCTCCGGTGGAGTTGGGACCAAATGAAGAGCAAGAAGGAATCCAGCCCTGTCGTGCAGCCTGTTGTGCGAACGAAGTCGTCCATGATGACACATATATCGACCAGACTCAGAAAGACGAATACGTGGAGGGACTGTTGCCGAAAACTCACGATGTGAATGAGCAGCCTTCGGTTGCTGTCATTCCACGACTTCTGACGGAATTGAAAACTGCCAATGCGACTTATGGTTATACAGTCTCCGATGATGAGCGAGTGATTATGCCATATCGTGTGTTTGGGTTCGTTCTTCGTAGCCGGAAATGGGGTATGTGATCCTTCGTCTATCAAATCTTCACCTAGTTGCTAACCTATACCGCTCCAGCCCAGTTAGATTTGTCTCATCTAAATGAGGTAACCGCATCATCGGAATCAGTCAATAGCAACCAAGACAAGCACCTGAACAACAAGGAGAATAAACGTGAAACTGCCTTCCACAACCTTGTTCTCGAAGACGGACACAAGCCAATGATTGTGTCATTAATCGCCCAGCATTTCAGAGACAAGAGGTCCAAATCTGGAGATAAGGAGCAGGTTGATATTGTCAAGGGCAAAGGTAATCCCCTTTTTAGTTCGTGATTTTGTAAGAAACGAAATCATGCTGATGTACGTTCTAGGCAAGGGCCTGATCTTCCTCCTTCACGGCGCCCCTGGAGTGGGAAAAACATCCACGGCTGGTCCGTATAGCCAATCATCCGATAGCTTCACTCAAAACCTGTACTAACTGCTCCTTTTCCCCAAACAGAAGGAGTTGCCGAGTTATTCAAAAAACCCTTGATCCAAGTCACATGTGGCAAGTACTATCAGATAAGTCCAATTTAGCTTGAGTTGGCCACTAATATATCAATAGGAGACCTCGGAACTACAGCAAGAGAAGTTGAAAAGGCCCTGGAGATGAACTTTGCGTATGCAAATAAATGGGATTGCATTCTTCTTCTGGACGAGGCTGATGTTTTCCTGGCGGGACGGACTAAAGAGGAATTCGTCCGAAATGGGCTCGTAGCGGGTATGTTACTGTACTATCCAAGAGAAGTAACGTTAACAGAACAACAGTATTCCTACGTGTCTCAAAGTAATACGCTGGTATTCTATTTCTCACGACAACCCGTGTTGGCGATTTCGACGAAGCCTTCACGTCACGTATTCATGTCAGCCTGTACTACCCCGAGCTGGACCTGGGCAAAACCAACCAGGTTTTCAAAATCAATCTGGAAATGATCAGACAGCGTTTCAAAGAAAAAGGCAGAACCATTGTCATCGATGAAATTGAAAACTTTGCCTCCAGCCACTTCGTCAACTATCCATTCGCACGTTGGAACGGGCGTCAAATCCGTAACGCATGCCAAACAGCTTTGGCGCTGTCGGAGTTCGAAGCCCAGGGAAGCAATCATAAGGTCATTGAAGCCCCCAATTCCCTTGTACATCTCAAAATATCACACTTCGAAACGGTCCAGAAGGCCTATCTCGAATTTACAAAATACATGGACGACCTCTACGGCACAAACACAGCACGCCGCGCCAAGGAGGGAAAGACGCGAGCCTACAGGGTTGACACAGACCAGAGCAACAAAATCTACGAAAAGAAAAGCATGGGCGGTTCCCTGATTGAAAAGAGAGCAGCGGACTTCCTTGTTGCAAGTCAGGAGCAACGTCACGCTCAAAACTTCCCAGCCTACACGGCCCAGCAACAGCAACTACCGCAAAAAGTATTTCAGCAGCAAACGAACCCGCAGTTTCGACCAGAGTTTCAGCAGCAAGCTTTCCAAACTGCAGCCCAGATGATGCCTAACTTTGGCGCGCAGCAGTACTACCAGGTTCCCGCCCAGGATGCCGGGCTGCAAGTGAACTATCCTCAAGTACAAAACTACCCACAGGGACCAAACTCGATGTCAGCACCTCAACAGCAGCATCACCAGCAGATTCAAATGCAGCAAATCCCTATGAAACACGCCTGGAATAGCCCCGGGGCCAATTTTCGGACCGATAACCAGGGTCAAGAGGAAGTACAGACCGGTCTCCTTTCCCAACAAAGACTTCCCACGACGCCACCTCCACATGACGCCACCTCCACCACAAAATCAACAGCAGAAATAGGCACAGAAAGAACAGACTAATAATTCTCAATATTGGCCTGGACTCAGCCAAGGTGTCCAATCCATGTACGCGTCGGGTAGCCCACAAGGGGCGGGACAGATGCCGACCGGTGGAAATCCTGCGGGTGGAAATGGATAGTCTGTTGTCTCTCGACTTCTGCCTAGCAACTATTATTCCTTGAATTTCATTTCACGTCACGAGCATGAGACGCTTTGCTCTTTTTCCGTTATGAAGACGGTTAGGCAATACTCAGAGCTTCGAAGTGATTAGTTGTTTGTCTCTATAATATTCTGATTTCATCTTCTGTTAACTGTGCGCTCTGTGACATAGGCTACAGACTTTGAGTAGGTATAGTTTACTGTGGTGGCTCTATGTAGTTTGAACTCGATACAGTACCTTAGTTTATTTGGAAATCTACTTGTGGCACACTATCACTGTATATCTAGCTGCACCACATTTGAAATTTTGCGGAAGAAACTGCCAAGTTGATATAAACCTTACAAAATGTCGAACGCGGATCTGGCGTGTGTGCAAACTCCTCGGTCCCTAAGCCTAAGTGCCGCTATCGACCAGTCTTCGGACGGCAGGAACATGCACCCAAGCGTACACCCAGTGTTGGTAAGGAACTACTTACAAGCTGAATTAACAATTTCTTGTTCAATAGGGCTTTCGCCATCTAAGACCCCAACCAAGAGATTGAAGACTGATGCAGGAGCGGTGGCTAGTCCCATTCTACACGTTCCTGACCACGCCTCCCCGACACCCACAAAACCTGACCCATACAAGGCTGCACTTCAGGCAGTTCGGGACAAACGATCCATGCTCAATACAGATGGCCGTAGACTTCTATGTGATCTGATCGACGTGGATACGAATCCGATTGCACCCCACGTCGTGGCCTTCATGCGAACTACGAGCTACATAAAAGCTCGTTGGCAGGTATCACCACATCATCTGGGAATACATATGACATACGCGTAAGATACGTATCAAGACGTTTTTGGGACAGACGTACAATACAGCTTCATTTAAGTCCGTCATAAGGCCCGGAATGGCTGCGATTACTAGCTTTGTGGTATTGGAATTGCCATTGCAATATGATCATCAAAGCTGTGCTGTACAAGATCTAGATCAAAATTCAAAGAATTCTACGTGGGATTCTTTCAGACCAAACTACCAGGTAGGGCCTCTTTTGGTGACTAGTAGACGCATCTGCGATGATGCCGGTCAAGCAGTTCATCGACCTTGTCCTGAATAAGTAACCACCTGCATTTTTCGTCTAACCTCCCTCCTTGAGCATAAAGCTTCTGTACGCCTTCGGCCGCTTTGCTCCTTGCCTCGACCATAGAGCAAAACGCCTCATAACTCGAATACGCTGCAGCCGCGGCCTCTTCTTCCCTGTCATCATCAACTCTTATTGTATTTAGCGCTCCGTCGCCATCAGCATGTTCATGTTCGTGTTGAAACCTTAGTTGAAGGAGGTCCTTGGAATAGTTGTGGGGTATGGTGTTGGAGTATGCCTGGACCAGAAGTGCGGTATATATGACCCTAAGTGTAGACTCGTCAGTGGCGAGGGCTCGATGGCCCTCACTGGTGGGAGATGAATGAGCAACCTCAATTAGATTGAGCACGTGTTCGATAGTACGAGCATAGTCAATGACGATACTCTGTAAAGGTTGATCCGGAGGGCCATCTCGCTTTGGTAATATGTACAAGTATTTCCGAGCCTCTTCAGCTGCGTATCGAGCAAGTTCGGCAGAAAATCTGTTGACACGGATAATGAGATTCTCAAGTTTCATGGGTAAAACGCCAGCTCGAAGGATCTTGACCACATGATCAGGGTCAAGGTTGAGGTCAGGTAGAGGACCAGTATCATGATAGTCCTGAATTTGAGGTGAGCGGCCAGAGAAGGAGGGTGCCATGTGAGCTAGGAGCTGGAAGTAGGGGTTAGTTCTTGTTATCTTTGCGCATAGATAGCCGACGAACCTTTAGCACCGTGAACTGGGAGCGGATACTCTGTATCAAGACATCCTTGTCGACGCTATGCTGCTGACGGCAGAAATGGTTGAGATGAAGAAGAGGGACAGGTACTCGTCTTTTCCCTTTTCGCTTCCAAGCAAACTGCAGGTTGGAGGTATCAACATGGCAGGCAATCTGGGAGTCGCATAGAATGGCAACGTCATGAAGGAGAGCATCGCGGAGCTGGCGGACATGTTCAACCCGTAACGAGGCCTGGCCGGCATCAGGGTCGAGGCCTTCTACTACGGTCCAGAGGCCGCATGTAGGGAAGGGGATTTGAATCTCCAGGCGCGTGTCATCCCGGCCGGCCAGCTTGGGTACGAGGCTGGTCAGGTTCGGAATGTGTCCTAGTCGGATGAGGATATTGACGGCGTGTTCGAGCGATTCCTTGTTCTCAAATCGATATTGGCCAGCGTCTGCGTTTCTACGCGTATTGCCTTGATTTTCGGGCACCTCTTCTTGAACTGCTGTCATCGTTCGCGTATTTATCGATGTGTTCTTTCCAGCGGATTGCTTCTTGGAGACTTGGCCGTTCAGAACATGCTTGATGAGCGGCGTCCCGGATCAGCGCTTCTTTTTGTTGTTGACTGTGGCGCCAACCATGTTGGTATTGAAGCTAGCCTCTCCAACTAATTGGAAATGCCGCGAATGTAATCGGTTGTTATCCATAATGCGAAAGCTCATTAGGGTGGAGAAATGAGTTTTGGCAGGAAGACGTGACTGCGGAAAAAAGTAACTGTAAGTGATGATTGATCGCGTCTGCAACTTTAATGACGACATCAACGTCTGAAGCCCACGGTAACGGGTGTACCAATCCAGCGACTTAATGCGTTGTCATCATCTTATTTAGAATCTGATCACTTGCCTACAATTATATATGCAAGTAGACACTTTAGATCGGCATTAGCTGCATTTACGCTGTGTCAAACAACCTCATGTCATCACAGGCACTCATTTGGGCATATCCGTTTTCAGTTGAAATGTTGCTGCCTGCTCCTCATATCAAATTTAACTCCGTTCTTCCCCGTCGAAACCCAAGTGCCATCCTCCTCCCTACAGTCGTGTCTTCCTGAATCCATGAATAGCACGAAAGTTGGTCAGCTTTTGCAGATACCGTCGGGTGAGATATCGTTCTGGTATCCTCCAGATCTCAAACCATCGAAATTTGATAAGAAATACGACTTCCTTCGCGTTGGCCATCGCGGCCTAAGACGATGGACCTCATTCTCCGATGACGTAGACCATGTCTGGCAAAAATATGCTGACCTGACCCTTGACCGACGACCCTTCCATCCCAATATTGTCGACTGGAAGCGCTATGCTTCCACGGAGAGGCTTGTGCAAGACCTCTACGACGCTACCCTGCTTGCCCGTGTTAACACCGCCCTCGACGCCGTCTGCCGCCCAATCTCGCACTTGCCCATTATTGGGACGCCGAAGTATTCAGCTAGTTGGGGCACCGAAAAGAGCAGGGCGGAAGGAGAGCAGGAGAAAAACACTGTTGCCCCAGACTGGGTCGTCATCTAATGCGCCGTCGGTCATCCTTTCCCGCCCCTCGCCAGTTTACAATACTGCTACATCGCCATAGGAGACACGAAGCTAAACCGCCCGGGTGCCGCAAGTGGCGAAGAGAATCTGCCCGGTACGCATGCATGTCCCGAGGCGTATGTGGCCCAGGTTGTCCAATACTGCATTGATCATGATACACCCCTTGGTTTTGTCCTCACCAACGATGAACTCGTTCTCTTGCAGTTGATTAGGAGTGATGACGCACGGGAACAACCACCCAGGACACGCTCAAGTGGGACAGCACTTCTACTACCATCCGATATCATCTCTAGCGAGGCCGACTATTCGTCACCGCTGGTGCGGCGAAGTAATGATTGGCCTGACTTCGATGAAGGTGACGAAGGCATTCCGCTCGCGCAGGTCGTGGTGGATGAGTATGCATTGCCTCGAGAAGACCAACCGTCATCCTCTCGGCGACGGAGATATGCGACCCCAGAGCAGCCTTCAAGCTCCCAGCAATCAGCGCCCGGGCTAGATGACACTCCATGTCCGGATCCTCGGCCTCGTACTTCCACGTCGCCAACCCCGGCATCGTTGTCAACGTCCTCTATCGTCCCCGAATCACAAGGGACGGCGTCGAGTTTCGAGCCGGACGTCCGTTCGATGGACCCGACCCACGTCCTCATTCATTCTATTCGAACTGATGGTGAAGAAGGTCAAAATGCGGCTCTACATCTGTTCACATTAATTATGCTAGCTAAGGCGGCCAGAGATTGCGGTCTGGGAGGGATTGGTACTAGGAAGCTGTCGTTCGCTGCGCTAGGTCGGTGATATGTAACGAAACCTCTAATAGTCTAGCTGCGTAAACCACTAAAGAGTCTGTAAGGGTTTGTGCTAGTAAGTAAGTCCTGCTGCGGAGTCCTTTAGCAATAATATCGGGGTCTAACGTATGGAGTATAGTGCTTTGGGGTAACTGAAGTATTCAAGTAGGGTAACTGGTGTGACGGTTGTCACGTGATTGACCCACACTGGTCTGAACAGATTGATAAGTGGTTGCAGATACCAAAGTCAGGGACTTTGGTATTGGTTCTTTTGGTGAAGACATCTGGTACGGTGGCGTAGTGGCAAGGATTGCAACCCCTGGCGCGGCGTGACAACTGGGAATAGAGTCGTCAAGGCAGTTTGCCTCGCCAATGGGTTAGATTGATGCTTAGATTGATGACTGAAGTAGAGACTGTCTATCTATGAAATGCCTGGGAGTCCTGTCCCTTATATACCCATCTCTCCTTCACTGATCCCCACTTGGTTGATTGATTGATTGATTGATTGATTGAAATTTAACGTCTCATCACGTGAGACGTGCCGGGCGCAGTGCCGGCATGGTCTATGCTAGTCGAATCTATGTTACAGGGGACTGTCTTCATCTAACATTCCTGTTTAGTGCGATGAGCAGATCTCAGGAAAGAAATTGGTCTCCTCCGCCCATTGACAAAACAAACGAGCTCCCTTGGCCGTGCCTAGGAGGGAATCTATACTATTCTTGGCCTGATCCCCACTTGGATATGTTGGTTGTCCAACATATCCAACATATCCACCCCTGTAGGTCACGTGACCTGTTGGTCCTTTCCTTCCTCCGATGCGGGGTCCCGTGATCCTAGCGTCTGTATCCACCTGGCCTGCCGACGGGCCTGTAATGTTGGTTCAGGGCCAACGGTTCGTAACACTATAGATAAGATAGATAATATATTATTATTATTATTATTAAATACGCCGTAGGCTCGAAGCCCCCGGTACCTCTACTAGTACTCCCGTATGTCAAACCGTGCCCTAATGGCTGGACTAAATACATACGCTGCGTCGTCGGTTCGCCCTATTGGCGACTGCGTTGCGTTCACTACCATACTACGTTGGTTCTCAACCTACCAACAAAGTCCCCCCTGAGAAGATCGATGCTATCTGGGCCTTGAAGCTGTCCGACCCGTCCCTAGCAGCCATCTTACAATAGTCCCACTAACTACTGGTTCTCCTGTTGCCGTTGCGAGGTCTCTGCGAGAGTATAGTGGCCGTGGTGCGATGGCGGCCCGTAATCGTTCCCTCGGTCCTTCCAACAGCCCGCAAAAGAGGATTACGTGCTCTGCCGTCTCAGGGGCATCGCCACAGCGGCATAGCGGCGAGTACACGCCAAAAGCCCCTGTCTTGAATAAGAAGGCTGCTAGTCCTATTTTTTCCGTCCTGATCTGGCACAGCGTAGACGCCTCCAGTCGGTTCAGGCCGAAATACTTGCCCCCTTTCGGTATCTGCATCGAAGGGCCCTCCGGTTCCTCAGCGATAGCGCGTCGCTGGCGATCGTGATGCTCTGCTCCGGTGAGCCATCTCTTCCTCCAGTGGTCGAGGAGGGCAGCCGGGACCTCCTTTTCCTCACTCATCCACTCGGAGCCCCGGGCCTCCTTCTCCATAGTGTACCCTGCCGGTCGGAGTAGCTGCGACGCCTGCTTCCTCTTCGCCGGCCTATCCTGCCGGAGTATATGTGACGCTTTAGCGCTCGCGCTGCGAAGCAGATTTCTCTTCCCGCTAAGCCGTAGCCGTTCTTCAAACTTAGCAGCCCGGGCACTAAGATAGAGGTCTAGTGGCGGGATTGCTGCTTCTGCTTCCAGGTGGCGAACCGGCGTCGCTACGGATAACCACCGTATATAACAGCCTCGCCCGTATAAGATCGCAGCCCCACGACATATTGACTAGCTTTGTCAGGGCTAGCTTTTGAGTTGCCATTTTTGTTTTAACACGCTCAACATGGGCGTGCCACGTCAGTTTGCGGTCGAACCAGACTCCTAGGAACCTGGCTGAGACTACCGGCGACACTGTGGCGTCCCCAAGGCGAATACTTTGCGGCAAGGGCTCTCGGGCCCTAGTAAAGTGCATTAGCTCACTCTTGTCAGGAGCGAACTCCATCCCGTGCCTCACTGCCCACCGCTGACACGTAGCCCATGCGCTCTCCAACCGGCGGCAGGTCGTGTCTGGATCGGTGCCGACGCTTAGCAGGTTCGTGTCGTCCGCGAACCCGACTACTAAAAGTAGTGGATGCTGCTCCGCTAGCTCCTCGTACAGCGTTGAAATGTATAATATAAACAGTATCGGGGATAGCGGTGACCCCTGGGGGACGCCAGCTCGTAGGGGGATTGGCTCTGACTCCTTGCCATCGAACCGGAGGCGTACCGTTCTATCCTCCACGAAGCTGCGTACCCACTCCTGAACCCACTCCGGGTAGCCTTTCCGGGCTAATATGGAAATCAGCCGTCTGTAATTGACCGTATCGAATGCCCCCTTGATGTCTAGCTGTAGCAGCGAGGCGATGCCCCCGCGTCTCCACGCCGTATAGACCACGTCCTCAACTATACGTATTGCCAGTTCGGTGGACCTCCCAGCGCGGTTACCCATTTGGCCGTTTGGTAGTAGGCCGGCCGCCTCAGCTACTTTGGTGATACGCTGGCTCATCGCCGTCTCTATTACCTTCCCTACCGTGCTAAGCAGGGCAATGGGGCGCCAGCCGCCAGGGGTCTGCTTCTGAGCTGTCGTTTTATTAGGCTTAGGGATAATAACCACCCTCGCTGAGCGGAAGCGCTCCGGGTAGTACCCCAGCCTAAAGCTAGCTGTTGCCAGATCCGCTAGGATCTCCCATAGGGGTTCACCGCAGGCCTTTAGCAGGCCAGTGGGGATCAGGTCGTCGCCGGGAGCCTTCCGAGCAGCCGTTCCTTTGATGATAGACTCGATATCCATTGTGGTCACCTCCCTAGGGACGTTCAGCTCTGGTCTCGTCTGTAATAGGCCGCGATCGAGGTCCGATAGATCTATATACGGGTCTGGGAAGAACCTCTCAGCTAGTAATTTTGCCTTCTCATCATGTGTACGTGCTGTAAGCGTGTCGCCGGCGTCCCTCCGGAGATCTGGCAAGCCGTGGGCCTCAGGGGGGCCCAGCTCCGTAGCCTAGCCCACCTCTGCAGTGCCCACAGGCTTTTGTGATCCTTCGCCGTCCCCTCGAGCTTCTCGTGCCAGCTACGCGTCTGCGCTTCGCTGATTTCGAGCCGTTGTTTTTGGCCGGCTCTTGTATATTCGTCCCAGTTGGTCTGCGACCTTGCCTGGAGGTAGTCCCGCCGTCGTCTCTTCGTCTCAGCGCAAGCCTTGCTAACCTGCGGGCACCACCACGGGACCCCAGCGCCTCGGCCAACGGTGCGTCTCGGGACCGCCACGTCGGCGATCTCTTGGAGGTTCCGGATAACCCAGTCAACAGCCTGGTCCAACTCCGTTATCGTCTCAACCGGCAAATAATTCATAAATCTCTGGCTTGATTCGGCTACGATGAGCCACTTATCCGCCATCGCCCAGTTCCACCCTTCGACACTGCGGCGGCCCTCCTTGACTGCTTCCCCGTTGGATATTACCCTAATCACTTGCGCTCTGTGGTCTGAGCCCTCTAGGCCCGGGTCCCCATCGTAATCAATCCTAGCCCCTTTCGTCACCCAGGCTAGGTCGATAGTTGAGTCTCGTTGTTTGTGCCTTTGCCGTGTGATTTCCCCGAACGGCGTAACGAGCTCTAATCGCCAGCGTCGCGCAAACTCCACTACGTTGTCGCTGCCCCGTGACGACCGTCCGTGGACGTCCCACAGCGGGTGATGTGTATTGAAGTCCCCTACGAGGACCTGTGTCCCCTCCGGCGCCCCATTAGGGAGGTCTTGGAGCGGGCTGACCCAGCGGCTCCCGGTTTGGTTTGGTGAATAGATAGACCAGATTGTAAGGGCGTCCGGGCCTGCCCCGAACGTAATACTGCTCCAGTCCATCCCGGTACGGGGTCGCAACGTAGCCACGTCGTATCGTTTATGGACGTATAGCGCAGCTCTGCCGCTGCTGTACACTACTTCGTACCTGGACGACTTCGGGCAATAAATCGCCTTCGTCCGCCGGTTGATCCATGGCTCTTGAACCGCTATTATATCATAGTCACCCCCCTTATCCAGCGCTAGCGTTGCGTTCGCCTTTGAATCTGCGATATTCCAGTAGAGAATAGAGACTACCATTAAGCTGTCGATGGTATATCTTCGTTCGTACGTCCCTTAGTGAGGAAGCTACGCATTGCTGACGCAGACCGTTCGGTTCGCTCCTGCTCCACTCGCGATCCGCCCAGGGGGCGGCCCCGGGGTCGTACAACTGTAAACCCGTCGCTGGTCAATGAGCTAGGTGGTGTGAGCCTGCCCTCACTAGATAACCCGTCCGAGTAGCTGCGGACCTCAAATTGTCGGGGGCGGTGAGCGTACGCCTCGCGTACGCGTAGCCGCTGCTGTTCTGCCGTAGGGCAGTCCCTGTCCCACGCCGTGTGCTTCCCTTTGCAGTTCACACAACGTTTTTTGCCGCTAGGTGCCTTCTCGGGGCAGTCTTTTTCACCCCCTGGGTGTGCCGTTGCAGCGCAGACGCCGCAACGCGCCGTCTTCTTGCAGTGTTTCGCGATATGGCCGTATTCGTAGCACTGGTAGCACTGCCGAACCCGAAGATTGCCGTCGTACGGCTCGCAATCGAATATCTGGGCCTCCCAAATAAGCCCTTCGGAGCATAGTTCCATCGCCGCCTCCACGCTATCCACGTGTAGTATCAGGGCCGCATACGGTGCTTGCGGCGCCCGGGGGAGGTTTCTTTTAGCCTTAGAGAGGTGCTTTGTATTGTCCCGCTTCAGGTCTTTAAGTAGCTGGCTCTCGTCGTGGACCTCTCGCAGCCGTTTCGCAGGCAGCCCCTTCGCGATCACTGCAACTTCTCTGCGGTTGAGAAGTGCCTTATCGCCGAAGGCACTACGCACCCACCTGCTGTCCGTGGTCGCCGCTGAGGCCGACTGCTTAAACGTCACTACGGTATCGCCACTGCGCAGCCTGCGGGCCGCCACTGCATCGGTGCTGCCGCGTGCACTGTTCACCGCTTTTACGACCTCAGCCGCCGATCTGTTCTTCATATTAGGGTCCTCTGTCCCCCGGATCACTACCTCTCTCTCCCTTCGCTGGGGCACTACAACCCGCTGCTGCCACACTGGGGCTTCACCGGGTCCCCGTCCCTGGGCCGATCCTGAGGCGATTGAGGCCCAGGATCGAGTTGTAGGCAAGGCCACGTTCTTCACCGTATCCTGCATGGTCTTCTCAACCATCGTCTGGATCGCCGCAGGAATTTCGGCAAGGGCCAGAGTCACTGCCAGTACGTCGGCATGTGTGGCGGGTCTGTCGCCCCCCTCCTCCAGCGTCCTGCCGGCTAGTTTCAACCCCAGCCAACGCTCCATCAAACCCCCCATGACCTCAATCTTCTCACGTGGGACCAAGTCGGCAATCTCTTGTTCTACCTTTTGTAGTTCTCTTCCGATCCCTTCCCTCTCTGCGTTCTTTCTGCTGGTGCGCTCCACGTTCGGTGCGTGGGCACTTTCGTTGGCGTGGGGGTGGTGAAAACTCTGTTCGAGTCCCGTCCGTCCCCCGTCGATCACCATCGGCGCCGCCATCGCTTGCGTCCTCGCTTCGCGTGCGATGCGAGGTCACTGTCCGACGTAAACGGTCGTTAGGAATCGAATGCCGCAATCGGTTTGATGATTTGACGCTGTTCGAAGAAGTTATCGATGAAAGTCAGAAATCTCTTCCCATGATTCCGAATATTAGGAACTGTCTAGATAATATAAGATAAGAGCTATAAAAAAGCTCTGCCAGGCCAGAATAGCTGACCTGGCCAACCTTTCCTACTACAATAATTCACACCCCATATGCACCTGCATCAGTTGTCTAAGCAATCCACACCCTTACTTATTGTTATTAGACCACTCCAATGTAAGTAAGGATCAACCAATTCATGAAGTCATGGGTGAAAGGTTGAGTAGGCATACGTCCACAGGTTACAAGACAGATGCAGAACTTCTATATCAATACCAGTCTAATCTATGAGTATGAGATCTCCTCGAGTCTCCCTAGGAACTATCTAACGCCTATCTCAATCTCGTAACCTAAAAAACCCTTAATAACCATGCAACACTCTTCAGAGTCATATACTGAGGATATCAAGGCCAGTATGAATTCATCAAGCAACTCAGCTTCAGATACTCCAACGTAGAGCCGAGAATACAAGCGTGATTGCCTGGATGTACAAGTCTGCCAAAGTAGAGTCCCGCTTGAGGGCATGGAGAAATGTTCCCAGCGTGATGTAATTGGAGACTAATCGGCTTCGCTGACTCTGAACTTCATAAAATCCTCGCAATATTTCTGAAAAGTCAAGGCAAAACCTAAAAAATGGATAGACTGCCGTTTGGACTGTTGAGAAAAGATAGATGACCTCTGGAGTTGCTGTTGTAATATAACTTATGTTCTTGTGTAATTACTATCCAGAGGGAACGTCAACCTAGGAACATTTTGAGCGCTAAAATCCTTGTTAGATGATATTTGTGGGTTCAGTGTTCGGTTTTGAACAAGGATCCATATGTTGATGCTGTGTTGGGAAATTCAGCAACACTGAACTCCTCGTCCAGCCAGGTTAAGACAGATACTTCCCATAGAGAAACCCCACAAAGATTTGCCTTGCCAGCCGATTGGGGCAATCTTCCCCTGCCGCGCATTTTTCTGCATCGCAGCCTCGACTCCAGTAGTAAACCAGACTTCGTTATAAACCCAGTGACCTCGGAGTATAACATTCAATAGAAAGGCGCATGTACAACTTAAACACGGAGTCTCGGTCAATATTGGAGTGGATTCTACAGATCATATAGTGGCTTATCATGGATAAACAGTCGAAATTTAGGTGCATTCACCGGCAACTATATTTAAACAGAAATGACGCCGGCGCCCTCAAAACCTATCGTTCCAGTATCACAGACACTGCGAATAGTAATCGTGCTGGTATTTGCATTCCGCGCTCCCTGCGCATGCAATACACCCGTTCCAAGTCTTCCCAGCACACTGCCCATATTTCGCAGCCGCACACGCCTGGCCACCTTGTCCTGAAAAAGTTCAGGTTGTCAGCTTATCTCCTCTGCACAAGGAAAACGCCCAATCCATCTAAATCTCAAGATCGAAAAGACTCTACCTACCTCCGTTTGAAACCAAAACAGGCGTCCCAATCGTCCTCCCCAAATCAACACTACACACACTCTTGCAACTCCCCGCCGCGTTCGTGTTGGGTCCACCCCCTACATCAGAGTCCGTTTTATTATACAACATCTCAATCCACTGCACCTGCATATATGCCTCGGCGCCCACCGTCATATTCCCACTCCAACTCCCGCCGTCACTCCACACGTTGAATAAAACCGTGCTGGGGTCCCGTGGCGTCTGGAACGTGCTGCTCGCCACGAGCACTCCGTCCACGTACCAACTGCTCGATCCAGGCGTCCAGTCCATGCGGTGATACTGCCAGTCATCCCAGGAGCTACGGCCCACGGTAGCGTTTTCAGACGCTTTGGGGTTGGTTTCTCCGTCCTCGCTATAAGCCGGTTGGTTCGTGTACGATATTTTGTTCCGGGGATCCATGGTTCGCACCTCGAGATCTGACTCCTGCAGGCTTGCAAGTGTGCCATCTGGAGAGGGGCGGTAGGTAAACATGGAGGTAATGGCCCCGGGAGCACCTCGTGTGCGAGCTTTCATACGCATAGACAGGAAGTGGTAGTTTTTCGAGAGGGACTCGAATTCGGCTGCCGACTGGAAGTTTTCGTGCCGCACGGTCCGCATGGTCATGTACGTTGAAGACCTGTCGCGGGCGTAGTCGGCATTTTTCTCTATATAGATATTGTTGGGCGAGTTGACCTTGAGCAACGTGGCGTCAACTCCAGGGGTGCCCAGCTTGTCGCTGTTATCCCAGTTTTGGATGACCCACGCGCTGGTCCAGTTAACAGACGAGAAATAGCTGCTCGTTACGTCCGCGTTGGCGTTGCCCTCTTGGGAATTTATGGGGTCGGGCACGCTGACATATTGGGATAACTCCCGGAAGTCGAAGAACTTGTGATGGCTGAAGTAGCTCCTGGAAGTCAGGTTGGTGAGGAAACAGTTGCAGTTCGAGTCCGTGGTTGGAACGAAATTAGCAGCTGGAGCGGCCAGGACCAGAGATGGAACTGTCAAAAGGAAGAGCCTCAATCTATGTGGTGATACCATCTTGGGAAATGTTGGCTAGCAACGTAGAAGAACGGAAAGAGGTAAATTTTGCAGCTGTTTTGCGATTTCAAGGTCAGTAATAGAGTTTATTCTTAATATTCCAGGTGCGACTTTCCCGTTGAGTTGGCTATCGGCGCCCTGGCATACGACCTGTGACCGTGGTGAATTAACCGAGATTCGCTTACACACTCCGTTGGGTCTACCTACTCAGGAACAGAAATTTTAATCCTGACACTTCTAAGGGAGAATAGCAAAATTACCAACCAACAACACTGGTTAGAAATAACGGGTGAAATGACGAGAACCCGGCCCCATTTTGACATTCCCGGGGATCCTAACTATTTTCTATTCCTTCCCCGGTAGAGACGAAGGACACGTTACTCCATCTGAAAGATTCCAGACCTTCACAGCCGGATGGCACGCTTCCAGATTCGCAACGGCTATACCTCCCGTTGCATTACCAGATCGGGCCAAGTTGCAATCAAAAACATAATAGCTAAGCTTTCCCTAGCATGGGTCTGGGAGCGGGGAGCCGAGCCGAGATATGGATCTTGGCGAATTATTGAACAGTAACATACGCGACCGGCTAAATCGAGAGACAGCACTCTACGTATGTGTGTCACGATGCAATATTGGATTCAACAACGGCAGTTGCCCGCGTTTGGGTTTAGGCCGGCGAGCAAATATCATGTTCCTGCTTGCTCATGGCGTCATTTGTGAGGTGACATCGTGGTCCGGGTTAGAGGATATTTTGGGAACAGGTGCCTGTTAGGTAACATGGTAGTGATTGCGATACGTCGCATCAGTAAATGAGGACATGGGAGTAGAAGACCTTGGCACCTCCTGCTTGAAGATTAAGTAAGGTGGCGTGTATTGCTACAGAATAAATCTCACCCACGAAACAATTGTGCTCAGAGATTCTGTGACTCCCTGCGCACCATCGGTTTTCTGTTCGTGTAACCTAAAGCAACCAACATTCAGAGGTCGTGCTTATTACAGGGGATAGTCTGATATACTGTTGTCTCCCTTAGAGGCCTGCCTTGTCTGCTCTTGTACGGCACAATTGAAGTATTTGTTGGACCTTCAAGGCCATTACACCAAAAAGGCGCCAGCTTGTGTGGCGAAGGTATCGTTCAGTTCTACCTATATAGAGCCCTTCTGGCCACTGTCCAAGTTTTAGAGGACTCTTCAGAGATTATCGCATTAAATGAAAAGACCATTTGTCCTACAGTTCATTATTACTCATGAGTTGCACAATAATCTACATATTCATAAGTACTCTTCACTGATCCACCTATCTATCCTACTATGCCATCAATATACCTCGGGTTTTCAGTTGGGTGATAAACCGAGTGGCAACCTACTGGTTGGGATAAATGACATTGATCCAATGGTTGCTAGCTTCCTGGGCTGAAGGGGCTGAACGAAGAACAGCCTGAGCTCGACGTTTCAGCTTTAGTAGCTCTAGAAAAGTGTGACATCCAAATAACGTAGTCCACGGTCCAATTGCACACTTCGGCAGATTTTCGTACGCTACCACTTTGACCTGCGGTTTTTCACCACATAACTATGGTTGGTTCTTGGAATGAAAGTGATATGATTCTAGCATTACATGCGCTTCAATCTGATCCAAAATTAAGTGTACGTCGCGCTGGTCAGATCTATAACGTACCTTTTAAAACCCTTGCGTAACGACGCGACGGTAAAACCGCTCGAGCGATTATGCGATCGCCAACGCAAAAGTTGACTCCTTCCGAAGAAGAGGCAATCGTACGACATATAACTGACCTAGATTCGCGAGCATTTCCTCCCTGATTGAGTGGTGTTGAAGATATGGCCAACCGATTACTTCGAAGTCGTGACGCGGGACGCGTCGGCGTCAACTGGGCCTCGAGCTTCGTAAGACGACAACCAGACCTCCGGACGCGTTTAAATCGAAGTATCGACTATCAGAGAGTCCTCTGCGAAGACCCCGACGCGTATCGCGCGTGGTTTGACCTGGTATGGAATACAATTGCGAAATACGCGATCCAGGAGGAGGATATCTACAACTTCGACGAGACCGGTTTTGTGATGGGCCAAATCTCGTCCGAAATGGTCGTGACGACTTCTGATCGGCGCGGAAGGCCTAGAGCAGCCCAGCAAGGAAATCGGGAATGGGTTACAGTTATTCAAGGCGTTAGGTCGTCCGGTTATGCCCTCCCTCCGTACATCATTTTCGCCGGCAAAACCCACCTCTCGTCATGGTACGAAAACAGCACATTACCGCCTGATTGGGTTATCACAGTTACTAAAAATGGCTGGACTACGAACGAGAGAGGCGAAGATTGGATAAAACACTTCGATCATCACACCAAGTCTCGTACGAAAGGTACTCATCGCCTATTGATCCTCGACGGTCACGAAAGCCATCACTCGACCGATTTCGAGGTATATTGCAAAGCTAACAATATCGTCACGCTTTGTATGCCTCCTCATTCGTCGCATAAACTCCAGCCTCTTGATGTTGGTTGTTTTCGCGGGTTAAAAAGAGCGTACGGAAAAGAAATCGAAGATCTCATGCGAGCACATATAAGTCATATCTCGAAAGAATACTTTTTACCGGCGTTTTTAAACGCGTACAACGCAACTTTCACGGTTTCAAATATCCAAGGAGGTTTCCGAGGGGTAGGAATAGTTCCGTACGATGCAGATTATGTCATATCACAGCTCGATGTGAAATTACATACGCCAACACCTCCGGGTAGCTCGGCTGGTCTCCCCGTCCCTTGGGAATCAAAGACTCCGAACAACCCAACCGAAGCCCAATCACAAAGCGATTATGTGAAAAATAGGATTGTACGACATCAAAATAGCTCACCAACGTCAATTTTTGCTGGAATAGATCAGATTGCGCGAGGTACAACGAAGGTTATGCATCGGCTTGCCCTTTTAGAAGGCGAGGTCGAATCACTTCGAAAGGTAAATGAGACCTTAAGTCGACGTCGCCGTGCGAAGAAAAAACAGCTACAGAGTGGAGGGTCACTTCGTATACAAGCTGGACAGGACCTACAGTCTCAACGAGAGGTTGATGGGCAGTTACATGACGAATTTCGTCAAATTGGTGGTCGTACGAGGCGGCGAATTGCGCGTGTACGGCGCTGTAGAATCTGCGGCGAGCCCGGACATAATGCGCGCACTTGTGGAAATGATGTAGAGACGTCTGAAGATAACGATTCTGATTAGTTTCAATTGATGATAGGCGTTGTGGTTGAATTCACTTATACATTGTCGTATAAGGTCTGCCTAAGTGTGCAATTGGACCGTGGACTACGTTATATGATCACACCATCCTTAAGAAATACAAGTGGCGGAAAATGTCTTTCGCGGTGCACATTTTTGCTCTGGAAGCTATTGCAAAAAACCGCTGTACAACGTATTCAGCTCCACTAGGAGTATTGATGTAGACAAATGAAGTCGCAGCAGATTGCGAACAGCCTCATCCCGTCCAACGCCGGGGCGCTGCGCCAATTACAAGGGGATTATGAATACGAAGCAACAACAGTCACATGACCAGCAAGATTTTCGTCACGGAACTGTTGACTAAACAGATTATCACATCTCCGACATAGACGAAAACATTCGACGAAGTCTAAGAACAAATATACCTTACACCTATAACTTGCGTCCAACCACTTCAGCATGTACCTCAATTTACTCAACAATATTTGCGGACAAGAAGACTTGTGACACCAGTCAGACCAGACCGACATTTTTGATACTCTATAAATTTTGTGCCATCCTAATGCTGAGCTGCTCGTCTCGTCTGCTCCGTCGATGTCAAAGACACTGACCCAGCGCTCCTTTTCGGCTTCCTTGTCGTCATTTCAGTCTCCGCACCAGCAACCGCACTCCCGGGCGTATACGTCCTCGGTTCGTTATATGTCGCGTCTCCATACATCGGACCGACTGTGTAAGGTGGACTGGGCTGATTCATATACTCCGGTTGTTTCTTCACTACCCGACGCTTCTTCACCTCGCCGTATGCCGCCGCAATGACCCACAACGTCCACATGATGGCAGCGACAATGGAGTAAGCTGTAATAGCGGAATCTGACGCACCCGCAAGTTGCAGACCGAGGCCACCGTTAATAATGCCTAGGGTAATCGTGGTGCGGCCGATAAAAAGATGAGCGTAAGACCAGGCCGTCCGACGGCCAAGAGCTTTGAACCTAATGTGATGAATCCAGCCGAGCACGGGTTGGAGGAATAAGACTGCGAGGACAACTAATCCAATTATAGGGTGGGCGCGAGTTTGTTCCATTTCGAGCTGGTTGGGAAAACGTCAATGTACACTGGCTACAGGGTAGAGTGCGATGTAGGGAGAGCTCACCAGACTTGAGTTGTTGGGCGGAATTTGCACCATGCGAACAAGATAAATGCCCAGAGCCGCACCGGCAATGTAAACAATGTACGCGATCATCTGAGTGATTCCGTGAATGATCCAGGCAAAGCGACCGGGAATAACACGCATGAAAATCGATCCGAGAGGGAACAGGGCCACGAACGCAACTGCGGCCAATATTCCGTGGATATTGCGATAGCTCATGGCTTGCTGGATGTCAAATCCGATTCCATTTTGAAAGCTGTCACCAAAGCCATCCCCATTGCCATCATCGTTACCATCGAACCCACCGTCTCCGTCGAAGTATCCATCACCATCGCCATCTCCATCTGCATCCCACCATCTCTGAGCTTGGGCGATAGCCACTAGGGCAAGAATTAGAAATTATTCCTCGAGAATTACTGCGTCCAATCGCAACCACGAGGCTTACCCAAGGCCAGCAAGTACAGTACGAGCGACTTCATAATCTGTGTCGGCGTGCTCGGTGTCAATCGTACAACACCAGGAATTACGGTGTCTCTAGATTCAAAAGTGAAATCCAGTACAACTTTGAATTGGAGAATTTTGATCTAAATACCGGACCATATGCAACCTGCGTCATGCCTCCGCGGCAGTCTCGGACCTGAACATGGGGGAGTGCGATGGCTTCGGGGTAGGCTTTGTCGCACTAAAAGCCTATTGGCAGCCGTCTCGGCGTCGTCAGACTGACTCAAAGCCACATCCTACCCCATTCAACATACTTAGGTTCCCTTTCTTGGCTGACGATGAGAAATACTTGAACTGAGATGGGACGGCCTTCAAAATTTTGTGTCGTACCGAAAGACCCAATAAGATTGAGAAGGTCCATGCTAAAGCTGCATCCATCCTCTTGTGAATGATATGGGTTAGGCGCTATGCATGCTAAGATTGTCCAGACCTTTAGGGTCTTCAGTTGACTGGCACTCGGTCTATATGTTATGTGTAATATTATTTTGTTTCAGGTTTGAATCTCGGGGTTAGGACTCGGGGATTCCTATCTTGAGAGGTCTAAAGTCTCGGCATGCTTACTCCCTGTATTTGGAGTTTAATTGCTAGCTCTTTAAAGGAAATAACCCACAAGACAAACCTTATGGAGCAATAATCTCATCTCTGCACAAAAACCTGCTGGATTGATTATATCATGAGATGAAGCCCCGAAGTGGGATTTAGGACAAACACTGAAATGGCAGGTCGACCACCAGCAACTAACATTTTCCCTCGCACAAGGTTACATACCTGGGATCTTTTCGTGAGTGTCGTTGTTATCCCATGTTTTCATCTACGCTGTGTGAATAATCTATCATTTCCCTGATTTGTCTGCAATCTCCTTTTCTGCACTTCGGCCAAGAGTCTCGAGGATCTGCTGAACTTGATATGAGTCTGATTTCGGTGGACCATCTTCCATCAAGTAAGCAGCGCCTATGGGTAGTCCATGGTCCACCAAATTCAGACTCATGTTGAGTCCAGCTGAGCCTTGCCCAATATCTATCCCATGTATCCGCTCCTGCATGAACATGTGGCAATTCGTCCAGCTATTCATGACAGCGAAATCTCCCACCAGCCTGAGTAGTGGAAGAATCTCTTCAGAAACTATGTCTGGAATGTAGGCATCCTATTCAAGATTGTCGAATGTACTATGACCAAATAAGCAATTCTAATTGATCCAAAGTATCTCGAAACTACGTACTGCGGTTCTCCCATATGGCCCTATTCAGTAAATACATGCAGATATTGAAGTAGTGCGTAGAGTCATTCCCTTTTCACTAAAAGAGAGTTTAAAAAGGTGAAAACCAAGTAGAATACAATCCCTCCCATATAGATAACCGTAAGCTCAATCCACCTTGAGATCACCCAAACTAGCCACCATCCTCATGCTCGCTTGAATTTCGTACTCCTCACTCTCTTCCCCTTACGTATTCTCCACCGAATTATGACGCGAAGAGAGTTGCCTTTTCTGGCAAAGAACCAACCAATGCATGACCATGCTGCTCCACGGCGGTGTCACATCCTGCAAAGAGAAAGATTCCTCCACAGGCAGCTCTTACGGATTCGAGAAGGCCAAGGACTCCACGTGACCCGTCGAATTATATAGTCCATTGTTTGCATTATTGTACTGATACTACACTAAGCGTCACGGGGTCGATATCAAGAGGAATAGGCCCATACCGCAACACGATCTCAGCCACGTCATAGAAGTCAAGCTGTACTTTGAGGCCGAGCTGGTGAAAATACCGGCTGACCATACGAGTCCCTACTTACAGCCGTGGATCCGATGTTATCAAGAAAACAATGCTTTCCACAATGACTTGAAACGCGCCATCTACGGCCTCGTTTTCTTTGGCACTCCGCACATTGGGATAGAGGTCGACGCGTGGAAGGAATATACAGTATGGCAGCCGACCGAGTCTATCCCTTAAGACCTCGCTCCTTCCTCGAGTAACTTGCCAGGTCTGAAAGTGAGCTTCACCAAGGCAATCGGACTGCTTCCTGTCATCATTGCTACGAGCTACAAGAAACCCAAACCTCCAACAGGGATCAAACGGTACTTTTTCCTGAGATGGCCCCAAGAAGGTCATAATTTCCGATGCCTCGACCTGCTTATATGCGCAAGGAGAGAATAAGACACAAATCTCCGTTGAAACAGATCACTCAATTATTGCGAAGTTGGATTCGAGTCCCTCAAGCAAATACGGAGTTATCAAGGATCGCATCGAGACGCCTGTGGTCGAAGCTGTTGGACGAGTTCGCAACCACTTTCTCAGATCTCTCCACGGACGACTGTTTTTACACCAATAGTCAGTTTCTCTTAATGTAAATCAAGACCCATCGCCAGTCTCGTCGTAATTTTCATAGCACCGCCCAAAAGTCGTAAGACGGTTGTTGGTCCTACACGAGCCACTCGCACTCGTTACACTCGACAAGCATGCTGTCTCTAAACCTTGATCCATCCTGTTTCTTCTTGTTTCCGGGCAAAGCGTCTGCCGCAAGCAACATTTCAACCATTTCAGCCATTTCAGCCGCTGTAAAGTAGTGTTCCCCTTTCCAGACTTCAGTCTAACTAATCCATCTCGCAACTTGGTTGACTTGAAATATATCTGTATTGTATGGATAGCAAATAAAATTTAAGAAGATGAAACGTACTACATAATCTCCACGTTTCATGCTCTATTGTTAATATGCAAGTAAGTGCCTCCCAGCTGGGGATGATACGTGGGGGCGGACATACCAGGATAAGGAGTGAAACCGTCTTTCACCACATGTTCAGCGGCACGGCCTCGCATAGGAGTCTGCACGCCGAAGGCGATGACCATACCAAGCAACACCGGGCAACTCGCCTTTCTTCTGCAAAGAGTTGGTGTGATCTTGTTGCAGCCGTTGAAGTAACAGAATATCAATAAAAGACAAAAAATTTGTAATCAGCCGACGGTACGCGTCCTTCAAGGTTCGGACGGCCTTCAGCTGATTTGGGTCAGCCAGTCTTGGTATGCCAAGTTTGGCTGCAAAGGGTTTAATATCCATAGAGTAAAGGTTTTTTGTGCTGACCTACCATGAGAAGTAATTTTCACTCTTAAAATCTTTCAGATACTCTGTAGACATAAATTCCCGGCCCTTCGGAGCGAGTGACAGGAAGTTCTTCTCCATCATCTTGACATACCGAGTCACCTGCTCCAGTCTGTATATAATCGTTTTTTGGTCTTCGTCACTTAGTAAGTTATTTGCCTGTTCTAGCTCTCGGACCCTGCTCTCAAGTAAGGTATTTCGACGTAGAAGAATGTACATAACCTTCGTAAATGAGTTCGGAGCAGAAATAATTGACTTCGGCGAGCTTCCCTGATGGGCAGAGATTCGGGTTGTAGTAAAACCAGTTGCGAAGTCGCCTCTTGGATATTACTAGGCGTCTTAGACTCCCAGGATTGGGTCGGCAGAGTATAGTCAGGTGAGGATGTACGGACTTCTGTGATGCGAGTGCATATGGGGTGTAAATTGTTGTATTGGGAAAGTATGGCCAGGTCAGCTATTCTGGCCTGGCAGAGCTCTTTTATAGCTCTTATATATCTCATCTCTAGCTATAGGGCAACCCCTCATGGGGTTACGTATCATTCTGGTACGAGTTCAAGCTTAGAAAGAACACTTTCTGGGTTAAGAGGGCCTAATCCAGTGGCTCTGAATCCAGCCCGAATATTTTTTCCCGTCAAATCTTCCGTATAAGCGTCGTAAAACGACGGAAATAAATCTTCCTTCGAGATATAGCTTATATGGCGTCGTATAAGAAGTACGATTATACGACCATAGGCCTGTGGGAGCAGGCAAAAACACCCAACATTGAGAGGCTGTTGCCTATGGGATGGATGAGGAGGCATACAGTGCGTGATAATATTATGCTCTTTACAGTAGGTCTCTAATTCCTCCGAATGGTGGTATTTATAACCATCAATGATAAGAAGACGTTTAGTCCCCTTCGTACGCGCTCTGGTGTGCTTATCGAGATGCTTGATTCATTATAGATCCAAATCATTATTGATCTAGCAATTTTCCGAGACAGAAACCACCCAGTCGTCTAGTAATGGCGTATCTCAGAACTGTGATACTAAGATAGTTTTGCCTTAACGTACCCCACAAGCAAGTTGGCCACTTTTTCTTGGCACCGTATGAATAACTTCAATAACTTGACTAAACTAAAAAATAATAATTCAAACTAATCCGAATCCTCTTCCTCGTACGTATCTTTATCATTCTCACAAGTACGAGCATTATGTCCGGGCTCTCCGCAGATCCTACAGCGCCGTCGGCATGGTTCGGCCGGTCTCGTACGACGACGACTTACACGTATATCATCCTGTAGCTGCTGTTCAATATCCCGTTGAGACTGTAAGTCCTGAGAGTCTCGTAAACTAAGAGATCCTCCATCTTGTGGCTGTCGATTTTTAGTCCTTCGACGACGGCTTAGCTCTTGATTGGCCTTCCGAAGTGTAGTAACCTCATCCTCAAGTAAAACTAACCGATGCATAACAGCCGTCGCACCACGTGAAAATTGGTCAATAGCCGTAAGTATTGTCGTCGGGGAGCTATTCTGATGCTGTACGGTTCTGTTTTTAACGTATTCAGACTGGGATTGCGCCTCGGTTGGGTTATTTGGAGTCTTTGATTCCCAGATTAAGGGGGCGCCAGACGAGCTCCCAGGAGGTGTAGGCGTATGTAGCTTAATATCCAGCTGTGAAATCACATATTCCGGGTCGTACGGAATAAGTTCTGTCCCCCTGAAACCTGCCTGGATATTCGACTTAGTTATAGTCGTACGATACGCCCTATATAATGCCAAAAAGAAATCCTCCTTCGAGATATGGGTTATATACGCCCATATTAGGTCTTCAATTTCTTTGCCGTAAGACCTTTTCAAAGCCCTAAAACAGCCTACATCGAGAGGCTGGAGCTTATGTGACGAATGAGCAGGCATACTAAGTGTAATAATAGTATGCTCTTTGCAATATAGCTCGAAGTCAGTCGAGTGGTGGCTCTCATGCCCGTTGAGGATAAGAAGACGATAAACACCCTTCGTACGATCCTTCGTATAGCGATCAAAGTGCTGAATCCAGTCTACGCCTCGCTCATTTGTTGTCCAACCGTTTTTGGTTACAGCGATTACCCAATCGGACGGGAATGGGCTATTCTCGTACCAGGATAAGAGGTGGTTTTGACCCGCGACAATAATATACGGCGGGATAGCACAGCCGGACGAATTAATACCCTGGATTACTGTAGCCCATTCTCGATTGCCTTGTTGGACTGTACGAGGCCTTCCGCGTCGTTCGGCACTTGTAACTACCATCTCGGATGAGATTAAGCCCATCGCGAACCCTGTCTCGTCGAAGTTATAGATATCCGCCTCTTGGATACCATATTTCGCAATTGTATTTCGTACGAGCGTAAACCACGCGCGATACGCGTCAGGATCTTCGCAATAGGCTCGTTAGTAGTCGATTCTTCGGTTAAAAAGCGTCCGAAGGTCTGGTTGTCGTCGTACGAAGTTCGAGGCCAGTTGACGCCGACGCGTCCAGGGTCACGGTCACGGAGCAGTCGGTTAGCCATAGCTTCAACACCATGGAGCCGGGGGGGAAATGATCGCGAATCTAGGTCAAGTATGTATTGTACGACCGCTAACTCTTCTGATTCCGTAAGCTTATGACTAGATTGTCGAGTATCGCGTCAAGATAGTAGTCCGCGTTTTCGGTTAGCTAGAGTTGTACGAGGGACATCGTAGAGTTGGGCAGCGCGTCGGATGCTTAATTCGGGTTTCGATTGAAGCGCCTGACACGCTAGAATCATGTCGCTTTCTTTCCAATTCGATCCCATCTTGGTATGTGTAAAGATGTTAATTAAAAGGTTGTTCGTACGGTGCCAAGAAAAAGTGGCCAACTTGCTTGTGGGGTACGTTATATTATTCCTAGTGGTATATAAAATTTGGAGAAGGGGCAGGTAGAGGTGCATATACGAAGTGTTGAGTCGCTTCGATTAGAGGGGGATTGATGCGAGTGCTGTCGAATATCACGTGTGTCCAATCGAGTAGTCAGCAGTGCGTAAGATTGTATATAAATGAGGTGTGTTCTTGTCTGTCTGTCTTCTTGTCAGGGTACGGCCTGGACCGAAGGCGATAGTACAGAGTGAAGGGGAGAAATAGGCGTGTCCCCCTGGTGGTCACCTGGTGTTCACTGGTGGTCACTTGGTGATGGCAGGTAGGGGTATCCACAGTAGTTCATTCATCTCTCCCCTCTCTATCTTCCTCCGTCTCGACTCCTTACTTATAGCCAGCCGAGGTTCTCTGTTGGATTCTGGATGTTTGCTTCCGCATGTCTGTGTTCCTTCGACTTCGGCCAACATCTTGGATAGCGGCTCTTTATCTGCAACCAAGCGATTCCCTATCCGCTGCAAACGGCTTCAACAGCTCTCATTCGCCACAAGCGGCTCTCTAGCCGCCACAAACGACTTCCTTCCTGGTGGAAGCCGGCCCGCCTCGGATGACACTTGTGGCTCTGACACTTCTGTTCTCGCGAACTCCCGTTGCTCTGCCTTTTATAGATGCTTTAGAACATGTCGGTAACTTTGGTGTTACTTTTGAGAAGAGGGGTTCCTTTCGCCTTCTGAACTTCAAGTGACAATAGTCTTCTCTAGTGCCATATTATTTCTGAACCTAGGAACCAGGTGCCCTATCTGACAAGTGCATATGGGGTGTGAATTGTTGTATTGGGAAAGGATGGCCAGGTCAGCTATTCTGGCCTGGCAGAGCTCTTTTATAGCTCTTATCTATCTTATCTCTAGCTATAGGGCAACCCCCCATGGGGTCACGTATCAGGGATTCTAACATGCTCCGCGATATTATTTAGAAAGGTTGGGCTTGCCAATCTGGGACTAGTCCCACGTAGACTAGTCCCTTTTCCTTCTATTTATCTTAATTCGGTATAGCCCTATGATGCGGATTTAACGTGAAGATCATAAACATAAGTCGGGCAAAATCCCTACCGATGGTAGATTCGTCTTGGGCAAGCGGGAGTTACGTAGCATCGGAAGCGTACTGTACATTCGAATTCTAAACCTTCAAGATAAATCCTCCAGGTTATGAGATGGCTACTATACAAGATCTATAATTTAGTTTCTGTAGAGACGTTAATACCTTTAACCCAAAAGAGCTTCATATTTAACTTTGACCCTAACCCCTAACCTTATAGATCCCGTCGTCGTACCGCTCCACTGACAATGTGAGAACTAGAAGCCAAAGGGCAGGGAATGTCAGGGCAGGTGCAGAGCTACCGGAGAACAGTCAGCGAATCACTTCACCAAAAGGAATTTGTCGTCCAGGATTTGCTAGTAAGCTAAATCTGCAGGTATAAGTTTCTTCAATATGCGACTTCTTGATTCGTACTATTATCATGTTGCAACCATAATCACTGTTAAGAACCGACAGTTCTAACGCTACTAATCCATCTGACGGGTCGGGAGCCTACACATGAGGAGACATAAGTGGAACAGTTAGTGCTGAAGAACTATAGTACGAACCGGGTCCCGTGATGGATCACGTTGGATCAGTAATCCAGTCGTGAGGCTCGCCTACAGATTAATGACCGAGAATCACGACTTCAGTGATCCGCGAGATCAGTAAAGGAAGGAATATATGTTGAATCAAGGACAGGGATTTTTGGATATAGTAGACAAATATCTCTGTCGCTTCTCGGCACGCTCGACGGCGTCCAGCTGGGAAATGAACGTCCCACCGAGACCAAGTTTAGGCAAAGCTCGTTGCAGCGGCGAGTTATTATGCGATGCAAAGTTTCAAGTTTGACATTTTATAACACCTGTACTATGTTTCCGAGGTTTTGCTATTGAAGGCCTGAATTCAAACCGTTTCACACTTCAGCGTGTAGCTGGCAGCGGCAGTTATGTACCGACTAACCTAGCGTACAATGCCAAAAATGGGCCGGTGAAATTCCCAAATGTGGACATAATCAGGACAGGTCCAATTTGAGCTCACTGTCTTTCAAAGACAGGCGTGTATCCTAGAGGTGCCGCAACCTCCACCGTCATTCCCCCTTCTAGAATATCACCCTGTGCGTCCCCCTCAGCCGAGAACTGTCTCCACTGAGCCCCCACTGGTAGCAATACACTCCTCTCCCTTTGTCCCGGCTCCAAGATCGGCGCGACCAGATACTTCGAGCCAAACATGTACTCCTGCGTCATACTCCAAGCCTTCCTATCCCCAGGGAACTCATAGAAAACCGGCCGTATCACCGGATCCCCATGCACATGTGCCGCATTCATTACGTCCCTTACATACCCCCTCATCTTCTCCCTCAACTCCAAATACTTCTTACAAATCCCATAAACCTCCTCGCCATACACCCAAACCTCATTCGGCGCTCCACTCAAACAATGACTCCCGCCCGTGTGCCCTAGCCGTTTCTGCTGCGGCTCCCTATCCCCATGCAGTCTAAACACGGGGCAGAAAACTCCCCACTGGAACCACCTCACAAACAATTCCCTGAACCCCTCATCCCTTGGATCCCCTCCATGAAACCCACCAATATCAGTAGTCCACCACGCCATCCCCGCCATCCCCGCGTTCAAGCCCGCAGAAACCTGACTCCGCAAACTACTCCAGGAACTCGCAATATCCCCCGACCACAGCAGCGCGCCATACTTCTGACTTCCCGCCCAAGCACACCTAACCAAGTTCACCACCCTCTCCTGTCCCGCGCTCTTCATCCCCTCGTAAAACGCCTGCGAGTACCTTACTGGAAACAGATTCCCCACCATTAAGTTCGGCCCCGCGTGGTATCGCCAATTGTCAAAATCGTAATGCGTGTACTCCGGCTCCGCCTCGTCAAGCCAGAAGATCTTGACGCCCTTGTCGTAGTAATTCTTCTTGACTTTCTCCCAGATAAACTTCCGTGCTTCGGGGTGTGTGGCGTCGAAGTGGATGGTGCTCGTTTCGCCCTCCATGGCGAGACTACTGCCACGGTCTTGTCGGATAAGGAGGCCTTTGGACAGCATTTCGGCGAAGTTCTCGGATTTGCGGTCAACGGTTGGCCAGATGGAGACCATGAGCTCGATATTCAGGGATTTGAGCTCTTGGATCATTGCGTCTGTTCGGTTATTTATATGAGTCAAACTTGGCTCCTATTCACGAAGGCGAGGAGGGTAGGCTACGCACCCGGATCTGGCCAAAACGTAGGATCAAACCTCCAGTCCCCCTCGGCAGGCCAGTGGAAGTAATCCACCACAATGACATCCATTGGTAGCCCTCTGCGCTTATGCTCCCTCGCGACCCCGAGGATTTCCTCTTGCGTCTGGTACCTTAGTTTGCACTGCCAAAACCCAAGCCCATACTCGGGCATCTCAGGCGGCGTCCCGACGACCTTTCCGTACGCCCGTACTATTTCGGCAGGCGTGTCACCCGCCACGACCCAGTAGTCCAGCGCCCGGGTACTGAGGGCTTCGAATGTCGTTACGTTCCGTCCGAACACGGCACGGCCTACGGCTGGGTTGTTCCACAGGAATCCGTAGCCGTTAGACGACACGGCGAACGGGATAGAGGCTTGCGAGTTGCGCTGCGCAAGCTCGAGGTCAGACCCTTTCAGGTCAAGCATGGGTTGTTGGTACTGGCCCATGCCGAAGATCTGCTCAGTGACTTCGGACTCAAATCGAGCAGTCAGATGCCATGAGTCTGATCCCAGCCGGCCACGAAATTCCCGTGCACTGATGCGGAGGGCACTGCATTTGGGATCGGTGACGTCCATGCGGTTGCGGCTATATTCTTCGAGTAGAATCTTACCGGCGGCGTTGGTGATGGTCAGTTTTCCCAGGCGAGAGAGGGAGGCGGTGATAGTGCCGTTGGTGATGGATGCCGCTGTAGTACCCTCGTTGGTGATTTTGACTGAGACATGGTCTGCCTCTGGTTCAGGCACTGGTTCAGTGAGTGCCCAATCGTCAGGGGGGAGCGTCGGTTCCTGCGTGGCGCGGACGCGGAAGGCATTGGGCCCCCAGGGCTCGATGCGGAGAGTTTCGTACTCGTGCTTGTAGAGCAGGTACTTTTTTTCTGGGGCGTCAAACATACTGAGTGATATTCAATTCTACTTGTAATATGTCATCTGAAATGAACAAAGTAAAACCTGGTTTCAAGAGGGGATGAACTAGACATTTATATAATCATGTGAAGCAGACCCTTATGCACGAACCCGCGTTAAGTAGGCAGATCATGTGAAAAACAGCCAATAGAAGTAGTCCAACAGATCCGGAACTACACCCGTATTTTCCGGAACGACCGGCGTCGGCCTTTGCCCGCCGTGGAACTCTTTTTATTCGCACGAATGGCCTGTGAAATATTCAGTTCGGGCCAAAACAATCCGATTTGCTTAACCCTCGCACGATTACATTGTCAGGGTTCCTCCGATGGACTCCAATGGAGTCCATTGTGTCCTAGCTGGTTACCAAGTTGGCACGATATCTCCATACAAATAAATGGATAAAGTGCGGGGAATCCCCCAACTCGATCCCTTGTCCTCCAACAGTCCGACGGATGAAACAGTTCGGGGTTTATGATATCGAGGGTATTGGGAGATTATAATCATATTTCTATTCGAAGACCGTGGAAACCTTCTCCACAGAGGTCTGTAGCCAGTCCTGTTGGAAATCAAGGCAGCTTTTGTATCATTTCTGCATCAACACGTGGAGTTTGGCGGATGTACCTCAGCCATGATCGAGTACATTACTGTAAAGAGGGACTAATACGATACATCATTTCAGCAGCGTTGAAATCCACAATTTCACATTAACGAATGACGAGGCTTTCTTAACATCGAGGTTATGAAGCACGAAGACACAGGGAGGTTCGTTATCCATTAGCCAAGCCCAAGTACCAACACATATAACTTCACACTTGTAACTCATTCCTATTTGGTTGACGTTATTGTGCATCGTTAAGACGTACTTCATCTAGGTGGGCCTCTATTGATGTGCGGATGTCGGAATTAGTCTTTAGAGTCTGACATATGTAGTGGATGTATATGATAATACTAAGCTGGCGCTTCCTGATATTTGATTTGTGACTTATTAGAGAAGTTGAAACTGGATAACACAATGTGCTTTGCACAAGGGTGTAGAACTTTTGGCTACACATCTGAGAAAACGCCCCAAAGTAACGTTAGGCTGGAAGATATCCGACTGCTCAAGTTGAAACATATCGACATGCCCCCAAGTTGCAGCTCAAGACTCAATCCTGACCCAATACAAACCTAATACTTTTGATTTGAATTTCACAAAGTTTCCACAAAGTTTTAAGATAGAACTTGCTATCTATGTTGCAGCGCGTGGCGTCTGCCCTCACAGGACATGATCGCAGCGCAGTCAGATCGGAATTATGACATAGTGGAAAAAAGTTGTAATACAGGACTTATTGCAAGCTATAACTAGGTATAGAATTGAACGTGTTGATCTCCCCAAGTCCAAAGGGTAAGGGACCTTAAATAAAGAAAATTGTGCCTCTTGGCTGTTTTTAATAGAGCAAGTTTAAGAACTCTGCAATAAGCTGTCGCGCACGAAAGAGAAAGAAATAAAAGGTAAAGCTAGAAAGGCTGTTGCGTTCCGACATGTAATCCAAATAATGGCCACGGCGAATTCGTCAACATGTCTATGTTTCTTAAACAAAACAATGTAATTTGTTATTCCCTATTCGAGTTCAACTACGCATGGCCTCGCTGGCAGCAACAAGAATCGAAACTTTAGCTCATAACTGATATTATCCACTCCAGGATTTTCCGAAATTGGCTTCATGGAAATTCGACGGTGATTTAGCTGTAATTTGATCCAGATGAAATCTGATTGCCTCTGAATCTGAATATGCGGACAATTTATCCCCAACACGTCTCGCGTGACCAAGATTTCCGATCTTTCATCGTCATCTCGAGGGTATCTGCAATCTAGTTCAACCACACCATCCTCTTGCTCGAAGCTATGGTTGGTATCGGGTTCATTGGCAGGTATAGAAATTGAAGCACAGCTCAACACGAAAGCAAACCACAATATGCTCTGACCTAATGGCTCGAAGTGTAGAACTATTATGATCTTAACTTCACTTCTTTGAAATGTCATAGTGCTCGGTTCGGTTCGGTATATCCCGAACGTGAACCCGGGGTTGAGCCTCTCTTGCAAGGAACACTCTTGAAATGGATACTACTAACAGGCCGAAGACAGGGTCACCCTGCCGCGTGAGCTAGCTAGCTTGATAGCGGCGGGTGCTTCAAATTGCCTAATTCGGACAAGCGAGAGAATGGGATGCTGAATATACTGTCTCTGAGCGAGCTTAAAGCATAAGAACCCCAAATTCGTACTCAAGGGTCCAAGTATCAAAACGGCAGTGCTATGTACTCACATCAGCGACCCGACCGACTGCGTGTATTGAAGTACCGCTCTTCGAGTGGCTAGTGCGGGCCTATTGGTGGAGCGTTGGACCGGTTAACTGGATCCAGCACCGTATCGTAGCGGGAGCCACAGCGGGCTAACTTGGGCAATGATTCAGGTTCAAGAGAGGGCTGCAAAAGCGCAATATCAAGGTATCCAAGTTTCTATCATAAGAAAATCGGAATCAAATGTTGCGGTAAACTATTCTTTCATCAGCATCTTGTTCATCATCGAATTCCAAACTCGATACAAAATGACACCACAGCCGGTGGTCGTAACTGACCTTCGCTTCGAACACCACCCCACCGGTCTTAGCGTCCCCGTGGTGAAGCCACTGCTCTCCTGGCGCTATGCCACAGAAAGCAATACATTGTCACAGAACTAGTTTCAGTCCTGATACCAAGTCTAAGTCAAGCGTTGAAAGTTAGGAAAGACAAACATCCAGGTCAACGGCGACAGCAGTATCCTCAGTGTCTGGTCAGACCATCCCCTCTCATCTCACGAGATAGCAAGTGTGCGTGTCAAGGCACATGGGATAAGTGCACGACAAGCGGGTGGCACAGATGGCGCAGCCATAAATATGGAGTGGTCCGCGTGGAAGGGCGTCGAAGCTGCGCTCTTGAACCGCGAGGGTTGGAAGGGACAGTTCATCGCTAGCTCAAAGTCCACGGCGGTTTCTGAAGGTAGCAAAAAGAAAGACCACTTCCGTCCCATTCGGCTGTGGAAGACGTTCAAGCTTGACTCAGAGCCTAAGCATGCGAGGATATACATCACAGCACTGGGCGTCTACGAGGCGCACTTGAACGGGCAGCGGATTGGGGATGAGCATGTGGCGCCTGGGTGGATTTGGAATCACCATAAACTTGTTACTGCACAGCTTGGAGTGTACTCTCCCGATGTCAAAGCTACCAAGCCCAGTGCGCGGATCTGTTCGGACGAGACGTGGAAATGGAAGAAGTCCCCTATTATTTCAAGCTGGATCTATGACGGACGACATGTGCCAAGAAGAAGAGACTGGAATGATATCGCAGCCCAATCTCCACAGGCGTCTTCCTGGGAACTCATAAAGACTCTCACCTTCCCCAAATCTCCCTCCTCGCTGCCCCCAGCCCAGCAGTCAAGATCGCCGAGTCCTTGAAATCAGCCTGCATCTTCACCTCCCCTACAGGCAAGACCATCATCAACTTTGGCGAAAACATGGTCGGCAAACTGCTCATCCTCGCCCCTCTGTCACTCTCCGTTGGGCAAACCCTAACAATCAAGCATGCTGAAGCGCTCGAAAACGGCTAATTCGGCACGCGCCCCGCTGCGAGCGGCAAAGGTAACAGGCACTATAATATTTTCCTGCCCTCCGCAGCCGCTACAGGACTGGTCCGCTCGTAATGCACACACCAAGGCCACGAACGGGCCATTTCACCGCAGCAACAGTAGACTCAACCAGCTTCACAAGAACGTCCTCTGGTCCACCAGGGGAAACTTTCTCTCCATCCCAGCCGACTATCCCCAGCGCTATCACATCACACGGATCATAGCCCAGATCGCGGGCGTCATCGGTGAAATAACGACGAGAAGCGGTACCCAGCTGACGCAGAGGTTGGGCAAGGCGTTAAGGGTTAAATACATCACGCTCTCCGGCCTGGTCGTAGCCGATAGCCAGACATCCCTCGCCATCGCTTTTGCATTCTCTCTGCACACCCCCGAAGACAAAGCAGGGCGAGACCTGGCAGGGCCCGACTAGCCCGCCACTCCGCTTCGCCAAGTTCAAAGTCACCACGGGTTTCGCGGGAACATATTCCATCCTGCGCGCCTTGGCTACATCACAGAACAATCTCCAGATCGCCTACGACTTGCTGCTCAATGAGGCTTGGCCTAGTTGACCAGTTGGCTGTACCCCGTCAACATGGGCGCAACTACTGTCTGGGAGCGATGGAACAGTATCTTGCCCGACGGGAAGATCAATCCGGGCGAGATGATGAGTTTCAACCACTATGCCCTGGGTAGCGTGGTTGATGAGATGCACGAGGTTATTGGCGGTCTAGTATCTTTGAAGGTCGGGGGGTTGGATGTGATGAGTGCAAGTACTGAGTATCTGGGTAGGTAGGAACTTGTGGGAGGGGATTTGATCGTGTTGCCGGATGTCTACGAGGAGGAAGGGACTGCTTCCCAGACCGTAGGGTCGGGAGCGCATCATTTTGAATGCGCTTTCAAAGACCCTGGACCATGGCCACCCAAGTCTTTGAGTACGGGCTATCCTGGCGATGACTGCAGGGGTAAGATCAACGAGGACTAAGAATGAGTAATGTGGACATGAACAGTCGGGATTCAGTATAGTGATGAAAATATGTTGCTTTCTTGGTATCTATGATTTCAGAGTGGCATGCACCTACAGAACATGAGGTGACTTGTCTCAAGTCTCTCGACGTGAATCCAACGCTCTCACCAGATGTGACCGGGTTTATGCAAATCTCCATCCCTCATAACGTTCATTTCCTCATTACTGTCCACGTTCGTCAGAGTACATGGAAAAAGCATAGATTCCTCGGTGCGTCCTGAAACATGCAAAGCCACAACTGTGTCTGCCAACTCCATATCCTCTTCCAGAAGATGCGTGAACGGTACTTTTCGCATCCACGCCGTGCTCCAGAGTCAACTTTTGTGCAAGGAAATTAAAAACAAATTTGAAATAGAACCGAAACTCCGCAGCATAGCAAAGAAAAATCATGCGGCTGGCCAGGGATAACCTTAGTAGGTTATGCCGTCCATCTGCGTGTTTGGGTGGGAGGGATGAACATCCAGGGGCAGCTCTGGAGAAACAGAGACTCAAAGGTGCAGAGAATTGACGTCGGATATGCTTCGGTGGCGCTTGTGGCTCCACTGTTGCTCAGACGATGCTTTTCGCTTCTGAGCCATCCCGGACAGAGGACTGCTAGCGAGCTCTGTCATCTTCTTCTGCTTGCGTAATGGCGAGATGGGTACGTTGGTGCTGTGAATGCGCCCATCCTTGATGCCACGCAGCGTGCCCTGGTAGAAGGACCCACCGAACGCGAGTGACTCTCGCGTCGCTTTGCCGTTCCTGATCAGTTGCGAGTTGGCTTGGTCCCGACGGAATGTGCCAACAATGTTGGAGTTGTTCTCAAGTTGGCTGAGGAGATGTGTGACGTCGCTGGATGCAGTGGAAGGCCGTGCAGGTGTCACAAAGACGTCGTCGTCATCGTCAGCTACAGCACCCCCGTCATTATCTTCGTCGGACGAGCTGTCCTCGTCGAAGTGGATAAAGTCGTCGATCGCAAGCCCTTGCTCCGCCTCTTCAACTTCTCCAACGTCTTCCTCGGAACTCTCTTCAATACCATTGTCGCCAGATGTCATAGAAAAGAATGCCTCGACCGGACCAACAGCTTGCGTGTTGACGTAGTCGCCAAAAGTATTGGAGGAGAACATGGCGCCCATCATCAAATTGCCCGAGTTGCTTAGTATGGGTGACGACTGGGTGACAGGCTCAAAGAATGGGAAGTTGAATTGTTCAGGCGAGAGATCAAGCCGTCTGAGTCTTTGGGGAGTGAAAATCATCAACTTGCCGGTCTTTGGATTGACGACCGCGACAGGTTTTGTCCCGGTACTATCAAGGTTGAAACGCCCAACACGGGGTTTTCCACGGCGAGGCTTGATGAGCGTGATGGCGTCCGAGTCAGAGGCTTCCTCCTCGACTTTAGCCTTGCGTCTAATGGGCTCCGGGGGATCTTCATCCTCGGTAGTCTCACCGTCGCCTTGGAAGAAATAATTAGCAGAGATAAGGCGCACTGAGTCAGTTACGTTCACTCACTTTCGTACCCATCGAGGGACAGGTCGTCGACCTCAGGCGATGGCATGGGCGTTGAGACGGTGGTGGAGATCTCTTGACTAGTTAAAGGAGTTGCGACGGGAGTGCTGTCGTCTTCCTCGAAAGCTGCAATCACGGCCGGGTCCATCTCGGAGTCGGGCTCGTTAATCATGTAATCGGCATCATCGAAGTCCTCGGGCATCTCATGGAAGTCCCAGAAAGAGATGGATTCCGACGAATTACCCTCATCTTCGTCATGTTCAATCTCACGACGGAAAGATGGGTCGAGTGCGTTCTGATCGACGAAAATGTCAGGAAAGAAGCCTACATCCAAGTCGTCGTCCGTGTCGGTGGATTCTCCGTCCGAGTCGGGCACGTCAAAACGAACGCGGCGCGGAGACGTCGTCCCCGGGTCGGGTACATGACTGCTTGTATTATCTTGATGAGCTGGGGCAACACCATCGTCGTCCATGAAACCTTCCCAACTGGCACTATCGTTGCCTCCGTCATCTTCATCGTCCTCCTCCTCGTCTTCATTTTCATCATCTGCTTCGTCTTCGTCGTCATCCGCTTCTTCTTCTTCTTCTTCTTCTTCTGCTTCCATAACCGGCCGAGGAGAGCTTTGATATACATGGGATATGATATGCTCTTCCTCGGCCGCATCTACATCCTCCTCCTCGTCATCTTCGTCACTAATGGCATCCACGCCGGAATAGCCATCGTCGTCGGACAAGTTGCTCAGCGACGACGAAGTATCGGAGCCCCGACGCTTCGAAGCCTTGACGGGAGTGGTCGGGAAGCTTTGACGAACGTCCCTAGCCATCATTGTGTGGAGATATGCGGGATCTAAAATATGCAGGGGTTGACCAGGGTCTGTCGGACTCGATGGTCTGAGAATAGTGACAAACGGCGGTGAGGCCAGTCAATGCTCGCGAGATCGCGTCGTGCAGTTGAATGTGATAGTGGGGGGGGGGGGGGGGGGGAACCGAGTATATCACCGGCACAATCGTGATATTCCACGGGCAAGGGCGTGTGTGGAGGCGCCGCAAGCTGTAAGGTAGAGACAATATCTCGGCAGGTGCGCCGGCTATCGTGAATGTTGGAAGGTCGTAGGCCCGAAGCGTGAGTTGGGCTGAATGTGCAATGGTACTTTGGTGATTCAGACTTCTTCGTACATTGGCAGTGCAAGGCACAACACAGTTTAAGTCTGTAGAAAACTTCGTCGAGGTCGATTGGGATTGAATTTCTCGGTGAACTGAAGGACTACGAACATGCCCAGTCGCAGGCATGCCCGCAGTGGGCTTTTACAGCTCAGCGACGGCCGAAGGCATCTTGAATCTCGACGAAGTTGGTATTGACTGATTGTGGACTTGAATATGGATCAGTGTCGACTCTTGTCTGGTGCTTTGGCGTTGTTGGTTAGGAAGGAAGAAAATCTCGGGAAATCTCTAGAGCAGAGATAAATTTGACCGTGCAAATCGATTAGCGTGGTGGGGTCGCACTCTCTGTAGGGATTCGTCCACCCGCTGAGCTTCTGTTTTGTGGGTACTGGGAAAATGCTAACTACAATGCCGCCATGTACCTCTGTGATATGTTACGATCTTCTCATGTACATGTGCCATGTATGGGCATGTAAATTGATATCGATTCGATTATGGTGTATTCTATATTACACTGTACGCGAACCGGTTTTCCATGACCCAGCACGGACCGCACAATGCTGCTCTCTAAATAGACGTGTACTTGAATGTGAGGTCGACAACAGACACTCGATACCCCGGCACCATGCTTGATGGCTTGATGGAGAACATCTAAGGTTAGGTTAGGCAACTTCAAATGGCGGTGACAAACAGAACAGCTGAAGAATATTACCTTTTACCATCCTGATTTCAGGACCAAATACGAAGTAGTTGTTGAACTGCTGTCTAAGTTTAGAGCTCCCGAAACCCTAAAAAGCCCCTCGAAGGCAGACTTCACAATTGGTTTCAATTTGACAGCTTCGCCGGCCGAAAGCAACATACTACGAAGTATAGAAGCAAATTCTCTTTCGTCTCAACCTCGAAAGACCCAACAACCCCTCCAAAGAAGCTCCACCTGCTATGCCTAATACCCACCCGTCGACTCATCAATGAGTCGATATGCTCTCATCCCAGCTTTGTCGAAGCGTTTGGCGTCCTGTGAGAAACAATGACAAGGGTTCCGATCTGCCTAAAGCTCGAGAGGGCGACACGCCAAAACAGTCACAAAGTTTCGATTTTTCTTGGGATGACGAAGGGTCTCGAGGATGCCGTGCTGATCTCAGCCTGAGCCAGCAGGTCTCCCAATCTCTTCATCTATGGGGTCCCCATTCTTCATGCATCACTTGCATAGGTGAGCACGATATTTGATGCGGTCAGAGTACGACGTATTACGACTGCAGGAATTGGGTCAAAGTTTTTTATCCCCCCGCACCGGCAACCTGAGCAAGCCTCCAATGAAGATCTCCGGATTCCGTAGTTTGTTCACCTTCCGATCTTCCTATTTCGTAAGCGCTTAAGCGGAGGCAGGAAGGCTGTTACAGAACCAGAAGTGGTATATTGGCCGGCCGCCCGTGCCCTCAACCATATAAGCTAGGGCCCTGCTCCAAATGACGTCTGCTATGATTCTAACCGAGATTCTCCGGTCTGGCCTTTGACGTTGGTATCCTCCGTAGTCCGTTCTTGAGACATGATATGAAGACATGCCCTCAGGGTGTGTGAGTCCAATGCTGGATGGCAGTAACAAAGTGGGAGAGATACCTGCTCTCACTGCAGCTATGCACAGCAGTAGTCAAAACGTGTTTTCGCACCAAGACCCGGCTTGGGCTTCACACAATGGTGGAACTTGACTCACTCTAACCGCGAAATCTATCTCTAATTGGCCATTGAGTTCAGCGAGGCGTGCGATGATTGGACCGCAAACACTTTTGCGTACAGTGGCGGCTGCACTTGAGGGAAGAGGTGCATGATGTGTGCTGTCATGAGTACACATATACTCCTAAAGAGAAAAAAAAATCTAGCGCCTCTATTCCATGTGATAAACCATATCTCGCGTCTCGGACTTTACAATGATCTGGCTCGTACGAAAAGACGTCAAGTCAAGGTAGTGGGGATGATCTATGGCACTAGAAAAAAGGAAGAAACACAAAGAGCAAAGGAAACAAAAAAAATGGAAAGAGAAAGCTCCCCTGTCAAATTGCCGCCCAGGGTCGTTCCTGGTCAGTGCACCTTCTAGTTGGGAAGAATTTTAGAATCGAAACCCAAGTTCTGGGACCCTCTTATCTAATCGCTTCTGTTGCCGTGCCAACTTCCAAATAATGTTACTTGCGAATGCATCAAATGCTGTCATGTTGCGCAACTCCTTGGATCGTTGAAGATAGCCAACTGCTTCTCGAGTTGCATGTCACACAGCTTTGCAGCGAATATCAACGAAATATTTCACATTGCCATTCCGTTGCCCACCATGATGGATCCCCCGTCAAAACCGCAGTCGAGCCTCTTTCAGGTCTACTTGCGTCTCAGACCTACACCAGCTAGTCCTACCAATGCAGAGCGATTCTTGCTGGTGGAGGAAGTCGAGGAGGGTAGCGCGCCCACATACGTCACGTTGAATCCACCGAATGACCGAAGACGCGCCATCGAGAAGTTTGCCTTCACCGAGGTGTTTGAGGAGGATGCAACCCAGCTGGATCTATTTCAAGGCACGCGCGTACTGCCTCTGGTCGAGGGCGTACTTGCACCTCACGGTGGCGATGGTACAGATGGTCTCCTAGCTACGCTTGGAGTCACGGGCTCTGGAAAGGTTTGTTTGCGACGGGCAGGATCATCAAGCCGGACTCTGCTGACAT